GCACGAGTCGACAACAAAGTTGCAGTGATTTGTTTTATCTTTATATACGATGAGAAAGACAGAGGACTTTCCTTATTAGTTCGTGCACTGTCTGATCCTTATCCAGAATGTAATATTGGGACTCAGAGGATCATGAGCGCTGTCGATCCTAACAATTACGTGCGATACCTATGGGCCCGTCTGTTGAACTCGAGAGTCCTTCGTTAAACATGTTGAATATGAGCAGGCCTAGAATCGAAACGCTCCAGACTACACTCGTGGATATTCAGTAACATCATTCTCGTGTACAATTTCAACTTACGAACTCCGTAACATGGCTTAAAGCCAGAGTTGTCTAACCAAGCAGCAACCAAGGACTGGTCAAACAATCCACTACTGAAACTGGATCTTGTACCATGTGATTTTTATGATAGTATATATATGACACACATTTTGCCTTGTGCTTGTACTAAACTTCTAACTGTTGTTATTTCTGCTGTTGCACTTCTGGGGAACACCTAAGCTTTCCACTCTATCACTGGAGAGTGCCAATATTGATGACGGATGGGTACCCAGGCAGATAAAACCGTCACAAAGTTACGGACACGAACATCGAGGCACTGCTGTTAACATCACTTCTATTAGTACAAGATTGACCGGGGCTCGCTAGCTATGAATAATACATCGAGAACATCCCCGTCCATATGGGAAGTACCAGTCTTTATACTATTGGGGATTTAGGGCAAAGCTGTCCTGCGCTCGAGGAGGTATGGTTATATCATGAGCTTTTCTCCAGGATTTCCAAGTTGTGTCCAAATATCCTCATTAGATCGGCCAGATTTCCAATGACTTGACGGGTTATAGATAATTCTGAGACCTAGGATGAAATAAGCCTATGGCAATGCTACACATGCATACCAGATCTTGGTGTAGTCCAAATGAGATTTATCATTATGCTCGGAACTTCACCGAACTGCATCAGTTTTGATCTAAGCCCCAGGCCAGAGGAGAGCATTCAGTCTTGCATGTGAAGTCAGCACTACTCGAGCATAATATAATACAGAGCGTAAACCTAGAATTGATAGTTCAAGGTGGTGGGTACCAGTGCTGAAGTTGATACTGTTGAGTGTTTGCATGATAAAGCGTGCATATATCAAGGGCTCGAACACACGTATACTATGCCGTGTTGAGGAAGTTCCCATGCAGTGTTATGACGTTTCTATATCGTGATACCCAGACTTGACTTCTACTGTCGTCTCGACTTTGACTCATCGGTACTAAGAAATCTATACGGTGTCCACAGAGAGATGAATCCAGATTACCGAGAGGCATAAGGAGGATAAATCAGATAAATTTATGCCACCAGAGATTAATTAGATCGCGTAACATGTGCTTGCAGCCATGATTCAATCTACCAGTTGCCATCCATTATACGACGTCTGAAGGGACAAGACTCAGTCAGAAATCTGCAATATTATTTTCCTTCTCTCCCCCAGGTGAGTCCAAAACAAATACGATTCTCTGGAATATGTTGTAGGAAGGTCTACTATGTACTGATATCAGTAGCCTTTGCCTGATGTCACTTACCGAGAGATGTGTATCAACAAGCTTTCCTCAGGTGCCGTACCTGCATAAGACTAAGCATAATTCTTATACATGGCCAACAATTACATCACCCTCCTTCCCACACAACATAAACAAACATATGACGCAAGCGCAGAGAATATCCCACTTTGTAGAACATGGTGTTGCATCCCAATGGCCAACTGAGCTTGACAGTTCGCAACTGTGCACAACTCGAGTTACGCCGCAGGTCTTAGCCCTTGTCTTGAGTAATCCTTCTGCCGACCAGCCTGCCTCTTTTGTCAAATGGCACCTTATCACAGCTCCATCGAACGTTTCCTCGTGAAAGCCGCGGCCCATGATGCCGCAACCCTTGCCAAGAACCCCGGCGAGTGACATCCAAATCCACCTTTAATCACAGATTTGCCAAGTTAAGATCAGCCACTATAGCAAAGAACCCAAGGTTTACCTGGACATTTCCCCATGGGGAGATGGATATGCTAGTGTTGGTTGTCGTCAACACGGCGTTGAGTTCCTCTTTAAGGATAGATGCGGGGATACTGGTTGGGATTACACGAGGTCACCACCGCAGCCTTCCGAAAAGGCACAGCAGCATGCGAGAAACTTTTCATGTGAAGCACTTACAAAGGCAGTATATTAGGACTGGACTACTCCTGACCGATTAAGAGTTTCATCTTGGCAGATCTTGCATTCTCAATTGACCAATCGACTACTCGTTGACTCAAGCTCTCAGACAATATGCGTCTCAGCCTTCTCCCCTTGATCGCCTTTGTTGGCTGTGCTTTCGCATCTGGAGATACAATCTCTACAGCCATCGACAACATCTCCAATGCCACTTTGGCTCTGGACAAGTCCGTGACAAACTGGCCTCAGACACTTGTCGGAGCACTCCCCATTACCACAAAATCAACATTGCTGCTCACTGCGATCCACGACGGTACTCTTGCCGCTCGCAAGTCTGAGGCTCTATCCGTCGACGAGACTCTTCAAGTTGCCAAGGCCACTTCAGAGTTGACCAAAGACGTCAGCGCCACAATCGAAACCATTATTGCCGCCAAGCCCAAGTTCGACAAACTGATGGTCAGCCCTGTCATCCTCCTCAACCTCAAGCTCCAGCGCGCTCTAAGTGCCGACTTCTCCGAAGCTGTCCTAGCAAAGGTTCCCAAGGACCTGCAAGCAAACGCAAAGGCACTAGTCCAAGGGATCGACGAAAGTTTTGCAAAGGCAATCAGAAAGTACAGCTCACTACGAGGATAATTGGGGAAATGAGGGAACGAGTTATGAAGTGAATAGACCCGCGACGACGTTATTACCTTTCTTGGATGGCCATTTTTAGCAGAGATTTTAATATTACAATGAGTTGAGTTGTCGAGTAATAGAAAGATGCAATCGATATGTCAGTTTTTGAGGGAATTGTTTGTGCCTATTGAGGAAGTTGGATAGGATATGCGTGCCGAGGCAGGGTTCATTGACACGTGAGCATCTGAATGCAACGGAGAGACGTCGACCACAGAAACAACCGACCAACCCAACCTTTCCTATCAGAGCTAGTAATTCATAGAGTAAGCAAGGCCCAATAAACGAGAAGACAAGTGATCCTACTCTGTAAACTCTGCATAAAGTCCCGAATAGTCTAGTCAGCCTCTTTTGGATCATCATCCCTGTAAACTCTTTGCAGTTGTTCATGACTGGTCTCGGGGTCGAGAAACACAGTGGAAGGGCCTCCTAAGTCTTAGGAAATAAAACTAAGTAGTCTAAGGAGCATAAAGTAACCTAATAATTTCGTCTCTTATGCTTCCAGCGGTTAAGTTTTCTAATACCCTAAGGAGGGCTAACACCAAAAGCCGTCAATTTCTTACCTAGATTATTCCGCTGCTTTTCTCGACTCCTTAAACTGGTCAATTTGCAAAGAAAGTAATATCTACCTCAGCTTGTTAGCAGTCACAGACAATTGTCTCCGCATGTTGACCCAATCGACCTTTTTTTCGAATCAAGTTAGCATACTAAGCCAGCATACATGGAAATTGAAGCGCCTCAGTCAACTATCGTCGACCTGAAATAACCTGATTGTTTGTGGTTTGTTTACTGATGGACATTTAATTGCCGTCGCACAACACGCAATCCCCGCTGGCAACCTAGAGAGACATGTTCTGATGCCCAGAACGATAGGCCGATTGTTCTTCTATTCCATTACCCGCTTGATCTAACGACTTCATATGCTGTCTCGAACCCTTTCGCAATTATAAATGCCCCAAAAAACGCAGAGATGAGTTTTGAAGAAGGACCTAATGGGCCAGAGTCAAGCTTGATGCCCATTTCAAGTCACAAACTCATTTCGAGAGCATTGGATTCGTCGACAACGTGGCAAAACAAGACCAAACTGATATTACTGGGTCCAGACTTCAGCTTGATGCAGACTCACTCAGCCTTGTAAACATCATCCTATCAATGCGCTCGTCCAGTAACCCAATTGAGATGTAATCGTCAAGCTAAATGAGAATCGTTGCGATTAGATCGGGCTGGAGCGTATCATCAAGCGACACATCATAAAGTCAGGCAAGTTGTGATAGGCGAGATCTACTATTGACTGGCGATCTCCGTTTTGATAAGGAGATTAAACCCTGAAAGGCTGAACCGTCTGCTCGGGTGAGGTCGAGCCCTTTGGGGCTGAATTATAGTTCGATATTTTGAGCCCTACTCCAGGCACAAGACGAAGCCACCGCAACGGTAAAGAAAAAAAGGGAACACTCGTTGGAGCATTACATGTGGCTTCAATGGTGAGGGGATCTATGCTGGATTTAGTGATGCTCGTTGAGATGTGGCGTCGCACTAGTCACCATTACAGGACTGACCTTCATCTGAGTGACATGTTGGCACAAATCAATCCCAAGTTTATTTTCATCGCAGCAATTAGTCCCTCAGCATAAAACTGTTTCGAAGTAACTTGAATCAGCTGAAGCGACCAAAGTGATATACCGTGATTGTCTCTATCATTCCGATCAACGTATGAACAATGGTACTCTGTGTCAAATCAGTTACGTTGATGAATCGTTCGGTAGCTGTTTCTTATTATACGATCAAGTCCTGTCGTCAATGTTGAATCATCCCTTTCTCAAGCTAGCATTTGATGGCGTCTCATCCCCACACTATGGTCAAGTGGCTGTATCGCTATTCGACGCCGCACTTCATTCCTCCTGTCACATCAACCATCAGCTGTCCATTTTTGGTAGCACCAAGCCAGTTGGATATTCGGTGGCTGCATTTGAGGTCGAGACCTTAGATCGTCCTCCCCATTACTAGGATGCTGGCTCTTATGGAAAGGGGGAAGTCGCCAGTATATAATGCCTCTACAGCCAGGAGATCATGCAGCTTGAAAGTTACTCGACATCGACCTCATCATACATATAATTCTAAATTTACATCATCCTACTGCCAACATGAAGTTCAGTGCAGCATTTGTTGGTCTTGTCGGCCTTGCTGTTGCTTCACCTTATACGGAGCATGACACCTCCAATGGTCTCGTCGGTGAGTGTTCTTATATGAACTAAAAGCCATCAACTTGCTGACTTTCAAAGCACGAGGGGGAAAGTGTGATATTCCACACAAGTACTTGAACTATCCATCTGCACCCAAGCCCAAGAAGTATTATGGCTACGGTCGTACCATTCATGTCAAGGCCGGCCAGAAGATCCAGCATGCCATCAAGAATGCATCACCCGGTGACCGCATCGTGGTAGCAAAAGGTGATTATTCTGAGCAACTTGTCATCGACAAAGATGGCATTCAGCTCGAGGGCCATGGTGCTATCCTCAAATCACCAGACCCAAAAGATCTCAAGAAGAATGCCTGCACCGGCTTGACTCAGGATCCGCAGAAAAACAAGCTACAGACTGGTATCTGCATCACCGGGTACAAGGTCGAAACAGACGAGTTTATTACCGAGCACAAGAAAGTCCGATCTGTAGGAAGGCCCGTCAAGGGTGTGTCTGTCACCGGCTTCACCGTCCAGGGATTCTCTGGCATCAACATTGCCGTTCTCGGAGCCAAGAACACTTACATCTCGAACAACAAACTCATTGATGGCGGAGCATATGGCGGCCTGACACTTGGTTCAATCAACACGGTCTTTTATGACAACGTTGTCACGACCACTAAGGGTGGTTACATCGCCATCTGTATGGACAACAAGTCAGATGTCTTTGCCAAGAAGAATGAAATCTCGAACCATGCTATTGGTCTCTGTGTTCAGACCAACGGTGCAGTGATGGAGTACAACAAGCTCACGAGCAACTGCTTCGGTATCTTTGCCGATCCTGGTGTGAAGGAAGCCAGGATTGCCCATAACTATATCGGTCCAACCCCTGCTGCCTGCCTTAAGAACTCTGCGGGCATTGTTCTCGGAAGTTCCATTGGGGTTCTAGTTACCGACAACACCATCGAGGGCCAGAAAGCCAGTGATGGATCAGGAGCAGGCATTCGCATTTACGATGATCCCTGTGTTGCTACAGCAGAAATGCCTCTGTCTCTTGCTTGTATTGTCCTCGGAAAGGCAATCAAGGCCAGAGATAACGTGGTTGTCCAAAATACTCTCAACAACAATGATAGTGACATTCAGAATTTGAGCAAGGGCAGCGGAAACATCATCAAGTGTAACACTTGCAAGAATGAGGCAAACATCAAAGCTGGTCAGTGCAAGAAGCCCTAAGATTGGCTTGTCTTTGGATCAATGATTGGTACGTAGTGTTTGGCTGTGCTTTGCTAGTAAGATACGGAAATCGAATTGCAGTTGGCCTTGTATTGGATGGGTGAAGAAGCAGCGGATAATGTATTACTCAACCAGTTTGTGTATACCAGTTAGCTCGGAGATAAAACTCAAGAGCATAATTAACCAATTATCAAAAAATGCCGGCCAGACATGATAATGATTTGCCCCGAGTGTCAAACTCGAAACACCTTGAGGCTAATCTGTCTAGTGGGTAGCAGAAATAATGGCTTCCTGAGTCTTAGGGTACAAAAATAAGTAGTCTAAGAACCATAGTCTAAAGAACATACACTAACCTACTAATTTCGTCTCTTAGATATGGTTTCAGCGGTCAATACTTTTATTACCCTGAGGCCACCACGTACAGCCTTTGGTACTTAACTATAGAACGAGGTTCTTTCCCAACATCTTTATCTACGCCACACCGGAATCCGTCACGCACGGCGGAGACCTCATGATCAATGGAATAGGTTGAAGTTTGCCGAGGAGAAATATGCTTCCATATACACCGCGGGCAAGTAAAGCACCTCGGCGAAAGCTATCCCGTTCGGAATCTGTTGGTAAGTCAATAAATATGTAGCATATTGCTTTGAACGACATGTTGATTCATTTTTTAGTCATTTGGACCAATAATTGGCAGGCGTCAATTAAACGAACTTGATTCCTTCTCACGGCAAGTAGCCGATTTGAAATGGATACTGAGCTTTGAACGACTTATTTATCGTTGTGGATTAGTAATTGACCGCAAAGCTAGACGAGATGTGGATCGTCGAATGGTAACGTTTCCCACGGCGAGCTTTCCATGGCGTATTCATCTCACTATGTAACACTTCGCACGACTCTGCTATGGCCGGCAAAGGACCTCCCCGGCAGTCACCTCTGCATGTTGAAATGTTCTCAGGGGGGGCTGAGGTTCTGACTTCTATGGCCTGTGCAGATTGTCCATTACAGTTTATGTGCACCCTGTTGACCTGACCTGTACTGTCGCGATTAGCAGCCATGCTGATAGTAGATTTAAGAACAAGGCCCTACTTAACAAGGTCACAGAATGGTGATGTCTTTAGTCTCTGCTCAGAAGAATCTTGTAGATTGGCAATATAGAAAGGAGTTCAGGCAGAAAGTAAGCAAGCAAGCTCAAAACAAGGACTGTCCAGATATCCGATATATAAACCAAACCACAGCGATGGGTCAATGACCTGATACCCACGATTTGTACAAGGTTGATTTCGTCTAGATGCTTATCTCACAGCACACTCATGCAGTCTCCAGATTCCCCACACCTTTTTATCGCCTACAGCACCCCATCTGTGTTATAACTGTTCCGAGGCCCATCTAATATCAGTTGAGACTAAAGCTGGAGTGGCGTGATCTAGACCATTGCCCCGGCGTCCGTAGAACGAGCATCTGGGAAGATTTAGTTTCCCGCGGAAAGCTTATTCACGTCCTTATCATGGTCGTTTCGGGCACATCAACTGATCTGTATGTATTGTTGCTAACAGCCTATCCATGTGAGGATAGTGCAACAAGTCCAATTGCATTATTTAAAGTGGCAATGTCGCCAATTCCTTGAGCTACTTTAAGAACAAAGAAATAAGCAAACACTTTAAATATATTTTATTATGGATAAATCATCCGAAAAGCTAGAGTCCTTCCAGTCCCAACCAGCTCTAGAACATGGTTCCTCCACGGAATATCATGAACTGGAAAGAAAGTTTGGCTCACCACACCACAAGCACCGTGTAAGACTCTTACTGATCAATACAGGCTCGAAAGCAGACATATTCAATTCATTGCTCTTGGTGGTGCCATTGGTACGGGTCTTTTCCTTGGAATTGGCCGTGCCTTGACTCAAGCTGGTCCGCTTAGTCTCTTGCTGGGCTACAGCATTTCAGGCGCCGCTATATTTTGCATGGTATGTCTGAAATTTGAACATACTTGCACGCATGAACTATTAGCGGCTGACATCTATTGAATCGTTACAGATGCAGAGTTTGGGTGAAATGTGTACTTGGCTCCCCCTCCCAGGAGCAATCCCTCAATTCGCAGATCGTTGGGTAGACCCTGCGCTGGGGTTTGCCATTGGTTGGAATGTAAGCGTTTCGTATCTTAAATAATTGTTCCTGCTTGACCTAACCTTTGCTTAACCTACAGAGCTGGTATTATTGTGTCATAACTCTTTGCGCAGAGATTGCCGCTGTATCCGTCGTGATACAGTATTGGGAGGGAGCCCAAGGCGTCAACATCGCAGTCTGGATAACCGCTCTCATCGTCTTGGTGGCCTGCATTAACCTCTTCGCCGTCTCAGTTTACGGAGAAGTCGAATTCTACTTTGCTGGCATCAAAGTCATTGCTATTGTCGGTCTCATTCTGTTAGCCTTCCTCATTGACGTAGGCGCAACAGGGCGAGGCCGTATCGGATTCCGCTACTGGAAGAACCCCGGAGCGATGAAAGAGTATGTGGCAACCGGTGACCTGGGTCGGTTCCTGGGCTTCTTTTCGACTCTAGTCAATGCAGCCTTTTCTTTTGGTGGTATCGAAACCGTTGCCGTAGCTGGAGGCGAAGCCAAGAACCCACGAAGGAACATCCCCAAGGCTGTCCGCCGAGTGTTTTGGAGAATCCTGTTCTTCTATGTTCTCGGCGCTCTAGCGGTCGGTGTGTTGGTTCCGTCCAACGATGAGAAGCTGCTGAGTGCTCAGACAAATGGCTCCAAGGGTGCAGCAGCCTCACCATGGGTCATTGCTATTACGCACGCCAGGATCAAGGTCTTGCCATCTTTCATCAATGCTGTTATTCTGAGTTCCGCCAGCTCCGCCGCCAACGCCATGACCTTCAACGGAAGTCGATACCTCTATGCTTTGTCGAAGAATGGACAAGCCCCCAAAATCTTTCAAAAATGTAACAAAAGGTAGTTGTACCTCTTTCATTAAACATCGGATATAGACTAATCATCTACTAGCGGAACGCCATGGGTGGCAGTACTGCTAGTTACTGCCATCTCTCTACTTTCGTATCTCTCCTGCTCTGCTAGCAGTAGTGTGGCATTCACTTGGTTTCAAAACCTTGCTACACTGTCATCACTTTTTACCTGGTTCGCTATCTGTCTTATCTATGTCAAATTTCACAGCGCCTTAAAAGCACAAGGCATAGATAGGTCATCACTCGTCTTTAAGGCACCATTCCAACCCTATCTGGCCTGGTTCTCGATGTTTTATTTCGGCACTATTATCATTTTCAGTGGGTTCTGGACATTCACCCCTTGGAATGCCAACAGCTTCGTCACCACCTACATCGGTATCCCGCTCATAGCGATCCTCTTTTGCTTTTGGAAGTTCTTTAAGAAAACTAAATGGGTGCTATCTACTGAGGCTGATCTTTATCGCGATAAGGCTGCTATTGATGCTATCGTCTGGGAAGAGAGGAAGCCAACAACAATCTGGGGTAAGGTTTGGGACTGGCTGTGTTAAGATGTTAAGTTAGACAGATGATTACTATTATTATGATTGAATGCTAAATCTAAAGTGATATTAAATACCTTCTTATATAACTTACCAGAACAGCCAGTACCCATCGCCACTGTATGGTCTACTATGCCGGTAATGAATATTTATCCAAGCCGACTGACAAAGACATAACGCAAACCAGCCGGATGCACCGATGTCAATCAAGTTTGACTGTTTGGCTATGACAGGATGCAGCGCTAGGCCTCGGGAGCAAATATTCTTCGTTCCTAGATCTTTCCAAAGCCAGCATTTCCAGGAACCTTGCTTCGAGCAGTAGTAGCCTGTGTAGATCTCGCAATAGGCAATCCCTTGAACTCAGACATGAAACCAGTATCCTTTCTGTTGAAAGCACCAGAAGAAATGAAAATGTTACCCTGGCACACGCGACCAAGGTATTGCTGAGTGGCGCTAGCAGCGGCGTTATCAGGACAACTGTTGAGTTGGCCCTTAAAGTCGGGGACGACAACTTGCTTGACGTTCTGGAAGACGTTTCCTTCGAAAAGGCCCTTGCCGGCGGTGTCGCCTTCGATGGCGTGCCCGTTGATATCACGCCAGACGTTATTGACGGCGTGGAGGAACGTGGTTGCGGAGAGTGCTGGACCACGGCCTGCTGTGTGCTCGATGAGGTTGTCTGAACAGTATTAGTAGAGCTCAGAATCTTGGCGAGGGGAAGGAACATACTTTGGAGGGTAATCTGATCACCCTGGCCGACCATCTCAATGGTCCAGTAGTGGTAGCCGTCACAACCAGCGGACCACTGCGTGCGACCGTCGATATGGTTATTGGAGAGTGTGATGGCAGTGCTCTTGTCACGACCAAAGACGTAGTGCTGTCGACCGAGGAGAGAGGTCTAGGACCGTTAGCAATGTTTCCGGTTGTCTAAGCAGCTGAGCTTACCGTGCAGTGATCAACCCAGATCTTGCTGGTACCGGAGAAGGTGAAAGCATCGCCACCCCAGACATATTGAGGGTTCAAGTTCGTGATATCTATCGTGCCATTAGTTATCAGTATACAAACTGTCAGTCACGAACTTACGGATGTTTTGCACGATGATGTTCTTGACATTAACAAATCGCAATCCCTTGCCCTTAATGATACCCTTGTTACCAACTCCAACGATCGTCTTGTCAGACGCAACATTGATCCCACTCGTTCCAGCCTTGCTGTAGGTAACGTCAACCTTGGGATTGTTACCGCACCAATTCCCAGCAGCGTTAATAGCCGTCTGACATCCTGGGCCAGTCTTCCACGGCGCACAACCCTTCTCTGTAACAGTACCCTCCGAACCGATAAAGTCGTACGTGCGATCAAGAACAATAACGCGGGGAGATTTGTCGGTGAGATATGTCACCAGCTCTTTGATGTTCTTGGGCGTAACAGCTGCGGCAGAACCACCACCCGTAACGCCTTGGGCAAAGCCTTGAGCGGATCCGGAGACTTTTTGGGCTGTGACGGAGGTGAGGAGCGCTGTGAGAGCGCTGAGGCAGAGGGTGAACTTCATGATGGCTATGTTTGGTTGATGATGGAGTATAAGCCTATGAGCCAAGAGATCAACTGGAGAACCAGTCTCATCTTATGTGAAACATTCATCTGAACAATTATCCCAAAGTACTGGGGTTCTCGGATTCAGCGGAATATTCCTCGGAGAAATTGCCTTATGGGAGGACGCAGCGAAGTCTTTTGGCTCCTTAGGTTGTTTCAGTTGTGTCTAATAACGGGGAATATTATTCCCGTCAGTGACGAGCCAGTGTAGGTAGCCTGGACGAGCCTAGACGAGGTCCTGTGACCCCTAGAAATTAGAAGGTAATAACTCTAATCTAGCTAGCTATTCGCTGTAATACGCTAAAAGACAAAGGGCGCCATTCGCTGTAATACGGTGGCTTTTTTTAGTTTTTATTTCCGGCTCGACATTATTTGGTTACTTATCCCCGTGTTTGCCAATCTCTTTCATGCCGGTAGACGGACCTTTTAGCGTATTATTTTTACTTGGCCAATTAGCAGAAAGGTAAACAGCAGGACTTGTGGCGTAACTGAAAGTGGAGTATACAGCAATATATCTCCTGTTTATCAGGTACGCTATATGTCTAAGTAGATACTATAGAAGTCTGTAATCCGGATATCGCGTCCAACGTAGGTTTAATATATCTTGCTGATCAGCCGCCTCTCATTAGAGCCCTCAGCCACACACTAAAAGGTCTGTCTATGGGATGATCTAGAGAATGGCTACGCAGTACTGTGTCTATCTCTTCTGCTGACTGGTATCGTCAGGATGACATAGTGAGATAACTACTGAATCATGCACGTTGCACGGGTTCTACACAGCAAGTTTCACATCTTTTGGGCCCATCAATCAAGCCAATCTGCTGTGTCATTAGCTAAAAAAATGAACGAATTTGTCGTCAGTCAAAAGATCAAGCCACACTTTGTCCGTCTTCAGATGTCAGCCAAGCCGCTTCCCTGCCGTTTGTCATGGGTGTGATTGGTTATCCGGCACGAAGCTGCCGCCAAAAGGTGTCCACTCGGCAGTTTGCTGCCGTCCAAGTCCTCAATTCTCCCCTTGGCCAGCAAATGTAATGACGTCGAGATGTTGTGGCTTGACGTACTTTCCTGCTGTCATTTTTCGTATTGAGTTGACTTCCTGTTTAAGCTTGTTATTACAGTATTTTGTTAGAGTGGATCTGACACAATGATAGTGACGTCAATTTGTCGCGTTTCACTGATTTATAGAAAGAGAAGTCGCTGTCCTCAATTGAGTTTGAACACCACTAGTCATAGAAACCTCCAAAGCTCTTTTGGTACCTATTAAGTCAGGTGCAAAGCCACTTGATTCGTGGTTGGCTTTTATTCTAGCCTTCAGCAACATCACCATCATTATCTTTCATCGACATTGTTGAAGAATTTATCACCGACAACATGGGTATCTTCTCTCGTAAGGAAAAGACTCCCCACGGAGACGCACACGGCTCCAAGATGGGTCGTCGCCAGAAGGCTCACCATGATCCTCTTACCATGTCTCGAAAGCCCTCTTTCGGACAGTGGATCAAGCACACATGGTTCGACATTGTCACCATGGCTGTTATGGGTGCTATTGGCCTTGGTGTAAGTCTTGAGCACGTCTACTTCTTCTTCTTCTTACTCTAACAAATTACCCAGGTCTACTTTGCTAAGCCCGCACCCGCACGATCTTTCCCTGTTACCTTCGACGACGGCGAAATTGTCTGGCCCGAGTACGGATACCCTCTCCGTGGAGAGATCATTCCCATCTGGGCTGCTGCTATGTTGGCTGCTCTGGTCCCCATCTTTATCTTCCTGGTGATGCAGATCCGCATCCGCAGTTTCTGGGACTTCAACAACGCTACCATCGGTCTTCTCTACTCCCTCATCACCGCTGCTGTCTTCCAGGTCTTCATCAAGTGGCTCATTGGTGGTTTCCGTCCTCACTTCCTCGAGGTCTGCAAGCCTGACATGGAGCGAGCGCGCACCATGGGAGGATACAACAACAAGGGATACCTGCAGCTCTACTACACTCCCGATATCTGCACAGGTGATAAGAGCGAGATCAACGATGCGCTCGAGTCTATGCCCAGTGGACACACCACCGCTGCCTTTGCCGGCTTTGTCTACCTGTACCTGTACCTCAACGCCAAGCTCAAGGTCTTTTCCAACTACCACCCATCTATGTGGAAGTTGATCGCTACCTACGCTCCTATTCTTGGTGCTGTCTTGATCGGCGGTGCCCTTACTATCGACAAGTACCACCATTTCCACGATGTCCTTGCCGGCGCCATCATTGGTACCGTCTTTGCTTTCTCCGCCTACCGAATGACCTTTGCCGCCGTCTGGGATTTCCGCTTCAATCACATTCCCCTTAACCGCCATGCTCCTTTCCAGTACAACATGGGTGGTGCTGAGCTCGTCGATGCCGTCTTCACCCACAAGGCTGGCTGGGGTACTCACGGTGGTAGCTCTCACGGTCTTGGCCATGGAATGAAGGGTGACCGAGCTGGACATGGACACATGCATGGCAACGGTTTCAGCGACGGTTCTGAGCATATGCATGGAGCTGGCCACCACAACGGTTCTATTCCTCGACGCCCTGTCGGTGAAGGTCTTGGACATGGAACTCGCGGCGAAGAGATGGTTTAATGGTGTAATGGACAATAAGATATGTCTGGAGGCAATGTGAGAGTGGAGAGTGAGAGAGGTAATGGAAGGCGATGATACCTGAGTATTCTTAATTCTTTTTCATAATGATTGTATGATACCTTAACGGCCAATCCAAATAACTTTGAACTTGATTATGTGTGTCTTGGCGATCTGATTGTGAATTTGTTTGACCCTTGTGTGCTTACGTCGAGGCTGTAGTATCCACTTCCGTTATAATAAAGGATCACCTTTACGTTTTTAAGCTCACAGGTCCTCCCCGTTGTAAATTTTTTACCCACAGTAGATGCTTACTCTGCCACGTAGTCCATCGTGCTCGGATGCTGCGCCGTGTCAAAGGCCTGACCCAAGTAAAATTAATATCAAGATGTTAATTCACACAAATCGTCATGGAACCACGGCATGACCCAGACTTTTAGTCAACATTGCTGTCATCATTCAAATATCAGCTAATCAAATGTGTTTGAGTTGATAAATTACGCAACCTCAAGTCACGGTTCCGTATACAATGAAGAGTATCAAATCATATCTGTAAACGGAGACAGAGTAGATAACCGAACATAGCATTTCAATGAATCCAAAACTCCAAGGATCAATCGGCATCTGAAATCAACTTATTCTAGTATCGGAGAGCAGAATAATCGATCCCCTTCCAGTTTCCAGATGACGATGCAGGGTAGGAGCAGGTGATGCGATAAGAGTCGGATAAGAAATACAACCATTGATTGGATGATGAGAGCGAGACCGGCGACTCACGTGATCATCAATCTTCGCGCACCGCGTTGCAATTTCAACAATTCACTTGTAAAGAGGCACATCAATTGCGGCAAAAGGACCCTCCATTGTGGTTGCTACCCATTGAAAAGCATAAGGAAGCCATTAGAACCACTACTATGTCTAGCACCGCCATGCAACATGTGTTACCGAAGGACCTGATGGAGCTTCAGCTTGGTCAGATCGATCTCCTCATGGCTATGTATGCCTCCGATGACGCAATATTCATGGACCCTACATCGGCAGACACAATAGGGAAGTTGAAAGACTGGTGTGAAAATGGAGATGAAGAGGCACCGAATATTCATGAGACGGGTGTTGATCTTATCCTCAGTCTCGATGACTTTGGAGATGATGACTCCTCGGCTCATTTGTTACAGCTTACGTTGAGTGTGCCTCTGACATGCTCAAGAGGAGACATAATGGCAGATCCACCATCAATCAAAACCAGGATACAGCAGCCTGAATGGATGAGCAAAGGAGACGTCGCCAAGCTGAATTCAGAGCTTCCAGACGAGGACATCCTTTCCGTCATCGAACACATCAAAGAGGTCGCCACTCAACACCTGGAAGGTCTGAAACAGGATGAAGTAGCCAATACTCCAATCAAGGATACCTCAATAGTACGTGTGTGGTTTTACTTTCCCTCCATTAGTACAAGAGCCAAACGAGACGATCTCGTCAACTATGCCCCAACATATGGGCTCACAGGCTTCTTGCTGGCCGGAAAGCCTGGCGTCTTGTGCCTCGAGGGAGGATCTACGGCAGTTGATGACTTTATGAAGTTCATCAAGACGGAAAGCTGGGGTGACATTCCTGCGCATCACAAAAAGGTAAGTCAAACGTTGTGACTGGGCCCGACGGATTATTGAGACTTATCTGGATCACAGGTCAGTGAAAGATACCGAGAAGAAGCGACGGATTTGAAGCGTACCTTCAATGATATGCAAGAGATTACCGACATGATTGAGAAGCGAGGAGCTAGAGGAAACCGTGGCGATATGAAGGCTTTGGAAGCTTGGCTAGTGGAATGTGGACTCGGGGAAGCTTTTAGCAAAATTCTCATGTAACAGAGAAACAAAAGTATTGAAATTTGATCAAATGTAATGCTTGCTCGACTATCCAGTAGTGGTTCTAGTTCTAATGATGACCAACGCCGGCTTGACAAAGGAAATGATGCAAAATGTATCCGATAAAATATCCTACTCAATACTGTTTAAACACTCTCAGCATAGTCAGCCTCTTTAGCTGGCTTCTGCTTCTTGGTGAACAGCTTCTGTCCAACCTTGTCTGTCACCTCATCTGCCTTGTCGCCCAAGAATGTCTTGATGCAGCCATAGACACCAGAGGTAAGCCAGAGGATGGAGTTGACGAGATCGATCCAGACAGCCGTCTTCATAGGGCCCGTGCTGGCACCCTTGTACTTGTCATCGCTGTCTCGTCCAAGGAAGATGCCAGCAAAGATACCGAACGCGACGAGCCAGGTGATGAAGAGGATAAGATCCCATGCGAATGCACGGTAGGTCTTGAGGAGCTTAAGCTTGCTACCGATGAGAGGCAGAGCACCGAGGGGTGTGACGGCGACGAAGATTAGGGATGTCGCAGCGGAGAGACCTGCGATGGTGAGGGCAAAGTACCACTCTGGGGAGAAACCATAGTCTCCGTCGTCAGCCTTGTCGACTCGATGGCCGTAGAAACCACAGGCGATAATGGCAAAGATGAATTGCAGACCTCGGCAGACGAGACGGGGCATGACCTCAAAAGTCTTGAGCCATGTCTTACCCATTGTCTTGCCTGTTTCGGCTCCTTCATTGAAGGCATGACGTCCAGCTTGTCGACCGATTTCCTTCTTGTCTGCGGCACGGAATTGGTTGGCGTGGCCAGCAAAGGTGTTGGCAGTTTGGCCCAGTTCAATAACTGTTTGGCCGGCTTTGATAGCGTTGTTGAGTCTGCTCATTTTGAAAGAAGGTGATGATCTGTATTATTGGTAGGTAGATGTAGCGTGGAGCTGATTGGAGAGAGTGTTGAGACAGATGTCCAAAGAGAGAATTAACTGCACTGCAGTATAAGAGAAAAGAGAATTAATAAATGACGACGATGAAGCGATAGATAGTGAATGATCCGAATGTAGAAGAGTAAATGCCCGTCTCACCATCACGTCTTTATAAAAAGCCAGTGATCAACATTGCCAAATAGACGCTGATGAGGCCTTCTTGGGACAAGCAAACAACAGCCAATCGAGACTCAAACAAGCCAACAATGAAACATGGTCCCGTCGTTTGTAGGTCGCGACCCAGCGCCTGATGCGCTATTGCTTGAGCCCCAATCGTTTGTTGTTTGGCGCTCTAGTCAGGCGCTTAGCGAAACTGGGCCTTTGTTACGCGCTGCCAAGGACAGCCAATCGTGGACCCTGCGATTAAGTAAAAAGAAACGAGAATAGAACAATTCGAACAAGTGGTATTGAACAAGGTTAATGTTGACGCGCGTGAAAGAGTCGTAAAAATAAACAGTTTCAAGTTTAACAGTAGACTTATATTGGTGTACAGGTCCTGTTCTAGTCTATGTCTTTGTTGACCGCTGAAAGAGCGTATTCAGTGGGTTCAAGTCTTAGAGTATAAAAATAAGTAGTCTAAGAACTATAGTCTAAGGAGCATAAGGTGACCTACTAATTTCGTCTCTTATGCTCTCGGTGGGCCTACGCACTTCAATTAAACAATCTCAATATCGATGCACTTCTCATCGTTCCAAGCCTCGCCAGACATGATTCCGTGAACATAGCAATCCCCGATGATCTTCCATTTCTCTCCAGATTGTCGTAGCACGTAGGGCGTTCTTCCAGTCTGAAGAAGCGCAATCCGATCACCTGCTCGAGTAGGCCAAGGAACCAGGCACAGATATCCTGAGCCTGTTATCGCCACTCTTTTATCATAGGCCCATTGTATGTCAGTAAAAGACTTCCCCATCAAGAACAAGTCGCTCAAATCTGTGCTGCTTAGTTTCCTGTACCCCAGCAGTTTGTGGTAGAGTTGTGGTACCAGCTGTGAAAGATGCAACTGGTTCATGACAATGCCAGTCTTATCCATCGACATGCCTCTTTCTATACTTTGTTTGAGGTAATCCAGGACATCGCGGCGATTCGCACTGAGTTGAATTCTGTTACCCAACAGGGTTGTAAGGAAAGCGTCCATTGGGGTTTCGCCTGGTAACGTTTGAAGATTTCCAGTTTTGAACACGAGATCTTGCCAACCTTGAATGGTGTCCAAGACTCTTCCAATGCCACCCCAGATCCTAGAGGTTCGCCTGAGTCCACGAATAGGATCCAAGACAAAATTGCTTGATGATGTCTTAGGTCCCTCCCAGGGGTATTTAAGCTTGTTCCCAACAGAAGTTAACTTATCCACGATGAAGCCTTTAAGAACCAGTGTTTTGCCATCGCTGAGAAGCCGCACGGCAAAAGGCATGTTGGACTGGGACGCCTTGAATTCGGGAAACAATTCCCTCGTCTCTAGTAATATTGGAGTCTGAACATTTGCCCTTATGACAGGGTTGTTGATACCAGAGGGGCCTTTCTCCTCATCCGGAATACTAGAGAAGTCGTAACTCCAGTCAGGAGCCCACGAGGGTAAGCCAGTTAAGGTAGCTTCCAAACAAGACGGCCTTCCTAGAGCAGCGAAGATCTCCAGTGAACAGCTCCCGTTTATGATATTGAAAGCTACACGTGTGTAACATTCCACAGTGGAGATAGTGTAGTCTGGCTCAATGCCGTATGTTGATGTGGCGATACCTAAAGAGCCGTACACCTTGTCTTTTGGATCTTTAGCTCTCAACCATCTATGAAGATGTAGCAGCGTCCCGAGATCCTTTTTCACATTGGAACTGCGATGTAATCTCACAGTGGCAATGAAAAGTTTGCCATCACGGTCGGTTATCAAGTTTCCAAGAGCACTGACATCGTCGACATCGCCAGTATCAAATGCATCGCTGACTGAGTGCATAAGAATGTCACTGCATTTTCTTTGCACTTCTGTTGATGGAGCAGCTAGATTTCCACACACAAAGATAGCACTGGGAGCGAGAACCATTTCTTGCACAGTCCAAACCCTTGTCCACCAGGGCCGCTCAAGCATAGCGATTGTGCCTGGTTTGGCTTGCTCCGGTACAACAAATTCTTTTTTATCCGGACCTTCAGCGGGATCCTTATCTTCCCCTTGAGTCCATTGATCAACATCACCTATGTTCATCTCGAAAAACTTTCTCTCTTTTTTGCTCAGGTGAGGGACTGGAAGATTTGGAATTGTTTCTATCAAGTCGTACAAATGGTCTATTCCATCGGATGCGGGATCGGGACCTAACCAGACAACCACTCTTTCAGATCTGGAGTAGATATCCTTCATAAGTAGAACTTGGGATTGACGTTCCTTAAGGTCATTCTGGTTGATACAAATGGCGTCGATCCACAGCGTTCGCTCGGCATTCTCGTCCCTCAAGTGCTGCAGTGCACTAAACAGATTTTCGGTGACTTCAAATCCTTGGTTGTTGCATTTGATGTCTAGGAGTTCGGTACTGTCACCCCAGCAATATGAGAGAGCTTCGTATACTGGATTTTGCTCAAGTGCGACAACCTCGAGTCGAGATTCGATCGGATGGTTAATATCCGTTGCTGGAAGTACATGGAGGATTCGGATTTCCATGGGGCCGAGCGCTCCCATGTGATTATACGAGAACATGATGATGAAAAGGTACTGAAATTTGAAGACGACAGACAAGATAGCAGACTGAAGGATTTCTGTTGGTGATATCTGGGTGAGATTCAGGCCAGATATTGCCAGAAATTGTTTGGAGATTACTAATCACTCATTTCGCATAAAATAATCCCAGCATGGTAATATATCCTGGAATATCCGTACTAAAGCCTGATCCTCATACATATTAACCCCAGGCCTCTTTTTAGTCGTTGGTTTCCGTTGGGTGTCACTATGGGCACACAAAACTGAAGTCATGCTGTAGTACACAAACGCCTTCCATTGGACGGACATGTTTAGAGAAACGAGAGTCATTGCGCGTAACGCGGTTGCATCAGGCTCTTTTCCCACCTTCCTCAAGTCACACTAGCTTGAGACTAAAGGAGGGGCAACTCATTATACACTACAGTCATGTCTGCCACGATATCTACGAGTCAAAGTAAGCAGACAATGTCTTCGTCAAGACACAGAAGTGCCAATATTTAAGTTAAGTCAAGTAGTTTAATACAGGGCCTAGTATATCATGGAGGCGCATTGAATCCTCCATATCCCAAAAACCCGAACAATCGGCGGAACTTCGTCTTATTAACCCCATTCAGTACTGCTTCCGGCCTACTGCTTACCGCATTGTCGTATGGACAACTCATTACCAATCAAACCGTAACGCTAACCCACGCTGTCTCCGCCGAAGATCGTACAGACGATAATTAATCACCACCAGTTCTGGAGGTCATACATGTATATATTGTGCCCTAGGAACTCCTCTCCAACACTCAACACTTGTTGCAACAACTTACTGCACTGTCAAGACCAAATCATCTTATCATGTCAAACCCCACACTTGTCATTGTTCCCGGCTCTTTCGCCCCAACGAAGATGTATGATGGCTTTGTGGAGAACCTCAAGAGTCACGACATCAAGACAGTCGTCATCAGCACCCCTTCCGTGGGTAGAAAAGAGGGTCGCTCACCTGCGACTATGAGCGACGATGCTCAAGAGATCAGCAACGTTGTTTCCAAGCTGCTTGATGAGGGGGAGCAGGTCGTGCTGATGACGCACTCATACGGCGGTATCCCTGGAACTGAGAGTCTGAAAACCATCTCGAGAAGGGCTCGCGAAGCAGAGGGCAAGAAAGGAGGAGTCGAAAAGATTGTCTATCTGACCTCGGTGGTTTTACAGCCCGGTACAAGCAATTTTGAGGCGTTCGGTGGGACCCTTCCTGATTCTCTAACTGTGGAGGTAACAAACTACCTGTGTCACGTTCATGAGAATGTACTAACAACTTCACCAGGATGACTACATGAGCCTCGACGTCGAAGCCAATTCTTCCTTAACCTTTTCAGATCTCCCTGCTGAGCAGGCGCTAGAACTAGCCAAGCAGATGGAGGATCACTCGACTCCAAGCTTCAAAGAAAAGTTGACATATCCTGGTTATAACGACGTGGAGGTACACTACGTTGTCTGCGAACAAGATAAAGTTATCCCGCCTCAGTTCCAACGCCTTATGATTGAAGGTGTCAAGGCGTCGACTGGACGCGACGTCACAGTCTACACTCTGGAGAGTGGTCATGTGCCTGTCACCAGTCAACCTGAGAACACGTCAAAGATTATTGAGAAGGTCATCAAGGCTTAGTGGTTTCTTATGTTTATGGATTGGTGGTTAGCATGGAGCAGCCAAGACATAAATCATACGAGAGTTCGTTTAACTGAACACTGAAAGCCTTAATATCCTATGATATGCACGCATATTTGAAAACCCGTTACAATTACGGCCATTGTCCAAGGTTATATTAGGTATACAACTTTAGCTAATATTACTTAGTGATCTGTTCCGAAACCCTTACAAACTTACAGTGACGTAGATTCACGTTGGACCTTACCATAAAGCTAATAATACACTTAATAAGCGACAAGAAGCTGATTTACACTGCCGCTACTCAGTTGTTTGCATGGCTACAATACTAAATGTATCCCGAAGCGAGAGCAATATTTACATGCGAAAGAAGGAAGTTTAAGAAGATGATATTGATCATCACAACAAAGCACGTAAAGACTAGTTTCTAAACTTGCAAGCTATACGCCGGTGAAAACTCTAAGTCATCAAACAGGAGTGGGCATAGGCTTCCTGATCTTGACACACTGTCCATCAACACACTCACGATGCCAGTTCTTAGGACAAACATAAAGCTTCCGATACGCAAACACCACTCCAAATCAGTCAGCATGGCTCGCCGCTTCTTGGTAATTATATAGCAGGAGAATGATTAGATGGGATGACGAGTAGTACTTACACTTTTTTCCACCATTGCGAGGGAAAGATGGTAGGCACTTCATCTATTGTGTCGAATGGTCAGCGGCAGTTTGTAAAAGATTAATAAAGCGAAAGCACACGATGTGGCTTCCATTACACTCGCACATGTTTGCGTCCCCCGGCTCGCATTTCTGCCATGTGTTGGCGCATGCAGAAATGGCTTGAGACGAAAGAGCCGCGACGGTAACAAGTGCAGAAAGTTTCATGGTTGACGACATGTCCGTGGCCTCTAAGAAAGTCGTGATATTGATGGAAAGAGACGTTCATTTGTGTCTTGGGCTCGTGTTGAATCTGTCAAGTATTTGAACTGTATCTTCAACAGGACAAGGCGAGGTTTTATATCCCGGATCTTACTCCAGGGGCAGGAGGTACCGTTTGACCTGTCAAAGGGTGCCGTCAATGCAAAACACCATGTCTTACGACTAAAGCCGTATTGGTTGAAGGTAGCGTCCACAGATGTAAACTTGAAACCCGAAACAAAATGTCTTGAGTCAAATCTCATGACTGTATCACTGAGTCGACACTGGGTGCTAGACATATCCTTGAAGGGGCCTTTGGGTACTAAAAGAATATCTCATCTCGTTTTGCTCTAGGTGGAATAACATAAATCGTAATCAACTACCTTGAATGGTATATTTAACACCAAAGAAACGCTTGCAGTTTAAGGGTAAGGAGAGTGTAGATGAATTGCAGTGGACCTGGACTGATGTGTCTGAAGTTTCTTGTAAGACACCTACTGTCATCTTCAGCTGATACGAACCCTCGTTGTTTCAGTCACCAATGGTGCTGCAAACTATATCACTCAAGTTCATGCGGTGGTATATTTTGAAAGATGGTTACCTTCAGGACTGCATGCTGATACGATCTTCAGACTTGATATGGAACGAGGAAATGAGAGAATAATCGTATAAACTAACGTATTATACAGCATCTTTATACTTGAGTATGTACGAAAACATGTTCTGGAATGGTAAACAAATAATCTCATCTGAATGGATATAGTAATAAATGGCAACAAACGTAAATGCCTGAAACAAAATGCAAAGACAACCCCTGGCTTTTACAATGTGTACCTAAAGTCTGGACGCACATCACCGCTGATCCATCTCTGCTCCTCTGTCATAGCAGCATACTTGGCATCCAAAGACCCTCTAGCACGACGTCGGTTCTCCAGACGTAGTGCGAAGTGCATGAACACGGAACCGCCGAGAAGGAAGATGACCTGATAGGCGAGTACCATACCGTGGCCAGTGAAGTAGCGAGGCTTCTGGGTTTCACGGTAAATGTTGGATGAGACAACACCATTCATGTTACCCCAACCAACGACCATTCCCAAAACAATAGCACGCTTGAGTGAGCCTTCAATGTTGTTGTTGACCCAAGACACTGTATTAGAGACAGTTGGATAGATACCTATCATGGTTAGCAGTAGTTCTTGAAAACGTATTTGAGAAACTTACCCATCGCACCGAGGAAGACGGCACCATACTGAACATGGGGATCGGCCGAAGCCAAAAGCATGGCGAAACCGACAATTCCCACGGCGACAGTAGCAATGTTACAGTAACCTCTCCACTTAGTACGATCTCCCACAAAGCCAACGACAACAGTGGCTGCAGCAGCACAGGCGTATGGCGGAACGGAAAGCAGTTGTGCCTTGGTGCCCACGTGGCCCATGCCACGCAGAATGGTGGGCAAGAAGAGAGAGAAAGCATACAAGGGCATCAGACAACCCATGTAGATGATCATGTACCCGTAAGTCTTCCAATCCTTGAGCGCAGCCCAAATGTGGCGCTTGTCAAAGTCCTCGGCGGTTCTCCCCTGACGATCCATGATGAGGCGGCGCTGAACACGAACGCGCTCCTCCGGAGTAAGGAAGCGAGCAGTATCGGGCCAATCAAAGACCATCCACCAACAAAAGGCGCCCACAGCAACGGTTGCGAGACCTTCAAGAATGAAAATCCAGGCCCAGCCAGGTCGACCGCCAATACCGTGCATCTTGGCAATGGCAGCGGCGAGGAGACCACCGAATGAACCTGCCAGAGCAGCTGCAGAGAAGAAGATAGCGGCTCGGGCGCCGATCTCGGAAGACTTGTACCAGCATCCAAGATAGTAGTTCACTCCGGGATACAGACCGGCCTCAGCAATACCGAGGAAGAAGCGTGCTGCAAGAAGGCCTTTGTAATTATGACAGACTCCCATTAATGTCATCACGGCTCCCCAGGCGATGATGATTCCGGTGAAGAAGATGCGCGGTGTCAACATCTTGAGAAGACCATTTGTGATGGGCTCAAAGAAGGCGTAACTGACAAAGAAGACGGTGAGGGCCACGTTGTAATCACCAGGTCCCATGCCCAAATCGTCTTCCATGCCTGCAAGACGCGCATTGCCAATGTTGGTTCGGTCCAAAAAGGAAAGCAGGTAAAGGAGAGACAGCCATGGGATAAGCCAGAGGTCAACTTTCCACATTAACTTCTTATCCTGCAAAGGTGTCAGTCCTGCACATATCAGTGTTGACGTAGTGGCTGTCTTACAATTTCGCGACGTTCCTCTTCGCTCTTCCCTTCATCAGGGTCAGGCAGTGTTGCTAGAAGCGCATTGCGCTCAGCATCGAGAGCAGCAGTAGGTGAAACCTTCTCAGAAGAAACATTCTCAATATCAACAGCTGTAGGCTTTTCTCGTTCATTCGGCGGCGTAACGCTGCTATCGGTCGTCATCGTAGAAGCTTATCTTGTACTGATGCTGTGCGTCTAAGAAGGGTTGCGTTGAAACCAGGTACACATGTGTTATGCAAGCTCAAAATACAATGACTCCGCGGAGAGATTACGACAGGGAGGTCAAATTTCGTGAGGGGAAGGGGAAATAAGAGAAAAAGTCTTTCCTTTTTGTTTCCCCGTTGATCACTTTCGGGGTGATTGATGGCCTTTTGGCGCCCTGTACGTCAACGCCCGCAAGCCCCCAAACAACCATCCACCAACAGGACAATGCGGGGGATAGAAACGGGATGACAATGAGAAAGGCTTCAAAGGGAGACGAGAAGATCTGCGATGCGCGGCCTAGGCGTTTCCGGGAAGGTGAAAACAACATCGTGGAGAGGGAGAGACAAGCTTTCTTGCCCAGCCCTTGGCTTTAATTGGACGACAGGGGTTTTATGAGTGCCGATCACTTGTTGTCTCGGAAAACAAGGAAAATGAAATGTGAAATGTCAATGCTCCGAGTCAACATCGAGCGCCGAGTGCAACCCATTGATAGGTCATGTATCAGCCTGAGTAGCTGCTGTGACCCCAAATCTGACATGAATGAAGCCGATCCGCATGCCTCAAAGGTTCCGGCATAGTGGGAATCCGCTGTGCGACTCACGGCTTGTCCAGTACTTTTGTTTAGTACTTTTGTTTATTGTTGTTGATCACGAAAACGGGCATTAAAGTATCTAGTCAAAGGGTTTTCCAATGCCAGGAAATTGGAATAGCTGTCCGAAATAATTCAGAGGAGAATGTCCAGTACGCTGAACCTTGTCATCCCCCTCTGGCTATCTTTGCGTTACAGCATTAACTAAAGCACTAGCAAACAAATGCGTCAGCACCTCTTCCCCGCAAACCAGACAAGCATCATCGATAGATTTGGCTGTCATCGGACTTTGAGATGTGCACTTTAGCTAGTGCTGATCTTGTCGGCTCGTAGTATCGGGAGTCACTACTTAAAAGAGAAGCGTAATTGACCATGTGATTACCTCTAGACTTTATCTTGGCTGACAAAATGTAACGCTCATCCTTTACTTGTCGCGGCTGGCGCAGGGGCATAAGCTTTGAACGGGGTAAGCTAGTAAGCTAAGCTTGGTGGCTAAGCTTAACTCACAGAGAGGAGGTTGGGGTAGATGGCTGCATGACAATCGGGGGTTCCTCGCCGGTAACTGCATGCTGAGCCTGGCCTGCCCGACTGATCTTTTGTATTCGCATAATCCATTGCAAATGCCACAATAAAGGGCTTTGAAGACGAAACCGAACCTCTACTCTGTCAACTTTGAACTTCAGTGTTGGACAACAATCCAACTTCTCAACATTAACAGTTTGGTGTAGTTCCCCTTGCACTTGAAAATGCAAGCGCCATCGACGTAGTAACTGCTGAGTTTGAGCTGACCAAGAGTAGTGCTTCATACACGTGGCAAAATGGCGATTGGGAGGGTTGCTAGACGTCTCAAATAACGTCCTCTCATCAATTACCGCACGATAGCAGAGCTACTGATGCATGCCACATCCTTTTGAGATTCCACAGGATGGTAGTGAATGATTGGACTTTCTCAATGGTGGAAATTCGGGCAAAAAGGATTAGAAGCGGACCGACACCCGCTGGACCGGTTTAGTAATGCTGCCCGTGGCAGGGATTCAATGCTACCACTCTACCACACCATCGGACTTTCTGCATAACCTGGCCGATGTTGTGTTGGTTCACGCAATACAACATTTCAGTTCCGACGCATCCGATCAGTGAATGAGATTCTAGATATCTGCGCGCCCAATGTTCCAGTCAGACCCTTGTTGTATTCGACTATGGAGGCTTTTGAGTTGTTTGTGATTGACCTCTCTCGCTCTGACGAAGTTTCTTCTTTACAAAGAAAGCCTTGTACCCTGGTTCTGATTTTTTGCCGTTATTAAATATCCAGAGTAGCATATTGTAAGATTATCGACTTAGCATTGAACAGATGTCGTTGAACATCATCATTCTAGAAGTCTCGGCGCCAAGATGGCCAAGAGCCATGGCACGACAAGTTTCGGCAGTTGAGTAACCAGTATTAATTTACCGGACACCTTGAGAGACCCGATGATGCACGGAGCAGCGTATATCAGATCTGCAAAGCTGTATCTATGTGTGTACGACGACTCAGATATGTGATCCACACGAGAACATCTGCTCTGTATCGAACGATTCGATTTGCCATGAATGTAGCATATCTTCAAGTTAAATTCTCTTTGTGGTTTCGCATTCTCTATCAAATGAAAATTGCCATTTCGCCACAACCACTGTAAAACCTTCTGCTCGCTGTGCCCTATCAACTCCTCGCATATATAAGACTCCAAGCCGACACCAGCCCAATCATCTCCATAGAATATTAAAGTAAAACTATCATTACCATTTTCATGAGTTCGTAATGCATATAAAAGATTGTCATGAAGAAAAGACGGAGAGCAGAGCAGTGCTCCATCACTCCCGCTATAGTCCAAGACTCTCTATGTCTTGAGGATGTTTGCTGCAGCAACAATACCGCGAGCAGTCTTTCCAACCCACTCCTGCGCAAGAGTAAAGTTGCCGTTGTCGGCATACATAACTCCCTCAGTGATACCGGGGAAGGTGACGGCGGCATAACCAGTGTCAAGACCTGGAGCATTGACGACGTGCTTGTAAAAGTCACGGTTTGGAAGACCATCTTGTGAGATGAATCCACGCTGGAAGTCACGGTACTTGTGGTTGACGACCTTCTTGAGGTCCTCGTCGTCAGTCTCTCTGGCCCGCTCTTCCAAAGCCTTGGCTTCATCAGCAGCCTTCTTGAAGGTCTCAATGGCCTCGTCGAGCTCTTCGAGGTCAAGATCCGCATCTTTCCCTTCGGTGAACTCTACAAGGTCTTCGTAATAGGCGCGAAGCTCCTTAGCGTAGTTCTGGGTGTCAAAGGGCAGGATCTCATCGGTAGCCAGGTGATATGCAAGAAGAGACAGGTACTGTCCTTGCGAAACGTGAAGATGGAAACCGGGATCACCAAGAGTTGACATCCAGTTGTACGAGTCGTAGTTGGAGTGGTAGTGCCAGATGGGGTCTGTGGGACCTCCACCACTTCCAGTATCGAGAGAGCTGATACCACGATGGAAAAAAGCTGTATAGTCAGATCCACTGCCCAAGACCTCGATGTCGCCCTCGCTGGCATCGTGCCAAGCGTCGTAGAGGGACTTGTTGAAGCCGCCAAAGTTGGGGTGGATGATCTTCTTCATAGTTTCAGTGGCGAACGTGTTGAGCTCGGGCGAGGCACCTAGGTTTGGGCGGGGACCACTGACAGCCACATCGATGTTGAGATAAGTGACTGCTGTGTCGGTGAGCCAGTTGACGTGCTCTTCAACCCACTCGGTAGATCCAATGATGCCCCATTCTTCAGCATCCCAAGAAGCGAGGACAATGTTGCGCTTGGGCTTCCAGCCAGAGTCTGTAAGCTTCTTGAAGGCGCGAGCAAGCTCGATGAGGATAGCAGAGCCAGAGTTGGGATCTCCGTTGCCACCCTGGAGTAATTAGTAATGGTCCCTCATTCTATAGTTAGGAGTTGACTTACAACCATCCAAGTATCACGATGGTTACCGATGATGATTGTCTCATCCGCATTGGTTCCATTGATAACACCGATGACATTGTGTACAGGCTCGATTGAGTCACGGGTCTCAGTGCTCAGCGAAAGCTTGACTCCAGGAGCAGGTCCAGAACTATATTCAGAATCAAGACCGCCTACCCATGAAGTGCGGTTGACTTGTTCTGCTGAAACACCGTGGCCGTTGAGAGCCTTTAGCAGAGGCTCAGCGGCCGAGTATGAGATAGGGATAGCTGGGATCTTGGCAATGACTTCAGAAATATCCGCACGAGGTGAGTCTTTCTTGGAAGGGTAACCTGGAGTTGTGGGATCGCCAGTGCGAGTAGAAAGGAAGAGGGTTGATCCCTTTTGAACTGCACTAGGGTTTCTGGCAGGGCCGTCTAAGAATAGAGTCAGCAAAGTTATGGTAAAGGTTGAGAGAACTGCCCTACCTGGATAAGCCTCAACGCCCTTAGCAATCGTCATGTTTCCATCGTCACCAGGGTCGAGGAAGATGACAGCGCCAATAGCGCCATGATCCTGGGCATTCTTGACCTTGAGACCACGGAAGAGACCGCCGTATTTGATCAGTGCGATTTTGCCCTCGATCTCAACACCAAGCTCAACTAGTCTGTCAAAGTCATCGATTGATCCTCGTCTAATCCATAGAGTCAGCAAAAGCCAAAGCTGTGCACTTTTTATTCAACGTACCCAACATAAACATATTCGGCAGAAGCATTGCCGCCTGGGGCATAGGCCAAAAAGGTTTGTTGAGATATCTCAGTGCGGTTGGTCACGTCGTCTTCGGGGAGGACATCTTCCTTGATGTTGACCTCACTCGTGGTGCCATTGGCGCTGGTGACGTGCAAGGACGAGCTCACGGGATATCGAAGGAAGACGTGGTACTCAGCAAGATGCGACTCGAAGCCATTCTCACTCCATTGATCCGCAGTCCATTGAGCAGCCTCTTTGCCTTCGCCAGCGAGCTTGTTCTGGTGACCGTAGTAGTCAGACCACTCGTCAATGGAGGAGTTATCGAAGGCATTAACTAGAACAGTTTCTTGGTCTGTCAAGACTGGGGGCCAAGCGGTCTCGCTGCGCCTGGTAAGTGGCTGGCGGTGGGTATGGCGTTTGCTAAGGATCAGATCACGCTGGCAAGCGGATACACCGGCAGCAAAAGCCGCAATGGCAGAAAGCTGTCGAAAATGCATATTGGAATGAGAACCAATGTCAATTGCAATTTCAGATAACAATCGAAGCTTCTACCTGAGGGGCAGGCAGGCAGCACTGGGTATAAATGCATCTCGTCCTACACAAGGACCAGGGGCCCCAACATGCGGTGTCATGTCAACATGCTGGATGGTACCATCGCGTACAAACGTCAATTAGGCTCTTGGTATTTCCTAATAAACAGGCTCGCATCGCATACCAAGCAAGACATGATTTGTGCAAATCGTTATCACGATCTACTTTTCTGGGTGAACTTCCTTTCCTAGCCAGTCAGCTTACGATGGTGAGCTTGGGACAGCTTGTTTTGCATGTCGTCATATCTCGCCGAGACTGCCTATTGTAACCATGTTGGGAAGCTCCCCAAAGCTGGCCAATGTTTAAGCTGTCTTGGCCACTTGGCTATACTGCGGGGTTGAAAAAAGAGCAATCAATACTATATTCACCTGCCTGATAGGGTTTGGTTGACAGAGGTACTTGCGTAACTGTTTGCTCTGGTGATGAGGAGGATAAGCTTGCTGGTTAGCTGGCTTAACTTGTCATGGGTTGTCTTCAAGCTTAAACATGCTTCCGCTTGTTTCCCGTTTTACAAGGATCGTCGAATCCAGGGTACTAACAGTAGAGATCGCTTCGTTGCGTCTTTTTTTCTGGAACCCCATCCTGCCCGCTTTACAGTAACATCGAGGTAACTTCGAGATAATCTACAATAAAACAATGCCATAGAATTCCATTGAGTAGTTAGTAGTGTTGTTCGTTGAAGCTCTATAAGTGATGTGTGAAATAAGGTGCAAGCTAATGGACTAGCTTACTGTTAGATCTATGTCCAGACAAAGACAACAAATCGCACAAGATAGCTAGACGAGTTCGCAATTGATGAAAATAAGATACCATATTCCGCGAGTCAGGATATCCATTCGTTTTGCAACCCTGGCTCCGATTTTATTAGGAATACAGCTGTGACAGTGTGGGTCTTGAATGCTGCTTACAAACGACGAGTGTTATCATTATCCTAGTAGTACTCAGTACAGGGATAATTATTTGAGTCGGGTTGATAAGTTGCACAGTTCTTAAGAGAAACAATTCTAAAACTGTGCAACAGTGTGTTCGGGCTGTTGGGTATAACAACAGACGGAGCCATTATATTCAACATAACCAAATCATGCAGGTTGGGATCAGCATGGAGAATAGAGGGAAAGATAACTAAGCATCAATTCTGTGTCATAGTAGACATTGCATCGCATTCGTCAGATTTCAAACAAAAATACCAATAAATATTGTCCTGTAAATGTTAATTCCGACTATGGTCTGATCCCGTACTCGGCTTTAACTGAAACAGACAGGAGTTTGCACTTGACCGATTTTTAGAAGTATTTGTTTCCAGAGTGGACAAGTCAAGGCTGTCAAAGGCCAAAATTCGACCTTAGAAAGGCTGTGAAACGGGTCAAAGGAGGATTGCTACTATTTTTAGATCACGAGGCAGAATCGAGGGATGGAAAGTCTTCCTATTGGCTTAAGACGATGTGTTGGTTGTGAATTTTCTCAAATGTGCTAGTTGTGAACCAACAGAACTTCCAAAACCACCTATTCGAATAATGGTTTTTATCTTTTGGAAGAGAGGCGCTTTACTCAATAAAACATCATTTTGGACGATTGCAACTTGTGCGGCATGTATAATCTTCACATAGGTGATGGCATCCAATTATGGCTCATGTTGCCCGAGAGTACCAAACTTGGGACCAGAAGGCGGCCTATTTGGAGGCCTGTTAATCAATGAACTGGCCCTGGTTACAACTGGTTTACTCTGCATAGGAACCCTCATGCAAGGCAAACTACAAAGTCAAAGCAGAGTTCGTCGCCATGCTGAGGCCTCAGCTGAAGAAAGTTGAGTTAGTTTCTGAATCTACTATTTATATCAGCTTCCCCTTCCTTTCTGGTGAACCTCTTTTTGTCTTAGTCTCGACATACAAACACACAATACCACCAATTTGTAGTTCTTGGTTCTCTACCTGATATTGGCTCTTTTCTTTTTGCAACAAAGTTTATTTTCTCCACAGTGCCATGAGGAAAAGTCAAATTAAACACATCCCATCGATCGTGGCTCTCCGATCAAAACTCGGTGTTGGGACACCCGGCAATAAAGAAAGCAGGGAATTTCGAAGAGTAGTCAAGGAGTTCCATCAAGACTACAAGACTTCTGATGGCACTCCAGGGACTGAATATGTAGACTGGCGGAATTCCTCTCATCGGGACGCTCTCGAGCAAATGACCGATGAGTTCTTGGAAACTCGCGGTTGGGGACAACTATTTTGGCCAGATACTGCCGGCCGAGGAGCTGTCAAAAAACTAAAATGGTCAAAAGATCGTACTGAGTAAGTCGTATCTTCTTCTTCTTCTTAATCGTCTAAAGTCGAAGTATCCCCTTTGTTAACTCCTGGTCAGCATTAAGAAACTCGTGTGCCGATTATTTTTTCGCCACAACCAACAAATCCGATGGAAGGGACCCAGCTCTGGCCCGACGAAAAGAATGATGTCTCGAATAGCTAAACAAGGGTAACACTTTCAGTTGACATATAGTAGCTACTTACTAACCTTTATTTTGATTCAGATCGACTAGAACAACCAGGATAACCACGTCTCAGGTTCAAGATATTACCATGAGAGATGGGATAGAATCTCGACGCCAAGATGACCAGGATACCCGTGTGTCCGCCGATGTCCTTACCGCCTCAAGTCCGTATAACGTTCCCTCAAGCCCCATCCTTCCCAGCGAACAGGTATGTTACTCTCATAAGACTCTTGATTTTGGACACAGATCATGACTTTCAAGTATACATAACTAACATGGCCAGGTTTCGACAACGAGCAACCATGTCGGCGCAACCTCTGATGCGCATCAACAAAATTCCAACCATGCATTAGGCCTCGCAGAAGAAAGTCTAAGTTCAATTTCTGGACAATTAGCCCCTGTCGCTCGGATGAGTGAGCATACTTTTGAACACGGTTTCCCTTTTGGTACATCGGACCATGGAGAGGAGGATGACCCACCTCGCTCAGACTCTCCAGCCTTCAGCGATCGGGGAGAAAGAGAATCCCGCCGAAGCCCATCCCTCGGAATCCCTCGACCTCGCAAGACCTTCTCGTCATGCAAAACTCAACCATTTCGGCAGAACTCAAGACCAAGGTCGATTTCTACAGAGACGGTCCGGATGTCGACTGAAGATAGGATCATCTCAGGAGATGGTGAGGAACCCATCATGGCCATGCCACCGCCACCTCCACCACGACCATCACTTCAAGCTAGAAATACCCAGCAACGAGTGAATATAAAGTACGAGGTAGAAAGATCCCCTGGTAACTTACGCAGATGGGATCATCGCGGGTCTTTCACTCATATGTCAATGGAAGATTTCCAAGATATCCACGAGTTTCACGATATTGACTCGGTTCAGTTCATACTGAAACGCCGTGGCATGAGCTGGGATGATGTAGTGTCCAGAGGAAACGAAGATGGCTTCAAGGACATGAAAACTAGACTCAAGGAACGAATCAAAGAAGACCTTGCAGACATTAGTTTTAGTCAGGATGTTGTTCTTTATAGCATCGTCATCATCCCTATTCGGAGGACTTCTGAAACTCACGACGACTTCATTCGGTCGCAGACTATTGCATTATGATAAATATATCTTGATTTGAAGCTGGTACGGGCATTGTCTTCACACTGTTAGAACACTGCATTCCTTGTTGAATCGCATAGTCATGTTCCGTCTTTTACAAGCCTGCTCTTTCCCAATAGCTTTTTCGCCTAGCCTTAATATTTCAAATCATTCCCAAACTATGGCAGTTCAAGCTGATGTCCCGAAGAGTTCAAATCTCGCCGTCCTTCACCAATTGCCGAATGGTATCGATGGAACCATAAACGGCTGTCTTGGCCATCTTTTTAATATCTGTCAGCTCTTCGTTTGCAGATACTCTTTCACAAATGGAACGTACATTGGAATATTTCTGCCTTTGTTCCTTAACAGTCTCTTTCTCAGCTTTAAGCTCAGGGTGTTGCCATTCAAAATCGTATGTCATGAGCAAGTTGCCATCCTCATCAACACTAACAATATTGAAGATTTTGCTCCCGTCTGGCTGATGGAAATCAACACGAGTTGGAGCAAATTCATAGACTATTTCCTTCACAACCGCATCGGCGTCGCCGCGTGCATCCTTGTCGAAGGTAATTTGGCATATGACCTTTGTTCCCGTTTCGGTCTCTTCTTCGTTGATAACTTCGCAGTTAAAGATAGGTGCGACGAATTCGTGTGCTTTGCGGACTTTGCGCTAGAGGCCTTTCCATACCTAGGCTTATATAAGGACAGGTGAGACGCCAGCTGCATTAATTGAGGCGCTGAATGCTATGTTGATGACAACCATTTTGAGATGTTCCCTCTTCTGGACAAAAGTTTAACAAATTTTATGCGGATCGAGACATTATTCTTGATGCATTGCTAGGAATATAGCGCGAATAACTTATGGAATGTCCGAGACTGCGTCATTACAAATCACAACTCCACTCATTTGTCTTCCCATCATAAACTAAGGATTCTTGCCTGCGGTAATAAATAGACTATTCGCTAAGATCATATAAGTGTCTTGGATAGATAACAACCCCAGTGGTATCTACTGCTTATCAAACTCGTCAATCTTCTCCTCCTTCACAGATTGTCCCTGAATCTCTTCCGTGTCGTGTTTTCCTCCCATTCCAAACATGCCCTTCGTGACGCGAACAAGACTCTTTCTACCCTCCCAGAGAGGGAACAGACCGACAGCAATCGAACTGCAGAACAGCCAGATGATACCCACAGTAACCCATCCAGTGAAGAACGGCTTGGAGAATACATAGGACGTCCCATACATGGGCATTGGCCAAAGAATCAGGAATGCCACTGACATGCAGACCGTCATTGTCTTGGCAATCTTGGACGCCCTGTTCAACTTGGCCATGTCTTCCTCGGGTGCCACAGCAAAGCTGGTGACTACAGCTGTCTCCGAATCTCCATTGGAATCGCTAACGTCATCTGCTTGCTTGATAGCCGCCATAGAGGCCCAGTCGTAACTATCGGAGCCAAAACCGAAAGTCAGGACAGGTACGAAGATCAAAGGACTCAGAAGCGCGACGACATTTCCTGCGAGCATGGGGTTGTTGGAGCCCAGGTTATCAATACTGAGAACACCGTCAAACTCCTTGGAGCATGTAACAGTCCAAGCGATTAGAGCACAGATAAGACCAAGGATGGGGGAGACAGCGGCGGCGATCCAGTTCTGGCGCTTCCACAGAAGAGTTAGAGTAGCTGGGATAACGGCAGCCGAGATCATGACGCCCATCCACAAGTACAACCAGCCCATCGAAATGCCTGCATAATGAAGACCAACACTGAAACTGGCCATAATGATACCGTACATAACGACAGTCGTATGCGAGATGGCGATGAGTCGCTTGCCAGAGGCCTGGGGGTTTATATAGGTTCTGGCGAAACGTTAGTTAAAGCCATGATACTCGAAGTAGTAAAACTCACTGGTAAACATCGTAGGTGAAGATGGAAGAGACAGCAATGAGCTGAGCTGATGTAGCGGAGGTGACGGCCATGAAGATCATGATCAATGTGCAAATAGCACCAGATTTGCCCAACAGACCAACAGCAGCGTAGGGCAGAACAAGACCGGCCGATACATCTGCGGGATCCATACGGTTAGGGTAGGTAGGGAATGATGGGCTTGTCTCAAGAGCCAGGGCGCTGAGACCCATGGTAGTCGCACAGAGCCAGGGAATGGCAAACCAGGACAGACCGCCGATGATATATCCAGGGAGTGCAGCAACTGGGTGGGCGGCGATGGCTTTGTTATAGTATCCGTTGTCTAAAAAAACTGTACCGAAGTTTCCAACGATGTTGATAACAAAGAAGATGATGCCCTCACGGGATCTCATGGTGAGGTAAGACCCTTCAGCGTTTCCTTCGACAGGATGAGCTGCTGCGGCCTTGGTAAGAGCATCGTAGACTTCACTGGGAGATCCCAACTCAGTGCCAGTTGCATAAGCAGTAAGTGAGAAAATGAGGATTATCACAAGGATTATGACAGTGTGTATGTAGTCAGTCAGGAAAGTGGCCTTGATTCTATTTGTGTGTGTTAGGAATGTCCTTATCCGGAATATTTGAAGCCGAACTTACCCTCCGAACATGGTGTACAAAACAACACCAAGAGGCAGCAAGAAACAAGCAGCAGCAGTGTGCATGCCAGTAAGAGATGTGACCACAGCAGAACCACCAGTCAGAAGCATAGCAGTGACGAGAATGTTGGTGAAGAGGCCGAAGCAGATGTACACGCAGTGGGTGATACGTCCATAGCGAGCTCGGATAACCTCAAGGAAAGTATGCGCGTTTGGCGCTCTTCTCTTCAACTCTATGGCAATTGTCGCAAAAAGAATGATTTGGACTGTTGCACCAGAAGCATACTAAGTTTCATGTTAATCGACAGCCCACAATGACTTTGAGTACAACCTACCCAGAATGGGCCCGAGACACCATAGCGGTAAGCAACGCCAGAGGATTGAAGCAGAGTAGCAGCCCATGTCCAGCTTGAAACAACAGCTGAAGCGACAAGACCAGACTTGACAGTTCGTCCGGCCGTGTTGAACATTTCCGACGTCTGCTTCTCAGAGTTGTACTTCTTCAAAACATATGTGGTGAAGATCATGCCGAGGGCGAATAGGAACCCCAAGCCCACGACGATACCATAGCCATAAGCTTGACTCAGAGGAGGCTCTACAGTGCCAGAGGAAGGACCGCCACCACCGGCCATTGTGATGTATTTGCAAAGTGGTATGAGGCGGGTTGAATTTTATGAGTCTATCACGACGACCTTGGGCGATCATCCTCTCTTTCTATCCAGATCATCTCATTCATATATATACAACTAGGTACTGTATCACGATTCATCTCTGCATCATTTCTGCAACCTTGTGATAGTCAATTCTTCCTGTGCCGGCGGGCGTAGATAAGCATCTCTCGGATTCTGTCCTGTGATAAGGATTCCCCATGGGGGGGTTTCACCATGATAAGAAAGTCCCGATCCTGAACATGATTGGCCAAGGGCTGCAGCTAACCCCATGCGCCCTTATCAGTTGGGACTCTGAAGCGAGGGAAAACGAATTGCTTTTGACTGGCCGGCGGCCAAGAGTGCACAGAACGAACTGTATCGAGATAAGAGTCGAATTCACTTTTTATGTTTCATTATTCATTAACTGACACATCACCAATACTGTTTGCTACCGCGGAGGTGCGCACCCTCAGTTCTAACTAAGTTCTACATGAGATCGATCTTGACCACACCAGATTCAGCCTCCTTCCGATGTGTATCTCTTTACTTATAACGGAAGACACACGATAAGGCATTTGGAAAGTGCTCGCATGTGATGGGATATTTGGAAGTACTTGATTTGGTCCTCTGCGAGTTAATTGAATGTTACCCCACGAAGCACTTGTTGCAGGGGTTGTGTTATCGATTGCACGACGTTGTAACGTCATTAACGGTGATAATCGACATTAATTGAGGTTGAGTCAGATATGGACTAATGGTTATTAATTGATTGATGGCAATTGTGTTCTTTTTTCATTGCAAATTGTCAATTAAAAAAGATATAAGTCTCTAGACAGAACGAACATATAGCACGTACCTGGAGATCTTTTCTGAGAAACCTCCCCGCTATCTGCTGAACGAATCACAGCCTTGTGTCACTGCTTTGTGGAAGTTGAACCAGGTATTAGAGCACTGGTTTTTAAAGAAGAAATATATTGACTTTCCACGGTATGATATAGTTAATCTGCTGAATCTACAATTGAGATAACAATTGCCCTGATTTTACCCTACAGCGCATGGTTCCAAGACAGTGCGGGAAATCGGCTTAGTCAGTTGACTTTAGATAACGATCAGCATATAACCAATATTTGGTGCATTTTGCAGCATTTTCTTATCTTATCACAGCCGTATCTTATCAGGACAGTGTGTCTCAATGATGACCACTGAAAGGAAATTTGGAAAAATATAAAACAACGCCAAACTCATAAACATGGCTCTAGTTCACATTCGATTCAACAGAAGAACATTGTAGAACATTTATTTCTAATTATCAAAAATGTCCATAATTGAGACTCTCATCCACTGCTTCGGATTCACTGCTACGTTCTAGAGTGAACTTTCCCTAAAAATTGCCTTTCCAACCCGGACAAGGCTTACTTTCAGTCATAAGGCATCAGATGCTCATAGGGTTACCTGACGGCCGATTAAATGTAGACGGGCCGTTGTTTGTTGGCCTTCAGCTTGGCTTGTGCAGGATTTCCAAGACTGGCCTGCAAACCGCATGCCCACTCCCATTAATCTCGGAGCCGGTACAGGCGAACTACAAAGAAATATTAATGCGCAGCAACTCCAGCGGCGAGAATCATGGAAAGTGGCGAGCTGAAGGGTTGAGGTGGGCGGCTGAAGAATAAACGAAGCAACTATCGAACACACTATTGAAGCAGGTCTCTCTTCATAGGTAAAGCACCGGTCGAGACCCAACGGCAGCTCCACCGTACGACCGACGATGAGACATCCATGCATAGCCGACCTGACAAAGGTTTTCATGAATCTTGCAATGATGCATGATATATATGTGCGCAATAGAGCAACCAAAGTTTTAATTCATCTCATACACTTCGGGAAGTGATCTGAGTTAAGAGGTATGAAAGTCGGCAATATTCTGATCACTGTAGCCTCTGGCCTAGGAGCCTTGGCAAAAGTGCCGAATCACTTCAACGAACGCGCAACATGCAATCGAGACAACCTGTTACGATGCTTCGTAGACCAGCGCTATTCGAGTCAAGCCAGTGACTTTTGTGCAGACCTTACGCCCTTCACAGCAACAGTCGCAACTTCGATCATAACCATGTGAGTCAAATCCATCACGATACACAAGATTGGACTGACAGAGTAAGAACTACGACTCTGGAAAATACTGTAACTGCAATCGCAGCTCAAGTCACAGAATTGCACACCACCACTGTCTTTACCGAAACAATTCCTTCAGCCACGACCGTTGTTACGACTAATACTGCCGGAGTTGCCAAACGTCAAGCAACTGCGGACCCACCAAAATGCATGACGAACGGCGTTACCTATCTAGCTAGCCGTATTACTTCAGCGTGCTCCTGTATCGACGTGCCGGTCTCGACTATCAGCGTCACACACGTTGTTAGTACAAATACAGTTACCGAGGTAAGTCGCTCAAACTGCACACCCAAATAGGCGTATGTTCACACTTGACTGTAGATCAACACCATCTTCGAAACTCCTCTCACTACAGTTACATCATGGGAGACAGTTTCGACCGCTACTACTGTCGGTATCTCGACGGTCACTGTACTGCCACCTGGAATGAACCGTCTTGCCAATGGCGATTTCGAAACTGGTGATATGACTGGTTGGGAGCTATCTCCAGTTTCTTGGAAAACAGAGCTTTACAATACTGGTCTTCCTTGGAGTCCGTGGATTTGTATCGTGAAAGGCTCAGGGGAGAGTCTTGGGTCTTTGCGTCAAGCCAAGCCAGTTTACCTGGAAGCGGGAAGCTACGACATTGGATTAAACGCACCTCCTGCTCCCTTTCCATGGCCCACTAACCAGTGGCTACAGGTAGTTGTATTCAAACTAGTTAACCACGCTCAAGGAACGACGATTACTCCCGAGTTTGAAGGTCGAGGGGCTACCCCATTACTAGGAAGGATTGTTATACCACTTCGAGCCCGCTTTCGTGTCCCTGAGGCAGCGGAAGGATATTATGAGGTTGCCTTGGCGTTTCTCACGCAGCCTATTGCAGGGACACGTCCAACTGGCTCCGGACTCGACGAAATTTTTCTGAAAAGAGTGTGAACTGCAAGAACTGTTAAAACATACACCACGCAGGACGACCACATGGAAATGTATAACAGGTTAGCCGCAATCAGTTTACTGAAATCACAAGGCATCTAGAGTTACCTTTGAAAGGACTAAAGGTTGCAGTCTAGACCATCAATCACTATACGCTGAAATTTATGCGAGAAATTGGGCACAGACAGTATAGGTGACAGTTCAAGTCGTGCAACATCCAATCTATGACAGGGTTATCTAGTGACAATTCAATACTTGCTATGCGTTCTTATCACAACGGCCGCAATCCGGCAACATCCACCCATTTAGACTACGCATTAGAGTTGACAGCCGTCATCAGGATCAGCGACTGCCGCCATGAGACACACTCCGTCTACCTGGAATTCCCCTGCGTCAAGACCCTTAGACCGAACGGTTACGAACCTGAGGCGAATACCCGTTTTCAGTCAAGTTGGCAAGCTTGTTCGGCACAAGGTTTGCATAGCATTCCTTGTTGGTGGGCACGGTGGGCTTCATAGCCCGAAGCAGCAATGCCAAAAGTGATATTGGATTGTTGTAGATATGTGAATGACATGCCGGCAGCCCCCGTTGGCATTGATGACTTTGTTGGAATTTCGTTTTCTTCTGTGGGAATGACAAGACTTTGATCTAGCCATGCAAGATATTGTTACACAAAGCGCAAAAACGGGAAATGACATGGCTTTGGCATGCATTTCATCCGTGAACGGCTAAGAGCACCATTTATGTAAGGCTGACTGCCGCAGGATGCTTTAGCGGCATCCATGTTTCCAAATGGAATGAATCGCATCATGCAAAATTAAGAGTGATCTAGGAAACTGTAGTGCCTGAACAGCCGCTGACTTGTGACGTGCGCGTGCTGGTTGATCAAGGGACTTAAGATCCTTTCCCACTTCCCCAGTTGACGCTACCCAAACATAATAGAACAAAGGGTGTTTTGTGAAATCACCCCTTGGGAACTAAGATGAGATATGCCAACATCGTTAATTGAATGCTTGCAAGGGATCGAACATTCAATAGTTGCAAACAACTGAGACATTCTACGGAATTTCCACACAGGCCAGCATACGCTGGATGCGTAACTTTACACTACCACCAATGCAAAAAGCGAAAGACCAGAAAATTAAAAACGCCAAAAATGAAGTGGCTTTTATGTTTGTTCCTGAGTATTTAAGTTCGGGCTTGTCGTCCTGAGAAGGGGTCCCAAGGGTCGCCGATCTCGCGGAATCTGATCCATCCGCATCTCAACGCCACGTATCGACGTCAGAACGAAAAGTTAGAAGTATAACGTGAGTATTACCGTTGAAGGCAAAAGTATATTGTTATACGGATATATAAAGCTCAACAGGTCGATGTGAAGGGGATCGAACCATCACCATAGACGCAACAAAATACCTCCACGTCATTGGACAAAACTCTTCAACAACAAACAAAAATGCTTCTACTTCAATATTCCTCTGTCGTTTCGCTCTTACTAGTGCTGTCCTCCTTTTCAGGAGTGCTAGCAGCACCAGCTTCGGACAAGGTTGCCGACATCGACCTTACCTATGGAATGGATGGCATCGTCCCTGTTCGAGACTCTGACGACTCTAAGAAGAGCGTCAAGGCCAAGATCAGTGTCGACAATGACTACAAAATTCCTAACGATCCGCAACCCAGGTACCATATCCTAGCTGCCGACACAAGTCTCGTGCAGCTTGGAGTTGATCCAGTCGTCTGCCATGACAAGGACAACAAGACCGAAGAGGAGGACGATGATGACTCCGATGGTAACGAAAAGCGTAGCGTTTTTTACCAACTTTTCTCCAGAGCCATCACCTCGGACCAGAAGGAGGCCCTTAGTCTCCACAACGCTGCTCGTAAGAAAGTCAAGGTCGCTGGCCTCAAGTGGGACACCAAACTTGAGGCTGATGCCCTTGCCTATGCAAAGAAAATTGCAAAGGCTGGAAAGATGGTTCATTCCGAAGGCAAGACTCGTCCTGGCCAAGGCGAGAATCTCGCATATGCTTGGTCCAGCGATGGATTCAAGAACCCCATAACGGCAGGAACTAAGAGCTGGTATGTTTATCTTTCAGAATTATACATCAACACAACTAACGGATGTCACAGGCTCAATGAAAAGAAGAAGTACAAGGGAGAAAAGATCCCCAAGGGTGATTTCTCTAATTACGGTCATTACAGTATGCATCCCGCTTCATATTATTCCGTTCATAGCTAATGACTACAACAGCCCAGTGCGTCTGGGAGAAGTCTACCAAGGTTGGTATCGCGACAGCCAAAGATAAGAAGGGTGCATTTTATACAGTAGCTCGATACAGTGCTGCTGGTAATGTCGTTGGCCAGAAGCCTTACTAGAATGATGAAGATATGGCTATTGACAAAACGTACGACTAGCTGCCTGGGGCAGTTGCGAAAGGAGTTGATGCTGTTTTCTAAGCAAGCGCTGACCTGATACTTTCTTTCATTCAATTGCCGTTTGGGGTCAAATGGCAGATTTGTATTATTACATGTACCTTACATTCACTTACGCATTATGAGTTTACGGACTAGTCAATCAATCCTTTCATTTGTACCAATCTTCCTCATCTATGAGCATGCTGCTTGACAGCGAGGTGAACTTGAGAGTCAAATCATACGCCCTACTGTGGCGGTTTCCATCCACTTCTTGGGTTATAGCGATAGAATCTTGCGGGCAGCAGAAAGGTTGGACACCCAAGGAGCATAAACTGACCTAGTAAATTCGTCTGTTGTGCTTCTAGTAGTCAATTCTTCTGATACCCTGAGGAGACTCGATAATAACTACTCTGTAGGCTCCCCATGATCGCTTATCAGCACTCGGTAGTGATTTGTACAATCGCAGCATTGACAATTCAGTGTGAGCAAGGGTGGTTATCCAACAAGGCAGGCGTCTCATGGATCGCCATAAAAGACGCTGGATTAAGCAGAGAACAAATGACTTGATGTAACAATGGAGTGCATGCATGAGCATCCATCCACTCTCCGAAGTCTCGCCACGAAAAAGCAACCCCGATAAACGTCAGCCCAGCAGCAAGACATTAATCCCGGATCTTAAATCATCAAGCGGCACGGGTCACCACAATGGTCCGAGAACGCGGAGAAGGCTTCTGATTTAGCATGACCTGCAGCTTGACAAGATGACAAGTTCGTTCTTGCTGGGTTTGCTTTTTGCGTAGGGGTTCCCTGCCACTTGGCAGACGGCATCAAACCAACAAGAGTAAACCAACAAGTGAAAGGTCCCAGTTTGCTATCAATGATGCTATGGGTCTTTTATTGTCGCATTATACGTCTGATTTGGAAGGTAATTCATTAAGCATTGTCGCGCTTTGGTAATTGAGTTGTTTCAAGTCTCTGCACCGAGATGAAGACCTGGTGGTCAGTGGCTATAATCCTGAAAGAATACGGCAATAATGATCCTTGCAGTTCCGCGACGATCTGGCGACAGCCGAGGCTACAATTTCCAGTACAAGGGAGTAATATGACTGAGCGTAAGCAAGGGTTAGCTATTGCGACTGAATGAGTTTGAGGCTGACGTTTTTTGAAGTGCGTGCGTTACTACCGTCCTTCGTCCCCAAGAGGTAATATCAGCGAATGAAGTCAATATGGAGTCAAAAAAAAGACTGTTCCGTGTTGTCTTGGGAAAGCCAAGTTCAAGTCGAAGATGACGGAAGAGGTATATTTTCGATGTGTATTACTGGGTAAACATGCAAGACCTATGACATTACAGTTTCACGGAGAAGGTAGCAGCCGAAAATATGTGAAACTATTCGGTACATATTCACTTTGACTAATGAATTAGAAGTCTTTTATGTCATAATTAGAACAGCCAGATCTGATAGAGGGGTGCATGTTGAATATGCAATGGGTGTGATATCATTGCGTCCGTAATATATGTCGTTTCTTAGCTAAAAAGTGAACATGCTACTCTTCAACTGGCCGAGTGGAAAAAGGACGGAAGCCATATTTCTTCTCGAAGTTATCGGCCCATCGCACATAAAACCAAGCAAAGAAACTAATCCAACAGCAAATGACATCCCACCCAACACTGCTTACTGCTGGATGCTCATACAGAGCTTTCGTGGCAACTCCCCAGCAGCTTGCTGCTGGACTGAGTAAGTGATAAATGCAGACTCCAGCAACAAGGGCCCTGACGCCAGCCCGAACCTTTTGCGGTGGTTGTTCATCCATCACTACGGGCTCCCGACTGCCAATGAGTTTGTTCATGAGTAGTGGTACAAAGGCCAGAGCGTGAGGGGCGAGGAGAAGATACATGAACTTGGGATGATCGAGTTTGCTTGGGATGGCGACGGCGCAGCCCATTGTAACTACTAGGACTGCAAACCATGATTTGCGTAGCAGTGAGTGGCTCTTGGTTGAGGATGATGATACGGTCTTCTCCTGATTAACGGTATCGATTGACGTATCCGGATCCTCGAAAACAAGGAATGCCAGGAAAGACAGATTCGCAGCAAAGGAAATAGCTACAATCTGACCCAAGAGCATAAAGATCCAAAGATGGGGGATTCTTCTTTTCGTATCTACAGCAGCGATTTAATACTTGACTCAATGATATGTTCAGTTGTCTTACCTTGCCATGCCAGCATCACGCTCCAATTCGCGCAGAAAGCAAATATTTGCAGCGACCAGAACACTCGTTGGGGCTGCTCTAGAGTTGACACCCAAGCCTGCTTGAAAAGTTTCGTGTCACGCAACCATTCTCCAAGGTGAAGCTCATCGTCAAGCTTGTCAAGACGCGTTGATTCCCATTGCTGATAGGACCATTTGAAGAAACAAAACATGTGGTACCAAGTGGTGGCAAGGCTCAAAGCAGCCAAAGCGCTGAAGACGATGATTGCATATCGGCGACGCGATGCAGCCTTTGAAGACACGGCTTGGCGGTAGATGGTACTAATGCAAATCGCTGCCAGTGCTGCACAGGCAACCAGGTATCCAGCTAGAATAGCAATTGGGCGCGCATTCGACACGTCCATGATGTTTCGAGGGCAATGCGATGCAGTGTAGTTAAGATTGGAGTATGAGGCTCGGTAGGGCCGGATCTTGTCAGATTCTTTCGCGCGGCATGGTGCCTCTTTGAGAGACTTGGCCCGTTGTTGGTGCGAATTCTACGTGGGGTCACTGAAGAATGGTTCCAATGAGAGGTGCCCGATTACCTGTTCAGAGAGGACCTTTTCAGCTTGTCTTTTTGCTGAGAATCACAAGCAAATGTTGAATGTGTATTAAGATGTTACTCTGATTCACGGAACAGCGGTTTAAAAACAGGCGTTGGATAGACTATTTTCAACTGCCGAAACTCTATATGAAGAGCAACGCAACTAAATATCTTGTACACCGCCGAATACTCAACCAAAAAAGCAAGCAAAAAGACAGACAGAAAAGTACCAGCCTCGGCTCGATGTGTAGGTCTGTGGGTTGTTGAGTAGATCGTGATCTACCCAATTAAATCTGCCCTGTCAAGGTCCCTGAGTGGATTTTCACAATAGTCAAAGAGTAAAGAAAACTACCCATAACTGCTCGCTGCAGCCACTTCAATTTAGGTGGTAAAAAAATATTGAGTTTATGTTGCTCACGATATGAGGCTGGCAGGTATTCAATGGAAGCACAACATTCCACGCCAAACCGTCATAATGACAGCGCAAAGTATCGCTGCGCAGTTATTGGGTCTGGCTTAGCAGGACTTAGTACCAGTTATCTGCTACAGGGCGATGAGCGCTATAATGTAACCGTGTTTGAACAGGTAAGTTATCCGACTCGACAATTTCGACAGGCAATTGAATCTTTCACTAACACGATGTTTGTTCTTGCACCTTCCAGGCCGACCGTCTTTCCTTCGATTCAGCTTCTGTCACTGTCAAAAACGATACTACAAACGATGCCGAACGAATTGATCTACCTATGCGCGCGAGCGCTGGTGGTTACTATCACCACTTGATGCGCATGTACCAACATTTAGAAATACCGCTTCACCCCATCAAATTCCTCTTCGTATTCTCGAAAGCGACCCCGACGGCCGATGGAACAGTTTCGCACAAGGGCAGCGACAACGAGAGCTACTTCATCCATGCATCGAACCTACACCAGACGCCGCCTCCGTGGCCTGGCAATCGTGGTCTGATTGCACACATAACCGAGATTCTATACCTTATTGTGTGCCAATTCTGGTTCACCATCGCATGCTTCCTCGTCGCGCCCCTCGATGCTACCTCCTCCTCGACCGGATACGGCGAGTCCCTCTCCGAATACTTCGACCGAATTCGATTACCGAGACGATATATATCACACTACCTGCTTCCGCTGCTGAGCGGTGTGGCGACTTGTACACATCAAGAGATGCTGCAGTTTCCTGCGAGCGACGTCGTGAACTACAAGAAGCTTTCACATGGACAGCAACATTATGCTGTTTGCGGTGGCGTCTCGCAGGTGCAGAGCAGGTTGACTGAAGGGCTGCGCGACATTAGGCTTAATAGTCGCGTGGTCGAAGCTGTGCCTCAACCCGATGGAACGGTCGTGGTGCGCTGGCAGTCAACCCTTGACCCTTCTGGACGCGTCCTAGAACAAGTCTTTGATCGCGTCGTACTCTCTGTGTCCCCAGACGTCGCAGGCCGAATCTTCAAACCTTTGCGCTCTACGTTAGAGAGATTCCCCACGCGCCAGGTCGAGAGCTCCGTATTGAAGCCCGAGGCGTCAGGAATCAGCGTCGTTAAACTTGACGACGACACCCGCCAGGCGTTTGCGTGCATGCATCATTCTAGAGATCCCTCGGCAGCCCAGACAATGACTCTACGGACCCTATTCCCCGACATGGGCAGTCCTCGCACCGAGGCACTGCACACTATGCCCAGCGGTGTGGTGGTTAGTACATGTCCCCTTTCCGAAGCGGCGCAGCCAGATGCAATTAAGAAGGCCAGGTTCACAAGAACCCTTCGTAGCGTGGAGAGCCAGGCCCTTGTCCAAGAGCTGCTAGGGGACCATCCGGTTAATACGAAGCAGGCCGATGATGGTGATCACAAGGCTGGTTGGGTTAATGGACAAGATAATGTCTGGGTTGCTGGGGCATGGTGCTGGGACGGTTTGGTTTTACTTGAAGGATGTATAGAAAGTGCGATGCGAATCGCCTTAGACTTTGGAGTAGTGATTCCTTGGGAGAAGGCACAATGAGCGATGTGAATAGCCTCAGACTTTAGAGCAGCGATTCCCTGGAAGAAGGCATAATGAGCAATGAGACGAGCAAATGACGAACCAATTTATCCAACACCTTGAACAATGCGACGGTCACCTTCTGATTTAAGCATAAACAGCGCCTGTAACTCTAAATATGCACTTAATCAGGGCAGTTAGCGAAAGTGTTGGTGGATTCGAACCAAAGCTTGGCCACCAACTTTAGGTTAAGTAAGGTCTTTTTCACATCTTCTTCAACAGTGACACATCTCGTTAGTTCCCGTCTACGGCGCGGACCGCTATCAGAATTAATTAACTGAATGCTTAACTCACCATGCCGTTCAATCAAGATAGTTTCGGCGCCGGTTTCGCGGCTGGCCTAGTTAGCGCTCTGGCCATCGCAGCTGTCGTTGCTTTTGTGGTGATGCGTATGAGCGACATCTATGGTCTCGGACACTGGAAACTCAATATCACGTCTCGTCCAGCATCCATGTGGATGAACGTGGGATACTGGTAAGTCACACACATACACAGACACACACCATGTCTGTTCATCACCGTATTCTCATGCAAACTCTTTCTCACGCTACCCATCCAGGAAAACACGTCAAGGCGCGCCAATTGAGAAATTTCCCGAGGCTTGTTCTGCCCTTCTCGACCAGGTCGTCCGCGCCGCTGGCTTACTGGACGACGACGACGACGATTCAGGTGCCGTTTGTGGCTCTCGGGGCAGTCTCGCGATTCTCGATTTGGGCTTCGGCTGTGGTGACCAAACTTGGCAACTCGCTAAGCTGGCCCAAGATCAGGGCTGGAGGGACTTTCGCTACGTTGGTCTCACTCTCAATGACGCACAGGTCCAGACATCGCGGCGCAGGATCTACCGCGAGATCGCTACGGCAGGTAATAGCATCGATATTAATGTGGACTCGTTCAGCTTATTCTGCGCCAACGCCGCAAAGCCTGGAACATGGAACCCTCGGGTTGCCGAGGCCGTCCGATCGCTCGCTGATGAGAAGTACACGGAGCGATGGCTTCTTGCTCTAGATTGTATGTATCACTTTTCACCTTCGAGAAAGCCTGTGCTCAAGCACGCGGCGAAAGAGCTGGATGCCAACTTCATGGCGTTTGATCTACTCCTCAACGAAAAGGCATCTACATCCGACGTTTGGAAAGCCAGATTAATTGGCAAGATGATGGGCTGCCCGATAAAAACTTTTCTTTCCGAGGCTGAGTACAGAGATCAATTGGTTGATTGTGGGTATGACCGCAATGAGATCACAGTCAAGGAGATTACCGACGATGTCTTTTCAGGCCTGGTGAAGTTCCTCGATCGCCAAGATCGATTGCTCAATGAGTACGGCATATCAATCGGTGGTTTCAAATTAGCTGGAAGATTGTTTAATTGGTTCGACAAGTCTCGCGTTGTGAGGGCAGTGGTCGTCGTCGCACGGACAAAGAGCAAAATAGGGTAGAAGAAAGGTTAAATGGATGGCATCACCATCAGCCATCGATCAATTGACACTTTGAGTTGGCATTTGACACAATACTATTACAAGGGTTGATTACTGGAAGGGAGATGATCGTATACTGGGCAATGTTTATTCAGCACAGCACATTACATACATAGAAATATCGCTAATCCTTGACCTATAACCGCGTATTTCTCCCGGTTTGTCTTTCCTTGTCTTGTTGCTTGATCCATGGCCGGTTATTTGACAAGGCTTGCTTGTTTGCTCCCTCGTACCCCGATACAAAATGGAGTAAAAGCACCCCACTCCACTAGAAGAATCACGACACTGCCATCTCGTTCAAGGAATCGCTCCAGTTATGGGCGTTTCATCAAGATTCCCCGGGTGGTCGATGCGCAAAAGTCAAAACAGGAACAGGAAAGCACAGGACAAGACCAGGACAGGCGACCCAAGAACCACGGCGCTGGGTTCAGGCTGTTACTATTACTGTGGGCAGCTGTGGGACCTGATGGTAGGCGATATGAGCTGAGCTCAGCCAGACAGCGGGGTGTTTCTCATTTTGGTGAGGCGAGCCAAGTTGAACCTTGAATGTCGAGATCGGGCATCTACAGGAGGCTTCTTCATGTTACAGATCAAGACAATGTCAGTCATCGGAAGCCGACATTTTAAGGAGATCGATGAGCAAAGAATTGCTTTTTATTCCACTCCGTCCATGCACGCAATTTTGATCACTCGTGGGTCCTGTGATTTATGACTGTAACCACTACAAGTGTCCTGTAGTACGGATTTCATCTCATCACCAACATGCAGGGCACCGCGTCCAACCAAAGCTACATATATCTCAGCTTTTAATGCTCCTTCTCATCTGCGTAATTTACTTAGCTGACGGGTATTCCCCCGGCCCCAGAGATCCAACGGTCCACGGTACCATAACCAGCCCGATCCCCCGGTCGGGAACCAAACTTGGCATCTGCCGATGCTTTCTTTGCCCACATCGGGATGGCACATTGACGGTCATGAAGTGGCAAAACATCACTAACCGGATTAGATACTTCGATAACCGTTGAGTCTAAAATAAATCACAAGTGACGGACGGACAAAGTGGTTGGTTTTGGTTTCTTTTGTTAAACAAAACACATGGCTGCAAGGACACAATCGTCCAAGCGTCCTCGTGCCAGATCCCAGAGAGGACCTGGAAGTGGGAGAGTGGTAGGGGAGGATAGCGCGTAGTGGCTGCGGATGGTTACAGGGCCTCATTAAAGCCACGAATTGGAATGCGTCGATTGCTCCCGTAACAGGGATTATAATGCAAGTCGTTTCACTTTTTCACTTTTTTCACCTTTCCATTTGTGAACCCCGGACCTGGTCCTCCATCGAGGGATTCGCCTCAGTGACAATCACATACGCTTGGATAGGATCTTCCTGGAAGATCGTGTGTCAACTGTTTGTGTTGAAACAGTGTTTTCGTACGCATCGTATCAGGTCTGCGGAGAATTGATCGGGAACTTTTCTACTTTCTTTTCTTCTGGCGGTTTGAGATGTATGTCCAAAAGAAATTTATCTTGCAATCATCGCATCAAGATCATGTCATGGTCCGTGATCTAACACTCGGAGTGGTCATTTCCATGTCCAAAAACTACTCCGAGCGGGATGTACAGACATGACAAGTGACAAGCAAGGACACCCTACAGCATGCACATTACCTTCCATGGGTGTTACTGTCCGTATGCACTTTTGGGCTCTAAACGGCCCTGTATCCGATTAAGGCATACCCGTCCCGCAAGGTTCGGCCATGGGTCTGAGCAGGCATTTCTGTACGTACATGCGTAAGAGTCCAGCATACGACATGCACTTAATATTCTTCAACTGTTCTCGACTACCTTAATCCATGTAATCTGCAAGGTCAGGGGTGATCTAGACGTCTTCCTTTTTCTTTCCCGGTGCCCCCCTCCCTGATCCGATTTCTCGATTCGACTTCTTGATGCTTTATTTGTTTGGCTGTTAGCTGTTGGTGTTTCCCTCTCTTTTTACCTCCATTTCCCCGTCTCTCTTTTAAAACGAAACACGATTCCAGATCTGCAGCGTCGGTAATCGTACCAGTCAACACCACCAAAGAATGTAGCGATGAGGCTACAGCTTCGCGACGACACCGATGACGAGCCCGTCCACCCCTTCGTCAATCCTTATACCGAGTTGAATATTGGGCTATGGGCATTGTTTTTCGGAGCATCTATGTTTTTGGTAGCTAGGCTGTGGGTTAAGATTACGAAACGGCATGGAATGTGGTACGATGATCACATCTTGATCTTTTCATGGGTTAGTGGCAGAAATGCGACTCAGTCCATCACGATTATACTGACAAGCCCGAACAGTTCCTTCTTCTCGCCAACAACAGTCTTATCATATACCAATTCGGCAACGGCTACGTCCTCGAGGACTCATCCAAATCATGGGACGACCGCATGCACATACTCATCAACATTTCATCGTGCGGGACACTGATCGGTCAGGCCTTGACCAAGACGGCTTTTGCGGTAACACTACTACGCATGAGCAACCGTTGGCAAAAATGGATACTATGGTTCTGTATCGTCACTATGAACCTTTACATGGCCTTAAAGGTGGTCTTCCAATGGGCAAAGGTCTGTGGCAAGCCCACATACGACAACTGGTACAGATTGGACTTTTGCTTGGGTTCCAGTTTCCGAGCCGACTTTAAGGAGGGTGGCAACAGTGAGTATTGATACGCACAAGGCCGATAACATGTTATGCTAACATCCTTTGTAGTCTACAATATCGTTATGGATTTTGTGTTTGCCTGCTTCCCGTGGCTCATCGTTCGAACGTTGGAGATGAAGAGGGCTGAGAAGGTTGGCCTTTGCCTTACCATGAGTCTCGGAATGATGTAAGCTAAACAACCGACTCGCAACAAAATATGTGTCTAACAATCATTCAGTGTTGCCATCGTCTCAGCTATCCGAGTTGGTTGGAAAGATCAAGGAAATGGCCGCGATGCCTACTACATCTGTACGTTCACCACATTCTCACTCACATGACCCGAACTAACAACAACCAGGGCGCAACGGCATGTCGCAAGTTTGGTACTCCTCAGAAATTGCTGGAACAATTATGGTCCAATGTATCCCTATTCTACGTCCTATCCTTCGAAACATTCACACTTCCCTCACATCACGCAAGCTCGAATCCTCCACCGGTGAGAGAAAAGGCTCCGGCTGGACCTGGACACGCAGCAGCAAGCATATCTCTACAGGACCTCTCCCCGTCCTCGTAAACAACAACAACCACGATGGCATGGAGCTCCGCAACATTCCCGAGGAGAATGAGCCTCAAGAATTTGACTTTTGGGATAAGAACCGCGTTCCAACACCTGATATCGAAGAGGCAAGACCGGTGGACCACAAGTTTACTAGGGATGATAGTTGGCCGCTGGGACCGGCAAGTGACTCAAATAAGAGCACCAAGAGCTTTGATATGGTGCACCCCGGAGTTGGGTTAGCTGTTGAACAGGAGGGTTATGAGCAGGGACTCTCACCACCACCGCCTCGAAGGACTTAAGAGGCTCATACCAAGTTTATTTCATGTGTATAATAGGGCAAAAACCAAAACTTAGATACGACGTTATGTACATACTTCTTTCAGGCGTCCTACAATGTCATGTTCAATATGAGTAACTTACAAATTTGCTGTGACGAGTAGTAGGTTAGGTTGTGATGATTCCATCTCGGTTCCGCAAGCTCCACGATTCATTGATCAGAACAAAGTGAGTTTCATATTTATTAATAAAATCTTGACATATAGGTCTTAACCGGATCCGATGTGAGACATAGGTTGTGTCCTGAGCCGATTATTTTCTTTTTAGGTTTTAGGTTAAACCTTGTGATCGGCACCGTCTTTGTGTCGACCACTTTCGTTAAAAGCACTTTTCTTTTTCTAAAATCTTCATGTGACGCATCTAGAGGCGAAACCGTAAACTCCGTCATAATATCCAACTTACAACTTGGCCTGATCCTCATGCCTTGGATGCGCCAACGCTGTAGCGTAGTATCTGATATCGGGAAGCCCTTGCTCGACCCATCCAACCATGGTCTTTTCATACAACTCCCGTTGCTCTTCTGCTGAAGGTGCAGGCCCCTTTAAGCCCCTAGCCTGCCGGCTCTCCTCAGTCTCCACAACCCACGCATCCTCGTCACTTTCGTCGTTCTGGAATACATATCTCCTTGTCTCGCAGTTCTTCCATCCAGTACCACACCCCAGTGTGCTGTTTTCCCAGTCGTTGCTAAAGTAGTGGAGGAAACTTCCGTGTGCGACTAAAGCGATGTGGACATCCTCGTCGTCATCTTTGATTAGGTCATTGGTCCTTTCTCGAAGTATTCTTCTCACTGCCCTGGCTCTCTCTGCACAGGCACCGGTAATTGGGCTATTTGGTCCGTAGAGGTCTTTGTCGTTCCATCCCTCTGATACAAGACTCAAGTCTACAGGCCAGTCGTTTTGTAAGCACCTTTCTGCGAGCACGGCTGGCGGGCTTCCTATATCGCAGTTGTGATCAGAAATTTCCTGGGCTTCGGGGATAGCAAGAATGTCCTGTGTCTGGAGAGCCTTGTCGAAAATGAGACAAGTCGTATGTATTGTTCGGGTCATGGGCGAAGAAGCGATAAATCTGAACTTTGACTGATCTTGAAACGAGGCCTGGCGACGTTCAGCACATTGTTGTTCTCCGAATGGTGTTAGCGCCGGGTCTAGAAGATTGAAGAATTCTTCGCCAAGGTTGTGAAAGCCTTGAGCATGGCGGACTGCGTGAATAATGATACGGCCCATCTTTATAGATGTAAGTTTTTCTTTGCAGGTAGAACAGATATGTTTGTAATGTCTGAAAAGATTCTTCTCCACAGGAACTTCCAAGGAATGGTATACTTATAGTAAACAACAGGAAAAATTCAGTTGATTAGCATTTGACGTCAACTTTTGCCGCCGTTATCGCTGCTTGGTTGAATGATGGATTCATGGACCCATATGCCCCATCAATCTACGTGTTAGCGCGGGGACTACGGGGTCGTTGGCCCCATTTGGCAACTCACCACGACACGTTTGTGAACGTGGATGATCCACGAATGTTCACAGGCTATAAATTGATGCTTATTGACTTTGTATAACGTTGCTTATTACAAATACGTGGCAGGATTCATTGCGATTATGTGAGGGAGATGAAGAATAGACTCTGAGACCAACTCTATCCCCATTGTGCTGATTCGTGGTTGCTCCCCAACGCGAATGCGCCGACGACGTGTCCGAATTACAGTCTCAGTGTTCACATGTAACGGTGGCCGGCATTTGAGCATTGGCTCTACCGTCACTCAGGAACCGAAATGTTGTATCAACAACGACCGAAAACTCTAACACGCACGGTTCATAGTCCTATCGAAACGGGACGGGACGACCAACCGAAAGCTATGGTCATGGGATTATTATTAATTATATAACTCTCACACTAACATGAAGCTATCAGTCATCGACCCCAGCGCAGTATGATACCATTTAATATTAGCACCCTCTCTCTTGCGCAGTGCCCAAAGCTCCTTGACAAGTTGTGTGATCTGCGTCCAGATAGCTAATTCCGATCTCTCCCACAAAAGTTTTAAGCACTTGAGCATGCGTTGCTGCATTGCGTCATCAGCAATCTCAAACGCTATCATCGCCACAGGCCAAATCATTGGTGAAAAACGTTGAGTGGTGCAAGTGTGTAAAGCTTCAAGATGAGGGATGGCTTTCTCAACAAGTGGCTGGACCTCAATGAGGGGCATGCCTTTTAGAGTGCGCTTCATGTGGATCAGGGCCGAGTAGTAAAATGTGAAGCCATGGTGATAAATCAGATCTGAATATTCTTTTGTTCCAGATATGTCTGGTCTACTGGGTACCGAGAGGTACAGTTCAAGTTCCAGACGGTCGAGTTCATCAGGCGTTGGATTGCTATACCTTGGGGACTTCCTGCGCATCGCAAGAGTGTTCATCGCCCGTAGGCCTTGGAAAATTGGCTGCGGAAGGCCGAAAGCTGTGTACAAGGTGTAAGGCTCAGGTTGCGGGCCAAGGTCATTCGTAAAATCCCAGTAAGAAGTTCCATGGATGTCGAACAATAACTGTGTCTGAACCACTGTATTCATGCCTCGAAACATGTAGTATATGCTAGAAGCTGCCTCGTTACGATGCCAAACCTGCGGGTCGATATGATTGACCCATTCAACGGCACCGCGAAAGTGTAATCGCCAAAAGGAAGTCGGCAAAGTAACAGCTTCATTCATGATGCATATTATTACAGCAGCGAGCAGCGCTACGCAATGAGCGCCATCTTTAGAATGCCGGATATTCTGAGCAAGGTGTGTGATACCAAGGTTATGATGCTCAAGAGCTACATTCTCGAGACTACGTCGTGACTCTGGCGTCTCCCTCTTCTTCGAAAGGTGGAATGCCGACGCTGAGCATATGAAGTGAAACAAGCTCGTTGCCCCCGTTGACGTTTTGGAATCTGTGCGTGCTCCCTCCCAGGCGATGGGCATCATGGCACTTCTCATAGGGTTGTAAATACCGGGCACCGGGTTCAGGGAGTCGCAAAGATTTAACGTCCAGTGTTCCATCAATTCGCATTGGAGAGCGGGATTTGTAAGGATATCGATGTGTCGGGTAATCTTCTGCGGTACGGTTTGTGCGTTGGACGACGAGGATGAATGAGATGCTGGCTCGGACACCCCAGGCAGGGGCAATGAGCCAGTGCCAAGATCAGCTATATCGACGGGAGTAGATGTGTGGGTTTCGTCTCGGATAATGGGACTTTGATCGAAGTCCTGTTCAACCTGCAGTGGTGGGAGTTGTGACTGCACTGGTGGAAAGGAAGCGTAAGGGGGACCTGTTGTTAAGCCCTGGCGTAGGAGCTCATACGAATGAAAGATTCGGGTGTTTAGTTGATTGGTGTAGAGGTCCTGAGCCAGCCCAGGTTGCTGATCTTGATTGGAAGGCCTGGGGGTTGACGAGGTTTCGGAGGGCAATTCCGGGGGCCCATTATCAAATGACGCTTCATCAAGCTCTTGTTCGCACAAGTCATCGGTAGGCGAAGCGCCCTGCTCACTTTGTTTGGATGCAGCTTCATCAACCGTACTTAAATTGCTAGACTGACGAAGTCTTTCAGAAGTCCGACGCGTTGACCTTCGTTGGCCTCCCCTCTTGAAAGTAGTGGGACTTCTCACAGAGGCCCAGGATAGTCTGACGCCATAACCCTCACAGTCAACGCCTGCGTTTTGGCAGCGATTACATGACGGCTTGGCCTCGTCGCACTTGACGTGCTTCGCGCGACACGTCCAACAGCCCGAGAAGCTCTTGTTCCGGGGTTTGCGTGGCTTTCCCGATGCAGTACGGCCATGCGATTGAATGGGATCATCAGGCATCGCTGAGGACAGCGTTGTTGGGCAAAAAAGGCATGGGATGGAGAAAAAGTGTTTGGCCAATTCTCGAGTTGGGGATGAAGAAGCGAGGCTTGGATTGTCCCGCGGTAAATATCCTGATTAGGAAAGGCATGACATGGTCATGTCCGCTAACATGAGATGTATCAGCTTCTTTACAACAACGTTGCCCATTGCTTGGTAATATTTGTTATCAGTCTCAATTAGTGAGCACGGAGTCTAATGACATTTGGCAAACCTATTGAGCCACGTTAGATAATTGTAAAACTTGATTGTCGAATAAGCAGTTAAGTCACCCTACTTCGCTTTCATATTCAAGACTAGCCACTTGTGGGACCCTACTTGTGATTTTTCGTTATAAACTACCATAAAGAGTTTAGCGTGAAATGTCTCAATCACCTCTGATCGAGTTAGCAACGGGAATAGCCAAGACTATTCTGGGCAATTCAAACCGATTTGAATAATGATGCATTTCACAGCAATGGCCATCATCTTTTCACCGCATCGTACGACGATCCCAGGGCGCAATGTCTTTCTTATATGACTTGGGTTTCTGTCTCCATTCCCACATTCAGAAATGCCACATTACTCTTTGACTGCCTTCAGGCGCCCTGGTACCAAGACACAGACTTACAGAGCCACAGCTGAACTTCATACCTACATCGCGACATGGCAGGCCTACTCCAGTTGATCAGGCCCCAGGGACTCTGTCCCTCATTATTCAGGAAGCCTGTTCAAGGTAAACCGAATATGTCACCAGCTTCTCTCGATTGCCATATTGGTACATCTCCAATCGTCATTCGTCATGACAGCAACAATGACGACGATTCCATCATTTCGGGATCTTTGATACTCGAAGTTACCGAAGACTCGATCGAAGTAGAGAGCCTCTATGCCCTAATACGAGTCCACACCGTCAATAAAAAGCCGTTCAAGAAAGGCTGCGAAGGTTGCAAACACCATTTCACAAAGCTGAAGCGTTGCGAAATCATCACAACGTCAATCACTTTAAACGAGGGCAGTTACACGTACAACTTGTCATATCGGGTACCCAGCTACCTGCCTCCGTCTATGGATACACCGATTGTCTCTGTCACCTATGAGTTTGAGGCGCTAGCGTCTGTTCGAAGAGCTAGGCGGTTATCAACCATGTCTCACACCATTACATTACATCGTGCTCTCCCCGTCGTACGATCGATACCTATCTCGAATACTCAAACATACTCAAATCGGATCTATCAAACGACAGGAATAGAAGTGGCATGTGTGTTTGACGCAGTCATGAATCCCAAGTCTAAGAACCGAGCCACACTTACTATGAGCGGGCTTCGAAGCAGTCCTGGCAACGGCGAAGAGGTTCATCTCTGGCGCGTATGTAGTGGATCTTGGATATTAGAAGAGACCATCAAAAGCACAACATCAGCGTGTCCTGCTCATTGTCGTCAGAATAAGGGAGATAGCGCTCAAGAGCGAAAGAAGCGGACGATACTCGGAGACTCGACATTTTACAATGGGTGGACAACCGACGACAATGCAGGGACCCTGAGCATGGATTTCCATTTTTCCAGAAGACAAAGTCTAAACCACTACACACAAGATACAGGCGACGTAGGTGACACTTCGGCCTCGCATGCTTTAGTACTGGAGATACAGATGATGAAAGAGATATACCCCAAAGGAAGCCCGGACCTAGTGACAAGAACAGGGGTCGGAAGGATACTTCGCTCTGAGCACCGTGTTGTTCTGAGTGACTACACAACACTGTCACGCCAAACGGTCGGAGAAAGCCTGCCTCTCTATCAGGATGTGTGCACAGGACCTCCTGTATACGAGGAATTATGAAGTGTTGGAGCTCAAGTCTACGACATCGGCGTTTCGTTTGGAGCATTGAACAGGGTACTCAAACGGTTATTTATTGATTTAATTGCACTGCTATTGTAGATCGCTCTAATGTCTACAAGTGGAGGACTTGTTTTCAAAAATAATGCAAAGTGCAAAGAGAAATGTCCAGCTTCTCTGAATCCATGTGACAACAGCTCTGTTCCTCTGCAGCTATTTCAATGGAAGATAAGAGAACATTCCAACATTATTGAAGGAATTGCATAAGCTCAATCTTCTTTATCATCGGACTTTGCGGAGATGCCGAGACCTCCATCTCACATCGGATCTTACAACGCGCGGTTTAGGTATATGTTCCATGAAGTCTTGAGTTATGACGATGTGAGGATTTATAATCCTTCGAATTGGCCGCGCGCTGCCCTTAACAGGCATAGCAACAGTGACTGAGATGACGTCAGCGTTGCTGACAGCTGTGCATATATAGGTACATAGTATTGGACTCTGCTTACGACTCCTGAGATCGACTCCTCTTCTCATCAACAACAAGATGGCTGAACAAAACAACCCACAGTACGAATTTATGCGCTTGGATACTAAGCCAAGCGCACAGCTTAGCTACAGCTTCACCCCTTCCACAGTCTTGGGAGATGCCAACTCAACACTTATCGTCTTTGTTAACGGCATGATTGCACCGCAAACATCGTGGATAAAAACGATTTCCAAACTCAAAGAGCTCTCTCCACATGGACTTCCGGCTATTTTGACTTTTGATCGTTTCGGACAGGGTCAAACTACTGACCGAGACCCTAACGACGAGGGAGCTGCTGACCCATCGCATGCACACGACTCGATGGATGTTGTCCGTGATATTCGTCAGCTTATCACTCAGGTTCTAAAGAGCAAACTCAATATTGATGATCCCGACAACGCTCGATTATTCCTGATCGGAAACTCCATCGGCTGCGCTTTCAGTCGTCTCTACGCTAGTGAATACCCAGGCACTGTATCAGCGGTTTTGCTTCTCGACAGTGTCCTGACAGACACAGACTTTGTCTCTGTCTTCCCCGACCCAGACGCAAAAGACTTCGACCCAGATGGTCTACCATTAGGGATCACTGCCGATAATATCCGCGTTGCTCGAGAAGAAACCAGGAAACGATTCCACCCCAGCATCGGCTCCAAGGAGAGCCTCACACGCAGAAACCTGATACATCTTCTGCCTAAGGCGGACTCGCCAACTTTACCAAAGACCGATGGCAAAGAGCCTTATGTGACTGTGTTGGGCCACGACTTTGACTACTTTGCAAAGAGAACCGGGACAGACTTTAATACTCCGCCTGAAGTTGTGAATGTTTATATGAATCCTTACTGGCATCACTACAACGAGGGTCTGGCTAAGCTTACGATTAAGGAGAACAGTGACGGACCCATTCAGGTGCCCAATGCAGGTCATTTCATTCAGGTTGATAACCCTGATTTTGTGGCTGGTAAGGCACACGAAATCTTGCAAAAGCTGGCGAAGAAGTAGGAGACTCGCGCATTCCCACTGTCTATGTATGATGGCATAGCCTATATAGTTCGACTCTAATGCGTGAATGCATATTTACTCTTTGCCCGAATATTATGTCCGTAGAAGTACAGCACGTAGGGAATAGTTGCCAACACCACAGCCAGACAAGCCATTATTGTGAGGGTATAGTGTGTGCCCATGTTTTCATAAAACGGGATACCAACCACAGTCATTCCTCCAGCGACGATGTACCTCGTCAGTGCCACGAAGGTGAGTGCTGAGGCTGAGTATATCTCATACGAATCGATGATGTACATGTATGTACAGATGAAGATTCCTGTGACACCGTATCCGAAGAAGACAACGGCAAAAATAGCTGACCAGATACTTATGTTCGCGTAGTTTGTCCACCCAAGCCAGAATAATGAGATGGGGATAGCTGGAGAGGCACCAAGCATTCCATACCAGAGGCGTATCTCGGGCTTGAAGTGTCCTCCTTTCTCAGTAGCTCGTAGCGTCTTACGGTACACGATGGGAACAAAGAGAAAGTTTATCTGGGTGCCGAGAAACATGGCGATGAAGATGATGTTTGATAGACCTTGGCTGATACCATAGGTTTGTTCAAAGATATATGGCCAGCCCACCAGAAACGTGAACAGAACAATGTACAGAACGCTGAGATACAGAGTCATGGCGATAATGATAGGTTCCGTCAACATGAGGAAGGGTCTTGTCATGCTGACTTTGAGTCGGCTGAACAGGCTAGCATCTGCAATCTCGTGCTCACACTTGAACCGTTCATCACCAGTGATTCGTCGGTAATGTTTGGCCTTCCACTGTAACAGCAGAGGCCCGTACGTCTCAGGCATGAGAAACAGGACCAGTACGAGAACAAGACCAGATGCGATAAGCATGGTCCACTCAGTCCATCGCCAACTGACGGCATTCGACGGGCCGATATAGGCACCCATGACAGCGCCTATCATCGGTCCACCGAAGCCAGCAACTGCATAAAGTGGAAAGCTCCAGGTCTTCTCGAGGCTGTTGAACATATCGGCGATGGAACCCCCAGAACACACGAGCGGTGTCGAAGCTGAGCAACCAGCTAGAAAACGGAAGACTATCTGAGCTCCAAAATTGGGGGCGAGAGCAGATGCCATGATCCAAACCATGAAAATGGCCATGGAGACGATATAGACTGCATTTCTGCCAAAGGTTTCGGAAAACGGGCCTGCTATTAACGACCCAAGACCCATCCCGACTAGATAAAGACCTGAAAATGGTTGTTAGTAAGTAGTAAGTGATGAAAATAGTTGGACGTACCTGTAGCTAGCGACTCGGTAACTTCACTGACACCAAGTGACTCTGAGGCCTGGGGGAGAACCGTGGCGTCAATTCCCGATGCCGCTCCTACAAATAGGGCAATGGCGGATATTTGCAAGGTGACTCCAATGCGTCTTCCATTCGACCAGTTGTGAGGGTCCAAAGGATCATCAGGGCCTTCCCATTTGACCACGAAAACTCTGCTGTCCTCTCCTTTGGCGTTCTTATGAGGTTGAACTTCGACGCCCGACAAGACTTGGCCAAGTGCAACGCCTTCAGACTTACATCGTCGAATGGTATCAGCTGTAACACTTGGTTGTATTGGTACTGGCTCCTCGTTACCTTCCTCGTTGGCAAAGTGTTCTTCAATGACACGCGACAAAGCACGTCCCAGGCCGTGATCATCTTTCTTGCGAGGATGTCGCCTTACAGGTGGCTTTGCTGCTTCCAAGTCACGGGTGATATCAGGTGGCATATGCTCTCTGACTTTACCAACATCTCGATCAATCTGCACTTGCGCTGCAGCTCCAGCGCGTCGATACTGCAGCAGCGATTGCATTTTATGCTGTCAAATCAAAAACCAAGGTAAAAGAACGAGAAGAAACTACAGAAAATTAAGATCTCGGTGAGATAGATAGTCGTCATACAGGTCAGTGGAGCCAAACTACCTCGTTAACAAGATTGCTGTCCACAATTTGGCCGTGAGTCAAACACAACTGCGTCATTGTTCGCGAATAAGAGCCTGGTGATAAGGTAAAATGGAGTCGTCAAGATAAAAAAAAAAGTCTCTAGGCAAATCGACGATCCGGTGGTAACGCGGAAATATGAGTGATCTAATGGGCAAACAGACAAAGTCTCCATTCTCGGCCCGGGAAGAATACCGGGGCTCGGAAAGTCGGAGCCCATTATCCGGATCTACTCAAAGGGCTCGGTGGTTATTGTGTCGATTACCGAGGTTGGAGAGAGATTTCGATGTTGGTCGTTTCGGCTTTGTAATTTCCGAAGACAGAGGTTGAGCAATCCTTCGTCTTGGCAGTTAACCTTTATTCGGCTGGTGATTATGTCACAGAAATAACAAGGTTTGGGTCACTGTTAATGTCACAAAGGATTGACGATGGCAAAGACTGGGCCTTTCAGCTCGAGTCTTGTCTGATGATAAGTCAATATGATGAGTATCGCCTTGTTTGTTTCGGACTTTTAGTAGCAAAAAAATAAAGAAATGATCGACATTGTGGCTGAAAGACTCGTTAACTCGGTCGCTGAGTGAATGTTAAATGTCATGAAGTTGTCCCCAGTCGTTAATTTAATAACTGATACGTCCTGCGCCACTTTGCAGTTCCCAACCCAACAGGCGTCCCAATATAGCACCAACATATTAAACAGCCAACCAACACAGTCTGTTGGTCAATGCTGCTTGTTCTTGACACATCCAATTTTACGCCCGCCGCCACTCTTCAGCGGGTGACCGCCCGGTGTAAGGATCTTCGCGCATCGGGATCAAGCCGGACTAAGCAAATGCCTCATGGAAATGACCCATGAAACAGTCAACAGGGGAACACTTCCAAAGTTAGACAAGGGAAAATGGAAAGGTTGCCACACCACCTCGAAATTTGACATTAACCGGGGCAAAGCACAGCACACAGCAGTGGAGAAATGCTAATTAATTCCCCAATTCGCTGTACGAACAATGGCTTTCTTTACTAACTTCTGCCCGCGAAGCTAATGGCACGCGAGCTCAACGGCTCATTTACCGTTTCTGAAGCTTTGGTGTGTCTTCCCCTGCACTTTCGTTGTTCCAATCAACTGCTTCGCACAATCTTCGCTTCTTGTAGATCCATTTTTCGTCTGTTCTTTACCCATGGGGTTACGCCTCCACGTCCCATACAGCTGAGCCGTTGGTGCGAAGGAGCACATCCTACAATAATAACATGTCACTATCATTGGGCGACATGCATAAACTCTAACATGTCCCCTGTATTCTATCACTTCCCCCAGAGGAACCCCGAACCCCCCTTTACCTCGCGTATGGAGCATCAGTCCACTCTGGGGTATTCCCCCTCATTAATGTGATCACCAACACTGAGATCTATTTACCCCGGAAAAGTGTCTCCATGGGGTAGGTAAGCAACCATTTGGAAATTTTCATCCACATTACAACGCTCCTAATAATAAGCTAGCCCCTCAATCGTCTTTTCTTCTTTGTTCTTACCGAGAAGGCCTCCACCCCACCGATTAGGCATGCCATGGTGAGACTTCCACGACCTCTCATCGACGATAACCCAACGATCGCACTTTCAACATGATCGACACCGTCTACTACGAGCTGAGCTGGTCGATTCTCAGCACCATCGGAATCGCAAATGTTTTATTCGGTCTCATGGTCGCTGGTATCACCAGCTTTGGCCCAGTCTCCATTGTTCCCATCGTCACCAGTGCAGCCGGAGCGATAGCAAACGGCCTTTGCTATTATGCCTTCTACGATAAGAGTAATAGTGTCACCTCTCAGGCTGTAGCCTCTATATTTGCCGACATACTCTGGCTAGTACGTTCTGCTCAGTGTCCGTTCACGATGTCTTACTAATGGGATCCGGTGGAACAGATACAAGAAGCTGGTTTGTCATTTTACAGCTACATCATTCTAAGTCGAGTTCTACGCGGTCGACCCTGGATAATCTTCGCGACTCTATACTGGTGCATGATAATCTCAGTGACAGCTATCCGTGTTGTCATTGCAGCCGTCCGAGCTCGCCGTATTCTTCAAGGGCTCGACGAAGATCAGTCCTTGATCAATCACCTACACATGGGCTACTTCATCCTCATCGCCTTGTTAGAATGTGTTAGCTCTTTCTTCCTCCTTCGAGTCTTTGGGTCGGCAAAGTCAACATCACTCAGCGCCGCCATTAAGGCTGGTTTGTTCCGATATCTTATGCGAAGCACCGAAGTCCGACTTGCACTCCTTGCAGTGCTTGGTGTGATGCGAGCAATCACATACTCTTTCCAAAATGATCAACAGATGGCCACGAATCTGGCTTCGCAGATTGATCGGTTTGCATATTCGATGGAGTGCATGTTTCCGGTAATGATGATGTAGGTTCAACTCGCACCAAGTAGCCTCTCACTCACTAACATAATTAGTATTGACATTCTTGCTTCCAAGGTCGTCTTCCACAACCAAGTATACGGATCTTCTGGACACAGCCGAAACCAGCCCGGTGCTTATCCGCGCCAACGCTTCGGCGGAAACGGCCTCGACATCGTTCTCACGACACAGCAAGGCGAGAACATTGTGGAAGTGCGAGGAGGAGAGTCAAGTGGCGATAGAACAAGTTCACAAGAGCGCATCATCAATCGCAGGGACCACAGGAGTCCGTCATCGGATATCGATATGGATGAGATGGATTCAAAACAAATAGGGATTAGTAAAACAGTCGAGTTTGAGGTGCGCACTAGCAGTGATCCAGCGCGATGATCGCATCTTGATAATTCATGGTTGCATAATATATTTAATCGATATTCTTGAAAGAAAGATGGCATTTGAATTATTCTTATCCCACAATGTGTCTTGTTATCCAGCGCCTACCAAAGACCTTTCCCAGCCCGTCTAAATATTCGCAAATTATCATCCCCTCCCACCTTTTATATCAGAGCGCGTAGCTTCAAGGATGAACTGTTTCAGCGACTTGCCTCGGTTCTTCGACTGTATCAGCAACCATTCTGCGATTTGTGAATATGGACTCACCCTCTCGTTTTGATTCTCTACGCTCAGCAATACTGTGCCACAGTCTCAAGATCCACAATGCTACTAACACATCTCTTTGTTGTTGTTGTAGTGGAACTTCGATATGTAATTTCGGCTCTTCGCTTGTCCCCGACTCAGACGCAACTTTTACTCCATTCATATCAATCCACTGATATTGACCGCCTTGCCACTTGGGTTTGATGTCAAAGAGCAGCTGCTGGGTATTGCGATTAAATAGCAGGATATCCGCTGCAGACTTGTCGGCATTTAGCATTGCCCTGAACTCTTCATTTTTGTGGTTGGTGCTGCTAATATCAAGTTGAATATTCCCCAAGGTTCCTGGTGATGCTGCTGTGATGTAGTATGTAGGTAAATTGTCCTGGAGCGCAGGGTCCCGAAGATGTACCAGGTAGTATAGATCTTGACTGGTTTTCCGCCTTCGAATGACTTTACTTTCAGGATTGATGGTTTCATTAAATTGAACACTCTCGAATATTATGGCCATATTCCTTTGAACTTTGCATGCGAGTTCTCTATTGAGTTGGTAGATTGGCGTTAATGGCGCATTTTCAGAGATGATCAATTGGCCAGAGAATATTAGAGTCTCAGGCTCTGTAAATCCTTCATCTTTTGTTATGCACTCCGTATTCAGGTCTGTCTTGATGGCCATTATCTGCGAATTCGTTGTTGTTGATGGTGGACAAAGGTCAAGTTGGCAATGAAATCGCCCGATTGGTACTGCTCATTAGTGAAGATGCCTCCACGTGATACAGACCACTCATAATGCACTAACAGTGGAGATTGTAAATCCAGGAGCTTCAGGCCTACATGGGTCCATACCATCACTTGACGCAGCCTTATCACTAGTTCCAAACGTCTTTGCGAGTCAGTATGGGCTAAAATCCCCATAGGCTTGAGAAACGAGGCTGTTTGAATTTGTTTTCAGGATCTGAAACTACTTGAATGAGATAGACTTCCCCTTTAATTAACTACCTGATAAAGGCCCCGCAAAGACTATGATTTAAAAGGCTACTGGCTGATGTAACGGATAAGATAATGGGATAAGATAAGACACGATAAGATAAAGATCAAACAGACCTACTACCCTGGAATATGAGGTATTTGACCGGAGTAAAGATAAAGGATACTAAAATGCTATTCTTAAAATATTAACATAAGAGTTTCAATGTATAAAACTTAGCGGTATTTAGTTGAGATTTTAGCTTACGATATATAACTTTCATTATAGATCTATAGATAAGTTAATGAGATTAATTCATCGTGCTTAATTTAGGTAATATCAAAACAGAAATTAAAGATTGTGTGATATAGCCCTGTGAATTTCACCTATAAAATGTAATTATGCTTTCTTAAACAAGTATCTTCTCCTTCTAATGCTCAGTATAAGATATTCCCTGCCATATAGCCCTGAACTTCTGCAACAGGCATGCATCAGGTGTAAATGCTTGGGTGAGAGTGTCTATTACCGTATTCTGCCCCAAGCTATGCATCGAACTTAATACCTCTCTCAGTCTTGTGATATACCAAGACCGAACTTCACTTGACGGTTTTGCAGCAGCAACACCCACGAAGAGCTGCCAGATCAACAGTTCCATTGAAGAACAAAGTCTCATGTGAGGCTGTATTAAAGCATATCTGAGCTCTTCAGCCAGGACATGCAGGCGACCAGGCTCCTCTATCGGCCAAAGAAGCAAGAGGTACAATCGTAGAGCGTCATGTAGTGAGTGGACGTAATTCTCATGGCTACCCAAGAGAGTATCTATTTCAAGCTGGAGTCGTTCAACCTCAAGCCCAATTGTGAGGGCGAACTCTGAACTTGGGGTTGGGGAAATGTGGTAGTCATCGATCAGCTGACAAAGCCCGTTAATCCTATTCCGGATAGTTGTAATATCTGTCGCGTTGGGGTCATCTTGATTTTGTAGAGCATGAATAATCGGCTGGTTGGAATAATTGGAACTGAGTAGAGCTTGTCCAAGCGAATCACTAACCAGGAGTGTTAGATCTCATTCTGCCCCATGTGTTGGAGCGGGGCCCTACTAGAGGAGAAAGTCACAAAACCATGAGGGTATGGCTGTGTTACCGGTCGATCGTCTTACACGAATCATCTGAGCCAGCCCCTCTATGTGGGCGTTCCTTGCCTTGGAGTCACTTTCGAGAAGCTGATATCATTAGGCAACATAACCGAACTGGAGAAAGATCACCTACTTCAGCATATGTCAAGGTGAAAACTGCGCTCAGCACCCCGTCCGTCAAACCTGATGGTGAACCCAGCTTCTGGTTGACCCGTTGTATAGCACGGCCTTTATGGATAACTGCTTGGCGGAAAGTCGTGTTATCCTTTCGTCCGACACAGTGCCTTAATGCAATAGATATTGATGCTTCAACTAGTGCCGGCTCTGACTGGAGAAGGTCAACCCATTCTGCCTCTCGAGACGAGCCAGGGCTAGTAGTGCCCGCCGGAAAGATAAAAGGACGAAACATGCAGAGTACTTAAGAATGGTCAGTTTTCAATTGTCCAACAGAACTTCATATTGACAACCATACGATAGGCAATGGGAGAATATGTTGAGCCCATCATATTGGTCAGTAGTCTATCACAGCCTGGATCAAGAACAACGATCAAATCATTTGACGTATGTCCTGGCTGAGTTATCTGATTGTTCCATTTCGATACAGCTGCGTCGCTCTTGATGGCTTCTGACTTATCACTGTTACGAGTCTTGGCCAATCTCTGTCTACGTTTGGCGAAATTGTTCTGTGTGACATGGCCCCTCATTTCCCTCCGCTCTTTGGGCCCAAGTCCAGGTGCATTGCTGACGTTGACAAATGTGAAGGCTGGCGGCATGTTGACTAATTTGTCTAGAAAGTATGCAGTATATAATGTACTGACAAATGTTATTCGAGAGAAAAGATGACAGGAAAATCACGTTGAACTGTAATGGCGAAGTAAAATAAGCGCTATGACAAAGATAGACCCGCAATTTCTCTCCAATGCTAGCGGGCTGACATTAATAATACACCCTGTCCCCTTGTCCACAGTGTTTGGTAGATTAGTATATCGAGTGATACGATATTCAGCGCCAATGCAACGGTAGTTACTGAAACTATAAAGCACATCAAATTAATAAAGTGGCACGAGTAGATTAATATGGCCAAGTTGATGAACACACAGACTATTGCATATGTGGATAAATATCAGTAGTACACCTCACGCCTGAGTGCTAGGACCTCTTGAAGGTTTCAACTATTTCTTAGTCGCTGTAAAAGATTACAAAACGTAACGCAGCATAAAACAGAGATTATTGAATGTGTATATGTGATCAGCTGGGCAGCTTAGGCTCAAATACTAGGACTGTCCAGTTGTTTCAACTATCATCTTGCCCGTAGATCCGATGAAAAAAAAGCTCCACTGAGATGATCTCTGTACAATGGTAAAGGACAGGACATAGAACACACAGACTCTTGTAATTGTTTGTATGATTAGATGCAGACGTTGTGCTCGTGATCAAGGACCATTTGGATGTTTCAACCCTCCTCTTAGCTTTCTATGCAAGGCTGCAAAACAAAACAAAACATTGAATACATGATGATCCGAACTCATCTTAGTTTGATGAAGAGCAAGACGAGATTACTATTCCCCGCTCCCGAGCGTAAGAATGCAACCACACGGACGGTAGCTTACCATTGTAGCTCTCTCAAGATGACGATATGTTTTGTAGAACCCCTCTATATCACGTACCCTCAGCTTTATCTACAATTACTACAATATCAATCTTAAAAAACAATAGCGACCACGACGTATATCGTCAGAAGTGCAAGAGGAACTTGCCAGCTTTTGATACCAAGCTTTGCAGCATCTTTTCTAGCTCGCTCTAAGTTCGTCTCGCTCGAGCGAAAAGTATTCATCTTGATTAATGAATATCTCCAATAAACATCAAACATTTGTCAATGCGCTAAGATACTTCGGCTGATCGATATAAGTTGCGCTAGGTTCGGCGCCTTGTAGATCGCTTTGACACCCGTTTCACTTTGATCGATAGTTCCGCGCTAAGTCCTGTATCTCTCCAGGCAATCCGACGTGCGACGAACAGAGATGCTTGGAATGAGAAAACATGACCATAGTCTTATGAATTTTCTAGAGAGTTTCGAGATATAAATACTCAGCTCTGTGCATTACTTCAAACATTCTTCTCTCAGCAAGCCATTCGCTACCTTCAGTCCATTACTCTCACTTTTCACTCAAACCTGCTTGACGCAGCGATTCTTACTTTCACCACATTCATTTGACTAATTACTTGAATCTGCTCGACGCAGCACTTCTAACTCGCACCTCACTCATTCAACTATTCACTCTTTCTGTTCCTTCTATTCTTCTACAGCTTCCATCAATTTTCAAAATGAAGTTCTCTACCATCTTCTCCACTCTCCTTGCCTCTGGCACTGCCCTTGCTGCCTACGTCCCTCAGGGAAACGCAGCTCGTGGCCTGTCTGCAGACACCGCTGGGCTTGTCAACCGAAACTCTGGAATCCAGGCTAGAGCTGAGAAACACGCCAACCCCCTTGATTCCTTCTTCGATGAACTGAAGCATACTGTCACCCCGGACGACGAGACCACAGATAAGTTGGACAGCCGCGATCTTGTAGGCAATATGTTCGGCCTTGTCGGTTCTGTAAGCTTTCATACTTCTCCATCACTGACATTTTAACTAACATGTTTTCAGAATGCCATCGACTTCAATGAGAAGATCGGCCACGGTTTCAATGTTACCGCCTCCTACGTCGGTTCTATCGATCTCAACGCCCAGGCAACTGCTGGCATTGAGTATGTCTCCAAGAAGATTTCTGGTTCCGAGACTGTGAGTAGTGATGGAAATCGATCGAACTTTTAAGACTGCGTGCTGACAGACCACTAGAACATCCCTGGAGCTTCCATCATGGTTACCTTCCTCGGCGGCCTGAGTGCATTGGTTGCCAAGTTCAACTTGAACTCCATGGCTCAAAGCTGCATGTCTGTTGTTGGTCAACTCATTGCTGCCATCGACTTTAACGCACTCGTTTCTGGAGGAGTCAAGCTCTACCAGACTGTTTCCAGCAGCTTGAAGGCAGCTATGGAGTTCTAAGTATTTATGATTCCTACTTGACGAGGATAGTAATTCTATTCAGAGTGTTGTATACAAATTTTGGGGGTTAATGTAAGAGAGGTATTCTGTTGAAGGTCTCGATTGCAATGGCTTGGAGTATGATTGTCGGTTTGGAATAGCAACCTGCTGCAGGCAGATTAGGTAGTAATTTGAAGCACATTATTGTGAACTATTTTTTCTTTGAGTTTTACCTGGCTTCAAGGCCTTCTGGCAAGTAAAACTACAGCTTTGCTTATCGAAAACGTTAATCTATAAGAGTCGTTATAGTCTTACCAGTGTTCTTATTTTCGTCACATTATTATTCCTGTCTTCTCTTGTTATACTTGAGTATTTGTGTTTACATAGATGGAACACCTACTCTTATTATGACTTCATAGGTTGCTATGATCAAGCTGGGTATCCATTGCCAAGCTGCATCGGCTCCGAATCTCATTTATTGAGATCGAACCGAAGCCGAGGCACCAGGCACCAAGCACTAGGCACAAGTGATGCGGGGAACCAAGGTATACTCTTTTCGTCTTTAAATGACTAGAATAAACAAATCTCTTGGATAAACGTTTCATGACGTGCCATTGATGCCCACATAGACAACGCCAAAGGTGCCGTGAGCCGTGTCGATCTGGACCCCGCGTCTAATTTCCCCAGGTTTCTCCACGTATTACTGGCTCGAAACTCCACTACCCCAGATGACAATTGATAAAGATTTACCCAGACAAAGGAAAACACGGTCCGTCGTCGGCATCTCCTTCTATACAGCGACTATAAAATGATACTCTCAAGACACAGACCAATTAGAACTAATAGTCTTGGGCATTTTTGGCAATCATGAAGCTTCCCGCATCCTGCTTATTAGCCTTGCTGGCTAGCAGCTCAGCTCTCAACATCCCTTCGCACCATGACGCTCCCTTGACCGTTGAGACAACATCCGGCGAACTGACAGGCTTTATCAATCAGACTGCCCCTTCTGTTCGTCAATTCCTCGGTGTTCCCTTCGCTGAACCACCATTGAAGTCCCTTCGCTTCCAACCTCCTCGTCGCGTACACAGCAAGGGTTCAATCTCAGCCAAGAAGTATGCGCCATCATGCAAACAAGCCATAAGCAAGGCGCCAACGGTCTATACTGAGCACATGACACAGTTCCTGATCAACGGCGGCGACTCAGAAGATTGTTTGTATCTCAACGTCTACGCCCCGTTGAAACCAACTACGAAACGCTTACCTGTCTTCATCTACATCCCAGGTGGCGGCTTCACTGGCGGCGGCGCCGACTCGCTTTACAAGATTCCTGATAAATGGATCCAGAGGACTCAATCTCACATCGTCGTCACAATGAACTATCGCGTTAATCTATTCGGCTTTCCCAATGCTAAAGAAGCGCACCAGAACGTTGGTTTGCTGGACCAGCGCATGGTCGTCGAGTGGGTACGCGACAATGTTGCTGCTTTTGGAGGCGATCCCCACCAAATGGTTCTCTGGGGACAGTCTGCTGGTGCGGGATCAGTAGGAATGTATGGATACGCGTATCCTAAGGACTTGATTGTCAAAGGCCTGATCTCTGACTCCGGAGCGCCGAGTATGCTGGCCAAGGTGTATGGTAACCACACCGACTTTGACACTATTGCTACCAAGGTCGGATGCAAGACAGGCAACAAGCAGTTGAAGTGTATGCAGGAGATTGATGCTTCAGTTTTGCAAAAGGTTTACTCGGAAACGGCAGGTGTTTCATTCACACCTGTAGGAGACAATATGACAGCCTTTTCCAACACAACCGATCGCCTTGCCAAAGGTCTTGTCACGAAAGTCGTATGTCAAGACCGTCACTCATGGAAGGGAAACGTACTGACACAATAATAGCCTTGGATTTTCGGTAATAATGCCAATGAAGGCGCTGGTTTTGGAGCCTATAACGAGAGTGGGGTATCTTCTGCACAGATTGCTATTGGTCTGGGTGCAATTGTTTGTCCTGTTGCCGCAGAAGTCAGGTATGTATCTTTGTCTGCTGAGAAGTGCATCCATTATTAATGTATTGATACAGTGCTCGTGCTAAATTTGGATACCCGACTTATCGATACTACTACACTGGAAACTTCTCCAATATCTCACCGCTTTCTTGGATTGGAGCAACACACAGTGGTATGCATCATTACTCCCATACACGTCGCTTCCTTTGCTGACACCAAATAGCTGAGTTGCCCCTCTTGTTCGGAACCCATTATGAATATCGTGGCAACTCTACAGAGTACGAGTGGCAAGTCGCAAACGGAATGCAGAGTAAGTGTTTAGTCGTTTCTCATGAGAGTCTAGCTAACAGTTTGATAGGTCTATGGCTCTCATTCGCAAAGAATCCCAACAAACATCCGACTGATGGCAATGGTGTGACCTGGCCGTTGTACAAGCCTGGCCAGAAGAAGATGGCCGTCTTTGCAGAGACGGGCAAGAAATGGTTCCAGCTAGGTGCTGAGAGCCTCACGGAGAACCAATGTAGCAAGGCATGAGGGTTCCAGCGGAAAGGTCTATCGCAGGCAGCAGGCCACCAAGAAAATGATCACACGCCATTGACAGGCTGATGAATATTTGAAACATTGGTGTCATGTTGGCCTTGTTCCAGATACGTTGGATGGAACTATTTACACTTTAAACCCGTAGCCAGCAACGGCCGAGTCTTACTTAATTTCAATTCCCTGATTTAATAAGAGTATTTCGAAAGACTTCATCCATGACGCCGTAAAGAAAAAGATGACCTTGGATCATTGTGGTACAAAGATGAAGGACCACTTACCAGTCTTGCCTCGCGAAGTACGAAGCCATTTCCACATTTTCAACCCCAACACCGGGTTAAAGCCTTTCTATTCGATCAGTGAACATAAGAGGGCTCTTTACCTATGTAACTGGAACATCTTGCTATCATGAATGACGGAACTTACGGTAAGAGATGGGTACGTGTTCGTAATGACAAGGATTTTGCCAGTTCATTCCGATACAACGAATGCCCACTATTTTCCTTATTAAGAAAATCAGATTGATGAGATGAGTCCATTATTCGTCGGCAGTTGAGATTCAGACACTGTCAGCCATGTGAACTAACCTCATTAGGCAAATGAGATGGCTCATATAATAGGCTTTAGAGATTCGATTGATAACACAACCAGATGATACGATGTTTCCAGAATAGGAAAATGAGAATGGCTACTTTCGGATCCGGGATCCGGGCCTTCCCTGGTTACTACTAGAGTTCCTATAAGAAGACCTCTGTGTTTGAGCCATATGAACAACTCAAACACGCTCATCAACTCAGCTCATCACTTGTTTCCATCCATTAGTTATCCCATCATGTCCAGGTTTTCTCCACAACTCTCCGGTACTCATGCTCTCGTCACCGGTGGTTCTAAAGGTATTGGCAGAGTCATCGTCCAGACTCTTCTCAACGAAGGTGCCAATGTCTCGTACTGCTCACGCAAAGTGCGCGGCGACGAGTTTGCCGACTTCAAGGGTGCGAACGGAGACGTACTTGCTGTAGGAACTAGCGTGGATATTGCTGATGCCACTGCCCTGAAGAACTGGGTTGAAAATTCTGCGCAGAAGTTTGGAAGAGTCGATCTTGTGGTCGCATGCGGTATGTCTGACACTTTCATCTGAGATACTTCGAATACTGACAGTGTAGTAGCTTGCCCAATGTTGTTTGAACCAACCATTGAGCATTGGGAAAAGAGCTTCCAGGCCGACATTCTTGGTCTTATCAATCTCATCAACACGTCTGCACCCCATCTTGAGAAGCAGAAAGGTTCCATCGTGGTCATCAGCTCAATTGCTGGGTTTGAGACAAAGCACCCAGCTATCCGGGGCCCATATAGCACAATGAAGCGCGCCCAAGCCACACTGGCAAAAGACTTTGGTCGCTGGCTTGCACCGCGTGGTGTTAGGATCAACACTATTGTCCCAGGTGCCATTGATCCACCACCAGTTTTGCAGCCGGATGGTACTTTGGAGCCGAGTACCTTCCGCCAGGCCCTAGATGCTGACCCTGCTTGGTTTGAGGAGCTTGTCAAGTCCATCCCACTTGGCGTGGTTGGGCAAGGGCAAGATATCGCTAACGCTGTGGTGTTCTTGGGTAGCAGGCTCAGCAAGTTCACTAGTGGCACTAACTTGATTGTGGATGGAGGCATGTCCGCTACTCTATAAACCCAAAGTACTATTTTGTGCCATTAGTAGCATTAGACTTAACAAGACCTAATTCTTAGTAGGGAAATATATAAGCAAAGTTGGATCTCGTGAACGATTCAATTATTGGACTAGAAGGTAGACAGCAAGCATAGCAACGGCAAATAGTTCAATCTCACCCATCATTGCTGACGCGATATCTTATATCGTAAAAAATCAAGTGAAACCCGTAACTACTTCTCCCCGATTATTGCCAAAGCAAAGTCCTTGTAATCGCCACTTAGCTCAGACTTGATGTTTCCGGCCAACGTTGAACCCGTCACTGGTTTGTATGCCATATTTGTCTGATGCAAGCGTCCCTGATCCCAGTATAAACTGACAAGCCTATTGATAAAGAGACGATTCTTTCCTAAAGACTTGTTCAAAGGCTTTTGCAGTCGTCCCGCATCGGAGCGAGCTCGGTCCAAAGCATGGTATAGTATCCGTAGCAAAGCATCCTCCATGTCACCCCGAAACTCCTTCTCAATAACAGTCTCGAGACTACGATGATACTTGAAGCGATATGCTTCATTGATGGCGCGTAATTGGGCTTCATTACTGCTGGTGAAAATTTGCGCCACGGCGACTGCGTTGGCACCAATTGTTCCTTCAGTAGCTCTTTGAAGCTCTGTGACCTTCTGATCAATCTCTGCCGGGATCACGGGCGCACTGTCCTCTGCGCGAGTGGCTGAGAGTACCATGCTGTAGAGTCTGTACAGAGTATCGTCGACGTCGTCCTTCACGTCAACGTGGAGTTCCTTTCCTCGGACACGCCTGTACTCGGCACAGATAGCTCGGACATCCGCGTTTGAACGACACAAAAGTACGTCGTTTAGAGCATCTTCATCTGTGCCTGCGCGGTTGAGGGCCTTTGATAGATTGTAGACATCATTTTCCAGAGGTCCACGAATCAAGGCTAGTAGACAGGTCTCAAAGTCGCCGCGAGTCTCACTCTCGATATCCTTGGCTAGGTCACGCATGAAGCGACTGTTGTAGTCGCGCACAAGCTGAGCCATGCTCCAAGGATTGGTGTACTTGGGGCTCACTAGGACACGTATCAATGCCTGCTCGTCGCAGCCCATGCCTTTCATCGCTTTTCGAAGGGCCTCAGCGTCGGATGCTGTGTCGACAGGTTGAACCCAAGCCTTTTGAGCTGGGTCATAGCCTGGCGAAGCTGGTGTTGGCGCAACATTGAATACGGGCGCGCTGTATTGATGTTGTCCTGCTTGATGGTGCCATTGTTGATCTGGATGTGGAGGTGGAGCTTGTTGAGGAGCATGTTGAGGAGCACCGTGAGGTTGAGGTGGGTGGTAAGACTGCGGATATTGTCCTTGACCATAAGGAGCTTGTGGCGGCTGCTGCCCATACTGAGATTGAGGAGCAGCTTGTTGGCCATAGGGAGCCTGTTGCGGATATCCTTGAGGAGGAGGCTGATAGTGACCTTGTTGGCCCGAAGGAGGGTACTGTTGCTGACCGGGAGGAGCTGGATACCCATACTGCTGATTAGGTTGAGCTCCCGGTGGCCCCTGTTGAGGGTAGCCATAAGGCTGTTGTTGATGTTGCCCTTGTGGGTTCTGATAGTACGCCTGGCCAGGTTGTTCCTGTCCTGGATATCCTGGCTGGCCCTGAGACTGCTGCCAGTATGGAGGTTGTGGTGAAGACATGATGGGAAATTGAAGCAAAAACTCTTGAATGTGAATTTAGTTCTGAGAAAATGCTTAGCGCTCAACAATCCTATTAAATCAAGATTGTAAGTGGAGGCCTCTTCCTCTTAGGGCATTATCGGCCGCCCGTCAAAAAGCCTTGCCGGTAACTGCGCCTCAAATATGTTGATAGGCTGAATTACAGGGAAAGCCAACAATGACGCCATGCTTTTCATGAAAAGACCGGCTGACATAATATTGCTCTAGTAGTTTTATCATGAAAAAATTATGTCTGCTACATACAAACTTCTCAATTGTCAAGTATCGCGCTAACTCATCTTGTTTCAGACCATATATCTCAAATATCTCCTGAACTGTCTTCAAGTGGCTTTCTCAAATCCAGATAAACCCAATAACTACTGTGAGTGAGATGATATGTCGCCTTCAACTTCTGTTGGTCAAGCGATATATCGTGTATGTTGCACGAGGTCGACTCAACAAACAGTATTTGCATCACAAACTGTTGTTCATAAACCTCATTAGAGGAACCCTGTTTTATCATCTCGTCGGGAAGGCCCATTGATTTCATAAACGATGTAGGTGCGATGAGACGACGACAGTTGTCGGACAAAGTAGTCGACACAAGCTTTGGGTCTTTAGCTTCTATGCTCAAGGCTTGGCTATTGGCAAACCGTCGAATGTTATCTTCCTTGATCTTTGACATTGTGAATAGTCTAGTAAAGATATAAATACTGCCAGGTTCAACAAGCAATCTTAGAAAAGGTAGGCAATGATATCAGAGTTCATGCAGTCGAGAGCAAAGGATGGCAACAGGAAGGGTAGCCGGTTCTTTTATAGTAAGGAAATATAACAGTCGCCGGGTAACTGTAGGATTCGTATACCGATTCAGGCATGACGATTCCAGTCAAAGGATCGTGATGTTGTACTGATCCCCCATACTGTAGTACAGTCAGCACTAATATCGAGAACCAGACTTGGTTCGGCGGCAGCACATTTGAATGCGTCATCATGTTTGTAATCGCCAATAGATTTCACGTACAGAAAAATAGCCCTATAGGTGGGATGGTCTATAGAGATGACGAAACTAGCAAGAACGATAGCGAGTGGTTTAGAAACGTGCTAATTTGGCCATCATATATTAATTGGACGTAATGATCTGGTGTTTGGTACAGAACAGAGAGAGGTGGATTCATAGAGACCCTTGTGATCCTAGGTAAAAGCTTTGTCTGACTACACAACAAATACATGCTCTACTCCGATGCATTCGCAACCACGAATTCAAGTATAGTTAGGTTAGGCCCGGCCCAGTTCTTTCTGGCATGAGTGAACCATAGACCAACAGCAACAGCCAAAACGGCCACCATCACTGGCCCACAGTAGTTCATGTTCTCGCTGGTGACGGGAAGTGTCGATGGGAAAGGGAGGAAGATGATGACATAGAGAGTGTACACGAGCGCAAAAACATTAATACCCAAACCGAATCGGCCGAGGTTCCACTCTCCAAGCTTGAGTGTTGACCCGGACAGACGAACGTAGATAATGCTTGCAATGGCAATGGCATAGCTGATGTACAGAGCCAAAGACGACAAAGAGGTGATGGCACCGAAAGCAACATACGAGGTATTTCCGATGTTCAGCAGATTCAGAGCACAAACAAGGAAGACAGTGAGAATGACAGATCTGACAGGTACACGATGGTTGGGGCTGACGTAGGCAAAGTATCCAGGCATGCCACCATCACGGGCCCAAGCCCATGTCAGACGAGAAACTGAAGCGATGTTTGCCAGGTTGACGCTGAAGGAGATGATGAAAAGACCGGCGATCATGGCAGTGGTCGCCTTGTTGGAGCCAGTGGCGTTGAGAAGGATAGCTTGGATCTGACTGGGCTGGAGAAGCATGTCGTCGACAGAACCCATGGCAGAGATGAGGACATTTACCATGATGAACCCAAGCACTCCATTCATGAAGATCGACCAGAACATAGCTCTAGGTACAGCGGACTTGGCTTTGCGGGTCTCCTCTGACATGTGGATAGCACTATCGAAGCCTTCAAAGTGTTAGTTGGCGCTAGAAGTAGAGGACTTTACTGGAGTGACTTACCAGTGAAACTCCAGACACAAGTTAGCATGCCCAAGTTCCAAGAGACATACTCATTCTGCTCCCACCCAGAAGAGATGTTACGCTGCAGCCAGAACGAAGAAGGATTCCGAGGGCCCATGACAACAAGAACGACGACGAAGATGACAAAGAGGCAGACGTGGAGGACACCAGCGACCAACTCGATCCAAGGGATGAGCCTGAAGGCGTACACATTCATCAGCCCATGGACAAGACACATGGCGATGACAAGCACAGATGTGTGCCAACCGCCAGCAACATATTCGGGATGGTTGATACTGATCATCGACTCGAGAAGAATAATGGTGACGTTGGCGATGGCTGCTAACAGGGAGATGTAGCCGAACCATGTCGCCCATCCTTGGATCCAGGTCGCAAATCGCTTGACAGAAGTGGGAGCCATGTAATATGTCCAGTGATATTGGGCACCAGCCACAGGTTGGATGGAGGCCATCTCTCCGAGTGAGGCAGCCTGGGCGATGGCGCCGAAGAAAACAATTATGAAACTGAAGATGAAGGTCTGTGGGCCGCCATTGAAGAGAGCAAAATACATGTTTCTGATGCAGGCGTTAGCAGTCAGCCCCCATCTTCAGTTGGGGTACGATAACTTACGAGCACATGCCCTCCCATAACGCCATGTATGTCAATGAGAATGCAAACAGTTGTGAGAATGAGAACACTTTGCGAGTTCTTGTGACGCTGTAGATACCACTTTCCTCGGCTGGTCTGGCTGATGCATCGACGCTCACAGGAACAGCCTGCTGTTTGCCCGAAGGCTCCAGCTCGATACTGTTACTATCGTGAGACATGTCGAACAACGAGGATTAAAAGAAACAAAGAAGGATGCCCCAGATTATGCGTGTAATATAAGTACAGCAACACGAACCGGCGATTCGTATCCAGGACCGGGGTTGGAGGTATCTAGATTTGAGAAGGACAATACAGAGCACAAACAGTTAAGATAGGCAGACCCTCAGACTTAAAAGAGTGCCGGCAGCAGTCTGTGGATAGCGTTACCTTCTACTGTGGGCCATGGGTGCATCGGGGAATTCACCCACCCACAAGTAATGCGACGCATGAAACGAGGGTCTTTTAATTGTGCAATGAGTGGGATGGAGAAATGTTCAGCATTGGGAGCCAATGTCCAGACTGGTCCTAGTTAAGGGGAAACAAGGAGAGGGGGAGGAAAGGGTAGAGAGAGATGACCGCAAATAGACCGGGCGATGCGAGATGCAACGGTCCGAAAAAGGATTGTCTGGAACCGAATCCTTGGATGATTGGATTGTGGCTGTCGTTGATCATTTCTAATTTGTGACATTGTGGACATTTACGAAGGTCTGTTCGCTGCTAAGGCTGTAGCTTTTAGAGCTAATTAATGCAGCCAAGTGGACTTGAAGGTGTTTGACAAGGACCAGTTTTGTCGAACCAACAATGAGATTTGTTGTAAACCTTATCTTTAAACAACCTGTGAGGTGATTGCGCTACATGAATGAGAAAACAAGCCACAACCTGAAATATTGCGTAACGTACAGAACGTGAAAATTGATCTATCATGTTTTTTTCCGTGTTGTCGAACGAGTAAACTGTCAACAGGGATTATTAATTGCAAACACCAACAATGCATTCATTGTAGGTCAATGAACCAGTGACTATCTTGGTCACATTTTGACGGGCCATCAGGCCTCCAGACTCTCAACTAGAGTAGTTCAAGTAAAAAAAGCGGGCGAAGTCGACTAGAATAGCTTGAAACGTGGAAATTCCTTGGTTAGAGGTAATACATAGAGTGGTATACCTGCTCTGTCGGATGTGAGAGGCTGATGTCAAGCCACTCATTATATCACTCCCAGCACAGTCAAGCTGCATATCGTCAGAGACCTCAGCTGAAGCGGGAAGAAAAAGAGAAAACTACCAACGTCTCCAAAACAAACACGCAATCTACTAGATTGTTTCAGTATATTCGTATATGTATGTCTCAAAATTACAATAATTACAATTCCTGGTACCAGGTCCCTTGTGTTTATGCTGTGGCTTGTTCGAGTATCATTGAATGTGACTGCGTCTCTACCCGGCTCCTCTTTGCATCCCACACTCTGTGCCGAATGCCACCTTTGCCCCGTCTACCTGGTCCGCCCCGGTCACTATTTGTTTAAAGGCAACGCTTCGTTCCGTTGTCAGAGATTAGTTAAAGCTTCGTCGGCCCTTTCGATTGTGGGAAGGTCAAGGCGAATACCACTCAGACGACGGGTCTTTACCCTTTGAGGTGTCTTATTTCTTGTCCCAAACCGACAATATGGACAACGTCTCTCAGGCGGCTCCGCCGTTCTACCCTCTAACAGAGAGCAACCATGCTGCTCTAGTAGTAGTGACGGCAATCATCTTCTTCATCTACGCTATCCTCGGAATTGTCGGCAAGATGGTTATCCGCCTTAATATCACTTCCATGAAGGACTTTGATATAGGGCTGCTGGTTTCGGCTCTCATCTACTTCATACAAACAGCCCTTGTCGTTGCTGCATGCAATAATGGCTTGGGTGAGCACCGAGATACTATCTCGGAAGATGATTTTGTTCGCTTTAGCAAGGTAAGCCAAACTGACTGCATTATAGAGATAACTTTGCTGACTCCTCGATAGCTGATGTACGCATCAAGAATACTCGCGATACTTGTTCATGCCACGACGAAAATATCCCTCGGTCTACTTATACGGCAGATCAATAGTCAAGGTGGTCTGCACCTTGCTAACATGATACTGGGCGGAGTGGTGACTGCGTGGGCTGTCTCAGGCGTTTTCACAACTGCTTTTGCATGCCCTATGCCAGAGCCATGGTTTGCCGATAACAGTGTCCAATGTCCAGCACAAGGGCCAATATTTGTATACAACGGCATCATGATTATCTCAACGGATATTGCGCTGTGCTTCTTACCAGTCGTCATGATGTGGGAGGTCCAAACATCGATCCGGAGAAAGATCATTGTCATTTCGTTATTTGGAGTTCGATTGTTGGTGCCGATCATGACGATACCCGAGTTAACACACGCGAGATACATGTTTGGGGGGTCGGATGACGTGACCTGGCGAGCCGTATCGGCCATGATATGGGGACAGATCGCATTGGGTCTTGCTGTTTTGACAGTCTGCATCCCTTCGCTGAAAGGTGTCATCGACAGTCTTCTTGGATCAACCGCTGTCGCCGCTCTCAACACACCCTACGAGCTAAAGTACAGCGACAATGGAACAGGTCTCGAGATGACAGCCCTCTCAGACTCAAAGTCTAGGCGAACATCCAGACGAACGTCCAAACAAGGTAGTGGTCTGGGCAGTGGTGTACGAAAGAGTTCAAAAGTGAGACACAGTCACCAGCCAATGTGGCGGCACGATGTCACGAGCGAAGTACGAACCGAGATTGGGAGTGGCAGCGATAGTGTGCGGAATCTGACGGAGGGAGTCATGGTGAACACAGACTTTGAAGTTTTCTACGACGATAAACATGCTTCACGGGCTGATTCGATGGGGTCTACTGAAGGGGCGTATCGCATGCAGGGCAGTTAGACGTTGTTTTGTTAGTTGTGATTAATGCTACGTACATTTCCTATGATATGATCTACAGGGTACACAAGGGTCGCCTCAAAGCTCAAACACGCCACGATTGTGCCGTGTAGTGTGTGGTAGGGCACCTAACGACTTGCATACACTAACCTGTACTGGAACCATGTTGTTGTCGTATCTTCGGTCGCAGCACCAAGGCCGTGGTCGCGGAGCTCATGTGTCAATGGCACAGCCGATCCCAACTACATAGAAGGGTTTTAACCGAGGCAGGATCACGGTTGGGTCAGAAGCAAAGGAAAGAAAAGGTCAGTGATGAATGGAAGTCGAGATGTCAATCAGACAAAACTGGGCTATGGCTCGGCAAATCAGCCGGACCACATGAAAAGAGGAGACATGTTCCAGGGATTCGGAAGTCACATTTCTGGAATTGCCTCCCCTATGACCCACTTAGCCTCATCACGGAACTAAAGGCCGGGCTTGGTTTGACGGGCCGCTTTAGTTTGTGTACCTTGAAATGCTCGGGGCAAGTTTTGTATCCTCCCCGGCTCCTGGTATTTTACGGTGTGGCTTGCTTCAGCTGTCGTGTGCCAACGCAGCCGAACTAAAAAGGTGATGAGAGAATGATACAATGTCAAAAACCGACAGAAGCGATTTCTCTTTTCTCTCGAAATTGGTACGAGAATGTTTGATGTTACATCGTGATAGCGCGACGGTACTAACGCGCCAACAGAGTTTGATTGGTTCATTATAATCTTGACTTTGCTGACAGGGAAGATGTCTTGGGGAATGGCGCGGTAAAAGCTTCCATTGAACAGAGCATTAAATCAGTACGTAAGAATGATTAAAGCTCCACTGAACCCCCAACAGCCACAGAGAATATTGACTTGGTAAAGGAAGATTTGATCCCTGCTGTTGCTTTCTGCAACGTGTCACTATTCTCATCCTGGAAATGTCGGCGAACGAGATGCTCACCACGGCACGAAGTCTACAGGATAATGTACTCCGATTCACGGCGGGGTTCCTCTGCTACAAAATTTGGAATAAAATTTGGAATTAAATTTGGAATCAAATCTGTATTTTGTGTTGATCCCAGCCACTCCAAAGACAATCTCCGCCTAGTCAAGCTGTGTCAGCAAATGTGGCGCCGTAATCGGAGAAGCTCCCAGTCACGTACGGAGTATAAGGCTGCTCATGATCTGATCTAACGCACGGATGATAGACAGTGATTCTGTACCTGTTTTGGATACCAATTCGCTCTTTTGAGTTGACGCGAATCGTCAATCTCAAGCGGTTTCACGCTATCCATTGTTATTTTTTAGTCGCGATTAGACAGCGAGGGTTTCCATCATGAACCAAATTATTGATGAACCCGATCGCAATGAAGCAGCGCCTTTGTTAGCTGACTCTGAGACCTCAAATACTGCAGAATGGCCTACGAATAACTGGTGGACTGAGCTGTCGCTCATTGCACGTTACACTATCCCTCTAGTGGCCACTTACCTACTGCAGTACTCTTTCAGTGTCATCACCACCACCACAGCTGGTCATCTCAGTCCCGATGATCTCGCTGCCGCCGCCATTGGTGTCACCACAATGACCATCGGTGGCCTTGCTCTCTATGAAGGAATGGCCACGGCTCTCGATACTCTTTGCGCACAGGCCTATGGAAGTGGAAACAAAACTGGCGTTGGATTGCACGTCCAACGCATGCTGCTTTTGATGACAATTGTCACCATCCCGGTCGCCATCATTTGGATAAGCTCTCCAGCCTTTCTGACTCTTATCCTCCGACAAGACGATCTTGCCGCGAAAGCCGGTTCATTTCTACGCGTCAGCATCATTGGCATCCCTGGATACGCCTCATTCGAGGCCCTGAAGCGATTCTTACAAGCACAGGGCGACTTCAACACTGCCATGCTTGTCTTGGTGGTTTGTGCCCCCGTGAATGCCCTTCTCAGTTGGCTGTTCGCATTCCGTCTCAACATGGGCCTTGAAGGAGCCGCTCTCGGCGCTGCTGTCGCGAACACTCTCCGACCAACCCTCCTCCTTTTGTGTATCTTTTTCAAAAAGTCAACTCATGAGTGTTGGCCAGGTTTCACCTTTCGCGCTTTCCAGAGCTGGGGGCCCATGATACGGCTGTCTGTGGCAGGATCGGCTGTCACATTAGCTGAGTGGACCGTCTTTGAGATCATCACAGTTAGCACTTCATACATCGGTACCATATACCTTGCTGCACACACAATTTTGACCACAACGTCTATAGTCATGTGGCACATCCCTTTCTCACTTGGTGTTGCAGTCAGTACAAGGATTGGGCATCTGATCGGCGCGGGGCATGTTCAAGTTGCTCGTCGTATCACTATACTCTACGGTGTCCTATTCGTTGCCCTTGGAACTATGAATGGAACAATCTTGTTGTTGCTTAGGAATTATATTGGCCCTTTCTATACCAATGACGATGCTGTGCGTCGCGTTGTGGCTGATACAATGTTTGCAGTCGCCGCTTTCCAGGTCGTTGACTCAATCATTTGCGGATGCAATGGGGTTCTCAGAGGTTTGGCCAAACAAGCAGTTGCCGCATGGGTAGTCTTCATTGTTAACTACCTGGCTGCTGTCCCTATTGCTATTTGGATGGAACTGGGGCCTTTACATCTGGGGTTGAATGGTGTATGGTCGGGAATCATAGGAGGTTCTGCCGTTATTGCTGTCGTTGAGATTGTCTACATGATCAGAGCGGACTGGAGACAGTCTGTTGAGGTAGTCAAGACCAGAGAAGACTAGGAGGCTCACGGGACATCCCAGGCGGATGTAATGAGACATTGAACATTTATATTTTGATAGACATCAGCCTCTCAAGAATAATCAAGACGCCATCACACACTTGTCGAAAGCTACTTAATTGCCTTTCCAAGCTTTTGACCCTTTATATGCAAGATAACGTCTAGTTCAAACATGCAGGGAACACACCCTTTGCGTACGCACAATCCCCAGGCGTACGGCAAACCTGCGCACTCCAAATTATCAGTACCAATAGCCAATGGGCGACCCTGTCTACGATGGGAAAACCATACTACCGGTCTATGAGTCGAATGTTGGTTCTCTCGTCATTGGAACTCAATCACACGTAATTTCCACTGCTCCATCTGTTACTTGAAGATGAAGACAAGGAGCAAATCGTGACTGAGGATGGCTCCGACTAGATATAGATTAGTCAAAAGTTTCATTGGTATTTCCGGAATACGTTGCAATCCCTGGAAAGTTGTTGATCGAAGTTATGCATGAATTGTTGTCCCTGATTTCCCCAAGACATGTGCAAGAACCCGATTATTCAAACCACCCTATTTAGACTAATGATCAACAAATGGCTGGCTGGAAAACACAAAAACAGATCGCTTGCTAAAAAGTAGTTCAAGACATTTCTATCTTTCATTGCACTGACAGTTCCTTGCATACTTTTGTGACTGGCTAACCAGGAGCTTCTTCTCCAATGCAAGGGAGTGTTGAAACTAAACTATACTTTCCATCGACTTTTTGACTAATTCAAGTGTTATGTCTCACCCCATGGCAAGGTTCCTATCCGAAAGGACATGGCCCAGATTCTTCTTGTAAATGATGGCGTAAGCTATTGCAATTACCCTTACTCCTTGTGTTGGTTTGTTAATTTGGCTTTCAGCCCTGTCTCAAAGGCCAATAACATTTCGCATAGCTAAACACATGATCAGACAATTTCCAGAGTTATCAACTCGCCTGTTTTCCGTTGGATTTTTCGTGACAGCCACATCTCACTTACCCTTCCTATTACTTCATCATGAAGCGTCAACTTACAACATTTGCGCTGCTAGGTGGTATCGCCAAGATAGCCATTGCTTCTGCTGATCTTGGCGATGTCAGATATGGGACCAAGGACCCGGTACATACTGCATTACCTACCTTTCCACATACTTGGCACCTGTTTCCATGGGCACTGAGCTTCCCGAACCTTCCAAAAATTCTACTGAGTCTGATCGCACAACTTCATTGAGTACAAGCGACGAAGACCGTTTCTCAACAGACGCCAACCCAAGTCTGGTCACTACACTTAGTCCGGAGCAGTCTTCGTCGGCGTTAGCTACAGAGCCAACCTCGGTGGAGTTTGATCCTACTGGCCAACGTATTATTTTCGCTGTAACCCCATCTGAGGAGTCAAGGAAGCGAGATATTGGAGGGTTTGTTGGCAATGGCATCTGTACCTTCGCCACTGTCTTCACCCTTGGAAACGGTCGTCTCTTCGAAGGAGGGATACCCATCTCATACCTTGGTGATGCTTTCCAACTATTACAATCATCATCAGTACCTTCTGGGGACGACATCACTACTACTTTCAGTAATAGTGGGGGATCGCTCCGTTTTGTCAACCCTCGACTTCATGGTAGCCAGGCATCCTTTTGTCAGACATCCTCTGACGGCGATATATATATGACATTCACGTCTAGGCCACAAGGCTGCGTTCCTGTTCGTTTGACCATTTACGGAGGTGAGTCTTAACCCAGCGTTATCTAGACAGTTACAACTAACCGACGACACTCTACAGTTGAGCGGTGCATCAACGGTCGGATTGATGGCCTGGACACTTCGACTGCCGCCAACACTCAGGTCGAGAGTACCCAAGCGCCAGAGCTACCCTCCTCCGAAAATCCAGATTCCACATCACTTCCTCCACCTGACGTGACTGACGAGGAGACAACATTCCCTACAATGACGATTGACCCTACAAGAGCTCTCTCTTTTAGTAACTTCACCTCTCGACAATCCACTGTCAAAATCCCATCCTTCACAAATGGCGTAGTCCTCCCTTCCCTGTCCCCCTCAAGAACTGAAGAGCCAACCCCTTTTGAAACGGAAACATTGCTTCCAACCGTTGCCGGTACCTCTGAAGAAGTACAGAGTTCTTCCGAAGTAGAGACATCAGCACTTGCCAGTACGTCGGACTTGCCTGTCTTTGAAAGCTCTTCTTCCGTGACCGAGCTACTTACCTCAAGCATTTCTACATCCTCTACGCCCACATCCATGTTTCTCACATCGATCAGCGATGAAGCTTCTTCTACTATACCTATGTCCTATGAAACATCGTCCTTGACAGACACTTCCGATGTTTCATCTATTCTCACAACTTCCTTCGAATCAACTACGCAGGAACCCACTACCACCACTTCCATAGAATCGACAACGACAACAACTCAAGACCCTGTCATTATCACAAACCGTGTAGCTAATGGCAGGTTCGCTACACCAAACCCCGACTCTGACGGTGGCATCATGGGCTTCGAGACGGAAGGTGATGCCACACATCATAACGGCGACTGCTTCAGTGAAGATGATGGTACTGATGACGAATGTGTCGCCCTGAAAATATCCAACGACAGTAAGAGAGACGTGGGTTCCTTTGTCGGTATATCACAGATGCTTCCATCTCTGAGCCCCAGCAGGACTGCTCTCTATACTATACAGTTCTACTATGCTGTAATTACTCTGGGGGGAAGTCAGACATGCACAATTGATGCATTCATTGGTAGTCATCAGGTCTACTCACAGGGGCTTTCCACCGGCGACGGTGCGACCAAATCGTAGAACAGAGTACTCACCACTGTCAGATCTGACGCACAAAGCACGAGCTTGGGCATCTCGATGTCTTGTTCTGGTAGTGGAGTGGCAACAGTTTACGTCGACTCAGTCTTTGTCTCAGATCAAGTCACACCAGAGAGTATCGACGCCTACCAGCTTGGGTTTGACGACAAGAAGGGTCCAGCGTGAGAAATGAAAACGTTCTTACTGGGTAGGCGGACGCTGTTGGACTTGACCAGATTATATTGATTAGTCTGTAACGCCCCTCCGAAGAAGTGTTCTGGCGCTCCTTTTCATTGAACCATTCTGCAAACGAACTGCATTCTATTTATTATTTCTCCTACTGATTGCTTCGCTATGGCTTGAGTTTGTACATTAACTTCCTCTTAATTTAATTCTATTACGTTATCCCATTATCCACTGTTCTCTCCATTTGCCTTGAATACCCATTGAATCATTGTTTGTCCTGCCTCATCGTGAGCGTCTCATGTTGCATGACGATGACATGTCGACAGCTGAGTCTAGTAGTAACATGCATAAGCTAGAAGTAATTCTTTGGGGGTTTCCTCTTGCTAACGGTCAAGGAAGGCGACTCGGAGCTTGTCTGTCTGGCATCCACTGCACTTCATATGGGTATCTAAAAGCCATTGAAGGACCACCTCGCATGTCTAGAATAAGGCGCCTCAAAAGGATATCCTTAAGTTCGTAACCGCGTAGAATTGAAACTTGAAAGCCTTTTGTTTGATGAGTCGTTGCAATTTTGGTGTCAATTGACGTGATCTCGCCTGTCATGTGATTGGCCAATTGAAGGCTATAAATGAGGATTCTCTTTCCCCCTCACCTGTGATGATTTAACATCCCTCCAGATAGATTCATTCGAAGAGCACCAGAAACCATTGTCATGACACCTACGCTAGACCATATCGTCATTTTGGTATCGTACCAGACGTTACAAAAGCTACCCAAGTCGCTCGAGAATGTTCTCACCGTGATCGGTAAGCTGCATGCTTCTTGAGCTGATCGAGTTAAACTTATACAGATAATAGATGGAGGTACCCACGCAGATGGCCGTACTGTCAACAAGCTCATTGAATTTTCTGACGGAGTCTATATCGAGCTTATAGCGTTTCAGGAAGGTCTTGATCGTGAACAGCGAAAAGCGCATAGATGGGGAGAGTTGGAAGAAAACACCATCGTCGACTGGGCCTATACTCTTCCTAACGAAGAGGAATTTGGTACGATACAAAAGCAGGTGAAAGAATCGAGTACTAAAGTTGCCTACCACGACCCGGTCCCGGGAGGCCGCCTTCGACCTGACGGGGTCGAATTGAAGTGGTCCGTAGCATCTGCCTACAACGTTTCTGGCCAGCCTCTGCAGCCCGGAAAAGCTCCTTTCTGGTGTCTCGATCGTACTCAGAGGCATTTGCGCGTTCCGTACCAAAATGATGACGGTTCTCAACCTTCCTACACCAAACATCCGTCAAGAGCTACTGGCGTCTCTTCTGTTTCGGTCTTTGTACCTCAGCCTGATCGTGACACTATCGCCCAAGTCTATAACGGCATCCATGGTTCTTCACCAGAGAGAGAGACTTGGCATTTTATTGTCCACTCAGGCTCAACGCAGGGTAAACACCTTCTGACGTTGGAAAACAGTCAAGATGAACAACGAAACATCCGTCTTACCCTTCTCGGTGATTATGGCAGCCCCAGTAACATCGAAATCGTGCCTGGTTTGACCGTGGGCATTGATTCTGGTGCCCAATGAACATTTTCTGAGCTTGTCAGCGTATTTGAGAGTGGGGAGAATAGATCCAGAGCTGTGAGGTAACCATTCTGGTTAGCTGGATAGATTTTGAGACAACGAGTCAGGGTAGATGTGGGGTTTTCGAGGTGCAATAGAGTGTTCTACTGCTAGAATGCAGGGGCACGGAATCATTGCTTATGGGCTCCTGTCGGTTGGAGCAATGTTGAGTCGCGAAAGTATGGATGTAGATATTTGTCATAGCCACACTCTTGGCTTTGATGTAACGTTTCTCATCTCGAAATTACAATCCGAATGGGGTCTTTACGTCTTGAGAAGCGAGACTGTGCCGCACAATTTGAACAAGTAATCTAGATGGGTCGGTTAAAGGCGCCGAGCATAGACATGGTCTGATCGCGTAGTTCAGCCCTCCTTACAGGCAGGGGTAGCTGTGCCGACCAACAATCGCCAAAGGTCATTTTCGTTAAATTTCTGAGTACTGAAAAATACATCTTGTTGCTTCCAGCATAATCCTCTACCTGCAAAATGCGCAGGGATCGATAGCTGCTATGACATGTTGTAACAGTGCAAGTTCAAAGAAGAAGCCAAGCAATACCAAGAGGACCATCGGCTTAAATGTGTGAGCCGTCTGACCAACAACCCCCTGCAATATAGCGCACCTGGTACGGTAAGCCCAATGAGCCTCCTCCACCAAGGTCCAACAAAGTCCCATCATCTCGAACCAACCGCTCATCGGTCGCTTCCTGTCTTATGTATTAATTAGTCTACGCCGCAGTTACAATTGGGTCTACAGGAATATAATTGGAGGAAGTATTCGTGTAATTTTAAAAGTGTCGAGACTCTTAAAGTGAGACCTATCGCCTATTTACTTCCTTGCCTCGAATGATCGCCTTCAGCCTCGAAACCTCTTAATCCTCGAAACTGAAACATCTAGCCGAGAAACGGCATCGGACCGCTCATTCACTTTACTTCTTTTGCTGCAGCACATTACTATTCCCTCTTTTCTTACCATGGACTCCTATTCTTTTGACCGACTCGGCTCACGAAAAAGTATCATGCTTGTCATGTGTCTTCTCGTTATGCTCGGTGTAACGGTCCACGTTTATGCTCTCCTATTCTCATCATCCTACAGGTCGCCTAGTATATTTCTAGCTCCACGATCCATAATATCGACGTCGAAATGAAAAGAGAAAAACAATATCGCGATTGTCGCGGCAAATTCAACGGCGGATCAAGATCAGACCATGCTAGAAGGACGGCAGGCTATGGCAGCTTTCGAAGACGATCCAAAGCTGCAAGAGCAAATGGAATGATTGCCACAGACCTCAAATGATCTTAACGCAAAGGTATTCATACTCTGTTGTGAAGTGTCAGAACAGGGCGAAGCAGCGTAAGTCAACCCACATTCTTCAACCACGAGCACAAAGTTGCAAAGCCTCGTCCCTTGTTCGGACTTCTTCAGCGGCATATGCTGTCAAATCGTTAAGGTTCTGACTCGTTTCAAGTCACATGGCTTGGAATAGCCTCCCGGACTTCGCCCCGGGACGACCTTGGTATGAAAACCGGTCGATTACACAACTTCATGATAAAGGTTACGACAATATAAGGTTTTTTTCCATTAAATATTATTCAAGGCACCTATGTGGCGCCGCTTTCTGACCTTGAGCCTACGCTTCTGATACTTGATATATCCCAAAATCCATGAAACACACCTAGCTCTGGATCATATAGACCAGAGCGACCAGACCTTCGAAACTCTTGTTTCTTCAACTGTGATTGAGTTCTCACTATAGGATGTGGCCCAACATTTGTCAAGCTTATCGGTGCTCGCGCTGATTCTTCTCTCGTTGAGAGCCCAGGAAGGAAGTGACGAAAGATGGGTCGAAGCATGGGGAGACAGGCTATATCTTCTGTTAGCTTTCGTTACAGTGATAGCTGTAACTCCGTTCATACCTGAAAAGACTGCCATATTAGTTTCCACAGTAGACCACATCATATTCGCTGCCATGTCTTTGGGAATATCGTCGGTTCGAGGATTATATAGTTTGGAATGCACCAAGACAAATATCGACGCAACGCAAACTCTTCTCGGGAGTCAGTAGTAATTCCATCATAAGTCAGGTCAACGTACATAGTTCCAGAGGTGAAAAGGCCAACCACAGCCAGCTTTTGCGACAATGGCAAACTCATCTTCATGACTTCGATAACTGGCAAAATCAGGATGATACAATCCATCGTCGTGTGTACGAGAATCGTGGCAAAGAAGAAGTTTGCCTCGTTGAAGGGACATTTCGCGCCTTGGATACTCTTGTCCCAATATGCCTGAACTGGAACACAATGGAATATAACGAAAAAAGTACGAATCACAATCCAAATGCTTACAGCAACGAGCAGGCCTATGATCGCATATCGAATCGAGGTATACTGGAACACCCGCCAGTAAAAACATAGAATAGCCAGTTTGCAAAAGGCGATCGATGAGGCATAGAGGAGTTCGCAGATCCATAGTAGGAGTCGTGATCGGTCCTGGATGCGGCTGGCTTCGACCGGATCTGATATCGTGCTGAGAGACTGTCCGAGCTTGAAGCTATGGGTCCCTAAATGTCCATGATAAGCGAACGTGGTGGGTATCTTGGAAATGTCGTGCATACAGTAAATAATCACAGAACAATAACTCGTGATAAAAAACTACAGTCAAATAATGAGCACGTGCGCATGTTGAATATGGAATCTGCGTACCAAGGCGACAATGGCAAAATAGTCATCGATCCACAGTTTCGTCTTCATCATCTTCCGGGCTTTGATTCGCATTACAAGGGCTAGAAAAGCTGCGACCCAGGTAATGCTGAGCGCTGCATAGATATCGGGCTGAAGCCCGGCCATGACGTTGAGATTCGAGCTACAAGGCTGGAGAAGAGTTCTCAACGGGCATTTTGATCAAAAACAAGGGCTGTCTCTGCAGCCTCTTTCAATTGATTCAATTGACCTTGACCAGTGATGAGAAAAGAGGGATTCGTATTGTCTCAATGCCTCGGTTTGGTTTGTCGAAGGCGGGGGCAAGAGAAACATAAATTAGCGGAGGGGAACAGCCAGCTAATGAATAGCCAGCACAGTTTTTCCCTCGTGAGCCAAGACCAGTCCTCTGACCAATATTTCAGTCCCAGGTGACATCCGTCGTGGATAGAAAATCCGGGGTTAGTTTCCTGGATCCGCAAAAAGACGGGTTCACAATCCAGGACGGTTTAGCTCATATCGGATGGATACCGATGACAATATTCAACAATAAGAATTCTTCAATGAGCAAAGAGGTCCAGACCATTGAGACCTTCCAATAGTAGACCCGTGGTGTCGGGAAAGCTCCAAGGTTTCTATAGTTTACATCGATTGCATCGTGGCTTGTCAAATATTTCTTCAATTGGGTGCCAAACTCGCCTAAGATAAGAGCCCCTCACTCAAAAACATCGGAGCTTGAGCCGTGATGGTCCGGCCTCCTCATAAATCGCTATCGCAGTCGTGGGTCTCGTGGCAGAGTAACCCTAGTCTGGCCGAGAAGCTAAGACTCTTGCCCACTTGATAACCTCAAAGTTAATTGGAGACCATACCCATCAAGGATAAGGACAAGAGATTTGACTTGGTGCCGTCGCTAGTTTTGCATCTGCACAACACCGAGCGCTTGGGTTGATAACCGTTGCTAATTACCGGATAGTCCGTTGTGACACCTTAAACAGTCACTGCGGAACCTTTTCTTCCTATCTTTTGAGAACCGGCAGCAGAGAAATGCGGACTGGTTGATGCTTTGTCATGTCTTGACCAGGAGTCACCTTTCACACCGTTTATGAGCAACCCTTGTCACGTTTTATGACGCGTTGGTCTAGTATGTGAATTCACAACAAGCAAAATTGGGACGCGATGATTCGTCAGTTGGCGAGTTTGTGCCCCATCAACGTAAGGGACATACCCTGGACTGCAGTGTTGTGGAAGTGGTTTCCAATTACTATGGTAATAAGCTAAAGCCAGAAGTAATGCTGTTGGGAGAACGTCTTACAAGTAAATAAGAAATATAATCATCCTTGAACCTGACACGATGTCGGCCAGACGTGGGACACAGGCTTGAAATATGACGAGATGTTTATCCGCCGAGTTGCTTAGCTGTTATCTTGTTCAGACTTTAGTTCCCACCGCTGGCTTCAAAGGTCACAACATGCACAAAAACGGGGGGAAAACAGCCACTTGATGGCATTTTAAATCACTTGCAGATATCATAAACGTTCGGCGCCCAAGACACACCCGAAGTACCAGGCGTTTCCACTAACCTCATCACCTCAAGTGTGAACTGTAGTGTACATTGATCCCCGCAACGCATGTCCAATTTCTGAAACGATCAGTTACTGTAGCTGGTCCTCAGGACAACAAAAAAGTCAGACGCGGGACCACACTAATACTAGAGTTCTGTGTCAGGCATATTTGTCACCCCTTAACCGCTGTAAAGACACATCGTTGTACCGCAGCCTTCTTTTCTCGCCGCTGTCATGCATCGGTGAGAAGCTCTGATTCTGACCATTTGTAGTGCAGAACCGGAATATCACATGCTTACTCACATCATTAGTCACATTTACAATGTATTGGCAAGAACCACAGGTCTCAGAGCCGCATAAAGACGTCAACATCGGCCAATCGCATGATTTGATGTGTCGCATGTCCTGCATGAACGGACCTTGAAGCCATTTCGGGAACACACATTCAAGTTAGATTTATACTGGGCGACGGTCAAACATCATTACGGAAGTCGTATGACTGCAGCCTTCTAGAGATGATTGACATATAAAAAGCCATGACTGGCCCCCAAACTCATTGCCCCTCCTGTGAATAATGTGAAGCATGCGACCGCCCGCCATGACTCCCCCAACCCTTTCGCTAGACTCTGTGGAGTCGTTGGCAATTTCATTCTCTGCCGGCGTGTCTGCACATGTTTTCGCTCTACGCAAGGGCGAATGGGACCTCTGGACGATGCGATTTATTTGCGCGTGGATAACTTATGAAGCAGTTACACCGTGTGCATTGAACCAGTTGAGGCCCATGGCCTACTTCGATGCGATACTTCTCGCCAACAAATGGTTTTTCTCATTCTTGTTCGGCATAACAAGCAGTATCTTGATCTACCGAGGTTTTTTCCACCGTCTGAATAGGTTTCCCGGCCCCTTTGTAGCACGGCTCTCGAACGTATACGCCTCTTGGCTAGCAATAAAAGAAGAGCACATGTATCTAGAGGTCCAGAAACTGCACCAGAAATATGGAGATATTGTCAGAATCGGTAAGTCAGCACCGCAAGATACCAAAGCACATGCCTTACTGAAAACTGCCAAGGTCCTCAGGAGATTTCCATCGCAACTCCAAGCGCGTTTCGTATCCTTCACGCAAACAATTCGCCCATTTCTAAAGGCCCATTCTATAACGTTGCCCATCCCTGGGTAAACCTCCTCGCCGACCGAAACAAGAAAAGCCACGCTCGTCGAAGAAAGACTTGGGATAAGGCTTTTACAGCAAGAGGTAGCAGGAGCGCTCCTTTCCTGTGTCAAAATCCCATACTAATCCTGAACAGCGCTTAGAGATTACGAGCCGCGAGTCATAAGATATACGAAACAATTGACCGATCAGATCGAGAAGACCAAAGGAACGCCACTCAATATTGCGGCCTGGATCAATTTTTACACCTTTGATATAGTGGGCGACCTTGCTTTCGGCACAAGCTTCAACTATCTGGCCAAAGGGGTAAAGGATAAGTTCTTGACTGAGTCACATCAAAGTCAGGTTCTAATGGGTTACTTTCGCCAATGTACCTGGCTCTTTGAAGTGTTCAAGGAAACTCCTTTCCTGAACAATTCGTGGCTATCGTTTCAGTCGTGGTTAAAAGAAAAGGTGGAGATCAGACGAAAGGTAGGTGAAATCTGAAGTGAAAGACTGATCTGACCTGTCCCAGAACAAACCCTCGGAACCTGATGTACTCTCCTGGATTCTGGAAGAATATGATTCGATTGAGAACCCCACAAAGGATGACTACCTGAGACTTTGCGGTGACGCGCATCTCATTGCTGTGGCAGGAAGGTAAGTCCAGAACTATTTGAAGTTCAAAATTAATGTAATACTTATATGAAGGCAGCGATACCACATCAGCGGCTACATCTGTTCTATTACACCAACTTACCATTCACCCTCACGTCTTGAAGAACTTACGAGCAGAGATCGACGAATACAAGGCCAACTATGAAACGTCGGACTATGTGTCAATGAGCAAGCTTAAGTACCTCCAGGCATGCATCGATGAGTCTCTTCGTCTTAACCCGGTCATTATGTCTGGCCTCCAGAGAATGACGCCACCCGAAGGAATGCAAATCGATGATGTCTTCATTCCCGGAGACACCATCTTCCATGCTCCTTCGTACACTATGTATCGAGGTATGTATATCCTATCTCTCGTCTGACCACACACTAAAATCATTGGAGATGAACGATGCTTTGTACGTCCCCTTGAGTTCATCCCCGAGCGATGGACGACCCAACCTGAATTGACCCTTGATTCATCTGTATATGCTCCATTCTCTACTGGTAAGAAAACTCAAAAATCTCATCATAATATGTTATATCTAACTAGAATAGGTCGTGGAGCATGCGCAGGAAAGCAGTTGGGTCTGATGGAGATGCGTTACGTCCTGACAGAGATTCTGTCCAAGTACGATATGGCATTCGCGGCCGAGACAGACCCAGGATCTTTTATTCATGGCTTGAGAGACTGTTTTACACTGGAGGTTCCGGAGCTAAAGATGATATTCACTCCGAGATGTGAGAAGGAGCATTAAGTAATACCACCCTAAATAGTATCTTGCCTGGCACATACGAGGCGGAACACTGGAGATTTCATTTGGTAGTCATAAGGTCTTGTAGCTAATCCGAGGAGCCATTCCCTGTCTGCGTCTCAAATTTGAAACCAACCTTCCCTCTTCCTTCATTCATAGACTACATCATGTAGTGCAACCCCATGTAGAGTGGAGAGACTGCCGGCCTACTAACTACAGATTGCCGCTCCATTTCTCCAGTTCGTAACATCAAAATTGGGATACAGGTAGGCTGTAATCTCAAGGAGCTGCTCCAACGGAGTTATTTTTCCATGAGAAGGGAAGACTCTGCGACGTCGTCAATTTAATCGCGAAACAGATACAGGCCATATCGCGTACATTGTGTGCTGAGGTAGACCATCCGAGACAATCTGGTCTAACCACTGTCTCGTCTGGCCCTGGTTTGAAAGCTCAGCATCCAGCCCAGCCTTCCAAGAATCGGCTTCAAATGCAATCACGGGTGAGTCGGCAGAAGCACATAGCTCCGTAAAAAAGACATAAGTCCAATCAGAAGCATGTGCTGTTTGGGCCTCCCAGTTGAACCAAGCCGTGATTGTGCCGTCGGTATGCGTATAAGGATGGCTTTGACTATGCTTTTGTGAGACAAACTTGGCAGATTCAGTGAGGAGGTCCTTACTTGAATGTGATGAAACTAGCTGCACAAACACTAGACCAATGATCTACAGCGATCTCGAGGATAATTGACTTGACACCGGCTTGGGCGAAGTCGCGAATTCCACCAGAGTGGTCCCGGTGATGATGTGAAGGCTGTGATAATCAGTCCTATCCTCAGCGAAGTTGTTTGATACATACTGCAACGAAAGTGATGGGTTTCTTGAGATTCTCTGACACCCATTGTTTGATAGTGTCGCTCCAATCTGGTGGCGCATCGCAAAGAATCACTTCCTTGTCAAACTCAATGATGACCATCTTGAACCCGAGGTCATCCCTGTCGTTGAGAACAAGCCAGTGTACCTGAGATAGGCCGCGGACTGGGTTTTCCGCTCTAACGATCTTCAATGGCTGTTGAGCGATACCTGAGCCGAGCATACTGGAGCTGTAATCAGTCACAAGGCCGTTGGAGATAAGGGAGGATTTTTCAGGTGGGGTCTTAGGTCCCAAGCTCTGATCTTCAGGAATTCCATCGAAGTATCCAGCGGGAAAGTCCGGATTCAGAGTGACTTCTTCGATGCGAAAGTCTCTACAACAGCACTGAGACGCTGCGAGCTCGAGTTCTAGATAGTTTGGACAAGACGAGGGAATTCGATGCCTTCGACTTCCTTGTACTCAGAGAGATACAAGTCCTTTGTCGCGGTACCGTAGATTGGATGGCTCTCTGTCGTTCATACAATGTATGGCAAGTCCGACTTTGGATCCATAAATACTGTGATGCCTTATTGGCTGTCTTGGACTTTGAAGTGTCAGCGGTATATGAGAAGAGGCTGGGACAGGCATACCGGCTTGGAAATAGACTCCATTTATCTCCAAGTTGCTCACAGACACAGACGTGGAGTTTCTCATCTGAAATGTGTCAGCTGGTCACATCTAATACTGTTCCAATGGCACCGTCAGACTGTGACTCACGCGATATACAAGATGAGGGGACAACATCCGAGCCTCCATGATGAGATTTCGAGTGAGAGCAGCTTTCAATGTTAGGCATCTTGAGTTATCACGAATTCCAGATTGTTCTCTTACCATCAGTGTAGCCGAATGTAACATTATATGGAACATGTATCATGTTGTTTCCTTTGGTATAACATGCAAAACCATCTGCTCCGTCTTGTACAACAAGAGAAAAGTCAACTGGTTTGAGATCAGGCGAACCCCAAGCCCACGAATCTAAGTTATGTTAACATGAAGCTGCAGCTATGATGCGCGGAAGCTCACTTGAAGGGGTCGCATGACGGTCAATTCTCTGCTGCAAAACCTCAGCATCAAGCCTATAAGGGATGTTCTGGGACCCAGATGTCATGACCGATGTGTCGGCCCTCGTAAGCTGGTAGCTTTGCATAAGTGATCGCGATCGGTAGATGCTGTCTCCGCAATTACAAACGAGTTTACACTTTAGCTCTGAAAGTCTAACCTTGGTGCATGGAAAGTTATTCTACCTCCGAGGGCGTCGAGGGCTGCATCCACAAGTCCCTGGGCTGTTGGTCCGGTGACCAGCTGTGCATAGACGACTGTTATTTGGACAAGACCTAAAAGGACCAGGATGAACCAAGACCACCCCATCGTGGTTTTGGAATGGTAATTCGATACGATCCCGGCTTCGAATCAGTATTGGCAAGAAAGATTTGGCCAATGTTATGCTGCGTTCCGTTGTACTGGGGAGAAGCACAATGTTGGGTGCCTTCAGTAAACAAGGGTTTGGAATCAAGACTGATCATGTAGGGAAAGTAGAAGCTTTATATATATGCACTTGGAGATGGACGCTCGATAAGGTTGAGGGGTTATGGTGAATGAGAACTGTAAAATCCCCACCTCTTTTTTGAAGTCCTCAGATAGTGGTGGTGGGCGTGTGTCAGATGTGGATTGTTATGTTTGAGTCGTTACAAGGTTTTCCCAGTGAAGCTTCTTTGTAAGCAAAGATGGAAGTATAAAAATGAAAGTGAAAGATCCCATGGAGGAACCTTTTAGTCCAAGGATAAATACGGAACTGTTCTCACCTTTTCCTTGAGTCATTTGCCAATCATTTTCTTTTTTTCCTCCTTGAGACTGATCAACGGCAACAAGATGCCGACTCAACCCCTCACTTGTTCCAGCATGGAGCATGCTACTCAAAAGATAGTGATCGAAGACTTTGTCAATAGAGCCAGAACAGTGGCTGCACTGCGACCGGATGACCAAGAGGCCTTGCGTCGGGCTCGAGTGGCTATCCGATTCTATCGCAGCTTTTGCAGTTCTTGTCCAACTCCCGGGCTTCAGACATTGCGCCATGTGTCTGTTTTCCCTGTGTAGACGTACAGTTAGGGGGTCTGTCTACTAACAGAGATATGCGTACAGATCATCGGCTACGTCCGTGACTGGGTTGACCAGGAGGGTAGGATGCATCGATCAGAGGAGACCAAAACATTGATGTCTCTAGATCGCACCTGCAAACTATTTCAACATATTGCAGAAGAGCATATATACCGCCTATTGCCATTCAGAGGGCGCTTTTCGGAAGTATGGCGGTTTCATTTCTCAATCAGTGGCGAGCCTCGTCGCGCCAACCTTATCCGATCACTCTACATTTGGTGGGGTGACGAGTACCAAAGACTGATTGACATCGTCCGAACCTGCCCAAATCTTAAGAGTTTGGCGCTGAGATGGGCACCTGGATGCGCATTCCAAGAATTAACGCCCGAGTATCTCAAAAAACACCGAGAGAATATAAAGACACTACTCCAATCATGCCCTCAAGTCAGGACCTTCAAGTTCTCGGGGGCTTCACACACACATCGTGAAGTAACGGCCCCGGAAATGCATATCGAGCAGTTCTATAAAGAGCTCACCGAACTTGAAACAGACATGAGCTCTGCTTGGGCGACGTATGCCTTATCAAAGTATGACTTCTCCAATCTAACGACCCTGAGTCTCGGACAACCATATTCCGGTTCTGCGAACTATTTTCTATATAAGATTCCGCCTGAGGTTTTTAGAAATATTCTGCGGTTAAGGAAATTAGCTCTGAGTGTGTGACTGATTGACTTTACTTCTTTGAAAAAATGCCTGCATTGCGTGGGGACCTACACTCCAACGTCTCTATCTTTATACAACTACCCAGGTTCGTGAAGATGTCGGAAATCTGATTCAATTTCTTCCAGCCCTAGAAGAGTTCTTGGTGCTTTCAATACGCGTCACAATAGTGACACGAACGATGATTGATAGCATCACGAGGATCAGTTGCCCGACGACATTGCGACTTCGGACTGTCATTTTGGGAGGACATCATAAATGCCACATACTTAAACCATATCGAACATCGGAGGAACTCATAGACTCGGCTCTTCAGTCTATGATCGACACACTATACCCAACCTTGGAGACGCTGTATCTGGGCTGCCACCGGCCAGTGCAAAGCCCATGCCTTGATCATCTAAAAAAGGCCACCAATTTGAGAAGACTCAGGATATTCTTCGAGGAAGACGTAAAACAAGAAAATATTGATTAGTTGACACAGTGTACCGAGTTTCAAAACCTACAGCAAGAACAGCAGGTAATGGACAGTGAGTATCCGTGTTTAGCTGTTGGCGAGCCTTTTGAATCGCAATTGCATGGACATGAACGAGGCTGGGATGAAAAGATATGGTAAAGAAAAGGTTATGCTTTTAATAAACTTTTTTATTATCATTTCCCCATTGACATATCTGAAGTGCATTCACATTTATAGAACCGTTTACATCGTGCCACTGTCCATGTGAATCCATGTTATATCCGAACAATCCCGTAAGCTCTATACCTGATCAGGAAATCCGAATGCGGCCCTCACCGATTGATGGAACCGCTATTGCGACATCGCAGTTACTTTATCATCCAAGACTTTTTTCCCGCCTTATTTACTCTTACTTTGCTCTGCATTTTTACTTCAGCACTGTAAATGACCGACCATGACAGGTGACGAAACAACACCACTGCTTCCCAGCAAGGGCAAAGGGAAAAAGTCCAATTGGCTGCGAAAGGTTTGCCATGTTGAAAATCGCATTTTGCTTGCGGGATTTCTCATTACATTGGCTTTTAGTTTCACCCAAGTTCCGTAGGTAGTCCCATGAAAGAGAAGCTCCTTCATTGACTGACAATTTTCAGACTATTTTATGTGTTTCATTTAATGACATGCGATTCTTTTTATGATACCCATCCTCCATATGATGGCCCAGGCGATCGATGTAGTCGCGATGAAATTGCTTCCATGACTGCGACCCAGTTCAGCATCTTGGGTATGAGCACAACATTCTGCGGTAGGTCATGGATGAGTATCTCCTAACTATCAAAATAACGCTGATCAAATGTTATTAGGCACATTGAATCTTTTTCTTGCAGGCTGGATAGCCAAAAGGTTCGGTCCGCGCGTGGCGCTTCTAATGCAAATATTTATCCCGGCTATCCGAGTCGTGACGCAAATTCTTGGTGTTTTGACAGGCAAACGAGAAGGCATGTTGATCATTCAGCTAACGCAATTGATTACGATTTTTGGGGGACCAGCCGGTTACATGTGAGACTCCAATCTTCAAAGAACGTACACACAATTACTTACAATTATTAGCCTGGTGATCAATATCATCGCTGGTGAAGTCGTCGAGCCTTTGAGAAGAACAGCAGTCTTTGGGCGACTTCAGGGCGCAATCATGTTGGGACAAGGCATTGGCTATCTGAGTACGTCATTTCCATTAATTAACTCGCCATCTGGGCATGAATAAAAGCACTAATTATCCCAGCTGGTGGTATGCTCGGCGACATTGACATAAAAGCGCCTTTCGAAACATCCTTCTGCTGTTTTATATTCTCAGGCATCTATGTCTGGAGCGTACTACCTTACATATCTCCAGAGTCCATGTCCAGTGGTGGGAAGCCTGCGACGGGATTCCTCACCCCTCTAAAAGTACTCATGCCCCAAAAGCTGCGTTTGGTAGACGGGAAGACAAAAAAGCACCTCGGTGTCATCTTCCTCTGCGGTGGTATCTTCCTTGGGGTACTCGCGACAGACTATGCACCTCTTCTTATTCAGATGTACGCAACCGCCGCGTTCAGTTTTACACAAGGAGACAATGGTTGGCTTATGTCCGAGTTTGCCATCATGAGGAGTTTCTTCTTGATCTTTTTGTTTCCCCGTATCATCACATGGGGACGCGGTTGGTATGTCAACTCTCGGACAATTTCATCCGGTGAAGTGAATGAAACGACCACGCAGCATATCCCAACCACTGCCGGGGAATTCGATGCGACTGTGGGTGAGCAAGCAGACCATGAGCCCTACCAGGCTGTAAGCTCCAACAAAGATGACGAAGGATCTCGTTTCGATCTTGTCTTCCTGCGATGGAGTTTAGTCGTAGATGGTCTTCTTACTACAGTATCAGGTTTCGCAACACAGCGATGGCATATTTATCTTGGTACGTTCCTTACCCAGACAAAACCACACCCACTAATCAACCGAGCAGCCGCCTTTCTTCTTCCCTTCGGCTCTGGCAGTGCACCTGCTGCCAAGGGTTGTATCACACAAATGTGCCCAGACTCCCAACGTGCAGATGCTCTCAACGCTGTCACACTGGTAGAAAACATTGCACGACTTGCTACACAGGGACTCTTCGGTCTGATATTTGCTACCTTGGCTCAAGCCGGCAAAGCCTACGCTACATTTTTCTGCAATGCGGTACGTTTGAAACTCCACGAACAAGCTTGTCCTCTGTGGCTAATTTATAGATAGGCCATCGCAATCGTTGCTATGGGAGTCCTTCTATTATCGAACTTTCCAACTCCCGGGAGCACATTAATTGAGCAAAATGATGGAGAGAATGAGGGACCCGGCGGAAGCCGAGAGAACGAGCCCTTACTAAACGAAAGGGAGTAATTTAGAGAACAGGGGTTTTGCATATGAAGAAGCATAAGCCGGCGTTCAAAACATTGGCTAATCACAGAGCCCCATGGCATGACCTAAACATGAAGTCACAACTGCATGATCTAAATTGAGCTAGTCTTTAATTATCAAATATTCTCCATTGTATTTGTAGAGTTTATTAAACTTGAGGGTAAAAGGATAAATTGACATTGCATTTGTTGGTAGAGCACCATCCTGAACATAAAGTGGTAGGCCGCGGATGCGAGGAAGTGAATTATGACAGATCCTCTTGGTTTCAAAGGCGTAGCTCCCTGAATCTTCCACCACCAAAAAGGTCCTTGTAGCGAATAGACCTCTTAGGCTTGTGGCTAAGCTCTGAGGTGCCCCAGCCTTTGCGTATAGGAGCACTGTTCGGTGGACATTCAAATTTCCATTGTGGCTCGTCACAAAATCCCGGTTGGTTAGCTATAGTGACATGACATCGAGATATGGAAGCCGGCTCAAAATATGGCGCTCGGAACCTGAAATCAAAATCTTGTAGTCGTCGGGGAAGTTTGAGGGATACAGTACCGCCAGCTATGAGCGCCAGGACTGTGAAACGTGGCACGAGTTTCATCGCCGCGATTTGTTCCACGTTGTAAAGAATATCGGTTGATTATGAGCTCTAGAAACCTGTTAGCCCCGTTACCCGGAATGGACTGTGAAAATACTTGAGAAACCACCAGCAAAATGGGTGGTATATTGTCAATAGGTAAGGATTGAATAAGACTTGAGCGACATTCTTATATTAACAAAATCTCACTTTAAACAAAAATTTAACATAAGTAAGCTAGTGTATGGTCAAAATGTGTGAACAAAGTATCTATGCTAAACTTTGCATCGGCAAAGGTAGAGAACATCCATCATCTCGAATATGAACAGAACTAAATTGGTTGCGAAATTTCTAAATTTAGGAAATATTTATACTGATTAGCGGGACTGTCGAATCACCATCCCACGAAACTAAGTATATTTTATATTCCTGGATACATTCATGTGCAATCTCGCATGTACAAGTCAAGGCAGATAGCCGCAAATCCCATGGGCTGACCTATACTTTGTCGAATTACCTCATGTGCTCATGTTCACTTCGTCTCCAGAAGCTGACTTAACACCAGGCTCAACGTCCATAACATCCCTATTGTGTGCAGAGGCAGTCACGAGTCCAGGCTGTTGCTCTTTCAACTCCTTGAACTTCTTCTCGGCATCCCATACCCATGGTGTATTAGCGGCAAACAGCAGATCCATTTCCTCTAGAGTGCGCTGGTTACTCTCGGGGTACAGAGCCCACACCATGGGAATGGCTAGCAGGTTGGCTGCACCAAAGATGTGAAGTGTGTTCTCGCCGATCTTAGAGAACATGACGGGGCAAAGAAGCGTCAGCCAACCGTTGCCGATGGACCATCCAAAGACACCAAACGCGTTTCCTTTGGCCCGAACTTGGAGCGGGAAGATTTCAGCTGGGTATAGCCAGGGCACTGTCAGCCATGTAGCGCCAAAGACGAATGTGAAGATAAAGACGAAGGAAGCGGCAGCAGCACCGTAAGAGTTCGCCTTGTCAATGTCTCCAGCATCCCTGGCATCTTGGCCAAGTCTGGAAAAGGCAGCAGCTAGAAACATGGCGATTCCCTGGCCTACCGCACCCCAGTAAAGAGTCCATCTCCGGCCGATGCGATCCAGAGTGTAAACACAGATCAACGTAGCGAACATGTAGAAGATATTGTTGAGACCCGATATCCATTGACTCTTTTTTGTGTCGAAGCCTGCGATACGGAAGATTGTAGGTGCGTAAACTGTAACCCCGGCAATTCCTACCCATTCTTGCATAATTTGTAGCTGCTTGCTGTCAGACTTTGTTTCAACATGATGCTCTGAGACTTACCCAGATGACAAGCTGTACACGTCTACCAGTGTGCAGCTCACCGGACCCAATACCGAAGAACATGTGGAAGTATGAATTCTTGGAAGATTCCTTGTTCTCAAGCTGAACGATATTCTTGATGTCGGTATACTCAGCGTGAGCGCGAGCACGATCAAACTCACTTGACCCACGAAGGCGTTGGAGGATATACTGAGCTTCGTCATCACGTCCAACCTTGACGAGCCAACGAGGCGATTCGGGGAAAAACCAAACACATCCCAAGAGAACGAGGAGAGGGAGGATCTGGAAGGCAATCGGGAACCGCCAACCGAACTGCGAGCCATTGTTGTCGATGTAGGAAAGACCAAACTCGAGCCAGTACGCGACAACGACTCCAAAGATGTTGAGAGTGAATTCTATGGCTATGAACTGTCCACGGGAGGTATGCTCAGCTGTCTCAGTAGCCCAAACAGGAACAATAGCATTTAGAATACCTGTGCCGATACCGTTGACAAAACGTGAGCAGATCATCCAGTCGTGGTTCTGAGCTGAACATTGCAACGCAGCACCTAGGATTGCCCAGACAGAGCCAACAGCGATAGTCTTGATTCTTCCAAGTTTGTCTCCGATCCATCCACCCAAGAGGCAGCCAAAGAGAGTGCCCAGATAGTAAACGGAGACGATTCCTCCTTGGAGCAGACTGTCGGTGACGACAGGTTCGCCAGTTCCTTCGTCGACGTAACCAAAACCCATCAAATCGATGTAATGTTTCGAATTGTTGACACCACCCATCATTCCTTGGTCATATCTTTCGAATTATCATCAGTCATTTGTTCCATCGTTGAAGGGTTGTTGTTGTTGCATACCCAAAGAAGAAAATGGACAGAGCAGCAACACAGTTGATAGCAATGAGAAGCTGACGCTTCTCAAAGTGGTTGGCCACATTGAAACCAGGAACACGCTCCATAGCTCTGATCTTTTATCCGACTTGGACATTAATGGGATGTTACGATAGTTGCCATGGTGCGTGGTGGTGGCATTTATACTTGCTGTAGTCGGTAGTCGGGAGGACGATCAGACAACCTCTGTCCACTCGGGTAACAATATGCGAGCACCAACAGAATTTGTTGATTATTAGTGTATGTAGTTGCATTTTAATGGTACGGAAACAGGGTCGGCATTCAACTTTGTTTCGTTGTTAGTGGCCAAAGCCCTGTTTTGCAATAACCGATCTGCAACCCCAATGTGATGTCGATGCTGCCCCAGGTTGGAGATTTGGAGACGGTGGGGCATATTCGGGTTCTGTCTTAGGTTCTCGCATGCGCACCAATCAATGTGTCTTTTGGATGTGTTGCAATGGATCCAGGTGGAGGTTCCCTTGGACTTAAACAGTTTTCTCACGGCCATCTTAATAGGCAGCAGTTTAAACAGAGCGGATCCCATGTCCCGCTTCAACTTTGAGGTTCATATCGAGTCATTTAATGTCCCATCGTCTGATCATGTGCCTGCAGATGGCTCCTTTCGTCAATGCAAGGGATGGCGAGACGTATACATAGGTACTTACTCAGCTAGGGGCCTGTGGGTGGGGAGACCGTTGCCAGCCGCCATGACATCGTCGAGTTTGGAAGGGGAATCAGTCTGGATGTTGAAACAGTTATAGACTTTATCGTCAGAGGATTAATCAGTATGCTAGGTTGTCAGCACTGGGAAACATTGTCCCTGTTGATACTGGTGACAGCAATTAAGCCCAACCACTAGATTATCGTCATCGTCCATGCCCGGTGACGGCCGAAAGGTAACATCAAATCCTCGGAGCCGATGAGCGGAGTAGCGATTGCGCCTATCGATAAGCTGCATTTGGCTTTCGGAAATAATTTGCCTAGCCGAAGGCTCGGCATTCGCGACAACCTTCCCTAAATTCCGCCATCCATTTGTGCGAAGTTCGCCGACACTCTGTTCCGCTGGCTACCTGGCTAGCCACATGGGCCGCACAAGGATTCCATGGTGTCTACCAACTGCCCTAGGAGGGAGATCTGCAGCTCTAAAGCGCACTGGCGACTTTTGCAAATGTCCGGAAGGCATTTGCTCCTCAGCAGAACTCAACAGCTTACACACGATCAATCTTGTCGACAATGGTAGAAGAGTCCAACGCACCTAATCTAGTGTGATTAAGCTATTCGCTGTACAGCTGGCCGACCTGTACTTCGTGATAACATGATAAATGCCTTCTTTCTTGCGTCTGTAGTAACAAGCCATTGTCTGGCGGTATGACATTCGACTGTTGAACAGGTTAATATTTAATTGTAACGTTATGGTCAAGAGATGAATTAGAGTTACGTAGATACATAGCAATGTATATCCTTGAGCTATCGAGACCGATGCTTCTAACACAATGACAGTAGCCGCGGTGGATAGTTTCATGACATGGACTGAACGACCTGATACGGACAGTGGTTATAAATAGAGCAACGAGCAATAGATTAACGTTTGTTCAAAAATAAGTGTATGTCATATAACTCTTCGCATTCCCGAGCCACGTCTTGCTTATCTGGGACACATAATCATGTTTCAATGCATTGCGCCCGGAGCCCAACGTAGTCTTGCTGGAGCCCAGCATGCGGCTGTCGCTGACCAATTCCATCATAGGCGCATATCCGCCATTCATCATGATGTCACCCATGGGACGCGGCGGCTTCATCTCAGTACCAACGGTGTTGTATCTGCACTGCTTCAATCCCAAGCTTGTCACCCAAGAGACTCGATTTCGCGTTCATCGTGCTCTTCTGCACGTTCTGCGAGTTCTATGATCTGATCAGTGTGAGGCGGCATGCCCAAGGGTATTCGACTGACCTTTAGTCAAGGTTTGGTCGAGAATATCGCTTTCGGCACGTTCTATCGCACGCTCTGCACGTTCTGTATTCTGATGAGTTGAAGCCGACCAAGTCTAGATGATTTGACTCACCCCTGGCCAATGTCTGGACGAGTTTGTAGTGTTCTGCACGTTCTGCCACACGTTCTGTGCGTTCTTTCATCTTATCAGTGTTGGCCAACTCACTCCGGATCTGCTGGCTCACCCTTGGCTAGTTTGTACAAAAATCGATCAGCTTTTCGTTCTAGCCTCCAGACTTGGTGTTCCAGGTGCTTGATGCCGGATGTTGAGACTGGAAGTTAGCTCTTTGTCATTCGTAATCGGATCGTCTACTTACTAGTGCGCATCACGATTGTGTTGATTGAGTTTGCAACGTCGGGATCCTGATTGCTTGACTGGCCAGCAGTGATTGTTGATTGAGAAAGTTGTTGCATAATGCCGGGTGCGTTGGCCATGATGCCGGCTTTTCTTTACTTGTGTTGCAGATGTAAACGAGGACATGTTTGTGGTGATGCGTTGGGGAAGTTGTGTTGGGTCAAAGCTTGGCGAAGAGAGGAAGGAGCAAATGATGCGGTGCTGCACAGTCTGTTATAGTTCCTTACTGTTAGCACTTGTGAGGCCTGAGGACGGCTTACAGTATCATCACTTTGAAGAAAATCGTAAAGAACCACACTGCATGGTAACTAACAACTCCGATCACCATTCAATATGGTCGTGTACATACAGGGTATCAATGCGACTAACAACGCTTCAGAACATCAATAATCCACTCCAGACCCTCCTTGCTCTCCTTCAATCCATACTTGTACGCCAAGGGGAAACAGTGCATCTGCTGTTCCCAAGACAGCCACTCGCCATCGACACCTTCGTTCCTGCACTTTTCCCTGAACTCAACAGCCTCTGGGCCAAGAACATCATGTGAAGCAGTGATTCCATGGATCTTGACTTTGTTCTTGACACACATGCTCAGGTCTGCGTGAATAGGTGATACCCGTGGGTCGTCGAAACTCCAGTCCAATCTCTCACCAGGGCGGCCCTTGGAGATGGAGCTGTCCGAGTTGTGGGATTTATCGGAGCCACTGGGCGCCCATTTCCCGGCTGTATCATTGATGGCTTCCTCGCTTAAGATAGGGTCGAATTTATCCACCTTTTTGATGTCGGCATTCTTGTGGCTCAAGTCTGCGGTTGGAGTGATGGCCAAGATAGCTGAAGGTGGTCGGATGACGTCAACGTCTTGATCTCTCATCGTCCAAAGAACACTGCATAACGCAATGTTTCCACCAGAACTGTCGCCGGCAACAATAACACGCTCACCAAGCTCGGAAGACTCTCGTAGCAAAGTGTTGTAGGTCTTGACTATTGCCGGGAATGAGTCTTGGACTGGGTCCTTGGGTGCAAGAGGGTAGCTGATCATCGTGAGCCTGGTATCTGGTAGCCGTTGAACCATCTCTGCGCAGAAAGTCCAATGCTGGCCAGTCGGCGGTGCTTGCCAACCTCCTCCAGCATAGTACAGTATCCTCCTAGCATATCCTTTGGGTGGTTCATCGGAAGATGATTTTGGCTTCAACTCGTAGATCCACATGCCTTCCACGCGGCGCTCCTCAACATCGCATCGTCGACGGGCTCCTCGAGACGGCTTGCACCGTGTTGGATCGTCAGAAGAAACTTGCCCTGTTTCAACGAGCTTTGGTTTGATAGGCTTGATCAGGTTGTGAAGCAACTTGGTAGGCCACGACCTCCCTGTCCGCTCATCAACATGGAACTCCTGACCATCATCGGAACTGAAGTCTGAATCCTGATCCTGGTAGCCCGAGTCATGGTGGGCGGTGTCAGGAACCGTTTGGGTTACTGTTGCGGTCGTCATAGTGTCGGAAATAAGACGAAATGAATGAAGGTTTGATCGGATCGGCCTTTAGATCTTGACAGGCTCAGGGATGAACTATGTATTAACGACATAATCATCACGAAACAACGGCGTCATCCTCTTTTCATCAAAGGACCCTGAGATTGTCGATTACCCTTAATATGTACGATCTGCACGACGTCATGTTCCGTCTGACATCATGACTCCGCATTGTTTGCAACGTCAAAACAAGACAAGAATTGGCCTGGCTAAGCTTGATTAGGAATAATATTGGATATTTGCAGGTAAGAATTGGATTGCTTACGCGTTTTAGCATGAGGAATGGAGAAGGGTCGTAGGGATAACCATAATTACTGCGGTATTAGGATTGTACGATGGTCAAAGGGACCTGACACTTTGACCATCTGCTAATGCATGAAGGGTTGAAGGGTCGAAGCTTGGTTCATAAAAATCAGGCTTAGCATCGTCAAAATCAGGGTCAAGTTTTTGACAGACCCCACTTGTCTTTGTCCAGGTTAGCACTGAGACATTAATTATTGATTTTACAGAACAAGCTCATTCATGCCATCACCCGTTTATTTCATTGATTCATTCCTCTTAATGTCTGAAGACTCATTCTTGATACCCCATTTTAATCCATTGCCATGTGCATTATTTCCGCTCCAATCGCCTTCCAAATGTCCAAACGCCATCGCTTGCTTAACTTACGGCAACATAATCCTTTGTTATTGTGTTTCATAACTCATTGCGATCGCGCGGAAGCTGAAATTGAAGATCGTCTACGATGAGTTTCTGTTCTCATTCTCGCTTCAGCTTGCGCCACAGCAGCCTCCCAATCCGTAAAGTACAGATAAATAGCCTCGAGACCTGACACACTATTGCATTTGGTTAGCAGAAGGCGGCGAAAACAACACCAAAAGAAACTTACACAGCTAGACCGGCTGTCAAACCAACCCAAAGACCAGCCAAATTCCACCCCAGACCAAAGCTGGTGCCGAGTGCAATAGGCAGAGCGACGACGTAGTACGAGAACAGGTTGGCGTAGCCACCGATAGCCTGTCTCCCAATGCCTCTCAAAAGACCATGCGAGACAGCTGCCAGAGCGTCAAATATTTGCATCGCAGCACATACCAGAATAACATTGGACGCGATGTCAATGACCTGTTCATCATCTGTAAAGATATTTGGTAGTTGCTTTCGGAGAGTCATAAAAATGGTCAAGTTGAACAAGCCAACAGAGAGCCCGGCGAAGATGGCCTATAATGTAAGTATATAATAGCGACAAATGGCGGAGAGTACATACCACTTTCGCAGTAACTCGAGCAGCGTTGCTCAAGTTTGCGCCGATGAGATTAGCCACCCGAGTTGATGTCGCGATAGCCAAAGGAAAGGGAATGTTGAACGATGTTGACGTGATAGTCACGAGAACACCCTGAGCGGCAAGTTGTGCGGTTCCAAATCTGCCAGCAGCAATAGTGAGGATCTCCAAAACAGAGAACTGCGCTTCAATCATGATCATGCCCGGTAGAGCCAATTTGATCATCGGTCCTGGTATAGTCAGCGACAAGGCCTTGAAGCAAGGTCACAGAATACTCACCCCAGTTACTGAACGCCTTGCGATTAAAGCCCTTCCAGCATTCAGATCCCTCAAATAGACGCACGTATAGAATGAGAAGAAGAGGCAGAAGGTTGTGCGTAACGGCCATAGCGATAGCCGCACCGTTAAATCCCCACCCGAGTTTAAACACGAACAGCCAGTTCTGCAGGAAACTCAGAGGGGCGCCGACAAGCAGAGTGTACGTAGTAGCGTGGAACAGACCTTGCGACTGGACAAAACGCTTGGCGCTCTCAAATGCCGACACGCCGGGCATGCCAATAATCAGAATACGCATGTATGTAGCCGCCAGTGCAGTTGTACGTCCTGGCCCGACAGCTGCGGCAAGAATAGGCTCGGAGAACCACCATAGAACAGCAATGGGTAGCATGAGAAGCCAGAGTAACCATGTCATGCGCTGAGCCTGAAGGCCGACAAGGTGCTTATGGCCTGAGCCGTATGCTTGGGCACAGAGGGTATCGAGGCATGTTGCCAGACCCTGGACGGGAACATAATATGTGATGCTCGCTGTCATAGTGGCCACTGCGGAGTGTTAGTGAATGAGAAATAACTATGTTAGTGATACTCACAATTAACGGCAGCTAGCTCCTCCATTCCCAAACGACCAACAGTCAACACACTCGCGACAGTGACAGAGTAATGGAGCAAGAAAGTAACGATCAGAGGTGCGGCATATTGGATCAAAGTCTTGGTCTCGCGCTGCCATGTCGTTTCGAGCTTCTGTGAAGCAAGCGCCTCCTCCCATCGCTTGTGGACCTCGTCCGGTCCTGGTGTTGGCGGTATACCGTCAAAGCGCACAATTCTGTCGCGCAGAAGCGGCGTTGTCTCGCCTGAGTCCTCCGACGCGAAAAGTGGTTTATCGTGGTCGTGGACGCGTGTGCTGAAAAGGCGACGGTATACACGTCCCCAGTAGGTTACGCGCCATCCTGTAGGTGGGTGTTTTGGGGGAAGTACGTCGTTATCGCGCAGAAGGGAAACCTCCGCACGGTAGGATTGTTCAAAGTCGTGTGGGTTAGGTGGGGGAATATCGATGCTGGTCGGTGGAACTGTCGAGAAGCCTGAGCCATATGCTATGCCATTAGGATGGAATGCAAGCTGTAGATCTGTCTCGTCGACATATCGTGGGTCCTCTACAGCTTCTTCATCGCGATGTTCGTCGCCAGAGGAGCACTCGTCTATGTCTCTGTTCAGTATCTCGTCCACATTTGGAGCCGGGTCAATAAATGGTGGTGGAAAGGCTAGGTCGTCGGGGATAAAGTCTGCAAAAATAGAGTGACGGCGACTTCTTTGATCGCCATCAGGATTGAACGGTGAAGTCGTGGGGAGAGACATTACAGCAGTCTTGCAGAGGAAGTGCAGTGCAGTGCAGCGCAGCCAGCAGGTGAAACAACATGGCCCTGGTCTGCTCGCATATGTATATTATCACCAGATAGCACAATGACGTCCCCTCCTCATTCCATCTCACCGAGTAGACAAGTCGCCTAAGAAAGTCGGTCAAAGACCGTCGTGATGTCAATTGATAAGACGTGAGCCTGTAAATGGACCAACGTGTGCGCCACAAACAACCAGTGTACACCCTCTCTCGAGACCCCGCGCAGGGAATTATGACTGGTAGACATGATTATGACATACATTAGTTAGTGCATCAAGGTTCGGGCGGCTTGAAACTTTGCCGCCCGGGAGATATGCCCCGAGATAAGATCACGACATTGCTGTTTTGGGGTAACACTGCATAAAACGGTTGAGCAGGTCATGTCATTCCTTACAGATGATGAATCTAGATTGTTTGTTTGCTTTTCGCCACTTTGAACGTTTCAGCAATTCACTGCATGGAAAGCCAACGAAAGAAATCATTTACAGGTTTCTGACTCGTTTTTCGGGACTGGTGCATGACACATGATGATTTGCAGTAGCTCAGACATGAATAGCTTCAGGCCGTCTCTCACTAGCATGGTATACAGCAACAAAATCCCCGGCAGATCATACCAGGGCCAACGAGTCTACGTTGGCGTTTCTGACCTCCAATACAGTGACTCGCTTCTTTTTGCATCATATCTCGTATGTAGAAGATCGCGAGGAAAGGAATCTGTGCATCTTCAAAGGTCCGTCATTTAACTCGTATTTTTAGCTTACTAGTCTCAATATGTCAACGCGATGCAACCACTACGGCAGCCAATTGGCATTGATCAATTTGGTTTGCGCTATGCTACAAGTAAGTGATGCTGGGAATGCTCTCATCAGTAGGTATACCAGCATGAGGCACTCAGGAAGCAATTAAAACATTGTTCACAAATCTCAACTCCAACTGATGCTGCAACAACGTTACAAGCGATATGTCCTCGTGGGAATAAAATTGTTTCAGCTAGATATCCAATCACAACTTGTTTTCTGTTCCCTTTTAGAAATTGTCTCACCCGATCCTTTTTTGTATTTATCTATTTATGTTATGGACATATCGACTGATAATGAGTGAACATTTGACATTGATGCACCACAGAGGCCATTTCAGATAAACATTAAACCTCTAGATGAGACAAGTACCCCTTCCGGCCTGGTTCACGAAACTGCAAGAACAAGACATTAGCTTCAACTCGTTTTCTAGTCAAGTCTTTAGCAATCCAAAGACACTTGTACTGACCAATTACCACCCAGACCGTCATCGCAGACAAAGATACCATCGCCTCGGTCATTACACGTGAGTCCCTTATTGCGAAGGTCTTCAACACGAGCCTGTTGAGCGTCCCCGTTGTTGTTATTGTTGTTGTTGCCACGTTGAGGCATGGCCATTCCCAGGGTTGCGAATGCAATAAGAAAGTAGACTTTGGCGAGCATTTTGAATGATATAGAAAGTTGAAAGAAGTAAAAGAATGAGAGTATTCAATTGGACCAGCCAATAGAGAAGTGAAAGACGTTTAGGAGGATTTGATGAGTAGATAGATGGATACTACAAGAACGAGTGCGAAGTTATTAACTCTTGATAATAGATTTTCGCAGTTGTGTGGTTTAACTAGAGTTATGAACTATCGTTTCAGACAGCTATAGCATGACAATTAAGACAAAATCGAATACTCTGTATTGTTGACTAAACCGTGTTTTATCCAGAAGTTTTAAACTTTCAGAAAGGTTTCAAGGAATCTTGGCTTGTATGGCACGTTGGTGATACGATTGTTTCAAATTCTTCCAAGCTTGTTCCAGAGTTCTGACTGGCTGGACCTTGTTGATTGAGACACTTGGGTTTAGTAGTTCTTGCTAACGCGATATACAGCATCTATCAGTCGTATTTCGCCATTACGATAGAGGAAAGGATGGTAGGATGCCTGGTTGTTTGAGCAGAAACAAAGCTACAATGAGCAAGTTGTAATAAGGAGCCAAAGACGGGAAAATAGGAAGAAAGACTGCTTTTATTGTGTTAGTGAAATTACAAAGCAGCATTGTCAGAAATTGGAAATGAGGTAACGCGTTGATGTCGGTTCGACAAGTGAAATAGTACCTAACTATCGACACCTCATCAGTATCCTCAACCAATTGTCGTTATGCGAGCAGCTAACTTCTTCGGGACTCGACTAACTACGAACTCCATGCCCACTGCTCTTTCGAAAGGCAGTTTGGTTTCGATTTAAAGTACATTCCAAATCAATCATGTGCGTTCGCTATTGATGATTCTAGATAGTATCTTCTACAAAAACATATATTACAGGTGATCGAAACGCGATAGATTCCGTTGATGCGGTCATCGTTTCTCGGTCAGCAAACTCGCATACCACGAGCTAGACGCCATGTAGACACAGAATTGGCTGTGGTCACAAGAGGATCGCAATCTTCACTTGTACATTTCTATGCGTCGCCCTGATAACACGTGTGTAGGGAACTTAACAAAGACGAGGCACGTCATTAACGAACGCCGATCAACATGCCGTGCGAGTGCGACTCATAATCGACGATGATATAATGTAACAGGCAGACGAGGATGAATCTTTAATTATGTTACATCATACAACTAGATTTTGTGACAGATGTAATGGATGTCGAATGAATGGCTTCACCAAATTCTATACAGTCTCAAGTTGTTAGTTGAATAAAAGCCTGGAAGTCATGACTTCTTCAGCGATCATTTCTTCTTCTAACACCTAGCATTGCAGTCGCCTGAGCTTAGCTCTAATTTATGTTCCCTTAGTGCAAAGAAAGGACCTCTGGACTGATAACAGGACTATAAGCATCCATTGGGGCGCAGATGTTTACTGCTGAGCTTTAGGCATCACAGCTCCCTTGGGAGGCTTATTCTTCTTCTTGAATTCATCGCACATCTGTTCCATCGTTACCCACTCAACGCCCTCGTGCTTGTTGATGTACTCGATTAATCTGAGATTGTCAGTACAAATGCTTCATATCTCAAACATAATCCCATACCTCTCGTGCATAAGAAGAACATGTGGGCGGCCAGATACATCAGGATGGCAGGTTATGGGAAATACACAAATTTCATCCGAGTCGTCGGCATATTCTCGATAGAAATAGTCAAAGTGGTCTCTCCATAACTCCTCGACGTCGCGCGGGTTTACCCAGCCATGACTGTTTGGGCTTTTCTTAACAAACATCATTGGCGGAAGGCTACCAATCAGTCAGTATCTCAATCAAACTTCAGTGTTGTGAAGGTAGAGTTTATCGTACTGCCGTCCATGTTAGCAAAAGCCTATCTACTGAGTAATAGAGCTCACCTCATCTAGATACCAATTTGCCGGGATCTCAACAAGACCTGTATCCTGACCCTTGATTAGTGGCTTCATCCACGTCTCGGCCTTTTGAGTGTAATCAATCTTGGTCCAGCTGTCATTTGTTCGCAGCCAGTACATGTGACAATCATCGTGGGACATCGAATGGTCATACTCAATGCCGTAGCTGAGCATTAAATCCACGCCCTCTTTGCTAGTCTCCCACCAAGGAGCTACTGATCCACGAGGGGGCTTTCCGCAGAACTCAGTCAACATTTTGTGAGTCTTATCGAGCACATCTCGCTGCTGCTCCAGGGTCATATCCGAAGGGTTTTCATGAGAGTAACCTGCCAAATGGATATCAGTTACTCTGAATCACGTCAAACAATCTGAGATTAACTGACCATGGAGGCCAATCTCGTGGCCTGCATCACGAACCATCGCGCATTCTTCGGGAAAAGTCTCAAGACTGTGGCCCGGAATAAACCATGTAGCTTTAATGTTATACTTGTCGAACAATTTGAGCATTCGACGAACACCATGTGTTCCGGCGAACAAACCACGAGAGATATCACTGGGCGAGTCCTGACCTCCATATGAACCGAGCCACCCGGCTACTGCATCGACGTCAACACCATAAGAGCAAAGAATTCGTTTGGGCATGATATGATATTTGAGTGTTGATATGGCGTATCGTGCCGTTCAGCAGTTTATGGGCGATTGAGTATCTAACGGTTCAAGGGAAGGTCCGATGTTTGTTGTGCTGCGGGGTTTACTTGAAGCATCTGGAATATCTTCTCAACCTATCACATAACTACCAATGATCAGTCCTGATGATAACGGCCCCAAAGATCATCGGATTGAGGGGTTCGTAGCACGTCTACCCTGTATGTACATGATGACGCTGGACTTGTCTCCTATCCTATCACAGTTGATTATTTTTGCATGGTTCAACTATTGATAACCGGCTTATCGAAGGCTCCTAGTTCGATTCCCTGTTTGATACACGGTTCTCCAGATTAGAAGCATTTTTTATATATGGATCAGAACACAACTTTTATTGAGGAGTGGCTCAACAGGCCGATGTGTTTGAATAACGTTATATACGGAACCCCATGGAACGCTCGCTAGATGCAAATGAGCCCCGGAAATGTGTGCGACTCATGTCCCAAAGCAGATACCCTATATCCGCCCCAGTTTCATCGTTGTCATAGATGCCCCATCAACTCCACAGACAATGTCTTGGCTCAGATGGTAAACCAATCATTGGTGCCAATAGATAAAGAATGGGTCTCACTGCCAGGAATGAAACGACACGATGGAGTAATTATGAATGATTTCAAATCAGATCCATTTCAAGTGATTTCTAGAAGCCGGCAGTCCTCCCTTCCGAGCCATAACCCCAGACGTGACCGCTCCAGCTACTAATATTTAACTAGTCTTTCTCGAGCATACATCCAAGTCACTATCCTTATTTGAAACAATTTCGAAGCAACTCAAAATGTCTTCCCTCAAGCCTCTTACACTGCACGCCCACCATACTGGTCCCAACCCCTTCAAGGTGGCCATTCTCCTCGAAGCTCTCAATATTCCATACGATGTCAAGCTCTGGCAATTCGGAGAAGGCTCCAACGGTCTGAAGGGCCCCAACTTTCTTGCTATCAACCCCAATGGTCGTGTTCCCGCTCTGGAGGACCCCAACACCAACGTCACCAGCTGGGAAAGCATGGCATGTGTCAACTACGTCCTGAGAGTATATGATACCGAGAACAAGTTCGGTCATCGGGAGGAAGCTGGCGAGCAAGGTAGAGTCGATGTTGAGAAGTGGGTGAGCTTCTTGATCACCACCATGGGCCCCATGATGGGACAGTGCAACTGGTTCCGCCACTACCACGATGTCAAGAATGAGAACGCATACGAGAGATACCTGGCTCAGGCCCAACGATGCTTTGGCGTTTTGGAGGAGCAGCTGAAGTCTCACAACGGAGACTGGATACTGGCAGGCGAGAAGCCCAACGTGGTTGACTTTCACTTTGAGCCTTGGGTGCGACAATACGAGTTTGCTGGTTTGACCATGAACGATTATCCCAAGGTCAAGGCTTGGTTGGATCGCGTGCAGTCCCTACCTGTGGTCATCCGCGCCTACGAGAAAGTCAAGGCCGGAGAGGAGGTTGCATAAGGATAGAGCTGGAAGATTTAAGACAAATGATACCATAACGCTTACAGCGCTTGCTTTGTGTTTTATTATCAGCCACGACGAGTGACCATTCGAACACAAGTGCCCAGTTCGGTTTGCCGATAACGCCAGGACGAGCCTTGAATGACTTACATGGTATGTCGACATATGGCGGCGACATTGTTCCCTTGACTTGAAGCGGAACATGTCTGCGAGGACCTGGATCATGCTTTCTCAGAGGTAAACAAATTGGCGTGGAACTTGTTACGGAACAAGAGTTTGATCCCGAGTCTAGCTTGATGAGCAGCAAGCTCTTTCTCCACCTCGGCCGAATTATGAGCCTTCGCCCTGATTGAGACCGTGTAAGAGGTTTTGAGAATGAACATCCAGTCGGCCTTGGTGAATTAGCTAGCTGCACGCATGTAATTGTTAAAGTTAAATTTGATTAAATATTAAACTGAAGAAGGATTACTGATCATGTTTTGAGATACAGGCAATACAAATAATTTTGATGTTTTGATTTGATGGTGTTACAGTGGCTGGCTACCCACTGATTTTTCGGCTGTCGGAATAGTGCTTCCAGGCCCAAATTGATGTCGCGCGGGTGCCCGAAACTTCGCTGAGATGGTGCCGTAGGAGCCTATGGAATTAGGTCATCATGTCAACTTACAGCGCTCTCCGAAAACGTACGACAGAGACGAAGCCGGCTTCACAGTTTAGTAAAACAAAGAGGTTGACATCGCAATAAGGAGAGAAAAAAAAGCGACATAAAGTGGTCCAGAAACCTTGTCGCCTTTGCTTTGGATGACTAAAAAACACCAGCAGTTTTCCATACCCTTGGAATATGTCCTGAGTGACCGATGGATTATGGGAAGAGACAGTGGCCATAGCTTCCTTGGTGTAATTCGGGCTCCTCAAGGGTAGAGTTTATTCTCAAAGAATTGCCCCCTCCAACAAGGGGAAGCGCAACCATTACAAGATAAGAACAGTATTGCAACCACTTGAAGATTGAAATGCATCCTGGATGATACCCACACTGAGTTCGAGAAGTCGGCTGCACTTCCGGAGGGTTCGGTCGAGTTCACCGACTGAACCCCACGTCAATGCCTCGTAAGCCGATGACAAACGACATCTGACAACGAAACAAAAAGGAAGAGAAGTCGCTTGACAAATACGAATCACTCAAACGTCATAACATTGACCAGAGAAATAACCGCGTTTCCTGCTTTCAGAAGAACAGCACAAACATGTCCAACCAACAGCACTCCGCCTTTGGTTCTGCTCACTTCATTCCACCCGACCCCATCTTCGAAGTCACCAAACGATTCAATGCGGATCAAGACCCTCAAAAGGTGAATCTTGGTCAAGGTACCTACCGAGACGAGAATGCTAAGCCTTGGGTTCTACCGTCTGTGAGAGAAGCTGAGAAATTGATCGTCAATTCTGGACACGAGTATTTGCCTATTGAAGGCCTACAGAGCTTTCGCGACGCAGCAAGTAAGTTGCTGTTTGACGGTACATCTGCCTATAAAGAGAACAGGGTAAGTAATAACGCATGGAGAGTGGTGGACTTGGCTGACGTCCTCAAGATAGCCACATGTCAATCGATATCTGGAACTGGGTCTTTGCTCCTCGCAGGTCTAGTCCTCCGAAAGGCAAACTCGGGCATTGAGAATGTCATCATCACGGATCCAACGTGGTCAAACCATGACTTGCTCTTCCATGAAGTTGGCTTCAACGTCATCAAAGCACCTTATTACAAGGATCGGTCTTTCGACTTTGAAGGTTACCTTCATACCCTCAAAGCAGCTGACAAGCGTTCAGCCGTTGTTCTTCACGCATGTGCTCACAATCCAACCGGCTGCGACCCTACGCGTGATCAATGGAAAGAGATTGCAGCAGTGATTAAAAAGAATGAAATTTTCCCCATAATAGACTCAGCATATCTTGGCTTCAATTCGGGTAACTACGATGAAGATGCGTGGGCTGTGAAGCACATCATTGAAGACCTGGGTCTCGAAGCAGCGGTTTGTTTGTCATTTGCAAAGAACATGGGTCTCTACGGCGAGCGTGTCGGCTTAACTGCCATCGTCACAAAGTCAGAAGAGACGAAGAAAATTGTGTTTTCACTACTTCAGCAATCCCAGCGGCAAACCGTGTCCAATCCACCCGTATATGGTGCTCGGATTGCTGCCGCGGTTCTTAGCAATCCTGAAACCCTGAAGCAATGGCGTCAAGATCTGGTCACAATGTCTTCTCGTATCAGGTCGATGAGAAAGAGACTTTATGACGAGTTGGTGAGACTCCAAACTCCGGGAGATTGGTCTCATATCGTCAACCAGGCTGGTATGTTTGGATATACTGGGATAAGCAACCCGCAAATTGAACGTCTAGAAGGTCAGTACTGCGTTCCTTTACTACGATTGGTGCTAACTAGTCTATAGAGAAATATCATATTTACATGGCGGATACTTCAAGGATTAGTCTAGCAGGCTTGAACGAGCACAACGTCGAGTATGTGGCAAAGGCTCTTGATAAGGTGGTCCGCGATGTACAGTAGAGTATTGATAAACAAGTTATTATGCAATCTAAAAATTTACATAATTATGGGTGTACATGACGCAAAACGCGGATATGTGTGCTTCACCAACGACTCATGCTTAAATGGATCTGCCTTTTTCATGGGATCAAACAATCCTCACCATAAATTACAGAATCATCGAGCAATCAAGAACACACTGACTTTTTCACCACCGATGTCGGACATGGCGATAACTATTACGGCCATCTTAATGTTGCAATGAGTTAATGATCGGTGGCCACAGTAATACAATGACACACCGTGGTGGGTTCCTCCCAATGTCTCAGCTCGGTTACACTTGCTCCGAATACAATCCATAACAAGATCATCTTCTCCCAAGAACGCACCAAGAATATCCCAGACGCGTGTCGTTTCTATTAAATCCCGGTAGACAATTCCCATCCTCCCCTGCCACTACTTTGCTGCCAAGAGAAGCTTCTATTTCACACACCCTCCATTGACGGTACTCCAATATCGGCTTCGTATGCATGATAGCTTCTAGCGTAATGCAAGCTGCGGAAAGACACACAGCCCCCTGTCGTCGCTTTGACAAGCCGATGCACGATCCTACCACGCCGCCATCCAACTACCGAATATAGTTTAGACAGTTCCTGTAACCGAACTCAAGATAGGAGTAGAACAAAAGAACGGTGGCATTCCCGACGCGAGGCGAAAAGAAGCTCCATGTACGATGTCATGTCTTCACGATATCTGACCTATGTGGGGTTGAGTAACCATCGGGAAAGTATCCCGCTTGTCCAGCGTTTAGAGTCTAGACCAACACCTTTTCGAAACTGACCAAAGAAAAGTGACGACTTCGTTAGGTTTTGGTGATGCCGTATCTAGACATGTCCGTGTGACCCTTTTGAGAGCCTACCCCGCTCCCCCAGACTCCCCGCGTTATCAATGAAGCCAACAGGAGTATCGGTTGGGGTACCGACTGGGTGCTGGTGTAAGTTCGGGAAGAGTTTAGGTGAAGCCACGCCTAGAGTGTAATCGTGAAAGTCAAAGGGGATGATAAGACTATCATTGCATCACTTAAGAATGCCCCCTCACTGCCAACTTCACCCGCAAATCTTCTAACTTTGCAAACATCAACTTGAAATTGTCAATCAATTGTTGAAACAACCAATTCATTCACAGCGCCTGACATGACAACAGCGCTTTCCAACAATATCACTATCAGGTCCCGGGCAGCCCGGAACCTGACTCTCACACTCAAGGCCTCTGGGCCAAGGGTGAGAAGAGACAGTCTTGTTCCTCTTGTCCGATGCTCGTCTACTACCACCAATGCTGACGCTGCGCTTGAGGCAACTCGCACAAACACACCCGTTGTGAATGGAGCAGAGACACCTCTATCAGAACTTCCTCCTCTTATCCTTTACCGATCTCTCTTCATCAACGCTGTCTCTTCAAGACCATGGCTCCTCATTCCATCTCTCCACCTTCTCCAGAAGCTCTCACACGCTGGAAACCCATACCTTTTTAATGTTTCCCGGAACCCATTGCTGCGATCTATTCTAAAGCACACATTCTACAAACAATTCTGCGCTGGTGAGACTGGGGCGGAAGCCCAGGCGACGATGAAGGAGTTACAAGACATGGGATTCAAGGGTACGATTCTCACATTTGCAAAGGAAACTGTCTTTGATTCAAAGACGGGTACTGAGCAGGGTCACGGAATTGAGACATCAACCACAAATGAATGCCAGTGGTGCGACAACATCGAAGCCTGGAGAGACGGAACGTTGAAGACAGTTGAGCTACTCAGAGAGGGTGATCAACTGGCTACCAAGTGAGTTGACTATCTATCTCTTCTACGACAACTTATACTAACAGTTGTGCCTTAGACTCACTGGCGCTGGACCTGGCGTCTGCGAAGCCCTTCACAACGACGCACCACTCCCCAAGCAGTTCGTCGACGCGTGCTACGAAATCTCCCAAAAGGTCAAAGACCGCGGCGCATATATTCTCATCGATGCTGAGTCCCAGCACTACCAATGGGGCATCTTCCGCCTCGGCATGGAGCTTCAAGAGAAGTTCAATACCGATGGCAATGTTGTCCTCTACAACACATACCAGGCGTATCTCAAGAGCACTCAAGATACTATCCAGAAGCATCTTCAGATCGCATCCGACAAGGGCTTCACTCTTGGAGTCAAGGTTGTTCGAGGTGCCTACATGTCGTCTGACCCTCGTTCGCTCATTCACGACACAAAGGAAGACACAGACGACAACTACAACCAGATCGCACAAGGTGTCCTGCGACAAGACTTCCTTGGCTTTGGTGGGTTCAACAAGAAGCCGTTCCCCTCGGCTCAATTGCTTCTCGCCAGCCACAACAAAGAATCTCTGGTCAAAGCGCACGAGACGCACCAAGAGCGCACTAAAGCCAACCTACCCACAGTCCCTGTCAAGTTTGCTCAGCTTCACGGCATGTCGGATGAGGTCAGCTTTGGACTGCTCAAACTGAAGGATGATAAGGGTGTTGCACCCGAGGTGTACAAGTGCACTACGTGGGGTACATTGGGGGAGTGCATGGCGTATCTGACCAGACGCGCTATTGAGAATCGGGATGCGGCATCGAGGACGTTGGATGAGTACACAGCTTTGAAGAACGAGGCTTGGAGACGTCTTGCTTTTTGGAGATGAGTGCAAAAGCTACTACATTGATTGCTATTTCTAAAATTAAAAAAAATTAAAATAATTAGGTCATTCTAAAATTGCTGTTCTCAATTGTGACTTTTGATGACAATCTAAACATTTTTAGCAGTTGGTCCAGACATGCATTATCCTGATAAGCTCAATTCATTTACCGCATTCAGCCGACTACGCTAAAATATTTCCACTGTCTTACTGGTTAGTCAAGTGTCACAAGATCTCCGTGCCCTAACTTGATCTTACCCCAAGGTCACAGTTGAATCATGATCTAAGGACACGTCTGTTCGACCAACTGGAGTTATAGTGGCGCCGGTAATAGTACCGTACAACTAGCACCTCTGCTAGCCATCCACCATCCATCCATCCCTACTAAATTGGAGATTCTTCTCCACGTCCAACGATCCACACTAGACGACATCACCATCGGCAGCCCTCCCGAGACAACTTGACCCCTCACCTAACAACGCCTACAAGAGATAACAAACACGTCTGCACCTGCATCTGCACGACTTGCAAACGTCTTTCCAACCAGGGCTTGGTCTATTTCTTTATCCTGTCACAAGACTAATTTCTTTGTTCACGTGTCACCTTGTCCCTAAATCCTTCTTATCTGCCGACAAATAAGTCATCAACCCTTTTGCCGTGTCAAACCGTATCTCATTGTGCCAAACAACAAACGCAACAATGACAGGCCTAAGCAATGCCACACTCACCATCTTGGGAACTGGTAAGCTAACTCAACCAATCATTTCACGGTATCAGCCATTGATATTGTTCACAGGAAACATTACCAAGCCCATTGTAAAGCATCTGCTACCTGCTATCAAGAATGGCAAGACAGATCGTCCTTTCACCAAGATCATCGCTTGCGTGCGGTCAGAGGCATCCGAGAATAAACTCAATGAGCAATTCTCAGAGTACAGCACCATCTTGACTGTGTCGCGCGGTGACAATGTCAAGGCTGTACAGCAAGGCGATGTGATCATCCTTGGCGTTGATCCCGCTGATATCGAGAGTGTTCTCACTCAAGATGGTATTAGGGAAGCTCTATCCGGAAAGCTCCTTATCAGTGTAGCCGCTGGCTGGACGAAGGAGAAGATTGAAGCTACAATCTATGGCAGCGAGACGACCAAAGAGAACTACTCTGGCAGAGTATGGGTCATTCGCACACTGCCAAACATCGCATGCATGGCTTCAGAGGGTCTGATCGCCATTGAAAAATCTCCCTCTGAGCCCGAGGTTCCCCAGGAACACCGTGATCTCACCAAGGCCATCTTCACACTCATTGGCGAGACGGTCGAAGTGCCACCACGTCTCATGAATGCAACTACCGCTGTCGGAGGCTCAACCCCTGCATTCTGGGCTGTGATTTGCGACGCTTTCATTGATGCATCTGTTGCCGTTGGTGTTCCACGAGCTGATGCCCAGACTATGATCTACCAATCCATGAAGGGCTCTGCCGTCATGCTGCAGAGTGGCTTGAAGCCGGGAGATCTGAGAGATCAGGGAACATCGCCCGAGGGGTGCACTATTGGAGGGATTATGGTTCTAGAAGAAGCTGGTGTCAGGGGTCATCTTGGACGGGCACTAAGGGAGGCTGTCACTACGGCGCGACTGATGGAGACCACCACACATGTGAATGACACACGCCCTACTTCATAGATTTAGCCAGGTACAATGGAATAGAAAATGAACTAATTAACCTATGCGCCACTTATCGAGTTCTTTCCAGCTACTCTGGTACACATGCTCGATGTAAAGTACACTAACCCTTTTAACACCCTACTTATTTACGACATCTCTTCTCTACTGCCTGCAGAAATCAACCCTTGCGGACTTTCTAGAATACTACCATTTTAGGATGCCCCGAAAGCCTTATGGAATCGTGTCCGAGCCTCCATATTAGCGACACACCCAACTCCAAACGCAGGTATGATCCTAAGTGATCGCAGAATGGTTGCAGAAAATAAGTCTCTTCTGATCTGTGCCGAGCGTTCAATCCACGGTATACCCCGCGGCCTGGAGTAAAGATCCAAGCCCAGTAAGTGTACTGGGGTAGCAAAGAACTGTGAAAAGATGGGCACTGTCAACTGGGAGATGACAGCCTTGGAGTGAGGGCTGGAGGACAGGCTGTCTGGTATAAGTGATGAAAGCCATGGAGCCATGGTGAAAGACCCAAAGATCGTGATGGCATCTCTCATCAGAAAGGTAGCTGTGGCAGCTTTTGGTACACCTAGCTTTGCGACAGGTGCAACCTTGGGAGTAAGAGTAGGGGAAGCGCTGAACATTTGAGCAAAGCGAACATCCTTGAGAACACCAAGCGGAACATTGACGACCATTGTGTTGACAAAGGTGATTGTCCCTACCGCCGCTTTGTGAAACTCATGAGCAAGTGTGTCTGAAGAGTTTGATACAGCGTAGGTAGCTGCATACAGAACCCAGACGTAACCGAATGGGCGACCAAAAATGAAGCGACCTGGGTGCTTGAGCGCATCCAAACTGTTACTCTTCATGCCTTGGGATAATGGTCTATTGAAAGAGACCTTCTCAACCATTGATCTATATGTCTGTTAGTGAAGGCCTCTATGAGATTGGATTGAGTGATGCATACTGGTCAATAACTGTAATGAGTGGTGTAATCAGTGTCGCTGATATGGCTGCTGCAGCTACATCCCCAAGTACGGGTTTCCATAGATGACTCCGGCTGAACGTTGTTTCAACGACATCTTGGTGTTTTTCCATGACCAGGGTATCTCTGAATGTGTGATGGACTTGAACGGAATTCGTGATTCAGAGATTGCTAGTCCAATATGGCAAATTCTACATCTAGAGAATGGACAAGCGATGTCCCGGAAGAGGGGACTGAATGGTATCACTCAAGCCATTCCATCTCTTCTCCAAATCGGAAGCGGTTCCTTTCGGCTTGTAGCCATCTCTTTGACTACTCCCCCGTGTTGCCAATGACAATTATGGTCTTTTGATTAGTGACATTAACATTGCAACATCGCACCGCCATCCCGACATGCCGACATTGAACAACGGGACCCCACACCGACGATAGAAGAAACAAACACCAATCAATAGATCGGGATCTATCCCGGGGTCGTTTATCAACGCCTAGCGTTGTCTTCAAGATCTCCCCGTGGGGTTTAATCGAGGTCCTGTGACAGCGCCTCTATAGTCGGATCAGCGCCCGGTCACCCACTCACTAACTTTCACCCCCTCAGCGGGGTAACTCAGACGAATGACGCCCCAAAACTTTCGGTCGACGCCCCGACAGCAGTAAACTTCAGCGTATGAGGGCCTGTGATGTCAAGCAGCATAAAAAAAGCCATTCGCATTCTTTTCAACGTTGAACAAATCATTCTTTTTATTTACTTTTGAGATACAATCAGCAAGAGTGTCATTTACTCCTCCTGCACAAAAGTTCTTTTCTTCGTCATACATTCACAGCAAAATGGCTTCTTCCGTTAGAGCCTTGACCTCCAAGGGTCGCTTGACACCCCTGTGCCGAGTGCGTGCTTCAGCGCCTGCAGTCTCCTTTCAACGACGCGGCAATGCCACGATTGTTCCTTTCAGACTTCCAGCTGCTCGCAATGAGCCCAACGTGAGTGAACCAGCTCGACACATTCGACTTCAATTTATTGACTTCAATTTCTAGCCCACATACACAAAGAACTCCCCAGAGAGAGCAAAGGTCGAGGCAGCCTTGAAGAAGCTCCGCTCTCAACTCCCAGTCAAGAGCGAAATCATCTTCAATGGCGTCTCCCAGCAAATACACTCCAACGAGGATCAGGTCCTCCCCGCAGAACACGCCACCGTCTTCACCAACTATCCCCTCGCCAGCAAACAGCAGGTTAACACTGCTATCGAATCCGCCCTCAAAGCGAAGGAAGATTGGCAGAACACGCCCTTCGTTGATCGAGCTGCTATCTTCCAGCGCGCTGCCGAGCTAGCGACCACCAAGTACCGCTATGAGCTCATCGCTTCCACCATGCTGGGTCAAGGCAAGAATGTTTGGCAGGGTGAGATTGATGCCGCTGCTGAGTTGGCCGACTTTTTCAGATTGGCAGGACATTACGCTGCTGAGATTATGAGCAAGCAGCCCGAACGTGGAACAGATGGTATCTGGACGCGCATCGACTACCGACCTCTCGAGGGATTCATCTATGCTGTTTCTCCCTTCAACTTCTCCGCTATCGGCGGTAACCTGATTGCGCCCGCTATTCTGGGTAACGTCGTCCTCTGGAAGCCTTCCCAGTACAACATCCACCCCAGCACCATCATCTACAAGATCCTCCAGGAGGCCGGCCTTCCCAAGGATGTTATCCAGTTCGTTCCTGGTGATGCGGCTGAGATCACCGAGACCGTCCTACAGCACCGCGAGTTCGCCGGTCTCAACTTTGTCGGCTCTTCCGAGGTCTTCCGCTCCATCTATGGCAAGATCGGCCAGGGCATCGCTGAGAAGCGATACCGCGATTTCCCCCGCGTCGTTGGTGAGACTTCTGGCAAGAACTTCCACCTCGTCCACCCTTCAGCCGATATTAACAATGTCGTCAACCACACTATCCGAGGCGCCTTCGAGTACCAAGGCCAAAAGTGCTCTGCTACATCACGCGCTTACGTCCCCGAGTCCCGCGCCAAGGAGTTCTTCTCCCTCATCCAGCAGAAGATGAAGGATATCACAATTGGTAGCCCCGATAAGGACTTTGAGGCCTTCATGGGTCCTGTCATCCACGGCCGATCTTTCGAGAAGATCAAGAAGATCATTGACGAGAGCAACAAGGATCCCCAGGTCAAGCTCATTGCTGGTGGCGAGTACGATGGCTCCGTCGGATACTTCGTCAAGCCTACTGTCTACCAAGTCGAGTCTCCTGACCACCGTCTCTTCAACGAGGAGATCTTCGGTCCCGTGTTGGCAGTCCACGTTTACAAGGATTCCGAGTTCACTCCTCTTCTCAAGAACATCGACGAAAATGGCGGTGGTCTCGCTTTGACCGGTGCCGTCTTCGCCCAGGACCGTGCTGCTCTCCGTGAAGCCGAGGACGCTCTGCGCTACTCTGCTGGTAACTTCTACCTTAGTAAGTCTCCTTTCCACATGATAATCCCCTAGTACCACGACTAACATACTTCCCCAGACTGCAAGACTACTGCTGCCCTCATCGGCCAACAATCCTTTGGTGGTGCCCGAAGCTCTGGTACCAACGACCGAGCTGGCAGCCCCGACATGCTCCGACGCTTCGTCTCTCCTCGACTTGTCAAGGAGGAGTTCTTTGAGCAAACCGGATTCCTGTACCCCTCCAACGCCAAATAGACTTAGCATAAGCATCTAGAATTGTAACAAAAGCCTGGGAATGATTTAATAAAACTTTAATGACCACATTGAAAGCTTGCCAGTATGATCTCGTTGCCTTAATGACGCATTTCTATGTATTTCCATATGTACATGAAATTATATATCTGACCTATGCTCGATAAAGAGCCATTATGTCTTACCCATTTAGAAGTTGAGAACCAAGTCCTTCAACTTTCCAAAGTCGGGTGTACCATAACCAGTTACAGGATCCCAGCCAGCGGTGGCATTCCATCTGGAACCGGGAACAACGCCAGATCCTGCAGGCTCAGGCTTTCCAGTCTGAGTGTTGTTACCATCGCATCCAATGGCGTAACCACCAGTGATATCTGTCAACACCTTGGATCCATACTTGTACACAAGTGGGTTCAACCATCCCAAGCTTGGCTTGCCAGCTCTGAAGCGGGCATCGTTCAACAGACCAACAATGGCAGCCCAAACTGGAGCAGCAGCACTGGTACCTCCACTTCCACTCTGCTTACCAGCGTAGATGACCTCGTAGTCGGGAGAGACACTGTGACCAGCAACATCAGGGAAGCCTCGACCTTCCCAGTTGGTGTATGGGCCGTAGTACTTCTTTGTTGACTTGGAGACAGTCTTCATGTACGTCTTGACAGCCTTGTCCTGGTAGCTAGGTCGGGGGAAGTACTTGCTGAAGCCACCAGAAGAACCCTCCCAGGCGATTTCAGGGGTGACATCAACGGTACCTCCAACGGAAGTGAGGTAAGGGCATGTAGCGGGGAAGATGGCGTTGAACTCGACAGTCTTGTAATCAGGGGCGAGACATCCAGAACCAACACCGATGTCGCCGGAGGAGAAGATGACGCTGATACCTCGAAGTCCGAGAAGGCCAATCAGGTTGCAGGTCATCGTAGCATACTCGCGAGGAACGCTCTGCCATGGGGTCAGTGGGGTTGGAGATTAGAGAGGCAGTTGTAGGCTTACGTCTTCTTCATCGCCATAAGAGGTAGAAATAACAGCAGGAACGTCCTTCTGAGAAAGAAGGTATCGGAAGAAAGGCACGTAAGGCTCGTTCTGGTTGTCAGCGGCAGTTGGCTGGTCGATGTTGGGAACAAAGGGTCTGCTGGTTGTTAGTCATGGATATCAAAAGCTGTTCGAGATCATGAAGATGACTCACGGTGCACCACCAGTGATGTACTGAGTGAAAGGAAGAGGATGAGCAATTCCAACAATGTTCTCAGCATCCAAGTCAGCCTCACCATAGGCCTTGTGAGCAGGGTTCTGGTCATCAGTTCCGTTGTTGATCAGAACAGTTGTAAAGTTCTGCTTGGGAATTCCAAACTTCTCCTCAAACAGGAAAACATCAGAGTAGAGGGCAGACTGGCCAAGGAAACTGCTGAAACCAATGGTGCTTCCAGATTCGACCTTGGGAGTGTAGTCGCCAATATTGTACATCTGCTTGAGGCAAGACGGAGTGATGCTGGTCTGGCATGAAGCGTCGACTGTGCTCTTGGTGGGCTTGTTCTTGCGCTCAGTTAGAGTACGCGATGGGTGAGGAACAGGGTTGAAAGCCAATGTGCCGCCAAAGTTAGTGCTTGGGTCGACGAACTGAACGTGCTCCGCTACATCATCGGGGATGGAGTAAGACAGAGTTCGCAGCTTGGTTTGGCCCTCCTTGGTGTAGTATTGATAGTCACTACCAAGGAGCGCATTGGCACCCTTTACATCAAGAGCAAAGTCGATGAAACCGCCATTGACCTTGTAGTGCTTGACACCTTTCGACTTGAGCCACTTGGTCACACTGGAAATGGCTTCTTTCGAAGGAGAGAAGGCAGTGGTCACGTCATCTTGAGACAACCATTGGCCATAGTTCTTGCTGTCAGGGCTGGAGAGGTCAAGAAGCTTGGACTCGAGCTGATCGACATTTTGCATGGTCAGTGCAATGCTGAAGACCTGTTGCTTTCCAGTGGAGGCAACTCGAGCAGTCTCGTGGACTTGCCATCCCTTTGGCACTTCAGCATGGTGCGAGAATGATTTGCCAAACGTTGTGGGAAGGGCTGCTAAGGCCAGCACGAGGCATTGGGATGAGGAGATGTGCATGATGAAAGTTGGTAGCCACCTGAGACCTCGAACGAGTGAAAAGAATGACTGAACAGAGAGGGAGTATTGTGCCAAGACGTGAACAGAAAAAACACACAAGAAATAATGTCTCTCTTTATCTGTTTCCTATTCACGTACAATCATCAACATTATCGCGCACACGACTCTGGATAACTCGGCATCGCAATGGATATAGAATTCAACAAAGACCCTTTGTAAATACAAAAGGCCTCTGGGGTTCTTGGCATGAGCTTCTCGATTGGGATAATTTCCCGTTTCGTGTCACGCAGATCATGATGCGACTTAGCCCGTCCGGGAAGTTATCCAGGGGCACGCGGTGGAGACATGTACGGCTCAACGGCACCGGCAGATGGATATCGCGAGATACTGGTCTTATTGGATAAGAAAACAAACTTGATAAGATGATGGCATTGACAAAAGTGCTTAATTTTAAGATTAGGTGATGACAGAGCAAGTGCCTGTCCTGGCGATGGCTGGATCTGGGCCATGGCTTTCGGTCATGTCCGTGGTAAAGCCGCCATCACTATCAGACATACCCCACGATGAATCACCATCTTCATTGTCAGGAGTACTTTGAACCGTTGACTTGTTTGCTGCTTTACTTCGTCAGAGTATGTACACATAGTTCTTTACCACCTTCTCTATGTCTGGAGGTTAGTATTTGCAAGGTTGGACGTGTCGAGGCTCATTTCAGTGCTGGTCCAATGGACGATGTGGCATGGCACGTGGTACAGCCGAACATCATTTTAAGCATTTTTGAAAGGCTCTGATTACTAAGATATCCAGCATACCCTTATATATAAGTTTAAGTCTACCTAACTTTGACGAAGAGTGGTGCAGTGGGATCCATCGTAGAATCAATATCTTCGAATGTGAACCTAAAGTCCAAAAGCAGTCACCACTGCTCCACTCTTCGTCACATCCAAAGATCGTAGGTTCGAATCCTGGTGATCACTCAACTTGACCTCTCCATTCAGCCAGACTACCTAGATAGATAGCAACCTGATAGAAATGCGTGTCCACGTGTGTATCAGTATGTATGTTGTCTTCGTATTCCTGGCCAAAGAGTAACATGGTTAAAGTCCTTGAGTAAATGTGATTCCATAAGTGATTCCACTGTGATTCCACTTTTTTTTTTTTTTTTTTTTTTTTTTTTTTTTTTTCAATTGTTCCTTATAGTTCATAATGTTGAATAATACGATTGTTCCGCCCTCGGAACATAATCACCTGCCAGCTGATACCTTTGATACCATGTCAGCGGCTACGCTAACCCCGGATTTTGGTGTTGACCCTCTAAAGTCCAGTAAATTTATAGTCACCGCCACTAACATAAATCATAGGACTCTTGAAACCTACCACAACATCGGAAGCTTCCCCGATATCAGTCGTTATCTACTTTAGCTTGCAAGTATCGTCGTCATCCTGGCATGATTCAGTCTATTTTTACCAAATTTGGAAGTCGTGACAAAAGACTGGATAATCGAATATCGACTCCAACTATTCCGCAGGAAATGGTATATGTAGACCGCTGTCCGTCAATTCCTCGCAGCTTACTCTCCCCAGGTGTCTACTGGCATTCGAGTGCGATCACGTCCGCAATGAGTGTACCGAAATCTAAACCTATTCTAATTGTCGGAGGAGGTGCATTTGGTCTTTCGACCGTTGTCCACCTTCTCAAGGCAGGGTATCAGGATATCACTGTCCTCGAGAAGGATGTCGAGATTCCATCTCGATGGTCCGCTGCCAATGATCTCAACAAGATTGTGAGGGCCGAATATGAAGATCCTCTGTACCAGGACTTGACTGTGGTAAACAGTTACCTCCCTCTGCCCTTCGACATGCCTTGAATGGTGCCTCTTTGCTTGGATGAGACTGACACACTGTCCACAGAAAGCCATCAAGGGTTGGCAGACTCCGCTATTTGCCCCTCACTTCCATCAAGTCGGCTTCATCCACTGTGTCTCTGGCAACGCGCCTAAAGAAGCTCGAGATACTCTCAACCGTTTTCGGGCTGCTGCAGAGCGAGATCCTCGTCTCAAGCCACATGTGACTCCACTCAATTCACAGCAGGACATTGCAAATGCAGCATGGCAATACAACAATAGCTCCTTCCCTGGCTGGAATGGCTATTTTAACAAATTTGATGGCTATGCGCATTCTGGTAACGCGCTGCGGTCGATATTTGAAGCCACAAAGGCCCAAGGGGTGAAGTATATCCTCGGTACAGCTGGGGCTGTCTCCGAGATTGTCTACGACAGCAACTCCACAGGGCGCAAGGCCAAGGGTATCAAGACTGTAGGTGGTCTATTCTACCCCTCTACGCTTGTCATCATCTCCGTGGGCGCAGCCGGTGCAAAGATGGTACCGGAGATTGGCAAGCAGCTGGTGGCAAAGTCGTGGTCGGTGGCTCACCTTCAGCTGAGCGACGATGAAACGTCTGCGCTTCGTGGAATACCAGTGACGTATGCTCGTGATCTGGGTTTCTTCTTTGAACCCGACCCAAAAACGAACCTGCTCAAGCTATGTCCTATGGGTGGGGGGTTCATCAACACCGATCCCAAGACAGGTGTTTCACACGCGCCTACCGACCCCAAACAAAGCGCGTTTTTGCCAAAGGATGACGATGCGCAGCTTCGTGAGCTTGTACAACAAACGCTTCCTCAGTTTGCCGACCGACCCTTTGTCAAGAAGTCGCTCTGTTGGTTCGCTGACACAGCCGACTCAGACTTTATTATTGACTATATACCAAACACCTCATCTTCGGTGCTCTTGTTATCTGGTGATAGCGGCCACGGATTCAAGTTCTTTCCCATATTCGGGGAATGGGTCAAGGACCTTCTTGAGTCTGAGAACGGAGAACAGCCTATTGCACGATGGAGGTGGAAGGACCCATCAGGTGAGAAACAGGGTGATTGGGGTGGTGCTGTGAGCTGGAGACTTGGTAACTCGAAGGAACTCGTTGACATTCAGCCGGTTGGGGATCCAAAACTGTAGCGTTCTGGTATCTGACAATAGTGGGATTCGTTCTATCTGATGTTCCTCTATACAGGCTTGTTGGTGTTTATGCTTGAGGTCACTAATAGCTTGTTCTTTCAATTTTTCTATACTGTTTATTGCTGGCATTAATTTTTCACACATATTCGCCTGTTCATTACTAGTGTCCTGCTCAACAATTAACAACGTCGTCTTCTTGAACAACTCGTACCTCAACTATAAAATGGTCATCAGCTCACTCGATGGCAAGTCTTCTTTTTCCTCATCAACTCACCAACACTTGAAACATTTTCATCAACCAAAGCACGGATACACACTTTCTCAGAAAACTTCATATCACTTCATCACCGTCAAAATGACTCTCATCAAGAAGGCCGAAGAGCCCAAGGGCCCTCATAACACCCCTACATCCATCACTTACACTCGTAAACCTCTTCCTTGCTCTGACCCCCAGTATGAGCGAGCCCTGAAACGATGGGAGGCTGAACGAAAGGCCAAAGAGGCTGGTGAGATCAATGACGAACAGCAGCTAAAGGCTGAAATTCTCGAGGACCTCACTGCGGCGGAGATACAGGCTGCCAAAGCGGAGAAAAGGGTCGCGGAAGCACAAGGCGCGGAAGGGCAAGTCGCGGCCCTTGATGCAACGATCCTCCATCTGCACAAGCTTGCTGAGGAGCTGCTACTGCCAGCGGAGTCGCAGGACGCTATGGCCGGCAAAAAAGACAAGGAGTAAGTCTTGAATAACATGTACTAGGCAACTGAGGCTAGGACTCGGGTCCAGACCTCCTCGTTTGGATATCTCTCACACCAAGTATCACTCGATTCTTGTTACGTGTTGCTTTGACAAGGCTACGGACAATTTCTTTGGTTAGTATTTTTTTTTTCTTTGATAATTCTCTCTAGTTTGTTATTTCAGGATAATGAGCTGGTTCTCATTCATTCCTCATGGCGGATTGGAATGTACCATTTGTTTGTTGGCTGGTCTAGTATTAAATTGACTTTTGTTTCCATGTATCTATTAATAACTTCTCCGTGATCTTATCGTTATCGTGACTCGGCCGATTGCTTATCAGACACGAATTATTTGTCTCCATAAATTATCTCCAACTTGGTTCGGATCATTTTCTAAGAACACAGCAAGATAAGTTGCCAATGTTCATGAAAGGATGCTTACTCCAATACGTCTATAAAATGAGTCATTATGACATTTATCAATTGCAAATACTTGTTGTGTATTTTAACCAAGTTTAATTGCCGATAATAGGTTTCCTTGCCGCTTAACTCGGTGTTCATGCAAGCCACCTCATCTAGAATTTGAGGAACCGACAACGGAGTTGCAAAACCACCATATTACGTATCGAATACTGTCTCCAAACACCATCAACATACCTAAGAATATTTCGGGCAATATCTCCTCGACTATTCTCTCCAGACCACCGAAACAGCAAGATATGGATGGCCAAGACTCGGCGAACAAGGCCGAAGATGTAGGGTAGTCAATTGGCCGAGACGACTCAGATTCCCCATTATTTGCTACGGAACAAGTACCGATGGGATCGGATTCCCTCCCGGTCTGAAGAAATAAGGCCTACCACGACCGAGTCCACTAGAATCTACCCCAAGTTCGGAGCTGCTTTTGACGTGTCGGGTTAAAGACGCGATGCAAACCCCACTTCTTAGATGAGGAGTCAGTCGTTTTACTTAATAAAAGAACGACTGATTGAGATATTTTGCATCAATTCTGTATCAATTGCTTCAGTTATTCTTACAGATTAATCTCCAATCTGTAAATAATCACACACAATGGGCTCCCTCAACCCTCAACCATCCCAGCAACCCCATGTCCCTAGGTAAGCTTCTCATTAAACCCTTGACACAAGCACAAGCACTAACTGTTGAAGCCCTGGAGTATGGTGCCCATCAGTCACCTTCTTCAATCATGCAGACGACACAGTCGACCATGACGCGCAGGCTAAATACTATGCCCACCTCGCCAACTCAGGCTTGAATGGCCTCATTGTCATGGGCTCCAACGCCGAGGCCTTCCTCCTCACCCGCGAAGAGCGCTACGAGCTCATCGCCCTCGCCCGCAAGACCATCGGTCCTGACTTTCCCCTCATGGCCGGTGTTGGCGCTCATTCCACCAAACAGACCCTCCAACTGGCTGAGGATGCACACAAGGCCGGCGCCAACTACCTGCTGGTTCTCCCTCCAGCTTACTTTGGCAAAGCGACTACGATGAATGTCGTGAAGCGCTTCTTCGCAGAGGTTGCGGCCAAGTCGCCTCTCCCTATTGTCATCTACAACTTTCCCGGTGTCACAAATGGAGTTGATCTTGACTCTGAGACTATCGTTCAAATTTACGAGGAGAGCAAGAAGTCGCATCCCAGCGGAAAGTCGAACATTGTCGGCGTGAAGCTTACATGCGGTTCCGTTGGTAAGATCACCCGTCTAGCAGCCCAGATTCCTTCTGAGGAATTTTCGACATATGGTGGTCAATCCGATTTCCTTATCGGAGGTCTCGCAGCGGGCAGTGTTGGTTGCGTCGCGGCCTTTGCCAACGTCTTTCCCACTCTCACATCAAAGATCTACTCCTTGTACAAGGAGGGCAAATTTGACGAGGCTCTCAAGTTGCAGCAGCTTGCGGCTTTGGCGGAGAGGCCTTGCAAGGCGGGTGTCGCGTCAACCAAGTACGCTGTGGCTGTTTACTCGGCCAAGTTGGCTGGTGTCGAAGGCGCTGAGGAGAAATTGGCACCGCGACACCCGTATGAACCTGTTGGTGACGCGGTGAAGCAGAGCGTGAAAAGCATTATGAAGGAGGCTGGGGAGAAGGAGGAAGAATTGCTCAAGACATGGAACGATCGCGTCAAGGGACGATTGAACTAGAGAATTGGATAAATAAAATATGTGGTTAATAGCATTGATGAATTGAACAGTAGTAAATAACTTTGTATGACAATTGACGAGTTTTGAGATGACGAGGGTCGTGGTTGGAGATCAGCGACAAAACTTGTAGCGGCTCACGGCATGCATCCGTTGTCTTCCAATACCCTCTTTAGGGCCATTGCATCCAACCAGTCAACTCAAACGCAAGTATAAATGACCCTGTTTATCGTCTTGTTCATCGGTTATCAGTGGAAATGAGAGCGAGGTCGGTGTAATCTCCACCCAAGCCGCTGGTTATCATCGCCACCTCCACTCCGTGTCCATCCTTCTGTTCCCCCAATTCTTACCGTGGACAAAGACAGATACCGAGAGAACAAGTGAACGGAACCCCCCCCCTGCATACTAAACTAGTGAACTACCTACGTATAATCACCTGTCAAGTCCTCTTTGTTTGTCCCTATGTCCCGGTCAAGGCATCCTCGTGACCTCTATAACTGGCGGCTACGCTAGCTGTATATTTATCAGTGAGGCTACGCTAACCAGAAACCTAAAAACCATCCCCGCAAACGTCTTTTTCCTCTCAATTGTGGTCTGCATCAATTAATTGCCTTTTCACTCATCATCTCACGTTCAAAAAAGATGGCTCCTTCGTCATCGCACGCACGCAAGTCATCGGGGACGACCGAATCTGTTGGAAGAGGCGCAGGAGGTCGAGTTTCCAAGAGATCCGATAACGCGTGAGTCCAACATGAACCCTGTCCTTGTTCCTTGTCTCTCACCTTGACTTACCTACTCACCGAACCGCAATCTCAATTGAGATCATAACAGAACAAAGACTGACGAAAGGATAATTAGATGTTCAAGATGTCGAAAGCAAAAAATAAAATGTTCAGGTTCTCATCCTTGCGACGCCTGCAAAAAGAGAAAATTGTCCTGCGAATTTGATCAACGCGACCAAAAGATCCTCGTCACCCGTGGGTACGTCTTCATCATTACCGCCACCTCAATTGGCATTTCACAACAAGACCGTAATTATACTGACACCTTGCCAGTTTTATCCTGGATTTGCAACAACGCGCTACAACAAGTCAGTCAAGTAATGGCCCTGCAGAATATGTCACGCCAGGTTCACTGGATACAAACATCAATGTTGGCGGTCCGTCTGATCAAGGTGAGTTTGAAGGCTTCTGATCCGGATCACCATTGACATCAGAATAGCAGAGGCACCGCCTGGTATGTCTTCACCCGGAGGAAACATCTCCGTGTCTCTTCCCCCAGATGGCAGTAGACTCGATAGTGGGAGCAGTACAAATAGCGGCAGCAGAGGGCTCGATCCCATCGCTTCGGCTCTCGTGAACCCATTATCTGCAGGACAGTCCAAGTTTATGGCCTCTGCGCAAGGTCGGGAATGTGAGTACATGGATCCCCTCATCCCAAGAATTGCACTGACATTGCAGTCTACCTTGGGACATCATCCAACTGGTCCTTTACACGTCGCGTCCTCAGCCTCACCCACGAATACATCCACCAAAGTCCAATCGCCGCCGACAACCTCTTGTTTGATGGCTTGGCATATGATCTCGGGTGGAATGGGTCTCGTATCGCTCCTGTGCCCGAACCTCCTGTCATGCCGAGCCTCGACCACGCGCTGTTCCTGGTCAATACTGTCAAGTTCCATTGCGGCCAATTGTTTCACCTGTTCGACGAAGAAACATTCATGGGGTACTTGCATGAGTTCTATAATGACCCGACAGGCCACATACAAGCTGCAGACCTCCGCTACGTCCACCTCCTCCTCATCCTGGCCTTTGGCAAAGCCTTTGCAGAGAACAACAACTATCAGTCTAAAAGGCCGCCGGGTGCTGATTACTTTGTAACTGCACTTCGGATCTTACCCAGTATTCACATCCTCGTCTACGAACCACTCATATCAACTGAGATTCTTTGCTGTATAGCTCTTTACTTTGAGTCCCTCGACTACCGCCATTCATCCCATGGATTTGTACGTTTTCTCGATCTCCCATATAATGACGGTGCTGACATGTCAAGATTGGACAAGCAATGAGAGTCGCGTTGGGTCAAGGCATGCACACAGACATGCCAGTAGATCAACTGGGTGAACATATCGTCGAGCGAAGCCGGAGGATATGGTGGACTGTTTACGTACTAGACCGCGAGATGACATCCCTCATGGGCTTGCCTCAGTCCGTCCACGACGACGATATTCATCCTGCACTACCGCACTTCGATGGTTCAACGCAACGGGCCGCAGCTCTACATATGCAGATCCGACTATGTAGAAGTATCGCATCCGTCGGTAGAGGTATGGTGACTTCCTAATGATAGTAGCGGATTCCATTGACGAATATTACAGGAGTATATGGAGTCAACGGTCGGCTGAACAAGAAGTTTCTACTCAGCACTAAAAAGGTTCTCGAGAATATCGCTGGTCTCGCAGACGAACTACAACAACAATTTCCCCTCGGCATCGACAAAGCTATTAACGGAGTTTCGAGAGTAGCAGGCTATCTCCATACGCTCTACCACCAGGTAAGTAACTCACTTCGGAGGCCGCCTGACTGATTATTGACACCCGCAGTGTATTGTCCTCGCCACAAGACCTTTGCTACTATGCTTTCTCAAGATTCGTTTTGAAACGCCGGATGCTATAACAGAAGCGCTCAACTCGTCCCAGACTGTCTGGAACTTGATCAAAATGTGTATCGACTCCTCATACCAGATGATCAACATTCTTGGCTGTTTGCAAAGTCAAGGTCTGCTTGGTAAAATCACTCGAGATTGATCTCGTCTTGGACAAATGGCTAACTATTCTACCACAGAAGCGTTTCTACCTTTCGATCTGGAGTCTTTGTTCGTGTCAAGCTTCAACCTCCTTATTGCGCCGGTTCTTGATCCAAGGTTTTCTGAACACGATGCGACGTTCAGGCATAAGACGTCGATCATCTTCAGTGAGATGGTAAACAAGGGGAATCTGATCGCCGTGTTTCGTCGATCGGAGCTGCAGCAACTTGACGATATGCTCAGTAGTCTATCACGCGACCACGATGACACCACGCCAATACCCATAGATGGACAGATTATTGGAGGTGCGATGGCCGACGAAGCTGTTGTGGCTTTGCTGGAATCTAACGATGAGAACGAGACTATGGCGTCGTTGGTCCCACCTATGGATGATTTGGGCATGGATGCATGGTTTACGACTGCGCAAATGATCGACATGGCGAATTCAATCGCCAATAGCGATACTGAATGGGTTTCGCACACGATGATGGAGCACGATATTTGGTAGAGGCCGAACAGCGAGGCAGTACAGGTCATGTATGAACAGGATGGAAAAGTTTGTTAATTTGCAAAGTGTTTAAAACTTGGGATAACAGGATAAATGAAGCATGTGCAAGAGGGAGTCTATTCAGTGTTGTCTTCATTGTATTAGAGTATTAGCTTGTAATAGGCAATTCTCTACACAGAAGTAAAGACAGCGACTGGGTATTATTGCTGAAAATACACAATCATCATATCGATCAGGCACACATGATCATCCCACAGCTCTTTCCAACTTCTCCCTGACACCCATCCATGACCTCGCAATACTCCCTCCAGCATTTACCCATGCCTCTTTCTTCCTCTGCACAGCCTCCAAACTTCTATATGAATCTACTGCCCGTTGCTCCTCGATGTCCTTGGCCGAGAACCAAGTTCCGTGAAGGCCATAGGGCACTCGCTGTGGAAGCTTAACCTTTGCGATGACATCGCGCATATTCTGGGCATCAAGAATCCAGAGTTCCGACGCGGAAGAAGGCGGACAGTCACCATTAGGCAGTATCTGAGATTCGTCGAAGACATAGAAGAGCAGATAGCCAGCGTCCTCTTTAGTAGAACCAGAACGAGGAACGAAGCGCGGCTCCTGTGCAAAGTGCCTTGGCGGCAGGCGGAAGATCTTGATGGGGTCCTTGGCATCTTGCGAATCGAGAATCTCTTGAGCAGATCGCCTATCAACACAACCTGTTACTGGCCTTGTGTTCATCTTCTTGCCTCGCTCGATGAGTGTCTTTGCATCCATCTTGACAAGGAGATCAACCTTGTCTGCTCGACCTAGTGCAACGCCAAAGCAGGACGTGGAGGTGCTGCAGCCATAGATGTAGCGAGCATCTTGCATCTCGCAGTCTAGACGGACGGATGGGAATTCGAACGGGATGGTTGAGAGAGCCCATTGGTTGATGACTTTATTCGTAGATATCGTGGACATGTCAAACTCATAATAGTATAGCCGGCACTGGCTGTAGTCATCTGCCTCGTCGCTGGGAGAAAAGTAATCACCACCATGCACCTTCTCAGTAGGAGACTCCAACATCGGCGCCGCCTCAAAACGTCGTATATCCTTTTCATCCCATTGGCCGACATTCTCTGTCACATGAGAAGATCTGGTGTTGGAATGCTTGGGTTTCGCTGGAGGCATGATATTCCCAGCTGTGTACACGACTGTAGAAGACGTCATGCGACAGGCTAAGAGATTTACAGAGCTAGCACCGTTGACAGACCTTGTGTCCCATGAGTTTGCAGTGTGAAAGATACAGCAAGGTGCTGTTTGGAACCACCGCACATTGAATGGTTCATGACGTGGGAACACGCCAAAGCGCGAAGGTTTTGAAGGGTCATAAGACACCACCTCTTTGTTCACAGCCAGGTTCATAGGACCCAGGGTCAATGGGAGATCCATTATGATGGTATGGACACGTGATGCTCCAAAGTCATGCATCATTCTAGCTCCAGATACACCTGGGACAGCTTGGTTGACAAGTCTGTTCGTAGTTGGTGCTTGGACGGCGGTTTTGGGAAGTACTGAGTAATGCACATAAGGCTGTATAAAAGTGTTGTGATAGAGTATCATTTCTCCAGAAATAGGGTCAACCTTGGGATGTCCTGTTGTCCACTCCCTCATCGACTTGAACAGACCATCACCTCCAAAAGGCTGGATCCTGTTCTCCGAAGGGGTTTGTTCAGACTCGCCTTCAGCTTGAACACCATTGTACCAGCCAACAGTGTCCAGAGAAGGAAGATGAATGCGCATGGGTGGACCACTCTCACACGTCGCCAACGCTCGACCATCGTGGTATAGAATGGCCGTGTTGGCGACGCTAGTACGCTTCAGAACTTGTTGTGATCCAGGAAGATTTGAAAGAAATACCAGAAACATTGTCCTGAATGTCGCGAGCATGATCTTTAGTAGTGATGATAGAGGGTTGACAAGCGTAGTGATACTTGGCATAATAGGTGACATGACCGACGTCGTCTTTCGAGATAAGTACAAGTCTGTGAGGATGTACTGATTCACAAACTCGGGAACGATCTGACCGTCAGAAAGTCCCTTTCTGAACAAGACACCCGATAGCATACCGTCGCCATCAAACCAATGTGCATCTCTACCAAGGTCTTCATGGCTAACTGGGTTGCCTCCATTGCGGACATATTGTCCCCCAGTGAGTTCTGGAGGGATGCATCCACTATAAGTGCATGGTGTAAGATTGAGAGTTTTGTGAATTGGTGCAAAATTACCGATAAGATATCTGTGAGATGTGAGTATGTTTGCCGTGGAGGTTTACTGTGGAACACACTTACGGATGACGAAGTGATTGCTCTTTTGGGTGAGACATGGATACCGTTTCAGGTACCATCTGCTGGAATGATTCCATGACGATTGAATGAGATTGATGTTAAAGTTATTTCATTCATACGGAGTCATGAAGAAATGAATATTGCAATGTATAATAAATGTTGCCGAAATGCATGGTAGGTAGGATCAGTCAAGACACGATGCAATGCAATTGCATCCAGAAGGGTATCAGATTAAAGCCACGACCATCCATTATCATTACAAGTCACTAGGGGGAAATCCTTCAAGCTTGATATATACTAACCCAACCAGTACCGGCTATACCGGCAGAAGATGGAGATGTCCATCGATCAAAGAATGGCATCAAAAGCAGGTAATGGCAGTCGGCAGTTAAAAACATTCTTTTCGTGGTGATCTCAAATTTAGGTACGATATCACGGCAAACTCCAAATGACCGATAACCGTCGCCAAAAAAACGAACAGGGATCCTCTTTCGGTTTCGTCTGTCTCAGCAAAAAAAGTTAATGATGACAAGTAGACTTGGACAAAAGAGGGCGAAGCATGAAAGCCGAGAGGGTAAGAAAAAAAGTCTTGACGTCAACGTTTACCTAACACGGCAGGGGTACGTTAGTTTTATCAGCACAACACAGCGGAACTTGCGGCCTTTTCGGTGTATTTTTTAAAATTGTTAGTGTCGACTCAGCGTTCCAATGTCGTTCTGAAATTCTCCCCTAACAACCCTACTTGCAGAATACGTAAATTCTTTTCACGTTCACACTCTCCTTATTTTATTCTTATGACTCGGTTTTCGATCTGATCTCGATAAATCCCTGATCTTTGTGTTTATTGACGTCGTTGGCTTCTACCGCGTCGCTTTTTCCCATCCCGTCACATACACACAAAGAATCGTCTTCACAATGGGCTGGGAATATGCCCAAGTGTACGTACCTTTTATTCGGTCACAACCAACAAAGTGAGGCCTTTTGCTCACCATTCTGGATAGACATCTCAAGTACACGATACCTTTTGGTGTCGTGCTATTCGCCGTGTACAGACCATTGATGTCACGGTTGGATATTTTTAAACTCATATTTATGATAACAGTAAGTCAATTTGTCTCTTCTTGAATCAATAATCCGAGTACTAACTATCTCCAGACTGCAGTGGTTTCTACAATGTATGTGCGGTGCGCGCAGACCATCTTATCTCAGCTGACATCAGAAAAGCCCTTGGGACTCTTATCTCATTAGAAATCGGATATGGACATATCCTCCTGGAGTTGTTGTTGGGCTGACCGCGTGGGATATCCCCGCTGAGGAGCTCTTCTTCTTTGTGATCCAAACACTCAACACGTCTCTTCTGTATATGCTGCTCAGCAAACCGACATTTCACCCCGTTTATCTCAGCAAAGCTAGTACCTCTGGAAAAATAGCTGGACAAATTCTGTTTGCCTCGGCCATCATTTTTGGCTTGGTTTCTGTCAGGGCCGGTGGTGAGGGCATGTACATGGGCCTTATCCTTATCTGGGCCTGTCCATTCCTTTTGTTTCTATGGTAATAAGCGCCCTGCTTGTTTTATTTGACTGAGATGCTAATCTAGCGCAGGACCATTTCATACCAGTTTATTGTAAATCTCCCGTGGACCAATACTCTGCTCCCAATTGCTCTGCCAACTGTTTATTTGTGGGTGGTCGATACTTTTGCGTTGCGAAGGGGAACATGGAGTATCACATCAGGTACCAAATACGGCATTGTACTTTGGGACGGTTTGGACATTGAGTAAGCATATCTTCTACTTTTGACATGAAAAATGCTAACAAATCCTAGGGAGGCTGTATTCTTCCTTCTTACGAACACCTTGATTGTCTTTGGGCTTATTGCAAACGACAACACATTGGCCATTCTGGACACATTCCCAGAGCATTTCCCAAAGAACAAGGGTCTCCCAAGTCTCGGTTTGATCGTTCGAGCTCTTCTTCTCCCAGAGGAAAAGTACGACCAAGAAAGAATCTCAGGTCTGGTTAGCGCAGTTGATCTTCTCAGGAAGAAGAGTCGCAGCTTCTACCTCGCGAGTGGAACTTTTGAGGGAAGACTCCGAATTGATCTCATCCGCCTTTACGCTTTTTGCAGAGCCGCAGACGACCTTGTGGACGAGGCCCCTTCTGTTGATGATTCCAGAGCCTCTATTGAAAAGTTGAGGGAATTCCTGAACATCGCATACAAAGAGAACGAGGATGAGGAAATTTCGCCCCGACTACGCGAATTCGTGACATCCAACTTCCCTGAAATGTTCCACATGGCTCTCCTTCAACTTCCAACCTTTTATCTACCAAAACAGCCTCTTTATGACTTGCTCAAGGGATTCGACACCGACCTTCTCTTTGATCGAAAGTCTGGCAAGTTTCCCATTGAATCTACTGAGGATTTGGATATCTACGGCAGCCGCGTAGCTGGAACAGTTGCTGAGCTCTGCAACCATCTTATCCTTTACCACACTCCCGAGACGATATCTCCGGAAGTTCAGCGTGAGGTCGTTGCTTCTGGTCAAGAAATGGGCATTGCACTTCAATACGTCAACATCGCCCGCGATATCAAGGTTGACGCTGAGATCGACCGTACCTACCTTCCTCTATCCTGGTTAAAGGAAGCCCAGCTCACACCTGAAGATGTGATGCAGCAGCCACATGGTCCTACGATTGAGATGCTACGCCAGAAGCTTCTTGATCGCGCTTTCGAAAAGTACGACGCTGCCAAGGGAGCAATTGATAAGCTTCCTTCAGAAGGGAAAGGTCCTATTCGAGTTGCTGTTGAGAGTTATATGGAGATTGGACGTGTGCTTAGAGAAACAGGTCCCGTTATGAAGAAAGGAAGAGCTACTGTTCCCAAGTCGCGACGCATTCGGGTTGCCTGGTCTGCGTTGAAACACTAGCGATGCATTTATGAGTGGATTTAGTACGTGTTGCAGAAACTGTTTTAGACATTCTTAGATTATTGATTTCATCATCACTTAATTAATCTGGTCCTGAACTATCACATCTCAATTTCTGATTATTGTCAATATTTTCTGTCCATGTCATAGTGCCAAGAATCGTGAGGTGTTAAAAGTTTAATGTTGAGGTTGTGAAAAAGCCAGATTGACAGATAACCTCTAACCGAGACAACCAATCATAGAACACGCTTTCTCGTTGATGGAATCCGCTAAAGCTAGTCCAAGCCATTACAGTCAATGATCAACAGGTCATCTACATAACCTCGAACATAACAATATCAACAAATGACTCACAAATACCTGGTAAAAAAAATGCTGCGCCTCGATAGTATTCCAGGGTAGTCTTCACATGGAAAACAAAACGAGTCCGAGTCCGAGCCAATTTCCACGACAAGACACTAAAAGTGGGTAAATCAGAAATGGAAGACGTCATTGACTCTATACTCTCAGCACATCAAAAGTCTTTGTTCGGTTGAACCGGTGAATATTCTAAATTTCATTATTCTTCACTGTTTATACCACAAAAATGAGTGATATCAAGCAACAACAGAAATCAGTTATTGTGATAGGTATGGTTATTTCTGTTCAATACATGTCGATCACTTGAGCTAATCGACTTCTGAATTAGGTGCCGGCGTTGGTGGTGTTTCGACCGCTGCGCGACTCGCCAAGGCTGGCTTTAAGGTCACAATCGTTGAAAAGAACGATTTTACCGGTGGGCGTTGTTCACTAATTCACAAAGATGGCTACGTGAGTTTTACCACCGAATCTGGTGTCGTTGCTTCGCTAACACCTTCAAGCGCTTTGATCAGGGGCCTTCACTGCTTCTTCTCCCTCGCTTCTTCCACGAGATCTTCCAAGACCTAGGAACATCTCTGACAGCAGAGGGAGTTGAGCTATTGAAGTGTGAACCCAACTACAACATCTGGTTCGGCGATGGTTCATCTTTCGAGATGTCAACTGATCTCACCAAGATGAAGAAGGCCATTGAGGCTGTTGAGGGCATTGATGGTTTTGAGCGATACCTCGGATTTCTTCAGGAGTCACATCGTCACTACGAAGTCAGTGTCGAGTCAGTCCTGCGAAGAAACTTCCCCAGTATCTTGAGTCTGGCGCGCCCTGAAGTTCTGTTCAACCTGTTCAACATCCACCCCCTTGAGAGTATTTGGACACGTGCCAGCAAGTATTTCTGGACTGAGAGACTTAGAAGGGTTTTCACCTTTGGAAGCATGTACATGGGCATGAGTCCATTTGATGCCCCCGGAACATACAGCTTGCTTCAGTATACCGAACTGGCTGAGGGTATCCTGTATCCCAGAGGTGGATTCCACAAGGTGAGCCTATTTTTCATTATACACCAATGCTTTGATACTAACCACATTCCAGGTCGTGGAAGCATTGGTTAATGTCGGTCAGCGACTAGGAGTTGAATACCGTCTTTCAACTGGTGTCAAGTCCATTTCTATTGACCAAGCAACGGGCAAAGCTAACGGCGTTGTCTTGGAGAATGGCACACATTTGCCCTCAGACATTGTAATCTCAAACGCGGATCTTGTCTACACCTACAACAACCTACTACCCAAGACAAGCTACGCAGACTCACTATCAAAACGTGAGACATCATGCAGCAGCATTTCTTTCTACTGGTCAGCATCAAAGATCATTCCTGAGCTCAACGCCCACAACATTTTCCTCGCCGACGAGTACCAGGAGTCATTCGATAGCATCTTCAAGGAGCACCTGATTCCTACTGAACCTTCCTTCTACGTCAACGTCCCTTCGCGCATCGATCCTTCAGCTGCCCCCGAGGGTAAGGATGCTGTTGTTGTCCTGGTGCCTGTTGGCCATCTTCTCTCAGACTCCGCTGGCACACATCGTGGCGCTTCCAAGTCTGGAAACTCCAATATCGTCGAGGGTGGCCAGGACTGGGAGAAGATGATTTCTCTTGCTCGCGACACTGTTATTGCAACTATGAAGGCCAGAATAGGAGTTGACCTGGCCCCTCTTATTGAGAATGAGATTATTAACACTCCTTACACATGGCAGGAGAAGTTCAACCTAGACAAGGGTGCCATTCTTGGTCTGAGCCATTCTATCATGAACGTTCTTGCCTTCCGTCCCGGTACTCAGCACTCCAAGTACAAGAACCTTTACTTTGCAGGTGCCAGCACACATCCTGGTACTGGTGTTCCAGTGTGTATCGCTGGCAGCAAGATTGTTGCTGAGCAGATCATGAAGGACTCGGGGTTCAAGAAGCACCAAATTCCTTGGTCTCAAGAGACTTCCAAGTCTCCTAAGAGCAGACTTGACAAGCTCCACGATTCTTCACTAACACTGTTCCAAGGTTTCTTGGGAGTTTTGGTTGCGATGTTCTTGGCTTATTATTACATGTTTATTGCTGCCAATTAGCGATGTCTGGGTATTGAAGGTTCATACTGATATGCATTTACCTTGTATGGGAACTAGTAGTCACAACTCTTAGAATAATACGATCTTCTATTGACTTCAACCAAAGATGCGACTAAAAGTTAATCGATGATATTGCGTTAGCTCATAAGCATAAAGGGACTTGACATGAGCTAAATCGGATAATACTCGGCCATGAGGGTTGTAATGACAATTGACTTTGGCTGATACCATCGCGATCACTCGGCTGCTACCGTTTAAGCCCTCCTGTGTCGTCATTTTGATTTGAATTGCCCGATCAGCCTTGTGATTCTCGACTCGAAGTCCTAGCGGATAGGCCCATGCTCCTCATCTGGTGCCCGTTAGAGATCGACGCTACGGTTACCGGCAACCTTCTGAGAGGCCTGGACCGTCTGGGAATAACCCGCGTGGTGAAAACGTGAGGGTGTGGGCCAACTTGTACGTCGGCGTCATCGACTCAAACAACGTCCATCGACTGGAGACAAACGTCGCATCGACCATCATCCAGAAACACTACAATGACGACTACATAGTCGGCAATGAACTGCCGTGTATGCTCGGCAGACTCGGTATGAAGTCATGGGAGGTTTATTTGACACACGCTTTGAAGATTCTTGGCCATGCGCGATGGCATTTAAGGGTTTAATAGAGCTGTCACACCTGCAGACAAATTATCTTGTCTTGGCTCACTAACACGGTAATACATCCGAGTAATACAGCACAGCAACTCAAGTACTCTCTTGCTCGACGAGAACAAATTCTCACAATGGCTGAACATCTCCATGCCCGTAACGATGCCTTGAAGACCAATGGTAGGCTCTTATGAACTGGTACAACATATTTGAGCACTGCTAATAGCTTAAGGCTTCTCTTTCAATGGCATTCGTACCCAGATCAACATCACGCCACGGGGCTCCGACTGGTACTTTACTGTCTGTGCTGTCATGACAGTCTCCTCCATCGTCTTCGTCGGAATGGGATTGAGGAAGCCACGAACCCACCGCGTCTTCCACTACATTACTGCGTCTATCACTATGGTTGCAGCCATCGCATACTTCACCATGGGCGCCAACTTGGGTTGGGCTCCCACCGCAGTCGAGTACCAGCGCAGTGACCACGAGGTTGCGGGCAGGTACCGCGAGATCTTTTATGTTAGATATATCGACTGGTTCATTACCACTCCTCTACTTCTCATGGATCTTCTTCTTACTGCTGGCATGCCATGGCCTACTGTCCTTTATGTCATACTTGTCGACGAAATCATGATTGTCACTGGTTTGGTTGGAGCCTTGGTTACTACTTCGTACAAATGGGGATATTTTACTTTTGGTTAGTTCAACCTTGTGATCAAAGCATCAAACTCCTACTAACACAACACTCAGGATGCATTGCTCTGGCCTACATCGTTTACCAGCTCGCTTGGGAAGCTCGAATTCACGCCAACCATGTCGGCCCTGATGTTGGCCGAGTTTTCCTTATGTGCGGTTCCCTGACTGCCATTGTCTGGATTCTCTACCCAATTGCCTGGGGTGTTTGCGAGGGTGGCAACCTTATTTCTCCTGACTCTGAGGCTATCTTCTACGGTATCCTTGACCTCATCGCGAAACCTGTATTTGGCGCCCTACTTCTCTTTGGCCATCGAAACATCGACCCTGCTCGCCTCGGAATGCGAATCCGAGATATCGACGAGCGAATTATTCCTGAAGGTCCCAACGTTAAGCCTGGTCAACAGCGAACTGGCGCTAATGTCAATGCTCCCGAAGGCTCAACCTCTGCCTAGAACAGAAATTAATTTGAAGGTTACGCCTCTTTCCACAGGGACAAGGTCTTCTAACAAACTTTGGCAATTGTTGAAACGACAAAAGCTATCGGGCATCAGCTTAACTACTTCGCCAGGTAGCCCTTTGACTCTGTGTAGTCGCGGCATTTGACATTTCGGATTACTTCTTCGTCGATTCTTTACTATTGAGGATTGTTCGCTTCTCAAACAACGGTCTGATGATACCCTGCGGTCTTTTGAATTACGAATATAACTTGGCTGAGGTAGGTTCAACAGTTTGGGCCCTGTTTGAATGTTATTAGATGTTTAGTTAATACTGTAATAACAATAATATCTCGTCTTTATTAATATGAAACATGAACCATGGCTTAGTGACAGATGCAATTATGTTTTGCATGCGCAATGTTATATCACATCTCAAACATTGAAATCACTTCAAGCTTCTGTTCAGTCTTGGAGCTGATCGCTTGAGGAGGACAGGAGTTATCAGTACTCCACTGTTTAGATGACACATTTCTGTACACAACTTGGGATATGAACATGCTATGAAGACAGCTTCATCAAATCACGAAATAAATTAGAAACACTTCCGCTGAAAAGAACCCTCCTGTGTATTAATGCTTCAATCCCTCTTCCTCTCTTCAGTCTTCGGTTCAACAACTTGTTCAGGCGTTGCGACCCTGACTGGTGTACCGTCCATAATGGGCGTGATACCGCCATTCATATAATGATCCTCCCACTCAACATCACTGAGGTACTTGAAATCCAGACCTCGGATCTCATGCTCCTCACTCGCTCTGAGATGCAGTCCAGGAATCTTGTTAATGACGAAGAGTAACATGCATGAGACAACAAAGGACCAGGCAGCACAGGTAACAGCGCCAGCCAACTGTAGGCCGAGCTGCTTGTAATTACCTTCCCACCATCCACCATCATATGAATCTCCAGATACACCGTCCAAAGCGGGGACAAACTTGGCGGCGAATAATCCTGTCAGAATATCGCCAATAACGCCTCCGATTCCATGGATGGCAAAGATATCCAGACCATCGTCGATTGAAAGGAGGTACTTGTACTTGACGGTATAGAAACAGCCGACGGTAGTAACAAGACCAATGACTGGTGCCACGTAGATTGGTGTGAAGCCTGCGCAAGGTGTGATACCAACAAGTCCCGCAATGATTCCAGAACAGAATCCAACAAGGCTGAACTTGCGTGTATGCATATATCCTAGGAGAACCCAGCCGAAGCCACCAGCACATGCCGACATGTTCGTGTTGACAACGACATAAATGGATCGAAGACTGAGGTTGGCCGTACTACCACCGTTAAAAGCGAACCACCCAAACCAAATAAGGACAGTTCCGAAGCACATAAGTAAAGGGTTGTGGGGCTTGTAATGAACTGCTTTCTTTCGATCGGTGATAGTAGCATCGGGAATTCGAGGTCCCAGCATCATTGACCATGCCAGGGCTCCAAAGCCACTCGCGATATGAACTGGTCCTGAGCCGGCAAAATCGTAAAGGCCGAGGTTGTAGAGCCATCCGCTTGGGTTCCATTCCCAGTACGCAAGACTGTAGGGAGAATGTTAGTTTCTTCATTTCATATTGAAATGATAAACGTACATGTAGTATACAAAAGTCGTCCAGCAGAGAAGAAAGACCATACTGGGCCAGAGTCTGCCTCTCTCCAACATAGCTCCCGCCAAGATCATAGCGGTTGCTGTCACAAAGGTAACACCAAAGACGGCATAGAGAAGCTCAGGAATATCACCATTCGCAAGCGACGGCTGAGCGAGGACATTGTGGAAGGCCGCAAGTGATAAGTCGCCAAGGATCGGGTTTGTGGTTCGGCTTTGGTACAGGGAATAACCATAGATCCAATACTGAATACCAACCGCGCAAGCGCAGAAAAGAGACTGTAAGACCATTGTCAATGCAGCCTTTCGGCGATGCATGCCCGCATACTACTGAGATTAGACATGTCCATCAAATTATGATTGAAGTACCCACTAGAAACCCGATCGCAGGTGTAATCTGCCAGCAAAGAATCGTGCATACTAGCATCCAGGCCAAGTCTCCCTATTCTGTGATTAGATACGCGAGGCAAATTGATCAATGGTAAGTAGTACCTTGTCGTATGGTGCATTCAAGTCCTTGGTGAAAGGATCACCTCCTGTTGGATCGACAGCGTAGTCCGGCCACTTAGTGACCGGTGTGATCGTAGAATCAGCCATACTGTTGCAGATTGTAGTGAAGAGAGCTGCTGGCAATCTCCATTCATTGTGTCGATAATTTCCTGGACTTGTTATATAAACCTGAGACAAATGAAGCTCGGGATCTCAATATCTGGGAGATTGCTGTAGTGTCTTGCCAAGAAATGGATATCATTACTTATTTGGGGTCTTTTTACTCTTTCCGGCGAATTCTAACGAGATAAGAAGTGTTACACCAAGATAACAGTTCTCGCTGAGGTTGTGGCGTTTATGCTTATCTCTAGGCATCGGGAGTTGGTGACATGTGGTTGGTTGAATCCAACGATCGACATCAAGATAACGGGCTAACGGGTTGACAGAGGCCACGGCTAAACATCCGAGACTTTTGGGCATTCCAGAAGACGGCTCAATTACCATGGACGTACAAAACAAAACAGTCACTATTTACATTTCACTGCCTTCAAGTCAAGTCACTGACAACTCATTTCCCAATCCCTTGAGCTCAAAACAACCGTGCTGAATTTGCTGTCTTTTCCATGAAACAGGATAAACTTGTTGATAGCTTGCCCATCCGAATCTTACAGGGGATCCTTCACTTCTCGGTACTTTGATGCGGCCTTATCTCTACGCCTGGTTGTTGGTACGCTAGTGGACAAAACATGGAGGTGGAGACTGGGGTTAATTGGCCAAGAGATCTTCCTCGTTGATTTGAACCTGGAGCTAATCTAAGGATGGCTTGAGTTCGCTATCAACGATAAAACGAAGCAGATAAGAAATACCTATGCTTATCGTCCAAGCCCATCATAATAAAGACCAGGCCCCTACGCTGTTATGTCCAGGATCATTTAATCCGAAGTAGAAGCCAGGCTTCGCACTTATAAACATGTAAAGTTTACTCATTCAGCAGCGAATGTTGCTATTGGCGTCACCATGTCCTCCCCCTGTAGCTAAGTTAGCCCCAATACAGCCAGCTCCAACGATGCCGAAGAGCGCGCAACTACTTATTATCCAGATGCACGCCCACAACTTCCCATCATACCTGATATAGCATGGATTCCGTGATTGAGAAAAATTTAATTCAATCATTAGACTTTGTGTCAAAGACGAAGAGCCTTCCGCCGGTGATAGTCTCTGAATCTTATGGCGCAACCCTATCACATGACATAAGTCCTTCCCTGTTACCACCATACTTTTCAGCGCATTGCAGATTAATTCCTCGCCTTTCTTCACCGCATCAAAATACAGCTCCATTCCCCATGTCCATTTGCGCTGCACTGCCAGACGAACGATTCGGTCGTGTTGGCTTTAGTCAGCGTCTGTCATCATATGTAAGGTACCACTAGCGCAGCCCTCGTAAGACGGATGCTTCATCATGATTACGTGAAGGATTTTCCGAAACTAAATTATTTAAATATACCTCTCAATTATTCAATAGTATGAATTGGAACTTAATATATCTTTTTCAATGAAGTTAGCCAACAGCTATTGTGTCATCAACTGATCTCGAGCATGGGAACTACATCAAGGCGAACCAACAGCCATGGAGCTAACGATGGAGAGATCGAGTCAAGACCCAACTATGAGCCCACGGGCCCTCGCTTCCAGAGCAACAACTTACCGTTCGCCGGAAGGCTCGGTGCCAATCAGGCGTGTGTGATTGATGGCGAAACAAGTGAAGATGAGAGGTTATTAGAGCACCAGCCTGATGCAACACCACATATGTCATTTAGTGAATTGGTCGACCTGCGTCCCATCACTAATCTTGATTTGTGGAAGGCAGCAGTGATCGAAGGAATCGGTAGCTTGTTCATTTCAGCTCCATGATCAACCACAGGCTAACTCGAGACAGGAACCTTATTGTTTGTCTTCGTCACAATATGGGCGAGTACTTCCCCTGACGTGATTCCAGCTCAGCCGACTCGGCAGCTAGGCAGTTTCGACAATGCTGCCTTCATAGGTCCGCTCGTTGGTGGCATACTCAATGTGATTCTTATTACTCTTTTTATCACGTCCTTTGGTGCGATATCTGGGGCACATTTCAACCCACTCATTACGTTCGCGACATTTTGTGCTCGCCTTTGCTCGCTCCCGCGTATGATCTTATACATCTCAGCCCAAGTTGGTGGCGCTGCGCTGGCTGGTCTATTGGTCAGGGCCAGTTGGGGAGGTCGAGACTTCAAGACTGGGGGCTGCTGGCTTTTCACCGACGTCGTACCAGCAAGAGACGCATTTGTCATTGAACTTGTGTTCGCTACCCTACTCTTGTTCCTTGCGTTTGGCGTAGGTCTGGATCCCAGGCAAGCCAAGATAATAGGTCCAGCGCTAGGTCCGTTTCTTGTTGGACTTAGTGTTGGAGCAATGAGTTTTGGTAGCGCTTTCACTAGATATGGATATGGAGGCGCAGGGATGAATCCGGCAAGATGTATGGGGGCTTTCGTGGGAAGTAGGTTTCCATCTTGGCATTGGATACACTGGTAAGTCAAAATGGTCCCAAGCACTTCTTGTCCACACATTGACACTCACTGGAGGGTAGCAAATTGCGTTGCATGTATTGTTCATGGCATCTGCTATTATTTCATTCCCCCTTGGACACAAGTGAGGGAATAGTACGCAGGATACAAATGGTCTCTTCATTATCAAACTACAACTGTCTCAAATATTACGTGCAATCAAAGAAACTACCCAATAGCCCGAGCTTAAGAAAAATGAAATACCATTAGCTCTACTTTGTGTTCCCTTCCATCCAACTCTTCCTAAGCGAGGAGGTGGGACGTCGCTTCGAGCTTGAATCACTTCCTGTGGCACTCAACGATGCTTCATTGGAAGTGCGTCTTAGTAGTAAATTCATTACGGGCCGGAAGCGTGACCCTGGGTCGTGTCGTTTTTCAACAGCCTCATAGACACCTAAGACAACTAATGAGAAAAACTATACCAATACAAGGAATGGGGTAACTCAACTTACCATCATCTTCATCGTCTTTTAACTTTCTTGGTAAGCTACTGACTACCTGTCCCTTCTGTCGCATGTGGAGGAGAATTTCCGTTTCTGCAAGTTCGCTCGTGACGTCGATCGTCACAGGTATCTGGAACTTCCCTTCCTCCTTCATCTGAAGTATTGTGTTCTCAATAGAAACAGAACTGACAGGGTCTGGACCGTTCTTGTGAGTTTCCTTAATGGTGAAGAAAGGTAACTTGTGCATGACGTGCGTCTCCTCAAAACGTTGTCCGAGAATCTTAACGTTCTCTGGCTGTAGACGACATTCGATTACACCTAGAGAAGTCAAATAAGCTCTTTAGCTACCGAGTCCAGCTTACCATGGCACTGGTATACCTCTCTTGGATGTCTAGGCGTAGCCTGCCTGTCGATTCTGAAAAAGAAACATGACGCTATGAGTTGATCAGAAATAGACTCAAAAAGATCATCTGGAAGTTTCTGGGCAGCCTCTCGACGACAATTGTATACATCAAGCGTCGGAGTATCCATCGGTACGACTCGGCTAAACTCAACATTGACGCGATGGTATCGGGACTCGAATTCAGGGCATGGTGACTTTGCTTCTAGCCACTCGTGCCAAATCCTCTCGCTGTTGAGACTACTCGTAAATTGGTTCATGCCGGTCTCCGCGATACCCCGTAGGAAGCCCTTCTCCTTCACACTTTGAGCTCCAGGTACGGCTTCGCTCATGATCTGTTCCAAGTAAACCTGAGTACCATTATTCGCGTGGATCTCGGATTCGTGGTATCTTGTACCAATGGATAACAGAATATCTGGATGGGCATGGCTATTTTCGGGCCATATTGCTGCCGCTTCACTGTTGGCGATCCGGATAGGGTTATTGTGCCACAGACCACCATCAAGGTACACCTGCTTCGTACCCTCCACGGTGATGTCGTGGCTGCCATCTCGACAGAATGAAGGGAAATACAAGGGTGCTGCCGACGTAGTTCTTACTCTACCTACTGTCAGTGTGGTTTGGTTCGACTTATTGACTTGACTTACGCTTCCCAAAGCTGCATGTCGTGGCCCGGACCCAGCCTTTGAAGTTGGTAGAAAGCAGTAGGTATTCAGCATGTAGACACCTCAGATGACGCAATACTAGGCCTACCTTGTTTTGGTGGGACCCTATAGTAGTTACACAGGACGATGACTTGACCTTCTCTCGTCAACGTTGTAGTGGCTGTCTTAACAGACGGTTTTTGAAATAACTGCTTGCCACCAAAAAGCGGTACCACTGCCTGGTGACAACTCGCCCATTAGGAAATTAGGCTCTGCGCAGTCCAAGGATTATCAGATTGCATAACAAAGGTTCATGTCACTCTACGCGCCCAACTCAATTTCATGGCTACCCTCCAAACTCCCAAATGGTTCAATGAGAACTTGACCTGTTCCTGTCGTACAACGTCAACTTTCAACTCCAGCCACTAAAGCGCCATCAATATGCAGAGCTGGCGAGTGAGAAAAGCAGGCTCCGTATGTTGCTAGAACTTAGAGGGGTAAATGAATATAATTCTTACAGCTCAACAGAGCTTCGAACATGTGCAGATGTCTGGTTGGCTGATGTTGCTGTTTCGTTTATTCTAGAGGGCGAACCTAACTACCCAGTCTCAAATAAACAAAATTGGCAACCACACTTCACGCACCCTCATACTTTGACTCGTCGTAAAGGCCGATTGTCGGGTCAGGCTGTGAGAGGTGGCTTAGAGAATTACGAGCCAGGGATTGATCATGGGAAAGAAATTCCGTAACTTAATCGCTGGTCTGCACTCTGCATCAAGTATGACCAGGGAGGGCTTTGAATATTAAATAAACCTCTACAAGAACGCAATCATTTGTCGCTCATATCCACCAATACCTTCACTTGGTTATTCTTATCATGAATAAGCGCCTTTATTCCATCCTCCACAATATTTTCGAGCTTTATCTTTCTCGTGATCATCTGGCTTGGCTTAATAGCACCTAAATAATCTGTCAGTCAAGGGACATAAAATCGAAACTTTGGATATTACCTGAAGCAAGATTTGCGATGACAGCCTGAAAGTCTTCACGAGCATATCCGAGAACAGATTTGTACGAGCTCTCCTTCATCGTGATCCAGTTTGGGTTGAAAGGAATCTCCTTCTCCCAGATAGCGAGATTGACGACAGTGCCTTTAGGCCTGACAACTTCGCATGCACTTTTGATACTAGCAATATGTTAGCAAAGGCACATCCGCATAGTAAAGGGCGCTTGCCTCATCGGTACACCGGCGCAGTCAAACACAACATCGGCACCCTTGCCATCAGTCAAACCGAGTACGACCTCGTTGATGTTCTCGACTATCGGGTTCACGACACGTGTAGCACCAAGCTCTCTTGCAAAGTTCTGTCGTGATGTAGCAACCTCTGAAAGAATTATTTCACTGACGCCCTTTGCTTTAAGACATAAAATCATGGCCAAGCCAATGGGACCACCTCCGAGAATCACAACCTTGGAACTGGGATTGATCTCTGGCGCCGCGGCCATCGCATGCCAAGAAACCGAGAGAGGCTCAACAAGGGCTCCAATCTCCAGAGGCAGATCTCGAGGAAGAGGATGGACATGTGTAGCATTGACGCAAACAGCTTCGCTTAAACCTCCACCGCTTCCGCTCAAGCCTATGAAGCCACCACTGTGGCAGACATTCTCGGCATGGTTGTGGCAAGCTGCACAGTGACCGCAGAATAGCGTTGGCTGAATAGCACAGGGCTGACCGACTTCAAAGCCTTCGACGTCAGGACCGACCTCAGTGATGATGCCAGAGAATTCGTGTCCAAGGGTGACAGGAATAGATTCCTTGGTGATGGGATGAGGTGTCGTGGGGCAGAAATTTGGGCCTCCTAAATACTCGTGCAAATCCGTTCCGCAGATGCCGACAAACGCCGGAGCAACCTGTTGATGGGTTCAGTTTCTGCGATTGCCCAAACCTTGTAGGAATAAGACTAACCTTGACTTGTCCTGGCTTTACAGAAGGCAGAGGAACTTGCTCGACACGAATGTCCTCTATGCCATAGTATCTCGCTGCTCGCATCATAGTGCTATAATACGACCGATGACGGGTTGTGGGTGATCTGCGGAGGGGTTGTGTAAAGAGGGATTTGAATGTTATGGATGGAAGCCTTGGCATAGTGAATATCATGCCTCAAATCTTTTGTGTGAGGTGAGTCCAACGTTGGCTTTATATAGGCCGAGTTCATCAAGACCTCACATGATTGAGTGTCAGATCATTGACCCACTGGAACCTTACGTTGTGGGTGAAGCCACAGGCACTAGTTAGCCTCCGCAATCAAATCCAATCACCTCTGATCGACGGAACTCGATCTCCTTTCTTGGATTCATTCCAGCTCAGCGTTTAATTCGTTTGCTTGTTCATGCACATCTTTAGCAAGCCATCAGAATGCGGGGTATACTGGTGATCTGTCTTGTTTTGACTTTTATTTGACCTTTTCCCTCAAGCCAAAAGTTTTAAGATCCCTGTTTAGCATTAGTGTGCGGACGTTGGGCCGCACCAACGTCGGCTCCGATATTGTCGCTTATGGGAGACCGGCAGATGACTTTCGGCCTTGTATACAGGTACGATGAGCCAATATTTTGATTGAGCCTAGTATAGGGTGATGAGACTAATTCGTCTCTAATTTTCTCAAAGCCAGGTTGTTTGCTGTTCAGGTGATGATAAGTCGTACCGGTATGTCTTAATACATCTTGTCGAGAAGATTGAAGCTCAACTGAACACGTGCGATAAAGAAAGGTGAGACTAACTTACCATATTACGCAGAAAGGTTAATATCCCGAGTGACATGTTTCATAGAATGGACAGTGATTTACATATAAACAACCTACAACTGTGGACAAGTTGCAAAGCAAAATATAACCGAATTGTATCGGAGAGCCTCAGAAGCAAAACGTAGAAGCTTCAGATAAAGAGCGGAATTTTTTGCGATGTCTGCGTTAAAGTGCCGATGGAGCTGCGAGTGCTGGGTTTTGAAGAGATTCGTCGAGTAACTCAAGAATATGGTCCTTAACAGAGCCAAGAGATATAAAGCTGAAAAGCCACGGTCGAGACTTGAGATTCATTTAATCCCTTCTAATTGGCAAATGCGATTGTTAGCTTAAACTACAGTTGGAGTTATTGAGCGCCTTCGCTAAGCTGACATGAGACGACCCCAGACTTGGCGTATTATCTTTGTCGTACTCGAGTCTTGACCTAATGCGGCGATGTCAGCAGCGTAAGCATCATAGCATGTTGGCGGAGAATGATATGAACTTCATCTCCTCATCCCTCTATTCACCTGCTAACTGTATATCCTTACCACAATATCAACGCCGACTGTTTTCGATGGCTTCTCTTGATTCCCTTCCCAGCGAAATACTCTTACAAATCTTTCACCAGAGTCCTCCCCAAGAGCTTTGCCGCCTCAGTTTCGTATGTAAGAGACTGGGGTTCATAGCCAGCTCGTGCCTTTGGAGAGACATCGAACTCCACGAGAGAGGATATCATGAGTCAAGCGCTGAAATCACCCATTCACCACCTTACAGAACAGCACCGCGACATTACAATGATTCCAGTAGACGTGGATGGCAGAGCGACATTTGCATCAGGGCAGAGAAGTTATTCGCGCTATTGCAGAGTCTACACGCGCATGATGAAGCGCGGCTCAAGCAGCTTGCTAGTAGGGTGAGAAGTCTTTGTACGGTGATAGAACCGAGTTGGCAATCTGAGGTGGATCGGTTATCACATCCGATCTCGATATGGAATATTCTTCCTTACTTCACTAGACTTGAGTCGCTTGAGTTACACGGCAGTTCTGTTGCCTTGCGCCACGGCAACGTCGATTTACACTTGCGTGATGCGCAGCCTCTAGCTAATCTCAAATTCGCAAGGCTTTTCGCGTACATACCAAGATATGTTGCAACATATGTACTGCGGTCCAATGCCAGCCTGGAGCGCCTCGAGCTTGGAATGCTGGACGCTCCAAAGCTTGGCGGTGTCGGCATAGACTCGGTTGACAACCTCAACTTTGACGGACAAAATACTTACATGACTGGTGTCATTCCTCGGTCATTAGGTGGCTTCTTTTCTGATTGCTCCCCATCATTTCGAAACCTGAGGTATCTGCACTTGTGCCAACCTTGCAATAGTCGGGGAGATTACTTCAATCAGATGAATGCCTGGTCAGCATGTGCGGAGAAGACCGCTCTGAAATCCTGGGAAAATATCTTGATAGCCTCACGTCAATCACTTGAGACCTTGGTGATCGACCAAAGGCCTGGGGCTGGTGTGGAAGATAACGAAGGGTTCTCGGAGGAAGAATTCCTAAACAGTGGTACCTCTGGCATCGGCAACAAAGCGTTTATCGACTCAATCGGAAGTATGCTCACCAGTGAATCAGACCTTCCTAGGTTGAGCCAAGTGTATCTGTATGGGTTCATAGTCAGATCTCCTCTCCGAAGGATGCCATCTGAGGAAACTCCAGGGGACACGTTTCTGCATGACCTCGAAAGACGAGGTGTTAGATGTGAAGCCAGGAGAGGGAAATGGTGCCTGTTCGATCAGGAGTCAGGAACTGCATCATGGGCGAAATGGAATGGAGACGGATGCAGCAACCTTCACGACGAGTATATGGGAGTTAGATGGTACACTGTTTTAGCCAATACGTGACTGACTGATGGTGTGGATCGGGACATAGGGCTCGATGTGAATGCGAGTCTGGGTTGGCGCTGAGCAAGGGGTTTTAGGACGCAAACACGGCAAAAAAATAAATTGTGATCAAGTGTTGGTTCACCCATGCGCTTGCCTCAACACGGGATCGAACCGTGGACCTTGTCATTACTAGTGACACGCTCTACCACTGAGCCATTAAGGCAGTCTTTTTTATTGAGAGATATGCTTTCACTAACGTCCATGTACTGGACCAAACTTGTCCTTTTCTTTTGAAGATGACAGTTCTGAAAAGCTTTGCATGCAAATTGGCGGTGGAAGATGGAACGGAATTCGAAAGTGAATGGAAAGTATTTTTACATTTGAACGTCATTTATCCCTCAGCTATATAAAAAAAACCTATCATAATGGCCGTTCATCTTAATCTATACATAACTAAATTATCACAGTCGTTGTCCCTGGGCGGTGGCAGAGTAAGACTCTGCATTGTAGGGACGCGACATCAAAGCATCATCCGAGTTATACCCAGTCATCGCAACAGGAGTTCCGGGCGATGTTCTCCTCTCAGTACCCTGGAAAATAAACAGGATTGCCTTCAGTGAATCGGATGGGTTAAGCATTGCCAGCCAAGCGTAAATGCCAAATGGTCCTCCCTGGTAGGACTGCTCTGGCCTATCATTCTCTTCCAGTTTGGCAAATGTTCCGCGACCGTGACCGTGGACGTAGACCTTCCAAGGGTAGGCAATGTAGAAGAATATCGACAGTGGGACCATTAGAACACAGGTGACGAGGTTGGGAAGACTGATGTGAACATCAGCGTACGTGAGGACGTCGGTAGGCTCGAGAACGCCTTGGTCTCCTAGAATCCAAAAGATGATCTAGAAACTGTTAGTCAACCATTTTTTCGTGCTAATAGACTTCCAATGACTTACCTCTTGGAGAAAGGTCAATCCAACGACAATTTTAAACGCGGTAAGCTTGAGCATCGGGGAGTGATGGGCAAGGTCCTTCTTGAGAAGCATGTACATCTGAAGGATCGCGGCCACAGACACAATGAGTGAGATGGTCATGATAACGCGCAGGTAAATGTTGGCGAACTCGCGCGAGTTGCTCTCTTGACAAAAGACGCCAGCAGCTTGAGTGATGTCGGTTGCAATGACAACGCCAACGGCAAGAACTGGCATCTGGAAGATCATGGCCCAGCGGGTCTTGAACCATTTCATTCCGTTCTTTCGCTTGGTCGCGAAAAAGACATCGCGCTGGTCTCGGTGGGGCGATACATAATCGCAGAGGAGCAGAAAGAAGGATCCGAGAGCGAAACCTTCAAAGACGTGGAGCCATGGCTGGATGTAGACTTCGGCTGTGGGGAAGCAGATACAGAGAAATGAGATGAGGGCGAAAGCAGAGATGAGGTTGCCGACTCGCATGATCCTGAACAGGTTAGCCCAGATTCGATAGCTTGATGCTGCAGGAGACAACATACTTGACCTGCTCGGAGGGGTTTGAGAGGTGTGTGGCATGGAGTTGCTTGCAGGTGAACATGGTAATCATGGCCACAGCGGAACATGAGCCACCGAGAATCATGGCGAACTGATAGAAACTGAGATTGCCAACAAGATTTTGCTTGGCATCTTCTGCGAGTTAGTGACCGAGACGTCAAGTGGATGTTGAACATTTGCTTGCGTACCTTGGGCTAGTGAATGCGTGGGGCAGGTGACAGGTGCGTCATTGTCGTCGTCGCCTCTGAAAAGACCCATCGTAGTGTGACTGTAAGTGTTGTTGAATGGGTATCTTGTGGGTTACTGGGTGCTGTAACTTGTGGAAGAGGAGATGCTATGATAGAGATTTTCGCAATTGAGTGCCAACGGCGATTGATATATAACTTTAAAAAGGATCATCATCCATGGCAGCCCCCTCCACAATGAAACCTCATCAAGCTCATTATCTCAATGCAATGGCAGTGCTATGGGCAGAATCTGGGTCAAGCATGTCAGCCCTACCAGGGTCAGTGGAGACAAAAACACCTCCCCAAACAGACCTTCATTCGAGGGATCATCCCAAACACCCATTCATAAGAAGTTGGCTCACAAGGGGAAAGAAAGACGCGAGAACCTCTCCACCACATAATGAACGGTGAGCTACTCAGCAAATCCTCATTTATTCTGTCACCATTTAGCATGGGTATCCCGCCAGTTGGAACCAATGGTACTCAGCCACCAGGAAAACAGGAACGGACGTGTCCGCGGCTTAACCCGACAGGTGTAGCGATCGGCAAGCCAGCCACTCACAAGACAACGATGATCGTAGGCTTAGCGGAGATGACAATGCACACGGTTGCTTACAACCTACAGGACGTCTTAATTTGGGATATCTTGTTGGAGAATAGGTACTGAAATGTAACGGCAGTCTCACTGTAGCGACCTGTTCTGTGAAGAATTTAAGCTTACTGTGCTCTCCGATTTTCAGCTCGCTCTTAGCTCTAATTTCCAGATCTTGACTCTGCTCAATGGCTCGCATTTTCTGTTCAATGATTGGTTATAATACTGTATCGGTGGGGTAAGAACCTCGAAAAATTTCCCTTCATCTTTCTCACTCAAAAAAGAAGAGTTCCCTCAATCCGCTTCTTTGAGTTGCGGCCTCCTATGGCTATGTCTGATCGACATTGACTTTCCCTCCAACGTCGAATCGTTTCCTGAAACCGGTGAGTCGATTCGAATGTGGCTTGGATTTGGTGACGATTGACGGGCCTGACGGATATTTCGGCAAAGCTCCTCCTCAAGGGTCGAATGGTCTGCTGGATGCGGCTAGATTTGCTGTCAGGGTGACATTCGAGTCCACTCGCGGCGTCTAGATAATGCAAGGAGGATAGATAAGCGATAAGATATCGGGAGTCGGCATTTACAAGCTCCGTGATCCCTGTTGATGGACAGTGTTGGTTCCACGATCTGTTATTCCAAACACGTCGACTACCCTAGACATCTACAAATGAGCCGAGTATTTCTCCCTGACACCGTTTTCGTTGGCGCAGATACCTTGTACGTGCGATATATAAATAATAAATAATATATTCACCAAAAATAGAATTAATCCAAATGTTGTGAGGTCTGAAGGTTGTCACTGCCGACGTGGTCTCGCTTAGGAGTGTTTGGTAACCAAAAGGTGAGTTAGCAGTAGCGTATTTTCGTGTAGACTCACAGGCTGGACTGGGGCAACTACATAGTCACTTAAACAAACATGATTTCTCTCATCATCATACCCTCAAAGATTCAGAAGATGAGTCATCTCGTATTTGTCCCACATGATCTCAATTAAATGCTTCAAGACACAGACAACCTCTGACCATCTTGACTCCTTGATCAGGCTGTTGGTTCGTTCTGGCACCAATAACCCCACTTAACGACTTGAAGACCTTCCTCATCAAGATAAGTGTCCAAGTATTTTCGCATTATTTCCGAGGCGCAGCAAACGCGACTCATTTCAACGCGCACGAGTGAGGCGCGTAAAGTGACTATTTAGTTAAAACACTGAGCTGTCCTCTTTCGTATAATAGTTTGTAGATCTCTCTAGTCAAACTCTAAGCCATTCGTTCAATTCTGATAGATCTTCACCATGGTCCGCTTGTCCAACTCTCTTATACTTATCGGCATCCTGGCTTCTGGTGCCGTCGCTGCACCTGAATTCGATCAGGAAGCTGAGCTCCGCAGGTCAAATTGCGACGTAAGTCTCCCCTTTTTCGCCCTTGAAGACCTTTAGCTAATGTGCTCGTTTTCCACAGAATGGATGCTTTGACGATTCATTTCCAGGCGGTTCATGCACAAACGATCCAGCTTGCATGTGCACCCAAAACAAGTATCGCGAGGCGTATTTTTGCTGCATGGCTAAGAACTGTGAGGCAATCGTAGTAACGAGTGAGTGTAAATGAGCCCTGCCAAATCGAAGATGCTAACAAAATGCGTGTAGGATCAGTTGAGAGGCAGCACGATGAATGTCAGGCTCGGAATCTTGACTTCACTTTCGATGTCGAGAAGGTTTGCGGTATCAAGTTGGCGGCCACTACTTCCACGACTTCTTCAGTCGAAACTGCTGCTACAGCCACGAATTTAGGAACATCTTCGGTAGTGGTAACACCTACGACTTCTGATGCAGAAACTAAGACGATGTCCGACAAGAACGCCAAAGATACTGCTCAAGCATCACCCACAGAAAGTGCTGCCCCTGTGACTGATGGTGTCCCACAACTAAAGCCCGCTTTGGGCGGCCTAACGCTCTTGATGGTCTCCGCGTTCTACCTTCTGTAGAATCGTAATATGCGTTAACGGATAATAGCACACAGCTTGGGTTAGAGTGTATTTGGTTACCGTATTGAGGGTGGAAAGGAAGCCGACTTTAATCATTAATGAGATGTAATTCTAGAACTTGTTATAATTAATAATTGATAGAGAGCTACAGACGATGTTGCTCGTGGTTCCTTATGGGAGGAAAACAAAGTCTGCATATTGTACTCGGGGACCAGTATGGGATTCTATAGTACCTACTCAAAGGTAACATGCGCAAATGCTGACAGTTGAATAACCTTGCCGCATTGGTAGGACAAGCAGGGTATGCTACTGGTAGGGATCATCCATATCGGTCTTACTCGACAATCTCACTGTCAGCTTCCCTGCGTCAATTAACTTGGCACCAACAAAGCGATTCAAGATGACAAACGTAGTTTACTCAACTCCCGAATGGTATTTGAAAGCTCAGGAAAAAGATGTGAGCAGTGACATAGGCCGATTGACCATACATCACCTCGGCTTTAAACAGGCGGCCGATGGTACCCTGGTCTTTGCACCACTCGACTTTACCAGCGCTCCCCGGGCAATTCTTGATGTCGGAACTGCAGATGGTCTATGGATGCGCGATGTGCAAGCCTCCATTCCCGAAACAACTCGGGATGAGCACACGTTTCTCGGTACTGATATCAATGTTTCCTTCTTCCCCAATACCGTCACAAAAGGCATTGCGTATGCGAAACAAGACATCAAGGATCCTCCACCCCAGACCTGGCATGACTCGTTTGACCTCATCAACTTACGCATGATACTCATAGCCGCTGGTTCTGGTGATGCACAGCGATCTGTAGTCAACCAGCACGTTGAACTTCTGAAGCCTGGTGGCTGGATTCAAATCGGCGACTGCGATCGAGTCTGCCCTACCTCAAGCGAAGAAAACCCGTGCTACAACGACATGTTTGCCTGCATTCGTGCTGTCTGTCAGGCTTCTGGATTGGATCCTCTCGAGGCACCAAAAATGAAATCATGGCTTGTAGACGCCGGGCTGGAAGATGTCCAGGAGAGAACGGCGTTGCGTGCTGTTGGTAAGCGTAACACAGATGAGGAGATTGGGAGGCTAGGAATAAAGGCAGATTTAATCATTGCGAAGGGATTTGCAGCTGGTGTCAAAGGTGAGTTTAATACTAGACTGAATGTAACTCTCATACTGACTGGCTTAGCCTTGGACCCGTCTCTCAAACCATTGACTGACGAGCGACTTGATACGTTGGTGCGAGATCTAGAGGTTGAGTTGGCCAATACTGGAGCATATTTCCCGATGCGGTTTATTTGGGGTAGGAAACCACTATAGACACCTTGGTTGATATCGATATGAAGGGGTGTGTCAGTCAGCATGTCGACTGCTTCAAGGCGTGATATCCCGTGTCTAATAACAGCGTTTAATTTTAAGTATGTTAGTTCCTATGTATAGATATAGAGAGACTATTTCCTAATTTCCCCAAAATGACCCTCATAGAACCTAGATGAAGCCAACCTTGAAGAGGCGCCATAACAGTCAAATTTCTTAGTCTATGTTCCTGAAGAGCATATGGAACTTCACTCCTGCGGCTTCCTACCATATGTAGAGTAACTGTATACGTTAACGAACTGCTCATGGAAAAGACGGACAGAACATACACTGGCCAATAGGCATGAATCGCTTTGTTGTTAATGTCTTCCCTGACCTTGGCCAGGAAGACTGTTACCTCTTCTTGGCTCCAACCAAGCACTCTAGTCAAGACGGCGATGGAAAGAGCCTCAAGCCCTTTGAAGTCGTCCATATTCAAGTTGTTCCACTGTCCAAGCTCTTTAAATTTCTTATCCTTTGGCCAAGCGTTGCTGGGCCATTTAAAGACCGTCTCAACAACATCGACGAAGCCGGCAACGCGTAGAATGTCTTTGTTCTTTCTGTTGTCTTGGAATGGGCGACCAATCTTGGTTGAGGCCTCGTCGAGGAGGTGGATGAGTTTAGATAGATTGTGGTCTTCATTTAAGGTGCTGTCATCCGACTTGGCGAAGAGATCTATTTCGAGAAGTTCTGCGTACCCGCCGGGGACAAGGTTGCTGTCTGGATGAGAGACTATATGTTGTTGTCAGGAAACATACTTACTTGAAGATGTTGCTGGCGAGATCAGGCCAGCTTTTGATGCTGAACGTCATCATGCGACTGTGGACATAGTCAAAAGGTTCAGAGAATGTCCACGGCTCTTCAATGTCGTCGATAAAGAACTCCACATTTGGCGGAACACTGCCCATCATCCATTAGTTAGGAAGGTCCAAGAGTAAGAAGAGGGCCATACAAATCAGGCTGAATCGGGGACAAGTCGACGCCAATAACCTCGGAATCGGGGTGTTCGTCGGCATAATCAATCGCCCAGATTCCAGTACCTGTCCCTACATCGAGAACGCGCTTCACCTTGGCACCAGGATCATTTGGAGGTGCCAATCCTAGTCTGTTGTCGAGCATCAGGATGAACAAGTTATGCTGGAGGTCTAGCGCCAAGTATCAATACATGCAAGTATGTGTAGCCGAGAGTTGCCATACCCAGTCTTTGCTTCTCAATGTCATCATTCGGGAGATTGTATTCTGGATTGGTCAGCTCAAAAACCTAAAAGTGAGAGATAGAGACCTACTTCCATCTTTGTATCGATGATACGTTCGGCCATTTTCTTTGCGATAGTCTAAGATAGAGCTTTTTAAGCTTTCAGAAGTTGATGCATTGATCTGAGTAAACGATTGAGATTAGCTTGGCTATGAGGAGAAATGAGGAAAGCAACGCACAGAGAGGATGGAAGAGTCTCGGTCATCTTCGTTCTGCAGGTTGTCAGTTTACAATATCGTGATCAAAGTTAGACTGAAAGACCTCTTCATCAGGCTCGATAACGTTCTCGTGGTCAACAGTAGGTCCCGGCATTTCGAATTAATCGCGCATTGTGTGGTAGGGTAAAAGAGAATTTCCCCTCACTGAACGAATGATCTCTCTTATTAACTGTTCATAACCCTGGCCGAAAATCCTGGTCGAAAATATGTCATTTGTGCGTTGGCTGTGCCAAACGGGGTAAAAGGTTGACAAGGATCGATCTGTCATACGATAACTACCGACAAAAGGTACCATTTCTGAGTATAGATACGTATGAGTTACCTTCGTTATCGAGTGTCCGGCTTCAGCAGTAAGATGCTTCGAGTTCATAATGCTTTTGGAGACGGAGAACGCCCTAAGGCAAGAAGTATAAGAATGACCGACAACTGTATTTTAAAGACAGCCTCAAAGAATATATGTCTGGATGGTTATAAAGACTTAAAAGCCATCCCAAGTCCTTTGCACAATTCTCCAGTACCTCTCATCATCATGTCTAGCATGAGCAACATGTTTCGAACCATCGAACCTTTCCATCCGCACATTGAAACCCAGCTCAACAGCTTGTGAGGCTTGAGTCTCCAAGTCAGTATGTAGAACAAGATCGTCCGTGTCGCTGTAGATATAGGACCTGCGAAGCTCACGCTCCTTCTTGCCTTCTGCCTCGTTATGGGTCTTACCCCAGTAGACTAGCCAATCCTTAGTAGCACCAAGATTCCTAATCAGCTGCCAGAAAAATGCAGCGATGTAAATAAGTGGCGATAGAAAAAGGCGTTGAAGCTTGGAGAAACCAACAACAAAGAATGCATATGTTGTTGAAGCTCTTTGAGCACCTGGTGCTGAGTCAAAGATCATGACATGAGTCGGGAGATAGGGATCCTCATCCCCGCGAGCGGAAATAGAATACTCATCATATAAGGCTGAGATGGATGATGAGCCACCGTTGGAAAAGATGTGGATCAAGATGCTCGGCTGCGTAGTCGAGGATGCACCCTCAGGAACCGCAGCCCTGATTACTGGCACCATCGGTCTCACGAAACGTGAGAGGGCCTTGGGGTCAAAAAAGGTCCTGTTAAAGCTCTTGACCAGTAGAATTTGCGCAACTGGGTATAGCCGCTTATGCTTGTCGACATATTTGGCGATGTGAGCATCAAGCGCATTGGTCCAGCTGGCGACAATGATGAGCTTTGGTGGTATGGATCCGCTAGTGGCTGAGTCACTAGTCGAAGGTCTATAGAAGAAGACCTCATCAGAAAGCTTCTCCATGTAGGAGAGGGGCTTGGCCTTTGCTGAGTGAGCGGCGTCGGTGGACATTTTGGGAACAGGCGAAGCAATGATATGGAATTCTTGTGTGGGTTGTAGAGTTATTCGGGAAAGATTGGCGAGAAACAAAAGAGGCTGAGTCGCAGGTTATCTAGCGGCGTGTAAGACCTGAATAGAGTAATCAAAAGATGGATCTTTGTGCTCCAGAGATAAGCATGGTTGGCTTTTGCGGTGCTGACGGCGCTTACGTTGTCAGATTGGGCTATATGCACCGCCAATTGAGCTTCTCGCTGACGTCGATTGAGTGAGATTTGATCATCATCAAGTAGGGACGTGGCACGGATGCTCGTTATTTCCGAGATATCCATATTGATGACACAAACTCGGGGACAATTATACTACCATGTAGGCGATCATCGCCATTCCTTTCGTACACCATTCTGAAACTGGATATCGAAATAGGACTATGGATGCCAAGAATCAAAGCGATGATATCAGTTTACTGACGTCTTTGCCAAGTTGCGACTCACATCATGGTGTTTTCCTTTATCAAATTTCATTACAATATTGCGGATCAGACAAGTCACCGGTCATTTGTCACCTGTTACGTCGTCTGAACGCCTTGACTATGCTGCTGGCGAGGCTAAGTTGGTCTAAGCATAACAGCAGTGCTTATTTGCCTCCACTTAGTTTGATGTTCAGTACAGTAAAACCTCTGCGTCAGCTTACAGCAGGCGCTGTTGGAATCATGTTGCAGCCACTCCACCATCGACTGACGTGTTGACAATAAGCAGCACACCGTTTCGATGGGAGATCTGTGAATCAAGGTAGTGTGACCCAACAGCTGTATATATGTACGGCGTGTATCTGATATCAGATCTGTGCATTAATTCATCTCATAATTCTTTCAGCAAGCGCCATCTTTTATATTATGTCTGAGTCACACAGATTGATGAGGGATCCCGAGCCAGGACAGCCCGGATACCCTGGAAATCCCGGGTTTCCTGGGTTTCCTGACTACACGCGGTATAGCGGTGCCACACAATTTGAAGGGCATTCGTTCGAGTCAGACCGACCTAGTCAGAGCGAGAAGGATTCCACACGTAACGGTACGATCGCGCCGGACTCAACACAAGAGTTGGATTGGGATGGAGAGAAGGATCCAGAGAACCCGATGAACTGGTCAATGTGGAAGAAAGTCGTCCACACTGCCATACCAGCGATATACACATTCGGCCTGTATGTAGTGTCTAGTCCCGACGAACCTGAAGGTTATACTGACCAACAATGACACAGAACAACAGGTATCTCAACACTCGTCGCAGGCCTTCCAGGCATTATGCAACAATTTGGAGAGACCAGCAGAAACGTCGCCCTTCTTCCTATAACCCTCTACACGATCGGATTTGTCTTTGGCCCTTGTATCGCCGCCCCGATCTCTGATCTCCACGGCCGTCTTGCCGTCTATAAAGTTAACATCATCATACTTATCATCTGCAACGCCATCGCCGTGGCCTCGGATAACTTTGCAGCCCTTGTCATTTTCAGATTCTTTGCATCACTGGGTGGAAGTGGTGTTATGGCTGTAGGTGCAGGAACCATGTCTGACCTCTGGCCGCCGAGTCAAGTCAGTCGTGTAGGTGTTGCATACTTGCTGGCACCTTTCCTTGGTCCTAGCATGGGGCCTTTGATCGGATCGTACGCCATCGAACAGTATGGTGATTGGAAGTGGGGAATCTGGGTCGTTCTTTGTATTCTGACTCCCGTCGCAATCGCCATCTTCTTTTCTTCCGAGACATCTAAGAAACAAATTCTTGCTGCGCGTGCGAAGAGACTTGGTAAACACCCCAAGAGTCAAGGTATTGTAACGGAGATGCAAAAGATCGGGAAAGCTATGCTTAAGCCATGGCATATGTGCATTTTCGAGGTTTGTTCTTGTATTCTCTGGGCTTTCTCTTCGCATTTACTAATCATGACTTGTAGCCTGTGTCACTTGTTCTAGGCCTTTACACTGGCTTTTCATTCGCCATGATATTCTCTTTCTTCGGTTCTTACACTTATGTCTACTCTACTGTCTACCAATTCGATGCACGACAAATTGGTCTCTGCTATATAGGCCTTATCATTGGTAAGCTATCCTAACTGCTCGTATAACTCAGGCGGAACTAACCGATATAGGTATTCTCCTGGGTCTTGTCACATTTGCTGTCTTTGACGCAACTATCTATCAGAAGCAAGTGGCTAGAACCGGCGACAGAGTGGCACCAGAGCATAGACTATATGCAGCGCTGGTTGGAAGTATACTCGTACCAATCGGATTATTCGTTAGTATCTCCAGATCACCGCAAGTGGTCCGCTAAGCTAACTCAAAATAGTGGTACGCATGGGCCCCTGATGCATCGGTGCATTGGATCGCCCCTGTCATGGCTGGCGTCCCTTTCGCCTGGGGAACAATGGCTTCATTCCTGAGCTGTCTCGCCTATTTGGCCAGCGCATTCAAGCCTGCAGACCTGTCATCAGCTGTTGCGGCAAACGGAATCTTCCGCTTTGCACTTGGTGCTGCGTTCCCCAACTTCGTGTTTCAGATGTACCAGGAGATGGGGATTAACTGGGCTGGAAGCGTGTTTGCCTTTATCAGCCTGGCTTTCATTCCGGTGCCATGGCTTTTCTTCTGGAAGGGCAAGATGCTACGCCAGAAGAGTTCATATAATCTGAGCAAGTATTAATTAATTAGTGAACGGCAGCGGGCGTTGAGTGGGAAGGACCTTGGGGTTTAATGAGTTGGGATGTAATGAGCGTCTCTGTTTGGTTCGGTAATGTGTCAACGGTGGGATACCCGGCTGTTTGGTTAAGCAATAGAATAATATGAGGTCGATACAACATGACCATGCAATCATGTCTCGTGCCTTGTGATGAGCCTCACCATCAAAACCTTATTCATAGTGAGGAGCCGAGGTTACCGAAAATCGACCAGGGTCAAATTCCGCTGTATGTATGTAGCCGACAGGGAATGCATCAACTAACCATACCATGTTGAGGCATTATGTTTTCATCCCATCAAGCTGCTGATCTCGGGCTCCAACTGACCGAGACCCCAAATCTTTTTGCTCCTATTAAATTTCGCCGCTTCTCGTCCCCGCAACGTCAAGGTCGACTAAACATTCAGACCCTTGCATGCCCACCGACGGTTCCAGGATCTGCACCGATAGTCTTTCAGCGTTAATTGGAGCGCGTCTCTATTTCCTCGGCCAACTTCATTCGCGCTCCAATCAATCCCCAGATTCCCCAGATTAATTACGACGCGACCCCGGACGCTGGAACTCAGTTTCTCCGCGTCAAACAAACTAACTATACTATACTCCATTGATACTGGGGATGACGATGCCACATGAGATGACATGCCATGGGCGGGGCCTTGCTCGTTACGCGATAGAGATTGATGGCTGGGCACCTATATAACAGAGGGCTTCGACCGCATCTCCATCGTGATCTCTGTCCTCAGCATCCTGCAATTGTCAACACTGACAGGCCTCATCATGCGTTTCGCCGCCATAGTCTCTTTCCTGCTGCCTCTAGTGGCAGCAAAGCCTGCACAGAAGGGCAAGACCTTCAGCAACGTTGAGATCTTCGATCCTCCCACCAACTACAGAGATCCTCAGGTCCTCTACGCCCGTCCTCTTGAGCTGTCTGATGGCACCCTGCTGGGCACTTGGGAGAACTACTCTCCCGAGCCCCCTAATGTCTGGTTCCCCATTGTCCAGAGTAAAGATGGTGGCAAGACCTGGAAGGAGATTTCCAAGGTCAAAGACACCCAAAACAACTGGGGTCTGCGATACCAGCCCCAGCTTTATGAGCTTCCTCGTGCTTTCGGAAAATACCCCAAGGGAACCGTCCTTTGCTCGGGCAGCAGTATCCCTTCGGATCTGAGCGAGACCCTCATCGAAGTTTATGCTAGTCGCGACAAGGGTTACACTTGGGAGTTTGTCAGCCATGTTGCTCTTGGTGGCGAGGCTCTGCCCAACCATGGGTAAGTAAAGTCCCGCAAGCGGTTGATCAAATCAGACTAACGAAAAAATAGCCTCACTCCTGTCTGGGAGCCATTCCTGATGACGTACAAGGAGAAGCTCATTCTGTACTACTCCGATCAGCGCGACAACGCCACTCACTCTCAGAAGCTTGTCCACCAAACCACCACCGATCTCAAGAAGTGGTCCAAGGTTGTCGAAGACACCAAGTATGCCGATTACTACGCTCGCCCTGGTATGCCCACTGTTGCCAAGCTGCCTAACAATGAGTACATCTACGTCTACGAGTACGGCGGCGGCCCCAACCCTCCTGCTGGCAGCACCTACTGGTTCCCTGTCTACTACCGCCTTTCCAAGGATCCTCAGAAGTTCCTCAACAAGGATCACCACCAGATTGTTTCTAGCGACGGAACTACCCCTGCTGGCTCTCCCTACGTGATCTGGACTCCTTATGGTGGCAAGAATGGTACCATTGTTGTCAGTTGCGGTACTCGATCTGAGATCTTCACCAACCAGGCTCTTGGTGAGGCATCTGCTTGGAAGAAGTGGGATGTTCCCCAACCTACTGCCTATACCCGTTCTCTCCTCACTTTCAAGAAGAACCCAGATCTGCTCATGATTATGGGTGCTGGTATCTTGCCACCTGCAGGTGGTAACAACACTGTTAGCGCTAGCGTTGTCCGTCTGTCTGAGGTTATGAAGGCTTAAAGGGGGATTAGGGATGTAATAATCGAAGCTTATACATGTCATAATGAATACCTAAACCTAATCACGCAGAAGCTCGTGATCGTCATCTTCGTAATCAGTCGAAACTTGAAGTATGCCCTTATTGTATTATCGGAACTTAACTTCATGCCCAAAAAGATTCACTCTAATTACAGATTGTGAACTACCATGCTTTTGACGCGTGGCTGTTAACCTTTACTGTGGGCTATACGACACCTCAGTTGTAAAATTTACTCTAACATTTCAGATGAGGTTTTTATTTGGGACATTATTCATGAAATTACAGTGGATGATGATAAATATTTGAACTTGTTTACTAAGAAATGTTGATGGTTCATCCAACCACTCACACGACTTACGCTCAAATTCATGCAACAAAGAGTCCCGACTCCCCAAATCGCAAGATGACCCATGCGTGGCGCCACGTCAAGACAAGAGAATCAAACCACTGCCACCCTATCTTCAGTCGTCGCATTTATCCAACACGATCGCAGATACGTGTTGAAGCAGAAACTTGGGAAGAACAAAGACTGCATACGGACCTTCACGAAGCACGTCAGAGACTTGCTGGATGAAACTGAGATATACCATAAGCATGTGCCTCGCGAAGATTGGAAAGACATGGATCTGCTCGAGTCGCTGCTCGAGAAGAGGAGCCGACACTTGAACGATTTGTGGGCGACTAGACGACGACTAGAGAATGAAATGAGAGAGATACGAAGAGAAGGTAATTAAGGAGTTGCCCAATATAATTTCATAAACTCTGACACTCTTGATAGTTCGACGACAGATCTTCTGTAAGCTATGTTCTTGGATGAAGTTGAAGAATATTGGCCGTGTACGTGTGACGCCCTTCTTAAGACGCGGGCAAGGACAAGATAAAGCTTGATCAAGATGGGTAGGCGCCTAGATTCGTGAGTGGTCTAGGTTTAGGTTTCCGGGAAGACATAAAGTTTGCAATTCATTTTAACTCAATAAAATGAACCTGAACTCAAAGCTGTTACTCAGTGTTTATTGCTGTACTTACTTCAGCTGACGTCTTTACAACTTATAAATATTCCGAAGACCCCTTGATTATTAACTCTCAACTTGCTATCAAGAAGAGCAGTAAGACATCATTTGAGCTGGACCTCCCCATATCCGGATATGAATCAGCAACAACGTATTGATCGCGTCTCACGCGTGATAAAGGGATCACGTATATCCTCTTCCCATATCAATAGCCACAAATTACAGCCACTTACCACGCAGCTGTCATTCACACATTATTGTTCATCAATGCCAAAGTCTGCAGAAATCACTAATACTTACCCGCAAATGGTCGAATACGTTTACGTCTACACAGTCGAGATGAAGCGGGAGATTGAGAGCATTTCTGCTGAGATACGGGCCATCAAGGCAGGGCTCAGACTCAGGGATGCTGAACTGCAGCACGATATCGCACGGATGAAGCTTCAAATAGAGCAGATGCGTCGTTCACAGACATAGATGGTGACTGTCGGCAGTGAGTCAAATTGCAAGAACATCCTGAATGCATCTAATTACTAATAGGGAAATAGAGACGTTTGCTTCTTTCACAGCCCATAAAGCTCTTCTCTAAAGATCAAGGATTCCAGTCCGATGACAGTTGCATCATAGGCAATATCGAATGTCGCAGTTCTTGGGAGAATGGTCCAGGCGAGAGTGGGTTTGTTTGGATAGTCAAGTGATTTGATGCCTGGATCACGCATACTCGTTACGAAGATGGCCACAATGGAGTTTATCAAGGAGCAGAGAGACTTGAGGGAACCAATGACCCCTTCCGATTAGAATTGAAGATAAATATAGGAAGCCATAGAAAAGTATCCATAAGACATGTATAACAAGCATTAGAATTAACACGTCTTAACAAAAGAAAGGTTCTCAATGAACGTCAAAGCTCAAGTCTTGGGTTTGAAATCCTCAAGGGCATCCCTTACTAAAGCAAGATTCTGGATTACAGCCAGTCCGTACTGCGCAACATCATTAGTCGAGACCCATGGCGCCTCCTTCCCAGGTACAAGTCCTTCGTGATCGGGGATGGTTGTTGTCTGGAAAGTGGCGTTAGGTGCCTTAAAACCGTCACTGTTGAAGAATTTCTCCCAAACGAGATTCGCCATAGTCCCATTCTTTTGCTGGTTTGCCGCATAAGCTGTGAGGCGTGAGTGACCTTGGTACAAGTTCAACTTTCCAAAGTCTTTTCCGTAGCGAGCTTTTTGCTCAGCGGCCGTAGCTTCAAAATAGTAGCAGTAGTCGAGCCACGCTTGCTTGAAAGCTTTGGGGAGATCGTCACCGGCATACTCGATCAGCTCGGATACCACTTCAGGTAGACCGAAAACAGCTGAGAGGTGTGAGACGTCTACGTGACCCTTGTTGTCCGGATCAGCAGGAGGAGGACCAAGAGTCCAGTTCTGAAGGTTGTAGAGACCATTGCCTGTGACAAATCCATTCTTAAGCTTCGAAATGCTTTCAACTGTGCTAGTGAGTTTGGCCTTGGACTCTTCCCATCGTGGACCACGGCGCTCCCAATCGATTAACCAGCCACCCGCAAGAGCACCCCAGTCTGTTCCCAAACTGAAAGCCACTGTTGCGTTCGGCGTGGGAACCCAGCCGTCCTTCCGGACCTTTCTTTGAGGGTCAAGAACACCGTACGTCTTGTCCGTATCAAGAAGCTCTTCAAACAGCTCTCCGATACGCTCATCGCCACCAGAAAGGTAGTAGAAGTACTTCCTATACTGGGGCTGCGAAATACGAGCTTGCTTCGCACTGTCGCTAAAGTGCTGAACACCATGTCGGGTTCCGAGTCCTTTCCAGTTGCCAATATGGTAAACATCCACCTCGCCGGTGTGGCGTGTCAGTGCCTCAGCGAATCGATAGATATCTTCGCGACCTGTGCGCAAGAAATACTGCCAGAAGAATAAATCGGGTGAGAGCTCGGAGTTATCCCAAGCATAGCCACCGATATCGTATCGCCACTCATGTCGGTCTGGATCGTATGTGTGCATGAAGTCACCGTAATCGAGGAACCCGTACCATCTGCGGTGCTCGACTTCGTACTGGTAGAACTTTGCAAGGAAGTCGATGTTATCTTCCAACTTCTTTGATGCGGAACTAGATGTATCTGCAGGAGCCCAGTATGATCCAAGGGCTTTGGTCTTGCTGATGTACCCACCCTCGGGAACGAGAACAGGAGGGTTGTTGATCTGAGACACATAGCTGGCGAGAGTGTCCTGTGAGGGGGTTTTGTCAAATGCAACAAGATAGAGTTCGCTAGTCCTAGCGATGCCATAGGGAGTATCGAAGCCTTCCTCCCAATCTTCATAAGTAATCTCCAAAGCATCGAGTTGATCGGTGTAGTTCTTCTGTCCAAGTCCATCATGGTACGGACGAAGATCCAAAGGATCGGCAGAGGGACTGTAGAGCCACAAAGTGATGGAACCAGTATCAGAAGCCGCAGAAGAGATGTCAAAGCCAGTTGGGAACCTCTTCCAGAAGTCACGGAGACCAACCGCCAGACCTCCAACAGTAGCACCACCAAGGTATGCAAGTCCTTCCGCACGAGAGCCTCCGGGAATAGTGACCCAACTCTGGCCAGGTTTGGTTCTCTTTTTGAGAGTGAACCCATCAGATGAGAGTTGGCTCAAGCTGTAGTCGTTCCAAGGGGGGATCCAATGCATACGGCTTGAAACACGAACGTCCCATGTAGACTTATCGGGCAACTCTTTGCCGTCAAATTGATCAGCTCGGACATTGGCACCAGGGTCTCTTCGAAGACCTGTAATACCCTGAACAGCTTCACTGAGAAGGCCTCCATCAACACCAGCAATTCGCACATGGCGATTGTAAAGCTCTTCGCCTTCGAGCGGAACGTCAAAACGAAGACCCAGGCCGGAGATGAAGTCTTTCCCAGCATCGCCGTCAAATACTAAGCTATGGATGATCTTGATTGACTCAGAACCAGAATAGAGATAGAAGCGAAGGACAAATGGTAGCCATGAATCGTGGCCGGACTTGTCGGTTGCTTCGTGCTTGCCTCGAACGGTGACCAGGGCTCGTGCTGAGTTTTGGTCGCTGACTGTCACATTGTCGATGCTGCTCTGAAAACGAAGTGTTTTGAAGGGTTCGCCGTCCTCATCAGAAGGATGCGATACACCAGACTGAGATTGTAGCACAAGTCTGCCATTTTGGGCAATACGTTTCCCGTTGGTTTGGATTTCCTTGACGATGACCGAGCCTTTCTTGGGGAAGACAGCGGTCACCTTTCCAGTGTCGACTTTGATGTCGCTTGATGTTTGAGTGACTGAGACTTTGGGAGTATCCTTCCCGCTACTAGTGGACACAGTCGAGTTGATGCCATCATGGCCAGCTACAGCCTTGACGATGTACTCACCAAGGACATCCTCTGAGGCAGGGATCGCATGACCAGTCCACTTGACTGAGCCATCAGCCCAATAGCCAGTAACCCAGGTCTGAAGATCGATATCTTGACCGGATGCACCTGAGGCTGTGAACTTTGTGTTTTGGGGGAAATGCTTTGATTGAGGCCAAGGGACACCAAAGGTAGTTCCTGAGGTGAAGTTGGGTTTCTCGCCGAGCCAGTGGACTTTGGCGGCTGATGAGGAGTTGCTTGGAGCTGCGATTGTCTGGCCCGCCAGTACGGCGAGTAGAAAGGAGTGGACGGCTTGTCGCAGCATTTTGCAACGACTACCAAATTTGGACTTGCACTGAAAGTGATGTAGAAGATGAATAGACAATACAGATTGTTGACAGACTCTTATAAATAAATAATATTACACAGCAAGTGACGCCATTGAGAGTCACAATGAGATTATGCAGTTAATTTCGGTTTGTATACCCTGTTCAGCACAATTCGCAATCACCAAGTCAATAAACCCCTGCATTTCGGGCATCGGTCTAGAAAGACCCGAGCAGCTGCCCTTTTCAAGGTATGAAAAGGCACATATGACGGGTTTTAGTGTCAACTTAAAAGATTATTTGACGATCAGTGCCAGAACCGGAGTTGGGGGTCGTGGTTCCCCGCAAACATGGTCGATTCACTCCGTTGAGCGGACGGAATAATCAGCGGTAAATGACCCGTTGCCGGCCTTAGTGACAGATGTACAAGCATGGCCAGGGTTGCAGTGTGGTCCGAGTTTTGCTTGGCGTTGGGGGTTGAGGCATCACCTTATGTCTGGGGATGAACCATTTATATGGTGCGCCGTCGAAAAACTTCCACATCATAATTATTCCAGCTAATGACATCGAACAAGTTGAACATTGGATTACGCTACCCTCTATAAATGTCATAGGTGGCGTGAGCTGGGTAATGCCAGCCATGCCTCGTTTTGGGAAGCACGCAGTTGAAAGCAACCACCACATCACTGCGTCAAATTTGGAAACGGTTATGGTCCACATTTTGTGACATACAACAATACTTTACTAGAAAGGAAACAACCTAGAACATTCATTTTACTTCCATATTCTGTATCCATTCGCGGATCTATCCGGAGTTAGTGTAGTGTCACAACATCGCGTCTCGATACATGCGTATCTTACCCTATACACACTTCCATTCCTTGCAAGATGTCATCCCCTACTGCTTGTCCATGAATAGTTCAGATACAGAAATTCCTCAGAACAATTCAATATTAGGAAGGAGTGTAACCTTCTAAACATCCCTCATTACGACGTTTTTGAGACGCGAATTACGCGTCCAATGCACAGCCTCATCCTAAAGGACGGATTTCGGAATTTGAGAGTTCACGTGACCAGATCCTTCGTTATCATGTTATTCCCAACAAACATTCGCTAAAAAACATGCTATCCCCGTCTACCTTTTAAGCTTAACATCTTTTAGCAATGAGTCCGTCAGATGATCGGTGCTCGCCCATGCCTTTACTGAAAACATGCCAGACATGTTTCCATCTAAAGATTCGTTGTGAAAAGACGCAGGATTCTAATCTATGCGACCGATGCCTACGACTTGGCAAGACGTGTATTTTCAACCAGGCTCGACGACGCCAAAATGTGAACCGTCAACGGTCAGTCTATTGTTTCTAACAGAATGTTCAGTGAACTGATGGTAGACAATATAGGGAGAGATTAGGTGTGAAGTCTGCCTTGGACAAGTCATCTAAATCACCAGGAAACCGACAACAGCAAGCACGGGGCAATGAAGGGGATCAAGATATCCTCAACAGAGATGAATCACTGGACCCATTCGAACAGGGTATCTTGACCTTTGATCAGGGGCAACAACTCTTGGAAATTTTCAGATGTCGATTTATTCCATACTTTCCATTCGTCCTCTTCCCTAGCTATAGTTCCGTTGAAGAGCTAAACTCTCAACATCCCTATGCGTGCCTGGCTATGCTAGCTGCTGCGTCATACAACGACGTAGCCACACAAGTTGCACTTGGCAACCTATTCAAGCAGATAGTTGCAGTCAGGATGGTCGAAGGTGACTTTAACCAACTGGATCTGCTGCAAGGACTGCTTATTCATGTTGCATGGTAAAGTTGCTAAGAAAAGATGAAGACTTCAATTGCTAACGACCCAGGGCGCATTATCAACCCAAACCAAAACGATACATTCAACATCTCCACCTTATAACGAGTATAATCAGCGATCTACGGCTTGACCGACCCCGAAAGCCTAAGCTATGGAGTGCCGAAGGCGGCAGGTATCAGAACAAGCCTGATTGGCAGCCAGACGAGATGCGAGCTCTTGCAGGGGCATATTACTTGTCCTCCAGGTAGACAAATCATGAAACTCGATACGAAACTAGTACTAATGCAATTGAAGCTCTTCTATCATTCTTCAGAAATCACGCCAAGTCTTCAACACTACGTACCTTCTGGCATGTTGTGAACATCTCGCCTCACTCAACCAGTATCCCACTGACAAATTCTTGCCTTATGTGATACAAGTACAGGCTCTAATTGAGAATATTGAAGACCTTGTCTGCAAAACTGCGCCGACTGACAATGGTTTACAATTCTTCACTGAAAGTCAAGAGATTACACAGCAGTGTTCGAATATCAAATCGACATTACCTTTCCCGCTGAGTGAAAGCCGTAAGTGAAACCGTTACTTTGTTTTGATTTATGTCTAATATGATGTTTTCTAGCACCTTTGCTTCTTCAGATACATATCCTTGAACTCATGCTCAGCCAATCCTCACCACGAGGAACAGCCTTTGGCCTCGATAAGTTTCAGAACCCATTCCAAGACGAGACGACTCTGAATGAATGGCTGTCTACAAGCATGTCGGCTACGAGATCACTCATCGGTGTGATTCTGGTGATGCCGCAGGGCGAAGAAGTAGCAATGTCCAACATGGGCTGGATCATGATGAACTGTGCCCTAAACTTAGCCGTCCGTCTGGATCTCATAGCTGCCCGAGGTAGCGTTTCAGGCTTCACCCAATATCTTCGACGCTTCCTGGATATGAAGCATACCCTTCGTCAACTCGTCCTCCGATTTGAAGCTGTGCCCGGAACAGACGCACCACCAGACCATCCCTTTCACAGCATAGTGAAGCGCATACGACGGTTGGAAAATTGGTACCTATCTCAAGTTGCACAACAGAAAGCAGAGTCTACCTCATCTATAAGCCCTTCTTCTGGCTCACAGCCTTCAATATCACTCAGCGACCATACCAGCGGGATGCCCGCCAGTCTACCACTGTCGTACCAGAACTGGAACATGAGCGGTGGGTCTGAATGGTATCAGAATCCAGACTTGGACATTAGCACTTTTCTTTTCGCGGATCCAATTGACTTTCCCATAAACTTCGCATGGACAAGCTAGATAATTGTCCTTTACATATAATTTTATTTTGTTCGTCCCTGGGATGTCTTGTCACTCAGCACTCATTGATCCGAGTCGGACTAACGATTTTGGTACGGACTAAGATACGGACTAAGCTTATGCCGTACGGAGCAAGTCGGACTAAGATACGGAGTAAGAGCTCTGAACTGTGTATGTCATTGGCTGCACAACGTTTGACTGTAATTCGTAATTTCGGTCACCCAAAGATCCCTATTCATCCGTGGAGCCGAATATCTAAGCCTCCATCTAGTATGTACTCGTAACTTATAGCTGACGTAAAGCGCGAACGTGGGTTTTGTTCAACGGATGAACTCGAGTATAAAGACAAGAACTCATGGCTGCAAATATGGTATTCTACTCGATATCATCTCACTACCATTGCAACAACCAGTATCAATATCCCTTCTAGTTGAAGACTATGCATCCATTTATCTTTCCTTCCATTTTGAGCACAGTGGCTGTGGTAGCAATCTCACAAACCACAAGCAATGAAGAAGAAATCAGTTTCTTTGGCTGTGCCCCCCTCGGAGCATACTATCCTCCGCCGACCATTGACGTATCTTCAAAGCCTATCCAGGGAGTGGTCTCAACATTTACAAAAATGTTTGATGACCTTATCCACAACGGTGGAAGTGATACATATGGTCCGATAAACGTCAACACCACGTCCTTCTCGGTTATCATTTTTGGCGGAGACGAGAAACTCCGAGATGATCCCATCTTCTTCCAGTATCACTACACGTCTCCCGAGGATCAGATTTCCAATGGTAACATCACATCGGCTACTAGATTCCCTATCGGCGATGTTACGATGGTATTTACTGTGTATACCTGGCTCGCCAAGATGGGTGAGCAGTGGGAGACACCCATTACCAAGTATCTCCCTGAACTGTCTGATGTCAAGAGTCCATACGCTCCGTTGTGGGACGATATCACAATTGGCGCTCTGGCTGGTCAAGTGTCTGGACTCAGTCGCGAGTGTAAGCCTTTTCTTCTCCAAGATCACTACATACAAGACTAACATGATCGCAGCCAACACGTGTGTGGTGGGCGAGCCCTGTGATTGGGAATGTAAGAGAATATCCATGGCTACTCAGAGAATACCATACTAATCTAGTTCGTAGCTTTTAAGGAGGCCTTTGCTACCAAGTCGCCTTATTTCTTACCCGACACGACTCCTGTGGTGTCTTACGCAGCTTGGCAGCTTCTAGTCTTCGCTATGGAAAGAGAAAGCGGCAGTGATTGGTCGTCTATCCTTGAAGATACTCTTTTGAACCCTTTGAACTTGACTGCCAGTGGTGTTTTGAGCCAGGATAGCAAAGACATCTTTGCCAAGGAAAGTCTCAACACTTCCATAATCGGAGAACCTGGGTGAGTGCAACCAAGGATTGATTGATTTGTTTTACTAACGCGTTCAAGTGCATTGTCATTTGTAAGCTCCATGGAAGACCTTGCTCGCGCCGGCCACTCCATGCTTACTTCCGACATACTTCCTTTAACTGTTAGTCGTCGATGGCTCAAGTCTCATGCTGATACTTCCAACCTCCGCAACGGTGTCGGTCGTCCTTGGGAAGTTTACCGCGCCGGACAGAACATCCGTCCTATTATGGACGCTTTGACGAAAGCTGGTACCATTGGCAAATATGCTAGCTACTTTGGCCTCACCACTGACTTCAACGCCGGTTTTGCCATTCTGGCTCATGATAGCAGTGTCGACGATCGAAAGCTGGATCTCAATGTTCATGCTGATATTGTCAGCGAGGTCATTGGGTATTTCTCCCAGATTGCAGTTGCACAGACAGAGGCTCGGTATGCTGGTCAGTTCAGGGGTGATGAAAAATCGATGGCTTTTCTCAACACGACGCGCGACGGCCACGGCCTAGCTGTCCAGAAACTTGTCATAGATGGGGTAAACATCAAGGACCACACTGCTCAGAGACTGGGGATAAAGTCAACCGATCTTGACTTCAGAGTATACCCTACCAACGTCAAAGATGAAACTCAACACCAGTTCATCGCTGTGTTTCAGGATAAAAGTGCTCTGATTGACATGGGTACACCAACATGTATCAGTTGGCAGGAAATTGGTGCTGATGATGAGATTTATGTTCGATTCAACATGAGAGCAGGAAAGGTAGTTGGACTCGACATTCCCCAGTGGGATGCTGAGATGGTGCGAACAGACTAGTTGCTACGTTGGCGTTATGACTATACATTGTATGGCTAATCTTACTGATAACCGTGGATGGATGCGGAGGACTGGTCCCGGTAGAAATGCCTTGAAACTGCCGAAGTTGAGGGATCTCACGTGCCCAGCATGCGATCACAACATACATACTTATACATCTTTCTTCCAGCTTTAAGATAAATCTTCAATCAATTTAGTTTCTTATCAGTCTCACAGTCCAACAGAAATACATCCTGATAAATACTTTGTATATTCATATAATCGAAACACAAGCTTTTGGAACTTCCGTGTCGAGACTAAGAATGATTGAATATTGTAGTGCATCAATCATGCGTGTTGTCGGACGATTACTGCTTACCACGCAACAATCCAACCGAAGTGAAATGCTCAGTACCTCGGCGAAGCTAGCCTGATCCATCCGCTCAAGTGTCCGGGGATCCCGCAATCATCCCAACCTGAACCGAGAGATGGGCGTGCATCACTGGACCGGCTTAACCTAACTCCACACTTTAAGAATAACTGCGGAGGTCAAACTCCCGAAGCTCATCTGAGATTGAAGATGGAACCTGGGGATTGACAGGGGCACAAACTGTATGATTGGACCGCATCAATGCGTCTGCACAAGATCGGCGAATTAAACTAACCAATGCATTCGGCGCGCCAGATGAAATGAGAAGTCACAAGCCGCTTGATCGATTAAACTTGAGCTTAATAGGAAGGTCACCTGGAAGTGTTGGGGGTTGTGATGGAGTGATGATATGGGACAGTCCTAAATATACTAATTCGTGTGTGATAAAAGGTCGGCTGTACCGCTGTATGTTTTTATAATCCATCAAATTCTTTCACTCAATCATCTATCAAGCATCATGGTTTCTTGGAACAGCATCTTTACTCTAGCCCTCGGCCTTGTCAGTTCGGCTCGTGCCTACACCAACCCCATCCGAAACCCGGGAGGTGGTGATCCCCAGATTACCTATACTGGTGGTTACTACTATCTCATCTCCACTGAGTGGACCAATCTGCAGCTCACTCGCGCCACTACTATCGAGGGGCTCAAGACTGCTACTCCTAAGGTCATTTACACAGACTCAGACCCTTCGCGATCATCTAACGTATGGGCACCTGAGCTTCACTACTTGGGTGGAAAATGGTATATCTACTACACTGCTGGAAAGGCTGAAGACCTTACTGGACAGCGTTCTCATGTTATCAAGGGTTAGTATAATACTCAAACATATCAGTTAAAGGGCTGTAACTAACAACTTCGCCTAGGTGGTGCCACTCCTTGGGACAGCTGGTCCTACGGAGCCAAACTCTCTGACGACTGGGGTATTGATGGTACAATCCTCCGGACCAACCAGTTCGGCAACTACTTTGTGTACTCTTGCATGACTGGTGTTCAATACCAATCCACGTGCGTCCGTAAGCTTGGATCTGACTTCATGTCCGCCGGCGCCTTGAGCATCATCTCCCAACCTGATCAGGCCTGGGAAAAGAGCGGCACTCCTGTGCAAGAGGGACCAAACGCTCTGTATTTCGGCGGAAAGACCTACATTGCCTACTCTGCCAACTATTGCTGGACCCCTGATTACTGCGTTGCGACCCTTGAGTGGGACGGAAAAACTGACCCAGCCAAGGCGTCTGCATGGAAGAAATCCAACGGCTGTGTTCTCAAGAGTGCGAATGGAAGCTATGGAACTGGACACAACAGCTTTTTCCAGAGTCCTGACGGAAAGCAGACTTTCATTACGTTCCATGCTACTTCGAACAAGAATGGTGCTTGCGACGACACTCGATATGCTATGACTCAGCCCTTGACTGCCAATGCCGATGGCACACCTAACTTTGGAAAGGTCCAGCCTTTCTCTTTTCAATTTGCGGAGCCTTCCAAGTAGAAAGTATCAGTTCCATTTCTTTATATAGAAAGTAACAATAATGATCCTTCTCCTTCTTTCCTTGGAATTGATCGTTGCAAATATGTCCATACGATGCAAAAAATGCCATGGAGCCATTCATAAGAATGCCCAGAACTGGTCTACCTCATAACATCATAAAGATAGATGTAGATAGGTTGGACATAGTCCGGGTACGAACTGGTCAACAGCTTTATCCAGCTACTGATACACAGAAAATGTCGCATAGTACAAAGAATGCACTACTTGGTATGATAGATTCTGTAGCACTGTGTAGCTGTCTGTATCTGGTGAAGCACCTATTGACAACACTATGTTAATGTGCTGTGATGCCGGCTAGCCAATATCTGCTCAGTCTAATTAAATGTACGACATTAGAACTTCGACACATCAACAAGAGGTCGTCATTTACAATGAAACTGGATAAGAGATTTGAAGGAGAGTCTGACACAGCTGAAATCGTTGCAAGTAAACACTCTATGATTCTCAACTGAAGAGATAAGCATGATATGATGAGTAACATCAGCTATTGAAGAAGATTCCTCTCAGATTCAATCTCATACATACATTCATGATACGAAGTATGCGTCCAGACCTTGCATAAAGGGCGACCATTTCGATAAAATAAAGTCGACAGGAATGTTATTGCATTTGAGCTAAAGAAGGGCTGTACATTAACTGTTAGCCTGGGCATTCTAAGCGCGACGGTCTATACGATGTATACAAAAAGTAATGATCAGACGGCATGGACTTCTGTAAAGAACGGCCTAGTACCACTTAGAGACGATGCAGTAATTGGTTTACCGCTGACTATGAATCATCTTTCCGCATATCTTGGTAGCTTCAGAATCGCGACTTCACTTGCAACATCTAATTTGTAGTACAACGCAACACACTGATTAGTGGCATACCTATCCGGAGTCTCAGAGGTTGGATGTGGAAATTAAGGGGCTTGTACATGTGGCCAAAATTCTTTCTTGTTGGATTTTGGACCGAGAGGTCGAGGGGTAGCCTTCTGTTTATCATTTCGCCCCTGCTTTGATGGCTTGTGCAAACTAGGGATTGACTTGCATTTTAAGCAAGCCACAATGCCAATACCGCGGTCTCTTTGGATGGCACTGAATCATAATTCGACTAGTTGCAGCGTAGACATGAATCTTAATCAGACATTGAGGCTGAGACATTAAGAAGGGGCAACCGGGGCGATATGTTGTGTGAATATCCTTTAAGGCTCCCTTGCTTGGCACTCTGTGAAGGGAGAGGCCCCATCCATTTAATATTCCACTTGTCAGTCGAATGCATGAAAGCTGGCCCACGAATATCCAACCTTTTCACTTGACGCACCAATCGCAATCATGACTATCGTTACAACACTCCGTAGCTCCATACCTAGACAGTCCATCTTGGTGACAGGTGGTGCGGGCTTCATCGGCTCCCACCTTGTCGAAGCCCTGCTTGCCGACGGGTATTGGAAGGTTGTGGTTATCGACAACTTCGATGACTTCTACTCCCCCGAAATCAAGCGTGCCAACCTCGCAGGCCTTCTACAACACCCCAACCTCACAGTCTACGAGGCCGATATACGCGACGTGCCAGCCCTGTCGGCCATCTTCGCCGAAAGCAACTTCTCCGTTGTGGTCCATCTTGCGGCTCGCGCAGGAGTTCTCCCCTCTCTGCAGTTCCCAGACCTTTACTATGACGTCAATGTCACTGGAACGATGAACCTGCTGCAGTGTTGCAAAGACTTTGGAGTCAAGCAATTTGTCTTTGGGTCATCCTCCAGTGTCTATGGCCTGGGCGCAAAGGCTCCCTTCTCCGAAACTCAGAACACCACAAAGCCCATTTCGCCATATGCTGCATCGAAATCAACAGGTGAATTGCTGTGCCACACATGGTCTCATCTGTATCAGATTCGCTGTGTCTGTCTGAGGTTCTTCACCGTTTACGGCCCTCGCCAACGCCCGGATCTTGCGATCCACAAGTTCACCAGACTCATCCACCAAGGCAAGCCAATCCCTCTTTTTGGAGACGGCTCCTCAATCCGGGATTACACCTACATCGACGACATTATCGATGGAATCTTTGGGGCTATTGACTATGACGGTTCTCTTTTTGAAGCCATCAACCTCGGAGAGTCGCAGACCATCAAGTTGATAGACCTTATCAGTGTCCTTGAAGGGACGTTGGGATGCAAAGCACTCATTGACTGGCGAGGAGAGCAAGCTGGAGATATGCCACTCACGTACGCAGACGTTTCCAAGGCGGGTTCACTGATCGGGTACAAGCCTAAGACCAAAGTGCAGGAGGGAATTATCAAGTTTGTTGCTTGGTATCTGAACCACAACGAGGTCTAGTTCATTTGTTGGATCGCTCATTTCTTACATGTCATTTCCTACCTTCAACACAATGTATAATTATGTATTAGGCACTACTTTCAGTTTAATATGTATTTATCTCCGCCTTCAAATCATCAATGACCTGCTCACTTTTTCCTTCACCGGTATTATTAAATTATGGTACAGATCATACGTTGCGAATTAGAAACAGGCCGTCATGTGGGGGTACATCTCGAGCCTACACAGAGAAAATGTCTTCACAACAGACTAGGCGCCACGAATGTTGATGTATAATGCAGCACTCTACATATATAAACTTAATCTATTCACACACATTGATAGACAGGAAAATTTGAGGCAACTTATTCACAATACCAATGCCAATTATTGATCGTGTACGGTTGTTATCGACATTTGTAGAGGTCCTTCCATGCACACATACCAACATCAAATGAAAATAATTACCTAAACGGCCCTTTACCGTCTCGTAGTACTTCTTCCCACCAAGTGTCTTTCGCATCTTTAAGTGGCTTCTCTTCCCATTGACACAGCTCCTTAAATTCCATCTTGGCGAACCTGCCATTCGCCGTTGCATTGGCCTTTCGGGGATATCTGTCTCTTGACTCCGCTGGCACACCCCAGTATCTGACCTGGTTGTTTCCAGCACGGACGGTTGCCAGCGGTTTATTTATGGGCAGCGATTTGAGACGAGGGGTTACGAGCTCTCTCAGGCGTTGATGATACCACGGACGATCCCACCATGTCTGGCGTCGCTCTTTGTAACCGTTGTGATGTATTATCGCCGGCACGTTCCCGATAAAAAAGTCAGCGTACAGAGGCATTGTACTCCAGGTTGCAGTATGATCAAACTCGGATAGCGGGTTTCGAGACATGTTGACATCGTCAGGTAGACCCTTTAGTCGGACTGGCGATATTCCTCGAGCCTCTGAATGCTGTTTGATAACCTCCTTATCGCCCAGAGAGATAAATTCGGTGTCATAGAGTTCATCTTCTCCTTCAATCTTTGTGAACTTGGCTTGGCTAGAAAGCTCCTCAGAGTAGTCGAGTCCAGCGTAGTATTCCATGTTCCCATCGACCAATCCTCGCAGGTCATCATTCTTCATCTGATTATGTCGTTGCCACTGTCTCCAGACCTCTTGCTTCCCGATCAGGTTTCCTAGCATGCCCTGGTCACTTCGCACGTGGAAACCATCTCCGATCATCGCCTCCATGTCATTCAATGCGCGACGCAACATTCGTCTCATGTCACCTGCTGGGCCAATGTACATGCCACCGTTGATCCATCTCGGTCTATTGTGGGAGAAGTCGGAACTGTTCTTGTCCGTTTCTGGCCCATACAGATCTGCTCTCAGTGGACTCTCTGGCCAGTAGTCACAACGCATATCAATGCCGTACTTCTCGAGACCACGAGGATAACATTTCTTTTGTGAACCCATCACAATAGTCTGTCTCATAGGCATCGGGCCTGATCCGGTCCACTGCTTGCGCAGCATTTGGTTGGCTCTTTTGTTAATCTCATGGTAACGACTGAGTAGGACTTCGGCTGGTAACTGGAACCAGACATCGTGACCGTCAACCATAAGAACCAGGTCGTCATCTTCCAGCTTTTCCATAGATGTAGCGTTGGGGTGCATTACGGAATCGAGATATTGTACGAAACCAGGAATCTTTGGGAGATTCCTGCCCAATTTCCAATGAGATATATCGTGGTAGTCTACTCCCCAATTCATAATGACAGGGCTCGGGTATCCTAGAGCAAGCGCAGAGAATATCGTCTTGCATAAGTTGGGGCTGGGACCAGTGACAGGAACGACTAAAGCAAATCGGCGATTTTGGTCAACAGGAACAGTGGGAGGTTGAGATGGATCTCCCTCATACGGGTTCCATTCTGGGACACCCAACTGGAGATCCGAAAAGAATGATAGAGTATAAAAGGATAGACATAATGCAAACACAATGATGGCGATTCTGTAAATTTTCTGCATATTGAGAATTGCTGACAGAGTCAACTTCGGATTTGCGCCGATATCCCGCATCGTGTCGAGTTGTGTGGTTCAATCCAAGGTCATAAGAAAAACGTCTCTTGAAACACCAAATTTTCCAAGTGGTGCAGTCAAAGAATCGCAATAAGATGGGGGGTGAACAGCGGGCTTTGTTTTCTAGGACATATGCCGCCTATTTCACAAAAGAATGTGGCGGAGTTAAAGTGTCTCAGAAACAAGATAAGGGAAGGCTAGTCAGAACACATGTCTCACAGCCCAAGAAAACATTTGTATATCAGGCTGGGCAGGGTAGATGTTGTATCCCTTGCCAACACAAACTAGTAAGGGAGAGTCTAGACACATTGACCAGCAACCTTCCTTGGAGCTCGATTGGTTTGTTGGTTCTGATAGAAATGAACAACAATCACAGAAGCACTGTAAGGGGGAGTAACCCCAGACAGCTGATTCCCCCTTGACAGTAGATATCCTTGTTGCATTAGTCGCCCGTTTGGACTTTTTGGAAATCCATGATAGACCCTTTTTAATATATTCTTATTCTCTAGATAAATGATGGAGTGATGCACACAAGATAGAAAGAGTGGATATCCGTGTGGAACTGTGTCTTGGCCTCCAGAAACCCTCGTCACGATATTTCTCAGTTTTCAGCCTTAAACATCAAAACACCAGTGCCACGTATTATGGATAATATGATTCCAGCAAAATACAATAAAATTGAAGCTATGTCAAATCTATAGATAACTCTAGTCGCTGCCATGCCGCGGCTATGTCCCCTATGGAAAGAATGTGTCGAAGAAGATCACCACCATTTTTACCCTCTCGCCTTCGCCACCTTCGATTCCACCGGCCCGACTTGTCTCGGGAATAATGCGTGAATGCTGACATAAAAAAGACATTAAAAAATTATAAGGAGTGTTAAGAAGTCTCATGATCCATCAAATTTTAAACAAGTCCAGCAGGCCAGAAGTGACAAGCTTCGGGCTGAAGGATTTGCAGTAGGCCAAAATTGAACATTTAAGCCTTGTACTCCTTCTTGTGGCCGCCATCGCCGTAGCCAGGGTTCTCGTATCCGGGCTTGTGGTAGGTAGGCTTTGGCTTGACAGTGATGGTCTTTGTGACAGTCTCGGTCTTGTACTTGGTGACAGGAGGCTTGTGGATGTACTTGGTCTCCGTGCTGGTCTTTGTTTCTGTCTTGGTAACGGGAGGCTTCCACTTGGTCTCAGTCTTTGTCACGGGAGGCTTCCACTTAGTCTCGGTCTTGGTAACTGGTGGCTTCCACTTGGTGACGGTGTCGGTCTTGGTGACAGTCTTGTACTTGATGATAGGAGGCTTCCACTTGGTGACATATTCAGTCTTGGTAACAGGAGGCTTCCATTTGTACTTGGTAACCGTCTCGGTCACGGGGTACTTCTTGGTGACGGTCTCTGTCTTTGTGACCGGGGGCTTGTAGATGGGCTTGGTGACAGTGTGAGTGACTGTCTTGGTGACAGTCTTGGGCTTCTCAGGGTGATGTCCGTAGTCTCCGCCGGGGGTGGCAAAGACCAGAGGGAGAGAGAGCAAAGGAGCAATCACAGCAGAGAACTTCATGTTGTCGGCTGAAGCGAAGGTCTTGAGTTTATGGTCTGAGAGTAAGGTGTTCTTGAAAGAATGGTGATGAAGTCTGAGTCGGTGGGTTGAAGTCTGGGATAGAATCTCATGGACTGAGGGAAACCGGCGGTACCTTTATACTAGTTGGTGGACGCAGCTCTTGGTTCTTCAAGTTGCTCAGGTCTGTCATGCCATGAGATACACAAATCCGTACCGATCACGTCTTGAGTCGGGCTTGAATTCTCAGATTCACAGAAAGACATGGGTAGAGTGTTTGGCCTGACTCTATTCCTACAATGATGTTGTTGTCAACTGCCTTGGCACAATATTTACACGTTGGACAAACTAGGCCACCAATGGCGACACAAGAATTCAGCCATAAGCTCGTATCTGCCATCTAGCTCGTGTCTATGCAGTATTAATGCAGGTCGGCAGCCATCATTGATGCAGGTTGGGAGCAGTTCTGACCCGTTCAAAGTAACACCACTTTTCAAGTAAGCTTACCAGTCCTGCCAGTAAGAATACAAAAGGCAACGTCGCTTTGCATACTCAATCGCCACATAACATTATACCATTGGACGTTTAGAAGACTTTCCCCTCTATTCTTTTCACTTGGCAGAATATTTATCACTGGAGCTTTTAACGTGCGTCGCATAACGAATCGCGTGATCGGATGAGAGGTTGCAATTCCTACAAGCCTTACGAGAAGTATCGCCGGACGCCAAGTCGGATCATGAATCATGATGTGATAGCAAAAACAAGCTAAGCCCTATAAATCAGTCTGCATGGTAAGAATTGGACCGGTTGTACCGGCTTTGCGGGGGATTTCCAGGCACAGAAGCTTAGCATTACAGGGTGTAATGGGGACACAAATAGATGCCAAGACCAAAACACAAATGGTCTCAGTGCTCCAAAACTATCTGATCGGCAGTTAATTACTCGTTTCTTCACTTGGCGGTCTTGGCCTCAACGTAGGTAATTGTTGCGAGCATGCTCGTTGTCAAACTCGATGATCAACTATCGATACAAGCATATTTTGAGATTGATGACGATCCTTCCAGCTTCACATCAAGTAAGCCCAACCTGCTTGAATCCTACCAACATGTTGACCGGTCTTCGGGCCCTTGTAGCCTCCCACTGAGCTAGCGTGAGCTTACTACAGGACATATGCAGATACAGTACAGGCTACATGTTCAGCCCCGCGTTCAAATGAGTTGTCACCAATAAAAAATGGCTTATGGTAGCCGGGTCTGCGGCCTTGGTTGTTGATCGTCCACCGTAGTGGGCTATTGGCAAACAGCACAACGAGAAAAGATTCACTCATTGGTTTACCACTTCAGATCACACATACTGCCTGGTGAATGCAGTCCATCATGATCATAATCGAGACGGCAATGACGCCAAGAGAGACCAAGACTGCGGGCAATTGATAGGATGGCATATTTACAGGGATCAACTCCACTAGCTCTATGGACAGGGTTGCACTTTAGCAGCTATTGCGCCATACATTAGGTTTTTGAGTAATGGAGCTTTAACGTTGGTGGTGCGGTGAGTTGGGATTCTCAAGTTGCTTTGATTAATTTGATAGCCGAAATCAAAGCTATAGAGACAAGTTCAGTCATCTATGCTGTATTCAAGCTGCACAGTGCAGCCCTAAGTTCTACTTTTAGAAAGACTGTTGCCAATGGCTATCGAGGCCACACACATGGTAGTTCTTTCACGACCATGACACCACTCAGAAGACGCCGTCAGCACACAGTCCTGTTAGTTCTTGTTTTTCTGTTATGATGAATAGTTTGACTTTTAATAGAGGCTTTCTTTGTTGCATTAGGCGTGCAACCGGATGTGGCCCGGCCTGACGAGATTCAGCCTGATACTTGTCCCAATCACTTCAAAGCATTGTAATCGAATGATGGCTGGGTCAGCAAATCAATTCACGATTCAATCTTCCGTTACCATGAATACCCCGGCACCAAAAACTACCTGCCATTGGTAAAACATATACTAAACAATGGTCATTATCATGATGAGAGTTGAACTTTGAAAGGATTCACATCCGTCCTTGCCGACGTAGTATCTTATCTCACTGATTCGGGCCAGTTGTTTCTAATGGCAGACTGCAGCCTGCTGTCTGACTTTTGCAGTACCTTATGCAGGCTTATATAACCTGCTCAAAAGGCTGGGCTGACAACTGTCATGCCTCGTTGCAATAAGCTCTCAGATAGTTTCGGTCGTGGCGGCGCCATCAGAGCCATATTTTGATGTAGGAACCGTTACACACAGACCTTTCTTGGTCAGGCCAGAGCGCCACCACTGTGGCAAATAGTTATATCAACATGGATCAGAAGATAGCTAACGTAATGAAATGAAGCTAAAAATCTGGCTTTCCACGTCGAGCGAGCCGCAGATGCAGGATAGAGATGGACTAGACTTGAGAATAGTTTTCGCCAACACGAAGCCTGAAGCTCCTGGGTTCACGCTATGGATTTATCGAGGCCTTCCAACAGTTGTGCGACCAATCGAACAACGCATGCACCGCACAAGCTCCGTATCCCGTAAGCCACTATCTTGTGTTGGTGCTGCACAATTCGCCTGCTTCCACTTTTCGTAACTTCTCATCCACTCAAGCTGTCAACAGGTTCGGGAGCCAACTTTTAGTGCCCATCACGTTATCTTTCCCTGGCAATTATCCCATCTTTCTGGACGACGAATCATACGAGCTTGAACACTTTATACGATATCAAGGCAGCCACAAAAAACGTGCGGTAGTGTCACTGGTAAGCCATGGTTGAACTAAAAACGCTTCCAGATTGTCTAAGTTCTGACTCACCAATTTCCTGGATTAGCTTAATTAAGGAAGGGAATAACGATACGTCGAGACTCGAACAAAATTCTTCCATCAAACCATTTAGGCTGTTCGTACCACCAGTCTGGACTAATTGCGGAAAGCCCGACAAGCGTGGCGGACAGCAGGTATGCAAGCAGGTCGATAGTCTCTCATAAATATGATTTGGACCTGGTTTGGTGATCGATGTTATTCAGAGAATCTGATAGGCGACAGGGATTTCTTGTTTTTTTTTTTATGCCCTATCTTCTTATCAAGCTTTACACTACTGTATGACATCCACTAGCACTCGATAGAACAACAAGTTATTATTAGCTCAAGTTATCGTGTAGTTATCTAGGGACGAGCGACTAATGACCAAACCGACTGTTGAAAGACAAACACGGTAATTTATCTTCGAAGCCCCATTTTCATATGCTCAAGACCAGACACCTCACCATATGACGCAATCCTTCTACCTTAAATCTGACTACACTGTGTACTTGGGTACAATGGGCAGTTCGGTGTATGAGTCGACTGTATCTAGAGTGGTTAGCTGACGTCCACATAAGGGAGATCCGATTGTCTTACCATGCTGACAATCGCGGTTCGTAAAAGCAGGGAATAAGGGCCCAGGATGGAGAATAGTTTGAGAGAATGTTGCGATGAGAATCATACTTGATCCCAATTTGTTAGTGTTTCTGTTTAATACAGCAGTTGATCACTCCACTGATATGGTTACTCACAGTCCTTCAAGTATAATGAAATGAATTTGTTCTTTCATCATTGGGTTCCCCCACCCACCCTTCATCTCGGCAATTCGATAGACGCAACGAATATAGATCGTCAAAAACGCTGTAAACAGACCGCACACAAACCAACGGAAACGTATGGCCTGCCAAGTTTGAAGTGCATTACCACTCAAGGGGTAAGACTTGACAGCTCGCACACGCCTAATGCAGAATGTTGTGGCCAGCAATGCAAACACCGATAAGGTAACCACCTGAAAGGCGATACCAGCCATCATAATGTTGTTTCCGAGATTCAGCATATCATCGTCGCCAATAGCAGTAGTCGCAGCGATCCCACCACCTGCAGCCTGCAGGACTAATGACACTATATCGGCGCCGATGAAGATGATAGTGTACAGCTTCGGCTTAAGCAGGGACCACTCGGGGCCGAACAGTGCAATGATGTGTTTGAGCATGAGATACACAGCCGCACTGTTGAAAGCTGGGCCAATGATGAGACAGCAGACTTGCGCTTGGAAAGGGATGGCGTTGAAGGGCAGGAAGTACATTCCGATTCTTGCGCCATAACCTATCATTTGCGCCAAACAACCCAAGGTAAGAACAATACTATAGGCGCGGATACGGAAGCGAATGCCGAGCCATATGTTGGCGAAAAAGGCCATGGTGAAGAGTGATGCCAGCAGAGCGTTGACCCAAAGACTCGGACGGTAACCGTAAACAGTGTATTCGATGGGGCACTCTTCAGAGATGTGCACGCAAACCGGTCTTTCTTCCGCCATTTTGAGGTATAAATGTCTTGTCGATGTTGAAGACTGTAAAGTTGATATGATTCAGGATGTAACGATTTTTATGCCAACTCATCCATTTATAGATTCCAAAATTCTATGTCTCTTGTAATGCCAATTTGATCTCGGTCTTCTACTTCAGACTTTACAAGAGACAATCTAGGATTATGGTTGGTCTAAAGACCGAGGGTATGGGGCTTATCATTGTGTTTTATATATAACATTAAATCACAAATGCGGAGCCTCGAATATCGAATGGGAATAGGAACAAGAATAGGAATTGGAACAAAGGGAAATTAGAGATTGACGAAGTTTGATCAGGGGCCAACTGCACTAAAATCCTACGAAGTCGGTCTTTGCCCAAGCCTCAAGACGTCGTCAGCCAGGGACAGGCTAAGCAGGTATTCTATTGGTTGATGGGAGATATACCCCATAGTTTTCTCGGTCTTTGAGTCCAAGCTAAACTGATCCTATAAATCCACAATCCATTGGAGGCCAAATCTCCGATGCTGACATGTCTCGACTACCTGCCGTGTTGGGGAATCTTACGCTGTTATTATGTACAGCTACATCACATAACATCCATCAGCCTTGCGAGGGGCACTCCTATTTTCACAATGACACTTTATTTATCTCTAGTCCTCGGTCTTTGTTTTATTCGGTCTTTTTTATCGCAACCCTGGATGCTTTCAAAAACTTCAATATGGCAGTGTCACTAGGAGATGTCGAAAAGCCAAAACGCACTAGAACCAACGTAAAGCAGTCTAAGTATGGTTGTTTCACCTGCAAGTATGGCCTCACTTTCCACACTCTTGGAGCACACTCGCTAACTAAAATGGCATAGAGCCCGGCGCATCAAGTGCGATGAAGCCAAGCCTACATGCCAACGCTGTCAATCTTCAAAGCGCGAATGCAAAGGTTATCCTCGTGGAGCATTTCTCGACTCACCGCCTGATACTGCAAGCACAACCTCGCTAGTACCTTTGTCGGTTTCCCCTTCGTCATCGATATCGTCCTCGACTTCATCGGACATCACTTCGCCTTTTATGGACCTCTCTTTCGACCCTTTTCACCTGTCAAATCCTTTTGTCAATCTCGCCTGCGGTGTCCTGGTGCAGAGTCCTCGACGCGGCAGAAATAACGTCGAACAATCATTCTGGACTCGGACTGTGCCTCAATTGGTACATACCGTTCCTTCGGTACGAGCTGCAGCCGAGGCGTTCGGGGCATCTTACAACGAATATGTTCTCCGAGTAGACGATTCTTGTTCCGGTCTCGAGACTACAAAGCGATATACTCAAGCTTTGAGGCTGGTGCAGCACGATCTAGCTACTTTACAACACGGGCCTATCTCTTGTATCGTAGCTTGTTTATTTCTTGCATTCTCAGAAGCCATACAACAGAAGCTGGATGTCGGGTTAATGCATCTTCTGGGAGCATTCTCTGTCATGTTGTCGCGGACCGACAAGAAGCTGTTAGCTGATGTCGATACCCAGAGTCTGTCACTACTGTTGCAGAAGCTTGACCTTCATGTCGCGACTTATGGTGTCTGTCACCCTCCAGAATTACCTCCACTTCCGCCAGTTACAACAAATGTCGTCGAATCACTTCCCCCAGACCAGGCTCTATTTAAAATCCTGCATTCGTGCTACCACTTCGACGCAGAGGCATCTACTTACAAGTACACCACTCGCCGGGCAATTCCACCGGAGATGCTGATTGAGCAAGGTCGTCAACTCGCAACTCTGAAGCTGTGGTTATCGTTCAACGAACTGCCTTCAACATGGGACGCGACCACACACGAATCCCTGGTAGTTCTACGCTCTCAATGCCTGACCGCCTTGATTCATACAGCTACTATTCTGGAGCCTCGCGAAACCGCGTACGACTGCTACGGCCCCGAATTCCAGGAAATCATTACTACAATAGAAACATTGTTACTCAACAGAGATCTACAGGTCGATCTATTAAGCAGTGCATTGGGTCAACTTCCCTCTTTCAATCCGGAGATGTCGGTCTTTCATCCATTGTATTACACCGCGAAGAAATACCGGAATGGATTTTGGCGCCGGAGAGCATTGGAATTGATCCTACGAAGCGGGAAAGAAGGACCATGGTGTTCCAGGACAGAAGGTTCCTTGATTGAAGTCGTCATCAGAACGGAAGAAGGACAGTTTGACAAAGTGTCTTTGAATCTCGGGAGAGCCGAGGATCCCGCTCTTGATTCTCCTTCTAACATCCCTGAGAAGGACAGGATCAATGCGTGCTGGCCTATTGACCCCGATGCTGAAACGAGAGAAGCCACCAAGTTTACCAAGCAAAAGTTTAGCAAAGGTCTCATGTATAGGTGTATTGATGTGGACCGGCTTTTGGCTGCCGACGAAGCACAGAAGCCTCGGTCGTGGGCATGGCTTAAATCTGCGTGGTGGGAAAAGTGGACTGAGCCTCTTTAAGAGATTAGCTGATTTCCTAATTGAAAGGGGATCTTGAAATGAAGAACAAAAACAGTAACTTTGTTGTGTATTTCACCTTAATTTTGGGGTCCTTTCGTGTTAAGTGGCTGATTGATATTACAAATTACATTGAGCAATTTGTAGATTGGACGCTGTCTAATGTGTATTGATGGATCCATCCGCCCAACCATTAACTCCACTATGAAGCGCAATATAAAACCGCTAATTAAATGGAATAAAAAAAAGAACGGTAAGTAAGTAACTATGTCTTGGCTGGGAAGTAAAACCAAGTCGGGTGAATCACATAATATCGTGATGATTACCCATGAACGATACTATATACGACAGTTGTTATTTAATATTTGATAAAACTATAGTAAAAATATAAGGGTTAAAAAATTAATATAAACTATAATTATTATATACCTATAACTATAAAGTAAGTTAAAACCTATAGTAACTAAAGTATTGACTATTACCCATCCTCCGGAAACTGAACTGTAAACCTATCCATTCCTTTAGGAGCACTTTCAATAAGCATTTAGCTGGCATTAACTCATAATGTTTGATCACATGCCATCAACCAGTCTCACTGTGAGCAATGCCATAATGTGTACCGTACGTTGGAATCAGACTTATTCATGGTTGATTGGGATGGGATGGAGTGCATGTACCACTTTATTGATTTCAGTCTTGACTGAAAAGCCATAAAAACTACTTGATCATGATGTTTGCAACTGTTGTCCAGTAGCTGTCTAGGTCATGTTCTCTCAGGTACAAGTCCATTTTCCTTTGTCTCCCAAGATGTCCTTGTCCGATCTCGCGCTGACGTAGACTCAAGCACGGGCTTTCTTTTCATCATCTTTACCCGCATGTTGGTCCTTGTTCTTGCGTTTATCTCCCGATTTGGAGCCAAGTCCGACAGCCTCTTTGATCTGATCTCGAAAACCAGAGGCCAAGGTAGTGAAGTTACTTTTAAACCAAGTCGCTTGTTCAGCCATCTATTTCTCAAACCCATCGATCCGGTTGGTAATCTTATCAAAGAAAGTCTTCATTGTCTTCTCCTTGGCGGCAACGGTCTCGCGTAAGCGACCAAGTTCCTGAGCCAGCTGGTCGATAGCATCTTGGGTCTGCTTTTGTACAGCCTGAAGATCTTCGTCATGGTTGAAGCGTAGGCCTTGGACTTTTTTGTCCAGTGACGTTCTCGTGACAGTGAGCTGATCGCGAAAAGCCTGGACGGTGCGACGGTGGTACTCTTCAACATCAATCTTATCCTTGTCCTTGCCCTGGTTGCGAAGAGATGCAATGCCTTGACTGCATTGTTCAATAGTGGTATTGGTGGCAGTGAGTCTGTCCTCAAAACCATCCAACTTTTCTTCCGAGGCTCGGCGTTGAAGATTCAGCGTTTTGGTATACGTTGCCGTCTCTGAGAAGATTTCGGCAAGCTCTTGATTAATTTTCAATTCCTGTCTGAGGGATGTCAATCCCGAAGCGATTTTCTTGTCGCGTTTGGCAACCTGCGGCAATTAGCCTCTGTTGCTTAATATACCAATGTTGAGTACTTACAGGTCTAGCCTTTGCGTCTCCCTTGATGATCTCAGTGCGGCGTTGAGATTGGGGCACAAGATCGGAAGATACCCCAGGTCCGTAGAACTTGTTTTCTTGCTCTACACTGGCCATTCCAGCAGGATAGAAGATACCATTAGCCGGGAATTCTACTCTCCAGTGTCAGGACAACTAAGCCCGATGCTGGTCAAGTTTTTCATGACCCGAAATAAACAGACAGGCAAAAAAAAAAAAACCCACTGCGGGTAGGTGATACTGCCGCCTTGTTGATTTTTTTTCATCACAATGGAATACACATCATTGTTAGCACTCTCGGAAGTGCAATCTTTGAGGTACTGCTTAGTGTGATAGGCAACGGAATCGGCAAGATGGGGTGCAATGTGTCCCTGGATGGCAGCCCAGCCGGATCGAATGTTGTTGGGGGCTTTTTCGGTCTTCTTTACCTTCCACAGAGGCATTTCGCTGAGTTCATCGAGATGCGTGGTGAAGGTCAGCGCCGCACCCGGGTGCTCGTCCCGGGGAGGGAAACTCTGCATAGCGACGGCGGTCAAATCTCAAGAGGCGAGAGGATTGTATAGTACTAGAGAAAACGTTATTAAGTGCAGGCAAAAACAAACGTTTGAAAGGATAAACGTATCGGCGAAACTACCACAAAGGTTTTGGCCAGGGAGAAGTCCCTTCGAGGGTGGATGTTCTTTATTTGCAAACAGAAGCCTGTGCTGCCATCACGGCAGAAGAACAGTCGCTGGGTACTAATGTTTCTGATAATACCGTCAATGTTATACTAGACGTGTACGTTAGTTGTACTACTGTTGATGGCGTGCGTTACGTGAGGAGTCTTGACAATATAGCGTCAAGGCTATGCAATCAAGGTCCCCCCATGCTACTAAGTAAGGAGAGAACCATCTCTTCTCCGTTTGATAGTGAAAATATCATAATTAAATCTGACTTAAGTGCCATTTGCGCAAGTTGAGTCCCATGTTGACGTCAAGCTAGGGTCTCAAGTTGAGAGACATTCTTTTACGTGATGAGACGATACCGGATGGTGCCAACAATTATGTCGGCTGGTCGAACCCTGCTTATCCACGCGGCTTCTTTATCTATATGCTACTAGATAATGGGGAATTTGTGACAGAGATATGTCGAAGATATACACTGGCAGCAGGAAATCGGGTCTCGGCCTGCCTCGTGGTGAAATATGAACCATTTTCTTTCTGATATCATTGCATTTGTGACTAACATTGCCTTGGTAGTTTATAACGAACAAAGGTGGAAGTACCCTCTTTGGAACAAGCGGCCCCCCAGAACCTTGCTCAGTGCTCAATAGGATCCTAACGCCTGCACAATATGGAACGCAGATCTGGTTCAATGATACGAAATCGGTCCACCAGAAGTCACTCAGGTATATCGCAATGGATGGACTCGCGCCGCCCGTTCAACGTCCCTTCCTTCCATCACTTGTATCCAACCTTCCGTATTTCTGGACCCAAAATACTGAGCCATGGTTCGTATCATCATGTAATATGGGAGGCATTATGGGCATGACCATTTGAAGAGATATATCATATGATCACAGACCAATAACCGGAATTTTGCTGTTATATGAAAATGTCATCAGTAATGTATCGGCCAATTCCGGTTTGATAAGGTCATTGAAAAGTTGCGAGTGGAGTATGACAGACATATATATTGGCAGCTTGAAGACGACACGTCCATACCCGTATATTTCACATGTTGGCACCTCTGTACTACATGGCTGTCAGAGATTGTCTTGGATGCGAATTTCTCGACATGATATACTTGAATGGTGGTTGTCTCTTCGCCATTCCATTGTGCGCTACACATCTGCCACAGGACAGGTTAATAACATGGAAGCACGATTCTGATATGCGAGCTATACTTTATATAAAGCGTTATTAGACTATAGTCGTAAGATTAACCACTTAGTGCTGGTACACATAGTTACAGCATCGTCATTGATCGGTGCGGTCCTCTCGTGAGATATATCAGTTGTAGTAGTGTGCATTATGAGACTGAATAGATAGCACTGAACTGAAGTGCCCTAATCCTCAAGTTATGGAATTAATACCTAACCTTAGGATAGTCTAGTTCATACTATCGTATGCTTCTGATCCGTTCATCTCTCGAACTCCCCATGCCTTAAAGTACCCGCTTGCAACCATAGTATCATTTGCAGTTTTCATGTGAATCGTCGTTGAGAAGCTTTGATCCTGCTCATCCTGCATTAGCGTGCCTATCACTTGAACCTCGTCTCCTGGATGGGCCAGAAATGAACTCTCCACACTCAGTCCTACACGATCGCTCGTAACTCTACGCCCCGCGGCCATAAAAGACATGCGCCCGATGGCGTCGAAGAATGCCGACAACACGGCGTTGTAAATCATGTTGCAGGAATTGATCTGCTTTTTATCAAGGAGAACTGTTGCGGTGATGGTAGCTGTGCAAGCGTTGACGTCGGAAATGACCGATGAGATGATCAAGTCCTTTGGAAAGAGCTCTGAGAATGGGGACTTGGATCGTAGACACTTCCACATTTCTTTAACGCGATTAAGCAGTTTTTTGTTCGTATTCGAAGTAGTCTGGGTGGCGACTGCTGGCTTCTCCCATATGTATCTTCGAAACTCCTTCTTCCATGCAACAATCTCGGCCTTCTCGTCAAGGGGGACCCAAGACTCATCTTTGATAGAAGTCTGGTTGTGCCCTTCATGTCTAGCATTCTTTGGGACTAGAGCAGTCAAAATATGCGCATCAAGTGGGCTGAAGTTGAGCCGGTTAACTTCAAAACTTGAATCCGAATACTGATGAATGATCTGACTGAGAGTGTTGTAAAGCTTATTCGCCCGTTCTCCAACGTCCGTTTCATCAGCCAAAAAAGTTACTGCCTCTTGTTCAGTCTTCTTCTTGTAAGCCTGACCAAGGTAATACTTCAAAAGATTAGCAAGGAGACTGGGTTCGTGACTTTCAATACCTTCCCAGGCTTCATGACCTTTCTCTTTATAGACCCTGAAAACCTGCCTCACGGATTCTGACCAAAACTCTCGCCACTTCTCAACTTCTTTCATCCTCTCCCAGCGTGAAGCTTGGTTGACTTTATCCGACTTACTGCTCGCCCCCGCTAGCCATCGATCACGAACACCCACAGGTAGATGTTCTAGAAGATGACGAAATTGCAGAGCCGTGATGACTTGCTGCTGCTTCTGTAGCTGAACTTGATGCTTTTCGAGGCGGGCTAGCATGACGTTGATGCCCGGACCCTCGTTGTTGATAACGGTTTTCAGTGCCATGATTATGGTCCATTGTTTAGGTTGCGTGGGCCATCGGGGCACATCAGCTCCCACACGCAAGCCGAGATCACAAAGATTCTTTCCGATGGTATTCCAGCGTCGCGAATATGACAAGAAAGTAGGCTCGGCTGTAGTCACAGTGTCGGCATACCCGAATGTCATGTTATCAACATGAGTACGATCGAGTTCTTTCATGTCAGCCTCAACTTCTGTGACCAACGCATCAGCTTCCGTAGATGTTTCGATCGATAGGCCGGCGAAGTGGTCCCGTCTAGTGAGAACCATAATTAGTACAAGATTCGAGAGACAGATTCCGATCAGTACTCCTTACTCCTGTGTCACAATTTGATGTAGCTGCTTCAAACTGTTGATCTCATTGAATATGGTCTCGCCCTCGACCCCGTTCAATCGGCTTTTGAGGTCAGAACGTCGGATGTAAAATGTTAGTCTAGACAACAATGTCAGATTGTTAACACTTAAAAGGTCCAGTATAATTACCTCCCGTCAACCGGAAGACTGGATTCGCAATATCGGCTTCGAATTGCTTCGATGCAACTCTGGTGGAGCAGTTTGCTATCCTTCAAATTTCCAATCTTGTGGTTGAAGACAGGGTTTGTTGGCTCAGATCCCACAGAATTTTGTACATCTGCACCACGCGACCGGAGCGAAGCCTCGTAGATCAAGTGCATCAAAACTGGTACATGAGTAATTCTCTGGGTGCATATATGAACAATAAATTCCTGCCACTTGACGGCATTGAGGTACTCGGTCAAGAGAGAGATGAAATTGTGACCGTCTGTGAGGAAAGCGTGACGAAGAATAGATAGTTCCGAGTCGGAAAGTCTCTTGTCGACTTGCGCTAACCACTCGTTGTTTTCTTGCAGTTGCTTGAATCTATCGTCCCAGCCTTGAACGGACCTGACGAAGTCGTGAGGGATGCATATCTCGTCATCCTTAGATCGGTCCTTGCTTGACGCCATCTCTTCACTGGCGAAATAGAAAGGTGGGCTGATAAGAAGCAGAAGTTGTGTTGAAAATACATACAGATATCCCGCTTTAAATATTCAGGTCGCCGCAAGGCTTTGAGCAGTTGCGCAACACGTGTCACTTACCGGGCTTTCCAGCAGTGTCATTCATGCATAGAAGTGTAATTCTCGAGCCTATCATCAACCCGCGACATGGCAGTTTCAGCCACGATTTATTGATACGAGCTCCTGCAGAAAATATTCAGCTGTGACTGGATTTGCGACTCAGCTGATGTTGCGACTGAGACAATTGTCATCAGCTTTGGAGATCTCACCAGGACATGGTCATTAGTTTACGTCCCTTGGTATCACAACTTAATACATGAAGATAGATATCACTCGATTTTCTTTGGAGTGGAAGAAAGGATCAGTCTTGGGGTTAGCAAACTGTAGACTTGGAATTACCATGAAAGATATCAGGGCTTTTTCTTTTCGTTTTTTCATCGAATAGCTATGCTGTGTCTTGGTTGGCTGGCGGAAGCATTTTTCTAACAAAACTTGCTTATGAACCTCCACGAACAATGTGTACCGACATGGTTGAAATCCTTCAAGGGTTTAGCTGCAGGATGTTAATCCTTCCCCGTAGCGAACCGTTGGTGGGACGACTATTGCTTACTGGACTGCTAGAGTCTAAGCGATATATAGTGAACGCTAAAATAACTCACCTCGCGACGTTCTCACGACGACAAAAATCTTTTGCCCCAAGTCAAAATGCCAGGCCGAACTGCACTCCCGACGGAAAGTCGTTTCCGTCGTGCCTTATACGCACTCCCATTCCTCGCCATAACGGCTCTCATGACACGAGCATTCGGAATGGCTGAACCCATTGGTCCTACTATTGAAGAAATGGTGAAAACTTCTGTTTTTATTGGCCCCGGGTTCAATGTTCCGATCATAAAAGGCTTCTATGGTATCCCGGTTCTGGATGACATTTTTGATGTCGTCACCTCTGCGTTTGTTCATCTTCAGTTCTATTTCGATGAGAAAGCGTATTGGCAATCGTTGGTGTTTCTGACCGATTTCGCGGGGATGTATGCTGTTGTTCAGCTTGAGTCTTATAGACCGGGGAACACGTTTCCTATTTCCAAATAGTAAGTTCATGAATTCACTGAAAACATGCTCTAACTCTTCGTCAGCCCCGTTGTCTTTTTGTTCGTTTCTCAGATAATCGCCATCGGATGCACTGCGCCTATCTTCTTTTTCCTGGCTTATATCTTTACACCTGCATATAAGCTCACGACCCCAAGTCTCGGCCGTCTCAGCGTTGGACCTTGCAAGGCTATTTATGCAGCAGTCATATTAGGTTATTATCTTCCCCACTTCCCATCTTACTTCAACGACTCCCTCGAAAACAGAAACTGGTGGAATTGGATCTGGCAGTTGTTCCCTGTCTGGTGCTGCAGTATCATGTTTGTTTTGTCCAAGGTCCTCGCTCGTATGAACAAGTCCAATGGGAAACTCAATTCTGAGCGTGACGCGCTTCGAATATTGATAGGAGCTTGCAGCTTCATAAGCATGGCAGCATGGTGGTGTACTGTCGCCTTTATGAGTGATTCGGTGTTTGAGGTCTTCGTACCACAGTACCTAATTAATTACCCCCAAGATCCAAGCGTCGGATTGCGGACCGTCATCCAGTTCGATTACATCTGCTGTTATGCGGCAGGCTACCTGTGGCTGGCCTATCACTTTCGAGATCTCGAAAAAGTTGGAGTTTGCAGTATTTCTTGGGTCCGAGCTATCGGTGTTACTGTCGTGTTGGGTTTTGTGGTGGGACCGGGTACATTGTTTCCCATTCTTTGGCTGTTGAGGGAGGAGTTGTTGATCGCAGCTAATGTGGAGGTCAAGGAATCTCATGATTGAGGATAGAGATTGAAGGCGGGTTGTTGAAAGAGACGTGGTGACTCAAGCATGTCAGCTCACCTAAGACATTGTTGCACTTAATGCACGTCAAGTATGCCGTATCTAGGTAGTCTTGGGTCAGTCATCAGCATGAATGTTACCCACAGGCCATAACTGTCAAATCTCAGCAATTATGCAATGTCACATCACAGACAGGCCGGGTCTGGTCGACTAGTGGGTATGTAACAAAAGAGATGGCCTCTTACGTTTTGTGGTACGAAATAAAGAGCCTAAGAAGCCTGATTTGAATAGCATAAGTTGACCTGCTAATTTCATCTCTTATGCTCCCAGACCACTCAGGCCTTGTCGACTCCACTGGGGCTGCTATAAATTTGGAGATTTTAGCGGGTGTATTGTCTTCCGAGCGGTTGCCAAGCAAAATGGGGGAGTGTCACGACAATGAGAGTTGTCTTGAATGTGTATGACTCGATCTGTAGTCACTAATTAGTTTCCAAGATGAGAATGACTGCCAAGTGTCAGACATAAATAGGAAACCTGGAAAATCCCATGGCTACTTGTTGGCTTGTCCTCGTTCTCGTTCTTGGTCCTCGGAGATCGGATGGTCTTAGCGTCGTACTCTTTACGACTGGACCAATTACGAGATCGAAACTTGACACCGCAAAGAGTTTAAAGGTAGTGGCGATGGGGGCTTGACATTTGAGTCACAACTTCGCCGATTGGCTGCGTCGAATAACTGAGCCACTATGATCCTGAGAATGGGGACATGTTCTTGTGCTTCTAAGACAATAGGGCTGACCATGTCAAGTATTTAACCAACTGTCATGGTCGTCAAATTCTGCTGTTGATTATACCATACATTTTGTTTAACTCTCACATCCTTCGCCTGCCGGCTCTACAACATGCCGCCGTCAATTCTCCAGGCCTCAAACACCCTGCACTACGCCACAGCCATCTCTGCTGTAGGCTTTTATCTTTTCCACACTGTCGCCAATGTTGGACGAACAAAACCGGCAAAGACTTCTTCAGCACGACTCTTTGATCGACTAGCAATTGGTTTACTATTTCTAGGCTATGTGGCCGAGGGTGTAGTTACAATTCTAGAACGAAATGAGCGGAGCAAAGAAGCACAGACGGTTCATTTCGTTCTGCTCATCACCATTTGGTTGCTCATCTTGATCCAACACGATGCACTCCGACTTTTGATCCTGGGCACATCGCTCAGTACACTTACCTTTGAGATCCCATTGCTCGTGTTTTCTACTCTCGGCAATCTCAACACTACTCTTTCTGTGGCACGACTTGCCAGCCAAGCAGTCCGAACTCTCCCTCTCTTGTTCCTTTCAGTGTACTACCTCACCTATCGCGGAAATGACTACAATGAACTTTTTGACAACGAGGAGTCAGAACCTTTTCTTCAGACAAGTGGCACAACAGAGTACACAAACTACGGGACTCAGCGACCCAGAGACACAGACTATGACAGCGACACCTTCACTCAGGGCAGCGAAGAAGACGACGATGTTATCGACATCAAGCGTGAGCGCGCAAAGCGACTTAACGAAAAAGGTGGCTGGTGGGGATATCTCGCCGACTTTTCCATCTTCGTTCCTTTCTTGGTCCCCAAGAAAGATCGCAAGGTTCAACTTTGTATCTTGCTCTGTCTTACTTGTATTGTTGCTACTCGAGCTTTCAACGTCTTGGTGCCCCGTCAACTCGGTATCGTGGCAGATCAATTACTGGCCAAGGAGAGCCCATTCCAGGCGCTGTTCGTTTGGCTTGGATTGAGCATGATGTCTCACGATATTCTCATCGGCTTCATTGTGGACCTGACCAAGATTCCTATCAAGCAATTCTCTTACCGATCACTCACCAATGCTGCTTTCAACCACGTCCTATCTCTTCCCATGGAGTTTCATTCTGAACGTGACTCTGCAGAGGTCATGAAAGCCATCGAGCAAGGCGAAGCTTTGACAAATGTACTGGATACACTCCTCATCGAACTTCTTCCCACATTCGTCGACTTGATGATTGCTTTCATCTTCTTGTACTGGAAGTTCAACAGCTACGTTGCTCTTGCAATGGCTGCTGCGGCCACCACCTTTATCACCTTTGAAGTATATGCCACCAGCTGGAACTTGGACAACCGAAGAGAGTCATCCAAGTCCAAGCGAGAAGAGGTGCGCGTCATGCATCAAGCTGTTCAGGGCTGGCAGACTGTAACTTACTTCAACATGTTTGGCTTTGAGAGGCGCCGTTTCGGAGGCGCAGTTGATAAGCAATTGAACGCTGCCCAAGCCTGGGAGAGACGGGACGCATGCATTCAAGCTTTGCTGAACGCTATCGTACCCTGTACGTTTTTCATTTTGGCCAGTCTTGTCATTTATGACGTCTTCCAGGGGGGTTCCTCGCCCGGTGACTTCGTCTTTTTCATCCAGTACTGGGAGTACTTGATTTGGCCTCTCAAGTTCCTGTCTCATCAATATCGCTATCTCATGTCCGATTTGGTCGACGCCGAGCGTCTTCTCTACCTGCTGCAGACAAAGCCAAGCATCACCGATAAAGAAGGAGCCAAGGAGCTCGAAAAGGTTCAGGGTCGTGTTGAATTCAAGAATGTTTCTTTCTCCTACGATCCTCGCAAGGCAACCATCCAAGATCTTTCCCTATCGGTCGAGCAGGGACAGACTGTGGCACTTGTTGGAGAGACAGGCGCTGGCAAGTCATCTATCATGAAACTGCTTCTCCGCTTCTACGACATCAACCAAGGTTCTATTACCATTGATGGCCACGACATTCGCGATATCACCCTCAGCTCGTTGAGGGACGCCCTTGGGGTTGTTCCCCAGGACCCCCTGCTATTTAACGCATCAGTCCTCGAGAATATGCGCTACGCCCGACCTTCAGCTACAGACGAAGAGATATACGATGCTTGCAGAGCAGCAGCTATCCATGACAAGATTCTTAGCTTCGTTGACGGATATAACACTGAAGTTGGAGAGCAAGGCGTCAAGCTATCAGGAGGCGAGATCCAGAGATTGGCAATCGCTCGAGTGTTTTTGAAGAATCCTCCTATCCTTATTCTGGACGAGGCAACCAGTGCCATCGATACGAACACCGAGTCCAGCATCCAGGGTGCTCTTGATGAGTTGAAACGCGAGAGATCGACGTTCATCATTGCGCATCGACTGTCGACAATTGTCAGTGCGGACAAGATTCTCGTCATTCATGATGGAAAAGTTGTTGAGTCAGGAACACACGCTGAATTGATCTCAATTGAAGGAAGATACAAGCAATTGTGGAACAAACAGATTGCAAACAAATAGACAACGGCGTTTAGAGGTTCCACATATGGCTAGCATAGAGTTCAAGGCGTTTGCATTCTTAGACTTTTGTATCTATATTATTAATTCGATCTATTGATTCGTACCATCTCAGTCGTACACCGATGCTTTTGACCACTTTGATCTTGCCCTGATTCTCTTTCCATAAGTATAAAAAATAAAGGGAACCGGTATCAATAACGCCGCAAAGCCACCGGTAATGCTTGACCCAGGCCCAACGCCCAAATTATGATACAAAGGCCCTACAACCAACGGAAATGCAGCTGCGAACATCGATCGCAGGAATGTGTTGGCCACAATAGCAGAGGCGGCGTACATAGTGAATGTGTCGACAAGATAGTTGAGTGCTGCTTGGAAAATAGTAAAAAACCCTGTTCCTAAAAGGACTAGACCAATGCAAGGAACAATCCAGTGGATGTTGGTGTTTCCGCCTGTCCAGGCGATTATGAACTGACCACCGCTGAATATAACCGATCCGATCATCATAGGTGGAAGGCGCTTCTCAGGTACAGCTCTGTTTCCGGCTGCATGATAAGCTTTGTTGTAAAGCAGCTGGTTGTAAACGTTGGCTGAGCATCCGATTATTGCTCCGAGAAGAATACAGATGAAAGGAAGAGAAGACACAAGCGTTCCCCATCCTCTGATCTCCCTGAAGATTATAGGAATGGCGCCTAGTTGCATGTAGAGAATACCGTAGCAAAAACTGGCGTACAGAGCAACGAGAAAACAGATGGGCGTGCATATAAGTTGGATGGGTCTTACAAGAAACTTTCGAGAAAGCTCTGCTATACTGACATCCCACTCTTCGAACTTGGCGTGGAGTGCCCAGTTTCCAGTTTCATGTCGTAGTCTTCGAGCCTTGTAAATCAGGAGCTTGGGTGGATAAGACTCGTCTACAAAGATGACTCCCAACGTCAAGAAGACGATCTGTATAATCCCAGTTAAATATTCAGTCCACCGCCAGCCCAAGCTAGGGTCTTGAACGAGAGCAGCTGACACGATGGGACCTGTGGAAAATAGAATTAGCTTCTTTCTGATACCAACTGTTGGAGGACCTGAGTTAAAGAACCACCAACGTGGAAACATTTATAAGTTAAGAAGAAGATATGGAGTTTATTCCTTATCATCTTGATAATGGGGGCCTTCGTTTTTGGGGTATTTGGTCTGGTGGTCTTCGCAACAGTGTGTGCATATGCCATCACATGATACCCTTCGCGCTCAACACCTTTTTCGGCGTCTGTAAACTAATGAAATGACATACCAAGGACAGGACCGCCAACTACAGCCATAGCATCTGTAAAAATGAGTAATTAATCTTATTAAACTTTTGATAGAACTTACATCCAGCCATGGCGATACCTCGCTCAGTCGGAGCATACAGATCTCCCAAAACACCACCTAGATAAAAATTAGTATGATGCAAGTGCTTCTTCATAAGGCGGATGCAACTAACCAGTATTTGTCACAGGCGCGGAACAAAAAAAAGCGCAGAAGAAACGAGTTATCATCAGAGTTTGGAGATCCTTTGCAACTGCGGAGGCAAAGCTAAAACACAAGGCAATAAACATGGGAATCAATACAGCCTGCCTCCTTCCGTAGACCTCTGACAAAGGAGCCCAGAGAAGAGGTCCAATGCCAAACCCGACGAGGAAAAGAGTCGTTCCAAGTGTTGCTGTTTGAGAGCCAACACCGAAGTGTTCTGCAACTTGGCGTGTTCCTGATGAGTAGGACGACGACGCCCAAGTTGCGCTCATCGTTATGAATCCGTAGAGCATGGTAGTGATGACCTTTTTCTTCATGGGCCAATTCATCGGGCGATAGGGATCATCAAGCCCGTCAAAATCGACGATTTGGTCCTCTGTTGTCTTGACATGAGCTAGAGGATGAGTGAATTGTGGGACTGGCCTGGAGCGGATTCGAGATAAAGCTGATTCTCTTCGTGAAATAGTTCTCGTCATGGACATGCCATTGGCAGGCGTCCTGATACTCTCCCAGCCATTGTCGCCAAGAGAATAGGCGTCCGAGTTGGCTCGATTGTTGCGATTTGTTGGAGGATGAGATGGACGTGATTGTGACGATATTGAAGATTCTTCATCACTAGTGTTTGCTGATGAGGAAGTAGAGTGACGTGGTTGGCCTGCCCCAGAGGGACTATGCAAATCTTCAGATTTCTCCATTATCAGATGATCGAGAATCCACTTGGTTAGAGAGAAACCACCAAAAATAAAATCGTATGAGGGCCTTGCAGTGTTTTTTATTTAATTTGGATTTCTTGGCTGTACCGGTACCGTCATCGGCGACTGGCTCATACAAACAAAGTTCGGTCTGATGGCGGTGGCAAGCGAAACTCGGTCAACCAGAACCTTTGGCCGTTTTATTTGACGTCATTATCGGTTAGTCTTGGCAATTTTTCTTCCTGACGATTCGTATTTGTGGAGACTAATGGGTGATCTGTACTTGTTTTGTCTTGGTTCCATTTCCACGCGTCGCGAAGCCGACGTTCAAGACGGCCATGGCGGGAATAAGATGTGAATAACCTCATCGGCAGAGAGATGCCGATTACGGCCCGGTAAGTGATAAATTAGGGGTAATTTGATGAGTTGGTCATAAACTCGAACAACGACTTTAACTCCCAGAAAAAATATTATCCTATTCTATTCCATCTAGACATCTCGCTTTCGCGACTTCAACACAGCCGAGACTTGTCGTATTGCCCTTGCTAAGTCTTCAATCCAAAGTGGTTCTCACTCGACAGCCTCGCCCTTATCCTCCTTCTTGAGATCAAACTTGTTTTTGCCAAAATAGTCTAGCTCCGACTCTGTTAATTGCGTTGGTAGTTGAACTGATGTTGAATACTTGTAGTATTCCAAGCTTTGGCCCATAGCCGCAACAACCATGTCTGCTTCCACTGCTGCAATGACACATCGTTTGACAGAAGGCAAAAGGCCCGCCAGCTGACTCGAGAGTTCAGGGTTTGAAAGCAAGTTCTGTTTCATCGAGGATTGACCGTAGACCTTTCTCAGTAGATTTATGATACCCCTTGCTTGGATGATAGAACCGGAGCTCCAGATGTGTAGTAGCTCCGGGTAATCAATATGCCACTCTCGCTGTTGATCCATCTCTCGGATAATTTGGAGTCCTTGTACGAAACACAGCAAGAGACAAAAGTAGGTCGTTTTGCGAAGATCTTCAATAAAATCATCTTTGGAGCCGACCTTGATGGGTTTCGGCTCTATCGGACATCGCGAAGCCTTTGCTTCGGCAACTCGCTTTCTGAGTTCTGCTGACGTGCATCTAAAGAGGTGTGCACTAACAATGTTCGATGCAGGAACGTGGAGTTTGATTGCTTCTTCACAAGACCAAGCACCCGTTCCTTCCGTGTTGTGGACGTCCTGAGTAGTCCTGTCTTGAAAGTTTCCCGAGGCATGTTCTCCATGTGAGTCTCGAGTTCTGTTGATGTCGGCGGCTATGTAGATGAGAAATGTGTTCTGAAGCTCATCGGACTTGTTCCATTTTGTAAAGACGTCTGTAGCTTCATCACAGCTGAGCTTTATACCCTGTGTGAGAATGTACCAGACCTCTGAAATAACTGACATCATTCCTTGTTCGATGCCGTTGTGAATCATCTTCGCATAATGACCGGACCCTCCAGATCCAATAGGGGCGGTACGTGGTTTTCCGTCGCCATTACTGGCCGCGACAGATCTCAGCAACGGCATGATGATTTTCAATGCTTTCGGGTCTCCTCCTGGTGACATGGATGGCCCAGTTCGTGCACTTTGATGACCACCCGAGACACCGCACCCAACATAGTAGATGTCGTCTATTGCGAGGTCTGCCTGTCGTCGTTCTGTATTGACATAATGCTCATTTGAGCAGTCCAAAATGATATCCCCTTTCTCCAGGTGTGGTCGAAGTTCATTGACGCACTGATCTCCAGAATTTCCGTGGGGGACACTGAAGATGATGACTCTTGGGTGATTGTCGGACTTGACCTCTTCGCATAATTGGGCGTAGCTCTCTTGGCGATGAATCCGACTTTCTTCATCCACACCTTTTACAATCCTTTCTGTGGCTCTCGTATTATTCTCACCTACAACAGATAAGTTTCGTGGGAGAGAAGTAAGTTGTAAGCATTTCGCGTACTAATATCAAAGTAGTAAACATGACAGCCTTTCTCTGCAAAAAGGAGAGACATCATGGAACCCATACTGCCTGTTCCAACCATTCCAATCTAGAGAAATATTTGTTAGTCGTCCACTGTATTAGAAGGATGGTTTGCTGACTTTTCCAATGGTGTTTTCCGACATGATGACCGCAGATGTTGACAGAAAGTAGCAGTTGGACGCTGGCAGTGCTGAAGAATGACGACTGGGTATATGGAAGTAAACCGCGAAAATAATGATTCATAATGGAGAATGAAACATTCAGTCCAAAGTAAAGTATCTGCAAGAAGTAATAATAATTGCCACTGTTCTAAAGACTGTCGGATATTCTTTAGACACGTGTCGAAGTTGATATCAGATTGACGTCATTGTGAACAACCCCTGCCCTGTTGGATTCAGTTAAACTAAGGCAGATAGATATTTGGAATTTTAATGAACTCGATAGAATAAGGGGAAGGGTTAAGACTATCACATCGTGGTACATTATACTTTAACTTGATTCATTTGGCGTAATGACAAACGATAAACATATTATTACTGATATCGTGTAACATAAAATATAATTATTTTAAGCTTAATCTTGATCTCTGACTAGTGTATCTGACAATTAAAAATACTACGCAATGTTCGATCGCGAAAATTGACTGCAACGAATTAATGCCAACTAAAACTAAGATGACTCGGCTGCCTTGATAATCACATCACTGGCCTTCTCAGCAACCATGTAGAGAGGCAAGGCAATATAAAAACCAGGAATCTTGGGAAAGACACTTGCATCAACAACCCGAAGACCCTCAGTGCCACGGACGTTGAATTTGGAATCGAGGACAGCCATGGGGTCATCGTCTGAGCCAATAGGGCATGTGCAAGAAGCGTGGTGACCCCATGCCTCATCCATCAGGAATTGCTTTGCGTCTTCCTCCTTCGTCACGTTTCTACCAGGCCAGACTTCATCAAAGTCTCCATCAAGAGGAATAAGGCTGTCGAATGCTTTTCGGGCAAACTGAAATCCCTCATATGTTGCTTGCAAGTCCTTATCGCCTTCTCCGTTTTCGTTAAGTCCTGTACCATAGTAGTTGAAGTTGATTGCCGGCATATCTCTCGGGTCCTTCGACTTCAATGTGACAGTTCCAGCGTTGTTGCGGCTGTGAGCCTTGAGAATAATCCATGCCCAGTGTCGAGCATCTGCCAGTGAGTCAAGAGCGTAGCCGGGGAAGTAACCTTTGAACTTAGCAGGCGCGCCAGAAACCAGAAGATCTGGTTCATTCTCAGCAACTGAGGACTTGATAACAGCTGCCAGTGCAATTCCGTTGGTGGCGTATACACCTTTGTCAATAGGTCCTAGACCTTTCTTCCAATCTTCCAGACAAGGATCAGGATCCGTCTCCATGAAAGTACACTTGGATGTGATGACAAAATCCTTTGCCGTCTTGCCAATCACTGTTGCTTCATAGCGATCTTGGAGATTGGTTCCGACACCCGGAAGGTCAACTAAAACAGGAATATCGAAAGACTCGAGCTCCTTCTTAGGTCCGATACCACTAAGCTTGAGCAGTTGAGGCGTGTTAAAGCTACCAGCAGAGATAATTACTTCGCGTTTGGCGTTAACACTACCGGAGTCACTGGGCTTTGTGGACGTAGAGCGAGGATCGGCGTTGTATAAACTGGAGCCTTCAAGATAGTCGACGCCAACGGCACGAGGCTTGGAACCACTCTTGTCGAAGCGAATCTTGGACACCTGAACGAAAGTAAGTAATAGTTCAACGTGAAATCAGTATCGTGTGACTGACAAGAGTATCTAGCTTGATATCAAGGTGATACTTGCGAGAACCGTCCTTGTTCACAGCATTGGCCGTGTCAAGAATCAAATCGCGAGGTCCGCCTCGAACTGAGTTGGTCATGGAGAGCGGAACCTGGTAAAGACCAGTCTTGCTTGTCTGGCCCGGAGCGTTGATATCGCGAAGCAAGATCTGGCCAAGTCCACCAATTGTATGGACAAGAAACCCTACAAGACTTTTGCCTGTAGCCGAGGCAGCTGAGATGACGAGAGAGAGAAACTTCAAATCTTCCAAGACCAATGTGAGTGAGGTCAAAGATGTTCCAAGCCAGCCCTTGAAGCCATGACCGACAATGCTGCTAGGCAGGTACATATTTTTCTCGAGTTTTTTGAAGTACGACTTCATGTTGTTCGGATTCCATGAGTTGTCGCCTGTAAGAGTAGCAATGTGACTCCAGTCGCTATCATGAGCACCAATCGTGATGAGAGCATTGTGTCGCGTACATCCACCTAGAGTTCCAGCGCGAGGATACAAGATGCCCAGTGGCTTAGCATCCTTAGGTGGGTCGAGTCCAACATAGAAGCTACCGTCGGACTTCTCGTAGGTCATTTTCGAATCTTGCTTCTGCTGTTCAATATCGGGATAGTGGTTGACAAAGTAGTTCCATCGCGTCTTCTCGAATTCGGTCGATAGTAGGTTCAAAGCTGGGACTTTCTCGACGAGGTCATCACCAGAGTCGCCACCAGCATCAATCAAGAGAACCTTGTAGCCCGCGATAGCAAGATTGGCTGCAACAGGGCCTCCTCCTGCACCTGAACCAACAACCACATAGTCGTATCCGGTAGAACTCGTGTCGCGTTTGCCGATGAAGGGATTGTGAGATTGTTCATTGCCAATGAAACCCGGTGGAATTAGGCTATTGACATTAATAAGACGTATGGGGGAGATAACTAATTACTCACGAGCCTAGGATCGGATTAGATAAGACTGACACGACCGAAAAAAAGACCGAGATACGCATCTTAATAATAATGACACGGCATATAAGGCTGAAAAGAGGGAATGACAACAAAGAGCAAAAGGATCAAGAACGCCTTTAATAAAATAATAGACGTCTTATGACCTCTAGCTCAGGGGCTAAGACTAAAAAAGGCGAAAACCTTGAGTCGCCAACAAGCAAATTATAGTGTCGCAAAACGGTGTTGCAGTTGTAACAAAGGTGGAGATGATAGGCATCCAATCTTGTTACAATAGAACACTAATACGACGCTACGCTAATTTCTATGTCGCCTTCATTAATGAACTATATATAAGAGGGACGAATATTTCGCTATGATATTGAATGTTGCAGAATAGTGATACAAGCTCACATGACTGACCAGACGCGTTCTAGGACGCGTTTGTGAGACACAAATTTGAATCGCAGTTGTGGCGCTTACTAACGGGGCTGTATCTGTACCTCACTCTAATAGCGGAAGTTCAAACAGGCTAAATAATAGTAGGTTCTTAGTGCATGTTAGGTAAGACCAGGGCTATGGATGAAAGCGACTGATCGACATTATCGTTTCCCCAGATAATCTTGGGAAGCTAAACCTTCCCCTATCCCTGAAACAGACCAAATGCAATAAAGACGCTTGCAACTAACCAGTTAGAAAGTTAGCAAGATGGTTCTGCATACAAAGATACATGGGTATGTTTCCGGAATTCTGTCATGAAAAAGGAGACAAAAGTCTCCGATTAGCCGATGTTGTCCTCTGCGCAAAATGCGCCTTGAGATGGATCCTTGATCCTCATGGTCCAAATATGACCCGACATGACAATACATTCATTCTCAAGCCGTCTGGACTGAATGACATGATACATAGTGTGTGTAGAAAGTGGCAAGTGTGTAAAAAAGGAGTATTTTTCAGCAGACGTAGGGCGGACACATTGTGTCCAAACACATCAAAACAGGTTGCAATTCTATCTTGAGAACTGAACTTGCTCTATCTCACAACAACATAAAGTAACATGCTTTTTGCCTGTACCAGCAGCTTCGAATACGCCTTGCGGAGACAAAACGTCCGATTGCTGACATGCCACCAAATGGGCCACGTAAGACTATTGAACTCGGTAAGATCGCTAAGCCTTTGCTGGCTGCGCCGCATCCTTCAACGGAGAAGTGTTCTCAATACCATGACTTACTATTGTATAGTGGAATATGAGACCGAGAATATTCGGTAACTAGTTTTCGTATATTAGAGTTAGACCTAACGTATTAAATGGTAAAGTATATGGTAATATATAGAAAACGACAGCGTTGTGAATTTAAACTTCTAAATCGGTGATCTATGTACTTTTAACTACTAAATACGTGTTATAAATCACCGACTTAGGTAACAGGATATAAGTCCTGGGTGCCGGCGATTGCCTAATATCGCAAGTCTAACAGTAGTGAGCGAAATCCCTTGGCCTTGGCCAAAATAAAAAGCCACGTTGTTGAACTGGGGTATTGAGAAACAGGCGGGTTATTTGCAAGAACTCAACGCCATTGGCTGAATTCATCATAACACAACTTCTTCTTGATGTAGTGGAGGATCGTGACCTCATGTCATGTTAGTGAAACAGTCGAATACATAAAGAGCAACAAGTTCCCACTACCTTCGTTCCAGACATCAACACATTCACACCAACACTACAACCACGAAGCTTTATCTCTTTCATACAATAAACAATATGCGCGCCTCAATCTGCACTGCTCTCACCCTCGCCGCTGGCGCTCTCGCCGCAGAGGAAAAGGTCACCGTTTCCAAGCTCTCTATTCACAGCATCGGAAGTCCCGTCGGTACCAAGATCGAGAGTGTCTCTTTCGTTCTCAACGGAGATGATGCCGACAACGTCAAGTGTTCTGCCAAGAATGTTGCTTTCCCGGTCCCCGACGATATCCTGCCTTGTGGCGACTCCAACTATGCCTTCACCCTTTGGGAGGGTGAGAAGGGTGCCAAGTTCCGTGTTATGGTTTATCACGATGTTGGCGACAGGTTATAGTCTCCCTGATAGATTCTTAAAGTGTTCTGCTAACAAGCCTCAGTCGTGCCGACCTTCGAGGTGGCGCTGATATTCGCACCAAGTGCGACAACAGCCAGGGCAGCGGCCCGGCTGACGAGATCTGCACTCAGGTCAAGCCTGTGAGCTTCAAGATCGACGGCCCCGTCGGTAGCTCCCCTGATATGTAGAATGCTACATGCAATGACGGGTCGGGTGTCCAACTGCTGATTGCGCAAGAGCTGGATGGAGTATCACTTGTGATGGAACTGATTCCTGGCATAAAACGGACGAAAAGCAGAGGATCCATACCCGGCAAAGGGTTACTCAAATAGCCGTCAAGTTTCCGAATGGAGAAACCATAAAACCTTCATTTCTACCACAAGCTCATATATGACACACATTCATTGGATACTAAGTACATACGGTCCGTGATTTGAAAGCAAACGCAATAAAATAACCTTACCAGTACCCAGAATACATAATTCCGGTCTAATTCCTACAGTACAGCTTCATGTACCCTCGAAGTATTGTAAACCCACAACCCCCATATCCATAACAGAATCCATTATAGCCACTGCTTATTTCCAAAGTGTGACACAAAGCTTCCACCGCTACCGGACTCGATACTAGCCTTGTCCACAACAGAGAGCACATGCTTGGCAGACTCTTCAGGACTGATTGGTCCTGTGAAATGTGGTGCGTAGACTTGGAATGCCGATACCATCGCGGCGAAACCCTTCAGCTCCTCTTCTGTGACTATGAGGGGGTTAGCAATGCTGTATGAAAGGAAAAAAACACAAGAAACGCACCATTTGACATGTCTTTGGTGGCAACGAGTCCTGGTGAAATTGCCATGAACAAGATCCCCTCCTTCCTGTACTGAGCATCGAACTTGGCAATTGCAATGTTCAGGGCGCCTTTACTCATCGAATAAGGTGCACCGTCGACAATCGAAAATTGAGTGATGAAGTCGGGGTCTGCCATACCACTCGAGATTCCAATGATCTTCTTAGCTTGACCCTTGCGGATCAGTGGCAGGGCCAAGTTGAACAGATGAACATTCCCAACTGTGTTGATCTTGTAAGACTCGATCAAGTCTTCCTCCAGTTTCTCTGGCTCCGAGCCCCTTGTTTGTTAGCTCTAGAAGATTTTCAGGGAGCTAGTGTCGCGACTTACAATACTCCAATTGGATTGTGGCCAGACCATTCAGACTGCAAAGCAGCATTTGCGATGACGTAGTCGAGACTGCCACCTGTAATCTTAGCCGTCTCATCAATCAGGTTCTGATCAGGCTTGTTAGAGTTGTTTCAGAATCGACTTGAAGGTTGAAAGTTACCTTGACAGACTCATAATTCTGAATCTCTCCTCGGATTGTATGGATGTTAGATCTACCAGGTAGTTCTCGTTCAACCTTCTCGTCAGTAGCTTGTTTGTTGCGAACAAATCCAATTACGGTGTTGTTTGGATCAGCAGACAGCTGACGGACGAATTCGAACTTTGTTCTTGTTAGTAGAGAGTGTGTAATTGTCTTTAAGCAAACCACCTACTCCGAGTCCTCGGGAAGTTCCAGTGATTAGGTAAGAAGGCATCTTAAGAAGTTGATTGAGAATGTGTATAGATATCGGAGATGATTGTATAGTGTGGTGAATTGGTAGGGCCTGTTGAGAAGAGGAAGTTCTTGTTGAATTATCTGTCAAATAAAAGCATATCCATCTTCTTATATGTCATTCTGGGTATTGGGTCAAGATATTGCTTGGTAATTTCGATGCTTCTTGTTTATGTTGCCCCACAATAGGCCATGATTAGGATTTGGTAGTGGGGTATCTCGCAAAAAGTTGCCAGGCCTGCTTATGCTTACTCTTCCACCCTTGCATGCGGCTAATTCCACCTGTCTAGCTGCAACTCAATCGCGGCGACAATCGATGCAGCGTAGCAAGTCAGGCTACGACATCAATCTCGAGATCATTATTAATTACCTACCGTATGTTTCCATGGTATACAATGGTGAAATTAGAATAGATGATTTGTGAGATTGAATGCAGGGTGGTGTGCCCCTACATAATTGTGTTGCCTTTTTGGCCCTAGACTTGCTAGGGTAAAAAATACTTGCGCCATTGAAGACAAATTTGGTAACGATTGCACCCAAAGACGGATTCATTTGCTATAGAAATGCTGGAACAGATTTCTGAGTAGAGCTCAAAATAACACCCAGCTTGTGAACATAATCCAAATCATCATCTAACAGATCCTGCTGCACCCACATGATCTCGATCAATCTCTTGATTGGCGTTAGGCTTCTGTATCGCCCATCTCTGGTCGTCCTTCGTATTAAATCAAGCAGAATTATCCGCCTTGTATCTTCACGTGCCTCACAGGCAAATATGAACAACGGAAATGTCCATTGGCAAACTGGTAGATGGGCAAGTAATGCAAAGGCTTGATTAACCCAGTCATTGAAGTTCTTGTCCAGATCGAGTATCCCAGCGGATGCGCGCCTGAGGTATATCAAAGTGGATAACCGATACAACTCAACCGCCATGTTAAACGTGGGCTGGTCGTCACTCGTGTCAAGACTGGTCGTATCCTGATCGACAATATGCTGTAGCTTGTAATCGAGTGTCTGGAGTCGATTCCTGTACTCTGCTGTATCGTGCCGTGGATCAGACGCCATTATCACAGAGTTAAACACTTCTGTGAGCAGATATAGTATCTCGTGCGGAAATCCTGTTAGATTCGCTGGCTATAATGAAGCAATGTCAGCCAATCAGCTTCATAGTTGCACAACACAAGTGGACGAATACCTGTCCGTTTGAACAAACAGCTGGGTGAAATGTGTCGGAACTGACATCAGCCGAACTATCAGCATCAAGGACAAAGTTTGGTTGCCAATGACGCAAGCTAAATTTAGCCATGGTGTTAAAATAATGAACCCATCCTACGAGTGATGTCAAATCTCTATCTGCTTTGATCTCGTCAAGTCCAGCTGTTTTGACAATTTTGGTGGCGCCACAGGCATACCATAGCCAGTTGCTCGACGTTGTCGAATTTTGTTGTATCTAACGGAAGTGTCAATACTGCCAAGGCAAAGTAATTAACAACTATTCGTACCTCCAGAGAGCTTAATATGATACCAGCTCCGATATGACAAGCCGAGTCGCTTACGCCAATAAAGCCTTGTGTCGATTCAGCCAAGGCCCGTAGTGCAGCGACCTTGCATCGTGTCATTGCATTGAAGGCGTTATCTCGATGGAACGATGCTAGAGCCAGAGAGGACTTAAGTACAGCTGTAGACGAGGGTGTCTTGTCAGAAAGAGCCATGCGAATCAGAATTCCGGGGACTCTGTGCGCATCTTTCCCAAAGGTGCTTATAGAATACGAGGCCCTCTCTACAACTAAGTAAGTTAGAATCACCTTAGAGCATAGTCGGCAAAGAATCTCACAATATTGAAACAAGCGCTTGTTGGCCGGACTCAACTCTGCAAGAACCCCTGTTGCAGGGGAGTTTAATAGAAGGAAAGGTTTTGCCTGTCTCGCAAAGACTGTGTCCTCGGCAGGCTTGAATGGTGTATCGGCTACTGCTTCAACGGCCACGCTATGTATTTGAGCTGACGTTAAGATCATATCATGTAGCTTGATATCCCTCGAAGAAGTATTCAGCAGCCGATAGTTCACGGATATTCCTTTGAATCGGGATTGTCTAGAATGTGGTCCGACGATAGCACGTCGCTTGTCATTGTGACGGGGCCAAGACAGACGCAAACCATAGCCTTCACAATCTCGACCCGCTTTTATGCATCGATTGCATTTTGGGACGGTTTGATCGCAGCGAACTTTACGAGCTGACGTTTTGTCAGGAGAGCCAATCGATAGTCTTCTATGGGAGTTGGGATCTCATACCTCGACACGTTCCACATCCTAAAGACGGCATTTGGAAGACCGGACGACGACAGTCAGTTTGAAACGTGCTCGCAAAAAGTTGTCGGTTTAGTTTGGAGGAGAAGCAATGTAAGCTGCTTACCCAGATTAACCATGTCGAGGAACGTAAGCACTAATCCTCCACCATCCCAGTGACAAGCAACTTTCAGCGAGAAAAAATTACCAATCATGATTTCAGGCGCTATACTGTTTCCGGACTAGCTTCTGCTAAATGGAGAAACCTTCAGAATAGAACCACAGGGTAACCACTAAAGCTCAATTTATGGAACTTATACTTAGGCGCACCATTAGAAATAAGAAGTAAATCAGTCAGGTATCATTTAAAGATAATAAACTGACCGAGACAAGCTATCTCAATTTGCGAAAATAGAAAAATAAAATTCAAAAGTAGGTGAAATTTGGGGACCAGGCCTGAACTAATACCCTATAACTCCAAACTAAACCATCGAATCCATAGACATAGCTTCATCCCAGAAGTCCTTGATGAACTCGCTTCTATCGCTTGCACTGGGCCATACCACTTCAGCTAGGACGACTCTTGCTTCTAACCAAGTCGAAATAGCCATTTCCTTGGCTTGTCTCCTAACAGCCGCCTGGAAGAACAGAAAACTGGGATGCGGCGTTTTATCCTTCTCGCCGTTTGGGTATGTATGGCAACCGACCAAGCCGAGTAGCAACAACCAAAGGAGAAACCCAGGGTTATTTGACCCCCGACCTGCTTCGATATAAGAAGCCATATCGTGGTGGAACAAGGTAATGGTATACTTGTGCATGCGTTTGTCTATAGGTTCCAATGCACCAAGGATAACCTGCCCATACAAGATAGCCGCAGTGACAAGGGCACACCACGGACTCTCGAAAGGAGTTCCGTCTCGCCTAAGACTTTGGGACCCTCCTTTCTTGACGGAGATGGTTTCGACATGGGCGAGTACACACTCTCCTAACAATCTGGAAGCGGGGCCTCGTCTCCAAAAATTGTCAAATATTTTATCAGGAGAATCAGTGCAAATACCTTTCTGTGGTGAGTCATCGATTATCGTTGGGGATGTGAATTGCCGGAGGGATTGAATTACAGCATGCCCGTCAGCATACTTGAACGTCGCCCCTACGGGTAGAGGGGTTAAAAAGAAAGGCAATAAACGAAGGGCCTGGAGTTTCAAGGCCCATGACTGCAATGCCTCGCCTTTATGCCATAGATGTGACATCTCGACCAATTCCTTGGCTGAAAAGTCTTTGATGCTAGCATCATCAACTCCCCCAAGACGACAAACGCCTCCTAGCAGGCTTTTGAGGCCACATATATAAGTATATGCCATAACGAAATATCGATTCGCTAGTTCTTGGTCGGGTGACTTGGAGCTTGAGGTATCTAGCTTCTCTTTTTTGCCTCTGGCTGCTGCATTTTCGATGATTGCCAAAATGCCACTCGCGTGTGCTTCAGCTCCTAGAATCTCACCTGTACAGACCTTGGACATATGAGTTTCTGAACTACAAACATGAAGGTGAAGATGGATGGGTCCTACCTCTGTAAAGGCTAATGTCGTCATTTGCCTGATAATGGTTGTATCACGTCTGTGGCTGCTGGATGCGATCCATTTGTTAATGTATCGCATTACTTCAACCTTGTGATATAGAAATGTCGATTCAAAAGATGCCAAGCTGCCATTCTGGAAACAGAAATGCATCCCAGCTAATAGAATTGTACTTCGCAATGCACAGGGATCGTCTGTTAGACGCATCAAGCTGCATGAGTTAGTAACCACAGACATATAACAGAAACAGACAACACACCAATTTGTGGCAGGCGTCTTGGGACTATTTTTAGGTCCTTGTTCACACCCGAATACTTGTCAACGTCAGTACCGGCATAAAAACTGGAGACGGCGTCCTTACGATATTGGAAAAGTTCATGAGATTTCAAGGGCATCTCGCAGGCCAGTTTGTTGTATTCTCTATCATGGTTCATGAACCGTAGTTGTGTTGGTATCGGTGTACGTTTCACAGATAGTTGTTGTGATGGTCGTTCGATTTGCCAGGGTGTCTGTTCCCATGGATGGACCTCCTTTTGTTGGGCCCTGCGCTCTCGCAGCGGGATCTTGATTCCTTCGTATGAACACACCCGTCCCAGGTTGATACAGTTGTTACTATACAATGCCAAGTCTTAGTAACGACCTCCCACTTTGGGAAAGAAGGGGTTTATAAGGGCGGTTTATACCATTCTGGTCTCTGTTCATCACATCGTTTTCGACGGGTTCGGCAACTGGAACATCCTGTCTTACTGCGGGTATGGAACTGCCGTACGCGTGCCTTAGTCAGCGTTTTGCATGGTCTTTCTTCTTCAGGCATGTTATCGGCACCCTGTATCTAGACCATTAAGGTGAGTTCAACAGTGGAAAGAATTGAGGCGAGGGGGGAAGAGATGCAACATGAAAAGACCAGCTAGACTACGGTAGGACTCTCAGCTTATCCTGCTGACTCAGTGTCCAATAGTAAACCAATCATGTACAGGCTTCTTATCTTATCCTTTAGAGATAAGATAAGGTCCGCCCCATCTTGGTACCAAGTCACAAGTGAGAGTATCTGTATTAACAAAGTTGTTGTTGAGACACGAGGGCGCAAATAATCATTAAACGCGAGATAAGAGCTTGGATGCTAAATTGAAATCGTTCTCTGCATGCAAAATAGTTACCCACCACTTGGATTAACCTTGTATATAGCATTCTCCACCGCGATAGACCCATCCTCGTTTACCAGCCATCGAAGTTCACCCACGAACTCAGATCTCTCCACCCATTTGAAATCAGGATGACTAGTTTCCAAGATAGGTGCGCTTAGCCAGTAGTTTTCGCCGAAATCAAGTGTCCTAGCCTTTGGCCCTCGAGTAAAGACTTCCATCCACTTGTCGTCGATTTGCAGGACACCCTGGAAGTGTATGTAAAGACCTTGCCCTTCTTCAGTGCGGAACTGTACTCGAACATCAAGATGTCCCGTATTTGTTTCTGGGTCTCTCTAGAACTTTTGTTAGTACATATTAGCTGCCATGTAGTGTGTTGTAATCCATACCAATATCCAGTCAGCACCTCCAGGTTGAAGCTCTGCATCAAAGCCACTGCCTTTAATGTTGCCATGCGTCAGGAAGGCTATGATGCGATGGTTGTTGCCTTTGGTTTCTGGAATCACAAGGGCCTTTTCGGGCGACGTGTATAGCCGCATAGTAAAAACATGTTCCAGAGATGGTGTCATGTTTGAGATTGGAGTGTTGGCGATAGTTGTTGGAATATTGATGGTTAGTTGGGGCCTCGAGAAGATGAGAGATCTATGATTTATTTATACAATAGCAGAAGTACAACTGTAGCTCTGAAATGGCTGGTTTTAGTCGTTCGCAGTTGATGGAAAACGGGACATTGCTTACTCTGTCAACCCATGTCTACATGAAAGACTATGCTAGATAATTCTTCCCGTCATTCAAATGACAAGCGAAACGGTTAGGCTCACTAATCCACTCCCGAATAAGCACTCGCATAGCTTGTTGTTAAAAACATAACTGGCTTGATGATGTGAATGAGAAAACAGAACCAAGTCTCCAATGCCAAGGTTTCGACCGGAGGCGCCAGCTAATCGACAAATGAGTAAGCTTCAAGTCGGGTAGATTACCACTACCTCCTTCACTCAGTAAGCACTCCGATGCACACCAACATGACAGCGTCCCATATATAGAATTGTCAAACCATCAAGAATTTTCTCAGAATCATCTAAAACCCGTTTCATTCTACCGCCATTACAATAAATACAAATCTTGACTCCATCATGTCCACTCAGCAAACAGCCAGGACGCAATATGTCCAGGCCCCAGGTGGCGCTAAATACGCCTATCGCCAGATCGGGGCTGCCTTTGGCACACCCCTTGTTGTCTTAACCCATTTTCGTGGCACAATGGATAAATGGGATCCTCTTTTCGTTAACAGCTTGGCTGTCAAACGTTGTGTCATCACAGTTGATTATCTTGGCGTTGGACTGAGCACCGGCGAAGTGGCTACATCTATTCGTCAATCTGCAGCAGATATTTCGCAGTTTATCGAACTCATCAAAGAACCCGAGGTTGATCTACTTGGGTTCAGTATTGGAGGTTATGTTGCTCAGATGATCACACTCAACTCTGATCCGAGCAAGTTCAAAATTCGCAAGTTGATCCTTGCTGGCACTGGCACCAGCCACGGGAAAGACCTAGCTCTGTCACCAAATGAAGATGTGGGCGCAGTGGCTGGTGTGAAAGATGTCAACATAGATGTCTTCAAGACTTTGTTCTTTCCTAAGAACCCACAAGGTGACGCTGCTGCAGAGGCCTGGTGGGGTCGGATTCACGAGAGAAACGAATCTTCCTGTGGTGAGGAAGTTTCTCAGTGGTTAAGCAGTGGATATAAAGACCAGGGTAAAGGTATCAAGGGCCAGGCAACTCAAGGTCATAACTTCACGATGAACGCCGACACAAGCCGGGGTGAAAATGGCGCCTATGACCGTTTGTCAGAAATCAACATTCCCGTCCTGGTAGCAAACGGAAATGTGAGTACCGGTAATAAAAGCTTGAATGTTGCTAATATTAGATATGCAGAACGACTACATGATTCCCACATCAAACAGTTACCTTATCTACCAAAAAGTACCGAGAGGTCAACTCATCCTTTATCCCAGCAGTGGACACGGATTTCTTTTTCAGTATGCAACAACCTTTGTAAAACATGTTGAGCTGTTCTTGGAGGGTTAAACAATGGATACCAGGCGATGTGCATTTTTAAATGTTATATAGCTAAGAAAAGAGTCTTATTTCGGCTGTGACTGAGTGTGCCATTAACGTTTCAAAATGTTGTAGCTGGAGGTTGATCATGGCTCTAGCTTCGAGGTTTGCTGCTATAGTTATTGCCATAAGCCGGTTGCGATGTATTGAATGCTTTATTATGTATAAGGATAATGAAAACTTGCTACAATCCGCTACCTGGCCTTGCCCATACACCTACTCAATCATCACGGATGAGAGACATCTTCAATGCCATTCTGATGTCTTTTGGCCGTACAGCAGGAGTCCGCCCTAAACAGACAGTCGAATTGCATAAACCTGTTTAGATAGACTTTTAGTTAATTTGACGACGATCAATTAGGAGTTCAGCTTACCTGTGATTAATCTTTCTACGTCGATCATTACCTTTGTTTCCCTTCTTGTAGGTGTCTTCCACTGGCTTTGCGGTTGCGGTTTCGGCTGTGGAGGCATCGCTCCCATCGCCATACCCATCAAACCAACAGGGCAGTGCAAAGATGTAGCTTCCGTATCAGATGAAAGTGAAGTATCTTCGAACAGGTGCCCTGAATCTGCTGAAATATCAGGTGGTGTGACTGGATCTTCAGCTCGAGACTCGGTCGTCTCCCGGGCTTCTGCCCTCTCGAACATGGCCATGTCGATGTAAGCCGTCACAAAGTCTTTGCTTGGAGGTATCGTAACACCATAGCCTCTCAAAGAAATCTCGATTTCATCCGCATCAAAAAAGTCGCCTTCATAATTAGAATCGATGATGCGTAATTGCTCATTGAGACGAATATCTCGGACTTGTTCAATAGACGGTCCGAATGGACCCATGGAGAATCCTGACATCTCCGATGGTCTGTAAGTCTCACTTTGGAGATATCGGTTTCCAACAGGCAAGTCGCTATTGCCATATCCTTGGTTTGGATAGAAAAGTCCGGCACCACCAACGTTTGTGAAGGGAAATTTCCAGTTGTTCAAAGTCTCCTCGCGAGATTTCCGCACAGAATCGCCCAGTCGCTGAGTGATCTCCTCTCTTGTCTCGAAGTGCAAACAAAACCCAAAAACCTTTTTGTACCAGGTGGGTGGTGAGTGCTTCATGGAGGCGAGAAGGAAGGCAGCTTCTTGAGACGCCCTATGGTAACGCCTTCCGAACGTGGCTTCCTGTGAACTATACGATCGGGCACAAGGTAGTGAAGTATCGTAGGTGGCTCCAGGGAGTTGATAAATGGTATATTCTGGTGTCTGGTTGATGGGAAGCTGGAAGTAAGAACTTTGTTCAAACGCTGATGGCGGTGAGATGTTGTAATTCAAGGATGGCATAGTGGTTTCTGTATTGGTGGTTTGGTCGAGCAGGTTATCAAATTCGAGTTCCGGTACATGGTCAGCCATTGGGAAGCCAAGTGAATGTACTTGATCTGTACTGAACGTGTGGCCCGTTGAAGCTCTGGTTGAGACTTCATCAATGGATGAAACTTGTTCCATGTCTTGGTCTTCCGTTTCGCTGGTCTGATGAACCTCTCGAGTACTGGCGAGAATGTTGATGGTCGACTTTTTGATGTGTTCAACGATTTCAGGGCTGTTCCTTACACCATCCTTCTCCAGAATAACTGCTGTAAAATTAAGAAACTCGTTCCCAATGTCTTCCTTGGCCTTCTCTAACTCTTCGACTTTTTTCTTGAGGATGTCAATGGCAGATTCCTTCCGCTGCCGGTATGCACGCTGAGCCATTCTATTTTGCATGCGTCGACGCTACTTAATCAGCTGGAAGTCAAGAGAAGAGTATCCTTAGTTCAATGGATACAGGCTAGGTGTGCCAACTATGAATACAGGTACTACTTACATTACTAACAGATCCGGCTGCCGGCGTCTCCACAGGTCGTCCTCTTCTGGGTCCTGGAGCTGAGCCTCTTCCATCTTCGGCATTACTGGATGTCCCTGAGTTCGATTCTGGGATGGAGAAAGGCATCATATTTTGTGACATGCCCTGCAAAAGGGTTTGTGGCAAATTGACGAGGCGAGGTTTCCTAGTAAGATAGAGTTGATAGAAGTAGCAGACGCAGAGGCTAACATAGCGGCTAAGAACAGACCAAAGATGTGTACTATGCTCCAAAAGCCTCCATCAGTGAGGTCGTGGAATCGTGGACCCGCACAGCATATAGATTCGAGCTGCCAACAGGTTCAGCTCGATAAATGAGCCAATGGCTGTAACTGAACATAGTGACTAAAGGATGACATAGCAGCATTTCTCAATCCAAGACGCCGGTTTTCTCCACCAAGACACCGGCGTCTGCCACCAACACTAAGCCGGCAATACAACGATGCATAATTGCACATGTTTCCATGCCCAATAAATCCACATCTTTCCCACATACTGATAATCTTTCAGCCTGCGAATCCAGTCAGCTCTCTTGTGCGCCTCAGGCAGTGGATCTTATCTCGATAATTAGGCTATTTTGTGGGTTAATCTAAAGACTGAACACGAAGCCCAATGTCTCGGGGACCTCAACTCGTCTTACGTTGGATTTTGGGCGTGAGGCGCTGCTGCACAAGTGGCACGATGGCGTAAACGGCGTCTCGTATCAAGAGACCAAAGTCATACGGACGAAAGAGAAGCTTCGGACAGTACACAACTCAAAAAAGATTACTTTTAATTAACGCACGAATCAAAATATAACTCAATTCTTGTTGGAACATCAAACAATCACCTATCGGGACCCTGGCAGGAGTTTGTTCTCCTTGCGGTTAGCATCGAATGCTCTCGACTTCGAGACCTTTGGGTTCTGGGGTTATACTGCATATTGCGAGATGTATCTTCAAATGGGGATTCCGATACCGATAAAAATCCGATTCGTCCCGGCTCAGCCCATTAAGATACCCGTTGGACACTTACTCACAAACCCTTACCTATTGCGCCCCGTAGCAGAGCCTACGGGAAAGCATCACCGGCTTCCGACAAGGGAAAATAATTTTGGTATTCACTTCTTTCAACATTGTTCGTATAAACTTGATAGAGAATAGGATGTAACTAATAGCCCAAAATACTGCCCATTAATCTTACATTTCTAAAACTGCCCTGTATCGCATCTTATTCATTTCAACGAGCTCAAATACGTCCTTGATTGTCTTCGCACCCTCATGCTTGAAGATTTGGACCATTGGCTTGATGCCATGTCGGGCTGAAAACTCCAACATCTCGTCGTGGACATTGCGGGAACCTACTAAACTCGAGAAGACGTGATAGCCCTGAAAAAACATAGCTCCAGCACTAATATGATGTTAGTTTAATTACATCATCGGGATTAAGGCACGTACGGCAGGCTCAGGGGCCCATGTACAGGAGCAGCAAGAGGGACGATAACACCATCCCTAGCCAGAAACTCCTTCACCATGACACTGCAACACTTGGGTTAGTAACTACGCGTGCTGTCACTGGCCAATTATTACTCACCGGTCCCAATCGGGATACTTAGTTCCGCAAATCACGAGAACATCGATGGGCGCCTTGACATCAAACATGTTCTCAATGAGATGAAACTCCTTTGCACCAAGTTGACGTGCCTCAGTCTCCTTACTGGCACTCGTGCTGTATACAACAACATCTGCGCCCATCTTGTTCGCATATTGGATAGCAAGGTGACCCAAGCCACCAATTCCAAGAATGCCCACCCTCTTCTCAGGGGTGACTATGGCTTTGAGAGCAGCATAAACAGTCGCGCCAGCACACTGGAGAGGCGCGGCATGTTCACTAGCAAGTCCCTCGGGAATCTTGTGCAGGAATGTTTCCTTTCCGATGTAATACGAGCCAAAGGTACCGTTATCGAAGTCGCCTTCACCGAAGATGACACGGTCGTAGCAGTATATATCTTTGCCGGAAAGACAATACTTGCAGTGACCGCATGCGTCTCGGTGGAAGCCACCGCCAGCGCGATCTCCGACATTGAACTGTGTCACGAGAGATCCCACGGCTTCGACAATACCAACACCCTCGTGGCCAAGTGCTATCGGGGCACCCATCTGACAGAAGGTTATATCTGTGTGACAAACACCGCTATGTGTGATGCGTACAAGAATGTCATGGGGACCGAGGGTAGGTATCTTGACCGGGGTTGGCTTGAACCCCCCATTGCCATCGCCGGAACGATAGACAGTATACTCGGATCCAATAAGCTGTTGAGACATGTTGGTTGGTGCTGTCGATTGTAAAAATTGAGTTGGTTGGGTAGATAAAGATGACAAATTATTTAATTTTGTGTCCAGAAGTTGAAGTTGACGATGAATAAAGATTTGCCCACTTCTTGGCTGTCATGGATGCAAGGCTTTATAGATCTCAAACAATACATATCAGTATTAGCAAAACTCTAATCAATCAACCATTCCATCATTACGTTATTTTGTACTATTCTTACCAGCCGGGCAAAGTGAGTAATTGGTGAAACCTGGCGAATTGAAAGGTAGGTTCGCTGTTATGAACGGACATTTTACGTTGCATAATGGTCTGTTCTTTTTCGGTCTAGTCATGGCGGTAATACTAATCATGCCCGGCTTCAATGGTCAGTAATGAAGCCCGAGCCAATAGGAATAATACCTTTGCTACCATTGCATGCCATTTAGTGGAGGTTGTGTTGGAGTAAAGCAGCATTTTTGTCAGCACGCCACAAGGAGTGCTCAGTAAGCTCAATCATACATCGCAGCAAAGACATGCGGGCATACAGAGCGGCAGGATGTCTATACAAATATGATTGAAGTTGATAGCTATTTTACTTCTCAATTCACGTTGAGAACACCCTGCATTATTCACATCACCAGCCAAATATGTCATCTCCATTCAAAAACATCCTCATCGTCGGAGCGACAGGCTCTATCGGTGCTATTATGCTGAATGCCCTAAGCAATGAGCCCTCATTTAAAATCAGCGTTCTGCAGCGTTCATCATCCAAGGGGAAAATCCCGGCCGGCGTCCAAATCATCACTATCGATGATTCATACCCTTCTGATGCACTCGTATCCGCATTCTCTGGTCAAGATGCTGTCGTCAATTGCATGACATCTTTGGCCGTCAGCGACCAACTGCGTTTCATTGACGCTGCAGTACATGCCAAGATCAAACGCTATGTCGCTTCTGAATACGGTCTCAACAACAACAACCCCGACGCCAGAGCCCTGAATTCAGTCTTTCGTGAGAAAGGCGAAGTCCAAGATTATCTCCGTTCCAAAGAGTCTGCGGGCTTAGAATGGATGGCCATTGCTTGCGGCATGTGGCTTAAATGGAGTGCGCGTAACGACTTCCTCGGAATGCATCTCAAAGAGAAACGATTTGTTCTCTGGGATGACGGCAATGGCTGGTTCAGCACCACTACCGAAGACAATACCGCATTGGCAATGGTGAACGCTTTGAGCAAGAAGTGGGAACAGACGAAGAACAGGGTTGTATGGCTAAGCGACTTTGCTATCACACAAAACATGCTTCTTGAAGCCATCCAGCGTCTTAGTGGAAAGCAGTTGACTGTCGAAAGAGTCGACAGTGGCCAGCTCATCAAGGAGAAGCAGGCTGCAGTGGCAGAGGGAGACCCATATGCCATTTACTCACTGATCGAAACTGGATTTGTTACTGGCAAGTTTGGGGGCCATCTGGAGAAGGAAGGAGAAATCATGAACGACATTTTGGGTTTACCGAAGAAGGATTTCGATGAAGTCGTCAAGTCAGCCCTACAGGCTATTGGCGAGGCGTAATTGGGATGTGAGGGTGATTAATGGAACTTAGCTATTTGGTGGGAGTTATAATATGACTTGACGTTCTACAGATTTAATGTGACTTTTAAGTAAGACATAAAATGCGTGAAGTTATGCAAAATCCTAGTTCTTGACCAAAGTCTTGTAGTATATCAATGATCCATCAGGATTCAAGATGAATTATTAATAAGTAGCTGCATAGATGAATAGACTACTGTTTAAGGATTCCAAGAAAGGATTCCCGATTCTTGCAATGGGAGTAGCCCAGCATTGAGGTACATAGAGTTGAGAAAGTCCCTGTCCTCCACCAAGTCTAGCTTCTCATATTCCTGTGATACATACGAACTTAGATAGTCTGGCTGAGTGAATGTATGATCATCAAAGCCGATGTTCTGAGATTCAAGATGATTCGTCCTGTCTTCTGTAAAAAAGTTGAATGGAGTTTCATCTTCTTCAAGCCATGGAAGATCCGGGTTGAAAGGTATGTCCGGCGCTCCTCTCGATTCAGAACTCTCCTCTGTGTATGAAGTGGCGTCATTGAGTATCGCAAGGATAATTGACAGAAGTCGTGCTTGAGTATATACGCGGTTATCATCTCCTGTTTTATAAGCTGGTGTATCAGATTCCCGAATGCGCATGGACCGGCTTGCGATGAGGTATGCTGTTGTTGCTTGATCAAGTATCAAGGTCGCTTCCTGTTTCAACGTGGTAGGCTCATTGATACCTTGGGCTAAAAATTTCGGAACCAGCATTGCCGCATACGCAATCATCTTATGAGCATTATCCCAAAGATAATAGATGACGTCCATCTCCCCGAAATGAACTGCGCGTTGCAAAATGCCGAAAGCGCTGGAGAAGCAGATACAAGTCGTATGGGCTATTTGGTCGCCGAGGAAAGACCTATCATCTGATTCCAGTAGCATATGAAGATGTATAGTATTGAAGTACAAACACGTATAGTCGCGTTGGAGGAGGGTGATGAATTGTTGCGGAGGCTGCAGGTTGGGAACTGTTCGGGTATCAGTTCAACTCCGTAGACCACTGGCACTCCAATGTTGTTGCTCACAGTTCGAATATATAGTACACCATTCATCTCCCCATTCTTCAATTCTTTTATTGAAAGAACTCATTGCATTATGAAAATTCTCAAAGTCAGCAACCAATTTTGGATGCGAATCGTGGCGGTCTCCAAATTTTGTGATGCTTTCATATACTTCGTTAACAATATTGGTGGTTTCGAGGCTACTGACGGATGTGCAATCGCCTAATCTATAACTAAATTTTGTTGAGTCAATCCAAGTTCGAGAGATTGTCTTGGGAATAACGAGCGATGTATTTGGGGGGTGCTTGGTGAGGTAAGTCAACCTAACTTCGGGTAAGCCTGCATTGATCCATGTGTCAAGTTTCAACGACTCTACTTACGTCCTCTCGCTATAATAAAGGATGGCGAAAACTCTTTGTCGGTCTCGTTCTTGTCGCAGCTCAAGCTCAGCTAAGTCAAGGACATGTCTCCCTTCTGAGGTGTCCCGGTGAGGTATGTTCCATTCCGCATAGGCTGCCATCCGTGAGGCAAAGCCAATCAATACTTCTCCTCTCTTATCATTTGTATCCTTCCAGTGATACATGCAGATGATAGCCCAGATGTTCTCTATTGCCGAATCACATGCTAGAAGAGCTCTGCCGAGTAATGCTTCGGAGTGGTCTTTGATAGTCTTGTAGGATTGAGGATGGAATATCCTGGCTGCAATAGCCAGTACCATCGTGAATAGTAAGCTAGATCGACTTCTTGTGTATATGAACGAGTATAAGTGTGGATCTAAGAGTCCAACAAGGGAGTTGAAATGTTCAAAGAACCTGTTTCGTTAGCAGCTAGATAGTCTAGACTTCCTGGCTTCCAATCGTACACGTACCCTTCGAAGAGAATTTGAGCAGAGGGTCTGCTAATCAGTCCCATCTCGATAGGATCATGATTCTTCACTGGGTTTGTTGTGGAGTTAGGATTTTGCATCAACAGATCCAAACGGTTGGATGATTTCGTTCCCAATGTTGTTTTTGTATCGAGAGTGGTGCCTAACTTGCCCGGTGTAAATGGTGACTGCTCAGATCCTGAAGGCGCTGAATACGAACCCAAAGTTCGATTATTGAAGCCAGGTCCTATATTATTTGGCAGTAAACCATCATGTCCATCAGTTAACGGTTCTGCGGGATTGTTGTTTGTTAAGTTCTGCGGATCTTCCCTGTAGAAAGCGAATCATAGTCAACAATTGAAGTATTCCTTTTTTTTTCTCCTCTCTCGGCGTACCTTGTCCCTGCATGGTTCCTGCGCCACATACCTCGCCTATGTGTCTCATAAATACATCGTTTCCCCGACCTTTCACAACGATCACATGTTGGCGATGCTGAATTGGAACTAACACATTTCATCTTGGCACGTCGACATGCATTACAAGAAACGCCTTCGGGTCTGCTGACTATCAGCTTCTTGATCTCACTGTTTCTGCAAGGGATACAAACCTTTTCTGCAGCTGCAGCCTCGTCTGGTCTGCCATGTTCACAGACCTCAATCATTCAACAGGCCAAATTTCGTATCAGCAATTTCGCAATTTAAAGGATTTATAACAGCAACGAAATTCAGCAACACATGAAAAAAAGATATGTTCAAGACTTCAGACGTTCCAAAAAGGACCGATTGATTACTTAACTCCCATCGCTCCAGTTATGAGATACCGCCGCAAGAGCATCGCCTGATAGGGCTGAATCCACCAATTATCTAGCTAGTGCTAGATCAGTAATATTCGTAAACCTAATTTGTATGCTACATACGTCACAGGACAACACAAACACCATGTTTGGCAAAACCCAAGGGGGGATAATATATCGTAAAATCGAATTTGTCATTGATCGGACTACCAATCACTCGCGATGCAATCGGAGGACATTGGTGACGGTCTCAGTCGGCCCAGTTATTAAATTGCCCCGCATCATAGCGCACGTAGGCATGGTTACATCAGCCACCTGCTTAGCATCAATTTCAATTGTGGTCTCATCTTGTCATTAATGCGAGAGATGAATAATCAATAATTAAAATGGTATAACACTTAGAATATGAAAAGAAAGATGATTTGTTAACAGAAAATAAATACTCACCGGTCGGCATCTCCTTCAAATGTAATTATTTGCTGGTGAAAGGCCAGGAACAGTTGCTCCGGGGCCACCTTCGGAAGAAAACGCTGATTGGTCATGAAGCATTGTCATTTGAGACTGCCCATTGGATAGACCCCCAATCGATAAGATTATCAACCTTAACTTGACCTTATCTCCTTATCGATATGAGCATAGACCCTCAATATCTGTCTTGATTTAAGCCAGTGCCAATATTACACAGATCAGACCAACAGACGTGCAATGACTAAATCGTGTTCTTTCAACTCGAATTGGCAGAGGCGACACCCTATATCCGCCATGCAATAGTATGGTGCTTCAGCAGGTGAATCCATTGCTTAAAACGCCGAAATAAAAGGACAATGTAACCTTTAAAAGAAAGAAACAATTACCTGTCACAGGGGATAACGTTAGTTATGGTTGACGTATCAGGCATTAATGACCTACAGCAGACTCTGGCTCGGATCGCAGGGCCTGCGGGGTTCGGGAAGACCCTTAAAACTTAGCGCTGTGGTTGGGCGTGAATTTCCTAGATCGCGTCGCGTAGCGCCATGACAATGCGTTTGATGTAAGCCCAACTTGAAGTTATATCTATACTACATCTTATGATAGGATGGCACTGATTACCAACGCTGCTGTCACGACGTATCCCAGCACTGATTGACTCATTAACCGTCGCGCATCGTCTTCTTCGTCGCCCTTGCTGGTCGAGTCATCCCCATCATCATTACCACTTCCTTTGTCTCTGTCGCCGCCTTTATCTCCATCATCACCAGTAGTCTTGTTACCTCCATTCCCTGATCCAGTCGAGTTGCCATCATTCTCGGACACATTACCCTTCAGATCCATCGCAAAGTTGGCAGCTGTGAAGGTGACGTTGCCATTCGACAACCATGTCTCGGTCCCAAATTCGATGATGCCTAACCAGGGATTTTTCGGTAGATCATTTGGTGCATCAATATGTTTGCGCGCTTGCTCAAGGACGAACTTGAAAAGCGGATAGAAGTCGGCCTCGAAAGAGATGATGTCTGTATTGTCTTTGGTGACGGCCGTGAAGACGTGGGTTCCACCCGAGTTGCGACCGTAGAACAATGAACTATCGCGGTCAGAAGACATATCGAGGGCAGTGAGTGCGAGAGACACTTACAAATCTGTTTTGCCCAGAGTTACAGTCGATATAATGCTATTATTCGCTCGCCCTAGCCACCATGGATCTCCGACAGATCCAAGCCAGACCATGATCTCAACGGCCGCAACTTGGGGATATAGAGTTCTATTCCGATCGTCATCGAGGAAGAAATCCCAAGCCGCATTGGCCTGCACGCCCTTGCTGTTCAATTGAGCTTTGTTCTCTGCCCATTTTGAACTGCTGAAATCTCGAGGTGGTTGACTTGGGTTCCCTGGTGTATAGGTCCAATCGGTTGATAGACGTATCGATTCAAGACTGCTTAGGCGGATGGGTAAATTCGGGTGGTTGAAGCGTACGTATGGGAAAGAATGTACGTCTTGGATGTTCTTGTCCCAATTCCATGTCGCATCAAAGGCTGGTGTGCTGTTGTCAACTTTGAGACAAGCAAAGCCACTTTTGGGGCTTTTTTTGTTCCATGCATTGGGGTAATCTACAGGGCATCAATCAGTACAAGATCTAGCGCTGGCGATTGGGTGAACTGACATGACAGGGAATCGTTTAAACTGCCAAATCTTTGGTTACCGCATACTGTTCCTTTCTGATCAGTTTGCCCTGATACAAGATCTGGCAGTACGGTTAGAACACTACCAATGAGTGCGATTAACCTCATGATACTGTTGTTTGATGTACTGTTTTGGAGGAAGTGAACAAGGGTTCCATGCAGCAGCTGTGATCTAACTTTGAGGCTGTTGTAAGGACAACCAAACCACAATCTCAACCACTTTAGATTGGTATTTTACTTTACAGAGTTTGACAAGTCTCTACGTATTTCTGGAACTAAAACTCGTTGTCTTGGTGCGATCAACATATTTTGCCATACAAACGCAAGTCTTGGAGATCTTAGTACAGCTGACGTGGCTCTGAAAATGGGTCTACTGTAGAACTCTACGTCATGAACCCTTGGGTTATCGAGGGTGAATCGCGTAAAGTTAGTGGACTCGTTAGCTAAATCTAGGTGCTGTCCCTGTAAAAGGCATTCTGCGCGTCGCTGGGATCGTCATTCCCTTGATCTTTTGCTCTTCATTCCGCCCACTGCATCGCCAAGTGCCTCATCATTCTTGACAAGCTTACTACGCGTGAAGAGCCTCTCAGATCTTCATCGTGCTATTCTTCGCGCCCAGAATACTTGGCGAAACAATAATCCTCCTTCGATTCCGTAGCTGTTGGTGGTTGGTGGCGCTTCGCGTGGCCCCTTTTTCGTATTGGAGACCTTGTTTTACCTCTCGGTTCCGATACAAGGGCATGTCGCGTTTGGACTATTGTAGAGAATGACGTCGTGATGGAATGTGGATGGCAAAAGCGTTCAGAAGAGGCTGCCCTCAGGGTGTCAGAAAAATTGACCGCTGAACGCACAAGAGACAGAGTTATTAAGTCAGTTTATGCCATTTAGATTAGAAAATTAGGTCATTTATTTTTGTACACTAAGAATTAAAAGGCCAGCTCTTCTGTTATCCACTAGGCTGGGTTTTCTGTTGAATCCTCACTTTGTGAACCTACCGTGTTTTCAATTCCATTTACTCTGACTGAACATTCGCAACGTCTTCCGACTCACATAGAGACTCCCAATGTATTCAATCGTAGTATAATAATTTTAATGACTATTTCAATTTGCTATTATTACTCATTAGTTCTGACACTCCGTTATTTACTCGAGTCAGCATGTTATTAATTCTTCTCTTCATCGATGTAGGGTAACTGACATATGGCTGAGGCTGTGGCTGTCATTTTATTTCTGTTTCTTCCATGTTTGTTAAACGCGACTGTCATTATGTTTGACGCTGATTCCTCACTTTAACTTCTCAAACGCGTCCAAAACTCGTGGAACATCGGAATGGCAGACAGTTGACCCTGCTAGACACGTCGGTTGCTGTTTGTACTCTGACTTTCCGTATCCAACCGTAGCTTATCGAACCGAAACGATCCCAACTCCGCAACTGACAGCCTCCAAAGCCTTCAATCCACTACAACAGCTAAGGAGAGGAACGCTCGACCCTCAATGGCCATGTCCGTTGTGTCCAAACGTCCCTCAGATTGTAGCCCTAATGCTTGATCTATCCGATACCTTTCCTACTGCCTGACCTCCCAAGCCGTTGCCCGAATGCGATGACGAGAGAGACGAAGAATAGCAAGACGCGCTGTACCAAGCCCGACCAAAACCGAACCATGAACGACACCGCGATGATATAACGACAAGCAAGGCGAGATACAATCACGTCTTTACAACCTACTTTCGAGCGAAACACCCTCTTCATCTCCAGAGACGCGCTCAATTGCTTATTGACCGGGTGTATTACCCCGCGAATGGCAATAGTAGCAACAACATCATGGCGTCGAAACGCATGCCACGTCAGATCCGTCAGGCCTTCCCTTTCGCTGATCGAAACGCGCACAGAGCTGTCGCGATTGGGTCCGGAACATGGAAGCCCGAGAGCCGATGATCAGGCCAACACACGAGAAGAAGCAGCGTTGCGAGCAACACATGCCGACATGATTGTTATATACGAGGACAAGGGATTTAGCTGCCCAGTTCACCACCATTGAATGGATCTGCCACCAAAGCAGGAGAATATGCTCTGTATCCTCTGATAGCACGGCCCTGGGCTAATGATCCTGTGTGGAATTCGATGTCGATTCCATTTGGCTTCGCCCAGCTCGTCGGCCTCGAGCCAAGGGCGCGTTCGGCTACCAACGTGATCACTTGGTATGTTCTCTTCAGCACCTCGCTTCTTGCTACAACAATAGCTGACCGTTTACCTTCCAGCTCTACAGCCTCTGTCCCGAGATCGTCGTGTCGATACACCCCCTAGAGCAAGATCAACTCTCGCATCCTCGACTCATGCCTCTACATCCTACCCACGTCTCCTCCACCGATGTACCCAGCATACTCGACCGCATTCAGGCTCTCCCACCACACAATCCCGCGAACGAAACCTTCCTGTAGTAACCGCATCACCTTGGCAATGTATGGATACGTGTTGCGACGAGTCGAACGCATAATAATACTGTGATCATGTAGAGTCGCTTGGTTCAACGGCATACGTCATATATAGAAGTCGCCTGATTGTACTGAGACTGAACGAAGGGATTCATGGCATTAGAGCTCCAGTTGCCTGTGTGCCTCCAAGATTGGCCTGTTGTCAAACAGTCTACTAATGGGCGTCCGCGGCCACAATCGCGGCAATCCTGGCTTCGGAGCGCGACAGAATCTGGCGACTGTGACTTATGTTGTGACATCTATAGGACTGCCTCTATGAACCCTGTTCGATTCTGCGAGTTCAAACGTTGTCATTCTCCTGGTATTCGGCAGTTGTGCAGCCAGCGGAAACTCTACTGACAGTACCCCCATGCGTAAACGACCAGTCGGCTCATCGTTTACAGTAGACCTGGAAGATGGATTCCTCGCCCGACACATAGCAATACGTCGTAGTTATTTACTGGCCCAAACGGAATTGCTTGACACTCCTGAGAGCAGAGCTTTGATGGCTGGCGCGGATCCTGCCGATGCCATTGATCACCAGCACGATAATTTAAGACTCCCGTGGCGCAAGGGACATGGCGAGCTACTGCACAGGGGAAGCCTAGAATCAAGCCCTGCACGTCTCGGTACATCTCTAAACCCATTGTAGTCGCTGCTCAATTACTTTCCAGTCAAAATGTATTGATTGAAGTGATGTCTCCATATGTAGACCAGGCAAATCTGCCCTTGTCCATTTGCCTTCGTTTTTGCGGGTTCATAAATGTTCCCGGCTCGCAAGACTTGTTCAGCCACAGATGAGTACATCCATTATGTCGTGTTCGGCTATGGCAATTGACTTGCTGCAACAACATGCGCCATAGCACGCCAAGCTGACGACTTTAGTTGGAGGTGCAATCAAGACCGCCCGGCAAACTCGGCACTAACGACCTGTAGTATAGCTGTTCATTCGAAACACCGCATAATGACACTATCATCAAGACCAGTTAGGTGATGATTACAGCTGTAAGTGGAGTTGAAGAGCAAGCCCCAGCTTACGTATCCAGGTATCAATGGCGCCGGTTATCCGAGACACGACCGCGATCATCGAGCCTAGTGCATCATGGAGCGAGCCGTGAGATCCGATATCCTCCAACCCAGTGGTTCCGACGACCTGTTCAAAGTATGTATCATTGTTAGTCACTAATGTTCAGAGACGCTGCGTTCCGTTTGCGGGGGTCACCGCTTGCTTCCAAGTTTAGAACATCTGCCACACCACGTAATGTAGTCCACAGGGCTCAAAGACCCTTCAAAGTATAAATTGTAGCTATCCGTCTATGACAGTCTTTTGAACTATCAACGCAAGTCTCAGACTCTCAACCAAAGCTATCAACAATTAAGCATAAACCTTCTCTACTACAACTTCCGTAACCCAAACACAACCTTAACAACATTCATCATGGGCTGGTTCAGTGGTTTGTCATATCGTTTATGCTTATCAGTTCGTTTCTAATCCCTTCAGACGACTCAAACCAAGCTCAAGCGTACGAGACAGTGACTCAACGTCCTCATGAGGCAGAGTGGTCACACGAACTGATAGGTTCGTATCTAGTCTCTTTTCCAAAACTTCTTTCAGGGTTATGCCTCTTCATACAAGAATGGCAAACCTTAGTCAAAGCAAAATGAAATGAACCATGATATTAACGTGCTCGATAGGTGGAGCTGCAGCCTACGAGGCTGCCAAGGCCTATGAGAACCATGTTGCTCGGAATGGTAAATATATGATCTTTGTCCATGCCATAGCCAGACTGACACTTTTCCAGGAGAGCCTGATAGCCACGCTCAAGCAAAGGAGATCTTGGCAGGTTTTGTTGGTGCCTTTGTTGATCGAGAGATTGAGACGAAGGGATTGGATTACGTCGACGCAGAGAAGGCCAAGCGTCATGGAAGGCAACATGCAGAAGAGCAGTTGAGCTACAACAACAACCAGGGCTGGAACTAGAACCATGCTGAGAAAATAAAACTTAGCTATGTTATTAATTGATCCTGAACGCAATTGATAAGAAACTCGTGAATGATTGTTAGTAGTTCAGGGGAAAGAATGCCTTCATGGTCGCATAGAGGCACCAATCCATATTCAAATCATCATCTGCACAACACAAGGCATAGCTGCCCATTATTAATGAGGACAATGTAAGAAAATTCTCATACTACGCCTCAAAGTGCCAGCCAGTGGGAATATATTTTAACTAGCGGCTTAAACACAAAAGAACGTGGTGATAGAGTTAAGCCCAGGAAGAGTTACAACCATGTACTTCTCGGGCCGTTTCAAATCGCACATCGGGATATTGGCCGTTATACGACCAACTTGTATTTCGTTCTTCACATAAATATCATAATACATAATTGTTTTGTACATCTTCTAAACGATGTCATGATCGCAAGGTTTGCCTTCAACAACATTGACATCGTGGAAATGCAACGAAGCCTCATCTCTAACCCTCTTAATGAATCCCACGGTAGTATTGGCAGGTGTCTTGGGAAGAAGTTCCACGCCATCGATAGCAAGCTTGCTCAGGACATGCGCGGCAGCATGTGCGTTAATGTGAAGCGTCTCAGGAACAGGGTTGGTGATGTTATCACAGGCTTGATGGTAGCATGCGTCCTGCTCAAGACCAGTACCGGTGAAGAGACCTCCAACGGGCTTCTTGATAACCTCGCGGAAGGCAACGTAGTCGGTTCCACCTGTAAGACCGACAGGTGTGACTTCGATGTCCTTGGCCTTGAAGTACTCGCGGAAGAGATCTTCAATGACATCAGAGCCAGGAGGTCCGCCAGGACCAGCCTTTTCACCTGTACCGTCAAAGACACCAAAGAAACCGCGAGAGACCATGTCAAAGTTGAGGTAAGCCAGAAGGTTGTCAACGTCGTCCTTCTTCAGGTTGTTGACATAGTAGCGAGAGCCGACTAGACCGTTTTCTTCGGCTCCCCACCAACCGAAACGAACCTTGAGGTTGGTAGAGAAGTGTTGCAGAGCTTTGGCAGTCTCAAGAATGAGGGTTGTTCCAGAACCGTCATCATTGATACCGGGTCCAGCCTGGACGGAGTCAAGATGAGCACCAAGCATGACGACATTCTCGCCATCACCAGCCTTGGTCTCGGCAAAGACGTTCTGTGTGATTCGTGTCTCGATAGTCTGAATGATCTTTGCAAAAGCCTCGATCTTGTCGCCGGCCTCGAGTCTGGCCTTAAGAGCCTTGCCAGGCTCCTGATCAATGAGGGCTGTGGGGACGTAGTCCGGGCTAATAGCTGACAGAGTACCTGCAGTTAGCTTGGCCTCGTCAGAGTTGTAGATGACAACGACGGCGGCACCGGCAGCAGCGGCGGGCTTGACTTTGCCAGCAAAGGTGGTCTGATCAGGGCAAAGACCGCGCTCAACAAGAACAATCTTTCCCTTCACGTCCAGACCCTCATAGTTGGCCACATCACAAGCATCTTCGCCTTCGGGGGCGTGAACAAGCTCAGCAGTGACACCCTCCTCAGAAGTGCTGGGTGTGTAGGTCAATGCAACAGTTCTGAAGGTCTCGTCATCGACTGTGACCTCAGCGGCTAGAGTTTGAGTGAAGTTTGCAGGAAAATCCTGCTTCCACGTCTTGAAGCCCTTGAGCTTGGAGATCTCCTTGTAGATGAAGTCTACTGAGGCGGCATAACCAGGTAAACCAAATGCTCTGTTTCCTCCATGAGCATAGGCAATATCATTGAGCGTTTCCAAGTTCTTCATCAAACTGAAGATGTTAGTTTAGTGTTTCTGTTTGGGGATGTATCACGTACCCTTTCTCGGTGATGAGCTTTTGAAGCTTCTTGGCAGTGACTGGCGGCTTGGTAGCTTCAGTCAAAGGAGAAACTGCCAAAAGAGCAGCGGTTGTAAGTGACAACTTCATGATGACTTGGCCAAGTAAACAAAACTACGGAACCAGGACAAAAACCCAATGTATCGGTGGGCGTCGGCGAATTTAAATACCAATTGCCTTGATTGTCGTACATAAGTTCCTGCATCGTCTTGTTTCTCAGCGAATCCAAGCTTTGCTCACGCCATTCGCCCCGCAAGTTGAGATATCGCGGAGTTATCGTCGAGCTTTGGAAACTAGTCCGGTCGAAAAGTGAAGATCCGTCTCCAATTGGGAAGGTCGGTAATTGTCATTGCGCTTGAATGCAACGTGCCAAGTCGACACTAAGAATATGCTTATAATTGAGCTGCCGGATCTGTTCAACTTGGCTTTATCTGGACCCCGCTGATGGGATTTTCACTGCTTATCAAGACGTGATTTTTCTTGGTAGCCGCGTCATAGCTTGTCTTGGTTCCTTTGTAGAACTTTGACGAAGCCATTACCCAGATAATGCATGTATGACAAGGTTTAGCCGTTTTTCTGGGTTCTCTAGCCTTGCGAGATGATCAATGACTGGTGGACACGAGGGACCTTTGTTTCTCTTGGCTAGGTGGGGTTATGTTTTGTAGCCACTGTCGTACATCAAATACATGGGTACATTTTGAGGGCATTCTCGGCGTTTATTCCTCGTCCCATCCTCCCGGACTCTGAGTTGATGGATGTCCGACTTTGCTTGCGTGAAAGGTTGAGTGAATTGGTCATTTTAGGTCCGCTCTTGGACTATTTTTTTTTTCCTTATCCTAAGGCTCAATTTCTGCCGTTCCCATTTCTCAGTAGATACCACAGGCGCCAAAACTTGAATACACCCATCTAGTAATTGAGCTGTGCTACGATGGAAGGTTACTAGATGGGTAGACTTGAGATCTTTTTGGATCATGCACGGAGAAAGCACACGGAAAATGATGTGGTTAGAAACAAAGACTATGCCTAACCTCAAGTTGAAACGATGACACAAATATCGTACAGAAGCCTACTACCAATCTATGCCACCTGACTAACCAAGTGATCAAACTCTTCATCAGTATGCTCTCGTAGACTTCTAAAACTCTTATCTAAAAGAGTACCGCCATTCCTAAATCGCTGCACCGTCAACGTCTCCCCAGACAAACGCTTCGCCTCGAAAAGGTCTTCCACGTCCACAAGCTCTGGTACAACCGTGGTACGAAACTCGTATGGCACTCCGCTAGCCTTGATAAGTTCAATGCTGGACTCGAGAAGCTTTGGACTAATCTTTTTACCCGTGACGCGCTTATAGTTCTCCAAAGCACACTTGATGTCCATAGCAACAAAATCAACAAGCTTCTCTGCAAAGACCTGCTTGAGGACATCGGGCGATGTGCCGTTAGAATCAAGCTTGACGCTGATCCCCACGTTTTTTAGAATCCTCAAAAATGGTAATAGACCTTTGTGTATCGTTGGTTCACCACCTGAGATGACCAGGCACTTGTGCGACGTTGAGTTGATGTGTTTGAAGACATCAAGTAAGGTCACGTCGTCGCACTCGCCTTGCACAAGTGGACCATTGTGACACCAGGGGCATGCTAGATTGCAACGAGAGGTGAAAACGATGGACGCTTGTGTCTTGCCTGGGTAGTCACTTAAAGTGCTCTTGATATATCCGGCCACGGGCAGATCCTGAATTGCAGCGACCTGATCCTCAAGCTCAACAAATTTAGCGTTGCTGATTGAGAGAAGACCGGTTTCGTACTTGTACACTTTGCGTTGTACGAACTCCTTCGACTTGCCTCTGTTCCAATCACGTGTAGGACGAAAGTATCCCACGATGCGAGAGTATACGAGCGTCGATTCGCCACATGTTGTACACTCTGGTTGTTCGCCCACCCGGTACCCATGCACAGGGCAAATACTGAATGTCGGCGTGAGCGTGATGTAAGGAATCCGATAACGTTCAGTTAGTGTCTTGATCAAATCTCGGGCAAGTTTCCAGTTCGGTAGCTGTTCACCCAAGAAAGCATGGAAAACGGTTCCACCAGTATAAGAACATTGAAGCTCCTCTTGGTGACCCATAGCCTCAAAGAGATCTTCTGTGGTGTCAACTGGTAACATGGTGGAGTTTGTATAGTAAGTTGGAATGTTGCGGTCTGGGAACAGCTCTTTGTCCCGTTTGGCGAACTTGAAGCATGTACTTTCTGCTGGACTGGCCTCTAGATTGTATAGGTTGCCGGTCTCCCTCTGGAACTCCTGTAGCTGATCTTTGACGAATTCAAGAACTTCAAGAGCAAAGTCCTTTCTTTCGCCGATACCTTCTCCAAGAAGGTCGACCAAGGCTTCGTGCATACCGTTCACTCCAATTGTGCTGAAGTGATTAGTCCAGTAAGATCCTGAACGATGCTTTGTTGCTGATAAGTAATGCGCAGCATAAGGATACAAAGTGGTGTTGGCGTCAATGAGTTTTCTCTTGATCTCTAGAGAGTCCTTTGCGACTCTCAACGTGACAGCCAGCTCAGACATAAATGTCTCTTTCGAACCCTTCGATCGGTAAGCGAGGTTGGGCATATTGAGAGTCACAACTCCAATAGAGCCGGTCAACGGACTAGCACCATACTGGCCTCCAACTCTGCAGTGGAGTTTGCTAAGATCGAGTCTCAACCGACAACACATCGATCTGAAATCTTCAGGATCAAGATCACTGTTGATGAAGTTTGCAAAGTATGGAACGCCGTATTTTGCAGTCATCTCCCAGATGGATTGCCATCGAGGTGATTCCCAATCAATTCCATCAGAGATATTGTAAGTCGGAATTGGGAACGAGAAAATGTTTCCGTTTCCGTCACCCTGCATCATGACTTCGGCGAAAGCCTTGTTGAGTATATCCATCTCTTCTTGAAAGCCGCTGTATACCCACTCGGTTCGTAGTTCGCCGCCAATGATAACACATTGATCACCAAGTCGCTTTGGGGATATTAGATCGAACGACAAATTGGTGAAGGGAGCCTGGAAGCCACTTCTAGTTGGGACATTCAGTGAGTAAACAAAGCTTTGCACACACTTGAAGACTTCTGTGTAGGATAACTTGTCACTGCGAATAAAAGGCGCTAGGTACGTATCAAAACTCGACAAAGCCTGCGCACCCGCAAGCTCTCCTTGTAGAGTGAATAGGAAGTTGACGATCTGATTGAGAGCAGTGTTAAGGTGTTTAGCAGGTCGACATTGGATCTTGTTCTCGACACCGCCGAAGCCTTGAAGAAGGATATCCTCTATGCTCCAGCCAGAGCAGTACGCACTGAGAAACCCAAGATCGTGGATGTGAAAGCGGTTTTCGGAGTCAAATTTGCGGATCTCGGGAGTGTAGATCTTTTCGAGCCAATACTGGGAGATGATTTGGTTCGAGACATACTGCATTAGGCCTTGATGAGAGTAGGTTGAGTTGGCATTTTCGGCGGTCTTCCAGGTTCCTTTTGCAAGGTATTCATCGACGAGGGTGATGTTGGAGGACATGTTGATTGTTCAAAAAGTAATTATTGTGCCTCTGAAAGAATGAACGATCTTGATGGAAGGTATGAGGCAGACCTGCAGAGTTTGGACAGAACCTCGACATTTTATTGAACACATACATTGTGGGCCTCTCATCATGTTTTGGTCGCAGTCAGGGAAAGACACGGCCCGACTTCCTAATTGCTGGCCTGATGATGAGTCAACCTTGAAATCGCGAGACCATTGTGAATAAGTGCATGAAATGGTCCTAGAAAACACGATCTGGACGCGTCTACCTTGACATTTACTTGCTCGATGAGCTTCGTCCAGCCCGCGATTGGAACGCGTTGACTCGTGACTGTGCATGAAATGGGCCGACTTCAAAATGAGAATCAGCCAACCATGGTTCAATGTCCATGCCACGAACATGCCGTCGACTGTCAGGAGATCGACAAGGAACGCCGTGGCTTAATGAGGAAGAATCACGACATACTCTTATCGCATTATCGACTGACATTATCTTGGAGAAGCATCTTGCATTCTTGCCTCTTTCAATTAGCCTTTTAACCAGTCAGCCAGTGCAGTCAGTCCCAGCCAAAATAATTATTTCAATTTCACTATATTGTTTCTTTAGTGAATGTCCGAAAGACAAGTAACATTGCTTTTGTTACGTTGTAGCTTGAGCTATGATTCAAGTCTCGTCATATGACGTAACCGACATTTATAAATCTGGTTGTCCAGTCTGTAGATGAAGATCTGCAACCTTACTTTTTACAACATATCTTCTCAAAACAATTTGCCGACAATGTCAGCTCCAAAGCGAAGTGCTAGTCACGATGAGACTCGACCTATCGAGGAAAGCCACCCCGCAGAGGTTGTCAAACTGCCACCTCGGCGTCACAGTCAAACAATAGCCAACAAGTTACCAAAGAACGAAAGGAGCAAACTGCAAAAGCGCTCTATGACGGCATAATCAAGATGATTGATAGAAATATCCAGATAGTGGACAGAAAAGTGGTTGTGGAGCTTGGCGGTGACCCCAGCGATTACACAACTGAGGATTATGCGAAACTTGTGTGCCGGCACTCCAAAACGGCCAAGACTATCGCACCGGTCAACAACACTCTGGCCTCCAATCTTCTTCTCAGCATGGCCGATGCATCGCATGCTGATCTCTATACTTCGGTAGGGATTTGTGGTGAGAATGAAAGCGCCCGATATTTCCAGAGGCTTGACAACTGGCTTTTGCAATTGATCAAAGCCCGGGAGCTACCGCACAGTTAGACTGGCAGTTGCTTGAAGTACCAGTTCGTTGGTCACGTCGCCGCATTCGCTCACAAGATGCTGAGTCGGATGAAGATCCCGACGAGTGGTCTGAACCGGATTTGGATAATCAGTATTGGGAAAAGTGCAATTATGAGCACACTAGACGAGTCGCCAGGAGGAGACAAAGAGATATTGTTGATGACTGGGTTACTGTGGCTTTGAGTGATCTGAAGGAGGAGCGAGATTATCTTGACGAGTACAGCATGACGGGATTCTTTCCCAAGAGCATCGCCAAGTTGGAAATGATCTGTAGAGAAATAAGCACGGGTCTTTGGTTTCACTATCTATCGGGCATATCAAGATTTAATGGCAAATTAGACTGTGGGAGTCTTCAATCCATGGCAAACACATCAATTCTCTCTAGAATCGGTTCAATCTCGAATTAATCACTCTATATTTAGTTGACACAATATGATACGAAGGAATTGAAGATTTGTGTTGGGTAACTGGTATCCATGACCACGTGAAGGCACACGTGACAACCCGAAGCTCAACCTCCGACAACATTCTCTGATCAATGATCGTTGAAATCCTCATCCCTTCCTGTATACATGATATCTTGCTTTATAAAAGCTTTGATGTGTCTGTAGACAACGTAGAAGTATGTAATGACCAGCACAATACTCATACCTGTCCCCATCCACTTGACGTGCTCACTGCCCAATGCATTACCGATAGAAATCGTAGCGAGAATCCAACCAGTATTAGGGAAGACCATGGCGTAGAAACCAAGATGGAAATAGACAGGAGGAGACTGGATGACAGCCATGGTAGCAATCCCCCACCACCAAGCCGCAAGAGCCCAAAGGAAGATTCCTGCTATGAGAGCCATGGCGCGAATCATACCAGGATCGATCTTGATACCGTCCATGCCAGGTTCAATGTTTTCAGGCAGTCCATTGGCCATACCGATCAAGGCCAGAGCCGTGAACGACGGGGGGCCAACACACATGTATAGTCCCGGTCTATGCTCTCGATTGGGTAGGCCTGCGGACATAAGACGACCGATCATATGTGCATACATCAGGACGGCGACGGATAATCCAAGTCCCTGGCACGTGAGGCCCCCCACAATAATGGGAATGGCTGCGATCTCGGGCTGTGTGTCGGCAATGACCGAGGCAATTGTGCCAGACAACATAATCGGAAAAATACTTCTCAAGTTAGCAAACAGAACGTTCAAAGGGACAACTGAGAACCCACGGCAAGATCCAGGTCGGCATCATAGTCTGTAGACCAAAGTTATGCGCAGCAAAGACGTAGCTGTATTGGCCAACAGCAAGCAAAACAGTCAAGACAACATATCCCCAGTACGCCACTTGGATAGCCCACGCCAACGTCTCGTCGTTATCAGGTATGGCATATCGCTGGGTACTGGTGATGAGAGTTGCAATAGTTAGAAAGAATGTTGGAAAGAAGAATCCCTCTCGTTCATGGGTAATGGACTTTGCCATATCGCCCGGGTTGAAGAAGAAGCGAAGCATCATTGCAGAGCAAATAGCAACGACCAACAAGATATTTATGATATAAACTGCCAACCCTATCTCTCTCAGACCTGGGAATTGATGTGGTTGAGCAAAAATAAGCAAAGACAGCCCCCCCAAGGACATACTGGCCGTAAACCACGCGAATGTGAAGTGGTGTAGTCTATCCTTCAGAGCCATCTTGGGTCGGTTCGGGTCGAACATGTCGTGGTGGTGCTTTTTCTGCTCGTCTATCTCGTCTTCGTCGCTGTCGCGGAATGGGTCGTGTCCCTTTTCAACGGCCGGGGTGATGGACCTGCTGTAACTGTGTCGGCCATGGTCAACGCTGGCATGTCGAGTGTCCAGCTTGACGCTCAAACGACCAGGGAGAGCAGAGTTTCGTGATAGTGGCTTCCACTCCTCTGAGTTCTTTCGAGTTGACACGACTGAGTCGGTCCAAGCCGAGTTTTCTTCCGTTCTACCCATGACTAGAACGTCCAAAGGGAAATTAGGGGATAAGAAAAGAAGAAAAGACAAAAGAGAAAATGACAAGGAAAAGAAAAAAGAGGGGGAAAGAAAAGAATTGACAAAAAGTCGACTTTGACAATAGGATTCCAGCTCCAGACTTTTTGCATCGAACATAAACAAGACAGGACGGCAAGCATTTATATCTGATGAGAACAACCTGCTTAGAATAGAATCAACACGGCCCTTTCGGCAGTTGTTTTAGTTTGGTGGACCTTTTCGTTCATTGCTCCGGTTCTCACCCTGCAAAAACGAAACGTCAAAGTGGCACCCTTTTGGGGACCTTTTGCACGCTTGCTTTGCATTGCTTGGTGTTGAGGCTCTGTAAAGCGTGGCAAGAAACAAGGAGGCTACCATATTTAGATGAGACCCCTGTAAACAGAAAAGATAAACGGCTTGGCAACACCAACCGTCGCAGATGGATGCTCATTGCAACGCTGGAGATAAGATCTAAAAATTCGAAACAATATACCCAGAATGATTAGGCGCGATCGTGTCGCACCATGGCGGTTATCTTTGCCACTGTTCGTAATTGGGCGTCAAAACTCGACGGCAAAACAATGTATCTACCCGGAAAGATGTTCCCTGTTCCATGCGAGTGAGATTAGATCATCATAGTTGTCCTAGATTCGGAGAACAACACATAAATAGAACGAATATTTTTCGCGTTTTCGTCACTTTGCTTCATAGGTATGATGGCAAGTGGGTAGTAGAAACATTGATGGCCTCCTGAGTCTCAGGATAGAAAAATAAGTATCCTAAGAACTATGGTCTAAAGAGCATAAATGACCTACTAATTTTGTCTCTTATGCTTCCAACGGTTAAATTTCTTGATACCGTAAGGGAGGGGTAAATACGTAGGTGAATGTCAATTCTTGCACACGAAATGATTCAGACTTCTAAACACCTAACTATGACGTTCAGTACAGAGTCATGTCTTCGCCTCCTTCGCAGCCTCATTAAAGACACCAATAATATTGATCCCGAAAGATTCTCGTCAGTGGGGGCGCGGGTGAAATCCATGTTATGTCAAGGCGTCAAACAACTAGGGGCTCCATGTGCGATACCTCCAACATTTAAAGATACAAGCTTCAGAAGAAGCTTCGAGGGTTCTGTCACATCTGACCAATCGACATTCTGCATCTCGTCACTCTGGAGCCGCTTTGGGCCCTCTTATCTTAACCGCCCAGGACAAAAGTACTGCAAGTAGTTAGCTTGTGGCCATAGCTTCAATCGTGAAACAACATCTAAACCCCGGCCGCGGAAGAATTTAGCATGTCTGTTAAGTGTATGAATCTCTTATCTATTGTTTGGTATAGATCTATAGATATACTGCACCGTTACACCTATATATAGATGCCGTCATCTTCTGTTCGGGAGAAAGACTCGTGTCCACTTTACCCCAATATTGAAGCGTAAAGGCATTCCCTGCAGACTTGCATCAAATGAGAGATCTGGATGTACCGCCTTGGCATGCTGTTCTCCAGAATGGTCAATGTCTGTGGAATCTTTGAAGGGATCGTCATTGGGGAAATAACCGAAACGTGGCATTGTAATAACTCGGATAGTGTCTAAGCGGTGTCAAGTAAATTTTGATACAGCTGCACGGTGGTGCGGGCTTGTTCTCAACTTGCTGCCTGGAATAGAGCCTAGAGGATATCTGAGTCATTCACCTTGATATGCTTTGATGTGAAAGAAAAACTGATTGAACTCTGTCCTTGAGACTTTGTACGTTGAGTGTGACGTGAAAGTTACTCCTACACAGTGCCAGTGCCAAAGGACAATCTCCCCCCCAGTATTAGATCTCTGGATTCTATGATTGTCTCGGAACAGAACTCATTGTAGCACATGTGACACCGATGGGTGGGCTTAGCTATGCTTGGCTAAAGATATCAATACATCAGTGATGTGTCATACCCTATATGTGAAGAATTTACTCAGGCGTAGATCGGTCCAAGCGTGACTACAGTATTGGACCTTTGCAAGCAAAAATGACCTTCTTTGCCTTGCTTTGGCTACGGTAACCGATGGCTTAGCTCAGGGAGACATCATTATAAACATAGACAGTGGTGGACACCCAGACTATCAACAGTATAGCCTAGTATGAAACCAAGGACAGGCACGACTCCTACAATAGTGACGCATCAAGCTCTCTCATTCATCCTCCCTGGGACACCCCAACGGAAGTGTTTCACAATAGGACCTTTTGCTTCCACCAGGTCGGCTACAATCAGTCGCGTACTTACCTGGTAGGAATCGCAGTGTCGGTTGAAGTTACATAGCAAGGTCGCTAAAAACCGGGAGAGCAGTCTTTACTTTCCCGTCAATCCTCGTGTAGAATATGTTACCGACAGGTGTATATATCCCGCCGAAATCTGCTTGAGTATGACTCGGTACCCAGATTCTGATGAAGCTGTAGGAGGAAAGGAGGTGTAATGATGGATGGTTATTTTGATGATGTCTGCAACTTCATTGAAGACCTGGAGGCTGATGAATAGACGTGGTTGTCCTTGAGGCAAATGCCGCATTGCTGGTAGTTTTCACAATATACTGTCTACAAGCATGGTTCATTGAGGCCTGAATTGTAGAAGTCAACGGGACACTGATTGACCGAGAGAGCTCTTTGTTGTCATTTACTCAGTAGAAACCCGAACTGTGAAGTTTCATTGATAGAAGAATCACATATCGTATTGCTAGGTCTCAACACCCTGCATCTCATGTGTACAGGAACCGGAAGGTATGAAACAATAGCCGGGAAGATTTGGCAGTCAGCTGTAACAAAAGATTTTGACGCATTCACTGTCATTTAATCAAAAAACAAAAGAGATATGGGCGACCAAGGATTTGAACCTCGAATCTTCAACTTATTTTCACGGGGCCCTAACGACGCCCGTACAACAAGAGCTGATGTCATACCACTAGATCAGTTGCCCTGGTTTCTGAAGGTTTCTGAGAGACACTCGGTTTAAGCCATATCAAGCATGGGCGCCATTATAGGTAGACAAGAAACGCAAAAAGAGAGGAACGACCAGGGACTCAAACCTCACTGCTTTGTTGAGAAGACCTCTCCTAACCATGGCCTACGGGGAGTCCAGTTAAGAGTCTGCAACTGACTGGGGGATCGAACCCCTAATGTTACCTTTCGGTACGGTCCATGCGGACCACTAGACGAAGTCGCCCTCACATCTGATGTTTCTGAACGATACTGAACTTGAGGCATAGATGACGTAGAGGTGCAAGAGGAAAAAAGAGAATGGACGAACGGGGACTTGAACCCTGGATCTTCACACACGCCCTTGTTTTTATGTTATAAGATGATAGTGGACTTGAGAGATATGAAGTCCAGACAGAAAGTTGGGAGGTGAACGTTAAAGCATGGGGAAGAAATATTGTAGTTGCGGGTTTTCTCACTTTATATACAGAATCGTGTTCTCCACTTTCGTACCTGAACAAGCCGATTGGCTTATGTCTGGCCGTTACTTTTTTTACCTGTGATTTGAATAAAGCTTCACTGTTGGTGTTTTTCCTTTATCTTTTGACAGACAAAAACAATCATAACAACTACCGCGAACCTACCCCCGCTACGACCTCTCTTTATTTCTTCAGAGACTCTTATCATCTCTAACTTGACCTCCCCAACTCCACTCATTCTTTCATCTGCCTCTATCGCTGCCGGGATATTCTCTAACCTCTGCCCCCTCTTGGCCCTTCGACAAACAAAAGCAATCACAACAACCGGTTAATGCACTCCCACCTGCCGATGGACCAGATGTGAGTTGTAGAATTGATGGAGGGCCTGATTGGTGATGTTCCAGGTCATCGGCTTTTGGTCCTCAAGCATGGTACCAATCATCTTCATGGTTTCCCACTGTTCGAGATACGGGGCGGGGATCTGCGGATCAATAGCTTCAGTGCACTTAAGGGGGCATCATTCCTGCGAGGCGAGCCAAGTAGAAAGGAGCACATTCCATTGCGAGCTCATTAAGTTCTCCACCATGGGGCTCCAGATTCCGAAAATGAAGCTCCTGTCGTGATCACCTCTTTGGTGAGATCAGAGTACACACGGTGTAAGTGGGTGACAACATCTTTGTTCAGAGAGGCTTCGGCGTTCAGTGCTTGCCGGACATGATTCCAGTCCATCTCCAACTGGATATCATCCCAAGTTAGAACGAGCTCGTCAGGGTTACACCTCAGCTTCCCCGCTCCTCTTCTCTGGGCCAACTCCTAACGCCGAAAATTTCGTTGGGTAATGGCGTTTATGGCATTCTTACACATCAGGTCTTCCACGGGCTGTGTGAGTACATGGTTGAGCCATCCCGGATGGGCCTCGCCCAACACACCTTCAATCTGGGACTTACATCCCATCCTAGTGCCAGTCAAGGGTTTGAATACCGGGTCAGTGCTCTTAGCATTTCCGGTCTGGGTTACCAATGAACTCTTCATATCCGAGTTCCAAAATCCCGGAGAGTTAGTACCGGCTGGACGTAGAATCTCTTTCCGTTCACTTCCATGTTCTGGGCTAAGGACTCAGGCACAGCAATCAGCTGAGTTGCCGCAGACCGGTTATGGTATGATGGCAACCCCAGCCTATGTTCGAATATCATCAGGCAAGCACAAGCTTGCAAGCTATTTTGTGGGAGGTGCTATCTATCAAAACGATTAGCAATCAGGGAATAGCCGTCCCAGTTTTGGACTTACGTAGAATTGGGGTGCTCGCGGGTAGGGAAATTCCCCGTGGCCGGTGTCCCCGTCGACAGGTCCAAGGAAGATTTGATCAAATAGTTCATTGATGTCGGTGATTCGCTGAGTATTGGCAGAGGCTCGTGTTGACGCTGATGTGAGTTAGCAAGAATCATCTCCAGAGATTCAGCCGAGGTTAGGCCTTACAGATCAGGCCCGCAAATACGCTTTATCGCGCGGCTGCCTATTGCCAGCGCATAGCTAGGTGACAACGCTTTTTTGGCTCCTGTATCGTTTGTGAGCTTCGAGCTTGTGGTCGGTGGTGGTGATTTCGTCAAGTTTGGTAATTGCTCACAGGTCAGGGCGCATGCGCAACTTCCAAGATTCCAAGGTAGATGCTGCAAACAAAGGAACAAACGATCAACAGGAAACGCGCTGAAAATCCCTTTGTTTGGTTTTATTGATTTTCTTGCTAAAATGCTTTACTCCAGGGTCTGCCAACTGCTGGCAGTAGCACGGCAATGTAGACTCAGCAGCCTCCACCAGAAAAACGCTGGCCGCTGGAGGCATAAGCGACGAAATTACTTAGTGAGTTTATGCTACTTATGCTCTACCCTTAGTTCATTTATTTTACTAGCCTAAAGCTCGTTCTCGGGATTCCATCTGTAGGTCCCACCATGTTAATCATATCACACTTATCATCTCATATTGCAGCACAGCGAAAATAGGACCATTTCAATTTATCTACTTGACCTTATTGCCCCCGTTGGATAGGCCTTACAATCGACTGTCGCGACACGGCCGTTCTGAACCATCAGACTATGTACGCGCTTCAGCATGGTAGCCTTTGTGAATATCATCTCCCCAGTGGGCTCTTGAGTCAACTCAGCTTTGCTCTTGCCATTGTAGTCAACAGTGTCAATGTCGCTAAAGATTACAAGAGCACTCTTATGACGGCTCAGCATCACATTGAGGCGACGTTCGTCGGATGTGAAGCCAGCACCAACAACGCTATTTGTTCCGGTAACGATGACGACCATGTCACTCTCTTGACCTTGAACTGAATGAACGGTCGAGGGTGATCGCATGCCCTGGAGGACAACGTATTGAGCCTGCTTCAGCCGCTTAGAGATAATCTCGACCATAGCCCTTTCTGGAGAGATGATTAGAAGGTCAGCGGGGCTAATCTTCTTGGTCTGAACGAAGTCGACGCAGAATTCCAGAGCGATGCGGATCTGATCAAAGTTTCTCTTCGATCTGGTGACGGGATCCACGATGCACGTCGAGTTCTTACAACTGACGAATAAAGGCACCAGGTTCTCATCCTCGGGAGACGTGACATCGGGGAACCTGACACGAATATACTCCTCCAAGACGCGACCGGTACGATGGGCAGGAAGGCTGATATCGGATCCCGGGCTGTAGCTGGAATTGACGTCACTGTACACGGTGGCGCGACAGATGTCAAACTGACCTCTTGCCATGCGTAATTGAGTTCGGAGGCGATAAACAGGCCAACCGGATCCCATGACGAACTCGAGCGCTGAGATCCTACCATCCGGGCCGAACCTGTTGATTGAGTTACCGTCGGCGTCTAGCTCCTCACTCGTAATTACAACTGGGGCCAGTTGCTTGTCGTCTCCCGCAAGTAGACACGGTAGAAGGGTGTTACCCCATATTGAGCATAAGTCGCCACGGCTCATATTACCAGCCTCATCAATTGCAATGGCACGGGCGGAATTGACCTTCCAGTCTGATAAGTTTGGTTCAGATTCAGCCAAAGCAGGAATGGTGCAGAGAATGTCGGCCGACTTTATAAGTCGTCCCACCAGTGTTTCGAACTCTGCTTTGGTCAGGCGCGATGAGTTGACATACTCGTCCCAGGTTATCTTGCCTGCGACTCGTTTGCGGAGGGATGCCATATCGCTTCGTCTGTTTAGGTCGTGGCGCAAGTTGTGTAGGGCTTTGCTATCGTCATCATGCAACGCGGGAACAGCACATGAACCAAGGCACATGAGAAGCCAGTATGTCGCCGAGAACTGCAACTTCCACTTCAACTGCGCCCCCCAGAGAACAAAAGGGGCGGCGTTATTGCCAAGGTCGAGGTTCTTGAGCAGGTTGTTGAATGCAGCGTGCTCATTGTCGAGCCTGAAGCCACGGAGAACCAGAGGACGACGCCGTCGGCTGGCTCGCTCCCTGTCACTATTGTATCGGTCGGTGACACGATTGGACACTACAGAGATGCGATCACACAGATTGTTGACCGCAACGTTTGTCGGGCCGCTCGCTAGGACCTTGCCCAAGCTGGCATGCATTGCAAGAACCACGACGGCAGCGGCGGTGGTCTTGCCGAATCCAGGACCCTGTGAATTATTAGCTTGATATTTCACATGATTAAATGGGAAGTACATACAGCTGTGATGACAACTAAGCCAAGGGGACTGTGGCTCAAATGCCGGCGTAATCGATGGCGGTCTTGCTCAAGAGCTTCCATCATAAGCGAATCAACCCATTTTGCGTCGGGGCCGTCAAGGAAATTGACGGAAGGGAGAGTCTGAAGGCGCATGCTTCCGTTGTTGAGACCTAACTTCTTCATGCTGCTCTCAATATCAGTGGCAGAGGAGGCTGATCGAACCATGGTGTTGTAAAACCCCTCGCCACGCAGTAGATCCCTGTGAAGCATCATGGCCAATTCCTTGTCATTGCTTGGGCCGCCGAAATGTAAGTTCGATGGAGCAGCTTTGGGGAGAAACTGACAAACAGCCTCGACCTTGCGCTTGAACTCGTGAAGACCTAAATCCCAATGGAGTGAAATGCGGTTCCAGCGAGATTCGGTTGCTGCGTCAGCTTGGTTGCGTGTCTCGAACTCGCATAATACTGCCGTCGACATCGAAACGGGTAGCGCCTCGAGAACAAGATCGTTCTCTTGAAGATGGTGCTGGGTCAACGGGCCAAGAAAGTCTGGACGGTCTAGAACACGAGCATGCCAGTTCTCGGCCCTCTCAACATGCAGCCGTAGCTTCAAATCGGCAGACTTGGTGAAACGTGCCCACGCTTTGTTGTAACGACCCCAGAAGTCGCCACTAGTCCTCACAACGACGAAGTATCGTCTCCTAATATTGACTTTGGCGGGTATCCGGACGAAATACGCCGGCAGCCTTTCATCGGCCATCTCGTTGGAAGCCTTGATGAGCCACGCAACATCCTGAACGAGGCTTTGGGTGACAGCTGTTACGTGGGAAGTATCGGTCGGGTGACTAAAAGCAGCTTGAAACTGATGTCCGCGGATTTTGTCGAGCTGAGTCAGGGCCTTGGCCTCTGACCAGTGATGATTGGTGCCATAGCCGTAATCAAACGTGGGTGCCAGGCAGCTCACGTTCCATCGTGACCTTGTCGGTTTTTCGGGACTGCAAACGAGGAGGCTGAAGTGCTTTCGGTGTACCAAATCGAGGAGTTTCAAGTCGTCAACAGCGGGTGACATGTTTCGGAGCCAGCTTTCAGAGGGATGGCCCGGGTTGAAATATGGCATGCCGAATCCTTCAACAGTGATCACGCCTTGCCTCATGGTGACGTCGACCCATACCATTCGAGGTTTACCGCTGGGGCACATGGCAGTGTCCTCCTGGCTCGCCTCTCGATACGCAATCTCGATATCACGAGGAAACCTGAGTTTGAGTTTGCGGAAGTTGCAGGGTTCGGGCCTTCGTGTCATTGAATTTACTTCAATTGTTCGTTAGGTAGTGCACAGTCAGTAGCGGAAAAGACTCACTCGTATGAATTTTACCGAAGCCGCTATCCTCGGCCGAGGCGGTTAAGGGGAAATGCATAAGAAGCGCCAGGTGGGAGTCCATATCCACGGCCCTTAATGCAAGGACATGCGTGTCAACATCAGCGACAAATCCGAGGCTCTTGCCACCGAAGAAGGCGCCGTTGACCTTCATTACACATGGTTTGAGAAATGTCGGAGGAAGGTCATAGTTGGGAGCATGGGCCTTCTGAGCCTTGTCGGGCCTTTCACCTTGGGGCTTCATGGCGATGTCGGTGAAGAAGAAGAAAGAGAAAATAGAAGTTGAGAAGAGCGAGATAGCTTGCCCTACACGCACGAGGGTCCCATTTACGCGTTTGTGAAAAAAATGCTTTATGGGTTCGGAGTAACAAGCAGCTGCCTGCCAGCTGGCAAACAGTTGACACAATTTTGCATATCATAAGTATATTAAGCCCCTCTTGCGCAAACACAATGAGGGTGTTCGTTCGCACAGTTCATTCCACGTACAGCTATGTACCTCAAGCTCATGACTATCACATAATATCAGACAGCAGGCGACTGGTCTGGTGGTCCGTATGGACCGTACCGAAAGGTAACATTAGAGGTTCGATACCCCGATGGTCGCAGATCCTCAACTGGACCATTAGTGGTACAGATATCTGAAGGGTCTTGCCAACGTAGATCTGGGGTTCGATCCCCGGTCATCTACCTCTTTTTTGACCTTTTTACTCATTTCTTCGAAAGGGTAAATAAATACCGTGATGCTCAAGTTGCTCGAAGTCTCCACAAGCAACAGTCAAAGGGTTGGCAACTGCTCCCCCGCCTGCCTCGCCGAATAATTCAAGAAACCCCAGTGTGCTCCGGATAAATCCGACGATGGGTCTCATCACGGTCCCAGCGACAATGAGCTTCCCGATCAAGACAATCTTCCGTGCTTGGACGACGGTGATGATCAATTGGTTCCCGTCGACGATGATGCTGTCAAGACAATTGATCAGGGCCTTACTCGAATCTGACCACCACCAAGGAGACTCAAGCGGGTATTCGATCGGTCTTATGCATATGAGCAGAGGTTGAGAACATCTAGAAAATTACGTTTGATCTCTGTTCTACAACTAAGAACGTTTCAGGTAGCGATCTGGAATGATTCGAACAGACATGTGCCCAACTTGAGATGAACTTTATCTGACATCAGCCCAATTCAAACAAGGCTGGGTTAAGCACCGATGCAGCTATGCAGATCATGAAACGCTAGTATATGACCTTTAAAGCATAAAGTAAGTATCCTAAGATTTTAATCTAAATTATACAATTGGATTCCTAATCAATCAGGAAGGCCACCGAGTGGGCGTTTGATATAGAGTGCACAATCCTACTTACGAGGCTTGCTCCAAAAGAAATAATTTTTACTTGATACAAACATCTAAATGAAGAGTTTGAGCAAACAATAAAATTAACTTAAAAGAATAAAACACCAACAGAAGAGTTCTATTGAGATGACATGTAATGGATATTGAAAATACTGAAAACACTCAAATAGCAACGTGTGCGATGAACCTATCACCTCAAAAATACCATCCATATCCGCCACATTTCCGCGACGTGTTGTATCAGGTACTCCAGTCAGGGCCAGTGGAGATGGTACTAGAGTGGAGAACACGATTTTGTATATAAAGCGAGCAAGTCCCTGTTGCGAAAACACCATCTTTCTTTTCCATGGCTTAAACCCTTACCTACCCAGCTTGCTGCCTAGGCTTTATATGTCCTCATTATATCACTATCTTATAACAATGAAAAAAAAGGGGCGATTGATCTAGTGGTATGACATTCAGGTTCATATACAGCTTCCCTCGGGAGGTTGTTCTTTACTATATCCGTATAGTGAATATGAGCATTCGAAAAGAGCAGGGTTCGAGTCCTTGGTTGCCCATCCTTTTTTCTTTCTCTTTTACACTTCTATATCTCTACTACCTATGCCCTATATCTCTCAAGCTCAGCAGTCTTCAGCAACATAAAACAGGGCGGCTGGTCTAACGGTATGACATAACAAGCTCTTGTTGCACAGTCGTCGCAAGACAACTGTATAGGACGTTGTTCAAGGTTCGAGGTCCAAATCCTCGGTTGTCCATCTCTTTTTGCCCTTTGGCCAATATATTTCCATTCAAACTTTCTCAAAGACCTTCTTGCTTATTCTCCATCGTAAGAATGTTGTTAGAATAGTTGCAAAGGCGGAAAGTGAGCCAGCGTAGAACATTGCAGGTCGATAGGCTTGTAATCCTCCATCAGCACCGCCGTGACGTTCGAGCAGAAACCCTGCGATAGGGGACCCCTGCTCTAGTTAGCATGATCTTGTAATTTTAGTGTCTGGACTTACAAGAAGGTACCCTAATATCCAGCCAACGATCATCATTGCCATTGCTGTAGATACACGTGCCGATCCGAAGACATTACTGACAACTGTGGGCATAGAGGAAAAGAAGCCACCGTTCATGAGTCCGTTTAGTACGGCAAAGACAGCCAGGGGCGCAAGTGACGTCGAAGCGGGCCAAAGAGTCAGCATCGTAATCGAGTTGCCTAGAAAGAAGGCCCATAGTGTATTTATTGGACCGAGGATGTCGCAGAGGTAACCGCTGATTATGCGTCCAACCGCTGAAGCGAAACTGAAGCCAGCCAACAGACCGGCACCAGTACTTGTACTGAGACCCATGGAACTGGAATACAAAGGAAGAAAATAAGGTGGTACCAGGAGTGGGAAGATGCCGACTCCAGCAGCGAAGAATAGGATGGCAAAGTTGAGCTGACGGAACAAGGTCCAGTCCACAATCCCCGACCTAGCGAGAGGTGTTCTTTCCTTGATGAGATATGCAGCTGGAAGTCCTGTGACAGCAATCAGTAACCCCGTGATCCGGAAAGCCCACTCGACGCTGAACTTCTTGATCAGTGAGTCAGTCACAATACTCATGATAGCGCCACCAAAACCTCCCCCGGCATACACAATACCGTTCGCTATACCGCGTCGCTTCATGAAATACTGCGCTGGTACAACAGAGAATGACATGAAGCAACCGCTCATACCCAGTCCCAATAGCACACCAGGAAGAAAGATGAGGCCCACAAGATGGTCCGTTACGAAACTTGCAAGGATGAACGAGAGGCTCATAAGGACTATTCCAGCACAGCTGAGGGTTCTAGTTCCGAAGGATCGGATCATCCTTGACACTAGCATTCCAACCGTCGCCATCAGTGCTGGAGAAATGGATCCGCAGAACGATAAGGCGAGAGGCGAGCCGACGCCTCGCTCGACGAGAGCGCGTTGATATACACCCCAGACATACGACAGTCCAATTACATACCATGCTACCTAAGGGACGTTAGACAGAAACTTAATCAGCTGGGAAAAGGTTAGTTACCATCGCACAGGCGCCAACCACGACCCATCCGTAGCCTCCATCTGGGACTGTACTATCTGCGATGCGCGAAGCTTCGAGAGCTGGATCGTCAGAGTCATTTTGGTGACTTGATGTCGTTTCGGTAAGCGCTCCTCTTGGGCGAAGGTTGGAGGAAGAAGCTTCGTAGGATGTCCCGTTACCTAACGATTCGAGCTGGACGGCGGTTGTCGTTGACATTTTTAATTCGCCTCTTTGCTAAGGGGAGAGTTGCGATGCCCTGCGCCTTTATTTTGATTCAAGAGGAAGAAGTATAAAGTGGAGTTGTGCGGCGAAGAGTGTCTTTATCTCTGGATGTCAAGCCAAGGGCGTTACTAGGATGCATTCATCCCTGCCAAGATAGGACAAAGCTGACGCTTCCAGCTTGCAAATGTATTATATAACCTTCAATTAATTAAAAATAGTCTCTACTAATATCATTGAGTTTTTTTTTTAGTTTTCTTTTCAAAGATCGATATTGTATCTTGTTTGATTGAAATTCATGGATTCCATCAAGGTCACGAATCTGTAGATGTCATTTTCTGTAAGTCGCAATTGTCAAGACAAGGGCGGTGGCAAATCAAATCTCACCTCAATCACGGTTGTGATCTCATTCTTGCTTCGTCATACCTTCTCATTGCTATAATTATCCCGATATGTTGAGTCCTTCACCTTCACCTCTCTTTATCCCAATCAATCGCTCAGACCATCTCATCACAACCTCAATTCTCAGCTCATCGCATCAACACAATGACATCATCACAAGACCCTTCAATTCTCACTGAGACCTTTCACTACGAAACCTCAACTCATGTATACGATGTCAAATGGGGAACATTAGGCGATGAAGGCCTCCCTCCTCTAATCTTCATTCATGGAACGCCTTGGTCGTCACGCGTTTGGACTGACTTCGCGGTTGCATTGTCGCGCCGATTTTGCGTTCATCTTTTTGATAGACCTGGTTTCGGTGAATCGCCTCCAGAACTTTTAAAGCCGGGTCTGTTGCCCAGCATACACCCTGTTGAACAGTTCGACAGCAACCTTGCGCGACAAGCAGAGGTTTTTGCTGCGCTCTTTCAAGAATGGGAGGGCAGCTGGTCTTTTCCAACAGCTCATGGTAAGGATTGAAAATATTGGAGGTTAAACATAAGGTTAATAATTGACAGTCATCGCTCACGATAATGGAGGTTTGATCAGTCTTAGAGGATATCTCCTACATGGATTATCTTATGAAAGTCTCTGTCTGATCGATGTCGTGTCGATGGGACCATTTGGGCAGCCTCTTTTCAAGAGCATGGCCGAAAACCCTCACATCTTTGAACAACTCCCAGACACGGTATTCGAAGGAATTCTAGAGAGTTACATCAGAGACGCAGCATATTACAAACTACCAAGCGAAACAATGCAGATGCTTAAGGAGCCTTGGACACGGGAAGGCGGCAAACAAGGTTTCATTAGAGAGCTATGCCAAGCTAATTGGAGAAGCACGGGAGAAGTCGAAGGGCGATATGGCGAGGTTGGATCAAAATTACGCGTCAAGGTCATTTGGGGAGCTGACGACAAATGGCTTCCAGTCGAAGTGGCGTACAGATTGGGAAATGCATTGAAGGCTGAGGAAATTGTCGTTATTGACAAGGCTGGTCATCTGAGCATGATAGATCAGAGTGGACAGATGGGTATTGAGCTGGGTACATGGCTCAGCGATACTTCCCAAGAGCAACGCTCATAAAAAACCACATGAGATATACTTGTACATAATTCCATTGCTTTGTCTCATATGTCGAGTGACTTCTCACAAGCACAGGCGTTGGTGGATTTTTCGGACCTCACACTGAACTATAAAGTGGTCCTTCTTCAGCACCCCTACCCCACAGAGCCTTATGTATGACATTTTGAGTAGCATCCAGTAACAGAACATCGAATATCAGATCTGTCTTAGAAAACTAGTCTAAGTCTAGAGAAAACCATCAAGATGCGTGGCTTTTGTTGATTGCGAATCTTGATCCATACTACCCTACAACTCACGCCGTCAACAAAGCCGATCGATCCGAGTCGAGATCCGTGCTAGCCCTGTATGTTCTCCAATTTATTAGTTGAACCTGCAAGGGCGGAGTCACTGTGGAAGCCCCAACCGAGCTTTTCAGCGACACTATTGATTGAAAATCAGTGACCGATAAGCATTTTCATTCTCGCGTGGAATTGGAGAAGGACGTCGCATGTTACCGTACCAGTGAGCAGAAAATAGACTTGGTTTTGTTCGTATGATAGGCCATAATATCGCTAACCAAACCCTTATCTCGCACCTCGTAGTTTACCCAAAACAAACCTTGCCTGTCAAATTTTACGGGCTGACCAGAGGATTCAGTGCCTGACTAGCAACAGCCTCCACTCCAAAAACTTCAAGATCCGCCAGGGCAACGATAGTCAATGATGAAACTGGACGAACCGTAAACAAGTCCAGCTCAGATCATTCAGCTCTCCCAATTTTTACGGTCCCGTCTGGTGTCAACATCGAATCATATCTGTTCTTCCCCGTAAATAATCGATAATCACTCCATTCATGGAGCAAGGATGCCCCATTACGCGTCAGAGCTTGCGTATCCACAGGACAAGGATCCAGAGGACCCAGTAAAGCGACCATCTTCATTTCCTCCCCGTATAGCTGATAACTAACACCCGCCTAACGTCGACCAACAGTGATTAGCCAAGATCAGCTAAACCCAACCTGAACAAAGGTTCAGAAGGCGCAGCAGGAATAAGGAGAAAGAAATATCGCACGCTCAGGGCATTATTTATTTTTATATCCACTGGTCTAGCCCCATGTATTCGTCTGATCTTCTTTCCTTTCCCACTTGCCGAAAGTTTGCTCTTTCTGACCAGTGTCAAGTGGTAGGCTAACGTCGCATTCTTTTAACTCGTGTCAATACACACCGTCTTTCGTTACTCCTGTTGTCTACCACTTCATTCGTTTTTTAATATTTATAATAATCCTCTTTACTTTTCAACTATTCTAATAAATCCCATTTGCAACATCCGCAAACATGGTCTCTATGTGGTCCAGAATTATGCTGGCTGCCAGCCTTGCAGCTTCAGTTACTGCGCAGACGTATTCGAGCTGCAATCCCATGAAGCAGTGTTAGTAATACCCGAAAAATGGTCGTTGAGAAAGGCGGATGAACTGATATGGCTTACAGCGTGTGATGCCAACCCCGGTCTTGCTTCTTCATCTTACTCGGTAGACTTTACCAAGGGCAGCGACGACGACAACTGGGAAGGAACCGGTCACGGAGACGTCAAATATACCTCGGAAGGTGCTGAGTTTACGATCAACAAACAGGGCCAGTCACCTACTATCCAGACCAAGTGGTACATGTTCTTTGGTCGTGTTGAGATCCATATGAAAGCAGCCCCTGGGCAAGGCATTGTTTCGTCTATTGTCTTGCTGTCTGATATTCTTGACGAGGTGTAAGTTACATTCATCACAGACGGCGTGCAGTGAAGTGTAGTATACTGACGATATACGCAGTGACTGGGAGTTTCTGGGAGGCAGAGATGCCGAAACCCAGACCAATTTCTACGCAAAAGGAAGCACGGATAACACTCAGAGTCTTACATTCCCGGTCGAGAACACTCAGTCAGAGTTTCACAACTATACCGTTCATTGGACCCAAGAGTCATGTGCGTGGTATATCAACGGTGTTTCTGTCCGAACCCTCAACTTTGCCGAGGCTCGAGGAGGGGAGAACTATCCTCAAACACCCATGCGTGTAAAGCTTGGAATCTGGGCGGGAGGAGACGTTGATGATAACGCAGAAGGAAGTGAGTACATACATGATGAAGCCATGGGAACCAAAGCTGACGATCTTCAAGCGGTTGAATGGGCTGGCGGCGAGACAGACTTTTCCAAGATTCCTTTTACCATGACTGTGCAGAAGGTCAAGGTTGAGAACCTGAACCCTGCTGAGAGTTACTCCTACGGTGACCGATCTGGATCTTACAAGAGTATCGACTTTGACAAGAAGGACAACGGCAGCAATGACAAGGACGATGACGAGGATGAAGACGAGACCGAGTCAACAACTGCTTCTGAAACTGCCTCCAAGACAACTTCCGAGACTGCTGAATCTGCTACCGAAACTACCTCCGACTCCGACTCCGACGCTACAACTATGTCTACCGCCAAAGCAAGTGAGACTGGAAGCAGCGACTTCAAGAACAACAAGGCTGCCGAGACAGGCAGTTCCGAAACCGATGCCACTTCAACAGGAAGCAGTGCTTCTGCGACTGCTGAGAGTGATGAGAACGGTGCTTCTGGAAACATGCCCAAGATGTGGCTGAGTCTTGGTGCTCTTTGCGCTGCCATGCTTACGATGTAAATCTTCACTACGGTATAGAAAGAACGTCTCTCTTCTAGATTCAGTTTTGGTTGCTTATAGATTGGTTGCCTTTGTTTATAGATCGTTTGAATAGACATCATTGACTGGGGTTCGGGCACGTGGTTCACAATGGTTCAAACGTGGCGTATCGCGTGGCTCATCACGTGGTTGGACGAACCAGGCAATCGCTCTGGAGAACCACGCATAGTTCTGAAAGCATAATAGACGAAATCAGTGAGCTGATTTATGCTTTTTAGGATAGTAGCTTGGTCTGTTTATTCATAAACCCTAAACTTGGAGGTCGAATGATGTGTTATTCTCTTATGGCCTTTGTTCCCTCCTTTCCTCCCAATTTCTTTCTTGACTAATTCAGTCAATACCAAGTTTCCTGTCCAGACAATATTTATGTGATTGTGTCTTGTTAGGCCGAACGTTGAAGTTGTGAAAAAAAAGACAGCAATGCCTTAGCAATCTGTGGTGGACTCGACCGCGCCTGTCAACTCTTTCGCCTTCCTGAAAGGATCACGCTAGTATTCGCTCCATCCTCATGCCCTGAAAATGACAGTCACAATCGCCAATTCATCACCATAAATTAACCTTCTGGGAATCAAACATCATAACGCGTATCCCTCCCACATACATATTAGTCCACATTTACTTCCTCATTTTACAATGCTCTTCTTCTTCCTACACTCTGGACAACTGGATTCATCCGCGTACTTAGTCTTCGTCGGGCGATGAACTCCAGAACAAACCCCATTCGCTTTATATTCCTCGCATTGTTGAGTCACATCATGTGTTGTATTGATGACGTACCAGCACAACGAACACTTTGTCATGATACGAATGGTAGTGCACATCTTGAATTGGTGACAAAGCCTTGTGTGAGGTTTGCATTTTCGGGGCCTGATGTCTACCAGAAGCTGACGTCCCAAGAGAACTAAGGAGACATTATATAGTACCCGATCCTTTGTGGATGTGTGATGAAGGCCCTTGGATGAGTTATAGCCTCGTAACACAGGACACCTTGCTCACAAGCTGGTGATCGTTGTGACAGGTTGTTCAAGGACGGACGTTCACCCGTTCCCCATCTGGATACTATTTCCGAAGTTGTACAGTTTTCACCTATGGCAGAGGCAGTAAAATCATTGCCTAATGATACAAGGTACAGGGGAAGCATTGGCGAATCTGGAATGCCCGTATCTTACTCGGATGAGAATATGAAAGCGTGAGTATTCGTCAGTACATTTTGAGCCGAATACCAGGTATCAAAACAAAAGAATTAATAATATTTTGTTCATAGCAAGTCACGTAAACAAAGGAATCACAGTAGATAGATATGGGTCTAATGTGTAGAACTATAGCACATTAAAAATAGTTTGTCGATCTACCATTTTATCCTATGCCAATTTAATTACTTGCTATTTTCCTTCGCTTTCCTCTTCCTCTCCTCCTCTCTCTTCACGCACTCGCCGTAATCATCTGCATCGGCGTCTTTGGTGCTTTCGTCTTTGGTGCTTTCGTCTTTGGTTGTCTTTTCGCATCTACGGCCTTGCTTGTGAAGTTTGCATCGGAATATACACGGATAGTCCTCGTCTAAGATGTTCATGCATTGGCCGCATTTTGTAAACTGGTGAGTGGAGGTACACATTTTGAGTTGTCAATCTTGGATATTCACGGGGTTCTGTAGCTGAGTTGACTGTTATTGAGCTTGTCTGGGAGGTATGCACTGTTCGTTGGCAGTTGATATACTCAATGGTTGCTTATTGCGATGTGTTGAATCAAGGTTGCGTTGTACTAATCACGTAATATGACTGAACGTTTATTCAGCGAAAAATGTAAAACTTTCAGATTCATAACATTCATCAATACTGAATTAGGAAGGGCTTTGCTGTGATGAGATGTGCGACGCCAAGTGAAGGATAGCCGACATGAGTAGAGACGTCCGCCCATTGCTTGCGCATCACCGGCAGCCCTTTCAGCGAATCCACTGCTGGATTTGATTTGATAGGACTGTCTAAAGCACTTTGTATACATCTATAAATCTCAAAGTTGAGGTTTTCCTCACTATATATGTGGTAGTGTTGTTGAATTCCGTCGTTGTTGTTGATTGAGATTGCTCCTCAGTCAGTGTTGATGCCTGGTCCGCATTAAGGCAAGCATTATACTATATCTTTTCTACAATGTTGGCTCACCTGCCTTTTTCGCATTAATTTGGTGTAGGAATGATTGCATCATAATCACCAGGGTCTGCCCCAAGAACACTACCCCGCCTCTAATCTCAACCTTCAGTCAACCTGGCCTTTAATCGTCAAGCATCAAAACAAAATATTCCTTCCGGTCAAGAGATTTAGGTCGGACAGAAAGTAATCATCTTTGCTTGAAAATTCCAAGATGACGCAGTCCAAACACGATATCGGGGCTTTGAGAGCTCAGTTTCCTGCTTTACAGCAAAAGCAAGTCTTTTTGGACAACGCTGGGGGTAGCCAAATCCTAGGCGCTGCTGCCGACTCGTATGCCAAGCACTTGGGGACAATGTTTGTATTTTACTGACCCTACTCTAGGATACGGGATTATTTGATCACTTCAAATGTGCAAATGGGCGGCTCCTATGACGCGAGTCAGACAGCAGCCAAGAAAGTTAACAAGGGTTATGAAGCAGGTTCACGCTATATCAATGCTCTACCGGATGAGATCGGTACACTATAAATGAAGCCTATGTTGAATATAAAACTGACATATAATACAGTTTATGGCGCCTCTTCCACTCAACTTCTGCGTAACCTAGCGCTCGGGCTCACATTCGCAGAAGGCGACGAAATTATCGTATCGGCCCTCGACCACGAAGCCAACATCGCGCCATGGCTTGATCTCGCAGAACGACAGGGGCTAGGTATAAGATTTTGGAATCCAGAAGGGCATGATAACAACCCAAAACTTACAGTTGAGAGTCTCAAGCCATTGCTGTCCAACAGGACAAAGTTTCTGGCTTTTACTCACACTACAAATCTTCTTGGCTCCATCCATGACGTAAAAGCCATCACGACGGCTGCTCATGAGTATCCTAACGTCCTTGTCTGCGTGGATGGTGTTGCTTATGCCCCCCATCGTTCAGTCGACGTGAAAGATCTTGGAGTCGACTTTTACTGTCTCTCATGGTATAAAGTCTTTGGTCCTCATATTTCCATGCTATACGCCAGTCGAGAGGCTCAGAAGGAGATTCGGCCTTTATGCCATTACTTCAATCCCTCGGAAACTCTGTCCGACAAAGCATCGTTTGCTGCTGGAAGCTATGAGCTGATAGCGAGCATTCCTACCGTTGTAGATCACATATCCGAACATGGCTGGGAAGGCAGCGTCAAGCAAGAGACACAGATCCAAACCATGCTACTCGATTATTTGTCGAAGCGAGAGGATATCACTATCTATGGAGAACCCCGTGCTGATGCGGAAAGCCGGGTACCTATTGTTAGCTTCACTGTTGAAGGGTGGAACTCGCGAAGTGTTGTGGCGGCGATTGAAGCCAACTCCAATATTGGCTTGAAGCACGGCCACTTCTATTCCCATCGGTTAATCACAGAAGTCCTAGATTTGGATGCCGCGGATGGTGTTGTGCGAGTGAGCATGGCGCACTACAATACTCGTACGTTTCTGAACTCATGACAAGTCACTACGCTAACCGTGTCTAGGCGAAGAGATTGAGACGGTGATCTCGACGTTGGAGGATGTGATTGTGAAGAAATCTCAAGTAGGCAAAAACGGAAAATGAGAATAGACTACTATCAGGAACGAGCATGCGCAACAGCTGAGATGAGAATGCCCTCGCACACGAACTAGATATCGGGAGATCTTGAACATACTCAAGTAACAGAGCGATCATGGAAGAAAACGCTCTATCTAAAGTTGCTTATTAACAAACTCAAATAACATCTTGGCCTTCTCTGAAATATCATATCTATCCATAACAAGGTCGACCAGCGTCAAGCCTTTCCCGGTGGAGAATCCCTCAGAGTTAATAACACTGTCCAGCTCTTTCCAGGTCCGTACTCGGCACGACTGGATTGGATATCCATCAGGTGCCGGACCAAAAAGACTAGGCCCAATACTATAGTTCCACGGCGCGACATCGTTGTACTCCTCATCCATACCATGGATGTATCTCTCGTATGTGTACCCACTGTTATTAACAATGAAGACAATCATATTGACGCGCTTGTGTATAATGGTGCTTAACTCTTGCGCCGTCATCTGGAAGCTTCCGTCACCGTCCAGAAGAATCGTGCGTCCAGATGAACCCTGATCGGCTTTGGCTTGAGAAACTCCCAACGCTGCTGGCAGCATATGTCCGATCGAGAACCACATTCCTGATGCAATGAGGTGAGAAGAGGGTGGAAGAACAAAGTCTCGTCCACCTATAATTGGTGTTGCGTTTCCCAACAACACCGTGTCGTTATCCTTGAGATGCTTGTTGAGATGGAAGTAGAAGTCGTCCTGGTTTATAGAAGCTTCCGGCTCGAGTGTCTGCGCAGGCAAATGGCGGAAGTTACCCCATAAAGATGTGTCTTGCTTTGCGAGGTTCTGTTTCTTGACATTTGCGGTCATCGTTCTCAAGACCTCTCCAGCATCCGTCTGTTCATCCTCAATATGATTTCTTCCAATCATAAATATGTTATCTCGGTCAGGGACGACACCCCAGCCGAGCGTTTGGGTATCTGAGAACTGACAGCCAAAAGCCAAAACCAAATCTGCTGACTTCACGGCAGGCGTCAAGTCAACATGACCTATTGAACCAGAATACACACCAAAATAGTTGGATAGCGAGTTATTAATCATGCTGGCACCTGATGGTAGTGACAGTGTTGGAATACCCGACTTTTCTACAAAGTCGTTGATATCAGGCCGGATAGTTTCGATTCCATCACCCCGATCGACCAAAATTAATGGTCTCTGAGCCGCGTAAATCTTTTGCAAAAGAGCATCAGCCCTTGTTTTTGTCTCCATGTATCCAGGTCCATCGCTTGTGGTTCGTCTCTCGTCGATCGGGTTGCCAAGTGTGGCTGAAGAGACCGCAGTTTCTATCGCGTCGGATGGTAGCTCGATATAGACCGGACGACTATGATGCAGAGCCTTCGCGAGGACCTCATCAACCTTGCTAGGTACATCCTCAGCATTGACTCCCGCAAGATCAAGCTGTGCGACTGTAAACTTCTCCGCAATGTCTCGGAACACACCAATTCGTGAATCAGCCAGGGTGTGATGAATATGCAAGTGCGGCTTCCTTCCACCAACGCTTGCAGTCGAAACCTGTCTTGCTTTCTGAGAAGGTGTCCCGACGATATGAACGACCGGTAGATGCTCGGCGTAACTTCCAGCGACAGCATTGGATGCACTCAGCTCCCCGACACCGTACGTAGTGATCAATGCACCAAGCCCAGAGTTCAGACGATGACGTTGGGCTCGGGCGTAGCCATCTGCGGCATAGCCAGCATTCAGCTCATTACAGCATCCGACGAACTGGAGCCCGGAGCGGGGAACATGATCGAGAGCTTTGAGCGTAAAGTCTCCAGGTACTCCGTAGATGCGCCGAGTGCCTGTTTGTCTGAGACGAGTAAACAGGTATGACGCCAAGGGAATTTTTTTGCTGATCATATTGGGACAGTATAATACTGGTCTCGAAGCTATGTGACTACAAGCTATTTGCCTCGGCACAGCGAGTCGTGTTAGGAAGTCGGTGAGTAACGGAATTTCGATTGATCGACAATTTGTCACTTCGGTCAGCCTTAAAATCTTACATATTATTGGTCATCTCTCCGAATCATACTCACAAATCACCCCGTCAAACTCAAAGCCACACATTATCAGCTTACCCTTACTTCAACCAAGCCTCCCATTATCGGACTTGTTATACCTGCAACAAGGTTCACCGCAAAGGCACTTCTTGTCTAAGCCCCGCCAATAACTCTCTGTATAATCCACTGTAATCTCCATCCCTGCTTCGATGCCTTTGCTCACGAGCAGGACATGCTGAGTACCGAGCCAGACAAACTTCTCAAACTGCGCATTCGGTTTGCAACTATGGTTTGCAAACCGGGTAAAGTTACCCTGCCTTCCCTGCCAGATCTGATATCTTCTTCCGCCGACTTTACTATCGAGAACATCTTGTTCTTCGATATCTTTCGTGATCAAGCCAACAAACTCCCCAATTGCAGTGCCTCTTTCAAACGCTACCAAGGCTTGAAGGCCATTGTTGCGACCGTTGGATGTGCGAAAGACTTGCACTGCAATTGGTAACCTCGACGTGCCAAAGCAATTGGGAAAACATTTGCAGGCGTTGGTTGAGCCTTCATTGGATTGTACTTCGCTGCACAAGCCGCATATGTTGAAACCAGAAACACACACAGCGCTTGACGGAGTCCAGCGAGGGTCATCTGCCCCCCACGACACAGTATCGATGACTGACTCATCAAGATGTTCGAATGCAAAGTTTGGATCATATTCCAGGTACGTTGATCGAAGAGAGACCGGTTCTGAGCCATCTTGATGGACTACCCAGTCGTGAGGATGTCCGACGAAACGTGTTTGCGTTGACTCGCCTACAATAGCCAACAGCTGCCTCCAGTTCTTATGCAGGGTATCAGCAGCGACTTCCATCCGTATTCTCAAAGCCCGCGCCCGGGAAAACTTCTCTTTGTCAAAGTCGACGCGATACTTACACAGCCGATAGAGTCCCATCCCAGAAAAGACCAGAGCCACCCAGCCAAGTACATCCTTGATCTCTTTATATCCTCGCCAAATAGCCATCTTGTTTCGAAGTTCCTTCTCCGTCCAACCAAAGTCGGTGCATGCCTCGGCTATAGCTCTCATACGGCTTTTTGTCGCTGAAAGGTTTGGATTCGTGCTGGCAAGGTACTTGACGTAAGAGTCAAACAGCTCAACCCATCGCGCTTGAACAATGACTTCGATAGAGCGACATGTGCGGCTGGCTTGGGTGACTCTTCGGCAGAAGATATTGCTTTGGTTGAACGACTCCCAAGTTTGATCCGGTCGCATGCTCGAAGCTGTCGGCACGATGTCCACAGAAGGACCATTCCCCAACGAACGAGAAGTAAGTTGAACTTGTTCCGTAAGAACATGCGGTTCGAGAATCAGCCCGGAGTGCATCTGCTCCCAAACGCCCACGACGAATTTCCCCAGAGAAGACTCTCGTGGATGAAACACGCCATCGTGCTTAACCTTGACTCTTTTTGGAAAGTTTTCTTGGCCGACCTGCATCTGTCTCGGGCTTTCGTTCTCAACGCCACCTTCCACCGGAACATTCCCGTTCACCGCAGCCAACCTCAAACCGCCTTGTCTCTTATGTGTCTGATAACTCTGGGTACGTCTTTGAACTTCAATCTGCCTCCGATTGGTTGGTATACGGTGCTCCGGAGATGCTTCTCTCGAGGCAAAGCTAGGACCAGCAGGTTCGATGCTGCACGTGGCAGTGTCAATGCGGAGAGGGATTTTATGCTGTAACAAGATTCGTCAATATAAGTTTCTCTCCCGTGCTGACTTTCATGTCATGAATTTGTGTCGTAATCAATTGACTTACTGAGAGGAGAAGGTGTCCTGATTGCATAATAGGTTGTTCATTGGCTTCGAAAGTATCCGATCTGTCACCATCAGCACTATTCCCCTCTTGGATAACGATTTGTAAATTCAACGTCGGATTGTCGAGTTTGTCTTGAGAAAAGGCTGAAAGCGCAGCGGCTAAATTGGAATAGAAGTTTGTGGCTTCCAAGGTCCGTCTGATGTCCATTTTCAACTTTGGAAGCCAGCACATTCGCTTAGAAAACAGTCTATTGGACAAAAAAGGAAGTAGAAGAACGTGATGGCTTGCAATTTTCTGCTCGGGCAGAGGCTCTGGCTTCTAAATACATTCTAGCGTCGTGTCTCAAATGCTGTAACTTTGCCTCTTTCGGTATCCCCATCGCCATTGTTTCGTGGTGTTGATTGGTGGACTTTAGCTCAAGTCCGAAGTGGTTCTCTTAGCTTAATGCTACCAATGGTACTGGGACTCGAAACATGGGATTTATTGCCGTTCCAGGGTCTTGACGCCTCTTTACGCCTCTACACGCCTAAGAAACGGCATGATCATAGGGCTACCTCGATAGTGACGGCATGAAGCATATCAACACCGTTTTTCTTTTCTTTCCCATCTATTGCATTCTATGTTTGAAGATTTATGGCTCATAATGTCGAAACTTGATGGTGCAGAGGAGGTACGATATGAGCTGCAAGGGTTGATTATCCGGGTATTTTTAGATGTACCATCGTTTGCTGAGAGACGATTCATGACATCGCCTAGATAAGATCTATGACCCAGAGCACTGGATCAAAAAGGTTCTCGGTTCCGAGGTACAGCCATAAGAGAAGTGATTCCAGATTAATTGTCTTGACCTCGGGTACATGTTTCCGTTAGCCATAAAGTATCGCATCATGAGGAACTTTATACCTTGATGCTATTGGTCAGAAAGGGTCTCTTTCTATTCGTAATAGTGAGTGGAGACCACCATCTGACAGACGTGACATGACCCCAGTCATGCTACAAGCCTACAACCACAAACTATCCTACGCCCAATGTAATTCTTCTTCTTCTTAAATTTATTCCTCATTGTTGTCATACTGTCAAACACACATCACATCTATTAAGTTTGTTCAATATGGATTTCTTACCTTTTCATGCCGAGGATAGAAAACCTGGTGTCGACTACGTTAGATGCCAAAAAGAATTCGAGATCCAGATGCTGTTACTACAAGAGGACATCAAGAATCGCTTTGGGTGGACCCAACAGCGGGGAGATGGATATGGGATTTGCAACATGCCATGGACTTCTAATCAGAATGGTAGGCTATTCTTACCAATATCTATGTTACTTTGCTAATCATGGTGCAAACAGATTTCCCATCAAGTCCACGACAAGAGCGGAGCAGAAAAGCATCGCCAATCCCTCATATCAAATCTTGATAGCAGGGTGCTAGAGTTACATCTGCTGCGTGGCAATGGACACTTACACCAAATTTATCCTATGCTTCTATAGACGTCACATACAAGGGAATGGTACTAGACACGACAGCGATTGAACAAGTCTTGGAGGGACGGGTGACTTAATGACTGACGAATTTCTATATATCAATTTTATGAAATTATTTTGCATGTCATGTTTTTCAAGGAAATATCCCTTTCATGCAAATTTCTGCCTGAAAGGCGATCCAATAATGCTGTCATGGACCCACTGCTATGAATCGACGCCCCCAGGCACTACATGCTATAGACTAACCCCTTGTGCTAAGTATTAAAAGAATCCGAATGCTCGGGTCCAAGATAAGCATAAATAAGACTCTGTCTACCACTAGAAACGACATCCGTTTTGCTGAAACCTTGCTATACTTTGTTCCGTGGCACGGAGGTTTTATCCTTTTAATACTCATTCTACCTTCCTTTCTCTCATCTTACAAATATGGCCAACGACATTCAACCTACCGATATAGAGCCTGGTGGCTCCTCGGGTGGCATCACTCTGACACGAGAAAAGACAAACTTGTCCTACAGCTACGACAACAGAAAAGGATGGAGACGATGGAGAGTCTTTCACCCTGGTAGAGGAATGTATCACGACATCAAGAGGCGACTACCGTATTATTGGAGCGACATCACCGATGCTTTAACTTATCGTGTGGTTGCCAGTACTATTCGCATGTACTTTGTCAAGTATGCATCTCCATTGTCTGTTATTCAGTGTTGAAACAACACTAATACTTTCCAGTCTTCTTCCAGCTATAGCCTACACACTTGACATGTACCGTCGAACAGGACAATTCTTTGGTATAAACGAGGCTCTCTTCTCCTCGGCGCTAGCAGCGGTTGTCTTTAGTCTTCTCAGCACACAGCCTCTTACTATTGTTGGCGTTACGGGTCTTATCTCTTTGTTCAACTTTACCATATACGATATCATCAGCATTTATGATGTCTCGATCTATCCCCAGTTCATGGCATGGACTGGTATATGGGCAGCCATCTTTCACTGGCTTGTGGCTATCTTTAACACATGTGATTATATGCGTTATGTCACCGACTTTTCGAGTGAGGCCTTCGGGATGTATGTTGGAATTATCTATATTAGTACGTTAAAACTACTGTATGTCGATAAGAGAGGCACTGATGATGTTTTAGTCAAAGGCGTGGAAGAACTGGTAAACGAGTTTGACCAACAAGGATCTGCGGCTGGTTATCTTGCCTCCATCATCGCCATTCTTTACTTTGGTACAGTCTATTGTCTGGAGAGGCTGGGCTCCAGTACTGTTTGGAAACCAGGCGTTCGAGCCATTCTTGCTGATTATGCTTATGTGGTTAGTTTTCATTTTGATAAACATGACACCATACTGACTGAGTCCAAAGTTTGGAACCCTCTTTTGGGTCGGCTTCTCTCACTTCCCCGGTAGACTCGAGGCGACACACATAGAGCGCGTACCTGTTACCAAGGCTTTCTACCCGACACAGTCTAGAGACTGGCTTATCGACTTTTGGAACTTGGATGCTAAATGGGTGTTTGTCGCGCTACCATTTGGGTTCTTAACTATGCTTCTGTTCTATTATGACCACGTACGTCTGTCATCTTCGCTTGTGCTCGTTCACCAGCTAAGAGACCTTACAACTGACGCTTTTATCTATAGAACGTTAGTAGTATAACCGCACAGGCTCGTCAGTATCCGCTCAAGAAACCTGGTGGCTTTCACTGGGACTTCTTCCTTCTCGGTTGCACAACATTTGTTTCGGGGATTCTTGGACTTCCAATGCCTAATGGCTTAGTACCGCAAGTATGTACAAGTCGACGCATTCCATCTTGTTCTTGTCTGACTGATATGTTATCAGGCACCTGTTCACACAGACTCCCTCACTGTGTATGAAACAGACCTCAAGATCATTCCAACATCCGAAAGTGAAGATACTGAGATTCGCCGTCCTGTCGTACGAGCTGCAGCTGTAGTCGAGCAGCGTGTTTCACACTTCCTTATGGGGCTTGGATTGATAGGTACAATGACTGGCCCCCTTCTTGTGGTACTTCATACAATGCCAGCTGCTGTCTTTGCAGGTGTGTTCTTTGTCGTGGGTGTAAGTTTAGTTCCTGTTCAAAGCGCTTCGTTATTGCGACTGCTCCATCTCTAAAACGCTACTAACATCAATTCAGTGGGGTTCGATTGAATCGAATGGTATCCTTCAAAAGTTCATCTATCTTCAGTCCGAAGATCGTTTTATCCAGCGCGACGAGCCACTTCTTCGCGTCAGAAGACGCAAGATAATTCTTTTCATCAGCATTCAGCTGATTGGCGTCTTCGCTTGTGTCGCTGTCTCGCATACTCTCGCAGCTATTGGCTTTCCTGTCTTGATAATCTTACTAATTCCTTTACGTATTATAATTGTACCTCGCTGGTTCAGTCTTCAGGAACTTCAGATCCTCGATGATTTTACTGCGACTAACAAGGCTGTTCTTGCCAGCTTGGGTGGCCAACCTGCCCTTCCGGAGCACTCAAAGGAGGAGGAGGAGTGGGGAGTTGAAGGGAGACATAGTGAGAATCAGCATGGTGTTGCTCGCCAACGTGCCGGAAGCGTTCACCGATAGGAACTTGTTGGCTGTCGGGAAAGATAAGGGTTAACCTCTGGGTTTAGGATTGGAGATTAGGTGGCTGGGAAATGACACTGAGAAGTGGAGAACCAACAAAAAGGAGTCGGATGCTTTGTTGCGACCTATAGGGTAATGTGTATCTTATTGTTATGCAACGCACGTTTACTATGAAAACAACAGTTTAACTGAGAGTTTTAAATGTGGTGAACGGAATGAATAAATCCTGGAATGCATCTTTACTGAAGTTCTCTGGCTAGCGTCGGAGAAGTCGTGACTGTCATGTCAAGTACATGAGTTGGATTTTACTTCTGTACTTGACCAGGAAAAATACAAGAAATGATAGACTGTGACATTAGTTCCACCATTGATTCTCTTACACTGCTAAAGTTTTCAGTAAAAAGAAGATATATTATTTACCAAACATGGTAAACCGAGTTGCTTGACTTCATCGACAAATAATAAGTACTGACTACACGCTAATATAAAGTGAATCCAAGGGTAAGTACTCTTATCGATAAGGCAGATAGATAAAAAGATAAGCACAGAGATCAGGGTTTTGAACCAATCGCTATCTCGCCGAGTCAGCGCTTTCGGAGAATGACGATTAACCTTGGCAATGTTGATGATTGGACCCCTTGTGGCCGGAGCTTTGACTACGGAATACCAACTTCAAACATACCAGAGAATGGCGACAGGAAGAAAAACAAGGTGGAGAATCCTGATAATGACCACAACTGAGGGTCCTCGACATTGTTAAAGTGGAACTGACGTCATTGTAATATCACGGTCGTCAATGTCCTGGAGGAAACAATCCGGGCCGATTACAAGATGGTGATGCAAGTTTTGGTTTGGAAAACATATATCTACTCTACTGCACATCCCTCCAACTCTCAACATAAGGACAAGAGTAATCATCACGCAAAACCCAACTACACCATGGCAGATTTCAAGGCTTACCTCGACGAGCTCGAACAAGACTTCATAGTCGATACAGCAAAGCTCAAACATGTCACTAACCACTTTGTCCAAGAACTGGAAAAAGGTACACCTCTACCCAGGACAAATCAATCATTGGAAGCTCTAACCATGCTTACAGGACTAAGCATAAGAGGCGGAAACATCCCAATGAATCCGACATGGGTAATGAACTACCCAGACGGCAATGAGACAGGGAAATATCTTGTTCTAGACATGGGAGGAACAAACCTCCGAGTCTACTCCATTCAACTCACCAGCGAAAAAGGTGGTTTCGAAGTCAACCAGGAATCACACAAGCTCCCAGAAAAGCTCAAGACTGCAACCGCTGATGAACTCTGGGACTTTGTTGCAGGACGTCTTGAATCCTTCCTTCAGTCAGCAGACTTTGACCTGAGCACCGAGATTGATCTGAGCTTTATCTTTTCGTTCCCAACCACACAGAGGACAATAGATGAGGGTATCTTACAGAGATGGACAAAGGGCTTCAACATCTCGAACACTGAAGGAGTAGATGCCGCCGAGTCATTGAGGCGAGCCATCAAGAAAAAGGTAAGTCTTTACAACAAACTTGCAAAGCGATACGAGTATTGACGGCGTGTCAGAACCTCCCACTGAAGGTCTGTGTTGTAACAAATGATACAACCGCGACAATGATGGCCTCGGCCTACCTCAACTCTGAAACCGAAATCGGCTGCGTTTTCGGCACAGGCTGCAATGGCGCTTACTTCGAAAAGGTTTCGGCCATTCCCAAGCTCGCAAACGACAACTTGAACGCAGAGTCATTCATGGCTATTAACTGCGAATGGGGTGCTTTCGACAACGAGCATGCTGTATTGCCATTGACATCATATGATATTGCCATTGATAACGACTCTCCAAGAAAGGGACAGCAGGCCTTCGAGAAGATGGTTGCAGGCCTTTATCTCGGAGAACTCTTCCGTCGGATTATTTTGGAGATTCATCAGAGGGATCCCCAAAGTTTCTTGGAGGGGCAGAGTATTGAGAAATTGCAAGATACTTATTGCATTGACTCCTCTTTTCTATCCGCGATCGAAGAGTAAGTCTATACAAACACTGAACTATTGTGAGGATGTCTGCTGACACTGGCCTAGGGACACATCGGATGGTCTACGAGAAGCCTACAAGACATGCGTTTCAAGCCTGGGTATCTCCCCAACACATGCAGAGCTTCAATTTATGAAAGGAGTCGCTAGACTTATAACTACCCGTGCCGCTCGTTTGTCAGCAACCGGTGTGGCAGCCATCTGCCAGAAGCGTGAACTGCAGAGATGTCACGTTGGAGTCGAGGGCTCGCTGTTCGAAAAGCATCCCCATTTCCAGATGGAGTTGTCAAAGGCTGTCAGCGAAATCCTTGCATCTGAAGCTGAACCTGAGTCAAGAAAGGATAATGTGGAGTTTATGCTTTCACCTGGTAGTGGCGTGGGTGCTGCTATTATTGCTTCCACCTTGAAACAAAGGTGATTGTTTACCAAGACGATCCTGGTTACGCACCGAATAGACTAAAACCTGATGATTCACGACAAAAAACAACTGGGAAAAGAACACGTTCAATAGAAAGAATACAGTTGGAGACTATATGCTGAGAGAAACCCCACGGTGCTTCGAATACGTTTGTTCCTTAACGGCTTGTGACTCATTCAATTGGTAAAAGAGCTTTGATGGGTTCACCGTCCCGCCGGCCTCCAGATTTCAGCGCAAATAACTGACTCGCGGCCTTGCCCATTTCAAAGTCTCCTGTAACCTCGATGAGATAAATGTTGTAGTTGAGATACAACAGGTGTGGGATATCAGCCACGAATTTGCTAGCATCTGTTAAGTATTTGTCACAGTACCATCGAAAGGTTCAATATTGATGACTTACCCGAGCCCAAAGCTATGGTGTGCATTGTTACGGTAGTTAACAATGACATCAACCTCAAGACTGATGGTTTCGTTTTCTGCAGTCTTGAGGATATACCGGTTGTGGTAGAAATTCGTCAAAGTTAGGATAACTACTCTAATCACTTCAAGTGAAACTCACGCTATTCTCGCCCTGCTCATTCTTGACGTATCTCTCGAAAGACGTTCCGATCGGAAGGATATCGGCTTCAAAAGCACCCGAGACCTTTCCGCCTTGAACATTAGGAGCAGCTCCCCAACGGGTATCGGGACCAGTAACATTGGTCTCACGACCGACAGCAAGGTCGATTTGAAGGAATGGTGTCAGCTGAGGATTTTTGAAGGGGCCTATCTCAGACGCAGTGCGAGGTAAAAGGGTGTCAATGCTCATGCAGAGACCGAGATTAAAGAAAAGGCTTTGAACAAATGTGATGCGCATTTTGGAATAATCGATGATTGATCTGAGGAAAGAGTTTTCTGCTTATTCTACACCGTGGCCATTCCGTTATTCCCATGCTCTTTTATACGTAGGCATTCGATGCCAAGGTTTTGGGATAGCGCTCATCGTTCGCGTCTTCGCTTCGACAATCGCGAGGCAATCGTATCATTGTCAGCTACAAGGATTCAAGTTGAACAAGATGCAAGTAAGACTGACGAGCTGTGAAGCCGGTCTAGCTAAGTGTGTCGCAAGACATATGGGTGATCCGGATCCTTCGTGGCTGTAGGTCTTACGTGGGATTGGTTTTGATTGTAAACATTCTAAAGCCAATTACTAGCAGTCACAGTAAAGTCAGATTATGTAAAATAGACTATGCAATGTTGATCCTTTGTTGAATCTCTGTGTGGCTGTGTTTTGTATCAAGTCTAAATATATCGCTGTGCGCCTAGATCTGGAGTTTCAATCGCCATATCTATATCTTTCTACTAAAGATTGATGAACCGTTATAGGCGAAACTATTTTAAAGTCCAAGAAGTATTTGTTACCAATATCATCGCTTATGACTGCCCATTCACCTTCTGCTAATTGTGATGATCTTGTTTACCACGACCGGCTGTATATCCTCGACTACTTTCATCTTAAACAGGATCTTGGGCAACTTTCTTACTCTAGGGTGATGTTGCAACATGTGTTGAACTTGTGGACGACTTCGTCAATAATGAACAGAGAAGTACTTTACTCAATAACTTCGACAGTTCCATGAGTCTGATTGGTGTAACCAGCAGGAAACAATTACGAAGAGGGCAGAATTACTTTTAGATGAGATAGCAAAGCATATTCTCGCCAGACAATCTGATCTCGGCAAAGACGGCCACTGTACAAGCTATTTCTGGGTCATCTTCCTTTCAAATATGTTCAAGATATCACTGGACTTGAACTGATTAGGACTCAAGGCAAATCAGACAATGCCTATCATCCTCTTCTGATGCTTATGTACGTAGTTCAAACTTCCTATCGTCGCACTTGTCGTTAAATAACCCTTGTACAAAGCGGTGAGAAACATCTTTCTCAACAGTTTGCGATGTCGCATCGCAAAGAGGGGAAGTTTGTTCTATCTACCTAAAACAAATTAGTTTCCCAAGCATCGCAAACTGTTACGTTACGCATTAAATCCCGGGTTAAACTCGCAATGTGGAGTTTTAGTTAAGCTTATCTACTCACCTACCTAATGTAATAACACAACTCGCTGATCAACTCCGTCGCTTATTTCCACCCCGCGAGATTTCTCCATGCCAAGCATAATGACCCCTCATTCATCATTCAATCCTTTGCATTCAGTTGGCTAGTACGCGGAGTAGATCGGTAAACCATCAAACATTGATGTCACGATGGCAGGATAAACAGTATGATCCTTGCCTAGGAAGATGCGGGTTCAGAAGAAGCTCCGGCCAGGCCAACAAAGAACGAAGTGAGGAAACGGTTGAACGTTGCCGTATTGTATTTAACCTTCCGGTAATCCTTTCACCCGATGAATTGAACCTTGTTAGGCTCTCCTAAGCTCCCATATCGACACAATGGCTCCCAATATGGTACAGCGTCTTTACGCACTCACAGCTCTTGTATCCATTGCCACAGCCCAATCCGGTGGAATCCAAACTGGACTTCAATATGGAGAGAACTGGGCTCCCACGATCAAAGACTCGGAGCTTGTTTCTGCAAACTTTCCTGATGTCAACATCACTCTTCGATCCCCAGCATTCCTGAACCCCGAGAAAGTGCCGGCTCGGTTCGCCGAAGGTACAGAGGGACCGACTGACTTGAACGAGTTGGGTAAGATGAGATGATTGAGTTGTTTTCGAAGTTGTAGCTAATAACTCACTCAAGACTACTTCATCCGAAATCTCGCCAAGAAGAATGACTGGATGACCTACGAGTCAGCAGCGTTCCTGTCCGAAGAAGGCCGCGCGATCCCCTATGTTTTCCTATCCCTTCCCAACACCAACTCAAGCAGCAACAAGCTTAGGGTCTATCTTCAGGCCGCGATTCATGGCAATGAACCTGCTGCTGATGAGTCCGTTCTTGCATTTCTAGGCAAGATGGATGCTGAGCCAGAGTGGGCTGCGTCATTATTGGAGAAGATGGACATCAAGATACTTCCTCGATACAATGTGGATGGTGTTGCTTACTTCCAGAGACAACTTGCTTCTAATCTGGACCCGAACAGAGAGCATCTCAAACTGATGCGAGGTCAATCCAGAGAAATCAAGAGGCTTGTTGGGGAGTGGAATCCTCATATAGCCCTGGACATGCGTATGTATCATGCCTGACATCTAGATTCAAGCCACTAACCTTGGGCAGACGAGTTCACAGTTCCAACTGTCTATGGAGGAAATTATCAACATGGCTCGGACGCTCTCTTGTCTGGAGGAATCAACCCAAACATCCACCCTGCCATTCGCGAACAACTTCTCGACTTCTTCATCCCAGCTGTTGGCGAGGAGCTAGAAAGCCACGGTCTTCGATGGGAGCCCTACGTCACCGGGGCTTCTAACCGCACTGAAGGATCAAGGATCGCTTTCACCGAAGCTGTCACTGAAGCACGCACTGGACGAAACGCTGTTGGATTGACTCAGACTATCTCCTTTCTGCTTGAGATGCGCGGTATCCGTATTGCCAATCAGCATTTCCAACGTCGCGTTGCTACCGCTCTCATCAAGATCCAGACTATCCTTGAGCTTGCGAGAGACAAAGCTGACAAGGTCAAGTCTATTGTTGAAGATGCTCGCGAGGAGTTCATCAACAGCGATGAAGATATTGTCATCACCGACTCTTACGTACCCGAGAACAGAACTTTCACAATGATCGATCAGCGAAATGGTAGTGTTGTTCAAATTCCCATCGATTTTAAGCGCACCACCCCTTCAATTGCAAACCTTACCCGGGCAAGACCAGAGGCCTACATCATCCCAAGAACTTGGATTGATGTTGCAGAGAGGCTTGAGATCCTCGGCCTCAAGGTTGAGAAGCTTGACTACGAGTTCCGTCAAACTCTGGAAACATTTATCATCGAGTCTTCCACTGTTGAGCCAGAATTGTATGAGGGTACCTACTTGAATACTGTTACCACCAACACGACAACAAGAGAGGTTGTCCTGCCAGTGGGAAGCTTTTATGTCAGCACCAGGCAGCAAAACGCGGCTTTGGCGTTTATTGCGCTTGAGCCTGAGAACATTGATAGTTATGTCAAGTTCAATATCATTCCTGTGGAGGCAGGTATGGAGTACCCTATCTTCAGAATCCCAAGGGACTAGTTGGGGTCAACTGTTGCGTTGTAGAAAGCAAGGTCCGAAATATATTCATGGTAATGTCAAGTATAGAATATTTGAATAATGCAAATAACTTTCTTTGCTTGCCAATAGCAATAATGATTAAGTGATGGTTCAGTTGAACCATGGAGAAGTTACAAATGAATGAGGGCGAGATATTCGACAGAATGAAAAGCACGGAATAACTTCTGATCTACTATTGAAAATTGAATTGGTATGCAATACGTCAACTATATCTTGACTGGCCATGAGGTTCTCAAGAGTAATCTTTGAACAACCTCCAACCCATGCTACCACCCACCTTTGTGCTTTAGCTTGCTGAGCCTGTGTCATTCTCTGTAAATGTTCAGGGAAAAGGCACATAGTCACGGACTCCCGAGCAGACTCCATCAACATCCACACCATGGATGCCTTCAACCACCCTCCCGCTAGAGCCCCCAAATCTCAATAGAAACCCGCCATCCTCTTCGCTAGTAATCATAGATTCCCATCCTAACTTCTGCGGTCCATTGTACGGATCCTTGAAGAAAGCAAGGATATGGTCTTGCATTGAACGACTTACGTCTACTTGGTACTGTGTCGTGTTTGCAACATGATCCAAAAGCCCGTATGTTCCGAAGATGATCGGGGTCTCAGCGTTATGATATGCGCCTAACCATTTGTACTTGTTCAAATTCGGAAACTCAGCTGCATACTGAAACCTAAAGACGGGTATGTCCAGCCTGTTTCTGTAGGTTGTCGTGTTCAACACCGAACACACAGCAAATGGGATCGTAGCTGCGTCGACAGCATCTTGGTCTGGGCCTTTCGTGAGGTTCTCATGCGGCCAGGGCGTCAAGCTCGAGAACTCATTTGATGTCATGGAAATCAGAATTGGTCTGCGTGCAATCTTGCCTGCTTCGGCTCGCGCATGATAGTCGGAGAAATATATCCGATCGTCGACGATCAGACTGAAGGTTAACGGTGGGGTTTCCCCTCTGTCTCCATATTGACCAACAAAGTTCACAATTTGAGCCATGGAGACCTGGCGCATACAGTCGAGCTCTGCCAGACCATCTTCATCCTCACAATCAGTGCCACAAGGAGAATCGCATCCAACATGCCGAGCAACGAAGCTAAAGTTGGAATACGTCAAGTCTTTCACTTGGAGTACTGTGTTGATACTCATAACGACACCAGACTCCGCGTAGTATGCCTGGGCAATAGGATTTTCGTGCCAAGCAAAGGCATGTATGTCAGCGCTCATGCCGCCCGCCGACCTACCCCAATTTGTGATGCGCTCAGGGTTTCCTCCAAAAGCAGCTATGTTCTCGTGAACCCACTCGAGAGCAGCGCGCTGGTCAAGAATTCCCAAATTCTGTTCACCGTCGACAAGCCCGCGGGCATTGGGAAAGCCGAAAATCCCAACACGATAGTTGATACTGACAACAATGTGCGACTGAGATCGCTCTACCCAAGACTCAGGATTCTGCCAGGGGAGATCAACACCACCCTGAACGAAACCGCCACCAGTCATGAAGAATGCCACAGGAAAGCCTCCTTCAGGTGGCTCATTGGTAGGGCTCCAGATAGCCAGATGAAGACAATCTTCGGATGTGGCTTCGCCCACAAGACCTGAGGTATCATTCTGAGCGCCGTTGTAAATCAGATTACCTTTGGTCAAAGGTGTGTTCCAGTACGACTCAACACCAGATACAAATTGGGGGCATGAAGGCGGAAACTTGGTAGAGTATCGATGTCGTTTCACATTGGGTATCAACTTTTGTGGTGGAAGCCAGCGAAGAGATGAGACAGGCGGTTCAGCAAAAGGAATGGAGCGCCATTGTCGAGTGCGGGGAAATATGGGATCAATTAGCCCGGTAAAGGTGCCAGTGCCTGTTTGGATTGTGAGACTATGGTCCTTGTTTTGACAATTGGCGGTGTTGCTTGCCAAAACAATGGCAAATAGAGTGAGCAACTTCATGGCGTAATAATAGCTGTTAGAAGTAACTGCACAACAGACTGCTACTTTATGTACACGGGCATGGCGTTAAGATAATGGCAGTCAAAATAAGCTTATCACTTGGCACTTTGTAGCGCATCAATGTCATTCTTCCCACGTTAGTACTCTTTCTGGAAGGTGGTTTATTGCTTAGCGTTGAGTGAAGAGATCGGCTTACGTCTGGACGGTTATGTTTATCCTGCTTACGGCGATAAAGGATTAAGTATGCCTTGTCAAACTAAACCAAATAATTTCTCCCAAATTGAAACTTCAAAGTCTAGCATTACTCCATCATAAGGTATGCTACACTGACAAATCTGTTGTGAGAAACAGTCACCTGTCGGCTAACAGAGCTACGCAAGTCTGCCTGCATAAGAACAAGCATGGAAAGGGAAAACAATATCGTTCACTCGAATCGAGTTGAGACTCTACAGATGACGTCGCTTTTAAGCTGCGAAGACGCAACGTTTGTTCAATGAGTAAAGCTACCAATTTCCTTTGAACATCTGTTAACAAGGATTAACCCGAAAAGCTGTTCCATAATTTGATGCTTCCACATTTTGTTCCATAGTGATTGTGACTATTTCTTCTCATAGAGAAAAATACAAGGCCTTTCTCACTCATGATGTAAAAGAAAAAACAAAACAGTTGCTTTTATGCCAGGGTGATCCACTTTGGAACACAGAACATCTTACAGTACAATTCGAACACTCGGTCTCTGATTTGACGGCCCATGCATGTGGATAAGAACCTCGCACAGATTGTTGGCATTTGTGTTGGTTGGCCTTTTCTCACCAATCAATGTGCTTGGCCCTTGTTCTGACCTTCTGATACAGGGATCAACGAATACTCCCTCGTATTCGCTAGGAACACAATATCAACCCCTGTGCACGAAAATGCAAGGCGGCAAAAGAGAAGATATCTCCTCGTCTGACTGAATCTTACCCTTCCAGTAATGATCCGCAGCACAACCTCATTAGCCGATCGAGATCCGACCTACCAACCCCGCAAAACTCGTTTTCAAGAAGGAAGAGCATACTCAATTCGCGCGTCCAAAGCTTGACTTTGCATTGCGTGTAGTGCAGATACATGAGCTGCTGACAATATGACTGACAACACTGCTTCTTCTCCAAAGCAATCACCCCGGTCTCCTATCTCGCAAAAGTCGGCGGCAAGTCGTGAGGCTGCGGAAGCTGCGGGTCTTCATGATGCTGAACATTGGGCCAATCTAGCACAAGTAAGATGACATTTTCCATGATTCATGATTATGTGGTAAAGCTAACTTATACCAGGAACCTCATGATGACGATACTGATTCATCGCTTGGTAGTGACGCTGACTCGTCGACGGCATCCATGAATTCTAGTATTCTCAACTACCGCACTATCAAGGGGAGAACTTACCATTCGGAAAGAGGCAACGCTGAATATTGGTACACAATTGTCTCAAGATAATATAATATTTGTCGACTCACAATATTTTAGGGCATCCAACGACGATCAACAGAACGAGGCTATCGACATCATGTAAGGCTATCAATTACATAGTTTCTTTGTTGGAAGCTAATATGTGTCAAGTCATCACTACCTCCTACTGGCCCTCGATGGAAAGCTTCACTTGGCTCCAATAGGGGACAATGCAAAGGTTTGACCCAAACTATGCTAGCTAGATTTTGAACTAATACATGTGAAGTCTATCCTTGACGTCGGCACTGGTACAGGTAAGAGCCTATAACTCTAGTATGGATCAAAACCTGACATTTCTGAACAGGAATTTGGGCAATGTATGTTCACACTGACGAAAGGCGAGACCGTCATGACTGATTCTGCTAGCGACTTTGCGGATGAGCATCCAGATGCCGAACAAGTGATAGGAACTGACATCTCCCCTATTCAACCTAGTTGGGTACCTCCCAATGTCAAGTTGTAAGTTACCAAAACACGAATCAAATGCGTCGGTTATCAAGTATCTCAGGCATCGCTGACATATAAATAGTGAGATTGATGACTGTACGCAACCATGGACCTTTTCGCCTAACACCTTTGACTACATCCATATGCGATATCTGTATGGTTCCATTAGTGACTGGGGATCTTTATTTCAAGAAGCATACCGCGCTTGTAAGCCAGGTGGCTGGGTCGAGAGCTTCGAGGCATCAACTCGCTTAGAGAGCGACGATGGTAGTGTTCAAGAAGGTAGTGCCATGAGCGAGTGGGGCAAGTTCTTCATCGAAGGTGGTAAGAAGCTAGGAAGGACGTTTACTATCATCGATGACGATCTTCAAAAGCAGGGCATGGAAGAAGCAGGGTTTGTAGACATAGGTACTTGGGACTTCAAGGTATGTAGACAGCTTCTGCTGAGTGACGAAAAGCTGACCTTATCAACTGCATAGGCTCCTGTTGGCTCCTGGCCCAAAGATCCAAAGTTGCAAGAGATTGGCAAATTCGGGCACGCAGCGATGGACCAGGACTTGGAGGGATTTGTGCTTTACATGGCCAGTTTTGTCCTTGGCTGGTCAAAGGAGGAGGTGACGGTGTATTGCTCTCAACTACGACGCGAGTTGCGAAACCCGAGACATCACCCGTATTGTCGGATGAGAATTGTGTATGGAAGGAAACCTGAGTAACAGATAACTCCAGCCACGTTCATTATTATTCGGCATCAATTAGCGTCAATAGAAGCTTTGAATATCTTATCGCTAATTCAGTACTCGCCCCCTGTACGCTTTGGTCGTGATAATCGTTTGTATTTATTTTTCTCAATTTTGCCTTGTCAACAATGTTTATTCTCAAACGTGCTCAACATCAAGTATAGAAATCCACAACACAGAAGCACAATTGAAGGGACGTACAATAAGTCTATCAATGGCACCCCTTTTAATTCAAATATCCCTTTAGATGTCTGAGGTAAATAGTTTCGAGGTGGTTGAGCAACTGTCACTTCTTCGTCTGAAACTGCCATTAGACTGTAGGGTGAATCACATACTACTCTGTAGCATTCCCGCTCTATATCCGGAAACTGGCTATCTACCTTATCTTCGTGATACGATTAGTAGCATTAAAAAAGATATGGGGACTCAGTCACGCTAATGGAAGCATCCACTATAAATAGGCTACAACCATCAAAGCGTTGGAAAACCACCAATCAATAAACAGTGAGGAAACTTTGAAACCAGGTTCTGTATCCTAAGCCTGGTATGTTCCTTCATAAATTAACAGCATCATACTCCTTTTCCTTTTACTTCTTCGTCCTTTCCGTTTAACAGATCAGACATTGACAATGGCGCCAAGGAGAAGCACAAGAATTGCTACTAGCGGATCGGCAATTGCGCCAACCCACCACCACAATCTTAGGAAGCGAAAAGCCCAAGGCTCAAATGAGGCAGATCGACTCAAACGAAAGAAGAAAGCACCGATTAGAAATACCAATGGCCGTACAAAGAGCCATGCTGTCGCGAATAATGGGCGCGTCTCTGGACAACCAGCTCCAGAAGATGCCTTGTCCGTTCTTCCAGCAGAGATTCAGCAAAACATTCTGGCCAATGTTCGTCAACAAACCTCCCCAATCCGTGCTATTCACTCATATCTACTAGGTAAACGACACAAAAAGTATGATTAACTTGGCTAGCACCTCCAAACGCTACTACGCCGTCGCCATGGCTATTATTCACAACCACATTGCTGTCCAAGTACGCTACTATGCCCACATCCCCAAAGTCATCAGGCTGCTTGAACCTCATCTGAGTATCATTCAGAAAAAGCAGTTGAAAAAAGTGGGGAAATATAAAGGCCGTCAAGAGAGATTTTCCAGTCGCCTAGATCAGGACGCTGTTCCAGGCTGCGCGCAAGATGTCCGACAGATGACTATCGGCAGTATCGATCCGGGGAAGAGGCATAAGAGCTTTGTACTGAGGACGCTGGAGGAAGTGTTGAAGAACCTGACTAATCTTGAGGTATTGGATACGATGGAGTTGACGGCGTAAGTTTCTGTCATGTCCTGCCTTGCTGATCCACGGAAGCTAATTATTGACCCCGAAGATCGATGGCATCCAGTATTCTTGCACTAAAACATCTCAAAGCGTTGCGCATATGGGGCCCCTTCATCAACATCGCCTCTCTGTCGCAGCTGCGGGACCTGAAACATTTGTCCCTCAGAAGCATGAGTTCTTGCTTCAGGTCTTTCACCAGGGAGAAAACCCTCAAATCCTTCGTATTGAACTCGTCCTCGACCTTGGAAAGCTTGGAAATCCATTCAACACGGTGGCCATTAAACATCGATAACGTCAGAGAGGATGGAACTTTGGCGGCCAATAAAGATTCCATGAACGAGTCACCTATTTTTACCGCACTCAAGTCGCTCAGCCTTAACAGTCCCTCATCGGAACGTGATGGCGAAACTTGCCTGTCCAACATTTTCCGTTCCGTCAACTTCTTGCAGCTGCGGAAGCTTGAGATGATGCAATTGGAAGAAGGGAAATTGACCTTCTTCAAGTCTCTGGAGGATTTGTTCAACACGGCTGACGAGGGCACTATTCAGCTACGACATCTCGTGTTGGATATGGACGCTGAACAACCGAACTTTCTGGCATCTGAAGTACATTTGGAGGGTATATACAGATTCATAGCATCGTTCGACACCCTAACCTCTCTCGAGATCCACAACCATAACACATTCAAGGACAACCTCCTCAACAATCCTGACATATCGCGCCGACTACAGCAGGTCATAGCCATGCACAAGGGCCTTGAATCACTGCGCTTTCGATATACAAGAACCGCTACATCATACGCTTCAGTCGATACCCTCAGAGTCTTGACAAAGAATTTACCCCAGCTGCGAGTACTTGAAATCCCCCTAGAAGAGAAAGATTTTGTAAGTCGCAACTATATTTGACACCACGAATCTTGTTAATAAATCATTTAGGATGGAATGGCACGATCGATATTACGTGCTAGAAATCTCGAAACCCTGATCTGCTCGTCGTTTAACAGTTGGAACTATCGTGTCAACAACGCGATTATCACGTTTCGCGAAAAGTTGGTAGGAAGCCTCTTACACATTGCTGAGGACAATGAAGAATTCATTTGGGAGAGAGTATATCGTCTAAAACATATAACTCTCGCCTACCGCAAGTTCACCATTGGCTCCGATTTAGAACTGACGAACATGGCGTATCTCGAGAGGATCAGCAGAGATGATAAATCGGTCTGGGTTCAAGACAAGCGTATCATGGTAAGGTCGAAGCAATGCTATTACACACCATCGAGTGAGTGGGCGAGTCAAATCATGACGTCGGTCTAATATCATTAGGAGAGCATATGTGGATCACAGTATAGCTGTAGCGCGATTTTGAGTGTTAGTGAAGGTATCGTCATGCGATTGGACTGAGATACAGTATGACCGTTTGAAGAGACGATGCAAAATATATTAGTGTCTTTATAACAGACATTTCCTCCGATTACTACTGCCCACTTTAGATCCGTCCGCCATAGCCATGTCCATTCTCCATGTTCTGTTCATACCGAAAAACAATATCGGTCTTGACACCAATCTGGCCGTTGGGCATAACTAGCACTTCTTCACTACTGTTGTCGTCAAGCCCATTCTTTATGTTCGTCTCAAAGGTGGTCTTCGGCGCACCAGTACCTGGCACACTATTTCCTCGCAGCTCAACAGGCATTTGTTTGAAGCCTGAAAGCTTGTTGCTGGAGATACCACTTGTCCCGAGAAGACGTGGGGCATACTTTTTGGCGATGGCCTTATAGGACGGAATCGAAGCGGCGAGTATACCGATGTTGGTTTCGATAACGGACCAGTACATGGCGTTGGAGATAACCCACGTTGGATCAGTGGAGGTGAGCATGGGAGGGATGTAGGTGATTCGGATGATGGAAGAGATGCAGGCACTGTATTTGTCAGTATTGGGTTCTAGTGCTAGCCGTAGGCGAGGGCAAAATGGTGCTTACAATAGTCCGAGACCAAGGATGATGGCCAAGCTGATCTTTTGTCGTCGAGGAACTCGGAGTCTTATTACCAATGGAATTGGCAGCGAGTAAGTGAGGATATCCGTGAAGATGTTGACAGCCGCGTTTGCAAGGTAGAATGCATTGATGTTAACGCAATTCTTTTCCGTGGCTGGGATCGTAACATCATAGGCTGCTGAAATTGGCGTGCATTGGAAAATGCAAGCCAACACATTGCCTCCGGCTTGACAGCCCACCACTATCATCATGAAGAAAGCTGTCTTGCGGAGTACCTTATCACCCAAACGAGTGTACAGGGCTAGAACCGAGATCTTGATGAAGCCGAGGCAAGCATTGTAAAAGATAGACGATAGCCAAACAATTTGACTGTACGCGGTAAGGTTATCTGGGCCTCGCTTCTGAACATCCTCGAAGTGACTACCGAGGCCATGATTTACGGAGGCGATCGTGCAGGCAATGAATGACCACGAGAGTAGAGCGCCCACGCAAATTAGATCTTTGACGAGAGTTAGAAACAAAAAGAAGATGTCGAGCGGTGGGTTTGTGGGCCTCGTTCATACTTACAGTCGTCGTTACCCACTGATCTAACAATAAAGGCTCGTGCCCATAAGCGAAGCACGACAGCGATGAAGCTGATGACTGCAAAGACGATGGCAACGGAGTTTACCGTAGGACCTTGCGACTCCATTATTGCAATTACTCAACTGAAAAAAGAAAGAAAGACAAAAATGCAAGCAAGAAAAGGAATGGATTGTAGATTACGTGGTTCGAACTTTCAGTTTATTTGGAAGAATGAGCCTAGTTAAATGCAAGAATCCCCCCATTGTTGGTCAACTGAGACAAGCAGATAGTTTCATTACAAAGTTCCTTTGAGATGATTAACTCGTTGGTATTATGCTAATCCCTTTCTCATCTGTAACATATGGCTGATGCACAGACGTAAACTGGTAAGCATCTCTATGGTTCGCCGCTCGCCTCGTTTCGCGTCATCCTTCGGGGTGATGATCTTGGAGGCTTGGTTCTTGTCAAGTTTTGCCAAGATTGTCATATCAAAGAGCCTCTTGGACATGGGTTCAGAACCTGGTTTGTGGAAGCAAAAGCAATGTTCAGGAGAAGTGCAACATTTTGCGGTGTTTCACTCGTCGACAAAGATTTTCGATAGAACCAACAACGTTACATTTGGTGTAAATAGTGGATTCGCTGTCGACTTTTAGTCCATGATTGGCTTCTAGGATCATGCTCAGGTTGGGCAACTCGGACTGAAAACCCCGCTGATAGTGGAGGAAATGGTCGATCAGTTATCTAAGCGAAGGCCGAAGCAGCCTCGGTTCTTGTTTTCTCGCGTAATCTCTCCCCTAGCCTAGTTGTCACAGTTCTGACCAGCACCTTTCACACCAACCAGCTGCTGTTGTTCTCTTCACCGTTGAGTCTATTCCTGTTGTCTCGAGCTAGACAGCGGGCCGTTAGTCTATGAATTAGCTTAACGTGCCGGGAGCATGTCATAAAAATGGACTTTACACTATCCGCTTCAGCCGCAAAGCCTCATTTTCTGTTGCTTCTTTCTCTTTTTTTTTATTTTTATTTTTTTATTTTTATACAAAAACTGAGCAATCATTTTCTTCATGATACATAATTGACACAAGGACCCGCCTAGTTCTTCATTGCTGGTTTTGTGGGCTTGCAAGCGACCAACAAGGTCCTCCTCTGATTTAGCCGATTCAATGGCAAGGATCTGCCGGACAGTGGTAACATCAGATCATACGACAGTGGAGAGTTCGCGTATTCCGCAACACAGGGACAAGATAGGAGACGATCTTGGTGTCGACTCCTTTATCGAGATTCGTAGATTGCCGCTGCTGCACTGCTTAACTTATTGATCCAGACCTGATATCTGCATGTGAAAATGTGGTGTTGCAATGACAGTAGAGTGTTGACCATGGATTATATTAGGAGTTGAATATGATGATCCTAGTACGATGGTGGGAACTACCAGGGTCAGAATTCTCCCGCAAAGGTTCCGGCCTTGCACAAGTCTACAGATGTTACCAACTGTAATGCCAAGCCTGTTGGTTTACTTCCTCGCAAATATAATTTCAGGTACGTCAATCAATTAGTGGGCTCCCACCATTATTACCTGACAGCCGAGACAGACGTCAATTTTAACGCATGAGAGTCATGGATCTTGTCAAAGAAGACCAGTTCCAACAACCAACACCAAGTCCACTTGGCTGCATGCATAGCATAACAATTACGGACCTTTGAACGATCTCGGAAATGGATCTTCGTAAAAGGCATTCTCGCAACAAGTGTTGCGTTCAGACTTCAGGCTCGAGTCCCAATTAAGACTAGAGACTGCTGGGGTATCCGGATGTGCAAGCCGTTGTGGTACTATACCGACGATCACCTTCATGTGCATTTGCATATCCCTGGCGTATTTCCTGGTCAAAGCCCAAATGGGCGCTTGATTGTTTTCTCGTTTCTCACAATTGGCTCATTTAGACTTTCGTTTATCATTTTCTTGAACTTCGGGAATTTGGTAAACGATTATGGCTCTACTCAGTATTGTTAACGTAGCCCTTTTGGGCGTCGGTTACTTTTTATTCTGCGTTGTTTGGCAGATTGTCAAGTATCGTTTCTTTCATCCTCTCGCAAAGTTTCCTGGTAACTTCTGGGGAAGTGTCACGCGGCTCTGGATCACGTATCACAATGCGGTCGAAGCCGATGAATGCGAGACATTTCAAGAACTTCACAAGAAGCATGGTAAGATCCAGTTACCGACACCAAAGAGCAGTTCAACTAACATATCCAAGGACCTGTGATTCGAATTACCCCCACTATGCTGCTGGTCAGCGACGCGACCGAGCTACCCAAGATCTACAATCGCCATGCAAACAAGTCAAAGCATTACATCACCGGAAGCTTTGGCAAAGATGAATCGCTTTTCAACATGCAGGACTCCGTGACTCACGCCAAGTACAGAAAGGTCGCTGCACCTCTCTACAGTCTGACCAGTATCAAGAAAATGGAGCCCTTGATTGACAGTAACATCAATGCCTGGATGAGCCGCCTCCAGAGGGACTTTGCTGCTACGAACAAGCCCTTCGACTTTGCACCCAAAGCCGTCTATCTAGCTTATGACGTTATCTCTGAGGTCGGCTTTGGCGCTCCTTTCGGTTTCATCAAAGAGGACAAAGATGTTGAGGGCCTTATCCAGGGTTTCCATGACGGCCTAACACCTTTCGGTATCATGGCCAGACTGCATCCTTTTACCAACTGGGTTAAGAGCACTTTCTTGGGCAAGTATATGGTCGCTAGTCCTGAACAAAACTCAGGTATCGGCACATTGATGCGCTTTCGAGATCGCTTGATTGAACAACGCTTCAAGGATATCGAGAATGGTTCTACGGGTGGTCGCATAGACCTTCTACAAACGTAAGTAACGACCAGATATACAGAAGATGTGTCACTAACAATCAACAGCTTTATTGAAGCTCGAGATGAAGACGACAAACCACTGGACATCAACTACATCAAGGCTGAAATCCTGCTGGTTTTACTGGCGGGTGCTGATACCACTGGCACGGCCTTCCAAGCCATGATGATTCACATCCTTACAAACCCGACTGTCTACAAGAAACTCCTCGCTGAGATTGACGAGGCCACAGCAGCAGGAAAACTCTCTGAGATGCCCCAGTACGACGAAGTTGTTGAGCACTGTCCCTACTATATCGCATGTGTCAAGGAATCGATGAGACTAAATCCCAGTGCTCCCAACATCTTCCCTCGTATTGTTCCTCAAGGCGGCCTCGAGATCTGCGGCCACTTCGTTCCTGAAGGTACTGAAGTGACTTGTAACCCGTGGCTAGTTCATCGTGATCCGAATATTTATGGCGATGACGCTGAGATTTTCAAGCCGGAGCGCTGGTTAGATATTGACAAGGCCAAGATTTACAACAAGTACAACATGGGCTTCGGGTACGGAGCCAGGGTCTGTCTTGGACAGGACATTGCAAGAATGGAGCTTTATAAGGGCCCATTGGTGTTCTTGCGGAGTTTCAATGTCGAGTGGGTTGATGAAACGAAGAGGGGCAAGTATGTAGTTAATGGTGGTGTGAGTTACTTTGAGGACATGAATATCAAGATCTCAAGGCGGGATGCTGCTGCTTGATTTGGTAACTTCTGATAACAAAGAAGATATCTACAAGAAAGTATTGAAAGAAATTACTTTACTGGGGAATGTAACCCTACACTTTTGTTTTTCGTCGTGAGGATGTTCTATGGTCATCGTCAGATCTTTCGTTCTATGTGGTGATTTAATGCTCTCATTTGACATGTTAAAGGTTAATAGGGGATTCTTCAACAAATGTTGAAGTGAATGAGACAATGGTGTAACTACGTAAATATATTTCGTAAACTCTACCGGTAGGAAGATAAGTTTCGACATCGAATCACTGGATGTTGTGAATATAAACCGGCAAACAGCCAAACAAAGCTTTTTCTTTGAATCCAAGTTGATTTAAATGACGAGAAGTTCTACAAACGCATCATTACTATTTACACGATGATAAAAAGTCCCGTGAAATGTATAGGTCTTGTCTCCGTGGTTAAGATCTAGACATGCCTATAAAAGCCCCCCATAGCGCCATGAATATTTTGAACACCAACTATCAAGCTCTCGAATACTACGAACGCAAACCTCGTCTTCGACATTAATTATTATATCTATTATATACGCATACCAGCCATTGCAGAATCATGCAAACCTTTGCAAACTTCCTGCCGACCTTCACGCACTGGATCAACAACGATCTTGTAGCTGATCAGGACAAATTAGCAGCTGCTTGCCACGCGATTTATCCTAGAGATGCAACAGGATATCGCAGTATCGAAATCTGCTTTGATATACCAGAGCGTCCCGGATATGTAAAGGTTACCTGCCTGTCTCGTGAGCCACTCAATCTGTTGGATGAGCTTCGAGCTAGAGGTGGTGACAATGGCCTGAAACGAGAAGAGGTCAAGGTGGAGGGGAATAGCGAAGGAACTGCAAAATAGAAAGGGTGTAGTAACTGAAGAAACGAAAAAGTATGAAGGGCAACTATTTTTGAATGGTGTCGATAAGAAGTCTTCGTACCTCCCTAGTATAGTAAGAAGAGTCAAACTGAAGGTATAAAATAGTTCGCCTCCTTAACAAAAGACTCAAGTTTCATTGCCAACTTACAACAACACTCAAACTAGATCTATAACGCTATGTTGAGTCTAACATTTTCTCCGTACATTGAATACAACAATATTTTATTTTCATATCACGAGTTCCATATGCGATATATGGTATTTACATACTAGAACAAAGATATAAAATGTCTGAAATTATTTATTAAGAAAAAGATTACATATAAACGTAAATGTCACACAGTAAGATAATGGGTTCAATCCAGGAGAGTACTAAGTTTCAGATAGGGGGTTTAAGAAGTATGTTGATTGGTATAATTATATATAGTGTACCCTGGAATATACTGCCCCCAGGAGGGCATTGTTGAAGAATAACTGGGATATCCCAAAGAAAGTATCGCTGCCTGCATTGCAGGATGCATTGGTGCAGTCATTGACTGCTGTTGTGGGTAGTAGCAGGCCCCCAGACCTTGGTAGACCTCGTGGCCCTGGTAAGTCATCCCTTCAGGGATACCGAAAGTGTTGTTGGCCGGCAGTGGATTGTGTGGCGACGGCTTGAGACAGGTACCCTTTGCCCAGCCCTTAGGACGGTACTTCGCCAGACAGACCTGTCTGTTGCCTTGTGTCGGATGATAAACCACATCCACATCCTCCGGCTTGGCAGAGTTGATGATAAGCCGAACAGGTCCAGGAGAGCCGTTTGTGTACCGCTTGTTCAGACAAAAAGGGTACTCTTTCCAGGGGCCGCAAGACTTCAGAACCAGTCGTTCGCTATTATGGAACTTCCGAGGATACAATTTGTTGGTAGGTGCTGGGGAATCTGGCACCTCCTTGGCTTGTTCCCGGATTTGACTGGCTGGGATGTTGCGATACCATCTGTCGTACTGTAGGTCGGCCAGTGAATAATACGAACACTCCGAGGAATTATCGTCATCGGTCTTGTGGGATGGAGGAGACATAGACATGGAAGCCATATATCGAGTATGCTCCGCTAGAGCAGCAAATGTGAGAGACATGGTTAAAGTGGGTATGAGTAATCGACTGGAAAGTTTTGAAAGTAAGTGCGGTGATATAGTCGATAAAAAGTAATGTAACATAGATCAAAGCAATTGCACTGTGGCAAGCGCTGTTGAACTGCTTTCGTGTTGAGATGGAGAAAAGTAGCGAAGGTCAATGTTATGAACAATGTTCGTGTGTAGTTGGGTCGAGAAATGGGTTGATAGTATGGCTGGCTTTACTGATCCTGTTGCTAAGAACTTCGGAATATAACGAAGTATTTAGATGTCATCGATAATAAAATGACCAGTCAATAATTGGAATAGTATGTCGTCGTCAAAAAAGAACGGTTGAGAATGACCGAGAGTAGAATATGAGTCAAGAGGTTGACCGCAGAACTCTGGATGTTCGCAAGGTGACAAGAGATGGTGCGTGTGAATGATGGTATCGAAGCTATGAAACCTATCGAGCCTAGGTAGCGGTATATCTGCTCGTAGCTGGATATGGTGATATCTAAAAGCAGAGTATGTTGAAGCCGAAGGCTGAGAGTGATGGCGCTGAAAGCTAAGTCTCAAAGTTGAAAGCTGAAAGCGATAAATACAGAGTAAGCTGAGTGCGGAAAGACGAACGACTGTGGTGAAACGTCTGAGTTGGGAACAAGAGAACAGAAGGAGAAGAGGGCATTTTATAGAATTGGTCAGTTTAAACTTCCAAGCAATTACTCTATTACTTTCTAAAAGACATGGCAGGAGAGTCTTCCATTGATAAGTTTCAGTACATACTTTCTACAGTATGAGTCAATATAGTCAGTACTGAACACTATTTCGTTACCAAAGGTGAAGTCAATAGAATTAGAGTTCAGCAAGGGTCCGATGAAGATCTCCCGAACGCCAGTGTGCTCAGACCATGTGTTCCAGCCGTACGACAAATTAACTTTTTCCTCAATAGTAAACCTAATGTTCCAATGTGAGTTTAACTTTCAGATGCTTGCTGCGACTTACATGTGAGTCATAGTAGCAATGGGACTAGGGTGGAGCTCATTGATGTTACCTGGGAGATACAAGGACCAACACCCGTAAAAATTCCCTTCCCCAGGTTGACATTTCGTCGTCAAATGAGCTGACGTGATTGAAGTTTGAATAGGGTTGAGCCGTGTCGGAACAGGGCTCTATCTTTCTTGTATATTGACCACACGATGGATTTTTCATGAACTCGTGCAAACAGACTCCCAGCCATGTCGTTCTGGGACATACATCCACATCATCCACTGATACGTTAGTTCAAAAAACGATTTTAAAATTCATGTCTTTGTCACATCACGAGTTTACGACCTTGGGAAGAAGAGTTACGTGATCAAAGAGTTTCATAGAGTTGTTCCTTATACTCAGATTATACATTGCATTTTGCTAAAAAAAAAAAAAAAAAAAACTATTTTGAGGCATCGTCCCAAACCTTCATGACAAATCACTACCATCGACAAAACATAGAATATTAAACTCTCTCAGGTCCCTCAGCAAATTTTCTCCACAATGGGTCTTTGAGAAGAGTCTGCATAGCATCATTTTCAGTGTTCACGAAGACCTCGATACCAGGGCCGGCGGCAGGTCGTTCAGGCAGAAGGACGTGCATAGAGTGTGTGACTCCCACCTTGGGAGGTCGGATAGCAAGAATCTTTTCACCCAGGGCAGGACCCCACTTGATGTCGTAGAATGGAAACTCTCTCCACGAAGACAGAAGAGCGTGGTTGCCAGGCATGTCGAGGAAGATGGTAGGGATAAGACGAGCCACGTTATCGACACGCTCGACACGAGCGGTGATACTATCGAGGTAGGACTCCTTGGACTTGTTGACAGCACCTCGGACAACCAAGGCAATGTCAGCCAGGGTAACATCATCCTCATTCATCAGGGTATCAATGTCCATGATAGCAGGAGCAAAACCAAGAATATTGCCAAGAGTGTGTTTGTGAACATCCTGGCCAGCATATCGACGACGAGCATCAAGAGCAAGGCCGAGCATGGAAGGCCCAGTGGGCTTATCGCCACCCTCCTTATGCTTGTGCTGAGCGTTCATAGTGCAGCGCCAGACGAGGGCCGTGATAGCATCGTTGGTGGAAATGAAGGGGGCGTTGTCCTTATTTGACTTGAAGTGCTTGGCGTTGGCAGGGGAAGCGAGTTCCTTCAGGGCTTGGATCTTCTCAGGTGAGAAGTAAAAGACGTTGCCATGGGCGATAGGCATAGCCAGTTTCTCAGGAGGGCCCGTGGGTGTGAAAGGGATCTCGAGGTACTCAGCGTGGTCTTCAGGGTTACCAGGCTTGGCACCAGAAGACTTAGCGATCTTGGCTCGGTCTACCACAGGTATCTCAGCTGGCTCAGAGATAGAAAGTCCCTGAGCCTTTCGGACCTCTTCGGCTAGAAGCTCGGTGAACTTATACATGCAGGCTGCATCGACAGCAGCATGGAGGAAGAGCATGTTGAGAAGGAGACCACCCTTGACGAAGTTGAGTTGCAGCATGGTGGTGTTGAGTCTGTCAACTCCAGCGGCAGGCCACTCTCCACCAAGACCTCGTTGACAGACGACATCAGGTTCTAGAGCCGAGGCAGGAAAGCCCTGTGTCTTGAGTTCCTTAAAAGAAGGGAAGTCTTCATTTCGAAGGTCCTTCACCTTGAAGTCATGTTCGATCTCATCGCCATAATGACGGAGTTGTAGTTCACCATCCTCGGGGTATGTAGGTGTGGGAACAAACTCGCAGCCCGCAATAGGAACGCGGTCCTTGAATGCAGAGTAACTCTTCTTGAAGATTGTGGTCAACTCATCGGCGTCGTAGTTCTCGGGTAGCTCAAAGTGGTAGACGAGTCTGACCCAACCCATCGGACCAATCTTTTCAGTGGGAAGTAGAGGGGGCGCAAGGTCTACGACCTCAGTGACCTGCTCAGTCATGGCATTCTTGACAGAGACTTCGTGGGGTTGGTCGACGACCGAGATCTGAGATGGAACAGCAGCCATAATGGTCTGCTTGGCTAGTTCCTGATTGGCGGTTCGTGCGATTTATTGGGGGAATTAGTGAAGGATCGGGAAGGGGTAGAATGGATGTAACTGTAGTGGATATGGTACTTTTGGATTCTGGCTCGTCTGTTGCGGACAGGCCTGGCTTCTAATACTCGTGTCAAAAGGAGCATCTGTGGTGACGCGAGGCTGTCCGCCACCGGGTTTCGGCACCCGAGCTATTTTTCGTTGCTAGGTTCATGTTCTACTACATGTACGTCGAATCGTTACTGTTGCAGGGTCTGGCTCTAGTCTGTTCAACCATCCAACAGAGCCAATATGAGCGGGCTAGAGAGCAACAGACTGCTACACAAACAAACAATAGGGATCGGGATTGTTACCAATTGGAGTTCGGCCAATCTACTTGAGTATCCGTTATTGGCGCGTTCCGAGTGGATCCTGTCTATTATCAAGGATGCTATTTGAAGTTTAACGATCAGTAACTGAATCCAGGCATTGATCAACAAGAAGATAAGGAGGATTCAATTGGACCCTTACTAACTTGCTGGCCGAAGGGAGAAGAGAGGAAATTTGCTGTTTACGTGAGTGGATAGCCCCTTAGTAAGTTTCTTCGGGTTGCTAGACTACACCATACAAACGGCTATAATCCGATACCTGGGATCATTCTTGCATCATTCATCGGCTGATCGATACCTCTCCGGCTTGTAGGATTCCTTTCCCTCGGTCATTACCCCTGCGCCAATTCGGCATTGCAACGCCAAATCGAGAAAGTCCTAGCCATTGCGACACAACAAGAATCCAAACTGCTCTACCCGGGGTTCTGGAACAGTTTCTCCTAGCCATGATTGCGACGTTGCATATGTAAACGTTTCGGCCCATAAATGAGGTCCTGAAACATGCCTGTCTCCCGGGTGTTGGTCCTTGTCACACGCGGACTGGAAACGGTTGCGCGGATAACCAGGGTTGAATACCGAGTGGCCTGTTCGGCCTGACTAGCGTATACCAGAGCCGCAATGTGTCTTGGCAAGACCTACATTCAGATTACTGTCAGAACTTAGTGTCGATTGCGGAAATCTGCATCTCAACGGCTATGGGAATCAATATCGTTCTTCACTGCAACAAAGTTCAAGCTTGTGCTTGGTTCTTGGACTCGGGAATCGCCGCAGGTATCGGGCGGTACGATGTGGACAATGGGAGCGAAGGAATATGATCCATCCAACAGGGTAGCATCAAAGTGGACACATCAAAATGCCCCTCCCACTACGCGTTCCGAGTTTTCAACATGTGGGCTGTTTGCCATTGAACAGTAATTCACTAGAGGTCCTAATTTCGACTAAAATGAAGAGAGCATACAGGCTGTCCGTAACGGCTAAAGATTGACGTTTCGTCCAAGGCACAGCACGCGGAAGTGGGAAGAAGGAATGGTTGCCATGAAGGAAAAAGAAACAACATCCCCGTATCGTTTGATGTAGTTACCCAGTTTCTGTGTTTGCTTTTGGACCGGACAATTTCTGCATTTCCTTATTTATTAATGATTGAACGGCCCCATGGGCAAGCTTGATAAAGCCGCCGCCAGATTCTATTTCTACATGCAGCTAAGCTAAGACGGCTGTAACTCTGCTCTGAACCATGGAACTGGATCCCAATATCGTCGCCATCTTTGGCCCACCACCCAAAGATATGGATCTCAGCCAATATCAGATCACAACGTACAATATTGTTACTTGTGTCATTCTTGGAATCGCCTTCTTGGTTGTAGCTTTGCGCTTCTATGTGAGAAACATGAAATCTGCCCAACTGGAGATGGATGATTGGGCTGTGTTGGTGAGCTTGGTAAGTGAACAATGCTTTCATTCTCGCAATGTTTTTAACCTTTGTCTGTAGTTTTGTGCTGCTGCTACTGTCTCAATGACAATCTTAGGTATGCGGATGATCTAGAGAGTGGATAAGTATGGGACTAATGCTTTCTAGCTGGCCAACATGGATCTGGAGCACATGTTTGGTCCATCAAGATTATGACTCTCGTCGAAGTTTTCAAGGTATGTTAAGCTTGCATACCACTTTAGTCGTTCCATACTGATACTTGACATCAGATCGTTTACGCCGAGCCTTTCGTATACGCCCTCGCCGTTACGTCCGTCAAAATTAGCATTCTCCTCCTCTACCGTCGGCTGTTCCCGCTCGGCATCAATAAGAGTCGTGCTTATACGATAATGTTTTATGTTGCAACGTTCTTGACGAGTTGCTATCCCTTTATACTTTGGATCACAATGGCTTTCGCATGCAAGCCTGTCAGCTTTTTCTGGAACCAATACATCGGCGCCGAGGGAAAGTGCATAGATGTGAAGCTATTCTTCCTTGTGCTGGGAGTTATGAACATGGTGAATGACATTGTTATCCTAAGCGTCCCTATTCCCCGTATCTGGGCTTTGCAAATGAACAACAAAACCAAGGTTTCAGTTATCTGCATTATGCTTCTCGGTAGCTTGTAGGTTTTCTTCAAGCCGTGTGTATCACTCTAGTATTAACATTTTTCCAGTGTCTGTGTCGCCAGTATCGCTCGCATCTACTACCTCTGGGGTTTCTTCCAAAACCTCGATGCCACATGGTGGATGGGTCCTTCATTTGCCTGGTCAAGTCTGGAGCCGTCCGTCGCTATCATTTCAGCATGTCTCCCTACCCTAGCACCTCTCTTCCGACTCGGTCGCATGAGTGCGACATCTCGGGGCACGCCTTCTGGGGGAAACGAACTATCTAAATCAGGATCCAAGCATTTTCAGCTATTCAGCGTCAACCGAACAAAGGGAACTGGTTTCCATAGCGACGATGATGAGGTTGAGCTTACATACGATGTTGGGCGAGGGGGAGCGAGTGATGCGGCACCTTGGAATAATAAAGAGACCAAAGAATCGTCTGTTGAGCAGGGCATTGTTGTCTCGACCCAGGTGTCGGTTACACGTCATGATAGGAAAGATCTCAATGGTAGCATCTAGACAGAATTTAAAAAGATTTTTCTTTTTCTAATATATATTAATACTTTTCTTTAGTATTTCTTCATGAAGAGTCTTGTTGACTACAACTTATAGACAGATTAACTTTTATTAAAAACTCAAAGGAACTTAAGGCGGTATGTATTAAATAAATAAATTCAATTTAAGTAGAAGGTAATAAGCTTATACCTTAAGAACATAGCTAAACCTTGAGATTAACTTACTGCCCTACTATATATCACTTTACCCTATATACCTTAATTAAATTTAAGTTAAATAAAGCTTTGTCTTTAATTGATTAAATTAATATATATAACTATAGAATTATCTGAAGTTATTGTTTTCTTACAAATACAATATTATTACAGCTATGCAAAGTAAGGGGGTATACGGCAAAGCGGTAAGTTAATCTAAATTCTCGACAGGTCATAGTGGCTAAACGGCCAGCTATACTACTGTATGTCCCTTCGGATATTCCAACACTAAAACGCGGTGGCGACATCGTAAGGCTATTTGCCGAGAAGAGCGGCTCTCCTAATGCACGAATGTTTATTCGAAAAGCCGCTGCGGCGTTGGACAAGGTTGTGATGGAGGTTATACTAAGGGACCGTGAGATCGAAGGCTTGCGGGTGCTACTCGTTCAGGCAAAACCGGCTAAACGTGGCAAAATCGTCCAAGACCCGAACGAGCGCTTTGCAAGCCTTGCGCAGATACTTGTGCAAGCTAATCGAGAGCCTCAACAACGTGTTCGGAAGGTAAGAAATGCGGTACAAGAGGTCATTATCGTGGAGGGGGAGAGTAGCTTTGAGTCGGAAGAGGAGCTGGCACTGGCTCGACGGTCGGCACGCAATTGGCGACCAACAAAACACTATATGGAGCGAGGTTTAATTGCAGACGAAGAAAGCGACTAAATAGTGCCAAATGCGATTCCTGTTGTATTTTAACCATTTAACTTGACTTTGTTGCGACCTACTTACGTTGATGTACCAGTTGTGCGTTGTTGGCTGAATAGAGCCGGCCAAAGCCAGGGGTGGGCCAAAACTAGGGTGGGCGACTTATATCGTGTGGCCGGGGGCTTGTACCATCTGAGTTAAGAACCGTTCTTTGCACCACATCTTCTGGGGTCAAATGCTCATATTATTGCTTGCGCAAGGTAAAATTCAGCATGGAGAACCTTGGAATAAATAGAGCGCATGTCTTCAAGTTTGGCAGACATGATACGTGAGATATATTTATCAGGCGGCTGAAATAAGTACGTCCCTGAGATAAGGTATTCGCATAGTAACAGTAATGGTTCTCTATTGAATGCTAACTGCCTTACTGCTTAACGTAGCGGTCGAGAAATTCAGTCTGCATTTTGATGTTCTTCTCAAAATAGTCTCCCCTGTAAAGATCAAAATGTCCACATCCATCCAGGTAGAGTAGCTCTTTTGGTTCCCGAGCTTTGTTGAAGGCATCCATTTGGGATGCTGTTGATACCAAGACGTCGTTACCGGGAACAACAAATAAAAGTGGTGTTGGGGAGACTCTGTGAATCATAGACTGACCCTCAAAGCTGAGCATATGTAGTTGGGTTTGCGAAGTGATGTAGTTCTCCCAGCGGCTGCCACAAGTCTTTTGGAGACTCATTATATCATAGGCGTCCTTTGTGGGAAACATGGCGGTTGTTGTGGCGGGATCGGAAGATTCACGATCCGGAGCAATCAGCGGCACAATTGATGGGTCCAGCCCGGAGGTAATCCGACACCGGTCCTCTAGCAAAGTCGGAATACGATCTTTGAACGCAAGTGATCTAGTCTCGCCTGAAACGGCTGGGCACTGAATGATAGCAGCTTTGATCCGCTTATCGATCGCTGCAGCGTAGATGACGTTCCCACCAGAGAAGCTGCTACCCCAGTACACTATCTTATCCTTGTCGACACAGGGAATAGTGGCTGCATAGTTGAATGCATCATAGTAATCTGCTTGCTGTAACGGTGGGTTGGACTCCTGTCGAGGCAGGCCATCGCTGTCTCCCCAATTACGGTTGTCATATAATAATACCACGTATCCTGTGTCGTGAAAAGCCGACGCAAAATTAGGCAGCAGGAAGTGGCGGGTGCCACCAAGCTAGATGAACATCGCATATTAGCGATCCTATAACCTAAAATGCGATATGGAGCGGAGGCTGTAATATACTAACACCGTGGGTCATGATAATACAAGGCGAGGTCTCCTGTTGTGGGTATAGCCAGCCACGTAGTATGATACCATCGCAAGCTCGAAATTCGACGTCTTGTCGTGGGAGTCTCATGTTTGTAATCGCTTGTGGTACCTGTGTCCAGACCGTGAATGAAGGAGAAAATAAGCCAGTTCGTCAAGTTCAAAATACAACTACACTACCCTTACTTGAACGCAGACTGCATCTACTCTCATATAGTTATGGAAAGTATGGAATGGCTGGGTGCGGGATATTTACCCAAGGGCAAAATTCTCCAAACTGCATCTTTAGGTGCGATGCAGTCTAAACCTTTCTCAGAAGTCCGAACGCTGGAACCGCCAAGTGTGAAGGATCAATAATCCACAAAGCTCTCATCGTAATTATTAACAACCTGCACCGGCCTTATGTGTCAACTTTCCCGACGACCGCTACACTATGCTGTTCGGATGGGATCAAGTCATCTATCGCACATGATGCTCTCTGACTAAAAAGACCGCACCAGCTTCCCGTCTACCCTTGCCACCGGCTAGTACTTTGGTTTGCGGATCTTCCCAAGCCTGTGCGGAATATTGGACAACGCCTCCACCTCGGTAGGTTTTGTGTTCAGAGAGGATGAACTCGGCATTTCATTGGGGGTGGGGTGGTAAAATGACAAATCCACCTCGTCCATTCATTAACCTCGAGAGGCAGTACAATGACTTATCGCTGCGTTGCGGGTGCTTTACTTGACCTCGCTGATGTCACTACAAAGACGACTTAGACGACTAAGAACTTAAAGGTATCACTCACAGTAGCGGGGCCGAAACTGGAGAAAGTGGAGATGCCGCGGCTTAAAGGTGGATCTCGTCGGCTGGTCCAGTTATAGAACATGCACCCTAAAGGTACTTTAACATTGGCCTTAAGCCAAGCTCAACTTGAAGACTGTTGTGGCCGATTAATTATCTAGCTTGCTAGGTTGGCTCGCCTGCGCCAAAGGCCCATGTGAGGCAATAGATAGCAAACAGATTTAATAATCAAAAGGGGAGTTATTACTCCTCTTTACTCCGGATGAGGCGGAAAAGGCAGAAACACCTCGGATTCAAACCCCATGTCATCGCCACTATCCTGATAAAAAGCACCACCACATATTTACAGAACCATCCATTTTCTATGCATCTCGAGATGACTCAATCTTTGAAACATTAAAGACCAGCATTCCGCACCTCAATTCGCAATGGCTACCATGAAAGCAGTTGGCGTCGCCAAATACGGCCACATTGATAATCTGGAATCACGTGACGTCCCGCGACCAGGTAAACCGACTGGCCGTGATGTTCTTGTCAAGTGAGTTGCCCCTGGTAAAAGTCTCACCTTCTGAGTCTAACCAGACCGTTAGAGTCCAGGCGTGCTCTGTCAATCCGATCGATGTCAAAATCCGGGCTGGCATCTATGATGATGCTCCAGGTAGAGTCTCACTCCTGAACTTCACACCATCTGCCTTAGGTTGCATACTAAGTGGGAGAAAGATTACTACAAGTTTTCACCAAAGGGCTTCCATATCATCGGATATGACGGTGCTGGGACTGTCTTAGAAGTTGGCTCTGAGTGCAAGTTCTTCAGGCCTGGTGACGAGATCTCGTATGTTGGTGCTTCAACGCGTCAAGGCAGCTACGCGGAGTACCAGCTAGTCAGCGAGCTTCATTGTGCTTCCAAGCCCAAGTCTCTGGACTTTGTCCAAGCTGCAAGCTTTGGATTGACCTTTGGAACGGCCTACCAGTCTTTGCACCACCGGCTAGAGATCAAGCCCAACGAGAACGTGGGCATTCTGATCGTGAGTTTACCTTCTTCTCGGCCACCCCGCGTGTCATCTTTCACCTTGACTGACATCTTACGCATCGATATAGATCAACGGTGCTGGAGGAGTTGGTAGTGCTGCTATTCAGCTGTCGCGCAATGTCCTGAATCTCCCCGTAGTTGTTGCTACTGCATCTCGGCAGGAAACGATGGACTATTGCAAGAAGATGGGCGCCACACATGTTATCAACCATCGAAAAGATCTTGTGGAACAAATCAAAGATCTCAATTTGAGCGTTCCGATCAAGTACGTCCTTCTCCGCTGCGTTATTAATCGGGACCACTGCTTACTTAGCCAAATAGGTATGCTTATGTCTTGGCGAGCACTGAGCAGTATGTCGACGCTATTGCAAAGATCTGCGCGCCCTTCGGCAAATCTTGCACCATTGTCCAGGCTGATGTCAGTCTCTATGGGACCGACTTCATGTCAAAGTCAATGACCTTCGCATGGGATTGGCTAGGTTCAGCTGCCTATCATCGTACAAATGTCGAAGGCTATCATGAAATATTTGGTACCATAGCGCGTCTGATGGATGAAAAGAAGCTGGTTCCTACCCTGGGCAAGCGGTACAAATTGACGCTTGCTGGGCTGAAGGAAGCTCATAGACAGGTCGAGTCTAAAACTACAATAGGTAAGGTTGGCCTCGGGGTCAATGAGCCCGGCGAGGGGGCTTCCTTTGCTTGAGACAAAGATTAGGTCGCGCATGGACTCCATGCCTGGTTGAGAAACATTTAAATCATTATTTGCCTAGTGCTTATGCTCGCTGAGACAACCATTCTGTCAGAGCTTTGGTTTATGGCTGTCTTCGTTTTATATTCCGCTCTTGATTACTATCTCTAAGTTCTGTTGCCGTGAAAGAAATACATTTTTTTCGCTGTAACTGAGCAAAGTTAAAGAGAGTTTTTGGATTACTCCTCGATATCAGAATTTTTTCCACCTAAACATTATCATTCATTCCCGCACTGGGATCTTCCTCCGTCAGTAAGCTTCTTCACCAACTCGATATGACAATTCATGGTCGGCTGCAATTACGTCTAAAATCGTGCAAAGTCTCATCTAGTAGAACCAATGGCGCTCTGTTCAGTGCGGTAAAATGCTTTTTTTTCCGAACTGGTCCCTTTTTTCTCAAGAAGGAGTGAACTTCCCCAATGTTGATCAAGGTTGAAGCCATGCGTCAAGGAAAGTGTAAACCTTGGCTTTGTAAACCGACGTCGGATGGACTAGTCTATATTTCAGCCGTGATCTGGGCTTTAAGCTCGCGAGAATGTGAAACGCGAAGGATACTTGATGAGTAATTGAAATGACCAGAGTAGGCCAAGTTTACTAATCTGAAGAAGCCTTACCAATTCTCCCGAACGTGACACTACGTATGTACGATACATGTGTCCAGATACCTAAAGTTTATACAGGTGGAGCGGATGATGATCAGCCTCGGCATTACTGGAAGTCTCCATAAGATCGCAATATATGAATACCTATGGGTTCAGCCATGCGAGAAAAACGGGAAAGTTCATGTCTCTAACATACGACTGTTAAAGGAGCTCAAGTTTATAATCTGCCCTCAGTTCTTCATTTTCTTTACTGTCCCAACCCAAACCGTACGCACACGCCTCAACCCGCACAATGCCTCGAGTTGTCAGTCAAATCACCGGTGCGCAGTGGGAGAAGGATGGCCCACAATCACCGACCCAAAAGTTCTTCAAGCAATACGTTAATGCCGTTGACTCGAGGGGCTACGATAGCGGCTCGGGACTCAAGTTCTATTCCAAGGATGTTGTCTTCCACAACCAGAACGGCGCCGTCTACTACGGAGGAGATGAAATGTGGGCATGGATGAAGAAGCTTTTTGATGTGTTTGAACGTATTCATCATGATTGGATCCAGTTCCTGGAGGTTGAGCGCGATGATGGGACCAGCCAGATCTACACTCAGAACATTCGAAACCTTTGGCTCCGCGGAAACAAAGGAGACAAGCCGAGTGTTAGCATCCCCGTCACGATGATTGCTATTATTGGGAAGAGTGGAAGCGATGAGACTGCCGAGGGGATGCATTTTAAAGAGGTCTGGCTCTACTGGGATACGGCCCTTCTTCTACCCTATCTCCCTAAGGAAGCCGTAGTCTTTAAGACGAAGAATGTCGTGCGCGCCAATGAGGACTAGTTTTATCTCCTGAGAGTCACAAGGTTGCAACGCGGTACTAGGAAGGGTCACTCAGGTTAATGCCAATAACTAACAAGCTCTCTATCAATCATTAATTCCGTCCCGCGATTTTCTCTACAAAGTTTATAATGTCGTCTAAAAGACGGTCTGCAAAATTAAGAACCAGCACTATGCGATAATGGTTAGTCATGTTCAATTAGGCGTTGAAAACTGCCAACTCACCATGTCCTCCTTCGTCATATATAGTCAGCGTCGCTCCAGGAACCGACTTCTGAACAAGTTCTGCGCTCACTTCGGCGGGCACTCCACCATCGCCTCCTCCATGAATAAGGAGAAAAGGTTTCTGAAAGATTTGCCCGAACCTCTTGATCTGCCCAGACAGATCCTCGTGAGTATAGATTTGTAGGCAGCGTTCAAGCGCGATCGGATCATTCTCGAAGAAGATATTCTCGAAAAACGCAATCTGCTTCTCGGTGACTGAACCGGATGTTCCAACTCCAAAAGGCCCCCTGAAGCCGTTGGCGATAAAGTTAGGCCTATCTTGTCTTATGGCCATAAGAGTTGCATCCCATACGCTCTGTGGCGGAGCCTTCGGATTTTGGGGTGAGGCTGTAGGGTACGGCAGGCACGTGCTTGCCCATATCATGCCCTAACACATTGATGAGACGTTGACTTTATTAAGTTAGCCTGCCACATAACTTACCTGACAGTTTTCCTGGATATAGGGGCTGTTAAGATACGCCATAAGCGCTTCGCCCGTGCTCATGCTGGTAGCGACAAAGACAAAAGGCCCTGGCTGGATTTTCTCCAACAGACCCGTCAAGTCTTGCCCAAGCTCTTTGTAGCCAATGGGCACCGTGGAATCATGTCCAGTCCACTCGCTCTTACCAAAACCTCGCCTATCAGGGGCAATAACTCGGTATCCGTGGGTCTCGCAAAGTGGCAGCAGGATCGAGTCGTACATTCGAGACGAGAGAGGCCATTGGTGAAGAAGGACCAGAGTTAAACTCCTGGCTGCCTGAGGCAGTTCTGTTGCAAGCACGGGAGGTCTGCCTTCTGGTGCGTAGTCGCGATAAAACAATTCCGCGCCATCTACGGAGCTAGAGTATCGAGGCATGTTGGTTACATATGAGTCGAGCAAAGACTTATGATACCAATGGAATGTGCAGTGGATATTCTTCAAATAGAGTATAGATATATAACGCATTAAAACTAATACTTCATTAGTAATAGGAGATTCAAGTGACCTTGATTACTTCAACACAAGTCTGATTCCTAATCAACATTACTTGTTCACTTATTAATTTCTCCGTGAGGGGTAAACTCAACATTGTGGGACGCGGAGGTCCATGCTGTCCTAAAACTTAATTGCTAGTGAGCACCTTCAGAAATGAAGAGATGGGAGGACTCTCGTCGGTCGGGCGTCTGTTCCTTGATTGGTTCTTGGATCGACAGGTATCTTGGTGTTAGAGTCGAGGTGAATACCAAAATAGTCCGCGGCTCAGTATATTCTTACATGTTACACCAGGTGATTAAGCTCAACAGTGGATCAGCCCTAGCGACCTCGGCTCATACAGTCTCTCGGAACAGCCGGAGCTGATTACTATACTCTAATTCATGCCGTAGTCTATTACCCAACAATGTGCTGACAAATATTTGAAGGGTTTAAACACTTAATCATTAAATATATCTCGTCCAGGAGGTACAAGATGAATCAGTCTCCCCAAAATCATATGTAAAAAAGCAACACAGAAAATCGCCATTCTCAAATTATCCTGTTTCAATATGGGCTTACAGTACAAAGTCTTTTTCAGCAAACGCAATTCGGCCACTAGGACTGGCCCAGCGGGTCACGATCACCTCAAGTGGGTGCCTACTTCTTCCACCCTGATATACGGCGACCAAGATGCTGTTTTAGTCGACGCCCAATTGACTACCCAAGCGTCAAATGAACTTTTGGACTGGGTAGTTGAGAGTGGCAAAAATATCACCCATGTCTATGTCACACATGCTCACGGCGACCACTTCTTTGGTAGCGCGCCCATTTTGGAGCGATTTCCCAAAGCAACCTTGGTCGCAACGGCTGAAGTCGTGGCCAGGATGAAGCTAGAGACTGCACCAGAACGGATGACTGGGCTTTGGGAAAAGCTATTTCCGGGCCAAATTCCGCCAAATTTGAGGCTTGCGGAGCCTCTTCAACAAGACTATCTCGAACTAGAAGATGAACGTTTAGAGGTGATCAGGACGGGTCACACGGATACTGATGAAACGACAACTCTCTGGGTTCCTTCCCTCCAACTTGCGGTGACTGGTGATGCTGTATACGCAAACACTCACCCATACTTGGGAGAGTCCGGAACAGCTATTAAACGAAGGGAGTGGATTAAGGCTCTGGATACCATCGCCGCACTCCAGCCTAAGCATGTCGTGGGCGGGCATAGTGATCCGAGCCGCCCATTTGGGCTCGAGGCAATTGAGGACACCAAGACATATTTGGAGGACTTCGAGAAACTGAGTGCTGAGACGAAGACGGCCGAAGAGCTTTATGCCCGCATGATGGACATTTATCCGGACCGTCTCAATCCGGGTTCTCTATGGGCAGGGGCTATTCTAGTCCATCAGTCGTAGCATAAGATAAAGCCTGCACGTGATTATAACATAGGGTAAGGGTTAGGTACTATTACGTATCTAAGGCAATTCTGCCCAGGGGTTGTACTTTAGCTATACATATAACTTATATCAACATAAAATAGAATAGAAAGAGATAGGATTTTTATAACGAGTATGTTCTCAAGGGATAAACTCGTTTGTGCTAGACTTGAATTGGCAGGAATTTAGTATTTACAGTAGAGGATCTATATGCAGTTGTAAGCACCACTGTAATTGCTACAATAACGATTATAGCCTAATCCTTTGCCCTGTGGCGTAGTGGTTAGGTGCGACCGTTACACTAGGCGTGTAGTTTAAGCGTAGCGAGGAGTTACGTCTTACAATAGACAAGCATGGGGAGCTGGCGTGTTCGATCGTCGATCTTTGCCTTGGTGGTGGTGTACTGAGAAGATTTCCTCCAGCAGTAACTGCGGAATCGTAAGTCAGACTGGGTTATCCCGTGCTTATAGAGGAAAAGAATTCATTTACCTCAAAGCAATGTATCTACCAATCTCACCATTGCCGGTTTCCTCGAGTCTTACGTAGGGACTGCTTTTGTTACCGACATCAATGACTCTAGATGGTAACAGTGTATCCCGGGTACAACAAGCTGAATGCTGATTGCACTCATCTATCCATTTGATTGTTCTGGAAATTCAGATTGGTAATCCTTCATCTCGCTCTACTGGTCTACCAGCAATCACTGAAGCAAGAGGATCATCTATGATAGTTTAGTGGCAATATCTCCAGAAAGTATGATGCAGTCCGGATAAACTTACCATCTTTGACGCACAACCCAGTCGTAGCTAATAACCTGATAAGTTCTTCCTTCTCGCTATGAGGATAGCTCAAGACCTAAAAGCCACCTCCATCTGGCCTCTTTGTGATTTAGAACCCCCATAGAGGCCACGCGTATATGGATCCAGACTTTACTTCCCACCTCGGCTGAAGCTCTTCCAGCTTCAGTTGACATAGCTCACAATTAAGATCTTGATACGATGGCTTTAGTGTTCAAGGTTTTGAAGATGGGAGTAGCCTTTGCGATCCTGGGACCACTCCCAAAACTCTTGCACATAAGCATAGTCGCCGCCTACAATAAGTATCTCTTCAGTCGGCCTTGGAGGAAGGTCATACCATAGAATCGCCTCACAGACGCTGCACAAGACTATGATGATAGCTGAGCTAAATTTTGTTGACTCGTGATTCAATGAAAGGATAAAAGACGCAGGTAAGATGTAAATAATGCCTGTCTGAGGCACCTTCGACAGAAAACAAACAGCACTGGGTTCAATTGGAGTAACTTGCATTGGCTCGGACTGCTATAGAATTACTGCCCGTTTCGGCCTACAAACGTAGAGGCATGGAAGAAATCAGATAAATATTTACTAATCTCGATCTTATAGTAGTGGCCTAGGATCAACACTCTCTAATGTTGGTGTGACCTCTCCAAATAACCCAGCTTCCTCGTCAATAGGTAATACATCAATGGTTGTCTCCCTTCTAAAACCACCACCATCCGGGATGTGGAACCTATGGTACGCAATGTACCACTCATCGGTTCCTGGGATATTCAGTACTGAGTTGTGTCCTGTGCCCAGGATTCCCTTTGACTCATCCTTCTTTAGAATGACACCGCGATAAGTCCAGGGTCCAAGAGGGTTATCAGCTGTCGCATACCCGACACGGTAGTTCTCAGAACCTGTGTCATCGATAGAGTATGTCAGGTGGTAGGTTCCCTCACGATAGTTGACGAAAAGGCCTTCGCGGAAGTCTTCAAGTCCGGAAATACGCTTCCATGTACCTGATTTGAGGGACACCATGTCGTCATTCAACTCGGCAACGACAGGAACACCGTTGCCCCAGTAGATGTACCACTTTCCGGTCTCTGGGTCTTGGAAAGCTGCTGGGTCGATGGCCTGGTTGCTGACGATAGGTTCGTCTGAAGTACCCTTAATCATGGGCTGAGATTGGGCCTTCCAAGGACCTTCAGGATGGTCTGCAACTGCAACGCCAATGCTCTTGTGACCATCGCTGACAGAAGGATTGTTGCCACTGTGGTAAAAGTAATATTTTCCATCACGGGCAGCAAAGCCAGGCGCCCAAGCGTTGCCAGTTGCCCATGGCACATTTCCGTTCTCGCCATCAAGGACAAGGAAAGGTTCCTCGCTCTTTGTCCATGAGACTAAGTCTGGGGATTTCCACCAGTAAAATGCATTACCACCCCAGCCTTCGAAACCATCAGTAGTGACAAATAGATAGTAGGTATTGTTGACAACGGCAATGTTGGGGTCGGCCCAGAGCCCTGGAAGGACAGGGCTGTCGCGCTTCGTGAGAACTCGAGCCGAAACTGGTCCAAGAGTCAGGAATGCTACAAGGGCCTGGCATGGGATGGAGAGAAGACGCATGGTGAAGGTTGACGAGCGTAGAAACTCATTGGCACTCGTGTCAGTGGCTTGTTTTTTTAATTATATACCTATTCCATGCATCTAACTATGAAGTGACGACAGCAGGTTTCTGGAAGATTGGCATGGCTTTACCTGTTCTACGGACCGTTTCGGACCGAAGTCTACTCAAGTAAGCTATTTCGTCCACAAATTCTATTCGCGCGCAAAACCAAGTCGTTTCCCCCGCATATAAATCTGGGGGATCGGCAATGCGGGGTGCAGAATTCAGTTGTAAGCGCTCGAGTGGTTGGGGATTAGAGAGTCTCGTATTAATCTCCGATACTACCTTTAGATCGTCCGCGTGATTGTTCCAAGTTTTAGTAAAGGCCGGGGTGAAATAATGCCTCGGATTTGTATCTGCCGGCACACCAATCTGGGGTACTGGAAATGACAATGGGGAACTGCATGCAAGTTTGTTTCGGGCATGTGGCATTGGCAGAGGACTTGCTCAGATACAGATCTGTAGGGAATAAAGTTGGTCACAGGAAAGAAAGTCTCGACAGTCTTAAGCACATTGATCAATTGATTAAATGCCATATATGTGATAAATTTGAAGTATTTACAGGCTCCAATGCAGATACAGGAAAGAGGATTTAGCTCACGACGACTCAAAAACAGACTAGCCACTAACCGGCTCAAGAAACAAGCTTAAAGCACCTAGTAAGCAACAGGCCAGCCATTGTCGTATCGGAGAAGGTTGATACCGAGGAGAGCAGTTCCAGCGTTATCATAGTAGTGGTAAACAAGAACATCAGCGTCGGTATCAGTGAAGACAGCGTTGTGGCCAGGGCCGTGGATGTTGCCGTGACTAGCCATGATCTCAGTACCACCACCCTGCATCATCTGCTTGCCGGCCTTGTCGACATAGGGACCGGTGATGCTGCTTGATCTACCAACCATGACGCGGTAAGTGCTGGCGGCACCGTTACAGCACTTGTCGAAAGAGACCCAGAGGTAGTAGAAGTTGCCCTTCTTGGTGATGAAAGGAGCTTCAACGGCACCGTCGACAGAGGTATCGCGCTTGGCAAGAGAGTAAAACGAAGTACCAGTGCGCTTACCGGTGTTGGGGTCAAGCTGGATCATCTTGATGCCGGACCAGAAAGATCCGAAAGAGAGCCACCACTTTCCATCGCCGTCGACAAAGAGGTTGCCGTCAATGGCATTGTAGTCGTTGTTGTTGTTGGTCTCAATCACAACACCTTGGTTGGTCCAAGAACCTGAAGCGCCAGTCTTGCTGGTGGCGAGGAAAATGGCAGAAGTGCGCTGGCCAAAGGATGAGGCAGAGTAGTACATATAGTACTGGCCATTGTGGTAGGAGATATCAGGTGCCCAGAGGTTCTTCTCGCCCTTGGTGTACTGTGTTGTCCAGGGTGCTCCGTTGGGGAAAGCAGCGCCAGCTTCCTTCCAAGCCGTTCGGTCTGTGGAAGTCTTAAGAGCGACATAGTCTCCAGTGTGAGCCATCAAGTATCCTCCTTGAGGCATCTTGACGACAGTGGGATCGTGAACGCGAGTAGCGCCAGTGACAGGGCCGGGGTTGGGATAGGCGGCGCTGACGGCCGAAGCCATGGCCAGCATTCCGGTGACGACGAATTTCCACATTATGGCGATCAAATAGATGTATTGTATGATGTGGTAGCTGATCGACGGATCTTCAATTGAAACAAAAGACTGCGGCGTAACATTACCTTTATACTGTTGATCTTGTTACCCCTTCCATCCTCGGTATTTGGACATAGGTAGTCCTTAATCTACCGGCCTAGTTTCAGTGAGTATTGAAACGTGACCCTACAGGAAATCTATACGCGACATGGGCTGCCTGCTATTTCCCGTTGGTCCCAACTTGTAAGCGCGCCACGGAAGAATTAATATGGGACGGAACTTGCGGTCCGTTTCCGTATTTGGTTAACTTGCACGCGGACTAAAGGGACGGAATGACTAGAAGTTACTCACACGAGATGATAAGCAAAAGTATAATTAAGCGCGATGAAAGGAACGTTGCTTGAATGGTTACTTAAGATCCGTGGAACAAATAGTTCTGTCGCGCTTGTGTGTGTTTTGCTGTAAAAGGCAGGTAGTTTATACGCGTATCCGCAGGTAGTAAAGACCGCTGACTTCACCGCCAAAGCGGCTGACGATCAGTTGAAACAGCCAAGGACAAGTCTCTCAAATCTCACTAATTCCGCAAGCTTTCATACCACCTGTTTGAAATATTTCAATAAATGAGATGCGACTAAAGTTTCCACATATTTTGAATTGCTTCTTTAAGAAGTTTTATCACTTCTCGGCAGCTGAAAAAGGTCACAAGGGAAATACATGCAACAACACCAATCAATTGTGCTATCGAATTGGTCATGGTGGATCGGTCATGTTTCAACAATACAGATGGACAGAAGCAAATATCATGAGTACTTGACGGAATGTATTTGATCTACATCACTTATGCTGACTTTGAACGAGACTCTCCCACTCCGTCAACAAACCCATAATCTCAACACTCTTTTGAACGTTCGGTGAAGGACGCTCCGCCTCTTTCACGCCACGACTCAAACAATCCTCCACCGTCTTGACTTGGTGCCCAAAAGCATCCAACTCAGCCGGAACAACAATCTGCTCCGTCGCGCCACCATATTTCTTGACTTCAATGATGTTATCCCCTGCAATAGGCAGCCAAGGATTTGTAACAAATCTTATTCTTCCCTTGTCTCCAAGAATGGAAAACGAAAAGTCGTTACCATAGCTGTCTGTTGATTGCAAACTCGCAAGTACACCATTGTCGAAACGCACCGTCATGGAGGCATCTCGTACATGGACGGTGCCATCGGTGGAAATGTTGCCGAAGCCTTGCAACTGACGCGCTGCAAAAGCGTCCTTTCCAAAAGCTGTCTCAATGACAAAGTGGAGAAGAGAGACGGGATAGCAACCGAGGTTGTAGATGGTGCCCATGCTAAAGGGATTGGCTTTCTTCCAGATGTTCGCAGAGTAATATCCCGAGACACCACGAACCGTACCAATATGTCCCTCAAGCAGCAACTGTTGCATCTTTTTTATGACGGGGTGTGTCAGGTACATCAAACCCTCCAAGAAGAAGACGTTCGCATCGTTGACAGCTTTCTCAATAGCCTTTGAATCCTCCATTGTGGTCGCGAGGGACTTTTCGGAGAGTATTGCCTTTCCACGCTTTGCTGCTGCTAGCACTGCGGGGGTGTGCATGTGGTTTGGCAGGCCAACGTACACGACATCAATTGAAGCTTTGTCGAGAAGGTCGTCGATCGAAGTATATCGCTCCCCGATGTTGTGCTTGTCCGCAAAGGCTGTTAGGCGCTCTTCATTTCGACCAAAGACAGCCGCGATGGTTGAGTTCCTGCTGTTGAGAATAGACTTGGCGACGACATCGGAGATGAAGCTCGTACCGAGCATACCCCAACGCAGCACAGCCATGATGTTTGGAAGTCAAAGCGAGTCCTGTTCGTGATAGTTGCAATGAGAAGGGAGCAATTAAAAGTCCTCCTGGAGTTGAAAATAACGTTATGTGAGTAAGCAATTAGAATTTGAGGATCTGACCTATGAAACATCTTGAATCGGCGTCCGCCTCCGTTTAGACTCCGGTCTAATCCGGCTATCTCCGCGTTATACCGCCGGGATCTTTTTCTCAGCAATGTCGTCAAACTGCATTATTAATACACAAAGAACTCCTCCGCTGGCCTATGAGCTTGGTTTTGAGTTTGTTAAAGTCAGTAGCAATTGAATTCCCTGTTTTCTAAATATCCATACAGGGCCATGGGCTGTTGGCTGCATTGGTAAACTTCCATGGAAATAAAATTAGCGACGATTACGAACATCTCCACGACATGTCAACCATCCAATCAAATACTTGAATATGCAAGATATGTTTGTATTATTGGATTCACAAAGTGGGAAACCCTCCATGGAAGAGTGAGCGTTGATAAATCATGAGAAGAATGGGCCAGAGCGATGGTGATGATATAATGTATAAAAGGTCGACCGACTTCTGACAATTTTGTATGAAAGATTACTATCATAACTACCGAAATCAAACACTAAATCATTTATTGCTGAGTCGCAATCCAAGATGGGCATCAAGACTGATATCACGCTTTACACTGAAGGCACCCCAAACGGGCTCAAAATATCCATTGCTTTGGAGGAATTAGGTCTGAAGTACAAGGTTGACATCCTCAGCTTCTGAACAATAACAAATCGCTGACTCGCAATCAAGGTCGTCACTTTGGACTTCAGCAAGCATGAGCAAAAAGAACCATGGTTCCTCGCCATCAATCCCAACGGTCGCATCCCGGCCATTACCGATAAAGACGAACTTGGCCGTGAGATTCAAGTATTCGAGAGTGGTGCGATCCTCGAGTACCTCGTCGCCAGATACGATGGAGACCACAAGATATCTTATCCTTACAAGTCCAAGGAACATTGGGAAAGCATCAGTTGGCTGATGTGGCAAGTCTCCGGCCTCGGACCTATGCAGGGCCAGGCCAACCACTTTACTCGTTAGTCCAACACGGTTCAGTCAATCAAGTTAGTGAGCTTACTATTGTGGATAGGCTACGCACCAGAAAAGTTAAATTATCCAATCAATCGCTACGTTAGTGAGAGTCATCGTCTCTACCGCACTTTGGACCAGCAGCTTGACAATAATGGAACTGGTTATATCGTCGGAGAAAGACTTACCATTGCAGATATTGCTGTTTGGCCATGGGTAGCTGCCCATAGTAAGTCAGACAACACAGGCTTCCATGTAAGAGCATCCTAACTGGTTTTGAAGATTTTTCCGGGCTTCCCGATGTCATGAAGTACATTCATATCAAGAAGTGGTTCAGTAACCTTTTGGGACGACCTGGATTTGAGGCTGGCCGTAATGTGCCGAGACCTCACTTTCACATCACCCTCAATGACCTGCCTGAGGAGGAATTGGAAAGGTTCGCAGAGCCGGGCATTAAGTGGCAGAATGAGGCTCGGGAGAGGGAGGCTGCATTGTCAGTAGACCGAATTGATACATGAGCGATATGAGCGCTACTCTTATCCCATAGGCATCTTTACGCCGATGTCACACTCCACTCCCTATATTTGTTGGCTAAATCATCGGCGTTCTTGTAAAATGTCTAGCCTGTGACATTTTAAACTTTACTACCGTTGAACAATGAAATATTCAGTTAAATCTAATACAAATACCCGGCAAGCAGTGATCTTGTTGGCATATCGAGAGAAATCAAATGGCCCAATGAGTGCATCGAGACCGTGATTAGCGAGTGTTCTTAATCACCGCCTCTGTAGGACTATCACAACCTTCGTAGTAGTCATAAACCGAGACATCATCAATGTAAACTGTGACCGTGTCGCCACTATACCCGGCCCTGCAGAAAAAGCCAATGGATAGGTTTTGGTCATCCTGACCAGCAGTAATGTGAAACTCCTGCATGTAATACTGGCCCTGTTGAATAGTCTCTCCGCCATCGGTATAGACAAAGTGCATTGTTTGACCCAGGGGTCCAGCACTCGTACCGATTCTGCAGTCATCCGATTGAAGGGGTTGCCCTTGAAGAGACCAGTAGTATCGAAGTACGTATTCTCGACCGGCAACTACGCCTTGCAGCGATTGTAAGATCGATGATGACCATGCGCCATCTGGATATTTGATCGCACTTGGGCAGGCCCATTAGCATTGGAATGAAGCACAAAAGATATAGAAACTTACATTGCATTGCTTCCCCCTCTGCCAGAGTTGGGCGATAGCCAAGGGGTCTGCAGAAAGACCCAAGGCGATGTAGTGACCCATTTCCCACTAACCTTGTTGTCAAAGGACGGGTTTTGGACGTAGTTGATATATTCACCTGTGAATGTACACTGGGGTGGTGATGAAGATGTAGCAGTCTCGGTAGCCGGCAACTCGGTTGTAACATAAGCTGTCGTGATAGGTACTTCTGTCATGGACGAGACAATCGTCACCAAGGTTGTTACAGAGTTCGATTCAGTGAATGTGGTTGTCGGGTCAAACGCAGTCGATTCAACTGTTGAAGTAACGAGGGTAGTGGCCTCGTCAAAGAAGGTGGAAGCCCCAGGAGTGAGAGTGACGGAGCTGATGGGAGCTTCTGATGTTGAAGCCGTAATAGGAATGATAGTTGTAGCTGAGGAAAGAACTTCAATAGGAGTCGGGATACCCTCAGTAGTAACCATTTCAGTCGTACTCGTTTCCATGTGGATAGTCGATGATCCAGAGACAGGCTTACAAGGACTGGCTTCGATGTTGCCAGCTAAAGTAACAACTGCAACAGCAGTCAAAAGCTTGTGAAAGATCATTCTGGAAGTTAATCACTGAAAGAGTGGAAGTACGTCAAAACGTAGGAGAAAACGAGCGACTGGATGGAGTATCCCTCGAACAAGCGTTCCGCTTCATGACCTTCATTATAAAACTTTTTTCTCGATGAAGTGCTGTTACATTGTTGGTCAAAAGGTCATAATATGGCCGGAACTATTGGCTTAGCGTCTCAATAGTCTCGAGAATAACGGTCTAGTGTCGGGCATAGAAGCATAAAACGCCGTCGGATACGGAGTACAGGCCCCTATAATATGACAAAGTCTCGCTGTAACCATGATCAATCTCGCGAGGAAAGCGGCTAGCCCATCCAAGTATTCATCACTCAGTCTCCAGCGCGTTCGAATGCCAAGAAAGCAATATTGCGATAACTACAGATCTGGAGAAATACTATTCCGTTCGCCGGGTTCGGTCATAATTCATCTTGCATTGCTTATCCCCGCGTATCGTCAAGGATAATCAAGTCGGTTAAGTGACCGCTTATCCAAGGATGCTAAACCCGACACAAAGCCGTGGTCAGCATTGATTTGTCGAGATAAGGTTCAATTTACCTTGTGTCCACGCATAACTTCATCATCACTTTTCGTTTTATAACAATGCATACTCTATCGTGAAATATCTGGATAAAGACTTCAAAACATATCTAAGAATGTCAACGAAAAATGAGTCAGATGACAAAACAAAAACTACCGAGAAGGATCTTGACCGCCTCTCTTACAGTCAAGACACTGCAGTCAACACCCAAAATGGAATCCAACTACCCGTCGGGTTCGAAATCCTAGATCCATCATTCACTGTAGCTGGATTTCTCCTGTCAAAAAATATTATTGCCTCACCAACCTCCGTCCCAAAGATTCCCTATTTCCAATCGCCATTCAGTTGGTCACACCGGAAGAAGGTAACAATTCTTTCTGGAGCTTTCATGGCATCAACACTTGCATCCTACTCCTCTGGTGCATATGCAATGGCATCGGAGCCTTTAAGAAATAAATGGAACCTCGGTGACACACAATTCAACGCTGGCATTACACTCTTTGTCACAGGGTTTGCCATTGCACCAATGGTACTTGCCCCCGTGAGCGAAGTACATGGCCGGTACTGGGTCTTTGTCGGATCCGGAATTGTGTTCTTTCTTGGAAGTTTGGGATGCGCTGTAACAGAAAGCTTTGCTGGGATGATGGTAGCCCGTCTAATTACGGGCAATGGCGCCGCTGTTTTTGCAACGCTCACTGGAGGTGTTGTCAGCGACCTTTACCGAAAAGAAGATCGCAACACTCCAATGGCCTTATACTCACTTTCCATAATGATCGGCACTGGGCTGGGACCTCTGGTCAGTGGTGCAATCGTGGATCGTCTGGGATGGAGGTGGATCTTTTATCTCCAGCTCATCACCATTGGGACTGCAACTACCATCATATTCTTCCTTTTCCAAGAAACTCGAAGCAATGTATTACTAAGGAGAAAGTGCATCTCACTGAACAGCGTGCAGTACAAGACACGAAATGGAACTATGGTGAGCTTTTGTCCATCGGTCGAAGAGAACTTACACATCGATATTGGTATGGTATGGCGAAGTCTCGCATTTCCGCTGCGTCTGCTGGTTACAGAATCAATCTTGTTTTGGTTCTCGCTATGGGTTTCTTTTGCTTGGGCAATCTTGTACATGCAGTTCAGCAGCATTGGACTCGTTTTTCGAGGTGTTTATGGGTTTGACAGTACTCAAGTTGGAGCAGTGTACGCGGCAATCGTTGTTGGGTCGATTCTAAGCATTACGATGGCCGTCATACAGGAACCCCTCACCCGTTGGATATTACCTCATAAAACGCTATCTGCCACACCTGAGCAACGGCTACTTTCCCCATGCATTCAATCCATTCTTCTACCCATAGGATTATTCTGGTTCTTCATGTCTGCTAGGACTGACGTAAGTTGGATTTCTCCGACACTGGCAATTGGGTCTTGCACAATGGGTATCTACAGCATCTATCTGGCGGTTTTCAATTACTTGGCAGACACATATCACAGTTACGCTTCATCAGCTCTGGCGGCTCAGAGTCTATGTCGGAATTTATTGGGAGGAATATTTCCATTACTTACAGCAAGGATGATCAACTCCTTGACATTGACAGGTACAGGAGGTCTATTGGGAGGTCTTGGGCTGCTCTTGACTGCTATTCCATGGCTTCTATACTTTTACGGACGGGGGATTAGAGCTCGCAGTCCTTTTGCAAAGGAAATGGAGTGAGAAATATGGGCAATATGAGAGAGTGAGTCAATAGTTCAATTGCTATAACTTGAAGGCCAAAGTAGTAGCTGAAAGTCAAATCATGTCTTATCAGAACCAGGGAAAGGTTGACCTTACGACAGCCACAGTCGCAAGTCCTCAATACTCGTGATCTGCACTCTTTAATTGTCAGAGAATGCCTTTAGCAACTTTAAAGTGGCTAGCTCGACCACAGCTCTGGCAGTAGGGGACTCCCTCACAGGAGCCAACATGACAAAGTCATGGACTTGTCCATCTGCCTTGATGACTGACGCATCGACGCCTAACTCCTGTAGCCTATGGCCGAACGCCTCTCCCTCTCCAATCAACGGATCCGCGCCAGAGACGAAGATGGTTGTTGGCGGGAACTTGGAGAGTACTTCATCTGGTGCAAATTGAAGAGGTGAGGTTAGTGGGAGCTTTCGATCTTCCTGGTTGGGTAGGAAAGCTGGTATCATCCAGTCCATCGTCTTCTCCGACAAGTAGGGGCCATCTTTGAAGGTATTGTACGTTTCGGATTTGCTGTTCGTGTCTGTGACGGGGTAAAAGAGGACAATCTGGCTGATTTTGGAAGCAAGACCACGGCTATGGGCGAGCTGTGTCATTGCGATAGCCATGTGGCCTGAGAATAAATCAGACTGATATCATTTGATGGTAAGGTGAAATACTTACCACCAACACTATCGCCAGCGAGACCAATTCGATTGGCTTTGATGTTGTACTTGTCGCCATTTTTTACAAAGTGCTCAAGCACGCCGTATACTTGCTCAAATTGGACAGGGTACTGTGCTTCGGGAGCTGGAGTGTAGTAAGGGAACACGACCGCGGCACCAGTTTGGCGTGCTAGGTCTTCCATTAAAGCGCCGTGGGTGGCTGGGCTGTGAAAATTAGAAACTGGTCTCATCATTGAGGATTTCCAGGGCTTGCCTACCTTCCAAGGATCCATCCGCCTCCATGTGTGTAGAATATCATGTTGAGGGTGCCCTGCGCCGCAGCTGGGCGGAAGATGACTGCTGCCACATTCTCATCGTTGACAGGAACTTGGACCTGTTCACTTGTGATGTCGGAAGCAATTTTGTAGTCCTGGATACTTTCTAGTACCTCGCGAGCTTCTTTGTAGGTCTTTGTATATAGTGGCGGGCCTGCAGCGGCCGCGTCAGCAAACTTGCGGTTGATCGGATCGAGATAGAATGCCATGATCTGTGATTTATGTTTGGCCGACATAAAGTGATAGTCGGAGTGTTTCAAGACAGCCGGGCGGAGGTGTCTAGCTCTCTTATGTCACAGGTGAAGTCACTATCAGCAGCTTGCTTCATCTAGAAGTCCTAAACTTGGTGCCCCCGCTTAAACACCAACCTTTGTAATTTAGCATAAATCAAAGTCACTAATGCTTCATAAGCAAGTGCTTATGTTTCTAATCATATCTGTAATCTGATGAATCCTACTGATTGGCTGATAGGAGGCGGAAATTCCGATGCAATCTATAAAAAGAAGCCAAAAAAGAGAAAACAGGTAAATTGAATTCGTATTTTAATGTGTTTGTTGCAACAGCTATTTGTTCCGTGCGGTCAATCTATAATGCAATTTGCATAACACCACCAATGTGCAGGATTGCGTCACAGTATCGCATTTTATACAAGACTACTGATAAGAAAATACAATCTTGTATATTGTAGTTCAACTAGACGGAGGTGTTGGAGGCGAATTTGACGGTAGAAATGCCTCTAATGATACGATCAAAAGGTGTAGGTTACGTGACATGAGGCTAATAACCATGTCCCATTTCAAGACCGGAACAACAATGACTCCGACAGGTCAAGCCTTTCCGCATATGACCTTGTACGAAGCTAACATCTCACTAGGATCAGCCTCCAGAAAAACTGGCCAACATAACATTCAACTATTCGCGCATTCATATAGCACTTGTACATCATATCTCAAATCGACTGAAACATCCATCGCTGCATCACCGCGGAAACTCCTGATTTAGCACTCTTGACATGCGAATTAGCAACTCTATTCTTGCGAGTGCCGTGACCGCCGCCAAAATGCAGAGTAGTCAGAAAGGCTGTGAGATTTGTGGCAACTTCAACAAACTCTTCAATGAACAAGACATAAAACACAGTCTTAGTAGAGAAAAAGCTACGGAGAAAAGATGCTCAGTACACACACCGTTACTAGACTGGGTAGAGAATAAGTATGCCGAACGAAATCAGCTTGAGAGGGAAGCTGGTTATAAATCTCGCAACTATGAAGCGTCTGGGTTTTATCTTGCGCAGAAGAACGGCGATATACCTTCAGTGGCGGTGACCGACTACAGAGGTCGACCGCAAGGCCCGTATCAAATCATTCAACACAAATTGAATGCATCGGAAGATTCTCAACAGGATGCTTACACGAGTGTGATCGATCCAAACTGGATTAATTTTGGTATAGCGAGATCCTGGATGAACAAGTGCATCACGGAACATAAATCAGAATGCCAGAGTCCTCTGAATCTGCAGACAGTTTCTCCTGCGTGGCTTATCGACACCAAAGATGATTGTTTGATACCAGGCACAACCAGTAATGAATACATAGCTTTGAGCTATAGATGGGGGCCATCTCCAGCTCCGCAGATGGACACAGATACTTTCAACCAGATGTCAGTCCCTGGTGGTCTTTCAAAGCAAAAGGCATTCCTTACACCTACGGTCCGACACGCAATCCATACCGTCCGCGAACTTGGCGAGCGATATTTGTGGGTAGACGCGATATGCCTTCCACCTGATGACATTGAACAAGTATCGCAACAGTTGCAGCTCATGGGCTCCATTTATGCCTCGGCAAAGCTCACAATTGTTGCGCTTGATGGTGATGCAAACACTGGCTTCCAAGGTCTCAAGGGCGAATCATTACCTCGGAAACTACCAAACTTGTTCCCGTGGAAGAGTGATACGAACCTTTTGTTGAGGAATCAGCCTAAGTTGTCGGCCATGGATGTACAGGCATCGGAATACTTTACGCGTGGATGGACGTATCAAGAATACATGCTATCTCAAAGACGATTAATCTTTGGCAATCAACAGATTCATTGGAAATGCTCTTGTGCAGACTGGCACGAAGATCTTCCTACTCTACAGGAAGAACAAAAGGGAAAGTCTGTCCGGCCCAGGTCATTGGGATTTCCTAATATCAAAAGGGGTTTGTCGGATATCCGAGAATTCGGGATACTAATCAACGAGTATAGCGCTCGAGAGCTCAAGTATCCTGAAGATGCGTACCCAGCTGCGGATGGTCTTTTGAACTATCTCGGAAAACTAGCTTTTCCAGGAGGGTTCTTATTTGGTCTTCCCAAGGTATACTTTGGCATGGCATTGATGTGGTCCGTTGAGTTCGGAATGGCTAATCCAAATAGGCCCCAGAGGCCTGGTCTGGTTCGAAGGAAACCCTCCGAAAGAAGCCACTCCATTCTACCAAACACACATCTCCCTTCGTGGTCCTGGGTAGGATGGAGTGGGTATGGTGTTCATATGCTCGATAGGGAGGCTCAGTTTAGATGGGCAGATCTGTTACTTTCTGAAAACGGCTGGAATCCTGTCCAGCTCATCAGGACTTCAAGTATCACTATGCCAATCACCGAATGGTTCAGTCATAGCTCCAAGAACTGGAATGTCACACAAGCTCTTCAGAATCACGCTACGATATATGATAAGAATTCCGACATTTCTTATGATAAACGCGTATGGACTAGGAAGGAGTTTGACCCTGCTAAACACGGGTCAAAAGCCAAAGACTTTAACCCACCTTTCGGCTTCAGTGGAAAGAATGTTTTTGAACATGTCAATCTGCCTGGCAAATACTTCTGGTGGCCTCTGCCGCCTTCCAGCTCATCACGCCACGATGTAGAGGAAAGTCTCAGCCAAAGTCCGCTCATTTCCTGTCGAGCAAAGCGTGCTTGGTTTGGGGCCACTCAGGTGGTCCGCTATATTCGAGACGTCAACATGGATGCTCACCTTCGTCTGTTAGACAAGAATAACAGACTTTGTGGCTGGCTTCAACTACCAAATAACGATGAATTGGCCAAATTTCCCGAGTCCATGATTAGAGAGGGCATGGCAAATCATTCAGACACGTTAAGCTTGAACGGGGTCTTTCTCAACCCATCACCTAACCGGGATGAATCGCTTGAACTGGTTGCGATTTGCCGGTGCAAGTTTGCTGACATCGAAACGATGGATGATGAGATACAATACAAGGAGTTCTATGGCGTACTGTGGGTGGATTGGAATGATGGCATTGCTCACAGGAAGGGATGTGGATATGTGAAGAAAGAGCTCTGGGAAGAGCAGGATCTCGAGGACGTTAATCTGATTCTTGGGTGAAGACGTTTGATACTATAGTGAAACTTGAAAGCAAGTAGCTAATTCAAGTAAAGCCTTAGTGTTATTTGTCATGAGGGAAACACGGGATAAGACCGAGCGTGTATCGTATGTAAAGGATAGTCATAACTGTTGACTTCGACAAGACGCAAACTACAAAACTTCGTTATGACTTTCTCCTCCTGATTCTCATAGTAGTATTTTCCTTTGGAATTCTGTACTCCCAAATAGTCTTCATAGGCGGAATCTCTGGACCAAACTTGACATCGTACTTCGTGATGATATATGCTAGTACGACTTTCATGATATGGATACCGAAGAACCGTCCTGGGCAAGCGTTCCTCCCATAACCAAAACTGAGAAATGTTTCGTCCAGAGTGACGGCAGAACGTGCATCTGAAGACCCATCTGCAAAGCGGAATGGCTTGAATGATCCTGCATCTTTGTAAAATGTCTCGTCCGAATGGATCGGATGCATAGGGATTTCGATATGAACACTAGGCGGAACATAGATCCCGTTGTCCAATGTTATACCGGTAGAATTAACCCGTCGCGGCAAGGCAAACAACCCAAAGTCTGACCAGCGCATGGATTCTCTGATCGCCGAGTCTGCAAGAGTTAGCTTTGAGATAGTGGCACGATCCCAGATATCAACAGGACCAAGAACCGTTTCTGCCTCGTCACGCAATCTGGAGAAAACAGAAGCCGCGTTCGGACCACTGCAAATATTACTGATGGCCGTGTTGAATGGGATGGATCCGCTCTGCACAAAGTTAAAGTTCAAGATAATTATGCGATGTCCAATGCGGTAGGGGTCAAGTTGAGTCGGGTCGCCGGTTGCAGCAGAGGCTTCGATGATCCATTCGAGAATGTCGACCTATGGAAGTAAGAAGTTGGTCAAGGTCGAAGTTTTGCGGGTACGAACAGGCTTTTCTCCCCTACTGGACTCATTATCAACACGCTTGTGATAGTCACCCAGACGAGTCTTGATGAGTGGCAGACAAGCAGCGATCCCTTGCTCAGTATCTCGTCTGGCTTGCCAACACATCAACGGCCCAAAGATAGGCTTGAGAATGTTGGGAATCAATGTTGTAAATAAGCCTTGGAAGGGCATATCCATGGCAAATCTCCGAACAGTTTCAAGGTACGTTAGATTCCGGCCTGGCTCGTCGTTAGCATTATTCCCACATACCGTGAAGTCACTTACACAGAGGGAGCCCAACGAGGACTCTGTTCAGCCCTCTAGCAAACACTCTTTGTATAGCAATTTCAAGTTGTATATCTCGCCACTCATTTTCCAGTCCGAACTGTTCATCCACAGCAAGGTATAATTCCTCTTGCAATACAGCTGCAAGGTCATCAAACCTCTTTGTAATCCACTTTCGAACCACGTCAACAGTGTAGTCACTTGGATAAACCGCCGGATCGCGGATGGTATATTTGAAGGACAATGACTCTGAGGTTGGGGCATGAACTTCGAGCTCGCTCTCTCGTTTATTGTATACTGCTTTAATTTGGGATGGAGGAAGGATCAGGACCTTTCCTTTGCCGAATGAGGGGATGATGAAAGGTTGATTCTTTCGTGAGTACTGCATATAAAGTCAGTCAAGCCCCCACCGACTCGCCGATCCACTCAAGTAGATAATATGCTGCCGAGTTTCGCAAAGATATAACTTACCCTCCCGTAGCCTTCTTTCATCCACTCTTCTGTCATGGTAAAACTCCGCAGTTTTGCTCTCAACCAAGCAAACCATTGCCCTTCTTGTACGCCAACACATGGAAAAGATTTCTCGAGCCCGGCATTTCCATTTTTTAATCGCCACGCTGCGTAAATAATAGCAAGACTTACAATTGATACAAGGATGAGAACAGCCATGACAAATTGTGATAAGTTGAGGCTGGCGTAGTGGAAGAAGGTCAACCCAGAGTTTTGGGGTGAGAAGCTGAAGCGGGGGGTTCTTCCAGTAATTCAGGGCATGAAAGGTAGCTCTATTTGTGGTTGAATCAATAGCCTTGTAGCGCATGGTTAACTTGGGATATCTTGTAAGCGCTAGCCGTTCCATGAACGACTTGAGACATTGACCAATAGATACGGAAAGGATATGATGATCTCAGGTATTGTAGTCGGTTAGCCACCATGATCCTTCATAAACCCTGCCATTAACTAACCTGCTTACTGCCCACTCACGTTACGCCGCATGAAGGCCAAGAAAACTTGATGGATCATTTTCGATCTCATTGGCCACTTCGGTCTACAGAACTCGCAATATCGAGGTGACTACGTAGTGGATCTCCAGCCCCCACTCCTCTATGTATCAGAATAATTAATCATTAAGCAGAAAGGATAAAATTAATTTGCTAGTGCTATTTAAATGTGTATCAGACTTGTGAGGCTATCTATCTTTGTACCTCACGGTTCCGTCTCTGCGAACTCGATATGCCTGGTGGACCACCTAAGCTGGCATTGTTGCGTCTATATCCACCATAGAATCCAAGACATCTTCGTCGAAGGTATCCGTTATTGGCATCAGTGACGGCGGTGGCTGTACCGGTGTCTGAGACATACTTGCTATGTAGACAGTTGGAGGATGTGTGAGCTGTCCTGCTTGGGTTTCAGAATGCAGCGGGTTGACCGGAAATAGGTCGACAGTGACTCTGGTCCCCCACGGGAATAGCCTCAAAGGAACGATTGTCTGTTGGGCTGGAGGCGGCGCTTGTTTGGGATTTACCTCTGCTGGTTCTGGAGTGCGGGGAGCTGTGACTGAATCTGAGGGTGTCGAGGGCCTGTTATCATCAGACTCGGAATCACTATCATCCCCATTTTCACTCTCGTCCTCATCATCAGCTAGGGCCCTTCCATCTTTTCTCTTGGCATTTCCAAACATCTCAGGAGAGGCTCGAACCCACCACTGAGCAGCTCCTGTCGCTGCCGGTGAGTTGAGCAAGGCAACCGTGATGGCCTCCGACATCATAGCCTTGATATCTTCCGCAGTCGGCTTGAAGTCTTGTACCGAAGCAATGACGTTGTTCCTAACGGCTTTCTTGGCTTTACCTTCTAGTATGGGCCCCACCAATAATATTTCAGCCTTTTCGAGGACATGTTGACCAAGATTGGGACTCTCGCCACTGTCTATGTGAACTGTATGTAACCAAGTTAGCGTATGTCTTATAATATGATAGTACAGGACGTACAAGGAGATAGTGGCTCATTAAAGTGAGGGAAATCTGCTTTGAGGAACAAGATCCACCAGACTTCGACGAAGAGCTTTTTCCAATAGTCGAGCCATTTCGTCACGTCTCGTGGACGCTTTGTGTATTTTTCGGCTGCTTGTTGTATAAGAGTTTGTTGCAACTCTGTCATATAGAAGCGTGCTGGTGCTTCTCTGTTGCGATTACTACTCTTTACTTTTTGAGAGTGATGTTTGACAAGATGTTCTCTGTATAATGTCAGTAATGGACGTGGTATAAGGTACTTGGAACCTTAGCTTACTTCCATTTGTGCACCTCCGTCATGTTTCCAGAACAGTTGCTGAAAAGGGGAATGTTGTAGATCTCGGGGTATGCAAGGCAATATGGGCAAATCCAGCGACGAATCTTATCCTTGTTGCGCTTCTTTCTAGGCGGAGAATCATCATTACTCTTGCCGTCGCCTGATCCATCAGCGTTGTCTTGTCCAGAATGTCCACTTCCACCCTCCCCGTACCCTTGTTGACCACCTCCTGTACCGCTGCCGCTGTCGACGCCAGTCGACTTGCCTTTTGACCTCTGACGCTTGTTTGATGGCGTGTTTGAAGTCCTTGGTGGATTATTCGTTGAACCGTCGACGCATTCATCCTCGGGTGGAACAAGAATGTCACGGCCATCGATTGGTAGGTTCTGGACACCTGAGACGACATCTTCCGCGTATAAGGGATCATGAGCTAAAATTTGTCGGATTACCGAGAAAATGGAGGGACCCGCTGCTTCTGGTTGGGGAATTTGAGCCTCAGAAGTGACACTAGACATGTTCTGATGTTGTGGGGCGGGACCATTGTCAACGCTGCTATGGTCGCTCTCAAGAGACGGACATGGGTCTAGGGATGATGCTCGCGCAGCTGAGCGTCGTACTGGCTGCTGTGTGGACTCCGGAGACCCATGCTTAGTTTGGAGAGAAACGGTATGATGAATGGAAATCGCCCCGGATTTGCTGATGAGCTCTTCAATGGTGCGTTCCTAAGCCAGGGTCAATCAAGACTTGCCAGCTCGAGGGGGACTGAATGCTTACATGGCACTGGCTTCGGCCACTGAATCTATCTGTGAACTCGCTGAGACGTTGGAGAGCTATCCTCTCATATTGCGACTTGCTCCAGCCCACGACAATGCATCGTTCGGCAACTGTTCGGTCTCGAAGGAATACATCGAGGAGCGGCGGGTTCTATGCAACTGTCAGCATCTAGACACATTTGGAGACATCAGCCCCACCTCTTCATGTCCATCACTCAACGGAAACGCGAGGCATGGCATATTTAGTTTTGGGATAAGTATGTCGCGATGCCACTATTGATTGGTCATAAAACGGGTGATCTGAAACTTGACTCGAATTTAATTGAAGTTCAAAAAAAATTATTGAGGGGTTCGGGGGGAATGCTGACTTTATTCAAGAGGCTTGGTTTAGTGGCTTCCGATTTCTCTGTTGCTCAAGACAAAATATCTGTCGGGTTATCTACGTATTTTACAAGAGGCCTGCAGGTCAATCTACAAACGCATAATGCTAACTAAAATAAATTCAGAATGGGCAATGATAAAAATAAACTAAATACCATATTTAGAGGTACTCATAGACCTGTTCACCAAAGCAATCAGGCGGAATTGTTGGACAGTAGTGCACCTCATGATGATTTGTCGCGAGGGAGAGAGATATGAAATAGTACATCATTGCCTCTAGCTGGTCAAGTTTACCACTAACAATTTTACTGCTGACACCAGCAGACCCAGCACTAGCGCAGTACTGTTAGTTCTCTCAAATAATAACATATTTTGTACCGAGGGGCAGATTTTATTTGTGCCAAGCTTGACACAAAAAAAAAGGGAGCTATTTAGTGGCCTCGTCTCCTGAAAGTCCAGTTCAATTGAAAGTGCACCACCATAAACATATGTGATATAGATTGAGTTGCACAATCGTTGTAACACGTTAACTATTGGTCGCTTCAACTTTAATTCTATCGTCTTTCCTATACACATTCCTGCTTTTGCTTGCACAAGTGCCGAGTTCAATTGACGTATGCCTAGACTGGCGAATACTGACTGGAAAGTTCCAGCCCTTGGAACCGAGTTGCACAGCTAGGTATGCACACAGCCAAATGGCACTGTCATCTGCATCTTTGGTATATTTCTCAGACTCGCCAATCCTACCTATGCAACAATAATCTCCCTTCCCTTCAGTGTTTTCCAGTCTTCTTCTGTTCAATCCGAGGGATTTTGCGTCGCCAGTATCATGCCTTCTACGTTTATGTGCCCAAGTCTCTTCATCGACAGATTTATTAGATAGTCCGCTAAAACTCGTAATGTCTTTCGCCGTCAACTCCAGACAAATCGCCACTTCCCATGAAGAAAAGACTTAATATATCGACAAGTAGCCATTTCTCGATGTTTTTCTTTGCAGTGCAAGTCAAAAGAGATATTTGTCGATAGCTACCGAGTTTTGAAACATCTATATAAGTCGACGAGATATCGCTCTGTGCCAGGTAAACCAGTCTCAGTATTCTTCTCATCCTTTCTCAAGACTTTATCACTTTACCCTTTACCTAGAAACACAGCACTGCACTTCATCTATTGTCTCTTCAACACACATAGATATGGAAGCTCAGTCTGGCAACATCACCTACCTCATTCAGTTCAAGTCTCCCTCGGAAAAAATACATACCATCAACGTCTCAATCTCTAAAGGCCAGGACCCTGAAGACTTTGCAGTCGCCTTCTCCAAGGCCTACAAGCTACATTTCAAGGGCTACAAGCGAGTACTGTATCGAGGTATTCTACTCCAGAAGCCGATTGTCTCTCTTGTCAAGTTTTCCAAGGTAAATGTCAACCCTTACTCTCTTCAAGTCATTATCATCTAACCCACAACAATAGATCACCAACATGCATCCTAGTTTCACTGATGAAGACAGGATCTTTATCCAGGAAGAAATCGTTGATCATACATTGACTGCTGCCCTGCACAAACCCGCAATTTTGCGCGGCGTTGACCGAAGCAGCTTTTTTGAAGAGTACCGCCATACTGTTGTCGCTACTGACGGTTCTCTTCCGAATTATGCTGTTCTTGTTCAATTTGTTGATGACCCTTCGGCTCTTAAAGTAGTGAGGATCGTTGGCACGGCCATCTCTGTTGGTTTTGGCATAGGCGGAGCTTTTGGCTTGTCGCTGTGAGAGCTACCCGGAAGCAGCCACGATTAAGGAATTTTGATTGGGAGGATCAGGATATCGATATACCAGATGCTTTCTTAGGTTGGTTGTTTTTTACAGTATTTATATAAACGAACGTACTCAGTGCCTGATCTTTTTCTTTCGTAAGGGTGAGGTCAGTAATGACTTTGTTGTTACCTGACCCCATTCTCATGTGGCCTGTAGCTAGTGCCTTGCCTTGATCCAAGATGGATGGTTGTGTTTGTGGGGGAATTCATCTCCACGGATATCATATAGTATTTATTCATAAGCCTCAGGATGAGAACATTGAGGTTTACAAAGGCCATGTCTTTGTGATATTGTTACTGGGTGCTCATATTCACCACTGGTAACAGCCTAATACAGAATGTGAAAATGGACTTGGAGTGTTTCGTTCCCTTCTTGCCCATCATCCTGAGCAGTCGCTGCTTCAACCTGGGCAGAGCTTGAGCGAACCCTGAGCGCATCCTGAGCATCTGAAGTTTCGGGTAAGCCAACGAATCAACGATCAACATGCAAGGTTCACTTTTCAGGCCCCTGTCTACGTACAAGGGATATATTCTGAGTCAGCCATAGTGTCACGCGATAGTTACCCCTTTTTTTTTACCTACCTTGAAACGAACTAGTCTACTTTGTACACTGTAACTATCTCCCTACCCGCTAATTCAGCTGCAATGTCGCAACAAGTTCCCCAGTCAGAAAGCAATCTTGTTCATAAACGCAAGCATCACGATGCAGCAGCGAGATTCAAGCTCGAGCTCTGGCAAAAAAGGGATTCAATTGTGGCCCTGATCAAACATCATCTTCGATTAGACGCAGATGATATCTGCACAGTGCTTGTACGCAAGGAATGGATGCAGGGCATCTTCAATATTTGCGTTCTAGTTGAAGTAACTGTGGGTAATTCAAACAAGAAGCTTATTCTTCGCTGTCCAATTCCTCCTCATGCCGGGCAACATCCCAGCACAATCGACGAGAAAGTCGGCTGTGAAGTGGCGACATATATATGGATGCAGCAATCCTGCCCCGATATTCGTATTCCAAACCTCTTTGCGTTTGGCTTCATAGATAATAGCTCTGTAAGTGTTCCCAGCTCGCCATGTCCATAACATCCATTCTGACAATTGGGCCTTGTTTCAACGTAGTTCACACACATCCAGCAGACATCAATCTATACTAGACTGTGGCGTAAGGCCTGGAAATGGATCTATCGGTGCCTAGGCTACCCAGTCCTGTCCGACTATGTCCGTGAAGAAGCTGCTCCGGTTGTCGGCACCGCTTATATGCTTATGGAGCATATTGGTCCCGAGACAGGGAAAATGCTCGCATCCACCTGGTTTGATCACTTTTCCGATACAGCACGACGTAGGAATCTATTCACAGGCGTAGCCCGAATCATGCTCTCGCTCGCCCGTATTCCACAGCAGCACATCGGATCATTCAGATTTAATACAGTCGACTGCACTATCGCACTCACAAATCGACCTCTATCTTGTACTTTGGCTATTTTTGAGCAACAAGGAACACCGAGAACAATCCCAGAAGACCTGATCTATCAAAGCACAGACAGTTACGCATCTGACATGCTTACACTACATGACAACTATCTATTACACGATCCACATGCTGTGCGAAACAGGAATGATGCCAAAGAGCGGATGACCCTTCGGACATTGCTTCGTGCAGTTACGCATTTCTTCATCTTGCCGGAGCGACGGAGCGGTCCCTATCTTTTACAGCCGACCGACTTGCATCCAAGTAATATTTTTGTGGATGAGGAGTGGAACGTCACTTGCACAATCGATCTGGAATGGATTTGTGCGCTACCGTTGGAGATGATGTCTGTTCCCTATTGGATCACAAATCACACTGCGGATGAAATAATTGACCACTATGAGGAATACGACGATGCGAGAAAGGAGTTTTTGTCAATTATGGATCAGGAACTGAAACATGTGCAAGTGGAACATGACATTCAAATCACAGGGGTAATGAGAGAATCATGGGAATCCAAAGGAGTGTGGTATTGGATCTGCATAGAGTCTGTAAATTGCTGGCTTTTTGTCTTTGAGGATCATATCCTCCCCATGTTCTCATCGGCCGAAGGATTTGTTAAGGACCTGAAACAAATATCCTTCTTGTGGCAGAAAGATGCCGGCAAGCATATCGAAACGAAAATTGCCGAAGAGCGAAGATACCAATCTGAGCTTCGGACTATGTTTGCACCTGCCCAGGACGTACTAAAGGAAAAGAAATGAAAAGGTTGCGTCTTTGTCAGCTGGTGGAAAATGATGTAAAAATGTTTCCACTCACGCAGCCCATAGATTGAGCTCACGCTCATATTGTGTTAAACTCAGCTTCCCAAGGTTCCGCCTTACTGGGAGTGGGTCTATATCAGAGCTATCGTTGGAAAGACCATTCAATATAGCTTTCTTAACAAGGTTGTCAGGGTTTTGAACCTTTCGCTTGGGTTTCGCAAAAGAAGACATTGAAAAGGATAACTAGGATTGTAGTAAGATCTAGCGGGAGATGTTAGTGTAGCTACGCTAACTTGCGGATTAATATTGATGGGAGTTAGTTAAATGATTGATTGGGATATGATTGTAAAAAAAGAAAACACCCGCCATGGAATAGCTGGCGTCTATTACTATTTGATACAATGGGTGATGACTCTGAGTACCCATGCTTGCATGGCAAGGGTACTTGGTGTCAGCGGGGCACAGGTGCTAGGAGGAGGACCGCCTGAGCTACGACTGAGGGGAGACTGAGTCGCCATCCAAAAGCGGCGACGAACTCTCGTCCCTATTCGTATTCTATAACACAATGATTTAAAGTGGAACTGAGTGAATTTTGCGGCGTGGCCAATACAAGAAAGTAAGCAATTGAACCATCAACAAGTTGATTTTATTCATGATCCCACGCGTCGATAAATTGATACTAGAGGATATAAGGACAACTCCGAAGATGCGCGAAATTGCCAGCTCTTTGCGCCTCTGCGCGCGTCGTCCTGCGATGCTCGGGTCGCGTCTGGCCATACCAGTCAAGGGCCCATCCTTAGCGACCAGCCTCCAAAAGCAATGGACAAGCAGCCAGCGTTGCAGTAAAAAGGACGCCCCGAAAACACCTGCTCCCATGCCTATTAGTTCAACTGAGTTTTGGAGCTCGAGAGCAGTATGGAAGAGAGCGTCTATCAATACCACGCGATGTCTCATCGGTTGCACAGTTGGCGACTTTTCCGCCATGTGGCTTCTTCAAGCCTACTACCCAGAACTGAGCATGGGAATCGTCATGCCGATTTCCAGTCAGTTACCCATTTCCGACACGTCTGGACTGAGTCGCTAACTAAGCAAATTAGTGGCATCTGGTATCTCAACATCTATCCTTCTCGAGACAGTGATGCTACGCGTCGGTCGTGATAGTCTGACATGGCTCACCGCTATGAAAACAGCAATTGGCATGAGTTTCATCTCCATGTTAACTATGGAAGCGGCAGAAAATGCAGTGGATTATTATCTGACAGGTGGAAAGGTTGCGCTTGATGACCCTTCTTTCTGGATCGCAGCTTTGATCTCTATCGCTGCCGGATTCCTGGCCCCATTGCCCTATAATTACGCGAGGTTAAGGAAGTACGGAAAGGCTTGTCACTGAGGTCGCCTATCCTCTCACAGGGTCACAATCACCTTGCGTTGTATTGAATAGATAGGCCTGATGACAAATGGCTTTTTTTATACTGGGCCTGGCAATCTCGTTTGGAATATGTTGAGTCACTCGTCGTCGGCAAATGTTTCCCGCCCACTTTCCGTTTCCCAGTCATTGTTATCTTGTCTCAGCGAACGCACGCATTGCAATAACTACCACAGTACCCTGTAATGGATACCAGGAGATAGGAACGCTGGGAGCCAAGCCGGCAATCTGAGCCTGCAGCCAAGCCAAACCCCCAGGTAAATCTACGTTAGATCTCGCCAGGACTGGAGTTTAATTCATGATTTCGAGTCTCGACTCTTTTCTGGGACATAGCGCGACACGTGAACGAACGCCATCGCTTCGGAGCTTGATTAGGATCCGAGTTTTTGCAGCGAGAAGAGTAAAAGGGTATGAGAACGACAGAGCAGCGGCGACAAAAAGTAGAGTCCGGAGGTTCGTTGAATTGATATCTCGTTTTTGATCTTGATTATCAGGATATCGCTGGGTAAAATGCGCCGAGGAAGGGATCAATTGATCATAAAGGCGTCATTGAGGACGTGTTTAGGGTATTTGGTATGAATGACTCGCCAAGGTGTTTGTGTGCTGAAGGGCCTTCATTGCCGCCTGTTGACGGTTACTAGTGAACAGTTCATATGTTCTAACATATTTAGATTCTATTGATATTTACTAGTAAAGAACAGCATATTCTCAGTCGAGGGCCTTGTTCAGTTACACAAACTTTGCTTCTCCCATTGTGTCCCCACTGAGGTCATGGTCCCCATGTCCACACGATCTCCGCAATCCATCCCAATTCAACACCAAATGAGACACCACAAACTTGTCATCAACAAGCACAACCACTCTAGCGTCTTCTTCCCCCCTCCTCCAAAAACCCAACAAAGTAGTATCCATGCATCCTCGGAGTCTACTTGTAGCCTCCGAAGCTACCCCAGATTGTTAACCACTTTTCCCCAGGTTCACTAGCTCTCCGCCTCCCCCCATTTTCCCCGCTCCCGACGATGATCCAGGGCTGGGCCATAAATACACAGGGTCTGGAACGCAGAGAAAAAGTTTTCATCCCCAGGCTTTGACATTCAATCTCCCATCAAGCAACATGGCCACCACTACTACCCATCACCAGCAGTCTGGCAAGGAGACGCCCGAGTTCGCCCACGTCAACAGTGTTCTCGATGATGAGAAACCAACACAGATGGATGAGGAGAGAGATTGGACGGGTACTGCCAAGAAGACAGACCCAGAAGAAATCCGCCTTGTCAAGAAGCTTGACTTGTGGATCATGGTGAGTTTTTCGTCTGATCTGCACGCGTGCCAATGCTTGGTCTTGGTGTTTGAATCGCCAATGCTCTTGGCTTGACCGCGCTGCAACGTCTTGGCTCGGTCCGTGTGCTAACAATTCTCCACAGCCATGTCTCTGTCTCATGTACTTCCTCAACTACGTCGACCGAAATGCCATTGCTCAGGCGCGATTGAACAATCTGGAAGAGGATCTCAACATGACTGGAACCGAGTTCAACACGACCGTTTCGATGTATGTGGCGCGCGAATAACGAATTTTGACCCAACGCTGACTTGAAGAAGCTTGTTTGTCGGTTATGTTTTGATGCAAATTCCCAGCAACATGTTGATCACAAAGGTTAGGCCCGGTATCTACATGAGTGCCTGGATGTTGGTTTGGGCTGCTGTCTCTGGTAAGTTGCCGCTGACTTTCTCAGAGTCTATATGCTAACGGCGATATCAGCTTGCACTGCGCTTGTCAAGAGTTATGCTGGTCTTGTTGTTTGTCGGTTCTTCCTGGGTATCACTGAAGCTCCTTTCTACCCTGGCGCCACATACATGCTTTCTATTTTTTACACACGCAAGGGTCAGTACCTCGATTCGATTCGATATACGATATACTAATTAGTAACAGAGGTTGCTGCTCGCATTGCCGTTCTCTACTGCGCTCAGATCCTCGCCACTGGCTTCTCCGGTCTCATCGCTGCTGGTATCTTTGCAGGCATGGATGGCCTAGCTGGTCTTGCAGGATGGCGATGGTAAGTCTATTTCACATGAATATGTTGCCTCTACTAACAACTCCAGGCTGTTCATTGTTGAAGGTGCCGTTACCGCTCTTGTCGCCATCCTCGGTTTCTTTATGCTTCCCAACACCCCTCTGACCACTCGCTGGCTTACCGACCGCGAGAAGCAACTCGCCCATGAGCGCATGGAGAAGGACAAGGTCTCTGACTCTGAAGAGGGCGGTTCATCTTGGGAGGGTCTCAAGCAGGCTTGCAAGGATAAGCGAACATGGCTTTTCTGTCTTATGCAGAACTTCCATCTTTCTGCTTGCTCTTTCAATTCATTCTTCCCCACGTAAGTCATAAGCGCGATAGATATGCAACGATATACTGACCATTCTTAGTGTCGTCAAGACCCTTGGCTTCAACACTACCGTTACACTTGCCATGACATGTCCACCTTTCATCTTTGCCGGTGCTGCGGGCATCTTCTTTGGTTGGAACTCGGGACGCATGCACGAGCGTACTTGGCATATCACCGCCGGTCTTTCGGTCGCCATCGTCGGTTTCGCTCTCGCCGCTGCGACTCTCAACACTGCTGCCCGATACGTCGCTTGCTTCATCTTCCCCATGGGTGCCTACGCTGTCAACTCGGTCATCATTGGATGGGCGTCTTCAACACTGTCTCAAACCAAGGAGAAGAAGGCTGTTGTTTTGGCCATGACCAATGTTGGTGGTCAGGTTAGTAGTCACGCCCTGTTCTGTTTTCTTTCACTAACAATATATTAGATCGGTTACATCTACGGTGCCTACCTCTGGCCCAAGAGCGACTCTCCCCGATATGGAATTGGTTTCGGTGCCTCTGCTGGTTTCGCTCTGTGCTCAATTGCATGTGCTTGGGCTATCCGCATTCTTCTTGTTCGCGAGAACCGTCGCATTCGTGCTTCCACGTCTGAGCAGGTCAACTTGTACGGATACTAAATGGGGAATATGGATACTTCTTGATAAATAATAATATTTGTACCGCCACTTCGGTTTTGATGACACGTCAACCCGAATATAGTGACTTGTATGGAGACGCGACATTTGATATGATTTGTTCAATTGAGCCACTGTTGTACAAGTCGACCCTTTTGCGACCTGTGCATAAGGCATCAGCTAGATTGACATGGTTGGTTCAAGGCAACAGAAGCTCGCTATAAGAAACCCCGCACGGCTGCCTAGGCTGAATATGGATCTTAAAAGAGACATCATCTCGTGGTTGAGCTGAATCGTGAATCAATTCATTTGTATTATTCATCAAACTTAATCCAAATGACTGAAATCCTTCATGAGAAGATCTTGTCCCAAGTGGCGAACCCTCAGCGAGACTCTCCTCTCTTTGGAATTATCCCCGCCGAAGTCAGAGACAGCATCTTCTCCTACGTCCTGACTGATCATCCCGACCCAACTGCAGAGAAGCAATTCAGCAAAAAGACATGTTACACCCGTCCTTCCTACGAGGCTGATCAATCAACCGATACCAGACTCCTTCGCACATGTCGTGCCATCTATCGCGAGACGTGGTTCAAACCATTTCTCCTACGCGAACACACTCAATGGGCGTCAGCTCCAGATCGTGCCCCGCCAGGGATCCATCGCCCGCCTCCACTGAGAAGCATGCTTCATCGAATCGCCAAACAGCGGGTGCAAGATAAAGTCGAGATTGAGAGACTGAGAGTCTTTGCACAAATGTATAAACTCGAAGAGGGTAGTCTGGCTCGTATTCTTCGCGAACCACTCCTTGCACCCCGCATCGTCACCCTCACAATTCGCCACACTGATTGGTGGTTTTGGGAACAGGACGAACCTCTTCGTTTCGAGGGCAATTGGATTGAGGACGTTTCCAAAGCCATGTCTAGCAGTACAAATCAATTCTGCATTGAATTGGAGTCCCTGGAGAGGAAGAAGGGTCAGATTGACAAGATTGCCGATCAAATGATCAAAAAGTGGTACTTCAAACGCAGCGATGGCGTTGCACTCTATGCTGAAGCATCAGGCGCCAGCAAGAAAGAGAGCAGATGGAGTGGCGATAGCACATGGCACAATCGACGCTGGGTTCGCGACGAGACAGAACCCGGAAGACTCGATTATTATGTGGCCTCTATAACATTCCGTCCTCGAATCGACATTGAGCGAAGCGGAGGTACGGTCGCTCGAGAGGTCTTCAATTCCTCGCAAAAAGATTGGTTCGACCAAAATGAACTGAAAATCCACCTTCCGGACGAGAGCCCCATCGAGGACAATTACCCTTCCGAGATGGCGTATGATTCTGATCATAGTGAGTATGAATGCCACTGATACTGACTTTTGGGTCTAACATTCGAGCCTGACGTATTGACCTGCGACTAGGAAACACCGATTCAGAGGATTCCGACCACGGAGAGCTCGCTCCTCAGCGTCGACGATGGTTTGAGTCGTTCTTTCCTGCTCGAGAATGACGCTATACTGTTCATTTTAAGTCTGTACTCCAATCTACTGCATATACGTCATGGTAGGAGGACATAAAAAGGGAATTAGCTTGAATCAGATGAGGTTGGAGATGGGTCGTTTGTCTCATTGTTTTACATTGTTGAGTCGCGCGTTATTTGGAACAAGTACCGTGTATTGGCCAAGATGGGTAAGCGCAATTGTTGATGAAGGAAAAATAGTATGTCACACAAAAACTTGTCTAAAATTGTTACAATTCCCAGCCGTGTGAGTTGCAACGATATCGGCCGAGACATTGCTTCACGTTAGGACTTGTTTGGTCTCCACGTCAAGTGACAATCCATCTTAGTCATCATGAGTCACACGTCACTGCCATTTCAACAATCAGATGTTTACGAGTCTCCTCCAACAATCACGTCAATATGGCTCAACCGGACAGTGACAATAGCAATGGCCGCGTCGTCGGCGACCTGGCCTGTCAATCGGACTCGTACCTCCAAACTCTCGAGACAAAAGTAATTTCTTGCGAAAAGGCTCCTAAGCGTGCGCAAAAGTCAAAAAAGCACGATGCACGCCACGAGGAGGCTGAGTGGTTAATTGAGTGTTCTGACTCGGTACTTTTCCCTGAAGGTTAATTATTGACTCGTTTCCACACAATTTTACACAATTTTCACTTACACCAGCCTTAGGCGGCGGTCAGCCCTGTGACCACGGAACAATCACTTTGCTCTCGGGCGACGACCAAGACCCCATTCCCATCAAAAATGTTCAACGAGAGGGTCTCCGGTGTGTCATCCACTCACCAAAGCCTATTTCTCCTGGTGTGGAGGTCCGCCAACAAATTGACTGGAACCGTCGATGGGATCACATGCAGCAGCATACTGGCCAGCACCTTTTGTCTGCCCTAATGATGAAGAATCACGAGCTCAAGACGCTGGGTTGGGGAATGGGTACTGACGGAGGCTTCAACTATGTTGACTTGCAAAGGAAGCCGACAGATGAGGAGATGCAGGCTATCCAGATAGCCTGTGCGGAAAAGATTCGAGAGAACTTGTCAATCAAGGTGGAGACGCCAGATGACGCGAAGCATGACAAACTCCCTGGGGACTATGACAAGTCTGACGGTGTTGTGAGGGTCATCCATATTGGAGATCTTGACGATAATACGCAAGTCTCTCTTAACTTGTTTCTGAGTATTTGGCTAACTTTTACAGCTGCTGTGGTACCCATCTCTCTCAAACATCACACATATCCCTCATCATTCTCGGCTCAACGCAGTCCGTCCACGGCAAAAACTGCCGCTTGTCCTTTATCACCGGAGACCGTGCCATCAAACTCGCCAATGCATCAGTCAGTGCAATCAGCAACATTGCCAAATTGATGTCCTCCAGCAACAACCCCACCGAAGTAGTCACCCGCGCCACTGCCTTGTCCGACAGCGTGACCGACCTCAAACGCTCAGAACGAAAGCTCCTACTCGAGGTCGCAAAGTTCGAAAGCGAACACGCCATCAGATGCATCGTTCATAACAAAATGAATGCGTACATCCACCGTTACGAAGGAAACACGGATTTTATCAACAAAATCGTCGGCGAGACGAGGGATATTCTCCAAGGAACCGAATTTGTTGTCGTTATTGCCATTGGGGAGCCCAAAGGTGGCGGCCCGGTTGTCATCGTGGGTGATCAGGTCGCTGTTGATATGATGGCAAAGAAAGTCAAGTCCGTCGTCAGGGATATCAAGGGTGGAGGAACAGGTGGTAAATGGCAGGGCAAGGTGAAGGAGTGGACAAACGCTGAATTGACCGCCTTGAAGGAGGTAGTTGAATCATAGTTAAAATAAGATGTATCGTTCATCTGAATGTATCCTGATTTGAATTGAGCGGTCCACAACAAACAAAGTAAGATCTCCAAAACACCCGTAGTTCAAAAAGCATCATCTCCAAATCTCCAAATCTCCAGCAGTTCCAACGTCTAGATTAACTTTAAAGTCCTCGTTCCCGCGATCCTATTCAGCCTCACCCGCTTCCTCTTGAGTTTCATCTGTGTCTCGTCAAACGCTCTCCGAATATGCTCAACATCGATTGGTGGTCTCTCAGTGTCTAGTGGTACGAACAATCCATGTCGTCTCGATCCAACGTCTGCCGCCGATTGGCCGTTTCGTCTTCGGTATGCTGTCAAATCCTGTGCCTGGATCGTCAAGGCAATGTCAGTCAGGCGCTTGACCATTTCAACAGCCAAAAACCCGACGATCTCAAGAGTATCACTCTTCTTCACGACTCGGGCTACGACGCCGATGCCTGCCCACTCATGGAAGCGCTTCGCTTTGCGGGTCGTGAAAGAAGCTTTGCGGTAGATGGCCCACCTATCATATTCCTGTTTCGACATATTCTTTGTGATTTCATCTGCCCAGCGGAGACTTTCCAGTGAGACCTCGCCTGGCTGACCGAGCAGTATTTCGTTGGTTTCGCCTCCTGGAGGGACAACTGAGAAGAAGTACTCTATATCCCAGGGTAGCATAGCCGCTGAAGTTTCTGTCTTTTTGGCTGCGGCCTCTTCACTGGGAGGACTTTCGAGCGGGTCTTCTGAGAGGTCCTCGTCGTCCATGTCAACATCGGCGTCGACATCACCTTCAGCCTCTATGTTTGTCTTCTTGGCCTCGCGGCGAATAGCTCGCCATCGTAGAAGCCTTTGGATGCGTGCGACACGTTTGGTATCGTGACGAATTTGGAATATGATGTCTTCGATGGAAATGGTTCGTTTACGACGACGTGCTGAGAATTCACTAGCAACAGTCAACTGACGACGAAGTTAGTTGTGTCCAGATGGGATGTTGATTAGCTTACCAGATGTCTAACCTGATCATGAACAATTTGCTCCACCAGTGTCAAAGTCTCAACGGAAACGTCTTGAGTCTCACCAGCGACGTACATCATCTAGAAGAAATTAGAGACCAAACGATGGGTCAGGACGAAAGGAGTCACTTACATGCTGGATCTCGTTGCTGTACCTGGATGTAAAACTGGTCATAATGCAAGTGGTTAGGTCCTCGCTCGAGGTCACGTTCTTGGTCAGGGCAGGAATAAGGGCAGTATCAGCTGCTTTATACATGCGCGCTGGTAATCAATGAACAAGTTGGACTGTGTTCCGTGATGCACATATTGTGGAATATGATTGACTGCTCTTAGCACGTCTTTGTTAATCATGCACGTTGGTTAGGTTGTGGGACATGTTAGGGAGGGAGCCATGACCACCTGGGGCCTCAATCTGAAAACAAAGAACGCCACCAAAAAAGTAATTTTGGGAGGGCCAGGAACCTTCTTTACTAACTTTACAATAAATTGGAAACTTAGTCCCTAAAAGAGAACTCAGTCGAATTTTGAAACACGATGGCTTATTTCTGTGCCTCTCTAGGTACCAAGGCTGAGGGTTGGAATAGCTACACCAATCCAAAACAACATGTGTGATAAAAGTTCACAAGCCATCAGAACAATCCCATCTTGAGGTTATTTTCACTGCTTTGTTGGGTGGACCTGTAACACTGGTCACCTGACGAGGCGTGTCAGTGGGCGAAAAGTACCCAGCCCCTGAGCAAAATACTCAACAGTCACTGCTGAGAACGAGGAGAATCCGAATTTCGGACAATTGCTTTTGGATTGTTGAACAGCTGTCGTCACATGCATCCGTTTAGGTTATCAAATCTACTCTGGTAGTCGTAGTAACTGAGGCATAATGTGTCGCAAGTCGCCATGATGTCAAAGTATTTGGCCGCTTGAAGCATAATAAATCAGGTTTACTTGTAAATTTATGATATTGGAGTCATACCGTAGCTATTGATACTTCTACTCCAAACTCTAGAGGCAATTAATTGCCTGTTGCCTACAAACCACCATGATAGACTTCTGAAGAGTAAAGAACAGGCGCAGTTTGTCGAACTCATTCCTGCCTCTATATAAACCTGCCGAATTCCTCCAATGACCACTTTCCCTTCCTCACTGCACAAAGCTCATTCAACTTGCAAATCATCCCACTTGATATCAACCAACTCACATATCATCCAACATGTCCGACAACAACAGCATGAAGTTCCCTCTTGTCCCCCCCAGCGAGGGTGTCGTCCCTGACCAGGGCATTGTCCCTAACCGGGACGCCTTCCTTAACTTAGACGTCTTCCCAGGCCAGGACATCTTCCCTGGTGAGGCTTTATGCCCGGCACCCGTCGGAGACCAGGGTCAGCATCTGCCGGAGGGGATGTATCGTATACCCCAAGACGCCGATTTCATCCCTAAGGAGGAAATCGGATTTCGCCTGTTTGCCCGCCAGCTCCAGCGCTTCCACGCAAGTGGGCTGGATAACAAGAACAGGCGCCGTATCACGCCTGCCGATATTCAGCTCGCTCAGGAGATGGAACCCAACACCGGCCCCATGTTCTACCACGACGGGACAAACTGGCCGGCTGACTGGGTAGTCGAGGAAGGCAACGGCGTTACGAAGGAGCTGGCCGATGCAAAGGCCAAGGAATTTGAACAGGGTCTAATCAACCACCGAATGTTCGGCTTCTTTTTGTTCCAAGATCTAGCCGCCTACATTGACTTGAATGCGGTCTTTGACTAGGAGACCTCATCGACTCGATCTTCGATGATAGGGTTAAAAAAAAAGTCTCTATAAGAATCTTTTTTTTTAGCGATAGATGTTTTGGCGTTGTGGGATTTTTGATCTCTTGTTTCTTATGCATACACATATCATATGCTAGGTTTTATTTGGAATAGTTTTCTTTTTCTTTTGTTTTTTTTACATTATGTAATCTATAATATTCAAGACAAATCCTTTCAACCGCTATCGTATCTTCGTCGTATTATCCGGTGTTATAATTCATGTAACTTGTGGTGCATGCGTAGCTATCCCAAGCCTAAGGGGCCTGCTGAATAGTTTGGTCGCCCTATGATCAACACCATCTGTGAAACTGTTGATAAAGATGCGAGCCATAGTACCTCAAACTTGTTTATGTTTATGTTGGTAACGTAAGAAGAGCGAAATCCTCTAGTTACATGGTTGTATGTCGTTGCGTGGTTCATAAACCTAGAGACATATTATGTCAGTAAGGCGTCAGTAAAGAACCAATGTCGTGTGACTGATTTACCGTACGTTTCCACCAGATCTATTAAGTGAGGGGCATGGGTAAGGCAAGTTGCAATGGCACCTTTTGGCCGTTGTTCAACCTAAGTCTACCCTCACAGCATAACTCACAAACTATTTATAGATCTTTCTTGGGCGATAGAGACGAGGATGTTACTGCAGATAATAGGGAAAGACTTGAATTAGCTATCTAGCACCTAAGCCTGATGAATATCACGAAACTGTATCGCGTACTACATTGACTCGGGAATGATCAAGATCTATTTGAAAACAAAAATATATAGTTGTGCCCATATGTTCTATACTGCCGATGCAGAGACTAGTTCATATCAAAAACTTCTATCATCCCAAGTCACTCTTTGTCCAGCCTTCCCAGATCCAGTCTGCAGCATGATCGATGACAGGATACTATCAGGCCCGGGGACTTGACCAGATTGAGAGATCACTCCGGGCTTCCCCAGATCCAGTGTACCGGCATCCCCACAAAGTGAGGCATTTCATCGAAACAAAAGGAAGTCCAAAGGCTGCTACTCCTAGTCGGCGGCGGAGGCCGAAGCCGAAATGCGGAGGCTAGCTTCCCATCCACTAGATCAACAGCAACAATTACTAAAGTAGGAAATAGGCTGGGCCATCGTGATCTTCTTTTCGCTCTATAAGTTCGCCGATACGACCTTGATGCTATTGCAAATGGTGAGTATAAATACTGCTGGGGTGTCGCATGGGAGAACCTCCAATGTAGAGGACTTTCCAACGCCTGGTTTCATTTGGTGAAGATGAGCCCTACCCTCAATAAAGTACTATGCGGCCTATCAAATTTGGCTGTCTCAGCCTTCGCAGAACCAAGCTTGAAGTGTTCTGCTGATAGCATCTCCATCCCAAACGCCATTTTGGACTCCATCAGTCATCACACACTCGGTGACGCGATCCCACTTCCCAACACCGTCGCATCTTGCGGCGGATCAACATTCAAAGTCAACATCACAAGTAACCTCTGCAGAGTTGTTGTCAACGTTACAACAAGCACTTCCAGCTCAACCCGCATTGAAGCTTGGTTGCCAGATGATTGGAATACTCGCTTGCTGGCAACCGGAACGGGCGGTATTGGAGGATGCATCGATTACCGGTTTGTGCAAAATGGCGCTCATCTAGGCTTTGCAAGTTTCGGCACCAACACGGGCCACGATGGAGAACAAGGGTTTGACTTCTTCCTCAACCAACCCGAGGTCATCAACGACTTTGGACATCGAGGTATCCACGTTGAGGCACAAGTTGCGAAACAGATTGTCGAGCAGTATTATGGAAAGAGAGCATCCAAGAGTTACTACCAAGGTTGTAGTACAGGAGGACGCCAAGGTCTCCAAAATGCTCAACTATACCCTGAAGATTTCGACGGCATCCTTGCCGGAGCTCCTGGAATCGATTGGCTCCACATCGTGGCGTCCAAGGGTATCCTAGCTCGGAGAATAGGATGGCCTGACCTTGAGTCTGATGCTTATGTTCGACCGGAGCAGTGGCAAGCCATAGTTGCTAAGCAAATCGAAATGTTCGATCCTCTGGATGGTGTCAAGGATGGAATTATTGATAACCCTGCTGCACATGCGTTCGACCCCGCTATCATGGCATGTGGCACCCAAGTTCTGAGCAGTTCTTTGTGTCTCAAGCCTCAACAAGTAACTTCTGTTCGAGCTGCTTATGAGCCCCTTGCTGACTCTGAGGGTCGTATTGTCTACCCAGGCTTTAGCCTTGGCTCAGATACAAGTGTCTTTTCCGCTAATCAGATCAACGGAACTGCAGACTTGACCTACAAGGTTCTCCAGGTATGTGATACTAATGCTAATCCAGCCTGTCATGTAGGCTCACGAGACCTAGGACTTCTGGCGTGGTGCTGTCTACAATGACTCGACCTGGACACCGCACAACTTCACAGTGCAGGATATGGACTTTGCCATTAAACTAAACCCGGGAGGCGTCAACGCTGCCGAGGCGAAATTGGACAGGTTCTATGCTAAGGGCGGCAAGATCATCTCGTACCACGGTCAGGCGGATCAGACCATTACCCCCAAGTTACTCGCGGAGTACTACGCCAAAGTCCAGAGCAACCTCAACGTCACCCTCGAAGACATGCATTCCTTTTATCGACACTTTTTTATCCCCGGGATGTATCACTGCTCTGGCGGACCTGGGGCTTTCGATATCGGCCAGGTGTATCCGATGGACGATGATAGACTAAACGCTAAGGAAAATGTGCTACTTGCTTTGACAAAGTGGGTGGAGGACGGTGAAGAGCCTGCCGCTCTTGTGGGAGCAAAGTATGACATTTCTGGAAAGGCCACAGCCTATCGGAGTAAGCAAGCCTCCTAACAAAAGAGTGAATGCCACTAATATTGTACAGAGTACTGCCCTTACCCCTACGAAAGTAAGTGGGATGGGTCTGGAAACACGACCAAGGCGGATAGCTGGGATTGTGTCATACCCGGGGTTTGAGGTCAAAAGGGTAGTTTACATAACCATAATTGTGAATGTTGTTGTTACGACCCTGCTGTGTCCTGTATCTATGAATGCGTAATTGTTAAGCAGAGTAAGAGTTTCGACAATACCGACTTGTCTTCTGATGCCGATGAAACCGATAACAATATTGTTTCAATCATCATCAGCGATATGTCACAGTCAACCTGTCGGCCAGTGTGGTTGCCTTTTTAGCGAGTCGCCTCTGGAGCTAGAAATCTCAGACAATCAGATCAGCACCAACGTCACTATAAACGAAATAGTTACAAGTGGCAAGGCCGTGATGACACCATCTGACCGGTCAAGTTTTAAACAGATTCTTATTGAATAAGGATAAATACAATGCACCACATGTGGGACTTGGCTCATATAATTTGTGGGAAGATCAATTTGATAATACAAAATATTGTTTTGTGTTTTCTATGTTGCGATTGACTAAAAATACATGATCAATGGCTGTCATATTTGGTCCATCATATTTAGAAATTGCTTTCAGTGCGCCTGCATACCAATAAATCCCTTATTACACTAGGCATAAATCATAAAAGGGATCATGGAAACGTTTCCCGTTTCTTGATTCCATATCGGGTTACCCAAGTAACCTTTTGAATCTGTTCATGACATCTACCTGATAGAGTTGATACCACCAGCAGACAGAGGAGGGGCCTTATCGCCGGCCTTGTTCTTCTCGTCCATCAACTTGCCGAGGGACATGTTACCAATGGATGTATCAACACCAGTGCCAAGGTTTCCTCTGTTGGGAGCCTCGCGAGGAACAAACCGTTGGTAATCAGAGCCCTGGTCCATCCTGTTCTGGATAGAGTAGTCACCATCGTCAATAGATGGTCGCTTGCCTACGGGAGGCTGGTTGCTGGACACGTTGGAGCCAGCCGCGGTAAAAGATGGGATGTTAGAAACGTTGCTGGTGAGAGAGCTAGGTGCCTGTGAATTGTTGCTAGTAACGGCACCAAAGTCGTCGGAGGGACCGTGAGAGGGGAATGAATCCCTTGATGGCTCAGGGAAACCTTGGACGGCGGATTGAGAGACACCTGTGGCATGGGTGGACTTGTCGGTAGTGTCGAATTCGGGTTTGGGTGATTTTTGGAAGCTGTGGGACATGTCATGGGCAGTCTTGGAGGCCATTTCCTTGGAATCGTTGAAAGACATGTCATCCTTGGGGTATTTGGAAGAAACATCTCTAGCCTGAGTAGATTCAGAAGAACTATGGGGGACGCTGGAGGTGATATCGCTAGCAGTCTGGTTGTTACCCTTCATCACTCCAGGAACCATGTTGACCGCACGCTGTCGAAGATTACCGGCAGTATCCTGAGCGCTGGAAGTGAAGCTGGTAGCACTATCTTGAGCCCGGGAAGTCAAGTTCGAGGCGGTATCTTGGGCACGTGATGTCATGTTGGAAACAGCAACCTTGCTGTCCTGCGCGAGAGTGCTGGCTTGATCAATAGCGACGTTGCCGATTTCCTGGGCTCGTGCAATTCCATCGCGGGCGATTCCTCTGCCTTGTGGAGATCTGATGAGGGGAATAATGTAGACGGTCGTCAAGGCCAAAATGGTAATTCCGAAAGGGGTCATGAACTGGGTCAAGAAGTATAGAGAAGTAGCTATGACGAAGGCCTATTGAGGTTAGTCTTTGTTCGATTGTTTTGTCGCTGTACATACAGAAAAGGTCTTTTCAAGGTCCTCGGCAAATATGACCTTCTGCGCTTTAACAGCAGCATATTGGATGAAGTCGTGAATATCCTTCAGTGTAGCATTGAGGGTTGATTCGGGAAAGGTCTTGTACTGCTTGGGTCGCATTCGAGAGACGAAATTGTTGGGGCCAAAGGAGCGACCGGCGAACTCGGCTAGGGACATTACTTTCAATGGAGTTAGTCTCACTTCAGTATCCGATTCTAAGTGTGAGATTTGCTTACCTCCGAGACCAATGGCGCTGGTCTTGAGTGCCAGTTGGGTAAGGCGAAGATGGTGGACAGCGAGCAGAAAGCCGAGGGCAGCAAAGTACGATCCAATGGTTCGAGCTGGATCCTCCCACTAACAAGTGTCAATATTTATTCTCAAGGTTATGGCACTGAAATAAATACACTGATGTACTTGTAAAGGCTGTCCTGTTGGGCAACAATTTCCTTCAAGGGTCCCGATCGTCGACGCTGTCCATTGAACTGAGTTCCAGCAGTGTCTTCAGCCATGACGGGCTGGAAGTTGTTTTGAAGACCACTCATGTCGGCAATTGGTGACTGTCAAGCACTATTGACAGTTTTGGTATGGTAAAATAGATTTTGTCAATTCATAAGTAGAAAAGATAGATGGATAAGAATGACAAGCCACGAATTGAGCCAGCATCAGCCCTTTATCTGGAGTTGTCTCGATAGCTGACTTGAGTTTGGGGCTGAATTCCAATGCGTCATCACATGTTGGTCGATGCGCTCATAATGATTTTTTGGTTCCTGTCGTGACATCAGTTAGTCTCAGCTGCGTCATTGTGAAACCAGCCTAGTTCTAGTTTAGAGCCTCATGAGAATTGAATGCTAACGTCTTGGTCCTGTGCGACTAGAGTAACACCCACGTCATTTGAAGCGTCACCGTCCCAGTATCGAGATCAACAATTGCTTTTGCGTAGGTTTCTGCAGTTGCATAAAACACGGCTAACACGGATGCAGTACAAAAGCAGGATTGAGGAGGAATTCAACATCGTGTCCTCTTCCAACTTGGCACTGGGGAAAGTTCGCACTAATGTCTTTGGTTGACATCATGGCGTGCCTGAGACAAAGAGAAGTCACGCGACTCCAAGCAGTTTCCTGCTTATTCCAATTGACTAAAAAGATCGCCAATTAGCTACTCTTAGTGCTCAGTTCCGGGTCATAATCTCCATGCTTCCGGTAAGCCTCTTAACGAAAACAGTTTGGTCAACGAAAGCCAAATGGACAAGTAACGTGTTATTAGTAATAATGACAGTCAAATGGCAGACATTAAATGGTTAATTTACAATTCGATTATCAATTGCTTATGTGGCATTTGAATTGCACTGTTTATGAAGCCGTTTTCGCATTAATATGCACCTGTTTCCTGCAGAATAGAAGTCTATTTTCTCTAGCACAGTTCTCGATCAACTGATTCACTGTCTCTGACAGCTCCCCTCAACATCATCACCTTTATCTAGAGAAGCAATATTGACTGAGGTCAATTCTCAGCCAAATAGTCGTCATGGCCCGCGATCAGATTCACATCTAATAACGCGGTTCGGCGGGCTTCCACTTCCCGATGAGGTTTTTTTCTCGACCTGGACGCGCAGATGAGCGGCTGCGTAGTTCTTAACTCCCTTATCTGGACGGCCATTCAATAAAACGAGCTGGAGCTTGGTGGGAGTGATGTTGATTTCGACACAGTTTTTAGCCAATGTTTCTCCAAGCTTCATGATCTGTTGGTCTGTTGACGCAGATGCATCGTTCTTGCGAACCATGACGATTGTGACGTAATTTCTAGGCATTTTGAATTCCTTGATTCTGGACATAGAAATGTTTGCGGTTATGAAAATTGTTAGTGATAGCACGAAGTCGTTGTGTGGAAAGTCTTTCCGAAGATGGATGCAAAAGAAACATTGGGAGAATATGCATAGGTTTATATACGTAAAGCACAATATCTGTTCAATCAGCATTTCATTATTCCAATTGCTGTTCAGAAAACAAATAATAACAAGCTCTCTATTCAATGAAAGCGGCACTATATTGGAAGGATAACCTCGAATGAAAAACATCCTGGGCTTTCGTAGTCTTTACAGTTAAAGACACACAACGAGTCACAGTGAATCAAGCTTCTGGTACGAGCAGATGCTCGTGGTTGATATATGGTTTAAGCTAGTGATATAGGTCTATGGGAGTTCCTAAGATGGAAACAATCGCCGGTTCTGGCAATCTGTGTACATCCGTTCATAAACTTCCAGGTTCACATAGGGAATAGAAATTAGGTCGGTTGCAGTCGCAGAAAAGAGAGTATCGAAATGCTCGGTTAGCCCTGACGCCTCAACAGCGCGCTTCATATCATACTCCTGCCTATGCATATCCGACTCCAAAGATTCAGAAATCATCAATAATTCATCGTGTCTGGAAGCTCTCCAGACATATTTGTCACCAGTGTTGTCAAGAAAACGCATCAAGCTATACATGTGGCCCGATCCATTCCCTCTCTTATGGTAGACCGTCTTTATATAACGAAGCTCTTCCATAGTAGATTGCGTAATGTTGAGATCTTTCTGTTGTTTGGTTACGAACGATTTTGGGAGAAAAGGGATAAGTTTTTAGAGTGAGAATTTATAGTTCAATTCAAGTGGAACACCTATCGCTGACTGAGAAACTACAAGTCTTGGTTCAACACGCTAGGGCTGTCAAAATTGTTGCTTAACCAGAATTTTTAGTCAGGGTTCCATTGATATACTGCTTTGGAACATCACTAGGGTCAGTGTTTGTCACAACAAGCATCTTGGACCAGTCTTTGTGAAGATCATTCTCGTCCATCGCAGTAAACAGCTCATCTCTTGCTTTCTTCTCCGTCAACGGCACGCAGGCAATAGTCAGTTGAAGTATGGTTTCGTTCAGATGCAGTGCCATGTTGTATCTCTTGTCTGTAGCAGTTTGGAATTCAATCAGCTTCGACATATCGAATACTGCATCTTCGCTCTTGTAGAACATTGCGTGAAGAAAGTAGACCATGGTTCTGGAGTATGATCGTTTGAGTTAGCTTCTTTGTATTTTCGCGAAATATTTTTCAATTGACGGAACGAAAAATGCATAGTTCTTGTCGACTTATGTACAAAAGTGCTGTTCGTGATACAGTCTTTTCTTTGGGTGCGGTTGAATAAAATTGAGCCATCGGCTGATTTAATTACCATTACGTGCGTCAAGACTGCGCATTGTGGGACGTACCAGTTTCCATCAGACGCCACGACTCGACTTGGGCACAGATGAAAACACATTTGTGAATATTTATACCGAGGGTACGTGAATGAGATTATGTCTCTATTGTTGAACAACTCTCAAATACATCTCCGAAGTAGGCAAGCCTCCGTTTCAGTGAAGCACTTATTTCCGAACACAATGTTCATGCTTATATCTCACTGATTTCCTGGGTCGCATTTGGTCCGTAGCGTACGTATATTTAAAATCTTCCTGCTTCAAAGGTTTGTTGCATATATCTAGTCTTCAGGATCATGGGCGATCCTCCCTTTCCACTTTGGACCTGGGTTATGGTCTATGACAAACTTCGAGTCCGTGACCCAGAATTTACGATGTCCGCTTGTTGTCAGTAGCTTAAATAGCCTCTGTCTCCAATCCTGCGCCCTCCGCTATTGAACAAGCTTTGAATTCCAAATATTCATAATTGGCACTAAACGTAACTAGATGGTGTGGCCTGAATACATGAAAATCCTTTGCTCGAGACTCAGAGTATCTGACGTTTGATCTTCGGCGAAACGTAGCGTGAAAGTACATACGGCGGATGGAGGAAGGTATCGTTAGTAGTGAACAGTTTTTGTCAACTGTGGTGTACCGATTTCTGGTGTTGATGTCCTGATTTGACTATCCTTGTCATGTACTCAATATGCCGTTGTATGATTGTGACAAATCGTGATAAAGAGCTAGTGTTTCTCACTTCTCTCCTCAGTGATTCTGAATCCACTGGCCAATGTTCACTCAAAGTGCAGATCCTGATATGAAACACATCTTATTGTCAAGCTATGACATCAATGAATCAGTTCTGATCAGCATTTATATGGTACTTCATGCGTTGTTTCACATATCTGCAGTTTTCGCATCACAGATCATAGATTCTACGGAGGAATTGATCTTTCCTCTCAGCCTTCCGAATATCTATCACTCAAACTAATAGGATTTTAATTGAGCTCCTAATATCCCACGATTCGACAAATATCTAGATCCAGGTTATTAACCCTCAAGCCTCGGGTTTCTGGCCATAAAATACGGTGCTAAATTGGTAACCTGTCAGTACGGTGTCGCCATCTGTACCAGTATTCGGCATGCAAAAGATACTCACACCTCGAGATATGAATGTAGATCTGGATTAGTCAACTCTTTGCGCATCTCCGCCAAGAACAACTGCACATCCTCAAACTTCCACTAAAGCTCAGATAGTCAGCGCTGTATCTATTAGTCATCGGAGATGGACTCAACAACTCACACCCAGCATTTCAGTCAAGCCACGAATAGAGAAACCCTCAAGACCCTGGAGCAAGAAGTGGCGATTCCAGGCACCCCATTGCTTGAGTGTCTTGTCCTTGGGCCATGTTCCGACTGGCACCTTGATTCTCCTGCCTTTCACGTTTATGAACCCGGCATCGCTAATTGACTGACCCATCTTGTCATCCCAAAAGAAGGACTTGCCCGTGATTTTCTCGATCTCCTTGAATACTTCAACCCACTTGTGACAGGGGGAGTCGGCTTTTAGGGTATTGTCGTCGGATTTTGCGTTTCCCCAAAGCTCAACGCTTTCTAGCCAACCGCCAGGTTGCATGTGCCTATCAGGAGTTAATGTATACTACCGAGCGTCAATAAGGGCGGCTCACGTGTAGGCCTTCTTGTAGAGCTCAGTCCAGTCAGGAATACAGCCTATCATGGCGCGGACATGAATGAAGTCAAAGTGATTATCAGGATATGTCCAGTCTTGCGTGATATCGTCAACTTCGAATCGACAGTTGGGGGGCACAAATTTAGGTTGAATGGGGGATAGGTCAACGCCAATCACATCTGCAGATGGGTTGGCATCGGCAAACTCGCTGCGAAGAGTCAGACTTTAGACTTCAATGTCCTCTGAGAACACTCACATTGCCCAAATTCCAGTTCCACATCCCAAATCCAGAACTCTCTAACAAGCAAGTAGTTAGAGCATAAAGTGCCAATCTCCTTTGGTTTTGAACTCACCTGTGGCTTTTCGGGGATCGGAGCCTCTTGCAGCTCACCATCCAGAATGATCTTGTACACTTCGTGCCTGACCAACATTAATAACGAAAATCTCCTAAAGTTTGTAGACGTACATCAAGTCTTCTGCTTCCTGTTGACGGTCGTCATTGGGAGCCCTAATAATAGTCAGTCAATCCTCATAAGAAAATCTGAACATCGTAATTTGCCCACCAGTAAGATCCATCCTGATAAGCATGGTAGCGCCGTCCATTCTCCCACTTGTAACTTAGAATAGATGACCGAAGTGACTCTGTGTCGGTAATTCCCGTCCTATTACGCGTTAGTGCCAAGTTGGGACTCTGAACCCAGTAGTTCAGTAAAGCTTACGATTTACTGTAGGAAGAGTCGGAATCATCATCCTATTGACCGTAAAGTTAGTACATTCCAAGGTCAGCCAGTCGCTGGGACAACTTACAACTTCAATTGCTGGCTGCTCTGCAACAGTGTGGTCTAATCCAGTGGGTGATTGGCGACCTCGGGAGGATCTGGATTTGTGCGATTTTGGTGAAGACATATCCGCTCAATAAGCTTTGAAACTGATTTCTCACTCAACAATTGCGAAACTGGAGGGTTGAAAAAGGTTGAATAAAAAACATACCGCTTTATGGCCCGTTGTTGGTCTTCATGAGGGATTTTGAACAAGATCCTTGTCCATGCAGTACAACCAACAGAATTTATGAACAATGGCAGTTCGGCCCGTCATACGATACTTACCCACGGAACTGTCAAGAGTCTTGTCGATCATCATATCATGAAGTTGCTGTTCCCGTCTCTACCCTGTCTTTGCTTGGCGTTGTCAAATCCCAAGACATGACCATATATCAGCCCTGTGAAACTGGTTGAAGATACTTTCTTCGGATGAAACTAAATATCAAGTAAGGATTGTCTCTTACTTTAATGGTTCGCTAGCCGATGAGTGATGTGCTCTTTGGAAAATCTCCCCTTGATCCATGTTCTATCGTGCATGATCCGCATAAATGCCAAGAATGTTGCCAGGATACACGTCGAGGGACTTCTAGGATCTGAATACATAATCCTCAGCAACTATCTTCTTTTCTTGATGCTCTAACAGCATGTCATTGAGCTGCCACAGTGTCATCAGAATTTTATTATTGTATCATTGTCGTTATTGTAGAACTGAAGGGCCTACCAAATGCCATTGTGGAACAAAGCTTTATCACGTTTTGTTTGACCCAGCGTCCAGGCAAGGGTCTACGTTGGCCGGGTAAAGAACAGGGCAAGGGTCTTCTGGATGAAAGGTTTGGTGTGATTGATATACATATTCACGGCTATGTTTTGTTTCGCATTTAAATTCTCCTTTTAGCCAAATCTTCTCAGATATCCAAATAATCCTGCCTTCGTCCAGATAGACTAGAAACCTCTCAAAAGTTAGAGGCAAGTGTGGATGCATGTTATAAACGGCCTCGTATGATATTTGCAGGCTAGACCATCGTCCGCTACTCAGTATCTCCAATGATACGCCAACGGTCCATTCGTTACTGCTCTGCAGTCTCTTTATGGTATAACCTCCACTGACGCTATCACAGCCAGTTTGACCACGTAGCAACATAACCAAATGCAACATCGATGTTATCAAATGCTTGTCGGTAATCTCCCTCTAGTCCTTCGCAAACAAAGGGGAGGGAAGTTCCAACTTCGATCCAAACCCCTACCCTAACACCTCGCTAAGCAAGGGTCCCCCCTCCGTGGCTTGATTGATGTAGTCACTAGCTTCGGTGTGGCTGCATCCGTAACGACAATTCGCGGTCAAGTACCGCGAACGCCACATCGAGGGATTTGTGGGCGAGGTCAGTAATGGCACATGCTTAATGTTACTTGTTTTGGTCAATGTTGCCCTTGTAGAATGAGTGAGGCGTTAGGTATTACGATTCTTAACGTTTAAATTCGTTGTCAGCATCAGCGCATTGTGATTTACTGTACATGAAACCGTATTATGAAAGGATCAAAGTCAAAAGTCAAGAGCTGGGGACGGGGAAATGGGAAGCACGCGACTCTATAATGCACTTATCAGCACGCTTTGCCTCATTTGTGCCACACAGCGAGTTTCCAATGTTTGGGCAGCATTGATCACCCACGAGCTCCCTTTCGGCTCGGTTCGTTAGTGTCGGGATTCAAATCTACACTTTGACATGTGTATCTGGTTGGTTTCCTCTCTCTGGCGCACGGAAGATTAATGAATCCAGGGTTGTGTAACAGGGTGCTTCAGATGATGTGATTCACAATTTCTCACATTAGTGCACATGACTGCCGCCATGTTTCTATATTCCGACAAAAAGCGGAAGCGGAACGAGAAGTACGTTAAATTTCCAGAAAGTTAGCCTGACAGGGGTTCAAAACTAAGAGACGAGTTACTGTAATGGAAGTGAGTTTTCGTTTACCGACGACGACTAAACATTAGTACGACAATGACCCTGACGTTCGCCTTCCCCTTTGAAGGTAACTGAAGCGAAACGACGCATAGACAGGTGCCGAAAGTCGAAACTCTATTTTAGTACCGTTGGAAGATCCCCCTCCTTTCCCCGTGGGGACACGAGTCAAGACCCCCTTCAATCCAGCTTAGTTACAGCCCAAGCTTTCTTAGAGTTTCTTAGTTCCACTGCCAGAAGCTCTAGTCTACCAACCATTTTTTAGATGGGTGCCCAATTTCATGACTACTGGGAATCCGACTTCAGCCTTCAGATTAGTATCAGTCATTTAACAGGGATTTCGCGTTCACTGGCCAATGTTTGACCTCGGAGAACATTCCGTTCGGGACGCACTCTGCAAATCCGGGTTTCGTTTTTGATTACCTGGTACGTAAGTAACACACTTGTGGCTTGAGTAGAGACTTGATATCGAGTCAGGATCAGGGGTTAAGACAAGCTTCAAGGTGTGACAAGCGCAGGCAGTGCACATGCGTCTCGATCTGTCTAACTGAAAAGGAGGTCGATCATCTTGGCCAGGATAATTCTTTTAAACTACTCGCTTATGTCTCATTGCTTTTTCCTTTAGCCTCGTGTCACTTTGCTCATCTTTGTTTTTTGTATGACTTGATCTGAGTGATCGACAATGGCGTCCGCACCAGTACCGGTATTCTTCGAGCTCAGTTGGTCTATCCTGTCAACCATATGCATGGGAAATGTTCTCCTCGGATGTCTAGTATGCGGTATCACTAACTGGACGCTGCTGGCCGCTGTGCCTATGTTTTCATCAGCGGCTGGAGCTATAGCAAACGGGTTGTGTTATTATGTCTACTATCAACAACATCCCCCAATCTATACCGCAATAGCTTCGGTGTTTGCAGACATCTTCTGGCTGGTAAGATATCATTCACCAACTGGGAACAGCTCCAACTGATGGTTACTAGCTACAAGAAGCCGGACTTTTGTTTTACAGTTACATCATTCTAAAGCGAGTTCTCCGTGGTTTGAGATGGAGAGTGTTTGCTTCTCTCTTCTGGACGGGTATTGCGGGTATCGTCATGGTACGAATCGTCATCATCGCCTTCCGAGTTCGCTCTATCCTCGCCGAAAACAACGACCTACTAACGACCATAAACCACATCCATATCGGCTACTTCGGTCTTATCGCTCTGCTCGAATGTCTCAGTGCCTACTTTCTCATGGTTCTCTTCACTTCCGCCAAAGCCTCATCGGCCGAAATTGCACGCAGCGGTGGTCTTTTCCAATATTTGGCGAGGAGCACGGAAATGAGAGTCGCACTTCTAGCCCTACAGGGTGTACTTCGTGCTGTCACACATTCATTCAAGACTGCTGGCCAGACAGCTGAGAATATCGCCACACAACTCGATCGCTTTTTCTATGCTATCTTTTGCCTCTATTCTATGGTCTTGTAGTAAGTCATGACCTGATCACTCTGCCAAAACTTGTACTGATAATTGCAGCATTGATCTCCTGTCCTCCAAACTCAAGTTCAGCGCTGGTAGTCAAGATTACCCATCATCTCGAGATCGTTATCACCAGAATAGCCATCAAAACCACTTCACTCCATCTCAGAGGGATGAATTCGGCCAGGCTAGATCCAGGCATACTGTCATCATTAACGGGGGAAAGTCCAAGACGCGAAGTGATTCGACAGATCAGATTATAGAGTGCAATTCGTCACAGGGCGATGCCTCTATCAAGCTTGATGACATGGACGTCAAGGGTATTGCGATTAGTTCATGACCTAACTTTTATTTTCCTACACCATCCTACTTTTACTTTGTACAATACCCAAGTTTCTCTTTTTTTTTTTTTTTTTTTTTTTTTTTTTTTTTTGTTAACTCATATCCCAATGGCAAACAACTACGTATATACGCAATATTCCTATAAATTCAACAACCCGATCTTAAAGTCATGGTAGGAGACCCAAGCAGACAGCCAAATATAGAATTAGTAGTTGAGGCTATAAAAATAATTTTCCTTGGTTACTAGTGTCACTGGTTACAGTTTGCTGTGGATAGGAGCAGGCAATGAATCAACAACATCACACACAGGGCTGCCATTTCTCACCAGCCATTTCGGTGCTGAGCATCTGAGGAAGCGGTTCGACGCAGATGGAGAGGACATTGAGGTATTTGCAACGGTATCAAGTGTTGGTTTTTGGGGCTTGAGATCGCTGAGGTCGCTGAGGTCGCTGAGGTCGCTGTGGTCGCTGTTCGGATTAGCAATCAAGCTGTAGGCGATATCCAGGTTAGCGACAGTTTGATACTGGTGTTTAACGAGGCCTTATGTCCATTGTATTTGCCTTTCACATTGCTCCGGGTATCCGTCTCCCCTGCTCTCGCTTATTCCCTTAGCGTCTATAGGACTGTAGTCACCACACATGATGAGAAAAAAGTCAACGCCTTTCTTACTGGACGGCAAAGTCCATATTTCGATCGCGGACGTTCTGGCGACTCGAAAACTTCAGAGGCTTGACCCATCGTCCGAGACAATCTCGTATCCCAAGTTAAGCATAGTTTTTCCACATTTAAACTCATCTCATCGAACTTGAACACAGATTACTCCAGTTCTGATCTAGATGTCATGAGTATCGTCGCAATGACCTTTGTCTCATAATCCACAGTAGGATTATGTGATAGTTTCTGCTAAATCATCCAGGTTGGCTCATGCACTTACCATGACTACCATGAAAGCTCTTCAGTAACTGGCTCTAAGCTCTCTTGCGTAACCTGACTTCCAATCCTTCCTGCCGAGGGAACCAACTGTTTGTCACCTTCCACTCCTTCTTGGGATCCGCCAACTCAATCTCAAACCGCGTAAGCAAGATAGCAATGACTTTGTATGTTTGGAAAAGGCCAATATGTTTTCCAATGCAGATACGACTGCCTCCTCCAAAAGACAGATCTGCTTGGTTCATCGCCAGTAGACGGCCCTGGTACTGTTCTTCTATCTCGTCCTCGAAGCGCAGCCAACGTTCAGGTCGGAAGTCGTCAGCGTCCTCGCCATAAACTGATTTATTGCGTGCCACAATGTACGGGTTCATGCCCAATACTGTACCCCCAGGGAGAAAATCGCCATTAGGAAGAACAAAACCTTCTTTGGGGACATAACGTTCCATGGTCATCGACACACCAGGCAGCATGCGCAAAGCCTCTCGACATACGGCATCTGTGTATGGCAGAGCTTTGGCGTCCTTGTACTCAGGAACTTGCTGGAATCCCGCCTGTAGTATCTCTTCGGCGAGACGCTCCCAAACTCTTGGGTGCTTGAGCGCAAAGTAGAGGGCGCTTCGAATAGTGATGGCAGTTGTGTCGGCTCCAGCAATCATATTGACCATCAACCATGAGATGATTTGGGCGTCATCAGCTTTATCCGGTTTGGAGTTCTTGATTTCGATGAATTTGTCGAGAAAGTCGGGTTGAGTAGGATCGTGATACTCTTTGTCGTTACCTTGGTACCTATCTATAAGGTGCTTGACAGAGATTCCGGCAATGGTGTTGAAACCAGGAGGTCCAATGCGATAGACAGGATTCTTGTCAAAGATACGATCCAAGAATGGCATTGTACCTACGACAGTGAAGTAATCCATGGCCTTGTCTGCATTTTTGAGAGTACCATCAAAATCATATCCTTTCTCGAGATATCCGATAGGCTGGGAAAATGTCACGGCGCCGACAACATCCCAGGTATCTGGCACATTAGTCAAGCTCTTCGGCGTTTAAAATACCCGTTAATGGAAGATGGTGCACTTACAGAACAAAATCCATTGACCGAGGTTACAAACCTGCCCAGCATTGTCTCCAGTGAAACGCTTCTCTAATTCATCGCACAACTGGTTGATGACCTTGTTCATATGGGGCTCGAGAGTACTGACGCCAGCACTAGAGTAGAGTTTGGCGATAGGTTGTCTTTCCTTTTTGTGTTTCTGAGGATCGGTTTGACTGAAGAGGTTGAGCACAATCTGCCCATTGACCAGGGCGCTGCTACTATGATAGAAGGGTGTCTAATGTGTTAGGACGGTTATACTAATTGAAGCATTGATTGTAACTAACCTTTAACCAGTCGCCCTTGGTATTGAAGATGGTCTTGATTATCTCGGGAATGTCGACGTCGATAATGTCAGGAGTTATTCGAACGATTGGTCCGTATTTCTTATGCAGCCTCTCAAGAACCAGGTGCGAGTCACCAGTGGAGGCTTGATACAGGTACCAAAGTCTCGTGAACTCTACATGATTAGCATTTTCCATTTACGGACATGCATCACTCACTTGCGAGAAACGGCCCAGGGTACTTTTTCAAGGGAGAGGTACAGTATGAGGCGATGGTCCATAACGATAGCGTACCTGCCGGGACGATAAAAAGCAGAAAGAGAGAAGGGGAAACAAGGCTGGAGATATGCCTCGCAGACTCCATGATTGGAGTGTCATATACTGTGTGATTAGCCATGTCAAAGCGCAATAACCTTGGAAGGTATTTCCGTGGGCAAGATGGGATGTGCGCCCTCTCGGATATTAAAATGTTTCTTTGTCGTAATTCTAAAGCTCTAACCGATGTACCATCAGACCTTGTTTCAGGTCAAATAATCACGGCTCATTGCATGCATTCACTGGGGCCGCCAAGATTACATTGGTCATGGTGATAAAGACAGCAGGTTATTGTGTCGTACAGGGGTACACAACACTGTTGGCTGGGCGCATACATTTCTGACTAGAGGGGTAATTGCTGTCTTCAAGGTGCGAATTCTGAATGTCGTGTTACAATTACTGACAGGCCTGGAATGGTGATGTAACCTTGGTATATCAACAACTGAAATCGCCTTCACAAGAGACCGTGAGACATTTCCTGAAGTCCATGTCAGAGATGTATTACTAACCATGTATTAAGTGAGACGCACGAGTATATTATATTGCATTAATTTTTATTCAAAACTTGATCTGCATGAGAATTGGCTGATGTGTTATGTACTCATTTCTCCTCCAAGCCCTATGCATTCATACGAGGAGGGGGCTAATGGAAGGGCCTTGTCCCTAATGCTTGGCTCATGGATGCTGCAGCCAACCGGTGATCAATCCGTTTACCCGCGAACGGGCTGGGGTACACAAGGACTGTGTTCCAACGACCAACATAGTGGAACGTTTGCTAGGTTGTACAGGATCCTTCAACCCGCCCGTCCCGCGGGTAAAGCGAACACTTGGATCCTCTTGAGAGGATGCAAAAATCAGATCACAACGATACGTCCGTTCTCAAAATAACAGGAACTGTGCCTCACGAATCACTCTCGACTCCTGCTGGTTACAGTTATTGCAAACAAAAGCAAAGATCATACCCACAAAACTCTGTTGTCAACACCGATAATAATTAAATCCCCGTCTTTCTCCCCTGGAACCAATGCAACCCCATGACCGATGCAATGTCAGGACTATTATCGGTTATACATATGTATACATACATTAATTAGGTCGCGTCCTACTTTAATATCTCCCCAAGTCAGCTGCAATTCGCTTGATGGTGTCCATACCGTCGATGAAATAGCCTTCGAGATATTGGCAAGATGATGGGAGGCAAGGCTCCGATGGCTATGGCCGTTATGTGGTCGTTTGTGGCCCTGACTTGGATCTTTGTCTTTTTACGTCTGTACACACGAGCTTTCATCATAAAATCCGTCGGCCTGGATGATCACACATATTGGCTCAGTGGTGTAAGTCTCTCGTCCCTTCTACTTGGCCTTTCTAACATATTAGGTCCTCCTCCTTCTTTACACAACATTCGTACAGATTGCCGCGTATCATGGATTCGGACAATCCATGCCTGGCCCTGATGCCTCCGATCTCGCTTTCGACCACGCTGCCTACGCAATCAAGAACCAGATGATTGGACAGACGTTTGCAGTTATTGGAATGTCGGTTGCTAAGTTTTCCCTTGGATTCTTTCTACTACGTATTGTTGTCGAGAAGTGGCAGAGGATCACCATCTGGCTCGCGATGGTGACCTTGTCATTCTTTTCGGCTCTTTGCGCTATAATGTTCTGGCTTCAATGCAGACCAGTGACAAAGATCTTTGACCCTATTCGAGTCGAGGGTGTTTGCAACATTTCTGTGACTCCATATGCGGTCGCACTGGGTGGTAAGTGACCTTGCTTCTCTACCGGATACATACTTACATAGCAGTCTGGTGTGTTGTGGTCGACTTCTTCTTTGCTATCTTCCCGTGGGTCTTTATCTGGAAGCTCAACATGAAACACAAGGAGAAAATGACGATTGCTGGAAGTATGAGTTTGGGCTTTCTGTGAGTAATTTGTTGAAGATTAATGCTTCCATGTCTGACCTTGTAGTGCCGGAATTTGTGGTATCGTCCGAACTTATGAAGTTGCAACCGGATTCACTGCCAACTTCTTGTGTAAGTAATCTCAACTCACTGCACGACACGACTGACAAAACAGCGGATACTGTCCCGCTCATTATATGGTCTGCTGCCGAGATGGCCATCACCTTGATGTGCATCGGAATCCCCATCTTACGTCCACTCTGGCGCAGAGTCGTACGCGGATCGAAATTCTCCTCCGAACGATATTACAGAAGACAAGACGAAAATGATGGAGAAGCATTCAAGTTGGGTAGTGTACCTCTCGGATCGGACAAAGGGAATATTCGAGGCTTTCCAAATGCTCCCGCCAAGCTTGGAATCCGAGGGCCTGGCACTATTACCCGCATCGCTGGTGACAACCAGAGCGACGAATCAATCCTCGGACCGGAGTATCGTAGAGAAGGACCAAGCCCTGACGGCGGAATCTGTGTTAAGCAAGATTTTCAAGTAGACTGGACTGATGCAAAGGACATTAGACAATAACTGGTCCAGATGATTCGGGATCAATTGTTGGTCCTAAATGCAAGTAGTACATGTGTTTTCTGAACTGTACTCCAGGCATGCTTATCTAACATCATACTATAGTTCACTGTGCAAGACTAACAAAGTTTTTTGAGCAATAATACTCATTGTGTGTACCTAGGTATAAGAAATATAATTGGTAGATTAACATAAGCCATTTGAACTGGAATCAGGGCTTGGCTTCAGGTTTGAGTAACGGAAGCGTACTATCCCCGGGGTCGGACTTTTACCCTTACCTAGTAAGGTTGCTACAGGTCTTCTTGAGACTCAGACAGTCTGTGGTGGTTGCCTGTAACACCAGCTTGCAACATTTAAGTCGAACAGAGATAGAAGCACACGCAGTTCTACTGAAATCGTGCTGGTAGTTTAGAATTTGAAGCTTTGCAAACAGTAAAACAAGTTGAAATGCTACGGTCTGACCGCATGAAGGATCAAGTTGCCTAACTAACGATATTCTCACCTGCATGCTGGTCAGACCCCTGCTAAAGCTACAGTGTGAAATCAATAATCTAAAAATACTTCGCTACAATACATTGACGCTAATTTTACACAATATATGGTCGCTCTTCTCTTCCGTGTCGCCAAGAGGTAACACGCGGTACCCCTTCTTCAGATTGCTTACTTTTGCTATCCCTGATTGAATCAACATAGGTCGACCATTGGACAGACTCTTGATGGACCAGTGCAAGAAGGCCAAGTGAGGGTACTTTGTTCCTATAGAAATGTCCAGATTCTGGTCAAAAACAGCACCTGCCCCATGAGTCAACACAGCTGTAGTCCGGACTGTTTGACTAGGTATGTCGGGTAGAAGAAGCTCAAGCTCGACAAACACAAGGCTGTCGGCTCCTAGCCCATGTACTCGTGCCATGAGAACATCAAACGCGATGCGGATCTGCTTTGGTTCCGGTTGTGCTTTTAGCACATATCCCAAGCTCCCAGTGAACATGGCATCGTTCAACCTCATATTGAAATCGTGTGTTTGGTAGTTGAGTGCTACCATCTGAACCCCGTGCTGCCAACACTTTATTGGGTCAAAGTTGGACGAATCGACACGATTTGGATCAGGATATACTCGAACCATGTGCTGCGTGTCAATCAACTCAAGAGACTGCTCTTTGCTGATACGTTTCTTGAGCTTTGTCTCGGAAATAGAGTAAATAAAGTTCCTGTGTGAATCTATGGCGTCTGCATGGGGCAACCGCTTGCCGGCACCGTAGATAGCCAATGTCTCTAGTAAGTCTTCTTGGAGACCTTCCTGCTGCAAGCGATTTGTGACTGCGGCTCTCTGGTCTCTCCTTTCAGGCTTTGCATCAGCTTCATTATGCTTCGGATCCAGGCTGACGGTGTCACGATCTTCTTCGTCGCTGTCCTTTGAGCTTTTATCTTGTGGCATCTTGGCTTTGATCAGTATCTTTCCCCGTAGTTGGCTTGGCGAAGGTAGTGTCCTCAGACACTCCGGGATAGGCCCAGTGATTAAACTTGATCCAAATACTTCAGTCATAATGTGAGCCATAATGTCCCTTTGTGAACTGCAACAGTGAACCTCTAATGACAACCATAGAGGCAGATCAGAGCTGACAAAGGCATGTTCCTTGATAGTGTTTATCACAGATCGAAAGCTGACAGACTTTGTGAGACTGTATCCATGCTTAACAATAGGCTGACCATTTCGCCCATCCCAACAGTCGATTTCCACTGATCGGCAACCTTGGGATAGAGCTTTGATGTATCCCTCCAATTTTGAACGAGTGGCCACTTGACGACCGAGAAGGTACGTGTTGTGAGAGGTGGATATGAAGTACTCGTTGATCGGACGGTCCAGATCTTGATCCGTTGACTTATTTCGAATTGCCGTGTTTTCCTTGGAGACAAGATAAGAAGCCAGTGTATCAGGTGAGACATCAGCAGCTGACTTGATCTCTACATCTGATTGTGTTGAAGCAACAAGAGTTGTGGATGAGCCGCTAAAGCCTCTGGAGATCTCGCAAACGTTGGTGTGTTCGTCTTCCCCTTGTACATTCCTCATAAACAGCGAAAGGACTTCCGGTTGTATCCTGCTGATAGTCTTATCACCAAATATCTTGGTTTCGCGACTCAATACCATATCCAATAAAGTGTTTGACTCAGACGAGTGACTCCGTTGCAACTTCATGAGTTCGTTATTCTCTCCAAATATTGACGCATTCCCTGCCTGAAAACATGTTAGATGCTGTCTCTGGGATACAAGATGATGACTTACTGTTGCTTGCATATCGTTCTCGACGTCAGGCATAACTACTGGGTGCCTTCCAAATGCAAGCTTGCTAAGGTCGAAAAGGATGGGTATAAGAAATATGCAAACAAGGACAATGGCATGTCCACAAAGGCTGATGTACGCGACGAGTATTTTTCCCGAGTGACCTGTCATTCCTGGCAGGAATCCGATATGTACAGAGGATAAGATCATTCTGGCCATTAACAGAACACCAGGAAGTGAAGTGAAATGAGAGAATCCAATCCAATAAGTCATTGACATGAGATGCATTGCTTCACATGCTAAGAGGAGACCAACCTGTACAGAATTGTACGTTTGAAGACCACCAAGGATACATCCACGGAATAGCATTAAGAAGAAAACAACTAGGGCACAGTATTTCTGGACTTTGTTGTCTTCTCTTCTTGCACGGGTTGGGTCGTGTATAACGAGAGATGCCATCTCAGGGTCTTGTGACCAGCTCCAATAGAAGCCTGCCAGCAACAGACTCAGTACTAGTATTGCCATCACCGAATTTCGATAGCCGAAGATAGTTCCATCGACAAATTGATAAGTTGCCCAAGCGCTGAGTGGGAGCATGAAGCAGCTGAGAAATAATCGTACGACAGCCCAATACTGAGTTTTGAATGGTGATACCAAATTCGTAGAACCTGATCTAGGGCTCGAACGCGTATTGTCAAGTCGGTGAATGATGTAGGAAAATATGTAAAGAGAGATGAAGACAAGGAGTGACAAAACGAATGTATTCATCCAGCTCTGAGGCTTAACTGCCGATCCAGTCATTTGAGTCAACAGCTCCAGGCCTGGAGCTCCTGTGATCGTTCCATTGTGCTCGTAAATTCCGTCTTTAACTCCTGCTCGTGCATATGGAGATGTGTTTTCCACTATTCCGGCAGGCAGCATCAAGGTAGACCAGCCACTGAGACCAACCAAAGGTTGAAAGAAGCCGGGGTATTGCAGACTCATCGCGCCTGAGAAGAATATGAATTGGATGTATGCCAGTACATCTATTGCTCTGGCAACAAGTGGCTTCTTTTTATTGTTGGGCCTCGTGCTTCGTCGGACTGGCCAACATGCTGTGATACAAGCCAAGGCGAAAACAACGATTGGAAACCAGAGACCAAGGAGGCGTATCGCTCCGGGAACTGCGGGAGTTAAAACAGCTCTGACGCAAGATAGTGTGGTGTTGTCGGGGCTGGTTAACTCAAAGGTAGTCTTGTACGTGTCGAGTAGCTTTGACCGGTTAAATGAAGTAATAATGGTGAATTTCGACCTTGAGCCAATCCTTTGGGTTGTGAAGCAGGAGTTATTGACAATCTGACCGGAGACGTAAGGAGTGGCGTTTCCATAATCGACAATTGAGAATCGAGGAATAATATTAGAAAGGTTAACTTCGCAGGAGTTACGATCCATCAGTCCAGCAATGAGATCGAACTTCCAGTCGAAGGTATCCCTTCCCCTCTCAACCGATGCGCGGAAACTCTCAGGAATGAGTGAAGAAGAGTCATGACCCTCAGAGCAGTCTTGGAACTGAACGTATGCACCTCGACAGCCAGCTGTCAAGAGCATGTAGAGCGTAACTCTAGACAGCTTCATTGCTATCTGCTGCATTCGGCCATGGCGGATGTGAGAGATCAAATTGGGCAGTGACTGGTGGATCATGTTTGTTTGGCCCCTTGATTTTTTTGAGCTGTAGCCACTAATGACTAAGCTCGCTAATGAACTAATAATAGATAAAACAGCCAAGATTGGTGCTTTATACGAGTTGGCCCACTTGGTGCTGTTCAATGCTCCCTGGTACGGTACCAGATGGCTGGGATGTCACATTTTTCGACTCGACAGATCATTCGATGAGTCCAGGATGTATGTAAGAATTCCGCTCTATGGATCTTGTATAGTTAAAGGCCTCCTGTGAGTTTCTCTTTTTCTTTTTTTTTTCTTTGCATAAATAGTAATCTCTGCTATTGTTGCACAAGTTGTATTTATAAAGTGACATGATTCATGTCCAGACACCCATGACCAAGGTTGTTCACCACCAGTGCCTCATCTAGTGTACAATTCCAAACGATGATATAACCTAGCTTCGGGTATAGATGGATCGTTAATTTACGCCTTGATCATGGTTCTCATGAGCTTCAAGCTTTTACTGCCTTCTTTCTCCGTTGATATTTAATGGCTTCTTGGCACATGTACTACCCTGAACCTTGATCTTGATGTTGAGAGAGAATGAAAGGTCTAATCTTGATCACCGAATAGTGATTTCCGAGTATTAATGTGCCTTGAAGTCTAGTGATATTTGCTCCTACAGTTCTTGATGCAATCAAAGATACACTCAGCTGGGCTAGATTTAACCGTGAGATTGAGGTTGTCTCGTTTCTTGACATGTTGCCGTGGCCAACAACAGAACTTCCGCGTACGCCTTGGTTTCCTCCATAAGATCAAATACTTGACGACTTATCCCCAAGCTTCTTCTCGGATTCTTCACTGTGTGGAAACCGGTCGAGTAAAGCCTCGATGAGTGGAATCGTCAAAGGGATTGCGCCAACGACGCCGCGATCGGCTGTGAGACAGCGATAATACCATCACTGACAAGATGACTGGTACCTTTGAGGGTAGGGTGTTGCTCCGTAGTGCGCAAATCTCTGAGAGCTCTTTTTGGGCGGGGTCGATGTCTTTGTACTCTACGTGCTCACTGCCTGGTGGGAAGTGGCATTCGGGGATAATGCCGATGCTGTCTGATTGCGGTCGTCATGTTATCCGAACAAAGTTAGTGGCCAGAGTTTGAAAGGGTGAAAACACCGGTCTGCCTTTGCATAGAATGTTTAATTTGTTTTTGTATTTTTCTTGTAGTTCGGCGTTTGCCTGGTATGTATCTGACCGTGCTCATGCGTTCTAACTAACATTCATCAGAGAACGTGACTTTACCAAGGAATTAGATAGAATACTACCTCACAAATCACACCGAAGCTGAAATGGTGATCACTCTTACTGGTCAACAACATTCTCGCGAATACTTGTTGCGTGTGAAGACTACGGCCATAATGATGGCGTATGTACCTAAACAAGCGTGAGGTGATGTCTCTGAGGTAGATACAGTATCGGTCTTCGTTCGTGTTGAGAGCTCTCGGTATTCTAGACAGGCAAATACATCATACCCTTGTCTCCAGCTCGGCCGTGATTTAAAGCCTATAACGTTCGTCAAAAGCCGAGGTCGGTTGTATTGAAACGGTACCTGCCTTCAGTTCAGTTTTCCTGCATTGAAAAATCTCAAACCACACCCCAGCCCGATCATGGTTGACCAAATGCCAAGAGTACATCTTGCTGGCAGAAGTCTTAGTGCTTACTATCAATAATGTCAAGTTATCGGAAATCGGAATATGGATGCCAAGTTTATTTCCTGAGATTCCGGCCGAAAACTTAACGACGGAGAAACTCAAGTTCAGCCCTGATCGGAGTCGGGAGTAAAAGTTGCCCAATGCGGTAATCCCGCCCGTGTTGGCTAGACATCGGGGCCGAACACTTCCAACTGACACAACGTTTGACATGAGATTAAAGTCAGGCGACAATGTCGATCATTGCGGGGGACGCCGTTCCGTCAAATTGACTTTGGCAGCCCTGAGGAGGAATGGGTACGGAAGATTGAGTGCGAACATCATGATTCATAGCTAAACTGTAATAATGCTTAATCGTATATTACCCAACGACAATTGAGAACCTTGAAGCTTAAGTTGAGGGATCAGCAGTCATCACATCCTGTCCCGTTCCCTTGTGGCATCGAGTCGATGTGGCTGATTGTCTCAAGTCTTGGCCAACTCTGTTGGTGACTGCTGTTTCGTGAGTTGATGTTTATGGAATGAGTGCATCAATTGGTCGTTCACAAAATGTATTGAAGACAAGGAATATGTTGAAAACGTAGCGAAATGATATTAATCGCGATATACTAATAAATACAAGGATATAATGCTCTTTCATCTTATGTACACCTCCTAATTCCCTTTTCATCTCGTGAAAACAGATCTAAATGCAACGTCCGTCCAATCGTTACTCGCCGGCAGTCCGGCTGCTTCTATAATTTATGTTCATAATGATATATGATGTGTGAGAGAGTGTGTGTGTGGTTGGAGAATGGTAGTTTAGGAAGAAGCTTCCTCGTCGGTGATACCCTCACGGGCGCCCTTGGAGGCGTGGTTGTGGCCGACCCACTTGGAGGAAGTAATGGGGTTGACCTTCTGGACGTACATGGTGTCAATCTCCTCGAGAGTACGGTCCTTGGACTCGATGACGAAGAAGAAGACAATGGCGACCAGGCCAGCACAGCATCCGGCGTAGACAAGACCGTAGTAGTAGTCAATGGCATCAGTGATGAAACGGGTGCTGGGAAATGTATGTTAGTGAGAGATCAATACAAAGTCAATCAAGGTAAACTTACAAGAAACCAATGAGGAAGTTGAAGAGCCAGTTGGTAGCAGTGGCGATGGCCATGCAGCGACTTCGGTACTGAGAAGGGTACATCTCGGCGACGACAGCCCAGACAAGAGGACCCCAGGTGGTAGCAAAGGCGACAATGGCCAAGCAAGAGAAGGTAACAAGAACGGTACCAGCGGCGGGGGTCTTGAGAGGGTCCTCACGGTCGAGAGCGAAGTGACCGACAAAGGCGTAGATGAAGAAGCACATCATCATCCAAGCAGCACCAATCATCAGAGAGATACGGCGGCCACACTTCTGGACGACATAGAGACCGCCAAAGGTGCATGCGCAGTTGACTGAGCCGAGAATGAGCTGGGTGACGTAGGAGTCCTTGAGACCGGTGGAAGCAAAGACAGTGGTTCCGAAGTAGAAGAAGAAGTTGATACCAGTGAGCTGCTGACCAGCCTGAAGAGTGATACCGAGGAGGGTACGGTACATCATACGGGGACCAGTGAAGATCTCAATCCAGCGGGTCTCGGGAAGAGATCGCTCCTCATCAAGCTTCTCGCGAATATCATCGATCTGGCGGTTAACACTGGGGGAGTTGATGTCGAGACCAGCAAGGTTGGCGATGGTCTTGCGAGCTTCCTCCTCCTTGCCCTTTCGGTAGGCGAATCGGGGGGACTCGGGGAGGAAGAGGATACCGACACCGAGGAGAAGAGCCCAGAGGAAGTTGAGACCGTTGGGGATTCTCCAAGAAGCGCTGCCGTCGTAGTGGTTGGTACCCCAGTTGACCATCTCGGCACACCAGATACCGAGGGTGACGAAGAGCTGGTAGCAAGAAACGATGATACCTCGGATGATGGCGGGAGCACTCTCAGACTGGTACATGGGGACAGCGACGGAGAGAGCACCGACACCAAGACCAGTAACAAGTCTACCAATGGCGTGCTGGTACCAGGCATGCTGGGAAGCAACCTCAATGACGGTACCGACACAGGTCCAGAGAGCAGAGATAGAGATGGTAGTTCGACGACCAATGGTATCGCAAAGGTTACCAGCAACGAGAGAACCAAACAGACATCCAATGGATAGAAGACCGGTGATTGTTCCTTGTCGTGCTGCGCTGAATTCGTATGTACCATCGCCGTTGGGGACTCCGAATCGTTCGCCGTAATCCCTCATCATGAAGTAACCGGAAATCTGTCCGGACGAGTATCCAAAGATCATGCCTCCCATCTAATTCAGTTAGTTTTGGTCTATATTGGTCAATTGGAGTGTTGTTGAGAACTTACAGAGGCGACGAGGCCCATGAAACAGGCCAGGAAGGTGATGCGACCATCAGTGTCGGGAGTCTTTCTCCTCTCGAGATGCTCGCCTTCAGCAGCATGCTCTTGGCGTTTGCTACTAAAAAACTTCATATTGAATGAGTCAATTGACCAATTGAGTGTTGAATGTATGTGTTGTAGTCAGTGTGTTTGTTGTTACACAAGATGTAATGTGATGATGAACCAGGACATGAAGCAATGAAAGGAGAGCGAAGAGGTGCCTTTTTTACTATTCTTTATTGTGGAGATGATCGCCGAGTACCATCGTGGGCACCGAAAAACCATGGGTCCATCTCATGACATTTGATGGTCATGCTCGAAAGCAAAAAAAGCTAACTCAAACCCCGGGGGGCTTGAAGCAAACGAGTTGCGGAGACTGACGTGGGTGAGAAGGTAAAAAAGACTTGGAGTAAGAAGCGGAGCATCTGTGAAGAGTAGAAGGCCCGGAGACTAACGTCATGGGGTATGCTTATGCTTCAGTTTCGTTCTGTTGGTGGTAGCAGTTGAGTAAGCATTCCTGGATAGTATGGGTAAGAGTTCTCCATCACCAAGTTCAACGGACCACTCCATGTCTAGTCTGTTTACACGCCCCCCCTTGTGGTATGATTGGTCCATCGGAGGTTTCCTAGTCCACCCTTGACCAGATTTATCTCCGTTCAGAAAACGGTGGACCGATACGTGAGCTCTACGTGGAGTGACATTACAATTTTTTCTCCTTGATTGCCGGCCTCCCTTCGGCATTGATGACGCACTTGGACCCTTTTCTTGGTGATGAATGGGCCCACGTGACCCATTCTTTTCTTCCAAGATCCATTGTTTTCTTCTACGCGGTTTCTGTTCTAGTCTGTTTTGTCTCTTGGCGTCGATGATCTGATCTCGGTAGAGTCTGCGTTTGTGGCGATCCAACAGCAATACAAACAGACAGATCCTTTGATGAAGGTAATAGAGGTTATTCTTTTGGCTGTCTATTGGTATTATCTTCATACAATTTACGAGACTCAATTCCTTCATCTGTTCCATCAGCTTCTCAAATTATCTCAACACTAGTCAGCTTCCTCATATTTCCGACACTCGCTCGCCTTGTCCATCGCTGAGCCCCATTTTCTCTCATGATATGACACCGAGAGGCGCCGAGTCTCGGTCCGACTGCTTTAGGAAAGGCAGGCTTCGGCACTCGCGCAGATTTTTATTTCCGATTGTCAAAATCTGGTGTTTTCATTTTTTTTTACTGGAAGTCGCCCATTGTGGCCACTCAAATTATGATGTTATTGTCACGGCACTTGGACTCCCGCGAGATACCGGATCTCATCAGATCCTTTTTTACGACGGTATATCCGGAACTAACAAAACAAGACCTACAATTGCCGCATATTCTTTTTTCTAGACTTAGGTAGTCTGCTAAACAGCCCATTCTCACTCATGCTCAAATGGTGAAAACTCGGCCAAATATCTCGAGTCTTATCCACGCCGTTGAGACTCGCCGAATTGAGCGGAGCACTTTTCTCTGTGGTTGCTCCATATTCGTCGCAGACTTCATGGATTGAGACCAAGTAATATCGCTGTGCTCGGTGTTACTGATAAGCTTTGGGAAGTCAATTGGAACAGGATAGAGCAGGGCATGCGAGATAACACCGAGAGCAGCCATTGAACCACATTTGCGACAATCATCACCCATTCTGCTGGGCAAAGCTAGAATCAATCGCATTCCAAACATTGTTCGTGATGCTATTCAAACCGTATTACCATCACCTGTCTGTCGCTCACACTCGCGCATCACAAGATCTTTTTTTTTTCTCTGCCCTTCCCGCAGAGCCTCCTTTACCCCTGGACCCATCCATAGCATCATCATCCATGCTAACTAATGCGGCTCTGCAACGGGTGGGAACGCCATGGTTGCTTCTTCTCTACCGTACCCACACGGGCCGAAAAAGGCACTCGGCGATACTCGATTTTTAGTCTCCACCCATTCCATTCAGTGGATCTTTGATGCTATTCGGACCCGAACGTTTGAGCCGTTTTTCCCCATGTCTTTTTTTTTTTTTCGCGTTACGTTACGTTACGGAACCTCACTCCCTCCATCGATCCCTCACTCCCTTCCCAGCGACTGCGAGCAATCGCGGAGAAGCAAGAAAGCACCAGATCGCGGGTTGACAGGACATGGAGAAGCGCCATATCCTTGGAACAGGCCGAGTCTAGATCATGGAGGAGAAGGAGAAACTCGGAATGCATCGTCCTCAACAGTCGACAACGGCCTGATTTATTCCATCTTGTCGAATGACGTCTGCATAATTCGTCCACCACTCTGACATTCTCGTGACAAACAATTGACAAAGTAGTATACATCAACCGAAATTAGTTAGGATTAAACACCTTGAACATTTGCAGTCTGGAACGTCCAGGCAGATGAGCGTGTGACCAACTGAACTTTTCTTTAAAGGGTCTCATATTAATATCAGATTTGAACTAAGCTAGCACCGTTAAAAGTCTGAGCTCGTAATGTTAAACGCCATGGCTGCCGCCATCACAGCCATCCTCTACTTCAGACCTCGACGAAACCGTTGGCGTACAACGTCTCACCAACCTTCTCCAACATCCAGTCCCCTCACATTCTTCCCCCATCTGGGGGAGCATAAACCGTCATAACCATAACATCTGCACAGGAACGGAACCCGGATCGGCGTCCTCGACAGCTTCCTCGGTCTTACCCACCTGTATCCTCTTTCTTCCCCAGTTCCAATCACCGTCATGGGGAACGAGACGAGGCCAAACTCTCGGTCGAATTTCTCCAACATACGCCGAAGGGCCGGGTTTTGGGTCTGTCGCCTCCCCCAGAGAGACCCAACTCTCCGCACCCACCCCCTTTTTCTGCCATGCATGCATCCAGTTTCTTTATTTTGGCTTATCGGTCCTTTGAAGGTCCGGAGAGAGAGAAAGGGCGGGCAAGCGAAAGTTTCTCATCCCGCATCCTCCGCATTTGCGAGCATTTTGCGGGTGGTAGTGGAAATCTCTGCTCTTCACATGATGGTTTATGATGTGCATGAACGTATGATTTCGGAATCACGGTCCGTTGAAGTTTTGATATGGTAAGTTTTGCGTAAATGTAGGTTTCTGATCATATCATCAGATTTTCTGGTGTTTCCGAAATACCACATCAGAGTGCCATAGAGGAAGTATGAGAACTGCCCTATATGTTACGACTTATGAGAATATTTGATGAAAAGAGAGTTGAAATTCTCGCCAAGATGCATTCATAACTTGGTGAAGACATAACTCAATATCTAACTCTGGAGTGTGGTTGAGACTGTATATTTAGCTTTACAAGACAGCACGGGACGTAAATAGGCAATTATCTATAAAATATTAACACGATACGATTAAACTATCATAGGACCCTTCAAAAGGAAAATAATAACTGCCACCTTCAACAAAAGCTAAGACATGGCCAATAGGGGCAAGGCAGACTGTCTAGTTGTATCCGTGCTACCGTTACATACCTCAGAATGATTAAGCTTCGGAAGCCTGGACTAGTCCCTATCGATCTCTAGATTCCCAGACTTCGCCCATCTTTGTTTACAAGAGCTTATCTATGGCTGAGCCACAAATCATGTGCATGCTTCCATGGTCTCGATCTGGTGCTGAAGTGTGGCGACCTCATAGTGTTTGCACAGCCACTGTCAAGGCTAGCATCTTACGATTATGATATCACTACTATAGCGTGCGTACCTGCATGAATGCGAATATTAGACGAGCCTATACGAAATTCGTCCAATCTCCATTTGCTTAGACGAGGTCTTTGCTCTGCATCTGCAAGAACACCCTGACCGCATCTTAGCCGAGCAATCTACAAGCCCCTACATGATATGAGCGTCGTGATAGAGAGTCAGCTACCATACAATTTGCTTTCAACTTCATCACGCCTTAGATCCTTCAGAAGAGTGAAACTTCAAGTGCCAATCTGTTGACGTGCGCTCAAGCGTCGAAGAAGGTTACTTCACACTCTAAAGGTTCGAAGTCAAGACCGAATTACTATATAACTTATGCCCATTATCAGTATTTCTTGAACATAATGAATCTATTTCACAGCTTTAAATCGCCGCTCCAGGTTGCACAGGTGCCTCCGGTAGTACTTCACGGCTGTCGAGTCGGGCTGGTAGCCATCACCACCAATCCCCGCAAAGCTAGATTCTCAGCATATTAACACAACCTATGAGACCCTCGCTTAATATCTCGAGGGATTTTCCGATGTAGATTCAGTATGACGCATTTGAGTTGAAACTTGTTTCCTAGTCTAACGTGCCCATCCAGCCAGAACAAAGGAGCAGCTTCAAAGCCGTACAGTTACTGTCTAATCCACAAAGTCAGTAACCTATTAATGATAGCTGGTATCAAGAGTGTAATTATCAGAGACCATCTTCCTATACTCATGTCACGACTCAACCTGTGACATGGTAACACTACAGTCTCGAATGTCCAGTACCTCGACATGATGTCCAGAACAGATATAAACTTTGAATAGACACCTAGAACTATCCAAAACTTACCATTAGCCTGACTTAATGCTTATTGAACATGTTTGTTCAACCCAGGTCCTGTGTTATGTAGCAATTGGTGAGTTGGCACCTTCACTACATCGATTCACCACACTAGTCGACCAGAAACTTGAGCTAGCTAGAAAGCATACTATCAATTCTATATCATTCTTCCGTGGTCCAGATTAAGAACTCACATGCGACTATTTTCCCAAATCACTGACCCCAATCTCTAATAAAGTACTACGTGCCTCTGTGCAACGTGACGGACTGCAGATCCCCCAAACTTGCTGCCAAGAAGCAAGGGTCTTTCGGCTTCTGACGGGACGAACATCACCCTTGGCAATATCGATCGTTTCCAATAAGTCGGGTCGTCGCATACCGGCCGATTCTTTGGTAGCCAAGTGTTTTTTTCTATACTATCAGTGTCCGCATCATCTGCTTCAAGGTTCGATTTCTGGTTTGATGTAGGCGTGAGGATACCCATCGGCGTCGAAGTGCGACATACTGCAGATCAACAGCTTAGAACAATTACAGTGCTTGCTATGAGGGAATGAGAGGGCATGATTTATCCAACGCTGCCTGCCCCCAAAGTCTAGAGCCATGCAGAAGATCCCGAATGACACACCAAAAAAGCCAGCGCACATAGATGCAGAAACACGCAAACGAGAGTGAGGGCCGAGTCCATGAATGTCGTTGCAATCTTCTTCTCAAATGCCTGCGGAGATCTCGTCTGGACCTCCAGGTCACATATCCCGATCACAATAAGCTTGAGTAAACTGCGATTGGTGGATCCATACCTAGGATACTGTACCTGAAAAAAAGCCACCAATCCAGACTGGTCTGTACTGCTAGCTTCTCCCCAACCCCGTGTTTGACTTACGGCTTTTAGGAATAGAGCTCGCGTTACCCCAGACTTTGACAAAAATGCTTGTTTAACAGCTGACTTGATCTAGAACATTGAGGCGGTGTGATTGGTCTCCCCATATGAGAAGTTGTGATATAGACAGACGGAGAATTTAGGGGCTTGTTTCCTCGAATGAGCGTTGAGTGAGGCTAGAGATGTAACATCAAACGGAGTTTCATTTGGAGAACTAGATTCCCTCTTTGGGACTCGCCCGTCATTTCAAGATGCTCATTGGTGCGAAGAGTATAGGATGCCTCTGGGTATTGATTGATACGTTGCGGTCAAGATAAGTCATGATATAGGAGTGATGAGTAGTATATAAAGAATGGTGAATCCGACAAGCCAAGAGCCTGACATCACCTCACCAGCAACACAGCAACTCGATCCCATCAATACATCTTCAGTAAACCCAACCTTAGCCCATCATGAAGTACGCTACTATCCTCGCCCTCGCTGGCGTCTCCTCCGCTGCTGTCACCAAGACTCTTCCCAAGTCTGCTGGTGTCACCTCTTTCCCTACTGCTGTTCCCGTCAAGGGCAGCTTTGATGGTGGCATGAAACGATTCGAGCGAAGCAGTATGTTTCAATGACACTATTAGTTCGAAAATAGACTAACATGGCCTAGCCAACGTTTGCCAAGGTCAGACCGAGACTGGTGAGAAGGATGCCATGTTCATTCTTGAGAACGGCGCCACTCTTTCCAATGTCATTATCGGTGCTTCTCAAGCTGAGGGTGTTCACTGCAAGGGAACTTGGTAAGTCATAATACCATTGTACTGTCGTTTCAGCTCTAACATTGCCATAGCACCCTGAACAACGTCTGGTGGGCCGATGTCTGCGAGGACGCTATTACCCTCAAGCAAACCAGCGGCACATCCTTCATCAACGGTGGTGGTGCCTTCAAGGCCTCTGACAAGATTGTTCAGTTCAACGGCCGTGGCACCGTCCAGATCAAGGACTTCTACGCTGAGGACTACGGCAAGCTGGTCCGCAACTGCGGTAACTGCAAGGACAACGGCGGTCCTCGCAACATCATCATCCAGAACTCTGTTGCCGTCAATGGTGGTGTCCTGTGCGGTATCAACACCAACTACGGTGATACCTGCAAGATCACCAACTCTTGCCAGAACAGCGGCAAGTACTGCGATCGCTACCAGGGTAACTCGGATGGCTCTGAGCCTTCCAAGATTGGATCGGGCCCTGATGGAACATTCTGCACTACCAGCGGTGTTACCAAGAGCTGCTAAATGGATTAATGAGTTATCTGTTATGAGAGACGGAATGATTGGTTTACTATTGATGAACTGGGTTTAATTCATGTACATATTCGATTGGCTATGTATTTACATAGCCTCAATGACATATATTCCTAAGAGCAAACAGTATTCACTTACGTGCACCTTCAACTGATCTGGTATAGGCCTGTGGAATGAAAACACTATGGTATTAACGTATAGGTAGGGGGTGGATATTTAAATAAAGGTTGTGGCGATTAAGTTTTTAGATCTGTAACCGTTATAATTAAATTTGTACTGGCAAAGAAAGAAGGTAGGAAATAACAAAAATCTTACACCTTCATGACATTTTATCCTTCCATTTCATTATTCAGATGCTGGAGGGGAACCGACAAAAAAGGCAAAAGAAAGAATGAGGAACACCGGATTTGAACCGATAACCTTCAGGAATCCCCGAATTACGCTGTGGGACAGCTAACTGGAATCTGACGCGCTACCGTTGCGCCAGCTCCCCATCTTGTGGTGATAAAAGCGTTACTAATGGGGTTCATGTACTAAGAACAAAAACCCTAGGAACAAAGAACAGATTCTCATCCGATCAATTCTTCTTTTTGCAATTGTTTACATCGAGATTCTTTCCTTGATCAATTAAGGTGAGGCAAACGCGGCATCTCGCTTGACGGAATTAACGAAACAAGCATATTCGCAAATGCAAGGGGCATAACGTGAAGATCGGCGTCGGAACTTTTTTCTTAGCCTCTAGAATTCAAGATTCGCCTTCCAAAACTCGGCAAGATATCCCCTGCAATGCTTGACATGGCCGACAATTGCTCGTGATTGGCACTTTTGAGAAACTCTATCAGTTCCTTCTAATCTCTCAAAAGATCCTCTGATATTCCAAGCTTTAGACAAATCGACAAGACCTTTTGACGTGCTCAGGGGATCACACATGAAACCAGCTCCCTAGCCAGGCAATAGATCGTCGCTATTGGTTGATAGCCTCGGTCGATATCGTTTCATGGCAGATTGGCCATTTCGCAACTCTCATTGGTGAGGGATCAACCATGCTAATTCCCAACCCCACAGGCCTGGCGGTAATGAAATAACCAGTCATGACACAATATCAAGGTACCTCATTAATTATGCACTCCTTTTGTAATCTTTGCTCTCGTGGCAAACGATTCATAACCTAACTTGGACACTGCACGAGACGTTTCGGTTGGTTGAGGCTCGAACAATTAATCATTATGCTATATCTTGACAGGGACAGCGACAGAAGGGATCGACACGCTCTTTAGGCAGGTAGTGGTTGCAGACAAGGATGTCTACTATCTTGGACGATGGCGATCATCGGAGCAGAGCACATGTCTTGTTTCGATAGGCTTAGGTACCGAACGACTACCAACAACCGAACATAGACGATGGACCAAGATTAAAGGAGATGAAGCAACGAGATAAATAGATGCTCTCGTCTCCAGAAACTCAATCTTGTCTCATCACACTCAGCTCTTCGGTCTTTACAGCAAAGTCAACAACTACATTCACTCACTCACAACCACTCTCTTTTTCAAACTCCAACTTTCAACTTTCGCTATATCAAAATGCGTTCCGCTACTCTTCTCGCTCTTTTGCCCTTTGCGCTGGCCGCTCCTTCAGCCTCAGTCTCTCGACGAGCTGAGCCCGCTCCTGTCATCCGTCCTCGCGGCGTCAAACTTGTCGATGGCAAGTACATCGTCAAGATGAAGAGCGGCGTCCGAGCTGCTTCTGTTGACAGCGCTGTTTCGACCATCCAGGCTGATGCCGATTACACCTACACCAAGAGCTTCAGCGGTTTTGCTGCTAGTCTCAAAGATGAGGAGATTGAGAAGCTCAAGCACGACCCCAATGTCAGTCACACAGATCCCAGTCAGTCAAAGTAATACTAACAAATTCCAGGTCGAGTACATTGAGCAGGATGCTGTCATCACCATCAAGGCTACTGTCGATCAGGACAATGCTCCTTGGGGTATCGCCCGTCTTTCCAGCTCCAAGCCCGGTAGCAAGACCTACACCTACGACGAGAGCGCTGGTGAGGGTACTTGCTCTTACGTCATTGACACCGGTATCGATGTTGAGCATCCCGACTTTGATGGACGCGCCAAGTTCCTCAAGAACTTTGCTGGTGGCCGTGATGGCGACGGTCAAGGTCACGGTACCCACGTTGCTGGAACTATCGGCTCTACCACCTACGGTGTCGCCAAGAAGACCACCCTTTACGCCGTCAAGGTCCTTGGTGATGACGGTTCAGGTACCAACTCTGCTGTAATTGCTGGCATGGACTTTGTCGCTGGCCACGCCGATGCCGAGAGCTGCCCCAACGGCGCCGTTGTCAACATGTCTCTGGGCGGCGAAGCCTCCGATGCTGTCAACAGCGCTGCCAAGAGCATTGTCGATGCTGGTCTGTTCCTTGCCGTCGCAGCTGGCAACGAGGCCGTTGATGCTTCTGGATCGTCCCCTGCTTCCGAGGCCAGCGCTTGCACTGTCGGCTCAACCACCCGAAACGACACCCTTTCCTACTTCTCGAACTTTGGCGACGTCGTTGATGTCCTTGCTCCTGGTACTGATATCCTGAGCACCTGGCCCGGCGGTAAGACCAACACCATCTCAGGAACTTCTATGGCTTCGCCCCATGTCGCTGGTCTGGCTGCTTACTTCCTTGGTCTGGGAAAGAAGGCTGAGGGTCTCTGCGAGTACATTGCTTCTCAGGCCCTTGATGGAGTTGTGGCTAGCGTCCCTCGCGACACTGTTAACAAGCTCATCAACAACGGTGTTAGCAAGTAAGGCAGCCAAGAGCTGCTTGCTTAGATACGACTGTATCAATTTCCTAGATGTATGATTAACGTATTGAATAATATTATTCGCTTGACCTTTGATTCACTACTGGATTCGTGTGATGAGTGATGTAGACAAGTGTGAAGTACAACACTCAATGAGAAAGGGTATGTTCGTTGAGCTCAGTCGAGTGCGGGCCACCAAAGTTGATCAAAGTCGTGATGGCTTCAATTGATAATATGTTATTCATGATTTAGATTTCAGCTCCTTCTTACTCTTTCCAACCATCTCCAGCGCCGAGGAACCAGTTCACACCCACCAGTCGCAAGTCATACTTCTCGACAAACTTGGCGGTATCGAAAGACCGTCTCTGGGTAAACTCTTCACCTCCAACATCTTCCTTCTTTAGATCAAGGTTAGAGGGTTGGCGGTACAGAAGTAGTAGGTATCTGTGAGGTTTTGAACTGGTGGATCATTAGCAAAGGAACAAATGTGACTGACATTGTCACTCACTCATCCTTGGGGCCAGGTCCCAAATATTCTGTCAGCGCAGGTTGGATTTGAGCAACAGCATCCGCGCTTCCCAAGGGCCTCAAGCCTGGAAGAACCCAGTGTCGCCAGAATGCAAACTTGGGGTCATCGGGTGTTGGCGCATCAGGATCAACGAGGAGAAGCATGTATGTAGCATCACCAGGTGCATCAGCCTGCAAGCAAACAAAGTAAGCGGGTGTCCTGACCTCATAACCGGCGTACATACCTCTTGGTCAAACAAGATACTAGGTGAGCGCTTGCACTCATTCGCACGAAACAGATTCCCCAACTCAACGTCCTTGCCGTCAAACGAGACGCGCAGGTTGACGGTGGGCTGGAAACCTTCAGGAATTAGACTAGCTGCAGGACCGGGAACTAGCTTCGCCTCAGCCAGAGAGCTCGACAATGCGTTTGACATTTTGAATGATGTATTGGATGTCCTGATATGGAGTTTGTGTTTGTTTAATGTTTGAGTGAGGTTGGGTCAATGACGGTATTTGAGAGAGTTTACCCCACGTTGGGGGCTTGCATCAGAATGACATCTGACTGGTGGAAGAACAGACGTGGAGCGTTGTTGGACGATGCGATGCCCCCAACATTGCCAAAGCACGAGTGGGACTGAGTCAATAAAGTCGTTTTGACATGCTGTTTACATTATGTGGACTTGTGCAAAGGATTTGCAAACAAGGTAGAGAGACGCGGCGCGCGCTGAGGTAGATCCACTATTTAAGCTTATCGGGCGGAAGGCTGATAGTAATCAACCGCTGTAGGGTAAGTCCGACACGTTGAACCTTGAGAAATATAATGCTAGGAAGAAACATTATAGCCCCTTAAAAGAAAGTAAAAATCTTAGAAAGCTTGAATTTAATTACGGTGATCTTTCTTAGGTCAGTTGTCATTGAGTAAAATACGGGTTTGCGCTGTAAGTTACAACTAATAATTCTTAATAATATGTGCTTTAACGACTTGAATATGTCTGAAAATGATAGTGGCATTGAGGGACACTTCAGGATTGTCCAGATGCCCCACTACATACATCATTATTGGTTTAAACCAATCGGTAGATAAGATAAGAGCTATAAATGACATCATATGCACGTGGAAATATGGATACCTATCCCATCGCGTCTGTTGGCTGAAAGTGGTTGGAAGCCATGAGAGTCACGCGTCAAAGACACGCTCCTTCGCCAGGTCGATCACTGTTCCATGATTGCGACTATCATGTTTTCTGATCCATGTCTTACGTGCCTTTATCTCATCAGAATACGTCAGAGAACCAACGCCATGTCGAGACGCGACGCTCGTCCTGTGGCAAGGAGAAGAGAAGCATGATGCGCCTCTATCACTGAAGATCCGTTTCGGCTTTGACTTGGGAGCAGTTGTTTCTTGAGTGATCATGATCTGGCTACTAACCTCGCCTAGACAATATCATGGCCGTCCAACGCCACTCACTGACAGCCTTTCCCAAAGCTAGTTCCGCGTCATCGTCCAGCCATAGTCGTCCTCGCAACTCATGACTTGGTTAGCCTTCAAGTCGCGAACCATTTGCCGACGGGACCTCCAGCCGTTTCTCTGCCAAGTTCTACTAACCACCAATACACCAACAACCCTCCCGCCGACAGTCCTCCTCTGTCGATATCATGGTGCGCTCTCAACAGGATCTAAGAATATGTGTTTCCCGACTATTCTGCACGTAAGCTCCTCGATCGCGAAGTCGCAAGACTCCAACATTATTCGCCGAGAACCTGTCCGATGCCCTCGAAAGCCACTCGATGATAACATGTCAATACTCGCCAATACTCACTCTCCGTCGTGCCTCATGTCTTGATGCATCTCCAACGGCGTTTAACATGCCGAATCCCTCCACCGAGCAGATTCCGAATGATGATCCCGTGAAGTGTCAAAGCCCGCGAATGCGACCGCACTCTACTCGCCCCGATATCCTCCATGATAAGCCGAGTCCGTATGATACTTGTCCTTTGATTTACCGATCGATTGAATACATAAATTTGCCATACACGAAGGATTGCTGTACGGCGGTGCTGCGAAATCCGTGTCGAAGCCCGTCGGTGTTGAGCTCTGAGCGGTAACGAGAAGCCAACGGACTCCGCAAGCAGGACATGACCGATGTGCAGTTACTGCATTACGGAGTTCCGTGCAGATGCGATAAGTCAGTTCGGTTTTGGTTCAATGCCAATTGCCTGCTGTGTCGCCTTTTTGCCGTTTCTCGGTAACAGTTTCTACCACTCCGATCGTAAATCTCATTTGGCGACCCTGCTACGGAACACCGACGGCCTGAGGTGTAATCCGGAACCCGAGAAGTCAGCGTAGTTGTTGCTGTCAAGTTATTCGGGTTGACCAACAGACGTCGCTGTTGATTGTAGGACCGAAGTCCATCGGTGTTCGGAGTACCGCCATGTCCGTAGTACCGCCATGTCCGTCACCTCTCCAACTATCCGTACTTCGCCAATGATTGCCGTGATAGTGTAAAAAGAGTGTATTTAATAATATATAAAGCATGCAATGCCCTATAATTTCGTATTGTGAAAGCCACCCTTGACAAGGGCATTCAGATGCATTTGTTCCAATCTACACAATTCTATCACGAAAGTCATGACTTCTGAGTCGTCCCCCACTACTTTGCCTCAACTCCCATACCCAATTCCTATGTATGGATGAAAGCAGGTTTGTTGGTAGCGATGTGTTCATATTTTTATGGTGTATCATCTACAGCGAATGAGTCGTCGCTCGTCTGTCCTATGAAGTTGAGTGACGATTGGCATTAATTGATGGAAGGATTAGTCGCACAGAAATGGCAGAATGCACACAATTCGCTGCGTTGCGTTAACAGAATATACTTCCCCTCATACCAAGCATGTATCAATTGTGAAATGAGGTGGTCCTGTCAAGTGGTGAATAATATTGTGGCCAAAGCATGCGGTGCTTACTATATATATTCAACTAATCCATACTTTTATCGGATGGTAGCTAGGTTTGATTCCTTACGGAGTCGGATCAACGATGCTATCGTCCACCTTCGTTTTGTTTTTGCTATTGCCAGAGTCATCTGTTCAATTCCCTGTTGGTTCTATTTATTTATAGAAACTTTTCATGATGCCTCGGCTTTGATGTGATGAACCAAGAAATGAGACGTTTGGGAAAGAATGAGGCTGTTTTGGACGCAGGTACGACGTCTATGATGATTCTGTCACTGAATTGAAGCAATTGATTCCATGCGCTGCAGATTGATTCCAAATGTAAGCGGGGCCGATGATTGGTTTATCTCGGCTTGTCGGTGTGGTGGGACAATTTAGAGACGGAAAAAGTTGCAGGTTTATCATCGCTACAGAGTTAAGAGGTCTAAGATGAGTATCCATTGTTGATTCAAGAGACGAATAGTGATAATAAAAGTTACAGAGTGACGATTAATAGATATTGAGAAGTATATTGATACAAGATTGCCTCTGAATAGAATGTTCTCATTCTTTTTACTCAGTCCGGAAAACATCACAGTTGCTAGCAACAAGTTGACCCCGCTCTTTAGCCTACCACCCATCTCGGGGATGTCCCCTTGCTCTTGGATCCTCTTTTTCCAGAGCAAGTAAGCAGTCTATAACCAAAAGGGTTGTTGAGGTGCAGATAATTGGGTTGCTCAGTTGCTGTGTTTTGTTTCTGCGGGGCTGTTACCGGTACTAAACCGATCACGAGATTGACAGCCAAACGTTATTCATATGTGGCGATCAATTCATTGCGATGCAAGTCGAGATATCATACATTTCGACATTATTTTCTAGACGTTTCTTGGAGGCAAACACATTAAAAATAGTCATGATCTTCTGAGGTATCATTCCGACGCAATCCGGACTCTCATGATGAATGACTTTTGTGTTACACTAGCTGCTGTATCGGTATAGCTTCCCCGCACTTGTCTACAGTGCGTCATGTAGCTCTTGTTGACGAAACCGGCATAACTTTCCGAGTTGACTGACAAACTGTTTGACGAGATACCGAGCATGATCCGGGCCTCGTCTCGTCTCCTCTTTCTCGTCGCCACTCCACTCACAGGCCTTCTTTTGCCAATCCGACTCTTATTATAAAGAGGTCCCAATCTCCACCCCCGCAATTCTTTCTTATGCCTCGGTTTCTTCTTCCTCTGTCTTCTTCTTCTCGTATTTTGTCTTTGTCAATAGCGAGGAGGACCTGGACTTTGAACAAGACAACACCCAGATTCTTGTCTACAACACCATACAATATGTCTGAGAGCAAGTGTCCCGTTGCCCACACAAAGGTGCCCAACGTCGCTGGTCACGGCGTCACTCACCAAAAGTGGTGGCCCGAGTCGCTCAAGACCAACATTCTGCGACAGCACAGCAACGTCACCAACCCTTACGGCGAGAACTTTAGCTATGCTGAAGCTTTCAAGTCGCTCGACTACAATGCCCTCAAGGAGGATTTGCGCAAGTTGATGACCGATTCGCAGGACTGGTGGCCTGCTGACTTTGGTCATTACGGTGGTCTCATGGTGCGACTGTCATGGCACAGCGTTGGAACATACCGTGTCTTTGACGGTCGCGGTGGTGGCCGACAGGCAAGTACTCAACATCACCTCAATTGCATTCATCTCTAACAATTTCCACAGGGTCAGCAGAGATTCGCTCCCCTCAACTCGTGGCCCGACAACGTCTCTCTCGACAAGGCTCGCCGCCTCCTCTGGCCCGTTAAGCAAAAGTACGGCAACAAGATCTCATGGGCCGACCTTATCGTCCTCGCTGGCAACGTCGCCCTCGAGGATATGGGCTTCAAGACCCTTGGCTTCGCTGGTGGCCGAGAGGACACCTGGGAGGCTGATGAGGCCACTTACTACGGTGGTGAGGATACCTGGCTCGGAAACGACGTCCGTTACTCCAACGGAAGCAAGGGAACCACCAAGCCTGGTGCCACCGACTCGGATCAGCCCGCGAACACTGATTATCACAACCGAGATCTCGAGAAGCCTTTGGCTGCTGCTCACCACGGTCTCATCTATGTTAACCCTGGTATGTCTCTCTCCGTGTATACCGATTGACTTGATCATCGCTGACAATAAACAGAGGGTCCTGATGGTAACCCCGACCCCGTCGCTGCCGCCCGTGACATCCGCGAGACCTTCGGCCGCATGGCCATGAACGACGAAGAGACCGTTGCTCTGATTGCTGGTGGTCACACCGTCGGCAAGACCCACGGAGCTGGCTCAACCGACCACGTCGGCCCCGAGCCCGAGGCCGCCGACCTTGCCCAGCAGGGTCTCGGCTGGTCCAACAGCTACAAGAGCGGAAAGGGTCCCGACACAACCACATCTGGTATTGAAGTCACATGGACAAGCACTCCCGTCAAGTGGAGCCATGACTACCTCAAGTACCTCTTCCAGTTTGAGTGGGAGCTTACAAAGAGCCCTGCTGGCGCTCACCAATGGGTTGCTAAGGATGCCGCCGCTACCGTCCCTGATGCCTATGACTCCAGCAAGAAGCACAGGCCTAGCATGTTGACCACCGACTTGTCGCTTCGCTTCGATCCTGAGTACGAGAAGATCTCTCGTCGTTTCCTTGAGAACCCCCAGGAGTTTAACGATGCCTTCGCCAAGGCTTGGTTCAAGCTCACTCACCGTGACATGGGTCCCCGCGACCGTTACCTCGGCCCCGAGGTCCCCAAGGAGATCTTCAACTGGCAAGACCCCGTCCCCGAGCGTGACTACAAGCTCGTCGACGACGGTGACATCTCTGCTATCAAGAACGAGATCCTCAAGTCTGGCATTGACGTCTCCAAGCTCGTCTCTACTGCTTGGGCTTCTGCTTCTACTTTCCGAGGCAGTGATCTCCGCGGTGGTGCCAACGGTGCTCGTCTCCGTCTTGAGCCCCAGAAGAACTGGGAGGTCAACAACCCCTCTCAATTGGGCCAGGTTCTCAACGGCCTTGAGAAGATCCAGAAGAACTTCAATGACTCCCAGTCCAGCGGCAAGGCCATCTCTCTGGCTGATGTGATCGTCCTTGCTGGTTCCGCTGCCGTCGAGAAGGCTGCTAAGGATGCCGGTGTCAACGTCACCGTGCCCTTCACTCCTGGCCGCACCGACGCCACCCAGGAACAGACTGATGTTAAGTCTGTTGGTCACTTGGAGCCCGCCGCCGACGGTTTCCGAAACTACGGCGCCTCCACAGACCGCGTCAAGCTCGAGCACATGCTCATTGACCGTGCTCAGCTTCTCACTCTCAGCGTCCCCGAGATCACCGCTCTTGTTGGTGGTCTTCGTGCGCTCAACACCAACTGGGATGGATCATCCCACGGTATTCTCACCAAGCGCCCTGGTGTCTTGTCCAACGACTTCTTCGTCAACCTCCTCGACATCAACACCGAGTGGAAGCCTGTCGGCAACGGCGACCTGTTCGAAGGTATTGACCGCAAGAGCGGCAACAAGAAGTGGACCGGTACCCGCGTCGATCTCGTCTTTGGATCGCACGCTGAGCTCCGCGCGACAGCTGAGACTTATGCTGAGGCTGGCGGTAGCGAGAAGCTGGTTCGCGACTTTGTCGCTGCTTGGACCAAGGTGATGAACCTGGACCGATTTGATGTTAAGAATGGTAATGCGCCTAATGTCTCTCCTCGACTGTAATTTTATGAATAGCAATGTAGCAAAATACCTTTGAGAATGAAATGATTACGAATCTGACTTGAACTATTGGCCCTTGATTGTGATGTGTCGCTCCATCAGTTGACGGTTCTAAATGCCCAAGCAATTGACCTTTTGCCGGCAATTGTCTGCTGTCCCGCTAGCCTCGGTACTTGATCAAGTCGCTAACAGCCTATCAATCGTGAGGTCACTGAAAGCCATATGGAATGAACATTATCTTTGATGCTATTCCCGGATCCGAGACCGAACCGGCCCCACCGGCCCGGGACGCGAACCGTTCAGTTCCGATCATGTGAGGGAGCCATTCCGACGCGACTGATAACGGAAATTATCTGACAAACATTCGATTCTTTCAATCTGATATTTATAATAGGTATTCGATTGCACAGAGCTCGTACGGTCTACTATTCGCAATTTGTTACTGAGTAGTCATGAGATGGACACATGCTTCATGTTCTGGTTTACTATATCGGACCCCAGCTAAGTAATATGGCATGGCTATTATGCACAAGTACGCATGAAACGTACATAGCAAGATAACAAGATAACACTTAAATCAATGAACCAACAGCACCCTGATTTGTTATTGGAATATGCCGTTTGTTGTGATTATGCGGCCGACTGTTACACTGCACTGCACTGTCAAGTGGGATGTAAATTAGAATCAAACTCCTGTTTGCTATGAATGCTACTACGTAGTGAGTTATGCCTAGAACCTAGCATCGTTTTGAAATCTGCCTTTTGTTTCTCGTTGATTTTCTTTTCGTGCTCGTCATAACAACCTCATCCCCTGCTCCTGCGAAGCGTGGCGATAGCTCCCACTTGTGGTCATCCGCAAGGTTGTTCCAAACTCGTTTTGCCCCTGAAGATATCATTCTTGAGAGAAGGTAATCAAGGACCCTACATAAGTATTTCCTACTTATTCCTCCCTCATCCAGTCCACGACAACGCGCTCCTCCCCACATCGTTCAACTTGCGCGCGAATACAACGTCACCTTTACAGCCTACCGAGGCCGGAACCATTTGGGTCCTCGAGTGAGGGCACGAAGCTCTCCAAGCCCTTATTGAAGCTCGCTACCGAGCAGAGAGACCGCACCAATAGCCTATTGTTGACGTAGTCGCGTCATCCTCTGTACAGCGACCAACCATGTCATCGCAGGCTACTTTACAAGGATCTAGGATCCCAAGTGAAAAGCGAATGCAGCAGCTGATAAAATATATTTGAATTGATAGTAATACTCCCTCCCCTTTTCTCCCTATTTTTCCTCCTTGTTTTCTTCTTTTTCTTTTCTCTCCTGCCTTCTCAGTTCTATCTATGTTATTGACAAAGGCTAATCTATCCGCGCAGATCAAATTTTCAACAAGTCCACTAACAGCTATACCATCACCCAGCAAGACCTCGAATTCATCTCTGACCAACAGCTCGAGTGGTCCCAGCAATGGATCCCTGATCCCACATTTGACAAAAAGGTCAAAGACGTGCAGGATGCCTACGATGAGCTGACGCTTGATGATGGGAGTCTATTTACTCGCGGCACGGACGCCTTCATCGAAGAAGGGTAGCGCGATGAAGATGTTGGCCAGCTCCGTCGACTGAACCCACAAGAGTTCAGGGCCGCACAAGAGGATATCGCTTCTGGGGATGCCTTGCAGCGTTACTCAGCCCCACTGGAAGCCCAAGGACCACTCTCCGATTTGGGTTACTTCCACCATGACCCCATCACGGGAGCTGAGCTGGATGTCGTAGTCGATGCAGACACCGGGGACGCTCGCCGCCGTCTCCTTCCACCAGAGCCTTCTTGGCTGCCACACAGTCAAGAGCAAGACCGAATGATCGCCGCCTCACGATTCTCGTCTGATCGAAGACCAAGATGGCGATACTATCAATATCCTCACAGAGGGGGATTATTTTCTCCAAGTCTGTGTTCGCAAAAACTTAACTCAGTCGATTGACATGACTGGCTGAATGCGCAAATCACTGGTAGCTATGCGATATTTCAAAGTCCTTACTCGTTGCACACAGCTGGGTCTACGAGAGACGGCAACCAAGCCAGCCGAGTGGCGCGCTCGTCTAAGCATTGGACCCAACTGCCTCGCTGACAATGCGACGCCCAAGGCCGTGGTAGTTGGCTACTCTGGCATCACAGGCTGTCCTGTGTCTGCTGCTCCTGCAAAGAAGGGTACTGTGCGCGACACTATCGATTGAATGACAATTCTCAGGGAATTATATTCAGGACAGAACCCATGAACCGTCTGTCCGGCGGGAATGTGACTTGGCATGAAATAACTACGTTGCCCGACAATACCGGCGCCATCAAGCGACTGGTCGTGAACAATAACCGGCACTTGATTGACGATACTGACGTGATTAATACCATCACCCACCAACACAAACGGCTCACCCTTGGACTCAGCTTTGAGCCTCCAACTCATCATAGAACAGCGACAGATGGGGAGTAGCAGCCCTCACTTGCGCACCTCTATGGTGGTATGGAAGACAGAGACACGCACTTTACTCTACACCTGCCGTGCCTTGCAATCCTGGACATTCCACAGGAATTAAACGATCGTCTCATTGCCTTCCTGTGGAAGTATCCCTATGACCCCATAGCTCTGAACGACGCTCTGCAGGCGGTTCTGGTCCATGAACGCATCTCCAAGGCGTTTAACTATGAGTCGGAGGCCTGGGCCTGTGGAGCTGTCGATGGGCAACGAGAACTGAAGAACCCTGTTCCCAAGGTCGATATAGCCCAATTTGTAATCTACTGGCCACACTATAAGCGATATCACGAGGAGAAGAGGGTATATATCTCAGGCGCACACCAGTATTTTGGGCCATTCGTCAAGGACCTCAAACCTACCGTTGAACCTGAGCGCTACCATCACCGACCTGGTTCCATTGCCGAGGCGCTGCGAGAATTCCGCGACCCCGGTGTATAAGAAGAAGATTTCCTCCACCAAACAAATGAGCGACAATGCATGCGACTGAATCTTGCGCGAGCCCTCAAGGTCCCTCTCAAGAATCTACACATCGACAAGAAACCAAGACTGATCACCTGGGACAGTATGCAAAGAGAAGTTGTATTGGCAGCCGAGAAGGGCGCCATCCCTTGGGTGGTTGATTGCGCAGTTGGAGTTCCTCAGCTCCTACACAAGTCTTGTCCTGCTCCAGCCCCGACCCGAACGCCCTCGCCCCCCTCTTGAGAACCAGGAGGCAGTTACTACGACTACCAATCTTTTAGAGCCTCAGTCCTTGAACTGTTTGTCACCTTGGCAGCGCACCGACCTCCAAAATAGAGACTTTGGGCGGATTAGCAGACCAGAATGAGATGCCTACTGAGTGGCAGAAAGAATGGCATCCTAAGTCTTAGGGTATAAGAATAAGTAGTCTAAGAACCATAGCCTAAGGAATATAAAGTGACCTACTAATTTCTTCTCTTATGCTTCCAGTGGTTAATTTTTCTGATACCCCGAGGCTTATTAACGCAGCCATGAGGGAGTGCGGTGTGAAGAGATAAGGATGCTCAGTATCTAAACATCAGGAAATGAAATAGAAGACTCCAGAACAGAGACTTTAGTAGATTGACAGAGCCCAATGGGATGCCACTGAGACCGCGGATATGATTTGTAGGATGATCCCATGCTTGTCATCAAAAGTGAATCATTCTCTGGTCCCTGTAAAGCTAGACCTCGATACGAAACGCTAGTGGCCAGTGAGTCAACCATAGTAGAGGTGGCAGTGATAGGGCAAGTTGCTTCCCTGCGCAAGCCACAAGTCTCGCTATAGTGTGAAAATGGATTGACTATATGGCCAGTGCCTAGGACCGTATCGCTCTTTGCGGGTACGGGGAGACGATGTTGCCGACTGTCTGAATGGCATGGGAGCCGTACTCAAGAAGCATCAGATATCAAATCGAGACATGAAAACCGCCTCGCTGGGCGATGGAGTTGACCTTCCACTGGCCCAGTGCTTGCTCGAATGAGGATGGATACATAATAAGTCAGTATGGTCAATAAGAAAACCCATAAGCCACCGATAGTCGATATATTTGACTTTGGCGACTGGGTCTGATTAAACTCTTCCCTGTCATGGTGCCTTTGCCACTCTTGAGAAGGGGGCTAGTGGGTATCAGGAAGTATGGCCTCTTGAGTTTAGGATACAATAAATAACCTAAACCAATAGCCTAAATTGCATAAAATGACCTAATGATTTCGTCCCTTATGCCTCAGACGGCCAAATTATCTGATACCTTGAGGGAGGGATGAGGTCTTTGCCAACGATCCTTGTATGCCACATATAGGCGTGGGAGCAGAGCATTGACTATGAGGATAGACTAAACTTTCTGATCCAGAGAACAACGTGAGAAACCCCCTTGGTTTCTTTAGAGGTTGGGATGTTAATTGGCTTTGTCAATGATTGCATGATGTCAATCAACATCTCTTGGATGGGTAGGATATGATTTCATGGCAGATATCCCCTTGGATTTTGACAGAGGCTGTAGAAGTGGAAATCCGACTCTTGGATACACTCTATACAGCGATCCTCGAATTTGCTTACAGATTGTGAATGGGAAATATTATCAGGGAATCAGCTTGCTCAAAATCGAGTAGCTCATATCATCGAAGCAACGAACAAGCCCTAAGACAGCGAAATTACACTTGGTTGAGTGAAGCAAAGAACCACTCGTACCGCGGCCTTTCTTATCAGTATTAATGAATTAACGCCAGATAGGCAGATACTGTTATTTTAATTCCCATTTTTCTTGCTAGATGACGACGCTATTAATGAGCAATCCGGTATGGCAGTCATGATCGGGGATATTACAAACATGCCCAGAAGCCGGTCTAACGGATGTTAAAAGTTAGCGTGTAGGCTTAGTTTGACAGCCAGTGATGCCATCATCCTCTAGTGTCAGTGGACTCCGGTCTTTGCGTGTTCTTAAATCTCCTAGCGACATGCTCTGTTCAAAGGTCGAGCGAGACGTTTTGCAAACTCAATAGGCCGCTGATCCTGTGGGGTTGACTGACTCGTCGTGGCCTGACTTGTGGGCAGCAGAAAAGATCTTAGGGTATAAAAATAAGTAGTCTAAGGACTATAGTCTAAGGAGCATAAAGTGACCTACTAATTTCGTCCCTTATGCTTCGACCGGCCAATTTTCCTGATACTCTGAGGCCTGACTACCATCTCGTTTAACGAAAGAGTACCACATTGCATGAATGCAACGATCACCATTAGGTAGTCTGAAGGGATCAGAGTCAGAATCACGTGAATTTTATCTATGCATGTCATGTTTGAAGCGAAAGAGTATCGGTAATTTCTGAAGTGGAATTCCAGTTTCGTACAGAGTAATTCAAGTGCTAATATTCGGATTGCAGATCTGCCGAGCCAGGTACGCTGGTAGCTTTTTATTGCTAGTGGGTCAACAATTCAACTGTCTCCAATATTCCCTTGAAACTTTTCATTCGATAGTGGATTCAATGAGACACTGGAAGCTAATTGAATGGATGGAAGAAAAGACACAACGGGAGAAACGTGGGAATGCCGTTGACCCTCAACTGCCTCTTTACCAACATTCCAGTTTGTCCTGAATCTAGCTCAATTCGAGATAGTTATCAGTTGCAACTGTTCAGTTAGGTTTAACGCGAGTAACCATTCCGAAAGCGATGCTGTTCGTCCGGGTCCCTGGTTCACCTGCGGCGTTCTGGCGTTGTATGGCTTGTTGTCTAGCGCTCAGTTGCAATGTAACGCGGGATAGCCTAACGTAGCAGTGAGAAGCCCGAGCGTCGACAAAGTTTTAGCTTGGCTCCGTTGAAGAATTGGCAGCGATACTAGGCACTGCCATTGGCATTGACGTTGAAACTGACACTGACAGCGATGGAGATAGGAAACACCCGAGCCCTGTACGTCATTATGGGATGAAAGGGCTTTGACTCTTGAGTGGTGGTTAACTTTGTTAGCACTTCTGCTCATTGGGCATGCACAAGCCACGACACGAGATGGCTTGCCCAGCATCGTTGTCTAGCGGGATAAGGAGCCAAGCATGGTATTTTTAGTGATAAGCAATTCGTCGATTCGATTATGCATCGTGATCTTACAGGCATTAGCTACCCTGTCGATGTAACTCAGCTGCTTAGCCAAATCTCAAGAGGGTCTTTTTTCTTTTTCGCTCCCTACCTTCAGGGACACACTAGCAAGTCCGCTAAATTAGGTCGGCCCTCGACCAGACACTCTCACTCGTTTACTACTAACAGCAGATGATGCACCGATCGTCGATCTCAGTCTTTCTCCCCTATCATCGGGATCGGGACCTGAGCGTTGCTTTTGGAGCTGAGAAGGGCAAAACTCAAGGCCAAACTAAACAATCGTCATGGAAAGGTAATTAAATGCGATCTACAGCCACTATAATATCTCGTAAACTTCACCCTTGTAAATTGCATTCCGCGTTGTACTCTCAAACGGGTCAACTTTCTACGCTCAGTCTCTCAAGGCAATGCCTCGCCTCCACTGGATACCCCATTCGGTGAAAAGCCCTGTTCGTTGGTTTCCCATTAAAGACGTGAGTTTCCGTTTACCTGCCTGTCATATTGCTCACTTGAGAGTCTCTGCGTCATCAATTGCTTAGTTTAAATCGTCTCGTATAAGCACCATTTGGCTAACATAGACGATTTACAAAAATGCAGAAGACACACCTTAACCTCGTCGAAGACGACGACGATATGGATTCCTGTCCACCTCCGATCCCCATACGATCGCACACACCAAGACGACAAGTCACAATGAAGCAGAGGTACGTTGTTATGTCTCAGATCCAGCCTTGCTCAGCTGGCTTGGCCAGTCATGACAAAAAGAGCAACAAAAAAAAGGAAAAATAGGCTAACAGATCAGCTTTGAGACACAAGATTTAGGCGACGGAAAAGCCGATTTCGACCCACGACTGCTGCAACAGCCATCGACATCAGCAGCACCCGCACACAGTCATCATCGTCAAAGACACTATCATAACCACAACCAGACCCTGAAAGACAACCACGACCACGACCAGAATTATACCCACGTCCATGCTCCTGCACCAGCACCTGTACCATCACCCGCACCCGCAACTATCCCTATCCCTGCGCATCCAACTTCGCCCGCTCGACCGTCATCCTCTGCGACATCACGAAGTGCAATGTCATACCGATCGCACGAAACAGAGGTTTGGTCGCAAAGAGAAAGAGATGCTTCATCCATTTCTTCCGTCTACGTACCAACGCATCTCCCCGCGCTGCAAGCAAAGGGTGCAGGTGCAGAGGGAGACGGCCTTGAACCCTTGACAGAGGAGGAATATGACCCGTCATCTTTCGATCTCGTCGTGCCGGCGCATGCCATGGGGAAGCAGTACACTCTCGAGAGTCAATCCGAGCTGTTGTTTTCCGCCAAGCATCTCACAATCATTTTTGAAGATCCCCTACTATTGCAGCGTTTCACAAACTTCATTTCCGCATCGCGACCCGGTTCAATGCCACTTTTGACATATTATCTCGATACCCTCAAAGCAATCAAGGCAATTAATTATGCCAACTCTTTGACAGCATCTTTGGAAGAAATTGAAGATCATGATTTCACAATGGACCCTGTTACTAGTACTGTCAATACTGCTCTGCAAAAACGAGCGACTGATGCTTTTCAAGCAATGGCCAACCACGATTTACCAGCTTACATCACCCACACGTACATTCAGACTGTCAGCATCACCATCAAGCGAAGAATAACAGACACTTTGGCTCCCCAACTGCGAGAGCTCTCTGAGGGCTTGGCAGAGGTATTCTGTCTTACAGATCCTTCACGGCCCGATAATCCCATTGTATTCGCTAGTGAGGGTAAGTTAAGCCAGCGACGAAATTGATGGCCAGTGCTAACATATCACAGAATTCCACCGAACAACGCAGTATGGTATGGACTATGTTCTGGGCCGCAACTGTCGATTCCTTCAAGGTCCCAAAACCAACTCGTGGAGTGTTCAGAGAATTCGAGACAAGCTCAAAGCTGGACAAGACCACTGCGAAACATTCCTCAACTACCGTCGCGATGGCTCACCTTTCATGAACCTGCTCATGGTATCTCCGCTATACGACTCGCGTGGTGTCGTTCGTTACCATCTCGGTGCACAGGTCGATGTGTCTGGTCTTGTAACAGACTGTGCAGGACTGGACTCGCTATCAAAGTTGCTGAACCGTGAAAACCCGGAAAATGAGCGTTATCCGGGTGAGAATGCTCACAAAGCAAAGGAAGAGCAGAAAGATGACTTTAGAGACTTGGCGGAAATGTTTAACCTCACCGAACTCAGGACTGTGCGTGAATCAGGCGGTGCTTTCCACAGGACAAGACAACAGGACTTGAGAAAAACAGATGCAGCACCTGCGAACTGGAGCAAGCCGAGGTTTGTCTTTGAGGACGATGCAACCATCAACAGACGTTTGTCAGACCCGATTCTTCAGGACACAGCTACGATGAGTTTTGGTGGTCGTCTCAGTGGTGTTTACAAGCACTACCTGCTTGTCCGCCCTTACCCCAGCCTGCGTATCCTCTTCGCCTCGCCATCTCTCCGTGTACCGGGCATGCTGCAAAGCTCATTCCTCTCCCGCATTGGCGGCTCCGACCGCGTCCGCGAAACCCTCACGCAAGCCTTTGCTGGTGGAAACGGCCTAACAGCTAAGATCCGCTGGTTGTCCAAGACCGACATGAACCACAAGAACCATGGCGAAGGTGGTCAAGCACCCCCCGCGAACCCTGGTCGTAACCGCTGGATCCATTGCACACCTCTTCTTGGATCAAACGGTGCCGTGGGTGTGTGGATGGTTGTTTTGATCGATGACGAGTCTGATGAAGCTTTTATTCGAGGAATGAGGAGAGATGCGCCTATTGTGCAGCCTGCACCAAGGCCAAAGTCGAGAATCGATCAGCTTACAGGCGATGATGATACGATGAGTCTGAGCAGTTTCGCTGCCCAGCATCGTGGTTAAAGGCGTCGGATTGGGGTTGAAGATTTATGAGACACGAGATGGTTTAAACCACGGTCTATATTTTTGTAATTAATGATACCTCTTTCAGTTTTGATACCAAGAAGTAATGCATATTGGATTATTTAGGAGCCTAGGGATGATTCTGTGACGACGCTCATAAACAAAACATCATGCGCCGAGTGACACATGGCTTGAAGAAGCTTTGACATTCTGATTTGATCGTCTTACAGTCCAGTTCGGCCCGAGCCGAGCTTGGTTTCCGTTTGACGGTACAGTGGCAGCCACGAGGTTGAGAGTCATCTGCCTAGTACAGCAATGTCTCTGAAAGAGTGGGTGTACATATATGTCTGGACTGCCCAAAACATGTGCTGCTGTTGGACCATTGATAAGGCACTGATGCCGGACTCATGCCCAGATCAGCCACCTCTGAATATAACCATTTAGCCGTTTCGCAATTGGTGCATTTCTCCAGTCCTCGTTCGTTGATGTTGATCTCGTAAATAGGTCAATCTTTTCCAGATATCCAGAAAATACGACGAAGCCTAAGCAAAATGAAGCAAGCTCCAGCGACCCTGAGTGTCAAGCAGTGTATGAGTCCGGTTTCATTTTGTGTTGGCGTTTCACCATCGTCGTCTCTACGTATCAGATTGCGACATAACCCCCGCACATGGCGAGTGCAGGGGTAGTCTGGTTGATGTTATAAGAGCATCACATCGTCTCAAGTCTCTGTCAGAAAACAGCTGTAGTTCATCTTCATCATCAATCAAGATGTATTCTTCTTCAATCACACCAGAATACGAAGCTGCGAATGAGAAGTATGCTACAGACTTTGACAAGGGTGATCTTGCCCTCCCACCATCCCGGTATGTAACCAGCAACAAAAGCATGGAATTGCTGACTGACTGTCAACCCATAGAAAAGTAGCCATAGTGGCATGTATGGATGCTCGCCTTGATCCAGTTCAGATCCTAGGAATTGAGCTGGGCTCAGCGCATGTCATTCGCAACGCAGGCGGTCGAGCAGCTGACGCTCTTCGCTCGATTATCATCTCGCAACAACTTCTCGGCACCAGAGAGATTGTCATTGTCCACCATGTCCGTATTATCCACATACCTCCCCCTCTTTCGGCTTGAACTAACAGAAACAGACTGACTGTGGTATGCTCACATTTTCTGATCTCGACCTGAAGGCCAAGGTCAGAAACGATCTCGACCAAGACGTGGATCACATTGCCTTTTTGCCCTTCGGAGATCTTGAGCAGAGTGTTCGTGACGATGTCAAATTTCTGAAGAAGAGTCCTTTGGTGTTGGATGTTCCTATCACCGGATACGTCTACGATGTCAAATCTGGAAAGATTACAGTGAAGATCAGATAGGCCCTTTATATGTTTTGAAGGGATTTGTCGAAGCTGGTTATGAATAATAGTTAATGTTTTGTGAATCGCACATAGTCAAAGAGTTACAGCTACCAACAGGTTTTGGAATGATAAAAATAAATAGCAAGATGCATTCTGAGATATTCCATTAAAAACAGAGGCACACAGCAATGGACCTGCATAAACCAATTAACCCAGTGAGACTCCTTCCCAAAATAACTAGATTGATATCACTCTTTTACCTGAAAGCCATCCTCCAAGATGTGCCAATCTAACCAATCCGCTTAGTTTTCAACGCAAATACTTGATTAATCACATTGCCTGATAGATAGGGTTCGAAGTGTAACCAAGGTCCAGACTCTCCCAATTCCATAACATGGCAAGATCTCCCAGTTCAGCATCAGAGATCTGTTGGAAGCCCATGTCAATTTGGGGAGGCCCAGCAGTGAAATTCTGCATATGAGATCTGCCATTGATCTCCGCAGGCCAAGATGGTGCAGCCGTTGCAGGAATCGATGGCATGTTCGGCAGAGCGGTGTACGTGTAGTCTTGATATCTCAGGTCTGTACCATTGTGAGGATACGACACGTACTGCTGTCCTCCCGTCTGGATCCTTACAGGAGATACTGGGGTAGGATTGGCGTATGGCTCGTAGTGAGCTTGTACAGGAGGTAGTTGAGACGGTGGAACAGGCGTTGGTGCTAGAACAATGGGGCTTGCGTCCATACTTGGCTGTGCTACAGGTGCTGCGACAGGCATAGAGCCTTGGCCGTCGGGCGGCATATCGAATCGTCGCTTCTTGTGAGCATCAGCAGCCTGAATTCCAGATGACGATGGCAGCTTCTTAATCAGCCGTCGTAAAACATCGTAGGGAGCTTTGGCTGTGTTGGTGGCAGTTCGCAGCTTCTTCAGAGTAGTGAACGCTCTGGCGATAGAACCGGCGACTTCTTCGCGACGTGGCACATGGCCGTCTTCCGCGTGAATGATGACCGAGCACAGCAAAGCAGCCGTATCAAAGATGCAGAAGGGGACGAAATGGAATGTGGTGTCCCTAGTCCACACATACTCAAAGAAACGATGAACAGCTTCCATCAGGCGAAGAGCGTAATCGATACCCGTCAATCGAAACTCGAGATCGACGGCAGACGCCGATGATTGCCTCATAGTCTTGGCCATGAATGCTCTAAAAGGTCCCAGGGCAATAGATAGAGTGCAAGTATGCATGTAGTGACGATGAAGAGCGATCCATGGCAGATCCTCATTCGTAGGCGTGTTGGGATGATCAAGGGCATACTCAGTTGGGAACGTCTTCATGAACTCCTCCAGAATGTTTTGGTAATCTCTGATGTCGGCAGGTTCAGTAAGGAGCTTGGGCCCACCGAAGCGCTCGTAGATCAGGCTGACAAGTTCAGACTGTAGCTTGAGATGCAGCATGGGCGAAACTGGATAGTCTTCCAGTGTAAGACATGGTAGACCAATATCACACTCTGCCCGGTCGATGAGCATTGGCCGTGCCAAGAGCGAAGAAACCAGCCTTGAGAAGTAAGTACAAGCCTTTCTGAGTCGGGGATGTTCTCTTACCAGTCCCATGAATCCACAATGCACCATAGTCGTCTCTTCATTTCCAGCTCAAAACCCGGTAACTGGTCTACGGGCTTCTTGTGGAGGTCTAATAAGGTCAGTATTATGCATTGACGGACACGATAAGATACTTACTAATCATCTGTGCCTCTCGAACTACAGCTCCAAGAACCTGCCAGCACTCTGCGAATCGTGCTTCGGCCTTGAACCAGTAGCACGAATGCAGTAGGTACTGGACCGTGTAGACATGGCCATACCCGACAGGGATAGCGCTGTGAAGCTCTCTAGCAGCATCGTGATATTTCTGGGTCAGATCTTTGACAGATGTGCCAAGCTCGCTCTCAATTCTGCTACCTGTCTGGCTGTCGACATGCTGGACTGAGCATGCGCAGACCATGAGTAGAAGACATGTCCATTGAACACCACATGGTCGACCTTTGGTATAATCATCCCACCAGCGAGCGTACTCCTTGCTGAAGTGAGGTGGGTAGACAATGTAGTAGTAAAAGTTGACGACATCGAGAAAGCTTTGAACCAGGGTGTCTGCGAATGTGAGATGATAGAATGACGAGTAATAGTGATGATCTTACCAACAATGTGTCTTGGCGGCAACACATCCAGTGCACGCTTGAGCTGAGCGCTGTCTTTTGGGTCGAGATAATATTGATCAGAAGGCTTGGTACTCCCTGCCTTGGTTGTGTGAGTACACGAGCTAAAAAGAAAAGAAATGTCGACTTACTTCTTGATCAAGGTTTGTCAACATATGAAGACGACTGTAGCCAATCGCTTCTAAAACGTCTCCAACATCATCATCGTCACTGGCCCCCTCATCGCCGTGCATGTCGCGCTTCCTCTTGACTTCCAGGGAAGCAGCCCAAGCATCCTCACCTGATGTGACCTTGGAATCATCCCTGAAACGACACTGATCAGCGACCTTGCGCTTCTGGCAATTGTTGCATGGCCATTGGCGATTGCATTTCTGCTTTCTACGATGACACTCTGTGCAGGCAGAGCGCAGCAGAGTTTCCGGTTGGGCGATGCCCTCGATAGACGATTTCCGAGATTCTTCGGGCATCATGACAACGATGGGGTTTGCCTGCAGAGCGAAGGGAGGAGAAAGAGACGAGTTTGGGATGGATTGTAGTAGAGGCGGGGCTAAGATCTTTGGTCCATCGTAACGGAGCCTGCCGCAAGGTTTGTTTAGTGATCGATCAAACTAGACCACGTTGGGGAAAGGACTGCTAGCTTTTGTGTAAGGGTCCATTCGGAGACGGTGCGGAGACACCGAAATGCATCAAAGTTTTTCCTGTCGAGTAATGCTTGTGAATGTCTCAGTTGTCTTGGTTGTGCATTGGCTGTGGTTACACATGATCGTCATGGAGCTGAGAGCTGAAAGTGAGTCAGGGACGGGAGGAGAAAAGGGAGGGCGGCCAGCCTAGTTGGATCGATGTTTGCTTTGTCGAGACTCGGCTGGCACTCTTCCGGCAGATTCATGTCGGCTGAAGAGAGACAATTGCATACAGTAAAAAGGAATCAATTAATGATTCACTTTCTTTATTTTGTCTTTGCATACATTAACGCATATATTATATTGAGTAAACATTTACAAGTCACATTCGCGATCGGCTTACTTGCATGACATGTTCCAGGGTCTAAGATGAGCATGATCGACCAAGTATGTGACAGGTAAGAAAACTGTGTGGGCAAGCATCCGACCAAATCACAACTCGTTAGGAAAGTTGCTCTAATCCATTTTTGTCTTGGATCCGTTTGCTCCCGGGTAACTGCTCTGTCGCATAATTATTCATTCGTGCTACGGTAGTGAGATTGTATGTTGCACTATTTCTAGTCTTTTTAGCCGACATCGGCGTGGCTGCATCGCACAGTAACTAGTTGGCTGGTATCACTGAGGAATAAAAGAGGTTGGCATCTATTAACCATTGTAGCTTGGCCAACACAGGCTTTGGCAACACAGCAATAACTCATCGTGTAGAATTCTCAACCAGGTTTCTAGATCATTCTGCTTTGATCCATATCAAGGTACAAATATGATTATACAACGGAGCTGCCTAGAACGGATTGATAGATAAGATGAATGAGACATTGATTGGTACTTTGAAGTCTTTGATGCAAATCTCACTACCTGCCACTTGTATGTTCATGCGTCGCGATTCATGAGCTTTGTATTAGACTTTCTTATATAACATCACTTTCAATAATTGCCAAAAATCAAGAAGGACATGCTCTCCCACAGATAGAGTCTTTCTCACCATACACTACTTTCGTAACGTCGTGAGACCATGACCATAGACCCATCAGAATACACTCCTTATGGTCTGCCTAGCTCGTACCAATGCACAAGGCACCCTCTAGACACCCTTGCTGATTGGCTTCACCTCGGTACGACCACGGATGATGGTAGACAAATCACCGAGCGGCAACATGACTGGGAAATCGACTGACAAAAGTAGCATTGAAGTCAACATATACCAGCCGATAAATGTTACCGCGAGGAGTATTCCTGCACCGGCATGCTGGTACTGAAGCGCACGGCTGGCATGCCCCTGTGCAACAGCGAAGAAAGAAGCTGAAAGACAGCCAACTACATATCATTGTCAGCACATCCATATCTAGCGGAAAGATTTGCAACTTACAGCATGGGACAAGAAGGGCAAGGATAGTAAACAGGGCGACGTTGGTACGTATACTGGCAACGCAATACACAGCGCACAAGATAGCCATGGCAACGAGAAAGAAGGCAAAAGTCGCGTAGAAGGAGGGTTCGTTGAGGCCGTCTGCAGCAGTACCGGTTGTTGAATATGTGCTGTATGCGCCAGAACCAGGGACGATGGTTGTACCGAAGGCTAGCCAGAAGCCACCGAACGTGAAGAAGATTGTAGATGGGAACGTGTTTCCTATCAGAAGGTTAGCAAGGTACTTTGAGGAGATGTAAATAGAAGTGTCGCTTACCAAGAATCCATTCACCGAGTCCTCCCAAGATAAGAAGAAGACCACCGATACCGAAGTAGACACCACTGCGAACGGTCATTAGTCCCTGGTCCTGGCTTGACAAGTTATTGAACTTACACGACTGCTGCAGCAGCGAATCCACCTGCGCCCTGCCAGTTCAGTAATGACATGGACGCCGGTGTGGTGCATAGCAAAAAGCCGGCCAACGCTGTCCATGTTAGTACAAGAGTTATTCCAATGTCGACCAAGACTTACCAACTGGTGTTGGATTGCCAAACGTCTTGCGGAGATCGCCCTTCACTCTGTTCTGGGGCTGGAGGTATAACTGTTCGAACAACTCAGGGGAGAGCGGAATGCTCATAGCTGGCTGGATATGTTCCATCTCAGCGCGATCGGTGTCGAGTTTGCCACTGGGACTGCGAGACATGATGAAATGATTATTAGTGTCGTAGTATTGTCAAGATGGTGAGAGGGTAAGGGTAGTAGATAGATGAGAAGATGAGGTGAGGTAGGGAAGGGACTGGAAAATGGATCACATCGTTCCAATGACCTGTTATATATGCATCACACAATAATAAGCTTCCCCTTACCCCGGATTAGCATGGCAGTGGAGAAATATAATCTGGGGGTGGGGATACAGGGATACATCGTGGTCTCGACACTTCATCCATGCAAATAAGATGCATGGTGGATGGATAAAGGATCAGCCTGTAGATCTTGCCATGGAGAACTTCGTCAGCATCTGAATGCCGGAGCATAGTCGACCTAGTAATAGACCCGAGGTCGAGGATAGATCCGCGGTAAACTAGTGTTGAGCATAGAAAACAGCTGGCCGTCAGTGCAGACAAAGATCCCAAGATCCAAGTGACGGTGAATGCATGCTACCCACGTTCTCAAGGCTCAACAAACTAGCTCCCTGGACATCACCCTGGCAAATTGAATCCCGGCCGCCTGTATCTTCGGTCGAACGGCCCCTGTTCTGTCGATCAGAGCTCGATTTGAACGTCCCCAACACAATATCAATTTATTCATAGTATAATGGATATGTGTATCCCGTGTATGTTAAAAGTTCCCGTTGCATTTCTGTTTGGAACTAGTATCGAAAAGGGTATGAATGCGGAGACGGCTCCGACCTTGCGGGAATGCCTCCGCACTGCGGCTCAACGCATGCCACGAGGTTGGAGGTGAGGCTAGGATATGGCTTCCGCGGCGGGGGCTAGCGAGATTAGTTCGGTCAAAGAACTTCTGTGCACGGCACGACTGGCTTGTTGATTGGTTCTCGAACGACGAGGCATGTTGGTCAAATGGCGGAATATGGTCTTTGGAAGTCAACTGCCGATGATTACTCGTGTTTGACAACACCCAACACTAACTTGGTATGGAACAGTCTGAGCCTAACTTCTTCATGGTACCCTGTAGAAGCAATCAACTGGAAACATTTACAGTAGATCAAAAACCCTTCTTATCACTCTGCATCGAGCCCCCCTCATCCGCGGGAAGTTGTTTCCCGAGCCCCTTAAGAATACTTTGCAACCCTTCCTTGACTTTTGGGTTCACCACGGTTTCAATGCGCTTTTCCAATTCTGCAATCTTCCCCAATAATTCCTTCCTCCTAACATCGCCCAAATCAACCTCTTCCTCTTCTTCTTCCTCTTCGCCATTGTCTAGGCTTTCAAGACCTTCACCAAAGGCTTTTGCAAACGCCTGGGCCATGTTATGATCTTTGATTGCAAACACGACTTCGGCAAGCTGTTCCCATCGATCCTTGGTGCCCTTTGACTTGTCGTGTTTCGGCATAAGGACGGCTTTCCATAGCCGTGCGATTTCACCGACTGGATTGCCATGTGCACCACAACCCCAGGCTCCAAGAACCAGGCGCTTAGTCTTCTTCATCACAGCAACTCGCATGACTGCTCTCATTTTGTTCTGAGCTAACTCACGATCTTTTTTGTTCGCGTATGTTGCAACCCCCTCGCTGTCCATCTCATACTCAGGTGTGCGAATCATGGCGGCAGTGATACAGTCCACGTAGAAACGGTCCTTCTTATCTAGGTCTTCGCCCTCTTCATCTCTGAAGACGAACACGTTGGGAGTGTAGATAGAAGCTAGATCTGGTATGCGGTACCATTCATCTTTGAGAGAAGGGTATAGAGTAGTGCGCATGCAAAGTGACTCCTCTTGGCTGTTTGCACCGTTGAGGAATCCGCCGCCCGGAGATAGAGGAGAACCCATATTGAGAATAGCCACGCGAGCGCGATCATTCTTGAGATCAACCTTGGTACCTGATGAGGTTTCAATCTCAAGAAGGTCTCTGGCAGCTGTGAGTGTGTCGGCCTCCCGAATAGAGATTCTTGGAGGTTCAAGATCTGTGACTGGTGAACTTGGTTGACCATCAGACTTGGAGTTTGGCGAATGACGACCAGATTTGCCTTTCTTTGATGGCTCAGCATCTCTATTATCTTTTCCAAGCTGCATGCTTGGAACCTGGGCATCCTGAAAAGCAATCAACTCGGCCGCATTGATTCCTTGCTGAGCGCGGGAATTTCCTGGTAAAAGACTTGGGATGACCTTGTTGATCGTCGCCTTGGCCTTTTTGGAGCGTACATCTTTGCGGAACGCCGCCGGTGGTCGACCTATTGAAGGTTCAGTTCTTCCCATGATGAGTTTTTAAGTAAATGATGCGTGATGTGATGTGATGTAATGTAACGAGAGGTCGACAGCTCTGACTTGATGAGGAGACACCTTGCGATTGTGAACCTTGATGAGCAAAGGTCCCAGTCGGGTCGGTGGTATCTACAAAGGTCCTTACACACACAAGATGGATTTTTAGTCAAAAATTAGTGGTAAAGCCGGGATTTGATTTATTTGCTCAATAGATGGAAGAGTCATGTAGACGTCAATTGGATTGGTATCGCCACATTTACTGGAGTAGAAACTGCTCTAGTCACATGACCATAGCAAGAAGCTGCTAACCTCAACACCAAAAACTAGACTTCACGATACTAAATGCCAGATGTCGCATTCATAACTTGATCACTGTCATTATAACAAGACAAATATCTCTAGGATATGCAAAACGCCCTACGGGAAACCCGGCTTCAGGGTCATGCTTTTCGTTTTAACAATATGCATGATCTTGGCGACGATGACGTGGAAAGGCACAACTCACATGCAGGAGACGCTGTCAATTATTTATAAATTCCAGCAACTCGAGCTGAAAAGCATCTGATATAACACGTGAGCCTCGGTAATAGAACTCTCTTCTTGTCACAAGAGAAAATGTGGGCTGATAAAAGTGACTGATCCACAATCGGAACCCGTTCTCATCGTCAAAGCCCGACGGACATTTCCAGCATAATTACAATGGTCAAGGCTTATCAGTTTCAAGTTCTAGAATTTACTTTATATGCGCTAAACATGCTTAAAGACCTGTCAAACCCACGCTTAGTGGAGATAGCCTTATAACTCATCGGTGGTTACAACGTGCGATGTCCGACGGACCGGGATAACCTGCATCTAATCCTCGTACCCGTAGATCTTGATCCCTTGCCTTGACACCCGAGAGATCGAAAGGTGACAGGGTACAACCAAACTGAGAACTCCGATGTCGAAAAGTCGCATGTTTTATACCGGTCTTCCCGACACGATGGATCCTTTGATCTGGCCATCTTGCTATAAAGGGCCTGACCTCCCATCTTGGCTACATCCCCTTGAGGAATAGTCCAAAGCATCTCACTAAAATGGCTTCTAGAACCGATATCAGCGACGATGAAACACTTCGTCAAAAGATTCCAGACCCGAAACCGAAACAACGATCACTGGTGAACCTCATCTTCGACAATACACGAATTGACCAAGCCGTTGAGAACCACGAATATCCAGGATGTGGCACATTCGAAGATCCTTACGTCGTCAACTGGATTCCAGATGACACAGGGAACCCCCTCAATTGGGACAAGTGGTTGAAGTGGACTATCACCATGGTCTCTGCTGCCACTTCTTTCGCTGTTGCTTTTAGCTCCAGTGCTTACACAGGTAAGCCCACCACGTCTTTATGGATATGCCTTGTTGACATTTTGCAGGCACCATCGTGCCACTCATGATCCATTTCGAAGCAAGCCAAACTCTCGTAACCGCTGGTGTCTCATTATACGTTCTTGGCTTCGCTGTCGGGCCACTCTTTTGGGCACCTCTTTGCGAAATCTGGGGCCGACAAATCATCTTTGTGATTAGCTACGGCATGTATGTTGTCTTTAGCGCTGCATGCACAGCTGATCATGGCATTGCAACACTTTTGGTCTTGCGCTTCTTCTGCGGAACGTTTGGCTCATCACCATTAACGAATGCGGGAGGTGTAATCTCGGATGTGTTTAGACCTGATGAGCGTGCTATTGCTATGGCATTCTTCTCTTTGGCTCCGTCTCTTGGACCGACTTTGGGTCCATTCATCGGAGGATACCTTGCTGAGGGCCAAGGATGGCGATGGGTAAGTTGTCTCCTGTTCTTCTGTGACAGACTCGCTAACAGTGTCAGGTCATGGGCCTGATGGCTATTATCGCCGGTGTATTCTGGATACTCGACATGTGCTGCGCCCCCGAAACCTACGCTCCTTATATCCTAGGGAACCGTGCAGCTGTCCTGTCGAAAAAGACAGGTAAAGTGTACAAGTCCATCTACGAACACCAAGGCAAGGCCGATCCTCCGAACGTAGTTCTCAAGAAAGCTCTTATCCGGCCATGGCTTCTGCTCTTCCTTGAACCAATCGTTTTTCTCCTCTCTATGTATATCGCCATTCTATTCGGCACACTTTACCTCCTTTTCGGCGCCTATCCTGTCGTCTTCCAAATAGAACGAGGTTGGAGTGCTGGTAAAGGAGGTCTCGCATTTCTTGGTGTTGCGATCGGCATGCTCGGAGCTATACCTGTTATCGGACTGGTCAATATCTGGTACATGAAGCAAGCCGCAAAGTACAAAGACGAACCAGTTCCTCCAGAGAATCGTCTTCCTGGATGCATGCTTGGAGGTATCTGTGTACCTGTAGGAATGTTTTGGTTCGCATGGTAAGCACATCACTGGCTGTCTACGAGCTATTTGACTAACATACTCAGGACCTCTTACCCTGACGTGCATTGGATGGCGCCAGTAGCAGCCGGAGTCCCCTTTGGCCTCGGCATGGCCCTTGTGTTCAACAGCATCTTCAACTACCTCATCGACTCGTACACCATTTATGCTGCTTCCGTCCTCGCATCAAATGCCGTGTTGCGATCGATGTTTGGCGCAGCGTTTCCATTATTCACAAAGCAGATGTACGACAAGTTGGGCACACAGTGGGCAAGCACAGTCCCGGCTTTCCTTTCTCTTGCGTGCCTACCTATGCCCTTCATCTTCTTCAAGTATGGTCCTGCGATTCGACAGCGTTGCAAATATTCTGCAAAAGCAGCACAAGCAACGGCTATGGCCGCAAAATCATAGAAAGCTGGCCATATCACATGTACTTTTCACAAATCAATTATAGATTAATATTTGGCTGGGGTCTTCAAAATTGGATTTTGCAACAAATACAGGAACTTAATGACACATAATAGATGTTGATAGACTTTATAAAGCAATGTATTTCAGATGGCTCGTTACAAATCGCTCCTTACCTCATGCTACTTCTCGTACTTGATCCCTTGTATTTGATCCTCCAACCCAACTCCCATCAAAGGCCGTCCCTCTGAGGTTGCACTCGTATAACCATACTTAAATCTTTGTTGTCCAATCATTTTTGTGACTTCAAGAGCCTCCTTCTGTCCTGTAGTAGGCGGAAGGCTCACATATCTAGAATCACGCACCACAGATGAGGCGTACCCCAGAATTTCTGGTCCAGAGGCCAGGTGAGCAAAAATGGTCCCCGTGATACCACTCGCAAGAAGAACAGCGCAACAGGCAGTGAATAAGGCTATCCAGGACCAGTGCACAACGTATACCTCTTTCAGGGTACTGACATCGACAGGGACAGTAACGTTTGGTTCGAAACTGGCAGCTATGTCACTGCTTCCTTGTGACGTGTACTGGTTCAGCTGACCTAAGAGGACATATGTGGTCAGAAGCTGTGATAGGCGGCGACCAAACTGCTTCTCCGTGATGTTGCTCAGCAGCTTCCCCTCTTCCTCCTCATCGCCCACAGTAAAGCTTGTAACTGCGGGGTTATCGAGATACCGAATCGGAGTATCGGCATAGCTTTGACCTTGTATTCCTACAGGCAGGCCTCGCGTCACCCAGCTCCAGATATCAGGAAACGAAAGCATAGTGACACCGTCCGGAGCGTGAGGTTGGCGCGACCAACGCTGCTGAGTGACAGTACAGTTTTGCGGCGACGAAGAGTCGGCCCGCGAACAAGCGACGCGAGATTCGACATAGCGCTGGAGTACGTCACAGACTGCCTCGACGCGCATTGATGGAACATATTGCTTGGGAGAGGTTCGGAATGAAGCCTCAAAGACAAGCTGCGCGGGCGTTACATCCAGGTCTATTTCGTTGACCAACAGTTTGGGACTCTGGCAGTCTCTTTCCTTGCCAACTGAAGAACAACGATCATTGGTGTTCCAGTACTCATCAACAAAACGATCAACAGCAACACTCCATACTGACTGTAATGTAGTTCCATTCATTCCATGGAATGTTCCGTTGGGAAGCCGGATAGAGCCATTGTTGTTACCGTCGAAGTAGTCCCATTTGTACATCTTTTGCTTCATGACGGAGATATTGTAGCTGAATCTTTTGCAGTCGAGGTCGATGTAGCTTGATTCAAGAGAGAATGTGAGATTGCCTTGGGTGACATTTGTGACAGGTAAGCCTACTAGTGAGGTGTAAGAATCTGGTGCTGAGTTCCACGAAACGTTTTTCCAACTTCCGTCGCTATCGCCGTCCACTTCTAGCCTGGGAATTTTGACATTCCCCCACAGGTCCATCGTATCACTCTTAGCCGATGGAGGAGCAAGCAGCAACGAATTGTACATAGTCTGCATAAACGATTGAGTCGACCGATACTGATCTATCTCACCGCGGGAGACGAGTGTCGAGCTACTAAAAACAGACGAGGCATCCGTCGTATAATAGAGAACGTTGGATGATGCATACACAGGTTCAAGTCTTGTTCGTAGCATTCGAAGAGCGGCTTGTGACCCAAGTGGCGAAAGGGACCAAAGGAGGAGCAAAGAGATGCCTAGGATATTAAATCTCCTCAGGCTGATTTGTGTAACGAGCGTGGATCCGACGGTGCGACTGCCGATTAACTGTTCGAGAAGGTTGAGTGTTGCACCTTTTTCGAGCCTCCAGCGGGCGGCCTGGAAGACCATTCTACTTGCGACGGAGGCAAATAAAATTGGGAAAGCCGATGCTATCTAGTTGTTGATGTGTTAGTATGAAGGGAATATTAGGAGAAAACAAGGACACTAACCACGGTGATGGCATTATCCCATTTCTGAAGCACCTCCTTCTCAACAGCTGTTTTATCCAAGCACATGACGGCCAGGGCGAGTCCCAAGATAGCAGCAGGAAGGAGAGTTAAGCTGATGTCTGCAAACAATGTGCCTGGCATAAAATGGCGCTTCCAGCTATCATGTATGCTGTGCTCATCATCTTTCGTCATTGTCTGTTCGTGGCCGAGAGACCTCGTTTCTATGTTGGATGTGTTCTTGGACTCGTTCGCGCCATTGTGGACTCTGAAAATGGAAGAAGAGGAGTTGTCGTCAGTGTAAGAAGGCCGAAACTGTCGGTCATACGGATAGGCCATGTCGGATGACACAATAGTCTACGAGCTCATAGCAGGATAGCAGCAGAAATCTATGAAGGTCATAGTCAGAACGAGTGACCATCCTTTCATTAAGTACGAGGTTTCAGAACTGACACATGAGACCAACACTGGCTTACCAACATGACGGGAATGGCTTGGCACGTTGTCCTACGCGCCGTAACATGATATAATTAAGCATATCCAATCGGACGCTTTTCCGCTCTCTAGCCGCCTTGTTGGTTGCAACGATCCTTCAAAATCGTGCCTAAAAATTGCAAAACAATAGCTGGCATGGGTTGGGCGCTTATGTTGGAGCAGGGGTGTGGTGTAGGCCAATAAGTTATGACGAAAAAGAGGAGTCCGTAATTGACAAGCGCCGAAGAGGGTAAGAAGAACAAGTTCTCAACCAGTTTCCGCATCTTTGAAGATAACACCAGAGCTTTATTGATGAGGTTAAGGAAATATTCCAAGGCTGGGAACATCATCACGCACCTATAAATCATACCTTTCAACGCTACGTCCCTGGGAAACGTTCATCAGTTAGAACAGCTGACAATTAATTTTGGATAGATATCTGGAACGGAAGACATGCTTGTAAAATCTTGGCCTATCTGTGTGTCGTGGTGATCGTCATACTTTTATCTTTTCCAAAAAAAAAAAAAAACTTGCATCAGTAGGTCATAACGTCAGCATTTAGGGCTGACCGACCAAGCTTCAAGTATAAGTCGTCGTCTTGTCCCAGCTCAAGAGACTTTGGATAATCGTCCTCATAGCTTACTGTTGAGCGAAAAGAGGAAAATAGCAATATGTCTGGTCAATCACCAATCCCTATCATCCTTTGCGGAAAGACCGAGTTTATTGGTCAGAGAGTCATTGAGGCATTGAAACCTGAGATTGAAGGTTAGAGCCATTTGTGACAGAAAGATTCACAATATCTAACATTATTGAGTTGTCCACTTCATTCTTCCTGGAGAGTCAGGGAAGCTGATCATCCCCGAACTCCTCCGCGGCAACCCTCCACCCTCTCACCCCGACACGAGCAAGCTTGGGTCAGGAAATTACACGCGAATTCCCGAGGCAGTGGTATTAGGTGGCGCGTTCGAGGAAACAGATATAAAAGCATTGCGCAATGCTGTGAAGGCTGTGGATGGGACGCACGGTGTGGCATGGGTTCGTCAGGATAGTACCCAGCCTGCACCTCCAGTTACATCGCCTGAGTACCCCAAGCTTATGACGAAAAGGACAAAAGAGTCAATCATTCGGCTGCACAAAGACGCCAAGTTGGACGGAACACATGATAGGATCGAGTGGTATTGATACATGCATAAATAGGGAGATTGTATGCGAGCTATGTGGTCTTTCAGAATGAACGCAATTGAACAAAGAAATAAAAGCGAATTTGACATGCATTTACCAATGTTCACGACTGATGGTAAAAAACAATCATTACTTCTCCATGTCCTCCTTTGCCTCCTCTTTGACCTCCTCTTTACCCCCCTTCCCACTAATCTGACACTTAGAACCCAAGCTCTTCATACTGCTAATACTTTGATTCCTCTTATTAACCACCCCCGTCTTCCAGCTCGAAACTGTTGAATTGTAGCCTTTCCCTGCACGATCGATTCCATCGCTGATACTTCGATCAAAAGCGCTCATCTTGGCCATGGTGCTCTCCTCAAACACATCGACGCGTTGTTTCCAGCCTTTGTCCATCTGGACTATCTTCTCCGACATGGCGGTGCTGGAGTTGTTGGTAAATGTAGACCATGCTTTCTTCTTCTTGTCGACTGCGTCGTTAAATCTGCCGACGTGGCGTTTGTAGCAGAATGGGTTGGCCTTGGTTTGTGATTGTGATGTTTCAGTGGACTCGGTTGAGGTGCTGTGCCTTCGCTGGTCGGCGGTGCTGTTGGGGTTGCAGAGGACTTCTTTCTCAGCATCATAAACGCCATGCGTCTGGCTGTTGGGGTCGTATGGTTGTTTCTCATCATGTCCATCGTGAAGTTTCAAGTTGTGAACCTCCTTGTCTAACCCAACGTCATAAACCTCTTTTTCTGCATCGGGTATATAGACTTCCTTCCCATCATAAGCATCACGTTCATCACAAACCTGCTTCTCATCGGAGAAGTCAGTTTTTGGTACGACTTCCTTCTCCTCGGATACATCAGGTAGGCGGTGAACCTCCTTGTGCGTGTCTTCGCTAAGGCGGTCAATGGTACCTGGAGTTGTGGGTACTATCGGCGTTGGAGGCGTCAAGATGATCTGAACAGGGTTGGTCGCCGAGGCAGAGGCTACCTCGACTACACCCGCATTATTGTTCTCGACTGAGTGAACGCTGGCAGACATTTTATGTTGATAACGAGTTTGATCAAGTTTAAATTACAGCTTAATTTCCATAAAGACCCGCTACGTCATTTTCACATCAAGCTAAAGGGGCGGGGCGTAAGCAGAAGGATCAGTATCCTTGTTGATAACGCAGATTAGATAAGACCAATATGTAGCTCCTCATCAGGACAAGAGGTGCTTCCCCTTTCAGATATAAATGGACTGGATGAAGGGAGATGTTGCGATCTCAAGGATGATAACCCTGTTATAGGACATGAAGCCAGAAAGGGGTGTGGACCTTCGTCTTTTCCCTTCTACAGCTTGAGTATTATGAAGACTCAACGCCATGCAATGCACCGAACTATTAATTAGCACTTGTTTGCCTATTCACTGAAATCTCTGATTACAGTTATGGTTCCTTTTTATCTCTTGTATAGACAGCCAAATAGGATCCTATGTCTATTGAGGACCTGCAACTGCTTCTTCTCACTAACAAATATTGCCCCATGTCAGTTTGGTTTGGTGTAGTTAATCTAGACTGGACCAGATCTCACAAATGGAGCCCGAAAGACCAAACACAACCCTCCAGCCAGGGGTAGTCGGGATTTCTCAGTAAGCACGCCAAACAAAAACAAGCCCCGGAGTTACCTCCGCCAATATTGATTCTCCCAATATCAATAACTGGAAGCTAACAAGGCATCGTAGCTTGGGCCTCATTTCTCGTATTAAGGCGATTAGATCTGACAAAAGCAATAATCAGGCAAGACCGTCGGCAATCGACAGGGCTTGATATAGGTCATGTAAGCGGGCTGCGGAGCAATTCAATGAATGGGTCAGCAACAATTGCAAACCATCAAAAGGTCCTCCGTAAACGGCAAGTCAATTCTAATCGGGCTCATAGGCAAGCCGTGAGACGATTACTATGTAAAATTATTAGATCCGGAGGTATTCACGGTATTGCATAGGCTCTATAAATTGCTCTCTCCTTCCCTCCTTATTTAAGGACTCTCAACTCAAGTCACTCACTCCTATTATTTCCAATACCCATTGAAAAGGTCAATTGAGCATCATGAAAATCACCTCGCTGCTCACTGGTATCTTCGCGGCCCACTATGCCAGCGCAGAGCTCGTGTATCTAGTCAACTCTGTAAAGGGCAACGAGATCTCCAGCGGCATGGCATACTACGCCGATGGTCACTCTGCCGAAAACTTCGCCCAGCCTCAAGACTACACCGACGTCACCCATGGGTCTAATGTTCACTGGGAAGGAAAACCTGTAAAGGGTAAGTCTTATCTCATAGCATACTGCTTGGATATGGACGTGACTAACAAGAGCAAGGCAACTTCAGTAGCGGGGTTAGTTTCACCTCCAACATCTTCGCCGACGCTGCCAGTAAGGATCTTAACCAATGGGCCGGATCTGGAAACAATGGATTCAAGGACTTTACTTGTTGGAAGGCATATAGCAACAGGGGCAAGCCTTTCCTGCTGTATCGTGTAGATGGTTGGGAGGTCTACAGTATCTACTTTTGCCGAAATAATAAGTAGGGGAGATATCTATACCCAGTGTGGAAGAGTTACAGACGGGTAAGAGCTTGGTAGAGACCTCAGAAAACTCCACCTAGTGTCAAGTTATCTCCGCAAGACGTTAATACAATTACGCTGAGTTACCAAAACACCCCGAACCAACCTCTGCCTGCCCGTCGTCAGACATATCCACCGTCTAATCCTTTTCGTTGTCAATCGTTTCCGGAAACGATACCATAGGTGGAAAGTGGCGAGTGCAACGTGGAGATTACCAAGTGAAACATTGACACACGAGTGAAATAAGATGGCGCCGATATTGAATCACAATTCTACAGTAGAATGACCGAGACAATTACGACTGACTTGTCTTCATTTTATCGTTAGTGCAATATGGAATGTGTTTCGGATTCCTTGGCATGCAACAGCCTTTGAATACGAGGTGTCACATAGCATCGTGTGGGAAGGGGTCAGTGTGGCTGAAATGTATGCGGGGGAGGAATGCTGTTTGCTGTTGAGGTTTCGATCACCAAGAAGGGTCGCGGCCAAAGGGCGACGAACAGTCCTCATATAACAGTCATCTATCGCTGCAAACCTCATGCTCATCGAATTCTGACCATCCACCGTCGCTTCCACTACCAAGTCAGAATACGTTCATTCTCTTCTTCAAAATGTTGTCCAACACTGGATCTCTCGTGTTCGGCTTGATGCTCGGCGTTGCCCAGCTCACCAACGCCTCTCCCTCCGACTCTATGGTCGCTTTCACTTCTCCTATCTACCCAACTGCCACCGACTCCATCCCTCCCCCTCCTCCCGTCTCAACTGCCACTGGTATGCCCGCTCCCCCAGTCTCATCTGCCACTGGCACTGAGGTTGCTCCTCCAGTCTCTACCGACGACTGCCTTGCCAAGTGCCAGAAGGCTCGCGACGACTGCGGTGTTGCACCCGATGCCAACCAGGCTACCTGCGCTGCTGAGTTTGCTACCTGTGTCGGCTACTACCCCTACGACGACCAAGGCAACTTCGTCCCCCCCACAGCTTGCGCTTCTGCTACCACTCTCGCTTCTACCATGAAGCCTACCGAGACCGCCAAGTCTACCGAAGTCGAGAAGCCCACCAAGCCCATCGAGCCTACTGGTGGCGAGACCGAAAAGCCCGAGCCTACCGAGACCAATGTTATTGTCAACGGAGCTGGCCACGTCTCTGGTGGACAGGCCCTTGGTCTCCTTGGTGCTGTCGGCGTCGCTGCCCTCGCTTTCCTTTAAGCGCACACAATAGTCATTTGCCTGAGGTGGTGATTGTATCTGGGCTTGTATCCATTTATAATAAAACTAGATTAATAACAGTCAAAAATTCCTACACTGAACATTGTGTGCTCAAAAGTCTTCAGCAGTCAAACCGACATTCTTGACCTTGGCCAACCGAAGTAGTTCCCGACCAATTGCCAAATCCATGACACCCGTGCCAACACTCTTGTAAATGACAAACCCATCTTCAAGCCATTTGTTAAGATCATCTGGGTTTTCTGTATTCTTCGTCTGGAACAGTTGACCAATCTCGAGCATTTTATCCGTAGGTATTTCAGCCTTGACCAGCTCTCCAGCTTCTTGTAGACATCCGTCGCGGCTGTCAACAGCTAAGGACCCATGATATCCAACGTCAGCAAAAGGACCTGACGGGTCGATGACTGTCTTTAGTAGTTCGGGATCAATTTCTTGCATGTCAAGACGGTATGAGCCAATTGCTGCGAGGTAGCGAGTTTTGCTTCTAGCTTTCTCCGATGTGAGGTAAGATGCAGGAAACACAGGTTGAGTACTGGGGGTCGTGAAGAACAAGACATCCGCATCGACGACCAGAGACTCGAGGTCATTCTTGGAGTCAAAGACCTCCAAGTTGATGTGTGAAGGCCATGGAGATTGTTTGTTTCCCTTGAGCGACTCAACCAATTGCTGAGCTCTCTCAGCAGAACGGTTCACAATAGTCACTGACTTGATGTCCTTCTCCTTAAGCAGTAGTGCCAATCGGATATGCCACATAGCTTGTGCTCCTGCCCCAAACACAACAATGTTTTCTGTCTTGCGTCTGGATCGATAGGGAAGCATTGAGCCCAAAGCGGTTCGAAACGCGGTCAGAGCAGCTGCATTCAAAGTACCTATGGCATGGCCTCTAGCGTCGCATAACGTCAAAACACTCTTGAGACCGGCTTCTGAAGGCTTCAGTTTCTCGCTTGGAGTGATTCCGACGATCTTTACGCCGAGTAGCTGGTCGGTAGTTCCAGGCATAAATAGACTGACTTGTCCATCACGGTCGACAACAGCCCGATGAGGCTGGTATTGTTGCTCGTTGTTACATGAGTATTGGATGAGAGCTTTCTCCAAGGCATTGGCCAACTCAATGACCTCTGACGACGCTAGGGTGTCAAGAATATGGTTGACATTTTTGTCTGATAGAACTGTGAAAGACATTTTGAATAATGTGATATCTTGTTTCTGTAGGGAATGGCGTTGAGAGTGTCACAAATGATAACAGGGAGAGGAGTTGAGTTGGTGTTTTATCGAAGCCGGTATCGGCCATTATCGGCTTTATGAGCGGGGAGAGGCGCGGGGTTACCATACAACCAAAAATGGAAGGATTCCACGAGTGAATTGACTAGGTATGAGATAATGGATTCTGAATAGCTATCTTTCCGGCTGACTGCCAAGTGCTGATACTTCCGCCGAGTGACTGTAAACTCGGTCTTTCAGCTCATCCAAATGCCTTCTCAACGCTCTCGCGGCATCACCGTCCAGTAAAACTCCATTCTCAAGCGATCTACCCTGGTGAATCATGTTTCTTTGTGTCGGCCAAAAGTATGAAGTGCCTAGATATGCTAGATTTCCATCTGCAACTATAGCATTGTAATGTGGTCTCGGTTCCCAACAGCTTACGTCTTCGACGGTTATACGTTTCCCATAGCGTCGCATCGCCTGCGTGAGAATCGCAGCAGAAACCTTGTCTATCTCACGAACCTGAATCGTAACTACAACACCGTTTGCTGCGCGTCGAACAAGGAGCTTGGTGATCTGGGGGTCAACGAGTTCCGAGACACTAACTAGCAGATCCTGACGTGCTCCACGAAGTAAAGTGTGTTGTGCGCGACTGATATACGTCAGACTGGCGATGGGATCGTTGATTATTACTCCGAGACCGGCTAGTCGCGCTGTAAGTTGCGCCCGTCGTTCATCACTTGCACCACCCAAGATAGCATCCTGCATATATGCTTGGAAGGCCTTGGAGGCTATAGGTGGAAGCTCGATGGAGAAGTCGGCTTTGTCGATGGGCTTGGTGTCCATGATAGCTCCTGTACTAAACAGAGTTCGGTCATCAATTACTATCGCTTTAGCGTGGACGACCTGTCGCGTTGGTCCTTCAACTCCAGTAAACATGTCGACATAGATGCTATTTTCTTCAAGAAGCTTGATGTATTGTTGATACTCTGGCGTGTTCAGATATACCGTTGACCCTAGCTTTGACACGACGATTGACATCTTAGCATCAAGATTGTGTTTTCGAAAGTCGATGAGAGCATCCACCACAATCTTTGCATCGCCCTGGTCGCACATGGACAAGTTCAAAACCGTCAGTTGCCGTGGTCTTCTCTGATCATGATTTCGATGCATGTTGTCATGAATAAAATTCTCAAACACCTTGAGATGGTCCAGCCCATTAGTGAGGAGAGGCACTGGTCCTGAACTCAGAGTCCCAAACATGGGTGCTCGATCGCTAGTGAATCGCATAGCTTGGATAGCCTTGACACTCGTCGCCCTGCAGCGAAGTTTGTCTTCATAGTACAGAAAAGAATCAATATCAAAACAGCCGCCAAAGTCTGGGCAGTTGACTCGCGCGTAGGATGGTGCAATCTCGTGGGGTTCAACCGCGAACCTGGCGAGGCAGTCACTGCCACAAACATTTTCGGCTATCAACTGACCATTCTTTTTGACATCGATTCGAAAAGGCCCATAGAGTTCACGACCGCGCAGTCGTGCTTCAAACGGTCTTCCTGGTTCCAAGGGTTTGACAATTCTTCGGCGAGAGGCAATCGAGATCATGCGTACGATGCCATGTTTTATAGGACCCAAAGTATGCTCGCCCTTAGAGCTCGGAAAGACCACGCGTAAGTTGTCCGGCTCATCAACTTCTGTTCGCTCCTCTCCGGAGCTTGTCCATCTCTTCAGGTGAAGTATTCGACTAGGTTGTTTCGTGAAGTCTAGTGGATGAGGAATAGCTTCGAGTCGATCGACTTGCCATGCAATCCCGTCAAACACGACGACACGCTCCGGGAAACATTCGATACGAATATCGAGATGCAAAGCACGTTGGTCTCTCAAGACTAATTCCCGACAAGAGTTGACACCCACGAGATTATAGGCACTTCCATTGTGTTCAATAGGCTTGGGAGGCCTAGACCGCTCGCAACGAGATCGTGCGTAAATGGGTGAGAGTGGATCAAGAAACTTGACTTGTAATTTTGAGGGCCCTTCAGACTTGGCAAGGCACCCGAAGACGTCGGGCTTGGCTGCAGTCTCGCGTCTCATTGTTGCTGTAGCTGATGCTATTTTTACAATGTTGAGGGTTCTAGGGGCAATGCAGAGATATACCTATGAGGGGGTCTTCGACTACAAAGTAGGTAAGTGCTCGTGTGAGAACGAGCAACAAGCCACTCTGGTGTAATATTAAGGAGCGACCCGTGCTAATGTTTGGTTTACCAGACAGGGACTGACGTTCTTCTATCGTCTCACAAGGCAATAGATGTCTAAGAAATTGATTTACAAGACAATGACTGATGTCATGACTACTGAATAAGCACTAGCTGCGTTACTCAATAGCTGAAACTTTGTCTCTGTGCTGCTTTCTAAATGCCGGGGCTGTAGGGATTGAGTTCAATGTTTCTGCAACAAGCCGTCATGCTCAATATCCGTCGTTAATTCCAACATGTTCTTGGTCAGATCTGCGGCACCCCGCACGATGGCGTCGATGGCGTGTACCACTACTTTTGGAATGTCAAGCTTAGCTGTGTAGATCACGGAGGTCTAAGCTACCAGCTAAGGTCCCGATATTGACTAAAACGGGAGGATCGGGGCGCTTTTAAGCTCCCTTCATTTTGTTGGTAGTAAATGCATCATCAATACGGAGATAGATATGTTCGAGAGTTGTCCTTGAAGACTGACTATCATTACCTTACAGCATGGACGTCACCCGGGCTTGTGTTAAATGATCTCGCTTTTAATCAGACTAAATTGAGAAGTATAATACCTATACTAAAGTAAAGAGTCATAACCCTTTCCATAAGACTCAAAGTAAGAAGTGGTGAAAATCAACGTTCACTAAAAGTGGCACCGGGATAGGGTAGTTAAAGGCCTGTTTCCTGCCCATAAGCGCTATTTCCAGCGCCCTTTGGGGCTGTGCTCTGACTAATTACGGAGCTGTCGTTGCTGACATATCAGCTATCGATACCTAGTCTTCTGATCTCATTCTCTGAACTTTAGTCCTTCTCCTCAATCAGCGGACAACAAGACATGTTAACGCAGACGCGACTCAACATCTCGCCCTCGGGTCAACTCATCTTCTACAGACCCAATACTCTGCCAAACTATCCTTTCTTGGATCGTCCAATCCCATGGCCCAAGCTCTGCTGCCATAATGACACATCGATCCTCAAAGCTTCAGAGCTAAATGCAAGGGTCCCTCTTCTTCAGCTCCCGGATGAGCTTTTACAACCAATCCTCCGCTCTGTTGTGAAGAAGCCATTGGAGTTTTCATTGGGCCATGATGCATATTGGGATGCTTACTGGCACTTACTCGAAGAAGATGATGTACCCAATTGGGGACCGGAAAGAGGTTGGGCTCGGTATGCAGCCGCGTATAACCTCATCTGGACATGCAAGAGGTTTCATGCACTAGCCCTTCCTTTACTGTACGGAGATGTGTCGATTGATATTTCGATCCATTGGATTGATTGCCCGCCCCAAGCAAAACTCTTCCGCGAAGAGATTCTACGGCGTCCGTTACTGCAGAATTACATAAAGCACCTGGCAATAGGTAGACAGTCACCAAACAGTGAGATGCTTAAGATAGCATGCACACTTCCACGGCTTGACAAGCTATCACTAGACATGGTGCAAGAAGAGGAAGAACCTGATATTTCATTGATCAAACCAACCAAGGAAAGTGTTCCAAATATGACAGAAAGCACTACGCCACTAACATGCAGAACAGGACCAAGAGAAATCAGCAAGCTTTACTAAACTCCAATTTCACGGTTTGCATGCCCGACCACAATCTATAAAGCAGTTCCTTCAATGGCCCAAAGAACTTCATGAGCTCTTTATAACTAATGGAGATTTCTGGGACAATAATGAAATAAAAGCCGCGTTTCGATGGAACCACAACTGTCTTGCCGACGCCCTATCTTCCCAGAAGGATCATATCCGAGTCCTTGATATCGGCTGGTTGGGCCATGATCGGGATCAAAATGCCTTCCCAGTCTCTAACTTTCCAAATCTACACACCATGACCATATGCATAGCATATAAACATCCGAATGAAGAAGCATGTCGGAATTGGTTGACTCCCTCTTTGCAAACACTTATTCTCAATCTGCATACCAGTGGCCAATGCGGTCCTTCTTCTCATAATTGCATGAGCAAAGCTAATTCTCATGCCATTGCTGAGTGGGCGAGGATGGCGAGGAGATGGGTAGACGAAACACGCAACCTGGGGCTGAGAGAAATCTGCATACGTGCATATAGTAGCGGAGATGATGCTTGGCAAAATGAAGATGAAGTAAGTTGTATGCACGGGAGTTATGCTGAGGAGATGAAGGAGAACCTTCGTCAGTGCCTGAAATACATTGATGAGCAAGGGTTTAAATCATTCTGGATTGGTTATAGTGGGAGGAGATATACGTCTGAGACGATGGAGGCAATGTGTAAGTGTGAGAAGAAGCATAAACCCAGAGCATGAATACTATTGTAGAGACGGAGTGGGGGATGTCAAGAAGGTATTGACGATTGCGATGGAAGTAAAATTTTGACTAGCTTTTTTTTTGAAGTGTGTTTAGCTTGAGAATATGCCTAAAGCTTGCAGAATTGACCAAACTGAATCTGTTATGAGTTATGTACTAAACGAAGAATTACATAACTGGCCGCAGTGCTGGCCGCCCTACCTACACGATGGAGCTGCTTCGCGGAAGGATGATCCGCAAAGGGTTTCGAGTCCCACCTCACGAAGAGCGAGTTCTAGTTGTGGTAGGAAAAAAATGTAGTATATAATCTGAAAAAGCTCTAGTCATGATACATACGACCAAAGCTCGTAGAAAATACGGGATCCCGTCCGCTCTCCCATAGTCAAGCTGCGAAGCGCTGGATTAGTAGTTGGGTCGGTGACGACCAGCGAATCCCCGGTGTTGTATGTTTTTTGCCAGTCTTGACTAGCTGTATGTATGTAAATGGTTCCTTTTTTTAATCTCAAATGATTTCAACATTTCGTGTGGTGCGGTTCCCGTCCAACAGAGTTTCTAACTATGTAATAAGCTTTAGTTTATGACCATGGGTGACAATTTTCACTTCAATTGTCATAACAACTTCCACTTTATTGCCCTGCACGGTACAAGAAAGTAGGTACATTTCATTTCTCTTCAAGCTCTCGATTCTTCTTTCCTTCACTCTTGTGTTGCGGCTCGCCTTTCTTTGGCTCGTTCTTGGATCCAGCTTCATTTTCATAGTCACCGCCTTGCTTCTCGTATTCCTTTGCGAGCTTCGAAGCCTTGGTACAATATCAGCAACAATCACAAAGACATTGAACCTAAATCAGTAAGAAATCTTCATACTTTCCACGCTGACCATTGGCCTTCGCCGCCACCACTCTTGTTAGGCTCTTGCTTGATCTCTTCCTTCAATTTCTCTCGGAACTCAGGGTCGGTAGGTTCTCCCTTAGATGAAGGCATTTTGGTGTTTGTGTCGTTCTTGTCGGATGTTTGACAAATAACTGTCGATTTCGCAGAAGACTTTGCAGATTTATGTTACTGACTCTCTGTGTTACTTTTCCCCACATCAGGTACTGCTGGTTCCTATCTATGACGCTTGCTCGACTACGAGACAAATAACATGCCTAGGTACGATAGTCCACATTTTAACGTAGCTCAACAGCCAATAGAAGCTTTGTAACTGAACCGACAAGCTCTTTCAACTATTACCTGTCAGACACTATCATCAACGGCACTGTCTGTCTGCACTTTGTAGATTAATTTTAGATTTTCTCATCTAATTATACATGCCCAGTTGCCCTGTCAGGCATTTTCTTGTTGGGAAAGTGAGTTATTGAGAAACTTGATTTCGGATTTTGAGACTTTGATCCATCCTTTCATGGAAATTTAAAGTAAATCGAGAAGCTCTGGCTCTGGCTCAAATAGAGTACAGAAAAACATAAATAAGAGTACACATGCCCTGATCATTGTCTAGCATATAGTACTGAACTGTCTCATAATCTGTGTAGCCGCAATCATTATTCCGTATATCGTAGAGCAGATCCCCAACGTGGAGTCCTGTCACATTACAAATTGCCTTTTTGTAAAGGACATCGGAGATAAATATTATTTTCTATACGGTCTATCTTCCCGTAGACGTATTGCTAAAACCTTGTACGAGCAAAAAAGCCTAATCTTATCACAAGTCAAAAAAGTTTTCGGCTCAAGATCTGAGTATATAAACACGCAATCCCTGTACAATTCTGTCGACCTGGACCAACACCAAACAGTTTATCGCTCCTCTTCTGACGCTTGAAGAATTCACTTCCTACCACAATCCTCCCATCACACACCCACAAAGCCACGCAATTTCGACCTTCCAGCATGGATTCCTTCTCACGGTTACCGTCGAAAATCCGAACATACATCATCGTTCATGTTGAGTCATATTCCGCTATCATGAAGCTTATCCGCGCATCCCCCACGATGCTATGGCAGAATACAACAGACCGCTACAGTATCGCACGAGATATCCGATGCTGTCGCCCCTCCTAGTATGAAAGGTGTCTACGTTCGAACGGCTCCTTTCAGGTCTCTTATACAGGATGACGGTGAAAAGGACTGGGACGCTACATCGTGTTCCACGTGCTACCTTTCTGTCCTCTACACATCCCTCTTCAATGGCGCGGCATGGGTTCAAACAAAACAAAGTTTTGAAAACGTCAATAAGCAAACTTCCACCCGATCTCCTCTTCCGACTCGGCCCTCATTAGATGTCACCACAAACACCAACAGTCTAGAGCGAGGACCATCTCTCGGGTTTCCGGAATGCGTCTGTGTTAACGCTAAACTTTGTCCTCCTGGTTTGCCCCCTTTATCAATCCCTTACAAATCCCCTATCTTCAGCTTCAGCGACCTTAGCTTCACGCTGATATCGGCCAATCGAACTGGGGAGAAGCCAAATTCTGAAGGATACCTCGAAACCCAAAGTCTCAGAGTTAGCCGTCTCTCAGATAATATGGCCTTCCTTACGGGGGTACTCAAATACCCTTATACTGCTCGGTTACGTCCCAATACAACTTTACAAGTATTTACCGGCAGGATGGATACACCTGAACAGATGCCGATATCAGTATCTTGCTCTATTAAAGCCGAGTATCTACTCGAAGAGATCTGCTTACAAAGAGCATTCGGTATGTTTGAAGACGGAAGGTTTTATCCGGGCGGCAAATCCATCATTCCAAGCCTGAAGAATCTTCAGAGACTAGCAGATGATACATGGCTATCATTTGGCGTCAGCAAAGACGGGCGCAACTTCGATATTCAGAAATATCCGGGGTGGTTTTGGTGAACTCTCGAAAATGATACCCAGTCAACGGCGTGGGGTGCCGACAGATGTTCTGCTGGGTATATGCGGTTCAGTCTAAGCTGCTATAGACATCTGGTTATCCTCCCACTAACCCCTGATCACTTTACAATACTAGGTTTGAGTGGCGTCAAGTATGGTCAGTTTTACTACCGAGGCGACTTAATTGCGTCGTAGGGGATTGAAAGAGTCGAGATTGGAGTCTGAGTGTAAAGTATCAAAGTCGGAGGGGCTCCCACATTACTTCTGTGGAGCGTGATTCAGGCAGTTCGTAATCCTGCGTGTGGTTCTCTGGCTGGACCGATTCTCTGAGAGATACCCATACTAGTGGGTAGCAGAACAATGGCCTCCTAGTCTTAAGGTAAAAGAATAAGTAGTCTAAAAACTATAGTCTAAGGAGTATAAAGTGGCCTACTAATTTCGTCTCATTTGCTTCCAGCGGTCAATTTTTCTGATGCCTCAAGGCCATATACTCTGGTTCTAGTAACAAAGTAGCCAAAGCAGATGAGGTCGTCGTCCGATGCAAATATGCACCAAGATTAAAATAAAAAATGAATAATTCAATAACTGTTACACTTCTCAGCCACATCTAAGGATAGAGATTCGGCTCAGTTTATTCAAATAAAGAGGTGTCTCTTGGTCTGGCTCATGCTTTGAAAGTTTAATCGTGAAGGAGTAAGTCTCGGACCCTGTTTTGCCAACAAAGCTCACTGAACTTTGAGGCACCAAAGCTATTGCCAAAGTTATTTGCATATGCTAACGCACGGGGATGGCAAGATGAACGCGTTTATTCACAAATATTTTCAAGTATCATCTTCACTAGCAGGGCCTGTTTCAACCTAATAGATCAATTAAATAACTAAAGTATTATGGTTTTTTTTTTTTTTTTCAAGACACGATTCCCGTCTTTGATGCAGGAGTTTCTAACAGCAGTATCAACTCCAGCTAAGAAGAAAAGATCGTTCAAGCCCCTTAAAAAGTGGCAGTGTTTCCCCTGGCACGTCGGCCAGCTGGTGCTCGGGCCATGAGATTGCTCTGTTCACTGTTGCCACCCTGACACTGTTGGGTAGTGGAAGGTGTAACACAAACATTCAAGTTACAGCATGTGTTGGAGACACATCTCTGGCCAAATGTGCAATCATTCGAAGAGGTACATTGTTCGGTATTAGGGCAGTTGAAATTGGGAAGGCAGATACTGTCACCCTCAGTAGTCCCGAAACAGATGCAGTTCTCGTTGGAGTCACAGTAAGTGATGGTTCCATCGCTGCATTGAAAGCCAGAGTTGCATGATGCGGGACAGGTGGCGGAGGCGGCGTCCGTAGTAGTTGTTGTGGTAGTTGTTGTAGTAGAGTCAGTCTCCGTAGTTGTTGTGGTAGTTGTAGTAGAGTCTGTCTCTGTAGTTGTGGTGGAATCCGTCTCGGTAGTTGTTGTGGGTTCAGTAGTAGTCTCAGTCGTTGTGGTTGTAGTGGAGTCCGTCTCAGTTGTTGTAGTAGGTTCAGTAGTAGTCTCAGTCGTTGTAGTAGGTTCAGTAGTTGTAGTAGTCTCAGTAGTTGTTGTAGGTTCAAACTCAGTTTCAGTAGTTGTGGTAGAGTCCGTCTCGGTAGTTGTGGTAGGTTCAGTACTCGTAGTTGGCTCAGTGGTTGTGGTGGTCTCAGTCTCGGCAGGTTCAGTAGTCGTGGTGGTAGTAGTCTGCTTGATAAAAACAGTGTCGGTGGTGGTGGTGGTAGGCTCGCATTCCTCGCTGGTGCAAGAAGTAGGCTTGTCAGGGGCAAGGCAGTAGCAGGCATTCACAAAATCAACAATGCCACGGCAGATATACTTGTACTGCTTAGGGATCTTGCTGAGGTATCGAGCAGACCTGTGGAAGGACAATGTGTTGGTAGAAATAACAAAGTATGGGGCTATCGATGGTAAACTTACCCAGACTCGATCATGGAGAGATAGTGATAGCAGTCCTCCTCGTAGCCATCAATCGCCCTCATCTCTTCCGCGCACGTGTCGGAGCAATCGTACTTTTTGCTTTTGCCATGGGCTTCAGCGAGGCTGAAAGACATAGTGGCCATGGCGGCCATGAGAAGCTTGAAGGAGACCATTTTGTGACCGGATTGGCAAACTTGCAAGAAGATGATTGAAGAAGAGCAAAAGGGCCACAATCTTCTGAAGAGGGCTATATTTATAAACGCGAGGGATGCACATGGCGGTCTCAAGAGAGGGGATAATTAACTTTCAGCGGCGATCAACGAAGCACATTCACAGGCTTTCATTTATCAAGCTTCAAGCTCCCCCAAAATCAGACATCATATCGTATGATTACTCCTCTCCGTGTATCTTGGGCCATTTAGATCTCTTGTTCGGCCTGTAGTTATCAAGCCATTGGTCTCGGCTCAAAGCGATTCGGGTTGATGAATGGACTAAATGACACAAAATCACTCAGACCTCACGGGTATTCCATGAATAAGATTACTAGATTACACGGTCTTATAGGTCAAGGAAAGCCGCTTTTGTAGTAATTGGCAAATTGTTGCTATCCAACCTTGACTCCACAATATGCTCTCTGTCTGCCTCGTCGCATCATACCAATGCCGTGTCAAAGGATAAAAAGCAAGATGATTAGGGTGGTACGACTCGGGGCTCATTCATGATCATAGATACATGTTGATGGCCAATATGCCTGGCACGTGAGAGAAGTCAAACCTTGGTGCCATACGACCTTGTAGGAATTCCCAACTCCCATCCGTAGTCGGGTCTTCGGTCGGAATTTTCCCCCGACTTTGGCTAGCTTAGCTACGACCTTTTGTAAATAACTGTTGGATGAAACAGTTCTCACTTGTAGACTGTTGATCTCAACGCTTGGGCCCGCGGATTTGGCACACAATGACCAACGTTTCTCAAAGACGACGGATGAATTCAGGACCCGGCATTATATGATCCGAACAGCCATGGAATTGTTGCTTTTTCTTGTACATGACACGGGAAGGACAGGGATTTGAGACACAGTACGGTATATTTAGTGGACATTCTTCCTGGTTGTAGATCCACTATTAAGTTGGGCGATAGCCTAAATTCCGAATCGGCTCGGGTCTTATATAATTTTCGGCATGTAAATGTGTTGAATGACGACGATGTCGCGTTTCAAAATTCCATTTTCGACGTGTTACTGTGTAGCATGACAACTATATAAGTAGCAGTGATCCAGTTCCAACAGTCACCACAAACTCCATCATCCCTTCCAACTCAACGAAATAACACAAACCACTCATCATGACTCCTCTTCAATTCGGTATTCTTATCTATGACTTCCAAGCAGTCGATGTTGTCGGCCCCATGGACGTCATCAACTCGTGCAGCAAGAGCGCTATGGAACTCTGTTCTTCCTTAATGAAAATTGAAGAAGAAGTAATTTCTCGCGCTCAAGATTTCGTCTTCCACCACATTGGTGTCACTCGTGACCCTGTTACGCTCACATACGGCGCCTTGGCCATCAAGCCCTCCACCACTGTGGAAGAATGCCCTGAACTCGACATCCTCCTCCTGGGGGGGCCTGATCCCTCCAAGTTTGAACTGCACCCCAAGTTTGCGGACTTTATTCGACAACATGTGGCAGCTGGGAAGTTGCTTTTCACCACCTGCACCGGAGCCGCGGTCGCTGCAGCGGCGGGTGTTCTCGATGGCAAGAATGCCACCGTCAACCACGGCGCCATTCCCTTTTTGAAACCAATGTTTCCCAACGTCAATTGGACCGATGAGAAGAAATGGATTGTCGATGGAAATATCTGGACTTCGGGCGGTGCTGTTGCTGGAATGGATATGTTTGCCCATTGGGTCAAGGAGAACTATGGACTTGATGTGCTCACCGTTGGTTCATCAATGTTGGACTATGAGCCCAGAGACGTTGATGGCATTCTCAACGTCATTCCAAAGCGATTTTCTGAAGATGGCAAGCAACTTCCTACTCATGTATTTGAATAGATAGAAAAGTGTTGGATAGGCGATCGTTGTTACAGTAGCGCAATCAAGAAGTAGTGGTTTCGCTGTTTACAACACCAATGTTGCTTGAGTACTCGAAACGAGAACAATATTGCAGGATTCAGAAATTGATAACCGAACAAATCGCGGCACTCCTGTAGCGACATGATATCACATGATCGTCCCATCTCGTGCTACCGAGATACAGCTACATGGCTGGGAGACAAGTTGATACAGGGTAACACCCCTTGGACCCAAAACATGGCTTGGGATCAACTGCCGGTGGCCTGAGAAGATGTGTGAACCCTATTCTTGACGGTCCCGAGCTTGACTCCGAGACATACGAGTAATTGTAGGAAGGCCAATGCAAGATGTGTTGCTCTCTCGATCTAGCTTCATTGACGTAATTGACCCTTGGTGGTCAATCACATGTCGCGCCAACTTAACCAAGACAGGTCGTCTTCAATCGAACAGACACGTTAAGAAGGGAACAATGGATTGCAAAATTGTTTTAATAATTATTATTTTTTCTTGTTTCCATTACTGCCTCGTCATACTCTTTCCGACCGTGGATTGACACAGGCTGTCCTGTTACAACGTTGTCGAAAAAGCCTCACCAATCTATGTACATCCAAAGCGTATTAGGAAGATTGTAATGTAACTTGAAGTAAAAGAGCCATTAGAGCCATTGTGCATGGACTTGGTAGATAAAACAGCAACACAAAAGTCCAGAAAATTAAATGACTGATTAGAAGTAACGCACAAAAAAAGGCCGTCCCATTCATATTTTCCCCTCCCCGCCCCGTGTTCAAATCATTATCGCATAAATTCATAACCTTTAACCCTTTTTGCGGCGTCAATTGCTCTTGTTGAACAAGCTCATTCGCAGCATGCCGCTCTTCTTGGGCTTCTGGTGGAATGAACTCTGCTGGCTCATGGGTCGCTGGTCGAAGCTGTCGAGGCTGTCCATGCGCTGCATCGGAGGGGGCTGGCGAACTGCGGGGGCGGTTGCCATGGGGGCTGGGGGAGCTTCCTTGACGAGTTCCCCTCGCAGAGCGCGACCGACGTCCTCATGCTGACGCTCGTACTCGTCGTGCTTGGTCTTAGCTTCAATGAAGCGATCTTCGGCCGCGCGACGTCGTTCTTGGAGGGCACGAAGCTCCTCATCGAGCTGGGCCATTTCGGTTTGGGCTTCATGCATGAGGTGATCGTACTCGTGGATCTTCTTCTCGAGGGGTTGGAGGACGCTCTTTTGGATGCTGGGGCTTTGGAGACGACTGATGTCGTGGCCAGGGACGCCCAATCGGTCTGGTGAAATTGCGCGATGCTGGTGCTGGTGCTGATGTTGGTGCTCAGGGCCCATGGGTTGAGACATGCGGCTCTGTTGGGTGTTGGGGCCCGGTCGGGTAGGGGATTCACCGTGGGATTGACCAGAGTCGGAGGTTCGACGCGACTGACGCCTGTAGCGACCAGCCTCGCCTCTAGGGCCGTTGGGTTGTTGACCGTCCATTGAACCAGGACCGTTGTATGTAGCAGGCATGGGTTGACCTTGACCTTGTGCTTGGGGAGGTCGACCGTTGATGTTGATGTTGGGGTTGACTTGTTGACCTGGAGGCTGTCTTCGTTGCCCTGCGTTTCGCGGGACCTGACCAACCGGAACGACGCGCTATTAGTGAGCAAAGTTAATTTTATTTTTACTTCCACTTTCACTTTCAGGGGAACAGAAGAAAAAAAGCGGAATAAAGATGTTGCCCGGAATTGTTTCCCAGCTAGAACTCTTTTTTCTCTAGTGTCGCAGGGGAAAGAGAAGAGAGAGAGAGAGACTCACCTGTTGCTGCTGCTGTGCTTGTGCAAGCATGGCGTCCTGCAATGCCACGTCAGAAGTGGGAGAGCGCATCTCGGAGCCCTCCTCACTCTGGAAGCGATAATCGTCGACGAGCTGGTCGGGAGATTGAGTGCGTCTGTATCGGGGACTCTGACCGTTTCGAGCAGCACGAGCTGCTTCTCGAGCGTCGCGGGCGTTGTTTCGAGGTTCGAAGCCGGAGCCTGGGTCTTCGAGGCTGTACCTTGGCTGGTGAGGAGCCGCCATTGTTGCCATGTCCATTTTGATTGAGATCGTGTAGCTGTCGAATGCGGGGTGAGAAAAGCGGTGATGGAGTATTGATTGATGGTGAGATTTGAGAATAATTTGTCTTAGCGCGGGACAAAAGAGAATGAGAGACAAGAAATGAGTTAAGGAATGGGAGAGAGAAATGACCAGCGATTATCTCCGGGACTGATTCCTATTTTAGACACAGGGTTAGAAACAGAAACGCGATGGCTGGAAATGGGAGGTTGGTTTATCTTATTGTCTGTCTCTTTTCTTTTTTATCTCGCGGTTGGGATCTACTGTTCCGGACCAGGTCAGGCCAGGGAGGCTAGGCTAGGCTAGTAGTGAGCTACTGCTGCCCAGCACTGACTTGGCAGATTTGGTCCACTGTAGATAATCCATGCCCAATTAATGTTCAGTGGTAATTGTCAATTGACGCCAATTGAATCAATATCCAAGCTAAAGATGCATTCAACTGGATTAAATATTCTACACGTCTTTCTCGTATGGAGACTATTGAGACAAGACATGTGCGGCTCCTTGCATTGGTGTCTCTACTTGGCGTTCAGCGATGGTGTTGCAGATAAACTTGATGGTAGTACTGGGGGTGGCTGGGCAAATGGGATAAATCAGGTTATTCTTATGCTGCCAGGGAATTGTAAAAAAGATGAAACGTCGCTTGTCTTTAATCTATTAACCAGCCGTTGACTTTATTTTTTGGGTGATAATTAAAGATGTTGGTCTCTTGTCTTGTCTTGTCTTGTCCAATGCACGCACTCAAGGTTACACGTCACTACACTGCGTAACACAGTGTAACACTCGCTTGATGCGCGTCGCGTCTAAACATGCCATTTTCTGTATTTGATCGATCGAGACACAAAGTAATGTTTGTGTGTATGTTGCTGTTACTGTAGATTTTGAGAAAGAGTCAATTGATTGCGCTGTTGAGTCTCATTAAATTAGTAGACAATAGGGCTTATTTACTTCCGCCCCTACAATACGCAAGCGCAGAGTTTTTCCACGTCAAGAGCGAAGCGAAGAAGCGGCCCGTCCCATGACATTCCATTCTTCCTTCATTCGCTTCACCGCCAGACCCTGACTGACTCAGATTTGCATCCCAAAAACACTGCCCAATCTTTATCCAGTACAGGGTAGATACTGGTCTTGGGCCTCAATCAACCATCATGACCCAGGATGCGACCGTGCAAAGCCTGCTCACCGTCATAATCACGACATCCCCAACACCATCAGCACCTTCCACAGAACTTCTATCCACGATTCTAGACTCTTTCGATCGACACTGTCCAGAACTGACAAAATGCAACGTCATCGTCGTGTTTGATGGGTTCGATCAGATCGTTCCAACAGCGCGATTAAAAAAAGGACAAGTCACTCCCGAGCAAGCAGCTGCATTCGCTGCTTACAAGAAAAATGTCAAAGATTTGATACTCAAAGAATACCATCACAACCCTGTCAATGTCGCTTTCACAGAAAAGACTGCTATAGCAGAGTATGGCAGCCCAAAACACGAGAATGCAGTCAACTACTCCACCTCACAAACAATTGACCAACGAGTCACTTTTATAGAATCATCAAGACGGTTGGGGTTCGGCCTGGCAGTCAGATCAGCCCTGAGAATCACTCATACTCCTTATGTCTGGGTCCAGCAACATGACTGGGCCATAACAGCAGATCTCCCCATCCAACCTCTTCTCCAAATCATGCAAACACACGAATTAGATTCAGAAGCCCCCATCAAGTACGTCTGTCTAGCTGCAGTCCGCATGCTCTCATACGCCACCTCCGCCATCGTGTCAGAGTTCCCCAGCCTCCGTGATACGTCTTTGGCTCTCACCCGCGACTACGAAGCGCCATCACATACTGGCGTCAAAATACCACTGACGCCAATGTATTTCTGGCACGACAAGCCACATCTTGCATCGGTGGCACATTATCTGGAGCGCGTCTTCCCGACGCGTCTTGCCATGCTGAGGGGAGATTTCATCGAGGACAAGATTGGGCAGCGAGCTCGTGCTCAAATGAAAGATGGACTGGTGAGTATAGTCATGATAGCTAAGTCCAGACACGACTAATCTGCTGTAGTGGAAGAAATGGGCGACATGGCTTTACTACCCGGACAATGGAAAGACACTATGCTTGCGGCATCTCAAGGGACGGACTTGGGAGGGCACAACGCGTCAAGCTGATAGAGCTGCCATGTGGCGTAAGAAGAACGAAGCGGGAAGGATAATAGAGACAGAAGAGTTGCATGATGCAGAGAAGAGTCATGATATATCCCTGTTCTCGGACGAAGAGGAGAGTGTCTCATGACCCAACCAAGGTAGTAGTCATGAGTCTATAGGTAATACCAGAAGCGAAGAGCAGAGTCCCAGAGATGGAATCACAGACTCAAGTTCCAAGAGCTTGAAGCATTCGGCTTGTTGTACGTACACTCAAGATCGAGCTACACAACTGTGATACTCACCAAGTGAGGACATGTCCAACATCTGAAGAGTGATTGAAACCCAGGCGTTACGGGTACTGGTGCAATACAACGACAACCATTTATCATATCAAGTTGGAATTCCATCAAAGCTCAGGTAAGACAGTTGGTAGCCGACGGGCTCGGTTATCTAATCTCACCCAGGAACATCTCCGCATCGATCTTGGTCGCGACATGACGTCAGACAAGATCTACCCGCTTTCATCTGGATAAATGAAACCTGATAGTCTGCTTTATGAAGAAATAAGTCCAATTAGAACATTCTAAAGCCATGTTTGGCTGCCGGATCATTTGCCGACTAGAATGCGGGGTGCATATTCACCCCTCACATTGAGTCGATCGCCATTCCCTACGACCACCACCTCGGCGAACTGCTAGATCGACTTGGCGATCTGTGGCACAGGTTGATTATAAGAATGGACGAGAGAAGGCAAAAACACATGTCACTTGGTTGAAAAGTCATATCCATTCATACCGCCAACATGAGACTCATCACTTCATTTGTCCTCGCTTGCAATGCAGTCCTCGGAGCATCCCAGTTGATGGGTACTCCCTCATACGAGTTCCTCTACACCGTCAACGCAACACTCGGCGAACGTTGGCAAATCGGCGACTACCATCAAGGAAGCCGTGTTGTGATTCCCATCACGGGCGGAACATTCAAGGGTCCTCGCATGTCGGGAACTGTGTCCAATCTCGGCGCCGACTGGGGTTTGACGGATACCAAGGGCATCTTCTTCCCCGACACCCGATACAACCTCAGAACGGATGATGGTGTCGATATTTATATCCAGACTCAGGGACCTACGCAGCCTGATGGACGTACCTTGCTGAGGGGAACGTTCCAGGCCGGACACCCGGATTATGAGTGGCTGAACTACATCCTTGCCGTTGGCGTTTTGCAGAGACCACCTGCGGAGTCCAAGGGCAAGTATGTTGTCATTGATATGTGGCAGGTTAGTTGTTCCTCTTGGTAAAGCACTTAATAGATCCGAAATTGATCCGAATATTATAGATGGTCTTACCCGACTGTAATGGGGCATGCTGAGGCGAGATGGACGGTAGTCTGGCTGGGATGCAGGAACTTGACTCATTGGGGTCAATAGGCACCGTCTGAAAGATCAAGGGTCAGGTTGGAATAAGGCCGTCCCCGTTAGAATAAAGCCGATATAAAAGGGCTGAATGACATTCTAAATTACGCCGTCTTATGACAACCCTGCGGCATAAATGGTGTGCCTATAACGGGATGGTAATAAGCCCAGAGGAAAAATCTACTTAGCTTGTCAGGGATATTAGACTTTACATCAACGGGTATCGGACAAAAAGAGTTTAGGCCTTCCTACTTCAGCAGGTTATCCCCGGTCATTTACAACGGGAATACAAATATTAAACGAATTACCGATCTTGACAACATGATTTTGAGTTTACTGCCGCGGGAAGAACGTGTCGTGCCGTGACTTGATCACAAATTGGACGCACAGGTCAAGAGAGGCCTCGCAAACAATGCAATGCCGTTGAAAGAAGCCGACTAGGTAGGTATTGCGTAGCGTTCGGGGCTAGGGCTGCTACCCCAGTTTCTTAGCTCAATCTGTTGAACAGTAGTAAAGTCAATTACGAACAAAGCGAAAAAGTCAATCGATGTTGATAAGGCGAACGGGCGTATCTGATCAGAAATGATCTCATATCTAAAACTCAGTCTTTAGATAAATTATTCCGATAATCTCTTCTAGAAACAACAGGATCACGACGTGTTTCTGTTTCTGTCACTTCGCAAGAATGCCCCCAATTAACTAAAATCCCCCGTCAATGCACCCCGGATCTAATTCCAAGTCTAGCAAGCCGAGGTTTCAGAAGTCTCCTCTTTCTTTCCCCTCCCTCACGCAACAACTGCCGCCCTACCGGGAGTAGTAGTCCTCGCTTATTGCCCACGGGGGAAAAGATCACCAGACTTCATTTGGCCGAATCCCCTGCATGAACCAAGGGTTGGCCGATGGTAAACATTTATGCGGTGTCGTGTATATAATTCAACATGTGGCATCTCCTTTCTATTCTGGGGCAGGCTTCTCTTGTGTTGTCTCTGTCGAATACTTGTGCCTGTCCACTAGAGAATAATAACGACAACATGCGCGCCAATTCGTTGATGCCGAGCCTTGTCTCAGGGCTGGCCGTTTGTGCCGCAGCTGCTCCTGAGAAGGGGAAGGACGACTTTGCTGCCAAGTGCGCCGGCTTCAAAACTTCACTAAAACTTCCCAACACCAAGGTCTGGTTCACCGAACATGTGGCCGCCGGTGGAAACATCACCTTTCCCGACAACCACCCAACATGTAACCCCAAGAGCCAGGTCGTCGATGTTGAGATCTGCCGTGTAGCCATGCACGTCACAACAGGTCCCACTTCCAACTTGACCCTTGAAGCTTGGCTACCTTCAAACTGGACCGGAAGATTCTTGAGCACCGGAAACGGTGGTATGGCTGGATGCATTCAGTATGGAGATGTCGCATACGGTGCTGGATTCGGATTCGCTACCGTTGGCGCAAACAATGGTCACAACGGAACATCAGCCGCGCCCATGGAGGGTAACTCTGGCGTCGTGGAGGACTACGTCTATCGCTCGGTCCACACAGGTACCGTTCTTGGAAAGGACATCGCCAAGCAGTTCTACGGCAAGAAGCACAAGAAGTCTTATTACCTTGGCTGCTCAACTGGTGGACGACAGGGATGGAAGGAGGCGCAAAGCTTCCCTGATGACTTTGACGGTATCGTGGCTGGTGCTCCTGCGATGCGCTTCAACGGGCTTCAGTCCCGCTCCGGAAGCTTCTGGGGTATCACTGGTCCTCCCGGAGCCCCGACTCATCTCAGCCCAGAGGAGTGGACTATGGTTCATAAGAGTGTTCTTGTCCAATGCGATGAGCCTCTTGACGGCGTCAACGATGGTATTCTCGAGGACCCCAACTTGTGTCAATACCGCCCCGAAGTTCTCGTCTGTACCAAGGGTCAGACTAAGAACTGCCTGACTGCCCCTAAGATTGAGACTGTCCGAAAGGTCTTCTCGCCTCTTTACGGCAACAACGGAACCTACATCTACCCCCGAATCCCCCCTGGTGCTGATCAAGGCTTTGGCTTTGCCATTGGAGAGATGCCTTTCCCTTACTCCACCGAATGGTTCCAGTATGTTATCTGGAACGACACCAACTGGAAACCAGAACAAATCGGACCCAACGACTACGAGAAGGCCTCTGAGGTGAACCCCTTCAACGTCGAGACCTGGGAGGGTGACTTGTCCAAGTTCCGCGCCCGAGGCTCCAAGATCATCCACTGGCACGGTCTCCAGGACGGTCTCATCAGCTCCGACAACTCTATGGAGTACTACGACCATGTGTCTCGCACTATGGGCCTGAACAGTACCGAGCTTGACAAGTTTTACCGCTACTTCCGTGTCAGTGGTTGCGGTCACTGCTCTGGCGGCGATGGCGCTGCTCGCATCGGAAACAACCTTGCCAACCTGGGCGGAAAGGACGCGAAGAACAACGTCCTCCTGGCTCTTATCAAGTGGGTTGAAGAAGGTGTCGCTCCTGATACTATCACTGGCCAGCGCTTTGCTAAGGGGGCTCCCGACGGCAAACTCGAGTACGAGCGCAGACACTGTCGCTACCCGTACCGCAATGTCTGGGACCGTAAGGGAGACCCTAAGAACCCCGACAGCTGGAAGTGTCAGTGAGATGTAGGCGTGTTGATTAAGGAGGCATTTATTATATAAGATTTATTTCATAGTACACATATAGGAAGATCGTCGTAAATAAGATGACAGTTTTTACATATCATTTTAGTGGGTAGCAGACACGTTGACCTTGAAGCTTTAGGCCATAAGAATAAATAGCCCAAGAAGTATAGTCTAAGTAGCATAAAGTGACCTACTAATTTCGTCTCTTATGCTTCCGCGGTCAATGTTTCTAATGCCCTAAGGTCACTCAACACTAGAACTACAGTGCTCTTGCTGAGACCGATGCCGTTTTCAGAGCCAAAGATCCCATCGCCAGCCAGGCCGAATTTTATCGCAATGCCATGGTCGGAACCCTTGCACAATAAAACCTTCAGACAAGGGGAAGGTTCCAGCGGTCGAGTATATGGAAGCGGATTTCTTCCATTGTCGCTATTGTCTTCTGCAACACGAGACCTCGTATCTTGTCACAGAAGAAATAGACCATCCAATAAAGACAGACGGTATTGTTGGCTCCCTTCTCACCATATCCGGCCTCCTTTGCATATCTGTTGCACTTAGTCTTCATGGTTTTCACCATATGCTCGCAACGGTTTATCGTTGTTATCCAATTTTAGCCATGTACTCGAGCTTGGGGCCTTGGGAGAACGTGGAAAGGATAGAATACCCTTTCGTATCCGTTAGAGGCGAGAAGAGTCAGGTGGCGCTCAAACTCTTCGTTGGTGAGGCCACACTTCTCACCGATCCGCAGCATGGTACATCTCTACCTCGCTTCAGATACTCAAGCAACTTTTGATTGGGGGCCTTGTTGGTGACACTACCCGGATCGAAAATCTCGTTATACGAGTGCTTACTGAGCTCCTGATCAACTGTGGGGGTTTTGGTACCTATTTGAAGAGCTTCCAAGACAGCTCGCTTCTTATCAAGACTCCATGACCTCCATTGCTTAACCTGTCCGACATGTTTCTGTCCTAAACGGAAGATCTTATGCATAATGGAAATGTTGGAAACTGAATTGAAGTCCCATACCAGTCGACACTTGCAAACCTTGAAATCTAGCTTGGCAATGGCATTAATCCAGTCGGCAAGCACTAACAAGAAAACAGGAGGATGACCCTTCTTCGCACCATTGACCGATAAATCAGCAATATTCACATTTGAGTTCGCATGATATCCAGGGCAATTGTCGATAAAAACGACAAATCATATGGGGATGGCTTACTATTGGCAAATATCGGAAAGAGTCTCAATCCGGCAGATTCGGGCTTGGGCTCGGGATCGGGAACGGGAGCGGCAGGGTGGGGCCGGAAGAAGGAGGTGATGGAGCGTTGCTTGACTTCAGACTTCTTATTCCCTCGCTGGTTGTTAATACTGGTAGTCTCTCGAAATTGAGAAGAAATGACTTACGACGAGGAGCCATCGTGAGGAGACCGGTTAGGTTCGCAGGGAACCGGTAATTGTGCAGTGGCTACAAGAGAGGAACGCGGTATTGGTGGGAAGGAAAAAGAAAGAAAAAGAAGGAGAGCGTGAAAATATATCGGAGGGATGTCTTGTCCAATGCCATGGCATACTCCTCATCAATCACAGACGGAAAGGCGGAATGTGGGTCGAACCACATACCAAGGGTACTACTCCTGTTGTTATAACTTCATGAGACTCACTCGTCTGGATGTTAAATCGAACCAGATGCCTCGATGGAGTGTTATGCTTTCAGACTCAGTGTGAAACGGCAGATGGCGATGGTTGATTTGTAAACTTCCTTTGATACCACGAAAGAGTTACACTCAGACAGTTTACAGGGCTGTTGGCTAGTTGAAAGATGGCATCAAGTTACGTTTAGAGTTAGGTTCTTGTGTTATGGGTGTCTATTCTTTAAGAAGGCCGTTCTCGCTATACAGTAAAGAGAGAGGTCGTCTTATATTGTCTTTAAACTACCATCCTGGAGAATGTCAACAAAGGCATTTCTATCATGTATTCTCTAAAACAAATATAGATTCAGGTGCGGAATGGCGAATCTAATAGTTAATTTGCTGCACTTTACTACTAGCCCCCGCCAGCTGGCAGCCCATTCACCGATATTCAATCCATCTCAGGGTATTCACCACATCCGTGGCAAACAATGGTTTCCAAACGTAGAACAACTCTTTGTTTTCGTCAACACCAAAATTGTTGCAGTTATTGCCCCCTGCACTGCCAATGTCAATCTCATTAATTACATGCGACGCAACTACACTGCCTTGCATGTGCTCCCAGATGCTGCAACATTCGATTCCTTCCAGGGTCAGGAGAATATTATCATTATCGTCATTATGGATACTGTGCATCCCCGGTCTGGTCCTGGGTTCACCCAGAGTAAGCAACGCCTTCATGTCCTTCTTACCAGACATAAGTGCAAGCTTATTATTGTTGGTTACATCAATGCCGGTGATCCTTTCCGCAAAGGCAACAAGGAGCCACTGGGTAGCAGAAAAAGTGGCCTCCTAAGTCTTAGGGTATAAAAACAAGTAGTCTAAGAACGATAGTCTAAGGAGCATAAAGTGACCTGTGAATTTCGTCTCTTATGGTTTCAGTGGTCAGTGTTTCTAATACCCTGAGGATGGGCAAGGTGAGTGATCCTGGTATAAAGACTAATGGTGGCAGAGGAGGTTATGGTTTGGCTAGACTCGACACAATTATCCAAGTTATTTGGTTATTTGTTCTACTTTACTCAATTATAACTCAACTGTTTCTTGTGTCCAACAATTGACATCCCTATAACAACTAAGTTTTAATAATTATTGCCAGGTGGGACAACACGGCAGCAAATCCAGGTGCCAAGGTAAAGTGATGTCAAGTGAATAGACTAGCGAGATGTACGTTGCCCCCAATCTCACTGCCTTGGAAACCCCTTCTCCAAAACATGGGGGAAGAAGAGAAGGGAGGGACACACCCTAATATCAGTCATTTCCCCGGACCCAATCGCTGCAAGACAAATAACAAGTCACCTTCTCGAGTTCCAGCTAATTGTTTTCATGCGGAGAGAATTACCCTTTCCAATCCACTTGAAGGAGTCTAAATAACCGCCAAGCCATAACATCCCCGTGATCTAGGGACGGTCAAGAGGAAAACCCGGAGGTTCATGGAGGATTGAGTAAGAGAAACTCGGTGCACAGACTTGTCTGTCTTCTCCCCCTCATTTCCCCAACCTTTTCATTTGCATCCCCACAATGTAGTGTTGCTCTTCTCCTCTCTCCAACATGATTCCTCTCTGTTGGATCCGATCCCTGTTGAGGGGATACAGTAGCGAGTCAGCTAAAGTTTGGAGAGCCAATGAAGACGGTAGACGAGACGAGCGTTATTATTCTAGAATGAATGGATGATGCATGACAACGGTAATTAAGTTTTGCATCTCCGTTCCGTGATACGTAAAGGATTGCTGTTGGCGACTGAGCAACCAGTCTCGGGATTCGGAGAAACCAAGTAAATACGGTGGCGTATTTGGGTCTTATCAAGATAAACGGGAATAATTTTACCAGTTTTTCTTAGTTTAATTGCCTTGCAAGGCCGACAATACCTCCGAAGGCGATAAACATGCTACGATGCCCTCAACTCTTGAGACTCACGACAATTACAGTTCAATTCTCCAATTCTCCAATAGAGACAGCCTTGATTATCACTCTTCGGACCGGTGTCGGATATTCCGGCCTTGATCAACAGATAGCGAGTCGTATGGTCCACAAAATGTTGAATGCATGTGTCAAAAGAGGCTACTTTTCGCGTAACGGAAACAAACTTTCTCTAGGCTCAATCTTTGTACCGTTGAGGGAAAATGGTACGACATGGCCGGAAAAATAAGCCAAAAATAAGCTTGTACCTTGGCGTACGGACAAAGCCGCAGGGGGATCAGGGGATAAAAAACGCTGCTAAACCAAATCTCTTCACCTCGGACCGAACAATGAAGAGCCTCAATTCAACTACACCATGGACTTGGAATAATTGTATCAACTGTATCCAGTATAATATACGACAATTCAATTCATCCCATCCAATCCATGTAATTCTTATCTCTCGTTCCTCTTTTAAATTCCCACCCAACGGGTTCAGAATGGATCTCCAACCATCCATTGCAGCAAAGATCGCTGTCCATAACGTAACAAGATGGAGACCCAGTATTCTCACCAGGTCCCCGTTTTGTCTCTCGCTTGCATTATTTTCATGACCTGATGGTTATTGGCGATTTGCTAACTTTTACGTGAGAGACTCTCGTTCCCCCATGGGGCTCCACGATATACCGCTTGTTTGCCTTTTGTCATTTTGCCATTATAGTTCCATTTTTTTTGATAACGCGACTTTTTTTTTCTTGCCTTAGCCGCTCGGCAATCCACTCGGAAAGAGATAAACGTCTCGAGACTTTTGTCTTGGCGCATGTATATAAGAATTGACTCGACGGCCCCATCAGTGTTGATAGTTTGTTACTGCCTCTGCATCTCTCTAACTTTTGTCCCTGTTTGTTTATATCACAGTGGCATAAAGTCTATATAACCTTACAAAGGTTATCACTTATATCATCCTACATACTCGTCGACTATACCATGAGCACTGAGGACAAGACAACAAAGACCCAGCCCGATATGGGCCACCAACAGGGTCAGGATAGCCCTGCCTCCATTCGAGGCATCGACGGCAACGAGATCAGCAACATCAACGATGCCAACGATGATATCATGACCTCTAAGGAGCAGCACTCAGACGAGCCCGTTCAAAACATCTTCAACCAAGGCGGCAAGAACTACAGAACTCTAGGCAAGTGGGACACCGTCTTCGTCCTTATCACCAACCAGGTTGGTCTTGGTGTTCTGTCTCTCCCCGGTTGTCTTCAAGTTCTCGGTGTCGTCCCAGGTGTCATCGCCGTTATTGGTCTCGGTTGTCTGTCTGCCTATACTGCCTACGAACTCCTCCAATTCTACAGAAAGTACCCCCACGTGGTTAACGTCGTCGACATGTGTGGAATCATCGGCGGAAGACCTCTGGAGATAATTGCTGGTATTGGGTTGATGATCAAAGTTATGATGACTTGCGCGTCTGCCAGCGTAACGTTGTCTGTTGCGTTCAATACCCTTAGTAACCACTCTCTATGTACTGTCAGCTTCGTCATTATCGCCACTGTCGCATGCTGGGTTTTGTGTCTTCCCCGAACCGTTAAATTCGTCTCGCAATCCGGAATCCCATCCACCCTCAGCATTTTGGCCGCCGCCCTCACTGTCATGATCAGCTTGGGCTTTTCCTCACCTTCTCAGGCTCCTCCTGGCTGGGACAGGGAGATCAAAGTCGTTGGTAACCCTACTTTCCGTCAAGGTCTCAACGCCTGTCTGAAGATCTGCTATGCGTACGCAGGAAACATCAGCTTCGTTTCATACATGGCCGAGATGAAGAACCCCAGCCGAGACTTCCCCATGGCTTTGGCCTGCCTTGAATGCTTCTCTATCAGTCTTTACACCATTGTCGCTGTCGCCATCTATTGTCTGGCCGGCGACTACACTACATCCCCCGCTTTGGGATCGGCGCCTAGACTTGCTGCTAAAGTCGCGTATGGACTCGTTTTGCCATGTGTGTTCGCGACCGCCATGGCATTCGGTCACACTGGCATCAAATACATGTACGTTGTTGCCATGCGTGGCCTCAAAGCCACCCACCAAGTCACAGACCAAAGTGTCAAGTCATGGAGCGTTTGGGTTACCTGCGTGACAGTATACTGGATTATTGTCTTTGTCATTTCCAACGCTATTCCTATCTTTGACTCTATCCTCTCTATCTCTTCTGCGACAACAATTGCCTGGTTCACTTTCGGTCTCAGTGCCATCTTCTGGTTCCACATCAACAAGGGCCAATATACCAAGAATTGGAAGAAGATTGCTCTGTGCATCCTTAACGGACTCCTTATTGTCCAATCGCTGTTTATGAACGGTGGTGGATTGTGGTCATCGATTACCGAATTGCTCAACATCTTTGAGAATGATTCAAGCAAGATCCGGGGCACTTTCTCGTGCGGTGACAACTCCATTTAGATATACATACCAAAGAACGGTTTTAGATATTTGTAGCAAGCATATAGCGAATGAATGATATATGATTACAATACGTCTATTGATTATGCTTTCGTTTGGATGTTAATGTTGGTCTTGGTCGTCAAGGATGCCACGTGCCAATGCAGGTATTCGTAGCACACCTCCATCCAATTTGTCCACAGTTCTTCGATTTAGATGTCCAATCAATTCAGATATGTGACACGCTAAAAGACCTCTAGCCTTCAGTACCAGTTGTCCCGCACCCGACTTAGACCTGCCAAGTAGATCATGAAAACTCTGCCGAAAACTCTGATGGATCTGACAGAAGAGTAGACCACGTGCGCAGCATAAAGAGTAATAGAGGAGTTATCGCCTAGAATTTAGATCCCAGAGACAAATGAAGTAAGTTCGAGTCTCAATAATATGCACTGGCTTAGTAATTGTCTTTCTTATGCCTCCTCAGGATATGAGAAAAATAGCGCTGGAAACACAAGAGACGAAATTAGTAGGTCACTTTATGCTCCTTAGACTATGGTTCTTAGGCTGCTTATTTTTATATCTTGAAACTCAGGAGGCCATTTCTTCTGCTACCCACTAGTGCCTCTACAACATCTCTTACGCACTTATACCCAACTATAGTCAGGAGATAAGCCTTGAGATATTTGCCAGTGTGGACCGACTTGACCGATAATGTCAGATCGGATGACAGTGTCGCAGCGGAAATCAGTTCATGTTTAAAGCCGGGAGGAGACGGGTCTCGAGATCTTCAGGCCGACAATGTAGAGAATGACTAGTTATAGCGTGACTTTCGATGAACGGGTCGTCTGCGTAGATCGCTAGAGATTGTACTGATGGAAGAGCTAGATACATACACCTGGCACGAAAAAGGAAACAGGGACTTTATCATAGATCCCCTGCATCGATGGTGTCATGGAACACCAACTCTTAGTGTTGTTTCTTGATCTGGTAATTTATCATGGGGCATTGCCTTTGCTTATGTATGTCCAATTAATCTGTCGTGAGAGAAATGTCAAGTTATTAAGTATGTGTATCATGAACCATTATGAGTCATTATGCATATTGTATATATTTCGTGAGATTCCGGCCTTTCCGGTTTTGTGGTAGGGCCGCATGGAGATAGTGGGCTTTCATTTAACCGATGGGTAGCAGAAGAGTTAGCTTCTCCTTGTATGATAGCGGAAATTAATAAGGCAGTTATGCAACTTAGACTACGATCTTGAATAATTCGTTCATCTATCCTAAAGCTTCGAGGTTGAACTACTTCTTACCTATCAGCCGAGTTTTGGTTGGCTCAACCACACTCAACACAATCACGAGTTACGAGCAGGTCGTAGAAATCCATTATCTGGGTGACGAGAGACATAATCTTACATATTGAAAGTAATTAAATGAACAGATAGACCATTCATGAAAAATATAATACTTTTCTGTTCACTAGAGATGTCTTTCTTATTCTTCTCCACGTAGTTTGGCCCCTTTTGATCCCAGTGTAATTAGATGCCGCCAAGTGTAAGCGTTCTTCGGCGACCACAAACAGAATAGTTCCAGGTTATCAAAGTGTAGAACCAACAAGGGCCTGTTTAACCAAGCGCATCATGCCTTGGCTAATTCTAAAGACTCACGCCGATGATTCATACCGAGTGTCATCCTTCTAGATGTTGTTCTTATGGCAGTGAGATGGTTCAACGGAATGAGATATAAATATCTTGTAGGATGCTGTAGTTCAGGTTCTTATGATAATCCAATTCATCAAGAATTTGCCATGATTGTATAGTCATTTACAAGAACAGTAAGTTAAATACCAACCTCCATTGTCCATCTCAGACTCTGTATGATGCAAAATATTTTGCCGAACCGAGATCACTCGCAGTCAAGACTGCGTCTTTGAAGACCCTTTAGCCGACATCGCCTGACACTCCAGAAACACTTGCCTTCCTTACATTTATTCCTATTACTGCGTTACCTTTGACTGACATAAGAACAAACTCACTTCATAGCTTTGTATCGAATTTGCGTCACACCGTCACACTGGAGGATATGTAGAGGAAAGTCTCAAATCTCTTCAACACTACATGAAATACGTCCTCACTAAATAAAGCCACAGAAATGACAACCTTGCAACCTATCTAGGTACCCCATGGACCACCAGTGTCGCGAAAGACCTCCTCCCACCACTCCTGATTAGGCCCCTCTGGCGCAGAGTGCTTGTGCCGACAAATGTCTCCAAACTTCATCTTGTCCAATCTGCCCTTCAACGTTTTCTTCATCTGCCTGGGATACTTGCTCGTCTGCTCTGCGGTGGCAGCCCAGTATCTGACACGGCCATTGGCCGTCTGTACCGTCGCCAGAGGATCATCAGGCTCCCCTTTCGCTCTCAGTCGAATGTGAAGAAGCTTTCGGAGGTGTTGATAGTACCATGGTCTGTCCCACCATGTAGATCGATGTGTCTTCAGTGAACCGACACCGTTGTGGTGTAAAATGGCGGAGACGGACTCGGTGAAGAAATCTACATATAGAGGCATATCGGTCCAGTTGGCGCCGGGCTGGAGAAGTGCCAGTGGGTTCGGTACTGACTTGATATCATCCGGCAAGCCCCGAAGTCTTGTTGGCGAGATCCCCAGAGCTTTAGAGTGTTGGTCAATAGCTTCTTGGTTGCCCAGTGTCACAAATGCACCATGGTCCCTTCCCTTTCTATCTTGTGCCCACTGGGTTTGGACTGACAGCTCCTCGGCGTAATCAAGGCCGATGTGATATTCCAACTTGTCGCCCATTAACTCTGATATACCACGTTTCGGGTTACCATTCAGCCTCTGCCATTGTCGATAGACCTCCTGTTCGGCTATGGCTTCGTATGCAAGAGACTGTTCACTGCGCATTTTGATTCCCTTGCCGATTCCCGTCTGCATGGTAAACAAGCAGCGACGGAACAGACGTCTCAAATCGCCAGCAGGTCCCATGTAGAGGCCACCGTTAAGCCATCTTGGCCTGACGGTTTCGCAGTGGCGTGGCTTGACCCGGCCTGTATGGTCTGTTTCAATGTGTTCAATATCCAAATCGTCCCAAGTCTTAGGAGCCTCCCAGCATGACTTGTCCTTGTCTGTGTCGGGGCCATAGAGATCCTTGCGTAGAGGGCTCTCGGGCCACACATCGCACTGCATCTTTGTGCCCCTGTTTTCGTTCTTAGGGTCGCATCTCTTGCCACTTGCCCCAATTATAGTCTGTCGCATCGGCATTGGTCCTCTTTGATGTTTGTTCCATTCTTTTTGTAGCCTCTCGTTGGCTTCCCGGTTGATCTTGTGATATCGCTCAAGCATCACCTGGGCCGGCAGTTGGAACCAAATGTCGTATCCATCGACAATCAGTACAATGTCGTCGTCGTCTAGTCGTTCGGATGGGTGCGCGTCTGGCCGTGTGGCTGCTTCGAGAAACTCGACCACACCAGGTACTTTTACCAAGTTGCGACCCCCTCGCCAATGTGTGAGAGCGCGATGGTCAACTCCCCAATTGACAATAACTGGGCTCGGGTAACCAAGTGCGAGTCCAGTAACGACGGTTTTGCAAAGTTCGGGGCTAGGACCGGTGGCAGGTATGACGAGAGCGAAACGCCGGTCCTTGTCAACTGATGTGGCAGGAGTATAAGTCAGTGTCTGCCACTGCCAGTGCCAGTGAAGCAAAAGCATGGAAACGCAGGCGAAACTGAGAATGGTGCATGTTGGAATGAAGGCCTTGTGGTGCCAGTTAGCCTTGGAAGAAATTTCCATGTTGCAGAACAACAGTAATTTGAGTAGCAGTGGTCCACGATGGTAATCTTTAGTCTCGCACATGTTGTATTATAGTCATTCAATACGGGCAATGTAACACGTATTACTTCTAGATACGCAAGGGAGAAGACCTTGTCATTCACTGTTTGTGGCGTTCAAACAGGTATTCACGTATTGGTATAATCGTTGGCTGGAACAGTCTGAATGTTAGCCTCAGAAAGATTCCCGATGAATGGCCCTGTCTATGCAAGGAGTCCACCCTTTCACTCATTACTTCGAATTGTAAGGCCTTGGTATGTTCAGTAACAGCCTTTAAATGGTTCCTGTGCTTCCAGTCTCAGACATTGAAATCCGCTAACCCCTGCTGGTTGCGCCAACCCAGCCACATTTACCTCAAGGGAGGATTGTAACCCGCAAAACATTTTGCAGGATTAAACCCTTCAGGCGCCGACAAATCACCTCTTGTATTTCCCCAGATGAGTCGACTTCAGTCTCAGGGGTGGTGGAATGTGAAGAGGGTTCCGAATCCTTTCACCCTTTCCCTGAAATGCAGGGGGGAAATGATGAAAGCTGGGATTTCATTGCACCTCGTCTATCGCATCGATGATACTGCTCCATGCAATTACTACCAGATTGCCATCTTATTAGAGGGAGTCAAAACTATTGCAGACTGTATTAATGCAAACGCAGATGCTGATACTACCGATAATGCGCCTGTAATTGACGAGGCAACTGTCACACCTAAAACAGGCATCGTAATTGGAGAAAGGGAGTTTCGGAGGTTGTAGTCAATTGCTCGATGGCTAATGGTTCTTTTGCCGTCGCTGCAAGGGCTGCAATACTTTTAATTGCTGGGTAAGTGACAAGCTGGAGTTCAGTGTTGGATGGGGCGGAAGCTCACAGGGATGATGCAGCTGGGCTCGCATCTTCCATCATTCGCAGCGTCGGCTGATAGAACTGCCAATGTCGGAAGTGTGAAAAATACAAGGCAGTATCCGAAAGAAAAAGGATAATCTTTAATTTTCAGACGATACAGCGAGTGAGTGTCAGAAGAGGATAAGAAATGAGCAACCGGTTCAGGCCATGATCTGCCAAGAGTCGTGCCACAAATCGCTGGTTCAGCCACCCACATTGTCAAGGTGATAATGCTACTAACATACTTATACCAAAGTCTGCCGTTTGAAAGATAGTGTACATATCTCAGTCTTCAGATTGAGTATCAAGCTGCACGTCTCAAGGGTAGACATCGTCTTGTGAGACGACTTTACCCTCTATTATCGCTGCATAAATAAGTCTAAATCTTTTTAATTTTATTTATTGATGTCCTGTATCCATCTGTGTCTGCCAGTTCAACACATTGATGAACAAATTGTACCCCCAAATAGGTGATGACGCGCCTGGTACACGGTAGCACTGTAGCAGCCAGAGCCGAATAAGCTTAAGTGAATGCGGCCGTCAACAACCATAAACAAAAGCTTAAACTCAAGCTACCAGGTTTTGTTACTAAGTCAGCATACAATTGCTGCTTCTGTGTTAGTCTTTGATCACGAATTTGTGGAAGTACACCAAAACAACCCGAAAATCAACTTGAATGAGAGGAATTAATCAACACAATCTACAGCATAGCCAGGATATTTGCTCACGGATTAGGGTTACTAATATATCTTCGAGAGCCTGCGAGGGTACAACTCCTTGCGTAAGTAAATTTACAGAGAGAACTGTTCTCACATGAACAAACATCCCTCTACTACAAGGTTTGTAAGCGACTGGATAGCTATCTTGCGGGTTCATCAACGAGACACACCTGCGCTAAGCCGATTCCATATTGTCTCACCTCTGCAATAGAGTTACAAGCACTAAGTTCAAGGTATTGGAATGTGCGACCGTTGTCGGATTGCCTCTTGGTATCTTTGATTCGTCCAACGTCTGTTTAACCTTTAGACAGATACCTTGGTTAGGCTCGGCGACGAGGAAACTTCCCGGACATCTCTGGGTGGCGTAGCTTGACCCTACCGTCATGATCTATTACTGCCATGGTATAGAGTATGCAGATCGAGACCCTTCTTGATTCACAATGTTTCTCGGGACCGATGAGATCCGGCATGATCTTAAGCGTGACGCTTCGAGCACATGGTAGGGCGAGAACGTAAATGCAGGTACATTTATGCCAAGCCGCCCTGATATCCGGGCGCGCTGCTTTTAGCCTTTCCCTCCATTTTTCCAGAGAGTATTTGTTTCACTCCCTCCTCAACCCTCGAACTTTGTAAACGCAATGATGTTACCACACCGTGATAAGTGGGACGTCCACTATGCCAAAATTGATGAAATGGTATACATTGGTCGAGATGTGTTTGTTATGGTAAGAACTTCTACGAAAGGATATTGTTTACTTTATTCACCATGTCCAGGTGGCCTCGACACTTTCGCTCTACAACGCTATTGAGCTACTGACACTCATCTACCTAACCTTCAAACGAAAAGCCGGCCTTTATTTCTGGAGCATACTTATCGCATCTTTCGGCATCCTACCATACTGTCTGGGCTGGCTAGTGGTTTATTTCGACCTAACACACGACTATGTGGGCATGATAATCGAGACTATCGGGTGGGTTCTTGTAATATCTGGCCAATCTGTCGTCTTATACTCTCGACTACATCTTATTCTAAGCGACAGAATGATCCTGCGATCTGTGCTGGCTGTGATCATTATCAACGGCATTGTCTGGGTATAGCCTACGTTAACCCCATCCAAGCTGCTCCGACTAACAGAGACCCAGCACACAACCATGACTATATTACTGTTTGGATCAGAGTACAGCCCCAGAGACAACAGAAACGGGTTCAACAAGGTTTTTAACATAGCAGAGAAGATATCAATGTGCTGTTTCTACATGCAAGAACTCACCATCTCTGGCATATACATTTGGAAGTCCCTCGATATTCTCAAGACAGCGTTTGGCAACACACGAACCATGCTCTACAAGCTATTCGCCATCAACATTGCAATTGTGATTATGGATGTTGCTATGGTCGTTATTGAGCTGATGGACTTTTACGTCTGGGAGCAAGGTATCAAGCTTGTCACATACTCGATTAAACTCAAGCTTGAGTTTGCAGTCCTGAGTGAGCTGATTGAATTCGTCCGAAGTCGGAGTGGAACGCAACCCTGTCCTACGAAGCCTTCTCAAAACCAAAGTACTCTTGTGCCACTATCAGCGGTCCGCAGGGGAAGCACAAAACCAACAGGGTTCACGAGGGACGGCATTTACAGTGGTGACACACATACGAATATTACAATTGCTGCTGCGCCTCCTCAGCAGATACAAGAACCAATATCTAATGATAGGATACACGTCGTCAGGCAGGTGGATGTGGAAAGCTTAAACGCATATCCGAACACCGAGAGAAGCACCGAGGAGCTATTTGAATACATGCCAGATGAGCTTCCACCAGAACTGATGCCTAGAGCACTCTAGTTACAAGTAGTAGCCTAGAGGGGAACAAATATACATATATTGCGACAATGAAACATGTCGGGACTAATGACCGTACCATTACAACTTAGTCTGCGAGTAACAACTCGGTTGTAAGCGTAATCTGCGAGTCAAAAGTCCGAGTGAGACGGGTGTCTGCATTCACAGCTGAAATCAAGGTTGCCATGGTTACTCGACATATTTGTATCGCTGATAACTGGACCGTAAGAGTTTGCGATATAAAGGGATATTCTAGGACTGTCAAAGTCTCTGAAGGATTCTTGAACTACTCTTATATGATTGGGTATACTCAGCTAAGTTTAAGAACTCCGTACGCAACAATGCACAAGTACACGGCCAAAACACACTGTTGTCAATACGATGGACCCTCTTTCGCTGGCAGTTAACATAGTTCCGCTATCCGAACAGCTGATCAAGACAATAAAGACCATCAAAAAGCTAATTGCGACTTACAAGAGTGCTGCAAAGTAACTCCAAATTTTGGCCAGTAAGCTCAGCCATGTCAAAGTTGTCTGTGAGTCAATTGGGGCGGTACTGTCAACAGCATGTCTATCAGACAGTCACTTCAGTTCATCACGTCTTCCTTCTTCGTTGTATGAAATGATTCACGACTGCTACGAGAAGGTGACGGATATTCACAACATTATCCAAAGCGTCACTGAAAAGCGCGATAAAGGTGGTGGTCTATTCAGCAACGAAGGTTTACTGTTCTTGCAGAATAAAGAAAAGATCATGGCCGGTGTAAAGAACTTGGATTAATCCCTTGATTTCCTCCACATTCTCCTAACAACAAGTATTTTGTAAGTCTCCTCTCCCATGTCCTGGACATCGATCTAACAATCCTTCAATAGCAGTATGAGGATATCTTGCCCGCCCGCGACGAAAGTCAACATGCCGAATGCAACAAATCCGCTGGAACAGACATGTGCAGTAATGGCGCTTGTCCCCATAGTAGATTCTATCGACACCAGCCCCATTTCTACCGACGCGACCACGCAACCGAAGCATTTCGAGCCCATCACAGAACGGTGGCGGCGATCATTCTTGCAATTGGTATTCCTACAGAAGACTCACAAGCGAAACATAATAGCTGGTACTAGCGATTCGGACGCGTTAGTAACTGAGGACAACTCAGTCCTGGCAGTATGATCAACGTGGTTCAACTGTTATGTCAAACTGTCGATTCGACAAGACCACCTTAGCCATTTGTGCGTTACTCTAGCAGTACCATTTGTTATCCCGATACACTACAGGTCAGATAGCCTGGGGACCAGGCTTCGCGAGGCCTTCAACGACGACAATGTAGAGGTGGTCCAGCAACTATTCAACGAACACACTATTACCCCGGCGACCCAGATAACTTGGGGCAAATATGATTCAGATCACGAGTGTAACTTATTGGGTGTAGGTTCTTGACCTGGATTTCGGTATATGTTGGCTAACGTTGAAATAGTTCGCAGCAATAGCAAGAGCGTCCCGACTCCTAGAGTTCATGAGATCCCAGCTGAATAGGGTGGAAGAGACGTAAGCTATCATAACCAGTGACATGGTTTAAGTTACTAACACATGCTTATATTTGCAGAGCGCACTATGGTGGTTGTAGTTGGAGATGGTACAGGATTCGGACTTAGGACCAGCTTCAGAATGCCATCACTTACATCAATATCCGCAAGAACGCCCTAACTTTCGAAGAACTACACATGCTGCTGTTGGGGACAGAGGATTTTCGTCAACTAAAGATCTGCATAGATGTGTACCTAAGTTGGCGGCCAGTCCTTTCAACGGAGTCTAATTATATGATACAAAACCAGGTGGTCGACATTTTTACAAAGGTCGACCTGGACGACGATCTCAATATGGAAGATTGCGCAGCAGTGATCTCGCATCTCATTGCTCGAGGCCTAGACATATTTAAGAGCTATGACTATGAGACGAGTACTCTAACACGAATTCTACGTCGTAGGCGCACTTCAGATGAAGCTGTGGAGGCTGTACATCGCTGGCTCGATTTGCTAGAGCTCGCCGGCGTTGGTGTAGAAACGTATCTCCGGGTTGAACGGCAACGGTGTCTTGCTTCATGTAATTAATCATCAGCCAACTGGCACATGCCGCTGCGTGGCCAGGATTCATATATCAAGAGGCCTCTACAAGTAGGTTACTCCAGGGGCAGGTTGATCCCATATTGGAGAGAAAACATCGACAAATCATGCCTTGTGCATAAACTCTTGATGGAGTTTCCACATTTTCTACATTGCGAGACCATTGAAATCTGGACAAATGCAGAAGAGACGATGCGGTATCATCGAGTCTGGAAAACTGGGCAGGATCTGGAGCTTGTCGGTTCGGAAAAGACCATGACATTCTGTGAAAGTTATGGATCAGAACTGAGTAGAAAGGAAGTAGGAGGGAGGAACAAAACCACAAACCGCAGCGATTACCCTAGGAACATAGTCTTTTATTTATATGAATAAATTAAATTACAATCTTATCCATTAATTAATATTTTGCATAGGTAGACATTTCATGCCGTGTGCTGATGTCCAAGCTACCCTGGAAAGATTCTCCAGCAGTGACATGTTTACATGATATAATTGGTTCTTGACGACGCGTCTTTCACGCTAAGCCTCTCACGTCAGCATTCCTTACATGAATCTCTTCTTTTTCTCATTTCACATCCAATCATCCAACGACTCTAGGATCCGAAATGTCCAGCACGCGTCTAAGGACATGGCAACTGAACATGATCTTCGTGGCAACACATCAAAAAACGAAAATGACATCATCTCATCACTTATCGAGATTCAAAAATGCAGAATTCCGCAGCAAAAGATGAAATGGATTGTAGAGAGCCTTGAATGTCTTGGTAGACGACAGTCTAGGAAGAGAAAGCTAGACTTGAACGAAAGCCACAAATCTGAAAGACCATATTGGTTTCGAGAAGATGTTAATGGCTTTATTAACAGTAACTTTGTGGCCTTGTCATACACTTGGGATGCTTCTGAGCACGAGACACAAAATCCCAAAGCCGAAGGTCATCTGATCGAGACAAGGGACGGAGAAGATGCTTGGCGCTCATCTGTCCGCAACTCAGTCCTCGAGAGAATCACAAAATACATGCAATGTCATAACGTGCCACTCCTATGGATTGATCGTCACAGCATACCCCAGAAGAAGTGCAAACAACCTACATGCACCCATGGAGAATGCAAACAGAAAAGACACGCCTTAGATGCGATGGACTGGGTGTATTCGCTCAGTGATCACCCTGTCGCTTTGCTTGGACGGCCAATCCAAAGTGAGGACGAGATGGCGACTCTATCTGCTATTTTGAGGGGTGTACTTGTCAAGTACCACGACGGAGGATTTGCTCTAGCCAAGAACGCAGAGTATAGTCAAGCACTGAAAATGCTCAACCTACTATACGAGATTACTAGGGATAAATGGTGGACAAGAGCGTGGACCTTCCAAGAGAATTACAAAGCAGGTCTAAAGATGACGCTTCTAATTCACCATAATCCAGACCTCGAAAGTGCAAAGAGATCTATGCTCAGTGGAAAGAAGGCAATGTTTGGTGTAGTCCCCGGCGAACTAAGTATTCAGTCTGTCAAATTCTCCGAGAGCGCCACTAAATTTTGTTTGGCATTCCGTCGGCACCACTTTACGACAAGCGAGGATGAAGAGAAGATAACTCATATCCTGAAAACTGCTGGAAGATACAGGATTCTGCTATTGCCATCCACTTCCATGTCAGGGACAATAATTTCCGACGTGCAGTGGAGAGGTGTCACTGAGCCTTGGGACCGCCTGTCTATCATCGCCAATTGTTGTCAGTATGCTACTCGGCTGGATGCCGGAAGGCTTCAACTGAAGGGAGAAACCGAGTTGAGTCTTGACATATCGGTATTGGCACTGCGCCTACTAAATGGCGAGATACTCAACAATGAAGAAGTTTACGTACCTGGTGAGACTGTTCTTGAGCAGGTGAACGATCTCTTCTTTGATGACTTTAAAGCACCCGATGGCGAAAAGAGATTAACATATAATAAGGGCTGCCGCTTTGCCAATGTAGACTTCACAAAAAAAGGCATCAAGACAAAAGGCCATCTATGGAAACTTGGAGAAACCCTTCGAGCACCTAGATCATCGCCACGGTTATCGCAACCAACCCAACAGGGCGAGCAGCAGCTTTCAGAATATCAGCGAACACGACTACGACAGCTTGGTGAGCTTATCAAGGCAAAACATGGCGGCAAAGACGCGAGTATAGTGGAGGACATGAACGAGTTTCTCACAGAAGATGCTTTTGTTGTGGATGATGAAGAATCCTTTAGTTTGTGGTATCGTCGGTTAATGGCGAAAGAAGTAGTGAGGGCTATGGATGCGGATCAGAACTTGTCACTTGGGTATCTCTGCGATCCAGCAGGTGAACCCACGATGGCTCAAGGGATATTCATTCCTGGCCGAGGTGCTGTTGATTCAAGTGGAATTTTGAGTCAGGCAGATCAGGAGCTGGCGTATGTTTTCACATCACTGTGGTCCGACAGCCAAGTTGACGAAGAGTACCTCGCAAACGAATTGGATCATCACGTGTCCCTTGGAGTTCGGCTTTCTGACGACAGTAGTCGGGACCCTCTACAGTTATACACGCAAGAATGGGTTCTGGGACTATGCTTCTTTACAGGTGTTCCTACTTATGATGTGGTGTTTCCTTGGCCACAGGTGTTGGTAAAAACAGGTTCTTGAAAGGATGTGTAAGAGTCTTTGGAGTTGAAACGAAAAGTGTATTTGTTTTGTATTATCGCAGGTCCGGGATGTGGATTTGACTAATAAGACGAACTATTTCTTGTCCATTATTTCATCTTCAGACATAGCTAGCATATTTGAAGCTAATAAAGTATCCCGAGTCTACAAGACATAACGGAAATGGGGGTTCTGTAAGATGGAGTTAGCTTGTCCCTCTTGATGTTGATTAGTTGCTGGATCTTACCTCAAAATCAGTCAAATCGCTTCCTTCTGTGGCTGATACATCCTCATTATTGGTTCCCACAGCTGCCGCAGCGGCATCTCGTCGTGCATTTCTCCGAATCAACAGGATTCGGAGCAGGATCGCTACCGTCATCTGGGCAACAGAGCATCCCAAGATAGTAATACATCCAGTCTGGTAAAGAGGAGCTTCCTCGCCAAGGAACGCATGAGGACCAATAACATTACCAACACAGTAGGCAATAAACACCATGGCAGAAGCGGCCATGCGCTTGGTGTAGCCACCGAGGTTGCTAGCAGGCATCTGCATCGCAAGAACCAAAGAGCAAACGAAGCCACCAACGATGTAGTAACCAAATAGAACACCAATCTTGTGATCCTCGCGGTCCATCTTCCAAAGAAGACAAACGCCAACAATAGTTGGAATGAGGTAGACAGCCATAATAATAGTTCGGCAATTCTTGACACGAGACGCAATAAACGTTCCGGAAAGAATCCAAAACACTTGGAATCCACCCATAGGGATACCAAGGGCAACAGTCTCAAGAGGATCCTTCACAACGCCTTTGATGATCAACTTGCCAAAGTTGGCTACGCCTCCGTTGATGGTTTCGTTTAGAAGCATGAAAAGTACGAGAAGCCATACTTGAGGATCAATAAAGGCTTCGCGGATCTGGTTCCATTTGATGGTCTTGTTTAAGACACCGGTTTGAGCAAGACGACCTCGGCCGATGAGGAGGGCGCGTTCTTCAAGCGAGAAGTGACGGGCTGTCATGATACTATCGGGGAGGAAGACAAGAAGAACAAAGCCCCAGACAATGGTCATACCACCACAGGTCATGAAGACAGCCTTCCAGACAGGAAAGTTCTTAATCTGGCCAATACCGTATGTGAGGAGACCACCCAACTGTCTTGAGTTAGCTATGTTAGCAGCATGAAAGCAAAACACTTACCATAGCTCCGACACCGTTGCAGCAATAGAAGATACCGGCTCTGAAAGGTTGTTGATCTCGCGTATACCACATGGAAACAATCATCATGAAACATGTTGTAATCGGCGCCTCGAACACACCCAAAAAGAACCGGCATGTCGCCAAGGAACCGAAATTGTTTCCCGCAGCAGTCAACATCAGCACACTTCCCCAGGCAATAACACATCCCGAAACAACCTTTGCCATTAATGTCTTCTGCGCAAGGAATAACCAGGGGTATTCAGCGGCCATGTACGCAAAGTAAAAAATACTAGCGAACCAGCTGTACTGATCTGACGAGATGCCCGTATCTGTGAACAGATCGAACACAGCTGCGTAGGAGAGCGCGTTCTTGTCGATGTACTGCAGCATGTAGGTTCCCATTAGCAGGGGTAGTAGGATCATGTCGACTTTGCGTATAACTCTCTTGTTGAGAGCTTTGTCGTTGAGTAGCTCTGCAATATACTCGTTTGAGAAGTTATGCTCGCGGAGGAAGGATTCTGTGGCGTCAAGTTCGACAATGTCGCCTTGCGTCAAAGAGTTGAGCTTCTGCATGGCTATGCTCTCTTCTGTTTCCTTTAACTCGAAGGGGCGTTTGGTATCAGGCGATTGCCCTGATGTTAGTTGTGTCATTGTTGACGTGTCAAGTCGTTCGACCTTTGTGAGTATCTGAGACTAAAGACTCGCAAGAATTCGAAGAAAAACGAAATTTGGGACGAAGCTAGGCTAGATATTAAACTTCCAGGTGATGAAAGTTATACGAAGATCATGCCCAAGGATAGTTATCGTATCCAGGCTTTCCATAGCTGAGCTAACAGCCGATAACCCGTGAACATTCAACCGGATCCATGATAGAGAACGGTCCGGGGTAAATCGTTTGATCAGTTACCCTAATGAGTAAGGGTTCAGTTCATATCAGTATAACTATCAGTCTATCTCCGATCCAAATCCAAACGAAGCTGCACACTTACGAGTCATGAACCAATGGGAACTTCTTAATTGCCAGACTTGCGGAGTCTATTATCAGCATCCGATACTCGGCTCTCAAATCTAATACCCGGACCCATTTCTAAAGATCGGTACGCGGGGTAATAGCGAGTTGGCCGATCTAGCTATCGCTGATATGCGACTCTTATTGCCTGTATGGGATAAGATAGGGCGTAACTGACAGTTATCGTCTCGTTGTTGAGTTCCGTTTCTCGGACCTGGACCCGTTTGTATGCGGAGACGTTTTTGGAGCCGATGTGAGAGGAGACATTGCTAAACCTCGCATACGCTTCTTTTAACACTGGCCTGCATCAGCCTTCAAAGTTGACTGCTACCCATCACCTCAGCCTCACTTTTCTTATCATTCATTATCGCGTAACTATACTTTATCACAATGGGTAGCCAAATCAACTCAGAATCTCCCACCATTTCTCTGCCCCAGGGCAAGCTTGTCGGCGTCAAGCTGGACGACTCATTACCCCAACCAGTAGATGCTTGGCTTGGTGTGCCCTATGCTCTTCCGCCAACAGGCGATCGTCGCTTCCGCCTCCCTGTCAAAGTTGCATCATCGCCAGACACTGTAATTGACGCCTCCAAGTATGGCCCTGCAGGGCCTGGCAAGGCGCTCCTCCCAGGCCCTAAGCTGGACCAAAGTGAAGATTGTTTGACGGCAAATATCTTTCGCAAGACGTCTGATAAGCATGAGAAATTGCCTGTTGCTCTGTATATCCATGGTGGCGCGTTCAATAGAGGTTCGGCCATGATGCACAAGACCGCGTCGATGGTGGCCAATGCGCCTGATTCGTTCATCGCCATAAGCTTCAACTACCGCATTGGAGCTTTGGGATTCTTGCCCTCGAGTTTGAGCGCCAAAGAGGGTGCTTTAAATCTCGGATTGAAAGATCAGATTCTCATGATGGAGTGGGTGCAGGATAACATCGAGGCCTTTGGTGGTGATCCCAGCAACGTCACATTGTTTGGTCTTTCAGCTGGAGCCCATTCTGTAAGTGCTACCGTCGCCTGAACAAATCCACTTACTAATATTTAAACAGATCGGACATCACATTATGCATTATAAAGAAGGTGTTGCACCCCTCTTCCACAAAGCCATTATCGAGTCTGGAGCTCCCACATCACGAGCTGTGAGACCATACGATGCACCCATTCACGAAGCCCAGTTCAAGGACTTTCTTCGTGAGGTTGGCGTACCCGAAGACCTTCCAGAGAACGAGATCTTCCCTTACCTCCGAAAGCAACCCGAAAAGGTCATTACTGATGCTCAAACTGCCACCTTTGACAAGTACAATCCTTCACTCCGTTGGGCGTTCCAGCCCGTTATCGACGGCGAAATCATTGCCCGTCCACCTCTGGAAACATGGAAACAAGGAAAATGGCACAAGGTGCCCATCATGACAGGGTTCACAACTAACGAAGGATCACTCTACGTTGACAAGACCATGTCCGAATCATCTCAATTTAGACACTTCTGGGCGGAGCTACTACCTCTACTCTCCTCTGAAGACCTTGACACCATTGAGGAACTGTACAGAGATCCAGCCAAGTTCGAAGACTCAGAGTACAAGGAGACAAGGAAAGACATGGGTTCTCAGTACAAGCGTATCGAAGCTGCATACGCGCACTACGCCTACGTTGCTCCTGCGCGTCAAACAGCCGAACTAGCCTCTCCATCCGTCCCCGTGTATCTCTATCATTGGGCTGCCGTGAGCACTGTAAACAACGGAGCACAACATGCCGACAATATGCGCTACGAAGTGTGCGACCCCAGGGTCGTTGCAGTGTCGCCTACTCAAAACGATCTGGCCAAGACACTGAACCACTACGTTACTAGCTTCATCACAAAGGGTGACCCGAACGCGGTTGCAGGCGAATACCCGGCGAGACCCAAATGGGAGTCTTATGATGCGAAGAATCCCAAGGTATTGAGATTCGGTGACGGGAATGAAGAGCTGATTGGAGGCGATGTTGGGAAGACGGCTGTATTTGATAGTGATGACTGGGGGCGAAAGCAGTCCAAGTTTTGGTGGAGCAAGGTTGATATCTCACAACAGTAGAAAGAATATTAATTTATAAAGAATCAAAATGTCCATACGGATATCTTATCGGAAATTGAAGTTATTAAGAAGCTTGGACTTGCATTTACTAGTAGAGTACAACAAACATGAAATTGTAAAGAATTAAATGGATACTGCTCTGCAGTTTATAGATTTGCGTTGCTCTATGCCCGCTGAATAACCGAAAAGACCATACTACAGAGGCTCGTCATAATGATTTGAGCATGGCTCCCACGTAAGACCTTCACCTGCATTTCCCTATCAATACAACAACTTAAATACATCCTGAACTATGTCTCTATTCCTCCTGTACCAGAATGAAGTCAATAGGGATCTCATCCGCACAGGGGTTGTCTGATTGGACAGTTGTACACCAACCGATAGGGTAGATGAACACGTAGCTCTTTATTCAACAGCACTTATCTATCCTGAAAAAATTTGTTCAGACAAATTTAATATTACTGTAACACTTTCGAATGTCTCAGGCTCTTATTATTGCTTTACATGCCATGTCTGTGACAAACAAAAAGCTACAAGCGAGTCGGCTTCTTCAATGCCAAGGAATATGCCATGTAGACATCTTCTGGATAGTAACATTGATAGCCATAGATGCGATTTTAATATGAATGACCAAAAGAATGATCAATATCTTAACAGTGAGTTAGCTGACGTCAGAGAAGGGTTGTCGACCTTGGCATCCTTCCATGTCAAACACGCCCTTAACCAACAAGTATAAACTGCAGCACAATCCGCAGAGATTTGATAGATGTTTCCCCCTCAAACTATCACTCAACCACATATATACTTTCAATAGCGTCTACCCCACTTGGAATTTATTTTCAGTAGCATATCTTTCATCATGTCTCATCCAGATCTCACTTCCTTTAAAGCGCTGTCGTTTGACGTCTATGGCACACTTATCAATCAAGAGCCTGGTATGATCCGTGGCTTACAGCCCATTCTATCTCGTCTGCCAGATGATAGCCCCTACAAGACGAACCCCCTATCACTTATGCAACGACTTAGTATGTTTTACAGGCGTCTTGCGGTTGATGAGCCGACACTACGTTTTAACATCATCCTTCAACGCTCGTTCAAGAACCTGGCGGACGAATTGGGAGTCAGTGTATCTAAAACAGAGATTGAAGAAATCGGCAGCACACCCGGCTTTTGGGAGCCATTCCCCGACACGGTCGCCGGAATGCAAACTCTCAAGAAGTACTACAAACTCATTGCCGTGACCAACATGGATAACGCCAACGCTGCGGCGACGATGAAACGTCTTCAGCCCGCAGAGTTTGACAAAGTCTATACTGCCGAAGACATCGGCAGTTACAAACCTGCTAAAGCCAATTTTGACTACTTGTTCAGTCACGTCAAGAGCGATCTGCAAATCAACAGAGACCAGGGAGAGTTACTTCACGTAGCTCGAAGCTTGATCGCCGATCATGTCCCCGCGAAGCAACTGGGGCTCAGGAGCGTTTGGATCTGCCGAGGCGGCGATAAGAAGGAATCGTACGGAACAGGCGGTGATTATGAGAGATTGAAAGAGAATGTCGCGTATGAGTGGAAGTTTGACTCAATCGCGGACTTTGCCGAGGAAGTAGAAAGGCAATTCAGGGAGAAGAGTGCTTGAAATGTGGCGTTTGGCTGTGAGCGTCGTATCAATGCATTCCTCATGGACCAGGGCTGAGTCAAAGCAGTATGCACTGAGTCGCTGTGACCAACTGAACCAGATAATACTATTCAGATAACTTGGCACTCGTTGCGTTGGTGTGTCTTCAGCGAGCGGCATATCTAAATATTGATTCTTTTTATTATATGTGCCGTGATATACATATGTATGCATTGAGTGTCATGCGACGATGTGCTGTAATATTGACCATGTTTCAGGTCTTACTGCAAGGCACTACCAACGACTGAGAAAATGGTGTCATTTGCGCATGTGGCATTAAAGCCTCATTCTTACTAGGAAGAAAAGTTCAGTCTTGTTCTAGACTTATCGCATAAAATATGCACGAGCATCAAATGACAAAGAACCATGCAAGTTCACTTGGATGAAACTGCCGAAAAGTCAAAATGAATCTAGCCAACGTCTTTTTGGAAGTGAAAGGACATGGGATTTCTCTAGTGGATAAAGCTATCACTAATAGAGTTAAAGGTGTGCTGGCCCTATGCCTATTAGAGTTTAAAAGGATCGTTTGAACGCGAAACGACTGACTCAATCTTCGGCAACGCCACATCTCGTCGACGATCGTAATTCGCTCATGACAGGTCAGGAACAGGAACGGACGAAGCTAAATAAGTATGAGCCTCGGCTAAAAGTCAGAGTGTTGCACTCGAGTTGGAGTTTGAAGATTAATCGTCCACAATTGATGCTACAAGCGAAGAGACTGAGTGATGGGTAGGATCACCAAAGGGGTCCAGTTTACAAGCATGATCAGAGCTGAAGATGAATCTCCACTCAGCAATGTTGGCTTTCCAAGCTACCAGGTCATCGGATGACAGCCAGCGTCCTGGAAGAAAAGATTGTTTGACCCCAAAAGTCCACCTGTCAAAAATGGATCTGAATTACGTATCAACTGCCAAATCAAGTGCCAAAACAATTCTTTTCTCATATCTCTCACGTTGAAATCTCGGTCAGAGCGGGACCAAAACGCCACGTCCGGGACGCTAGCTCGCCTCAAAAGCCCTTCCCTTCAGTCAGCGCCGGAGAGAACTGCCAGGATGAGGATGGATCTTTAGTGACCCTTGCAACTGCTGTTGGTCAAAAATACCTCCCAAAACCAATATGGTCGCTCAGCTAAGAAGTGAGGTAACATCGTTTCCTTTCCGTGCCTCGTCAGGTTTTAGATCCTTCATCGTCCCTCTTTTTCCTGTCCCTGAAAACCCCCAGAATTGGAGATTTTAATACCACGACAGGTCACTTTCTTTTCTTCTCTGCCTTGCTTGAAGCCATGCAGCTCATCCCCATTTAATAACTTTTTAAAAATGGCTTGGGGTGATCTTCCTAAAGAGGGTCGCACATTGGACCCTCTAGGTGACAACTTGCGACATGGACTGACTGCTGTCGCTACCCTGGCGTTTATCTCATTCTTTTCTGCCAGTATTCTCTTCTTCTACCTCGTCTACAAACTCACAACATGGAGCCTTTTCATCAAATCACAGTCCGATGGACACTTGCAGCAACAAACGGGGCCAATTCAGAGAGCGATCGACTTTTCACTAGGCATTGACGGCATATTCTCCGACAACAATGAAGAAACAGGCAAAAAGCCGGATGGCAGACCCGAACCTCGAAAGCCTAACCAGTTTCTTGTTCTTATCATTAACCTGCTCCTCGCCGATATGCATCAAGGTGTAGCTTTCCTCCTCAATGCCGCATGGCTCCAAAACGATGCAATCCTCGTAGGGACAGCAACATGTTACACACAAGGACTCTTCGTGTCGCTCGGAGATTTAGCCTCTAGCATGTTCATCACTGCCATTGCTGTGCACACATACATGGCTGTTGTGAAGGGACGGCAGACACCACAGAGGGTGCTGTATGGCGTTATCATAGCGATTTGGATATTCGTCTACGCAATTTCGCTTATACCTATTGCAATCACTAGCAATGGTGCAGAGTATGGAGGCTTCTTTGTCCGTGCTGGCAGTTGGGTAAGTTCCTATTACCACATCAGTTCGTTGACTGTTTCTAACATTTACAGTGTTGGATGAATAGGAAGTACGAGAGCTTACGACTCTTCACACATTACCTCTACATCTTCATTGGTCTAGCCACCACCTCAGTCCTGTACACCATTATCTTCCTTCACATTCGCCGTCAAGCTCGCTTACGATCATCGGATGAACACAATGACACGGACTCCGTACACCTTGAACTCAATCGCAACCCAGCCTTCCTGATCTACCCCGTCATCTACGTCTTGTGCACCCTCCCTTTGGCAGCCGGTCGTATAGCAACGATGGCTGGTGCCAACGTACCGAACGGATACTTTTGTTTTGCCGGCGCAATGATTGCCTCCAACGGCTCTTTCGATTGCTTGCTGTTCGGCACTACTAGAAACACTATTATCTTTGCATCAAAGTATGACATTTCCTCAAATAATGTTGGTCTAAGTACCTTCACCTTCCTCAAGACACCTACAAACCGAAGATTCGGAAACACAATATCTATCCAAGGCGGAAGGCAGAAGGATGAAGATGTTCATTCAGGGGGATGGTGGACGTGGGCTGCAAGGGGATCTAGTTCCGCCAACAGAAGTCACAGAGGTATGACCCGAACTACAAGTCAAGAATCCTTGAGGGGACCGGCTATCCAGATGGATACCGTGACATCGGTGGTAGTTGAGGTTGATCATACTACGGAACGAGACCCTAGATACCCCGACACAACCACGAGCTCCAATCCGTCGCTCGTAAGCTCGGAGAAGGACTTTACAAAAGTGGCTGAGAGAAGTTTGGATAGATACAGATAATTTAACGATACCCATAGAATTAATACCACGATTTGAACAACATATCTCTTTGAGTTGACTATTGCATGTTTAAGTTGTCTTGGCTAACAGTATTGTTGAAGGTGCTTATAAAGGCAATGACACAAGACAGAATGAGAGGGAAGGTCTGTATTCACTGCCGATAATGACTGAGGATGTGATTGGATGATGCAGATGTGGAGGTGAAGCTTGTCAGACTCTGCCCCGCACATCTCAAGGCAAGCTCCTACTATGATGCTAAGGTAGACATTGTCGTCCGAGAAGAAGTGCCTTATACCTTCTTTATCCTTCTTAATAGCTTCCCTCTCTTCTGACATCTCATCGTCATGGCGTCGGTCTCGGTTCTCCGTGGCGCCGCCATCCATTCTCTCAATCTCGAAACTCTAGAGTTCATCGACAACGCAACACTCGTCATCACCAACGGCCGTATCACAGGCTTCTGGAAAACAGCGGAGGATGTCCCCGAGGATGCCTTCCCACCCAATTCAGAAATCTACGATCTCAGCTACGGGGAGTTTCTTATCCCTGGCTTTGTCGACACCCACAATCATGCCCCCCAATGGCCGATGCGGGGTCTTGGCCAAGGCCTTCACATTCTAGACTGGCTCAACGAAGTCACGTTCCCTGTCGAAGCGCGTTTCTCTGATCCCAAATATGCGAAAAGAATGTACGAGGACACTGTTCAGGACTTTTTACGTCAGGGAATCACGACTGCTTCATACTATGGTTCACGACATGCTGAGGCGACACATATTCTGGCCGATATATGCCATGCCAAAGGTCAGCGAGCTTTCGTTGGAAAATGCAATATGGATAGAAACGCACCAGACTACATTTGTGAGGAAAGTGCGGCTGTTTCTCTCCAGGAGACGAAGGAGTGCATTGCCCATATCCGAAGCTTGAAGCCTGATCACGGTACCCAATCGGGGTTGGTGAAGCCTGTTGTTACACCAAGATTCGCCATATGTTGCACAGATGAACTCCTCCGCGGGCTCGGGGATATGGTTCAAGCTGACGATACTTTGACTATGCAAACGCACTTCAATGAAGCTCAACAAGAGATTGATGCTACTACCGAACTGTTTCCTCAATTCAAAGGCAGCGAAGCGGATCTCTACCAGAGCTACGGCCTTCTTAACAAGCGGAGCATTCTAGCCCACTGCACTATTATGAGCGACTACGAAAAAGAGCGACTGGAGGCACTCAAATGTGGCATTGCACATTGTCCGATAGCCAACATGACTGTTGGTGGAGGCTTCATGGTTGCTCCAATCCGAGACTTTCTACGTCGTGGCATCAAGGTAGGCTTAGGTACAGATAGTGGTGGGGGCTGGGCATCCTCGATGTTAGCAGTCATTCGACAAGCCATGATAGCATCGAATGCAAGAGAGGTATTTTCGGAGGGCAAAGACAAGGCTCTTTTGCTCGAAGAGGTCTTTTATCTTTCAACTCTTGGTGGTGCAAAGGTTTTATGCCTGGAGAACCAAATTGGGAATTTCGAGGTTGGTAAAGAATTTGATGCGACATGGGTAACTACTACCAAGGGTCTACAGTCAGCCATGACGCCAAAGGAACCTGGAGATTCGCTGAGACACTTGTTTGAGAAGTATGTCATGACTGGAGATGACAGAAATGTCGCCCATGTTTTTGTGAGAGGTCGCCGAGTAGCAGGCAGTCGGGATGAACTATCCTAGCTCAACTCTCCGGCCGATGAGCCTTGGCTTTGAAGCAATAACTTCTAGAACAATGGAGATCTATGACCTTTGACAGTTAAGTCTCTTGATTTTATCCTTGTCTGCCATGATATAACAGCCGAAGCCCCTCATTGTGATGAAGATGCACTGTAACCTTGTATATAGACTGATTTCCCAATATCGTATATCTTGCGGACCAAAACTCATCCACTAAACCAAGTTTCATTGGAGCGCATACTCGTGAATAAAGAATGACATCTTGTGATTTGTGGAACTGTTCGAATATGGTTGATCGGCAGTCAAAGCTCCGGCTAAAAGATACTCGATTGGGATTCCCCGGATCTGCAAAATGCAACATCATCGTTACCGCCCCAATAACTTTTAATAATTGACCATGACTCCGGTGGGCTGGGAGTCCGGTGGATAGAATCCCCGGTGGGATTGTGATGCAATGGTTGATAATCGTTAATTTATACAAATTTGAGTTGCTAGTGCGTCGCGAATACGTGATACATGAAAGTACTACTTAAAGGCTGACCTCCAACTGTTCCCTTTGAGTCCCATTCGGTGTCCTAGACACGATCGGGTAAATAAGCACTTCATCATGATTCTGTTCAAAACTACTACCCTTGCCACGGGCATTATCTCGTTAGCCCTTCCAGTATATGGCCAGGCACCCAAGATCGATGATTTGGCTAATGCATTTGAACTGTCCGACGTGTCTCTGACTGACAGTCGATGGATGGACAACCAAGACCGAACGGTCAACTATCTCCTCTCCATCGAGCCGGACAGACTACTCTATGTGTTCCGAAAGAACCATGGCCTCGACACCAAAGGCGCCACAAAGAATGGCGGTTGGGATTCACCAGACTTCCCTTTCCGAAGCCACATCCAGGGTCATTTCCTCACAGCTTGGTCACATTGCTATGCGACACTGGGAAACAAAGAGTGTGGCTCGCGAGCTAGCTATTTTGCCAAAGAGCTCGCAAAATGCCAGGCTAATAACGCAAAGGCTGGCTTCACCAAAGGCTATCTCTCTGGCTTCCCCGAGTCAGAGATCGAGAAGGTTGAGAACAGGACTTTGAACAATGGCAACGTTCCGTACTATGCCATCCATAAGACGCTTGCTGGTCTTCTCGATGTCTATCGCCGTGTCGGCGTCAATGAGGCCAAGGATGTTATGCTCTCGCTTGCAAGCTGGGTCGATACGCGCACAGGAAAGCTGAGCTATGCCCAGATGCAGGAGATGATGCGGACCGAGTTTGGTGGCATGAACGAAGTTCTTGCTGACATTGCATACTACACTCAAGACAACAAATGGTTGAAGGTCGCTCAGCGCTTCGACCACGCCACCATCTTTGACCCTCTTCAGAACAACGTCGACAAACTATCCGGTCTTCATGCCAACACCCAGGTACCGAAGTGGATCGGAGCTCTTCGCGAGTACAAGGTCTCTGGAGACAAGAAGTACCTCGACATTGGTCGCAACGCCTGGGACTTGACCGTTCACAAGCATACCTACGCTATTGGCGGAAATAGTCAAGCTGAACACTTCCGCGAGCCAGATGCTATCGCTAAGCACTTGACCAATGATACCTGCGAGGCATGTAACACGTACAACATGCTCAAACTGACCCGTGAACTATGGTCTTTGGATCCAAGCGACGCATCGTACTTTGACTTTTACGAGAATGCCTTGATGAACCATCTTCTTGGTCAGCAGAACCCCAAGGACAACCATGGCCACGTTACCTACTTTACACCACTGAACCCTGGTGGTCGTCGCGGAATCGGGCCCGCTTGGGGAGGAGGTACATGGAGCACTGACTACGATTCTTTCTGGTGCTGTCAGGGCTCCGGTATTGAGACGAACACTAAGCTCATGGACTCTATCTACTTTCACACGAAGGATACTCTCTACGTCAACTTGTTCACGCCTTCAAAGCTGAATTGGTTGCAACGTCAAGTGTCTATTACTCAAACGACCGAGTATCCTCAAAAAGACTCTTCCACTCTACAGATTGGTGGCAAAACTGGCACATGGACTTTGGCAGTGAGGATCCCATCTTGGACTTCTAAAGCCTCTATTCAAGTCAACGGGCAAACTGTCGATGTAGATGTCAAGCCTGGAAAGTACGCCCTTGTGAAGCGAAGTTGGAAGTCCGGTGACAAGGTGACTGTGAAGCTGCCCATGAGTCTACGTACAATTGCTGCGAACGACAATCCCAACGTGGCGGCTGTTGTATTTGGTCCTGTTATTCTCGCTGCCAACTATGGCGACTCTTCTGTCAACGCTATGCCAACTATCGACCTTGCGAGTATTAAGAGACAGGGCAAAGATGGTCTGATGTTTGAAGCAAAGGCTGGCAGTGGGCAAGTCAAGCTGGGGCCATTTTACGATGCTCAAGGTTTTAACTACAACGTCTATTGGAAGACCGAGGGTAAGCTTGGCCAGGGTACTATGTAAGGTTGATCGATAGTTCGAATATTATAGAAGGTGACGGTATAAGAATCCTAAACTTGCTATCCCCCATAATTCAATTGTCAGCTATTTTCCATGGGCCGGTAGAACTGTAGGTCTGTAACAGCAGGATCTAGAAACCCACATCATTTGCCTTTTGACTTGCCTATTATTGATAGTGAATGTAACTACAGCAAAAGTGCCTAACCAATTGAACCTGATATACCCCTGCAGGATTCGTCGATCCATGCAATTTTGCCATGAAACCCTATCTACGTATTTAACGAAGACGGCCTGCTCCGTGCCGCGTGCCTTATTCCTGCTTACTATACATTCTTTTGTCGCAAAATGCCACGCGACTTTGGGCTGGACTTGTCTGAGGTAGAACTTGACGATTTGAAGCAGAATGTAAGTCGTCTCAATTCTGATATCTTTTTTGTATCTAATATTCATTTCTTAGGTGCGCCAGAAATCTTGGCACAGCTCAAAGAACGACGGAAAATATTCTCCGATTGGCGATGATGACAACAGTATTGTCTCGCCCTCAATACGAGATCACCCGACTAAACGCCTGAACCAAAGCACAGAATCTCTTATAAAGGATTCATCAAGTACTAATAAGCAATCTTACTGGGAAAGCTTCAAGGGCCCCGAGGCCCCCAAAAAGGTTTGCGAAAATGGCATTTGGGCCGTCGTGCGCCACCTAGCCTTATTCCATATTCCACCCATCGGCATCACCTTGGCTCTTCTGGGACTATACATCCACAAAATACGGTGGGGTGATTTGACCGAAGAGCAATTGAACTTCTTGCAATTTGCAGCTAAGGCTCATGAGATATTAATCTTGGTGTCGTTGACAGATATCTTGTTGCAACGAATATGCTACAGTCTCCTTTGCGAAGATGAAGGGGTTCCACTGGGCCTTCTATCGTCGCCGTTTCAACTCGGATCACCGCTTCAGTATTTCTTCAGCTGGGAATTATGGGCTGGCCTTGTACAACCAGGCGTCAAGCCTAAGAAGGCGCGATCTTGGATCACTGGCATCGTGATAATCGTTACAGTTTTGCTTTCCGTTGCGGCTGCTCCACTATCAGCCATTGTCATGATTCCTCGCGAAGGGTGGTGGCAAGTCTTTTATACGCCTGACGATGACCTTAGGCACAATACCTATTTTAAATCCAGCATCTACCCGACTGATCTAGGCAAGAAACAAACCGATTTGTATGTCATACAACCGGAACCTAACTCCATTCTTTACCACCCTGAATCAGCTCTTACACCCATACTCTCAGACATACCTGCAGCCAGCATGGAGATTAATTTTCAGCGACTATCCAACATCACATATACAAACTATGAAAAGTCGTTTGCCTCGAATAGAGTTATTTCATTAACTCAAGCCATTCCTGATGTCGTGCTCGACCTTGCCGTTGCCACAACGCCAATGGACACTCTGGCTGTAAACGCTCTAAGCGTCTGGAACACTCGTGATGAGGAGCCAAAGGATCTTCTCGTCAAGTCTTACTGGAGGACTCTCGAAACGCCTTCTCTTAGAAAGTGGAAGCAACCTCTCGTGGCTGTGGAATGCGCATGGAACCGGACAAGTGGCTCCGAGTCATATTTCAGCTTTCCGTCGGCCATGTCCACCGACGAGGTGACCATGACTTTTGATGACGATCCTGAATTCAAGGATTTCGTCACCAAGGCCCGGAAAACGCCCAAGAATAAATTACCTGATGTCAGATATCGAGCGTGGGCGCCATCGGACAAAGCCGATGCGTTGGTTAGCGCCAATTTCCTACTCTTGGCAGAAGTACCAGAATATTTCGATAACGGCACTCTCAAAACCTATGAGTATTCACCACGTACTGAGACTAGCGTGGGACTTCATTTGTGTCGTATTTATGCTCGTTGGGCAGAAGTTGATCTCTGGGTTGAACGCGGGAAATCTAATCTTGTACAGAGTCAGTTCGACCACTCCCTGTTCGACATTTACAGCCTACTCGGGGACTCTGCAGCCAAATACGAGCCCATCAAGATGCATAAGGAGTGGTTGGAGGCAGTTGGTCATCGAAGAAACGAGACTGGTCAGGTCGTTGCCGAACAGGATTCAATTTGGGATAATACTATTGATATTGCCAACGATATTCGGGCCCGCATCCCCTACGCAAGCAACGAAGATGGCAATGTGTTTCTTCAATTAGCACTAGGAGTGCATCTAACTGATATACTCTCCCGGATGGGCTCGGACTTTCTTGATCGCAAGGGAATCCGCCCTTCGGATGTTGATGACGGCAAGCCCCCTGGACCGAGCGATTATATCCTCGAACAAAACCTCTTCCTCGGTGGTTATGGCTACAGTATTGAAAGTAGTAACACTATCCCTCTAGCACTTGGAATTCTACTCTTACATGTGGCCATTGTTTTCATTCATGCTTTCATTATCATCTTCTTCCGACATCGGTGGCTGAGTTCTTGCTGGGCGAGTTTTGGACAGGTTCTTGTGCTGGCACTACGCTCTGAGAAGCAAGATTTGGGAAATGTTGGTGGTGGAGTGGATAGCTCACAGACATGGAGCACTTCAGCGGTAGTAAGGGTATTCGGAGTCGGTGGAAGATTGGAGATGGTGCTCAACAATACAAGGAATGATAACGGGCTAATACAGGGGGAAGGATATAAAGAAGAGGGCGGCAGCACTGGGTACACTCGCGTTGAGCCAGGCGTTAGATATCGCTAGGTATCAAGGGGAATTCTGTTCCTGCGACGTAGCTGAACCTAAATACGCATCTCAGCAACGGAACAATGTTCAATAGGGCATGGCTGTGACCAAGCAATCGCACAAGTAAACAAAGATTGTAGATTCCTACTACGTCAAACACAAATTATACCCGGGAGAGCACCAAATTCCTTAACCCTTGAGTCCATGATAGCCCTTTTAAACTCTCTTCGTGGAAATCCAGGCCCCATCGCTAAACACACACTAATGTTGCATAGGTTCTCTAGCAGAGTATTCAGGCTTACCCGTATCTTGGTACACTTTCCCTTCTGTGCAAGGATATCCGGTGGGAAGAAGTTGACAAAGCTCCAGCTGTCTGGTTGTAAGGGCCTCGGCTCGTCGTTACCCATTGCTTCACCAAGATCCAACTCGAGGGTATCTTGAGCTACAACTCGAGCATCCAATCTCCCCAACTGTTGTTGGATACCAGCAGCACTAAGAAACCGCAGTGCCGTTCTATCTGTCGTTTTACAAGTGCTCGTGAGGTCATCGCCTGCAAAGTCTTGCCCGCGGTATCGTCCTCCCCACGGCAAGAGTGCAGCGAGCTTGATATCTTGCGATCCAATACCAGTGATCCACCTCAATTTTCTCGTCATCGCTTCTCGCTCGTCCTGTCGTAATGTTGCGCCGAAAACTCGGGTCTCATCTGAGAGAGGAAACGGTGAGTCTTGTGACTTTTTAAGGAGGAGGAGACCCACGTTAAAACACGAGTGAGTAAGTCTATATGTAAAAGACGTTGGCGAAAGAGGTTTAGAAGTGTTCCATGGGACTGGACCGAGTGATGGTAGGAGCGTTGAGGGTGGTAGATAAGGAAGTTCCGAGAGTGTAGGATCTTGCAAATTCGTGTATGCTATTGTTGAATCGCCCATGGCATGTTGATATTGTGACGAAGGATGTGTTATCAACATGGTGTTCTGTTGATCAATGTTCATCATGTCGGTCTGCAGAGGACTCGAATGGAAGGAAAGTTCTGACAACCCCGTGTCTTGTGTTGCAGAGACACCATCTCTGCTATTGGGTGAAGCTGCTTCAGCCATGTTACACTCTTCAGGATCTCCAGCTTCTTGAGCTAGTGCAAGTACATGAGTGATGACCTCTTGAGCATTGGCTGCCAGCAACGGGTACTGGTTCAAGACATCCTCGCGCAACATCTTGTCGGTGAATGATACTATCACAGTGCTCATTCTCTCTATAATACCTTCTAGGTGCTTCAGCCGCTGCATGCGAGCTGCTTCGGCAGCTTGTCTTCGCTTTCGGAACTGCTGTTGCGCTTCTCTGTTTCGCTCGCGCCGACTCTGTGTCACTCATTAGTTCAAGTGGCTTTTCCTTTGACGTAAGATGCCCGATCACACTCACTTTGCTGGCTTCGGAGCTCATTACTCCAAGGAAGTTTGGGCTCTTACCCTGAGGCATAGTGGAAGCTATCGTACTGTTGAGGGGACTTGTTTACGTAAAAAAAGAGTAGTTGAATCAAAGATTAGTGAACGTCTCCGAGAGTTTGATTAAAACATTTGAATGAGGGCCAGGATTTGACTGAATATGGGTCTATCCCGCGCCATAAGAATGTTTCCACGGAGCAAAACAGCGGAGAAGAAATCCGATACTGGGTGGCGGAGTAAGCACACACACTGGATCAGCCCTCATCATCAAAATGAGACCCCTGTTAGTTTAGGAGAATACACTTGGTCTGACAAACGGACGCATCAGCAGAGACAACAGCGTTTGTTTGGCTGACACCTAGCGCAAATCACAATCTTGTGTTCAGCGCTCCCAAACTAGTTGCAAGTTATGCAATAAATCGAATCCTTTCAAAACATTAACTGACAAACTACAATTATTCCGCGAGTAAACTTGCTGTCGGCGTTTGTAACCCAAACGAGTATGTCATGATCGAAAAGCCCCACGATCTGCCTAAGACCTCGGCTGTTACTCATTCGGGAGAAATTGGAATTTGCCAAGGATTTATGAGTGCAATTTTTGTCAAGGCTGCTTACTTTGTATTGAGGTACCCTGACTAAACCCAGGTGGACGAGTCAGCCGCGGTAGGCGAAAGGCGAGGCACGAATCGCGAGACATGCGAAAATTCAGTTATTCTAGAGTCAGAACCTTGATATCAATAATCTCATTTGTGTCTTGGTGTGTATTTGACCTCCAACTATTATCTTTTAGCCACGGTGTCAATGGATATCTCTCTATATTTATCGTCAGGCTTGGAACTGCGATATTTTGGTGCAGGCATGGATAATCTACTACGACATTTTCCATTGTAAAGTGTGTCACTCATCGTAACATCCGACGTTCGTCGAACCCAATACATGAGCAGGGTACAGTACCATCACATCCGCACGGCACTCACTCCCGAACCTCCAATCCTGTTTCCCATGCATGCTTGGCTTGGCATGCCATCGCTTGCTTACCGCGTGCCGCGTCTAGAACGTAGAACGGATGCACGGATTTACTACTCGGTCCGGCGGCTGTCGATTCCTCACTGCTCAGCCTTAATATCAGACAGACTCAGCCGCTACCATATATAGGGCATTTTCGAACGTGTTTCTTTCTGAAGAACATAAGCTTTGCGGGGGAAATAAGCACTACCCTTGCTCATCTCCCGTATTTACCGTTACCTTTCACTTGGCCGTGGCCATTGTTACTATTTCGGATACAAGACCTCAGTCATACGCATCTATTTGACAACTCTTTTGAGCCAAGTAAAATTGATGCTATATATATATTCATCTTACACGGCTTATATCGCGTACAAGGTATCCAACATTGCCTCATACATTTTCTCAACTTCCTTTCGACGTACGTTTCCCTTGGTGATAGTTCGAGGCATAGATCCTTGGGGAACAACGACGATGTACCTCGTGTGACTAACCCTTTCATGCTCATATCGCCTCTTGTGAAATGGCTCGATCCTCTTCAATATTTCCCCCTTCAGCTTCTCCGCTGATTCCGAGTCATCAACTGCCTCAGAGCTCATGATTGAATTGCCCTTCGGCTCAACCATGATTGTCGGGCAGGGTCGTCCCATTCCTACCACGATAACAGCATTGACCAAATCGTCGCCACAAGTTTCCATAACATTGAACTCGATGGAGGCGGTGTCACATCGGAGGGCCGACTGCATTTTGATCCAGTTGTCATTCCGGCCCTTACATAAGTACTTACCAGGCGAAGGCTCGATAAACAGGTCTCCCGAGTAAAATTTTCCATTGGCGGCGCACAGACTAGGGACGGGACAATCTGGTGACTCTGGGAGACATACTAGCTCCAGTAGTGGCTCACCCGACTCCAGGCTATCCCCTATGGGAACAAACTCATACTTACTACCAGATAATGGCAGCAGGTAGTCGGTATTCTCTCGAGCATCGGATTGCATAGGCATACCAAGCTCCGTAGATCCAAGGACGTTAAGCATGTGAAGGCCCTGGCTTCGTCCCCAAGCTACATCTGCAGGATCTGGATCCAACCCTCCAGACCCCACGCAATCTGCCTTCTTGAGTGATGCAAGAAGGGATGGGTCGTTACGAGCTTGCCGGATGATGGCGGACATAAAGGGTGGAAAAAGACAAAGGTTGGATAAGCCATGTTCATCGAGGAGATACTTGATCTCAGATATAGGCTGGGGCATTACACTTGGCAAGATGACACAAGACCCTTCTCTTACAGCGAACCATAAGATGAAGGATGCAGCCATATGGCAGAAGCTCCCACTAGCGAAATATTAGCCGTGATCATATATACAGGTATCTAGTGCCGAAACTTACATGTGCGAGCTGGTCATACGTTCTCTGGACATGTTGCACCCGGCTTCCCAAGTTCCAGACTTTCGAATGATGTGGTCTACCCATTTTGCAGTGTCAGGGACAAGTTTTGGAATACCCGAGGTCGATCCAGAAGTATGATAGATGAACACTACTTCGTCAGGCTTGGTAGGTAACCAAGGAGCTCCAGGGGGCAATTCTTCCAGACTCGCTTTGAAACAATCATCGCCACCCCGGAAGATTGGCAAGGGTGCATTCTGGAGCATCGATTCGAACTGAGGTTCATACACCAAAGCCACAGCCTGGCCATTTTCGAGAAGCTCATAGACAACAGTTGGGTCAGTCATCCGAAGGGAAATCAGCTGAGGGATGTAGCCTGCCCAGCTGAGGCCCCAGATATGGACTGCATCCGAGTAAGAGTAGCCTCTAAGCCTAGAGATTATTAGTCGAAGGAAGAAGTCATTAATGTGACAGACTTACCAGACACCAACAACTGCCCTGTCCTTGGCTCCGACTTGAGAAATCTGATTCTTCCAATATCTTGCAGACAACTCAACGTCCTTTCGAAATTGAACTAGAGTGACATCCTTGAACACTAATCCCTCAGGTGATTGGTTTGGGATCTTCAGTACAACGCGATTGGGGTACTTTTCTGCGCTTGCTTGAAGGGCTGATGATGGAGTTTCGAAGTTGCTCATTGTGATTGATTGACAATTTGGAACAATCTAGATATCTTCAGTTAGATGGACTGGGAGAAGCGGTCTTTAAAAGTATTCGGTCACTTTTGTAAAGTAAGCGCCAATGATCCTTCCGGATATTCGGCCTTTTGTAGTCTAGATAATTTCGCCCTTGTTCGAGTGGTAACCTATTAGGCACTGAGATGCACTATCGTATAAACCGAAATCTATGTAAGTAATGATCAACAATACACATGAAATGCTACACTTGTGCTCTACAATTCCAACGTTCTACCTACTTCATTACCAAGGTTAACAAATTTGGGAGAATGACTAGAACACGAAGCATATAGGTATCTATCTCATGTTGATATGTTTTCGCTATGTCTATGTCTTCATTGAGAGCAAGCCTCGGGATTCTATGACGTTTTAGTTCAGAAACTAATCTGCAGCATCGACTAGGTGTTCCAAATGGCAAGATATTCTAAGCACTTAATAACCGAGCTTATTCGGTTGTCGTTTAATCGAGCAGATATGGTTTAGCCTATTTTGAGCTGTTTACGTATGGAACACGTAACGTATCAGTCGACGCGACAGAACCAGTTACGCTGGTTTTTTTCCTTCCTCTTCAGGCTTGCCAATAATTGATAGACTGGACCTTTTGGATTTATTAATATACGTTGCATGATCCTTCTATCATCAACAACCAATTGTAAACCTGTCGTTAGGCCCCCAGCGTTGCAAGCAATACAAAAGTTACCTAGCCGACTAAATCTCATCGTCGCTAGACGTGTTTGATGACGAATAGCAGGGATGCTCACGTGGCGTCTGTTTGTTATAACTCGCCATCCCTAAATTAAGCCACCTCGTCTCATCTCATCTCATCTTGATCCCAACCATCATCAACAAACCTATCAAAATGAGCGAAAAGATCACTCCCGCAGACATTTGGGCCCAGCCCCGGCCTAAATCACGCATTAACAAATGGAAGGTGTTTGGCGCAGGCGCGCTCACGGTTGCTGCTTTGCATTGGCTCACCCCTCGCATGCCAGTGCACTGCCCACATAGTCACCATCCCCACAGTCAGCATACGACGTATGTGGGTGAGAACATCGAATGGAAGCCGTGCGGGGAGATTAATAACCGTCCCCTCGAGTGCAGCAGCATTGACGTGCCGATTGATCAGTTCAATCCTGATGCTAGCAACAAGACCTTCAACGTAGCCATTGCGCGATTGCGCGGAAAGGACGGAAGCCCTAATCTGCTGCTGAACCCTGGTGGACCTGGTGGCAGTGGTTTCGAGTTTCTTCATAGAAGGGGAGAGCAGCTCAGCACTATTGTCGGCGACGGACTTCATCTCCTCACCTTTGATCCCCGTGGTATCAACTCGTCAACCCCGCTAGCGTCATGCTATCCCACGAAAGAGGCGCGTCAACAGCTCGGGTCCGTTCACGATTTGGACATGTCAAAGGATGGCCCCGAGGTATTCGCTTGGACACATAACTATGTCAGGGCTTGTGAAGACACCATGGGCGAACATGGAAAATACATCAACACTCCCCAAACCGCCGCCGACATGAACAGCATTCTCGATGCTGTCGGACAAAAGGATATGTACTACTGGGGTTTCAGCTACGGAACTCTCCTGGGCCAAACTTATGCCACTTTATTCCCTAAGCGATCTCACAGAGTCATCATTGATGGAGTTGTCAACCAATTCCTCTGGTATCAAGCGCGTCTTGATGGAGAGGACCTTGTTGATACTGAGAATGTTTTTGACGGTCTACTTAAGGAGTGCTTCAAGTCCGGAGATGCTTGTCCGTTGTTTTCGATGGCAGACTCTTGGCAAGGTCTCAAGAAGAAGTTCGTCTCTTTCGTCGGCGATCTCAAGGAGCAGCCAATGAACGTGTATGTCAACAACAGCGTGTACGGCCTACTAGACTATCAAAAGATCTGGTACGGAGCGCTGTTCCCAGTGCTGTACAAGCCTGAGAGGTGGTACATGTTCGCCGAGAAGATGGAACAGCTTCTCCGCGGTAACGCGACGCCAGCTCTAATGGAATATGGACTTGACGGTGAAGGCAATAGTGACGCGCTCTACACTGTTTCGCTGAATGATGGACTAGCGGGTCCTGAGCACTGGCCGCAGGATCTGGACTCTCTTCTGGAGATTGTCACGCCTACCTTTAACCGCAGCGTTTTTGCCCCAGACGATCTCGTTTATCTCTTCGCCAAGCAGCAATGGCGCATTCCCAAGACACACAACTACGTTCCACGTAACGGTGTAGAGACTGCCCATCCTCTCCTCATCTTGACAACATCTTACGACCCTGTCTGTCCCCTCGTCTCAGCTCGAAGCGCCCTTGCCGCGTTCAAAGATTCGCGCCTTGTCGAGGTCAAGGGCTACGGACACTGCTCTGTTGCAGCTCCATCGCTTTGCCTCGCTAAGCACGTTAGAGGATTCCTCTACAATGGAACCTTACCTGCTGCGAATGAGACGCAGTGTGAGGTTGATGGACCATACTTTAAGCCAAATGGGTCAGCTACTGTACAGACTTTTGAGGATGCTGAAGATCAAGCAATTTATCTCGCGCAGGTTGAGTTGGCTCGAGACGGTGATTGGCCTCGACCCGCACGCTTGTAATTGACTGCGTTGGCCATATAGTTCTGTTAATTTGATGTACTGAATCTGTTGCTCAGATTCAATCACGTAGGTACTGTTTTTGATCTGTGCGTAGTCAGCGCTTTGGGGTAAATTGATTAAATTTCCACCTATCGTGTTTGTTGTATACGCAAGACCCTTGAATCAATATTAAATGAATTAATAACTGATACTGAACTAAATTGCAAATTGATCGTTTCTTTCGTTGTGATGCATGAATCTCTTATTTTTGTGGGGAAGAAAACAATAGTGATGGCGTACATACGCTGCCAATCTTTGCATTCTGACCATGGGCTTATGTCACTACGCCACACAACTTCATCTCCACGAGACACGAAAAACAATAGGTGCAAGACATCATGATAGAACACAGCACAGTTTTGCGTTCTAGGATATAGATTGGAAGGTCACAAGGCATCAGATTGCGGCTCATTGCCAACGATCAACGATACGAGCTATGTGTACCCCTGTTTTTCCAACCTTTCCATTAAACAGCACCGGTCGCGTGGCCCAATGGCAAGGCGTCTGACTACGAATCAGAAGATTCTGGGTTCGATCCCCAGCGTGATCAATTTTTGCTCTTTTTTGCAATTATTCCCTCGATTGATTCCTTGGCCATTTCTGTACTTTCTTACCAAAAAGGCCAACGCCGATCGATATCCAGTATCGGAGCCTTGAGTAAATTAGGCCAAGTTGCGATGAAACGTGATAACACCATCTTCCAACTGCCGTCATCCGTTAGGTCCGGGAAAAGGCTTTCGGCTAGACGTTGAGGTGGATATTTAAGCTTCCCCCTCCCCATTGCACGCCGTTACCTACACCCGTAGTCAGGTTCTATTTACTTTTTGGCCCCCTAGCACGAAACTACAACGCAGTCTAATCATGGCGCAACAAACACTCACCCACGTCCCATTCCTCTACCGCTTCGTGTTCCTCTGGTTCGAACCAGCAGCCGCATTCTTGGGTTCCATACTTTTATGGACCGACCCCGCGCTGATTCTCAACACCATGAGCCCTGGAAGTAGATACGCGCCCGACAACCGAGTCATGTATGACCAAGTTGCGGCAACATACACGCTCTTCGCATTTAATGAGGCTGTCCTACTGAGAACTACAAACGATTTACGCGTCTGGCGCACTATTATTACTGGAATTTTGATATGTGACGCGCTGCACATGTACGCCAGCTGGGCTGCGCTGGGGAGCGTCTTCTGGAACCCTGGAGCGTGGAGATGGGAGGATTGGGTCAATTTAGGGAGCTTATGGGGTCAGGCTGCTGTTCGTGTCGCTTTCATGGCAGGTGTTGGGTTGAAGAAAAATGTTGGTGTCAAGAAGGATTAATGAGATGATATGATACTCGGCTTGCTCATATGATGAGAGGCTCTAAAAGGGCCACTATAAGCTAGTGGCGCAATGCATTGATGCCAGTATTGGCACCTATGTGTGTTGGGACACAGTCATCATCATTGTTACAACCCAACAAGTCTTAATGCGCGTGAGGTGGATACCCCTGCTTTTTCCTACTAATAGATAACTACTTACCCTGTAACATTTAAATGCATGCTATTTAACTTATGTAATAAACAGAGTCAAACTAACTGTATTTAACTTGCATATTGCTAAGTATATATAAAATCCTTTAAATTCTAGATAGAACCTAGCTTATTAGCTATTAATAAAATATCTGTACTTAAATATACTTAACCTGCTCTATTTGTTGAACCGAAGCTACCCTGTACAAGTCGGTTAGCGGTTCATTTCAGCCAAAGGAACCTCAAAAGGGTTAAAGGCAGATTCATCTGACTAGGAGAAGCTAGAAAAGGGATAGCGTAAGGCATATACCCAAAAAGAGGGGAAATTGTCAGGCCACATAGCGAACAAACAGACAACATAATCAGAATACAGAAAAATTTCCACATACGGGTTCAACATATCTCACGTGCGTTACGACTTTGTTGAGTTGTAACAATTTAGTAGCAATGTGGGCTGATTCTTGGTTGTGTCGTCCTGGCGGAAGAAAATGTGAAAATCAAGGAGGCGCATCAAAAACTACACGATAAAACATCAAACCCTTCGCAACCAAGGTAGAGCACAGATCCGGAAATTGCTGGTTGGTATATTTAAAGGTAGGCTTGCATCCTCTCAAGTGTCGCTGTAGCTAGTTTAAACAAATACATAGAAAATTCCGCATCAGGATCAATACTTACCTCTAATGAAGCTCGGTACGCTTCATCCATTAGCAAACGCTCTGCTTTCTCAAAAACTTCCTCTTGCACCAGACTGGGCATTATAAGCGCAAGGGCACAAAACCATATAAAATATTATCAACCATATCTTTGCTGCAGCTAGCAGCATAATTGCCTTGGACTTTGCATATACTGCTGCTCTTCCTCGAATCATCATCCAGGAGGGGAATAATATGGCTAGGCTAAGCACAGCTGTACCACGCATAACGTTGCAGGTCTCCCGGCTGAGCAGGTTCGAGAGAGGCGGCACTGACATATCCAAATGGCGTGGGAATAACGCCAAAGCATGAGCAGCCGCCGTCCATCGCATGGCAGGTGACTCCTCCTCTAGACAACGAACAATAGAAGCCAGTCCTTGCTCGACTGCCTAGTATGTCTTGAGCTCGCACAGTGCATGTTTATTATATTCTGTATCTTCCATCTTGGCAATTTTCCTTGCCGACTCTACAACATTAAGGCCACTTGGGACACACCACAATGAATCGCCAACTGCAAGGTCAGTGAAAAGAAACAGAAGATTGTGTCGGTTTCTGGTGACCTGATGGTCGATCAAAGAATACAGAAATAGGTATAGCTTTGACTGAGGCACTGTAGTGGGTAGCTTGATGACAGATTCTAGACCAGCATTCGTCAAGTGCTGTTAGATAGGCATCCGGGTCGGTGGATTGGAGTTCTCTCAAGGAGATTGGCACAGCGTAGGCTAGGCTGTATGCGTCAGTGAATTGGGACCAGTTGATGCAATGGAGTCCGACTAGAGGATCTGTAGTTGGCGTTGACATACTCTTGGCTCATGAGCTGTACTTTCGAGAAGTTGCGGCGAAGCAAAGGTTGACGGTGTGAATTGATCACCTCTTATACTTTTTAGCTGGAGACCGTGTGGGGCAATGAGGTTGCAGACACTCTTACAATTAGTATAGATTTTCAGCTTCACACAAGGTCTGGTCTTCAGAAATGGCCTATCGGTCCGTTCCCCCGACCTTTAGATTTCATTGGACAAATTACAGTTTAGACAATAATTCATGGCTGTATCAGGCACAACCTGCTGTAGCCCGTCAGGTCTTTTAAAGTACCTTTGGCTCCTAGCAACTTACTGATACTGGCGATTGATACTATTCACAGATCGATATGTCAAAGGTTGAAGGGACTGAAAGTTGCTTCTTGCTCTTCAACCCAGTTGGCCTGGGTATGCAATTTCTCTGACGCTAACCTCCAAAGGAATATGCTAATCTCACAAGCTCCCTTTCGCCATCGACGATGGCACCGACTTTGTCTCTGGACATCGTTGGCTCAGGTATACCCTTCCACCACCTACCGGTTTCACACGTCCTAACGTAAAACCAGGCTATCCAATTCTCAGGGAAGAACCCACAACGCACATCTTCTCGGCCATAAAGAGCATGGACAAACGAAACGTTCTTCTGGCACATAGGAAGTGCTGCGGTCCTCCACCAGCCTGTCTACGTCGGAAATGTTGACCTAACCACGAGTAGAACATGCTAGGATAGAGCTGTATGCCTATGGTGTCGTTGTATAGGCTGGCGTAGCATTTGAGTTGATTCATAAGCTGATCCATGAACTGTCTACTATTGCTATTTATGTAGTCGAGACTGCCACAGCGAGGTACAGATACCAGAGGTAAAGCTTCGAGCTCTCTCTAAGGGCTATAAAGCCAGCCGGGGGCATCGCACGTGGAGCACTTCAAAATGTTCTAACATAAAGATATGGCGAGGCGGCTAGGAGATAGGCGAATGGTGAGACGACAGCGTCATTTTAGGGCAACTATAATTACAGAACGATTCCCGTGCTCATGCCGACACGGTTATTGTATGAAAATAAGAACCTAATGCATATTTACACTAGGGCAAATATACCAAAACGTAATAGTATTATTGCTGTTCACTTCCCCATATAGTATTTTAATTCCATGCTGCGCGAAGGGAAATAGCGTCGTGCTACGATTGTTCACTGAGTCCACAAACGTAACGCTGGGCCTCTGCGGCAAGGTACTCATAAATGAGCGAGCAGTCACAACCGGTATATTGTAAAAGCTTCATCTTGAGCTCCTGGACCTCACGAGTCAAGTTGGCTACGTAGTTGGTCAGGGCATGATTGGTTCGTTCCAACTCTTGCTCCTCTGACTGGGCTGTTAGCGTATGTTCTCGCTTCTTAGTTCGGAATGTGCTGGCCGCAATATGATTCCTTTCTTTTATATTTTGGCTATGGTTCTCCGCTGTTGGTCCAAGTGCTCACTACCATGGCGGCCGTAGGTACCGCATGGTCTGTTTGAACGGTCAGCACCTCTTCCTCCCGTTGCTGTATTGGCTTTGCTGTCTCGAGAGATATTTCGTCTCAAAGGCTTGCAAGCTGAAATTTCACTTGAGCAACGTTTCCGCTTTTGACGCCCCTCTTCAGCCGGTAAGGGCGGAGATGGAATGCCTAACTGGTGAGAGGTTTGGGGAGATGACGTCTGAAAGACTGAGGGTGTAACTGTGAAGGTGGCGGAAGGGTATGGATCACGCTAGTGATCCAAAGAACTGGTTGCGGAGTTAAGCATGGAATCGTTGAACAAGAATTGACTCTGCTCGTAAACGCTCGCTAAAGTGCTTCCTTCTGTCGACTGTAGAAGGGCTCGTTGGTCCATCAAACACCATTGCTCCCACAATGGGTTGGAGGAGACGGATAATGTATTGAGAGTATCAAAACCCAGATTATTTCTTATGAAATCTACTGCCATAGATCCTCCTTCACTCATTACGTAGTTGTCTGGTAGGTTGAACAGACATAACAGCTCGTAGCGGTAGAACGTGGAGCTACGAGAATCGTCTCTTACCCCTTTTTAGTTGTTATTATAAGGATTCAGAGTGTTCATTAATGGGATTTATTTATAGTAGCGTCTTTGTTGATATGGAAACCAATTTTAAGGAAACTGGATGTTAATTCGTGCCCGAAGTCGGTGGCAGACGAGCCACAATTGAGCTGGAATGGATAGACGTAGGCATGACGTTACCGACAGTAAGTCTTGATAAGGAGGGGCCGTTACCATGCTTAATGATGACCTCACTGCCTACATTGCGGGCCAGCTTTGTATTGTACCAAATCTCGCTACCAGAATAACAGTGTATCTGATAGTCTGGTTCGTGAATTGAACTAGCAGCGACTACCAAAGGTAAGGATGCTATCTTCCTCTCGCCCTACCTATGCTGCCCTTCATGGTACGCAAGAAATAGTGTCGGCGGAGGTGATGATAGTGAAAGAACCGAGCTGTGAATTGACTGCGACGAAAATACCTCATTCGGTGACTATGATGAAAACATGAGGTATTCGTCTCTTACCTGCTTCTGATCAAGGATCATCTTTATCATAGCTACGTCCCCGAGCCGACATGATGACGATCGCCTGTGATTCGTGCCGGAAACGAAAGATTAAGGTATATGCAGATAAATCTTGTTTTATGTACTTCTTTAAAGGTAGAATAGTCATCCCGCTAAGTCGCCAATGTATCCCATTAGTACTGTGGAAAAGGGCTAGAATGTAGAGTTTGCCTTAAAAGAGGTATCCAGTGCCATTACCAGGCTTCAAATTGGGCCTTATGCATTCCGGAATGGAAAATACGATGAGGTGCAAGAAAAACTGAAAGCTTACAAACAATTTTACCACCTCCTAAAGTGTATGCCGGAGTAGGAGGCCCTGGACATTCTCCGCAAATTTCGCAATGGCGCGCTGATGTCAGATATACTACTTCATTGCGAGTTTCCATATTCCATTTCCAATACCGGCTCCTCCGATGCCACTCAATAGTCAAAATCTGGGCTTATTAATACACTAAAATGCATCTTATTCTCTGCCGTACTGCATAGAGCAACTGGTAGATTCAGGCAAGCTAGTCTGCGATCGGATGTACGACATCGTATAACGCGGTAGTATTAGTATACCCTTAAGTTAAGAACATTTGATACCAGCAATATTTAGTGTTTTGGAGGGTTACAGTGGGAGAGATCAGCTACTACAGTTATTTCTCCGTCAGATAACGCTGACTGGCTTTTCACTCCCGAACAAACTAAGGTTTCGAAAAATTGCCAATACTTGGTTGCAATTGCCAAACCCTAGATTACCCTCACTATCTTCGTTTCCTTCAGACTCTCTTCCATTGAAGCCTTAGAAATATATTCGCATTCGAGCTCGACGACGAGTCTTGGAACGCCTTTATTTGATCTTCTTAATTGACTTACTCTTTGCATCGTCCCAGATGCAAAGGTGTTGATTTGCTGTCAGCCGAACTGCTGATACGCACTATCCGCAAAAAGTTCTACCGTTACACGCATGTGAGAGTAAAGCACCAAGTTGAACACGATAAGCGTAAGGGCTTAACTGAATTCCTCCGAGGTCTGAGTCAATCACATGTGGGTGATCCTAGTGCTGCGCCGCTCGCTGAAGACGGTAGTATCTTTCTCTCGAGGCGCCGGCCCTCATCTTCGTGGTCGCCAAGGGACCAACGGTTTGCACGAAGACATTGTTAGCACTATGGAAGACGAACGAAAGATTGCATCTGTTCTTAAAGCGTTAGACACGCTTCTGGATCGATGTGAGGAAACTGCTTGTAAATCGAGTAGAAATATCCTTTATTAGCTTAGAAGCATCTTCGTCGAGACTTAAAGCTTATTAAGCGTGTTGCGTAGTAGGCCTCATCACAACAATGGGAATAGGTGACTTCAATGTACCACATAATGCCAAGACCGTACCAGCTTGTAAAGCAGGCCCAGCAGTTGGAAGCAGCTAGATCGGTAGATTAAGATAGCAGAGGGTCTCACATGCAAATGAAAGGTAAAACGAAATTGCTCCTCTGACCACTCTAGTTTTGACTTTCTGGCCCCTCATTGGTGACTGGCAGTGCAGCTGTTACATGGGCCTTAGAAGAACAGGCAGTGCGAATATTATACAAGCCACGAAATGAAGGGGCTTCATTAGGGTTTAAGTTGAGGAACCTGAACTGCATCATGAGAATGACGGGGGATTAGCTCCGCAGACTCCATAAGTAGACAAAAACCACATGAGAGGCGCAAATCACAGCAGGCGGAGTCAAAATCAAATCCTGTTTTATTCAGTTAAACACAGCGCATGCTTGGCTTGGATATGTTTGACGGAGCGGTTGCTCAAAGATGACGAATGCCTAATGACTGCTGGCTGATGTCACAAAACACATTGTCATAATCTCCTCAACGGACATAGACATGACGCAGTCCATTTATTCTACATTCTAAATAATAAAAAGCAACTCTTGCTCTCCAAAAGCAAGCGACATCTGCTAGGTTGAAACCATAGTACGACTTGATCTGTCAATTTGAGAACCCAACCCTAGCTAAAAGTCTTCACTTACGAATATATATCCGTAACCAGTATCATTATGAGTGGACCAGCCTTTGTCGTTATGCCCGTCCAAACCGGCGGTGCTCAGCAATCCGAACAAGCCCCCATGGAGTGTAAGGCCTGACAAATCAGTCAAAAGTACCATTCGTTAAGTCAATAGCTCACAGCGTTTATGAATAGTGGCTTCCGCAATTCAACAAACGATAAACAAAAGCAGAAATCCAGATGACCACAACCTGCAAGAAGAGAGAGGGCCATTGAAGGAGCTCATAGGTAAGATTCAGATACGAAACAACATCAAGAAGGCAATAGAGTATCGTGCTGATAACTTCGATCCAACAGCTTACAAAGACAGTCTCTACAAGTACATTAATGTAGGCTATTGATGGCACTCACCAAATACAAACCTGATTGCTAATATATGTCTGCAGTGGGAGGATCCAATTCGCACCTTCGGATCATACCTCAGTGCTCTGAGCGTCCTATTCGGAGCACACTACCTACCTCTTACACAATTAGTTGTGAAGACCGGAGCGGTCATTCTTGGAAGTAAGTAATATCATCACTGCATATGACTCTGGAGATAAACACGTGTTGACTCCGGACTATTAGTAATATCTCTCACTGAATTTGTTAGCCGGCAATTCGGCCCCAACACCTTTCTCTTCCGCCTTCGACCCAAGAAGTATAAGAAAGTCCCAGAGCCCACCCTTGATGCCACGCTGAGAGACATTCATGACTTTATCCAGTACGCCGTAGTCCAATCACAGAAGATTATCTATGGCGAAGACCTGGGTAAAACCTTTGCCGTAGGTTATAACTCAATACTTACCGTGTAAATAAAACTCTTGGCTAATATTAAGGCAGGCTTTCCTCAGCTTCACCAGCGTGTTCTGGCTAATGAAAGTTGCATCTCCGTTCCTGCTAGCCGTGCTGAGCCTGACCTCGCTCTACATCGCTCCTCTCATCAATTCGCCCCAGGGACGTGCTGTAGCCCAGGATGCAACAGCGCGTGGTAAAGAGCTGGCCAACGAGGCCGCTGAAAAGGGTAAAACATTGGCTGAAGATAGCAAATTCAGGGCAGCGGAGTTGTCTTCCAAGGCGCGTGAGACCTCCGGAGGCGTGCAGCAGCACGTTGGAAACCTGACTCAAAGCGGAAAGCAAACAGCCGACGATCTGTCTGACCAAGCCACTGCTGAGAACGCTGAAAAGCTGAGCGATATGGGGGTCGACGCCATCAGCAAGGCCCCAGGCATCGCAAAGCCTAGCTCCGATGATGCGGAGCAGGACACCTGCAGGTCCCCATCAAGCACCTTTGACGGGGGCTCTGATGACTATAGATACGACACAAGTGGAGCCGCAAACAATGCCTCGCAATTTTCGGATGGCATCTACGGCACCCCGAGGCGGATGGCGCCTCACAACAACACCGTCAACAGAATCCTCTACCCAAATACTACTACCTTGGAAAATCGGGAAGATGCGGCATCTTCCATGTCAGGCCAGACTGCCGGTGGGTAGATAATTTTGTTTCTAGCACGCACCCAAGAAGGCAGTAGGAGACACAGCAGCCACACACTTGCTAGCATAGGGGCTCTAGCTAGGCGGTTAGTATGGCGATGATCACATCGTCATACTATAAGGGGCCTATAAAGACAAAAAATAGCCCGGAATAATACATGTTCACATGGAATTACAGAAAGCCTAAACATAGTCTTGAGACGAAATTGATCATACCCTGTCATTAAGTCTTTCCTTGTGTCTTTTATGTTAATACAAAAGGAACAGGTTAAAGTATGTCATGGTTAAAGGAAGCAGTCAGCTAATCAGTTGCAAGATTCCTCTCGAGACAGCAAATTCCAAACTAAAAAGCGAGAACATAGATTAAGAGCCCAGTCAGAGGAGCAAGAGCTGGAACGAACCAATCGCAACCTGTCTATCTCCAAGCAATAGTTCGTTCTCTCATGGTTTTCATCTAATGGCCCGAGATGGTATATACCTGATAATACCACCCATGTCATAATGGATTTCACAATTCCCATCAGACACGAAACACACATAATCTGAAGTTACCAGGTTTATTGACTGGGAGGACAAGTCCGTTAATTAATAACTTTCATCCAGCCTGTTCGGACTTCCTATCCGGCGTGATGGCCATACTGCTTTCATTCTCATTCGCCTCGAGTGCCAACTGATCATACTTCCTGACCAGATTCTCTATCGTCCCCATCTGCCAATCCTCTTCCAGCGTCACAATTGTCACCGGAAACGTCGATGTAACAGAGTGTGGGACAAGCGGTTGGTCGTCCTTCCACGTCGTGTGTCGCCGCAGTGCGTTCATGTCTTCCTTCGTCATGCGGTCCTGTATAAGCCGGCACATGGTGGACGAGACGAATACGTGCTGGCCTTGTTCATAGAGACCTTTAACAGCGAGGAGAAGCGTTGCACGCAGAACCTTCAGAGTTTCCACATCATCCGGGGATACCGAGTCCCTATTCAGGTTCTTGATGGTCGTATTTGCTAGGATGGAGAGGAAATAGGTCAGGTAAGTGTCGCCGTGCTCGAAGCTATGGCGTAGGTAGTAGAGGCGAAGTACAGTTTCAAGGCATCTTAAAGCGTATACAACAGCCTTAGAAGGTTGAGTGTTATTATTAATGGCTTTACCACCTGTCAATAAGCGTGGCGGCTTCATCTCTTGTACCATTTGGGCGACATTAAGGAGTAGAACGCAGTACTCCATGCTGCCTATATGTCAGCCTCGAGTCCTGCACAATATAGTCTTATTGTCTTTTTGAAACTTACTGCATTGTGAGTTGGCACGGTAGCACCGCCTTGTGCGACTTGATGGGTTCTGGGAGAGCAATGTACCAGTCGTTGAGCACCTTTTGTAAGCGGTCAAGTTCGCTTGCTGGCAAACTCTGCGCTGTTTTTTGGCCCGTAAACATAAGACAGGCAATGTCATTTGCAATACGGCGTAGTTCTGTTTGAGCTCGATAGACATATCCAAAATGCATTGGTACCAGTGTCAAACTGGGCGGGTATCTTAACCAGAGTTCCCCAAACCACGAGGGATCCTCGTCTGGGTCTGGCATAGGTGTCACTGGAGGTCCTCTTATCAGAGGAGCCCTCATATTATGGGAGGCCTGCAATCTATCGCCTGTTCATCAGCCTCTCCCAGATTTCGTAGAACAAAGAATAAGAAGACTCACGATTGCCAGCGATATAGGGACCAAGCAGTAAATACACGGGCAGTCCTCATTCTCCCTTCCGTTTTCTCGGGTGCAAAAAGCTTCAGGTTCTGCGCCAACCGAACCGACTGGAGTAGATAAGATATGCCGACCTGATCCATCCCATTCATGGTATAGATGATATGCAACACCATTGCGGCATGTAGAGTAGTGAGCTTGCTCTTACCGGTCTCTAACGCCCAGAGTCGTTTCGTCTCTGCGAGGAACCTGTAGCCCAGAGTTTCTGGTCTCCAGTACTGGGCACGGCGGGTGACTTTACGATAACTATGCTGAGAGAGATTTAGCAAATCCACGTGCTGTTGAGTTCTCATGACCTACGCATGCTTCAGCCAGGACAGCGTTGACAAGTAAGGGAGAACAAAGTTGAGTATCGTTGTCTCTCATTGCTTGGAGAAAGATGTCTTTCTGAAAACAAGTGTAATTCGCATAGTCATGGAGAAAGTATTCTCGCAAGAGTGCTCGCAGCAACTCATCGTCTGTCTCAACTGATGTCCAGTTGGAAATTTTAATGTTCGGTATGTAAGGGTCCATCAATTCTGCTATGTTATACGGTGTCGTGTAGATGGTCTTAGACCCGTTTACCCAAGCCTCCGTTTGCTCTGCTGACAGCGGCAGAGCGTGAGACGTAACTTCGAACACTGCGGAGCCGAGATACGGGTTGTCCGGTGATAACAGAGCAGCAGGCATGGAAGTGGAATAAGGAAACTCATAATGAAGTCGTGTCTCTGGTGCCCATGCTGGCTGCAGCGGAAAGCCGCCGTCTTTCGCCTGTTGCATAGTTATGGCAACATCGGCGCCCTCGCGAAGCCTGCGAAAGATACATTGGGCTTCTCGCTCCGGTAGACACGTCAGAAGATTGCAGAGTTTCTCATAAATACTGGGATTTTCTTGCATTTCATCGTATTTCCGCTTTAGTTCCCAGTTTGAAGCCTGATAATGGCATTGTATACCCCTGTTAAAGCAACTCCTGCATTTCGGACGTCCGCCACAGCACTGTGTGGGAGAGATGGCGAGTTAGCAGAGCCGGCCGGACTTGTCAGAGTTTTAGGAAACATAAAAATGTGAAACTTTGCACATGCCTTGGCCTTTAGCTTCCGACATGACTCGCAGGCGATCTTTGTCTGCTTGGCTCGAGGATGGACGTGGGATAGTAGAGGTGGTCTCTGGTCGGAGCCAGAGCTAGTGCTCTCAGAAGTCGAAACTGGAGCTGGTAAAAGTCTATGAAATCCAGTGACACTCGAAGGCATACCGTTGTTGTCGAAAGATTGAAGTGGAGTGGAGGAGGGCGTTTAAGAGTGCGTAACACCATTGAGAGCAGAAGGGGACTTGGTAAGAGTGGTACAATTTGACAGATGTGAACAAACTCGGTAATGACAAGGAGGTAGAGAAACGGGATTTGCCACCTCTATTTATGCGACTGGCGAATATAATGCTCTGTGTCAGCAACACCGAGAGCCTCTCAACGTAATGAAGCAGGGCGGGGTTTCCGCATAGGGGTAAGTTTGTTCCAGGAAGTGACGTCATATGCACTCACGCCATAACGCTGTCAACCAACAGCATAGGAAGAGAGCTCAAGAATCAAGCCGAGGGACTTCGACAAGATCCTTGACAAGGATACTCGAAGTAATGGTCCATTCGAGGGCCTCGAATACCCAGGGGTTAGCGCTGTTACATAAAGCTCTCTCCTCCTGCCGGGGAGGGGTTGACAAAACCCATAAACCCGAGTTTTTACTATAATTCGGTCAATTCGCATGTTATAATTAATATGAAAATGCATGTCTGTATCTGAGAATTTAGATATATAACACCCTGACTTTGTGCGATTTTTATTCACTTCTGGATATATTATAACCAACCTACGCCGGTATGTTGTTTTACGGCAGTTCATGTGAGCACTGTTTGGGGATTTTGTGCAGCCCACCCCTGTCGACTAAAGAACAAAGCTATCATTGCGTTTACTATATCTAGTAAGGAATAAGATCTATTACGATAATCCTGGGGTTGGCTTTATATACTTATGAGATTTTAGATATATCATACCACTTATCGCAGGTGAACTAGAGTTCGTCAATTGCCCCATATTCTGCTAACAAGGGGTAATCAAAATCAGGAGTCTTGAACAACGGCTGGCCTATGCGACCGTGTATTGAAGGCGTGATTGTCACTCTCTTGAGATGAGTGAACCCCTGCAAGCCATATTTGAATGTTTCAATGTAATAGTTCGATTGCATGACATCGCGCTGGTTTTTCAAAAGCGGCTTGTACTCATCTCATGCCTCGTCAAACCTCGAGGTAGTATGAGGGAGCTCGTCGTGATCACCAAACCCGCCATCTGCACAACGCATCGAGAACCAACGAGGAATGTCACTACAAGTGAGCTCGATAGATACGTCGTCGTCGTCGTTGTCGTCGTTGTGGCCGGAGGAGGAAGCATTGTTAGTATCGTCGGAGGCATTACAGTCGTCGTCGTCGTCAGAAGTGGGGTTAGAAGAAAACAATAGATTTATTGCAGTAAAGGTAAATTAGGCAGGCACGGATAAGGTTTGGACAAAGTCACTCACCTAAGGCAGGTGAAGCACAATCTTACTCAGGGTGTCCGGAAAATTGACCGCTGGAGGCATTAGAGACGGAATCAGTAGGTTAGTTTATGCTACCTAGACTAATTGGACTATTCTTCTTAGGCTGTTTATTTATGTATCTTCAAACTTAGGGTAAACTTTTCTGTTACCTAGCAGGCAGGCACAGATGATCTATTCCACCTCACGTGAGCCAGCCACTCATTTACGTAGTCTTACTTATTAGCTAAAGAGGAAGCATTGTACGACATGAAGTTGCGTTGGCGTCATCGCTGACACCCTTAGACCTGTTTATAAAACTTAAGCTGTCCTCAAAAGAGTCTAAACAGACCTCGATTTCCTGATTTCCTAGCTTCGATCCACGAGCTAACCCCGCAATCCGCCATGTCGATCCCAAGTATAAGAGCGACGACATCATCCAGCCATGACTTTAGTTGCTACTTTACTGAAAATACAACTTGCCGTCTCTATCCCGATTGTAATGGCACCGTTTATAGTTGTTTTGTTGACAGTGATCTATCTTAACTTTGCTTTGGGCGACGCCTGTCCTGTCTTTACTCAACAGCTCAGTGATCCTCCCTATGAGAATTACTTTTACTCTGACTGCAACACCGATGCCCAGGTCGTCGTGACCAGCCCTCTTCCCGATAGCAATTTGTCAATCATTGGTCCTCGACTGATTGTCGCATGGCCTGCAGGAAACAGCGGAATATGCACCTTCTTCAAGCCTCAGAGTGAAAAGAATGGTACGCTGGCAATCGAACTGATTAATTCCACTGTCGGGTCCCCGCTTGGCGTTATCAATCATATCGACGAAGACTCAGAGTATCCATTTGTTGGAATTGAGGGTGTGCTATCGTTCAACACCTCGGCGAATCTTACAGTGGCTATTCTGGGGAGCATCCGGAACATCCGCGACTTTACTGAGGGGCCCAGCATCCTTAACCCTGTGATCCAGAATGCTACCAATATTACAAGAGCTAAAAACGGAGGTGTTTTGATCTCTCGGTCATGGTTGGATAACGTCACGACTACGAACCTGTTGCTGGAGCCGTGGGAGAACAAGCAAAGTAGAATCGCTATCGATGACGAGACTATCAGCTTTGGGGCTGGTTTTTACCGATTCGCTGCTTCCTTCAACTACCCTCAGCTTAAACAGTTATCACCACAACAAGTCCTCAATAACCAATCCAAATCTCTAATGCAGAAAGAAGAGTCTCAAGTCCGCTCTCTATCATTCTTCTCCTATACCGATAAACTTCTTGCCGGCGGCTGGCGGTTCCTGACTTATTTCGGTCGTGACACCATGATCGCTGCACTGTTACTCGAGCCTGTATTGAGTGCAGGCAACAGCTCGGCGCTGGAAGCGGTGATCGGTGCAGTTTTAGAGCGCATCAACCGCACAGACGGGTCTGTCTGCCACGAAGAGACTATCGGCGACTACGCCACGTTTCTAAAATTGCAAAAGGGCATTGTCTCGACCGCGCCGGGCTTTACATATCCGATGGTCGATACCGACTTCTTTTTACCAATTCTCATGGACCGTTACTTCAGCGCATTGCCAGGCCGAGTCAACCCGCTACTCAGCACCAAGGCAGGTGAGGTTGATGTCGAAAATCGGAACTTGACATGGGGGAATCTGAGCTACATCAACGCACAGAAGATCATGAACATCACAGAGGCATTTGAAGAGGAACAGGTGGTAAAGAACTTGATTCAGCTCAAGAAAGGTGAGCTAGTTGGCCAATGGCGAGATTCAAGCTATGGCCTTGCGAATGGTCGGATACCTTTTGACGTGAACTGCGCCCTTGTGCCGGCAGCACTCTATGCTATCTCGAAGCTGTCAAAGATACCGGGTGTATACCCAAACACCTCCGAGACGAAGGAGTGGAGCAAGATTGCGGAGGGAAGAGCAAAGATATGGGAAGACAGCACTTTGCCACTCTTCCAGTATAACGTCACAGTTGATGAAGCTACTTCATATTTGGAGGATTATGTCGATACAAATACCTTCTATGATGGCCCGACAAACTCAAAGTCGCTTAACTATTCATCCTCCGGACGAGTAATAGATTATGCTCTGGCCATTAATACTACAAAGGACCAGGAAAAAATACAGATCACCCATACCGACACAGCATTTCATCTGTTTCTCCTCAATTCTACAAACAACGAGCAACTTACGACGTTCCTAAATGCCACGGCAAACGCTATACTCCGCCCTTTCCCTGCAGGTTTGAGCACACCATTTGGCATCGTCGTAGCGAATTCAGCCCTGGCAGATAACAAGGAGATCACCGCTGGCTTCACAAACTCTGCTTACCATGGTACTGTGGTGTGGAGTTGGCAACTAGCGTTGATGGCCAATGGACTAGAGCGTCAACTTGCAAGGTGTGCTTCGTCAAAGGACAAGAATGATAATGCTCCAGCATTCTGCACTGAAAATACTGTGCATAAAACTGTAAAGCTAGCATACAATCACCTATGGGACATTATTGAGGATAATAGTGAGAGACTGCAGTCAGAGGTCTGGAGTTGGAGCTATAGCAAAAAGGGTGGCTATCGGTTCGCACCCTTAGGAACCTTACCGCCTCCCCCTGGATTAGGGTCAGGAACAGAGAGCAATGTTCGACAGCTCTGGAGTCTGACGTTCCTTGCTGTGAAAAGGAACAAGCTCTTCACATGAAGAGGGTTGAGCTTGGATGATGCGACACAGCTTAACGCTTGCTGCCTTGCTCAGAAGGTTCCAGACGTGGATTTGAGGAAGAATGTCAAATTAGTCGGGCGCTTACCAAATTCAACAATGGTTTTTAATCCAAACAAATATCTATTTCTTATAAACCGAGGTCCCCGAAACTCAATCAAGCCGCCTCTGAAAGATCAAAACATTCGATTCGCTCGTCTCATCACTATATCTTGCGGTCGTCCTCGCATAAAGTGTGAAACCATTCCTCTCGACAACTTCAAGTAACGTCAAAAGTTTCATCTGTGTCTCGTCTTCGTCGTCGTGGCCAACGCTTCGCCAAGGGAATCCTTTAAACTTGATCTTGGCTCGTTCCGCTGTTACTTCATGTCTTTGGATATCCTTTACGAAAGCGGCAATGACATCGTTGACAAGATCACTTGATGGTGAGTTGAGTATCTTGAGCTTGTCGCCACCATGAAAGGAAATATTGACCCATTCACAGGGAGGTAGAATGTGGTATTGTCTGCGGAACACAAGTGCGTCTGAAACTTTGAGTTAACATGACATCCTCACTACAATACAACATTTTCTTCCTACCTTTTGTTCTGACTCTTTTACTTATCTCGATAGCAGAATAAATCACCCAGCCCATATTGTATAACGCTTCAATCATGCGTAGGACTAGTAAAAGTGATTCTTCACAACCGTTTGGATCATAACCCCATGGGTACCCTTTCAGCTTAAACTCCCTCGATTGCTCGCGAAGATAGACAGCCATTATACCTTTCCGCCAATTCTGATTAACTACTTCATGGATCGCAGCGACCTCTGTCTCGGAAAAGTTTATCATGTTAATACGATCCAAGGCGCTCCGAGTAATTGTAGCAAAATGGTTTCCGGTACTTGGAACATTTTGGATAGCTTTCCCGAACCTCGGTGGCGTTGGACTCGAGGTAGATGGCTCGGCGTAGTCGTAAAAAGCGGATTTGGTTTTCTCAGACATCTTGGCAGTTGTTTTTGGAAGAACTCAAGGAAACAGATAACATGTTGGATGTATTTAAAGGTCGTTCAGTGGCATCACGTCAGCCACAACGATAAGAACCAAGGTCCTACAGGTGGAAGGATTGGGGTCACCAGGTTGAGGCGGTGCGGGGGGCTATGCATCAGAGCCAATGAATGAAGGCAAATGACGCGTGAGAAGCGGCGCAGAAACAACAGTGGGTGAACGTGATACTGTTTGAAAAGGTCAGATTGAGTCTAACCATGATGAGGCGACGATACTTTGCCATGATGTGTGGCGCCCACATAAGCAGACAAACACTTAAAGGACAGAAACGACGTCGGGTAGAAGCTGTGTCTATTCACCATTTTACTTTCCAATCGAGATAGAGTCTTCCACAAGTAGACATATGCGGGCTTATCTGTCCTTCTCAGCTAATCGGAGCTCGTGATCATTTGCGCCCTTCAGCGCGGGGTATAATTTCACCTTGAAAGCATTTTATTCAAAGTTGCATTAAATTTATTTATTCACGTGGCAATAAAGTGTAAATTCCATCTTCAACTGCTTTATCGATCTCCATTTGTAAAAAGCACCTTCAACCCCATCTTGAATATGCCGACCCACGAAGACCAGAATATAACCCTCACGGCTCGATGCCTCTGCAAATCGTCCACCTTCTCTGCTCAATTGCCTCGGAACAAGGTGCCTCTTGAGGCGTCCATGTGCCACTGCACGTCGTGTCGAAACGTCACTGGGGCCATGTACAGCAGTGACACAGATTGGCCCGGTCCAATAGAGGAAGTCCTCAATTCCGAACTCAAGCGTTACGAGTTTACCTCGAATGTCCGTATCCTGTTCTGTGGTACCTGCTCCACGCCATTGTTCTGGCACCAGCACTACCAGAATAAGCCGCAGAGCATTGGTGTCTTCACTGGGGCTTTGAAAGACGTTAGGGTCAAAAATCTCGTCAAATTCGTGGACCAAATATTTGTGGGTGACACTCAAGATGGAGGCATTTCTCCATGGCTGTGGAATGTTAACCAAGATGGTTCGAGACTCCGACTTTGGAAGGGTAATAGGGATATGAGTGAAGAGTTGAGTGACAACTGGCCTACAAGTGCGGGAGGTCCTGTTCCTGGGGCTGTTTCAAGGGACAGTATACCTATCCGCTGTCGCTGCAAAGGAGTACAGTTTATGTTCCGACCAAGTAATGTGGACTTTTCCGACACGGCCCAAAACACGATACCTTTCTACGTCGACCCAAAGTCACATAAGCATCTAGCAACATTAGACCCATGCAGCTATTGTCGACTATCTGTTGGGGTTGACGTGATGAACTGGACATTCGCCCTTCCAGCGCAAATCGAATTCGCACAAGATTCCAAGGAAGGCAGTTTCCCTCGAAACACTCACGAACTGAAGGACGCTGTTCAAAGTCCCAACCGGGATCCTCGATATGGTACTCTTGCCATGTACCGTAGCTCATCAGATGTTCAACGATATTTCTGCTCACGGTGCTCTGCTTTGGTATTTTATACAGTGGATGACCGCCCGGATGTGATTGATGTGGCGGTTGGACTTCTCCAAGCACCAGAGGGAGCCAGAGCAGAGAGTGTCCTGGTTTGGCATCTAGGGGCTAAGACTATGGGTGATGAAGAACATGGAGATAGCTGGAGGGATACTTTTGCCAGGTCTGTCAACGAAACATCGGAGAGGTGGAGAATTGAGAAGGGACATCCGAAGACGTGGGCCAGGCTGGCAGCTGAAGACGCCAAAAACGAATGAGTTGTCGCTTCTATGTACATGGGAGAGTGAAAAAGAGGAAAGAATAATCCAAAAGATCCAGCTTGGGGTTGACAACTTAAATACGTGAAGGCAATATTTGAAGCGAAATGTGTAGGATGGGTCCCTAAGTTTAACAGTGAAAGAACTTTTGAATGCTATTTATGGTTTCCTTCCATAAACGACATAAATAGGCCACCATCCATGTATAGCTCGGTTCTTCATATCTCTCCTAACATCCACCAAGAACACCTCGACCTGCTCTGCAGTCCAACCTAAAGCGCGAGTGAATAAAGCAAGGCTCAGACCCGAAGCTCCATTACCGAGATTCTCATAATTCCACAAGCCTTGGTCGCGTATTAGTATGACTCAAAACCACCAATTCAAATGTTGAAGTAGACTCACCCATCTCCTTGAACTTGGGATCACGCGGCCAAGGATTAGTTGGCCACTTGTAGATAGTTTCTACGACATCTACGAAGCCCGCATCGAGTAGCTGCTGTTTATATCGTGTACAGCTGTCAAGATGGGCTCCGAACTTGTCAGCTGCTTCGAGCATCAATTCGCCCCATCTTGCCGCCGCACATCCCTCGGGAATAGTATTGTCGTCAGAGTGGAGTTGGAGAATGATATCTGATAATTCAAGCCAGCCACCTGACTCTAGATTGCTTTTGGGAGTGAGATAAGCTCGTTGTGAGAAAGACAGGGTCCATGGAACACTGTTAACTTACTCGTAGCTTTGTTGGATAAACTTTGGCCAGTCGCGAATTGATCCTGTCATCATGCGGGCATAAATAAGGTCAAACTTGTAAGAGAACGTCCACTGATCCTCTATGTCATCAATGTAAAACGTGAGGTTAGGAGGAACGCTAATGTTCATGTTAGTAAAGGTGCAGAGACGAAATTCGCAAGATCTCATACAAGCTGGGTTGCGTGGGGCTGAGATCGATGCCAACAACCTAGCGATAAGTTAGATGCTGTCGCTAGTGAAGGATTTTGCGGCTAGTCCTGCGTAGTTCTAGATTGATATATCAACTGGATTTCGAGACCACCTTACCTGTGTTTCGGGATGATCTTCAGCTACAGGCACCACACATCGTGAGAAGCATGCTCAAAAAGCCTCATTAGGATAGGGAACCAACCATAATCAATAGCCCAGACGCCAGTTCCGGTTCCGGCATCTAAAACCCTTCGGTGTGAATTTGCCTTGTCAACTGGCAAGTTAGAAAGTTTGCCATCAAACGTGAGGGTGAAAAGCATATGCTGTAGGTCTATTTTTTGTCTATGTTAGAAGGATGTTATCAGATATGGGCTTGAACATACCTAGTCTTTCATTCTCTGCCTAATGAACCAGAACGTAAAATTAGCTAGATATTCCTGATTCTTCCCTGCATGTATAGAACGCAGAGTGCTTGTCAATAACTCGTACCTCATCGTTGGGTAGCACATATCCTTGAGAATCAATGTTAGTCACATATCCCCACGCAGGGTATTTTCAGTAAGTAACTGACTTCCTTCCTTGAACGCATGATATGATCTGCCATTTTCTTGACGATGTCTCATAATACTCGAAGCGAGTGACTCTGACGAACTTGCTAGGGACTATGAAAGTATTTTCAGTGTGAGACTAACATTTAAACGGGTGATTTAGTACTGGCAACAAAAGCCAGACATACCAAAGCAAGGGCTGAGTCGGCGTCGCTATCGGTGTCATCTTGAGACTGCAACCAATTAGGTTTAGATTAGTAGACAATCTCAACAGGCTGATATTTGTAATAGTTTATGCGCAAGGACTGTGCACTTACATCAGCCACCAAATGATCAGGATGATCGATGGTGTCTTCTTCTTGATGCAAATTGCGAGAAGAAGACATGATTATCCTGTTCTTAGCATGCGTCAAATGAAAAGGAAAGGTGGAAAGGTTAATTTGGAGTTGTCAGTATGATGTGATGTCAGGCATTTGTCTATTTTTCTCCCCCGGCATTTGAAATTCGTCTGTCTTCATTGATTGGAGACGGAACAGAATAGGCCCGGAGGCTCACAGTGTTCGCTTCCAAAAGAAGCCCTGCCTGCATTAACATTGGCAGGGGATGGTTGCAAACCCTCGCGTTCCGAACGGAGCGGGTCTGACGGAAGACTTTCCCATTGGTATCGCTGCATATCCACAGTCTTAAAGTGGTAGTGATCATCGTGCTCGTGTTGTTCGACAACACCGAGACCAAGTTTTCAGGGATGCCGATACGTCCAGTCAGGGATTAAACTCAAACTTGACAGGTAGTTTTATACACTGTAGAGCATCCAACAGCCTGGAAACGCAAGCGAGGTCAACTTGGAGCGGGGCTTTGGATGAAAACTGAATGGTCTGTAAGGCACATGCAAAGATACATATATTCACTCATAGAGGACATGTGCTTTGCGCGCATGCAAACAACCAACTGCATCAACCACTCTGTATTGGTTTCTTCCTTCTTTTGTCTCTCGATGGGTCTTCTCCAACTGGACTCCAGAGCTTTTGCTCTTGTCGGTTTGCTGGTCTTTGCTGTATATGTTGTCACTACGCTTCGCCAATGGGCACGTCTACGACACTTCCAGGGGCCCGCTTTCGCTGGCTTCTCCCAGTTGTGGCTTATTTCCTGCGTTGGTGGTGGCCGAACTCATCTTGACCTCTGGGAGGCATGCAAGAAATATGGTAAGTTGTCTAAGGTAGCCCTGAACAACGCCAAGTCCCAAGCTTGATCATCTCAAGACTGTGGGAAATCTGTTCCATATCATTTTCGCAATTGATTCATTTTATAACTCATTGACCATACCATAATGCCACTCACTAATATGGTCTATAGGAGATATCGCACGTGTTGGGCCAAACGATCTCATCACATCTGATCCAGACTTGATGAGGCACATGCTCAATGTTCGCACACGGTTTCAACGCTCAAGCTGGTACGATGCCATGCGACTAGATCCCACCAAGGACAACGTACTGTCTCAGCGCAATGACGATTTGCATGCTAGTACTCGTTCCAAAATGGTCGCGGCGTATTCCGGCAAAGAGGTCGACAACATCGAAACGACCGTTGACACCAATGTTGAACGTCTCATCGATCTACTGGAAACGAAGTATATTGCCAATAATAAGGCTTTTGACTTTGGCTACAAGGCGCAGTATTTTACCCTTGATGTTATCTCTTCCCTCGCTTTTGGCGAGGAGTTTGGTGATTTGGAATCCGACTCTGATGTCAACGGCTACATCCAGGCAATGGAGGAGAGCATGCCTACTATCATCGTCACGACCGTCATGCCTTGGATGATGAAACTACTGCAGCTACCTATTTTCAAACCTATGCTTCCCTCAGAAAAGGACAAGGTTGGTGTTGGAAAGGTCATGGCTATTGCTAAGAGAGTTGCGGCGGCGCGATTCGGTCCCGATGCCAAGGAACAAAGAGACATGATCGGCTCTTTTGTTGCCCGAGGACTACTCCAGCACGAAGTGGAATCAGAAATTCTCATGCAAATGTAGGTTATGGCATACCACATAATCCACTCTTGGGCATTTCAAAGCGCTGACGTACCAATAGTCTAGCTGGAGCTGATACTACAGCAACCGCTATTCGAGCAACCATGCTGTATATCCTCACTAACCCTCGAGTGATTGAGAAAATGCGAGCCGAAATTGACCAAGCCAGACCTAGTCTACCTGTCATTACAGACAGTGAAGCACGTGATATGCCATATCTGCAAGCTGTCGTCAAGGAAGGTCTTCGAATTCACCCACCAGTCGTCGGTCTCATGTCCAAGGAAGTTCCTGCCGGTGGCGATACATTCAAAGGAAAGTACTTGCCAGGCGGAACCAAAATCGGGTATTGTGCTTGGGGAATATTCCGCCGAAGGGATATCTGGGGTGACGATGCTGATGAATTCCGTCCTGAACGCTGGCTAGACTGCTCTGAGGATCAGCTTCGCTTGATGGAAGGCACTCTTGAACTTGTCTTTGGGTATGGACGATGGCAATGCCTGGGGAAGACCATTGCACAAATGGAATTAAACAAAGTTTTTGTTGAGGTGAGTGCATGCTTAAGCAGTCCAAGTTCTCTTGGAGTTGAATATGCTAACGTTTTCTCGTAACTTTGTAGCTTGTCCGACGCTTTGATCTCTCAGTGGTAGATCCTATCAAACCATGGCATTCAATCAATGTTGGAGTTTTCCTACAATCTGAATACTGGATCCGAGGATACAGACGGAAGAATTGATAGTATCAAGCATTCGCCATTGTCTCCTCAACAAAGCTTGTGGCATGAACATCGGGTCCAGTTAATATGACTGCGATGAACCTCAAGCAATACATAACTTGGGAGTTCAAACCTTTTTTCTCTTTCTATAACAAGAAACCATTCCGTAATCATCATACAAGGTATCCAGTTCTGTGACTCGTAAATCTTTTTATGTCTATATGAGTACAACATCGGTCTATGCCAGGAGATTCTTTTGAAAGGTTTCACACAAGGACAAGTTAGCAGAAAGAAGAGAGAATGAACATTTAATATCAGTATGCAGTACCTATAGTCGTCCTTATCTTACACATTGGTCGGGATTATTGTATATACCTATAATCCTCTCTCACCTGACCCATTGCTGTCTAAACAAAATATCATTTTCAGCTTCACCTTACTGAGGTACATCTATACAAGCAGGTACAAAGAATGGCACACGCTGTCGGTGAACTATAAGGTCAGGTGGGAAAGTGTGTCACAGCGGATGGTCATCAAATCTATTCATATAGGATGCTTGGTTAGCTATGTTGACCTTGACCGAGACGACGTTCCATCTTCAAAACAATAGCAACAGAAACCTTGTCGACCACGACTCTAATGCTGTTCTCCCTTACCAGCGTGCTTATAAAGCCTGTTGATGAGAGAAGAAGTCACAAGTTCAACTTTATGAAATAAGTTAGAAGCGACCGGTCTACTTGCACTGAATCACTCACCTTATAAAACCGATTGGGAAGCAACTTAACAGCTGCAGCAGAAGGGATAGTCGCGGAGGTAACAGCACTTGCGGCCGTTCTGGCAGCCGGTGCAGTTGGTTCCTCGGCAGGCCTGGCGAGGAAGAAGCTCGTCACGGGGGACCTTGGAGATCTGCTCGTCGGTCATGGCTGGCACCGCAGAGGCAACGCTGATAATCGAGGCAATGGCGAAGAGGGTGGTAGTGAACTTCATGTTGAAGGTTAGTTGATGTTGTAGATGGAAGAGACTTGTGAAGGATGTTGATTTGGTGATACGATCTCAGTGAAGGAGATTCTTCAGGCTTTTTATATCTCCAAACCTAATTTTATTCTCCTCTTTACCTTCCTATTCTGTTACGGGTATGTTTTTGTGTTGTTGAATCCTCAAGATAACGGGCGGCCGCCGTATCAAGTCTTGGCCAGGATCGTAAATGGGACACTATGCATGTGCAAAGATTTCAGAAACTATCCGGAACGACCTATAGATGTATGCATATGAAGCTTACTGAAGATATATGCAACTCTAAATCTTGGTGGGATTAAAGTGTCATGGAATTTTGCTCACCTGCCTAAGTCGGTATTGTAGGATTCTTGACCATGCCTTAACAGCATCATCATTATCCAATCGCCACTTCGTTAACTACCTAAGGTACACCGAAGCATTTACCCCGCAATAAATAATAGCTTTTTTTTTTCTACTATCCTATTCTTGGACTGCAAAGTTTCCGAGCAAACAGTCCGAGGCCACCAATATAGCTCTGGATTCTCGCACAATACATAAAGCGTCGCGTAGATGTAAGTGATCAGATGGTATCTTCATAGCCACGCAAGGACATGCATGCATAGCATGCCCAACTACCTAGATAACACATACCATCCCGAATGTGATTGGATAGATGTGAGACTCTAGTGCAATATCTGCATCAAACTAGGGAGGGTTCTATTCCTTCGCCGACGGTCCGCTACGGGAGCTTAAGCTAAGTTAATCCTCATGAACGGTAGATTTTGGCCGATATAACAGTCGGGATGCTGCAGCGCCAGTAGCAGTTCATTTAGTCTTGCATCCTGGGCGTGAAGGTTGGAGCAGACTTGCAATCTCACCTTCAGCTTAATTACAGTCTGTATACAACTACTGATCAAACTTGGATCATATTTTATACTTCAAGTTGCCGAGGGTATAAGAGACGCAGTTATAGTGTTTACAAAATGTGTGAAATACACCTAGAAAGATACTACTGATAGGAGCTACCTTCCTATATAGGAAACTGAGACTCTCTGCTGTGCCAGAAGGATTCCAAAAAATGACTAACTCTATTCATCGTGTTGGGTAACATGTATGGAATCCGAGCAGAATTCTATATTCAGTCAAGTGCTTACTGAGTAAATGCATCATTATCTCGATACCTTAGATCAGTGGGTTAATAGAGGCTGTAGAGTATTGCCAACAACATCTATGGACGCTACCAAAAAAAAATAACTTCTGTGGTAAATACCCAACTTGTGGAGAGGATGCTTACATTCTTCCGTTTTTCCTTCAACAGCTGACTGTAAATTAAGGTCCTTGAACGCGTTCGTACTCAATAACTGAAAAGGTATTGCATATCTCCTCGCCTAGCGTCTTCTCTGTTGGCTCTGCTACTTTTCCTTATGGAGTTATCAGCCACAGCAGTAGTTGCTATATCCAACTTTCCATACTCTCAAGACTACGTCTGCCTTGAATCAGCTAGATATGTCCTCCAGCCATTAGGTTAGCTTGCTCCTCCCTCTTAGCCGTCCTCAGAGTCTTGACTCTCTTCAAATTCTCAAACTTCTTCTGCGCACGCTTATCCCTCAAGCACATGCCCACCAAGACAGCCATACAGCCTGCGATACAAGCTGCAAAAATTGATGCCACGACTATGCCTTCTGTGCCAATCTCGTTGTGCTGCTCCATACATACCGTCGCGCCAGAGTCGGGGTGTATCTCACAGAAGAGGCCAGGGGCGCAGGTGCTGGACGTCATCCTGTTTGTGATGCACGAGGCGCTCTCGGTGCGGCCGTCAGTTGTGATGTGGCAGACGACGCTGGTGGATACAGTTGTACTATAACATGATGCTCCTTGCTCTAGAGATGTGACAGTACTTCTTGTAGACGTTGGATCGCTTGATGTTTCGGTGGACGAGACTGTGGACGATGAAGACAATTGCTCGGTTGACGTCGCTTCTGTAGTTGACTCTTCAGTCGTTGATACAGGATTTTCTGTTGTCGTTGTTTGTTTGTCTTCTGTGGTTGTAGTCTCGTCCTCTGTCGTCGTCTCTTCGTCTTTGGTAGTCTCTCTCGTCTCAGATTTTGGTTCTGTCGACGTTTCATTGTCGTCTGTTTCGCTCGTATCTTGTCGTCGAATCCATTGTTGCCATCTTTCTACCAGCGGACCCTTTTCCCATGGTTCTTGATGTGAATTTTGTGCATCTATGTGTGTGTCAAAAGCACTTGCCTCTGGTTGCTGTACGTCATTCGTCTTACGCCCAGCCACAAATAAGCCCTGGGAGATAAGCGTCACAATTACAGTCGCGGGTCGCATGTTGATGGCAATTCAGAGTCGTTAATCGATGAAGGGTGTCAAATTAGATTTGTTATGAAATGCGATAAGGCAGTAGTAATATGTTTGCATTTCTGTGGTGTGACATGTCTTTCAGCCATCCACCTCGTATTCTCTATGACAATTCATATGATTCTTTATTGGAGTTTCTATAAAAAGAATTTTAGGCCGCGCGTAGCTCAGCCATTCTCAGCCCACCAAATGCTGATCTGATCAGCAGTCTTCAGGGTGATTGGGCCATTATTTTGGGGCATAATGACTGCCAATAGAATACCCTCTGAGCAGTGAATGTGTTGTACAGTCAAATGCATGTATCGAGATCGTTTTGGGCCTGGTCAATGAGAGCTTTCATAAGTCCTGTGTTATGCATGCATAATAATTCATGCTATAATTGTAAGCTAAACATGGAGCGGATGTCGGATTATCTTGATCCGACACTAGCACTAACATTTTTCCCACCGTGTGAGGGAGGCAATTGGAAAAGCAGACAAAGTAGACGTGGCAGTACCACTGTCAAATATTCCTACAGTTAAAGACAATTCAACCACTTCCACAGCAGCCGGACTTGGAGATAGTTTTTAAAGAAATATGCTTATTGTTAGTCGAAAATTAATTATTTTGCTCTCAAGCTCAAGATGCGATATTGTTAGAATTGGCACAGTTATTGATTGAATTTTATATTGACATGGTCACTGTTCAGGCCTTTAGGGTAGCTTCATTAAAACCAATGTACACCTATCCTCTTTCATAATACATGATCCGTATGCTTTTATTATATCTCTCTTGACACATAAAGTGACAGTTATGTATGGAGATATGAGCGCATGTTCATTCTCACAAATACTTTAATATTGTCATGTTGGTGCATTATAGGGCAGCCCACGTTGTGTCGTACTACGTAGTGCAAGTTTCAGCTTGACTGTTTCACAGGGAATGAATGGAAATTCTTGGACTGACAAGCCAGAAAGACTGAAAAGCGGATTCAAAAGGCGCAATAGCAACAATCTTGTTTTTACGTGCCCAGCTCTGGGCAAACCAGCCACTGTTCGAAACGCGGAGCACTGAATCCAGCCGCAATGATGCAATTTATTGGTAGCGCAACAAAAGTCGACAGGCCTAGACCTTGTAGGACCAGGGAAATAAAAAGTACAGACGTAATCCCAGCGTTGATCTTAAGTTCCAGCTGTTCAGAACAAACGATCGCAGATTTAATGGGCATGTGGATGACGGAGTTGGCGTCGCCCTTGTCCCAAGATAGTAAGATCGACAGGGATGCTACCAACCAAAGCTGGGAAACCTGGACGTCAATCACAGATTTGGCGGCACCCCACACGATCTGTTAGTTCCCGTAGTGGTCATGATGATGTCGACGACGTTGACAAGCTAAGCTGTCCTTGTTTGAAGGCCAGTAGAGGAATATATGAAGCTGAGATAGCGTCTACCAAAGGCAATTATCACAGCATCCACTCAATAAAATAATACATCCACCAACTTGATACCCAAAACTCTTCCCTTTTGATACCCAAGTACCTCCCTGAACCACATCAAAATGAGCAGCCTCGGAGCCAAGGTTAAAGATATTCTCCATAAGGACCGCCCTGACGATTCCAACACTACTCCCCATCCCCCAGGTTCGTTCCCCACAGAAGACATGGAACCCAGCGAAATTGAGCAAGGCTGGTCCAAAGGACACGAACAAAACAAGCTACACAAGGCTGACGACCCCCGCGGTTGGACAGAGAGCGAAAGGGAACCTTCTCGCGGCCATGGATACAAGGACTCAGGTGTCGGAATGACCGAGTCTGACAACCGCACTTCCTACAAGCCTTCACAGGACCCCATGTCCGAGAGACGCAATGAGCCCTTCTCTGAGAGACGAGACGACAACCTGAACCGAACAAGCGAGTCCGGTGCATTGGGACAAAAGGAACCCCTTGCACCATCTACCGCCGAGCACCCCTACTGGGGCGATATCCCTAGCCGAGGAGGTGTTCACAACTCTGTGATTGGCCATGGTAGCCCCGAGGACGAAGAGCGACGCCACAAGGCCATTCATACCGGTGCGACAGAGCCAACTCGAACATCTGGCACTCTGGAGAGCGGTACCTTCCTCAGCCGACGCGATCGCGACGAGGCTTCTACCAACACTGAGCCCTACGGCGGCCGACCCAGCGACCGACAGCGCCCTGACGAGAGAACATCTGGCTCGCACTTCAAGGAGGGCCTTGCTGGCGCGGGTGCTGCCGGCACTGAGCCCTACGGCGGCCGACCCAACGACCGACAGCGCCCTGACGAGAGAACATCTGGCTCGCACTTCAAGGAGGGCCTTGCTGGCGCGGGTGCTGCCGGCACTGCTGCCTATGGAGCTCACGAGTTGAACAAGCAACACAACGACAATGAGGAGGCTAGAAGGTTTGATCAGACTACCGATCGATCCCAGCCTGAGGAACACAAGCAGAGGGCGTTCCCTCTCCTTGGCAAAGATCATAAGGAGTCTCATCAAACTGAGAAGGTCAAGGAAGACAAGCACAAGGACAAGGACCACGATAGCAAGCTCGGCGGTCTCTTCGGCCGAAAGAGCAGCAAGGATGAGACTACTCGTGTCGAGGAGCAAGATCGGGACAAGCACCATCACTCAAAGACTGGTCCCGCCCTTGGTGCTGCTGGCGCTGCTGGAGCGTATGCCGCTACTAGGGATCGTGACGACGACAACCGCCGTGACACAACCACCGGTAAATATCAAGAGCCTTCTGCTCAAGACACATACAAGGAAGACAAGAAGCACGACAGCAAGCTGGGTGCCCTCTTCCACCGAAAGGGAAGCAAAGATCAGACTGAAAGCACCGAAGATTATGACAAGGACAAGCATCACCACTCCAAGACTGGCCCTGCTTTGGCAGCTGCCGGTGCCGCTGGTGCTGGTGGCGCTTATGCTGCTACGAGAAACCGACACGACGATGACAACAACCGTCGTGATACCACTGCTGGCGCATATCAGGACCCTTCTGCAGCCCAGCACACTACCAAGTACCCTGCTGCTGGTCTCGACTCTACTCGGGATTACAACTCGCAGAACCCTTCCTCTGGTGGTGTTACTCAGAAGCCCTACCGACAAGAGGATATTGATTACCACCGCGGCTCCGGACTTGCCACTGGTGCTGCCGCAGGTCTCGGCGCTGGTGCCCTTGCATCACACCATGGCCGTCGCGACGACGATCGAGCCGCTACTCAGCCAATGTCAGGCTATGACAACCAGAGCTACGACCCTACTGCTACTTCTCAGTCTCATCAGCAGCAAGGCTATCAGCAGCAAGGCTATCAGCAGCAAGGCTATCAGCAGCAAGGCTCTCAGCAGCAAGGCTCTCAGCACCTCCACGGTTTGAGTGCGCCCGCTGTCGCCGGCTACTCTGACTCCAAGGAGCGTCAAGACGCTCAAGGCGCCCAGGCTGCCAACTTCTCCCACAAGGACCCTGTGGGACAGACTCAGCAGTATGACTCTCACCGAGGTGCTGGCCTTGCTGCCGGCGCCGGCGCTGCCGGTCTAGGTGCTGGCACATTGGCGTCTCGCTCTGGTCATGATCGCAATGAGCACTCTGGCCTTGACTCTAACAGAGGGTTCGAGAACCAGTCCGCATACCCCACTGAGGGTTCCGCTATGAACCCGTCTTCTCGTTCCTATGAGCAGCAGGACTCCAACCGTGGTATTGGCTTCGGCGCTGGTGCTGCTGCTGGACTCGGTGCTGGTGCCCTTGCTTCTCGTTCTGGTCGCGACCATGATGAGCGCTCAGGCCTTGGATCCAACCGAGGCTTTGAGTCCAGCAATGCTTACTCCAGCGAGCGTTCTGCCATGAATCCTGCATCTCAGTCATACGAGCAGCACGATTCGCATCGAGGCGCTGGACTTGCTGGAGGTGCTGCTGCCGGCCTTGGAGGAGGAGCTCTTGCTTCCCATGCCACTGAACATAGACGCGAGAATGACCAATTCACCACCGGCAACGACCAACGCGGCTTCCAGACCGGGAACACTGGCTCTGGTCTTGGTAACACCCCCGGCATGGGTAACACTGGTTTCGACTCTTCCAACAAGCAGTCCATCCCTGGATCTCAACACGAGTCTCAGCCCTTCACAGAGCGAAAGGAGGAACATGACCACACTCTCATGGATAACGCCAACGCTGGAAAGTACAACAAGCTTGCGTCTGGTACACCCTCTGGCATCGCGTACGACTAGATGAGTTGGAGGAGTATGGTATTGGGTGGTATTGATGGGAATGATATATGATTATGAAGCATGTTTATTTGACTTTTAGTTTGATAGATGATATTAATCTGATTGATAATTACTTTGTGTTGCTTGTTGTCTCTTATGTATCCCGGGGCTCTTTCTAAATCAGCTGCACAAACGTGATCATCTAATCCTTCAACACCAAAGCAGTTTTTAGAATCATTGGCCTGTAGATAATGCCTGATAATCGGGCGTCATTCGCTAATTTGTACCGATCTCATCCCTTGAACAGGCCAGTTGATAGCGAAAGGGAGGGCCAGTACTGTCACGCCTATCGTTATCATCCCCATGTCCCTAGTCGCGCACACACATCTCGTCACTGTTCTCAGTTAAGCCACGCTATCGTCGAGTTAGGCCCGTAACGGAACGCGGGGTAGATAAGTTGGGGCAACTTATAGGTGGACGGAGAATCCGTAAGATTCCGTGTGGAGACGGATTCTTTGAATGCCCAGGATGAGATGACAGCAAACATTGAGACAGATGCTGAGACCAATTGGTTACGTTTTAGTAGCTTGCTCTAGAGAGGGGAAGATAACTCGGGCAAGCCTTCTCCGCATATCGGACAATATCACGAGACAGATGAACAAGTGTGGGGACGGATTTGAGGAGCGAAGATGGTATCTAGGCTAAGGTCATGTTATAAAGTTGCCTTGTTCAGTATCGGAATGAGAAATCATCTCAAAATATAGTGTCTTTCTTTCTCATCTATTACTACCATAGTCATGTCCAACAACACATTCAATGTCGCCGTAGTTGGCCTTGGTGCCCTCGGCAGCGGAGCAGCCTACCACGCCGCTATCAAAGGCGCCAGCGTCGTTGGCTTCGAGCAGTATGAGTTTGGCAACGTCTACGGTTCATCGCATGACACATCTCGCATTGTCAGAACATCCTACGGATCACCAGATTACGTGGCCCTCGCGCGTTCAGCCTACAAGGACTGGGCCGAACTGGAACGTCGCAGCGGTCTACAAATGCTGACCATCACCGGCGGCGTGGCATTCTTTCCCAAGACCACCACTGACGAGAATGAATTGAACAAGTTTGAGAAGACAATGACTGCTAGTGAGTTCATGAAGAGTTTGGATGCGAACGCCATTTCTTACGAATTGCTTGACTCGGTCGAGGTCATGAAGCGATGGCCGGCATTCCACATCCCCGAGGGTGTTCAGACGATATATACTGCAGACTCGGGTATCGTTCACGCATCAAAGTCAGTTGCGGCAATGCAGTATCAAGCTCGTGCCAATGGAGCCGTTCTGAAAGAGAAGACGCGTGTGGATGCAGTTATCCCTAACGAGAATGGGAAGGGCGTGGCAATAGAGACATCCAAGGGTCGTTTCTATGCCGACAAGGTCATTTTGGCTTGTGATGCGTGGATCAACAAGCTTCTTGCACCTCTGGGGTCAGAGATTCCGCTGACGGTCATGCAAGAGCAAGTCACATACTACAAGCCAGCTGACCTCAAACCTTTTGACGAGACTAAATTCCCCGTCTGGATTTGGGCTGGCGATCGGTATTACTACGGATTCCCCATGTATGGTGAGCCAGCTATCAAAGCAGGGCGTGACACGTCGAATAACTTTATGACACCCGAGAATCGAACATTTGTTCCTTCGGAAGAGTTGTTCAACGAGTTGACATCGTTCATGGGCAATCTTATCCCCGAGAAGGGTGAGCCTCTGCGAACCATCACATGCCAATATGCGATTACACCTGATCGACAGTTTGTGATTAGTCCATTGAAGAATAACCCTGATATCATTATCGGACTGGGTGGTGGTCACGCTTTCAAGTTTTCGCCAGCTATTGGACGTGTTCTTGCCGAGCTTGCCATAGATGGATCGACAAAGGAAGATATTTCCAACTTTGGAATTCCTAGATCATCAGCCGATAGTAAATTGTAGACAGAAGGATAGCAATTGACTTGTCTCTGAGATTTAATTATGAATGCAACACTGTTTACCTGCGACTCTATACTATGGCTTTGAACCCACATGTGGTAAAGTTTAGTCTACTAACTAATCCCAGCCATGGTGGGCTTATCGCAAAATTATGTCTCGGTTACAGACTATCAGCGGAATTTTACAAGCATCCGAACCTCTTTTTTAGCGGCTGTCACCCCGCACATGGACTCCTGTACTATACATGCCTGCTGCTACATAACAACACGAGACACCCTCCCAACTGCTCCTTTCTCCAAAATTGTTAACTTACTCAATCTTTAGCGAGATCACATAGACTACAGCCAACTATGAGCGCACCAAGAAGAAGGCAATACAGACGAGCCACGCAAGCATGTGATAATTGCAGGTATGACTGGGCCGCCTTTAGCTAAAACAGAGGTGATTTACTAAGCTTTCGTAGACGCAAGAAGATACGCTGCCCTGGTGAAAGACCACAATGCTCAGCCTGTTCTCGTCTTCGTCAACATTGCTCTTTTGTAGAAACGGCCTCTGTAAGCGAGCAATCTACGAGCCAAGTAGACCCTACTGTGGTAAGACCCTTGACGGAGGCTCTTGGTTAATTCTCAACTAATCAGATAAGTCGAGCCGACTGGAGCAACTGGAAGATAAGCTTGACAATCTCATTAGTAGGGTTGTGTAAGTCCCATTAGATTGAGAATTTCAGAACCAATACTAACTGGACTACTACAGGCCCCAATCTATGCAGGAAACTACACCATCTTCAACGTCTGAAAGGCCAAACCAAGTGCTATCCTTCTCAGCAGTTACACCGCAACAGCAATCATTATCGTATGTCTTTTGTGACCCTTATGGTTTTGTTCTCCCATACTTATAGATAAAAGGACACCGGTATCGGTTGATTTGCGTGCGAAAGCAATCGGCTTTTATTTTCGACACATCCATCGACAACCCTTGTGGCTGTTCGACGACCCTCTCCAAGATTTATCAGATGAACTGATCCATGCTATTATGGCTCTGTTCTCCACCTACTATGCCTCCTCTCAAGAAAGAGAAGGCGTGGAGAGCCCCGGCGTTTACTATAAAGCTGCCCGTACAAGTGTCATGCTTACAATTGCTCAAGGGAGCATGACGATCCAGAGCAGTCAGACACTCTGCTTATTAGCGTACTATAATTTCATCAGTGAGGATATAATCCACAACTATCCGTACTTTATATACTAATAAGTGAGTAGTCGGAGATGTCACTACTGCTGGCTTTGATATATCCATCGCCAAGAGCATGCTCCAACTAGTTCCAGACAACGAACGAGACCCAGTAAGATTACTGAGTTTGCAAGCAAAATCAAGGGTCTTCTGGAGCATCCAATTTTTGAGCTACTCGTGCGGTGCTCCCGTTCTACTACCTTCGGTCCAGCAAGACGTCGACACACCACAGTTACTAACAGTTGAAGCCCGAGACCCGCTAACAAAATGCATCCCGGTTCCAAGAGCAGTAGAGACGGGTGTCCATGAGACACTTCCCGACGTATGGGCTCAGTCGCACAAGCTGTGTAGCCTCTGGACGGAGTTACGGCTTTATGTGGCAAGGTGTGTCGAGGGACGAGTCAAATATCCCTGGCATCCAGAATCAGATTACACAAAACTCTGCTCACAGGTCCTTGATATTGAGATGTACCACCCTGTCCACTTGAGCTACAACAGGGTCAAGTTTCCTTCGATATCGGCCCAGGACGCGCACACCAACCGTTCGGACCTACTCCCTTGGGTCAGAATCCAAGTAGCATACCACGCCATCCACTGCGTGTTGAACCATCCCTGTCTTTACACCTCGATGGCAGAGACCCCCAGGGAAAGACTAGGCGGCAACACCTTCTGGAGAGCGTCATGCGAGAAGGCTTTGAGACACTGCACCTGGATATCGAGACTTATTAGAACAGCCAACGAAAAGGGACTGAAGATCGTGGATCCTTTCCTTGCACAGGCAGCAGCCATTGCTTGCACACTGCATCTTTACTGGGCCCGAACGAGCGATACAAGGTTAAAGGCGTCTTCTCTAGAAAATCTGGATATCTGCCGCAAACTTGTCAAGCAAATGGCGGCATGCTGGCCAATTTGCAAAGCAATTGTACGTCTTTGGCCCAATTTGTATATATTTATAGACCGTAACTAACACCTTCCAAGGATACTGCCCTGGATCATTTTATCGAGTCGATAGAACGCCCGTTGCAAATCAACTCAGAGACAGCGTCTCCTGCAGCTGTGAAAACGTCGCTTATATGGATTTTACTAGACATGGCAGCTCCTCAATTCCCAAATTATAGGGATCAAACTGTCAATAGTCAGACTGTCTGGGCTACCAGTACCGAAGCCGCCGATGACGAAGCTGTCCCTGAGTCTGAGATGAACACACCGCCGACAGATATGCGCGAATCAACAACTTGCTATGCAACGCCTCCGAGGTGGATGATGGAAGGAACACAGGCTGGGTCGCAGATGGAGGTGGCTGATCGGGGACTTGATGAAACCGTATTGGCTTCAGTAGCAATCACCAACGATCATAACACTACATACGATCTTGCTTGGGGCGCTTGGGAGAATCTAGGGCCCATAGGAGAGAGCTTGTATATGAATGTAGAATGGTGGGACATGAATCAGTTCTGATGTATTAAAAGAAGTACCGAGTAGCTCAAGCACAAATTTGAATAATAAGCACCAAGGAAAAACATTAAAAATAAAGAAAAAGTGTTGAAATATCGTGACGAGATAATAAAGACAGCGCTGAAAAACCTCAATAACAAAACTCCCGTCTTATCAAGACGCGTTGTGGCCATAGGGCTCAAAAGGAAGAATAGTAGAGATTATAGCCAGTACAAGGAAGAGCGCAGCTGAGATATACAAGGGTGTTACAGTTGTAGTGTCCGCAGTGACAGAGATGACAGCAGATAACAAGCCCATGATACGATTCAGCGCGACGGCGACACCATTTCCGGTCGAGCGGTGCGCAGAAGGGAACACTTCGACAGTATATGCGTACAGTGTACCATAGTAAAGGTTGATGCAAACAGCTTAAGGAGATCAGTAAGTCTTCATATGTATCTAAAATCGGGAGGAAACATACAGATGCAGCTACTGATGGCGAGGTTCTGAGCTGGTGTCTTGATGATGGTGTAACAAAAGAAGAAGATAGCCGTTACAACAGCACCTACAACCATGGTGTATCGACGGCCGAGGAACTTGACTTCAGTCAGACCGGCTGCAATAAGAGGACCGAAGATGGCGCAGATGTTGGTGATGGTGTAGTCGCGCCATGTTTCGGTGAAAGAGGGTGCATAGTCGGGAAGACGGCTTCTGATAAGGGTCCTAGTTACGTTAGCTTAAATGTCTTGTAAGTAAAGGGAATAATATGGACTTACGGGAGGTAGAGAAAGAAGAGTGGGTATCCCAAACCGATCAATGTCCAAGAAAACCAAATAAGGGAGGTAGAAAGCGCGAGTTTTTTAGTAGAGAACAGGCCTCGGACATGTCCAACAAGGCTCTTACCCAAACCCTTGAGAGAATCAGGACGTCCACTTTGCTCAGAGGCATCAGTGGTACCACATGCTCTGAGGGCATCAACAGTCAGGGAACAGGGTCGACGGTACTTGGAAGCAAGGTTTTGAAGCATGGCAACAAGTTCTTCTTCCTTGCCAGATGCGACCAAGAACTTTGGAGTTTCGGGTAATTGAATGATAAGAATTCGAAGGGCAGACATGGCAAACATTAGAGCACCGCCTGTGAACATGATGAGTCTCCAGGCCTTGTTACTTTGCCAAGTACATGATTCGGTCTCGGCTGTGCATGACCACTCAGGTCGAGCTATTAGAGGCAATAGTCAGCTGCCTTTCTAACCATCAGCCAAGTGAGATAGTCAAGAGACTTACAGTAGAAGCCCCAGGCAATAAAGCCAGCACTGGCTTGTCCAATGCCCCACCATGCAGCCATGGCAGTGATAACCCACTGCTGCCTGGCTGGAACAAACTCGAGCATGACAGTAGGGTCCAGGACAAGGTTACCACCAGCACCGAAGCCTAGGATAGCTACCAAGACACAGAAACCTACCCAATTCGGACCCGCTCCTGCAGCGATCGTAGCGATGGCTGCTAAGAAAAGAGTCACATTGAAGGCGATCTTTCGGCCGATAACATCGGCACTAAAACCCCAGAATAAAGCACCGACCAAAAGGCCACCGTACAGGGCCATAGCATAACCGGTCGGATAGCCGCCATTTCCGATTTCGAGGTATGCTTGAGATGCCGCGACACTTTGGAGGAAAACGACGAGGGAGTCGGCGGCATAACCGAAGCCGGCGAGACAAGAGAGCTTCAGGTGGAAGTTTGTCCAACCAATCTCGTTGATGGCCTCAAGGATAATTAGCAACAGATATCGCAACGGAGATGACAAGGTGTGCATACCTCGTTTACCAGAAGGGTCTTAGCACTAAGAACAGGGTCTACAATGTTGCCGAGTTCATGGACAGTCCCGCTTTGATGAACAACATGGTACGATACATTGTCCGGAGTGTGGGTCTCCTTCTCTGTTTTTGCAATTCCGCCAGGGACAGAGTCTTGAACATTCGACATGGTGGAGATAGTATCCCGGTGCATAGAATAGTGTCAAAGAAAAGATGGTAATGGTTCGATTTTCTCCAGATACGGATGCGGCTCATCTGTCTTATAGATCCCAAACCGGTAAACTAAAACCCAAGGGATATCCTGGCCCCTTCTCCTCCAAGTTCGACATAGGAAAAGATACGCACACAGACATTACGCGGGGTAGTGCGAGAGAAATGGGTCAAATGATAGGGCACGGATGGGGACAAACGGGAGTATCGAGCTAAGACTGGACGTATCTCTTTAGCTTATGAACTAGCTAAGACTTGATATGGGGATTGATCTAGCTTCTGGCCCATATTACTTGGTAATGGTTATCCATGAGTTACATGCACGTCGGGAGACAATCCTTGCTGAGTCGGGATGTCACATTTCGGGACCATGTTGCACAATTCCGTCAAGGACGATTCATTTCCACGACTTGACTATTATGGTATCAGCTTAACGATAGTTCATAATGACCATCATAACTTGCCCAGCTTGTGGTTGAAGACCAGAGATAAGATTATAGGTTGGGTTGTCGCGTCAAGCCACGATGCAGTAGGCCGAAGGCGGGACACGGACGGGGGCGGATTCTTTCCGATACTTCCTTGCCCCTCGGGATCAGCACGGATTCTCCGACTGAACGGTTTCTTGATGTTACTTGTGACTTGGCGCATAAACGCCTTGGTGATAAAAAAAGAGTAAATCAACGGTCCCTTTGAGCAGCATCACTTGCCCAGTGTACAATTCCTGCCAATATGACTTTCCACGTTACTCATTCATTTGTCTCTTCCATCTTTTCCATCGCCGGTTTAGCCGGACTTTTGTCTTTACTTGCGAGGTATTTGTCGTCAACTCGCTCGCCAAAGCCGGTTGAGACCAAATTCGTCCAAGACTTCAAAGCTACAGCGCGAGCTTTGCCTTCTTCGTGGTACAGATCCAAGGAAATCTACGAACTCGAACGCCGCGCCATCTTTGCTAAGAAATGGATCTTTGTCAGCCACAAGATTAGACTTTCTGAAGCCGGATCTTGTGTCGAAATCAATGAAGCTGGCTTCCAATTCTTCCTCATTAAGAACAAAAACGGCATCATTGAGGGTTTCCGCGGCACAGCTAAAGAACAGACATCTCAAGGTGCCAAGGTCCCCATCCATGTACACGTCGATGACAAGGGGTTTATCTGGGTCAACCTCGATCCCTCCAAGACCCCTGAAGACTGGTCGATTGAGTTCAGAGACATCGACAGAATGAAACGACACGAATCCTTCAACTTTGATGACTACAAGTTCGACCATACCTGGGGTATGAGTGGCGATTACAACTGGAAGACACTGGCAGATAACTACAACGAGTGTTACCATTGCAAAACAGCCCATCCTGATGCCGCTGCTATAGCGGACCTCACAGCATACAAGGTGGATCCAAAAGGTGGCAACATCGAGCACTTCGCCAATGTGAATGCTGAAGCAGAAAAGTCTGGCTTAATGGTCGTGAGCAATTACTACTTTCCCAATGCTTGCATGACTGTCTCGTGAGTAATCCTTTCGGCAACACATTCCAAAGCTAATATTCCTAGCCCTAACTTCTTCTACCTGATGCGCTGCGTTCCTACTTCGGTCGGAAAATGTTCCATGGAATACGAGGTCTACCGACACAAGGATGCTACCGACGAAGGTTTCAAGACGATCGATGAAATGTTCAAGAGGATCCTAACAGAAGATAAATGGCTCTGCAATAATGCTCAAAAGAATCTCAACGCCGGTGTTTTTGTGAACGGAGAGATGCATCCCAAGCTGGAGCAAGGACCTCTCTACTTTCAGCATCGGGTCCGAGGTATCTTGACTGCTCATCGTGAGTTGGAAATGAAGGTTGGAAGGGAGCTTTAAGGGCTTGGGGCCGTATATACTTGGGCGTTGGATAGAACAGGAGTTGAATCATGTACACGATTTACCAACGGAATAAAGACTTGATGAGTGACATTACCGAGAAAGATAACTTTTTGAATTTAATTAACTAGCTATAGTAGATGTCTTGCAGGGCCTACTTCAGCTCAAACTTGGCTCTGCCCTCATCGCTCACTCCCAAAGACACAACTTCTTTTGACTCCTCGCTAACAACCTTCCTTTGATCACCGGGTGGTAGAATAACAACAAGGGTCTTCCAAGGCGCTTCAAATCCTGAGCTCTCATCTCTTGAGAACTTGACCTTGATCTCAGCCTCTGTCGCAGTATAAGAGAGGGTGTAAGAAGAGATCTTGTTCTTAGTAGCTGCCGATGTTCCGTCGTCCTCGTACCATGTAGTCTCGTGCCACTTGCCACCCTTGGACGCCTTCTGGGGAGGGAAGATTTCGACGGCTCGGTAGTCATCGAGGGGAAGGTCTGCAACGTTCTCCTTCTCACCGGGCGAAAGGACTTGGACGTCGCGACCGATCGGGATGGCGCGGCCGACCTTGCCGAGAACAGGTATACCGGCGCCTGACCACTCGGCATCAATGTCAACCCATTGGCCGGCTTCGAGGTACTGGTAAGGTGCGTTAAGGTTCAAGTAACCCTCATCATTGTCGGATGCCTTGGGAAGGTAGATTTTGGCTTTGCTAGCTCCAGATTGGAAGACTCCGCCAACAAGCATAGAGTCACCCAACCAGTACTGTGTCTCTCCATCAAGGAGGTTCCAGACTTCGGGGTCAGACTCATAGCCCCAGCCAACCCATCTCTGAGGAGGTAAAGCACTCTTGTGGCTCTCGAGGGCGAGGGAGTAGATATAGGGAATCATAGCGTAACGGCGCTTGATAGTCTTGCGTACGAGATGAGTGATGGAAGGATGCATCCATGGTTCAATAACATCGCCAACAGAGTTGTCCTCGCCAGTCTTGAAGCAGTTGATAGCAAATCGTGGAGAATAAATACCCAATTGAACCCATCGGAGCAAAAGCTCTGGTGAGGGCTGGGGACCTTCAAAACCACCAATATCGTGTCCATAGCACTGCATCAGGCACATACCAGCAGTAAGAGACAAAGCCGTGGATCCTCGCATGCTGTCCCAGCTAGTGGTGTTGTCGCCACTCCAGGAACTACAAGCATAGCGGAGAGTACCAGCTGTGGCGCTACGTGTAAGGACGAAGGGGCGAGAATCGGGGTTCACGGCTAGAAGGGCGTCGTGTGAGGCCTTGCCGTTGAGTTCGGTGTGGAGACTACGTCCCCAGAGACCGACTTGGGGTCGCTTTTCGAGACCTTCAGGGACGTTAAGGATGTCCTTTCCGACGTTGAGAGCACATTGCCACTCGTCATCAGGAATAGTGTACTCGTTGTTGTCATTCCACATGCAATCAATACCTTCCTCCGCTAGCTTCTTAATACCATTGTACCACCAGTTGTAGCCGGCTTCAGAGGTAAAGTCAATGTGTCCACCATCGTCCCTCTCACCACCACCAGCGCTCCATAGCTTTGTGACAGCCGCCTTCTTGGTGTGTGAATCAGTGAACAAACCACCGGCCTCTTTGAGCTTCTCGTACTCTGGGTGAGATGCTGTGAGGTAAGGCTTCACGTTGGCAATGAGACGCATGCCGAGCTTGTGGTATTGCTTGATCCAGTCTTCAGGGTCGGGGAATCGGTGGTTGTTCCAGGTGAAGACATGTCTGTTCTTGGGAGGCTTCTCGGCCACGGTATAACCGGAGGACATCTGGTAAGCTGAACAGGGAATATCGTGTTCCTTCATCTTGAGCGCCAGCTCGATGAGAGCTTCGCCTGCAGGAGGGCTGTCGAGCATAGAGTACTTCATACCACCAGACAGGTATCCGAAAGCCCAACGGGGTACAAGAAGAGGGTAGCCCGCAAGCTCAGCGTAGGTCTGGACAATATCCTTAATAGTCTTGCCGGTGATGATGTACTCCTCAAGACCACCAAAGTCCTGACGATAGACCTTGTAGAAACCCCACATACCGTCCATTTCCGAGCCGATGGAGTATTCGCCACGAGTGTGGCTGGTTGAGAACATGGCCACACAGCCTTGAGGGGTAGCATTGATCAGAAGAGGGATGTTCTTGTACAGAGGATCTGTTCGGTGCACGTCGTATCCAAAACTGTCGGTGGCGGAAAGCTGGAAGCGTCGACCAGAGAGGTCCATAGGAGCAGCCTTCTCGCCCAATCCAGCGTGAAAGGTCTTGCGGTTATACAAAGTATAATGCGCAACTCCGTCGCCGTTTATAGCATAAGACCTGTTGGGCAAGTCTTGGAGGATAGGTGGCTGTCCGTCAAACCCGACTGAAAGCAGAGGAGTTTCACCAGAGTAGTCAACGTTGGCAATGACATCGCCGATCTGGATCTTGATGCCCTTCTCAGAAGAGGTCACGTTAGGCTTGGCGCCGTCCAGCTTTGTCTCAGCGCGGGGGACGCTGGGATGAGGAGGTGTAGGGTGAGTTGGAGAGGTGAAAGTTGTACGGAAGACGTTAGGGCGGACGGCTTCAAAGGAGAATTCGAAAGGAAGGCTGGAGTCATTGCACTTTAGATGCACTGAAGGACTCGATGAGTCTTTGGTGGCAGAGGTATCTGGCCCCCAATATGTAGGGATACGTTCGCATTGAGGCATGATAAAGGTTTGTCAACGATAGGAATATATCTTGATGAGTGAAGATAAGATGATTGACGTATGCGGGGGATGCTTCTTCTTAAATATGATCAAGTCGTATACTCAGCGGGGAACCTTTGCTTCACGATGGTCTCATTTCTAAATGCCGACCGGACTTGTAACGCATATTCCGTTGTCATTTTTCGGAGAATCGTGATCATGTCCGTGGCTGTGACGTTTCCATTGCCGGTATGTTAACCGAGACCGGAGAAAACTGACCAAGTCCGAACGCTAACAGGCTATCCCCATGGGGTTGTCCAGCATGATGCTGGCATGCTACAGCAGCAGTTGTACCTCAAAGGACTCTCGGTTTTCTTCTTCTAATTCTTCTGCAACTTGATCAGGCCATAGGCTTCAGAGGTTGACGTGAGTTTGTCAAAATTGTTGTTCTCACTTGTTGCGACATGAAAAAAAAAAGCCAGCCAGATCAGGTTAGTCGGAGTGTTGTCTGCATCTCCACACAATCTTCGCGTGACCCTATCAGTTTCTCCTCACATTTGCTTTGCTGCACTAACTCTATCCCCGCATTATTGTTGTCGGACTTTTCCTACTATCGCCGCTCAGCATGGTCTCAAACGAGGTCCAACACGGAGAACATTCGACCGATCATCGGTCAGCTAGTGAATCTGCACAACCTCGTGCTCGTAAGAAACGAATCCCGGTATTTCTCATTCTGACGCCGCTTTGACTGTGCCACGAACTAACTTGGTATCAAGACGTCGTGCGGCTCTTGTCGCCAGAGCAAGGTATACAGACATGGCATGGCAACTCTATGATAAGATAATAACATGGTTGCTAGGTTAAGTGTGATGGATCCCGGCCGTGTTCTCGGTATGATCTTTTGCCTTTGTAGTCTATACATCAACCTGAATATATACTAACAACGTTCAGATGTCAACAACTCCAGAAAACGTGCAATTTTGTTGAGAAGCCCAAAGAACCCCATGAATTGTCTGCTACCCTGATAGAGCGACGGGAAAAGGAACTAACGGCCGAGCAGGAGAATAGAAGCTCTGGAAAAAGAGATCGAGTCACTGAGAGCACGTCTACCACCAAATGCACCCAATACAACCGGACCACTTACCCAGAACTATGTGTCTGACCTAGAAAGACCACTCCAGTTCAGCGGTTTAAGAACATTCAATCCCCCTTCAGATATCAACTTCGCGCATGCATCAAATATTCCATCTCAGCTGGCAGTCTCCACTAGCACGAGCTCCCCAGAAACTACATCTCATTTTCCAAGACCATCCAAACGTCCCAGATCATCATTCGAAACGGAGACCCCGGCTGCTGCCAACATCTTCACCGATGATGATTTGAGTAACGAAGAAGCTGAGTTGTACTTCAACGCCTTCTTTTCTGGATGTGATCGCTACGTTCCTGTTTTTGATCCGCGTTACGACTCCCTTCCGGCAATTCGCAGCCGGAGTGATTTGCTGTTCAGCACCATATGCTCAGTGGGATGCCGTGTTCTGAATGGGACGAATTCGAGATGGCGAGCTCTTGCATTGAGAACACAGCGTATGCTCAACGCTGCAATAGCAAACCCATCGACGGGCAATCTTGAGACTGTTCAGGCCTTGTTGGTGCAGGCATGCTATGCCGGTGAGAGGGCTATTCTCATAGCTATTGCGACGCGTATGGCCATGGATCTGGGCTTCACGGAAGCATATGACACACTTGTGGCCGAGTCTGTTCTCGGTGATACACTGTCCAATGGCGAACAAACGATCATCGAAAACAATTTTACGCGTATGAGAAAAGCACGGGTTTGGCTTCACCTTCTCGTCCTGAGTTATATCCTTCATGTTGATGCTGGAGGTGTGCCAACATTTAAATTCAGAGGCGCCTCACGTCGGTGCAGAATTCTACTTCAAAGCCCTTTCTCCACGGGCATGGATCACTACCTCTTTGCCCAAGTAGAACTTAATGTTCTTCGCGCGAAAATATACGCGTCTTTACCACAGAGAGCGAACCTCGGCGACAGCGAAATCATGGACTTGGTTAAAGATGCCAAACTCGACATAGATGTTTGGTTCCATGATTGGATACGCATTTCGGAACCACATCATCAAGCTATGCCGTGGTTTGTACCGAACTTGTCGGTCCAGAGATGCTGGGCTGATAACATGGCTCTTTGTCGCGCGGTACGAGCTGCGGGTGTGGAGAATGTGAATGTCATGTCAGTTACCCAAAAGACCATTCTTGACATGACTAAAGCATCACTGAAACAACATCTTGACATAATAATCCAAGAACCGAGGCTTTATCTCAAGAGCATCCGATACGCTATGGACTTTGTGTGGGCCAAGAACACTTTTTGTTGTTTGCTTCTCCTCAAATTATCCGCTCTGCTTCCAGAAAAGGACGATCACCAATCACAACATGACTTAGTCGCCAAAGCGAGTATTTTGCTGAACGAACTGGAGATGGCTGTCGCTGGTGGATTGAAAGGTGACAGTCGCTCAAATACAAGTGTTCTATACCTTCAGCTTTTGAAGTTGAGCATTCAAAAGTATAAGCGAGGACTTAACCTAGACTCGGACGATGCTGTGGAGGTCGACGCGAATCAAGAACGACAAGCTGGGGGGTACACGGAACTAGAGTCATTTGTGCCTGATCAATTCGTGTTTGAGTGGGACTTTCCAGGGCTAACGTTGTTCTCGTCGCCGATCAATGAGTCTGCGTGGTTAAATGAGTTTCTCACTGGTGGCCAGGACTTTGGGGAGAATGGAGGCAGTATTAATTGGGCACTTATTGACTTTTCGATGTGAGGGGGTGGTGCATTTTTAAGTTGGGCTCCATGTATTCATTTGGACATCATTATATAGTAGTATTATGTAACAATTGATTTTGGGCACTTTATAATGGACGAGATGCATCCGGTCCAGCATTCATGCTAATCCGACTCGTGATATAAGCCTAGAAGCCCTCCTTGAGGTAGCCGAAAGACAGTTGAGGGTTCATGAATCCAACCTCACCGGGGAAGAGGCTGTAATCCCAAACGGTGTAAAAGTTTCTCAAGAACAGGGTGCCGACAAGAGCATATCCTTCAGGGCCGTCTTGGAAAGGAGGCCAGCAAGCATCCTCGCGCTCAGCAAAGCCAGGGCGACGGAGCTGATCACCTCGAATGGTGACGTTCTTCTCGTCGCCGTAATAGCCAATCTCAAAGGTAACAGACCAGTCCTTGGTGAACTCGCTGCAGAGGGGGGTGTGCTCTCCCTTGAGAATGGCAGTGTAGTTCATGCCAATGGACTCGTAGATGTCGTTGATCATAGACTCGGGGAATGTGATGCTTGAAGCGCCCGTGTCGAAGACGACGCTCATGCCGTTCATCTCGGTTCGCTTCTCATTTCGGTCGGTCTTGCACTTCTTCTTGTCTTGCTTTCCAGTGGTGCTGTGGATGATAGATCTCCAAAGGTCGTAGTCCCCATTGGTGGCGGTCAGAGGGACAGAGATCAAGTCGCCCTCAACGTACTTGTCCTCTCGTGATCCTCCGAGGGTCAAGACGCCCTTGCCGGGCTTATCGCCAGTATCATCTTCGCCGTCGTAGTAGATACCGAAGCGGGGCTTGTCCATAAGCTTCTGCTCCATCAAAGACTCAAAAATAGGTGTGGCATTGCCATCCTGGATGCTGCCGAATCCAAGGCCCATGAAGCCATCAGCCGCAAGTGCTGTCCAGGTGCTCTCGTTGGCAGCGATGAACTTGGAATCCCACTTTAAGCCACCAGCTGTGAACTTGTCTTGGATGGTAGGACCGACAATCTTGCCGCCGAGATAGTCGATGTTGGCGTCATCGCCTGTCTTCTTGCCGGTAGAAGATTCGGTGAGGTTGTATCCATTTCGGTTACCCTTGTTGACATGGGTGCAAGTCTCGGCGCACTCAGCGTCGACCATCCAAGCAGAAGAACTTCCAGTATCGAAGAGAAGACGGGCAGTTTGTGCGGGTGTTCCAATACCAAACTGTACCATTTTCTGTTCAAGTTAGTCCATTTGCAACTGGCCTGTAGAGATTCCGATCGACATACATAACCGTCCTTGACAATAATAGGCATATCCAGGACATCGGCCGAGGCCAAGCCCAGGACAGAAGAAGCCAAAAGGGCTGAGGCAAAACGAGTGACAGTCATCTTTTTTTTTGTCGAAGATCGATGATAAAGGTGAATATCATTCAATGTAAAGAATGTCGTGGTTGCGCTTTTCTTATAAACAAAACGCGCTCTGACCGCCGTCGCGGCCAAGATTGAGTGGGTTAACAGGACCCGTAAACACGAGGCAATCTCGGATAATCCGGGATATTTTTAGTAGTTGCATGGCGATGTCATGAGGCATAGTCTGTGCTTGCTTTTTTTTGTTATGTGGTTTATGCAATTGATCGGTATATTTACGCTTGAGTGTTTCAACTTTAACGGTTACTTTGGTTTGCTTGATGATATGACATCACTTGGCTTAGCAGAGTTCTCTTTGCCCTAGAGAAATTATCCAACTCTAGAGTGTGTCAGCAAACAATTGAGCAGGGTTGACTCGTGCTAGAAGCCAAGCAATCATCTAATTGGTTAAACAGCCATGGCCATGTTGATCAGGTACGATTTGGACTTGGGTCCAGTGGCAATACATTCCACTATGAGTCTAGTGTTAAACTGTCATTGCCGACATGACATGTTGCCTGTCAAGGGGGGGCATCGGCTCTTTATAATTTTTAGCCCGCAATCGAGAAATGAGATAATGCAACACAAACAAGAACCCAATGATCAGATGAGATAAGGCACGCTTTGGACTCGGTACTGACACTCCTTCTGGAAATATTCCATTGTTTCAGAAAGAGAGTTATACCCAACATCGCTAGATCCGTCTCAGCTAAGCATGAATAATTCATCAACTTGCAGGGATATGTCCCCATTAAATCCGGCTGTTCGGAACGGGCTTTGCCAACTACAGTTTGAACTGCCGACTTGATCACAAAGCAAACTCTGTTGTCTGCGTAGGAAAAACTCTTAACCACTGTATTCGCAACGAAAGCCGAGAAACCAACAGTAATAGTGGATGTCACCGGTTTTGTAATCAGGGTACTAGACTGACTAAGTACTCTGACAGATGTGAACCGTTGCCTTGGTTCTAGTTTTTCACCCGATGAAACCTTAAAAGCAGGGTTCTAAGAAACAGATGACGGAGATGCGATGGGGCAACTACAGTAAATGGGGTGTATGAAGAGATTATCAATCTATCATCATTATAATAAAAGGGAATGTCGATTCCCATCTTTGTGAATATTCCCCAATTCCCATCTAATTACCCACATTCATTCTGGCTGTAAACCAGCTCAATCATGCGTTTCTCTTCCATCTCTAACCTCGGCCTCGTCGCCCTGTCGACTTCAGTTATCGCTTCAGGCCGCGACGCCAAAGAGACCTACGATTACATTGTTGTCGGAGGTGGTCCATCTGGAATCATCACTGCTGAGCGACTCTCTGAGACAAACAAGAAGGTTCTCCTTCTTGAGCGTGGCCAACGGGGCCCTACCATCAACACTGGATCCAACCACTCTCTGCCATGGGATACCTCCCTCACTCCCATTGATGTTCCTGGCCTTTCCGCTGCTGTCGGTGGTCTCGATCTCTGGAATGAGTATATGTGCCCTGACACTGCTGGTCTCGCTGCCTGTGTTCTTGGAGGCGGTGTTACTGTAAACTACATGGTATTCGTTCACCCTCCCGAGCGCGATTTCAACGACAAGTGGCCAGTAGGATGGAAGTGGGATGACGTTGCACCCGCTGCCGAGAGGCTGTACGCTCGCAACCCTGGTACCACTCTGCCTTCCAAGGATAACAAGCGCTACGACACTGGCCTTTACAACACCCTATCCTCGTTCCTTAACAAGGCTGGATGGAAGTCTGTTGATATGCTCAAGCAGCCTAACGAGAAGCACCAAGTCTACAGCTGGCCTTCATGGAACGTCCAAAACTCCCTTCGAGCTGGACCCGTCAGGACTTACCTTCCCCTCGCTGAGAAGCGTGACAACTTCAGCCTTCGCATGGGCACCAAGGTCATCCGCGTTGTCCGATCCGGCTCCCACGCCACAGGTGTTGAGGTCGAGACCGCCGATGGTAAGAAGCAGATCATCAACCTCTCCAAGAACGGCCGCGTCGTCCTCTCTGCTGGTGCCATGTCCACTCCCCGCATCCTCTTCAACTCTGGTATCGGTCCCAAGAAGCAGATCCTCAACGCCAAGAAGTCTGGTGTCACCCTTCCTGCCCAGCGAAACTGGATCGACCTTCCCGTCGGCAAGGAGATCAAGGACCACCCTATCTTTGCCTTCAACATCAAGACTGATGGAAAGTGGGGCATGCTCGACACCGACAGTGTTCTCAACGGTACCGACACCAAGAACATCAAGCTCTTTGAGGATTCTGCCTCTGGTGTTTTGACCCAAGGTCGTCATCGCCTGATCTTCTTCACTTCCCGCAAGGGAACCGATGGCAAGACCCGTTACTTCCAGGGCTCTACCTCCGCTGCTGGTGATGGTGTTATCTCCATCAAGGTTTACCTTACCCACGGTTTAACCTCGTCTGGCGTTCTGGGACTTGACCAAGATGGAAAGACCGTTTTCGAGAAGACTCCTTACCTGACCACTAAGGCCGATACCGAGGCTTCCAAGGCTTTCCTTGAGGAGTTTATCGCCTCCATCACTGACAAGTCAACTGGTTACACCCTCGAGGGCGACACCACCATCGATGCTCTCCTCGAGAAGCCTGACCAGGGGGACCATTTCATCGGTACTGCCAAGATTGGCTCCGTCGTTGACACCAACACCAAGGTTTTTGGAATGGACAACCTTGTAAGTTTATATATCACTTGAAATTCCTTCTCAGATGCTAACAATTATACGCAGTTCATTACCGATGCTAGTATTCACCCTGACCTCGCCACCGGCAACATTCAGACCATTGTTATGGTCACCGCTGAGGCGGCTGTTGCTAAGATTCTGGCCTGTTAGTTGGGGAGTGTGACCAAATGCATGCATATATAGACGCATTGACTACTTGATTAATGACCGTTATGGCTGTTTAATTCAAATTTATATTATTCTTCCGTTACTTCGCTTCTCTCATCTACAGTGTTGTGTGTGGATGATTTAGTCACTGTTCCAATAATGCCCCTCTTCACAGAAGGCGTCCCAACCAAACAAAGGTGCCCAATACTATCCGCATTTTCTCTAGCGATATCCTGTCCACTTTGCCTTTAAAAGGCATCTCCATATCATATGGCTTCTTTGAGATGGCAGCTAGACAAGATTCTGATAATCTTGCTTGGGACCGAACCGACGCACTCTGGAAAGACGCGGTGAAACATGTTCAATTGACATCCACATGTCGCAAGATTGAATCTTTCGCTGAGAGGACTTTCGGACAAACCGCCACTCTGATCCCTCCGATAATTATCGGCGGTTTCAACGTTTTATACATTGTTCGAGTTGATGTGCTCTCTGAAAATGTTCTTGTGCGTCTGCCTTGTCCTAACCAAGCTGTTTTTCCTGCAGAGAAGACACTCGCAGAAGCTGCGACGGCCGCGTATATAAGCCAGCACACGCAACTCCGAGTGCCCAAAATCTTATACCATGGCGTTGACTCTGATATTGGACCTTTCATGATTATTGAAGAACTTGGGTCTCGGCGAGGGATGGGTCAAGCGCTCGAGGTTCCTCGTAAGGACCTTAACAATCCAGCCATCTTGCAATCCGACATGCCGGAAACAAAGCTTAAGAGTTTGTATGCTGAGATGGCACGGTGTATGTTACAGTTGGCGCAACCAGAATTTTCGTGCATCGGAGCTCTTGTCGAGGTCTCCCCGGGTTCCCACATTGTGTTGGGAAGACCCATGACCCTCAATATGAACAACATGGTTCAGCTTTCAAACATTCCCAAATCGGTTTTCCTGTCTGAATGAAAGATTTATAATACTGCTGATGAGTGGTACACGGCGTTGGCTGAAATGCAAATGGCCACTCTGGTCTTTCAGCATAATGACGTGGTGTCATCTGAAGATGATTGCAGAAACAAGTATGTCGCTCGACAACTGTTCCGCAGATTGGCCAAGCAAGGTCAACTGTCCAGCTTTGGGTTCGCCGAAGATAATTGGTCTACCTACTCCAAGCACACTGGACCAAAGTTACCGTCACCAGACTGTTCAGGTTCCTTCCGCCTCTGGTCAGATGATTTTAGACCGGCCAATGTCCTTGTTGATAATCATGACCACGTTCTCGGAGCTATAGATTGGGAGTTTGCCTATATCGCGCCGACACAGTTTGTTTTGGACTCGCCTTGGTGGCTGTTACTCGACACACCCGAAATGTGGGATGCAGGCATCGACGATTGGAGTAAGATCTACGAAGCAAAACTAGATATCTGGATTTCAGCAATGCAAGAGGCAGAGCAAGAGATGAGCCCAGGTTCTTTTGTGCTTTCAGCGTACATGCGAGAGAGTTGGACGACAGGTCGTTTTTGGCTCAACTACGCTGCTAGAAAGAGTTGGGCTTTTGACGCGATCTATTGGAAGTACCTCGACGAGAGGTTCTTTGGTGAAAGAGAAGATGGTATCCCCACTGAAGAAATGTGGAAGACGAGGGTCCACCTACTTAGTGAAGAGGAGCAAGCGACAATGAAGCCGCTGGTACAAGCCAAAATGGCCGAGGCCAAAACACGGGTTCTGATTGAGTGGGACGCTGAGGACGCAAAGAAGCATATTTCTTCTTTCCTCCTTGACTGATCATCACGATCTGAACCACTGGAGCGGTATGCGTAGTGGTGCCTTGATCAACAGGCTTGGCAGTGTACATCCCCTTCTGTATGCGACTTAGTCTGCCACTGTCGGCTCGTGTTGACGGGTCCTGTCGCATTTGGTCTCAGTTGTCACAGTGGTCAGAGCGCGTTTTGTGGGTAAGATCCCCTCGGGTTACTTCGAGTCGCCGACTTCTGTAAAGAACTGTCTCAGTATTGGTCATCTCACAGCTGTTGATCCAGACATGCCCTTGGCGTTATTCTACAAAGCTCCTCTCACGCGCTTTCCACCTCGTGTAGTACTGAATAGGAAGAATAAGATGCTAAATAAATTGTGAAATGATAATGAACCTCCCGTGTTGCTTTGTACCGAGTGCGTTTCTTGAACGAAATTCATCTGTTGATCCGGTTGACAGACATAGCTTTTGCTAAACTTATATAATAGTCTTTTTGTTAGATATCTTACTGTTCTGACATTTTTTCTAAGCAATCTAATATGCCCTCGGCTTTCCATCGTTAAGAACTCATGGTTATACAGGGTAGTCTGGACGGGTTCAAATCTTAACCATTTGGGATTGGAGATAGACAGCATCCTAACAAACTATAGGGAAATTCGAAGATAATGGACAGAGTGGGCAGATAGGAGTTAATGTAAATAGCTCACGTTGCCGATTTGTCAGAGTACGGGTAGGATGAAAATAACTGCTTTGCAGATCAGGGTGGCGCATCATTGCTGAACCACCATTTGAGAGTCAAAATCAAACACTGACAAAAACTTCTTGAAATATAGTCTTAACGCATTGAATTGATTCATAATAACAGAATTTCTTTAAAACTAACAGGCGTGCTAGTGTATACACATAGTTCAGCCCCCCCTCAAAGATACACAGCCCCTAACATTTACTCGCAGGTGTATGAAGCTTGGTAAGGTCCAGGCTCACCAGCCAAGTCAGTAAGGCACATGTAGGTTCCATCATCAGAGAGCCTCTCCTCCTCCTCTGCTTTCTCCTTGGTGTACTCGAGAATGAGATCACCATCGCAGTTGAAGCCCTTGCCATTGTACAGCCTAACAGTGCATCCTTCGTCCCAGTCCTTGACGAGCATGGCTTCCAAGTCATAGTAGGCCATCATACAATCGTTGCCTTCTCCAGGCTTTCCACCGGCTGAGTTATCGGCGGCGCTGCCTTTGGGCTTGGAGCAGACGTTCTGCGTGCCCCAGAATTCCAGTAGCCATGCATTGGCGGTCTGTGCCGCGAACAGAGACACGGTCAGGGTGGTGAAAGTGCTGAGAGCGTGCATCTTGGATAGTTTGGTTTGATTTGAGTGGGGTCTGAAGAAGTGCTTGGTTGGTTGATGGGTGGTATTTGAGATGTATGTATTCAGAGATAGATGATGTTGAGTGATGGTTGGATGACCTGTAGTTGTAGAGTTGGATGATGAGAAAGGCTGAGAAGAGTGGTTGATGGTAAACCTTTATACACGTCCTGGGAGCTTTATGCGTAGCGAGGTCATTGTTGGGAGACAACATGCAGGACTTGTTTCTACTGTCCCATCTTAGGAATCGACGAAGGATTCACTAAATGACGTACATATTTTTGACTCAATATCTTGGTTATCTCGAGTATCGGCGAGAACTAGGACCAGTATCGCGTTCCTGAACAATCTGCAGACCGGTGTACAAACAATTCTCCGACTTTGCCTCAACCATCCCCCATCCGTGCCCACTCTAGTAACTTATGTTCGGTTATGAAGTGGCCTGAGCCGGGGAATATTGAAAAGGCCGATGGATGGACCCGAATATCCCCATCCGGGATTCAAAAGCTAAAAAGGGTATGTCGTGTCTGTCAATGCAACGAGTGACAGGCAGTGCAGTTAATTGCATGGAAGGATTGAGCTCTGGCGAGGTTGATGTCTTTGAGGAGAGCTGATGATTGGTCGCCTTGTGTCGATCAGATCCCTTGGTTGAGTTTAAACTTGTTTATAACCGTGGCTCAGGCACGTGTTATCGGAGAATCCTTCAGATTGTGGATTCGCATGGTATTGAATGCGGGCTATGACGATACTATAATTTACACAACACAAGATGTCCGTGGGGTCATTCCTAATGCAACCGTTGATGTTGCATTTCGACTTGCTGCCCCTGGGCTTGGCGCATCCTTCTGTGGAAAATCACCAGTTCCACTGGGCTCTTTATTAACCAACCGGAGGATAAAGTGCACGGATACTACGGGGATCATCTTCTCCTATAGGAGATTTTACGGGCCATGGTACATGAATGTACAGGTCAAGTTTCCACTATTTTGTAGATCCCAAAACTATTCACTACTCAGTATATACTCCATTTGACCTGTTATTGGAAGGTAATGCATCATTGTGAGCGGACAGCTTTGCCCTGACGACATCCTTCGGATCCTCCAGGAATAGTTTCACCATGTTGTGGAAGACTCCATTAAGTCGAGTATGAAAGATACGTCATTGTAGATTGTTTCGATCTTAATTGATATTCCCGATTATCTCGATAGCTCATCGGCCACCTATAAAACCATTGTCCTCAAGTTGAGAAGTGTTTTTATCCTCATCACAGACTGCAAAGATCACACAGTCCGCCCAACACTTCCCATTCTTAGTGCATCATATCTTTGCATCACTTGTCTTCATTATGATGAACAAAACTTCCCTTCTTGCTCTGGCCCTCGCAGCCATCCGGGTCCAAGCGCAGGACATGATCAACATTGATCTATACAGCACTGAAACCTGCAACCCGGACCCCAATGACCTTGACGTTCAGTCCTTCCAGCTAGGCGTCAATCTCAAGACAGACGCTAATGGTAACGAATTCTCTGGCTGCAATGCTGCTACCATCGTTCCTCAAGGCTGGCCTACCACTGCCAACGGTAAATACCCCGTCTGGCTTGACACCTCCAAGTTTGGTCAGGGATGCAGTATGCTCTTCTTCAACCTCCCGGGTTCTCAAGAGGAGGGTGATATCTGGCCTTGCCGCAATGGACTCTACCGCAAGATTCAGAAGGACAAGACACCCTGCGGTGATTTGGAACTGACTCAGAAGTTCGGATACGCGTAAGTACAATTCCTCTTATTCAGTCACTTTGTTCTATCTAACGTGTTACTAACTCTATCATGATAGATACTGCTGTGGCTCTCTTTGCAATGACGATGTCAGCACCTGGCCTTCCAAGCGTAGCCTCACCGACCGGGCTCCTACTCCCAAGGCTAAGGACGTAACCAAGGTCAAGCGTGCCCCCATCCTCAACAAACGTCAAGGCAACGACAAGTGTATCATCAACCTCAAGAGTGAACTCTACACCACATTTGGTCGACAGATCCAGGTCGGCCCCGAAGAAACATGCGAGCCCGACCAGACTACCTGCGGTCAGACCTGGACATACACTGCTGGCAATGACATTACCACTAGTGAAAGTCACGAGGACAGCACTGAGGTCGGCTTCTCTGAGTACATTGTTTTCGTCAACTCTTTCTCTGATGGCTATGAAATTAGCAAGGGCGAGTCGGAGGAGCGATCTGTCTCGAAGAGCATGGCTCCCGAGCCTGGACATGCTGGCTACCCCACTTTCACTCCTCTTCTCTACTGTAAGTAGATGTTATGGATTCTTTCATGATAAGAAACTGACATGTTATACTAGGCGCCGAGGCTGACCTTAGCGGCGACTGCTCTCGCGAGGATTTGGGTATCGGTGGTGGAGAGGTTTGCGTTCAGAAGTATCTTCCTGGTGATGTCCCTGACGGTACTTGGCAAATCGTCACCACCGATTAAGTGTATCTATCAGTGTTTGTTGTTCGGGGCACTAAACATTCTACTATCCTTGACCGTGCAGTGGAATGGTTGAACAACAACAACAGTCACTGGATTGGCATATCAAGATTGGATCAAACGAGGCCCAATGTTAAGGCGATAACTGTGCTGGATTGTTGCATTGATTTGTTCTGACGATCCTTGGTCATGTCATTATTAACGAGATTAATAGCCACCAGGATAGTGAGAGGTTTTATCCTGTGAAATAGAAGCACTGGGAGATTCAAAACATTCAAATGTTAGAGAAAAGAGAGCATAGCCATTTCGTTATTGTATTTGTCGCCACAAAAGCATCAGACCGTCGCATGACCTTCAGGGAAATCAGTTAACGGTAGAAACTAACATTTGTTGATAACCTTGAGGAAACTGAGAAGGCCTGGGCGAAAGCTTAGGTGGTCAAAACAAACAAAATACTGTCAGTCATCCTAATCCTCATTCTCCCGTACTACAACGCCATCCAGTGCCTTTAGTTCTTTGATACCTTCCTCTGAGATGCTAATAATTTGTGTTAGATGTCGTTCTAGTTCGAAATATGGGGGACATACTCCACACCAAATATTATCGGCGGCAGACTCTTTGTTGCGGGGTACTGGTTGTGTCCAGTATGCTTTTCGAGTATCCTGAGGTATGTCAGAGGATATATTCATGTTGAATGGCATTCAGAACTTACCTGTCTACCTGGTGCCTGCTGTTCTCCCATTGTTCAATTCCTTCCCAACGGATAGTGACTACCTAAGTAATGCTCAGTATACATTATAAATGTTAAAGTTGTGATGAGAGTGATGGCTCTTACAGGCATTGTGTTGCTGTTGTAAGAATGGTGTTGGCTTGATTTGATGGTGCTGGATTGGATGGATGACTGAATAACTAGATATCATTTTTATCCTTACGTACATGCTGGTATATATAGTTCGATGAATCTATTTGTAGTTTAATCAATGCCGTCATGAAAAAGGAGCATACACAGTGTTGCTCTCAATTAATCTACCAAGCGGTGAGAGTGCAACGACATTCGTAAGCAGTTCTGAGACTTCTCGCGCAAGATTCAAGCCACGTCACTCCAGTGTCTCACAGCTTCAACCACTAAATAGAACAGGCGTGAAGTTCAGCTGAAAGAGCCAATGGCCTTTTGATCTGCACTGCAGAGGCAGAGCATCATGATGGCTTTACAGCTCCACTAAATATCAAAGCTAATGCATGAATTCAATAACCATGGCAGCCTGACTCCACCGCTGATACCTATTATTAGCCGTCAAGTCATCAAAGTTTCTACCATACTCGCAGATGATCATTGCATCTATGCCAATCTTCGAGAGTGATATACCAGATAACGGTAGAGACAACACCGGCGAATAAACCGAGTTGCAAGGACAGGTATCTTGAGACACTGTACACCCGCACATTTATCACATTATCCAATTGTATTCCCAAACCATGACGTTGAATTTCTCTATGGCTTATCAACTAACCGGAAGCGTAAGTCTCTGCATGCGAGGTACAGATAACCCTCAGTTGTGTCTTAAGAAGATTGAGTCTCTGTAGGTTTCACATGCAGTACATCTGGAAGTTCACAATATCTGTTTCACAAATGGCGGTGAACGATTTGAGCGAAGGGGGAGATGATCTTGTCCGCTATCATTCAGGCATTTTGAAGTTTTACGTAGTATAATGGTCCGCTCCCAGTGAATCGTCTACAGATGGCACGCAGAAGATCTCAAAAAGATGGCCGGACTTGTCATGGTGATAAAATCTGAAGTGGGCTAGTATTAATGATCATATAGGTAGACACTAGATGCTAGTCATCCAATATCTCCTTAACTTCATAGTGGCTGTTCGCATAGAAGAACCACAGGCAAATGGTCAAGACACCAATACCGCCAAGGACAGCAGATGCATAATTCATCTGGTCGGCTACGACTGGCACGTAGTATGGGAAGCAGTAAAAGATAAGAGCAACCACTGTCCAGGCCAACATGATGAGATTGGCCAAGAGCCCTAGTCTTGGATACCAGAACGGACCATGCCGAAAGTTAGACCGACCCTGACAAAGCATAAGAACGGCAGGAATACTGTAACTGATATACTGCAGTAGAATCCCTGTTGAAATGAGAGAGTTGAAGGCCAAGTCGGAACCAAGATACAGACATCCAAAGATGGCAGTGCCTGAAGCTGACCCGATCAGGGACCATATGGGAGTGTGCATTGGTGAAGGCGCGAGCTTGCTGAGATGACGATGGAGCGGAAATCCAGCTTCTCGACTGATGGTCCAAGCGAGTCGAGACTGCCACGTTTGAATAGACCATACTGCTCCAGCTGTAGTGATTAGAACTGGTACCCAGAGACCCACAGCTGTGGCCTTGCTGTCTGTAATGCGATAGAAGAGAGCCAATGCAGAGTTATCAGCGGCTCCATCAATTCCTGACACATTGATCAAAGTCGAAGTGACAACTAAAAGTCCAGAAATAAATCCGACTACAATCGTCCATATCAAAGCCTTGGGAATATCAGTGCTTGGAGAGGGCATCTCCTCTGCAAGATGTGTAGCCACGTCCAGGCATGAAAAACTCCAGTTGGCCCCGTTCATACCGATTAAAAATGCAATACCCTTCGGCCACCCGGAAATGTTGACCGACACGGTGAAATAATCTTTGGCTGGCATGTGCATATCGGACATGGCAAAGAGTGTAACAAAAATGGTGAAGATAGTCATGCAACTGAACAGCAGCATAACCTTTGATATCTTGGGAAGAGCGTGCTCGAAGCTGGCTCCAAAGACAGTCAAGATATTGAGAAGCTGGAAGCCGACGAAACCCATCCACCGTTTATACACAAAGTTGGGGTTCAGCAGCGAGATGATGGCGCAGGCGCCTGTGGGTACGGATAGACAGGCTGATGCACCCGTTGCGACAGCAGCCACCCAACTAATGACGGCCGTAAAATAGGACAAGACGCGGCGGTATCTTGGTGGAGCCAGGTGATTTACCCATACATACTGGCCGCCGGGATGGGGTATCGCTGAAGCCAGCTCTCCGAGGGTTGTTGCAGTGGCGAGACCAACAAGGGTCTGTATCAAGAATCCCCAGAAGAAGAGAGGTGTGCCGCCCATAGGAAGAGTGCTTCCAAGGACGAGAAGCAGACCAACTGCAGTGTTTGTTGTCCCATAGCCAATGCCAAGGGCAGATAGGGTCGTGAATGGCTTCACAGTCTGAACTGTAACGTCCCCATGCCGAAGGGACCCAGATGGTGCTGTTTCGCTATCATTGTATTTGTGGTCGGACTTTTCAGGCATCATGGAAAGTTGTTTTGCTTCCTCCGAAGCAGAATGAGATGTATGCGACTCCATTTCGCCAATCGTATCTGCAAAGGGATCCCTTGATCGATTGGAGAATGTGTAGTTAATTAATAGACCAAATCTCAAGTCTTATCTCATAACAGTGACTGTCTGAACTTTAAGCCATATTGAATGAGGAAGTGCGCTGCGATCATTGTTAGTGGTGGTTATCTGAAGCTAGGATGAATCAGGCAAGTAGGTGCGAGACTGGACAATCTCAGGTCAATCTAGGCCTCTAGTCAAGGTCAGATCTTATCACGCGGGGTCTTATCTGGTCGCTAATAGTGTCGTATCTGGGGAAAGAAGCGGGGAAACATGGAGAGGGGACTGAGGTAGGGCAAGGCGATTGTTCAACATATGCATTTTTTTATGTTAATGTTGGAAGTCGATTATCATAATAGACAGACAAATGAGTCATTCACCGAAAGCGTTTCACTTCAAGTCCAGAAACGGCTGTCTACGGTGCAAAGCGAGAAAGGTGAACCCAGTCTGCATTCCCAGCGATACGCAGTAACTAAATTTGCCAGATCAAATGCGACGAAAAGAAGCCAACTTGCGGTCGCTGCGAAGCGAGAAATCTTCACTGCCCTGGATATGCTCTTAATGTTCGATGGTCAAAAAAGCATGAGCTGCGGGCTGGTGGACTTATGTCCTTAGAGCCAGTGCAAACTGTGCCGCAACAACCACTGCCGGATGATCCGTCACTGTTGGCTCGTACCACTGAAACATCTATTCGAGACGACGAGTCTGAACCCTGGTTGAACATGCCAAGCCAGTGGGATTCCATGCCATCTGTGACTCCTCCTCATGTAGAAGCCACTGATGCTGCTGTTGTCCTACTGGAGCCCGAGTCTATGGAATCTCCTGATGCTACTTGGGAGTGTCCTGATTTGGATGGTATGGCATGGTCCGATATCCAAGACACTCTCCCTTTACCATTTAGTGTCATAGAACAGCTGAGTGGCCCTCGAGTTCTACAAACTGAGGACATATCGGCAACACAATTGCTGCCTCCGACATCGGAAAACCCTTTCCAGATCACAACTCTACCTCAGCGTCCGATGATGGACCAAGTACAAGTGCCACGTCAAATACTTCATGTTCCCACCGCCCTCTCCGAGTACTTCTTCTCAGAGGTCATTCCTCTTTACTGTGTTTGGGACAGCAAGCTGAACATAATGCGTAATATTACCGAGACCATGTGGCAATCATCCGGTGCTCTGCATCACACTATCCAAAGTATGGCGGCAGCATGTCTATCAGAAAATTTCCCTCATTTGCTACCAGTAGCCAGACAAGAACATTCTCGCGCTCTAGTATTTATCAAAGACAAAACAACAGTAACGGCCCAAAAACAGGCTATGGCTCTGGCTGCTACTTTCTTGGGTCATACATCAAGCTGGATAAGTCCAGACAATCTCGCCCCGGACATGTATCAAACTAGTTGGGATATTCTTGATGAGATGACTACCGACAATGGAAGTTCGGCAACGTCCTTCTTTGACAATACCATGGACTACTGGGCGATGCTGCTTGCATACCTAACTGACACCCAGCACCTAAGAATCTCTAAGAAATATTCTCCTCTAGCCGCGACAAGACAAGAAAAGCTAGTAGAGCCGCACCCCTACTGCGGTATATCTAACGGAGTCATCAAGATACTGAGAGACATTGGAATTATCATATTCACTTACAGAAACCAAATGTCAAAAGCCAGTTTCATGACAGAGGAACACGTCGACGTCTTCAGGCATTCACTGCGAGAGGCAAGACGCCTGGAGAGAGTCCTATTGGCCCATCGACCGCCCGACATGTCACAGATCAAAGACCCAGGTGATCCGCAAACGCCGCTGAAGCATCTAGAGCTAATGGACGAGGCTTATCGATTTACCGGTCTGTTACAGCTGTACCGTGTCTTCCCAGATCTTCTCATTGAGCGCTATGCGCCATGGGATCAAGAGAAAATACTCCAGCCTCTACCGGGGACCAAAGCCCCGACCATTGAGGAAAGACAAACTTGGCTTACCGAACTAGCATTGCATGTCATTACAATCTTGGAAACTATTCCATTTGAATCACACACTCGCAGTGCCCAGCCATTCATCATGGTCGCGGTATCTAGCGAATTAGTACTTAGTTCTAAGCAAACATCTTCAGGCGACGACTTTGAGACCCTTGATCATTTACCATTTCGTGTTACTAGGGCTCGCAAGTTTCTTGCTTCTAGATTAGCAGCATATACTCATATCTTACCCCTGCAGAAGACTCGGGCTATTTCTCAACTCATCAATCATATCTGGGCGGCTCTAGATGCTGGGGAACAGCAGGTCTACTGGTTGGACGTGGCATATGAGAAGAAAATGGGCACAATGTTTGGTTGACTAGCAAATAGACTTCGTCTTTATAACATATTTTCAAAGCAATTTGTGTCCTTGATAGACTCAAAGCTTTGCGTCTAACGGTTCTAAGGCCAAGCTGGCGAACTTAGTCACTGTGGCCTCGGCTGTGAGCTGACTCTGGAGCCGATCCTCAGTAATTCGATAGCACTGGGGGAACCAACCACTAACATCCTCCCCCAACATCATCATGACCAGGGCTTCACCAGTCAACCAACACTTATCCATGCCATATCCGTTGAATCCAGCTGCGATCCATTGCCCTTGATCTTCTTCGTTCCCGGTGACAGTAGCAGGAACCTGACCAACGACAGGTAATCCGTCTGCAGTATGGCCCTGAATACCGGACCATATTGATTCAATCTCGGAAGTAGACTCAGAGCCCCAGCCTCTGATGAAGAACTTTGGGAGAACTGTGGAAAGAGCTTGTACAGCTGCTTCAGGTACGTATGTGTCATCGGCAGTTAGAATATCTGACATATATGCAGTTTCGTTTCCAATCCAGATTCGTCCTGTCAGAGCATTTTGCTGGAGATAGTAAAGGCCAGTGGTGTACAACCCAGTTTTGATGTCAAGCGTTGGCTTATGGGAAAGACTCCAGGATCTGGATGCACCGACGTTTGCAAGCTCCGGGCCAGGCTTGTGAACCGACATTGTTCCCCTAAACGGATATATCCTTCCGGAAAGCCGGGGAAGCAAATGGGATGCATGTCCATTCGTGCAGTGAATGACCTTTTTGGCTTTGATAGTCCCGCGACATGTGGTTACTGTATATGGATACCCAGCATTCCCCAAGAATTCGACTTCGGTAACTGGGGTATGAGTCTCAATGGCGAGCCTGTTTGGAAATTGTGCCAGTAGCCGCTGATAAATACCGGTCAAAAGACGGTAGGGCCAGATGGCTCCAGCATCGTGTTCAATGGCTCCAGATGCTCCCTGGATATTCCATCTCTGAACGTGTCAGTTTGATCACAACCATATTAGAGCTACATACCTCAGGCACTTCATCCGCATCGACAATACGATGGTAACCTTCACACTCAGGCACATTTCTCTGGAAGGCTAAAACTGAGTTTCTCGCAGCTGTCCACGTTTCGTCGTCTCCAACGGCCATGACCTTTCGGACATCTCTGATCTGGCAATCATCCTGTACTGCCTTATCCATTGCCTTGACCATGTCGATCATATTCTGTATGTTCAATATACTAAAGCGTGTGATTTGCTTTGCAGCTTCGATCCCATGTTGTTTAGCTAAAGGGCCAAATGTATGACCAGCAGCAGTCACGAGATGTCCACCGTTTCTCCCAGTAGCGCCACTCACAAGTGTACGCGCTTCTAACACTGTAACGTGAGAATCTTGGGTGGCTCCATGCTCTAGCAGGGCTTTAGTAACGCTGCATCCTGTAATCCCGGACCCGATAACAACAAAGTCAGTATACTCTGGAAGCTCTGTAGACTGAATGGATGACACTATGGGATGGGCCGGAACCTGCCACGCCGATACTGTAGGATTCGGATGCGGTAAGCCGGGATCTTTCAGGATTGCTCTTGACACATTGCCCAGGAATTTAGCCATTGACGAACCTATACACACAAATAGTCTTAGTATTTATCACATACGCTGCTCTGGTACTCACTATATTGTATGCCATCGCTAACAGAAGTTGATAGAGGTCCTGTCATCTTGCCAGATTTAGTACAAAGATATCTGAAGTGTGAGAAAGTTCAGTGGTTGCAGATGAAAATGATAAGCAGGATAGATATTGACAAAGCTTATCAAAACAACCTAACTTCGCTCAGCGATTGGAAACAGCAAGGTAAATCTTCCTCTCCAACTCTCTTAAAACTTGATAAGAAAGCCATTTGCCCTTTCGCTTTTACCTACTCCCTTTGGGAATGGCATGCGATAGTGAACAAGATGTGGATAGCGGGGAAGTCCACGCAATAAACTTGGCGACTTAGTCTAATTAGGCAAGTATGTGCGACAGAGATTAACCTGCATTCCAGCTCACCCCGCCTACCCATCTGAAATACCGAGGTTCATTATTAAATATCCTTTTCTATACTCTAAAGTCCAATCAGCGATACGTAAGTGTCATGGTTATCAGTTGTCTAGGTCTAAAGTCAAAGTTCATTGTCATCCTCTCATCATGGCAATATACGTGACAGATCTAAAGGAGAAAGATATCCCTGGAGCAGTGAAAGCTGTGCAGTAAGTAATTTCGATATAGATGGGTATCCCGACCGGACTTGGTACCTTTGTGTTGTACTGGAGATACCAGTTCGTCTTTGTCACATCATTGTTCTATAGCTGATTGTTATAGAGAAGCATTCGCAGGGGATCCGTACAACGAATGGGTCTACGATCATAAGAATGTAAGTAATACTACTATATTCGCTAAACCTTCCTCTACCAATCCGGCTTGTTCCTTCGTGCTTCATATTTGCGGACAGAGTCATCTCGGCTAACCACAGACACTTAGTTTAATCCCCGAAGGAATTCAGTATCCCTCGGTATCCGAATGCGATGGGGCATGCGCAATGGTATTTTTCATGTCGCCAAAGAAGAGGGTAGCGACAAAGTCCTCGGTGTCGCCATGTGGTTGCGTCCACAGCCAGCAGATCAACCTCTTACATGGAATGACTGGCTTGAGAGTTGGCGACTCTACTTTGGCCAAGTGTGGATGAATTTGGTCTATGGCCGGGGAGGACTCAACGTCACAGTAAGTAACAATTGTACCAGAACAGGTCACCGCGCTGTCTTACAAGACTCACAGAGATACTACATCTGGAAGGACGCCCAAGAAAAAGCTCAATCAGAAGTTTGGTCAGACTCCCGAGGCTATTACTTTCTTAACATCATGGTCGTTTTACCTGAGGCTCAAGGGAAGGGCGTTGGAGCAAAGATGATGAAGGTCGTGACTGAACAGGCCGACGCCGAGAACATGAAGTGCTATCTTGAGTCAAGCCGAGACAAACCTAACGTGGCTATTTATGGTCGCTTTGGGTTCAAGCTACAGACAGAGATGATTTGCGATGATGACGGGGATGCCATCAAGCTGTTTACTATGATCAGAGAGCCCCACGCAGAACCCAGTGATGGGAAATAAGGCTTCGGTATTCTACCATGATGTTATTGGCAGGCGTACATTTTTAAATTATTTTGTTAATATCCAACAGAAGAATTTGGTAATAATATGCTTAGGCATACAATACGTCGCAGCTTATGGAGTTACAGCATGGCGCGATGATTGTATAAGTACCATTTCAGTGGAGGTTCGAGCAGACATAAGTTTTTTCCATAAACAATACTGATCCAATAAAGATCTTTTTATCATTCTCCATACTCCAAATCTACTAAACCCCAGCTCTCATAGTTTTTCATTTTACCATGCTAAAACTTCCTGAAGCCCTCCACAAGACAAACTCGAACAAAGCTCCTCGTCCTCCATGTTCTTCTTGGCGCCCTCCGTATCAGGCAACTTTTGTCGAGCCGGCCAAATTTGCTTTCCAGCCTCCCTCTCAAGCTTGACATGAGCATGAATGGCGTCTCGATGTCCATCCTGGAATGACAGAGGACCGTGTTCAAGGCGAGGATGAAGCTCGCCACTGATGAAAACACCGGCTTCCAAGTTTCGCTGCGCGCCAATGCAAAGGTCCTTATCCTCAGAGACAACTCGAGCGTACATGTCCGCAATTAAATGGAAGTCTTCGTCGGATGAAGTCCTGTTGCGGAAGATTTGATAGTGCATCGATGAGTGTGATGCCGATGTGGGAACAAAGCGTTGGATCATCATGAAATGAGGTCTAAATAGAGTTAGAAAACATATTAATTGGAATGGAAGTAGTGACTTACAGAACGACTACCGAGGCGTTGGGGTAGAAATACGTGCTTGCGAGTTGGAGGCCGGCCTTCTTCTGCTCCTCTGTCTGAACACTCGAGTGCTTGATCCATGCCTTGTCGGTATCACACTTCATCTTTCCAAGGTCGGCAAGTGTTGGCAAATCGGGATGCGTTGTGGGACAGTGATAGCACTCGTTGAAGTTGTCTGCGAGAATCTTCCAGTTGTAGTTGCCATCCATGCCATACTCGTTGTCAAGAACATAGTCCTCAAAGTTGACCTTGGACAGTCTCTCCTGCTGGTCGATCCCATCGAAATAGTTTGTCCAAGGCTCTGGGTTATCGGAACTGTCGAGGTTGACCCAGACAAAGCCATATGCATCGAGTTTGAGATGAATCTTGAAAAGACCATTCTGGCTCTTGTCGAATCCGTCAAGCACGTCGTAGTTGGGAGCCTTTGCGAGGTTACCGCTCAGACCATAAGACCAGCCGTGGTACTTGCAGGCAAAGATCGACGAGTTTCCTGAAGTTCCACCCTGGACGACTGGGAAGGCCCGGTGGCGACAGACGTTGTGGAAGGCATTCAAGTTGCCCTTTCGATCACGAGCGACGACAAACTCATATCCTGTCGTGTTGAACTTGAGCCAGTCACCAGCCTTGGCAAGTCTGTTCTGGTGTGTGACGAGAAGCCATTTCTTGGAGAAGATGGCGCGCCTCTCGAGCTCAAACATTTCTGGAGAGGTGTACCATGTTGAAGGAAGAGCACGAACTGGGGTTCGGTGGCTCTCATCCGTGAAGTTGTCACTTTCGATGTGGAGTTTGATCTTGTTCATTGTGGCTGCTGGTATATCTTGTTGATAGTTCCTTTTGTCAAGTGTGAGACGAAAGTAGTAAGTACTGTTGAGCTAAGGAACTTTGTTTCTGGAGTTGGGATGGAATGGAAGGGGGATTCTTATAGACAACGGCTCGCTCTCCAGCACCGCTCAGCTGATCAAGCCATGAGTTGAATGCCGGTGCCTAGGCCAACCCCCTACCTTCGGATATCATTCCCAGGAGAATCCATCCCGTATCTCGGACTAATTTGAGGCCAGATGTCGTTGATGGCGCGCGGAGGAGCTTGTCAACGAGGTCGTGTGACAGAAGATCAGCCAAAGATCAAAGAGACAAAGAACGGGTCACAACACTAATCGCAAATGTGCCATTGGCCGTACCTACATAGTGTGCAGCCATCAAACATGGGGTTGGCATATGCGAGCGAGGGGTTCAATACGCCACTGACTTATCATTGTTCGGTCATATTGGGTTTAGACTTGCGTCTTCGAGGTCCACGAGCCGCAACAGGCAATAAACGAGACTGATTGATGTTGTGATTGGCCAACCCCGCACATTCGGGTTCTAAAGCCGAGAGCCAGGCTCACCAGGGACTAGAATCCGACGAAGCCGAGATCGGCTGGGTAAAAGAGACGCTGTGATGTGTTGGTATTTGGAGCTTATCTATGACATGAACTTTACCTGAAATGGTAAATGGAGGGCAGACTGTGCATATGGAAAGATATCGTGGCATTCGTTGGCGAGGAGAGAGTTTGGGTGAGCTGAGGTTCATGATCATGTGCATCGGGTCGTCGGATTCAGAAGACGAGAAGAACGGGATCTTATGCCGTTATGTCCGTACTAACCAATACAGGGTGCTATGATAACGGATATTCTTCTTGTTCCCATTTGATACTGGTTTTCCAGACCCCGGGGTAGATGGTTCAAGTGCCGATGTTCCTGCAGCTTGCTCGGTGAACGGTGTCAGAAGAGGAACTAAGTTTGTGGATGGGTGTTCCCGAAAAGGTCTGGAATTGGCTATGTCACCTTGGTATCATACATTTGAGATATTACTGAGGCAAGAGAAAAGAACGAGGTCTGCCCTTGTTCAGCTCAATACTACCATCGATTGCGCATCCGAGTTTCCTCAGTCTTGCCTTGTCCGTCCATCATGCTCCGACGATCCCGAACCTCGGGATTATAGCCGATGGAACCATATCTTATCTCGTTGTATCCCACAGCGACAGCAAAAGCGTTTCTCGTTTCATATTGGACTTTGCTTGACGCCACAACCGACAAGACTTCTCATCAAGTTATCGGTCAATCCCCAAAATACCTTGCATCAGCCCAAGTATAGTTCATCTTGGCATCGCGTGAGACTAGCAAGCCAGTCATGCATAGCTTTACGCTAATTCATACGTCAAGCCACATTTTAGAGTAGCAAAGTTTCAAGTCAAACGGGAGGGGACAGCCGATAAGGGGTTTCGTCGGTATTTGTTCCCTAGTGGCGCTGAACCCATGATCAGTTGAGGAAGATAAGATGATAGAGAGCCCTTCCAACGTACCACTTCCTTGTCTCGGTCACAGCCTTCAGAATATTCTCAGTCAAATCCTATCACATGCCTCGTCAGGATCAAACCAGACTATACATCAAGTATTGTTTTACTCTCCCGTCTCTAGGTCCCCGATGCAACTTCCTTGTCCCACTGTCCCGCTCCGTAGCCTAGAACTTCGAACAATAGATACTTTACTTAAGAATGAGAACACCACATGCTATCTGAAGGGATATAATCAGATCAAAGTATAGAGGGGCATCGGAAACGCACCCAGGGCTCGGGAGATAAAAGTGCGTAGACCCTGTTGGTACCTCCCTTATCTTGAACCAATGCTACGGTCAATATGAACATCTCAAGAGAGGCCAATCATAAGCTTTAGAATCTCCGTAGACTAGTTGATATGTTAGGTAGCCTTGGAACAGACTCTACACCACTGACGTACATGCATTTCTATGCATCGACTACATTGATCATGATTATAAACATGTCTTGTTTTCTTTAAACCACAATTGCTTAAGATTCGCAGATATCTTTCCCCTCTGCCGCACTTGGAGGGCAGCTCGGATTCCCACTCCACAATCTAAATGTCATAGTTTTGCTTTGATGGCACTCATGCAATGGTGGTACTGCTACACGTGTTGTCTATGACGAACATAAACAAGTCGGATATGTGTAACTGAATGAATATTATTCCTGTTATCTTCCATCTTAGTTCAAGTGGATATGTAAGGGCCTCACTTTGGCTTGTAATCATGAATATACCGCATGGTACCTCTATAGTATTGCACAATCTCTGCGACCACGTGGGTCCAAACAGTGTTATGTCTATGTATTTATTCAAATAGGAATCTAACTTTTATCTTTCTATGTACTGGACGTTATGCTATGTGTCACAAACACACTCTTTCCATCGCTGTTACGCTCGACATCGGTCAGCTCGGTTGAATTACCACCACGAATCTCAGTAACTAATCCGATCTCATCATCCCTCACTCCCCATTTTTTGTAAGCTGATGGTGGATGCCGTGTTCGCTGTGTGCCATTATTGGCTGTTCCTTGAGCGTAGTCGCTAGATGGCCCTGACGATTGTTCACGTGATTTACCCCGTGAGATGAACCTTCGAAGACCGGGGAGGCAAACGACTATGATCGCTGTGCTCATCTCGGCAGTGGACAGGATGTCTGTTGATCAGTTAGGTCAGGAAGGATTCGGGTTTATTAGGGGGGGGGACGTACTGCCAGACTCGTCTTCGAGTTCGAAATCAGTCGCATTATATGCGATGAATCGTGAAAGACTGACTAGGAGGGTGATGGCACCCAGAGAAAACACACCAATAAGGGCAAGCTTCTGCTCCTTGCGAAGTGCAATGTGCTTAAGAAGGAAGAAGGGATAGAGAAACGCGACCAAGTCTGTAGACCAGTTCAGAACCCATTGAATGACAAAGGCAGCATACGAGTTCCATGTTGATTTGAGTTGGTTTGGAATAGACCTGGAGCAGTTAGTTGGTGGTTACGGGACACAGTCTTGAGGGAATCCGTACCAGTTATCAGTGATGGGCTGGCATATGAGGGTGTCGGTAAGGACTGTCGCAGTAAAACAGCAGCCCAGATAGACGGAAACTGCCAGCAATGCGTTCTTCAATCGTCCCGAAATTCTCGGTATCAAATTCCAGTAAAACAAGGTGATGGAAATCTTGGGGAGGTAGATTCCAATGTCGAAGAAGTACTGCGCCACAAAGACAATCTACAAGACAAGCGAATGTTAGCTCCTTGGTCCGTCTTGGCAAACAAAGGATATCCGCCCGTACCTTGAGGTATTCTTCCGAATCGACGAGGAGCTCGGTGGTGTATGCAGGGTTATCGATGAGGATTCGAAGGGCTAATGTCGAGCATATAAACCATCCCAGTGTAAATATCCATCCTGCCCAGGCAAAAAGATCGGTCGGTGTGAAGATGGATTGGTGGGAGAGGATGCGCGCCCAGCCGCGGAGGAGAAGGACGATAAAGGACAAGACAAGAAGAACTGCCTGGATAGCCTGGAAGGTGTCAGAAAAATGATAGCTTGCGGGATTTTTAGTGGAAACGTACAATTGAAGCATTAATGCCAACCATGCTGGAGGCTTTCAACAAGGAGGATCACCCTCCTTGCCCTGGAACAAAGAAACGAGCGTAGAACAACAACAAAAGGCAAAACCAGGAATGGTCACATTTAGGGAAGCATGGGAAATAAGAAGAAAAACAAATGTCGAAAACTTTGGACAAGGGGGGAGAAGATCATGCCAGGGACACAGTTAATGAATGATCAGTAGCCCGGGCCATTAAAGTTTTCTAGTCGACATCACTAACCAGAAAGATTTCTAGTGCTTAATAGCCTGTAGCAAGTTAAGCTACAGTTGCCACTAGCTTCGCATTGATGGATCTTTTAGGGAAGGTCGAAAGCCCGAGTGACAGTTGAAAAAAGAAGCTTACCAGGTGGATTTAGGGGGAACTTGACCCAATTGAGGAGTTGTTGGTCAAAATACGCGGAAGTATTCCACCCTGGTTCTATCCACAAAGTACCCGGAACCACTGTTGGTAGCATTATAGGATTCATTACCTGGTCATTGGAATTTATGGAAGGCTGAAACTAAGAGATTGCATGGATGCCATCGACCCGGGTAATCAATTCCTGCAAGGTTAGGTAAGAGATACAGCATCACTTTAGCTGTTGATCAAAATGAATGCTTGCAGACGTCAACCACGTGTTAACCTTTGACTAAGAACTAATCCGTCCACTCATTACCGCTATGGCTCATTGTATTTTCTGTGCCTTTGGCCGTTTCTGGGCACTCGCACCGGCGCCAGGCTAAGAGGCACGGACTACCAACACTATTCCGCGGGTCATTTTTTTTTTCTCGCTCCGAGACCGACTCAAGACTGTTTGTTAGAGTTCATATCCACAAAGAGAACCTGTTGATTGCCAAGACGTTTCATTGGATCGAAACGTGTTCTCGCTTCCCGACAGATCAGTCTCGGCCCGTAGACTCCCTTGGGATAATCTGCGCCCGTGGCCTGACTTTTTCCACCAAAACGTGATTTTATTAGAGTTGTAACATTTCTGAACTAGAAATTTGTGACGATTTTAGCCATGGGCAATTAATACTAGCCTTCTTCGTCTTTCTTTGCGAGTTTCATTCGGTAATGAGTAGGTCTTCAACTTGAAACATAATGCTAACGCTAACAACGATGCATGCAATATTTGCAACCGAGTATACAGAGTGGTCCTTTACTATTTATGCAATTCAAACCTTTGCGCTTCTTCTGTACCAATATTGATCTCTTCCGGGGTTTATACGCTCATTGGTAAGATTATTATAGCCTTAGATGCAGATGTATATTCTCTTGTTACACTAAAGGCAACATCAAAGCTCGTCACTTTCAGTGATATCATCACTTTAACAACACAGCTTACAGATATATCGAGAGCTCTCTGCTACATTCATATAAGTCAGTTACGCCAACCAAGTTCATTCCTAATTACCGGCCGCCAATTCTACCCCATACGCCTCCCAAGATAAATACAGCCGCCTCCCTATATCCTAGCGTATTCAAGTGTCAGAAGTAGGGCCAATACTACCAATATCCTCCTCTCTACAGAACCAGCCCAACATCGTTAAAGCATAGATACAAATTCATGTCAGCAAGAACTCTTCGTCTATTTCTTCCATCTTGCTTCTCGTATAATTGGGTTAGAGCACAAGAAAACTGAGCGTCTCCCTTTTGTTTCTAGTTTTTTTTTTTTACAATGCCACCATTGTTAGTCCGTTGTTGCACAACCTTTTCCAAAATAACGTTGTCAATATTAACATCAATATTGAAGCCCGAGATTTGGATATTAGGCCCGGCATCCAACTGATCCTGGGTCCAAGAGCAGGTCACATCGGACTGAGAGTAATCGGTGTTCTGAACAAGTGGTGCCGTAACCGCCAAGTTTTGCCATCCATAGCCACATAGCAAGAACGGATTGCCCAAGCAGTCTGATTGTGCGAGAAGGTACCAAGCTGATAGCTTGTAGGATTTACCAGCCTCGAGCGAGGATGAGGAGATAGTCTGTTCGATACCCAAAAAGTCCGGGACAGATGATGGTGCCTCGGCGACGAAGGAACCAGCTTGACTACCGGAGCGGAAGCCCGTAGTGATGATAGATAGGGGTCCATCTTGAGGCATCTTCTCCCATGGACTGACTGTCGATTTGGTACCTGAGCTAGGGCGTGGACTAACTAGCCATAGCCTCTTTGATTTTACCAAGCTCAGAAGAGACAACCCCATTGACAAAACAGTGAGGAGCATTCCAGCAAGATGGTAATAGTATGCCCCATTGTTGGCGAAGAGTATGGTGATGGTGAGATCGTCCCTAAGGTAGAGGGGTATAAGCCTTGTTTCGCGTGAGCGTCGTTGCAGACTTGGACATTACCGTTCCAGGCGGAGTCACGATCCAGCGTTCCGCAATTGGGCATTGGCGATCTCCCTTGCCATGTCGCAATTAAAATGGAGTTTGGAACTAGGGACTAGTCTAGATCCAAATCCTAGAGCGCAATCTATTCAATTCAGCCGTCCGAACCGACGCTGTAGCCAACGGGGCCATTGCACTCGCGATTGGTGCAGAGTTCTAGGGTGTTTCTCAATCCCGTACGTCCCGGCGGGCGGAAATGAAGGAAGCACATGCGGTGCATCCTCCGTTAACCATTGCATGGATCACTTCGGGAAGAAAACCCGCCATGGACAGGCTCCCCTGCATATTGTGCATGAGAAGATGTCTTTATCCGATGATTTCGGCTTCATCGGGAATAGTTGAAGGACATTTCTTTACTTGTCATGCTTTTCTCGATTGCCGAACTTAGATTCAGTCATTTCATGAATAGCATGCTACATCTACAAACTTGGTCATATCGTTTTCCGATAGTCAGTTTAAAGCAACGTACGAGTATGTACCCAACCAACTATTTCCTTCCCATAACACATCGCCATTATAGGTGCCACCGCTCGTTATATGTCCAATAATATGCGATCTGGGTAATTAACACATGACTTAACCGCATTTTTAAGAGCATGGAACAATTGAGCCTGTTCAGTTGTGTTGCTTGACTCGTCCTTATGTTGTATGAAGAGCGACGAAAAGGGCCTAGTAAACCGACTTGGTCTTCCCATCGACGACATCTCGGATAAAATCTTCAAGACTTTGGCCTTTGAGAGAAGGATACAAATCTTTGGCAAGGACATATCCAAGATACACTGCGTTTTCGGCTGTGTTGTCGCCACGGACGCCCCAGGACATCCAATACTCCGTAATTGCTTTTCCTTGCGACAACTCAGTGGTATCTTTGAACTGTGCCAGTTGAGCTTCGATTTGTTCCTTGGGCATCTACAAGTATTTCGTCAGCTTTATTTATCGGGTGTGGAGCTTTGGGGTTTGGGTCACCTCTGTGCGCTCGGGCTTTTCACCTGTAACCTTCTCGACCAGTTCGAAGACCTCATTCTGCGTTTTCGACTCTGTGTATGCAAAGACCTTTTTGTTTATAGTTCGATCGTCGTTGATTATAACGGCAACGTATCTTCCAATGTCGTTGAGGCTGACCAACGCAGATGGGTTGTTCCCGCCGCCGATGATGTTGTTGTTTGCGGCTGTGAGGCGACCTTCGAATTTTCCAGAAGGGACGAGAGGGAGTGTGATCTGATACCACCAGCCGACATCGATTACTGTATAAGGAAGATAGATACGCTGAATGTGGTCCAATATTTCCTCTTTCTGTAAAATGATGATTATTAGTCAAAGTGTGAACGGCTTCGCAGAGACTTACAATATCACGGGCCATCATAACACCTCGAGGAGCGACAGTAGCAAAGAAGCAAGGCACATATCGCTTGACTCCGGCCGCCTTTGCAGCGATTGAAAGAGGAATCTCGTCATGGAGTGCCTGATAATAGATGGCCGAGATGACTACGTCGATGCCTTTCAGAGCAGCCACGAGTTCATCCTGGTTACCTTGAAGGTCAACGGCAACTATTTTGACGCCTTTTTCTTTCAAAGCGACTGTCGTAGGTTTCTCAATCGAATTTGGTCGGACCAGGGCTGTGATATCCTATTCGTCGTCAGTCATCACGTCAACCGAAAAGAGTTGAACAGCATACAAACTGCGTGTCAGACTCCAAGAGGCCATTGACGATGGATCCTCCGGTAGCGCCAGTAGCTCCAACAATTGCAACCTTCATTTTCGTTTTGTTCTTTTGTCCTTGATAGATTCTGTCCATGGAGATTGAGGAAATGAAGATTAATAGGTCAAGCCAAACTCCGCAAACTCCGCGCAATACAACTGCCGTTCCGCCTCCACTCACTGGCGGTTGTTAATGGGGCTTCATTTTAGTGGACGATTTAGCCATGAGGGGAATTGCTACCGGTTACCACGGACTTAACGTGATGAACCCCGACGATTTGACGTCAAGCGTGTTCCCTTTTTCGGAGATCACTAAATATGAGACATAATGTCAATATCTCTTGAACTGAATCAGGGCAACATAAATAACCTGTATGTTAAATCGTGATAGATGAATGGCGGCGTCGAGACATGGAACATGCCGCCATAGCTACAGACCCGGCATGCATGTGAGTTCGCAGGATATCCAGACCTTTGACAATATGTTTTAATGGCTCCGGTAGTCTTCCAATCATCAGATTGACTCCCAATATTGTCTAGCAGTCACCCAACATTACCTCTCGAAAATCAGGCTGGCCATCTAGTGGATGTTCATATGTTGCGCCCTTCTTATTAAGTCCGAGTCAATTGCTGATAGATGCTGACCTGTATATTCCGTATAGCTTCAAATCAGCGTATCCGATGCCTAATATAAAAGTATTCGTACCTTTAATAAGATGTGGCTGCGATAAAAGCTTTGATGGCACCATCTCAGAATGTGGTTCCAGAAGCGGACCCCTAATTTTAGCGGGCAGTCGCGCTGAACAAGCAAGCCCCTCCAGTAGGGTCGGTAAGTAAAACATGTCGCGTATTGCAGCATCAAATTATGCCAAACACATGCGCCTTATTTGCTATAATACCAGCTTCAGTCATACGATCAGTGATATTTCATCAAATATCGAGCCATATCGGTTCCACAAGCACATATGCATCACAGGATCCAATCTTGATACTCGCAGTTCTCGGTGAGTCCGCTTCCCCGTATGAGTTGGCAATGACATAATTCTCTCTTTGCAACAGATTGGCAATCATACCACTTCAATTAGCGCGTGAGTAAATGCAGATTAGCGATTGCAGGTTTAGAATTAGGCGCGCAGTGTAAATCCTACTGAGAGCTGGGGTAATACGTCCCAAGAATGGATGGCTCGCGAAAAGCCGGAGGGAAATGGACTGATGTCCGACTTATTCTCGCAGTGAAAAAAGGGTGCCTAAGTACATAATGACTGACATCAGCTGTTCTTGACCTGAATATGTCTCAAAGATCATAGTATTGCTCAGGATGAACAAGAGAGTTAGTTGACTGCGGAGTAGATCTGAGGCGCTCGGGTAGATGGATTGAAACAAAGCCGTATCTCTAGATAATCTTGCTTAACAAAGGCGCCATCTCGGTCTCACAAATCGAGTGTTTATCCCCCACGTTCCAATCTCAAACACTTCATCAGAGTCTTGTTTGTTACAGTTGTCAGTGCATTAAAGTATCAGCAGATTCGATACGCAGATGACTTTGGGAGTTGGAGAAAGCAGACCATGACCCCACAAGTTCCACGCCATTTCATCAGGGGGCTGGCACCACTGTAAGATATGCCCTGGAAATGGTGGTCTGACTTGGCGCTGCCTCACTACAACGGAGCGACCCGACTAAGACGATGTAGAATTAATGATAGAACGGGTATGTATTTTTATTTCGCTATACGGCAAACGAATTGATATAAGACAATGAGAGAATCATTTTACTCAAGGTCATCATTCACTCATCAGCATTCAATCCATCACACCTACCAACTCTCACAAGTCCAACACTACATTACAACTATCATCATGACTACCAACTCTTTCGGCGGAGCTCTTCCTCGCTTCGACTTCCCTGCTCAACCACAACCTGCCATGTCTCGCATTGCACGCGTCAACAAAGCTCTTCCAGTAGTCTTGCTCGCAGCCACAGTAGCCGGTAGGCCGTTTATACACAGCGCAACCATGTTTTGTACTAACCATCATCCAGCACTCGCTGTCAAGACAAGACAAAACTTTGATGCACCCATCACTACATCAATGTTATTTGCACGCCCGCAGAACTTGGTGCCTCAAGGGCAGATAAGCATTGACAAGAGGAATGGCGATGTGGGATTGAAGCCAAAACAATAAGATTAGACATTGTGATGGGTGGTAGGATTGGGAAGCATAAGGAAGCGATTTACAGACCCGTTTTAAACATGAGAGTAGGGCTGGTCCCAATACATGGCATTTTAATTATTCACTCGCTGGTTTTATTCAACACATATCCTCAAAGTACAAGCATCGTGAGACTAGATCCCTTCTAGAAGATGCGACCGATACATTATTGGTCCCAACAATAGCAGTGATCTTGGACTCCGTGTTGAGAACCGCGTGAATGGAGTGACATATCACATTTGGGGCAAAATGCAGATCCAATGTTTCGATGTAACCGCGGAATCAGCTCCGGAAGATCCATTCTTACCTGAGTTTATGTGATAAGATAAGACACGTTCATATAAGATAACTGATCTCCGCTGGATCGAGGGACGAAGATGAGCGAAATTAGTCAGTCGGTTTACGCTCCTAAAACCTGCGTTCTTGAGCAGCTTATTTTTGCACGTCAGGTCACAAGACGTCTCTTACATAGGGTTTACCCTATAGACACCACTGGATAATTGAAAAGCAGTTGAACAGCGCTAGCAACAATTAAAAAGAATCTTGCCATAAATGTATTACAAATTCTGTTTATTTAAGATACGTCTCTATGCATATTAATTGCCAATAAATATGAAAGTGTTTGTATCTTTATACGATCTCGAAATCTGTCTCCGGTGTCTTGGCGCCCATTGAGTAACTTCAATTTGGAGGATCGAGATACGTCCCCGGAGTTAAGATATACTTTGTCTAAGGGGCTTAATCAACCGAGATATATGTGCTCTCTATCCTCAAACTAGTGCCTCAATGTCAGTCCGAATTTTCCTAGCGCATTGAATCAGTTGTTCGGTACGGTTAATTTATGTTCCGAAACCAAAATCCTTGTCGTCGTGCTCATCATTTTCTCTTTTCCGTCACTCCCAAGACATCTATGACGTCACAAAGCATTCCCCAACTTTTGCAACAATGACATTCTCGCTCACGACAAAAATACTGCTCGTCAGCCTCGTATGCCTCCTCTTCGCAAGCCGAGTGTCAGCCTTTGGCGCGGGTGAAGTGGCGGGAACTAGTTCCTTCAACGGTTACGTCTGGCGACATGGCGACATTGCAGAGGCACTGCGCTATTTGCCTGCCAGCTTCGTTACTCACTATCGCTTTACGGCCCTCGAACGACGACAAATATACTTTGGGAACTGGTTGAGGGACTTTTCGCAGATCATCGATACAACGGGTCTCGAAACTGTCCCTGAACCTGTGTTGAGAGCCATTGTCAGCATTTTGGGTTTCATGGAATTTGGGTTTGCGACCGACGAGTTTGACGTCACGCGTGAGAGGCTGGGATGCTACACACACGTGGAACACATCGACAACCCCAAAGGATACCCCGACAATGCGAAAGACGTCGACGAGAGGCTTCGAGGGCCTGTCGATCCCCGGGAACTCGAGTTCGACCCCAAGACGGGCATGAAGAATTACATTGCAAACTCCGGACACGGTTGGGATACATCAGCTGATTACGTCACGCGCCAACTCCGCGAATGCATCCGGCTCGGCCGGGATAAGAACCCCAAGTCCAAGAAGGAAGCCTTTATTCATCTTGGCGCAGCACTACATACTCTTGAGGATTTCTCAGCCCATAGCAACTTTACCGAACTATGTCTTCAGGATCTTGGCGAGGCCGATGTCTTTGCTTTCGTCGGAGATGCCTGTCGCGTCCAGACCCCGGGATGGAGAGGGCGAATGGTCCCGCCTATTGTGACGGGCACATTTGGCATGCTTGACATATTTCACAGTCTTTTAGGCGAGGCTGATGATATGGCTGTCCTTCAATGCAAAGGTTCCTTGGAGAACCTGGAGAATGTACGACCACACCTCCCTTCTTGGGTCATGCATACTGACTTTTGTAGGAAATGAACATCGGAGAGATCGCGTTCCAGCATCTGTACGACATTCTCAGAGCTGCTATCGAAGCCCTCAGCAAGCTTGCCTCCAACACTACAATCCACGATCCCATCCTACAACAACTCGAAAGCGTCGGTGTGCTATTCCAAAAAGCCGAAGAATCCAAGAAGGCTAGCACAACAGCCGAAAGTAGCCTCGACGCGAACAACCTCTGGCAGACCATCGAACCCATTTTCTATCTTCACGATCGCATCAAGAAGTGGATCCAGGAGCGAACCGAAACACACGATGACGAACCGCTCTCGGAGGATTCAAGCACGCAGCTGGGAAAATATACAGATCAACTTGTGTTCAAGTACTTGAGTCTCATGATTGAGAGTTCCATCATGCAGCTGCGCAATGCGCTCAAGGCAGCTAAGGAACGTGTCGATGCGGAAGCTGCGAAATCTACTTCCGCAGAAGTTTACCTTGATGGCGAAGGATCAGATCCCAGCCACTCGGATATTTCCAAAGACCATTTCAGCAACGTTCTCAACCAGCCAGCCGGTCTCGTATCAACCGTCACTACCAACTGGACCACCCAGCAAGTTGTGAAATGTTGGGACGATCCCTTCCGCGATGAAGAAGAAACCATCCGCCAGATCTTGACCATCATGCATCACCCTGCCTTCCCAGGTCGCCACAAAACACCTATCCAGAAGTACATGTTCACCGCGGTCGAGGAATGGTGGAACCATAACACGGCTTCGGAAAAGGATACAATCCGGGGCATGCTCACTAAGGAAAGCGTCCGCAACAGGCAGCACGAGAACCACACCCTGACACTCAAAGATTTGGAAGGCAAAAGAAAGGGAGTTGCTGAGTTCCCTGGTTCCCGGCCCAAGATCAAGCAGAAGCCCGCCAAACCGTCCCCTTTGTCATGGGCTGTGAGCACGGCCAAGACTGATGCCAAATGGATTTTTGGGGCCATGAAGAGAGGAGCAAGGGATCCCGTCGGAGCAGTCTGTTTTATCGGAGGCGGTGTGTATATGCTTTTCGTTCAGATATTTTTGATCATAACTGGCGTTTTTGGACTTTGGAAGGCGAAAAAGGATTAATGGTAGAGACGATACCCTGATAGATGAGAGGTATATATTTCGTTCGTATCACGTCAGGCGTTTGGGAAGATAATACACGAGAAGACTGTTGTCTTATTGATTGCGACATAGCCCGCTGCAAAATAGTCTATCTACTAATACAGTCAAGGTTTCCATTCCGACTAATCGTTCAAATCAGATCTGATGAGCTGACCTTGAGCATCAAACCAAACACCAGCCGGGCTTTGGTGATAGCGCCAAGCAAGGACTATAAGTTCCTCTCGGTCAGTCGCATAAAAGTAGTTCAGCGTAACGTTCGTGCTATTGGTTGAACCGTTGGCAGAGCCATTTATAGAGCTATTCGTAGCGGAAATGTTGTTGCCATGATGAGCAGCTATTTCGGCTACTTTGTATATCGGTAGGCATACGACTTGACAGTTGTCGTAAAGGCCGGGGTACAACGGGGGCATGAGATTCCAAATGCCTTCAATATTTTTCGCCACCCAACGTGCCACGATTGCGTTAGACCTGACGACTATGCAGTTATGGATGGCCCAGATCAAGAAGGAGCGGCGATAGACGGTATTGTATTCGATATCGGTGCCGCCCCTTTGGTGCCAATGCCGGCGGTAGTTCCGGCGGCTGGCGAACGGGGGAGGCCTGGCCGCGTCGGACCTAGAAGAAGAGGAAGATGCAGGCGTGCTAGCGTTGTTTGGTGATGTGCCTTGAACATCTTGCTGAGCGTCGGCAGTGGCAACTAAAGTAGAGGACTCTTTAGGTCCGTGTACAATGACCCTAAAGGGGGGTTGGTCTCGGCGAGGATCATCCATGCTTGTGTAGGTATGCAAAGACGTATTTTCTCTGATGGGAAAGTCGATATTTGGGGATGCGATACGTGACTAGATGTTGCAAGTGTGTTGAATGGTGATGCCTTATCATGATTGTGTAAAGTCAAACTGATCAGCGGAAACTGAGGCTTTGTTTGGTTTGTTGGAAGGAGGAACCCACTAAGAATACCGGAGCTTACATACTGGGTAGGTAGGTAGGTAGGTACCGTAATATTCCGTCAGATTGGTCGAGAAAAGTAAGAAGATTAAGGCAGCTACAGCGGGGTACAGTTAAGACAACTTAAGACTTGAGTAAATTAATGATAGCTTCTCTTTCTTTTGTTATCTGGACTAGATGATATATAGAAATGATTGATACGGCAAGGCCCTGTGATATGCCTTAGTCGGCTTACTGTTATTGACTAATTTGATAGAATATTACGATAGTTGGCTCTGCCATTTAGATTAGATTACCAGAAGCGACGAAATTAATAGGTTAGCTTTTGCTATTTAGATTAGGTTTCTTAGGTTGTTTATCCTAGTACCCGAAGACAACACTTCTACCAAGATTGCAAACAGGTGTAATTAATTGGTAATGATTGAAGAGCAACTAGACTAGAATGTTACCAAAAGCAAACCAAGCCCTATCCCGAATGACCATATCCATGTCGGGACCTGTTTGCTATCACTGCCGCAGAAGCCAACAGTATAGTAAGAGAACATTGAACTTGAAACATAATTACAAGCCAAATCAGCCTTGCACACTCTTAGTGTCTGGAGCACTTGCGCTCGATGTGGTGCCACTTCTCGCCTTGGGGACAAGCGCAGGTCTTGTGCTCCTTGAGAAAGTCCTTACCGCTGTCGTGGCAGATGCACTCCTTCTTTGCGTCATCGTAGTAAGCATGTCTGCCGCAGTGGTGGAGGATGCTTCTCAAAGAGATGTGCTTCTTGCACTTCTTGTGCTTCCTCTCGAAGATCTCTGCCTTGTTGTGACAAACACATTCCTTCTTCTCCTCGCTGTAAGAGGCGTGCTTGCCGCAGTGGTTGTGGTGCTTGTGCTTCTTGGGGTCACGTTCCTCGATGACATCTCGCTCTGACTTGGGTCCCTTTCCATCCTTGGACTTCTTGTCATCGTCGGTCTTCTTGTCGTCTTCGACCTTCTTCTTATCATCCTCTACCTTCTTGACATCCTTGGACTTCTTGCACTTCTTGTGGTGCTTCTCGAAAACCTTTGAGCTGTCGTGACAAACACACTCCTTCTTTTCTTCGCTGTAAGAAGCATGCTTGCCACAGTGGTGAAGGAGCTTGTGTTTCTTGGGGTTGCGCTCCTCGATGATGTCGCGCTCTTCCTTGTGCTTCTTGTCTTCCTTCTCTTTCTTGCACTTCTTATGCTTCTTGTGGTAGGTTTCCCCACTGGCATTGCAGACACACTCCTTCTTCTCCTCATTATAAGAGGCATGTTTGCCACAGTCATGATGGCCGTGGTGCTTGCTGCGCTCCAAAAGACTTCCAGGCTCGGCCGCAGGGTTGGGAATGGCAGCAACAGAGGTTATGGCGAGTATAGCGCCAAGGAATAATTTGTTGAAGAGCATGATGGAGGTTTGTTGAGATGGTTGTATGTATGGAAGAGTAAGCTGATGAATCGAGAGTGAGGTGAGTGTTGATATTTGGAAAATGGAAGGATGCAAAGGGATGTATATATAAGAATATAGAGTAGCAGAGTCTTTGGGTCTGTATACGACACTGCCAATATTAGAAACGCTGCAATGGTAGCCTCAGTAGAGTTGTAAATCATTTCTCCTTGGTTGGTTCCGTTCTCTTTCAGTATGGCTCCCCAGGGTCTCCGTGATACTTTCCGACTCGGAACTCGGACGTGGTCTAGACCGTTGATCAACGGATGTCGCGGACGGCAGATCGGCAACTAGTCAACTTCCCCCATACTTCGTCTCTGGTCCTCGTATCCAGGCTCCAGTCTTCGGCACTGCAATTAGCTGCACCAAATGATGTGTCTACGCTAGGACAGTTTCGTCTGATATTCTGTCACATCTTACCCAACTACCGGTAATGCATTTGGCAAAAGTCCCACGACCATGGTATTGGGGAGGAGTGAGAACTTTGGATAGAACGGCATCCGAGGTTGTGGTAATCTCAAAAGCCCATGAATCGTGAGACTAAACCCTAACACTACATTCTCTGGTAGTAAGGAGATACGAAGGTTGACGCGGCTTGTGGCTGTGTCCTGGACTCTCAGTTTCCCCTGCAAACATGGTCTGTTGCGATTAGATCGGACTATGATGTATTTGCCTACCCTCTGGTATCAGGGAGTTGATCAGTATGGGAATAAGAGACGAGTAGCAAGTAGGTTCACGATGTTTAGACCATTATCTTGTGTTATTTATTTTTGTACCTCGAAGCCCAGAGGTCATCCTTGCTGCTATGTACCGATTACCCTAGTTAGGGAGTGATTTAATGACAGCGACCCGGGCCATGATTGACAATGAAATGAATGCAAGGACGATGGCCCTGTGACAAAGTGGCGCAGGAACGGCCATAGAGACATCTGTCGACCAGCCAGACTGGGTGTGACCGATACGCGCCGCCCAATCAGAGAAGAATGTCCATTCATCTGAATGTCGCAAACAAAGGATCTTCTCCGCATAATACAGACTTTCGGGATCTGAGACTCTGAGCAAGACGTCAGATCTAAGTGTGAGCGGCTATGACGGGACGGCTGTCACTGCCGAATATGATGGTTGCTGAGGAGAGTCTGGGTCTTCGGCACGCTCCGAGCTAATTATAGCGATGCGTACGTGGCTTGCTTTGCGCTGTTACTCATTAGCCAATCCATTGAGACTTATCCAATCATACAAAGCGCTCAAACTCTATATGGAAACTCTACTATACGGAGACTACCAGCAACAACAGAATTGGTGTCCCGTTCATCCGATTGATGAATGGAACAAGACACAACACCGAGAAAAGGGCATGGACTTTGTCAAGGGTACGAGAGTATAGAACCATGCCCAAAAGAGCAAAGAAAGGAAGGCGGAGCGATAATCTGGACGCTCTGTACCGGAACATGACATAAACCCGTCCGACCAGATGTGACCTTGAGGCTTAATCTCCGGGGTGGTAAAAACCATTGAGAAAGTTCTTTGATGAGAGACAGATCAATAATACCCAAGCTGGAAATTTCAGCTAACCATGAAAACAATCGTTCCCCACTGATTACAGGAAACTCTTACTCGAAGAATTAAATTAACCCTAAGCTAACATGAGAAGCTCACAGTTTATTACAGACACTCGCCAAGTTTTTGCGTTATCTTTATGAGTCAATGAACTTCTTTTGTTGACTTTCTCGTGGTTCGGTCTGGTAGCTTTACTTCTGCAGAGCTGCGGCATAGAAGTATTACAAACAGCCTTTGACTAATCGAACAGCTCTATTCATGATATGAAAGATCCCATTGATCCATCACCAGTTGTCTGACAGGAAAAGCAAACTATTAGAAGCGAAACATGATGCACCAGCATGAGTACGTCGAAAGTCCACCACAAAGGCCGTTAGTTGCAGGAGTGAAATGGTGGGCATCAGCTAGGGATAAAGTTACTTTTAGGCTTCAAAACTCACGTAGAGCCACCAAATTTGCCTGTATCTTGTTCCATGGTGGCAAAACCACCCATAGAAAATGCCGAAATGCACTTTTTGATGCCTGCTGGCATCGTTCCTAAACTGTTGAGAATTTTGAGTCCAAGATCTAAGAGGAGGTTTTATATATATTCGCTAGCAGGAATTTCTAGAGCTGATACGTCTGTGTTAGAATATTGTCTCGTTAAGGTTTAACTTTCTCCTTATATTTAATAATTTGTACGCAAGGTTTTTATCACGTATAATGTTATTCCTACGATGTGAAAGTTTATTTCCAGTATATCTACGTCTACTTGCTATTTACTTCGTAGTTTTAGGAAAGAAATAAAAACTTATTATTGCCATCTCTGACTTTCTAAAACTTATATAAGGTATAAATAAGTTAACTACCTACTTCACTTTGCTTTGATACTCGTCTTCCCATCTTCTCACTTACGTTCTCAGCCCCCAAACGACGGAAATTTTCAACATGACTTCAAAAATTGTCCAACTGCTGAGCGATCAGCACAACCCGAACTCGTACATCGTGGATCAAATTCTTTCCAATATCGGAATCGCTAGAATTTTTGCGTTACATGCGACATGTCAACGTTTACGATGGCTAATCCATCACATGACAGACTAACCTCATCTGCTTAACATCAATAAGCACCTTGAGAGATTCTCCAACAATCCCACTCGCTTCAGATACGAGCTCGGTAAATGTGATGGGCTGATTGCAGGGTCATTCGTACGGAATTTCTTGACCTTCAGCAGCCCAGCTAGTGCTAGACTAACCATTTTCATTGACGGAATGAAGGACTACCATTTCTTGCGCTATCTAGAGAAAGATGAAGGCTATGGCGAATATACGAAATGACGGCAAACGTACCTAACTACCCACAAAACACATTCCGATGTGAGCATCCTTATCCGAACGAGAGGCCACCCTATCATCGACATAATTAACAGGGCTCAGACTTCAGCTGATTTAATGTTTATTATCCGGAACAAGGTTTACTGTCTGTTTCCATTGTCTACCATCAAGCGGCACACATTATTTGTTCTCGGGCCCTCTAATGATCACATGGACATAATACTGCGGAAATATGCAGCCTTCGGTTGGACAAACATATGGCCTGATGAAGCTCCTGAACTCATCCCTCAAGGAGCACTGCAACAGATCGGCGGCCAGGGGTCCCTCATTATCGACCTTGGTAATTCTTCAAGAGGAAAGTTCACTCCAGATTATGTCCTCGAGAACGGCATATTTCCAATAGGCTGGTCTGCGCACGATTACGATGACCACCCACGTCTGGCTGTTGGCGCAATGCCAATGGGTGGGGATCCGGCACTGAGATACATTCATACCACCGGGTGCATAGGGATGCCGCAAGCATCATGGATTGGGTTCCTGACAACAAAACTTAGACATTGGGAATATCTTGAGATCATAAAGATGGATCCCGACGCAAGGCCAGATTGCTTCTTCTTGCCCAACCGACCCACCTTGGGCAACTGGTGTGACTGTCTCACATATATCCAATTTTACATGATGTCTACGTGGGATTATGCGGATGAACATATACCCACATGGTTTAGAGAATGGAGGAAACAAGAGACGACACTGGCGCTGCTGCCTCCGGCTCCAGACTACAGAACCGCGGTGCAGCAGACCACTTAGATCTCGAGTTTCTCTTGGCACCTATCCATCTGTAGACTCTATTTAGACAGTCACGCTTAGCTATTGTAGGGAATAACGGAATAAATGCTCCTTAGTCTTTCAAGTCTAAACCAATCAACTTTCAAGCTTTCAGTCCCCTAACCCGTTGGACCCTTGCACGAACTAGTGATTCTCGACTCTGAGCTGAAAGAGGTTACTAACCATAACAAGCAATGATCCACGCCACAACACGACTTCACCAATTGCAACAGGTCACCTTGTTTCTCATGGCGTCGAAGTTTGTCTTTAAATGGTTGCTATAACGTCTTTACAGGGGTAATGACAAGGGGGTTCTGCAGTCAAACGGCAAAGTGATAGCACTGCCAAGAAAAGGTCAAGACGGCCCATCCCCCGCAAGATATTCTTCATCCTTCTTCCTTGGCTTCTCTGTACGACGTACGATAGCAAAAACATCACAATGTTGGAAACAAGCATTTCCTTCATAAAATCTGCTGTGCCAGTATATCACAATGCTGTCAAGTCGATCATCTTCAAATGCGCCGAGTTGCTTATGGGTATCTTTATCTATAAGCTTTTCTCCTTAATCGCAGCCGGCTCAAACCAGTTCACGTCTTATCTCATGTTCACAGAAGATTACATTCAGCGTACCCTTTACATCTCGTCGCGCGGTCTATCACGAGCAGGCCTCATCGTACTTGCCTTCAGCCTTCTGAACATCGTCCTGTCACTCTATGGCACCCTTCTCTGGGCATTGGATGCTCCTGGTTACATCTTCAAAACTTCGACTGTCACGATCGCCGACTACGCGGATTTGAGGAACGAGAATCCACCATACATCGTTCAGTTGTCTTTAGATCCCTCCCGTATTAACGATTCTACACAGAGGCTATCGCAGATTATTGGATCTGACCTCTTTCAACCTGGACTGAATTACACCTTGACTGGCCAAGTCTCCAATAATAATAGCGCACCAGAAGTTGTCCCACAAACAGGACCAGTTGATGTGGGTGCTCGGATCTGGCTCGATGATGATGGCCTCTCTGTCTCAATCGAAGTTAGCCTCGTGAATCCCCCCAACCCAGTATTGCAGAACAAGGACTACTATGTGAACACCACTGATGGCGACGGATACACGGTGTGGGAGAGTACATTTGACGATGTCTTCTCGAAAGACTTTGTTGAAAACATCGCTGGAAAGCCTGAGGTCCATTGGGACACCGCCTCGGATGGACTGGCTGACTCTAGATACATCTTGCCCAACAGATACGACAACATCTGGTACTCCTTTGGTTCGGGCGGTGGCTCAGCTCTCATGAATCAGGTCTTCACAGTGACCAAGGGCAAGAGGCGTCACACTTTCTTCCAGTCCACGTTCAAAACGACTATGCTCACGACCTCTGGAGTTCCTCTGGTCAAGAAAGAAGTGTCAGACCTTGTAGAACGAACAGGACATCTTGATCATGATAACAAAAGGGTTATTTCCTCTAGCCGCATTGTCGACAACATGATGAATGCTCAAAGTCAAAACATGAGCTATCATTATGGTCTCAACACAGTTTCAAACAACAAAATATCTACGCTACAAAACACATGGGGTTCATACACAGTATCGAGCAACGGCAGACGCCTGTATACGCTCGTCAGGATGACGAGTACCAACATGACCCTCATTCGATCCGAAAGTATTTCGAAAGCGCCAGAGCCACAGGAGAAATGCGAGTATTCAAACTTTCAGACTGAAGCTTTCGGTGGCAAGTACGGCCGATCCGACTGTTTTGGGCACTCGGCCGTCGACGATCCCAGATTCTTCGGCCTGGTAGACACTGCTGCGGTAATGGTCGCCCATGATCTTGGCGACGGTCGATCTAACCTCAGCTCCAAGTCACTGGACAACAATGCCTTGACCTGGATCCGGGATAATGCAGACACTATGGAATCGCTTCTAATTTCGAGAGCGTATAGTGTCGGCATCGACCCATCTCTTGTGTACATCAGCGTGGACAAACTCATTGTTGCCGTGTCTTATCTCCAGCTTGCTCTAAGCTGTCTGGCCCTGCTGATGGCTATTGCTTTATGGCTTGCTCTTATGATCTTCGCTGATGCCCACTGGGCCAGCTCACTCTTGGCCAATCTGATTCATACTACAACAGAGACGGGCGGCGCAAAGCCTGGGTACATGATGCGTGATCCCAATGTGTCCTTGCAGCCCATGGGTAAGAGAAAGCTTCTGGCAGTGAAAGGAGGACAGGTCACTCTGTGTTCTCCTACCCCTGTTTATGGAGAACAAACAACCGGTTATGTTGATGATACGAAAGGTCAGATGACAGCAGAGGGTTATCCTGTTAATTATACCCAGCCTCACAATGGAGGAGAAAGGTTGATGGCAGGTTTTGATCGAACACAAGCGTGAGGATGGGGTGCGTTCAAGCATATGACACTCGACACAATTGCAAATAGGTTAAAATATAACGTCAGACATTACGAAAGCATTTCTTGCAGACTCTGGTCAAATCTAGATGAGCAGAACACAGAAATAAGACCAACACGAGCTTGGACAGGTTTCACTACTATGCGTCTCCTGGTCTTAACACACACCGGTCTTACCAAGTGTTCACCTGTAGTCATACCTATCATTAGTCCAAGATGGGTGGCGTATCGTGAGGTTATGACAGGCAATGCCGGCCAGTCTAGAGCATTCTATCTACTGTATTCCAATAACTCGTGCCACATATGCCTAGGCCTTGGCGCTTATTGCTTCGCAGTTTAAATAGAAAGTGGACTGGTGGGCTTATATGTATCACTGGTCCCATGTTAATCAACAGTTCTGTCCGTGGGCCAACTGCTTGTAAGCTTACCCGATCGCCTGTGGCTTTGAATCTACTTTCATACTTTCTAGCCTGATGATAAGTTCAGGATGTATAAGCTTACTTAAATAGTCTATTCTCGGTAGAAGGATATTTGCCAGGTCACGATAACATAAGACAATTGACAAGATAGGCCCGGGACACAAAACCGATAAGGGAGTCTAGTATAAATAACATCTTTCGAATCTCTCTTCTACTGTAGGAAACAATTTCATCGTACAGACACTGCCGCGCACTAGAAAATTACTATTACCAGGCAACATGCTTTATCAAAGCGTCATTCTCGGCCTCGTCGCCACAGCCACAGCAATTGATATCCGCTTCTACACCAACCGCAATGGAGCTTGTTTCGAGGGCCCATGGATTGGCTTCGCAAACGTCAACCCAGGTGTATGCTGCATCCCTGCCGGTGCGAATGCCAACACCTTCTGGGCCACTGCTGGTCTTCACGCGATTCCTAAGGGATGGCGTATCATGGGTCGAGGCTATGGTAATTCTAGATGTAATGAGTTACCGATGCAGTACGCCAGCGGCAACGGTAACGGAGCAGACTTGTGTCTGCCCCACAATGGCAACAGTCTCAAGAGCGCAAAATACGACTTTGTTCAGAGTGGTCAGAAGAGAGATGTTAAAGACGAAGAATGTAAAGATCGAACAAAGGCATCTGAGCTAGGTCTGGGTGATGGAAATGTTTATGATATCAGCAACATGACTGATGAAGACGTTAATAACCTGGTACGTTTATTACCCAATGCATGTTTGATCGAACGCTAACGGGATTTAGTAAGGACAACCTCTCCCACAAAGAACTCGTTCATGTCACATTAATATGCTAACCACTTTGTAGTGTCGACCTCGTCATGGAAGGTGCCTCTGTCACCGATATGCCCCAGTTGAGCACTCTACATCGTCTCAAGCCATGAGGCTTTTAAGAGTATCTGTCAAGTGTGAAGAGAGATGGCAATTGCCTGTTGTAGGGCTTCAGAATGTTTTGTACCATGTTTCCCAGACATGACTTCGAGTCAGTATATATTATGGTTACCAAGAACACTCAATGGCTTATGAACTTTAACATTGTTTAATTGACACGCTATTTGAATAAAAAATTTGATCTAATTACTGGCCTTTTCTTTCTTTGACCTTTGGATTTCTCTCATATCTCCATCGCTTGCTGTTATCTTGCACATGCCACCTCGTCATAAAGGCACCTTCTTCCACCCACCCAGCCCACTCAGCACCCCACCTTGTCTCGACGGCTTCCAAGAACGACACAAAGTCGAAGGCTTGGATACCATCTGTTTCCAAGGAATCAACAGAGACGTCACTTAGTCTCCACTCGACATTATCAATAAGGGGGATTGTCAAATGACGCTCCGGGTGACGAGCATCACGAACATTGAGCATAGCTCGGCCAGGGTTGATGACAGTAAATTGCCAGTACCCTTGACCTGTTTCGTTGTTGCTTGTCTGCAAGGGTCTTATGAGAGATTGGCCCTCGTAGTTTGGTAGTAATGACTCTGCGGCTTCTCGGCTGACACCTTCCAACGAGCCTGTCTCAAGAAGCATATCGAGGATTGTGGGTAGAACCTGGGTAGAGTGGACTGCATCGTGAACATCGAACGAAGGCAAAAGAGGGTGAGATAAAACTAGAGGTACATGGTCTGCTCCAACACTGGGATTGTAATAAGGGGACGCCTTATTGTTCTCAACCAGCGAGACGCCATGATCACCGAGGAAGACTATCAAAGTCTCATTGGCAACACCCTGTTCGTCAAGAAGATCAAGGACTTTCTTAATCCACTTATCGTCATAACCCTCCGCATTCGCGTAGTCAGAGAGCTCCTTGATCTCCTTTCCTGAGCCTAGAGGGACAGACGTTTCATTGGCGGGTAGCCCGTAGCTATGATGACTCGTGCTTGTGATATGTGTAAGGAAAACTCGGCCATCGTTCTTCTCGGCATCCTCAAACGCATCACGGATGTAGTCCTCAAGAGGGTCTTCTTGGAAGCCAAAGTAGTTAATGTCCTCCAACTCAACCGCTCCGTGTGTCGCATTCTCATTGCGAAGCCAATCTCGGTCAATCGTGTTCTCCTTGGGGAATCCCATAGCTGCCATGAGCTTGTCATGGTTGTCGTAGTGGATCGTAGCAGTTTGGAAGAAGTAGGACTTCCATTTCGAGGAAGACGGGTCGGCCTTGTTCATCGCGTCGAAGATTTGAGGGAGGCAGGGTTGATAGATATGTCGCTTGTAGTCGAGGTTGAAGTCTGCGATAAGAGGGTTCAGGCCGCAAATTGTGCCCGTGAGACTTTTGAGAGTGTATGTGGCAGAGGTATAGGCGTTTGTGAAGCGGGGACCACCGCGTTTCGGAGTCTTATCATGCTTGAAACCGTCGTCGTAGTCACCTGTGATGTAATTGGCGGTAGGCATTAACGTAGAGAGTCTATCCAGCGCTTCTCGAGGAATCTTCTTGTTAGGGTACGAGTCCTGGAAGCGATTCCAGAGGGGACCATCCTTCTTAATGGGAAACACATCATTTCTGGTGCTTTCGAGGAGGAACATGATCACATGCTTCACAGGAACATCCTTGAGCTTGCCTTGGAGCTCCTCCAGCAGTGGTTGTTCAAGGTTCGAGATCTTGGTAGGATCTGAGACGGAAGAGTAGTGCATCTCGTCCTGGGCATACCAATCTTCGAAACCAGCCAGTGACTTGCCCTTGGGTAGCCAATTAAACTTGGGTGGCTCGGCAACAGCTGATCGCTCATCCCACTCATGTTGGATGCCGACTTTGAAGTGTGTTGGTAGCTGGTCCAGGAGAGGCGAGGTTGAAGACATGTCAACGAATGGGAGAAGACCAGCAGTCCAAGAAAGGAAAGTCAGGGATCGATCACTGGGTCGTTCGAGAGACAGGACAAAAAGGGCCAAGATGAAGACATGCCAAGAAAGATAAGGAATACTATGAAAGAGACGTCTCACGGTCGAAGGCTGAATGCGAACACCACACACTTTGCGCATGCGCTGCGAGAGGCGCGAATAGGAAGTTTGCGACTTTGCAAAGCCAACCGAGTCTTGAGACAAATCATCGTCGCCGTCGGAGTATTGGTTGTTGAATGCATCGACTTCAGGTTCGGGGATTCGGCCGTAAATGTTTCGCTTTCTCAAGAGACGATTGGCTGCCCTCCCCGCGAATAAGAAGGGAAAAGACACGACATCAGCGCCCCATCCAAAGGTTGCGTAGCAAACATCCTGCAGTGGCCAGCTGACTAACAGTAGGGCTGCTAGGACCAGGATCAGGGTGACAAGACCGGAAAGGAAGATCGCTCTTGACGTGGGGTCAGAGACCATATTGATGTTCTGCCAGTGGATTTCGGATCCGGCGACGAGGTAAAATGTAACGGAAATAACGGCGAGGGCGACATTGTAGATGATGAGGACACCAGCAAGGGTAGCGGTTGTGTATTGTGCGATCTTGGCTGTAAGAGGAGGTTCGAGGAGAAGTCGTATTATAATAAGAAGGACGATATCTTGGATAAAGAATGTACCGAAAAAGGTAAGTAATCGAGACGTAGCAACAGCAGTGCGATGGCTGTGGATATGTGAGAGCTTGGCTGCCAAGATGGCCAAGACGGCAAATGTGAAGATGAAATGGCGGTTGGCAAGACGAGAAGCCGACTTGGTCAGCATAGCAGGTAGACGGACCATATTGACTTGACTGTAAAGGAATGAAGAAAGAAAGAAAGAAGGTAGTCTGCTGAGGCAGACAAACCACAGCTAGACAGAATGAGTGTGGGCAAACCGAGCACAAACAAATCAAGGATCACCGACAGAAATGCAACAGAACAAAATACGACCAACTTTTTTTCCAGAAAGAAAAATGGAAAACAGGAAATATGGGGAATATGGGTTTCATTAATAAATGTCGTTATTCTTGTCTCCCCCTTCTGCCCGTCCCATCCGGAGTCGCCTTTCAGTTCAAGCACCTGATACGAAGGGAAACGGGACCGCTTCAGCCTCCGTGCTCCTATTTTTCCATTTAGTCGGGTCCTTGATCTTATGTAAAAGATAGAGGTCGCGTGGGCTGTTTCCCTTACACGACTAGCTTGTGCTCGTCTCATTTCGTATTATCGGAGCTCGGCACCATTTCTTACTCTTTCTTAGACATAATTGGTCAGGCACGGACTTTTGACATTTCTTACGTCAAGCCGAGGTGCCGAGTACTCAGCTTTAGATGATCAACAGTGGAGCAAGCTAATACATCCAAGAATAGGGGTCAGGGCTAGATTTAGCCTGATACGGACTGGTTAGGACAATAGGGCAGTTGAGCTGGCTGTGCATGAGAGAACTCTGGCAATTTATGCCGAGTCAGTGAATTTGTGCCAGTAAAAGCCAGAGAACTTTTGGTAAGGATGAGAGTCCAGAGCCTCTAAGCTAGGGTAAAAGATCGACGTACATGGCCCCCAAGCGCCAGTCTTACTTACCCGAGACCAATAAAACGAAATTCACCTCGTATACGCCTCACTTAAGCACCCCTTTCGGTCGTTTCCATGTCTGGATTTGATGACTTGTGTCATGAGTTGTTGGCTTTTGTTTTCTGAGCCTGCCAGAAGTGTCATCTCGTCAACCAGGCACGGACTGTTTTCACCATCAGTCTGGTGTTTTAGTGTGAAACAAATTGGATAATTTTAACTAATGGCGGCAGCAGCCTTCAATCGCCACGAACTTAAAATAAAAACTTGGGGAGACATTCCTGTAATTCTTTTCGCAGACTTATTAAACCAGAATAATAGTGGCAAGTCACAAAAAGTGTGACGTCGTTCAGCGCACAAGTTAGGCTATTGTAAGCCTTTTCGAAAATACCGGTTTTGTAATGAGAATCCTTCCTTGAGCTAGAATGCAAGTCTAACTGACGTCTGACATAGCTGCCAATGCATGTAAATAGGATCGACCCCGCATGAAATAAAGTCTATGTTGCTGCCCCTACCTATCAATTAGCCAAGGGAAGTCAAGACAGAAATCGCCTTGAAAGCCCAGAGGTGCTTTATAGAACAGCTTGCAAGGGGTGGTATACTGTCCAGGTAAGCGTTTGAGGCAGAAAAGGTAATACAAAGCTCAATCCGGTCGTATATTGCGAAAAAATATATTGTGCTTTGTGTAGTCTGGGTATTGGCTATCATGAAGTCTGGCACCCAATTGCTAGATGCCCAGTAAACAGGAAAAGCGCTTCTAAATGGCGTGCTTGGAACCTAGACTAGTAGTTGTGTATGGTCTGAGTGTGTACATAAAAATCGTATGTACTCACAAATGATATTGCTTACAACTGCAAATACCAACAAGTACATTTTTTCTTTGTAACTGTAACTTGTATGAGATCGTACTCCCATATTCGTACAGTGACATGCTATAGTTATCTAGATTCATAGAATGGAACCCACATACTCCACTGCTCAAGTATGACCGAATTCGACTTGCAGTGCGACTTGGCATCTGGAACAAAATGCCGTTATTCCCGTCGCCAAGGTTTCTAGTCGGCCGACATCAGTACAACCACAAATGAAACACTCTTCATTGGCTCACGACGCCTCATATTACCCTGTAGTCTATTGGCCTGAAAACAAGATACATGCCCGAACTGTGCGAGTTAGGAGAAAAATATGGATGCAACATTTTCTTCACTTATTGGATGGACATGAGGACAAAAGAAAAAAGGCAATTGTGGACAGCATGTTGTGGTGTTTTATCAGCTGTCAAGAAATTGACCAACATGAAACCCTCAATTGAGACAATCTCGCTCAGGTCGGGCTATGTGGCGATGCCATCACATTGGCCCAAAACAAGAAAAATGATACGTACTTAAGTTCGGAATACAAGTGTCCCTACTCCAAGATCCACGTGGGCTATTGCATCATTAACACAATCTGTGAACAAACATACACGATCGCATAGGGAAAATGACTGAATCCCATGATTGTCATCGAAATCCACAAGGCTGCAACCCCTGAAAACCTTGCAAGGGGCGTGGAAGTGGCTTGACATCAACGCATTGTGATTTGTGGGAGCATGTCTCATCCCTGGAACCGTCACTACATCGCTCTTAACCTTCTCACGCCAAAGTCGTGTCATGTCAAGTTAGTGCTGATGTTCTCTGATAGGCGAAGTGGGTAGGCGACTAGATAGCTGGTTTCGGCCACTTCCATCTGGGGATAGCGTAGATCCTTCGCTAACTTTTCAACAGGTAATGGGAATTTTTGTCTCTTGTGCTCGATTGTTTGCGCTGGTTCTTTAAACAGCCAATATGCTCAGGAAGTCTTTGGCAAACAGTAGTACTGGTATATCTCAAAGGCGGGACAAGTAAGTTTTCGAGATTTGAAAACACCAAGCAATCACCTCACGATAAGACTTGACGAAGGACAAGCGCTAGAATTATGGGTGCGGATGCCTAAACCCGGAAATTACTACCCACAATCCCTGTTCTCTAAGATTACCCGGTGAGGTAGAGCCGTTCTTAAAATCTCACCAAAGCCCAGACTTGTCACCGCACACACTCTTTTGCTGCACAACACTCATTCCAACATCGTCATTCGTTTAATATCTAATTCTCAACAAACAATACAATGCATTTCTCAACCACTTTTGCGGCACTTGTTGCCCTTTCCGGCTTCACCTCTGCCGAGCCCAACGGCTGGTCCAAGACCAAAGAAGCCGAGGATAGCCCTTCAAAGCTCGACGACTGCGGCTGCTGGCCCATCTACCAGGCCATGCTCAAGTGTCAGAAGCTCAAGTTCCCTGAGGAGTCAGCCGAGGATTGTGTTTGCATTCCCAACCCCGACGGCTGGTACGGCTCCATGGACGGCTGCCGCACTTGTCTCTCGTCCAACACAAACGAAGACTTCTTTGATAACATGGCCAAGCTCGTTACACAGCTCTTTGTCTCTTGTACCAACGCCGGTGGCGCTGTCTACAGTGATGGCAACAGCATTTGCGCCAGCAACTCTTTCCGAGAGGCCTGTGTTTCGCTTGGTACTGATGGAAAGGCTAGTTGGGCTAGCTTTGAGCAGGGCGATACTACTGGCAATGGCACCTATGTCCTGGACATTGAGGAATATGGTGCCAAGAAGGATGCCTCCACTTCAGTGACGACTGCAAAGAATGCTGAAAAGACAACAGCTGCATCTGCAGCTACTGATTCTGCCGATTCTACCGAGACCGAGACAGAGGCCACTGATTCCACCAAGACTGATGCCGAGACCAAGACCACAAGTGTTGGAGCGGCTGCTACTACTGGCACCTCTGAAGCTGCTTCTGCAGCTCAAACTCCTGCTGCTTCAGACACCACAACACCATCTTCAGCTATGAAGCTTGCTGGTGCTCAAGCTGGGGCAATGGGGCTTGTTGTCGCTGTCGTCATTGGAGCTGGATTGCTTTAAATGTTTGCAGCTCCAGCTCTACTTGCAACACGGGTTAGAGATATGTACTTACTAGTTGTCAATGTATACTTTTTAATGGTCTGCAACTTTGATTCTAAATTGCATGCCCACATCATGGAATAGTTCTCGTACTTTGCACCACCTAAGAATTGCTTCATAAGTTCCTTTCCTGGTAACATGTCAGCCGCATATTACTTGTTTGAGAAAGCGCAATATGATTAGTCAGTCATCTCTCTTACCCCGCTTTATCATCTCGATGGCAAGTGAGGCTGAGGCAGTTCAACGTTGACTGATAAAGATCGAAACACTTGTCTCTGGTGGTTCCATATGACCCACAACCAAGACACAGGATGGCTTCACAGAGTCCCCAAAACAAAACAGGCACAGATCCTATCGACTTTGAGTCAGCTTCGTCCGATAACTTGCTGGCGACGGGCATGAGTCGGCTTTCCATATCCTCAGACCTTGCCAAACGTTTGTTAAGAAGCGGATTTCTCCCGGATAGCTATGATAGCATCAACAAAACTGAAGCTCTGGTATGGGCTGTCGAGAAGAAGCAGACCGAACTAGTGCGGGAGCTTATCAGCCATGGAGCTGATGTGAACCTGCCAGCTGAGGACGGCTGGACCTGCCTGAATCTTGCTGCCGGCAATTTCGATCCTGAGACTTTGAATGTTCTGCTTAGAAATGGTGCGGATGTGTCTACTATTGCTGGAACATCTGGACGTACGGCACTCCACTGGGCCGCAGACCTTGGGGATCTAGAAGCAGTGAAAATTCTTATTTCTCATGGCTCAAATGTTGACGCGCAAACGATTCAAGGAAGCGGTCCTTTGCATCTAGCCGCTGATAATGGGAATGTAGAAGTTATTCAGGCGTTGCTGGAAGCCGATGCCAGCATCCAAGGTGTCGATGGCGAAGGATGGAGCCCATTGCATGTTGCGTGCAGAAGAGGACACGAAAGTGCAGTGCAGCTTCTGATCGAGCGCGGTGCAAACATGGCTTTGAAATGCAAGCAGGATCACACTCCTTTACATACCGCAGCTTTTTCTGGGCAGCATAAGGTTGTGTAAGTATAACTCATGCTCGAACGCGAGCTATCTGTTGGTCACAAAACGGGAAATGAAACGCTGACATCGACCATACATCGTAGCAAACAGCTTCTCGAACATGGAGCAGACGTCAATGCGACCGCTACTGAGATGGGAAGAAGCGTTCTCGATTACGCTGTGAGCGCCAATTCTGTAGCTACCGCCCAAACTGTGTTGGAGTACGGTGCTAGCATCGAAAGCTGTGACATCAGTGGCACAACACCTCTGATAGCAGCAGTTGTTTACAATGCCATAGAAATGGCCAGCTTCCTTCTCGACCATGACGCAAATTTTGAAGCATCGAACAATAGTGGTAAAAGACCATTGCACCTAGCCGCAGAGAAAAACTTTGGACAGATGACGCAGCTCTTGCTTGAAAAGGGTGCAGATATTGAGGCAAGGGCGTATTCGAAGGTCGATGATGATCAGATAGTAGTAGAAGGCATGACACCATTGTTGGTAGCTGCTAGATTTGGGAGAGTTGAAACTTTCCACATACTTGTGGATCATGGTGCCGACGTCAAGGCAATCAGTGCTGGCTATAATGGCATACACATGGCTACTATCGGACAGGCCAAATCTCTGATACGGTTCTTTGCCCAAGAAGGGGTGGCCATTGATGCTAGGACCATGGATGAAGGAAGCACGGCACTCATCAGAGCTGTCCGCGATGGTTACCCTCAGATCGTTTCGTTACTGATCAAACTGGGTGCTGATGTGAACGCATCCAACAATATCGGCTGGACTTCTTTGCACTTCGCCGCCGAAAATGGCTTTAAAGATGTCATCGAAATACTGTTGAAGGCTGGAGCTAACCCAACTGCCGAGACACTTGACGGCAAACGACCACGAACGATCTCGTGGGAAAATCACCATGATGAAGTGACAACGATATTAGACGGAAGTGTGCCAATATCACTGGACGCGCGGAATAAGTCACAGGCTCGAACCCTGTCCGCACTCTTCTATGCTGCTAGAAACGGTCAGCTGAACAAGGTTTCTCAAATACTAGATGAGGGAACCGATATTAATTCGCTGGACGCTGATGGCCGAAGCCCTTTGTCACTGGCTGCTGAACATGGATGGAGTGACATTGTTCACGCCCTAACGGGTAGGGATGCCGATCCAAACGTGCAGGACAATTATGGTGCATCGCCACTTTGGTGGGCATCAAGATATGGTCATGCAATGATTGTCGAGCATCTCCTCGATAAAGGGGCACATTTCGATAGCCCGGACGCAGATGGCCAGTCACCTCTCTCCGTCTCATCACAAAATGGACATCTGAAAACTACCAAAACTCTGTTGGAACATGGAGCCAATCCCAATTCTTGTACTCACTATGGGAAAACACCCTTGCTCTTTGCAGTCAACAACGAGCAGCTGGATACGGTGAAGCTGCTCCTGGAATCCGGAGCTAACATCAACTATAAGAGCCCACATGGAGATTCAGCGCTATCGTTGGCAAGTGAGCATAGGTTCGGCGGTATAGTGAATACTCTCAAAGCCCACCCGAACTTGATCATGGACGAGTCAGAGGTTAGGGTAAAATCAGAAAGTGCAACACCTCCGCCCATGAGCCCCATTCAACTCGTTTCTGACGTTTGCCTAAAACGCCATTCGATGTTGATAGATGCTGTACGAGAGGGCCAAATCGCGATGATCAAACGACTGATCAAAGCAGGAGTTGACCCAAATTCCTCTTTCGGTCGCGAAAATCCTCTTTATGAAGCTGCAACTCGCGGACAGTCTGAGGCAGTAGCTATCCTTGTAGAGCAAGGTGCCGTTGTCGATCCGGATGATGGATTTCGCACCCCTTTGGTAGCTGCAGCGTCTTATGGCTTTACGAATACAGTAAAGTTGCTTCACAGCCTTGGAGCCAGTATCGAGGCGGGTCAAGAATGGGGCCAAACGCCCTTAGTGGAAGCCGCACAAAACGGGCACCAGGCAACGGTATCGTTACTTCTCCAACTTGGTGCAAAAACCGAAGTAAAGGGCGACTATGGAAGAATGCCATTATGGAATGCCACTTGGAGCCGACACATAAGCACTGTAAAGCTTTTGGTTGAACATGGAGCCAATATAGAGGCCGCCGACCACTACGGCTTCACCCCCTTGATGGTAGCTGTGCGAAATGGAGACAGAAAACTTACCGAGTTTTTTCTTGAGAAAGGGTCCCAGATGAGGCCAGAGTCTCAGCAAAACTACTCGCCTTTGTGCTTTGCAGCTGCCAATGGCGATGAAGCCATCGTGGATTTACTCCTTGATCATGGGGCAGATGTGGACTATTTCTCGGATGGAAAGTGCACCGCACTACACATTGCAACAGATCGGGGTAACCTCATGGTCATGAAGATGCTGATAGAGGCCGGTGCGAATGTTGATTTGAAGGACGGTGATGGCAGAACTGCGTTATCATTGGCAAAGGAGGGCTCTAACGATGCCACGATGAGATTATTATGTCGAGCTAGCAGCCTACGACGAGACAGTCACCGAGAACGGAGAAAGGCTGATGAGGTGGATTTCAACAAGAAGGACTACTATCAATATCAGCCTCTAATGATGGGAGATTCCATCCGCATCATTGAGCTGTATCCAGGCAACCCCGGGGACATAATGGAGTTTGAATTGGAAGAAGTTTCACTTGCTTCTAAAACTCCATTCGAAGCCCTTTCTTATGAGTGGAAAGAAAGGTATGGGACGATACCAGTTCAATGCGACGGGCAGAAGATCCTCATCACTCCCAATTGCAAAGCAGCCATGGAAAGACTTCGGCTGCGAGACAAGTCAAGATACTTGTGGATAGATGCTATATGTATCAACCAGACCCACGACCAAGAAAGAAACCAGCAAGTTGCCATAATGGGAGAAATATATCGAGCTGCCGACAGAGTTATTATGTGGTTTGGAGAAGAGACAGAAGCCATCGAAACAGCTTTCGATTTGCTGCCAAGAGTGGCCAGAGCACAACGTACGCTTTTGCAGGAAGCCGGGAACTTCCCAATTGAGGAAGGGTTGACAGAAGAAGTAGAAGACCCTGAGACTTTATTGAACAGTATGTTCAAGGAACAGAATGTGATGGATGCATTTGAGGATCTGATGCAGCGAACATACTGGACACGAGCTTGGATTCTTCCTGAAATCGTGATCGGTGGCACCAGAGGCATCGCTATGTGTGGCAATCAATCTTGCGATTGGGCGACCCTGAAGTATGGTATGCCTATCTACAAATTTTGTAGGTTTGGGCAACCACCTATCATCTTCAACAGCGGCCTGGTTGGTGAGTTGGGACCAGAGGCTGAAATGCTTTTTGAAGATGTCGTTTTCATACTCCACACGCTGGAAGCTACTGACCCTCGTGATAAGATATTTGCATCATTGGGGCTCGTATCACAGGGACGCATATCAATTGGCAAGAAACTAGTGGAAAGCCCTGTTGCCGACTATACAATGAGCGTACAGCAAGTCTTTGTACATGCTGCTCGTTATATGATTGATGTCGGTGGTGTTTTCTGGGCCTGGAGGCTGGGCATCCAACGCAGCACGAAGGAGATTGACAATTTGCCTTCATGGGTTCCCGACTTCAATCGAAGACCTGCAATTGCGGAAATCAACCCATTCAGAGATGTTAAACCATCATGCAAGTTGGATATTAAGGAGGATCCGATAACTAGCGAGACTTCTCTGCGAATTAGTGGCTGTATTGTTGACAAGATTGTGTTCAAATTGACCCTGAGGAGAGACCTTGAGATCTCAACCATTCTTTTGCTGGTTGTCGATGCACTTGCAAATACGGACCGCAGCATATACGGCACGTACCCGGTTGGGGAGGGGTTTAACCTTGACAGCAATACCGAACATTCAGGGAAGGGGAAGGGTGCTGAGGGCTCGCTGATGAGGAGCACAAACGCAATGTCGCTTTTCAACACCATCACCTCTTTTGAAGACAAGTTGAATAATGAGGATAATGGCGCAACACCAGAAAGGATATTGCCCCTTCTGACGGGATACCTTATCTGGACACTCTCGATGAACAAGGACACGCCGGGACTGTCAAAAACAGCGCCAGACTACGCAGAGCAATTTGCAGAGAGGTGGACCGACGAATCCGATGACGATGAAGCTTTTGCCGATTTCGAGTTGGATAATCTCAAGCTAGTGGAAGATGTGTTGAGAACAGACAAAGACCTGATTTACACAGAGAATGGTTACTTTGGTCTAACGAACCCTGGAGAAGCAGAGATTGGCATGGTGGTAGCGATAGTTGGCACTGATGCTACACTGCGGTTGTTGAGAAAGAAGGAGGATACAACGCCATTTTATGAATACGTTGACATGATTTTCTTGAACACTATGGGCCAGGAAGTTGATAAGCTGGAACAGATGTTCCGAAATGTCACCCCTGAGAGATTAGAGATACGCTAGCAGATGTAAAGGAGATAATTGACAAGTATGGCATAAGGCTAGCGGTTAAGGCCATAGGTCATGTTACGATCGTGAACCTCGGCTTCTACACCCGAAAGGGAATAGCCTCTCCTTTGGCTCTCCAGTTTCGAATGGCCGATTAAGTTCGAGACTCAAAGTTAGCACGCTCTTGGTCTAGCATTTCGATAGACGCAAAAGAAAATCGATAGTATTTTAAAGCCCCTGACTAAATCCAGGTACGATCCCATTCAATCAGCGCTAAGATATATCCTGTAAGATGAAGCGGAAAAAGGAAGCAGTTTAACAACCCCATATTTATTCATGACAATTCCCGTGTTTTTATTGCTTTGACGTCTTGTAGTGCGAAACATTTCCACTCTTTTATTGCCAACTATCGACACTCGCTTCCACCAAAATGATTGCTAAGAGCTTTGCCCTCGCCCTATTCGCAGCCACGGCGGCTGCTGGACCTTGCAGACCTGGCCAAACAACGACTAGTGATTCAATCACTACTGATTCTGCGATTATTTCTTCTTCCACTACTGAGGAAGCTTCTACTACTACCACAAGTGTTGTGGAACCTGCTGGTGATGCAATCATCTTGCAGATCAACACCAACACACGTCTGGTCAAGAGAGATACAATCTTTGTCGGAAACGATAACCCCTCTGACTGCACTTATGCTTCCGTCTTCCGTCTCGATTTCGATCAACTCCTTTATAACGGCGTGCCTATTTATTTTGCTGGTAACGAGTACCAGGAGTTAGCTGCCGATGGTCAACCTCCAGCTAATGCAATAACCACCACTTTTTCCGTCTCTGGAGGCAAGCTCGCATGGGAGAACGATGCTTTTGGTGTCGCAGGATTTTGCTATCTTGAGACTGATGGAAAGATCTACATTACCTTTGGATCATCGCCTGATGGCTGCGAGGTGGTGTCTTTGACAGCGTACAAAGGTATGCACCTATTGTACTAACAATTAAAGTTGAGTTAGAGACTAATATTCTCATAGAGACACAGTGTCAGAATGGCCAGATTGTTGGTACTGAGACTTCGACTAGCGATATAGTAGAGCCTGCTACGACTGTTGAAGCGACCGCAACTGCCGATGTCTGCGTGGTAGGCATCGGTGGTCCAAACGGTCAACCTCCCCGAGCAAGCCGTCTTGCCGACTGTTCCCGCTTGAACGTCATCACAGTGAGCCCGCTCCCAGTGTAAGTACAGCTCACAAAATTCAAAGTGCTGTAAACTAACAAAGCAAAGGACAACCACGGTTATTAAGCGCGAGCTCGCCGTCCGTATCCCAACGGGTAAATACACAGGCCAGCCAGTCATTAACACTCTTAACCGCCGAGCGGAAGGAGAACCAACCGCCACTACAATCCAACCGACCAGTACCCCTGCTTATGCTACGTACTGTGATTCCCCAGAGGCATACTACGAGGCTTGTTCAGAGGCTGGCGTCACTGCTTTTACCACCACAATCCCTACCCAGACCAGCACGACAGAAACAACAGTTACGGATTGTCCTATGCGAAAGATGGCAAAGAGAGCTGGCCAGGCTGTGGGATATGAGTTTGAGGATAACTGGGAGGCATACAACATGCCGGGATACAAACTGTTTTAGGGTAATGTGTACTGCATTGAACTTTGGATGATGTCAATGTTTTTACTCAAACAGTCATTGATTGAGACAATAGCCACATCCTGAAATTAGCAGCCCAAATTATATCATGGCTCCGAAGTCAATAAATACCTATTCTAACTCATTACGGTATCTCCGCTGCTTTCGCAAGCCACTACTCTGTATCACACTGTACATTGCCTCAGTATGACTGACAGGGGTATCGGAGAAACATTTTTATGCAGATTTTTTTGTTATAGGTTAGAACTTGATGTTTCTGGTACTTTTTTTCCAACGAGCCGATTGCCGAGTGTTTCAGGCAGTAGGTACATATTGAGATTGAGGCATCTCAATTCGAGGAGTGACTGAATCCCGTCTTAAAGCCACCCACTCACTTGTTAGGCTGGTCGATAGGGATCGGAGCTATCAACCGTTAGTGAAAACGGCCAAGAAGCCACCAATATCAAGATACGTTCTAGCCTGCTTCTCCCTTGATCTATCAGTCCATCTGTTGGTGGAGTCCGTGCGGAACGTGGCACTGGAGCAGATGCCAGTCCAAATATCTCGTAATACGACAAATGATCATATCATACTACAATCAAGGGTGACGACTTCCATCTGCGTCAAATTTAGGTGCCGAGATTCGGTACACCATGCAGCCAAAGCTTGGCTGGAATGTAATAAAAATATGTTCTTGATCAACCCTGGTCTGGGACATCAGGGCAAAGTGACTAGCGAAATGAGAAACAACTGCGACACCACCAACATCAAAGGTGTTTCAACGTGGGTGACATCGTGCACATGGTGATGCGACGGGCGAGAGCTGAAATGCATGTGGGCTAAATAAGACAAATCTGTCAGTCGATCGCTGAGACCTGCTCCACAAACAAAGTATGATAGGTCATGTGAGAGCTTGTGGCGTCCCCAGGACGTCTTTTAATATAGTTAATTGGCGGGATCTACTGGTCTCAAGACAAAGTTATTTTCGTCGGGTTACACAAGGTGGGGCACTACCTCTACCAATCTCTTTACATTGGCAGACCATGTCTTTATGTTTATGTCATAGATCGAGTGGTGTCAGTCAACCCTTGACCCAGTTTCAGATGGTCATTGGAGAATGATGTTAACATTGCATAAGTATTCAAGCCATATAATATGCAAAGTTACAGCCAAGAAGTAGGGCGAAAACAACTATGTCAGCTGTAGCTTGATGGTGTCGCTCACGTTGTATGATTGCAAAAATTAATAGCCATTGGTGAGTTGAGATATGGTTTTCGTATCAGAACATCAATCACTGGCAATCAAGTGACTACCCGCACACGAGACATATATAGCCCCAGAGTAAAAGGGAGAACTTGGAACATACTCAGATATTTGTAAGCTTAGCCGACGTTACACAACATGTCATGATGGAGGAGCACTGTTACTTCGCCTACAGTGGCCTTTTAGTAAGACAGTGCAGAAATAAAGGCGAAGCCAATGCCTGAGGTCTTGGCACACTCCACTTAAAAACTGCTTGTATTCAGCCGTACATGGATTATTACACTGCCTGTGTGGCGCGAAGGAATGTGATAGCTACTGACCAACGGTCAGATCATCCTGCCAAGCGAGAGTCCAAGGCAAGAGATCTTAACACTGCCTCCAAACATACCTCTTCTTGTCAGTACTATCTTCGATTGAAAAGGTTAGGTAGGGACTAGAGTTAGCATTTCACAGATTTACTCCGATTTAGAGCCAGTGAAAGCTCTCAACTGATAGTGACCAGCCAGGGATACATACGCCAGACCGCCTGAGAGGTTTCACCCACGGGCGGAGAGCCGAAGTTAGGGCGCGTCCGATTCTAACCGCAGAAACAGTCTTGGTACTGTGGAAAAGGGTCTAGAGACACGATTCGTCTCACATAACACTTCCAGCCAGTTAGTCTTTAGACCCAGATCTGAGATTCAGGAGAGAGAGGTGATTGAAGTGGGCTTAAACAAAAAGGTTTTTGTTTTAATGCAGAAATTGTAAAATGTATGTTATATCGAGGTCTATGATGATAATAAAATGATAGATGTGACAGCCAACTTTCAGCCGCTTTCTCTAGCTGAGAGGTACATATGTCAATAAAGACGTTGTTGGTACTTGTAATCAAGGGATATTTCCAAGTTTCATGCATTGAAAGGGCAAAATGAACAAAAGAAATATATTGATATGTATCTATGATAATTGTTTTATAGGGCCTTCGTAACAAAAGTGGTTATACATGACTATACGACCAGAACGATATGTTTATTAAACTACATATAGAAGGCAACGTAAACCAACGCGATAGTTCTTAAGACTCTTGTGTGGCTGTGCTAGGTGGTCTACAACTGTACAGTGTGGTAGTCTCAATGGATACCTAGAGATGTCACTCATATCCTTTTGTTTCAAGTCAGACACGGGAAAGCAACGGCCGTTCAAACGTGATTGGACATTCATTGAATGGAAATTTAACAACGTCTCTTGAACATACCGGAAATGTTGACACTCGTGTCTGTTATGTTCAATAGACTTACCAGTAAACGAAAAATGACTGGCTAGAACAGAATTTCATCGGGTAAACAACATCCGCCCCTTTTTTGAGAACTCTCATTACTGAAAGAATGTGTCGCGTAAAACACTCCCGGTTTCGTACGGTGCCAGCTATCGACTTTCACAAAAACTATCGTGTCGCAGACCGATCTTGGTAAAATCAAGTATTTATCTCAATACTGAAATGTCTCCTGCATACCAGATCCGAGCACCTCAAAGATCTGGAGCCGTATTGTGAGTGGACTCAAGATGCCAAGTTCCGTCTAATCAGACATCTTCTTTCACATCGTCTTGAACTGGCATCTAATATCCTGTTACCGAGGAGAGAACGATATTGGCACGATGTTAGGCACGCCTGCGTATTGTTTGTGTTGTGGTTCGCAATAGCCTTGTGATGGGTATATAGTATTGGTCTTTACCCCATGATAACCTCATTGCATTAATCACAGCATTCGTTTCAAACTCGTCACCCGTTACGATCTTCACGCTTGTTTAACGATTTACAAACCGAAATTTAGCCATGACTCATACAATGAGTTGGCGAGCTTTGACGGCTATCACTCTCACAGCCATCACCGTCTCTGCCTATCCCTTCCAATCCTACAACCATGTCTCTCGTTCAAATAAAAATGTCTACTGCCCTATATCCGAACTCTGCATATGGGGAAGCTGTACTGACACTACCATCGGTCTTGATCCCAAGAACTGTGGTACGTATGGCAACTCATGTGAGGCGGGAGAGATCTGCGTCGCTGGTGAATGCCAGCCACTAGATATCGGAACCCAGAAGTGCGACACTGCATGTAAGCCTGGTCAGTGGTGCAATGATGGCAAGTGTGTTGCCATTGAGATTGCAGCCAACGCTCGACTCTGTGGCAAAGATCATAAAGACTGTGGCGCAGGAGCAATTTGCATCAATGGACAATGCCAAATAATCGACATCGACCCCGAATCTAAATCCTGTGGACCCAAAAAGGTTGCTTGTGACGCCGGAACCTGGTGTCTTGATGACTCTTGCATCCCATTCATCCTCGGAACATACCCTCAATCCTGCGACAAGAAGACTCCTTGCCCACTTGGTTCATCCTGCCATCACGGACAATGCCAACAAATCTCCATCTCTGCCGATGTTTACAAGTGCGGTGAATCTGCCAAGAGCTGTGCTGCTGGCCAACTCTGTGTTTCTGGATCTTGCGAGTTTCTCTCGTTTACAGAAGAGAAATACCAAACTGAAGCTTGTGGTAAATCCCATGGACCTTGTGATCCTGGCTTCTTTTGTTGGGACAACGAGTGCTTGCCTATCAGTATCTCGACTGATGATTCTCACTGTGGCAAGAGCAGTAAGGGATGTGGCGCGGATGAGATTTGCATCTCCGGCATCTGCACCAAGAACCTCTTCAGAGAGACCGATACATCCGTAATCATCTGCACTACCGACTCCTCAGGATCGAGCGGCCGACCCCAAGGACCATATAGTTCTGGTGGCAAAACATCAAACCAGGGATCTAACGGCAAGGGCACCTCTGGCGGATCCTACCAAAATGGTGGCACTTCGGGTCGCCCTGGTGGTAAGCCATACGGAAGTGGCTCATCACAAGGAGGCTCTTATAACCAGGGCGGGTACTATATGGATGGCTCTGAAAAGCCCCAGCACGGCGATGGTGGCGGTAACGGCAACGGCAACGGTTACTATCCTGGAACAGGTTCTGGACGTCCAGGCTCCGGATCTGGTAACAAGGGAGGCTCTAGCAATTACGGTCCTGGTCGTCCAGGCCCAGGCAGCGATGGCACAGGCTCTCCTGCTCCAGCTTGCGATCCCGACTGTTCCTCCAATGAGATTTGCGTTGGAGGAGAATGTCTTACCGTCTCCGATCCTTTGTCTTGCGGTACCTCTTCCGGTCTAACCCGTCGCCAGAGCCGGGAGTGTCCACCAGGGTTTGCTTGTATCAATGATCGTTGCGTCCCTGTCGATAGTCCTATTAACTGTGGTGGATCAGATTGTCCTTTCAACTATGCTTGTATAGACGACGCTTGCGTGGCCCTTGGAGATCCCACCAACTGTGGTGGTGAGGTTTGCGCCAGTGATGAGATCTGCTTGGCTGAGACTTGCACGCCGAACCCGGATCTGGCCAGCTGTATTGGCATTGTGTGCCCTACTGGACAGAGATGTCTGGCAGGTGACTGTGTTCCAGCTGGCACTGGTGTCAACGGTAACCCTCAGGGTAATGGTGGTCGACCCGGTGGTGGCATCGGTGGAGACGGAGATGGACCCGATGCTCAGCCAACCCGAGACAGTGGCCGACCTGGTGACGGTGGTGGAGACCCTGACGATCAACCATCCCTAACCGTCACCGTTTCTGGATCTGTCACAGTGATTCCCAACCCTAATGCCACAGACGGCGCTACGGGTTCCACGACTGCTATCCAGAGCGAGCCTGAGGATAATGACCGTACTACGACCTTTGGTATCATCACTGAGGGCAGCACCACCATCACATTTCCCATCAACCCTACCCAGACCGGCATTGCCTGTTCTGTTGACAGCGACTGTGCTCGCGACACCGCGTTGTGCATCGTTGCCGGAATTAATGTCTGCATCTGCAAGGATGCTGTTTGTGTTGTTGATCCAGATCTTACTCCAGGTGACCCAACTACCACCGGAGGCAATGAACCAGCCACCACAGATGATTTCCCTGCCCCACCAACTGGAACTACGACCTGCACTACTGACGAGGACTGTCTCGCTGACAGCAACGCCTGCCTCTTCAACAACCAGAACATCTGCCGCTGTATCGATGGTATCTGCGTTCAGCAACCCATTACCGGAGACCCACAGGGAAGGCCTACCTCTACCAACGACCCTGAACTAACTACTCTCGATGGACCGGATGGTGAGCCGACGGCCACTATTACACTGACTGACGACGATGGTTCTGACTTGACGACACTTGATGGTCCCGATGGTGAACCAACTGCGACTGTTACCCTCACTGGTGATAATGAGCCAACTGACGGTCCCGAGGTTACTACAATCGACGGGCCAGATGGAGAGCCAACTGCCACCGTGACATTAACAGGCGGAGACGGCCCTGAAGTAACAACACTTGATGGACCCGACGGAGAGCCAACTGCAACTGTTACGCTCACTGGAGATGACCCTGAATTGACGACACTCGATGGACCAGCTGGCGAACCCACAGCAACGGTAACTCTCACAGCAACCGAGCCAGCGGCCACAGAGACTGAGTTCCCATGCACAACAGATGACGACTGTCTAGCTCAGCTTGGTCTTTGCACCACCGATGGTCTCGTCAATCTCTGTGTCTGTGTAGATGCAGTCTGTGTTCTTCCTGATCTAGTTACCGCGAGTACCACTGCTATAGACGGTGGTGAGCCAACTGACGCCGCTACCACAACCGATGGAGGAGTTGCACCTACACCCACGACTGCATGCGTTACCGACGATGACTGCGTTGCCAACGTAGATCTCTGTGTCATTGAACTAATCAATTTCTGTGTCTGTGTAGACGCAGTATGTGTCATCTCCGACCCTGCTGATGCCACCACCACAACCGATGGAGAAATTGCACCTACACCCACGACTGCCTGCGATACGGCTGATGATTGTGCTGCAAATGCTGCTCTCTGTCTGGATGGCCTTATCAACATCTGCATTTGTATTGACGCTGTCTGTGTTGCTACACCCAACGGCGACGCCACAACAAGCGGAGTGGTGCCTACAGAGACAGCTGCGCCTTCCTGTTCCTCAGCCGATGACTGTGCCGTTAGCCTTGATCTTTGTGTGGTCCTGGGAGTTAACCTTTGTATATGTGTCGATGCCATTTGTGTTCCTGGCAACGGTCCAGATGATGGAGATGATGGTTCTCCCTGCACGGACAATGGCGACTGTACCACCGCAGGATCTATATGTCTCGACAGTGGTATTTGCGGGCCCGACCCTGATGATCCGGATACAACCTCTTGTACAACAGCAGACGACTGCTTGACCAATGTTGGTCTTTGTGTAGATGGACTACTCAACCTCTGTGTCTGTGTGGATGCCGTCTGTTTGTCTCTGGGCCCAGGTAACGGCGGCCAAGATGGGTCTGCTTGTACTGAAAACGACGATTGTACCACAGCCGGTTCAATCTGTCTTGACAGTGGCGTTTGCGGACCTGATCCCGACGATCCCGATACAACTTCTTGTAACACAGCTGCCGATTGTACTGCCAACGCTGGTCTTTGCCTTGACGGTCTTATAAACCTATGTCTCTGCGTTGACGCTGTCTGCGTGGTTACTCCTGGAGGTGGTGGCAACGATGGAGACCCTTGCACAGACAACGGTGACTGCACTACCACAGGCTCCGTATGCTTGGATAGTGGTGTCTGCGGACCTGACCCGGACAATACTGGTACAGATTGCAATACAGCTGCTGATTGCACTGCCAACGTTGGTCTTTGCCTTGATGGTCTTCTCAACATTTGTTTGTGTGTCAATGCTGTCTGTGTTGCAGCACCCGGAGGAGGCGGTGGCGACGGGGATGCTTGTACAGACAACGGTGACTGCACTACCACAGGCTCCGTATGCTTGGATAGTGGTGTCTGCGGACCCGACCCGAACGATCCCGGTACAACGTCTTGCAATACAGCTACTGACTGCACTGCTAACGCCGGCCTCTGTCTCAATGGTCTTCTCAACATTTGTCTGTGTGTCAATGCTGTCTGTGTTGCAGCACCCGGAGGAGGCGGTGGCGACGGGGATGCTTGTACAGACGACGGTGACTGCACTACCGTAGGCTCCGTGTGCTTGGATAGTGGTGTCTGTGGACCCGACCCGAACGATCCTGGTACAACGTCTTGCAATACAGCTGATGACTGTACTGCTAACGCGGGTTTGTGTCTTAGTGGTCTTATCAATATCTGCCTTTGTATCGCTGGACTTTGTGTTGAGCTATCGGAAGGGCCATGATAGTGGGGATAGAGGTGGGGTGACAGATGCGTGCTCCGACGCAAACCAATGCGTTGAGGGTTTTTTTGGACTTGTTGATAATGGGCCTGGTCTCAAGTGCACAGCTCGTGGGGACTATAAAAGTTTGGCCCAACGTTAATTGGGATTTGTTCTGTACGTTGGATAGAGCATAATTGATGGACAGGTGGTTTAGCAGAAGGGGGTGTTTTGGACATTCTTGTATTATACTTTGGTGGCTATGAGGATATTTAGCATACATCATGCAATGATGTTTTAATGGATCATTTTCGTTCTTGAAATATCATACGCATATGTTGAAGAGACCTTTAGGAATATGGGAAGAGAGCATCCGCTAGTTATATTGTTGCAGTCATTGCGACACGTATCTTGCTGGTGATCTATAATGCTATGGTGAAAGTCGATATTCTTGTGGAAGATATATTGATATAAGGGCAAGGGTAAACCTGAAAATAGATTTACTAATTTAGTCTCTTGTGGTTCCAGCTACCGAGCTTTCTGACGCGACTGAGGACAGTACTCACCGAACTCCATAATGTACATGTAGACTCTATCCAGTAGTAGAACCATCTACTAAGCCGTACATACAGGATATGTTTTGTTCACTAAATCCCAATGCGATACGGCGTTCGTCAAAAACCTTCGTAACTGGTTGATGATAACTTTAAGAGTATTTTGGGAGTGGTTTAATAAACAATGTGTGCCATGGCTCCCTGTCTGTTGTTTCGATACACCGATTGCTGATGATATCGTCAAGTGACATCCATGCATAGTTATCGCCATTGTTCTCTGACCTGCAGACTGTGCGCGCGCTCTGGGCTGTATGCGGGTTCATTGTCATTGTTCAGTTGGTCGCCGATCTGTTCCCCTAGTGCCGACTCGGGTCCAATTGTGCTGTAGTGCAGAATCTCATGGAGTGCAACGCGCGAAAAGTTATCCATCTTGGTGCTGGGGTATTTGTTAAGACACGCCATAGGAAAAGGAAGAGCAAGCGGATGGAGGCCTCGGGTATCAGGAAAGGTGGCTGCTGGAAGTATGAGGGATGAAATAAGTAGGTCAGTTTATGATACTTAGACCATGTTCAGGCCATTGATCTTTATACCTTAAAGCATAGAGTACAATGCTTCTATGACCTTTGAGTGAAGATAGACTGACCTGTGTTATCAATGATCATATTGCCAACCTTTGGCCCTGCCCTGGTGCCCACGGTGCCTTCTCCCGCGATAGTAATAGAAAATTCGTGGACTTTTGCAGGAGTGCCATCTTCTGTATCAAAAAACACGTCATAGACGACGTTTTCAGAAGTTTGTGTTTCTGGCAGCGAATGCCCCCCAGGACGAAATGGCACGAAGCTAGCCGGACCAAAGTACATCACGGAATAGCTCTAGATAAGCCCTATCTCCGTCATTGTTCGAATCGAAATCGAGGTATCTCCATTCATTGCCGTAGGCTTTTCTGAGAGGATAGCTTGATGGAGAAGGATCTTGGCGACACACTTTGGAGGGGAATTTCGGTTTGGCATGTGCAGCTGAAAAATAAACCACGATCAAAAGCTTTCATAGGGACATAGCGAAGAGAGTAGATAAGGTAGAAGGAATTAGATTGTGTGCTGCTGTCTTGTCGATTAATCAACGGTGGGTATTGGATGTATTTATACTATTCCAGACACTGTTGTTATGCAGCCAGCCAACCTTTGGGCAGCTGGTCCTCATGGAAATAGAGGCGGCTATACTGTACAGATAATTGCTGGTCGCGCGATCAAGATATCAGGGTCTGGCCTCCAAACAATTACTCTATGTCAAAGCTCGTAGACATGGTGATAGCACTTTTGCACAGCTAAAATCGCGATGCCAAACGATCAAGATGATGAGCTGGACATGACATCCAGCTAAGCACGACTATGACTGCCAAGTTTCTTTCATGTCTAGGAGAACTAGGTATCGGAATCGGCCAAGTCTTCGGTAAACGAGACAGAGAAACCTTATTGATCATCTTCACATCATGTGACAGTATAACCGTGATGATCGCAGGACGGATCGGTCATTGCTTTATTAGGCAGAAATGTACTTCATGATATTCGTTTAGATGGGGGCCGCGCGGTTGAAACCCATTACATACGGTATATTCGGCTACATCTAGTAGTTACAGAATGGCCAAGACTAATGAAATGATAATTACGCATCAAAATAGTCATATACAGCCTCTAGCCTCTTATTAGGATACGGACATGGTCGTTTGGACCAAGTGTCTATTGCTGTTTATTATGGGAAATTTGGTTGAAAAGAGGAGTTTAAGAATATTGCTCCCATTAAGAAAGCGCCCCCAAAGTATTCGTGATGAAGTTATCAGACTAACTAGTGCAGGCATAGTGGAGGCATGTCTATAACAGCGGGTAGATCTCAGTTTAGCTCCGATGTCAACGAGAAAAAATCAGGAACTCAAAGGTTTAATGCATCATTAGGCAGCGGCCAAACTTGATTCATATTATATGCAATCGCCACCATGACGTAGCATGTGACTCCTTCGCAAAATGTATTTTGAACGACAGTATGGTCAGACGTCGTCGACTCGGTCTGATAATAGTCTTGCTCCAGCACGGAGTGTAGTTTCGCTATAATGGAACATTTCAAGATTCTCGGCAGAAAATGCATCGTCTTTGACAAGTCAAGCAACATACCCTTCAGCATAGCTTTCGGCTTATGTCGGCCTGCGGGTGATGATACTGATCCTCGAAACGTGGGCCTGAAGACGATAAGACCAATCCTTGACATCCCGTATGCCCTGTCTCATGGGCTACTTTCACTACGAGAGGATGATATGGAAGTTGACGTTGGACAACTAAAACCAGCAGATTCCAACAATGTCGACAGACTATTTCTACAACTCAAGGCACCAGTTGGCAGAATTGATAGTGTAAAGAAAGACTAGTCGGCATATCATTACCACGTCCATCCTGACAGCGATCTTGCGGCTTTGTTCCGAATCGTGTATCTCTTCCCCGACTTAAACAAAGTAGGAGACTTGGGCGAATACGTGTTAATTGACGAGAATGGCCAACCATCCGAAACAAATGAAGAGAAGCTGTGCAGCAGCAGAGCGAATGACCGCGCACTCTTTGATGTGGTGAAATCTCTTCCCTGGCCTCTAGAGATAGAGACAACGATGAAAAGATGCAACGACACGGAAGACGACACGGAAGACGACACGGAAGACAACACGGAAGACGACACGGAAGACGACACTTTGCATCTGGAGATCATGATTACGAATAAGGGTCCTGAAGTTATCAGTGTCCAAAGCCGCGATCGTCAGAGATTTCTTATCTCATGAGGGTCAGTAGAACCTGAACCAGAATTTCCGCCGCTTGATCCCTGTCCTCGTATCATCGACTCTGAGACGCCCGCACCTGAAGCGACTTTCCAGATCTTTGATTCTAAGACTAAACAAATGTACCAAAAGCAACTCAACCTGGTGTCTGCGGTCTATATCAGGAGCACGATCCACGGCCGAAACTGGAAACTCTCACTACTCTGAGGCCCGGAGAGCCAATCATTAGACACGTTGACGTTGGCATCCTGGCTTCCAAGCTTGCAGATGGGATATTCAGTCTTAGAATGGAACCTCGGGGTATGCAGTGGTGTGTTGGCAACTGTGAAGAGTTCGCAGCAGCGGAGGAGGATCGAGTGCCCGGTCATCTGTACAATCCCAAGATCCTACCGGCGATGCTGGTGTGCGGGGATGCTGTCGAGATAGAGGTCAAGGATGGAGTTGCCAAGTAAAACAGCGAATAGCAACTGCAGAAAGGAAATTGCGGAAACATAACGGGAAAGCTATGCGATGATATCAGCGTCAGATTCAGCCTACACTTCCTATGGTAGAGCCAATAAACAATCTCATCCTTTCCAATTGAAATTAACGGATGGTTCGATTCCGTTCTCTCATCGACCCATGTCCAACTGCTTCCGCTGATTCAGCATTGTCCTGTCTAGAACATGCTGGTAAGATAATAGCCAAGCCATTAGTGTTACCCGCTGTTTCTCCAACTGCTCAAATTAACTCAAACCTTCCGATCCCGATTGGTAGGTAGTGAACAATGCAGTCAGCATCTTGGGAGGAATCAAGCGGGCCATTCAGGCCGGAATCAGCAGGTCTGGATTCATCCCTGCTTCAGGTTCAACAATAATCGGGGATTTTACAAGTTTCACCAATAAAAAGTGACCCGATTAATTCCCCGGGCCTGGTGAGTTGTAACCTTGTTATGGTGGCCTTTTAGTTGTACGCTAATTTTATGCATATTTGTGAACCCTACACTGAACCACATTTTCCATGGTATATCATTTTAAACAGGGCTGAAGACAAGACTCGAGATAGTGTGGCATGTATGTTGCTATTTTTCTTATTTACTACTTTTTTATATGGACTATGATGATACCGCCATATCATTATCTCCATCCATTCTCATACTCAAAAAGCAGTGAGATTACTCTCATGCTCAGCGCCAAGTCAGCATGGGCGTACAGCACCAAGGCGCTATGCACTGCAGTGTGACCTGACGACCAACAATACACAGTCGTCAAATTTTCTCTACGGAACCCCTGCAACTACAGCTCACTCATCACAAATATTTCCCTTTTCAGCAATGGAGTGCGGCGCTTTTATCTTACATGCAGCTGGAACTCATCCACAGAGGTTGGTTTCCGATGCGTACCATGCGTCACACAGGGGCTGCCTCCCCAGTGATTCACTGTGGTTTTGATCTCATAATACTACACAATATCTCTACGCATCTGCTTGTTCCTAGACCTGCAGTTTCTTCTTCAGTAGTCACCAACTGCTGTTGCTCGCGGCACTATGGACCAGTCTTCGGGGCCATTATGGCCACGGCTTTTGCTTGCTTGTTGTCTAATGGGCACCTCGCTTGCTCAGAAAGACCCAACTAACAATTTCTGTCGGCGGTTTGGTCATCAGACTGCTGTGGTGGATAGGAAGCTTTACATTGATGGGGGCATCATCAACTACCAACCACCCAGGGAGAACTTTACAAGTGGGTATCACAACTACCAAGCATCCAACGGCATACTAACATTCTTCAGATACCTTCTTCACATACAATGACCTCGACTCTGTCTCTGATGAGGCCATGCCCGAATTCCATACCGGCCTGTCCAAAAACGGAACAATACCCAGCGTCCAAGGCGGTATTCTGTGGGAAGACTCGATCAACAAGCGACTTTACCTCTACGGCGGCGACTACGAAGACGTTCCGACAGAACCTTTCAGTCTGTACAGCTACGATATCCTCTACGATGAATGGCACAACTACGGCTCTCCTCCGAATTCAGTCAAGGCTGCCAGTTACGGTGCTGGAGTCTCGGTACCATCGAGAGGCGAGGCATATTACTACGGTGGGTGGCTCAGTGAGAAGTCTGTTCAAGATTGGGAAGGCGATAGACAGACTTCAAGTGGGCTGATCAAGTATACCATGGACTCGAACAAATGGAGTAACGTCAGCGGCCCGGACGATGTGGGAAGAGCCGAGGGCTCTATGGTTTACCTCCCAGTCGGAGACGATGGGATGCTGGCATACTTTGGAGGTGGTCAGGACTTGTATGGGAATGGGACTCTTGAGCCTCAGCCCATGAATGAGATCTTACTATACGACATGGCAAATACGAGGTGGTATACACAAAAGACATCTGGAGACGCACCGGGTGATAGACGGAAATTCTGTGGCGGCGCGACATGGGCTCAGGATCGGTCAAGTTACAATATGTAAGTCCCACCACAATGAACCTCAAACCTCTGTCAAAGCTAACTTCTCGTCAGTTACATCTTTGGAGGTCGAGGTTTCCCTCCTTTCGAAACTGGTTACGATGACATTTACATCCTCACCATTCCAAGCTTTCAGTGGATTCGAGGGCCATATCCAGGCTACGAAAATGGTACCGGAACTTATCCCAAGAGTATGATGAGTTGCAACGTCGTCGACAACGCCCAGATGCTTGTAATCGGCGGGAGCTATGCAAACGCCACGGAGAAAATTTGCGATGTACCACCTATTCAGGGCGTACACAACATGAACTTGGGCAAGCAAAACGAGGAGGATGCCATTTGGGCACGATACCAAGACGATCTGACCACGTATGAAGTACCGGATGATATTAGAACCGCGATCGGAGGCAGTGCCACAGGTGGTGCGACCGAGACAACACCCGTCAGCGGTTTTGATGACCCTGATTTGGAAGTTCTCATGGGACGCACAGCTGAGTCGGGCACAAGAAGTGCGACGCGAGCAACTTCAACAAGTACCAAAACGCCATCACCATCACCCTCAGACGAACCATCATCATCGTCATCCCTCAGCGTTGGAGCCATAGCAGGGATAGCGGTTGGCTGCAGTGTCGCCTCTATCCTGGCACTTCTAGGCTGCGGGTTTCTGATTTATCGCAGGAGGAAGCACTACAGCGGACCTCGCGGCGTGGCGGCGCCACCACCGCAAGGTGAGACGGCTATGGTGCACAATCCCATGAGCCCTGGTCAATCAACTTCGCCTGGGGGCTGGGATCAACACCACGTATCATCACCTGCAGGCACGACTCCGTCTCACGGCGTTGAATCAGTGGTATGGCCCGCTCATAATCGTTCTGCATCGGAGCTGACGGGTTATCCTGACTTGAAGAGTAACAATCGACCTGTCGAATTGCCTGCTGATGGGGGTATGCACGAAGTGAATCACAATGGACTTTCGCCCTTGTCGAATGCGTCACCACAACAAAGTGAGTGGTCGTATCGACATTAACATTGTGCTGCCGGCATGAACTTTAGAGATGGTTGCAAGGGTCTCATTTGTAATGGTAATCGTGATTGTTAGAAGAACAATATTTTAATGACACTGCTCAACCCCCGTCATCGCATTAGTCTAACGATGTCCGTATAAATTGTGACGACTGGTATTTTTATACCATGCCCTTGTTGCATCGGTGCGGTCTTGACAAGTGAAACCACATGGCAATTAAAAACCATCAAACCAAATTGAGTGAACTGTCCATTTATCGGATGGTTTGTGAGTGGCACTTCTCAATATCCCTATCGAGTAAGCATTGTGTAAATTCCACTCTGTCCTTGTAGTGCCGAACAAGTTTCGTTGGAATCTGGACGCCTAAACTTATTCTCTCCAGGAAAGAAAAGGAACTCTTGATTTAAACCAATCGCTCGACCGAAAAGGAACAGCAGATAAACATATCGGATCATGTCACTAATAATTGGCTCTGAAGTATTTGTTGCGCAGAAATTAAAGGATCTTGTCAGCTGACATCAGCGTCATACCTGATATTAAGATACCGCATCGGTGAGTTCAACAAGGTACAGACATAGAGCAAGCTCTTTTATTTTCAAGGTATATTGGAGTGACTCGTTCTGGACCGTGTCTTTATCTCATTGTTAACTGGCAAAGTCTGGGGTAACCGAGAGCTTGTTATCTGATCCAGAATTGAGCAGACAACTTCTGCGGCTCATGATAACTGGTCATCTTACCGTTCAGCTGCGCCCAACTTGGTGGCTAAGCCTTACAAGTCGAACCACGCTACATAAGAGAGAAGCGCGGAACCTCCCGTACATCCCCGCCATTCCAGACCGTAGCTTTCAGCTGTCAACACTCACTAACAATTATGTTTGGCTGAGACATATTGGACACTTCAACGACACTCAACCCCTCGTTTAGACCAAATACGGCCTTCATTGCACCCTTCCAATGCCTTCAATGGTTACTTTAACTCTGAAATGCTTGCCCTTTGCTGTAAAGGCATTCCACAGAGAAGCGAAGCACCTTTTCAACCAATGAATGACTGTTATACATAGCTTGGAATGGGGCATAGTTCTGTAAATGGTGCGGCTGAGATTTACCTCATCAACCGTTGTCTTTATAAATAAAACAATGCCTCTGACTAGTAGCGTAGTTTTCAGATGTGACATATTTTACAACCAAACATACAACAAACTCCACAAGGTTCACCATGGCATATTCCCAGATCTACGACGTGATTGTTGTTGGTGGTGGCCCAGTCGGGTTGGCTGCAGGATACGAGGTAGCCAAAGCAGGGGCCAGTGTCATGATCCTCGAGCAAAACAACTTCTTCAATCAGGCTGGAAGCTCTGGTGATTTGGCTCGCATGTTTCGCACCATGTAAGCAAGGATCTAATGGTCTTGTATAGCGATTTACATTATCTAGGTACACCGAAGATTTCATGGCTGAACTTGCTACCAAAGCTATGAAGCACTGGGACGCTCTTGAGAAAGATGCTGGAGTATCTCTCCGCTGGATGGGCGGCTTGCTCAATTTTGGCGATAAGGATATGGGTGGTGACACGCCTGAGGGTGAGTAGAAAGCCTTGTCGTTTCTAGGGGTTTTATGCTAACGAAAGGAATACTAGGAACTTTACTGGGACCTATTAATAATTTGGAAAAGTTTGATATGCGTTACAAAAAGCGTGAGTGCCTTGATGTTCTCATTCCCATCCTTTCTGTTGACAAAAATAGTCTCCGTGGAAGACATTGAAGACCAGTATCCATTCAAGAACTTGAAGAAAGACTGGATGGGCCTCTTCGCACCAGACAATGGAGTCATCAACGTTCAGTTACTCCTGAGAACCCTCTACAGTTTGGCAAGGGACTATGGTGCTGATGCCAAACAGCACACTGAAGTAAAGCAGATCCGTCCAACAGACAAGGACAAGTCCATATGGGAAGTTCATGGCACTGTTCATGGTAAATCGGCGACTTACCTCACCAAGAAGATCATCATCACAAGTGGAAGTTATGTCAACCATATCTTGAAACCAAGCTTTGGTTTTTCCCTAGGACTAGAGATCTGGGAAATGGTTGCGACATATTTTAACACCAATGCCGGCCCCAACGGGACCATCTTCCCTAGTAAGTCCCACACCTCTACATACCGCTTCATCCTCTAATGATAGTCAAAAGGCATGTGGTTTCAGTTCGCTCCCTCTGTGGACAAGAGATCTCGCCTGTTTTACGGATTTCCAGCACTTCCATGGGGTCCACCTAATGTAGTCCGAATCGCTGTCGATGCTGCAACTCGAACAATCAAAGATCCAAGTGAGCGCCTAACCCATGTTCTCAGTCCAGAGGACATTAAGGATACCCAAGACTTCGTGAGAGACCACGTCGTCGGTGTCGATCCTACAGTCCCAGCGTCTACGGTCAGCTGCCTACAGACCAACGTTTTTGGTAAAAGTGCATCAACTCTTTATTTTTAGCATCATCTAACTCTTCTAGATAACATGTTTGTTCTCGACTTCTTGCCTAAGAAATATCTAAATGGAGGTGCTGAGAAGAGTATCGCTATATTCACCGCTGGCTGGGCGATGAAGTTCGTGCCGACTCTGGGCAAAGCGCTGTCCGAGATGGTTCTGAAGGGTAACTCTGATTATAAACTCAAGGAGTTCGCGATTACTCGTCCTGCACCTGCTGGTAAGGAAATCATCCAAGAGGACTGCGAGTCAGCTGGGGAGATCAAGATGGCAGCAATGTCGATCCAGACATCTGGCTGCGAACAGGCTCAAGGTTCTTCATGTGGCAGAAGGGAGTTATCACAAGCGGCCTAATTTCAATCATTCACAAATAGGTGTTAATCATCAGAAGCATTTAGTCAGTTGTGAGTATTAATGGAGGCTTGTCATTGGTAAATGTCTACTTCGAGACAAGATCACCACCACTTCTTAGTTATAGCCCTCCACGAATTACTACCGCAATGAACATCTCCTTGCAACTTAAAATGAGAGAACCAATCATCCTGGTATGTAACATTGTAGCCAACATTGGCATATACTTCGGACACGGCAGCCGCGAAGATGTCCTGTTTGTTGATCACAGGACCCCAAGGGTTGGGCACCAGAACCCTGGAGTCTGTCATAACTAGACCGTTGACACTGTCTGGATAAAGAGTCGTGACCTGGGTAGCGGGGTCTATCGCACGGCGATGAATAGATTTCTTGGGAGTAGCTGCCTCGACAATGGACTTGGCCTTGAAGCTAGGCCCGCCTTGCGGAGCTTTCATTGTGATACCTGAGTTGCTTGCAGCCTTCTGAGGTTGTGTTGAAGCGACCTCTGCAGTCTGAGACGAGCTCTCACCAGCGCATAGCCAACTATTTGACTCGGTGTAGTAGAAAAGTGCAGGGACGCGATGGATATCTTCCTCTGTGATGCTGGTCTCTTGCTTGATGATATCGAGATTTGCTTCGATGCGCTGAGCTGAATTTTTGTTGATAGCATCAAATTTGTTGAACTTGAGGGTCTCGGCAATGGTCTGTCGGGGGAGACACAAGTGTTCATTCTTCTCATCTGCCGACAGAGGACGCGACACAGCTTTCACTTTACCATGGCCAGCCTTAGCCGCCTTCTTCAAGAGATCAACACCCTTCATCGGATCAGCAACCATGATGACCCAACCACGCTTGTTATCACTAGGTAGGAACTGGATGAACTCATCCACGTGGCCAACATATAGCCAGCTTGTGTCGAGAATCAGAGGGTCCTGAACCTGTTGAGCTTTGAGGAATTCTACCATGAGAGGAGCTCTTCCCTCCCATGCACCCATGATGGTTCTACCAACGGGAAAGCTCTTTCCATTGTGGCTGTAAGGAGGGATGGTTTCCAGGTTACCAGTAGAATCGATTGAGTCGCCGTCACCAGGGTGCTGAACAGCACCGACTTGATCATTGCGAAGGTCGTGGAAAGCGTCGCGACCTGATCTTCGGCTGCTTTGGACAGACCGAATCATGATGCGGATGCTAACAGGGCCTTTTGGGCCAGGGATGCTCGCGTAACCAGGTTCGAAAAAGTCCTGTGTCCAAATATCCTGGTTGTGGAATTGAAAGACAGGCTCTTTGATGCCAGCGTCACCAACGTTGCGCAACAGACCAGCGACGTATTTCTCTTGGACTTTGTTGAAACCTGCTTCATTGACGCCGGTTGTGAAGATACGCTGGGCGTGTTGTCCATGATGATGTGTCAGTACTGGCGCAACTCGCACAGCAACGGCATCAGTCGCTTTGGCCTTGCCATCGGTGATAGTGAACTGGATCTTGGCATAACCATTCCAGCCTTGAGGGCGACGGACATCACGGGCATCAATACCCAGCTCAAGTCCGGACTTTAGCTCTTGGGCAGTGAAGACATGGTCTGCGGCCACGTAATTCCACTTGCCGCTCTGCTTGACAAAGATTCGGACTTTGGAGGCGGCTGCTTTGTCGGCAATGGCGATTGAACCTTTGGCAGATGCGCTCAAGCTGGCCAAAGGGAGAGTTTTCAGTGGAGCGAGATATTTAGGATTTCGCTGCACGTTGTCTGAGGCGTCGTTGCACTTGTCCAAATACGATTCGTCTCCTTGGATATCAGCACTTGGACCCCATTTCTTGGCGCAACGGCGACCAGTATCGCCAATGTTGGGAAGAATTAGAGCGCCTTTATCGTTTGTCCACGTGGATTTGCCAGTAACGTCGTTGTTGTCGACCTTGCCATCGCGATTGGTATCTGCGAGGATGGTAATCTTGAGGGCATTGCAAGAATTGAGAAACACTTTAAGAGTTGTTAGCGTAATCAATAGAAGAAGTTTTCTACCATATACCTAAGGCGACCGCTGCCGCTTTCCCGTTGAGAAAATGCATGGTGGTTGGAGAAAAGCTGAGTTCCTGTCTACCTACCTCGCCTTGCCTGCCAATGCTGAACTCTGCCTCTTACTTATATGTTCTCCTGACATCGGCATTTCACGCATTGACAGCAATCTCGTATCCGCCACAGCCAATGGCAAGCTTGATTCACGCGTACAATTGTGGATTTGTTAGCTCATCCCTTCGGCTGCTCGTATTTTTGGATTTAGCGCAATTCTACCCCGTAGCGGATGAAACAGTCCCCTGTGCTCAGACAGATCTAGCCCTCGAAGGTCTAGAAACAGACACTAATGATGCCACCTGATGTGGTCTTCTAGTCAATATTGTAAAGCCCCGTCGAACAGCCTTTCCAAGTTTCTTCTAGAAGAACAGTCTCGGCCTTAACTACAAGACACTTGCCATGAAAGTTAGGGAGTCTGGTCGGTATGATTGAAAGTTAGTTGTAGCTTGGCATTGTCGATCACATGCTAAGCGAGGTATGTTAATCCCTACCATTGATCCTTCGGGAAGGAGTTTATTGTTTATCTCGGTGGTTGTGTTAGCTGCCATGCTTCTAACTTACTAATATTTGCCCACACAATGATATGACTCTTCGCCGGAGTACCACCGGGAATTCATCAATGTGTGAAGAAGAGGTGGCAGGGCATTGTACTGATATCCTCCAAGTAGATGGCGGACTTGGTGGTGTTAGGAGTTTGCAAAATGCTATCAGATCCGCCATAGCTAATGACAAGCTTGATTTACGAATATAATTGTGGATTTATTCTTGAGTCTGCCCTGAGATGTCCTCAGTAAGAGCAATGACACGCCATATGCATTGATTGTCTAGAACCGCGTTGTATAAAACAAGACGTATATTAAATAAGACGATCAGCGTCAATAAATCTGGTATACCGTTATATAACTTTTACCTATTGTATTTCAAGTTGCTATAAATGGGGGTTACGAGGCCGTGTAACCTGAAACCCTTTTTCCGGCTGTTGTTTTCTGAAAGGCCTCCAATTTCGAAAGGCGTTTTTCATATTTGGCCTATCATCTCCACCAGAAATGTTGGATAGTGAAGTCTGTCTTATTATTACGGGATCCGTTTCCGCTTCTCTACCGTAAAACAGGTCCGCTTCTCGAAAAGAATAATCGACACCAGAGACTGGTAGTACCTGGGCAAGCGCCAAATCTAGATCAAATTGTGCCTCGCTCACAGACAATCTTGTCTCGCTGACAGATGCTCCAGCCTCGAGCGACATAGGTTGCTCTAAAACTGAGCTTTGGCAAGAGTTACCAGACACCGGTGTGGCTACTCGAAGTCGTGGTTCTCGAAAAAATGGCCTAGAGTCTGACCGGTGCGATTGAGATACTTCGCTGCGATCTTTGCTATTATTCAAGGGAGTAGTTGGCAAATAAGACAGATGTACAGACTATTGAAACTTGTGTTAAGAACTCTGTCAGACTGATCTATAAGAATTTAGTAACTTACAGGAATAATAGCTAATTCTTGATCGTTCTCATCGGCCTGGAGACCGTCAGAATTTCCTAGCTTTCTTCGACTTATGCATGGCAATAACTGATAGACTGCTCTAAGTGCGAAACCAGGCAGAATCACTGCCCCATGTAGGCCCAGCACAATGTACCCAGCCCACTGTTTCATTGCCTGGCTTTCAGACAATATAAACACAAAGCTCGATAGTGCTGCAAGAAGCCGCACAACTGAGAAATATGTTGACGTTGTGGTGTAAAATTGCAGACCGTTTTGAAGGGCCAGTTCGACAGAAGAAATGCATTCAGTTATTACCAGGGCAAATATCTGAGCCATAGGGTAATCCTGCAAGGCACCTATAAAGATAGCCTGAAAAAATGGGAGGGAGTGCGAAAAATGGCGGCGAACGTAGCCCCAAGCTTGTTTGTAAGTTATCGCGTTATCGTCCATTTGTGGTTGCTCGGGTGCCAAGAAGGGATGGTGAATTGAACGCCTGTTAATTCGAGTAGCGAAAAAGGAGTTAGCCCCAATAATGATAAGCATCATAAGCACCGCTAAGCCGATCCTATAATTAGGCAGATAGCCCACAAGCACCAGATCGTAAGCCATGAATAATAGTAGAGGGACACTGAAGAAGCACAGCGCAATGTTGGCAGTTACTCCCACCGCTTTTGTCATGATCGAGGACAGGGACGGCGATGATGTTTGGCGTTCCGATAGATACCAAATGAGGCTTAAGAAGATAACGAAAGCCAGAACAAGAAGCATAGCAAGGTTGAACAGGGAGTTCCATAGTGTGTTAAGCATGTTCGGGTATCCAAGAGTCACGGTGACGAAATCGAGCCCGTATGTAGCGTTGCTCACGTACATACCGCCGTCGATTCCTGGGGATGAATGCCCGTGATGGAGTGGCCCCTTCCAGAATAACAAAGAAGCCCAGGCCACTTTGTTTGTTACTGGGATAAAAAAGCCTGGATACTCTATGGTGATAGATGTGGATAGAAGTATGAACTGAAGATGCCGTAAAAAACCAGTGACTTGAAAGACAGTGGCCCAGAGTGGTCCTTGTCCAGCTGAGAGTAAGCTGCGATCGATACCGTAACTAGAGCCGAAGTCGTCTGGGTGGCTCTGCCATGAAGAGATAGCTACAAAAGCCATGACGATAAGCGGGAGAAAGGTGAAAGCTGCTGAAGCTATAGCTCCAATGTCCGGAGTGATCTTAACGGCACCACAGTCTAGCTCTGTGCCATTGAAGTGTCTGAATCGGAACGTTGATTCGAGTGAGCGCAGTTGGTAAGCACTATGGAATGTATAGACGAGACTGTAGTGGGAAAACCTTTGATACCCAAGTCTGTGAATGTTTTAGCAGAAGCGAGTCAAGAAAGACAAGAGATCCGTTCGTTTGTGATGACCTCTGAGTCGATTCATTCGAAGAATGCGGAGTGGACAAAACTCACGGCGTTAGGGTTTCCGTAATCGGTACAGGGCACTCTGTATTAAATTCAGTTAAGCGTCCTACTGCATGTCCAAGAACTTGGAATTCTAGCGAATGTTCTAACGAAAGGACATCAATATCATCACAAGTGATAAGTGACTCATTATAAACAGCGAGAATGCCCAGTTGCAGCTGAGTCGAATTCCCACGCGTATCCCATGTTCCTCGAAAGCTGTCGATCCAGAAAGGATTGAGCTCAGGCGATAGAAACTCGTGACGCGACTGATCACACGTGTATTTTCGAACCCACGCTTTATCGTGCCAGCGAGCTTCGCATAGAAGCACATGGAGATAAAGCACTAGGAATATAATAGTGTTCCATCTTGCAAGTGGCTGCGGCTGCGGCTGGCTTATCATACCAGCTAATACCTGATTTATTACTTGGTAGGGTTTGCCAATAGTTGGGATTGAGTTTAATTATTTGAATAAAAATTGCAAGCTATTACCCCTTGAATCTTACTAAGGCTTATTACGTTATTGTCTAAAAGTGGAGGTTAACCCGAACTATTAGTAGCTTGGCACTGGCTGTGTAGCTGTGAGGGGCTTACAGCTAGTTTCAGACCTATACTATTTACAGTAATGATTCGTTGGTGCAAGAATTGATGATAGTAATGAATGTCCTTTTTTTCAAGGCTGTCCTTATCTTTATAAATCTCTACATGGGTGATACCTCCACTATGTCAGATTAATCGAGCCTTGATTAATAAGGCAAGGTTGCCGAATAGGTCTTGTTAATCCTGTTTACCAAGCAGTCTACCATCTACGACGAGTATCTCACCTGAGACATATGGAGATGCTACACTGGCTAAGAAGAGTGTGGGACCAGCAAAATTTGCAAGTACTCCTCATCTTCCGGCTGGACAGTTTACTATCGTAGCTGAAGTTGTCTCCGTATCCGGCCGCACTGAAGAGTTCGTATTTGAGCCTCTTATCGCCCTGATAGTTTCCGCTGTTTCCGTTTTGAACATATCTCGCTGTAAAATGCAAACCCATGCACCGGCATCGCCCAGAGCGAGAGCAATAGCAGCACTAATGCCACGAGATCCTCCAGTGGCAAGCGCAGTCTTAAGCCTCAGCGAGAACAACTGCGATGAGGGCACTTTGAGAGTAGTTAACGACACCATCTTGGACGTTGTAAAGAAACAAATGATCTAAGACTGTAGAGTAAGGCAGAAATATCTTAGATAGTAAGCTTATTTATATATATATTATTGAATTATTAAAGCTACTATTAAGCGTGCAGCTCCTTTCAGAGTGTCAGCTGCTATAAAACAAAACTTATAAGTATATAACTTACTAACTGGCAGTATATTAATAAATGGTCTAGGGTATGGCATTGGCACTACAGAAGTTATGCATTGGGATATGAAATTGTTATGCAACTCTGGTCTAATGTCTGTTTGGGGGATGATAAGGCTAAACTCTATCCGCTCCAAAGCTCAAGACAAGACACACCATATCCACCCAGTACCCTGGCCAATGGACTTTACCATCTTGGGACAATTACTCGGCAGGAACAATATCAAGTCAGCAATAAGTGAAAGACAAAAGTTGCTTAATGAATGTCAATTCATGTATAAATATGTCTCTTTCCATCTGTACGCATTGATCAAACACGACACTCTATCCTCTCTTCTACAAACTCATATTACTCTCACAAATCGCAAAACAACATGAATCCTCCCACCGCAACCATCAACGGCGTTACCATTGTATGGACCAAGTTCTATAAAGTATAGTAAACATACTGATATCAAATAGCGTAACCATGACAGGCCTTATGACGCAATCTCTCCTCAGAGAACAGAGTTGTCTCAGCAAGGCCGAACTGTCCTTGTCTGCGGCGGTTCAGCAGGTATTGGCCATGCAATCGCGCGAAACTATTGCATCGCTGGCGCATCTAGTGTCATAATCCTGGGACGTCGTGAGGATGTTGCTAGTGATGCAGCACTGAAGCTTGACCAGAATTACCCCAGCACGGCTGTCACTGCACGCACCTGTGATGTCTTCAATAGGGATCAGGCCCAGAAAATCTGGGATGACCTGGAGAAGGAGGGTATTTTAATCGATGTCCTCGTCCTCAACGCTGTCGGCGAGCCGGCATTGCAGACGATACTCGACCAAGGTGCCGACAGGCTGTGGCAAGACTTTGAGAACAATGTTCACGCCCCGCTTTACCTTGTCGAAAGATTCTACAAGCAGCCTGGACATACCAAGCAAAAGGTATAGAGAACAATGTTCATATTTAGTACAAGTTACTGACCAGCTGTAGTTTGCCATCTCTGTCTCAACGCAAGATATCCATCGATGGGATAGTGCTCCTCAAATGCCAGGGTACCAGCTGACCAAGAGCTCCTTTGCCACGGTTATGCAGCAAGTCGCTAGGGATACACCCGAAGAAAAGATGCGTGTCATCTCATTCCATCCTTCTATAGTCTTCACTGAGTCAGCACGTAAGACTGGGTATACTGAGGACACTCTTCCTTGGACAGACGGTATGTAACAAACAGGACCACAGATGTTGAAAGTCACTCACATATACTAGAAAACCTCCCTGGTGGCTTTGCAGTTTGGGCTGCTTCCGCCGAGGCGCAGTTTTTACATGGTCGATTTGTCTGGTCAACATGGGATATCAATGATCTGGCATCTGGAGAGCTCCGAGCCCAGATTGGTGAAGACCAGTGGTTGCTCAAGGTTGGAGTTAAAGGTCTATGAGTGATTATACAGCCCCATGAAGTTCATTAGGCCTAGCGTGCAACAACAAAGGGGCATTGTCCAACCAAAACAAGATGGGCGATTGAGCCGGCAGCATAATCTAGGCTCTAGAGAAAATGAATTAGTACAAATAACAGCCCGAGACTTAGATGAGCTCCTTACCAGATCTGATACATATCATTGTGATATATATAGTAAATTGTAGGAGAGGCCAAAACGCTAATAAAGGGGAGTAGAGCGTCTAGACTACAATCAGCTAGCTCGGACTCATTGAACCAATAAACTCCCGGGAACACTGCTAGCTAGACCCACTAATCAGCAGTTATAAAGTTAAGCAGCGTTTGCTTTTTAGATAACGTCAGGGAGGAAGCCTGTTGTTTATAGAAGCGGCATATCACGTCAATTATCTTGTCATTGTTTCCCTTTAGCATCAATCGTTACCGAACCGAACAAGAACCCTTAAGCGCTGACTCGGAAGGCTTATTCGCCGATCCTGCTGAATGCCCCGACAAAGGGGGATGCTACTTTGTTAAAGAGGGCTTGACCTACAATGAGCAAATCAAATATTCTCCTTCCGAGATCAGCAAGTTAAACATGATGAATCTTGATCATCATTTGGAGCACATCGCCGGCCCAAATTGCGGACAAATTTACGCATACAATGGACACCGCATTTCAGTCGAGGATATGAAGGGTTGCAAGACATTCCAGTGTCTGATGTACAAATCACAAGATTGGCAATAACAATCTGACGATCAAGATTTTGAAGTAAAGGGCAACTACTTTCTGACTGGCTTGGGCGACGACATGAACAACAGGAACACCAATTGGCCAACGGTGTTTCCTGCTCGACATGGCATGAATTCTCTTCAAGTTGATTTCAACGACGACAATGGAATTAACGCGGACCAATACGGCGTGCCTTTACATCCGACCTGCCTCGAGATCTTCAAGCGCGCTTCTCTGCACCGGTATGGTGTCGTGGATATGAAAGGTCTGACGCTGTGGTGGACGCGTGAACATAGTTCTGGTGTCATCCATAGTTTTCCCCGAGAGCAGGCTGTCAAAGCAGCTCTCAAGGAGGGGTGATGGCATCATAGCTTGGGAATGAATATCTTGCTGCAACTCCATGTTTTATACCCGGCTTCCATTCGCTGCTCCAATCATGCTAAGATTTGGATAGCTCAAGCTCTGAGCTGACAATTTCAACAGCCATTTCAACAGAAGAATTGAATAGCAATCCGTTCTCGAAACTGTCCACGGAGATAGTGCATCATGTACTACTCCACTTCTACCTCAAGGATTTAGTTAACCTGAGAGTCACCTCCCCGTTGTTTTTACAGTTGCCGAACTTTGTTCTGTACGAGCTGACAATTCGTCACACCCCATGGATATACGAGGCGTGGTCTTCACTGTCTCTGTCCTTTTGGGCAACTAAAACAGAGCATGAGTTGGAAGAGAAATGGGATAACACAAGCAATTTCGAAAGAGGTACCCACCCTGCGATGCCTATCAATCAGCTCGACCGGACAGGAACGAACTGGCTACATTTGCATGCAGAAATGTATCGGAACCGGGACAAGCTACTTGGGCTACGGAATCGGCGTAGGATCTGGAATGATTGTGAAGAAATCCTGAATCGGGTGGAGAAACTCCGGGCTGATGGGTCACACCAAAGAAATGCGTGATGCTGATTGATAAACTTCTCATATTATGCAATCCGACAACCATATCACAGAAGGAGATTATGTTGAGTGGACCTTAATATGTGGCTTTAGGAGGATACAGAAAGCTTGACATGGGTCCTTGATAGATAGCGGTTTTGCTAACCAACGATGGTAGCCCTTTATCGAATTTACAATTCAGTCTATGCTCCACACAGGACAAGCAATACTTTCATTGAGCCATGATGATATACATGTTGCTAGAAAGCTGATGAAATGACGACGTTGATATATACTGAATAATAAATTGACGAAAATGAATGACAGGAAATGCAGTAAAAAGAACGACACTAAACAGCGAAACCCGGGTTCCCTCACATTTAATACCAACCGAGATGAACGTTTTTCATTGAAGAAATTCGCAAATCCAGCATTCCAGCTCAGTTAGAGGCAGCGACGCGTTGAATGAGGAACTCAGGAGCAGGTCCAGAAGCATCAGACTGATAAGCAAGATGGGGAGCAGCAACAATCAAAGAACCAGTGCAGACCAAATCGCCAATGTTGCAGAAAACCTTGGTTCGCTCACGTGGGTAGTTGGGGATGCGGCCAAGATTCTGTAAGTTCTTGGTGTACCCAAAGAGAACAGTACCAACGACCTTGTTGCGAACACTTGTGGAGAGATCCTCGATACTGGCTGCGGCCAATGCGGCACCTTGGCTATACCCTCCAGCAACAACCTTTGCGGAAGGGCACTTGCTGTTGGCCAGATTGAAAAGAGCAATCATCTCCCTAATGGCAGCTGCAGACGTTCCTCGAGGGAGGAGGTTGTCTCCAATCGTAGCATCGTAAGCTCCACCAACCTACAGTAACTAAGTAAGTACCAGACTCGGAGCTGTTTGATAATAGTACTTACACCCTGAATCCAAACCTTGTCTCTACCATAATAACTCTCTAGAGCAGAGGCAACTCGGGGACCAAGGGTACCCTGGAAGACAGTCAATTTCGGTCTTGCAATCCTATGAAATTATGACATACCAAGTTTCCAAGTTCAGTCGAGCCGCGAGCATAGATGAAGATCACGGGAGGGCATGCGGAAGAAACTCCACTGGAAAGATCATTGCGAGTGATGCTTCCAGCCTGGCGGCCTTCAAGGGCAACGAAAGAGTTGGAAGTAGGTAGGGCAGCTGATGAAGCAGCAAGGAATGAGAGAATGGCAGAGAACTTCATGATTGCTCTTAAGTTGTTGATTTGATACTGGGGATTGTTGTTGCTGCTGTTTCCTGAACGATTGAACTGCGAGAGAGGTGAAGAACAATTCCATTTGAAGGAGCGAACAGCACTATTTATCATAATATCGTACACTGCTTACTCTTGGCTCTTCTCCTCTTCATTCAACGGTCTCTCTACTATTCCTCGATCATTCTGACCGTCTTCTCATTCAATCTCGTTGACCTCAATTCCCCGGAATTTCTCCAAACCTCGGCAGTGTTCATGGAAGAGGGGGAAAAGCACACACAAAGAGCAAGGTCGACTTATAACAAGTTATCATAAGACCAAAACCCCGCACTTTCAGAACACCATCACTTCGTCTTTTATCAAATCATGTCGAAGTAATTGTCTCTAGAACTATTACATGAGAGAGTTAGTCTACCGGAGCTCGTTACTTTGTATCGTTTTGGGAAATAGTTACTATTGTCTGCGACCCTACCCTTTGAACTTAAGTTATATACCGGAACATATCCGAAAACTAACCTGAACTAAGCTGTCTCTGCTTTCATGTCAATGGGTAGAAAAGATTTGAAGGTGGTGTAAGTGTCTTACATGGTAAGCTTCTGTCGAATTCCTACGTTGCGCTAGTGAAATTAGAGCCGTAAGCTTGAGTATTTGGAGAGACACTAAGCCAATCTTAGCTTATCTTGCGAATGGCATGGAAGCCAAGGTGACAATGGAGCCTCGGCATTTTTGTTCACACTTCAGTGATGAGTATATCGAAGTGTCCGTTACAAGAAGTCCAGCAAACTTGCGATCGGCGACTCACGAAACAGAGGCCAATCCACAATTAACCACCTGAATAATACATCTTGCGGATGCGGAAATAAGATTTTGAACCAATTGGGGACATTCTTCAAGACAACCTGGAAGCGTGTGTGCCTAACATAGATCAGACCTCGTTGAAGATATTAGTTAAGACCCTTGATATGGGAGTCATCAATTTTGCCAAGGTTGGCTAAGTTGGAATTGCTTTGCATTTTCGCAAGCCTTTCCAAACTCAACAGGCTGGCGTCTCGGGGGTCAATCGCCATAGATAGGTTATTTCCTCCTATCTTGTCAGGTGTCTGGCTAAAGTCTTGCCAGCACTGACTGGCCGGGATCCGAGTTGGGTTATCTTAGTAGATATTCAGCCTACTTGACCCGCTAAGTTATCATAATTCAGATCATTCCAACCCGGTTTTATAAGGTGGTTGGTTACAGTCAGATCAACAAAGTCCAGGTCTTCAGTCGTTTTTAGGCTTTCCCAACTTTCAACCCTGAGACACTCACGTCCCGTAGAGTTTATTTTACCGTTCCATCCCGCCCAGCAACAACTCTCCGATACGGCAATGCTATAGTGAGGCACTAAGACCTGATGTGCCGAGGTCTGGGAATGGAGGCGTGACAGCCCTTGTCAAATCTGGGGTAACGTCAACCTTCCTTCCATTCCCAGCTAGTGCAACGCGATTGATTGTCCACCCTGTCGGTGTCTCAAACAACTGCAACTAAACAAACGTGGTCGTCATTAGTATTTCTGCCAGAATGGTGCAATGCTGAACCTATTAAAGCACTCCGTTTTTGTTTACAAGAATTATAATTAACGAAAAACCAAGATGTTCCATGTTTACTATGTCAGATGATGAAGAGGAGAATAACAACCGACTTATTTTAGTAAGTGGCAACGATGTGTGATGGTCTAGAGATGATGTACTGTGTCTACTTATAGTAAGCAACCTGTAGTAAGTATCAATGATAGTAAGGCCAGAAGTATCAGCCTTTACCACCACATGTCCAGGGTTCTCGGTCACAGCCCAATATTGATGGATGGTGAGGTGCTGAAGTACTGCGTTGTTCACTGTTCTACCGAGCTAGCATCGGAAGATGAACAATATGAGTTAGCTTAACAACAAGCTTGAACAGCCATCACTTGAAAAAAATCGGTAATTGCGTATTGGGAACTTTACAAGTTCCTTTACTTAATAGTGACTATTGATTTTTCATTTCCTCTGGTGTAGCTGACAGTGTAAAGTGGGTTTCAAATCAAACCATTATTGCTATATCGGCCAACACTACCATTGACTTAGCTTGGCGAAGAAGTTCTAGACTTGTACCTACAGTAAACCCTACCTAAATAGCCCGCTGAGACTGTTAATACTTACCAATAGTAACCTTTTGGACCCTGGAACTGAGAAGAAAAGTCCGATTGTCGACCACGAACTAGTTATTCTACTTCAGGCTGGATAGATAGCTGCTTGGCGAGAATAAGGGGTCAACTACATAACAACTCCATATTTTCCCAGTTTCTGTTCCTCGATTCTGTCGCCATCAGCGAGACCTCAAGCGCTACCCTTCCTCAATCTAGTACATTAACCCAGGAGGAAGGGACCGTCGTCACCAACGCTCTTCCAGGTGGCGGATTCAGCGCACCTGACCTGAATAACCCTCCTACATTCCTTCAAAACTTTCAAGGGACTGGCGATGTCAAGTTTCATCAGGGTGGATGTCACAAGGAGGATGGCATCTCGGATGATGGTTGTGCTTCTTTGACAGCATCTGGAAACCCAGCCGGCAAGCGTGACCTCGGCTCCATGGCTAGTATCTTCCAGATGCTCAACTCTCTAAGCACCGGTGCAAGGAGTCGATATACGGTCCAGTTCTACTACTTTGTCGCTTCTGGTCGTAGCCAGGCCTGTACCGTCAGTGCTTCACTGGGAAACACACAGTTCTACTCCAGCTCGCTTTCCAGCTCTGGTGGTGCAAGTGTCTTGTGGAACTATGTTCTTACCACTGTCGTTGCCGACTCTGCTTCTGCCGTCTTCTCCATTTCCATGTCTTGCACTGGCAATGGAACTTCTATGATCCTCGTCGACTCGATCTTTATCTCGAACCAAGTTACTCCCCAAACCATTGGTGATGTCAAGCTTGATTTTGGGACACCTGCAGTTGATCCTGTCAACACATCTAAAGCACCTGTCACCACTGATAGACCACGCACCGCGAGCCTCCTTTCTACCGCCGCCACAGAATCCCTCGATACTGTTACCGAGGAGCCAATCCATCCGTCCAGCGAAGTCTTCTCCACCGACATTGATCAGACCACTGAACCAGGTGTTAAATTACCTACAGAGACAGCTGGAAACCCCAATCAGCCAACTGACGGGTCCCATAACACAGACACTGAGTTCACATCGCATAGTCAACTTCCCTCTCATCATTCCCAAGCCCAATACGGTCGTGACTCAATCCCAGAATGAGGAGGTCACTCCCACACCTGGCACTCCAGCTAATACCCCTGTCATTCTAGTTACTCCTGCCGGCCCCGGCACTTCTGTCACTCCTGTCACTTCCGGTACTCCTGGTACTCCTGCCCCCACGAGGGACGCTGCTTCTCCCTCAGAGACCTCATGTTTGCCTATGTGTATTCCAAAAAGAGATGCGTTCGAGCGCGACTGGGCTTGCGATGTTCTTGGTATCTACAGTGGCCCAACTTACACCGTCCCTTGAGACTCTCCACCCCGAGATGTTCACCAGTGACAACTGTGCTGAAATCTGCCAGTATATACCAGATTGCAATTCATCTGCTCTGGTCAATGGAGAGTGCCGTTTCACCGATGTATTGATTCGCAGGTCTGAGATTCAGACTCTGGACAGCACAGCACCCAACCAGGGTTTCTGGAACGAACAGAGATGTTTCCGGTGCAACGACTGTTCCCTGCCACCACTCTTTAATCCACCAACAATTACCCATTCTCAAGCGGAAGTCTCTTCTACCACTGCGCCCGAAGAGACCAGGACGAGAAGCACAGAGGCCACTCCCACGGAGACGAGAAACATTGTCTGTGGCTATGTCGGTCAATACACTGGTAGTGGTGGTCCTTATGAGGCTAACCACACGGCCTTCCCTAAGCAAAGCAGTCTCAAGGATTGTAGACAGGCTTGCGACGGCATTTGCGACTGTAAGGCTGTTGCGTTTGTCACTTGGAACAAGTACCAAAGCTCAGGTTACTGTCTCTTCGGTGACAACCGCATCACGTGGGACACTCTGGTGACCGATGAGCAAGCTACTTACAAGACTGTTTGGGCAGATCCGGAATGTGACTTCGATCTGATCTCTGTTTCTGAGCTGTCATTCCCTACAACGACCATGACACCTGTCGACTCTCAACCTACGACACTGGCTACACGGACCTCCCAACAGCCGGAGACCACGACGACACCTGCTGAAGTATGTATTTTCAACCGTGGTCAATCATGTACAATGGCCCCAGGGAAGCTAGAGGCCGGCACCCAGTGGAAGGAAAGTCGTGAAGACTACCATTATCAGGACACCCTGGAGCAGTGTGCTGCCATTTGTCAAGCTATGAAGAATTGTGAATCTGCCGGATACTGGCAGACTGAAAACCGTTATCTCTTTACTGCCAAGAAGATCACCGAGTCTTATTTCACCATCAACAACGATCGCAGCTTCGAACACGTTACATGGACACATAAATCCTGCTGTGCATGCCCATCCTGCCAAGCAACCCCCGCGCCTATCACTCGTGATATAACCTGTTCCTATGAACAAGGCGACGTTTGTCAACGCGTGACATCGAACAAGGACGGTGCTCTGTGCAATTACCAAGGCTTCTGGGAAATGGCGTGGATGGAGTCTCTGGAGAGGTATCCTGACCAGAGCTCACCTGCCAAGTGTGCGGCTATCTGCCGTACGAGGGAAGATTGCAGGGGATCTGGATACAAGGATAGTAGATGTATGTTTTCACCTTTTGTCCTCGAATCCCAAAAGTTTAGAGCTTGGCCGGATCATTCGAGAGATGGAGTTTGGGATGACATCTCTTGCTTCCAGTGCCCACACTGTGCTTAACCAGATGGCAATAAAATGCTTTGTGACATAGACGATAGACTATAACATAAATTTTCGCCGCATATATTAGATGAACATATCTGGATCTGATCGTATTCTCTCGGTATTCCTTCTCTAAGAGTATCATAATGTATTTACTGATATGCTGCAAGTCGAAGCTTTAGGCAACAGCTGTAGTTCTAGGTGTACATGTATATGATCAGAATAATCCAGATTTATCATAATCTGACCCTGTTTGGTCTATTATACTCAGCCATTCCGAACGGATAATACGCAAGAGGGAACTCGTCAAATATGATTGTCGCTTTTCTAATTTAGATCACAATACCATTTCAGTTTCGTCCCGACTTGCTATGACGAAATGCTGACGCGAGGTTTCGACCTTGTCAAAAAGCCTTGCACGTATCAGCACTAGCAGCATTTTTTTTTAGCAACTCTGCAATCTCTTCCTAATCACCAGGCTACTAAAATGCATCCACTGATTTTCGGGTCTGAAATTGATGGGTGGCACTAAAGGTTCCTCAGTTAAACGGCTTGCTCGGTTGCTAGCGCTGATCATATTTGCCTTCAAGCAACACTAGTTAGCAGTGCCCTTCTCAGAGCCGTTTTAACCGCTGACCCGTGCTACTGTCTGCCTGTCGATTAGAACTTTTGTACAAAGGACCCTAAAGACCATTTTAATTACTTGGATTACCAATCAACAAATTGTACTACTCACCCAACTCTATGCTCTCATGCATCGTCTTATAGCTCTCTTCTGATTTGAGCCATGTTCTAAGTATCGACATCGGATATCAGAAAGACTGTTGACGGTGCGTAGTAGTCAAGGATTCAAGCACACCCTCATTCACAAAATGAACCAAATGTTGGAAGAGGGATGCTCTATGAACGTGTCACCTTCAACATGACTGGTTCACCGCCGTTTATCAGGCTCAACTCAGTTCCATCCTCCGCTAAACGCTAGCCCATCTTCATCACCCGGCCTGTTTCTAGTCCGACCTAGCATTAACTCAGCCACTGGTAGGGCTGAAGTGAACCCTGTGGACATCTACTGTACTGGTCGTGAGTTGGTTGTAAGCCAATGTTCGCTGATCATTGCTGCGCCTGGCCATTTAGTCCGTTAATTGACCTATCAGTGTGAGAGTCTTGTCAGCGAGTTCCGAAACCGAAGCGAAGTTAACGAAAGTCTTGTCCGACATCCGACACTAACAAGGGGTCGAATCCTTTTGTCTGACCTGCATGGATCCTGCTCAGCCATGATACGAAAACCAACATTTGGGTTGTGATGTCAGGTTTAGTCGAACATGAGGTTATAAAGGCCGATATGTTTCCTTTGAATAAAAACACTATTCTCATCACCATTGATCCCCACAACAACATCACTATGGCTACTATGAATGACGACGCTAACAAGATACCTCAAAAGACCCGTGAGGTCAACAACCATCACATGGACTCTACAGTCTGGAACGATGTAAAGCTCAGATCAGACGATATCATCATCGCAACCTACTCCAAATCAGGAACAACAGTATGATATCCATCATCGCCTCGAAAGTCTATTATAGCAACTAATCACTAAATCCAGTGGGTGCAACAAATCGTATCTCAGCTCATTCATCAAGGTGATCCAACTGTTGCAGCAGGCGCTTTATCTCCATGGGTCGATATACGCATTGTTCCCAGAGAGGTCATGCTTGACATGGTTGAGGCGCAGACACACAGGCGGTTTATGAAGACACACTTGCCCGTTGATAGTCTCGTGTGGGACCCTAAAGTCAAGTACATCTTCATCGCCCGTGATGGCCGTGACATGATCTGGAGTCTTCACCATCACTTCTACGCTGCAACCCCCACCTTTTACAGCTTTTTCGAAAACACTGGGGTGACTCCCTTCCAACGTCCTAGCGAGAACCCGCGAGACATGCTGATTGATCTTATTGAAGACGATACCCGTCCAACAATCTGCTGGCCTTTCTGGAGCCACATTCGAGGATGGTGGGAGCGCCGTGATCAGTCTAACCTCATGCTGGTTCACTTCAATGACCTCAAAAAAGACCTTGACGGCGAGGTTCGCAAGATTGCCAAGTTTCTCGAAACTCCGGATATGCCCGAGGACAAGTTCAAAGATGTTGTTGAGCACAGTACTTTTGACTGGATGAAGGAACATGCAGAACTGGCTGCGCCACCTCAGGCTGCGGTAGCATGGGAGAATGGCGCTAAGGATTTTGTGCACAAAGGCTCTAATGGACGATGGAAGGATGTATTGTCTGAGGAGGACAACAAGAGATACTTGGACAAGGCAAAGGAGGAACTTGGAGAAGAGTGCGCGAACTGGTTACAGAATGGTGGCTCTTTCAATTGAGTGCAAAGTAAATCGAGACCGTAAGGTCAGGATTCCTTTGACGTGAAGAATAAATATATTGTTCATACATAAAAACGTTATACACAGCTATCGTTATTGACTGTACACAACGTTGTTCTTCAACCCACGATCCCTTGTCCCACCAACCAGTCTGTCACCTGCTAGAATAATAGTAGTACAGTGTCACATAAGTAGCGGTTTATCATCCATAGTTGGCCTTCAGGACGCCATCCTCTCAGCACGACCTTGCAAAACCTTTACCAGATCAATCCCAGCCTTCGTGGCATCATCCAAACCCTCTTCCGGCAAACCAAGTAAGCCATTCTGTGCCTTTGCTGACAGATCACTGGGGTCCTTAGGGAAGAAAGCCCTCGCATAAAGAAGCTTACTAAACCCAACCATATTGCCGCCCTTTACTAGGCTCATGCCCTCTTCGTATCGCTTTTTGGTTGATTCGTAAGTGATGGTCCAGTCAACATCGGAAGTACCAGTGACTCGCTTGACACTTTCGAACACATCCTTTTGACTGATAACAAAGCTCTTGATATTGACAGGCTTGTTCAGGAAGCTTGAAAGTGTAAGGCTATCATCGTCTTCGTTGATAGGAAGCACCTTCAGACTGAGAACCTTTGCCACGGCCCTGCCAACCTGCGACAAAGTGGAAGTAGAGTTTTTGGTTTCCCCATCGTCGTAAAACGTGACTGAACGATTATCTAAATCAAAGCCAAAACGTTGCTCCCCACCAGCAAGACTGTAGTCATACCAGAAGCCGCAACAAATAGTGACCCATTGCAAGCCTAGCTTTTCGATCTCATCCCTGTTTGCCCTGGCAGCAGGCCCAAGCAGGATGTCCTCTCCAAGTTTAACCTGTTCGATGTCTCCCATGAAGCCATTGGGCATTATGTACGGTACACCGGCCTTAGAAGCTGCTTGAACAAGTTTTCTATGGGTGTCTCGAGGTGCTGTGGGTGCCATGGTAATAATGAGGAATTGCTGATCTTTGAGGGCAGTTATAATGCTGGATTCATCGTCATAGTTGATGTATGCGGGAATAACGCCGTTGGAGAGTCTATTGGTACTATCCTCGCGGGTGAGTGCTGTGACAGTGTGTTTTCCCGTCTGGAGGAGGGCAGCTGTGATATATGCTCCAATAGTGCCGGCCGCCTGGATTGATGGGTTAGTTCCTTAGTCCAAGTAAACGAATTTGTAACTCCTTGTATTTAATTTAACTCACTCCAACGATAGCAACTCTCTCAATCGCATTATTGAAGCCGTTGGGTTGGTCTTTTGCGTAGCGAGACATTTTGTTTTGACTCGTGGAATTGTGGCTTGGGGAGAAATGGGCTTTCAAAAGTGCTTGTTCTTCGTGCTATATGATTCCAAGCTTGAATCAACTTGCGGAATTCCTCTTATATACTTGACTTCTTACAAGACTGGTGTTGATAGTCTCGGCTTATTCGAATGGAGCCAGGGACAAAAGGCCGAACTATGATGCGCCGCTCCACATCACAACTCCATATTTGACTAACATGGGGCTCAATTCACCGAAGGATGACAGACTGTCGGATATAGGATATAACATCTGGCCGCTGATTCATCCACAGTGGCATCGAGGAACAGCTATCGAAGATGTATTACAAATCTTAATCTATAATAAGAAAAGCGAAAGTAAAAGACCGAGACCTATGGCAATCTCAGCTCACTGTACGTTCTACCTAATTACCCACACAGATAACGATAGAGTTGGTCTGCACCTTCAATTGATCCATTTTTTCTTTATTTGTGTAACATTTCGAAATAAGAACAAAGACATTCGGCATCTTGGGGAGTTGCCCAAGTTGTCCCTTGCAAATCCTCAATGACGGTCCCCGTGAACAATTGCTTCAATATGCATTGCATAATGTTATATCGTGGCTTCTGTTTTAAATGATGAACCACAGGTGTATTGTTGTGGCTTATTATTAAATTGCATCAAGGTGCACTCGTGACAACCCGCACTCCAAGATACTGACCAGAAGCAATGGCCGGTTATCTTCTTCAACGCCATGAACCCGCAGGACAGCAAATTTGCCTCGCAGTCTGTGGTTCTCGATTTTCTAGGCTTTATAATTATGTTACATACCACTACTAGCTTAATCTGCTTAAGTTTATCACCTGTGATATTTTATTAGAAGTCGAAATGATTAAATCTGGATGTCAATTGAGCCTGTATCTCAACACTCCAACCATCTCACAGTCAGATGCCAGGTACAGATGAGATGATTCCTTTGTTAGTACTAGGTGGGTGGATCAAAGGAACCTTGCCGGTATCCTATGAGTAAAACTGGTAATTTTTATCAAGGGGCTCGATCAGCCACTGCAGCCAATACAACAGGCCTCTATGTTCTGTTGTTCGATATAATAAACATGCAAGTATTTCGGTATTTCTTTATTGCCTAAGCTTTTCCATTGACGTACCGTTACTGTTCTAGTAGAAACATAGCACTGTCCTTTGTTTTCATGGTTTGTGCCAGCGCACGCACGAGCTTTGATGTTTAACCCAGGATTGAGAACAACGAACAACCTCCTGTACTCCAGAAACACAGATCATGTCCATAAAATCACTACGATTGAGATATCCAACTTGTTCAGAATTTCCAGAGTATAAATACCTCAAAACTCCCCCCTTCAAAATCCAATTCTCTTTCCTCATTAAAAACCTTCTGACTACAAGTCAACAAACTACCAAGATCACAACAACTACTCTCGCAACTCAACGACTCTCAACCTCATTAACAACCTAACTTTCCTACTCACAACCCACAAGAAATCAGACAAAATGTCTCTCTTCATTTCTACCGCTTACGCCGTTGACTGCGAAGTCATCGACATCGGAGGCAGCACCATGAACCTCACTTTCGTTGACGACCAACTCCCCAAGGCCTTTACAGGTAAGGGCGATTTCCCCAAGGAAGTTGCTTACACCACTGGTATGGATAAGTGGAACGCCATTGCTGACAAGTCTTACCAGACTACCGACGAGATGTCCATAATCGAGGCCACCGCTGCCAAGGTGGTCAGTGAGCTCAAGGCTGGAACTCACATCATCGACCTCGGTGCCGCCAACAGCAAGAAGTTCGAGCCCTATGTCCGAGAATTCATTGCTCAAGGCAAGGAATGCGTCTACGTCGCTCTCGACCTTTCTCGTGAGTCTCTAGTTGAGCACATCGCCAAGGCCAAAGCCACCTTCCCTGGTGTCAAGTGCATTGGGCTCTGGGGCAGCTTCGAGCAGGGCGATGTCTACTTCAAGCAGACTCGCCCTGTCGCTCGCCTCTTCCTCTCTCTTGGTAGCATTTTCTATAATGCTCCCGATGGTATGGCTAAGGATCGCTGCATCGAGTTCAAGGGCCATCTCACTGCCAATGATCGTCTGATCGTTGGACAGGATGGTCCAACCGGTGCTGAAGCCAGCAACACCCATGCTGCCTACCAGACTGAAGAATACGATGCTTTCTTCACCAACTACCTTCAGGGTCTCCAGGGCCATGCTGGTATCAAAGGGGCTAACCCCAAACTTGCTTGGACAGTCGAGAGTAAGATGTCCAAGGCCATGCACTACTTCGATGTTACCGCCATCCAGAACATGTTCTGCGAGGAGTTTAACATCAAGATTTCGGCTGGCACTGTCTACCAGATGTTCAAATCTTGGAAGCGCTGCGAGGCTGAGATCCATGAGCTGACCAACGCGGTCGGTCTCAAGATCGAGACTCTTGGCAAGGCCGAGAACTCTGGCATGCGCCAGTACATCATCAAGGCTTAAGCCGGTGGTGGTAAGGTGACACAATAGTCACAGTCACCTTTTCTTTTGTATTTTCCTTTGTATTGGATTTTGGAGTTTGGGAAAACGAGTCTGAGCCTGCTGCTAACAGACGGTTCTGACGCTGGCCGTTGGAAAAATGATCATTTACACGGAGTAACTAGATTGATTATTGCATTGCGAATAAAATGGTTTACCTCTACATGAATATCCAGAGTAACATACGTGACATGAGAACTAAAATGACTCTTCAGGGGTTCTAACTGATACTGCGACTTTTGTACACTACTAACAGAGATGACAAATTAGATTCATCGCCAGAGGATTTCTACAAGCTTACAATAGCAAATCGTGTGTCTTGCTTGATAGCAAAGTCTCCTGCAAAAATGGAGTCAGAGACAACAAGGGCAAAAAACATACAACAGCGGGGATTCGCTGGTCGTCACCGACCCAACTACTAATCCGCCGGTTAGTGGCTTGACTATGGGAGAGCGGACGGGATCCCGTATTTTCCACTACCTATGGTCGTATGTGCTTGTACCTGCATCTAGGCCTGTCTATATTCTACACCTTTCATGTAAATACCATGAACATCAGCAAAGATGTCACCTAAAATTCACCTTGTACGCTGATAATTGGTTGGCTTTTTAGTCTTTAGATGGGGTCGATTCCACTGAGCTTCTATGCTGCCAAGCATCTAAGCGGAAAACACCAGAGTCACATGGCAAACACGAGTCATCATGCTTGAACAAGGAAAAAGGAAACACATTTAAGGTTGGGCAAAATCCCTGATCCTTACAGATACCAAAGGTACAGAGAAAGGGTCTTTGAAAACAACAACCTTGATTCTTGATTCTACTTACCCCGCACTCGTCCAGGGTCCAAGTCTGTGCATTGCTGCTCTTTGGGGTTGCGGACACGGTTCCGCAACTCAAGAGGAAATGATCGACGCTTTACTGAACAAGGTTGGCTTTTACGATGTGTGATGCGGGGTTTATAACTAGAGGCCTGTGCCGATATCAAGGACAGAACAAAGAAGTAAATGCTCAATGGCCCATGGCCCATGCCGATGGTCTCTATGCCTGCCGGCACATGCACAAGGCTGCAGTAGCTGAAAGGTGACAGTGTCTGTTCGCAGTCACATGTCTACCTGTGGTTCGTTGGGTAGCAATGAAGTCGTGTAGCATACATACGTAGGTCGAACCTTGATCTAAGAGTTGCATAGTTAGCTTGTATATATACACCGCTTCACTCTTTATAATACCTCATGAACCCAAACATTGTATTGACTGGGCAAACTCACTTCCAGCAATCATGCCTCTCGACGCCCAAGCTACATCCAAGATCAAGTCTATTATAGACAATGCTTGTGCTGATCAGACAACGAACATTCCCGGCACAACAATTGTAGTTGTCGATCGCGATGGCGAAATATTCGCTCACTCGACAGGCACACGGGGCTTAGGCACCAAAGAGCCTATGACTCTTGACAATATCTTCTGGATCGCTTCTTGTACAAAGATGTTGGCAGGCATTGCTTGCATGCAGCTTGTAGAACAAGGAAAGCTAAAGCTCGACGACGGTGAACACACTGAGAATATCTTACCGGAGCTAAAAAGCCTCAAAGTTCTGAAACCTGACAGAACCTTTGAAGAGAAGAAGAATTTGATCACGTTGCGAATGCTTTTGACTCACACTGCTGGTTTTGGCTACACATTCTTCAATGAACGACTTCGAGATTGGACTCACCCAGCTGGCGTAGATGAGTTTTCCGGAAGGATCGAGGATATAATCTCGCTTCCTCTCCTCTTTCAACCCGGCGAAGGTTGGGAATATGGAGTAAGTCATCGTTGTTTTCAGCAAAGAGCCTGCTAACATATACAGACGGGCATCGATTGGGCCGGCATGGCTGTCGAACGTGTTAGTGGGCTAAGTCTGAACAACTACCTACAGAAACATGTTTTCCAGCCGTTGGGCATTACGAACATGTCCATGTTCCCCGACGAGTCGATGCGTTCTAAGCTAGCTTATATGCATCAAAGAGATCCAGACGGAAAACTTCGCATTCGGGATCATTTGCAGCGCCTTCCTCTGGTCATTGATCCAAACAATGAATCTGAAGTGTCTTCCATCTTTAACAGTGGAGGTGCTGGCATGTTTGCACAACCGCAGCAGTATGGAAGTACGTAAAAACATCAACACTAGAGTAACCGCCGCTAACTTGAACAGAGGTACTCACAATGCTTCTCAACGGTGGAGCATGCCCAAAGACAGGCAATCGAGTTTTGAAACAAGAAACAATCGAGCTCATGTTCAGCAACAGCGTTGAGAAATTCCCCAACTTTTCTCGTCAAGTTATTCCTGCTGCAAAGCCCGATCTTACCAACCGTATTGAAGAGCTGTACGAGGTCGAAGGCGATCCTCCTCAGGTATGACCATTGCTTTTTCCTCTAGTAAACAATTCTGACTGTTGAATAGGGCTGGGGATTGACTTTTATGCTTACAAATGGCGGTCCAACTGGAAGGTCGAAGAGCACCGTCCAGTGGGCAGGACTTGCGAATCTTTGGTGGTGGGCAGATCGTGAGCACGGTGTTGCTGGGATCGTGTGTACCCAAATTCTACCATTCGCTGATAGCAAAGTGTTGGATCTTTGGACGGACGTTGAGACTGAGATTTATAAGTCAATCTTGTAGTTACGCTATGATACTATTTAGTAGGTTTAGATTAGACGGATTAATCCAATTACAACAATTGAACTACATATACCTAATCACGCAGAACACTATGGCTGTTGACTCCAAAGTAAGGCTAACGAAACAAAAAAAACCACGAGAGTTTCTGCCCAATGTCTTCACAAATCCACACATCAACTAAACTAAAACAGCAAAGAACGCGGGGAAACCTGAGTTCTCAAGCCCCAACTTCGTCTAACCAGGTGAAATCCGGGGATCCGGAACTAGTTGGCTCTATGTGGGGGTAACGTAGAACTGGGGTAGAATTCAGAACCTGATAACTGGCAGGATCGCCCACTCTTTTTCTTCCCTCGTCCGTATCTTGTCCTCCTACAACTTCCATCTTTTCTACTAACTTGTAGTGAGGTACTATCAGCGGATCAACAGAATGAAGAGACAACAGTATGCCTGCGATCAATGCAGAAAGTCCAAGCGAGGTTGCGATGCCCCGCCTCTGGAATATCCAGAAGATATGGATCCTCTACGCGACGGCAAGTTGATCGTTGGAGAGAAGCGTCAGTGCCAGCTGTTCCTATACTCAAATTATGGACTAACACTCTGTTCAGCACCGCTAGTTCAATCATCGCCCTGTTCTTATTGTACCAAAACTCACAAAAAGTGCACCATGAACTGGGCATGGACTCAACTCCAGGTGTCCTATGCTTTGGCCGCTGCTGCAGGAGGAGAGTCCAGCATAGAATGCATCATCCCTTCAAGGCGAAAGTCCTCAGGGGCCAGTCGATCGCCCACAACGTCGAGCGTCGGCGCTGAGTCAACTGCAGCATCATACGTGTCTCAATCACTTCCACCAGTCTTCGACTTCTCGGATGTACATAACGGATCACAAGAGTTCAATGTGCCCTCGTTCTTGAATAACCCACTCGACTCTTTACCCTTTGACTTTGGAGACCCGAACAACAATCCTCTAGACGCCAACTTCTGCGAAGTCAACATCAATGACCTCAACATACCGTCAGATAGTTTATCGGAGCCATTCGATATCTTCAAAGAGACAGCAGATACTGCCGTACCTGATCAGATCGACGTCTTTCCACTCACACACCTTCCTGAGGTCAACATAAGCGAACCTGAACAATCTTTCTTTTCACCATACAATCCCAGTGGTTCAGTAGATTACGACGACAGTAACATACGAACAAAGCGTCGACGAGTATCCCAAGCCGGAAGCGATACCCAGAACAGTTCCCACAGTTCTCTATCGTCCTTCTCACTTGATCAGTCCATGATGGCCCGATCCAACAACCAGCTCATCTCATCAAATCTCCTGCATATCTATCACGACGTTCTGGAGCACAACCTAACATGCTGGCTTAACGAAATTACGTGCCCCTTTGGGCGTTCGAAAGGCCCAAGCATGCCCAGATCTTCAGCAGAATGGGGCTCTTCATGGTCAAATAGAGTGCTTCGTCGAACGTTGAGTGTCGATCGTGGAGCTCAGTCTGCACAACTCATACACATATCCAAACATCAACAAGCAGCAGTTTCTAAAGCCTACCACTTAGCCATCATGGCATTTGCCACACAGTGGGCTCAAGAGTCGCGTCGTCAGAAAGAACGGTACGCCTCCCTAGCAGACACCAACGAGAACCCGCTGAATGAGTACATGGATGATGTAAATGAAGAGTTTGGTCGTCATCTTCAGCGAAATCTTTGGGATCAAGCTCGTAGGGCTCTCGACGACGTTGCTGATGTTGAATCATTCCGAGTCGTTTCTGCAGAGATGATCTTTGGATTCACCCAGAAGCCACTCTCACAAGACGATAAGGCAAACGACTGGACCACATCTGTTCCTCTAGGTGGGAGTTTCGATGCAGACGCACTATCCGAGGAAATCGCCGATATTATCGAGAACAATGGTCCTCCAATCTATATGGAACGCGCAGCTCGAAAAATGCATGTCTTAAAATACCGCTACGATGCCGAAAGACGGGGCATAGTCAAGACGCGCAAGAACAAAAGACCAGTCACTCTGTCCCTGATGAGTACCGAAGACCAAAGCACAATCAGTCTTCTTTATTGGCTGTCTGTCATGCTCGATACGGTCAGTTCATCCATGGCGGAAAGACCGGTGGTGGTAGTAGATGCCAACAGTCAGCATGACGACGCAACAGGCGATAAGGATTGGAATGTACCGCTGTTCATTCAAGATAGCTTGGAGAAGCCTAAACTGGTGGTACATTGGCCATGTTCCTACGACGAGGCTGCCGAGGCCGTCGCGAGATCTGCGCCCGTCAAGGTTTTGATGTTCCGGCATGTCCATTATCTCCAGACTGTTTTACGACAAGGCGAGAGTCCTGAAAAGGTGGAAGAAATTATTGAACGGTCTGTGAGAGTCTATCGGTATTGGAACATGACTCAGTAAGTTGAGCCCTTTTGCCAGCTACAATCTTGTCTAACACTTGGCAGTGGAACATTCTTTAGAGAGCTCCTTGAAAACTATGACTCGATCCCAGGCCGCATCCAAAGCTGGTTTATCTGCATCTCTGCGCCCATGCATCTCGGCGTCCTCCTCCTTGCCGATCTAGTATCTCAGGTCGACAGCAACTCTCTTGGTCTTCCCGCGCAAACTCAAAGCCGCACAAATAGCAAATGGATCCTCCGTGTCCGCGAGCGCAGCGCTAAAGAGCTCTCTGATCTCGCACGCGTGACAACAACAAGTACACCACAGCCTTCGGAGTTTCACCACGCGCTCAACGAGAGTATGATATTGACTGAACCGTGGACGGTGATCCTGGAACGCGCGTTCTCAAAAGCGGCGATTTATTGGATGGGCGAGGCAAATGATTTGAGGATGTTTGAGGCGAAGAGTGACGTGGGTGAGAGGTTGGCGCAGGCGGATGAGTGTATTAGGGCGTTGTGGATTTTGGGCAAGAAGTCGGATAGCGCAAGAAGGTGCGCTGAGGTTTTATCTGGGGCAAAGAGAAAATTGATGATATAGTTGAGCTAGACATAAAGGGTCATGATATGAGATAACGAGGAGGATTACATAATTAATTAATTATTACTATTTAATTGAAGGATGGTAGTGTTTCTCAATGATCAAAGACATGGTTCATCAGTCAGTACTACTCATCTCTACTATATACTCCCTTGTAGTCTATGTATATATTGCATGAAATTTGATCTGGAGGAAATGACATCAATTCTAATCTCCCGAGGTCGCATCTACCGAGCATTCCCGTTGAACCTTCTCCATAAAGACTTCTTCTAAAATCACCAGAAAGCTTCTGGAAGATCCCTCACGTGGCTTCCCCAGATTTTTCTACGTCAGCATCATATTCGTCACTTGTAATTGGCCTCAGCCCCTAAAACGGGGCCCCGTAGATCCCTAAATTTAACTCGGTATTGTTGCCGCGGAACTTGAACAGGCAAACCGAGGTAGCCGGGGTAGGAACAAATACAAATTACCTTGCTTCCTAGACTAATTGACTTCAACTTGATCAACTGTGTTTCTTTGTTCATCTCGATAACCTGTTAAAATGGCGTTTAATCCTCCTTCTTGGGCTCCTCAGCTACCTAGTACGCGTCTTCATCCAACCCTACACTCAATCAACCAAGTATTCTAACAAAGACAGATATCCCCGATTCAATTAGTGTAGCAGACTTTATAAATACCGATAAAGCAGGCCGAAGAGCTTTTTCTGGTTCAAAAAGTCCCTATACATGCGGCGTCACCGGTCAATCGCGTTCTGCTGTTGAAGTTGCCCAGCGAGTCGACTTTCTCGCGCGGGGTTTGGCTAAAAACGTTGGATTTGATGCTCATGATGGAACAGCTTGGGAAAGAGTTGTTGCCATCTATGCTCTCAACTCTGTGAGTATATCCTCTCCAAGATTTAGTACAGGGACTAATGAGATTATCAGATTGACTACATCCCCGTTACACACGCTATTCACCGTGTAGATGGTATCGTCACACCAGCTAGTTCGGCGCATTCAGCGTCTGAGTTGGAGCACCAGCTTCGATCATCTGGGGCGAAAGCGCTATTTACATGCGCTCCTCTCCTTAGTACTGCTCTAAAAGCAGCCAAGGCAGTTGGGATTCCCGATAAGCACATCTTTCTGCTTCCCCTGCCTGATACGCCCTCAGATGGATCCTACAAGTCAATTGAAGGCCTCATTTCTGAGGGTCAGAATCTCCCAGCTTTGTCCATCCCCGCATGGGTACCAGGACAGGGCAAGAGACAGACAGCGTACCTCTGCTACTCAAGCGGCACGTCTGGTCTCCCCGTAAGTTAACGGCAATTCGTCCAGCCAGCTGCTTATCTAATGCAATATAGAAAGCGGTTATGATCTCTCACTACAACGTCATTGCATGCACCCTCATGATTCACACGTACGAGAGTGTAACGCGACAACAAGACGGCATCGATACACAAGTAGCCCTTGGGTTACTACCCTTCAGCCACATATATGGACTAGTTGTCATTGCGCACATCGCACAGTATCGAGGCGACGAGATAATCGTACTACAGCGCTTCCAGCTCGATCAGCTTCTGGCCTACATTGAGAAGTTCCGCATCGAGCAACTCAGCGTCGTGCCGCCTATCATTGTTCAGCTTCTGAGCAGTCAGGACAAGTGTCGTAAATACGATCTCAGTTCCGTCAGACTCGTCTTCTCAGGCGCTGCGCCCTTGGGAGGTGAGACGATTCAGAAGTTATTGGAGCTATATCCCAAATGGCGTATCAGCCAAGGCTACGGTATGTTACGCAGACTTACAGTGCAAGGCTAAAGCATACTAATGATAGACAGGATTGACGGAAGCATCACCCTCGGTCTTTCACACAAGCGAAGCAGATGCCCTTCTAGGATCATCAGGCTCTCTCCTACCGGGTGCAAAGGTAAAGATCATCGATCAACACGGCAACGAAGTCACAGAGCATGAAACACCAGGCGAGCTATACGTCCAAGCTCCAAACGTGGTGCTGGGTTATTTGCATAATGAGAAAGCCAATGCCGAGACATTCGTCTGGCGAGAAGACGGGCGCTGGTTGAGGACAGGCGACGAAGTACTCGTGCGAAAGTCGCCACGTGGTTTCGAGCACTTCTTTGTGGTTGATCGGATTAAGGAGCTTATTAAAGTCAAGGTTTGTTCACCACCAACATCTCGTAATGGCTCATATGTTAATTGTTCCAGGGTCATCAAGTTGCGCCAGCTGAATTGGAGGCTCATCTCCTTGACCATCCCTACGTCGCAGACAGCGCAGTAATTGGCATTGTCGACGAGCGCGCGGGAGAAGTTCCTTTGGCATTTATTGTTAAGAGTAGAGAAGCAAGCGGTATCTCTGGCGATGAAGTTGTGAAAGCTGTGCATCAGCATGTTGAGCAGCACAAGGCGAGGCACAAGTGGTTGAAGGGTGGTGTAAGAGTGTTGGACATCATTCCCAAGTCACCCAGTGGAAAGATCTTGAGACGGGTTTTGAAGGCAAAGGTTGCTGCAGAGAAACCAGTCGCGAAGCTATGATCTTGGGTAAATAATACAAGTGTTGAATAGTAATTGAAGTTCAATACAACCTGACCAAAACACGGAATGATGATCACGAATCCTCGTTCCCTAATTGGTCTATCGCCTAGAAACATGTCCAAGGTCACAATCATGTCAGCACTAACTAGATCTCTAGCTTGGAATAAGATCAAATAGACGATGAGGCACAATGACAGTCAGCACTAGCTAATCCTTCCTCTGAATAAAAGTCTGGCCATGATCTTACATTCTCCTTCCCACCAGTACGATATCAAATAGCGTTGCTCAGTGTAATGGCAATGGATTCTCATTCGGGCAGTTTCTTGGCCCAGACGTATCTGGATCTACGCAGTGGAAATCTAAGCTCTTCTTCAGCATGGACCACAGCGGCAATAGCGACTGTTATAGCGCTGTCGTTGCTAAATTATTTGCTGACACCCCGCGTCGACCCACGTGAACCACCAGTTGTAAAACCAACAATTCCATGGATCGGTCACATTCTGGGTATCATTCGTCACCAGGCAGATTATGGCCGACTCATTCAGTTCGTCCTCTTGCTCCAGTCTGTCCGTCTCTATTACTAAACACAAGTCTACAGCAATGCGTACCCCAACCACCAAATCGTGACTCTCCCCATGCTCAATGGCAAACTCTACGCCGTCTTCGATCCAAACCTTCTTCAATCACTCCTCCGCAACAAAACCGCGTCATTCGAGCCGTTCGCAATTGACTACGCCAAGAAAACATTCGACCTGACACAAGAAGAGTTCCTGAAAGTAAAAGCACCAGGCGTTTACGATGAATTCACCGACGCGATACACGCGAGCTTCCAAACTGCGAGTTTGCACCAGATGAACGTCCATTTCTTAGCCTGCATCTCAGCGAAGCTGGATCCTATGAGCAGTGGGACGATGCGCGCCCACGCAGACACACATGGCAAAGAGAAGGTCACAAATGGACAGCTACAAGTCGAGAACCTGTATCAGTGGTGTCGGGACGTCATGTCTTTGGCTACCACGAAAGCTCTCTACGGCGACACTGATCCCTTCGAACTCAATCCACAGTTGATTGAAGACATGTGGTAAGTAAAAAGCGCCTGCTAATCATCATCGTCGCTAACAAATGCTCGCACAGGTGCTTCGAAGAATCCGTCCCCTACTTCCTCCTCTCCCTGTACCCCTCGATCACGATGCCAAAAGCCTACAAAGCGCGCTCAACTCTTCAAGACGTCGTTTGCAAATGGTACTCAGAAGATCACGACGTTACCGACCCAACCGTATCAGCCATCGTCCGCAACCGCGCCGGCGCCCTCCGCAAGAACGGTCTCACGGGCTCCGAGATCGGGAAATTCGAAGTCATCTTACCCAATGTCGCAACGCTCAATGCCGTGCCTACTTTCTACTGGCTTCTACTGTACATCCTCGACCGACCCGATCTCCTCAAACGTGTGCGATCCGAAGCCGAAGCCGCAGCTGTGATAGCGCACGAGAACGGGAAGAAGACAGTGACATTCAATATTGCAGAGTATGAAGCTAAGCTTCCCCTTCTTGTCAGCTGTTACCGCGAAACGATGCGTCTCGTCAATCAGTCCGTCAGTATGCGCCGCATCTTAGAGGATACAACCATCACGACCCCCGAAGGAACTACATATCTCCTCAAAAAGGGAACAGACATGCAACTCCCAGCTGGCGTAGCCCACTATGAGCAAAGCGTCTGGGGTCCTGATGCCAACACTTTCGACCCAGAGCGCTTCCACCCATCCTCCAAGGGCAGCCCTGACGAGGAGCGAAAACGCAAAGCAGCATACATACCCTTTGGTGGTGGACGCCACCTGTGTCCCGGTCGAAACTTTGCCTTTGCAGAGATCATTGGCTTTGCATCTTCTCTGCTACTTGGCTTTGATGTCGAAGCTACGAGTATGGGCTTCGGCGATATGAAGAAGCTTGGGCCTCAGCTTGCCAGTGGAACGGTGCGTCCTGAAAAGTATGGCGCTGGTCTTGGTGCGCACATCAAGAGTAGAGAAGGTTGGGAAAACGTTGAGTGGAAGTTTACGTGCTAAGTTCAAACAAGTGATTGATAGTGGATGGTATCGTTTCCTATAAATGCTGGCCACTAATGCTAATACAATAGACCCCATTTTTTCGTTTCCTGTGCAGACAGACATCAGGAAATCCTCGTTTCTCTTTTGAAGAAACAAAAATATGCCATTTTGTGAATGTGTGGCATACTTCAAGCAAATGTCAACTACTTGCGCGTCCCCCCTTTTGCTCGTATACATAACAGTCCATGTATCGTATCATTCATGTACCCTGCCATTGCTTTCCCTCTTGGCGAAGTCCCTCATGCTGAAGAACAACCGTTGGTCCCACCTCCGTGAGTGTTTTGCTCAGTGTTCTGGGCAGGGGCAGTGTCTTGTGGTGGAGTGTTTTGATACCCCGGCTCATGCAATACCAAGTCAATGCGGTAGAGCACACGGTGGGTTGGACCATGGTACCACATCTCCTGTGGCCATTGGCGTTGCTGCGACTGGACAGTGATGTTGGTGCGATAATTAAAATCTTGTTCAACGGGCTGTTGAGACGCAGGGACGACATATGAGTCTTGATACTGAGAATGGTTTTGATTAGGCTGGGCTGGTTCTGCGCCGTTCTGGTGTTGTGTATTGTCGCTGCTCTCTTGCTGCTGGGCACTGGGCTGTTCATGCATGATTGCAGGAGGTGGGTAGGTAACAGAGGATTGATGTTTGCTTTGATGGCTTGTATTGAACATTCTATGTCGGGGAGCCTCTTCTTCAAATACTTTTTTCACGTCTGCGAGCCTCTGTCTTCTCCCGCTGACCAGATCAACTTGTGTACGCAGTACACCAGCTATGACTATTGGACGCAGACATCGGACAGAAGCAATTTATTAACCAGGAGATAAACATCCGTACTCACCGCGATCACCCACATGTCTCATCTGCATGTCGCTGCTTGGTGTCCTGGTGTCTCTGCTGCGATTCAGCATGGAGGATATCTGCTGATGTTTTGCCCAGCTGTAAGTGAAGTATCACTAAGTACCGCGGCCGGAGCTTGTATGGTATAACGGGAAGCATTGCCGTTATTCGTCAGAAGTGAGTCGGCGGTCGGTCCCTGGTCTTTGATTGGCAAGATAATCACCCCTGGGTTGTTGGTGTATTTCTCTTCTTGGCTTTGGGCATGTTTGAAACAGCGGCCTGGCATGCAAGGATGAAGCTGGCAACCACAAGTGGAAGCGTGCCTGAAGTAGGGGCGAGACACGCTGCCGGTCATCTTGGAGTCGTCAATTGATCGAAATTTAGACGTAATCCTGCCTAGCGATTTTGATGAGCCGAGCCTCGATATCGATATTCCTTCTGGCTAGAGTCACTTTTACTAACCATATATCAACTATTGATTTCCTTTTCACAGCTCCAGTCCTGAAATGTAACGGGCACTATACCCCAGATGAATTATATTTGACTCAGGCTGGTGGCCAAAATGTATTTTGCTTTTGCATGCTCTGCATCCCATGTTCATGTTCTTCTTTGAGCTCTCCGCATATCAAGATCTAATGGGCTGTTCGGAGAAACACGGATATGCAAAGATGAATCTGTCTGAGACAGCCCACAGAGAACAGATGCAAGCAACTGAATCTGGATTGTCTGGTGCCATCCTAAGCCGACGATCATCGGGAGCCATAAGCTGAGGAACGGCTGCTACTACTAGCACGCTTTATTTATCCAGGTAGCTGGAATGAGTGCCTTGACGAGTATTTGAACCCCTGATAGCCGGAAAATTCAGTGCGAAATGTCGTATTTAGAACAATGGGATTGAGGGACAATGCGATGCATCAGACCGGTTTGAAGATTATGGGGAAGACGAAAATCAGGTAGAAGGGCTTCAAGTCTGCGTGAAACATCGCCCCAACAAGTATTTAATTAATGGCTTACCACCGACGCCTCAGTGACAAGCATACTCAACGTTATGCCAATGTGCATTGCTTTGTACTACCCTGGATTGTCATTTTGTTCGCTTTTGACTCGCAATCGTGCCCGCTTTTGCCACAGAATTTGAGGTTCCATGGCGTTTCGTGTTACACGAAAGAGCAAATTATCTTACCTGCATGGCCGCCATGTCTTTGACGCGCCATCGCAAGAATGCGACAGGACAGTGTACGATAGGCAGAGCCATCTCATTAAACAGCCATCTTGGCCCTAACGAGCACACAATTTTGATATCGGGGCCGGTAAATTGTAAAATAATCCGAGAATAGATTTTCAGGCACTCATCCATCAGATAATGATGTCCAGTTGCCAAAGGTGTGATCCATGGTCGATCTCCCTCGATCCTCCCCGATGTCGTACTTGGATTACTAAAGTCAAAGTTTATTAAGTTGAGACACCAACGGACATTTAAAAAGGCCGCCGCTCCACGCGTCAAACGTCATGAGTAACTAGTGCTGGAAAGCAACGCAATCAAGTAGTCTAACACGTGGAAAGTCTATCAATAGCTGGAAATGACTTTGATATTGTTAAAACGTCTTGATCAATGCTCGGAAGATCCGGATAATGTATAGGGTAAGTAAATATCCACCACTTTAAGCTTAAAGTCTATGACGCTACAACTCCACCAAGCGCATCCTTCCATCTCTTAGTTATATCAGTCGCGGTCGAAAAGTTGTCCGAAATGCCGATTGTGGCAGACCTGGTGTCGTCATAGATATCACAAACAAAAACAGCAGTGTATTATAGTAAACAATTGCCCAGAAATGATAGGGAAAGGAGTCAGTGACTCTATAATCTGTTACAGTTGTCTGAGGAAAATAGTTCCTTGCCATGGCTGACGAGAGACCTACGCCTCGGGATGAAGATATCCCAGGCGGTTTCCCTGTGACGCCCAGTATCAACTCAATGAACCAGTTGACGCCCACTATCGACACTGCTAATAGGCTTGAGGCTGGTTTGGTAGGTCGTGATACGGAAACTTCGGCTGGTTATACGACCTATGACAATGTCACGTCTGGCCAAGAAGACAATTACCGTTACAGCGGTAACGGGACTTCAGCGGCACTTGGTGCATCTGCCGTCGGGGCTGCTACCGGGGGTTACTTGGCTTCTCAACACCCCCACGAGAACAACATCCCAGCACAACAAACTTCCGACCATGATGGCAACAATGCACCACCACCACCACTTTCTGAGCGACGCTCTTCCTCGAGCACAATCCTTGCTCCTCACGATGCGTCACCCAGCGAGAAGCGCAAGAACAGCGTAGTCGTCAACGATGATTCCTCCGCCGTCCCTTCTACTCCCAACGACCCAGTCTTCGCACCCATAAAGTCGAACACCGACGAAAAACCCGACAGACCACCCTACGAGAAGCGTCAATCCCACCGGACAGAAGATGACCTCTTTCGAGTCCTGTCCCGTCGCAAGACGAATGCAAGCACCCCGGCCGAGAAGGAAGAAGAGCGCGAAGACAATGAAGAGCTTAATCGACTCATGTCCCGTATCTTTGGACAAAAGCGACAGCAGCAGAGCGAGGAGGAAAAGACGCGCCATAGCGGTGTCATCTTCCGCGGATTGACTGTTCGCGGCGTCGGTTTGGGCTCTAGTCTTCAGCCGACCGTGGGTGACTTCTTCATGGGTCTCCCCCGAAAGCTGGCCAAGCTCTTTACCCAAGGTCCCAAAGCTGCTCTTGCGAAACCGCCTGTCCGTGACCTCATTAGCAACTTTGATGGCTGCGTGCGACCGGGCGAATTACTGCTCGTTCTTGGTCGCCCTGGCGCTGGATGCAGTACCTTCCTCAAGACCTTCTGTAACCAGCGCGCGGGCTTTGAGTCCGTCGAAGGAAATGTTACGTATGGCGGAACCGACTCCGCTGTTATGGCAAAGGACTTCCGAGGCGAGGTCATTTACAATCCCGAGGACGACCTGCATTATGCTACGCTTTCAGTGAAGCGTACACTCAAGTTCGCTCTGCAGACGCGTACGCCTGGTAAAGAGTCTCGTCTTGAGGGAGAGTCTCGAGAAGACTACGTCCGCGAATTTCTTCGTGTCGTTACCAAGCTCTTCTGGATTGAGCACACGCTTGGCACAAAAGTAGGCAATGAGTTCATCCGAGGTGTTTCTGGTGGTGAGCGAAAGCGTGTCTCCATTGCAGAGGCCATGATCACTCGTGCTTCGGTCCAAGGTTGGGACAACTCGAGTAAAGGTCTCGATGCTAGCACAGCAGTCGAATACGTCAAGTCCATCCGCGCAATGACCAACATGGCCGATACCTCCACTGCTGTATCGCTCTACCAAGCCGGTGAACAGCTCTACGACCTTGTAGACAAAGTTCTACTTATCGACCATGGTCAATGCCTGTACTTTGGTCGTTCTGAGGATGCGAAGAATTATTTCCTCAATCTCGGCTTCGATTGCCCAGAGCGCTGGACAACAGCCGACTTCCTCACTTCCGTGACGGATGATCATGAGCGCAGCATTCGTAAGGGCTGGGAGAATCGCATCCCACGCACGCCTGAGGAATTCGCCGATGCCTACCGTCGGAGCGAAGATTACCAGAAGAACCTTCGCGATATCGATGAGTTTGAGGCCGAACTACAGACACTCGCTGAGGAGCGTCGCGCGCACGAGTCGGAAAAGAGCAAGAAGAAGAATTACGAAATTGCCTTCCACAAGCAAGTCATGGCCTGCACACACCGTCAATTCCTTGTCATGTTCGGCGACAAGGCCTCTCTCTTCGGTAAATGGGGAGGACTTTTGTTCCAAGGCCTCATCGTCGGTTCGCTTTTCTTCAATCTTCCTGATACAGCTGCTGGTGCATTCCCTCGTGGTGGTGCTCTGTTCTTCCTCCTCTTATTCAACGCCCTGCTTGCCCTGGCTGAACAGACAGCTGCCTTCGAATCCAAGCCCATTCTTCTCAAGCACAAGTCCTTCTCGTTCTATCGGCCCTCTGCATTTGCCATTGCGCAGACGGTGGTGGATGTACCGCTTGTGTTTATCCAGGTCATTATCTTCAACGTGCTCATCTACTTTATGGCGAATCTGGCTCGTACAGCATCGCAGTTCTTTATCTCCTGTCTTATTCTGTGGCTTGTCACAATGGTGACGTATGCTTTCTTCCGTGCCATCTCTGCGTGGTGCGGGACTTTGGATGTCGCCACGAGATTTACTGGTGTCGCTATTCAGATCCTTGTCGTGTATACCGGTTATCTCATCCCGCCCGACTCGATGCACCCCTGGTTCGGGTGGCTGCGATGGATCAATTGGATCCAGTACGGATTTGAGTGTCTGATGGCCAACGAGTTTTACAACCTTTCGCTCAGTTGTGAAGGTCAATACCTCGTTCCGCAAGGCCCTGGTGTCCAGGCTCAGAACCAAGGCTGTGCATTGGCAGGTTCAACTCGTGGATCAACAACTGTCTCTGGTGCCGACTACATTCAGCAATCCTTTACTTACACACGTGCTCATCTTTGGCGCAATTTTGGCTTCTTGTGGGCTTTCTTCTTCTTTTTCGTGTTCCTTACTGCCTTGGGCATGGAACTTATGAAGCCTAACATGGGAGGTGGTGCTATCACTGTCTTCAAGCGCGGCCAAGTCCCCAAGAAGGTCGAGGAGTCAATCGCTACCGGTGGTCGGGCCAAGGGCGACAACAATGACGAAGAGTCTGGTCGAAGCAATCCTGTCGCTACTGGTGACGCTGAACGTACCAAGAGCGATGAACAGGTTACTCAAGAAGTTGCTAAGAATGAGACCGTCTTCACATTCCAGAACATCAACTATACAATCCCCTTCGAGAATGGCGAGAGGAAGCTTCTTCAGGATGTCCAAGGCTACGTTCGCCCTGGTAAACTCACAGCTCTCATGGGCGCTTCAGGTAAGTTACTCGATCACGTATTAACTATCATCTACTAACAACTTTAGGTGCGGGTAAGACAACCCTCCTCAACGGTTTAGCCCAGCGTCTCAAATTTGGCACCATCACTGGTGATTTCCTTGTCGACGGCCGCCCTCTCCCCAAATCCTTCCAGCGCGCGACCGGCTTTGCAGAACAGATGGACATCCACGAACCGACCGCTACAGTCCGCGAGGCCCTTCAATTCTCCGCCCTCCTTCGACAACCGCAAGAAGTCTCAAAGGAGGAGAAGATGGCCTACTGCGAGACCATTATCGATCTTCTTGAGATGCGCGATATCGCTGGCGCTATCATTGGTGCCGTTGGCCAAGGCCTCAATGCCGAGCAGCGAAAGCGTTTGACTATTGGTGTCGAGCTGGCTTCTAAGCCTGAACTGCTCATGTTCCTCGATGAACCTACCTCTGGTCTTGACTCGGGGGCTGCATTCAACATCGTCCGCTTCCTACGCAAACTCGCCGACGCAGGCCAGGCCGTCCTTTGCACTATCCATCAGCCGTCTGCTGTCCTCTTTGAGAACTTTGATGAGCTCCTCCTCCTCAAGTCGGGCGGCCGTGTCGTCTACCACGGACCTCTGGGACATGATTCGGAGAACCTCATCAATTACTTCGAGTCTAATGGCGGCCCCAAGTGCCCTCCCCACGCCAATCCGGCCGAGTACATGCTCGATGCCATTGGTGCTGGCAACCCCGACTACGATGGTCAAGACTGGGGTGACGTTTGGGCCGATTCGTCCGAGCGCGAGAAGCGTGCGAAGGAGATTGACGAGATCATTCAACACCGTCGCAACGTTGAGCCTTCTAAGAGCCTGAAAGATGACCGTGAATATGCTATGCCTATATCCACCCAAACCTGGGCCGTAGTTCGTCGCAGCTTCATCTCGTACTGGCGATCGCCCGACTACATCTTTGGCAACATGATGCTTCATGTCGCGACAGGTCTCTTCAATTGCTTCACCTTTTACAAGGTTGGCTTTGCTTCAATCGACTACCAGAACAGACTGTTCTCCATCTTCATGACGCTTACCATCAGCCCGCCGCTTATCCAGCAGCTGCAGCCCGTGTTTCTAAAATCGCGTCAGATCTTCCAGTGGCGCGAGAACAACGCAAAGATCTACAGCTGGTTTGCATGGACCACTGCCGCTATTATTGTTGAGATACCCTACCGCATTGTCGCAGGCGGTATCTACTTCAATTGCTGGTGGTGGGGTGTCTTTGGCTGGCGGGCGTCGAGTTTTGTCTCAGGCTTTGCATTCCTCCTCGTTCTCCTCTTCGAGTTGTATTACACGAGTTTTGGTCAAGCTATCGCTGCATTCGCCCCTAATGAGCTGCTCGCCTCTCTTCTCGTCCCCATCTTCTTCCTGTTCGTCGTGTCCTTCTGTGGTGTCGTTGTCCCACCAGAGGGTCTACCCACCTTTTGGCGAGAGTGGATGTACTGGCTCACGCCCTTCCACTACTTACTCGAAGCTTTCCTTGCTGCTGTAATCCACAATCAGCCTGTTCGTTGTGAGCAGGGTGAGTTTGCACGCTTCGAGCCTCCTTCGGGCCAATCGTGCGCCGAGTACACAAAGTCATTCATTGAGATGGCTGGTGGCTACGTCCAAACTGGCGAGAACGGCATTTGTGAGTTTTGCCAGTATGAGGTTGGCGATCAATTCGGTGCTAGTTTTAGTGTGTACTACAGACACATTTGGCGGGACTTTGGTATCTTCTGCGCCTTTATCGCGTTTAATTATGCTGTTGTCTATTTCGGCACATGGCTCAAGTTCCGCGGTAAGAATCCGTTCAAGAAGATTATGCAGAAGCGCAAATCTTAGATGAAACACCAGGGTATGATCAGAATTTAGGGTCAAGTTTGAGTAGTTAGCTTACCTACATTTAATTAATTGGCGGATGATTTAATCCACTTTTCTCAGCTATTGCACCTGGTGATGCACGAGACAACAAGTCAGCCGGTGAGGAAGCACGATGGACATGGGTATCGGAAGTAGGCTATCTGACAGCGGGTATGCAACCGATTTGTGACAGCCTGATCGTACCAAACGTCCCTCACAGTACTTTTGTCAGCTCTGTTGATTTGCATGGTAAGATATGCTTCAGTGGCTGCTGCATTGCAATTTATGACAAACAAATACCAAATCGAAATGGAAGGAATTGAATTGCTCCATGAGTCATTTCAAGCCTAGAGTTGAGATAGCTTCTCCTCCATTTGCATACGTCTAAATAGCCGGAACAGAAAAAAGGGGCGATCCGGCCGAAAGCTTGCACAATATTGCACAAACGTCGGCTAGAATGCATAACTAACGGACCGGATATCACATCTCCCGTTATGGGGCCCCGCATAAAACCGGCGCATGTTGCCTTCCCATCATCTCCGATAACTTGCATATTCGTTTGTTGATTGGTTGTTTTCTGGTTCCTTTTTTTTTTTATGCTCGTTGGTTTCGGAATTGGGCGTTTCCAGTTGGTGGCTTGCACTTTTTGTTTGCCCAAGATAGCCTGTATAAATTAACCATCTTTCGTTTTCCTCTTCTCCATCTCGTAGCTCTGCACACTTTTTTGTTTGAACTGCTTTTGACTATCTAATCATGGCTACGAACGATTCTTCAAAGAGTGTCCAGTTGGAGGATATTCGTCCTGGGAGCCAGCGAACACTTACTCCTTCAGACAATGGGAGTTGTACGGGAGAGGTGCGTGATGAGGAGAAGGCTACCGAGGGACAAGACATTGTTCAGCCGCATGATCCCAACGCTGTTGGGTGGGATGGACCTGATGATCCCAACAACCCCATGAATTGGACAGCCAAGAAGAAGTGGTCTTGCATTGGATCATTGTCACTCATGACTCTTCTCACGTAAGTTGACGCCACATCTTCAAAGTCTTTTAACTAACTGGCCATGTTTAGACCACTCGTACGTACCGAAGCGAAAGAACATCACACAGTACATCTCTAACATAGGTATCTAGGGCTCATCCATGTTCGCCCCCGGTGTCCCTGACATTATGCGCGAGTTCGAAACTTCAAACCGCAACGTCGCCACCTTTGTCGTCTCCGTATACGTCCTCGGCTTCGCCTTTGGTCCTCTCCTCGCCGCACCTCTCAGCGAAATCTACGGTCGTGCCATCATCTTCAACATATCTAATGTGCTGTTCCTGATCATGACCGTTGCCACAGCCTTGAGTCAGAACATGCCCATGCTCATCGTCTTTCGCTTCCTGATGGGCTTCTTTGGTTCCACACCCATCACCAACGGTAGTGGTACCATATCTGATATCTTCCCTGTACAGGAAAGAGGCAAGGCGATGGCTGTATGGGCTATGGGGCCGTTGCTGGGTCCATGTATTGGACCCCTAGCTGGTGGATACATGATTGAAGCTATCGGATGGCGATGGGTGTTTTGGCTGATTGCTATCCTTGTAAGTTTCGCGACCCTGTTGAGATGAGTATTTTGCTGATAAGATTGTAGACTGGCTTCATGGGCACCCTCTGTTACTTTGGTGCACCAGAGACATACGCAACTATCCTCCTTCGCCGAAAGGCAAACAATCTAAAGAAGGAGACCGGCAACCAAGACCTATACTCTGTTCTCGACACTGTCGGTGTCACAGCCAAGCAACGCTTCCGCAGTGCCATCATCCGACCCATGAAGCTTCTCACAACCCACCTCCCTGTTTTCATCCTCTCACTCTACGTCGCCATGGTCTACGGTGTCCTGTACCTCATGTTCAGCACATTCACGTTTGTGTTCGCCATGCAGTACGGCTTCGGCACAGGAACAGTCGGTCTGGCCTATCTGCCCACCGGCATCGGTATGCTTCTCGGAACAGTGATCTTTGGAGGTTTGACAGATGTTGTTGTTAAGAAGAAGATTGCACAGAACGGAAAGACTGTCCCTGAGGATCGATTGCAGATCTGGATGACGTTACCTTCTGGTTTACTCATTGTCGCGTCCTTATTTTGGTACGGTTGGTCGACTGAGCAGCACACGCATTGGATTGTACCCATGATTGGCGTTGCATTGTTCTGCTTTGGCCTTATGGGTATCATGGTAAGTTACTCTCTTGATCTACACTTATCAGTATCGTTGCTAACAAGGACAGATGTGTTTACAAACATACCTCGTTGACGCATACATCTCGTACGCTGCTTCAGTTGTCGCGGCACAGACAGTCCTTCGATCTCTCGCTGGCGCTCTCCTTCCTCTGGCTGGTTTGTCCATGTATGATGATCTTGGTCTTGGTTGGGGGAACAGTATACTGGCGTTCCTAGCTCTGGTACTTGCACCGGTGCCCGTTATCTTTTACCTATATGGGCCAAAGATTCGAGCAAAGGTTCCCAACAACCTTGAGTAGATGATTTATCTACTGGCTAGAAGTTTCGAAGTAGATAGATGGGCAGGCGTCCAAATTGTGCAATATACGTGTTGGTTGGTATTTTGCTTTAAATCATCCGTTGTTTGATTAACAAACCTTTATATAATAGTTGTAATTAAAAAGGTACTATGTATCTACTAAAATGTGATTATTCTTTTCATATCTGCCCATCTCTTGTTGTATACAAATTCTGGCCTCTGAGTTTGTACCCCAGCATTCGTGTCTTCTCTTGTCCACATGCGGCAACTCGTATAAGCCACATGAATTCTGGGGTGGATTTTGCCCCGAACAATGGATCAGCTTGGACCGAAGTGACTTTGAGAAAAAACTTGAGCTTCAGCTATGCCTATCCTCTCTTGCCAGCTGCCTCTTGCCAACAGCCCCTCTTACAAACATTAGTACTGTCTACTGAACAAGACTTGTAAGTGTCAACTATAGCGACTATGTCAACCCAGAGACTCAAACCAAGATTTTTTTTGCTTGTCAGCATACCTCATCTTAGTAGTGTAAAGGCTGACATTTCCACACTGTCGGCTCATAATGTCTACTTTGCTGATCTGATTGATAACACCACATGTTAAAAACCTAGAAACTACACCAAATCGAGTAAAGGCCTTAATACGTCTGAGGCTTTTTCGACTCACGAATCGGCCCATCAACTTGCCCACCGGTTATGGTAGCCAATGGCATGAAAGTCGGTTGCGGATCTGATAAGATTAGATGGATCCGCGACAAGGTAAGTGGTCTGACGGGTTGTGGGAGGGCGGAATCCGTCCGCACGTATGGTACAGCGTAGATATAACCTGTTGATGGCAGCTGAATCAACCTAGTGACACTGCGTTGTTTTATAATTTTGCAATTCGAAGTCTAAATGGCTATAGAAAACAGTTCTGATCATCGCAGTTCAGGCGATGTCGAAGCTTCACGTAAAGAGGCAAACGACAAACATGTTCTCACCAATACAGATATTCTACGGGACTCATGGTCAAAGAAGGCCTTGATCATCGCGTTCACAGGGTATGTTTTAGCTTTCTGATTCATTCGTTATCCAAAAATTCACTGATCTGGACAGTCTGTTTGCGACAACATTCATTACCTCGTTCCTCAAGTATGCCACCAAAGTCTACGATGCGTATGCTACTTCAGCGTTTCAGCGACATTCGGCCCTCGCTACAGCAAATGTAGTAGGAACAATCATTGGACTGGTTACATATCCCATTATGGCCAAGTTTTCCAATGTAAGTAAACCAAATTGGGAAGTGTATGTACCTCAACTGATCTGCTCCAGGTTTTTGGTCGAGCTGAAGGTCTTACGTTCTCCATCTTGTTCCTTGTTCTTTCACAAATCATGTACGCAGCATGCCAGAACATTGAGACTTACATCGTATTTCTACCCTTCCAGCTTTCATCACTTCCCAACTCACTAAATACACTCTAGGCTGGAGGTATTTTTGAAGCTATCGGCGATACAGGTTATGTCATTATGCAACAATTATTCATCGCAGACACGACCAGTCTCATAAACCGCGGTCTCTGGACTTCTCTCCCCGAATCGATAGCCTCGATACCAACACTCTATCTCGGCTCCATTGTCGCTGACAGTGTGCTCAAACACTCAACTTGGCGATGGGGTTATGGGATGTGGGCTGTCATTCTACCATTCTGCGCCGCACCTTTAATCATTACGCTTTACATCCTACAGAGGAAGGCTCATAAGGCTGGATATAGACGGAAAGGTGCCTGGGACGCTGCCGATAGCACTCAGCCATTGGGTAAACGCATTGTGAACCTACTGTGGGTTGATCTCGATGTTGCTGGCGCTCTTTTGCTCGTCGTTGGCCTTGGACTCACTCTCATCCCTTTGTCCCTTACAGGTGCCAGGAACAGTGACCGGTGGGATCAAGGGAGTTATATCGCCATGCTAGTCATTGGTGTTGTTGTCATCGCAGCTTTCTTTGTCTGGGATACCAAGTTTGCAAAAGTTCCCTTTGTCCCGTTTCGAATGATCAAAGAACGTACAGTAGTGGCAGCATGTGTTCTATCCATGCTTGACTTCTTTCATTACTCATGCTTCACACTCTTCTTCCCGAGTTATCTCCAGGTAGCTGGTGGTTTCAGCCCAGGCCACGCCACTCGCATCGAGTAAGTCATTTCAACAAGAACAAAGCCTGACACTGACTTTCATAACCAGCAATGCACTTCGTGTGGCATTTCAGATTGCATCTGTACTCGTCGGTATCCTCATGAAGTACACAAAACGCAGTCAGATATTTGTCTTTATTGGAGTTCCCCTCTGTGTTCTGGGTCAAGGCCTGATGATATACTTGGTAAACATGAACGGCGGCCACGCCAACGAGGCATCTTTCATCACCGCAAAGACTCTTGTGGGTGTAGGCCGGGCATTCTACCAAACAGCTGCACAAGTATCCATACAGGCTCTTGTTGCTAAAGAGGATGTTCCCGTCGTCACGGGCGTTTACTACGCCGCTATGAACTTTGGCGCTGCCATCGGTACTAGGTAAAGTTTACATGAATTGTCTAAACGGAACATCCTACTAACAGTCTCCCCAGCGTCGGAGGTGCGATTTGGAATAACATGCTTCCCCAGAAACTTACAACCTACCTCCCCGACCAAGCCAAACCAAATGCTTTGAAGATTTACAAATCCATTGTCGTTGCTCAAACGTTCGCCAAAGGGACGCCTGTTCGAGCCGCTATTGACCAAGCATACCGCGAGACGCAAAGACTTCTTGCCATCGCTTCCACATGTGCTCTTGCGCCTATGCTGGTCTTCATGTTTGCTCTGAAGACTGTGGATTTGAACAAGGTTGATGAAGCAAAGATCGATGAGAACAGGACTGTCGATCAAGAAGTTCAGCCTACAATGGTAAAAGAAACTATTCAGGAAGTCAAGTACGACAATCACTAGCACTGTTCGACGATGCAATCATAGAAACAAGTACCCAATCTTTCAAATCACTCTAAACATATTCGACTTGACACCTCTCTTAAGTCCTTCCGCTTTCCCACCCTCATATTCAACCCCAGCACCTCCTCCTTCTCCCGAAAGAGATTCGAGCTTCTCCCGTAGTTCCTGGTCCAGCTCTTCACTTGTCTTTTTACGTGCGGTCTTTTTGATTGCGTCTTCTGTTGGCGTAGCTTCCTCCTGTGTTGGCTGAGATTGATTCATGGGTTGAGATTTTGCAGTGTCGGATACAGCACGCAGAGAAGTTGTTTGGATTCTTCTGAGGGGGACAGTTGCCCTCAAACTTGATGCGAAGATACAGCGCCTCATTTTTATTGTCGGATTGATGTTGACGGAATGAGGAAATGAAATGAAGAAATAAATGGCCACTGCTGGTTGACGTTAACGCCAGAATTTATGCTGACTAAGTCTTGTACGTCATTGGAAGATGGCATCGTGACAGCATAATTTAGTCATTTATTTACATTGTGATGTTTGTTCACCTATTTGAAGGGTGCGATGTTTTGTTATGAAGAAATTTCAATTGTAATAATACTCTTATATCTCCATTACTAGCATTGACTTCCTATTGCCGGTCTTCCTTTTGCCTACCCACCTGGCCCATGTACAACAATGACTTTTAACCTGCTTAAGAAACTTTCAAAAGCCAACCATCAGCCTCTGTCTCTCCCTTCGCATTTACACCACCCCAAATCAAGACTCCCCTCCCATCTAAACATGAATCCGCTCCGAAGAAGCCTCTTGGTCCAGGATGAACCTTTCCAGCCTCCTGCGTCATCTCTGCCGGAGCAATCTCAAGCTCATGCCAGCTAAATGCGCCATTCTCAACGCCAGGAATCACACCTCGGATGGCATCCTTCACACGCGTAGCACTGTAATCATCCGAGGGTATTTGCAACGACCACATGTCGGAGTAAAAAGGATGTTCTTCGGTGAAGGACTTGTCTGTGGATGCTACGTCGGCGTCCTGGCGGCTGCCCAGAAGGTAGAGTAGGTACCGACGGCCGTGGCCTGTGGTGGCAGGAATCAAAGCGCCTCCTACACGTGGTCGAGGACCGGGGACAAGAGGATTAGAGGGGAAGTCAACGGTTACCCACTCGGGGAGCTGGTCAATTGACTCGTCCTGAATGAAGCCAGTCTTCATGTAGTGTACTGATCCATGAAGGTCCGACTCCGCGCTGATAGAGTACAGGGTGCCTTCGACGAACTGCGCGGCGAGAGGTGCGGCGGGCGCATCGGGTAGAACATGCCATAGGCGGGTTGTGAAATCGAAGAGCCAGGTACCTGTCGATCGCTGCTCGTTCTCGTAGCCACCATGTAGAATTAGGTTATCCTTTTTGGCATCGTAAAAGATCTGATGGCTGTGTCTGGACTGGGGAGCTTTCCCAGCTGCCTCTATCACCGACCATCGGGCAGCTTTGGGTTCCCATTCCCAAAGCGTGAATTCATCGTCTGCCTCTTGGCCCTCGGCATTCTGTCCGCCAAAGATGATGAGGGTATCGCGACGCGCACACGCTGCATGGTTGATCCGTGGAGGGGGGATGTGACCTTCGTCGCCTACAGCTGGGTAGCACGCGTACTCACCCTCGCCCCGAGCATGGTTCTCGCCTGGGATAGCGACCGCATGAACATCGTTATTGCATAGTTTTCCATCGTCCTTTTTGCCTCCAAAGATGTAGGCTTTGCCGTTGATGACTGTGACTGAGTGGTGGGAGCGAGCTAGAGAGAGTCTGTACCTGAGTCAGCGTTGAATTGCGTGAGTAGTTCATGGAGTCTTACGAGGCATCCTCTTGTGGAGTTGACGCAAACTGGCTAAGGACTGCTGTGAGTGGTTGTGTAGGTCTCGCGACGGTTGCTGCTGCGCCGACCTGGAGGCCGGTAGAGACGACTTGCTCTACAGCGAGAGCGCCTGCTGCGACTTCTGCCATTTTGAATGTTTGTGTAGATAGAGACCGAGAAACTTGGGTTGTTTGTTGTTTAGATCAGATATAGAAAAGATTGAAGGCGAAGCTTTGAGGTGAATCTGACAGTGACAGCTATAGTTGAGACATGACGTAAGGCCGGAAGCGGGCCTACATGACGTAACTGTACTGGAATTGGAATGTAAAGGAATCGAAATAAGAATTAATTGACCTGTTTATTGACATGTCAATTAATGAATATCGCATTTGGACTTTGATCGGATCTGGCTGTTGCAGATAGAAAGCTTGTCTGTCTACCTAAATGCAGCTAAATCTACCTCTTAGATGGACACTGACGTCAGAACTAGAGTTCGCGTCACGTCGCGTCTTATTGATAAAGACAGTCATTATTAAATACGCCAGGCAATTCAACGTAATGGGTATGTGAAATCGTTCAGAGAAAAGCAGCGCAAAGACGCTGAAGTATGTAGAATTATATAATATCAAGGTTAAGCTGACTCAAAAATGGCCAACTACCCGGTTCAGCTTCTATATGATCTAATGATGTAACATATATACTTGAATCATTTACTCATATAAACGCGTTTCACTTATTTGTTGCGAACCTCCCACTCGTAGACGGCCATCATGTAAGGTCCGTGACCACGAGTGTCGTTGGGAACAATAGGAACCTCGGTGTAATACTGCAAACTGTTAGCAAAGATTCAAACATGAAATCATAAAAGGCAAACTTACCTCGAAAGAAGCATCACTGCCCAGAGATCCAACCTCAACGGTGCCCTCCCAGGTAAGAGTTCCATTCTTGTGCTTGGTGACAAAGTCACGGTAGAGACGCTTGTAAGCTTGCTTAGCGGGCTTGGCGTAGGTCTTCTCATCGAGGAGACCACGGCGAATACCAGCCAACCAGCCGTAGGTGAACATGGCAGAAGCAGAACTCTCAATGTAGTTACCCTCAACACCTTCGTACTCCTTGTCCATGAGGAGCTCCCAGAGGTGGCTCTCGGGGCCCTGAGCGCGGAGAAGGGCAGAGGCGAGGTCCTTGTAGTAGGTTCGGAGACGCTTGTAACCAGGGTGGGACTTGGGGAAGACGTCGAGAACCTCGATCAGAGACCAGAAGTACCAGCCAACAGCGCGGCTCCAGATGATGGGAGAGGCACCAGTCTCGGGGTCAGCCCAGACAGCAGTCTTGCTCTCGTCAAAGCCGTGAGCGGGAAGACCGGTCTCCTTGTCGATGGTGACCTCCTGGATCTTGTCCCACTGGAGAACAATATCATCCCAGGCGGTGGTGTTCTTGGCATCGAACTCCTTGGTCCAGGCGGCGTAAAAGGTATCAGCCATGAAGATACCGTCCAACCACATCTGGTCGGGGTAAGTAGGCTCTCGGTGCCAGAAACCGCCAGTGGGAGTTCTGGGGTGCTGGTTCATCCTGTCACGAATAAAGTCGGCAGCCTGCTTGTACTTCTCCTCGCCGGTGCGCTTGTACCACCAGAGACAGTTCATGCCAATGCGGTAGTTGTCGAGCGAGTGCTTTGTCATGTCGTACTTGATGATGGTTCCGTTGTCAGCGACAACAAGATCCATTTGGTCGCGGTACCAGTCAACCAGGGTTTGGTTCTTGGTCAACTCGATGGCAGCCTCGTAACCCTCAAAGACGACAGCGCGGCCGTACCAGTAAGCTCGCTGGGTCTCATGGTTGTTGCGGATCCAAGAGTCAGCAAGGTTTGCCAGGAGGTTGTTGGCAACAGCCATGTTGGCCGAAGCCAAGGCGAGGCAGACAGACTGGAACTTCATGGCGAGAGATGAGGAGGAAGAACGAATGTGAAGGAGTTGTCGACTCGAGATCGATAGTCTAAACTCTCGAGTGACATTTCAGTGGAAATATTAAAGTATTTATTCATTTTGATTGAGTTGACATGGCGTGAGTGCGATCCACTCTGACCCGTGTTGGTCATTTTAGATTATAGACGATGTTTTCTCCATGATAGTTGACAACCAGCCAATAACACGAGTAGCTCAAATCTCCAGAATGCTTTGCCACCTTTTATAGCGCACCTTCACCGTCTTGGGTAGTATCGCCGCAAGGGCAAACCTGGGCTGGAGGAATATGTCCACCAAGCGGATTGTTTCAGTTAGAGCAGGGGACCCTAGGATCTGCATAAAGTGGATGCTGGCCCCCTGCCTTAGCGGCGGTTGAATTTCGATGGCAACCAACGTTAATGCGAAGGTTCTTTTCTCGGAAAGGACCATGTCTTCCGTTACTGCAGATGTCTCTGATATAGGGGTGCTGCAGCCTTGGCTGTCACCCTGCGGCAAATATTTCATCTGATGTTGGGAACAGATCTTGCCATATTGGACGATCTTATGGTTCTTATCGGACTCTTGAGCTAAATTAGGTATTCGTCTCGTCTGTTCCTTTGGGGTCAACCATCAACCAACAAGTGATAGCCGGATACAAGGAGTTGATGACATTCATTACTAAATTTTATCCACCTATAGGGTTACATGCCTTGCTAACAAGTATTAAGCTTGTATAGACTCTAATCTGATCGAATCCCTGTTTTTATCCCACTTTCCGATATCCCGTTTACCAATCCGATTTCGTCCGTGGCTTCCGGAAATTCTTACAGATCATGACAAGCATACTTGCTCTTGTGTCTGATCCACTCACCGTACTTGAACAACAAGAACGGGATGGGGATAAATGCGATGGAGATGAAGGCCAATGTAGAACTAGCCCAGCCAACCCCAAGGTTCTTGTACATAGCCGACGCAAATAGTGGCTGTGTATGTTAGCTTCTGTATATACCCCAGTCATGGGCCAAACTTACAAATCCGGCACCAAATGCACTTCTAAAGAAGTCGTTGCCAGCAAGAACGGAGGCTGCATACTGGGGATACGCATCGCTGAGGTAGTTCAAGACAGAGTTGAACAACAAGAATGCCCCAATAGAGAACCAACCTGTGCCAATAATGGGCACAATCCAGTGAATCCTTGCCCGTGATGACCATCCAAACCAGAATAGGCAGACGGGAATCGCAAAAGCACCAACAAATGATGGTGGCAATCTCCACTCAGGCTTGAGTTCCCCGTTCTCGTTGAACTTTGGCTCGATGTACTTGTGCTGATACCAAACAAAGGGCGGCAGAACAACGAAAACAGCAATCAGAATACCTAGATAGGCAAGACCTTGAATACCCAGAGAAAAGCCATAAGTCTCACCAAACACGATGGGGAATGACTCGAACCAGATGTATAGCAGACCGTAGATGAGAGCGATGTAGAGGTTAAGCACAAACACGATTGGCTCGCCTAAGCTCAACTGGAACGGTCGTACCAGAGTCATCAGCGCAACGTCCTTCATCGACATGTCTTGTGTCGCCAACTCGGCTTCACAAACAAGCTTGTCGTTGCCAGTGAGTTTTCGCAGGCGTCTACTACGGCGGTACAAGATGTTTGCAGAGGATGTCTCAGGGAGGAAAAAGAAGAAGAGAACAAGAGGGAATTCAGATAACCACATGAGTTCCCAGATAGTCCAGGTCCATCCTTTCTTTTCAGCTGCGAAACCTCCAACAAGAGGTCCAAGAGTAGGACCACAGATGGCCCCAACACCCCAGACAGCAATACCGTAGGTCCTCTTTGCTGGACTGTACATATCACCAATGGATGCTCCACCGGTTGCAAGTGACGGCGATCCAATGAAGCCAGTGATAAATCGGAAAGCAAGAAGCATACCAAAGTTTGTTGCAAGGGCAGTGGGGACTTGAAGAACGACGAACAGCGCCAGAGTGATGATGTATACAGGGTTACGGCCGATCTGGGGGATCTCAGAGAGTGGAGACCAGACCATAGGGCAAAGACCGTATCCAGCGACAAAGAGAGTGAGGCCCAGAGTTGCGGCGACTTGGGAGACGCCAAAGACTTGCATAACATCTTGAATACCGGCTGTGTAGATGGCTGAACCAATGTAGACAGAGAATGTTAGGAGGCAAATCTCAAAGGTGACAAAGAATCTCTTGATTCGTGACCAGTTCCTGGGGTTCTGCGATTGTCAGTACACCATAAGAGATGATAGATGGAAGGCTTACCTCAGGATCGTCGGGACCATACCAGTCCACGACATGAACATCCTTTCCCTTCTCCTTATCAACAATACGCCCACTGGGTTCGTTCACAGTCCCTGCCTCTCCTGAAGACACAGCCGTATCGGAAGAAGAAGACCTCGTTTGTGATCTTCTGCTCTGCTGTTCGCCATCGGCCTCGGGTGCTTCCGTTTGACCATGTCTAGCCATGTTGGCCGACTTTTCGGCGTGAACGTATTTCTTCCATAGCAATGGGTCCTCTTCTTCGGGGTATTTGAAGACCCTGCCACCTGTCAAGAAACGAAGGATATGGCTAAAAATGGTGTCTCGAATTAGGTCCTTCATTGTAAATGCCAAGGATAGCTAACGACACAAGCCTTGCATGAAGAACGTGGGAGCCAAGAACCGAATTGGGACATGAGGCGCCCATTCTATAGTGAACGGGATAGGGATACGGCGTGAGTCGTCATGATCACCGTGTCATAGAAAGGTACGTTAGCAAGAGGATCGAGGATCCCTAAACCGGGTCCAGCTTTTTGTCTTGTTCTTCTAATTAACTCATCATTTAAGAGTGGAAGCTTCGGATGTAGAAACATCGCTAGAATCAACGGGGATCGATCATCGCTGGCAGATCTAGATCGGGCTGAGCCGTGCTATGTCTAATACTAACCGCTGAGCCAATGGATCAATAGGCTATTATGGTAGTATTCTCGAAGAAGTTTGGCTTGGCGTGGTAGGGAGCTTTTACGATGAAGTCGTGGTGGAGTTTTGGGTAGTTTTGGTGAGGTCATGGATATTTTTGAGGTATGACGCCCATGACTTTTGGGACACGATGTAGTTGATTGAATTTTATGAGTCTCTTAGCTTATTGGTGAAGTAATTAGTGGCCTTTGTTGAGAGATTGTGTGTTGAATGAAAGGGGTCTTTTTCAGCCTTGCATGACTCGGTTGTTCTATTTTGTGATTGAGATGGTGGTTTTCGATCTGATAGGAATGGGAGCGTGACACAGTAAGATACACGAGAGTATTAGGGACATCTCGGTGAACTTAGATCGAATACTTCAAGTTTTCCACTACTACAGAAGTAATTTGAGAAAAACCATGTATCATACCCATCCTGACCGTGGTTTGCGAACAACTGGCGAGGTTATTTACTACCAATACTTGGATGTAAGGGTTATACTCGTCGCTGAATCGCTGTATGAATTAATTCACATGCCAATTGATTTGATATGTTCCTATAGATGAGCCAGTTATAAAGATGGTATCATGGCTTCTCAATTCAATGTGGCTTATAAGTAATCCACCGAGGCCACCAATGTCCGCGTTCCTGAAGGATCCGAATGTCTCACAAGGGAAATGGCTGATGTGAGCCACCTCCGTCCGCTGCGGAACAGCAAGTGGCTTACCAGAAGAGAGAGTAAGCACCACATCGAAGCCTAATTTTGTTGTACAAATTTATTGGTTGATTGATACTCGTTCTTCCTATTCCGGGTGCTATGATCCGCTATTTTGACGTATTTTCCGTATTCCAAACGATAATCAGCGTCCACCTAAATCTCCTAGCCAGAGCCTCGATGGTCGGACTGGCGGACTTGTATCCATGCAACTCCGCAAATCAGCCACAACTAGGAATGCATTTATATAAACACGGTGCAACACTTATTTATCCTCCGTACTAAACAGACTCATTAATTCTACCATCTACTCATCATGAAAATCCTCTTCATCGGCGCATCAGGCTCCATCGGCGGCGAGGCTCTCCGCCAATGCCTTGCTCATCCAAAAGTCACTTCGGTAGTGTGCTTCGTGCGCCGCCCGCTCCCGTCAGATGTCTCAAACAATCCAATACTTCAATCAGTTATGGTCAAAGACTTTTCTGTCTGGCCAGAAGATGTGCTGCTTCCTCATGTTGACGCCGCCGCCATGATCTGGTACGTTTCTTGCATATCTCAACTTGTGCTTGCAATTAACACGAATATCCAGTGCTATGGGCTCATACCGGGGAGACGTAAGAGTAGATCTGGAGTACCCTGTTGCTTTCCAACTTGCCTTCGCACCTCTTCTAGAGAAGCAACCAAAACGACCGCGATTCCGCTTCATTCACCTCAGCGGCAAATTTGTCATTCAAGATCAAGATGCAAAGCTATGGGTTAACGACTACCCTCGTAAACTAAAGGTATATTCCCTTCTTAATCACTTATCGCGACATAGCTGACCACGGTTGTCATATAGGGTCTCTGCGAAGTTCGATTCAAAGAATTGGCAGAAGAACATAAGTCTGTCTGGCGAGCCTTAGTGCTTCGACCGGGCGGTGTGGTTACGCAAAACCTGATGATTCCGGGCATGATTGCAAGAGCACTATTAGGCGATAACTGGGTAATTCTGAATCGCGAATTGGGTGCGTACTTTACGTATTTGGCTGTCAGTGAAGAGAGTGAGCCAGAGGGGACGTTTCTGATCGAGAATAAGCGTATTGTCGAGGGTGGAAGGGCGTTTTTGAAACGTCAAGGATCAGGTTAGAGAAGTTGGGTTTCAGAGATCTTGCACTATGCAGTTAGCAAGGAGAATAATTCAAAACAATGATACAGACCCATGGGTGGACTTCCTTTGATATCATCACTCTTGCACAAGAATATCCAATTATTTAAAACGGCATCCAGGTATAGTGATCTAAGTTAACTGTCTGCAAAACATAATCCAAAAGAAATTTATCAAATCAGCGCCGGTGGCTTTCTCATAAATGGTAATCAGCAGGTCGAGTAACTCTCGTGCCTCTTCTCTCCCAAACACCATCGATCTTCATATCCCTTGCACCACTGCAGTATAAAGTCAGTTTCATCTTTCAAATCAAAGAAGGGTTCTTCTTACTCGTCTCTCCACATAATTATCGGGTCAGTCTGGCCCTTTGGAGGATTTCTAAACACCATGTTCTTGGTCTATCACACATCAAAGTCAGTAATGGATTTTTTTTTATCACGGTAAGTTTACTTACCAATCCAAGCGAAAGATGAATGGCTGGAGGATCAACTGTGATCTCATTCGTAGGCTTTCCACCCTGAACCGCGGCTGAGATGTTCTGCGCCACTACATGTGCTTGTGCTGCTCCTGGTCGCGCTGCTTTGTGGGCTCCACTATCGGCAATATCGCCGCACGCATACAGATTCGAGTAACCTGGATCGGCGAATTGTAGGGTTGGTGATACTTTGATGAAGCCGTTGGCTGAGTTGAGGATCTTGTGTCCAGGAGTGGGTTGTAGATCATGTAGAAACTGGCTGTTTGGGGTTTGACCAGTTGCTGGGATGACAAGGTTTGTTGATAACGTGCGGCCATCTTTCAATTCCAACTGGAATTCTGAACCATCTGTTGGGAAGCCATCTTGTGGGATAGTGGCACGTGTGCCGGTGATAACACTGTCATAGGTTTTAGTAAATGACCAGTCGAGAAGGAATAGAAACACAACTTACTCTACGCCAAGCTCTTGCAATCTGTCACGGATGATGGCATCCATCTTGGGGTGGTAGAGCTGCATGAGTCGATCTCTTGAATGGACCAGCGTAACCTTCTTCTCAGGATAAACCTCTCCTAGATCAGTGGCCATTTGCACGCCCACCGCTCCACCGCCTACAATGACGATCGCTTTGGCATTCTTGATACCCTGCTGATAGGTCTTGAAGTAGTCGACAGAAGTTTTTTTATCGTCATGCTGCATGTTACTAGGAGCTTGAAGACGTGTTCCAGTAGCAACAACCGCATAGTCGAATGGAATTTCTGTTGAACCTTGCCATGGCCGGTCAAGAGTGATCTGGTTCTTTTGTAAGGAAACTACTCTAGCATTGACAATGGCATGGTTTGTAGAATTTGGTAGAGAGGAGAAAAAGCCAGTATAGGGGATGAAGGCTTTGTGTTCGTAATCCGGGACGATGGCGAACCGAGGCTGGGAGTGTTAGATGGAGATTTATTTAGGCTAGCAAGCCACTTACAAAAGCGAACAGATGGTGGAAGTGGCTATGTGGTTCTATTAACAGGACCTGGAATATGTCAGTACTCAAATTTGAGGATGACATTATGAAGACATACTCGATGAGTAAGTGGGAGAAGAGCCGCGAGTTCTTTTACAGCAGCCTAAAATTGTTAGTTTAGGTTTAGATGGTGGTCGGAGTTAACTTACAAGCCCAACAAATGAGCCACCAACGACAATAACATTCTTAAGACCGGCAGTCATCTTGGCAGAAAGTAAAATGAGATATGAGATTATGAAAACGAAGATCTGATCGAACACGGATTTACGGGGTCTTTTATCTGCAGCCATCTTATCAATCTAAGACCTCGTCCGCGCGTTCCCTTTGCCGGATATCCGAAATCAATTCCCGAGATCGGCCCCCTCTGGATCGGCAACTCGGGTCGGCATCTTGTCGCAAAAGAGCGAGTCACGGTGAATTGGGATGAAAAGACCGATAAATGGCGACTCATGACTAATAAAAACAATGGGAGCGCTTCTTTTTATACTATTCACATTCTACGGTGGTTTACTACTACAGATGGCTTACTGTCACGCGTATGTACGCGATGTAGCATGTCCGATCTGCTGCGCATCCCAGCGAGGTACCTACCAAGCACTCGCTGTAGGTGGTAACAAACAGTGGCATGGGTCTTGCACATTCAATTGGGGAAATCACAGAATAGGAACAGTTAGGAAATATGGGTTAACAAGGTTTGATCGCTAGTCTCGGCCACTACTTGTAGATGATATGTTTGTGCCAGCCGTTGGTGAGGATTGCTAACTAACAATTGTTATGGTTGCTGGTAATGTTTAGACATCTCTAACATCCCAAACTGCACACTCATCAATGTATAACGGTCACGTGCTCATGGTAGCACATGTAAAGACTTACAATTAGTACAGCACATCGGAGATAAAAATAAATGTCAATTCGTAAAGATTGGTTAACACGATGTTTGCTTGATCAATTGCCTACTTTGCTATGCAAGCTCAATGTGTGGGTTGTGTGCCTAACAGACTGCGTGCAACTGTCGCACTACCTTAACCACTGTTGACCATCACAATTGTTAACATGGACATTGCTACCGCATTTATCCGTACGGAATGGCCGCGAGGAATATACAGTTGACCTGACCGTCAATGAAATACATGTAAGTTTACAATGATTGTCTTGTAACACATCGTCAACTATAGAAGTAGTCAGGTTAAGGCTATGGAAAGTCATCAAATATATTGTCTACCCTAGAATCGAGCTTCATGTTCACGGGGGCACTTTCCGTCTTCATCTCTTAATCAGACGTGGATTCAGCACGTGGGGTAGATGAACCAATCATATCGTAAGGCTTAGCGTGTATAATCCGGAGATTGTGGAGCCGTGCCAATTAAACCCAACAGTTCCTTACATATAGCGGGTCAGCGAATTGAATTACAACGGAGAAGGCACCGAGTTCAGTAAGCTCAGCCTTGCTAATGGGCTTAAATGGGTGGTACGTCAGCGGCTAGCCAAGACAATCCTGCCGTATTCTCGACCCCTAAGCCTCCTAGCCTAGGAACACACAGTGGGTTGCATTTTTTTTTGACAGCTGAATGCGCCTCTTTCTCCTCTCTTTTTCTCTTCTCAGCCTTTCCTTTTCCTCTCCTCAATTTGAATCAGCAATGAAGTCATGCGACCTTCTCACGCAAACATTGGCTTCTGGCTGATATGGTTTATCGCTCTGCTATGGAGCTACCGCAACGGCTACGATGACCCCTCATCGTTCTTCTACAAGAGCCGCATCGCCTTCAACCGTCGCTTCTCAGCCACCCGCGAAGCCCAGGTCGACGAGTACCTCGAACGCGAAATCTACTCTGTCAAACACAAGCAGCGCACCGAAGTGCAGGTCGAGAATGAGTTCCTTTGCATCGGAATCCCTAGTATCAATCGCACCTCTTCGGCTTTTCTCGCGCACACGGTCGGCAGCCTGGTCGATACCCTGACCCCGAATGAGCGCAATCAAATACACATTGTGGTGCTGCTCGCCGACAAAGATCCCAAGAAGCACTTTGCTTATGGAAAGGATTGGCTCTTTGGGCTTGCCGACGATGTGCTCATCTACTCCAATGACAGCTCTGCTGCAAAGGCCGGACCAGACCTCGACTACAAAGTCCTCGCGCACGACATCCGTGGGATGGGGCGCAGTGACGACCGAGTTGAGAACATCCGTCTAGATCATTCTGTCCTCTTCGAAGCCTGCCGAGAACGAGACCCCACATACTTTGCCCTCATCGAGGACGACATAATAGCCTCACCAGACTGGTTCACGCGCTTCAAGAAGGGCGTGATCGAGGTCGAGCAGCACGCGAAGGATGCGCATCACGATTGGATGTACCTGCGCTTGTTCTACTCTGAGATCTTGATGGGATGGAACAACGAGGAGATCTTCGACTACCTAAAAGTCGTGATCTTAGGCTACACATGCCTTATCGGGTGTCTCCTCCTCGCTCTGCGCTGTCGTGGACGTCGCAACGCAGGATCGTTTGCGTCCAAAGACTTTGCGCAAACAATCGCTTTCCTCCTCGGTCTTTGGATCCCTGCCTGTCTCGCGCTAGCTTTTGTAACGGGGCGTATCTCGTTGCACCGCCTCTTTACGACCTCACCCACGGTGCGCGAGATGCCACGCTACGGGTGTTGCGCGCAGGGTCTCGTGTTTCCAAACCACCACTTGCAGGCTCTACAGGATTTCTTGCGCGAGCCACCGTATCAGTTCCCTGGCGACATGATAATGGAAGACTTTGCGCGCGACAACGGATTGACCAAGTGGGCGCTTGATCCGAGCGTGTTGCAGCACGTCGGACTTGTGGAGTCCTCTGATGGACCTAGGAGGGCTGAAGTGTGGAACTTTAGCTTTGAAAGGTTACGAGATGCGCATAATTGAAGGCGCGACGCCGTGCATTGCGGCAAATAGAGCGAGCGCATATACAAAATAGACCAAGGAAAAGTGATACCAGTGTTTACAATAGCTCTTTACGAAAATATACACGTTCAAACCCCTGCTCCGTCCGCCTCCCAGTTTCTGTAAAGCCCAACTTAGGATACAGGGCCAAATTCTCCACCATAACCACATTTGTGTACAATATCAGAGCGTCGCGCCCGCGGCCTTTTGCAAAGTCTTCAGCATATCGCATCAATACTTTGCCATACCCGCGGCCTTGGGCCTTTGAGTCAACAACGACATTGTCAATCTGAACCTCATCTGCGTCGTCTGCGTGGTAAAGGATTAGCGCGCCGACCATTTCTTTGTTGATAGGCCGGAGGACGAAGATTGAATGGCCTGGCGACGCGAGAAGGGATTTGTAGTCTGTCGTCATTGGAGCTGGAGGTTTGTTCATTCGTGGAATGTATTTTTCGTAGGCTTCGTGAATGATTGACTGGATGTTTGGTATGTCATCTATCTCGGCTCGTTGGATTGAGAGGTCTGGTGAATTGAATGGAGGGTCGTCCATTGTAGAACAATAACAGCTTCCGACGAAATGTAGAGTCGACCAGTGCTTTAAAAATTAGAGCTTATTCACGGTAAGGCTATACATTGAGGTTGCAATTAAAAGCATGATCAATTGAGGAGTCAGTGGTAGAATGTCATGCCGGCTTCGGATCTGAGCCTAAGTCGGCTGCTGAGCTGCTGCGGTGATAGCGAGGGAATAAACTCTATGCCACCCAAACAAACGCCTTGAGCATGGAACAAAATGCAGGACTGGAAACGAAATTGACCTTGTCGCGTTACTAAAATAATTGAATTATTTACTTATTGATCTTGATCTGGACCGATCTATGTGGAGTGGCTTCAGCCCAGTAAGCCGCGTTCGTAGCTCCAGCTCTTGAATGATATCACGACTGTACAGTGATGCGATCATAGATGTGTCGTCATCAATTACCTATAAAAAACCAACATTTCCGTTTATTCTCGATTGTTTACATCTCAAATATCGCATCACACCCAAAAAAAAAAATAACTCTCAACAGCCAATTCACTACATCTCCTATAATCACCATGTCTGACAAGCCCACAACCAACCTGACTGGCACTGTCCCCAAGGCCATGGACGAGCAAGGAACCATTGGCAAGCAATTCACAGGTAAGCAGAAGTAGCCTCTTTATGTTTGTGACATCAATTAACAAGAGTCATATAGAGCAAGGAGCTATTGGAGGTACCGCGGCAAAGATTGGAGGCCCCCTTGCAAAGGATGGTGTAATTGGCAAGGAATTCACCACTGGTGGAAGCATTGGAGGAACTGTCCAGGACAAGATGGGAGGAGAGAAGAAGGCTTAATTAATTCCGAGCTGTTAAATTAAACTAAGATAATTAATTCAATCCATTTAATACTCAGCAGTAACACCCAATGCCATAGTGATAGAGTGAAGTTGTATCATAACTGTAGCCAACACGGTTTGCTGTCTCTATTGTAATACAATGTCGTCCATCATTGTGACGTTTTCACTAGCGCCAAGGATGACAGCTGCATAATCTTTCTTTCAATTGGTTCCTTTCTAAGTCAAAGGACCAATTCTTCCGGGCCTCTTATAGCCGTTGGGAATGCTGTGCAAACAGTGACGACTTTGTGATGTGAAATTGTCAATACTGACGCACTTCACCATGAATTCCCCTCTCAAGGGCATGAGCTCTTGCCAATCAGTATGTTCTTTTTAAAACATGCACATTGTACTGCTCATAGACATCATGTGCTGTTTCGCATGATATAGAGAGCTCCAGTACGTGCAGGTTGCCCTTTCTGCAGCACACTTGACCTACATCACAGCTCCACAGCCTAGAATGCTCTTCTCTGTGACCTCGACTGCTTTCAAAGTCTCTCGAATTTCTCGTCATTGCACATTCCAGCTATCCTTTAGAGCTTATCAGTCCACGATGGCCTCTTCCAAATCACAGCAGTTCTTTCACACCTCAGGCGCAACCGACGCAGTCTGGGTACACCAAGATCCTGTCTCCAACCGACCTTCGTTCACAAAGTTAAACCAGGATATCGAGACTGATATATGTGTAATCGGTGGTGGTATCGGAGGAATATCCACCGCATATGAGCTCGTCAGTCGAGGGCGTGAAGTTGTCCTTCTGGAAGCCCGTCAGGTTCTGTCAGGAGAAACTGGCCGCACCAGCGGGCATTTGACCAACGACTTGGATGATGGCTATACCGAGATTGCTAAGAAGCACGGCGATGCAGGTGCCAAGGTTGCTGCAGAGAGCCACGCTTGGGGAAGAGACCGCGTTGGTGAAATTTCAAAGATGCTTGGCATTGATTGCGAATATCGTAAACTACCCGCGTATGAAGTCTCTCAGTACTCGACTAAAGAGAAGAAAGATCACGAAGAAGAGATGCACGAATTAAGGAAGGAGGAAGCAGCGCAAAGAAAGTTTGGAATCGATTCCAGGTTTGATGTGAGTACACATTGAAGCCATGATTTACAATGTTCCCTTCTGTTACAGTCTAACTTGAACTAATCATTTGCCAGGAAACACTCACCGTTCGTGGATGGGATGGAGCCATTGACCAGCGAGGAGGACTCATTGTCAAGGACCAAGCTACTTTTCATCCAACAAAGTATCTCAACGGAGTCCTCAAGTGGCTCAAGTCCCAACCCAACTTCCGCTGCTTCGACCAAACCCGAGTCATGTCAGTCGAAGAGAAGGGTATTGAGATCTTGGGAATCGGTAACAAGTCTGTTGTTGTGCAAACCTCAGATGGCAATTCGATCAAATGCAACAATGCTGTCGAAGCTACTTGTGTTCCTCTACAGAAACTGAGTGTCATCGCACAGATGGAATTTATGCGAACATACTGTATTGCCGCCAGAGTACCCAAGGGTTCGATTGAGGATTGCCTCCTCTACGACCAGGCTGAGGAGTACAAGTACATTCGACTGACAGCCTGCGATGATGAACATGATTACATCGTCGTTGGAGGCTGTGATCACAAGGTCGGCCAGGAAGACACCACAACTGAGTTCAAAGAACTGGAGACATGGACACGCGAGCGCTTCTCGCAGGTTGGTTCGGTCGATTACCGCTGGAGCGGACAGATCTTTGAGCCAGTGGACTTTATGCAGTTTGTTGGTAAGAACCAGGGCAATGACCACATCTACATCATCACGGGCGATTCTGGCGATGGCTTGACGAGTGGAGTGTTGGCTGGCCGACTAATCGCTGATGAGATTGATGGAGTCAAGAACCCATGGGCTGAGGTCTACTCCCCTAAGCGTATTGCTTCCATGTTGAAGTCACTGCCCAGCATGATATCACATGACTTGCAGATCAACGCGCAGTACAAGAGGTTTTTGCAATCCGACATTGCCGATATTGAAGATCTTGGTCGGGGCATGGGCGGTGTTCTGAACAAGGTAAGAAAGAACTGTGCCACTAGGCTACTCGTTGAATATATGCTAACTCATCAAAGGTCGGATCAAAGCCCATCGCAGTGTACAAGGATGAAGAAGGAAACGTCAAGCAGTACAGCGCTTTGTGCCCACATATGAAGGGTGTCGTGTGTTGGAACACTACAGAAAAGAGCTTCGATTGTCCTGTGCATGGAAGTCGATTCTCCCGAGAGGGTATTTGTGTGATGGGGCCATCTAAAGGCAATTTGGAGCCGGTTGATAAGGCTGGAAAGGCCGATCAAGAGAATGTAGCTGGTAGCTAAATGGTGGTCTAGCGTATTGGTAAATAAAGTAGGTCGCGTAGACTGGTATGGCTAGCTTTGAGCCCACTCTTGTTGCTTTACTGGAGCTAGGTAGAGCCGGATTAGGATCCTATTAGGCTTATTATGGCCGCATAATTTTGTAAGAACATAGGAAATCATCCTATTGGGTGCTTCGCACTTAGAATTCTACCATTAGTTCCTCCATTCGACTGTTACATCACATGTTATGAACCAGGAACGTGAAAATACGCGGTTATTCATTGGAGGTTACGGTATACGCGTACAAATTCCTTAGCTCAAGGTTGATAAGCCGACACGCGTTACTCAACGCCTCACGTCAGACCCGAAGAAGCCGGGCTTGGAGTGAAAGAAAAAGATCAATAAGTCAACACTCAAAGTTTACCGTAACCCTTTTTGACACCCTGATAATGCGGGGTAAATTCGCTGATGACGCCAACACTCGTTGTACTGTGCCAGTGTCATAGCAACTCATTATCCCACCATTTCCAACGATATGACCCTCATAAAGTCTGGGCATCATTGACAGACGTCGTTATACATACCAGCATCTGGTGCCGGCTCAATCCTTCTGTCTTCCTTATTCCTCTCGTCCTCCAACCTCTTCATTTCTACCTGATAGTCGATACTATCATCCATCTTCATAATGAGGTCTCTTCTGACTCTCACATTGGCCACGGCTAGTTCAGCTTTCGTCCTCCCAGAGTCGCTCAATATTTTTAATGATTTCAAAGACGATCTCAAGGAAACTCTAGAGGACATTCCAAAGCGTCTCCGCAAGTCTCTTGATGAAGCGACCGATCAGCTCTCCACTGAGATCTCTTCCGCCATTCACAGCAAGCTTCAAGATGAAGATGCTTTCTTCCACGACTTCGTCGACAACGATGTCACCAGCAGCGACGAGCCCCTGTCTGTCTTTGGTAGAACAGGTGGCGACTTCACAGACCACACCACATATGAACTCATCGCTAAGAGTAACCACACAAAGAAGTTCTTCAAGCTCGTTCAGGAGCACGAAAGCTTTGGAAAGCTTCTGAATAGCACTGATAAGAACTATACTCTCTTCGTACCCACCGATGAGGCCTTTGAGCATATCCCTGATGACCACAAGCACAAGCCTAGCGATGAGTTTGTCGAGGATGTTCTCAACTACCATCTCGGCATTGGCGAGTATCCCGCGTCAAGAATCCTCTTCACCCACACTGTTCCCACCACTCTCAAGGAGAAGCTTCTAGGCGACCAGCCTCAGCGACTTCGAACTAGTGTTGGACTTTCTGGTGTGCGTGTCAACCTTTACAGCAAGGTCATTGCCGTTAACTTTGTGAGTATCATCATAACCTTCGACATGTTGTATCCGTGACTGACTATCCTTAGAAAACCAAGAACGGCATCATCCACGCTGTCAACAGAATTCTCGTCCCTCCTCCCTACATCGGCAAAGAAATCAGCCTTTTCCCCGCCCAATTCTCAACACTCCTCCTTGCCTACGACAAGACCGACTTTGTCAAGTACATTCACGATGTCCCCATGATTGGCAGCACCGTCTTCGCCCCATCAAACGAAGCCTGGGCACGTCTCGGCCCACGCGCCAACGCTTTCCTGTTCAACACCGAGACAGGCAAGAAGTATCTTCGTGCGCTTCTCAAGTACCAGATCGTGCCCAACATCACACTCTACAGCGATGAGATCTACTACGGTGATGAGAAGCAGACCCTCAAGAAGACGGATCTCGGTCACGGAGGTGACTTCCACATTGAGCTGCCTACGCTACTTGAGAGGGGCGTTGGTGTTGATGTGCACACTTTCAAGAGTTGGACTACCATTGTGCTGAACGGACACGTCGTTGTTGGTTTCAACGACGCTGTTGGTAAGAATGGTGTTATCCACGTTCCCAGGACCATTCCTATCCCTCCTCACAGAAGGGACGAGCATCCTTCTGAGATCGACGGTGAGATCAGTGTCGAGGAGCTCAAGGAGAGACTGCAGGATTATGTGGAGGGCGATGATACTGAGTCTGACTGGCAGGGTGGTGAGCTGTGAGGTTTCTCAGACGCTTATTGGCATAGCAATATTGGTGGTTGTGGTTGATGGTGAAAGGAAGAAAAAAAAAGACTGGAAGGAAAGTGATAAGTAAAGATACGCTGGTGTATTAGCTGGACAGGTCACAAAGGGCGCGGAAGATAGCACCAGGAGGGAATGCCGTAATAAACCTAACCTTATATTAGGGGAAGGTAGAAACAAGATAGGGCTTGCGTAGACTGCCCTTGCTATGAAGTTTAAATACAGAGTATAAAAAGAAGGAAGCCGTTGCTGCTCCAAATTGCATCTTTTTCACCCAAACACAAATCATCTTCACATTCAGATTTAATAGCATCACACACAGAAACATTCTTGTGTCTTTCACAAAAGCTTACCCACTGCTCCAGTTGTCCCTCCTCTATCTTCCAACCCCCTCTTCACCCAACATCGCACCATCTACTTAATCATCCCATTCCCTCATCTTCTGTCATTCTCAAGTCTTTCAAGATGCCTGTCTTCAGCTCTAACACCGACATGGAGATCCCCGGCATGGACGCCGAAGCCTGCGCATCATCTGCCGATCATCTCTCTTCTGTCAAGAAGTTCGGTCGCAAGTGGTATGCGGCTGGGTTTGAGGCTGGTCTCGCCCAGGCTACGAACGAAGCTGAAGTTCGCCCTACAGTCGCTCCGACCCGTAAGTCAGAGGATTCACCGGACCTCATCGCCTCGCTCGTCGCTCGCAACGAGGAATTGGAGAAGGAACTCAAAGGAAAGGACAAAGGAATCGTAAGCTTCAAGAAGGCCGCGATTGATGTACGTAAGTGATGATCCCTCTAATCTCACTGCAGCTAATACTGATGCTGTGCACAGGAGATTACCTTGTATCCGCCCATAATGACATGGTTTCAATCATCGAACGGTCGTCGGGGGTTGTTCCCGACTGGCTGGAAAAAGATCTTTACAACCTAGCCTTGGACCTTGACACTGGCAAGATTCAATGCGCTGAGAGTATCATCAAATCTTGGAAAGAGTACCTGAAGCCAGTCAGCGAGTCCCATGGATCCAGCGGCAGCAGCAAGCTCAGCAAGGACAACTAAAGCGGATTCAAATTTGAGAAGGATTACAGGTGCCCGAGAAAAAAAAAAGGAGTACATAGCTGGGATCCGGCGTCATAGAATTTTGGAATGGGTACCCGAGAGTTTCGGTGAATAGACGAACATCAGGAGTGAAGCTATTCGGAACTGATCATAGGAACTAGGCGTTCATGTAACAAAGGACAAGGCAAACTCACACCGGGAAAAACGGTATTCTCTATCTGTTTTCCATTAGAATCACGTCGCAAAATGAGTGACATACTCATAGATTAGCTATGCTGACAATGGAGCTAATACACCAGCGTAGCTTCACTTATCACTCTCCACACATTTTGTGACCTGTCCAGCGTTCTACCTACAAAAAATAACTTGACTTTGGCGGGCTCAGCCAACCAGCTGTGGTCAGCTTCAGTGTTCCGCAATCTCCCAAGTCAGATGGACTCTGTCACTGCCAGCCAGCTGGTAACAGCTGGCGACTTGACCATTTCCACCGCTCACTTGTAAACGGTCGACTGAACTAGCAAACACTCACAAGAATAACAGCCATAATTCTTAACCTGACAGGAAATTCCAGACTTTGCAAATCCTTCTCTTCATTCCTGTTCACTGCTTATCATCTTCCGACCTACAAACACCATTCGCAATTGTTATCAGCATAACATTGACGACAGCATCAGCATCAAGCATCGTCAAAATGACTCGCATCATTGTTAAGCGCAAGTCTCAGCCTTCTTCTCCTATTCAATCTTCTGCATCTTTATCTGTCTCTGCTCCCTCTTCTCCCGAGAGTGCCAGAAAGTATTCCCAAATCAAGTTGCGACTCTACCGTGGTGCTAAAGAATGTCCTATCTGCAAAGCAACTATTGTAGATCGCAACGGCTCCATGGAGCGTCATGTCGAGAGACATGTTAAACTCGCCGAAATCGAGGTATGTATTCCGACCCAACTCATTTACTGACCATTACTGATATGTCTCTCTAGGCCTTGAACGATGCCATCGAACCCAAACGCAGCGACATGTCTGAATCTGACATTGCTATCGCCGTCAAGTTGTGGCAATCCCTTCCCGCCAATCTCCGTGCTACTGGCGGTGTCTTCCGAGATGGACCCCTTGCCAACAAGGGTGAAGTTAGTGGAATGCCCACGGTCTTCATGACCAACGGACGTCTGAAGAAGAAGTACATGTGGATCAGGAAGAACCAGGAGGGTCGGGTTGGGCGAAGGCCTTTGAAGAACTTGAAGAGCGGCAACTCGAATGCCCGTCCTAAGAAGGATTGAGAAGTTGTGTTGATATGGGGGCATGTTGGGAGTGGCAAGTGTCATCCGAGGCCAGAGTCCGAAGCAAGTGGTTGTAATTGGGGAGTTGCATGGCAGTTGAAGTAGTATTAGACAGGTCAGAATACAACTAATCGTTCACAATGATCTATTGAGTACGTTCAGTCGGATTTTATGTGATATGAACCATCTAATGAACCAGCGTGTGATTGAACTATGCTAGAAATCTACTTAATGTGACCACACAAATTATTACTTCTTCGCTGGAGGCTCAGGAAGACCATACTGGAACGACAGCAGAGCTTCAGGGTCCTGCTTCCTGAGATACTCCTCAAAGTTATCCGTCTTGACAGGCTTCTTCAACTGTTCAGGCATGATGACACCTTCAATCCCGTCAGTGTATCCATACTCGTCCAAGTAAGCAGCTCCGTCTAAAACTTCGTACGGTAGACCTGTTTTCTGATGCATGTCTTTCTCGGACATGCTGTTGATAACACCCTTCTTCCCTGTCACCTTGGTCCAGATGTCCACTGCCTCGCTCATGGAGAGTTCGCTATCATAGGCCAAAAGTTTTGTTCTAACGGGCTCGTCTTCAACCAGAGCTTGGACAAACGGGCCAGTTGAATTGGCGGTGTCGATGATGGGAAATCTCAGATTCTTGGATGCAGGAAGATCCAAAACGTATTCGCCAGTCTTAGAATCCTTCTTTGGGTATAGGAAAGCGTTGGTAGCGTAAGCTCCGATGTAGATGTATGATGTCTTCTTGGCCAGTTCAGGCATCTCTTGCTCAATGTACTTGACAGCGGCAGCCTTGGTCTCCCAATGATGACAGTGAGGATATTTACCCTTGGATACCTCCTTCATGGGTCCAAGAGCAGAGTAAATGTACTTTTCGAGAGTATCAGTCTTGGATGCAGCATAGGCAGCGTTCTTGACGTGTCGGTGTTCGGTGTCATAGCCGATCTGTTGACTGGTAGCCTGGTCTTTCCCTTCGGCGAGAGCAGTTGTGTAAGGAGCCCAGAAGTCGGTGTTGGCAAAGATTGCATGGGCGCCGTCAAAGGCTTTTACCAAAGACTCGGCATCGTCCATGTCGGCTTCCACAATCTCGGCTCCAAGGTCTTTTAGAGCTTGAGCCTTGGGGGAGGTTGATCGACGGGTGAGAGCGCGAACGTGCCAATTTGGAAGACTCAAAAAGGTCCTGGCAACTGAACCACCTTGAGTGCCAGTAGCACCGACGACTGTAATAGTTTTGGTGGTCATTGTTGGTGTTGGTTTCTTGAGTGCAAGGTATGTGTTACTTGATGAATGTCAACGTATTTAATTGATATTTCCATTGCGGTCACTCGTTCTACTTATAGTGATTTCTAGAGTAAGTATTATTAACCTTCTGGGGACTTTAACTGACCCTGGCGATAACCTCAACTTCTGAATGGATGTAGCCGAGTAAGCCACGGAGGATCAGAATCCCAGTCAGCCTCTGATTGGTTCCAAATGCGTAAGCCAGCCAATTTGCCCCGCATAGAATTTGGACTTTACCACTACAAGCTCCGTGATCAAACAATCTCCCTTCTTCATTCTTGACGCCATCTTAAGAAAATAGAAAATGGAAGCCACAGAAACCGATCGAACCATGCCCCTGAAGCCAAAACATATGGGCAATGACACGCATCCGCCCACTAAGCGACGTGTCCTGACCCCTGCCAGAAGAGAGCAGAACCGACTGGCCCAAAAGGCATACAGTGAGTTGAAGGGTATTCTCGGCTCACAGTTCAAACGTCATTAACCTGAAATGTTTAGGAGAACGCCAAAAGGAAGAGAGAAATATCACAAAAGAGGTCATTGCTCGAGCAAGAAGTAATAACCGGCCAAGACCACTTCTGAAGCGACGAGTCCCTTGCTCCAAAGACCAACAACTTATTCCCTTCAACGATACCTCATCATCGGATGAAACAGACTCTGATATATCATCAAGCTTTCCCGATGTCTATGTCAACATGCTTCAGTTCTTCCCAACAGCCTTCTTTGGATCTTGCCTCGCCAATGCAGAATCACTGGGCTTCGATCTCAACCTTGTCGCAGACTGCACCGCATATAATTTCTCCCCGTTTCATCAACCCAACCTCTCCTCCATTGTCGATTACTCAACCCTTGTTCAAAAAGGCTCAGACTTTCTCTCCACCTTTGCCAATTCTAGTGTTCCTATTCATTTACGACCTACAATGGCACAGGTCCTCATTCCACATCATATCAGCTTAGATTTAATACCTCTCCCGTTCCTGCGCGAACGAGCCATCATGTTATCCGCAGCGTTACCAGATACTTTCAACGGCTGGGAGCTAAAACTTGATGTTTATGAAAGAGGGGGTCTAGTAACATGGAAGTTGGGGTCTGGAAAGGGGGAGAAGACCAGGGATAGTTATCCACCTTGGGACATGAAGAGTTGGGAGGCTACGCCGTGGTTCTTAAATAAGTGGTGTAACGTTGCGGGAAAAGAGTACGAGGAATTCAATCAGCAAAGTATTGGTTGGCAAGTGGTACGAGACATGATAGCCTTTAAAGATTCACGAGTAACGAGAGCATGACTTTCGACTCAGTATTATAAAACGCATCTATACCACAGCTCTTGCGCCATTTCCTCGGAGTGAAACATCTCAGGCCACACTATACTAGACAATGCCACTCTTGCTCGTTCCCACAGAATGGTCTCAACTACGATACTCCACTCCCTAACAAAGCCTTCGTATATCCCCTTCATCCCATTCAACACACCACTAGTAGATGAAACAGCGTGCTTTTCAACGCTCATCGCACCGATAAAGGCCTTCCAGAACCAAAGATCACTCAGAGAATGAGCACTTCGACGACTGCGCTCCAAGTCTTGTTGGAGTACGAGTAAAACACGACGGTGAAGCCGTGGCTCTATTGGTTCACCAGCGTTCCAGAAGCGAAGAATTGTGTTGAGGTAAAGGCCTGTTGCTGTAGCCATGCCAGACCATGATGAAGCCATCCGAGAATGAGCCTTCACACCTGGACCTTTACTGCCACCAGTCGATATGGATTCAATATGAGATTCAACAAAGGCCAGCATAAGTCGAGTCGCAGCACCTTCCTGCCATATCATTTGCTGATCGTCAAAATCCATGCCCTGTGTCCTGAGTTGAGCAGTTGAGGTCAGCGTCTCCAGGCATTCCATAATAGCTGTCCCATCAATATCAACAAACTTTGTACTTGAGGGTAGTTCGGAAAAGAAGAAAGGGATCATCTTTAATGATTTCAGTCTGATGTCAAGACCCTGTACCTCGTGCTTGTGCCACTCATGCATGAGTTTTTCCACAAGAGCGGGCGATGGTGTCTGGCCCGTCTTTGTGACACTGCCGTTTATAAGAACATCTTCTACTCGGCTTTTGAAGCCGTGAATGAAGTTGTATGAGCTGCGACGCACTGTTAGCTGTGGGTTGTATTAGACAGTTGTCCACGTACAATAGAACATATCGATTCGCCAACTCATCATCTAGCTCATATTCTGCTGGTGTTGCCTTGTGGGGTGGTCTATGAATGTCCATAAACTTCATCAGGCCATCCAAATGTGTCTCACTAGCGATGATGTTTCCCATTGCACACTGGTTCGGTCAGCCGACGTCCAATATCGATAACAATCAACGTGGTATTGTTACCTCTGTAAAGCACAAAGTCGCGATATTTCTCACACAAACGGCGTACTTCATACTCGAGTTCCGAAGGAATTTGTTCACACTATTCATAGCTTCAATCTTGTGAAATAAGAACGTGGGTTCGAAAGACTGTAACTGGCCTGTATTCCAGGCAAAATGTAATCCAGCAATGAGCATAGTATTGCGCAGTGTATCACTGCTATGCATGGTAGATGTCAACCTAACAAGCCAGTACGTCAGTATTGACAGAAACAAGTGATCAAAATGACTTACAAGCTTTGTCGCTTCTCTTTGGGAGCAATGTCGAACGGGTCTTCCAGGTCATAGACTATGAAGCGGTAGTCAGTCTCTTGGCTTGCGATGGCTTCAAGGATCTTACAGTAGTGGAACAGCGCGTCAGATCTGTAAGCCATGCTTATAGGCCGGGCTGCGCCAGCGGTACAAGGCCCAACAGCTCTGGAAATCGTTACTACATTGGTCCATGGCTGCTGTTCACCTGGAAGGCATTTCTTTCTGCGCTCTCGGAGCGGGAGGATTGCAGTGGGATATTCGCAATGACGTCTGGTACCTACGCAGTTCCCACTGGGGAATAGTTAATATGGACAAGAACGTGTATGACAGGGCACATTTACTAACCAGATGGGACGTGTCTCGTCACATTTTTGGTGGCGCTGTCTGCATGTCAGACACCCCGTTCGGCTGCGAGTGTACTGTCTTTCTTTTCGCTTTCCCTTACTGGGGGCATCTTCAGCTGTAACAGCCATGATGTTAGCGCTTCACTTTGTAGAGATTGCAAGGTGAATTGGGCTTGAAGCGGTGTTTATGCATGGACAGATAAAATGGGTTCATGCTGACGGAGCTAAACTGTCTTGGGACGATTACGCGTTATTCATATGCAGGGTAAGTCAGCATCCCTCAGAGATCTTGATACAATGTGATGGTGACATTGATTGCAGCAGGCTTAGCAAAGTGAATGGTTGAACAAATGCAAATGCCATACCATAACTAAAACTATAAGAGCGAGGGTGTCATCAACAAAACACAAGGACAATCAACATCTCCAATAATCGACTGTACACTCACAATCCCGAACAATCCCGAACATCAATAAACAAGAAGATCTACCAGTTTTTGAAGGTATTACAATTGTGACCGGGACTAATACCACCACACGTACTTTCATTCATGTACTTATGAAGGAAGTTCCATATTACATATGCCGTTGCTTCTGCAACCGTGGAATTAAAATTGAACAACAGGTGAATGAACATTGCGTTTGGTGTGTAAAGAGCCGTCTGTTATAAACCCAGTAAATGGTTGAAATGTAAGCACAGTGGTGGTGACGCTGTAACGCAGTTGGTAGTTGCTGAATTTCATTCTTCTACATTGTCAACCAGGCAATAATGATATATCAATAGGCATAATCGATGTTTACCCGAAGAACAAGAGTGTAGTGGTCCGCATAATGACAAAAATAACATGGGAACTTAATCACCCCCTCAGACTAGAGAAGCTAGACTGTGAGTTTAACAGAGCTTTCAAAGCAAGGAGGATAATGCAACCAAACACAAGACATGGACATGTGCTGACAAGTATAAATCCGACGTTGTTAAAATGATAAGATTTATTCTTCACACAATCTCGTAAATCACAAACCTTGACTCGTATTTCTCAAAAGATCGAATTATCTTAAAATACTAGGACTCTTACAGACAGTCATGCCTCATACTAACAATACCACTCCCGCCCAGCGGTGCCAGAGTCCCTCACATTCTATCCAAGAATTCCGGCAAAGTCCAAACCTTCGATGCTGGTGTTATTGCGGCTGCACAATGATGAGTGACTCAGGGTCCGCTCGATGTTGCCCTACCTGTCTTGTAAAACACCCAGTGCCTTTAGTAATAATATAGTAACCTTGGCTGTGACGATGGACAGAACTCGTGCTTCTTGCTTCTGAATTACTTGTTAATATAGATGATTCTAGCTTTGTGGAGGTCCAAAGTCGAGTGATCAACCAATCGATTTTAGCGTGAATGGGGACAGTTAGATGGCTGGGAAATACGATGCACTGAAACATGAATCGGCAGTTGACAAGTGGTACTATTGATAGTGAATATGCATTTTGTTCGTTGTGATTAAAGGTTGAAGCCGTCCATCAGGTGAATCGATACTAGGTACATAATCATGTATATAAACTCGTGACATCCCTTTCGTGCAGTAACAATCACGCTCACAAAGCAAACCCAACATAAAACAACAATAACAAAACGAACTATCTCGAAACCTCTGAAAGCCATGTGTCAGCACAACGACTTCACATCGCCTTGCATGAAGGCCACTCCTTCCAACTCCCGGTCCCAAGACTCACCTTCATCCCTGTTTGTTCCCAGAAAGGGTGACTGGCAGCAATCTAACCCGGCCTGTAGCTGTTCATGTGGCTGTAAAAGTGTTGTTCAAAAAGCCGGGGAATCTCGTTGCAACGCCTACCTCAATTCGAACTGCCCGTAATTACCACCTATGTAGGGTGGATAGCAATGGACGTGGCTAGAACAGTAATAAACCTATGAACTTCTGAGAAAACCATGGTGTCATTGTGGTGTCGATAAGATGAATAAGTAAGATTGTCCAGGTCAAGTCCTACATGACTCCTGTGTCCATATGAGAGACTAGTTCCATAACATACGGCAGGCAAAGCAGGTTCTGCCCTATGCCAAGAAAGCCTAGACGTATCATGTCCCAGGAACGTCCAAGGGTCTTCAATCTTTACTGCTTTCATTGTGAGATTTGTCTCTGGTTCATGACGTTTTCGACCTAGCGCCATCGTCGGTATGTAGCCAAGAACGCCTCAAATGGATAACAACGCCAGGTCCGAAGCTTAAGTCGACTCGGGACTGACATGGCTTTTTATTTTCAGAAGCTTATAATAGAGCTTAGAACGCTCGTTACAGTTGTGTGTCGCAAACCTCTCTCCAATGTGTACCCTCCATCAGTGTATGAAATTAACACCCTAACCACCGATGGGAGAGGTGTCGGGCCTTTTACTCTAACACAACGCAATGCGTACTCCGGGAGCCCATGACATTCTTGTAAACACCAAAAAGTGCTTTTTCTTGTTTGTTCCATTGAAACTGAGACCCATATAGGTCTCCGAGATCCTGGTCGTCATAGCGGTAGCCCTCGTCGCAGCCCGTCTCAATCTTCGTCTTCGAATACAAAAGCGACGACTCATTCTCAGCGACAAATTCATGATAGCGGCATGTATATCTGGTGTCATAGCCGCTGCTTTTACTCCCGCGTTTGCAGCACTTGACGCCTTCGATCCGAAAGTACACTCGACCTTGGAAGGATATAGTGGCAACAGGAGAAGACTTCGACTGATACTAAAAGTAAGAGGCTATTGGAACATTCAAAGGAATATGTTGGTTGACAGTGTGGTACCCTTAGCTGCTATTCGCTTCCAACTTTCCATTCTACACGACACTTTACCTTTGCAAGGCTGTTCTCTTATCGGTCTATTTACAGGCATTTCCGGAATTCATGGTGAAGAGACGCAGATTTCTCTGGGCTACCATATGTTTCACGGCCATCAGTTATGTTACTACTATGATCCTCGTCTTGTGTATCTGCCTTCCCCTAGAACGACATTGGTAAGTTGTTGCCACTGTCATATCGCTAAAGATGAAACTAATTGTGTCACAGGGACTTGGACGCCGATGTGACATGCCAAGCTTGGACTTACGCAGTCAATTTTAATGTTGGCTGGGCGCTGTCATTTCTTGGAGATATCTTAGGTTTGTAGATCTGGGCTTCCACATATTTTAGAAACTAATTTATCACAGTATTCATTCTTCCTTGGCTGATTGTCCCAGCTCTACAAGTCAAGAGAGCACTAAGACTTGGCATCTACTTCACATTCTTACTTGGAATTGTTAATATTGTGGTCAGCCTTGTTCGCTTCATCATGATCTTCAAAGCAGGCGCCGACTCGTCTATTTCACTTAGCACCATTGGTACGGTTCTCATTGTTGTTATTTAAAAGCCTCGGCTGATCTTTGTCATAGTGTTATGGAGTGCTTTAGACGTGAACATGGGCCTTATGATCGCCTGTCTTCCATCGTTACGACCATATTTTGGATCGCGAACTCAATCAGAAAAGCCGAGTTTCGAAAGCAGGAATGAGGAACGGTTCCGAAGACCATCAAAGTTTGGCATTGACACACTCCGACATAACTACAGGAAGTATGATGAAGAAGAATCGTCATCGTCCTCTGAACGACAGAACACAGGAAGGGCCTCGAATTGGGAGAATTATGAGGGGGTATCGGATGATGGCAGGAGAAGTTGCACGGATGTGAGCGATGTTGCGCTGGTTGAGCTGAGACTCCCGCCCTCCGCCAAAGTGCCTCAGATAGAGCTTTAATATTATAATATTGAGCATTGAATAAAATTTACTTACAGGCTCATCATATAACTACAATAACCAGTGCCAAGTTTCTATAGTTGTCATATCGAAACAATAAATAGAGCAGTGAGTGATAGAGCATTGGCTAGAGTTACGCGTAACGAGTTTATGGTTCAGATTCATGTGCCATCTACCCACACGGAAGGCAAAGAACAACAGGTTATTGATCGAATACGTGGAAGTAGCACCGTACATGAATAAAAACACACCTAAATACTGCTCCGTATGTCAAGACATATTCTACTGCTCATCGCGTAGGAATACTGACTGACGTCAACTTCTATATCAGTCCCAACGGCTCACTGGACCCTGGTCTAAAGACTTTGGATTGCCTGTACGTCACTGGGAAAAAAAGCATTCTCTCTAGCGGCTGACGGTACACGGTCCTGGGTGAACGGTTTCGATGCCTCTAAGGCTCACGGTGGTATCAACTGTGGCACCTTTGCCAAGTATCTGATGAAGTAGATCTTCACTGACGTCCAGGACGACTGTTTCATTCCATATGCCAACGTCACGGCCGACATGTGGGACAGTACTACGTTCAAAGCGTATCCTCATGGTACCCCGGATGCTTTCTAGATGACGTATGAAGTCCCTTTTGCAGAGGATTGTAGACATCTCCTGGAGCAAAAACGACAAGGACCATGCCAGTTTTGGTAGTGCTCTTGGACAAATTATCCTCAAGAATTACTACACCAACACAGTCATAATAGTGGTAACCAGGCCACAGTTGTCACTCACCAGGTTGTCTATTTGAGTGCCAAGTCTCTTCAGAAATGCAACCAGGATAACGTTGTAGGCAAAAGCATCACCGATATGTTTGCGCTGGTCGTTAACGACCACGGTAAATGGCTATGAAGAGGTCATCCAACGTTACCAATCAGTTGTTTAGCCCGACGCCCGATGATAACCTTCTGATATATCCTCACTGGCCAAGACCGGCTTACGACCTTCCCCATACTCCCAACACTCCACCCCCGCATTCAATCGGAACTCCCCCGCGGAATCAAGACATGTGACATCTTTGATGTTCGGCAGTGCCAGGCTAGCAGCGGGTGCTATGGATCTTAGCAGAATGATTATGTATACATGTACTTACTTACACAATGATGTGTCCGTGACATAAGAAGGGCGTGGCTGCTCGGTGATGTAAGGTCTTCTAAACATCTCCGCACATTGGAAGCCAAAGCAGACACAAAGAACTTAGTAGACATTGCACAATCATTGGGCAAAATGTCAGACCCTAATTACATTCTCTACACGTACTTCAGATCATCATGCTCAGCCCGCCTTCGCATTGCACTTAACGTCAAGGGGATCCAATATGATCTGACACCCGTCAACCTTTTGAAGAATGAGCATAGCTCAAATGAACACAAAGCCCTCAACCCTTCGGGATCCGTCCCAGTTCTCATCCCTCCCACCTCAGGTTCAAAGCCGTTCCGAATCGGTCAGTCCGTTGCAGCTCTAGAGTATCTTGAAGAAAAGCACCCTGAACATCCTCTTCTCCCTTCGCTCTCGAATCTGGAAGGACGGGCAAATGTGCGCACTCTCGTCAACATCATTTGCGCTGATGTTCAACCGGTTACCAACCTTCGCATTATGCGCCGCGTGAGAGCACTTGGCGGAAATGCAGAAGAGTGGAATTGTCAGCTCATGACTGACGGTTTAAGCGCTTACGAGGAAGTGGCCAAGGATACTGCTGGGAAATTCTCTGTTGGTGACGAGCTTACAATGGCTGATGCTTGTTTCATGCCTGCTTGGTGGAACGCAGAGAGATTTGGTGTTGATCTGTCGGCGTTTCCAACTCTACAAAGAATTGCGGAGAATTTGAAGGATCATCCTGCTGTGGTAAAGGCTCATTGGCAGAACCAGCCTGATACACCAGATAACCTCAAAGCTTAGTCGCGGTATACAGCTGTAAATAGACTCTATTTATTTTCTACCATTCTCTTGCAAACTTCGTCTACACTCCAATTTTACTTGAACAAGGGAAGAGGCTCGAGGATAGTTCCAGAGACCTCACCAAAGCCAACCTTTGCATCACCATTGCCGTAGGATCCTCGAAGCACCAACATGTCGCCGTTTTGGATGAACTTGCGCTCTTCGCCGTTGTTCAGTTGGATGGCCACCTTTCCACCCTTTGTCTGTTCAAGCAAACTTCCCTCGGTGCCTATCTCAGGGCCCGAGATGGTGCCAGAGCCCAGAAGATCACCTGGACGCAGGTTGCAACCGGTGATAGTGTGGTGAGCAATCATTTGGGGCCATGACCAGAGAAGGTTTCTAGAGCTGGTCTTGCTCAGAATCTGCTTGTTTCCATTGGCCGCTACCATTTGTTAGCCAGTGCATTTATAGATGATGAAAAGATACTTACTGATTATTTCCACTTCCAAGTCGATATCCAATACGTTCTTTTCCTTATTCTCCTTTAGGTACGGTAGGATTTCACTATCGTTCTTAATACCAGCTGCCTTTGCGCCATCTAGAGCATCAGCGAGGACAACCCAGGCGCTGATACTGCTACCCAGGTTCTTAGCGGTAAAAGGTCCAAGAGGCACATATTCCCATGCCTGAACGTCGCGCGCACTCCAATCGTTCAAAAGCACGTAACCAAAGATGTAGTCATCGGCTTCGCTAATTGGAATGGGTTCACCCATAGCATTCTCGCGACAGATGAACATGCCCATCTCAAGCTCAATATCCAGCTTCTCAGAAGGTGCAAGATCAGGAACCTTGTTGCCCGGGCGGAGGATTTGACCCCATGGACGACGGATTGGTGTTCCAGAGATGACAACACTGCTTGCTCTTCCGTGGTACGCGACAGGAAGATGTGTGTAGTTTGGTTGCAGCGCGTTATCTGGACCACGGAAAAGACAACCTACGTTGAAGGCGTGATGCTTTCCAACGTAAAAGTCGGTATAGTCTCCGATGTTGAGGGGAAGATGGTTTTTCACATCTGAGCTCTTGAGAAGAGCTGTTTCTTGAAGTTTTTGGTTGTCCTTGAGAACTTGGGGATATTTGGTGTCCTTTGCAAATACATCTTGGAGATAGCTTCTTACAACGCGATGGACAGGACGTCCAAGAGCTGCAAAAGCATTCAAAGAGGATTGAGAAAAGGCATCAACATGCTTTTGAGCATCGGAGCTACCAGAGAAACCATCTCCCTTCGCAAAGGCTTGAAGGTCTAGAACATGGTCTCCGATTGCGACAGCGGGTCTGGGAGTTGGGTTGGAGGATGTAGAGATGATGCCGAACGGGATGTTGGCGATAGAGAAGTGAGATTCCGAGGGAATGGATAACCACGACATTTTGATCAAAATACAAACAAGTGATTGCAATGAAGAATAACAGTGACAAGTACAAAGACGTCAATCGTTTAATTTGTATACTGCTTATGAAGCCGCCGCAAACCGATTGCACCGGGGACTAGGGCCGAGGTGCGGGGGATGACGCGGGGGTCGGAAACGGAATGACTCCGCTATAAGTTCGGCCGAGAGATTCCGCCATTTCATTCCGGCTCAGCATGGGTCAATAAGCATCTCGGTAATTTCCAGCGTATCTCTCTGTTCTTGGGTCATTCTCAACAGCCAATATGATAGTATACGTACGTGTGGCTATGATTGTAGACTTTAGGCATTACTGGTTAGTAATTTGTCTGTGTTCGAAAGGATGAGGACAAAATTCCACAGATTAAGAAGCAAGGCGGGAACACCGGTCAATGATGAAAGTGATTATTCGTACTGATTAAGCCCTTGTCCGCTTCTTTGAACACACCCAAGTATTTAACATGCCGTGGTCATTCCTCTGAGATTAAATATACGGTTCATGATCCCATTCTTCGAGTCTCTTTGTGTAGCATATCCATAACTTCTCTGGGTGCTGTTGTGCCTTCAACCACATGTCTCGAAGACTCACTCCCTCCCAGCGAGCCGCATAAAACCATGAGTTAAGTGAGTATAAGGCTACCCTAACCCGACCTTCATACTTTTCTCCGTCAACAATCGTCTCCTCTGAATTATCCCAGTCTGAATCACACGCCCAAACCCAGTAAGGATTAAGATTGTGGTTTTCACCGAAACCGCCGTCTTCAGAAACATCCGGAACCAATTCAAGGGGAACTACGATGAAAGTGTTTCGCAGAAGTCCATGGGATAGGAGGTGGGCCTTCTCCTCTTTGTAGTTTTTGAAGTTTCTGTCGAGGAATAAGTAAGTGTATTCTGCGATAGGATACTAGTTTGATGTACCTTCTTAAGTCGTTGTATTCTTCCAAGTCATGGTTGAAATCCAACATTGGCCAATCCTCAGTGAGAAGCGGTTTCAAGATCTGCCGGCGATTGTCTTCGCCTTGACAATGGATACTCATCCAGGTCGCATCTGCCATATCCCTTCCAGAATGAGTATTCGTCCAGCTTGATTTGATCTCACTCCACAGTAGTTCCCAGTCATTGCCATATTTACGATAGGCCTCTCTTGATAAGTAGTATACAAAACCCCATTGTTCTCGAGTGTCGATGATATGCTGCATCTAAGCTGGTGGTGCAGGGGAAACCTGCTTCCAGAGCGTCTTCAGGGTTTTCTCATATTCAAGCGTTTTCGAAAGCAGCGGCATGGTCTCCTCAGGTTTCCCTTGGGCGAAGGCTCTTTGTGCGAATTTTGCGTCTTCTAGAGTCCACTGTGATTGTTCCTCTGATGAAAGACCTTGAATGGCAGGAATCATCCATCCAGCATTCCTCCGAGCTTTCTTGAGTGTGTTTTACCGAACGAGTTCTCTAGCGCGTGCGGCAGGGGTTTGGAGTTCCTCATCTCGAAGGCATGCCTCATAGATCCCCTCTAGTGTAGCACTGCCTCCATCGATATAATACAAATCACAATACCCTAGCTTCCATGCATCCAAGGGGAAAGGTCGAGCCTTTTGATCGAAATCAGCGATGTAGTCAACCAAGGTCTGACTCGTTCTTGCGACGTCGTTGGCGATTCGTGTAACCATCATATTCTCGTCATGGGAGTAAGTGCTTCGGCCAAGCAGGGTATATTTCAACGACATGCTCGATACAATCTTGGATGGGCTAATCAGGGCGGCTTGAACAAGGTCACGACCTGCGATGAGTTCTTGCAGCCTCTGGGCCTTCTCCTCCCTGTTGACGATCATCCAAACCCTAGAGGGTTCCGAATGTGAAAGGTGTCGCAGACGTTCTTTACGCTCCGATAGGGGTAGGTCCTTCACGCTTCTGTACAACTCCAAGTTAAGGCCCATCGTCGCAGTAGACAAGTCAGTCATCCTATTGTATTGGCAAAGGTAAGACTGAGAGAATTGTAAGGGATGGAGGAAATTATGGACACATTTGTTTTCATTAGCTTAAGACTCCACCATGTGGATTAAGAGCCTTGCTAGCCTGATGGTCAGGGTTCGTTACTAACACCCAACATGTTGCCTGGCTCAATGCCGTCCTGGCTTGTTCAGACCTGTCAATGAGTCGCTATTGTCAATGGCTCTTATCTACTTATAGGACAAAAGATGAAGACTATCTCTGTATATCATGTTCTAAATACTGGGCCCTAATGCCTGGGCTTGTCCCTTGTATTCCTAAGGAACTATCTTCTATACCTATACTTAATCATATTTCCGAGTACTAACACGCAGATTTCGAGGTCGCTTGAAGAATTCACTTCAATTTCTCTGAATGTAGTCCCGTCAAATACCCATCTAATTGATCCAAGCGCTGCCTTTAAACATGATCTTAAATGGCGACGCCATTTGAAGGTGTCGCGTAGTTGATGGAGAGTTAGAAACTGCTTTATTCCTTACCCATCTGACCATCTTCCAAAGCAGCCATAGCCTTCTTCGCCGAATAGTTGATGTAAAAACGTAAGAAAGCAATCATTATAGCTCCAGAAAGCATGGTAACACCAGCAAAAATCTTGAGATATGTGTAATTACCACCATTTGTTTCAACAAGCGTACCGGCAATGGGACTACCTGCCAGAACACCAATGGAAATACAGAAGTAGAGTATTCCGGTACGATGTCCTATCTCCGATGCCGGCGAGACTTCTACAACCAGGGCTGGAGTCAACGAGATGTAGCAGCCGGAGAAGAAGCCGAAGAATGCTGAGAAACAAAGTGATGCTGCGTTAGATCTTCCGGGTAGCCATACAGCCAACGTCAAAATGGCTGACATGGTTGTGCAGACCATCATCATGTTGAAACGACCGAACTTGTCGGCCAGGAATCCCGGGATTATCCGCCCAAAAACGCTCACAGCGTTGAGAATGACGATAGAGTAGATGGACAGTTCCCAGGACATACCAAATGCCTGTCCTTCCAGAGGAATAAAGTTGAAAGGAAGGAATAAGCCAAAGCCGAACACAGTCATTGCAAGACATAGAAGCGCGAATGTCATTTCTTTCAATGGCGTGCAGTATGATGTAATCTTGAACGGTGTCGGGACGTGGTCTCTGTTGGAACGGATAGTCGCTGTCGCAATGAGGGCCCCTGCGAGGATGATGAAAGCGACCGCCCGCATCGTCCATCCAAACCCAACTCGCGGTATGAGCCTGTTGACCATGATGGGGAAAATCATTCCGCCAATTGATGAGCCGGAAATGGCGATGCCGTACGCGGTCGCTCTCCGGGCTTTCCACCATGTAGCCAGCGACCCAACGGTGCCGTACATGACAGCACTAGCACCTAGAGCGCTACAAATCGCCTGCGACAGGAAGACCTGATAATACTCAGTCGAGATGGAGGTCATCATGAGACCAAAAACCTGTGCGATACCGCCAATGATGAGAAGCCACCTCGGTCCGTAGTCATCAAAGATCTTGCCGAGAAAGATGCCCGCGCTGTAAGTCAAGCACTGTTGAACAGACGCTATCCATGCAATTTGGGACGGCAAATATTTTTGGAGAAGATTTTGCTCGTAATAGGATTGGAAAACTCCCAGAGAATTGACCCAGCCAAAGGTGATGAACATGGCCCACCAGGCTCCGAATGTTGACAGCCAGGCACGATGCCCTCCATCGATGGGCCATGCTGGGTTTTCTTTCTTGGGTGAGGGATGAGACATGGAGGCGAGTTGTCGGTTCGCAATAGAGAGAAAGAGAGATGAGATATGTTTGATTATTATGGAATTAGCTGTCTATTGTTCAACATCTTTTATATCATTTACTCTCCTCATTTACAAGTCTTCTTTAACTAATATCCTGGGTCGCTGATTGGTTATAGAAAAGTAAGCCAGATATCTACGGGTCTATAGAGTGGACCATAACACCGAGAATAAGATGGGAAGTGGAACCATTTGTCCGTGGATGGTTTAATTGTCGCGCCGTGGAACTCCGTGGTAAAGATCCAAGTCGACGCAGAATACGTAGTTCATAGAAATACTTATTAATGGAGTTAGTAACAGCTTAAGCATTGCAGAACAACATCGCTTCTCTATAGACAGTCAAGTACTAATTGTCCCCCTCTGATAGGGAAAATAGCGAGGCTTGGTCTTTTAACCTTATTATTTTACGTCTAGTATTATGTATTAGTATCTAGTATAAGTATTATATAGAAATTAGTAAGGCCAACGATTTAGCGATAGGGGGTTCAACTGAGGCCTAGCAATTCCCCAGCCGCTTAGCTCTAGAAGAGGCTGCCACTGAATCCAGTAGATCTAGCAAGCTAAAGCCTGACACCGCACATTAACCGCACTTTTTATAAAATCCTCAAAGAACACATGCAAATTTTGTTAAGCTGCTAAATGTACAATAAACTATCCGTAAGCTGTCTAACTTATATTTAGACTATGGCGCGACTTACTGAGCGAATGTGATACGACAATAGAGTTTTGTCCCGCGTAGGAGCTGGCATTGCATAATACACCCTATTATCTAGTCTAGGTGAGGGAGGGACAAATGATTGCCTTGAGACATGAATAGGTCAGGTGTTTCTTATTGATGTCTGTTTGCCTCTTGGCTCCAACCTTAGAACCTCATCTTTTAGGCGGCCGCTGGTTCGCATTCATGTTTTCTATAGCGGCCTTATTTTTCTTTGTCTCATCCGCGAGACGAAATATGACAAGTCAGCAGACAATTACGCTAGTGAATTTCAAGTACGCCACAAGTACATTAAAGAGCTCTGAATGCAACAGGCTACCAGGTTCTAGCACACTGTTGGTGGCGTCACTCTCAGTCTCACAATCAATACCATATCTCCGACACCCCTGTCCGTATTGTTATTCATGCTAAACATACAAACATACATAAGCGCGCGCCCTTCACTATCGTCTAATTCTTTGGATTATGAGAAACGATGTTATTCTATGCCACCTAACATAATAGGAAAAAGAGGGTGGAAGTGGGAACTTACAGGTTTCATTAACAGTCACACACCCTTCTATTGGCAATAGGAAAAAGATATTCGTACGTGTACACAGTAAGTAACTTGATCGACTTACTAGCCCTTTGTACTGATGTCACATTTCTGTTCAATGCTACTGCCAATTTGCGGCCTCAAACAATAGATTGTATAGCAAGCAATATATCTCCCTCCGATAGTGATTTATTCTGAGAACACATGGTCTGTATCCGATATGGTTTGCATACTTTAAAGGGTAAGCAAATAACGAAGCGAGATATAATCAAGGGAATCGAGTACCCATGCCTTCAAAATGTAAGCCCTGTCCGCATCCTCTTTGCTCTTCTCTCTATTGCTAATCTCTCTTCCTGCCGTCTCTCGTATCTACCAGGATCGCCACCTTGGCATTACAACTCTTTGTTCTTGTCTTGAGCAACCAACAAGCCCACACCCTAGCTTATTTACGATGCTATCATTGTATGGAAGAACAACCAGGCTGCCAATTTGCAAGTACTTCATACACAGTATACCAACTCGCAATCGACGGAAATTGGCGCCATCACACAGGAAGCCGCATTGTTTCATCTCTGCTCTTCGATACCTTTCCGTCTTGGGGGGTTTGCTTCTTCTCCGAGCCCAGCAATAAAAAGGGCCGTCATCCTCAGCACAAGTCCTCGACTCATTGTATCCGAAAAACCCCACGAGTAACACCCTGGCTATTCACGAGTTTATCTTACCAAGTTCAAACCCCCAAAGAACAATGGATGACTCTCTCCAGCCTTCAGGGAAGGCCATATTACTTGAACAATATCACCAGCACCGTGGAAAGCATGTCGAGCGTGTATCCCCAAAGGATGCCTTCGATGTACAACTCAGCGATGCACAGACACGGCATCACAAGGCCAGCCTACTGTACGGTAGAGAATCGACAGTCGTCATGGGTAGCGGTGGTAATGTTGCTACCAACCCTAATTACAACGATTGTCGTCTTGCCTGGAAAAGGATTGAAGAACTCGAAGGTATAAAAGCGACAATGGAACAAGAAGAGTCCGAGTATCAGCATCGGCTCGAACAAGAGCAAGCGGATGGGCTGCTTGAGCATCTCGACATACTTGGCATTCCGCTATGCAGCAAAGTATTCACCCAATGGCTTGCCGCTCAACGGGCGCCACCTACCCCTACGAAAGACCAAGTTGGAGACGAAGACCAATCTACCTACATGGACTTGGAGTTTAGCCCTATCAGAGCCGACGCTCAGCAGCCACCTGCCGCAGCCCTTCCAGTTATGAAGAACCCTCCTGTTACCGAACAAGGATACCATCCGGACATGTCTACAAGTGACCCGCAACGGCCGACTGAGATTACAACAACGGTACAGGATGAAGCGCAGGAGACTCGTCCCAATCCTGGGCCATCCAGGATCACGAGGATGGCCCATGGCGGTATTCAGAAGTCCTTGGCAAAGACATCTATCGAGTTCGAACAGGTGTACCAAGGCGGCAACGCCCCTCGCAAATATGTCATTAGTAAATTCAACGACCGCTGGTATATCTTCGAGTGTAAAAAACACAAAAAACAATTCCGAACCGCCAATCCTATTCAAGGTGCCTGGAAGCATCTTAGAAGTCGGAAGCACTACTCAGACTCGTATGGAGTCAACTACCACATGGCAGTCGTTGAGTTGGGTACGGAAGTGTTGCATTGCGACGACGACAAGGCCAAGTTGAACAACAAGAGAGCTATCATTTACAAGGCAAGAAAAACAAATAATCCCCAAAACATGGATGACATACTTCCCACTCGAGCTAGCCAGTCATCATCGACTATGACCACTCATCGAAGCCATGTTTCAGACATTTGGCCTCAACTTGGCGAGGTCTACAAGACCTTTTGGAAGTCCGAGCAAAAGTTCTACGCCGTCCTGATCCTCCCATTAGACATGAACTTGAACTTCAGCCACTTGGTTTCGGATTGGGACACGTCTCTGAAGCATACGCCGCTCCGACCTCGTCTTCCATCATGCTACGTCCAGTCGGAAGATGGTCGATTAGAGTTTACCGAGGATCACAAACCCGGCGGTTCGAAAGAGACCAAGCGCAAGTACCCCGTAGTCTATTTCCACAAGACTAGGTTCCCGAGCGAGTGTGATCTTGACTGGATTTATGTCTCAAATCTCGAGCCTTATGATCCTTCCGACGACAGCATTGAGCACAGGCACAGACAGCTGGTCAACGAGTACTTGTCGAATTACGGCAACGCCGAAAATGCAGGAATCGAAGGAGCGAGTGAGTCATCTTCCATTCAGCTTCAGTCGCAAGTTACTAATTAAGTTTACTGTAGACGATGTCGCTGAACCCACTGCTGGTAGCCTGGGCCCCGAGACCTTCCACGTTTGCCTTCCGACCCCACATCACTCTTCTCCAGCAGCAGAACAGTCAGATTTCAGCAGGGATAACAGTCCACTGAATTATGACGATGACATCGAGTTCGAAAGAAGCCTCACCGCACGGACTCGTGAAAACTCCTCTCGAGTGAAGGAGGAAGTGGTTCAGCCTAGCCCCATGGATATGTCTGGTGTTCCGATTCGCAACAAGGAAGTTGGGGCTTCAGAAGAGCCCGCCATGCTGAGCCAAGAGGAACAGAACGACCAAGCTAGTGATATTAGACCAGATCTTGAGCAGCATGGCTCTTACATGGACGTTGACTCCTACGCTGAAAGTGTGAACGATGACAGCATGACCACTCCGGAGGAGCGGCGTACTCACGAGTGCTACCGAGATATCCTAAATGACATGCCTCCCCAATCAAGCACTACCCCTCTTCGCGATCCCTTGCGGCCACAGGCCGAGGTCGCAAACATGAGCGTGGATACCCAAGGTGGGATTAGCTCTACAGAAGTCCCAATCTCCTACGAAGTTGTGGCTAACCCGGTATTATAGCATACCGAGACCGGCCAGCATGACGTCCCGCAGAGCCTAAAGGTCGCTCGACGAAGTCTACACGACCTCTACAGGCAAATGAACAGACGTTCAACGGTAGAAGGACATGGAGCACTTCAACACACAATTCGAAGTGATGGGGACGGAATGTGGGCATTGACTGGGACTCCAAATGAGACTCCTTATAGAGCCTTGCAGTCATCTTACTCGCGACAGAGACGAAGGGAGCGTCCAAAACCATCGTTGTTTATACCTCGAAGACGCTAAGGGTGTTCACAGCAGAGGATACGGAGTTGCTTGACGATTACATTCATTTTAAAACTAGCTGAAGAATGGAAAGGTTAATGGAAGTGTGCGAATTAAAAGAAGTAGAAAAGAAAGAGAGAGAGAAGGGAACAGAACGGATACAACACAAACATGATTAATTCTTTGAGGAACAATGTATAGCTTGTATTTATTAAGGTAGTAGAAGGTCTCTACCATACCTAGTTGACCACAATAGGCACAATGAAACACTCGAAGCACGATCTCGCCCCTATCCCCATAGGCATATTATACAGTGATGAAGCTTTGTTTATAACACAGTATACACCAAATACTAAATCCTATTAACTTGGGAGCTATCTAGACAAAGGCCCCAGTGCATTAATAGACCGGGGCGCTATTATTTGATACGTGTTTGCTTCTAGTCTGGTATATAGAAGCCGCATCTTTATGAGGCTATCGGATTACCATCCACCCGCATTCGCTACAGTCGCCTTACTTACCCTGCCTCGCTTATGGAATGGAATGTGATAAGTCGAGAGATTACTACGCTAGTTGAATTGATTTAGGCCGCAATACAATGAATAATCTCCAGGATTGTCAAACAGTCGGTCGGCATCTTTTCTAGCTTCATGGCGAATATTATATCTCCGATACCCCTGCTAAATGTACGGATCCATATCAGGTTACTTTTCATAACGCCAAATAGCAAACATACCTAGGGAATTGCTCAAATGCAAGCCCTCTTCTTTATGCACCCCCCTCCCTCAGCAAACACGCCAAACTACAGATGTAAAGTTATCACTCAGAGTAACACTTCGCTATACATATGTTTCTTTATTCATTGTAACAACGACTTGGCATCCCACTCCTTGCTTTTTCTCCTACACAGTATATCTGGAGTCTTCCAAACCCCGGCCCACTTTCCATGGTTTCACTGAACGGAAGGGAAATCAGGCTTGGCCAACTCGCAAGTGCTTTGTGCAATATGAATCGGATACCAACTTGCAATCAGCGGAAATTAGCGTCCTCACTCAACCCACAGTTACTTTGTTTTCTTCTGATTCCTTCTGCGCTTTTCCATGCTATGGGTGACCTACTCCGACTGCCAAGGAATTCCAACACATAAAGGACTTGCCGCCTAGCTCAACCCTTCGACTTGATCTATCCTCCACAAAATGGTAGCCTCGGGGCGAAGTCATCTATCTATCATTTTACAGGGCCTATTGGTTAATTTTGTTAGGATTGAAGTAACAAAAAACAATGAGCGACCCTTTTAGACCTTCCGAAATGGCCATACGGCTTCAAAAATACCATCGACGTTGCGAATTGCTGTTTGTCGATACCCCAACCCCCCGAGACGATGTCTTCGAAGTGAACCGCCGAAACGCAGAGGCATGGCACAGAAAGACCGACGAAATGTGGTTGGCATCTTTGAAAAATGAGGACGTTTTTTCTTCCCAGGCTCGTAAGAAAGTATCTGACCATGTGAAGGAAAATCTCGCACAAATCGTATATCGGAATGAGGATGAGCAACGGAAGGGACTAGGAAAGAAAGCAGAGAATGCGTTAAAGGAACATCTCGACATACTTGGGCCAGTTGCCAGAAGGGTATGCACCAATTGGCTCTCCGATCAAGAGGCGCCACCGACCCCTATGCAAGACCGAGTCGAGGACGAGGCCTTATCAGCCAACTCCATAACAGAATCGCGATCGCCCATCCTGCCATGCAGCTTGGACAAATCAATAATCGTAGCGTCTACGGTTACAGCTCCATCTTTTGTGGTCGACGAGCCAGATCAGTCGCTCGTCGTAACGAATGAACATCAAGACGTAATTCGACATGTTGAGCCTGCTGAGCCTTCCGCGTCTACCCCGTCCACACAGAATAACAGGCGTCCAAGATCTCTCGACACGGAACCACTCCAGCCCAACAAAAGCAAGAGAAGGTTTGTGTCCGATGTACCCCTGACAGATAAGACAATCACGCTCTATCAGGTCGAAAATGGACCGAAGGACTACGTTATCGAGCACTTTGGAGGTATTCCGTATGTTCTTGAGTGTGCAGAGCATGGAAAGGAATTCCACGTCCGTGGTGCTATAAACAGTGCCCAGACCCACCTCAGGACACCGGAACATTACGATACGGCCAACAACCCTGATATTTCCCTAACATGGGACAAGGTAATCGCCAAGCTTGGTAAACGTGTGCTGTATTGCACCTTATATGATGCGAAGAGGAACAATGCTTTTGTTCTGGGGAAGCAGAACGTCCGCAACGGGCAATCCACTCGAACACGTTCAAGTCTAACTGCAATCGCGGACGACAACACCGACGCTGCGCCGAATTCCAGTCGGACCCGTTCTGTAACTCGTCTTCGCCAATACAACGCTAGGCCTATAGAAGGCCCAGTTGGCAGTAAGTTCTAAATATTCAAGCTTGGTGTAAGTGATGATACTAACCGTGCTTGCTATAGATAGCGTCAATATCGCCGACGGTACTTCCGCAAACGAAACCTCTAAAGTCTTCTATAACCGCACAGCGGGCACAGATTACGCTTCTCCCGAAGAGAGACGATCCCTTATAACCGCCGGAAAGCAAGCAATTCGGCGTCCGGTCGCCGTCGCGCCTGACGTTCGGTTTCCTGCTTGTGATGGTCTACCTAGATACGAAGAGCCTTACCGACCTAGTGACAATGGGCCAGATTTGGACCACCATGGCGATCATATGGAGGTTGATTGCCGGACCATCAATGACAGTGCTGACAGCTCTGACAGCACTGGCTACTACCTGCCCTTTGTAAGGAGCACATTCCAATTGGGTAGCACCAATTACGACAGTCACTTGCATCGAGAGGTTGAGGACCTATCCATGAGTGATGGTGCTCAAGCTGGACCTAGCTCTAGAAGTGCTGTGGTCAAGAGTGAGGAGCGGTCTAAGGCTAGAGTGCAGGCAAGGAATGCGGCGGAGGTGGCCTATAGCAGAATATTGGCCGATCCACCCTCTGCAGCTACAAGCGATCTAGGATAGTAAGTTTCATCCGACCATGTAAGTCGATCGCGACTGTCCAACAGGTCCGAATCAAGACCCTCCTAACGTTTGCCAGGATGTTCTTGCGGATAGCACATCTACCAATCCCCATAAGCAGACCTACTTGTACAAAATTGCGCAATCAACAGGTCTTGTCGATAAACGTCTATTCAGCCTGTACTCTCAATTGAATAACTCTTTGACGAAGGAGGGGCCAGTTCAGGCCATTGTGTGGAGTGACGGTTGGGCAACGTGGCTGTTGGTCTGGACTTCAGCGGTTGTGGCCATCTTTTCTTAGCAACAATCTTTGAATGGCAGTTAATGTAATTAAAGAGGGAGAAAGGGAAGAAAGGAAGAAAGAATGGGAACGATACAACAGAAGAATGATTGCTCTTTGGGTGAAGGGGGGGTTTATGTACGCAGCTCTTATCTATTTCCTATTAATTCTATCTTTAACGCCATCGCATCCTTCTCCCCGTGAAGTGACACGATTATAGCTTTGGTACAACAACACCCTTCCTCAATCTCATAATAGACTGTTGCGTATTCGACGCGATCAAATTGCCATGCTTATCAAATAACTTCCCCTCCGCATAAGTTCTGTTCCCACCACCCCTCGACGTCTTGCGCTCCCTAAGATACCACTCATTCATCTTAATCTCCGGCACAAAAATGCGTAGCGCAAAGTCCAGCGTGGAACAGGCGGTCGTGTCGTCAAACCACATGTGGTTATGCGTAAGCGGTAAAAACGAAAGGGCGCCGTCCATTAAGAATGCTAGCACGCTCATATTGTCGATGTACGTGTTGAGTGGTTCGCGAGCACGTTGCCATTCCGCGGAGACCTTTTCGGTGATTGAGCGGTCGTCCTGTGTTGTGACGGTGGTTTTGGCGACGCCTGTAAGGTTCTGGGCTGAGACACCATCTGTGCAGTATCTCGTCTCGAAAAAGTCGGCGTTTGCAGCGAAGGTCTCGGCGACAATCTTGCCTTGATCCCCAGTGATGTTACCCTTGTCTGAAAGGTCTTTAATAAGTGTCTCCAAGTCTGGACAATCCTCCGCCCTCGGCCACTTTGAGCATGTCGCCTCAGAATACTCAAAGTCGGACGTCTCATTAACGTGGAAATCCGCCAAGACCTCCATGCAGACGCGAAACTCGCCATTAGCCTGCTGTTGCTTGACCTGTACTCTGCGCGTCGCGAACGTCCTTGTATCTCTGATGTTGGTGACGCTGCAGTACAGTTTCTTTTCTGTCGAGGCAGGACCATGGAAGTGTCCGAGAACCGAGTAGAGTGACATTGTAGGAGGTGCTGTATGGCATGCAGCGTTGACAGCTACGCCCGCTGTGCAGCCTCCGTAGGCGATGGGCGCAGCGTTACCCATTCGGACGGGATTCCGTCTCGAGACATACTCACCGTCACTTACTTGGTCAACGGCGACCTGGTCTGTAAGTGTTTTAGCCATTATTATTTAGAAAACGACTGTTGACTCGTCAAAGTTGTCCGTAAAGGGAGACTTCTGTGTTCTTAACATCTTGAATTAAAGACCGATTAAGCTCGGTTTAGGTGGGTCTACCTCGGCTCGGTTGTTGGTAGAGTGGATCTTGAATCATGGAGAAGACGCGACGCGTACAGATTGAAGAAGTCACATGCTATCGACCTCTTTACATGGACCTTGACAGATATAAGAAAGAACTACATGTATGGCAAGATGGATTATTATTGCCATCTCTGCCACTTACAGTTTTGGGACTTTAAGCCTACCTATCTTGAAATAACACGCAGGTTATAGCTTCACTTTGGCGCTATAACTTCTGCTCAGCAATATGACTTATTCCCGGGCTTGATTTCCTGCCATTACAACAAATAGATGGTTTTTTTTATACCGAATTGTCACACGCCAACCCGACAGGGCTCTTCTAACGGGCCCGGCTTACTGAACGCTTACAGAGCTCGTTGTAGCTCATTAGCAGTTTGTTTCTGCACACATCGTCTTGTTCATTAACACGGGCAATGAAGACACTGCTGCTTGCTTGCTCACCGCAACAGACATTCATGGCTGTCAATCAGCCCAGCTGTCACCTATGTCTTTGTAGTGATTACGTGCAAGTGTAACCCACATCGCGCCATCATGTCAGTCAAGCATCGGGGCATCGGCCAATTTAGAATACCGTCATTGTTATCGTTATCGCACATCAACAATAAAGGCGGCGTAACCACGCTCCGAAAAGTCTCCGCCCGGTCCAACTCTTTCACCTTTTCCCTATAGCCCCAGCCTAGACAGAAAACGGCGACTAATCCGATCTCATACAGGGGATAGCTCACAGTGGCTGGCTGAATTAAGATCAATGACAAGTTTATCGGGATAGTAAAGGTCCAGAACATCTTGGCCTCTCCAAACACATTCACAAAAAACAAATAATTAACCTATTTCAATCAACATTGGCAAAGCTAACGGTGTCGCCGATGGCTGAAGCAAGCAAACGGTGAAGGTGCAGGTTAACGTGGCATTGCATTGGTTTATTGAGATTCGCGATGCTAGCGGATGCAGGCAAAATAAGATCAGCCAAGCCAAATTCGAATGAATCTTACGATAAAGGGTCTTTAACCGGATTAAGTTGCATTCTCGAATCACCATTGGGCACCATCAGTTGTCGACCAACGAAAGAAAAAAGAGTGCGAAAAAACGTTGCATTAAGAACATACTGAATCCCTGCGAGGCGATTCCCAAACGGGGGACCTCTTCATAAGCGAAAGTGTCAGCTCGAATCTTACCCTCCAAGACGCTCGCTTTTGCTTGTCCGGACCCCCGCGGGCTCCTCCAGAGTGGATGAATTATCCACTGAAATCCCTAAAAGGTTGCATTCTAACAAAGGAGAAGGGGAAAATGGTAGAAGCGATCGGATGGAATCATGACGCCGTCAATCCCCCATTGTTGTTGAGTCTCTCCGGGTTTTATCTACAATGCCCTGCCCCGGACCATGGGAAGGGCCTCCTCCTCAATTCTACCACACGCCGATACCTATCTTTGTTTCAAATTATATTGACTAGATGGAATACAAGCATAGTTCAATTTAAACGTCAACATATACAATTCCAGTACGACGGTAATTGGGTTTGATTGCCCCTCGAATCTTCCCGTAACCAGTTTAGTGGACTGTCACCATCATGACAGGTACGACAGGGGCCTTGTCGCCCGAAGGTTTAGGTTCAGCCTCAACAGCCAACAGCATCAAAGACGACATTACAGAACCAGCAAATCCCACGCCGAACATCGATAAAGAGATCAACAATCTTGCACGACAGCTATCGCGAGTATCGACAACAGCAGGTGCTGAATTAAACGCTTTCTCCCCGCAAGCCGGTACAAAACTCGACCCCAACTCCACCAATTTCGATCCGCGTGCATGGGTAAAGGCATTCGTCAAACTCGTTGAATCGGAAGATGGCTCAGCACCATCGCGAAGTTTGGGTGTCGCCTTCAAGGCCCTCAATGTCTACGGCTGGGGCACGGGAGCCGAACACCAAAAGACAGTTGTGGATTATCCTCTGGATGCCGTGTCGTACGTGTTGGGTCTTCTCGGACGGGGAAAGAAGAAAAGGGTCGACATCCTACGCAACTTTGAGGGTGTTATTGAACAAGGAGAGCTTCTTCTTGTGCTTGGTCCCCCTGGATCAGGATGCTCAACACTTCTCAAGACTATCGCGGGCGAGACAGCCGGTCTCGGAGTTGGATCTGACTCTTACATGAACTTTAGAGGTAACCAATCCTTGAACCCTATCACAACATCGCTTACATAGTTAGGTATCGACGAGAACCACATGCGTTCATCCTTTAGAGGAGATGTACTATACAATGCTGAAATCGACTGTCATCTCGCCCATCTCACCGTCGGCGAGACCCTCTCATTTGCCTCGAGCGCCCATTCCCTTCGCCATGTCCCCGGAGGTGTCACCCGCTCCCAAGCAGATACAATGATGCGCGACGTTATGATGTCTATCTTTGGCATTTCCCATACCGTCGACACTCGCGTTGGCGACGATTTTGTCCGGGGCGTTAGTGGCGGCGAGCGCAAGCGTGTTAGCATTGCCGAGGCGGCCCTAACCGGCGCAAAGCTTCAATGCTGGGACAACACAACTAGAGGTCTTGACAGTGGAAATGCCATTAACTTTTGCCGAAACTTGCGTCTTCAGGCTGATCTTGTCGGGGTTGCGGCCGCGGTGGCTATTTACCAGGCGCCGCAGTCAGCTTACGAGGTAAGCAATGGGTCTTTAACTGAGCCTTGCTATTGCGTGACACATGATATGCAGGACGGGTTAAACTAACGCGATCTAGTTATTTGATCGTGTGACGGTCTTGTACGAGGGTCATCAAATTTTCTTTGGTCGGATTCATGAAGCTAAGGCCTACTTCGAGAGCCTGGGTTTCGAGTGTAAGTGAAAGTCAATGTGGTGCAAAGGCAAACACTGACATAATGAAGGCCCCGACCGTCAAACAACACCCGACTTCCTCACATCAATGACAAGCCCGCAAGAACGTCGCGTGAAACTAGGATTTGAACGCACCGCCCCTCGAACACCCGCCGAGTTTGCCGAGCGATGGCAAGCCAGCTCTCACCGCAAGCAACTCGTTCGCGAATTGGAGACCTATGAACAAACCCACCCTCGTGAGGAACGTCTTGCGGAGTACAAGGAGTCACGTCGGGCGGAGCAATTTAAGAATCAGCGCAGCAAGTCCCCGTACACGATATCGTATCTCGCGCAGGTAAAGCTTACACTCTGGCGAGGATGGCGTCGATTGCTTGCGGACCCCGGATTCACCATCGCGTCTCTAGTCTTCAATTTAGTTATGGCACTGGTATTGGGTAGTATGTTCTTTAATCTTCCCGATGACTCGTCAAGCTTTTACTATAGAGGTGGTTTGATCTTCTTCGCTTTGCTGTTTAATGCCTTTGCCAGTCAACTTGAGGTGAGTGACATTTACTTCACCTTTTTGTGGCTGTACTAATGTAGTAGGTTCTTGCTGTCTATGCCGAGCGACCTGTTGTCGAGAAGCACAACCGCTACGCATTCTACCATCAATCTGCCCAAGCTATTGCAAGCTACATCATCGACCTGCCCTACAAGACTATCAACATGATAGTCTTCAACCTGCTCATCTACTTCATGTCTAACCTTCGTCGCGATGCTGGCAGCTTCTTCTTCTTCTGCCTCACTTCCTACCTCACCACTCTCGTCATGTCGTGTATTTACCGCACTCTGGCATGCGTGACCCGTACGACCCATCAAGCCATGATCCCTGTCTCAATTCTGAGTTTAGGGCTGATGATTTATACTGGCTTTACTATGCCTACGGATTACATGCTCGGGTGGTCTCGATGGATGAACTACATCAATCCGCTTGCTTATGCGTTCGAAGCCTTGATGGCAAACGAGTTTCATAACAGGCAGTATGGTTGCGCGACTATGGTTCCCCAGGGCCCCGGCTATGACAATCTTCCTGCCAATTCGACTATTTGCTCAGTTGTTGGTGCGATACCTGGATCGTCTATGGTTGATGGCGATAGGTATATCAACTTGTCATACAAATACTACAACTCACACAAATGGCGGTAAGTATTCTCTTCCTTCCGTCAGTCGTCCGCTAACCTTTAAAAGGAATATTGGTATTCTTCTCGGCTTTTTGGGTGCATTCTTGGTCTTTTACATATTCGCTGCCGAACACGCAAAGCCTCCCAGAAGCAAGGGCGAGATTCTTGTTTTCCGCAAGGGTCGCATGCCTCCCAGCTTCGACAAGAAAGACAGTACCGATATTGAAGCGCAAGCTACTGACCGACCTGTTGTTGCTGAAAAAGGGACTACCAACGCTAACAGTGGTCTCGCTGCTGGTGCAAGTGTGTTTCACTGGGAAGATTTGTGCTATGATATTCAGATAAAAGGTAAAGACCGACGTCTACTCGATCATGTTGACGGTTGGGTCAAGCCTGGTCTTTCCACAGCTCTTATGGTAAGCTTCTCCTCGTATCAATCTTCAATATGTCTATGCTAACTGCCACAGGGGGTCTCTGGTGCTGGCAAAACAACCCTTCTCGATGTCCTCGCCACACGCGTCACAATGGGTATAGTCAGCGGCAACACCCACATTGATGGGAAGTCCACCGACGCATCATTCCAGCACCGCGTCGGCTACGTCCAACAGCAAGACCTCCATCTCAACACCATGACTGTCCGCGAAGCCCTTGAGTTTAGCGCCCTCCTACGCCAATCCGCCGAGATATCCCGACAGGACAAGCTCGACTACGTGGAGCAAGTAATCGATATGCTAGACATGCAGGAATTCTCGGATGCCGTTATTGGTGTTCCTGGCGAGGGTCTCAACGTCGAGCAGAGGAAGAGGTTGACGATTGGTGTAGAGCTTGCTGCTAGGCCGCAGTTGCTTGTCTTTTTGGATGAGCCTACTTCCGGTCTTGATTCACAGACTTCTTGGGCGATTTGCGACCTTATCGAGAAACTCACATCAAGTGGCCAGGCTGTGTTGTGCACCATTCACCAGCCTTCCGCCATACTCTTCCAGCGTTTTGACCGTCTACTCTTGTTAGCTCCTGGTGGAAAGACAGTTTACTTCGGCGGTAGGTCTTCAATTGCCGTATGCGGCACCCTTTACTAATTACTTTTAGACCTCGGACATCAATCGCAGACTCTCCTCAATTACTTCGAACGTAACGGCGCTCCTCCATGCCCTGCAGATGCAAACCCCGCCGAGTACATGCTCAACATCATCCAGCCTTCCAACGACGAAGAAGTCGACAACATCGACTGGCATCATGTTTGGAGAAGTTCTCCAGAGTTCCAAAGTGTCAAGCAGGAGCTTCAACGGCTGAACGCTCTGCCATCTACGCAGCCAACGGGTAGTAGCGCATTCGACAACACAGATGCATCACAGCATCAGGAGTTTGTTGCTTCGTTCTGGACGCAGTTCCGCGAGGTGCTGATTCGTACTTGGAAGAACTTCTGGCGGTCGCCTACGTACATCTGGTCCAAGACTGTCTTGATCATCTTATCGGTATGTCTTTTTTAATACACAGATACTGGCTTTGGCTAATGCGTGCTAGTCTCTTTACATCGGATTTACATTCGAAGCGAAGAATACGATTCAAGGGTTACAGAACCAGCTTTATGCTATTTTTATGTACATGGTTCTTTTCCAAAGTATCACCAATCAGATCATGCCCATATTTGTTCCGCAGCGAGCCTTGTACGAGGTCCGCGAGAGACCATCCAAGATTTATCGCTGGAATAGTAAGTTAACTTCCCTTCACTAAGAAAGCCATGCTAATCATGTAGCTTATATCCTTTCCAATATCCTCGTCGAAGCGGCATGGAACACCTTGATGGCTGTCATCATCTACTTTTGCTGGTACTATCCCGTCGGCTTCGTCCAGAACACGACTTCGGATGATCAACACATCCGAGGCTTCCTCGTTTTCCTCTTCCTAATGATGTTTATGCTCTTCACGAGCACATTCTCACACTTTGGTATCGTATGTATTGGTTCAGCTGAAGAAGCTGGTGTTCTTGCCACTTTACTTTGGATGCTTTGCATTGCCTTTTGCGGGTTAGTTCTATCCTTTCTCTTCATGTTATCAATTGCTAAATCTTGACAGTGTCGGCGTCATATACAATGACATCCCCACCTTTTGGACCTTTATGTACCATGTTTCGCCAGCAACATACATTGTTGGAGGCATCATGTCGGTCGCAGTCTACGGCTCAGATGTAGTATGTGCAGATAATGAGATCCTTCAGATGCAGGTTCCTGGTGGCATGAACCTCACATGCGGCGACTTTATGGGTCCGTTTGTTGAGGCCGCGGGTGGCTATCTTGTTGACCGCTCCTCCACTGATGCTTGCCAATATTGTTCGCTTGCTTCAACGGAGCAGTTCCTGGCCAGGTTCAACATTGACTACGATGATCGATGGTGGCACTTTGGGTTGCTGTGGGTGTATGTTTTGGCGAATGTCCTCGGTGCCCTTGGATTGTATTGGTTGTTCAGGGTACCAAGGGGCAGTGGTGTTAAGAGAGCTTGAACAGTGCATAATTCGGATACAATCACATAGTAATGGCGGAGTACATGTTCAACTTATTTAACGAATGCTCATGAAATATAGAATCGATAAAACCCTGATTACGACAAGAATAACGAATGATCGCATTCGCTTATTGACGTGGCGCGTCGGAGGTGAGACAGAGAGCTGGCCAATTGCTATGGATGAGGCGGAGTTAGGTGATACGGACAATAAAGTCCGGGTGTCAGCACGAAGGATCAAGTTCAATTAACTTGTCAGAACTATTAGAGAGTATATTAACTCATTCATGGTCAGACAGTTATTTGTTTTGAGCTTGTTCCTTGTCTGATTGCCAACCTCTCCCAATTCTATTCTCATACCATATTTTCGACCCACATCAAACTCAACAACAATACGAATCTACTGAAACAGTAACTCACAGTAAAATCTCAATTAAAGTCATAAAGATGAACGAAAACGTCCTCCATTATGGAAACCAATTGATGGCCCTTGTCCCTGGTCTCATCGGCCTCAACCTTCTCGTCCGCCCCGAAGCAACTCTGCAGCAAATGGAGTTCACCATCCCGTCGGAGCCCAAAGCGCGACAACTTACTCAAGGTCTTGCGCGTGTCTACGGTATCAGAAATGTCGTCATCGGCTCCATCGGCCTCAACTTGAGTCTCACACGAGACCCGAAGCTGATCAACATGATTTATCTTGGTGGACTCGCCATGTGCGTGACGGATGGAATTGTTGCCAAGTCAGTAATTGGGCACGGAGAATGGATGCATTGGGTATTTGCGCCACTTTGTATTGCTGGGGCTGCTGCGAATTATTATTTGTCTTGAGATAGTCATTGGTTGAATATTCTGTATCGACAATAAGTGCGTCAAATATGTGGGCTATTAGTTAAGCGGATATGGCGGCATGATTTCGCAGCGGTTGATCGATGAAAGTCGTTTGAATTGTTAAAGTTTACAAAAAAACACTGCGCATCACAACTCTTCAACCATAAGAACCAGACAAATGAATAACATACTGTTTAGTAACATGGATTTTGTCTTTAAAGCATTGAAATAACTCCAAATAAGTGGAAGAGATGGAAATGATTATCTGGAATCGAGTTTCCGATAGGGTAAGTGTTGCTAAACCGAGATTGTTGTAGTGCATATAAACAACAATTTGTCTCGCACTAATAACCAACACATTCCCCTGTGGCTTAGTTGGCTAAAGCGTCCGACTGTTATTCATAGACAATCGGGAGATCGGAAGTTCGAGCCTTCCCGGGGGAGTTCTGTTTTTGCCAACCCCTCCAAAAGTGGTCCATCATTTTTTGCCTCGGCTCACTCATAAACAGGACACGAATGACCTGCGACTTGTACAGACATTTTTTAACATTGGAATCATTCAGATTTCAGTGCGTCAAGGGTTGTAATTGGACCATGGCATGGCCCTAACTTGCTGTTCTTAGTCTACCAGCCGTTAGATATTAGCTCAACTATTGGACAATCCCGTGTCCATCAGTTTCATATCGGCGTGAATAGGACATTGCGCTACCGGGAATACCAGGATTGAGTGCTATAGCACGTCTTGGCGCGACCAGGACCCTCATATCTTTTACATGATATGATTGCATGTGCCGCTGGAGGCTTGAGTTTTATACGCTAACTAACGAGATGGCCATGTCTCACAAATTATTCAAGCCGAGGCTGGCGACTGAAGATGCTTGTTTAATGATCATATATCTATACTTGGCTCAATGCATATCTGTATCAAGCTGTATATCATGCGGTACAACAGGAGTTCTCTGCATACCATGAGACGTGATGCTTTTTGATGTGCAGCAAAGTGTTTACACATCACGTGCTGTTGCTCGGGGGAGTTCTTTTGCAGTGACTGACTGGCAATGTGAGCTTGGTTACATTACAGAGGAACTAAAGCAAAGTGTTTCAGGTATAAAAAACAGTAGAAAACAACGACCAAAGATGCCCCATCATAGATCATGAGCTGGGAACCGGATCTTCAACCAAATCGAAGGATTCACTCCAAGTGGAGTCTCCGACACGGCAGAATCCTTCGTACAGCGACGAGATACGTACTCTTCTTGGTTCTGCAAACTGCAGCGTGTGCTTCACTAGTCCCATGGCGCAAGGAACTATGAACACGGCCCGTCTTGACGGACGACATGTTGTAGATCCGTTACCCTCCCCGGGCATTTTGCTGATGATAGTTATAAATGCACATGGCCCCGATGACCCTCTGTTCTGTCCCGGTTTTCTGGTAAGCTGTTGGTTATGTATGCTTGCTAGAACTTCAAATCACGCACAATGGGCCTGTGGGATGTTGATGATTTTGGCATCATTGCCGATAAGGCATGTTGGTCTATGTTTGCGGTAACAACAGGTACGTCTCACTGACGGCCAAACATTTCCAACTGTCGCTAACCTTTGGTACAGTGGTGGTTGTACTCAGACTCATCAGTCGCCAGTTCTTCGGTAAAGGGAATGTCGGAGGTGGCCTCGGCTGGGATGACTTTATCACAGCGTTCTGTGTTGTAGTCATGCTCGTTACGTGCATCATGATCACTATTGGTACACACTACGGCCTCGGTCGACGACTAAACGATATCGATCCTGCTCTCATCCCTAGCGCATTGAAATGGAATGTCATCATCAGCTCTGTGTTGATCTGGACCTTTTCACTCCCCAAGTTCGCCATCATCGCTACGCTGAAGCGCATCTTGGACTACGGATTGAAGACAACGATACTTTTCTGGGGCCTTGCAATCAGTTCTCAGGCTTGCATCCTGGCTACCTCAATCTGGTGGTACAAGCAATGCGACCCAGTGGAATTTGGCTGGGATAGAAGTATCGAGGGTGGGACTTGCGCTTCTGTGCAGGTCATGTCAGACTTGGGATATTTCACTTCCGCCTACTCTGCATTCCTGGATGGCTTTTTTGCGTTGTATCCGATTCCATTTATTATGCGACTCAACATGCCACTAAAGAACAGGATTCTGGTATCAATTGCATTGGGATTGAGCTTCCTAGCCTGTATCCTATCGATATACAAGCTTACCATCTTTGGGGAGATCTTTGTGGTACTCGCAGAGAACCCAACATGTGAGTTGTCTCTCGAAATTGCCTTGTCAACAACTGCTAACCTTCCTAGACCCCGTTCCTTTCCTTGACATACTCGGTCTGGGTGAAGGATGCATCCTTCTCATCTGTGCCTCTCTACCCACTCTGGGTCCCCTGTTCCGTTTCGCAAAAGGCAAGATAGCCACTGCCAACGCCAGCCGTATAACAGACAGCAGCAGGAAAGACACGCACAGCGGCCAATCGAGTGGAAGGTGGGACAAATTGGGAGGTCGACAGGGAGCTGATATGGAGCATGGATCTAGTAGGATCGGCTCCAGTGTCGACGACATTCCGCTTGTAATGGGCCTGAATCACGCCACGGATAACTCGACAAGTATCCACAAGACAGTTGAGTTCGGTGTATCACATGCTGAGCCAGACAATGACGGAACAGGGACTCGACCGGCTGGCTTCCGCGGTTATTCATCTGTTGAATAATGGGACAACGAACCGGATGATTGGAATTATTTAGCCTGTTATGCAGAATTCAAGAGAATGCAACTGTACCTTACCGTGCTGCTGGGATACGACTTTTGTTCCCTTGTGTTCCTGAACCACTATGCCGGGAAAAATGCAAGCAAAGATGATTTTGGAAGTTGATCAAGAATGTGGTGTCATCTCTTTCTTGGTATTGCTGCAGACTTTAGGGGACATGACAGGGATGCAGATCCTCTTTGTGATGGAACTCGCGGGAAATTTCCCACAAGGATTCGGGACCTGGTTCACTTGTGGATCTTGTTCCGTGTTCACACGAACTAACAGTCTAAGTCCAAGTGCGTGATTTCATATCTGCTTGTGTGCATTATAATAAAAAATGGTACGTAATAATCTTGATATAATATGTTAGTCGTGTTACAAGCCATAGTCTCACCTTGTCTGAGCGTTTAAGCGGCGTAGATCATCTATCAAACTTTCCCCAGAACTGAACGCGGACACAGCGGCTTTTTCGGAAGGTCTAAACAAGGGGAGACTTCAAGCAAGCTTCTGATTGGCAGAATCGATACGATTCAACGATGAGACCCTTGTCAGGTTCAGAGGCGAACTTTTTAGCTCTTCTTCACCTGAGATCGTCAGAGGCACGGACTTGACTTGACGGAATTGAACTGGAAATGCTATCAGGTACAAGGGTTCGGAAGTCTTGCTCCTGTCTACCGTTCCAATTACTATACACACTGAGAAACAAGCGTCTAGTGTATGTACTCTGTACTGTACATATCATGGATTACCCGCCATAATTTCTTTACGCTCATCAATTCTCTCGGTCCTGCATACTTCCCCCTGTCACCCAATTGCTTTTTTTCCAACATGGCATCTGCAGACAAACTCATCGAGGCCCTCCAAGGTCTTGACGCAAAGTCTTTCGCCAATGAAGCCGAGCGTGTTCGTGCTCTTGATGCCCTTGCATTGGCTGTTAGCAAGGTCCAGACACCCTGGGACACCGTGTGGCATCACTGCTGGGTAAACCCAGCCACAAATGCGTGTGCCAAAACTTTAATCGATGCTGGTGTTTTTCACAAGTGGATTGAAGCTGGTGGCCAGGAAAGGACTTGTGCTGAACTGGCTGAACTTACAAACACCGACCCAGTGCTCATTCGTAAGCCTCACCTTGTTTTCCACGAAAGTGCAATGTTAACAACGCCACAGGACGCATGGTTAGACAGATCTCTGGACAGAATCTCGTCATTGAGACTGCTGAGGATACCTATAAACCTACACCCTGGGTCCACGCTTTGACTGCCGATCAAGCCCTCGCCAACGTCTATGGCGGTCTCTCGGACTTTGTCAACGCTCCCATGTTTAGGACACTACCGTTCTACCTCAAGAAAACTGGATACAAGAACCCCACCGACCCAAATGACTGTAACTGGCAGTTCATGAAGGGCAAGCAGGAGAATCTGTTCCAATCGCTCGGTGCAGACCCTGTCGCTGCAAGGGAGTTCAACGATGCTATGGAGAGCCACTCCAAGTATAACCTGACGCCTTGGGTTGAGGTCTATCCAACTGAGACACTGGTTGCTGACTCCAAGTCTGACCGACCATTGGTAGTTGATGTTGGTGGAAGTAAGGGTCACGACTTGACCAAGTTCCACCTGCGCCATCCTGATATTCCTCACGGTAGCCTAGTTCTCCAAGACTTACCCGACATTCTCAAAGAACTCACAATCGCGGAAACTATCTCGGTGCATCCTCACGACTTCTTCACTCCTCAACCCGTCAAGGGTGCCCGTGCTTACTTTATGCATAACGTGCTACATGACTGGGAAGATAAGCAAGCCAAAGAGATCCTCAGACACCTTGCCGAAGCTATGGAACCTGGTTACTCCAAGCTTCTCATCCACGAGAGCTTGATCAGCACTATTAAGCCCCATGCGCGTGTTACAACATCTGATATCACCATGATGGCTTGTCTGGGTGCCAAGGAGAGAACCGAGGCTGAGTGGCGAGAATTAATTGAGAGTGTCGGATTAAAGGTGGTCAAGATTTGGAGACCACTTCAATCAGTGGAGAGTGTAATCGAGGCTGAACTTGCCTCGAGGTAGATGGAGTAATAAGAACATCCGCTTGCACTACTGATATGGCATTGGTAATTGTCTCTCGATAGAATCCGTCGAAATTTGTAAAATGCTACAATAGTAGAGATATGATGATGTTCTTTTGACCTTTTGAAAATTTTGCAATACTAGGTAACCCACTTTACTGCGCTCCTCGCAGCTCATCAAGTTGTTTTTTCAACACCTCATTCTCCTTCTTACATTCGTTCAGTCTTTCACTCAATTCTTCGGTCTGCTCCTGTGCACCAAGACCAAGCTCCTCAATGATCTTGACAACTCTCCACAGTCGCATGACCACTATCAAAGAAGCCACTTCTTCTAGGACGCCACGCAGGGCGACATCTGTGACGAAGCCCGCAACTACGATGAAAGCATCGAAGCAATGGAACCAAGAGTTGAAGTACCTAAACATCAGCCTTCGTATCGACAGAAATGATATGGGATATACTTACTCCCAACCAAATGCCCAAATAGAGGCAATCAATTCCGCGACAAACAGACACGAAAAGACCAGACCTATGGATCCCAGTATCTCCAGGGCTAGATCCCAATTGGATCCTTTCACACCTTGCTCGCACTTGAAAAGATTGAGGATAAAATCTGTGCTTCTCAGCCGACTACACTCTTGTATAAGTTTCTCAAGATTAACTCACCAGCAATCATGCTAAGAACATCTAGTGAGACCAAAGTAAGGACAGAGTAATGGCCACCCTTTGAGGAAATGAATTGGGCAGTCATTGCTCTGGCAGTTTGAACATTCCGTCCATCCTCTCTAAGTGCAGACGAGTGCCAGTGCTAGAGGTTCAATGATGGAACCCTGGTTTTGCGTGAGTGACGACGCATCAGTGGTTGATGCTCAAGAGTATCATCCGAGTAATTTACGCCGGTCGAAGTCATGGTTCCCAATGTGAATGTTGGTCGAGGTCAAGATTAGGTTCTGACTCAACAATGGTCGACGTACCTAAATCGGCCAGATTACGTCACTCTGGTTCCTGACATCTTGTTGTATGCAAATATTGACTCGCAATATGCGGAAGCCAATGACTCTGAGGTACAAAGATGAAGTATCTAAGAGTATGGTCTAAGCAGCATAGAGCGGCCTATTGATATTGTCTCTTATGCCTTGAGCGGCCAATCTTTCACTGCACATCAGATTTAAATCCCTTTCGCAATCGAATCCATCCAGAATCCGATTTGGATCCCAATTTGTCGTCAGCCTCCCTGTCGACGGTCTCCCACAAACCATTCTTTTCGTCTTTGTTGGCGTCAATGACTGGCCTATCGGCAGATTGCCTGTCGTTCAGCTCTCCCGGTCGCGCTTTCAGGGATACGTCAGCGGCTAGGGTACATGAGGTTGTTGAAATTCCTGGCAGGCACCCGTCCCTGGACACTGTGCTGCTGTAGCATTTGCCAGTAGCCGTGTGGATGGTAAGTCGCTTTGAACGTCCTGCGAGGCTCCTCGTCCGGCGTGTACATTACTTCCCACGAAAGGTCGGGGCAGGTGAAGAGTACAAATGATGCAAGGGTTTTGAGAGACGAGGCCCCTTCGCTACCTACCTTATACCCTTGCAGGGTATATTAGGGGCAGTTGTCGATACGTTTTTCGATAACAGCGAGTTTGAACGTAACACTGATAGTGAAGGGCTGGGGGTTTTGACGTCGGAACTCTCTGACACGCCTCTCCATGTCCATAGCTGGCATGACTTTGATCAACTTGCTTGCACATGACAAGTCGTCAAAGGAAAAGTAGGACTTGTCAACTATGGAATTATTCATGGCATCTTTTTCTCCCAGCGTCTTGCTCTGAGGTTCATTGCCAAACCAGCTGCATATCCAACTCATAGTGAAAGGTAGGGAATGAGTTAGGTAGTAGTAATGGTAGGTGAATAGCGGAAAAAGAAGCTGTTTCTCTGTATTGAGAAGATTGTTATAGGGAGGAGAATAAATTGAGAATATACAGGGTAGGATGCTTCTTCTTATCGTGATTATGAGGCCTCTTTTCGAAAATTTTAGAAAACAAAAGAACAAAAAGGTGGAACAAGTAAATGTAACCTCATGGGGGCTAAATGGAAAGAGTTTCCGTCAGTTCAGGAAGTCAAAGATAAGAAGGCCTAAAATCAAAAATTGACCGAGTTTATAGGAATTAGTTGATCTGGTTGTTGAACCTTTACCAACCCATTGCCTACATAAGGATTGGTGGTGCAAATAACCACTTTCACTGCCTAGAATTTGAGTGAAGCGCGTGGTTAATTTGAAGTTTGCATCGGAATCTAATCTTTTCACAAGATTACTTCGCCCCAAACACGTGAACATTCCACTCAGTAGGATCTGCTACTCGGTGACCGCGCAAAATGCAGGATAGATTGAACGAGCACGAGAATATTTGATCATTTAGAAATATAGCAGCATGAGATATTTTACACATATCAGGGGTACATTTTGCGAGATTTTGGACCTCTGCCTAATGACTGAGATGCTTAACCCAAATGATACTTCCTATGAAATTCCCATGCGCAGCACGTATGCCTAGTCACGAAAACTCTCTTTGAATTTCCAGAGATTTCCAAAAGTAAGTCTTCCACCACATCTCCGGGGATCCTATATAAAGGAGTGTGCCCTCCCTGTCCTGCCATTTTCTTTTTCTTCCTATAATAATCTCCTACACACATAAATTCAATCCATACCACAACTCATCTGCACTTCTTCCATCACTCACCACTACTCTTCTACCATTTACTACCACCACTTCTCAAGTTCTCCAGCATCTTTCATTATGACCTGTACACGCATCAGGTCTGGAAAGGAGGCTCAGGAAGTCGAGGGTCACTGTTCTTCGTGTAATGACATGGTCCTACCCACCGAGTATCCCTGGACCGACTTGGAAGGCAATGATACAGAGGAGGCGCAAGAAGCTGAACGTCCCTGCATTACATCGGACAACATGATCCTCCCCATGAGCGAATTGGAAGACGATGATACACTAGAAGACGTGACTTCAAAACGTATCTGGTTTGGAAAGGAGGCTCAGGAAGTTGAGCGTCCCTGTACTTCATGGGATGACATGATCCTGCCTACCAAGTATTCCTGGAGCGATTTGGAGGAGGAAGCCACCCAAGAAGATACTTTGGAAAACTATGTGTATTCTTCCAAAATATCCAACACCTACTACGCCGAAGAGAGCAAACTAGAAGCCCGACGAGAAGAGTTGAACGAGAGGCCGGCGCCAGAATATGATACAGATGACGATTGGTCGTCGGATGATGAAGACGACTGCGACTCCAACAGCGAATACGACGGGGGCGAAAAGTTTTATGAAGTCGCTTATGAACACTTTGATGATTGGCCGTCGTATCATCAGGACTAACCCGGAATTTCACCAAGTTCTTTCGGCATGCCATGTGGGATAAGTCTGGAAATCCGGCTGCTCACATGGCGTTTTTTGGTTTCATGGCGGACGTTATTATTATGGTGCTTTTTTCACTTTACAGGCAATACTGTCATAGTTTAAACATTTCAAATACCATAACTCATGATTCATTATTATTCTCAGTCTAATGTTTGTGAAATTATGTAATATGTACACTTCGATACTCCGACCTACTCAATAGGAGTAGCCTTGACGTAAGCGCAGTCGGGGTTGGAGAAAGGGTCGCCACAGCCGACATTATTATCCTTCTCGATAAAGACAGCAGGAAGGTTAAAGTAGCATTGCGGGATCTCACCCCAGGCCAGGTTACCAACGTCAATGTCATCAGCATCACTAAGCGCACAATCAAGAACTGCGCGGTAGTACTTCTCCCGGTCACCAAGACCGTAGTCAGCCATCTTTTCGTAAATAACCTCCTCAACCTCAACCCAGTCCTTGATACGATTGTTGTTTGGGTTGTTGCGCATGATGTAAAAGCAGTACTCCTCGCCGTCTTTGAGAGACATCCACTGGCGGCCAGTTGAGTATCCACAGTCCTCGCGACTTCCATAGCCAGCGCGCTTGTCAGCGACGAGGTGAAGTTTGGCAGCCTTCATTACATCGTTCGCGACCTTGGTCTTGATATTGTTGCTGATGGATGAAATGGCGACTTTGACAGCTGCAGCGTCATCGTCGAGGAGGAACCATCCACCGTTAAAGAATTTGGTAATCTTGGACTGGAAAGTATCCCATTTGGGAGCGGGAAGGGAATTGTATTCGTCTTCGGTGCCTCCACCCATAACAATGCGGAGGGTATCTTCGATCTTCTTGGTTGCAGACTCAAAGATGTCGGCGAGCGCTGCCGAGATGGTGCTCTGATCAATCTCGTCTTCACTCTGGCTAGCAAGACCGGAGAAGATGCCACCCAAGATACCAAAGCCGGCAGCGAACCCATTACCCTTGTCAAGTTAGTGTAAGTTGAGGTATTGAAGAGATTGAACTTACAGCACCGGGGACAAGTCCACCGACGGCATTACCCATGCTAGATGCAGCAGCCAGCCAACCCAAAACATTGCCAGCATCATTCTCACTGCCATCAAAGTCCTTCACCATTTGGCCGATTCGGAGACTACTGATTAGGGTTTCATCAGTGAGCTGTCTCTTCAGCTCATTGAACTTGGCGTGGACACCCTTGGCAGCCTGGACGATCCAGTAAGAGTTCTTGCCAATGATTGTGTCTTGGCCGTACTTGTCCCACTGGTCTTCACAGCTCATGTCGTTCAAGGGCTTGCACTGAGACCCAAGAACACCGCAACCAGCGGCACCACTCTTGCCACTGGTACCATCCATGACTTGGCTTTCGACATTCTTGAGCCAGTTGTTCTCGTGTTCTGTAGTTGTCAGTTTCTACGACCAAGAGGAGATCTCTAACAGACTTACCCCACTGCATGAGAATAAACATGTCGAGCTGTCCACCGGCTCCGGAATCTTCCCAGAGCTTATCAACACCTTCAGGAGTTCGTGTATCCCATCCATTCCCGTCCCATCCTTTGCAGAGAGTTTCCTTCTTGTCCCAAGCAGCAGGATCAAGTCTCTTGGACATAGGGGAAGCGCTTGCTATGGTGGCAAGTGCCAGAATGGCGGCGTTGGGCTTCATGATGTAAAGAGCGACAGTAAAGAAAGATTTGGTTGAATGAGAGTAAAAGTTGGGGATTCAAGGGGGGTTCTTGTTGTGACTGGATAGCCTGCCAGAAATAAGTAATCGAAGTGCAAGCGGCCAGCTATATATATCGAAGAGTCGCATGATTGATGGTAGAACCGCCTTGGAAATTAACATGAATCATGACGTTACAAAAAAATTCAATTCCCCGACTCTCGTTCCGCAAAAGGAGCCGTGCGTCGAGATTCAGGATGAGATGTTTGCAGGATGCGGTGGAGATCATCAGCTTATCGTTGCAACTCGATTTACTTTAAGTGGAAATCCAATAATTAATGCATAGAAAAAGGATGAGAGTCTTGGATGAGACTCGATTGATAATTGTGTCTTGTTGCCAAATTATCTATCTCCTTTTGGAGGATGTTGTGACGTTGGTTAACCGAGAGACCGGGCTGTGTTTTGCGATACAGATGAATAAAAAGAGATGGCCATTAACAAGAAGGCATCGAATATACTTTGTAACTACACGTGTATCATTCTTTTGGCTTCAAACTGCTTTGTCGACTTACATAGCCGAATTCGTCTGGATATTCTGACATCCCAGAGAAAGAAACTCGCCTCATTTTCACCTCTAATTACAATCATTACTACAGTTGAAACCTTGGCAGAAATCCTTCTGATGTTGAAACAGTCAATCAGCCTTATTGTGGAAAAGAAGGATTCGCAAGCACGATCTATCGCCAGTTCGGCAATAAATTAGGGCTTGGCGAGTGCCGGGACCAACTCATTCAGTGGCTGAGTCCTCTGAAACAACCCTTTAATTCGCTTTTGGATTGGCCAGTCTGTGCGCCGCGAACTGGGCAATTTGAGCTTTGTACATCTGCCAGGTATGTTCACTTGCTGATCTCTAAGCATTCACGATATCTGACAGGAAAGGACAAATTCAACCAGGAGGGGCCGTTGGTATTTTAATTTCGTACACTATTCAACTCCAGGGTATTGTCCATCGCTACCAATAAAGTAAGAGTCATTTGGCATTATCTGAGTAACTATATCTACATCACGCTCTTTGCCATATGTTAAAACTAAGTAAATATAAAAACCTGCGAGATCTAAGATTTATTATGGGAAAAGTATTCGTACAAAACGGAATTTCTTATGGGTAAGACTGGCACTATGCCTTTCTTCAGTAAGCAGATGCGAGAAAGATATTAAATATTATATAAAACTTATAAGACTAGCTTTGAGTCATGCTCAGCGGCTACGCTTGACACGACCAATATTAAACAGTATACAGAGTGCAGCGCCAACGCGTTCATTCTTCGTATCCTCATATATCATCACAAGAGTCCAAGCAAGACTGGCAGCGCAATAGCGCCACCAATCGCCTTGAGGTTCGATGCGCCGTTCTCCACAGTCGTAGGCTCAGATGCAGCAGTCGTTTGGTCAGCCGTTGAAGTCTCTGTAGCAGAGGCGGTTGTCTCTGCCTCTGTGCCAGTTGCTGTGGTAGTGACGGCATCAGAAGTCTTCACGCGGGCGACTGTGGTAGTAGAAGTAGCCTCGGACGATGTATCCGACGATGCAGGTAGCTTAATACCACAAGCAGCCTCAGCGTCAAATGTAAAGGGGAGATTCCACGCGACACAACCATCACTGGATCTCTCAATTTGCTCTATTAGTATGGTTAGTCAACATGTCATAGCAAAGCAGGCGATTTCCCGGCTTACCAGGCAGAACATTGTCGGCACAGTTCTCGGCGATACAGCAAAAGAACTTCTCTCGCATGTCGTTCAAGGTGCAAACGCAAGCCTTGTTGTCTTCATTACACTTGTTGGTAAAATACTTGAAGAAGCAGTTGTTCTAGACGAATTACACGTTAAAGAGATTATGCGCAGGCGGTAGAATTGGAACTTACATTACAGGTAGCGTCTTTGTTTTGCTTCTCTTGATCGTACGCCTGGCCAGCTACAAAGCTACCGGCCATACCAAGAAGAACCAACGCGTTGAGTAGACGAGTCATGATGATAGATGAGATGTTGATTCAGTATAGTGATGATGATACAAAATAAAGGGCAAGATTTGAGACACGCGACCCTTTTGGTATTTAAGTCACTGACATCGTGTCTTGCTAAGAGCTTACCCCTGACGCCTACTTAACCGGAACGGAAATGATTGGCGGATGAAAGGGTCTGGAAATTAATCATTAAGGGACCGTGAGGCGCTAGGAATCTTTAGTTAGTGCAAATAAGAAAGACGAAATTATTAGGTCACCCAGAGACTTTTCAAAGCAGACTTTTGGACTGTTTATTTCTACTAAGAGAGTGTCTTTTCTGTCATCCATTGAATGGAGCTTGTAAGGCTAGCGAATGAAACCGATGTGTCGGGCTTAGCGACCTCTGCGCCTCATAATGGTCACACCGAAGGATTCATCTTGCGGCGTATGTCCATTATAGTCAGAATAACGTTTGATCAACGCCATAAATAACATCGCGAGTCAGATCTCGTTGCAAATAAGCCGTTTTAAGCTTGAACCTATACGAGATTAGCGGTTGTATACGAGATCTACTGCCGACCTTCTTTCCCAACCTGTCTAACTACTTGAGTTACGGAAAGGACAGTCATTCTATCCAACCACTAGCACAAATCTGGGGACAATAGCTTATATTGAAATGGTGGTAATAATTCTTCTTAAGCCACCACCTCTTTCTCCCTCCAAACACACTAGTGTAGCCCAGTAGATATTCTCCTCACTCGGGCCCAGCATTGGCGTGTTTTACCAACATGGTTAAACGTAGTTCTTCATTTTATTTCTTTTTTTGTTATTTTATTCCGGGACATTATTAGGTCAGACGTTTAATATTTAAAGCTATGTTTACGCTGTATTACCGATAAAGCAGAGAGTTTCTACTTTGTAGATTTTACCACGATTTCCATATTATAGTTCATACATTATAGTAACTCTATCATATTTCCCTTTCCAAGATCTCATGCGGATACGGTGTTGGACAGACATTTCTATGAGTTATTACTCTTGCCCTTTTGCGAGTACCTTGCCAATACCTTCAAGAATATGATTTGAACTGTACTGGCCAGACGCACTATGAGAAGGTTGTCCGGCCCTTGGCAGTAATATATGAAACACAGCTATAGAAGAAAAGCACTATCATCTCCTAAGCAAGCATGAGTAGAGGCGTGAGAGCCTTCATAAACGGCGGTAGCATAAGTGTTATGCTCGACGAGCACGCCGTGATGTCATCAACTAGTTGTTACTGGATGATTCATAGGACTGTTATCCTTACGCTTGATGAATCTGACGATATGGCAACTCCGGGCCCTCTGTTACCTCGGCAACTGGTGTTAAGGATCCGCTATCACCACATACCAAGGTCCAGTCCCTTTCTCGCCTTGGTTTAGGCCATAACTTGTCCCTACTTCACATTAACCCCATGTTACTTCTACTTGATAATCGATATCTAGCTCACTAGATTGCGATGTCATCACGATAGCAATTCCCGGGCTGGTCGAGATACAACCGGGCGCTGCATTATAGTCTTCCGACTTGAACCTCGACGGCATAACATTGGACAAGGCAAACCAATATTGTGAGCTTTTAAGAACGCTAAAGGGGATAGAGTTCAACTTCTTTTGACCAGGGGGGAAATGATAAGGGACGCTAAAAATAGAACAAAGCCGTAAAATACGACTAGGAGAACCCAACATCTGTAGTACTTGTTCGTAGAGGATAGCAACGGTAGAGAGGAAGAATAGAGACAATGAACCGCACCGAAAGACTCATTACTAAGACTAAAAGGCAATGGTAGTGATTTCCACACGACGAGGCAGTGCCAGGTCTCACGTGACTTCGAAGTCCAGCTCCTTGCTGCAGAAAGGGAGTTATTCATCTCACCTTGCGCCTAGGTCAGGTGTCAGAGATCCGACTCGTGACGGGTAGGCAATGAATTTTCTATCCAATTTATGACATGAGAACCCAAATTCGTAGATCATATAATATGTTTAGTCTAGGGTAATGCTCAGAGGCCAGCTTTCTTGTTATATTAAGGTTCATTTTGATGTATCCTGGCATTCGTACAGAATATCGTGCAATCGTTGGAGTAGGACGCTTCTACTACCAGATATTTGTCTTCGACTTTGCAAAAAATGTATATAGAAGGTATCCGAACAGAACTTGAACGAAAGTCTGTCTTGCCGGTCAGTAGCAATACCCTTTATGGCTAAAGAACATTATATTACAAGGGCAGTGGCAATACGTTAGCCACAACGAAGAGAGGACTGGTTGCGGCATGCTTGTAGTGGTGATCGGCTTGGTGTGGTTGCTTCATATCGGCTAAATAGATATGACACCTGAGTGGTTTATGTCGTTTTAGGTCTCAAGCAGATCATTTGGGTCTCTGAGATACTTTGTGACACTCTCGGCTCCGAAACGCGTCATCTGCTATCCTGGCCCTGTTGACAGACGTCGGCTTTCGATGGGCAGGGAAGCGTGATCGAAGATTCCAGGGTGAATCAGTCGATTTCGATCTAGTTATCAGTCTGATCGAGTATCTGATATTAATATCTGCACTCATAAATGCACCCAAACCGCTTACAATGCCCGGTGAGGGGGCGGAAAATCCGTATTTGCAAGTGCCTCCCTGGAGTCCCTGGTGAGTTCGAGTTCGAGTTGATCGCAAACTGTTACATCCAAACAAAGCGATAGTTCGGTGGCACGGTATATTCACCAACATGGATTACATCTTGGGTTGTGTGGATGGGAAAACAAGACTTCAATGACCAATGCCGGACAGACAGGTCAAGAACAGACCATGCAGTAGGGCTGTACCATGCAACACGACCAACCACGAAAAGCAATTCCAGACGTTGATCACAGGATTCTAGAGCTTCCTTATCGAAGCATATGGCTGGAAAGGCGATTGAAGTAACCTGGATTTCCCGTGAATGGAGCTAATGGCGGACCTGGGAGGGTTACAATGTCTATTCAACGGGGCTCCCTGCACCTCTGAGTGACCCTATCTGTACCGCGGATCAGTTTACCCATCGTGTCCCATGGTGGGATGTCTATAGACCCACTCAATGGGTTTCAGGGATAGTGATTCCCTGGAATGGGCTGGACCGAGTGGTCAGACAAGCCAATACGGTGCGGTATGTGTGATTTGTCTATTCCGTATAATGCGATCTATTACAGGAAGGATTGTACTTCGGTGCCAGAGATAGGTGCTGACATGGAGCGCAGATTGGAACCATATTGGAATGTGTTTTAAGTGTTTAATAATCTGATAGACCTGCCTATTCAGTAACCGTCATCACATGGGTTATACAGTCATTCGACCACCAGTTCAATCAAATTTGCCAAGAACAATGTCATGATTATTTGTTGATAGGATATGATACCAAGAAAAAGTCTGCCGAAAGCCGAAAGATTGGGCAATTGCGTGCTCTGGGATGATGTCTCTCCAGCGTGGTATTCCTTGCTTGTCGGCCGAAAAAGAGCCCTATCGAATCCGTCCGTCTTGGCTCACACTACGACAAGCCTCGCTCGAGGTTAGCTTCTGCTTGGCTGCGCTGCGGCTCTGCGGTTAAAACGTCGCTTACAGAATTCGCATGTTGAACAATTATTTACGCAACAGTTTCAAGGTGTCAAGCACGAAATCACCACTTGATCTTGCGACTTGAGATTAAACTATGGCGAAATCTGGGGAGAGCCTGTTTCTGTTACTTGATGAATTGGGATTGACAAATTTGGCCACATAAGCATGCGATGACAAAAGATACGAGCTCCACTGTAACAGAAGAAGAAGAAGAAGAATCCGAGGCGCTAGACAAAGGGTCCTTTGCTTGTGGGTATTATCAGCGGTAGCACGCAGTAGCTCGTCGGGGGGTTTCACTGCAGGGATAGTGTTGGGCCATGTAGAAAAGTCCGTCTTGGACTTAGACCTCTAAGGATTCATCATGCCAAAAGTTCCGATTAGCAAAACGCCACGCGCGCCTACAGTCTGTTCTTGGTAATGGCTTTTAAACGCGAACGAAACAGTTTCTCTTTTGATTTAGGAGTCGAAAAGCAAAAGGTCCAGTTCCCCCAGGTATAATACGGGGTTTTACATAATTGATTTGTTCCCCGCAACGCACGAGACCATGACCGGTAGGAGGGTGAAGTCTAACCAGTAACCTTGCTCAACAAGCTTAACTTGTTGGTGGAAGGAGGCCCCAAAAGGGGCAGCTCATGGTGAATCTGTGAGGTAAGAAAATCCATTCGCAGAGGCCAACGGTGATGCATCTAATGTTAATTTGGTGGGGATACCTTTGACAGGACTCCAGGGTTGGCTGTCCTTTTACGATGGAGCTTAATTAGACGCGGTGGATTGGGCTTTTTGGAGTAACATTTCCGGGGCATTATCAGTAGGATTGGAGCGTGACGAGAACGTATTTGAACAATACTCGGGTTCAATGCAGAGTGATTCGTCAGTGCTGTCTTCAATTGCTGGACTCATTGTTCTAGAGCTTCTGGTAATCTCGATGTCAGCGTTAGAAGTACTTGCCATAGAATCGCTATCCCACTGTATTCCCGAAGCTGTAACAACCGTAACCAGGTTAGGAAGGTTACTGTTACATGAGGCGAAGAAATCAGGAGGCAAACTGTACCATTATCACGAAGCTAACATGTGCGCGAGTCGCGCTATCAATTATATTGTAGCGTCAACTTGTGAGTTTTTGATATGAAATTATTTACGACACGAATATGAGGCATAACGATTGTGGGTTTCCAATCTCTCATCGGGGTATTCCGATGAGCACGGTCTTGAGCCAACCCTAGAGTACATCCAAGCACGCGACAGTTGGTAAGTTTTCCCTTCTAATGTCACTGCCAAGACAAGACGTGACATGCGCAAGCCACTTTCATCACTTGATTGTAAGAGTAAATATTACGACATTCACAACCAGGAACGATCTACACCAAGGGAAAGCCATTCTTCAAGAGTGACCACTCGAATTTGAACAAAGGCGATTACCCTCTTGGCAGCTGAAACGGTAACCAAGATGAAGCCACAGATTGCCGCTCCCGTCTTCCAAATTTCTGTGGCTTGAACCAATGAAAAGCTGGGAATCTGATTCGGAGCCGGAAGACGCCCAGCTCCGAAGCGGTAATGGAGGGCAGTAAATTTGGAAATGGCAACTCTCTCATTTGTGCCTCGGTACCTCAATACGCCACGCTTCTATTCATGGCTTCGCGAAACAATGTTACTGCATCAATGCATTGTCGCATCTCCAGCAGAAGAGGTCCAGACTCTGCATTAAAGCTGAGAATAAAGCACAAGCTGAAGCTGAGGCTGAGAATTGACCACAGCTCGGATATAACCACTGCTCCGGGATTCCCCCTTCCAAGAAATGTCAAGAGATGGCCAAGTAACTAATCTGCCGTCTTGGCCCCGAGCCTCAAAGCCAACGACATGACCATCGGCCGACTGAAGTGCTGCAATGCTCCTCCAAAAGGTCGACCTTCCCTGTTAGGCGATAAGACATCGGCAAAAGGACCGAACATCTGTCTACCTTCTCCGTTAGTGCTCGGGCCTTGACCCCGCATGTGGCATAACCTCTGTTACATGGCCTTGGGGACTTTTGTTCTGGGGTCGTCAATTGGTGCTAGCGAAGATAAGGTCGTTGTCTCCACTCATTAACTCTACTGTTGATAGACTACAGTTTGTCAAAGTCAAAGTGGAAACTCTGGGGTCTGGTCTGTTACAACTGCTATCATGCTGGGATCGTCGCTTCATCCCAGGGAAGGTGGCAACGGCCAAGCCCGTCCTGTCGGATATTGGAGATGTGCATTCACCTCTGAGTCTGGGGCAACACGACCCCCATTCCTGCATCTGATATATAACCATCCCGTATCCTCCCACTTCTCCGTTTCCTTTCCCTCAGGGCATCCTCGACATCTCGTTTCACCCCCCTTCGTTTCAACAGTCTTTCCCACATCAGACTGCCAGCAGGACTCAAGTCAAAATGACTTCCACCGGTCCTATCGACAACGACGCCATCGCCCGCTCAGGGCTCGTAGACCCCGAGACTCACGGCATCCCCCAGGTCGCCGCCAAGGGCTCTATGGACGTGACACGCCGCTCCGTCTCCGACTCTGACGATGAGCTTCCCACACAGGAGGAGCTTCAGACGCTCCGTCGTGTCTCTGGAAAGATCAAGTGGGCCATGTACACCATTGCCTTCGTAGAGGCCTGCGAGCGTTTCTCCTACTACGGATCCGCTGTGCTCTACACCAACTTTGTTGCCCAGAAGCTCCCTCCTGGTTCCACAACCGGTGCTCCTCTTGATCCCGATGGTCAGGCTGGCGCTCTTGGCATGGGTCCCAAAGCCGCCCAGGGTATCTCTCTGTTCAACCAGTTCTTCGCTTATCTGATGCCTCTTGTCGGGTACGTTACATCTCATCGCGTCTCATCTCTCGAATCTCACTAACATCTCAACAGTGCCTGGGTTGCCGATGCTAAGCTCGGTCGTTTCCTCACCCTTCACATCGCCATTGCCATCTCTACCATTGCTCACACTATCCTGGTCGCTGCTTCATCCCCCAACGTCATTGTCCGCAAGGACCCTGCATTCGGTGCCTTCATCGTCGGTCTCATCACTCTCTGCGTCGGAACTGGTTTCTTCAAGGCCAACGTTTCTCCCCTCCTGGCTGATCAGAATGAGGACACCAAGATGCGCGTCGAGGTCCGCAACGGCGAGCGAGTTATTGTCGACCCTGCCGTGACAAACACCCGTGTCTTCCTCTACTTCTACCTTGCCATCAACATCGGTTCCGTCTGCGGTCAGATTGCTATGGTCTACGTTGAGAAGTACCACTCCTTCTGGTTGGCCTTCTTCATCCCTACCATCTTCTTCCTCATCGCTCCCATTGTCCTGGCTGTCAACAAGAAGAAGTACAAGCTCAAGCCTGCGACTGGTTCCGTCCTGTCCAAATTCTTGCGCATGTTCATCTACGTCTCCAAGCGCAGCCCTGCTTTCCGACCTAACTGGGAGCACGCCAAGCCCTCTCAGATTCCTGTCGACCAGCGCCCTGCTTGGATGACCTACGATGACGCCTGGGTTGACGAAGTCCGACGTGGTCTCATGGCCTGCAAGGTCTTCCTCTACCTGCCCGTCTTCCATCTGGCTTACAACCAGATGACCGGTAACCTGACCACCCAGGCTTCCACCATGGTTCTTAACGGTGTCCCCAACGATGTTATCCAGAACCTGAACCCTATCTCCATTGTCATCATGGTTCCCATCATCGATCACGTTCTGTACCCCGGTCTCCGAAAGCTGGGCATCTCTTTCACCCCCATCAAGCGTATGACAGTTGGTTTCTTGATCTCCGCCCTATCCATGGTCGCCTCTGCAGTGGTAAGTACTATCTTTTCAATATCAAATAACTCGATGCTAACTTGTAAAAGATGCAACACTACATCTACCAAAAGAGCCCTTGTGGCAAGTATGCCAACGGTGACGACCCTTCAACTGGCGAGAAGTGCGCTCCCGCCGATATCAACGTCTGGGCTCAGTGCCTTCCCTACATCTTCATCGGTCTCGGTGAGATCTTCACCAACGTCACTTCTTACGAGTACGCCTACTCCAAGGCTCCCGAGAACATGAAGTCACTTGTCATGAGTGTCAACCTCTTCATGTCTGCCTTTGCCTCCGCCATCGGTCAGGCTTTCACACCTCTCTCCGATGACCCTCTCCTCGTCTGGAACTACACCGTTGTTGCTGTCATCGCCTTTGTCGGCGGTGTTGCTTTCTGGTTCCAATTCAAGCACCTCGACGGTGAGGAAGACAAGTGGAACATGCTCAAGGCCTCAGAGTTCCAGGGTGGATACCAACCCAATGCTGTTGAGAACAAGGTTGCCGATGAGCATGAGGAGCCTTCCAATGCTCCTCGGGATGTTGAGAAGATGTGACTCCCAAAGGAGTGCAAGAGTTGTTATCGCTTTAGTTAAGATACCACTAGTATAATGTCCTGGATTACTCTTAAATAATTGAATCCATTTACTACATCACACGTTGTTAATGAAATGATTCGGACTTGATGCTCATTAGTGTAATGTGTGACAAGACTAGGTCTTCTGCGTAATTTGTTGATGAGTATCCGACATCTTGATCATGGTGTTAGTGGGGTGATGTGTTTGATGACAACTTTCACATGGGCACTGTTGCTAAAAAAGGAACAATACACCCAGAACCTTACCCTTGTACTTATGATTTAAAAATCCTTCCTAGTGGACATATCCATAGCAGAAACACTAGCCTTCCAAGTCTTGGATTACCAAAATAAACAACCTAAAAAGTCTGGTCTGAGAATCAAAAGTTTACATCCTAATTCCGTCTCTGGTGTTCAGCAGCCAATTTTTGATACATCAAAGTCTTCCGATTGCCATGCAACTAACTGACTTGAGTTGAGCGTACTGTAGGGTTCCTGTCTTTGTTCTCCGTTGTAGAAATGAAATCAGTGGCTGCTATAAACAACCTGAATCGCTAGCCATTATGATAAGTCGGATTGTCTACCTAATGGCTTTGTGCAATGTTCTACCACAAGGTAAAGAGATACTATGGCCATGGTAAATCTTTTTGTGCTTCCATCAAATACTAAGCTTATGCTGTGGTGTAAAGGCGGCGGTGAAAAACTGTTCTAAATAATATACGGTTATGATTACCATTCACTGGAGAACGAAGCTCGAGAGGAATTAATGAACAAAGCCACGAACAAAGAAAGAGGGGGGAAAACAGAATGGTGTTGTCTTTGTACCCACAAGGTAGTTGGTTTGGAAGGAGGAGGTCAAGAAACAGTAGAATGCCACCTGCCTGCCACTGCCACTGCCACTGCTACTGCCTGCCGCATCAACAACAGACTGCCTCCACCGGAAATACCAAAATACCACCAGCTCTGCACTTTCAAAATCAAATCACCAACACAGCACAACCATCTTCCTCTTCTATCTTTTACGACACAACCGCATGCCCCCAGGCTATCTGCGCCATGGCATCCTCACAGTACTGCAGAACTGGTCCTGTGCTCCTTACTCTCACCCCGCTCAACACTGCCTCTACCAATGTCCAGGAAGACTTCCGCAACAGGCGCTTCTGCAAAAGACCCGATCGACATGCACCTTCGAATGAGATTTACATCACCTTCAACCCTCATCGCGGTGAAGGCATCTATCCGTCCACAATCGGCCGGACAGGGCACATCATGCTACGTAAAGCATTCCCCGCGAACATCCAGTGCGCTTTTGAAATCCATAAAGACACTGGAGAGGTTATGCTTGTGGATAAGTCACCTAACCAGACTTGCTATGTGCGCTACACCACCAAAGTGTCCCGTGAGATCCTGGATTTCAGAGATTTTGGAGCCATGGTCATTTCTCCACAAGCCAAAAGAACCATACTCCACTCCGGCGAGAGAGGAAGCCCTTTTTTGGATGAAATGGGCTGTTGATTGGCAAATGCCAGGGCCAATCGACATGCAGACTTGGGCAGCGCAAGTAGGTTTCCATGCTCGGATCGGATAAAATATGGCACTCCGAAGCATTCCGCCAACAACACGTTTGGATTTCGATGGCGCCAACCGAGAGAACCGGTATCTGCCACGCGACAACATCCATGATGAGAGACGCTAAATAATCACCAGTGGCATCGATGCACTCACTGGCCATCTTGTGGTCATCAAGACGGTCATTGACGCAGAACCGGGTCGCTATCGCTTGGAAGGAGAGTCGAGAAAGGAACTCACCACTGAATTGAACCATGTAAGAATACTTGAATCCGCTTCTTGAACCCAGAACTAACGTTAGCAGCCTTACATGATGGGGTTCTTCCAAGTCGAAATCATGGGAGACTACTTCTATCTTGTCATGGAGTTGCAGGATGGCAATGTCTATGAACTCACACACATAGAGGGGTTCGTGGATGCCCGAGGCTTGTTCCAGCTTGGGGAAAACGTCGGCCGACCTCTAATACATCAGATGTTACAAGCCTTGGACTATCTTTCGTTGAACGAAATAATCCACCGGGATGTTGAGCCAAAAAACATTCTATATCGCCGCATCGACAAACACACCTACCACTACCGTCTCGCTGGCTTTAGTATGGCGACAACGGCCCCCACCCGCTTCTTGGCGATGGAACCTCACTGTTCATGGCACCCGAGGTTGAGGATCTGGATCGCGACGATCCCCATACGACCAAGATTGACATCTGGTCACTCTGTGTCTCGCTCTGTTTTATATTTGGCTTTGGCCTGACCTATGATGACAAAGTTTATGACAAGCAAGGCCGCGTTCAGCCAGATTGGATTTCTGTTCTCGAGGCTATGGCGGCTAATGACCCCAAGGACCGTGTTTCAGCGGGCGATGTGCTGGCGGAGATGTTTCGAGGAATGGGGCGAGTCACTAATGCTGAGTGAAGTAGTTGGCAAGCAACATCGCGCAAATACTGCTAAACGCCAAGGTCCTTCACTTAGTGCGGGATGGCAAACGAATATAGAAGGGGGCACGAGATCTGGAGTTTCTGTTTTTTCTTTCATTAGTTACTATGGTCGACAGTAATCCATTTCTTTTTTTGAGAGCCACTGACTTACTATACAGTCCTTACTGTACTGCGAAGGCATGAACCCAAAAAGCTTAGTAGTTAGGATCACGCCAAGTTCTAACGCATCCTTTTGGCCGTAGGTCAGCCCTATCATAGCACCCAGTCTTTCAGCAGCCAATCAGACCTCTCTCAGTGCGCAACGCCCCGCAACGCTATCCAAGGGTGATACTCCTGCAGAATGTCAGCGATGATATTGATGGGTCAAGATGTTTTTTGTAACAGATTCACCTATAAATACCTCTGCTCCTCGCTCTAAGAACTTGATATGAGAAACATCCCTTTCCCTTGTACAAACACCACTATGACTGTGGTTCCCATTCTTTATTACAGCGCCTTGGCCTTGGTCACTTACCTCATCTTCAAGTACACTCAACAACGTACGAAAGGTTCTTTACCGCCAGGCCCTAAAGGTTTACCTCTTTTCGGAAATGTACTTGATCTCCCCTCACCGGGCACGATAGAGTGGCTTCACTGGCAGAAACACAAAGACAAATATGGTCCAATCTCTTCCGTCTCCGTTCTGGGACAGTTGTTTGTCATACTGCACGACAAACAGACCATCACAGATCTGTTGGAGATGCGTGCCTTGAAAAGTGCTTCAAGGCCAAAGCTGGTGTTTGCGGGTGACGTGTAGGAAATCTCTCAGCCTGGTGATTTTTCTTTGCTAACCTTTGTTACACAGTGTTGGATATGATAGTATCATGGGCATGATGCCGTTTGACAGGACGTTTCGGTTGCATCGAAAGCTCACGGCGACCCAAGTCAGTAGCAAATCTATTGGTAGATTCGAGCCGATACAGGAACTTGAAATTCTCCGACTGTTACAGCGCATCTACAAAGACAATGATGGTGGTAATCTACCCGAGCATTTGAACCAGTAAGCCAACCTTTGTGTCAAGTCAACATTATCTAAAATATCCAAGAGTATCAGGTTCCATCATGCTCCGCATTCTCTACAACTACGAAACAGACCCTAGTAAGAACGACCATATCGTCTCCATGGCCAATACAGTCATGGAAGAGTTCTCGAAGGCGACAAGTCCAGGTGCTTGGACGGTAGACTTGATACCGTGGCTCAAATACCTACCAGAATGGATGCCCGGTGCAAGCTTCAAAAAGACAGCCAAGATCTACCGGAAGCATCTTCTGCAAAATGTCAAAGACCCTTACGATTACGTGAGAGATCAGATGGCTCGAGGTAACGACAATGTCTCGTATGTTGCTGGTTTGGTCAAAGACATCCATCGTAAAATAGACCCAGAAGAGGAGAGTGTCATCCAGTGGACGGCTGCTTCTATGATGAACGCTGGCACAGACACAACTGGCGCCACACTTCTATCGTTCTTTGCGGCCATGGTCATCTACCCAGACGTTCAGAAGCGAGCACAGGAGGAGATTGATCGTGTCGTTGGAGGTTCACGTCTCCCTTCCTTCTCTGACAAGGTAAATCTTCCTTACATCAACGCGATAGCCCAAGAAGCCTTACGATGGCACACACTCGCACCTATGGGGTTCCCACACATGACTACAGAAGACGACACATACAACGGTTACTTTATCCCGAAGAACACTCTCTTATTTCCCGCAGTAGCTTCGATCACGCATGACCCAGAGATATATCACGACCCGATGACCTTCAGACCTGAACGGTATTCCGAACCGTACAATGAGCCTTCGCCGTCTGATGTAGTATTTGGGTTTGGACGTAGAACTTGTCCGGGCAAGTGGATTGCTGAACAGACAATGTTCTTGATTATTGCACAGACTTTGGCTGTTTTCAATATTGAGAAAGATGTGGATGAGGAGGGGAGAGAAATTGATGTAGTATATGAGCAGTTGCCGGGAGTTATTGCCAGGGTGAAGCCATTTCCTCATAGGATTGTACTTAGGACCGAAGGTCATAGAAGATTTGTGGAATGATGGCCTTGCTGTTTTTTCCTGTTTATCATTTTGCCGAGAAAGCAAGCTAATTCTAAAAGCTCGGTATAACATGACGAGTAGGAAAGAGCCAAGTAATCACCAATTATGGCATATGCCCGGGGCAGGTAGGGCGTGGTTAAATTTTATCCATGTGAACTTCTTACCTTTTATTTTATGTTTTTGGTCTGTGAACCGAAGCCCGAGTCTTGAATTTCCCTGAAACTTTCATGAAGGATTGTGTAGATTAGAAAATTGAAAGATTGGAATAATGTTGGTCTCAACAAGTAATTTTCTCAACAAAGGTATGTACGTGACTGACATAGCAACGACTAAACTCTCTAACAAGGACTATTTAACAGAAGAAGCTTCCGCTGGGATTTATGCCAAAAACTATTTCTTTCTCCTTCAATCATCAATCCACAGAACTTTCTTACATCATCGTCACAACTGACAATGGAACAAACTCGCGTGATCTGCGGGAGACTTATTCTCTCGTCTCTGATTAGTGACGCACAAAAATGGCTTGGCCGTATACGTCTAGGTATGAGAATATCTGATATCGTACACTTCCTGGAAATGTGCAATGAGTAAGACATTTTGAATATCATGCTAAACTCTCTCCAGCTCGCTGTCCACGATCAAAAGGTTCGTTTGCCACGGTCACAGGAGTCGGATACGCTGTACGGAACGGGTGCGTTGTCCCCGAAGATGCATCGTTTTGCATTAGCCCTGGGGAATCTAATCCTGAACCGGAACGACATTGGAACAAGCCTTTCTTTCCACCGACGGTCTTTCATGATTCATGGTGGAATATGCTACTGGACTATTTCTCCCTCAAAACGACCATTAAACATGAGAAGAACGACATTTCTCAGTGTCTCTATGATATTGTTTCTGAACCTCCGCAGGGTGAATATTGCTCTGTCATTATCGGACAGCAAGGCTTCACAAGACTTTGGCGGGAAAACTCTCCCCTGCCAATAAGATATGAATATGCAGGAGCAAACCCAGATACGCTATCTATGATACATGTCAAGGACATGAAAACCTTCAAGACCGAAACGGGACCCTTGCCTTTTGAAGCTGACGCAAACAGCTTCACCCGGCTACCCACCGAGTTAATTCATCTTCTCATCTCATTCATAGATTCTCCATCTCTATGCAATTTCAGACTGTCTCCAAGGGCTATCGCGAGCCTGATTCACTCCTATAACCTTCCTCAAGCATTTTGGGCAAGTCGATTCGCTGCCGATCACAAAATGGGATTCTTTCCACTGAACTGGGAAACTTTACTTGTTCATAAAGACTGGTGGCAATTATATTTCAAGTTGAAAGAAAACCTAAGGGAACATTCCAGAATGGGTCATATGCGGAGTCGGAAACGAATCTGGCGTTGTGTCAAGCGTTTGAGGTGACCCATTAAGATAATGCTCCAGCAAACTCCTAATTTCCAAGGCACTAGGGGCCTCCTTAAGGACATTACTTTACAGGGATTTCATGTTACGGAAAAGACTCAAGGCCTCGCTAAGATGAAATTGCTCAGAGAGAAATGCTCATAGTTTCTCGACCTTGATCCAAAACGCGCCGAGGCTGATGATTTGCCGGTTTGCATATCTACCATATCCCTCAAATCCACTCGTTATATCTGTGGCATGAGGATCTATACGGGAGATGGCATAATTGCCGAAGACGAGATCTCACGCATTGGTTTTGTTTTACCACCCACCGAGACGCATCTTTGTTTTCGTGCATCAGAACATTTGGTGGCTATCCGAGTCGCTGTCTCGATCGGAGACATAATCGGGCTTGACTTTCAAGAGGAGGACGCTACAGGCCAGGCTCTGTGGCAATCGGTGGGTCAACTTGATAAGTTACCGGACTTCTCTGGTGTGGTAACTCTCAAGCCGAGAACGAAGAGCCAGATTTTTGGGCTCATCCTGGGCAACCGACTGTCGCATTCAACATGAACTTCGGCGGCCCAGATGGAACCTGGCTTCCACTTCTCTTCCAAATTTCGGTTTTTACCTCTGAAACAACCCACGCACCCAGGGGGCTGGCTTTTTACTATAAGGACGGATCTTGTAAACTGTATTGGTTCCGGGCTGATAAGGCATATTTTCGAGGCCGTCGCTCCGTCGTTCGCGAACTAGGGTTTCCGCTGAATGGGCCAGGTGGAGAAAGAAATACCGCGGTTATGCTCGGAAATTAGGACAATAACTTTCAACTCAGAGTATGACTCATGACTTATGGCCATTCCCTGTTGAGGAACGGTGACCTGATGAGAGAACAGTTGACTGACTTATCCGTTCCCAGGTTATCACCAATTTCGCTAGAGTCTTGAAGATGCAACAGGACGATAGAAAAAGGGGAGACAGCATGCGAAGTTCGACACAAAACCTGTTGATCCAAAGCAGAGAGGTGCCTGATGGGCAGACTATCATTGGAATTCTCGCATCTGTCGAGGTAAGCCCAGATCACTGCCCTGGCTCGCAATGGTTCATGAAGTTTATATGTGCCATACATAGCTCCTTTTAGGCAGTGGGAGGATAGAGACTCTTGGAATCAGTTGTATCTAAAATCAAGGTAATCCTCTCACATCAAACCTTGTGTTCAAAGCCGATGGACCCAGAGAAGGACTGCTTGCCAAGAACAAGCCACAGTGGGAACGGACTACAAATCCAGACTTTGGCTATCCCAGCATCACCACCATGGTCTGTTTGGAGAGAGTCAGAAGAACTAGGATGTATACAGCTGCCTGTCTGCGAAATCTGCTAAGAAAGTACATATCGGGCCTTTGCTTCGAGGTCTGGGACCTGACTCCGCCAGTTTACATGGGCCGTCGGTCCACGGCGGTCGACTGGCTGCTTTTGAGCCCGGAAGATGGAATAGAGCACATCAAGTTTTGGCGTTATCATGGTGAGATCATTGGGATCAGGATCTAAAAGTCAGGATCGGGGATCACAGCAGTTGAAGTTCACGGGGACGAAGTGAGTGATGTGTTGTGTGATAAGAGACCCTTAGTTTTCAGAGCGAATCAGTTTGAACGACTGGTAGGTACATGAACGCCCTTTCAAGCAAAGCCAGAAGTTACTAACACCAAAGTAAGAACAGTTTGACATGGACACCGAGCACTACAGGTAATACAGCCACAGTCGAGAAAAGACCGAGCGATCCAGCACGAGGAAGGCTGGTCTCCTGCCTTGGCCTCAAGACACCTTGCACCAATGAATTTTTGTTCTGGGAAATTCGAGACTCAAAAGCTAAGATCCAAACCGTCACCCACATCCATGCCTATTTTTATTTTGAGGGACAGTGTCTTTGCGGTTTCGAATTTTGCTATGGTGATAAATTCTCAAGTTGCGTCGGCCTCACATCAGGAATCAAGGCTTCTGCAGTAATAGGACAAAACGAACGCGTAACATGCTTGGAAATAAAGACTTCGCGGAGTCACTGGAGGCCAATAATTGAAGAGAAATTTGATAAAGTTGTGGTAAGTTTGATCCATAATGAAGACTTGGCATCTGAATCTAAAATATGTAGCAGTTTCACGCGAATACAGGTCGAGAAGTTACACTGTCAGCCTCTGGATGCGGAGTAGGGAGCCTTGTAGCGCCTAAGTCCCTATATGGCAACATCAAGGCAGCTTCCTCTAAGACAGAGACGCTAAGTAGAGGAGGAGGGGGGAATCCAAGAATCCAGGAAATAACGCCATCGACAGCACCAGAATGTCCCTGGCACAAAGCCCTATGGGATGACAATAAAGCTGCCGAGTTGGGGATTTGGTGGAGAAGACTCAATCATACGTCTCAATCTATCTGCCTGCCAAGCCATGTGCAACAAAGGGAACCATCTGTTGGGATTTTTGTTGAGGTAGCAAAATGGCCTACAAGAAGATCGTCGCCAGGACAACTCTTGGTCCAGGATGCAGGACCAATTTTTGTAGTCCCATATCAGTGAGGGTTTTAGCAAGGGAGTTGGAAGGAATGTATTTATCTGTATCATAGTCTGTCTAACTCAGATACGGTTGAGTCCAACTCTCATGTGTCCATTGCCTCCTCTGTTCGCCCGTAGATAGTAAGGCACAAAAATGGCTTCCATCTTTGTACCTGCATTTTCTTCACAATCAACTACACTACCAGGACCAGGAGCCGTACCAGCTTCGGCATCATTCAACGTTCGGCGCCAACAGGACGTTTTCAATTCAACATACTCCTCATCTCCAAACTTCTTCCTCTCCTCATCAACCAACGTAGACGCTTTTAGCCCGATATCCTTGAAATGATTATCCTCCCAGTTATTATCAGCGTCCTCCATACAGTACACCAGAGGTCCCCGAGTAAGCGTTAATGTGCGCTGGTTGGTATATGGGTGAGGCGCAAGATATAGTGGTTTGAAGTTGCCGATGCTTAAAGAGAACTCTGGGTACTTGGCGACGTAAGCCGAGTTAAGGGTAAGATAACCTTTATGTAGATTAACGCTTCCTTGACTTGGCTCTGGGGTTACTTGATACTGACTTCGAGACCACCCAGGGATTCTGAGTCGTATTGTGGTCTTCAGTGACTCGGGGGCTGATAGACGAAACTTGACAAGCCCATCCCATGGCCAGTCTGAGTCTTGCTCCAGTAACACTTCTTGTCCAGCGACCTCGAACTTCAGGCTAGCTTTTGAGTACAAGTGCACATTGATATACACTTCACCCTCGGAGATGTTCCCGAAGTCCCAGAGATATCCGCCCAAGGAGCCATACAGACGCGTAACATTGGGCGGACAACAAGCGCACCAGAACCACTCCTCACGAACGCTCTTGTCACTTTCTGAACTTCCAAGCTGGTTCACATACGTGAAAGCCTTTCCATCGAGACTCATTGACGTCATGACGTTATTGTATAGACACAATTCCATGACATCTCCAAACCTCCCGTCGAGGTCTATGTGGAGAAGGCGTTCCGCAAGCATCATGACAGCAATGGAGGCGCAAGTCTCGGCATAACAACCTCCTTCGTCGGTGCTCTGAGGAAGGAAGTAATCACGACCGAAACCCTCCCACTGTTTGATAGCCCCTATGCCACCGGTAAGGTACATTTTCTTTTCGACCATGTTGTTCCATAGACGGTTTAGTGTGTTCTTCCAGTCTGATGAGGCTTGGAGGGATTGGTTGTCGATGCAGACCATGTCAGCGACGGCGGTTAAAAGATACATTGCTCGAACGGAGTGGCCTTCCACAGTATCTTGTTCCAGGATGGGCTTGTGAGCTTGGCAGTACCAGTGGGAAGCATGCTCTGGGTAGCTGTCAGGCCTCTGATAGATGTTCTGGCCTCGCTGCTTGGACTCCCACTCGAAGTAGTGCTCTCCGGCTTGTCCTGTCTTGTTACCTCGCTCTTCTATGAAGTATCGAGATAGGTCGTAGGCTGTCTGATTACCAGTAGCTTGGTAAAGTCGGAAGAGTGCTAGTTCAATTTCTGGATGGCCTGGATAGCCGTGTAATTGATTGTCTGCAGACCCGAACGTTCGATGGATCAAAGCAACGTATTTCTCGATGGGTTCAAGTAGGAGGTTGTTCTTGTAGTAGTGATGGTGTGCGATAGCGGCTTCGATAAGGTGCCCTGCGTTGTACCTAATTTGAATGTGAGTGATAAGAATGAAGAGACATGATTCGGATTAGACCACATACAATTCATGCATGTCCTGCAAATTAGTCCATCTTTTCCCGGGCTCAACCACGGTATAGTGGACATTTAGATACCCATCATCTTGTTGTGCTCCACGAATAGTCTCAACCAACTCCTTGACAGCGGTGTCTATCTCGGGATCAAACTCATCATGAAGAAAGTAACAAGCGCCTTCAATCCACTTTGCTATGTCACTATCCCAGAAAAGATGGAAGGGGACAGGCCACATAGACTTGTCGCCATAGATATCATGCCATTTTAGTTTGAAGCAGTCATAACGACCTGTTTCGCGAAGACGCTTTAGTTGTGTGTGCAGAGTTGTCTTTGCAATTGTGGTCCGTCGACGATGTAGGATGGAGCCTGGGGCAAAGGTCGTGTGGCGGAAGGTAGATTGAGGATGAGACATGGTGAGGGGTATACCAGAAGCGATTCGAGGTTGAATCCTGGGCTTTGGTTCGTGAGTACTTATCGTTTCATTGATGCAGTCGCTCGGTTTCGGTTGATAATGTGGCGTTAGTGGTTTACGGTGGGATATTGGAGCCGGAAAGCCCACCGGGCATCCCACCGGAATGGTAGAGAATACCCTAGAGCTGAGAAAGTGCAACATTGATGGGTTTGAAGTGGGAGGTGGACATGGGAAAAAAAAGCTGGATATCGACCTATCTTACATTCCTAATCTTTGATAAGTATCTGTTTGGTTAATTGGCTTGTTACTTGTGCGTTTGTTCGTGTTTTTCCTTGTTTGTGAGTAATGACCTACCTCTGAAATAATTAAAATGAGTTATCATCGCCACCACGAGTTAACAAAATCCATGCCGAGCAAAAAAGGCCCAATACCAACTTTGCAATTTATTATTTATGTAATGTATGATCAAGTCAATATATTTAACCTCATTATCAAGGCTCGATCTGGTTGTTGAAAGTAATCGCTGGATTTTTCCGCTGTTGGTTGGCTGGCAAAGATCTTACCAGAGCAAGTCTCGACCCGAGCTTATTTTATTAGCGTGAAAAATGAAGCGAGGTCGTGACAGATCATGCCGTTGTTTGATCGACTTTGATGCTTTGACTCAGTATTTTTTATAGCAAACCACATCACTACGCAGAGGTTAGACAGAGACTCGATCGATAGAAGAATATTATGTGCACATACAGTAAATGTTTTCTGATGATGGAATTTTAGGAAAATGGCAGTTACAGCCTAAACTGAACTAGACCACTTTTTGACCACGAGGAGGGAAGTGGGGTTTGCCTCAATCATGCTTGCCAGCCTCCCTCCAAGTCGATATTGACTCTCTCTCATCATCCGATCGCGAAACATCCTCCATGGTGTCGCATCATCTCTCCACCCGAAACCGATGGATAAATTCCAATGTGGACAATGTCCAAGAAACTTCAAGCGACAAGAGCACCTCAGGCGACATCAAAAAGGTCACGAAACGCACAGACGCTTCGAATGCGACATCTGCCACAAGGGCTTTACTCGCAGGTAACAAGCATTTAAAATGCATAAAACAAGGGGTCACTAACTATAGTCTAGTGATATCTTGACCAAGCACATAGCTATTCATGACCATCCAGCCTCAGCCAGACGCGATGTTACTCGGCAAAGAGCCTGTCTGGAATGTGCCCGAGCACGAGAGAAGTGCTCAAGAAGTACACCCTGTCAAAGATGTTCAATAAAGTCATTAAGCTGCGAATATCCAAACAACATGGACAGGCAACCAACCATGCCGCCAGTACAGCAAGATAGCGCACCCCTTGTGCAATCAGACAGTGGCGTGGATCTTACAACCAACATGCAATCCATGCCATCCAACATGCATTTTCCGATATCACCTCAGGATGAACCAAGTACAAGGCCAAGCCAATATCATGAGAGTAACGAGGAAACAACGATGCAACAACCTCAGACATTTGAATATGACCTTGGACCGTGCGATATTGACTGGGACTTTCCCATTAACTGGCTACCATACAACAACGACATCGAAACCAATTACTGTTCAATACTGGGTCTCAATGGAAACACGACTTCAACAGGGTCTCTCGACCCTTCGTATGGAAACGAGCAACCCATGAACCAGACCACTTTGAGCTCTTTCCCCATGGGCAACACTCCGCAGACAGTCTCGACGGTTGCTTCACTCTCCCAAGGAAGTGGAGTGGCTGCCTCTCCCCAGCTCAGTATGACGTCCGATCGCACTAACCCTGGCGACTTGTATGCTACGAGCTCAAATGGTGCACGAAGACCTTGCACGGCTCGATCAAAGCAATTATTTCCTCCACCAGGTGTTGAGAGCTGCAAACAACTGCCTCCCGTTTCTCAAGATTCTAGATCACGAACAAAAAATAGTGACTGGGCGTTTCCAGACTTGGATCACATCAACATCCAAGACATTGAAGGGCTCAGAGAGTCAACAATCACAGAATCCACCTATGCGAATATGTATGACTCTTTCGAGAACACATGCCTCGAATCGGGCATTTTTACAAACGAGTTTACATCTTCGGAATTCCCACCACTAGCAGTCTTGGATTATTGCACAAAGCTCTTCTTCGAACACTTTAATCCCATCTTTCCTCTTGTACACCCAAATCTGACGGACCTCAATGCTGACTGGATCCTTACCCTCGCGATTTGTGCAATAGGAAGCCAGTATTCGGCTACTGAGGACATTGACGCATGTGTTCGACCCCTACATGAGTTTCTCAGGAGAGTTTTGGTCGTTCGTTTACAGTTGGAAAATTCGGAAATGAACCTCGCTTTAGCACAGGCTCTTGTCTTAAGTCAGGTAGGTCTGCTATACTATGGTACAAGCGAATTTCGTCGAAGCGGCTGTCAACGAGTTGGTGACCTACAAAAAGTCGTCAACCTGTACTGGCAATCCTATTCACAGTCGAAGAGCGATATCAATACTCAACTCAACCGAAGGGGTTCCAACTCCCATGAAGAGTGGAAGATATGGGTTCAAGAAGAGACTTTGAGGAGACTGTGCTACTTTATTTGGGTGAGATCCCATCGAGTGTCATCAAGTGAAAAGGTTGGACTGACTTCCCCACAGCTTTTGGATCGGATGAGCTGCTACTTCTTTACCGACCATCAAGCTATCACGTTTGATGTGCAAGATATCAGTTTGCCTCACGATGGCCTATGGTCTCAAACATGTTCGTCAGACTGGTCAAAAGCATACAAGCGTGTTGAGGGTATGTATCCTATGTATGACCAAAGCACTAGACAGGTCACTTACGAATCGCAGAAAACCCTTCGCTCTCATCAGCTACAAGCACCATCTTCCGCGATCGAACCGCCAAGTCGGACCTGGGAGAATTTTCGCGCATCCTTCTGCTTCACGCAGTCTATCGAGAATACTCAACCGTAAATACCTACTGCAAGCGCCCTTTATCATCATGGATGCCGCAGAACAACCCTGATCACCACAGCGAAGACTCGAGCGTACTAACTCTTACTGAGTCGAACTGGAGAAATGCTGCACTCGATTGTGTAGATACACTACACTGGGCGGCGAATGGGATGATAGCTTCATTGCTAGGTGCTGAGCATCCTACTGTACTTCACTTACACTTCTCGAGGGTTGTGCTGCTTGTACCTAGGGAAATACTAATGACTTTGGCAAAATACATTGAGTCGCCAGAGAGGGTCAGGAAGATGGCGTTGAATCAGCAAAAAGCGTTACAGGCTGAACGGGAAATCTCCAAATGGGCGCAACAGGATGGGGTAAGTCAAGCATGTCGGTGTTTTGAAACATACCTTAACAAAAGTTCAGTCAAAAGCACGACTCGCAGTTTTGCATTGTGGTTGCTTCCTTTGGCACATCCGTCGGTATGCCAAGATGGCTTTTTACGAACCCTCATGCGTGTTCTGGGCGATCCTCACTTTATGGGCCTACAGTGTGTACTCATCCAAGTCAAGGCGATCTTCAGACGAAGAGCGTAGTGGGAGTGTGACACGCCGTCCATCACCAGATCATGTCAAGGCCATTTCGGACGACGAGAACCCGACATTCATAAGACTAGATCGACCTAACGACGATGAAATGGTCCAATTATTCGTGAGGGCAGGGGTTTTGAAGGCCTATATTAGTGGCGTTGGAGACATATATGCCCCTACAGCGCCTACTCGCATTCTGCGCGAGGGGAGGAAGATTCTTGAGTCAGTGTCCCTGGCTTGGGGTCGAAGCACAGAGTACTTGGATTTGTTGAAAGCTCTTGGATGAGGGTCAGTCTATTGCTGAGACTAGTCTATATGGCTTAAGTAATTTAGGGCCAACACCATCCTTTTTATTCCATCGGAAGCGTGACCTCAAAAGCATAAGCCGTCGTCGTGTCTTTATGCTCCATTTTGAGTCTTAAACTACCATTTTCAGCAACCCGCGTCGTCTCCCCCAAATGCTCAGGACCATCAACCCTTTTGAACTTGTCTTCCCCCACTACCGCAAACGCCAGAGTTCTCATCTGAACTTCAGCATTGTCCGGCAAGCCCATCACCTCGATAGACCAGTCACCAGATCTGGAGCGAGTTCCAGCAAGGATGCGGATGACGTTTGCGTCTTTTGTTGCGTAGACGTCTAGGAAACCATCTGGGGTTGGTGTGGTCTTGACGCGTTCGCCGGTCATATTGGAGCCGTAGTACCTGTATACTTGATACTCTGCTGTAGGCCAGTATCCGTCGCCCTCAATCTGGTATTCTCCATCTGCCTTGTTTGGTTTGCATAACAGACCTTGGAACAATGTCAGTAATAGTTTGCTAAACATCAAACATGAAACTTACCAGCCAAGAAGTCATGCAGAGCTCCGGCTATCGCCCAGTTACCTCTCAGCCCATGAGCGTTTTCGCGTTCGAGACCGGCGATCCACCAGGCCCCTGCAGACGGGACCTGCTCGCCATAGACAGCGTACTCATTAATGTTGACATCCTGCGCTTTATCCAAAGGAATGTCGAATTTGGCTAAAAGTTCGTGAAATGTCTTAATCGATCCGGCCATAGTATCGCAGTCGTTACCACTCTCCATGTGCCATGACCATTGATCAGGGAGAGTGTCGTTCTTGAGGCACTCAGACAGGAAGTCATTCCACCATTCATGAGTGGTGGTTGGGATTGCTGATATGCTTGGACCTGCTATCCTGATTGATGGAAGTGTTTCCCTATGAGTCATTAGTATACAGGTATAAAGATGGAAGATGTAAAGTTGTACGTACTTGACCTTCTTGAAAGTGCGAGACCAAAGAGTTAGCCACTGCTCTTTGGAAGCACCCCAGAAGAAGCTTAGATCAGGCTCGTTCCAGATGTCAATGACAAGGCCCTTTGACATATCAGAGTCCTGAATGTCCTTAAGTGTCTGCTCCAAGAAGGCATCCCAGCGCGTCCAGTCACTATTGTCACCAGGGTACTCGAAGTTCTCAGATTGGCCACCATCAGCTCCCCAAAGCGGAGGGAGTAGGTAGATGAACTCTCCCCCATACTTGCGCGTTGTCCTGTAATTACTCAATGCTGATGAGAATCGTGCCTGTAGATATGTGAGTTACTTGATATTCAGAAGATCATATGAGCTCACCTTATAGTCTTCCTTACTGACGGCATAGCCTCTGGTGTTTGGAAGCTGAGACCCTCCACCTCGCCCGTAGTTGAAACTAATCTCCTTGTAAAACCGCTCAGGAATCTGATCAGGCTTATCAGGTATACCATAAAGAATACCAGAGGCAAGGTGGCGAGGTGGCCCAGTTGTGACGGTCAAGTCAACGGTTGCGACACCAACAGCAGGTCCTTTGACTTTCGCCTCCTCATCGGGTAGGCTCCGCAACATTGACATATAATCTTCAGGCATCTTGGAAAATTATTCTTGAGGATATGACTCTAAAGCTACTGTGAAAATGATCACTTGCCATGCTAAGTTTATAGTTCATTTCAAGGTCACTCGTGAAAGCCACAATATGGACCGAACCCGCCGCGGGGGTCTCCGGTGGGATTTCCGGTGGGATTGTGTCTCCGATTGGCGCGTTTCGTTCTTCAACCTCCCCCGCAAACAAGGCAATCCTGATCCAGACCTTTGGACCTCTTTTCCCCATGGGGTCCCGGGGTAAATCCTTGTCGATATCGTCAGATCGAGTTGATACTTAAACTTCCTTTGAGCCGCAGGTTTGAAGATCTATCCTTCTTCATGCTCATTACCAATTTCAAGAGTCATCATATCCACACACGACTCTTTTCATCTTTTACTCTTTTGGAAAACTCATCAACATGGCAGTCGAAAAGACTCCCAGTATCAATCATGTTGAAGATGAAGTCGCATCTGACTCGAAGGAATGGAGTCACATCCAGGGCCAACAGGGTGCTGACATTGATCGAAACATGACACTCTGGGAAGCCGTAAAGGCTTATCCCGGTGCCATTACCTGGTCATTCCTACTCTCTTCGTCTATCATCATGGAAGGCTATGACATTGTCCTCATTGGTAACCTCATGGCCCAACCCGCCTTCCAGAGGAAGTATGGCGACTGGTACGGCGACGAACTCGGCTATCAGATTTCTGGGCCATGGCAGTCCGGACTTGGCAATGCCACTGCCATTGGAACTATCATTGGTGCCTTTGCCAATGGTTGGCTTACTCAACGTTTCGGATATCGAAAAACACTGGTAGCATCACTTCTAGCTATTACAGGCTTCATCTTTATCACCTTTTTCGCTCACAACCTGCCCATGTTGCTCGTTGGTTCTACTCTATGTGGTCTACCATGGGGCGTCTTTGCAACTATGGCTCCAGCTTACGCCTCCGAGATTTGTCCCATGGCTCTTAGAGGATATCTTGCAAACTACGTTTGTCTGTGCTGGGCTCTCGGTCAACTCCTCGCGGCTGGTGTTCTTTTCAGTTTCTCTGACAATGCTACGCAGTGGGCGTACCGCATCCCTTTTGCGATTCAGTGGATTTGGCCCATCCCTCTTCTGATCATTCTGTGGTTCACTCCCGAATCTCCCTACTGGCTCGCTCGAAAGAACCGACTCGAAGATGCGAAGAAGGTTCTTCGACGAATTTCGGCCAAGAGCAACAAGTCCGATGAGGATCTTGATAAGCAACTTGCCATGATCGTGCATACAAACAAGATCGAAAGCGAGCATAGCACCGGATCTAGCTACCTGGACTGTTTCAAGGGTATTAACCTTCGTCGAACTGAGATTGTCAGTCTCGTGTTTGTCGCGCAAAACACCACTGGTGTAGGTATCGGTGGCACACCAACCTACTTCTTCGTCCAAGCCGGTGTCGATCCCAAGAACTCCTTCAAGTTTGCCACGGGTGCTCTTGGTCTCGCTTCTGTTGGTGTTATCCTCTCATGGGCTCTCATTTACCGCATCGGCCGGCGAACACTGTACGTCTGGGCTTGTGGCGCATGTACGGTGCTCATGCTTCTCATCGGTATCCTTGCCAGCCTTCCACAAAGCCAGTCTGTGAGTTTTGGACAGGCGGGTATTGTGTTGATCTGGGAGATTGTGTTTTACGCGACTATCGGCCCTGTTTGTTACGCAATCATTGGCGAGATCCCTGCTGTCAATGTTCGTAGCAAGAGTATTTGTCTTGCTCGTATTGCGTACTACATTTCACAGATCTTGAACAATACTTATGGACCGTATATGATTAACCCCACTGAGGGCGACTGGAAGGGTAAAGTTGGTTACTTTTGGGCAAGTCTACACATTACCTGCAGAACCGTTCCTTTTCTAACCTTAACATAGGCCGGTCTTTCTTTATTGACTTTCGTCTGGGCTTACTTCCGTCTCCCCGAAACCAAGGTATGGGCCTCTAAGCAATTGGTGTTACAGTTTCTAATTATTTCCAGGACCGGTCATTTGAGGAGATCGATATTCTTTTCGCCAACAAGACACCTGCTAGGAAGTTTGCTGAGACCAAGGTCGATGCTTACGCTGAAGACTCTGAGGGTCGCATTATTAATGAGGTTGGAGTTTGAGATTGCTTGGATAATAAGGATTGGGTTTAGTCGAAAACTCTGATTAGTTCTTTCATTATGACAAGTTTCATCAGTAATAATGTTATATCCCTTTGAGAAACCCTTTCACGATGATGACCAACAATTACTCAATCCCTCTTAAAGCGACCCACTCCTGTTCTAACATGCCATAGTTGATCATATCATACCACTTCCGATCCATATAAAAAGTCTCCCTCTCCCTTCCCTCTTCCTTAAATCCCAACTTGGTGTAAACATGCTGGGCTCGCGTATTAAACCCAACCGTACTCAACCCCACTCGATGATAGCCCCCAAACCTGAAAGCCCAATCAAGAAGCCAATTGATAGTTTCACTTCCATATCCCTTGTTAAGATATGGTTCACTGAGTGTGATACCCAGCGATGTACGTCTGTGGTGCTCGCGACCAGCTGGGATGCCCCCCCAGCCCAAGATGGCAAAGCCGATGGGCACTAGATCAGAGGACTCAATCCCTTGAGCTTTTGCTTCTGACGGTGATAGGCAGACCATCACTGACAGAGCGCACTTCTGGATTCCGGATATGAGTTCTTCTGAGCTCTTCTTGTTTCGTGGGCGGAGCAGGGAGTGATCTGCCAGAGCTGTGTTGAAGGGGTCATTTTCGTGAAACTTGAAGATATATGCTGTATCCTGTTCATTGTTCTCCAAAGCTCTATAGATGAGCCTTTCAGAGGAATATGTTTGTGGTATATTTGGCATGTCCATGATAAAGTACGATGATCGTGTATGTACTGAAGTCCCGTTTGAAGGATGGTAACGTGTGGTTTTATACTCCACTCATGTCACTATTCGAGACATGTAAGACTCATACCACACAGTTAGTCTAAATTACATACAGGAGGTTACTTAACGGAGGTGGTAATCGGCTATGCGGCAGCTTCTTGTATTGACACCTTCCCGATTTGGCAATAGTGCGTGAGTCACTTCTACGAAGTTGATTAATGGTCATGGATATGGTATGATTTCTCTACTATGTATTTAGATATCTCCAAATTCAGAAATGTGATGCAAGTCAAAAACACTAGTAATATCTTGCCAAAATCCTATCACTTATCAGTGCCAAAAGACAGATATTAGCCTTCCAAGTCCGAGCCTGTCTGACGTGAGCATCATCATAGTCGTTGCCCCCTCATCCCAAGACTGTCATTTCCATATCCGATCCAATACTAAATAACCTGAAGGATAACAAAGTAAGCATAGACCCCTGCTCCAATCCTCTGATACTCCTTCAGATTGCTGACAAGTTTGACCTTCCGGTCTTGGATGAGACCATCTACCTTTTTCTCATAGCCTTTCGGTTTCCACACAGACTCTCTGATAGTAGACACGATTATTCCACCAGGCTTTGTAATTCTGACAAACTCATCGAAAGCCTCTGGTCCAACATGGCCTTCTGTCATGGTCCCAACGCAGATAACGGCGTCGTAACTGTCTGCTGCAATCTCGAGCTGTTCAGCCAGATTCGCGATACTGAGAGACTCGTAGACGCCTGTTCTCTCGGCGACTTCAAGCATACCAGGGCTAAGGTCGATGCCATCGATGTGCTTTGCACCGAGGTTGAGCAAGGCTTCGCCGACAAGGCCTGTTCCACATCCTGCATCGAGAATCTTTACTTCTGAAATATTTCTAGGGTGCAGATGATTGACCAGTTTCTCAGCAGCCACCTTTGGTGCGACATACTCTTCTTTTTCAACATCTTGGTTGTAATTCTTTGCCCATTCGTCATAAGTCGATAGTGTCTCTGCAAGACTCGTTGATCTGAGGGATCGCTCGAGGTGGGACATGTTGGCCAGTATTGGAGGGTCGGCGGTTTATTTCTTGAATAGTATTGGAAATAAAAACTATTTGTAGGAGGTCGGGTTCGTTGGAAGTGATAGATTCAGATTGTCGTTAGCTGGTGACGTAGGTGTTGTTTTGAAGAATGACGTTGGATGCTGCGAGACCATTACCACTAGACCTTTCTCATCGTTACACAACACAAAAATGACATCAGTTGAACTTTCACAAACTCAGTATAAACACTCTCATGATATATATTAGATACTTTTCTTTTGATTGCTGTGTTTCCACCTCGACCCAGGAATTATTTACTATTACTACAAGGCATACTCACCATCATGATTTTCCATCAAGAGTCTCGACCGATGCAGTCCATACTTTGATGACGTCTTGGCCAACTCAGCCATGAAACCAGGGACGCCGCCAGGGATCTCCTTGCTATACCACTCCTTTGGATTGTCCATTGACAGCGCCGCCTCATGCATCTCAGCCAAGTCCCTGCTGTCCCACATACCCTCCCTCCTATTTAAACCTCGAAGAATATTCAGTGCCCGATATCGTTGGTGAGACTCAGAGCAGCACCAGATGACAAAGGACAAACTGGAAATTAGATCGCCATCAAGCGAGAAACTTGGTTGGCCGGGTATTATTAATCTTTGTGCAAAAGCCTCCGCGGCATCGAGATAGGCCTCTACGGCCCGTGGATCTGGCTCCGAATCGTCTTCTAGCTCGAGAGACATACTCAACCTCCAAAATTGCTGTTGTAGATCGAGGTACATGAGCTGTGGCGATGTCCATTCTTGGTATTCCCACGTGGCTATGTACTTCTTGGTCAATTCAAAACGCCTGCTCCAGGCTCGGAACCGGTCTTCAAGTTGATCCCATGATTCTTGCATGATCGTTTTTGTGATGATATCCAAATCATTGAATGAGCCCCCTGGAGAACCATAGCCATCTCCACGAGGCATGCTCGATATCAATTCGACCGTCTCAACATCTAGTCTTCGAAGTGCGCTCGTTGCTTCGTCGAGATCCCGAAAAGGCTCGTCGGGACACTCTGTATCGTAAGTCAGAGCAAACGGTCCAGTCCGTATGTCTGGAATGATTATATCTTCCATAAAGGCTGAGGCCTCGCAGCCAAGACTGGAGAACATGTCGAGCAGCTTGGTTGCAATTTTCTGTTCGAACGGGTTGGAGGCTAGGCTTGGCGAGGATAGAAGACGGGTCCCGGCACGAATGTGTCGAATTGACTCTGCGTATCGGCCAGTGATACCTTCAAATGCAACAAACAAGAGGCAGCACACGAGAGTGCATTGGATATCGAAAGCTGATTCGAGTGACATGTGGGGTATGATACGCGAGATGGCCTTCTGATATTGCGACATAGCCAAGCCTTTGAGTTGTTGGAGTGGAGAGCATGTGTCTTGGCCAGCCATGAAGAAGCGATGCGCTGCGCCGACAGCAATGATGGCATGCTTGATGGGCTCACATTGATGTGCTAAAGGTAAGACAACTGTGAGGTAAAAGTTTGATGAACCGGGAGCACAGGTGAGTTGTGTTGATGTCCAGTGGTGGAAGTGATGGAAATAGCAGCTCTCGATGGATGTTTCCGCGATACTAGGGTTGAAGACGGAGAGAGGATATGCCTTGACGGGTACAGAGACAGCAGCACGCGCCTGGAGCTTGGCCTTGTCAGGTGCTGCATAGCCGTCGCACTTTACGCGGCCATCACGGCAGCGACGACATGTTGGTTTTTCTTCGTCACATTTAACATGCCTGACTCTAGGAGGGGTTAGGATATCACACAATAGTATTGGTATAAAGGAAGACGAACTTGCTATAAAAAGCAAAATTCATTTATCAGCTACAGACTCATGACCAAGCTTATTGGATGAAGCAGGGATACAACTTACCAAGTTAAGCAGCCGGTGCGAACTTTGGGCTTGGAAGCACGCTGCCATTTGGGTTTCCTGGGCAGAATGACAAGCTTGTTCTGGTTCGCTGTCTTCATTTCGAATTGATGTAATCTGTAGACGAGCCGAAAAAGAGTAGAAAGGCTTTGACTAAGGAAGAGGATGCAAAGGAAGTTATTCTGTTGGACGAGCCGTACAAGGGAAATATCAAAGATCTGCTACGTGGAGTCTTCAGGGGGCGAAGCCGAGACGCTAAGACATGTCGGATCCCTGCTTTTACGGTGCAGCCAATGGGAGGCTCTACTAAAGAGCTGAAGTCGTGTCTCCTTGCTCGGTTATTCTGTGTCATACCGAAACTTAATTTCTAGCGTCTTTTCGGTGTTTCGCTGTCCGAAAGTCCGCCTAACAGGGCTATCACAAAGTGATATCTGGGATGTGCTATGTTTGAGGCTGTGTTTCAAATTACAAACAATAACCTAATGTGACTTAGCAAGTGAACAAGAGTTTAATATGGTGATCTCCATGAAATTCTTGGATATAGCCTTGTTTCATCAACTTGTAGACTCATTCCAAATTGCCGAGATACGACAGGCATGCATAAATCTTCGGTTAATTAAAGCGTCGTAATCACACCTATCACCGTGAGCACTAAGCCTTTCCTCCCAACGCCATGTTCAAGTCTAGAACAACAATAAATCCGATGTGATGTGATATATCTTCAGATCATGTACCTCCGTTATTCGTGCTTTCGGCTACGGCACAAGACTCCCTCTTGGCAAGGCTGACTTCCCCAGACTTTAATGCACTTTTGCTAGACCGAAGTTGCTGACCGAAGATGCTTACGTATGTTGGTTGACTCACCGTTCCTTGGACCTGAATTTTGTCACAGTTTCGTTGCATAATTCACATGTCGGCACATTATAACCAATCAAGATTCTTCAACTATACATCACATTCACATCTGATAGTCGATTCTCTAGCTTATGAGACTAACAACCCCATAAGGCAGTTTCACTGTTGTCTTGGCAGGGACCATGCCTTTGTCTAAGTTGTAAGACTTAGCGATGCTCTCACGACAGAAAGGATCTTTTGTCCCGAGACTAACCAATTCTCAAGGCATTATTCCACGAGTTTCCATGACAAATAATCACTGTCAGTATTGTTAATTTTTGACAATTCTTTATTTATTACCTGATAGAAGAAAAACCAAAGCGTGGTGAGATTAAGATGGGCATGGAACTTTCCGCGATGACAAAATTAGGCCAGCCACCAGAACAGGTAATTGGTTATCGTTAAAAATACAGACTTGTAAAGGAGAGTCTCAATACGAAGTTACCGCTCACAGCTGTCTACGTGAACTCTTGGCGTATAAAAGTATGTTCAACTCACTACTACGGATCACACTTCTCTTGTTAATTGGGTAACAATCATGCTTATTATCGAGCATAGCCTCGAAAGATCTTCTGTTCCACCGTTTCGCAGGATTCTTGTCCATGGTGCGGGAACTGGAAGATATGTACATATGACATATAGTCTTTTTTGTCCCCAATAGGAAGGAGATTGCCGGTCAGACAGAAGACGTACGCGGCCGCAATCTCGCAATAATAACGGTGCTACTTGATACAATTGAACCTTGAAGGGGATTATCGAGAAAGGAAGCGCTTATAGTTCGCAACATGAAATACGATGGAGGCTGCTGGGGTACTACTACCAATGAGTAAGTCTCTCTACTCGATAGAGGGAGCGAATGTCACAAGGAAAGTGGAGGCTAGACTGCACATCAATACCCTATATCGGTTTCCAGCGGAAACATATCAAAACATGCCATACTTTACAACTATATGGAACTCTGAAGAATGCTAAACTCAAAACTACCCCCATACGCCCAGATGCTCTGGCGATGTTATGAAGACCACCGCATGGTTTCATGAGGTTCAGAGCTTGAAATCCGCTTATATGCCTGGTATCGCATGAAACAAAGCACTACTTGAGCCGGCTAAATCCAAACTGCCATGGATTTCACGTGGTCCCATGATAAACATAACAAGTATATCGAACATGACATTCACTCGACGCTGACTGTGGCTTATCGAGCAAGCATAACGACCAAATGGACGCGAAAGGCTGGCCATGGATCAAGATTAACAAAGTAACAGGATAAGATCCTCATCTACATACCAATGAATATGGCAGAGTATGCTTCCCATGAGTCAGAATGGCATTTTACCATCATAGTTGAAATAAAAATATCCGAAGTCGGTGATAAATCACATCGTCCAGCCTCGGCTACTGCGGGTTGACTGACCCGTGATTGCCGATCACAACACATATAAGCCATTCAAGAGATCACCCCGCATCATGATTGTGCCTGTTATACCACTAGTGATAACATTATAAAACTGTACTTTCCAACAATGACTGATCTAGAGCCTCAGGCTATTCGAGCTACTCAAACTCCAGATGGAATCACAACCATCATCATCTCCCGGCCACATCGCAAGAATGCGGTAGATGGAGCCACTGCGAAGAAGCTTGCTGAAGCATTCTTGGCTTTCGAAAATGACGCAACCCAAAAAGTCTGCGTTCTTTATGGAGATCATGGTACTTTCTGTGCTGGTTTCGATCTTCATGAAGTCGCAAAGTACAACTCGGGCCAAGAATCTGTGGAGTATCGTGGCCCAACTGTCGATCCTACACAAACAGTTGACGGTCGAAACAATGGCCCGATGGGTCCTTCAAGAATGCAAGTCAAGAAACCTGTCATCAGTGCAGTCTCAGGATACGCTGTGGCTGGCGGATTGGAGCTCTCACTCATTGGTGACATGCGCGTCGTCGAAGAAGATGCCGTTTTTGGCATATTTTGTCGAAGATTCGGAGTACCGCTTATTGATGGCGGTACTGTTCGACTCCAAGCCATAATTGGTCTAGGCCGAGCCATGGACATGATCCTCACAGGACGAACCGTAAGGGCTGACGAGGCACTGCAATTTGGCCTTGCCAACCGAGTTGTCCCCAAGGGTCAGGCATTGACAGAAGCTACCAAGATTGCTAAACAGCTTCTAACATTTCCCCAAGATTGTATGAATGTTGATCGATCTAGCTGCTACTATTCTGTGTACAATGCTAGCTCCTTTCAGGATGCTCTGAGGAATGAGTATGAGAATGGTGTCAAGGTCATCAATACTGAGAGTGTAAAGGGTGCTGCAGCTTTTAGTGGTGGAGTGGGTAGACATGGCGTGTTTGAAACAGCCAAGTTCTGAGGTTGATCTACCGGGTTTTTTGATGTAATAGAGCTCCCAAATTGTAGGGCAAAGTTTATGAAGTTTGTACAATAGAGTTCCATCTCTCCAAAAAGACTCATCAGTTAAGGCTGTTAAACCGACACTGCGCAACGTAGAATGGGATACGAAATTCTGATCTCATCAGTCGATTTGGACCTCCAGTTTTTGAAATACAACAGATGTGACATTTATTGCGCATCGCCCGAGTATCATAATGTTCGTTGGTCAGACATAGACGAGGCATTGCAAGATGGATGGATTTTGATCGCACACGGGCAAATATTTGACCGCCCCGGCTTACGGAAATTGTATTACTTTTAGACGTGTTATTATAAGACAATCTTCATTCCTTCATCTTTGCAAAATGATTCATCAAATTCGCCCTGCTAGGGAAGCTTGTACCAGACACTTCTATTAAGCTTCTAATCCCACATCGTGGTGGCTACATTGACCTGCCTTTCGATGGATCTCATGTCGATGGACCGTACTACCCTCACTGAGGAGTTGGACAAAGTCAAGAAGAAAAAAGATGCCATATTCTCACAACCTAGACGATTATGCCTGGAGGATTTGAGATGTAGACTTTGTCTGTTCAACTTGGAGGAAGATGATATGGTTGTCGCCCGGGTGTCGGATACCCCAAAGGAAAAGTTCTCCCAGGAATTCACTTTCTCAATAATGCATCACACATACGACAGTGTCAACCACATCCGAATACATGCCTGTCGTCGGCCTTGTGAAAAAAGGGGCCGCCTCACCCCGTTCTTCCACGCTGAGTGTTGGAAATTCAAACAGCGTGACGTTTTCAGAGTTGTGTCCACTGGATGCTTCCGTTTTGAACCGACTGTACATGAGCAGAATCGGCGTTTCACTCGTATCAAGCATTCTCTGGCGCGAAGATTGGATGGCATTTTCCAAGTGAAGCTTCCCGCCGAGGTATTAGACACAATAGCTGAGATGCTTGTTCACGAATGTGCTACAATCACAAACGAAGAACAGTCTTTGGGGAGAGGTGAAGACGCTCGGACAATTCGATTGGACTCTGCGGTATATGCGACCTATTCCGTTGTCGATGGTGTGCGTTATGTCAAGAGTCTCACGAATTCCCCTGTGCCAGACAGAGAAGAATACACACAACTCAGCAAGGAAGGGTATACTCATAGCCGACTTTACATTGCGCATGACTTTAGAGGTGTCCGAGCAATCAGGTTAGACCCATCACATGTGCCTTTGTCGGGTCCAGGTCCCATCACGGATTGTTATTGGAGAAACATCCCTGACGCTGAAAAGATGGTCATCCACGAAAATGTGAGCAGACTTCAACAAAAGAAGAACACTTACTAACCCGTCTCCAGGGTTTAATGATATGGGGCATAGATGTCCCAAGAGAGCCTCATCCACGTATTAGCGACGACACGCAGTGGGCAAATCTCGAGCACCCATCCAACATCGTAGATCTTTTGAACATGACAAAAGGCCTGAATAATGACAATAGAAACGTCCGGATGGCATCTTTTGACTACAACGCTGAGGGTATCACCGGGTATACCGTGGTCACTGACGGACACCGAACAGCCACTGTCCATGCCCATAGATCTGGCGAAAAGGCTAGATTTTATGATGAGATAGAGCACTCATGGCCCTGTGGCTTCTTCATTTACATGCCGCTGGATGAAGGAGAATATCTGACGGAAATCTACCGTCGTCATGGGAAAGATCCCTACTCCGACGAAGAGTCTTTAGGCAGTTTTGTGGTATGATAAAACCTTACTCTTCGGTCTCGAAACTCTCTGACATACCTAACAGTTCGTTACAAACAAAGGGAGAACCAGGTTGTTCGGCGCCGCTCGCTCCCTGGTTGACATCACGGCATTCCACCAGTTGGCAACACTCTCACCAAATGGTTCGCAGATTTATATCAACGACTGGGCATACGACTTCATAGACCAAATACGATATATTGCATTCAGCGAAGGTCTATCATCCTTAGAAGAAAAGCCGATTCCCTCTTCTCTGGTTCCTGACTTCCCAAGCATCTGCACCAAAACCAACGGCCCTTGGTTCAAATCATCTTGCAGCATGAAAGACATAAGTGAAATAACCCTTTGCAGGGATTCCTCATTTCCGCATAGACCCATTATAGGGATGCTAGTGTACTATGGCAACGGCCATCGAGAATGTCTTGGTCGATTCCGTTTTGATAAAACGCTGGAGAAGTTCCGTCTTGACTGGAATACCGACTTGTACGTCGGGTCCGGAAGAAACATCTGGAGTTTTCTATATGTTGAACAGATTCTCACATCTCCTCGTTACGACAAGGCACACCTACGCTGGATGAAGCTTCCGCGGGATGGAATTTTGGAATGGTGGAACTCTTACCAGCACTCTGTTTTGCGTCATGGGTTAGAAAACATCACCAATCTTGGTAGTGAGCGCTTGTAACAATCCTGGTCCTTTGAATTATTTCGCGATCTTTCATCCCATGTTTTATCCTATGCCAAAGAATGGCAGGTCGTTTCAGATCAAGGACAGGCATAAGATAGTGCATGAATGTCTCTGGCCTCACATTTATAAACGGGTATCCCACACTACCAAGTCATGATCCTATCTAATATCCAGTACCTCCTCTTGAATTACCCCTTGCTTTATCATCTTCGCCGCCTCACCATCCATATATCCTTCCATGTACGACTCCCCGATAAAGGACCACAAAGTTCCATTATTCCGAAGAATGTACGGCACATCGCTACCCAGGATGACAGCAGCGAAATCACCAACCCGGGTATCCGATGGACCAATCCCGACATTCCCCGTAGACGTTGTCACGAAGCACCTACTAAAGCAATAAGTGTAGGCTAGAGTAATGTAGTCCTTGGCATTTCCGCCTACCGACAGCTGTTGCAGCAGGTCGATATTCTTTCCCCTATCGCCCTCGTCACAAGGCAACCTCATTTCCGTTCCTTGAATCTCTAATTGCCGAACGAGATACGCCATGCCGTCTTTCATTGTCTGTTCGTATGAAAGTCCGATAAGGTCATAGCGCTCGGCAGTAGTGGTCTTGACGAAGCTTGTTACCCAAGAAGTCAAGTCACCTACAGTCAGCACTGAAAGAGACATATTCCATGCCGCTCGCAGGTTCTGGTCGATTGTATGTTTGAAATCTTCTTTCGATGCCTCGTTCTCGCCAAAGTAACAACAATGGGTTACTATAGCTAATCTCGCAACACTAACGCGGAGAACAGACATGTTCTCGACTTCATGTAACTTCAGCTCCAGGCTAGAAGATGCGGCAAATGACTTGGCAAACCCTAGCCTAGGTGGCTTTTCTAGATCAGAGAAGTGCACACGAGCAAGACTTGTCCGTATACCTTTGTTAAAGACCCGAAAATCGCTCCAGTCGGGAGTCCAAGAGGGCAAGTCTGCAAGATTGTGTACTCGCTGTTTTCTCATTAAGCAGCCATCTGCGCCATGTGCCCGAGTGAGTATAGCAAGTGAACTGCCATTCTCCAACAAGAAACGAGCCACTTTTAAATACGTACTTGTCAAGTCGGCGCTATAGTCTGGACGCAAGGCAGGTGGAATTCGTGATGGATCTTGACACTCTGCCGCTATACCGAGAAGACCGAATATCTTATCTCTCTGGTCTGTTGCGTGGAATTTCGTCATTGTAAACGACAACAAGGCGTCCAGTGGCCAGTTTGCCCGGCAGTATCGTAAGTTACCCATGTTACTTACATTGAGTAGCTTTTCTGGAATTTGCGATAGTCTCATATATCCCTTCCGACGTAGCCACGAACTTGCCCATTGCAGTCTATGCCATGGGTATAGATGACTTCCGCAGATGATGGTGGGATCTTTGGGGGATAGAACGACCTCTTGTACAACCCAGATCCTAGAGAACCAGTCGAGGTGCATCATTTCTCTAAGATGTCCCCAACTCTCGTAATCCCATGTGGGCAGGCCTGTGTGTTGATGTAATGAGTCCGAGTATGTGCCAACAGACATGTCGTTCTCACGCTGTACCTCGGGGCAGGTAGACTTAAAGACATGATATATCTGGTCCAGTAGCCTCCATGCTGACGTGACCCAAGGTTGTTCAGGTCCGAGCCATACCAGAGTGGTCACCGATGTCGAATAAATTTGTCGCATGAGAGCCACCTGTGTTGAGCGATCTGAGATACTTTGTTGGTTGACGCAGATACTATCGATCCAGATATATCTCAGTGGAGGGTCGAAGTTGGAACCAGTGATGGCTAGGTCTTGCAACACGTTGAGTCCAGATGCCAAGTCCGACGTTAAACTTAGTGGACGTCCATCAATTTTAATGACAGTATCATGAGCTTTAGTACCCCAACAATGGCTAATGGCGTAGAATTGTGGTGCATCGTCGAGTGATACTATCTCGAGAAAACCTGCATCTGAAGATGACGTATCCGTGTTGAGTCGGAGAAGGCGGATTTGGTTTTCTGATGGTTGAGCATGGTAGATAGACTCAGTATGTGACATTGATGTTTGATCAAACATGTTTTACTCAAGGTTGACAGTCTTGGTCAAATTGGTCGTTACTGAAGAAAATATGCCTTGCCTTTATGCGAACCAAAGCGGGGACATATTAGTGGCTAGTTTATGCAAGCATAGCCCACACGTTATTGGATCATTCTTTTACAGGGTAGACTAATTCTCTGATCAAAGTCAGCTTCTCCGTCAATATCATGCCACTCATCTACCCTTCATACGCGAGAGCCAGTTTACATTGGATAGTCAGAGGTCTTTTACCTATAAAAAATACCCAAGTTTCTCTATTGAGGCTGACCAACATGTAGTATAGATTGTAACGTATCAGAATTTTGTTGAGCTGTAAAGGATATAATTTGAACACCCGAAAACCCAATCCATTACACTAAACTTGTGAGATTATTGTTCAAGTAAAAGAAAATGATCCCTCCAGTTGTCGTCTAATGAGCTTCTTGTTATTATTGACGCCTATCCAATTCTAAGATACCGTTCCTCTAGTCATGTGGAAGAATAACCACCATCCACAAAGATTGTCTGCCCCGTAACTGCAGCACTTGCATCACTCGCCAGATACACAGCAACCCCCGCAAAATCTCTTGGCAGACCATTCCTTCCTATCATGGTCCTTGCTGCATGAGCCTCAGCCTTTGCAGGGTCATTGAACGCAACACGAGTCATGGGCGTATCGACGACACCTGGTGCGATGGCATTGCAGAGAACACCATGTCGAGACCATGCTTCTGCTTGTGATCGTGTCAGACCCAAGAGACCTGCTTTGGAGGCTCCATATGCACCGCTATTGCCGTACGATCGGAACGCCTGTTGGCTAATGATGTTGATGATACGACCCCAGCCATTCTCTGCCATCTTTGGTCCAAATGCTTGACCAAGAGTGAAGGGTGCAGTCAGGTTGACAGCAATTGTCTCATCCCAGGCTCCTTGGGAGAGGTCGTTCATATGAGGTCTATAGTTGACAGCTGCAGCATTGACGAGAATATCAGGCGATCCAACAGTCGCCTTGATAGCTTGAATGGCATCTTTCACAGAAGTCTGGTCGCCAAGATCGGCGACAATAGCTTCGGCAGTGACATGCAGATCAGCAAGATGATCTATGGTATCCTGCAGCGGTTTTGGCCTTCGCGCAATGAGAACGATCCGACATCCAGAACGACCCAAGGCGATTGCCATCTCTCTTCCTATTCCGGAACTTCCTCCAGTAACGACGGCGACTTTGCCGGCGAGGCTGAAGAGGCTGGAAAGATAGTTGGAAACGGCTTGTGAGCTTGGAGCCATGGCGTTTCAAGATGAGCCTAGCTCAGTAGGGTTTACGCTATCAAAGGAATTGAGGAAGTAACCCGAGATATAGATATATAAATAAAGTCAAGGAATAGTGGCATGTGTTGGTTGACTCAGCTTTTTTATGCGTCTTGTGAGCGAAATCGGCTAACGCGAGGTTAGTTCACGAGGTGTCACTTTTTGCAGCACATGCGGGGTAAATAATCGTGACCCAAATTTAATCAACAGCGCAAATAACCACGTAAATTAGAGGATATTAACAAAATATGAATAAATCTAGGTAATAAAAAGAAATAAACAATAAAGAGACAACTAAACTCATGAAGCAGTCTCAATCTGAACCACAGTCAACCACCATGTTTCCGTTCCAATATCGACAACACCAGGTCCTTTCACCTCAAGATGAGCGATATGCTCACTCAAAGCACTCATAGGTCCCAAAGGTCCAGCACTCTTATTTCCTTCCGCTGAAGCTTCCAATAAGGCCTTGACAGAGACCCCGACAACCTCTGAAAGCTGCTCAGTATTGACCAGAGTAGCATGAAGACCCCTCTTGTTCAACCAGTCATGGTTCGCAACAGCGACATACGCGACAGCTCTTTCAGCAGGTGTCTTGGGCTTCTTTACAGCCGCTGCGATTGTGCGTCCAGGTAGTCCAACAATAGTTCCTACTGCACCAAAGGCGGCGCCCACAGGGATGGATATAGCACCACCGACAACTCCAAATGCTGCGCCAAGGATGTTTCCCTTCTTTGCATTCGCAACTATGTTCTTTCCAACGCTTTTGGCATGATTTCCGACTCCCTTGACATACGACACTGGTTGCTGACCCATGGTCTTGGCCACGTCTCCAGCATGATTAATAGCCTTTTCGCCGACTTTGGCAGTCATGAAAGCCGAGATAGTATCCAGAAACGCAGACCAAGCTTCTTGAGTAATACCATGGCCAAGAAGTGCTGGCGCATAAGCTTTGAGAAATGGGGATGTTTGAGAAGGTGACTCTTGAGGGATGGCGATGGGAGCTTCCTTGCTTGTTGAGACTTCAGAATATGTGGGAAGAGAAGATTCAGGAAAGTTGAAGGGGTTCTCTGCAGTGGGAACTTTGTCATTCGATTGGGGACCAGCTTGTGATGAGGGACCAGCTTCGCTGTATGCAGGAGCTGGAGGTTGTTGAAGCTGAGCCTGGTTGGCGATATGCTCTGCTTCTTTGCTAGAAGACATTATGAACGTGAATGAAGAAACAAGTTATTGATGAAAGGAGTAATGGGCCGCTAAGCATAGATTAAATGAATTGATATGATCTAGACTCCAAGTTGAGAGTAGAACTGTCATCTTATATCAATCTCCAAAGCCCATTTAACCTCCACTTGGATCGGCCACTTCGTCATCGGGTAGAGCGGCATTTGTACGGCAACGTCTCAGCCTTAGGAATGTTCTTATTCAACCAATAGGAGACTCCGATTATAGTTCCGAGTGGTTATCAACTTCGAATGAGTTAACGAAAACAGTTAGAGCGTCTGTAAGCGAGAGCGAGATGGATCCCAACGCCGGCATCCTTTGTATGCCATAGGTCGACTAAGAGAGGCAGTGCTTGCATGATATTCCTCTTCTATCGATAGTCGCATGTTGAAAGTTGGATACCATATCAAATCATCAATGAATAAGAAAACTGCTAATAAATTCAACCGAGTAATTCGTCATGAGCAAGCAAACGCAGGCCAGATACAGTAGAGTTGAGTATTTTTGCAATATTTCCTTGTCTGACTCGTTGCTCCATTCTTATCCTAACTGTACAGTACCCCATCCTGATTCATTTCCATCTAGGCACCGAAACATCGCCAACGAGATATCCTCTCAAGCAGATGAATCAATTAATTCCTATGATAGTGTATGTAACCGGACATACCCGCTTGCCCGAGATGCCGTCCTCTATTCTTTATAGTCTGCGAGTCCTTGATGCCTTTTGATCCGTACTCACTATCCTCCCAGATCTTTTAAGCATGCTCACAGGACTCGAAATGCTTCTGGAAACCAACCGCAGAGAAAGATAAATCGCGATCTACACAATCCGAGGGAATGTCAGATCTCACCCAGCCCTGACCAGCAGCCTCGAAACGCTCCCCAACGAATGCTTTCTCACACCCCTTGCAGCTTACTCCACGCTCAACCTTCATTGCATCTTGGTTCAAAGTAGGGTACACGATGCATGCTGCCGAGCGATAGTGCAGCTAACCTCGATGAAGAGCGGTTCCGAGATTGCCTTGGATAGAGTCAAGCCACCGAATCTCTTCGCACATGTCAACGGCCGGTATACCTAAAGTCTTGTTCAGCATCATCGTGGGGTTAGCCCAGTCTTGGATGTTCAGATAGCGATAGCCCAATGTGTTGAACATATCCCCAAGTATACCGGGGCAGTAAATGTCATCGCCTTCCACCACAGCCAACTCTAGTTTTTCACGAAGGCAATGGTAGCAGCAGCGAGTGCAGGTCAGGAAGAAGAGGAGGCCTCCGAACTCTCCACACAATGTGCACTCTCCATTGATAAGAGCATGATAGAGGTCTTGATATGTGACATGGCGACTCAGAGCTGTTCGAGCAAGTGCCTTGATGCCCTCGGAGCTATGCTGTACGACTTGTCGATATTGAGGGATCTCATTCAATATGAGACGCGTTTGGCGATTGGCATTTCGAAAAGAATGAAATGACTTGATGTTGAGCATCATTGTGATGGTGGAAATAATCTCCGGAGGCAGATTGCAAATTGGTTCCGAATTATTTAAATCTGTCTGGGCTAAAGACGATGTGGTTAACAAACCCTCAAACAATATGTCAGGAACCTTGCTGGGGTTTGTCTCAAGCAGCGGGAAATAATATCGGCTTCGATGGTACGAACAAGTTTGGAGAAAAGCCTCCTGGGTATGTGATGTTTCGAGCATATTGATTAAGCAGAGAGGTGTGCAAGAGATAAAGACTGTGAAGGTCAGCGTGTAGTATTGGATGGGAAGGGGAAGTAAATGTGAGAGGATGTGAGAAGCAATTGCTTTTTTATATATTCAAGGCAATGAAACTCTATAAACCTCTCTATGCATTGATGGGTTTTAAATAATGAATAAGTTCATAATTGCGCTGTTACAAAATGTGTGTTTGTCTACATGCCCTCATGTCGATTCATTGCGGTTATTAAATCAGATGATGAAGTCAATTTGTACAAAACTATATCCACCAAACTTTCGTTTTTCAGAGACATGATTCAACCAAACACCTTGAAGTGCGGCTGCCTATGACATTATTTGATACACGAATGAACTCCCAAAGCTTGGCCTATTAAGGTTTCCCATCATTTATAACTTAATAAAAAGAAATCCCCTCCAGAGTAGTGAGAAATACAAGCTCAGTAAATCACGTTTTAGGTTCTTATCTTATCCTATCTTACCAGCTAATTCCAAATGCTTCACACGCGGTACAAACACCTGACCATTAACATACTCGTATTCAAGTTCCGTCCGGGTGCCTCGACCTTCTTGAAACGAGACTCGAATGATTCGTGTAACTACCTTCAAGATATCCGCATGATCTGGAAACTTCTGCTTGACATCGAGTGTAACAATTTTGATGTTGTCGTTAGCTTTACGAGCATGGCGCGCAAAGCGTTGTACCACTGCCATGTCGCGAGGCTCAGCATCATCTGTCTTCAAGCTGATCCACAAAATATTCTTGGTCTTGATGAGCTTCTCGTACTCCCTTAAAGGAGCAGAGCCGTCATCAATAACAGTGTAGATGAAACGAGGCGAGATGTCATCAGGGAATTTTGGTGAGATGGTCGATGCTGTGTTGTCTTCTGCAAGAGCGGTTGATAGCTGGTTCGCGAAGCTGAGAGGGTCACCCTGAGTACGAGGTAGAATATTGACCATTGGATTCTGAGTAGATGCAAGGGCTGTTGAAACCAAACAGTACGATGACTGCCCTATGAAATCAAATGTTCTCGTCGCCGGTTCGAGTGTGCTAAAGTTGTTGCTCTGCAAAACCTTGTTCCACTCGCTTACAGAAGGGTATTCCAATGGCTCAAATCGTTCGTCTCCAGTATTGTTAGTAAACATTCTATTGAAATGACACATGGGTACGCATACCTGACCACATATTTTCATTCATACCGAATATCAGATTATAGGCTGGAGAAATACTTGAAAGTCCTACAAGGACGAGGACGCCGCCAGGGGTGATAACTCTACGGAGATTCTTCAGAGCCCCTGACAAAGAATTGGCTGTGTATAGAATATTGTTGACGATGACCAAGTCGAAAGACTCTGGACTGAAACCCTGTTCAAGTGAATCCTGGTTGATGTCCAGAGCTTTGAGCTTAAACGAACCCCTCAGTGAGGCTTTCATCTGCTCCAGTATTGGAAGCGATCGGTCTGCGAGGGTATAAGCAATGCTTTTTTCGACAGGAAAGGCATTGAAGAGTGTTTTGGTCATGTTGCTTGTGCTAGCTCCGACTTCGAGAACATTTTGAACGGATTTCTTGGTTGCGAAATGTGATAGATATTCTCCAAGGTGCGCCTTCATTTTCAACATCAGCTCCATACCGTCCTGCATGTGATGGATCCTGTCGCCTTGAACCATTAACTCGATAGGATCAACCTTTCCCTGGAGAATACCACCGATATCGGGACCAATTTTATCAAGAATCTCGCCCTCACGATCCAGTTTTGTCAACGAGGAAAGGATCTCAATCATGGCAGTCATGGTAACATCATTTAACACCAATTTACCCGCCTGGGAAGTGTTGTAGGCACTCATCCATTGGTACAAGCTCTTTCTCGGGCCTGTAAGTGTGGTGGGATCAAAGTCCGGGATATCCATTGGAATGTTGTTGAGAGATGCGCGGATTATGAGCGCTGCGGCGCGGGCGATGATGATTTGATGGTCTGCTGTGGCCTTGCAAAATGGCGTTCTGGGTCTTGTGTTATTGCCGGTGAAGAAGTTGGCGTCAATTTCCCATTCGACATGGTGTACTGAGTCCCAGTCGTCATCATCTTGGAGGAATAGTTCGTCCCTAATGATGGGTTGTACAATGGACATGGTTGGGTCAAGATAAGAAAGACAAAGATAAGATAGGATATGGAAAATTAGTTGTAATCGTAGAGGGAAAGAGCCTAAAGCTTTGGGTGCCAAGGGAGTATTTATATGCCTCGATAATCTCACCATTTCTGAAAATGGGGTTGACGTTTTGGGTGGTTCATGTCTCGGAGCCGCAAGCTAACTTGTACAGTACAAGCATGTGAGTGACGTTAACCATGTCTTCGACCTGGACCCCACGGGGCAAATCTCCAAGCCGAGCTTCCGATACGTGCCCGCGTTTTCTAAGAGTCAACAGTCACACCACATTTCCAGTCCCTCTCGACTTGTGACGATATGTCTCCTGATAATATAGATGCATCTTTACCAATCTGGAAGCGACATTTCAGGTAGGCAATATCTCTCATTTATATTAATATCCCGAAACGCCGAGTTTTGCCGGCCACAACACCCCAGTTTCATAGAGGCCTTTTCGAAGCAGCCTGACTCGAGCGTATCTAAACCTCCAATATTAATTACGGTTTTATAGAAGAAGTAATTACCAATACTATTATCTATCATACATAGACCCAGACCAACTTTATCCACTCGGCGTCCAGCCATTGGTGGTCCAACTCTCAGGGCTTATATCGGGCCAATACAGCCCTTGCGCTCCATCTTGATACATTGATGCATCAATAAATTGCAAGTCCAATACCGGTTGCGACAAGAGCTCCTGCAATGAAGGTTCCGACAGAGCCATCCCGGCCGTCGGGTTGGAAAACCCTCCTACATCAATCCCGTCAAACTGTTGAATCACAGCGTCTGGCGCGAACTGTCCCTGCCGCGTCACCATGCAAACTTTCATCGCATCAATATGTCTACAAAATTCCTCTGCTGCAAAGTTTCCATTCTCTTTGAGTTGGGCAAGGAATTGTGCGGCTGATTCGAATTGCTCCTTGTCGCTACGTGACTCTTTGCCATCGATGAGGCTCGATATTGCAAGCACTGTTGCTGCTGCGAAGAGATATTGCGTGTAGAAGTAGTCAAAGGTTGCAAAAGAACCGTCAATCCAGCATTCGATCAGTAGCCGGCATGAGTGTCGGGCGCAGCGGACGCAGGCTTCTGAGAGTGTCATTGCCGAGACTGGAATTTGAGGCTCGGTACGTGGTTGCGTGTTCCATGCCGCTACGTGGGTTCGTAGGACATGAAGAAGAATAGGTCGGGTAGCCGTGATGGCAACCTGTATTGATCAGCTCAGTTCAGCATTTTGGTAAACCACTTACTTGGTTAAAGTATAGATGCAATGACAAAGGCTTGGGACTTGGTTCAGGGGCATCAGTAGGTTCAATGTGAAGATGTGCCGGTAACTCCTCCACAAAAGCCCTCAAATCTTTTAGTGCTTCTTGTACCCTTTGCGAGAGGGTCTTCTGCTGTGGCCTCCTCGTGTAGATCGAATTAATTACCTTCGCAGCTAGGCTTGCAAGTCGTATACTGGCGATGAAATACGACGAGTCTCCAAAATCATCTGAAGGTATCTCAAGAACCGGATCGGTCGGCAAGTCAACTTGTATTTCATCCTCGCGTATAGCTACAGGATGACCGAGTCTGGATGCCCACATGCGATCGAAGCTGTAGGCTGTCCACCATACGCGATTCCTGTGTTCTCGAGCACCGGCATCGCGGAGCTGTGATTCTGGCACGTTCAGATTTAGACCCATCACTACGCTGAGTCGAACGGATGAGCCTGCTAGAGCGTAGGCAGTGTAGCGGCGATTCAGGGCGAGCGAGTAAAAAGACTGAGAGGTCAGCTAAGTATCTTCCATACTTGAGTATGGCACTTACAAGAAGCAGGCGAATTTCGATGGCATCAATCCGTGGTCTTTCACTAATAATACGAAGTATCCTTGTGGCCCTGGCAAAGTAAGCCATACCAGGAAAGTTCCTGTCCTTTGCCGCTGTCCTAGTCGAGTACATCTCTCCAATAGCAAAAAGAACCCACAATTTGCTCTTTAGGAGTGAATCTGTAGAGTGAGGGTTCAGAATTGTCTGTTCAAGTCCTTCCAATATCTGACTCTTGCGTACAATGTAATAGCTCCTGCTAACGTACTTTAACGCAACGTTTACGAGAAGTCGTGCCCGGGATGGTATGGGCCACGGACAATCTTCATCTGAAAGAGCAAGCAATGTCTCGTCTGGAGCGTAGTTGACTCTCGGTATGTGGCTATGTCCCGGCTCGGAGATGGCTTGCCGAAAGCGAGTTGCAAAGGCAGCATCGGAAGCTTCGCCGATGAGCACAGGGGTATGAAGAACATTCATGTCAAAGAACCAGGGCCTTTCTTCTAACAAGGTGCCCTGCAATGTTGAGGGTGCCTCTATTTGGTTGGTAGAAGGTATGGCCACGTCTGATATAGTCGTCTCGGGATGAGGTTTGGGGTCTGCATTTTGATTACGGAGGCGCTCATTCTCAGCAACGAGATCATCAATATACCTGTAGCGATTGATGAGAATAATAGAAGATTAAGAAGGGAAAATACCATACTGTTGGCTGACTTTGACAAGTCTGTTCTTACGTGGATAAGAGCATTCAGCGCCTTTACTCGCCTGTCGACAATTCTGACATGGTTGACCGCCAGAACATTTAACTTTACGTGCGTGACACCTTCGACATCTACAGTTGAGTTAGCAAAAAAGTTTGTTCTAGATTGAGAGACGCCTCACTTACGCCGTAGACTTTTTCTTTCTCTGTCGTTTGTCAGTCATGCTGAAAGGCGTAACGTTCGAAGAGCCGAGATCATCTCTACTTTCAAGCTCCGAATCGCGAGGACTCTCATCGTTGGAAGTCATGGCGTAACCCGAAATTGTCAAGGTCAATAAATTCGAAAGATCGGGCTTCGGTAACGCAGGGCCGCAGAGGATCTTAACCAATCTAATGACTTAATTTTTCCCCGCTAAGATCTGCAAACTTCCATTTACAGTCAGTGATCGATTTGCTTTGTTCAACGGTTGCTCGCGTGACGTTCTGAGAAAGATGGGAATAACGGTGCAAGAAGCCGAAGCTTTGCGGCGAGAAAATTGAATTTGACCGTGATGAGTCAGCACTCCTATACTAACCTCGGGTCCATCGGCGGATCTGAGTGTTAGGCCGAATAGATCATGGAAATTAACCGGGTTTTAGATGAACGTGATGATAATCATACTTGAAGGAGCCGACACCGCTTAATGAAGTCTTGGAAGATCCACATATCGCCATTGAAATGAGTAAGAGGACTCTTCTTAAAAGAGAAGGTGCGCTTTATTAAAACTCTTCTTAGAACTCTCTTAGACTTTAGGTTCAGCAGCTAAAGTAGGATCAGACACTCTTTTCTGTATATTTTTCACAAATTTATAAAGTAATTTCTGTTGCTTTTTGTTGTAATTTTATTATAAATTTCCCATCCATATGCACTCCTGTCTCTGTATCATTCAAAAACAATCGCTATGAGTGAACCAAAAACGGAAACGTTAGCGGCCCCAGAGGCATCACCTCAACCAGAAGTCAGAGCAATAGACGATGATGTGGCCTCGATACCCTCCTGGCGAAAATGGGTCATTCTCTTTGTCGTCTGCTGGATGCCTCTGCCCATGACTTTCTGGAGCACGGCCATCATGCCTGCCACCATCGAAGTGGCCTCGGACCTGAACATACCCATGACCACTATCACAACAGTCAACGCTGGAGTTTTCGTCGCACAAGCTCTGTCAGGACTAATTTGGTTACCGATCAGCACTATCATCGGTCGAAAATCTGCGTATCTTGCTGCAAATGCTGTGCTTTGTCTCTGTGCAATTGGTTGCGCTGTGGTTCCGAACCTAGCTGGATTTGCATCCCTTTGGATTCTTGGTGGGACTGCAGGGCCATTCTTTCTGGTAGCGGGACAAACTATCCTTGCTGACATCTTTGATCCTGTAAGTAATTGGAAGGATGGGAGAGAGCCGTAACTGACCATCAATAGACTGTTCGTGGGACAGCTGTGGGTTTCTTTCTAGGAAGTTGTGTTTCTGCCAACACGATTGGTAAGTCAACCCAGGATCACACTCAATGCTTTGACTAATCTCTTGCAGCTCCTCTCCTCGGTAGTGTAATTGCTACATATACTAGCTGGAGGGTCATATACGGCGTGGAAGCGGGCATGTCTCTCTTCGGTCTTATTCTTTCCGTGTTGTTCATCCCTCGAGCAAGTGAAGTTGAGAATCCAAAACTCGCCGAGCCACGTCCTCGAACAAGGAGAGAAATTGTCCAAACATTCAACCCTATGCACGTGCTTTGTCAATACTCATACCCCAAGGTCATCATCGCAGTGAGTACTATATGACTTGCAAGATGAAAACTAGCTGACATGGATAGAATATCGCTTGCGGTCTCTTGGGTTTCAACCAATATGGTCTTCTTAGTTCTGTCCGCCGCGTCATCAACCCTCGCTTTAAGCTCGACTCCCCTCTTTCCAGCGGTTTATTCTATCTTGCCCCAGGTGCAGGCTTTCTTGTTGGAAGTACAGTGGGTGGTAAGATTTCTGATATTGTCGTCAAACGATATATACGCAAGCGAAACGGAGAAAGGTGTCCCGAAGATCGACTGAACAGCAGCTTGCCCAGTATTCTCATCATATTACCTCTCGGTACTCTGCTTTACGGATGGAGTGTTCAGACTAGAATAGGTGGCATGGCGTTACCGATTGTCAGTTCATTCATTGAAGGATTTGGACTTATGGCGTCGTTCAGTGGATTGAATACATTTGCTGCTGGTAAGTTGAAATCTATGTGCTTTGTTGTTCTTGCTGACACTTTTACAGAAGTACGTCCTGCACATAGAACTGCTGTGATCACGGGCAAATATGTCATTCAGTACAGCTTTGGTGCCATAAGTGTTGGCGGAGTAGTTCCCATGATTGATGGTATTGGGGTAGGATGGGCGTTTACTGTCAGTAAGTAAACTCCTTTTACCAAAAGACCAATACGCCGCTAACCACCAAAAGCCACAAGTCTATCCCTCGTTGCGGGCGTTTTTGTCTTATTAATTGCAAGATTCAGTAGAACTTGGAAACAGTAGATTATGTTTTATCGTGTGAGACAATTAAGATTAAAGTTAATGGAACAGAGGGATGGCATTTTGAGCTAGAGGCATAAAAGGTATCAAAGATGCATATGTTGAATGGTTTACCATAGAAGGAATAGACAAAAGTTAGTCTTTACCTAATGTCGGTTCCAGTGCAAGATCCGAATGACAACGCCATGGCAATTCGCCCCTACCAGACTTGTCCAGTCTATGACTAAACGGTCTAACGTGTCAAGCTCGTTTGCAAAGGTCCCAGAACCCGAAGTTATTCGGGTCTACGGCACCATTCCTCTGCCAAGACATAACAGCTGCATCTCAGCAAAACTTCAAGCCGTGGCTGTTCTCGCATTCGTTACGCCTCCAGATGCATCGCTGCTGCGGACGCTATATTAGGCATTGGGGCGGCTTACCCCAGATCCTCGTTGTTCTCGTTGGCTGGAGCTCGCCATTGAGTTTCGTCGAGTTTATTAGTGGGAAAGTCTCGTTCAACCCCGCCGGCATCAGAGTACCGCTGGCTGGGTTGATGGCAAAGGGGGCAATTTGCTGGTATGCTTTTCACGTGGTATGATTACGGTTCAGGATATTAAAACCCAGTGTGCGACTACATGCCAAACCTTCCCCAACGTCTCTCAATCGTAAACTGTTGAGATTCTGACCTTAGTTGCACCTGCAAGTTTCAGGATGCATCTCTCCTTGTCGCAACATTTTTTCCTTCTTTCTGCATACTCTAGCCTTGCGTTGGCTCAGGGAGGCGCTGACGCTGATCCTTATGTCCCCGTCTACACACAATGTCCGAGAGACTTAGAGATTCGCGCTGCAAAAGATGTAAGCATCACATAGCTTATCGTATGACGCATGCTAACCATTCCAGGGCCTGTCTGACGAAGAAAGTGCATGGAGAGAACTTCGAGCAAAGCAGATGATGTCTAACTTAGAGGACTACCTGAAGCTAGCCAAAATCAATGATTTTGACATCAACAAGTACATGGACAAGCTCAAAGAAGATGACGTCCCAATTGTTGGTCTTTCTGTCTCGGGTGGCGGTACGCAGTCTGGTCTAGGTGGCCTTGGTGTCTGGAAGGCCTTTGATTCTCGTTCCGATGCAGCCATTGCTGCTCGTACCGGAGGTCTAGCCCAGCTTCTGTCCTACATCACTGGTCTATCAGGTGGTGGTGCTGTCACTGTCGGCCTCCTGTAAGTTCATACATCAATCTTAGTATCCGCCATACTTACCATTCAGCGCGGCAAACAACTTCACCACAACAGACAACATCCAAAATACCACCAACTTCTCAACTTCATATGCTGAAGGTCCCGATGGCAACCAGACAGAGTTCCTCAACACTATCTTCGAAAACACCGGCGCCAAATTAGAAGCCGGCTTCCCAGTGTCTGTCGGTGATACCTTTGGCCAGTTCTGGGGAACATGGCTCCCTGAGGACCAACTTTTTAGTAACTACTCCGACGTTGCTAGCAATGGCACAGCCTTTGCTATGGGCGATGCTCCTATGCCCATCATGTGCTTTGCAGAGGTCGTACCTGGCAAGTCACCCGAGATCGGAAAGCTCATGTTTCCAACTCGCAACACTTCCAATCTCTTCAACTTGACCGCCTATGAAGTCACACCATACGAGTTTGGGTCTTGGGCTGGTGGCCGTGTGCAAGCTTTCATACCAACCAAGTATCTCGGCACGTCCATGTCTGACGGCAAACCACAGAACAGAAGCGAGTGCGTAGAGGGCTTCGATAAACTCACTTTCATGCAAGGAACCACTACCAACGCTTTTACCGCATGGTTCATCGACTCTTTCTATGGGGTTCCGATATTTGCGAAGCGTTGGTTGGATAAGAGACAGCAGGTGAACCCGGATATCAACGACGTTCCTATCCCGGATGATGAATATGATAATCCGCTGGTGGAACTTGCCAACCAGACGGCTTCATACTTTGGCTTGACCTTCAACCAGTCACTTTGGGCGACTTATCCCAACCCTTTCGAGGGCTACAATGAGGACATGAAAGATGTTTCGGAGCTTCTACTCGTAGGTTTCAACCAACTTACATAAAGAACTTTGCTGACTTGTTTAGATCGATGGCAGTCTTGCCCTGGATACCAATCCTCTCCGCCCTTTAATCATTCCTGAACGAAAACTCGACTTGATAATTGTGTACGAAGCATCATCTGACGCGCCTAATGGATGGGTCAATGGAACAAACCTGAGACGTACGTCGTGCAAACGTTTGAACAAGATTAACGCTAACAACAACTCAGACACGGCCATCGCCGCTTCTCAAGGCAACATTCCGTTCCCTGAAATTCCCGACGTGAATACAATTGTAGCTCAGAACCTCTCTTTTCAGCCCACATTCTTCGGGTGCAACGCCAGTGAAGAGACCCCTCTTCTTCTCTGGCTCCCTAATGCACCGTGGACAGGCTATACAAACTACTCGTACATGCAAGCCGAATTCACCTCGAACCAGCTGGACATTGCTTTCGATAACGCTTTCCAGGTTGCTACATACGGTAACGGAAGTGTCGATGAGAACTGGCCCGCTTGTCTAGCATGTGCTGCTATCAAGGGTTCCTTACGAAGAGTGGATATTGACCTGCCCAAGCAATGTGATGAGTGTTTCAATAAGCACTGCTGGAACGGAACCACGAGTTCACGAAAGGCTACCGCTGCTGACTTTGACCTGAAGCCGAGACTTGATCCTGGACTGACGTTTGAGAAGTGGAATGAGAGTGACTGGTCTTCTGAGTCGAGGACTGGTGGTAGCGGGGATGGCAAAGAAGATGGCTCTGCCGGAGTGAAGATTGGAAATAACGTTATTGGCCTTGTTCTGTCTGTGGCTGCGATGGTTTATATGCTGTAGTTGGTTGAGCAGATTATTGTTTCTCTCTCGGCTAAGCGATATCTGGTACATTTGGTTGCGTTAATCTGTGTTATTATTCAATTTTTCTTACCTTGTCTATCAATAAACTTGATGGCTTTTAACCAACAGAGATATTCGCAATTTAATAAATACATGGCCCGAGCCATAAAGCTATCCGCTCAAGGCCAATACTTTCTCTTTGAGTTTTTGATGTCCTTTTGACAATGCATTCAGAACTATAGATTGGCCCATCCGTGGAGGGCGTTTTGTCGTAAAAAATGTGGTTCATCCTAACGTTCAAACTACTAAACGAGTCAGGCCGTGTTCGGCGAGCTGTTTTGGGCAGTGGAGATCGGTGAGCCATGATGTGAACACTCCAATATGAGAACAACGCTCGAATAAATATTACCACGGATGCCTTAACTAAACATCACCTTGCATGGCACCAAATTCGCAATTGACAATGTCTACTCCTCAAAACCACGCTGTCATCTTTGGCGCAACAGGCCTCGTCGGCTGGGCCGCTGTCAATCAACTCCTCTCGAACTACCCTGCACCTAACACCTTTGCAAGCGTGACAGCTGTGAGCAATCGACCCTTGGACGCACACCGAACATTCTGGCCCGCAGAGTCCGGTGAAAGACCAGAACTTCGACTAGTGTCAGGTGTAGATCTCAAGAGCGGTGAATTGAAAGAACAATTGAGGGATAACGTGACTGGAATCGAGAGAACTACCCACGTCTTTTACTTTGGTGAGCATTGCAGAAACGCACAATGACCTTTGCTTACCGCGACAGTATTTGCACCGCATGACGAGGACCACCAAGAGGAATGCAAGATTAATTGCGCCATGATGCGCAATGTCGCATCCGCACTCAACGACCTCTCTCCCAATCTCAAGTCTGTCGTTTACTCTGGTGGCACAAGGGTACAACTTCCTCTACCTTTCACTTACGTACAATCACTGACTCTTGTAGGGTTACGGTATCTACATTCCCGGTGGTATCTTCACGCATCCTCTTGAAGAATCCATGGCCGATAATATACCCGCGGATTACGCAAAGACGGTCGCTTACCCGTGGTTTCGCAGCATTCTTACTGATGCTTCAGCCGGTCGCGAATGGACATGGACAGAGGTCTGTCCCGACGTGGTCGTAGGCTTCAGTGCGATTGGCTCGAATTACTCTCTCGCCCTGCACTGGGCGCAGTATCTTTCCCTGTATGCGAAGAACAACGGAGAAGGCGCAGAGGTGGTGTTTCCGGGGAACGAGGAAGCCTACAGTGCGCGCTTCACGTCCGTGTCGTCTTGTATTCTCGGCCGTATCGCAATCCACGCAGCACTCAATCCATCATCGTGCGGAGGCAAGATTATCAACATGCTCGATCGTGCGGAACCAACCACTTTCGCGGAAGCGTGGCCTCGTATCGCGTCGTTTTTCGGGCTTGTCGGTGTCGCGCCGAGGAATGCCGAGGGTCAGCGGCCGAGTGAATACACCGAGACCTATTGTCATCTCTTGGGGGAGTATGGTAAAACGGCGGGGGTCGGAGCAGGAAGGAAACAACTCGATAATGTGGGCTGGTGGTTGACATTTGATCGCCAATTGAGCGCGGAAAGGTTACGAAGCGTAGGCTTCAAGGAGGAACGAGATCCATCAGAGGGTTGGATTGAAGCATTTTCCAAACTTCGCGATGCCGAAATTATTTTGTAAGGTTAGTTTTCGCCTGCCCGTATATATCGGGGATACCGAGAAAGAGTAAGTAATTCGGTGTAGGAATGTCGTTTCGGGCTGGTGCAGAGTAAAAAGAAAACAAGACTCTTTGCTATTATGTCATTGTAAATCCACTATACCGAACAAACCCCGGCGCTCCATTTCTCCGGATTCCGAAAGAGGAATAAATGGGTACAGGTCCACTGTTAGCCGTCATCGTTCCTGGTCACGTACAGGGACATTCGAGTTTTTGTTACGAAATCGAGTCTTAATGATGCCAATAGAAGTCTCCCATTTTCTCTTGACCGGTTGAATCGGCTTTGTTTGTTGTGTTCCTTGGTGTCATACTTTTTTAGACGGGTTCTCTTTAGAGAGGGGAAATAATAGATCATCTCCGCGGGCCAACGTGCTTGGTATAAGGACCAGAGGCGCTGTCGTTCCATGGAAGCTTTGGCTTGTTCTGTTAGGAGTTTTGAAGCCATCGCCAGTCGAGATTAACTCCATGTTAAAAGAGGTTCCGGCTTAATTAAAACTTTCGCTGTTTCATCTGACGCCTTCTGACGCCATCTCTATTCAATTCGACGTCGTTTTACTCAACTTTCTTTTTCTGTTTCTTCAACCATTCTCGCCTTTCGCATTCATTGACTCTGGCTGGTTGCATTGCCTGATCTCATCTGCATTTACCCCGGATTTTACAACCCCATCTCATCACATCACATCAGGTCACCCCATTTTATCTCGATGCCGTCCCGGGACCCCAAAAAATGGACCTTCGACATTGATCGGTTCATCAATCCCTTCATTCCACCGCCGCCATGGAAACACCTCCCATATCCCATCGCCTACATCTTTGGATACCGTCACCAAAAACCCAGTAGCATTGGGACTATTCTGCCAGTGATTTGGGCATTCATTGGCATTTTCATCTCACTATCGGTTATTGAATTGGCTTCGGAGCGTATTCCTTCATTTGTTGAGAGAGGCGCTCCTATTATTGTCGGATCTTTTGTATGTTCTCCCGCTGCCATAAGACCAAATCCTTGATATGATATGCTAACAATCCTAGGGTGCGGGCGCTGTTCTTGAGTTCTATGCTATTGAATCTCCCCTCGCACAACCGCGTAATTTTTTCGGCGGTCAACTCATCGCCGCCGTCATCGGTGTCAGTATTGGAAAGCTCTTCCTCCTTAGTGACAGCTTCTCCTCCATTCAATGGCTCGGTGGCGCCATTTCCTGCGCGACGGTAACTTCCATCATGGCTCTTACAAAAACGATTCACCCGCCCGCCGGTGCAACGGGCCTTCTCGCCGTAGTCGATGACCGACTTCTTCAACTGGGCTGGTTCTTCATCCCCGTGGTGCTCTTCAACTGCACAATCATGTTCGGAGTGGCACTCCTCGTAAATAATATCCAGCGCGTGTACCCTGTCTATTGGTGGACACCTGAGAGCCTACGCACTGAGAGGACCGAAGGGGAGAGGGAGAAATCGGCGGATGTTGAAAAGGGCAAGCCAAGTGAGGTGGTGCCAGATGATGGAAGTGATTCCGATCGGCACGAGAGACATGACGGCAAGGAGATTGTTCTCAAGCCCGGTGGTGCACTTGCTTTGCCTCAGGATCTCTTCCTTATGCAGGAGGAGCTTCAGCTGCTAGAGGAGATCGCCAACCGATTATAGAGGTTACAGGTTGGGCGTCACGATGAGATTACATGCATTACATCAAATAGCACACAAAAAGCGTACTTATTAATATTGAAATTAAATATGTTCTGATTATTCTTATGCCATCAAATACCTGTAAAAAACGAAATACATTTTCTCGACACAGCAAACGATACAGTTTTATATTAAGAGATATTTATGAATTGATATCGTCCATTGAATCTACCACAAATCACCATTCACTATCATTGGTTATATGTGCATGGAATAGTCGATCCAGTACAATCGTAAGTTTGTTATCTCTTCCCCCTCAACATTGATATTATAGTCTTGAGTTGTGCAAAACCTTCAGTGACAATTAGTGTCGCAACACGTGTCTGGTCCGTAGAGGTGGCTGAAAGAACACAGGCTAGCGGATGTAACATGTAGGGTCCGTTGGTGTACAAAGACATGTGAAACTTTGTGCTTTGTGAAGGTGTTGCCATGGCTTGTAGTGTTGGTTTGCGATGATGGCTTTGTCTAGTTTGTGCTTTCTTTTGTTTCTGGGGCCAGGGTCTATCGTCACAGTGGGTGTAAACAATCTCACAAAGTATAAGCATATCTACTTTGAAGTAGATGCACAGAGCAGAACCTGGTCTTGATACACTGGCTAAATGGTTCCAGCAGATTGCTATACCGATGGCACTGACGTTGATGAGTGTTTGGTCCAAGACAGAACATATCCGCTGTGACATAGAACACAGCAATGGAATTCAGATCGTAAAGAGCGAATTTGATAAGGGCCTTGCACCAAGAACCATGTCAATAAAAGGTTTGAGTGGGAAAATTCAAGTGCCGACTCATTGAGTAGTATTACTACAGTGGGGAGGTACAACTGGGAATAGCTTCAAACAATACCTTGACGGATTGGGCGATCGAATCTAAACAGTTTAATGAGACACCGTTCATGTCTAGCGCACGATCGTTTGAAACAAGACAAGGACTATAGAACTAGACAACCATAAAAATCGATGTGGAAATTAAGTTCATGCTCTCAAGAAACATTACTCTTGGCTTACCATCAGCCGACAACCCCTGCTGATCAGGTATCGCGATGCCCAGAGATTGGCTGAAAGGTGCTGCACGTTGACAGAGCCTCGGAGTTGGAGCCAAGAGTTGCGGCAATGTGTCAATGTGACCCTATGCGGGGTCTAGTAACTCTCCACCTTTTGACCTAATAACTTCACAATGCAAGCTGTTGCAATTGTGGCGATCCTTGGTCTGGGTATTGAATCATGCTTGAATTAAGGAATTTGCCTTTGAACCGATGCATCGTAACGAAGACCAGTGTAACGGTATTCGACGACCGTGTAGCGGTGAATGAGTGCGACGTCTAACCTTAAGTTGCCCGCCATGGTGGGTGGTTACACAAAACTCACCACCAACAAACCACTTGTGATATTGCATCTCGTGCGTCAAACGCCAGTCAGCAACAGAACTCAGCCTCAGTTAAAGCCGATCTTGGTCGGAAACAAAACAGAAAGCAAAGACCACCCAACATGGCAGGTAGGCAGGTCAGATCTTGAAGGGCCCGGGCCTAGATGCAAGCGGTGAGACACAACGGCGCGTGAGCGACAGGGGTGGTGCGATTGAGGAGGACGGGGAGGATCACATGTGCGGGGAGTAGAGGGAGGAGTGATCAATAACATTCGGGCAGGGAGATGAGACAAAGGAGTGCATTCCCTGGCTTTGGATCGTCGTTGGATTGCTGTTGAAAGGGCAACTCGGTTGGCAAATAAAGAAAAAAACATGGTCAATATGTACAGTCAGACTGGGATGATGATTGTTACTCCACAATCGATTGTTGATTCCAAAGTTTAAGTCAAAGCCAAGATTTGTTTACAATACCTACGATAAAATAAAAAACCGTTCCGGATTAACCGCCCATAAGCAGGTTTCATATATGGGGAAACTATCTCCATACATAGAATAATCTGTCTAGTCCAGCAATATGTGCTTGCGCCCGCTTCAGCACAATCACAAGTCACCTCCTCTGACCAGACTTGACATTGCCAAGTCTTGAGGTTGGGGTTTCTCCACTGAATTGGCTTGCGCTAGGGGAGATGGTCGTACAGTCAGTGCAGTCAATACTGTGGTAAGTACCTATAAATTAGAACGGAACATTCAACCTTTGCTGGTTTAATCGTACACAGAATTAACAGCTTGGGAAATACACGTACTCGGTTACAATTGCTATACTGCATTATCTTCTCGATCAACCCTGGTCCAGGTAACACAGCAGACAGGGAAAAAAGACCCTTGACTCATATTGGATAAAGACAACACCAAAGAAAAGTGACAAGTCTAGGCAGTTCAGTCAGTGCATGCATCGTACCCTCCATTACGATAGCCTAGACCCTTGGTCCTTGGCCTACAGCTCCCCACTACTCTATTCCCCTCAGCGAATGACCCCCCGCCTCTTTTCTCCCTTGAATCCCAACTTTTTGATCATTTCTTTTCTTGGTCGCCAATTGATCCATCCTCCGGGCGACAGATACAAAAAGGCTCCAGCGCCAGTCGCTGCTCCCTCGACCCGACCCTTGTTTCTTGTATTTACTATCTTGTCCTTTGTTCCTCTCCTCTTCTCCTCCTCCTTATAGAGGTTTTCCTCTTGCGACGTCGTCTCACGTCTGCGCCTCCTCCGCACGAAACGACCGAGACACGAAAGAACAATCAGTTTTGTTAGAATACTACACAGTCGCACAGAGCTCACAGTCTCGCAATGTCGTCTTCACCGACGACGACGGCTGCGGCAGCCACGAGTGCCCATCCCCAAGGAGGCATTATCGAAGGCCTCAACCCAATCACGTACAACCCCAAGGACCCCATTGCGCTCTTCATCGTCCAAGCCTTCATTATCATCATCTTCTGTCGTCTTCTTCAATGGCCTCTCTCCAAGTTAGGCCAACCGCGCGTCATCGCAGAAGTTATTGGTGGCATCGTCCTCGGTCCTTCCGTCATGATGCGCATCCCCGGTTTCAAGGAGAACATATTCCCTACCGAGTCAATGCCTGTTCTTTCCACTGTCGCTACCATTGGTCTGCTTCTTTTCTTGTTCCTTGTTGGACTCGAGGTTGATACACGCATGTTCAAGTCCAATTGGCGTGTCGCTGCCAGTGTTGGTCTTGCCAGCATGGTGCTTCCCTTTGGTCTTGGTGTCGCTGTTGCTTGGGGTTTGTATGAAGAATACGGAGATGAGGGAACTATGAAGGACATGGAGTTTGGCACCTTTGCGCTCTTCATTGGAACTGCGCTCGCCATTACTGCTTTCCCTGTCCTTTGTCGTATTCTCTCCGAGCTTCAGCTTCTCAGCACTTCTGTTGGTGTGACAGTCCTCGCTGCCGGTATCGGAAACGACGTCGTTGGCTGGGTTCTGCTCGCTCTCAGTGTCGCTCTGGTTAACAACGCCAATGGCCTCACGGCGCTGTATGTGTTTTTGACTGCAGTCGCATGGGTCCTTTTCCTCGTCTATGCTGTGCGCCCTGTCTTTCTCTGGGTGTTGCGCCGAACGGACAGTATCCAGAACGGTCCATCTCAAGGTATCACTACCTTGACTCTGCTTCTTGTCCTGGCTTCTTCTTGGTTCACTGGTAAGTCATCTACCCCAAGTCGAGGGACAACTAACCCTAACACTCTGCGCAGCCGCTATCGGTGTCCACGCTATTTTTGGTGCCTTCCTCATCGGTCTTATATGCCCTCACGATGGTGGTTTCGCCATCAAATTGACTGAAAAGATTGAAGATCTTGTTGGGTCTATTCTCTTACCTCTCTACTTTGCACTCTCTGGCCTCAACACCAACTTGGGTCTGCTTGATGATGGCACTACCTGGGGATATGTCATTGCCATTATCGCATGCGCTTTCTTTGGCAAGATCATTGCCGGTACCCTCGCCGCGCGGTTGACCAAATGTCTGTGGCGAGAGAGTTTCACCATTGGTGCCCTTATGAGTTGTAAGGGTCTTGTCGAGCTGATTGTCTTGGTAAGTTGACGTCGCCAGTCACGTAGCCCCCGCTAACATCTGTTTAGAACATCGGTCTTCAAGCTGGCATTCTTTCGCCCCGGACCTTCACCATGTTTGTCGTCATGGCAGTTGTAAGTATCTCGCATCCTTGTACAATGCTTCGCTAACCATGCCAGGTCACCACCGTCACAACCTCACCACTCACCAGGTGGCTCTACCCTCTCTCTTACCGCCTCAAGGTGGAGAAGTGGCGCCGAGGGGAGATCGACTGGGATGGAAACCCTCTCCAAACCGAGGCCCAGAATTCTGAGCATAAGATGGAAGAGGCTCTTGATAAGTCTCAAACCAACCGCCTCGTTCTTCACCTCCGCCTTGATGCACTTCCTGGATTGTTCAACCTCGTTTCACTTCTTGGTGGATCCCGAAAACAAACTCTCCCTGCTATCACTCCCGCACCCAACGATGACGGCGCAGATGCTACTCCTGCTGAGGAAAAGACTCAAGTCATCCCCAGCCGCCCGTTCGAGGTTCGTGGTGTTCGGCTTATGGAGCTGACCGACCGTACCTCGTCCGTCATGCAATCTGCCGAACTCGACGAGTTCGCTTCCCGCGACGCCGTCTTCTCAGCTTTCCAGACCTTCTCTCGTCTCAACGGTGTTGCCGTTGCTGGCCAAGTTTCTATCATCCCAACCAATGCTTACGCCGAGACTATTGTCAAGTATGCCGAAGAAGCCAGGTCTGACTTCATGATCATCCCTTGGAGCACATATGGCGGTATCGCCGAGGAAAGCTCTACCGCCGCCTTGACCGAGACTGGCAACATCAACGATCGTTTCTTTAGTAGAACTTACATCGATTATGTCCAGAACGCTATCGACAGGTCAAGTTGCACCACTGGTATCTTCATCAACCGAATTCCCCACGATGCCTTGACCAAGAAACCTACCCTTACACGAACTCGCACCGGCTTGTCTGTTCACAGCGCCCATGACGGCGCAGTTGTTCAAAGACCCGTTGATCAGCGCCAAATTATCTTCGTGCCCTTCATTGGCGGCAAGGATGATCGTGCTGCCCTTCTCTTTGCTCTCCAGCTCGCTCATAACCCTCACGTCTCTATTCACGTCGTCCACCTACATTTCAGCGAAGACGATCATGAAGCACTCAATGCATCACCTGACAGCGATCCTTCCACGGGTAACGAACTTGGAAAGAACGCAGTCGGCTTCCCATCTGCAAGCGACATGGACCTTCTGAACACCGCAAAGAATAACGCTGCAGGTAAACTCGAGGGCCGCGTCACTTTTGTTGAGATCCCTGTTGATTCGGTTCGCAACCTGCCTGATCTTGCTGTAGCTCACTCCCGTGAACTCGTTGGCAAGTCTCGCTTCAGCGTCGGCGATTTGGTCATCGTTGGCCGTTCGCACCCACTGTTTGACAACCTTCTTGTGGAAGACTTTGGCGTAGAGAGAGATTTCCAGCGCACAGTTGGTGTGCTCGGAGATCGATTTGCTAGGGCAGGTGTTGATGCTGGGTTGTTGGTTATTGACGACAAGCAAGCCAAGGTCTAATTTGCTTTGGGGACTTTGGAACGATTTATACCAATTTGAAGCATGTCGGAACATACGCGTGGGTTGATTTCAGCACCATATACCATATTGAGTTTGACATTTATGAGATATGAACACATCTTAAGTTTACCATCCTTCTTTGCAATCTTTTGAGCCTAATTGAACAATCTGGACGATGTCAAATGAATGGTGCCGTCTCTATTGAACTCTAGAGAAAGTCAATAGCCCCTTGTTGTACACATATGCTTCTCTCAGTGTCTCTGTTCTCCCTTTCCATTCTATTCTCAGTGTTATACAAAGTCGTCTGGTTTTGCAATTCGGACTACACTTCTGCCGGTCATGTGTTCCTCAACGGGAAGTTATATCCGAAACCCCTCAATCGTGCGGAGAAGTGATCTCTGGTCAAAACCGACTTGACTCTTGCAACTTGACTATCACATAACAAACCGATCAAGATGTTTGCTGATATTACTCAGCCGCCGAAGCCACTCCCTACAGCTCAGCTCAAAGCCGTGCGGTCAGGTGTCTCGCTGTTGCCTCCGCTCTCACGTCGAGGCCATGGCCCAGGGCTTGTGGTTCTTACACCAACTTCCGAGGATCTTCTCAAGATAGAAGATGGCGTACCGTCTGTGCTTATCAAATGGGCTGAGGAAGGATATACAGTAGTCCAAATCGATGCTTCCGCGTTTGAAGATGGCAATAGCGTAGATATCTTACGTGACGCTTTGGAGACTATGCGCCAATGTGATAAATATGACGAAGGAAATATTGGTTTAGTCGGTAAGGCAAACATGATATCTTCATGAAATCTGCTGATGATCCGTAGCATATTCTTCAAGTCTCTGGAACACAATTGCGCCAAGCCTATCAGACGTCCATGATGTTGTAGCAGCAGCCGTATACACCAACGCCGACAACCTATCAGAACTATCTTCCGCGAACATTCCACTTGTACGACATATAGTTGGGCCTACCGGCAAGCGTAGTTCTGACAAGTCAGATGGAATCGAGTACTACTATCCCAAAGCTGAAAGCTGCGCTTTTGCAACGCCATTCCACCAGCACTTTGACTACAACATGGAGTCTGTTTCGCACACGAGAAACCTCCAGTTCCTCAAACCCAAGGTCGGGGGACCTTACTTTGATCTTGAGTACATCTGGGAAGAGCATACTCACTATGAGTTTGCCGATCGCTCAGTTGAGCATACCATGAGTACCATGGTTCAAGAACCATACGTCAACCATACGCCTACTGTGAGTGGACATACAAGTGCTCCTGATGATAGGGCTGACGAAATTATAGTTGACAGGAGGGATTGGCCGAGACAAACTATCAGACTTTTATCGGCATAACTTTATCTTTAACAACTCTTCAGACTCTGAACTGGACTTGATTAGTCGAACCATTGGAATAGATCGTGTGGTTGACGAATTTCTCTTTAAGTTTACACACAATCAAGAGATTCCTTGGATGTTAGTATTCCCCAAACATGCGAGGCCGCTATGCTAAATCATTGCAGGTTACCTGGTGTCCCGCCCACCAACATCAAAGCCGAAGTCCCGTTCACGGCGGTGGTCAATATTCGAGGAGACCGCCTGTATCATGAGCATATCTCTTGGGACCAAGGAACCTTACTTAGACAGTTGGGTCTATTGCCTGAGTATCTACCGTTCCCTTATGCTCTACCAGATGGTCAAACTTCTGATGCCGGTTTTGAGTATCGCTTACCAGTTGCTGGCAAGGAGACAGCTATCAAGATGAAGGATAGACATGGAGTGGCGTCGAACCAGATGTTTGCATATGAGGTTCGTGAGAAGAAGGACTGATGAATAACTGGAAGGAAGTTTCGAAAACCACTGGCATGTAAGCACTTGGCCGGATGTAAGACTCTGTTTAGACAGACAGAGTTTTGTTTCAGTGAGTAGAGACCATTGGTGAGTCGACGCCACCGAGACAGAACAGTGTTGGCTTCCCCCCCAGTTGAACTGTCCATTAGTCAAAAGTATAATGGTAACAAAATGTGTTGTTAAAGAGCAAAGATTTGACATCAATATTCCCAATTATGCGTCCATGATCTGATATATCTACATAAAGCCCATCCAGGGTCATTCGTTGTTCTCAGTGCAATTTCCACTTTATGGTTCAAGGCTGTCAGCCACAAACTATTGTTGTCTCGATCGACGACGATCAAGCGCCCGCCACCTCATCAAGGTTCCTATTGTCAAAACGCCTCTTTTGGCTAGCGAGCTACAGGGCTGGATACGTACGGGTTTTGTACGACTCCACAGCGCTCTTGGTTAATTAGACGTTGTGTTTTGTTGAGAAGGTGACGTTCCTGGCCATTAATTACGAGCGGGTAGTGTAGTCTTGATTTGTAGGTCAATATGTCCATGTGCGTATTATCATATCATCTCGGCGTCTTCCATCACAGTCAATGGTATGCAGTTGGTATTCAAGGGAACCTAAGATCTGATCGGCTCTTTACTAACCGAGTGTTTGTTTAATGGAAGATCCTTGCTGCGCCCACTAGGAGGACAGCTGCGCATAGACATTGTTCATGGTCGAATCTTTAAGTGCTTGGGTTTTATTAAACTCAAAAAAGCAGCTTCTGTAACCTACACACTCACTAACCCCTGCCATTCAGCTGGTCAAGAATCACTTCAATAATTGCAGTCATTGATATTCTCACTAATCGACAACTAGCCAAGGACAGTCTTTTACTCAAAACTACAGTAAGTATTTGGGTTGCAGGCGGACAAAAAGGTTCTCTAACCGACCTGGTGGGCTAGGAATGTGGCTTGATTGCCTCAATAGAAGTCAACAACGAGTGACCACTTTGCCTCCATCCGCATTTGGTATTCGTCCCGGCGTCTTGGTGTCGAGACGGTTCTTGTGTTACTATGGCTTGCTTGAAAACTGTTGGTTTCCCTTCTTCAGCAAGACTGTCCATTCCTACTCCTTCCTCGACCAAAATGCATAATCAGCACCCTTGACTGAATTCTACCTGTGTACTCTGTTTTTTTTTTGTTTTCTTTGTTTTTTTGTTTTTTTACAAGTCAGCAGTTTCGTATTAGCGACAACTTCTCAACTTCAGACTGCCATGGCGGTTGGGGGCGATGGATATTGGGTCCTTGCTTCCATGTGGCCATTGACGGTCATCAGCTTCGTCTTTGTCGTGTTGCGGACGTACACGAGAGTCTACATCGTCAAGTCTTTTGGCGTTGACGATCATATGTACAATCTTGCTTTTGTTAGTCCAGCATTCCCTGTCACCATCGATGCATCTTACTGATATCTTGTATCACAGTTCTTCCTTCTCATCAACACCATCTTGATGACCATAGGGGTACACTATGGCTTGGGTCGGAATCTAATGGATATTTCGAGAGATGACCCCGAACATCTGCCACTTTCACTACTCTACGAAGCTGCTAGCCAAACGTTTGCGATAATAGCCATGAGTATCGCAAAGTGGTCTTTGGGCCTCTTCCTACTACGACTCGTGAAGGAGAAATGGCACAGGATTGCTATCTGGTGCATGATGGCTTGTCTGATGTCAGCTTCCATCTCAGTATGTTTCGTCTATTGGCTTCAGTGTACTCCACCGCAATACCTTTGGAATCGCAATATACCAGGTCATTGTCATGTAGATACGGCCCCGGCGTCGATGCTACTTTGTGGTAAGTATTTTCGGACCTCCTTCGTATTATTTTCATGGCGAGCTAAACTTGATAGTTCTTTGTGTGGTGGCCGACTTCTTCTTCGCCGGCTTTCCCTGGCTGTTTATCCTCGGCTTACAGATGAAGATGAAAGAGAAGATGGTGATTCTCTTGAGTCTTAGCTTAGGCGTTATGTAAGAGTCATTCTTCATTGCTGATGATACTGACTAACCGATCTACAGTGCTGGAGCATTTGGAATCAAGCGAACACTCGAGGTTCCCAAGCTTAAAAGTCCAAACCATACGAGCAAGTAACCCTTTAACATAATAGCTGGAACTCAACTAACATCTGCTAAGAGGATCCAATGGGATTGATTGTCTGGTCAGCCGCTGAGCTCACAGTAACAATGATTTGCATTGCTGTTCCTGTCTGCCGACCTCTATACAAGAAATGTTTTACAAGGTGGACGTCTCGCGGTTCCAGCAATTGCCCCAACTCTGCAGCGTCATACCCTCTACAAACGATAGGCGGAGGTGTACATCCAGCTAAGCGGGTGGATAGGAATGGCAGCGGCAGCACGGCTGATACTCACGAACACATCGAAGAACGTGAGCGAAAGATGGGCATTAACAGTCCGTTTGCAAGGACGAGAGTTTATCCCAAAAGTGATGCAAGGCGTCTTGGAGACGATCAGAGTGAAGAGGAGATTCTTGGGCCAGAGTTTCGGAGAAGCCAGATTATGGATCTCGAGGCACAGAACGAAGGGACTAGGCCAACGCACCATACTACCAATTCTGAGCGAAGTATATAGGTTATGTGTCTAAGATGAAACGTCCTTCACCGGTCGTACAACATGGCCCTGTTCTGGTACCTGGCGGTTAATGTGTGTTGCTCCATGCTCCAACGACGTTGAGAAACGCCTCACCCGTGCGGTAGTGGCCCCTTCTCTTTCTGACATTTACTCTGAGTGGCGTGTTACCGGAGCTGTGTTGGATTTTAGTCCCTGCACAATGTTAAATAGCGTATCAACCATGCTGAGAACTGAATATAGATAGAATGCTACTACTGAGTTGCAAATGTAAATAACGGCTGTTGCTAGCCACATGAGCTTTTACTGTCACATTGGACAAGTCTCGATCTCGATCTGGACTAGGGAAGAGTATTATTGTCTTAGGTTACGTGCCTTTAGAGCTATAGCAACGGGGTAGTTAGACCTCTGGTTTTGAAGTGACTGTTCTGCCTAGAGCTGTTCCAGGCCGGATTAAGTGACAACTGAGACAGCAAGAGGTAAAAGCCGTAAGGAGTAGAAGTATTCACTCTGCCGCATTTCAATTAAGAGGCTGTGAGAGTGCACCTACCCTGCATATAGCCTGTAAGGGAGACAGCCTTATTCGGAGTGCATTTGAAATGAGCAGTGAGTTTCCCTCTCTCTTTCATACTTCTATGCATAATTACCAAGTTCAACTCCAACGAGGCGCATGATGTCTGTTGTCGAGGTATTCATCGAAACATTAATCGTTATGGATGTCATGTTTCGACTTATGGGAAATCAGTTTCGGGTATTCCTTCATCTCCAGAGTATTGGAAAAACATTCCATGAATATTATGAGAGTCATTCTGAAACTGCGCCCAATGTTTCACTACGTCGCTGATCTCTTTTTCCGGGTAAGCCTTGTCAGACCTGGGCTGTCAGCATTTAATTAGTTCACCGGCTTGGTGGTTATTCTACCCGACCTCGTTAAAAACATGCGACAAGAGAATTGTTTGTTGACAAAAAAGAACAGGGGTCCAGTAATTAACAGTCGAGAAGGATGAAAGAAGAAAAGAAAGGGACAAGAAAAGAAAAAAAAGAAAAAAAAAAAAGGGTGGTCAACTTCTAGACAAGTCGGAATCTCAGTCATACACCATCTTGATGAGAAAAGGCCGTGCCAATTGAACCCTACCACATTCCTACTCATTCCATACATCGAGATTTGATTCCCTGTTTATTGTTTTTGTCGGATACGAGAGTTGAAGAGTATTGTCCCATGGAAAAGCCAATTCCCACAACAACGTCATCATATTTGTCCATTCCAGCGCCCAAAAAACTTAGCGAAATGGCCCCTTTGGGCTCCAATTCAACCCGGTGCTGGGATCACCCTGAAATTATTAAAATTGCAAATTCAGGTACAGCATGGTACCCCCTGCTGATAACACTTTCGGCCCTGTTGGGCATTAGACCAACCTTTCAGGGCCCAAAGGCTCAAAGCGTAAGGTCCCTATGCACCCCGCGGGTCCTTTTGTTGACAGGCCCCAGACGCAGGGACCTTTCAAAAATAAATTCACATATATCAAGGGGACTGCACTCACAAAACAATGAAGCCATTAGGGATTTCCTACCATTCATTCATTTAACTAAAAGAAACAGCCACTGGGCGAAGTGTTTAGTCGCTTTTTCTAACGGTTCCAAAACAGAAAAGCGCAGTCCACAATGACACAACGACTAAGCTTCGCCCAGCTCGAGCAGGCTGCTCTTCACATTATTCGTCTCATCGCAGACATTCCCGGCCTCGAGAACACTCGTCTCGCCATTGTTGGAGACTTGGCTGTCAACAAATACTTGTCGCAACAAGCCAAAGTTACAGTAAGCCATCCCACACAATCTCAACCTCCCAAACCCTTCTCTAACATCCGCCAACAGAGCATCGACTTGGTCATCAGCAAGTCCTCTTCTCCCGGTCGCGTCAAGAAGGAAATTGTCGGCCATCCCATCACTCCCCTCGTCGAAAAGTCCGGCGTCGTTCTGTACCGCCACACAACAGGATGGGAGATTGAAGTCAAGCTCATCCCCGACTGGCTCAGCCCATACCTCCCCGAAGCCGCCAAGCGCGTCCGCGATGTAAAGGGCGAGTCCACCCTGCCTTACACATCCCTCGAGGACATCATCATCTTCAAGATGGACGCCTGCGGTCTCCACGAGAACGACAACAGCAAGCGACGCGATGCCTGCGATGCAGCTGCCCTGCTCGACTTGGCCTCTGAGCATGGTGCCTTGGTTCTCGACGAGGACAAGACGGAGCGAGCGGAGGAGGCTTTGGCTGACATGGTTGAGTTCTCGGATGAGAAGGACAAGGGCTGGTGGCAGCGTTGCCTGGGAATGGTCAACAACAAGCCCCGTACGCCCCAAGAGATTCTCTCCGACATCGCCGAGCGACCTCAGACCGCCTCTTCGCGATCGTCCGTCCACTCGTCCATCTCGCGCGCCTCATCCTACACCAGCAACGCATCCAGCCACTCCTCCGCCTCGTCCATCTCCTCCACCAGCGCCGACGACAAGTCCCCCAAGTCACCAATCCCCGAGAAGAATGGTCGCCCTCGCAAGATGAGTGTCACCAAGAAGCCCTCTCGTCATAAGCGCCACACTTCCATCGGCGCCTCTACCTCGGTCAGCGCTCTCGACGCTCACATGCACCGCCTTGAGCTGGACCGTCCTGCCTCGCCTGGCATTTCTCTGACGAACCGCATTTAATTCTTCATTTTCTTATGTCATCTTTTCTCGTTTATATATATTATGTCACTGGAGTTGGGAGAGAAGCAAAAGTATACGGGAAGGGCAATGGAATCGCTACTTTGTACAACATAGGATACCCCCGATACCCTCAGATTTCTTGTTTGTGGCTAGCGTGTATTTTGATGTGTGCGAATTGGCAATTGGGGGCGGTAATCTTGACTTCGTAAAAAAGTTCTTTGGATTGGGTTGAAAAAAAGTTTGGAGTTTTATGAGAGCGGGAAAACATGGGGGACTCTTTTCTGATGTTGATTTTCTTCTTGGCTAGATATCTTGGATATACTTAGACCTTCTCTTCTCTTCTATCTAGATTTTCTTTGTGAATCAATAGCAAGCGAATCGTTTTAGAATTTTTTTATTTACTTGTGATGGATGCAAATGATAGTATCACGACGATCGGACTATTGGCTGTTTGGATCGACGGATTGTTCATTCCAGATCATTCCACGTTACTGTTACATCAACCTTAATTCGACTTGCTGCTGACTTTGGAATTAATTGGTTGTTGTGGGCAGGTTGTGTTATTGTTGGGCATCAAAACATGACCGGACTATGATCTCCATACAGGGTACAAACCAAGATTTGAGACATTGGTTAGTAACAGTCGCACAAACAACTTGTAAAAACAGTCTCTAGCTTGCTTATGTCCTGCAGCAAGGTTTGACTCGACCTCTTCTTAGCCAACAGGTAATGTCCATTCTCGTGTTATGGCCCATGGTAATTCATGCATTTGAAACAGTGACAAGACTGAACATGAGAAAGGCCCACAGCCAACCGACCAGCTAAAAGCTTATTCCTTCCAATTCTCGAATTTCTACGTCAGAGTCAGATCAGGTCAGGATGGAACTTGGTTCTTATTTTAATTACGTTACCCTACTAAAACACTTGAGCATCCACTCTTCAACGCCCAAGGATGTGGGATCCCCGTCCGGGAATAATAAAACCGACAAAACCCAACCAAAGCCGTTAAACTAAAACTGTTATAGTTGACAGCCCTGAAAGAATTGGTCAGACGAGTTTGTGTTCGGCAAAAATAATTATTCCCGATACATTTTCCCTCATCACTGCGGCTACAACTTTTGCTTGTCATCGTATGGATCTCGAATCCTGGTGCTTGCTAGCATCATCCCACAAGCCGAAAGCCTATGGACCGCAAGGAAAGCACCATCAGGGAAGGTATCGGAAAGATTAGCCGCTGGAAGCATAAGAGACGAAATCAGTAGGTCGGTTTATGCTGCTTAGGTCAAACTTACGGCTGTTTATTTGTATCCTAAAGTTTGGAGCCCTCCATAGTCACCTGAGTTGAAAGAAGAATATACGTTATCAATTTGTATTATTCCCATAAGAGGAAACAGCTAGCTATGTTATCCATTCCTAACCACCTAACACTCAGAAGTTAACCTTTTGCTGCTCCTGTCAATGCCTAGAACAGCTTTTCAAGAGCAACCTGGAGTTCCTTGACACCATCTTCTCCAATGTTGTCCTCCAACCACCCTTCGGCCTTCTCTACCAGCATCTCCCAGACATCCTCCTCTTCCTTCAGCTTGAGCTTGAAGAACAAGATCGCACAAGCTGTTGCTAGAATGTCATCCTTGTAAGTAGATGGAAGACCAAGCTTAGTGACCTGTTCAAAGCTCACGCCAAGCACGCGTTCAAGGTCTGCACTCCACGACCAGCTACCCGAGAATGTCTGCAAACTTGTAAGAGCTTGCAACGGATCTTTATCCTTGACTGACGTAGAGGAAGAGGGAGCGGCGGAAGGAGGAGCAGCAGGTCCATCATCAAAAAGCCCAAAGCCCATGTCTTCATCTGACTCGTCCGCCAATGGCATGGCAGCAGCCGCGTCCATCTCTCTTTGGTACTGAATTAACAGGTTTTCGTCGACTGGTGCTGCTGGAGGTGCAAGTGCTGCGGCCTGCACGACTGGAGGCTGACTGTTGACGAAAAGGCCCTGGGTAGCACCACCAAAAGGAGAATTAACAGAACCCGACGACCCTCCAGGAGCGGCTCCAAAAAGTCCACCACTAGTGCTGGGCTGTCCTACTGAGGCTGAGCCGAAGGGATTCATACCGGCTTTGGACGAAACTCCTGATGCTGATCCAAAAAGTCCACCACCAGAACTGGGTTGCCCTCCTGAGGCCGAACCGAAAAGACCACCTCCAGTGTTACCAGTATTTGGCATGCCTCCAAACAAGGAGTTCGATGTAGGGGGGCGAGCATTCATTTGAAAGACAGATGCAGCCTGAGCGTGCATCATTGTACGCCCCCTCTTCACGGCGGTAACACCAGCACCAAAGGCTGCTGGCCTGAGGGACTCGTCTTGTCCTTCTTCAAAGTCGAATGTATGAACTTGTTCAACATTCGCCTCCTGTCCATCTTGTTCAACAGCAACGAATGAGCACCACTTGCCGCTAACCTGGAATCTGACGCCAAGGCGCACTGCTTCTCGCTCAACCATGTCTGAGAAATAACCGTCGTATCTTTCTTTGAGAGGCTTGCCGTAGTAGTCTTTGGCGTGGGTTAGCCAACCTCTGCCTTCTTCAAGTTCCTTGATTTCCTTGCGAGCTGCAAGACAGTGAATTGTTGAATCTCTCTCGGAAAATTCAGTGATGGGGATTTCAAGTTCGAGTGGCCCGTTGCGAGAAGTGCCCTTGAGAACAACTGACTTCGGTCGCTTCTCAGGGGCCTCATCAGAGAGGATAATATAGACAGTAGTGCGGCTGAAGGGGAAGAGGGGAGGAATCTGACTAGGAGTCTGGAGATAACGTGGCACTGGTACAGTGGGAAGGTGGTCAAATTTGTTGTCGACAGCGGGCGCTTCAATCATGCCACTGCTGTCATCGTTGTCGATAGATGAATCAAAAAGTGACACTGGCTTCTTCGGTGCTTGTCTTCCTCCAGAACTTTGGCCAGCAACCTCGGCAGTGTTAATTTTGAGGCCGTCCATGACCTTTTCGATCAACTCAAAACCGTCATTTTCAACTTTCTCATACCTGATGGTAAGAGAATAGTCGGTAATATGAGGAAATAAAGCTCCTCTAAGCATACGGACCACCTTCTTGTCCATCTTTTCATGATCGGCAACAGTTTGAGAAAAGCCGTTACCTGCGCGAGCAATGCCCTCAATCAAAGAGGTGCTGGCGCCAGATCCAATGCCAAGGGAAAATACCCTCGCTGTACCCTTGCTTTGAGCGACCTCGTCGTTGATGAGCTTGAAAAGTGCATCCTGTTCCCAGATTTCACCATCCGTGAGAAGGAAGACTTCGAGATTCATGTCCCTATAGCGCTTCTTGAAGGTAGCCTCGACAGGCCTGTACATCTCAGTGCCGCCGTAATTGGCATAGAAGGTTTTAACATGCTGGATCGCTTTGTCAAGAGTTTCTTGACTGTAGGTTTGAGAACGGTCCCAAAGGAAGCTAAAGTCGGACCCAAAGCTACAGATATTGAACTTGACACCGACAGGAATCGATTTGAGGAAGACCTCGAGGGCGGTTTTGAGATTGGACATTTGATTGCCCATACTTCCACTACGATCACAGATGAAGACAATCTCAGGCTTGTCGGCAGGAAGCTTAAACTTGGGCACCAATGTTGTCATAATTGCACGCTGGTTAGGCAGACCAGGATGAGTTTCAAGGATGGCTGATGGTTCACCAAGGTTTGTAGCGACCACTTGTACCACAAAGTCCTGCTCTAAATGGGTGGTTCCCTGTTGCAGTGTTGCAGAGGCTTTACGAAGCGTAGGCTCCTGGGATTTTGTAGTAGAAGTGGTGCCGATCTCAACAGACAGGGGGTGCGAAGGAGACTGGATGGATTTGATGGAGGAGCCGTTGGGCATTTCGACATCAATAGTAAAGGAAAAGCCTTGTTGAGTCACGTTGGGTCCAGCCAGCGACTCAGCAGATCCGTATCGGGGCACAATGTTGGTCGGAATGGTAAAGCGAACACCGTCGACTTGGGCATCATGTTTGAGTTCGCCAAGATAGGTGATGTCGACAAGGACGCTTTCACCGGCTGGAACGTTGCCAATTGTTGTGGTGAAAGTGTCAGCGGCTTCGAGGGACTGTTTGAAAAGACCAGCGACTTGGCCCTTTGCTTTGGCTTTGTTGTAGTCCTGCTGTGCTTTTTGGCGTTCCTTGACTTCTCCCTTGATGACCTTGGACCCAACAGTGCAGGTAAAGGCGACGACAGAGACGCCGTCATAAAGAGGGAATACATAGCGAAGTTCTTGGATGGTGTTGGAGGTGGGATTAACAAAAGTTTGAGTGAGGTTGGTGCGAGATGTTGTGGCAAGGATTGTGGTGTGGGCGTCGACCTGGACTTGGGGGAGGTATTTGAGGTTGTTGTCGATGAAGACGTAGCAGCCACAGAGGGTAGTCATGTTGGTATTTCCCCAGCCGGGGTTGATTGAGCCGAAAACCATGACGTTGAAGGGTATGGAGTGAGGATGCGGATGAAATAAAAAGTCGTGATATAGATAGTAATCGTTGGATTGTACTGGGGGAGGTAAGCTCAGCTGAACAGACCAAGTCAGATTGAGATGCAGAGTGTCTGTGAATGAGGAGTTGATGTTATTGTTGATGGAGAATATGTTTCTGAAAAGATCAGTCTAAAGAGACATTCTTATAGATGTAAGCAATTGCTCCTTCTTTGTTCGCTGTGACTCAAGTTTAATGCTGAGTGACGTTGATTGAGTTTAGTTCAGTGGCTGCCTCCTCTGCCTATGAGTCCTTTCCGAGCATTTGATTGGTGGTTGTGTCGTCGCCGGGTAGATTCGTCGCTCTGATTGGTCACTTCAGTCATCGCTCTGTTGCCTGTTGCGTCAAGCTGCATCCTTCAAAGTTTCAAAACAAAGTTATATGTTTGAGCTTTATTTTATTGTAAAGAATCATTTGTATTTGCTTACGCAGTCACATTAGATTTGCCCAATCACTTGCACCTATTCTTCTTTCTGCCACGACGAGATCACTCCAATGTCTCATCCAGTCGCGACAGTTGCTGTTTGTTCATCATGCATGACACCGAGTTTCAGCGTGACCATAACTCAGAGAATCTAGCGTTATTCCATTCAAGACTGATAACGTTATAGTCGACACTTTTTGAATCAATGATCTGCAAACCACGCATTTGGGGAGGCTCTGCTTTAAGTCCGGTCACTTATCCCCGATGTTAACTCCAGTAAACAAGAATTGCTGTTTCTGGGACTCCATAAACTCCAAAAACTCCTTTCGGCTGATGTTCTACCAAGTGTGAGATAGTCCTTGAAGGTTATATAGAACAGCCCTGAGACGGAATATTTCAACGAAAAGATAAACAGACACACAAGTTTGGCTCAAGAATCTATTCACTTTGCGATCAACCACGTCTTACAATGGAAACTCCGAGAGTCCTTCTCACTGGTGCTACTGGCTACATGTAAGCTTTACTTTATGTAGATCTCTGGCTCAAAAGACTAACAATACCAGAGGCGGAACTGTTTTAAACACCATAATGGCCTCCTCCCACCCGTCTTTCAAAAACATCCACATCACAGTCCTCGTTCGTCGACAAGACCAAGCCGACACTCTGTTCGATCTCGGTGTCACTCCCATGGTTTTCAAAAGTCTAGATGACACCGAGTTGCTCACTGAAGCAGCATCAACCCACGACATTGTTGTCCATGCTGCAAACGGCTATCATATCCCTTCGGCAAAGGCCCTCCTCGCAGGTCTGTCCCAACGCAAAGCAAAGACAGGAAAATCAGTGCACTACATCCACAACTCTGGCACTTCCAATTTTGGCAACAGACCTGTCTCTGGAAAGTATATTGAAGAACCAAGAGTGTTCTCGGACAAAGACGACATTTACGCTTATGAAAAGTTCCGAGAAGAGAAGGAACAGTACAAGCAACGAACTGGAGATGTGGTCGTTTTCGAAACAGGTGTTGAACTAGGCGTCGAGACCTATATCATCTGCTCACCTCTGATCTACGGCCGTGGAACGGGTCTTTTCAACAAATCATCCATCCAGATTCCTATCATGATCAAAGCTGCTCTTCAAAGGGGCGAAGCCATCTACGCAGGCGACGGTCTAGGAGTCTGGGATCACACGCATGTTGAGGACATCGCCAACCTATACACCCTCATCGTGGCCAAAGTCCTTGATGGAGAGAAGATTTACTCAGGAAAAGACGGCTTTTACTTTGCCAATCACGGGACTCAGAGCTGGCTAGACATAGCAAAGGGCATTGCAAAGGTAGGATACCAGAGAGGTAAACTCGCTGCTGAACCAAGGAGTGTTTCTCTGTGTGAGGCGGGTCGGGCGTTCTTCGATGGTGATGAAGATATGACAGAACCTGCTATTTGTTCTCAGTAAGTCCTCCTACACTTTCATTCCACCGTTTACTGATATTTTGTAGTTCTCAAACACAAGGAGCCAGGAGCCAGGAACTGGGGTGGAAGCCGATAAAAGATGATTTACGATGGGAAGAGACCATTTCCGAAGAGTTCGAGGTAGCTTTGAAGGCTATGATGTGAGGATCTACTTGTGCGTAGCTTTGCAGTAGACCATGAATCATGAGTCACGAAGTCAAGACACATCTTTGGCTTCTCACCCTCGTTATGGTAGAAGAATTACTATCTACAGTCACTTGTACCCATAGCCAGGACCTCAAGAAAGGAAGGATCTTGGATATGTTAGTATCTCCAGGTCGACCTTTTCACCGCCTCGGATCGAATGCAGCCAAACATTTCACTCGATCCAATGTATTCACCGATTCCCGTACCCAACAGCTTCCTCCCCAACAGTTATCGGCTCTTCCTCTTCGATCCATCCCACGATCACCCGTTTAACACACGCTTATCATGTCCATCAGCCTCACATGGGACTATATACCGTCTAAGTCACCGACCCATAGTGGTCTGATCTCCATCACCTGCCCCTTCCACCGGATCACACTCTCACTGCCGTGGCCTGACATGGCATGAACTCCCCTGCTCTTATTCGCATCCTTCTAGAAGAGATGGGACGGAATGTTGGACCCTGCATCTGACTTGGGGACCCACGATCTACAAGCGAGCGTTGAGGCTCAAGTTGCAAGAGACATCTCCACGGGTGTGGATCCTTGGTGTTTGATGTTCCTGAAAGTTAGTATCACGGCAGTGGAAGCTCTTTAGGTCGAGGTAGATAGTGCAAAACATTAAATGTGTATTGGATATTGTTTATACTATTCCATTCGGAATGCCCATATTTTTGTTCAAGCAGCTCATCACACAGAGCTCGCTTTTGTGACGCCATAAGATATCATCAGAATGCCTTTCCCATATCCTCATAAACGCCGAGTTTGTAAAAACGATAAACACCGGGGATATCATGATTCGTCAATCACACAAGCTTGAAGCGTTGCGTTGCGTTTCCAGTTTGTCGATCCAAAAGATAATATCGCACAAAAGAAAAAGAAAACAAATATTCTAAAAAAACAAGTCTAGGGCAAGTGCACAAGATAATCAAGTAAACACAGTCTATGCCCAGACGCCTGCTGGTGGTCCCTGATCTCGAGACATTACCATCATCTCGAAACCTTCCATGCGATTTCGGAGCTGGCCGTTCTCTTGAGCAAGGCTTCTGTTTCTCTTTTCAAGGTGGGCGATGTACTCAGTTGCCTTGCTGAGGATTGTGGCCTTGTTGAGCTTGTGAGCTGGTGCGAGACCACCGAGGTCCTCATCACCATCTTCTTCCATGCCCTCAACGCAGGGCTGCTCCAAACGGTGGACCATGACGCGAAGGGCTGGGACGGAATCGCGGAGAGCAGCGATCTTGTCGTTGAGGTTGGTGCGGTAGCGCTTCTCGATCATGTTATGCGCGGTCTTCTTGGGAGGAGAGCAATGGCGGCGGGTCGCGGGGGGAGGAGAGGTGGAAGAACGAGAAGAAGAACTTCCAGAGCCTGATGACTTGCGCTTGCGCGAAGGATATCGACCGTTGGCATCCTTGGAGGTGATGCTGTCGAGAGAAGAAGACATCTGAGGTGGGTTGGGACGCATCATACTGGACTGGAGATGAGGAGGCTGAGAAGAGATGGCAGGAATGGGAGTTTGGAAAAGAGGTTGAGTGTCGATGTCGTTGAGACCGACTCGGCCAAAGGGGACGGCATCAGGGATAGTACCCGAGAGGTCGTGTGGGTTGATGGCTGGGCTAAGCTCCATGCTGTTTCTTGAGGGAATGGCAGAAAGGTTGATGCCTTCAAATGGTTCCTGCTTGGGAAGAGCGTCGAGATCAGGTGATAGCGCAGCTTTGTCGTCCCAATTTATCCAGTCGTTGGAGACAGGAAGCTGGTATGGGTTTGCAAAGACGGGAGAGAGTGGTGAGTCGGGAGAGTGAGCTGAATCACCACTGAAGTCTGCAGGGTCGTAGAAGCCGAGATGCTGCAGTAGATTGTTAGGACAGAAGCTTTGTAGATTGATGAGGTGGTTTGTGGTGTGGTACAAGTAAAGTCTAGTGGTGAGAGGATGTGCAGATATGATATAAAGATGAGATTGATAGATATAGCTTGTTCAAGCTTTAGGTTGTGGGATGCTCAAAGAGGAAGAGTGGGCTGAGATGAGGTGAAGGTAAGGTGAGGTGAGGGGGACAGGAGGGGAAAATGGGCATGGCATGTGGCATATAAAGTGTAATGCCCCAGAGTGAGAGACCAGGGGGTGTGGGCAATTACATTACATATCGTGGAGACAGAGGCAGAGGCAGAGAGGGAAAGGACCGAGATGGAGAGTCGATAACGTACCTGTTTGTTCTGAGGATGGTCAAAGTAGTCGAATGATATGTCGGCCATTGTATCTGATTTGGTTTTGTATATTGGCTGATTGATGAGTGATGTTGTGTATGTATGGTAGTCGAGTCGAGGCGAGGCCAGTCAAGTCGAGGGTGTGTGGATATAAAAGGGTGTGTTGATGTTTATACCGAGTAGAGTAGATAAATTGTTAAACCGTCGAGTTGAGAATAGAATCGCTATCAGACGGTAATGTCGTGATGTATCTTGTGTTGTATGTTGTTGAATGTATGGGACAGGATGTGATGGGATGGTCAGACACTCTTTCTTCTTGGGATGGCGAGACGGGGCAAGCGATATATAGCTTCTTCCATGGTCGATGCATTTTTTCTCCGGTAAGTATACAGCGAAAAGTCAAGGAGCCAAGGATGTCTGGTCTGGCATGGACGGGAAAGCTTAGAGCGACAGCGCCCGACAAGTACGTTCCGCGTCATACGACCGCACCATAAGACTGGCGGGGGCTGCCGCCGACAAGGATCTTGGTGAGATACGTATCTTTTTTTTGCCAAGGTACAGGTACGACACTGTTTCTTTCTTGCGACTGCAATTAAATTTAATCCTAGTAGAACAACAAGATACAGACAGCATCAGGTCCCATGCCATGCCATGGAATTGTCGTTCAAATAATGGGCAACTTTGTAACTGACTTTTAACTCCCATGGGTCGTTTTTCCCCCCCTCATTATCGTAGACCAGGGTCATTACACTCTATCCTCTGTAGGATTGATTCCCTCTTGATACCAGATAAACAAGGCCAAATGTTCTGTTGGTTCAACCCCCAACTTCCTTGCAACAAAGATTTACTTCGCCTTCGCCTTTTCAGTAACGGTATTCAGTTATCCTAGCAACACACCTTTTCTTTTCTTGCATCCTTTCAATTTAATTTGCTCGAGTTAAGTAAAGCCCTGTATTACAGCGGCTATCGACAGGTGCATGTCACCAGGGGTGAGTAAAAAAGCAATGGCTCCCGTTTCCCGTGATCGACACTGCGTGGCCTTGGTCGTTCGAAACCAGGCAGTGAACGCAAGGGGAACCCCGACGAGACGACGGACGAGAATCGAAAAGAGAGAATGAGAATGAATGAGAATGGATCATTTGTGGGTTTCAATTGATGTATCCCTGTCCGTCCTTCGCTTGTCAGGTCCATCATCTGCCCTGTGCTTTGCTGTGCTGTCTCTGATTCCCAGCTCGCAGCAGCTGCAATGCACGAAAAACATATCAAAGATTCCGATCTACAGTGTCAATCAATCGTTTGCTAGTTGAGCGTTTGTTTTCTCTCAGCCACCCGTGAAAAAGAAAGGCGATGTCTTGCTTTACGTTTGTCGAGGTCGTCATCATCAATCACCTAATCATTGGCTCTTTGCCTCGTCGTGCGCTGTAAGCGCTGTCAAAATATGATCTCCCGCTGCACCTCGGGATCTCAAAAAGGTCCAGAACGCCGACTCAGCGGCCAAGGTACCTGTACACTCCTGGCAGCTCAAGCGCTAAGCCCACACTACAACACAGCCTTAAATCCTAGTTTCGAGGTACGGGCGGAACAGCCTACAAGAAAAGGGGACTAAATTACCTAGCTGTCAGAGCGACGGCGTGCCGTCGCCGATAATGACTCGCAGTACAAACAATCTTGTATCTTTTTATCTCTGATCTTGATCTTGATCTCCATCTCCATTTTGTGGCAAATATAGCATTGAACTCTTCACCTCTAAGCGAACATACATGCATTGACTCTTTTGTTCATGAGTGCAACATCTCGGTACAACCTTGGTACTCAGTTAGGCTCCTCCATCAAAGGAATATTGTTCGTATCCATAATATCCATTTGTCCATCTTCCTCCACTATCGCAACTAATTAATCAGCCTCAAATTGACTCGAGCGTTTTGAAGAACGAATTATACCCGACTCGCATCCGCATTCACCGAAGCGAACGAGCGCGCCTCGCCTATCGTTCCAGACCTGCCTTGTCTTGCTTATATTGTTAGTGTTGGGCTCGTTTAAATTGGGGCCCAAATACATCCCTTAGCATACCATCCCGCGTCTCATCAGTCATCTCCATCTTATCACCCGGCATTATTCCGCGTTGCATCGTGGCAAAAGGTACTGTAGTATCCATCTGCCTTGTGGTAGTTCTAGTCCAGTCTATACACTTTATCTGCCGCAGACTTCTCTTCGCTTACAAGTTTCCGAAAGGCCCGCGCGCCTAGAAGGCCAGGAACGTTCCAAGACGTTTGGCGACCGAAGATGGAGTACAGTGGCGTCTAACGAGATGCCCAAATAGGAAATTCGACAAAGAAATGTGGATAGCTTCTACCGTTTTGATGTTGAATCACGGCAGGGTGGGAAACGTGCAGATCATGACAACGTGGGATCATAGAGAGATTGTTCCTACCGAGATGGCCCAGATTACTCTTTTTCAAGGGTTTCCCACAGCGGTCAAAACAATATGTTCTAGAGATGGCATTTCTAGAGATTATGCATGTGCAACATCACCAATATCTGACAGATGGGCGACCACATCATGTCCACTCTTTGTAATGCCGTGCATAGAATCCATGTCGACGTCTGTTCTCAACGCCTAAAATACTCATTCAATACGATCGGAATAACCCACGTGTTGAGCAGAATTCTCAATCTAAAGATACATACCCTATCGACTAGTCCAGTCTACAGCCTCATGATGATATGACCATCTCGATCTCAAAGCTTCCACCATAGAACATGACGTCGCGATGCACTCACATCATACCGTTAATATGCAAGCTCCCGTCGGAAATCCATCTCAATCCTAGTTTAGTTGGAAATATCGGAAACAAGATCAGAAATATCCCATCAAACAGACATCTGTATCTGTGACAATCGTTACGAGCCAGGTAGATTTGGCTGTGTAACTACCTAGGATAGGCGCAGGGATGTCATGGTGGGAGGGAAAAGTGGCCTGATTTCTTCAACAGCCCATAACTGAAGAGACCACCCAAAAACGCGTGAGCGGCGGGGGCCGGAACGGAGAGTTCGGGAAACGCGGTGTTAGTTTTATTGTACTTCCACACCTACCCTTAGCACACAAGTACTTGATCAACATCGCGGGAAATACTCGTCGAGACGTCCCCGTCGTCGTCCGTTGTACAGCTGATGGGATGTTTTGCGGGCATCACGAGGTCCCGTTTCCTTTTCCTTGGTCCTAACGGTGCCTCGGAGCCGGGAGTCGCCTTAAACAATAAACGCGGACCTAATTATCGCGCGTTTAAGAGATCATCGTCAATACTTGACGGTAACTATCACCGTGTTTCACCGGGAATACCCCATTCTACACCACAGACACTCAAGTCTACGGCAGAGCAAGCCCGTCATGGTTGCGGCATGTCTGCGGTCTCGAGCGGCATCATTGCGGCAAATGATTAGGTTTAGTCTAGTTTGGTGTGCCACTAAAATAACGTGCCGCAGACTAACCTCTCTCTGTGTCTCTTAGAGTTGGACTACAAACAAACAATAATGAGTGAGACATCACGACTGTGTTTGAGAGAACAAACTCTCTGTACAGATACTCGATCTGCACAGCATAAACGTTGAATTGTTTTTCTGCTCAGGTCGTCGGCGTTGATCAGCCAGCCCTGTTCTAGCAAAAGCACAGAAGAGATCATCCTAACCCCGGATCGGAACCATGTTCACAAAGACAAACCGAGGCATGTCTTTCATCTGATGCGGATACCTACATTTTGCTACTCACCTCATGGATGATCTCTACTCTCGGAGTGTTTTCCCCGTACCTCCAAGCCACGCCGTTTTACAATAACAAACGTCGAACGGGATACTGCAGCTGAGTCAAAAATTCGTATCGTAACACAAGGAAACGTCAAAGCTGAAAAGAAGCTGCAACGCAAAGAAGAAGCAAAAGGTCAAGTATGTATTTTTTTTTTTTAGGTAGCTGACATGCGGCACGGCGTAACGTCCCTGCAGCGGCCCGCCTCGGCTAACCATTTCCATCCACTAGAATTGCTTTTGTCAATTTTGGTGTGGACAATCATTTACAGCACACACATACCCTCCTCTCAATACCGTAGCTCAACTGAATGTTTCTTTTTCCTCGGTACTCTCCTTACTCCATAGGCCTGATGCATTTTAGTTCCGGTATAGGTACATACTGAGATCTTTTATTTGGTTAATTAACCTCTCGACGCCCCAACGTCCGTGCATCATCTTCCACTTCATCCATATCGATTTTAATCATCAGGACCAGCTGCACATGTTTTCTCTGGTGACCTAAATCCTGAGGGGATCTGACATTGTTTAAATGCAGCATGATATCACACAAACTCTTAGCAGAGCAGATCTTACCCTTCTCATTGAAGCTATTCAGTACCTATGTGTTCAATGCTTGATGCCCACATTCATATGGACAAACTTTAACCCTGCAGCTCGGCCGGACGAGTGGAAGTCCAGTCCATCGCTCCTCTATTCTCAACACAGACCAAGCCAATTGTCAAAAATGTCATTTTGGTAAACTTCTCCGTCTTGGCCAAAATGTCCCTTCCCGAAGTGGCGCATGCGCTATAACTCGCAACGAACAGTGTCTGCCATTGAAGTGGAAATTCGTATTGTAGGTTTGCCGGCCTGTTGCGCTGGGTTGTCTCTGTTACCTATCATTGTCATTTTGTCTCTGTTGGTCTTGACTTGCTTGAGGCCCGTTTGCTTCCCTCCCCCTCACAGTACATTAATGTGGTACCTCAGTCGAGAAAAGATGATATCTCATAAAATGCTACATCGCCGATGTCTTTGAGACGAACCATTGTCCATGCAAATAACCGCCCAATTTGTCGCAAACCTGTGGCCAACAAACGGACAATCACCCCTCATCTCCTATGCTCGTATCCATGTTGGTTGTTCTCTGCCCTGCTTCATGTCTACTGCACGCACACTCAAAGCACCTCCCAATCCCAGATGCTGAAGCACAACATGCATATTTCCTGCTGCCCTGCAACCTTGCGCTGCCACACTGACACTCTCTACCTCCACCTTGAACCGTTGGCATCAGACCTCGACCCTTCCATTCCCCAGCCAAGCCAAGTCTGCAGGATCTCTGTCGAGGCTTTGCCGCATCTCGCTCACTGGTGCAGAACCCGACTGTTGCAGCCAACCTCTTTCCCCTCGTTTGTTCTCGGTACACGGCACCTTCGCCTCGCCAATTGATCTGCATGGTAACCTTCCTAATTTTGCCGTTGTACTCATTGGAATCCCTCAGCTCGCCAATCTGCACCTCAAAGCTAACGTGTATCCAGTAAGGTAGTAGATAAGCTCCACTTGGAGACGTGACACAGCAGAAGCCAAGAGTAAATAAGCAGTCCCCTTGTTGTAGCTTGGTCTAGACATGATACTAAGAGTTGTGCCATTGAGAAGGTGGTTATTGCGATTTTAGATGCCGTGGCCGGCAAGTTGCAAGAGAACCAGAACCAGAACTACCGGCCATCCGGACTTCGGGACTCCCGGGAGGCACAGTCACGGTGGAAGCTGGTTCCAGTGATCTGGCAGACTTTAACTTCTTTGTTTACATCAAGTTGCCTCGATACATACTCTGGTCCACAATTGACGGCTTGGCGGCTTGTCAGTCGTTCACAGCCGACGGCCGCGCAAGTTTTCAGTCTTGGAGCTGATCAAGGTTGTTAACAAGGATCCGCATTCAATTTCACATGGCAGAAACGTTGTTTTACCTTAAATAATGACGAGTCACATGGTACGTGGAGACTACTGTATATTCTTTGTTTACGAGGGTTGAAAGAAGAGCATGTTGGTAACGCGAGCTCATCAGGCTAGAAGTACTTCCAGACAACAAGAAGCCCAGTCACTCGTCCTCTTGTATCACAGAGTTAAAGATTGATACTCTGATAATATCATTACGTTTCAATACGCCCAAAAAGCACATCTAATAATTGCAACAGGAATTCTTGTGTCGTTGAACTCATTGATGTCCAGGTGTCGCTTTTGATCTACTGTAGATCTTGCACCAGCACCTTGCTCATCAAAGGCGATCTATTCATACATTAAACAATCTTCGAACACTATGAAGCTTGCTTCATAGTTTTAAGTGAGCTCCGATACAATATTTGATCTTCGACAAGACTATAATACGTTTGTGATGCACGTTCGTGGTTCAAGTTCACGACCAAGGAGCATGCGAAGACAGTCGAAGAATCACATCATTAGTTATCTTTTCCTTGATTAATTATAAGATCCTCTGGTTTCTTTTCAACTTCTCTACATTGCCTAGAAATGCTTGTCACTATTGTTATTACCGAGTTCCAGGATTCCTTTAAAGGACATACCCTGCAGAATGTTCACTTGCTAACACTCAGGGAAACCAGCATAACCTTTATTAGTATGTCACAAAGCCCATTCACGGTGATTCTATGTAGTACAGAGCTTCTTAGTATCGCTGGTAATTGCTTTGGGAGTATCTGTTACTGAGCACTGGGATCAACGTCGAACATGCCGTCAGTGTCACACTCAACTCAACCCCCAAACAACACCATCACTTCACACATGTTCTCACGAACACTGGAGACATCTTCAAGAATTGACACCATAGTCCTGGTCACCAGTTCTATACATATTACTGGTTATTCGCGCAACTCTCGATAGTCGATTGCCATGTTGTTTCTAGGACAAGCGGACACCCCGCCTCACTTAATCAACTTACAAAGAGCAATCGAGACATTAACAACATAACAGTATCTATAACAGCTCCACAATCCTCGGTCACGACCCCCACTTCCTTTCCTCCTAACCCTTTCTTGATTACGCATATTACGCCTTGCTTATTTTGCCTTCTTATCCTAATCCCCTATCTACACTACAAACACCAAATCGTTTACTATCGACACAACGTCAATAACATGTCTAACCAAAGGAACATCGCAGCCTCAGGTCTATGGGGAAAGGGCAAACATATCACTAAACCCGCCCCTGCCCTGAAGGGTATTCTGAAGTTGTCCCAGAATACCCCATCCTCCCCCGATACCTCACGACATATCAAGTTCTGCCGCAAAGCCGACACAATTGTCTACATCCCATCCAAGAATCGCGGCCGTCGCCCTTCTCGCCGCAGGGTAAGTAAGCACAAGCATTTATACTACGGTTTTAAGGATTGGGTAATTGTCAACAACCCTCGCTCGATGAGGCGCCCACATTACCCAAGACGACGCCTAGGATGACTGGGTGATAGTCTCTCGTCCCGGCGAGAAGTATACGGCCTCCCGGGCCGATTCAGAAATCACCAGCTACGGTGACGTTATGGATTTCTTGGATGAAGACTGCGCTGCCTTCATCCTCAGTGAGCCGTTCGAGCACGCATGCATTCGACTTCAGCGCCATCTGCAGCATGACTCTAAGACAGACCGTAAGTGATCATGCTCCCTGGTGCACACGAGAAGTAAAAGTATAAAATGCTGACCGTGCGTACTTGCTTGTAACCGTAGTTGTTTCTTGGGCAATGAGACTTGCGCCCTTGATAGTAATCTCATTATAAGATGTGGAGTGTCTTGTAGGTTGTGATCTTGGAGATCGCTTAGACTGGTATCGTAGGAGATTACCTATCGTATACAGATATCTTAGTCTTGGGTAGACTTGGGTAGCACAAGGCATCTAGGTACAATATGATCGCATTCCGTATCGAGATATGCTGATAGTACACTGGTATTAATGGCGTCTGTAGATAAGTATTTAATATCTTGCCCTTATTCAGCGGCCACCGAGGCCCTCTACCCCTAACATGTGTAGTGTCTAACATAACCTCTGCATCCCCCTCCTTTAAACAAGCGCGATCTAGCAGAGAAGCTTTGTTCAAAGACTAGTCCAAGCTGCAAGTGGCCGCTCTGGACAAACGTTGACCCCTTCTCCGTTTAGCGCCTCTCTTTCCAACAGCGGTGGTTTCTTGTCTGACGGATTCTGGACTGTCCTGCTTCTGGGTAGAAACAGTCCCGGATTGTTGTCCGCCGGAGTTGGGCTCACCACTCACAGATGAAACGGAAGTAGACCTGCGCTCCTATTCTGCAGCTTTCTCCGCGCCTCCGCGCCAAAGGCCGTAAAAACCCTCACAATTCTTCCACAGCTTGATGGTACCATCCTCGGATCCGGTTGCGTAAAGCTTGCCATCAGGGGAGAATGCGATCGACCAGATGGGACCGTGATGTCCCTTGTGTGTGTCAATCTCCGTTCCATCGTCATATCGAATCACCTTGGCCCAAGTACCAGGTTCTTCGCCGACGACAAGTTTACGACCCTTAAGATCCAGCGAGACACTAGCGATAGTGTAGGGCAAAGAAATGCGTTTCAGCTCGTCCTGCGCCTGAACACCACCCCAGAAGTACGCCGTCTTTCCAGCCGCAACAGCGAGTACAGGCTTTCCGCCACCAATATCGCTGGGCGAGGCGTACTGGGGGGCCATTGACACCATTTCACAGGACTTGATGTCTCCATCAAGAACCTCGTGCCGGATGCAAGCTCGGCTGGGCAGGTCCAACCAGCGGAGTGTCTTGTCGGAGGCAGTCACAACGATATTGGGGTCCTGGGTCCAGCAAATGAACTTGATAGAACCAGTGTGGACGCCCTCGCCTATCTCAAACCCAGTCGAAGCGTTGATGGTAGTTGGGGACCCGGCTACTGGCAGCTCTGATAAGTCAAAGATGCGTAGCTTCTTCTCCATACCGCCGGTCGCGATGAGATCAGAATTATCGGGAGGATACGCAATGGCACGCACAATGTGGTCATGCTGCAAAGTGTGAAGCAGCTCGCCGGTATAGGTATCCCAAATCTTGCTTTGAGAGTGTAAGCGAAGCAATAACACCTTGTCCATCGAGCTAACTTACGCTGTGAAGTCGGCGGATGCAGTCGCAGCATGGTGGGCATCGGGGCTGAGCCGAGCCTGCCAAACAGCACCTTTGTGACCGATGAGAGTGCCAATCCTAGACGAGTCAGAAGAGCCGGTGGATCATTGCCAAGGACACCTTACCAGTCGCCAGTAATACCGTTGCGAAGCATCGGGTTGCCATCTAACAAATGTCAGCATACGCTCTACCAGAAGAAACCCAATAACGCACCTTTGCAGGCCGAGATCATGTAGTAGACATCGTTCTTGTCTTTGTCGGTGTCTTTCTCGATAGCCGAGAAGGCGATATGCGGGACGGGTCGAGAGTGACCGTGGCAGGTCAGAGGATGATACTGCCGAGGTTCAGAGGACATTGCGACAGTTGTAAGAATCGATAGTCTATGGTGTTTGTTGACTCTGGCCAATTGCGGCTGATCGAAATGTGAAGCTGTATCAGACAGACAAGAAGGGATTGCTCAATGGGAACCGAGCGTCAAATTTCTAAAAAGGAGAGTTGAAGTCGTAACGGTCGTAAGCGTCGTTAAGAGCGATCTGTATCGTGACTCGTGGCAGTGATTATCGCGTGTCGTCGCAGAAGTGTGGAGCGTCTTTCTCAAGCGATGACAAGGGCGAGACTTGGAGGAAAGGGATGGATGATTGGGAGTACCGGAGAGAATCGCAGAATAAGAGAAGCGTAAGTGTGCCCCCAAATCAAACCCCCGTGCAAGAAAAGAGTAGGAAGAGGAGAAGACAAAAGGAGGGTGGGCGGTGATAAATTGCCAAATCTTTGCGAAAGACGGGGAAACAGCAGCGCGCATTCAAAAGACAGGGTCACGCTTGCCCACTTCGTACAGCGGGGTTACAGGAATGAAGGCGGTGGACCTTTCCTTCGGAACACCTATGCACCGCCACAGGGCGGGGTGCTGCAGGTTGCCTTGTACGGCCGAGATTTATATGTACATAGTAGTGATTGATGTGTGACGACAAGGGGAAAGGATTCTATAAAGTGCAATTCTTTAAAACAAGTGAACTGCTACATCTCAACGCCGAACCCCGGCTTTAGGTGTTCATGTTCTTGTCTTTACATTCTGGTTGTCTGCATAAGTCCGGCCGAGTGGAGGTGGCTAGGTTGGTTGATAGTTTCTAGTGACGCAGTGTGGCTTAAGCTGGACTGACGGGAAGGGGCAATCGATCAGCTTCCATCACTGACCACTTTCGATCTGTCAACGACTTTACAATTTGTCACATTGCTCTTTGATGATCCCTTCTTCCGTAATTCTTTCTTGACGTCGGTGGTTTCTCTCTTGGAAAGATAGCAGGCCCTTCTCTTTCTCCTTTGTCACTCTTGCATCATCATCCCATCCAGTCCGTTGAGGTCCCCACTACATTGAGCAGTGTTACATACCCAACTCATCTTGTCTATCACCATCATCAAGATGACTGACTTCAAGCTATCAGCACAGTTGGTTGGCCATGAAGCTGATGTAGGTGCTATTATTCAGTCCACATTTAAAAGGTGCTCCCGACTAACGGGTTGTCTAGGTTCGAGCCGCAAGCTTCCCCTCTCCCGATACCGTCGTGACTGCCTCTCGCGATTGCAGCGTCCGCGCATGGCGTCGCACCCAAGCATCTCCTCCGAATTTTGAAGCCACTCTCTTGAGCCGCGGCTCCGAATATGTCAACTCTCTATCCTTCTTTCCTCCATCAAACGAGCACCCTGATGGCTATGTTGTCTCTGGCGGAAAAGATACCATCATCGAAGTCAAGTCCCCCAACGCAACCAGCACCGATAATGCCGAGCGCCTTCTGATCGGTCACTCAAACAATGTCTGCACTATTGATGCTGCCCCCAGTGGCAAGTATCTAGTGTCCGGCGGCTGGGACGGTCAAGCCCGTGTTTGGAGCCCCCAGAAGTGGGAAACAGAGCTATTACTAAGTGGCCACGAAGGCATGTCGGTCTGGAGCGTTGTTGCTCTCAACGACCATACAGTAGTAACTGGTTGCGCCGACAAAAACATCCGCATCTTTGACTTGCGGCAGTCTACCTCTGGAGATGTAGCACCAAATTCGACTATTTATACACCCGACGTTGTCCGCGCCCTCTGCCGGGTTCCTCAGAATCACCCGAGCGGTGCCGATATTGCGAGCGCGAGCAACGATGGCACTATCCGTCTATGGAAATTGAACGGCCAGCAGGTTGCAGAACTTCATGGCCATGAGAGCTTCGTTTACAGTATCACAAGTCTCCCTACAGGCGAACTGGTCAGCGCAGGAGAGGATCGCACTGTAAGAGTATGGAAAGGCAACGAGTGTGTACAGACCATTACTCACCCCGCCATCTCTGTATGGACAGTGGCGGCGAACCCCGAAACTGGAGATATCGTTACAGGCGCCAGCGATAGCATTGCTCGCGTTTTCACAAGAAGCCCTGAACGTACTGGTGACGACGCGATGCTTAAGGAGTTCGAAGAATCCGTCAAGTCGTCATCGATTCCCCAACAACAAGTCGGAGGCATCAACAAGGAGAAGCTCCCCGGACCCGACTTCCTGACTTCCAAGGCTGGTACCAAGGAGGGTCAAGTTCAAATGATCAAGGAGGACAATGGTGCCGTGACTGCTCACACATGGTCCATGAGCCAGCAGCAATGGGTCAATGTCGGAACAGTCGTCGATGCTGTCGGCAGTACTGGCAAGAAGGTCGAGTACAACGGAAAAATGTACGATTTTGTATTTGATGTTGATATTGAGGACGGAAAACCTGCTCTCAAGCTTCCCTACAACCTCTCTGAAAACCCTTACGAGCGAGCTACCAAGTTCTTGGGCGATAACGAGTTGCCACTCTCCTACCTCGATAATGTAGCCAATTTTATTACGGAGAATACCAAGGGCGCCACTCTAGGCCAGACTTCAGAGCCCGGCGGTCCTGATCCTCTTGGCACCGAGTCGCGGTATCGCCCTGGTGAGAACACTCAGCCCAAGGTGCTCCCTCAGAAGGAATATCTCAGCATCACAGCAGCTAAATATGAAGGTAAGTCTCCTATTTTATCTTCATTGCTCAAACATCCGCTGACTATTTAGCTATGTTCAACAAAATATTGACCATCAACAAGAACATGGTTTCATCAGGTGGCAAAGATGCTGCTCTCAACCCATCTGACGAATCCACACTATCTGAGCTACGCACTGCCATTGAGTCCAACAAGCCTGTCCCTCAACACGCCATGCCTCTTCTCGTCCGAATTCTTACCCAATGGCCCTATTCAGACCGTCTAGCTGGCCTCGATCTCCTCCGCTGCGTGGCAAAGTATCCTCTTGTCGCACAGTTCTCTGATCCGACAGTGGGCTCTCTTCTCGATCTTGCTTTCGCATCATCTCTGCCCCAAGGCGAAACTCCCAATGAGAACGCAGTCATGATGGGCCTTCGTACTCTCGCAAACATCTTCTCCACCGCCAATGGCCGCTCGATTGTGAGCGCTCAATCGGATGAAGCAATCTCATTCTTGGAGCGCGTCGTTGGTGTATCATCCGATCCTATTGGACCCTTGAACCGTAACGTTCTCATTGCGGCCACCACAGCAGCAATCAACCTCTCAGTTCTCGTACACCGCGAGCGTCTTCTCACTCCCGATCAACGTCGTCGCCTAGCTATTCTTCTCGGTACAATCCTTTCTCGTGATGGTCAGACGGACTCAGAAGTTCTATACCGTGCCCTTGTGGCGCTCGGCACATTGCTCTCAGCATCAAAGACTGAAGCAGCCAATCTCGGCATCAAGGGGTGGATCCAGGGTGCTGCAGGACGCAGCTCAGAAGAGCGTGTCAAGTCTGTCGCGGCAGAATGCACTAAGGTAGCTCCATAAATGTGATGGCGATGGCGGCAATGCAAGTGTGTTGCAGCGCCAAGCCGGGTTCCGCTTGACGTAGAGGGACGGAAGTAAGGTATTAGAAGGGAATTGCAGAGTACATAGAGCAGTAAATGGATACCAGCTGTTTTTGCCCGTAGCGAGTGAAGCTTCCATTTTGTCTAGTCTCGATGTTCACTCGTGTGACCCTATTAGGTGAATTGGATGTGCATTATCGAGTGGATCTCACTTTCGCTGCTAGACTAATACCGCAAGTATTTTGGGGTTGAATAATCGTAAATATGTTATTTGACGTAGTGTCTCAAATGAAAGAAGCAATATAGAAGCTCCTCCAACACCTAAACAAGACGTTCTGGCCCATTTCAGGGTCTGTCAGAAGTAATTAAAGAAACAACAAAATCCGGGGATATCCCAATTCCCACCATAAACGCCATTCATTATGCTTTCAGGTATACATTTTCTTCACTTCATCACGCTAGCAGAAAAGCCCAGAAACCAGCTGCCACCAAGGGTATCCAGCCCAGTTGGCGGAAGGCAAGGGTGGCGCCGGACTCGCTCACGTATTCATCTGAGCCGGATTCCTTGGTCGTGATGGTGTATATCTCTGCGAAGCCGATATCGGTCGAGTTGAAGCAGTTAGTCTCATTCACCTCTTTGAGGTTCTTGTCGCCAGGTTCTGCGAAGATGATATCGACGCACTGCGTTTGTGTTAGCTGACTGTTGACAACGCTTAGTTGATTTCATGTGACGTACAGAGTAGAGAGCTGCGCCGTGCACGGCGAGTTCAACGACTTGAATTGTCGCCTTGTCTCCGGCCTTTACTGTTGTGTTTTTTGGCAGAGGCACCTGAGGAAGGCAGATGGTTCCAGGGAATGGATTGTTGGTGGGACCGAGGATCTGGAACATGGGGACCATGGGGAGAGTCATGTTTGCAGGGCCACCGTCTGGACCGTCGTCGCCGAAACCCATGTTGATGTAGGCAAATGCTGTCTCGTGACCACGGAACCAGCCGGGCTGGAAAGCAATGGCACCGCCTGTCGTGGGCCAGTATGTGCGGTTTGTCGTAACATTGTGACCACCACCTTGTTACTGATTAGCTGATTGCTCCGTGTTTGTTTGAGTACACGAGGGACGTACATGGATATATCCATTGCATGCCATAGGGAAAGGTCTCGTTGGTGATGAGGTTGTTGCCGCGCCAGCCTGGATAGGTGATTACACTGTGGGCGGATACGATTGTCGCAAGGACGATGGTGAGAAGTGCTGACGTCCGCATGTTTGCGATTGTGTAAGGGTTATCGGTATATCGGTAAGAGTTGAGTTGGTACTCTTTGGGCTGTGCTGTAGCAAGCAAACAGATGTCGCTATGTTTCGCGTCCAAGTGATAAGGCTCAGCCTCGTGAAGCAATGAACATGTCACGAATCAATAAACAGAATAGCTGTCAAGGACTATCGGAGAAAAAAAGAACAGAAGAATGATTGAAGATGGAGAAAAGGGCTTATGAACTGGCCGCAGGGCCTCGAGGGGGCATGGACATGGTCTTAAGGAGCCGGGGAACCGAGTGGCCATTTTTTCCATGGCCGGGTTCTAGGGCGGCGGCTGCAAGCACTTGATTTGATGTGATGGACATGGACATGGTGAAAGAGGTCAAGGTGCAAAGAAGCAGTGCTGAGTGTGATTTGGGAAACCTGCCCAGTAAGAAGCCGTTGGGGATGCTTGCTGGAGGGTGTGACCCCTGCTGCAGGACCCGTAGAGAGGGCCAGTAGGAAGCTCAGGAAGGAGTGACAATCTGTGAGTTGACTTGTTTCTGGCTTTTGGTTGGGTTGCTTTAAGCGCTGACGCTAGGGCGGGGCGGGGCGCAGGGCCAATGATCTACGGGAGGTTATATCGTGGCGCTCGGCTTCCATATCCAACCTCCAACTTCTTCTATCTCCCCGCTTGACAAGGGGATAAATTAAATGTCTTGAAGAAAAACTAAACTCTATGAACCGACTTTGTTTAAATATCGGATCAGTTGAGCCGATTTTTAGTATCACTCTTGCCTATCCGTAATCATTCATCTGCTGACTTTTTAGAGTAAACGCCGTGTTGTACAGTACAGAGTACAGACACAACCGTAAGCTGATAGTTGTCACAGTCACAGTACTACGTTGTAACGTTGGCTTGATTGTTAGCAGTTCGGCCACTGGGATGAATCACAACCTCGTCTTGTACTCGTGAACCGCAATGCCATGTTGTAGAACAACAAAAGATAATCAAGACAATCATCCATTCATTCATAAAATACTATAAAGCCATGTTCAAGTCCAAGCCAGTCGGAGAATTATATTATTATTAATCTAATTGTTCACCAAGTAAAGCACCTCTCATCAGGGTATCAGAAAAATTAACCGCTGGAAGCATAAGAGACGAAATTAGTAGGTTATTTTATGCTCCTCGGACGATAGTACTTAGACTACTTATTTTTTGTACCCTAAGACTTTGGAGGCTAATTTTTCTGCTACCTACTAGCTCACCTTGACCTCACCGAGCTACACCGAGGCGGTGGAGTCCCAAAATCTCAACCTTCACGACATCCTCACTGAAACTCACTATAAAAGTGAACATCTCACAAGAACATTCTTTTCACTCAAGATCGATTAATCCCATACTTCACACTTACCATCATCTCATTCCCGATTACCCCCCGCCTTGACTTTGTTACAAATATCACTCCACTGACTCATCACAATGTCTTCCCCTAGAGATTCTCAAGAATGGACACAAGTTTCTCGCAGATCTCGCAAGAACAAGAACAATTCCACAAATTCCAATCAAGTATCTTCATCATCTAGCCCGCGTGTCGCCGCCCGCGTGAACGTTCCCAATACAGAAAACATCCGCAACCCGGCTGAGCTTGAAACATCTTACAGACGATACCGCGAGCGTTGGGAGTCTGAGCCATCATGTGCAAAAGTCCGCGATCTCATCACAAGCAAAGCTTCACAACTCAACAACGTCAATCGTGCTGTCAACTTTGGCGTTGGCACGTTTGATCCAAAGGGGGCATATGATCCCAAGGCGTCGTTTGTGCAACTCGCAGCATTTGATATCATTGTAGAAGAATTAGGTATGGCAACTTGACTCTTGTAAAAGTAGAAAGCTAACGGTCATGTATAGAGAAAATCACGGGTGAGAAGATGGAGACTTATGTTCAGGATCCAATGTTCAGTGCCTCCGACAAGACCTTCCTCGGCAACATTGGCCATACTGTCGTCGAAGAACCAGCTGGAAACGACCTCGTCACACCAACCACGTTCTTCTTTGGTGTTCATCTCTACAGGGGTGTTTATAAAGAAGCGTTGGAGAAGCATCTCCCTGCGCTCTTCATCGGAACAGGCTGGGATGCCTGGGACGAGTAAGTTGCCCTCCGATACTTGATGGTCAGATGTGGCTAACAGTGAACTTTCAGTATGCCGAGTCTAGATGGTCTCGAAGAAATTCGCGAGATACACAAGACATATGAGCATTGCAGGTTTCCTGAGGACAAGTATGACACGGCGTTTTCGACTACAAGCATTTACTGGAAGGTTGAGGGTGAGAAGGAGGAGTCGGTCGAGGACAAAGACAAGGGCAAAGGAAAGGAGAAGGGAGAGGATGAGAGGGAAAAGGTTGCAGTCAAGGAAGAAGACGAGGATGAACTAGCCAAGAAACTCGAGTCGACTACTATCTCGTAATAAGTAATTATCAACGAGTCAATTTACTTTGTGGAGATTTACTCTTGTGCGGTGCCATCAGCGTTTGACTGACAGTAGAAAAGGCAGTCTCCTTAAGTCTTAGGGCACAAAAATAAATAGTCTACAAACTATGGTCTAAGAAGCATAAAATAACCTACTAATTTCGTCTCTTATACTTCTAGCGGACAACTTTTCTGCGACCCGCCAACTTCCCTTATCTTTGCATATCACTTGGCTTGACCTATTCATCCCTGTTGTTGCTTGGTGTGTGTTGAGAAGACGATGAGGGAAGTTGAGGAGAGAAAGGTTGAAAGGGATGGAATTTATAGTCTGCTGCTACTAATTGGAGATGAAGATTTGGATGGATTAGAGGAGGATATTGGAAAGAGAAAGGTTCCGATGAGGGCTTCAATTGGCTATGTTGAACGGCCAATTCTACACTCGCCGTCTTCGACAGTGATTCACAAAGGTCTTGCGGCAGCAGACTATAAGTTCCATCCCTTTCAACCCTTCTCTCCTAAACTTTCCTCATCCTTTCAACAATGTCTTCTTCGCCCGAGACTAAGGGCTTCGACTCAAAGGCCAGAGAAGCAGAATATCAAGCCCTTTGGCAAACCTGCGATCGCGCCACAAGAAGTGGCGACTACATCTATGCCGACGGGGAGACAAAGCGTGAAATCTTGCGCATTGCTTGCTACGATCGTCTTGAGAGGAGGTACATCCATTGACTTCATCTCTTGGACTTTGTTAACCTTGTTGGATAGACGTGCTCAGGGCAAGACTATGTGCAGAACCAACGTGACCAGCATGGTCGATCTTCATATTCAACGCGAAGTCACTCGTCTCCGCTATCGCGCGCCTCCTCGCAGGATGCAGGCCGCTGTTCCTGCTCCGAACCCGGCCCCGAACTTGGTTCCTTTCCTTGCCGAGCCCCAGCATTACAATGCCAACCCTGCGGCTTTCAACCCCGCTCAGAATCTAGGTCAAATCCCCTATTTAGCTATCCCGCAGAGTCAGCATCTGCCTCAAGTCCCGGCGGTGCCCCCTGGTTTGGACATGCCGATGCACACCGAGAGCCATACCGTCCGTTCTTTATGTGACGAAGTGGCCGCTCAGAAAGAGCTCATGGAGAGATTGGTCAATACCCTCCGCGGCTACCACAGACGGATCGTTACACTCGAGGGTCAGATGCAACAGATGAGCCAGGAACGCCGAACTGCAGCCTTTGCCCAGCCTGTCTATCCCATTCACTATGCCATGCAATATCCGTTGGAAGGTCTCAATAGCGGTGACCTCAACTTTGCCATGGAAGGGCAGGTGACGCCTGCGAGCCAGATCTCGGACGGAAATGGGGATGAAGATGGTCAAGAGGGAGGCGCACCATTGGTAGAAGCTTGAACAAATGGGATGAGATTATGGGGCGCAAAAGATACAATCAGCAAAAGGACTGGACTAGAGGCACGACGCAAATCGAGAGGAACTGATTACAAACATGGGGTGGGAAAACGATGAATACTTCTAGCTTTGCCAAATAGCTCATAATGAATGACGATAATGACAACGAAACTGTCTATACACGATAGCGCCTTAGCCCGAACCGAATAACTTCCCTGTGTTTATCACCATAGCGAACAGCCAATGACCCGATTCATCAAATATGCTTCCTATTTGTTACCTCATGCATCAACTATATACTTTCGCAAGCACGAGTCGTCGCAGGAAACCTTCTTTCCGGTCCATCTCTACAAAACAATCATCATCTTCAACATGAAATAAACAACAGGCATCGCAAGGTTTCCGCTCGTTTTCCTGGCACTCCTTAACTCCGGTTCCATGAGGAAAAGAAAGAAAAAAAGACATTAAATACTGAGTGTCAAGAGTCGCTATTGGCTATATCCAATGCATACCCTTATCCTCGTAAGCTGGTATCGACTGAAGGATGCATCGTGGCTGAGAATGTCGTAGAATTGCGTCTCTGGTCGTTTAGGAAAAGGCGCTGTAATCCTTGAGCGTCTTGCCGTCGCAGTCAGGAATCTTGACTCCCTTTTTGAGATCGCGATCAATAGTCAAGAGGCCCCACTTGTCCTCCCACTCCTTGCCCTTTTCGTTGTACCTCTCCTTCCAGGGCTCGTCGAATGCCTCAAACCAAAAGTAGTTGGTCCCATTCTTGAGGGCCTGGCAAACCCAGTCCTCCATGAAGGTGTTCAGTTCATCAACGCCAGCGACTGAACCCTTGGTACAAGAAGTTGCGGTACCGCCGCAGTGGGTTCCACCACCAGTTGGCCAGCCCGTCTCTGAAATGATGTTCTTCTCCTTGTCCGACTTCCAAAATTGTCCATTGTTGTTCTTCCAAAAGCTGGAGGTCCAATCAGCTGCCTCATCGGCCTCGACGCCTGCAAAGAAAGGATGAATGTTGGCCATAATGTAGTCACTGTCGGCGGCTAGCTCGGAATCCCAATCATCGCCCAAATCCGAGGTGGCAACAGGCAGCTTCAGGCCCTTCTTCTTGAGCTTGGTGCGGGTGTCGGCAAGAATCTCTGCCAAGGTGGTGATGTTCATCTCCTCTCGAAACAGGATCTCGTTGGCAATAATGATGCCTTCAAACGGGTCATCACCGTACTCATCCAGAATGTCCCACATTTGGCTCATCTGTCGCTCGTTGGTCGTCTCGTTCTTGTCCAACCAAACACCCATCCAGACCTTGGTGTCGTCAAGCTCCAAGCGCTGAATGGAGTGAATCAGCATCTGAGTTTGGTTACAATCTGTACCGTAGAGTCGGATCCTGTTGGTAAGCTGACCCAATATGGCAACGTCGCGTGTAATATTGTTCTGAGAGGGTGGGTTATGCATGCAGTCGGGATACTGAGAGTTGAGCGGGGTGTAGTCCATGCCAGGGAATACCCGGTGCAGGTCAGGGTTGTTGAGGAGCTCCTTGATCTCAGCGCTGTTCTTGCCGAGATCACCGTTCTTCTTCGTGTCGTCCTTAGCTGACTCTCCCTGATTGCTGCCACCCGCTCCTCCGCTTTCGTCCCTTCCATTGTTGACCATGCTACCCACGACGCCGCCCACAATGGCACCGACAATGACGAGGAATACCACAATGATGACGAGCCATTTGCACTTCTTGCTTCTCCCAGTGTCGTTAGCTGCCGAACCATAATGCTTTTCACGTGCTGCGTTCATTTCATAAGCTCCTCCTGCATCGTATTAGCAACTACGCATTATACCCAGGAGTAAGTAAATACTGACCTCTACCGCTCATCAGGCCGCCAGCAGCCACACCGCCAGCAGCCGCACCACCTCCAACCGCAGCAGCAGAAGCAGAAGCACCTCTCTTTGCGCGGTCTGAATTGGAGAGACTTAGCATCGAGTTTCGTTGACTCTTTCCATACACCAGTCCATCATCTCCATCGTCGACGATCTCATTAGGATTCACCACACCAAGATTGGCGCTACCGTTTCGTGAGTTGGTGTATCCGTGGTAGGGGTTGTCAACGTAAGGGTCACTTCCGTTGTAATGGGATGTTGATGATGAGCCTGGAGGTCCACGAGGCGAATCGTATCCGTAGCCGTAGCCGCCATTTCCTCCATGCGGGTTCTGTTGTGTCCGCGATGGGGGTGGAGGCAAACGAGAGTGTTCCATTGCGCCTGTACCACTACTATAAGGATTACGGTTAGCAACGTGTGCGATTCTTGTCTTTCTACCAGACGCCGACATTCCAAACTTATCTGCGACCGGTACAGTATAGAAGTTTGAATGATCTTACCCCAGATGTCCTCCTCCGCCACCCCCGTAGGTGTTGTAGCCCTGGTCGGCGTGGTAGTCACGGTCGCTGTGGTAGTTGCGGTCGCCTTGGTGAGGTGATGGGCGCCGAGGACTGTCGTAGCCAGCTGATCCTCCGTAAGGTGAAGCCGAGCGACCTTGAGAATGGTAATCGTCGTAGCCGCCCTGCACGCGGTTGTAGGAAGAATCGGGATGGGCGCTTGGGTGGTTCGACCTTGCGGGAGCGTCGTGTGCAGCGGTTTGCGAATAACTATGGGGTGGAGGAATGGGTCGCTGCGGCGAGGGATTGTAGTAGTTTTGAGAGTCGAGAGGTTCTCGCTCGTAAGGATCCCCGTGGTAATTCTGCATTGTGGATAAGGTATCCGTAGAAAGTTGGAGCCCAGCGAAAGGAAGTGGCAGAGTATCCGTCGATACTAGGGATTGCGACTCGAGAGCAGCCAATGCAATGCCAAGAGTATGGATGATGCCAGCAGCGGCGAGCCGCCTCAAGGTGATGGGGCTATTATCAAGTGGATCGGATGATGGTTTGTGGTGGCTTTAGCGACAGGAAGCGGAGCAAGACCAACAAATGCAAGGAATACAAGTGAGCGAGTGGAATAAAAAGACCGAGTCTTGAGCTATTGATTGACGAGTATGCGTACAGTAAATAAGATGAAAGGGAATGGAAGGGGGGAAAAGATGGAGGAGATGCAAGAGTCTTGATTTCAGTGCAACTTTGGGGCCGTTGCAAAGTTGGAAAGAACGAATGAGAGGATCAAGCAGCTTCTAGGGAGCCACACCGGATGCGGACCGATAACCTGGAATTGCCCTTTTTAGCGGGAGTTCCGCCCTGGACTCCCCGGCAACCGGCCCCTACAGCTACAATACAGCAGGTCAATAACCCCGGTAAGAGGCGGGACCCGTGACGCAGACGTTTTAGTCTACACTATCTCCTTACCTCCTCGACTTGTTGTCACTCTATTCCAATCAAAAGGAATACTTGATCATATTGAAAACGGTCTTTAATTACGAAATGAATCTTGTCTGGTGAAGAAAAACGAGACAAGAGGTTTTACGAGCACAGCCTCCCTCTCCCCCAAATCGGGTCGGGTCCAACGGCAGAAAACGAGGTTGGCAATGATCTAAACCATCTTAGTCGTCAGATGGTGTAAGAGAATCACCAACACGGGGTTGGTCAGGCAGCTTAGGTTGGCTTGCTGAGGCTATTTCTATCGTGGATGCGTTGCGCGTCCTTTTTTTTTTTACTTTACCGTCTCTCTCAAAACTTTGATCTATATTCGGAAACCGTTTTTTTTCAGCCAACTTCTTCCTGTCTAGACTAGTCTTTGTCCCTTTTAATCTAACATGGGAATCTATGTTTACAACAATAGCGTCGTTGTATTGAGACCTCGTTCGTTACATGAGGGTTATTCTGTAAGAGCATGGCACAGTAAATTCTCGACTCTAACCCCAGTCAGTACCTCCCCTAGTCCATGGACGGCTCCTCTTGGCGAAGTATGGTACTTGTACTTTCGCCTGTCGATTGACGATCAAGCGGCCCAGGATCATGGAACGCGGCAAAGCGATATGGGTCAATTAAACAGCGTGTAGACTACAGAGTATCTATCCATTCCAGCACGCATTGCAATCAGCAAAGCAATGCATTTCACATTGATGAGGCGGTACAGTTTACATCCAACACAACATGGGCAATTATTAATTAATGCAATACAAACATTGGGGGCCTGGTTCGTGGCGTTATATTAATTTATCGCCTTGATTATCACCGACGGCACAGCGACTAAAAATAAGGCCCAGCACCGTTCGTTATATCGCGTCTTCCCAGTCACTATTTGCTCAAATTAAATAATGCTCGACTGAATTAACTAACCATCGTCACTCGCCTTTTGTTATCTTGCTTGTTTGCGGACCTACTTACAACAATCAGCAGATTAAAGGATCCTCACTGACCCAGTCTTGCTCCCATTTTTTTCCTTTACTTAGTGCGACGCTTTCATTTAATTGGTGATCCAGAAGTGTTTATGTGACACTTTTGTTGATCAAAAAGATCTGTGCTTTGGACGATAAGACTTATGATAACGATCGCCGCAACATTGTACATGTCATCGACGATGAGCCAGTCGTCCAATTACAGTCCAACAGAGGCTTCCCCTAAACATGTCAATTCTCTCTTCTCAAGCAAAGCACTAACAATTAAATAGTCTCGACGCCAGGCTTTTCTAACAGTGGCATGTCCTTAAACTTGACAAGCGTTACTTTAGGGCTGAGGTAGTGCTATTCTCGTGACCAGGTTAGTAGGCAATCGCGGCTAGAACTATGTCTAGCTTCAGCTCAGTCAAATCAGTCATGGACCCTTGAGGCTGAACAAAAGAGATCACGCGATAAATTAAGGAATGCTAGCGCTGAGACTCCTATTCGGAGATTTTGAGACTTACCAAAGTCACCGCATATTGCTAATAGCTAATGGCAGGTATCTGGTCACGGTGTTTCGTACATCTAACTTCAATTGTTTAACAAACCAACACTCTGTCTAGAGACTGTCGTGGAACGTTACACTAAGCATATATGGACATCATCATACCAATGCATACCGTTGATACACAGTCAATTTTGACACCTAGATATCACACCGGCTGCTGATGTATCATATGGTGTATAAGTTGTACGTGGTTGTTGTTTACTGCAGACCTGCGACATGGCATTACGCTCCAGGGTAGTCAACGTCGACCACATCTAGGTATGGCTCGATGAATCCGACTGCGTTTACGCAATTGATGTTAGGCAGGAGTGATACCTAAGGCCTAGTTTATGTTTGTTAGTTATTCACTGGAGGCAAGCTGCCAAACCAGGGAGGCTTCTGGAAGAGAAGCCATGGCTATGAAGCCTAGCTTCTCTTCTAACCTGATTTGAATCTATACGGTGTTTTCTACATCTCAAATATCTAAGTATTGATCATGATGTTTAGTCTTGGTAATATTTCTTCCAACTTTGGTACCACCTTGCTCCTTGCTTGCCATCACGGAGGCTCCGACTCGTATTGCTGTGTTTGATGGCTTACATCTATTTATATGGCCGGATTCCAAGCCACCATGCGCTACGTTGAGTATGCAGGCCATAGAATTGACAAAGCATTTGTTGAGTGCGACCATTAAGGAAGGAATCAAGTTACCTGTTTGGTAGGGGGCATGAATCTCTTGGTATTGTGCTCCTACATGTAGACTGCAACCGAAATAAGAGTGACTCTTAGTTGCTGAGCACTATGAAGAATTCCATTGGTTACCTGTCAAACAGCTCCATCTCTAGTGTCTTCAACGTATAGACCACCAAGTAGAATAGCTTCTCCTCGCCGCAATCTATAATTACCTAGTAGACTAATTGTAGAACAAGGAAACATAGCATGAGCCCTGGTTGTATATATCGCCATGCTGGATCAACCCGCTCATGTGATCGGACCTTTGAACAAACACCAGCTAGTTCTGAAGAAAATCGTTTTGTTCTCAACCTCGAAGCCGGCATCGCAAGGTCATACAAGCACACATTCACCGAAATCTCACCATTGACCATGTTAGCCAAGCACATAATGACGTTGTATACAAGGACTATCCTCCACAACCCCAACCAACGAGCTGGTGCGCGGAGCATAACTCCGACATCCGCTCCACATATTATGCTCACCTGAATATCTATGTCGATCGATTGCACGTCGAAAAGTGGCATTCCTCTGTCTGTTTCGACTGCGATTTCTTCAGACATGCTCGATATGCTCTTGCTACTCTACGGACGGTAAGGCGAAGACGAAGGAGCCATTCATAATGGAAGGGCCTGCTCCGATCTGGTCACCGTGATGTCATGTCGACGACTCAGGTGTTGATGTCATACATGTGAAACGACGGCATCATGAGGATTTATATGTAGCTTCGCAGCATAAAAGAGATGACTTTGTTTTCATCACTCTCACAATACCATCTCCGCAATCATATACCTTAAAGGATCCCTCGCCACCAGCATACACACATCCAATCAAGCCCTTCATCTCCTCATCAATAATCATCATGTCTGTGAACCCCGAGTCCGCTACTCCCCAGCAGGGTGAGTTCCGCAGCAAGGTCGCTCCCGCCGAGCCTCTCATGAAGGGTGGTGTAAGTTGATCATCATATATATTTTTGTCGTCTCAAACATTTGTACTTACAACTTGTTCAGCACGCTCCCGGAGTCCTCGTTGGCAACGAGGCTGCCCCCGAGTTCCATGCTGAGATGCACCCTCCCGGTACAGCCCCTTCCGAGAACACCTTTCAACCCAACCCCGAGTCCGAAATCCCAGCCCAAGCCTCCGGTAACGAGGGCGCCGTTCCTGCGGCCGCAACTCTCGGAGGAGCTACTTCTGCCGACGTCCACACCGGTCTAGGCAAGCCCGCTTCTGGACAGACTAGCCAGGAGCTGCACGGCACAGAGAAGAAGAACCGTTCCGGTCTTGAGGGCGTTGGTGCCAACCCTTCTGATCCCATCCACGACAAGGGCGCTGATCGGGACCACCCTACCAACTATCGTGGAAAGGGTGGCGAGAACGCGCTGGATTATGCTGGTGCTGAAGATCGTGAGCCTGCTAAGGCTGAGGAGGTTGCGAGCGAGCGTCGTTGAAAATTGTCTCCTGTGCGGACAAGAACTGTAGTAATAGCCACGGAGGCTTAATGAGTCAATGCCAATGATATGAACAACGATGACAATCTTGGAGCCGTGGTGCATGTGAACCTATGAGTGAAGACTATAAATCAGCAGCACTCATTGCAAGCTACGGTTGGAACAGATGCCCAACGTATTGTATTTGCCAGAGTGAGCATCCGAAGGAACCGAGTAGGTTATGGAAGGAACTGATTATCAATCAGACTGCATTCATGCGGAATGCAGTTGGGGCGGCACTTGATCCTTTGCGGTGATCTCGTTGGGCATCAAGTGCCGATAGTGGCGTTAGTTCCTGAAACATGAACATTCTTCTCAACCAGATAGGCTTACATGGGACAAAATGAGGTTGTACATGTTAAGTTTTACAGCCTGATGTAGCCCTCGGCCCTGTGTCTTGCAATATCAACATCCATTCAGTGTTCAAGAATGCCTCGTAGTCAGCCCTGAAATCGCAGGAGCATGAACCTTACCGTTGATGTTACCTTGATCATCGTCTCCTCCTTGACAAAAAACTCAATTCTGTTCTCGGTATGTGCAGCATTTAAGACAATCCCTGCTGCGGCGCCTCCAACGGTCCCTGTATCTCCACCGTGGGGGGAAATAGGCGAGACTCGATTGGCAGTGATTGATGATCAGAGTCAAGGTGACTGAAATATTGTGAGAGTTTGTGTCGGAGTTGAGAAAGTAAACTACTGTCAAAATGTCATTGAGAATATTGTCTTGGATAGCCGCCAGCATCTTATCAATATTCACAGGTCTGGACACCTAGGAACAGGTGAGTAGGTACTAAGTTTTCTCTTTCCTCGTTCATAGTTGTACATCTCCTCATCTTGTCCTCGGCTGCAACGGCAGTTCTCGTCGAATCTGGACTAGATACTTACCTAGCCATGCTGTATCCACAGCCACGCGCCATGCTAGATATTAATCTTGATCTTAATCTTGTTCAGTGACGTACATGTATGTCTGAAGGATTCACCTATCTCAAACCTAACTACACCACCTCAACTAGGTATTTTGGAATCCTACTCGGCATTCTTTGTTCCTCGACAACACACCACATGTACGAATACTGCAGCACCAAGTGAAGCTCAAGACGTCAACTCTCTGCCTGAGCACTCCATTGTTTATCCCCCCCTTCAAAAATTACAATAACCGTCGTGCCCTCAACCAATCAAGAATCTTCATCCCGCTCAAAGATCCTCTTCATGCCCCGGGAGTTACACAAGCTAGAACTAACTAGCCACGCCAAAAACGCCTCCCCGTTGATCCATAACATACCGCTCGCCTCGACTAAACGCGGAATTGTGATGCATTAATAATGAGCTTCTTCATCTAGTTAGACCAGACGTGCCCAAGAGAGCAAGTCCCACGGGAATACTGTCTCATTCTGCCCGAAACACAACGAGGCGTCTTGTCTTGGACCTCAAGAATTGCTTCATTCCAATTCTAGTGGAGGGGTCTTTTTTATTTTAATCGTGTCGGTGCTTGACTAAGTGGTGACTCTTGTCCTTGGCACAAGGCATCCTATCCAAACACGCCCACATTTGTCCTCTCCTTTTTCCCTTTCATGGCTCCTTGACTTCAAGGACTGTACGCTCGCTGTATGTGGGCACTGGGTACCTCCCTGGCTACTGTACAGCACCTGGAGGTAGGTATTTAATGGAACCAGGGGCGCTTCTATCGCTTCTATCGTCAAATCATTTCACATAATGCTGCGTCTCAATCCATACTAAACGCCGCTGACGTTGAAAGATCCTGCACCCTGACTCTCCTAGCCAGGTACGCTACGGCAGGGGTTGCAAATTCCCTAGGCACTCCAAGTGCCGAGTTCCTCCTGGGGTTCGCAGTACCCATTCCCTGCCTACATTACCAGAACGGCTTCTCGTCTCTGCACAAGCTTCTCCTCACTCCCAACCAACTACCACTCCGAGCTGAACCTCATACGTCGAACCGTGTTTGCTTGTCTGTTTACTCGTTTCTTACAGCAATCCGGTGGGACCCGAGCCAACCATAATCATGGAGATCCAATTCTCGATACCTATCAACGGTGGGCGCAACAGTTCAGCTAGGTAAGCTACGAAACCCTGTCGTACATGGACCCTTCCTTCATTCAACAGTACAGTATACTACAGTACAGTACAGTACAGCTGAGCTGACAATTCCTTTGTCCTTCTAGTTCTACATCGGCATCAGCCTCTTCCACTGAGAGATCTGCAAATGACACCGCTGCCCGTGGCGGCGGCACTCATCGCTTTGCGCTTGAGACACGGGCCCGGCATACTCGGCGCAGCTCTAGCAGAGCTCGTACAGGATGTGCCACATGTGAGTTTGCTGTATATTCATTGTTTACGGGTCGCTGACTATTTATTAGGCAAGTAAGTATACTATTTCTGTCGGGTTTTGCAGTGCTCGCGAGTCGTGTGACAGTTTGGGGAGCTCATCACTAATACATTCTAGGAAGCGACATGTTAAATGCGATGAAACCAAGCCATCATGTCTCAACTGCTTGAAATGGAGGGGCTCTTGCGACGGCTACGCTGATGCTTCAGCTCTTCCGTCTGAAGCCACTACCACAGAACAACGACCACGCCCTGCTACATCAAGGCCAAAACCGTCTACGAACTCTTCAGCCAAGTCTCGGGCAGTTCCGAAAATAAAAGTTAGCACAGGATCTACGGCCGTTACTGCGAGGGTACCGACGATCCCGGAGGAACCTTCAATCAACATCATATGCTTTACAAGCAGTGAACAGCGATCCTACTTCGACGAATGGTCCTCCCTCAGTGTCACCTTCCTCAGCGGAGGTCTAGGCGATTCGCGGTTATGGACTACAACGATGCCTCAACTTACACTACAGGAACCTTCGTTGCGATATGCTGCCATGGCAGTTGGCGCATTGCGCAAGTCCTCAAATGTCGAGTTTGAAGCATCTTCCCCCGGGAATGAGCTCGCCGGCAATAACAAGCACTATCTCAACGCAATTGTCTACTACTGCGAGGCTCTGCAATTACAGGCCAAAGCTAGGCCAACAAAGGAAGGCTTACGAACAGCTTTGTTAGCATCCCTCCTCTTCATCTGCTTCGAGACGCAACGAGGCAACATGCCAGCAGCTCTCAAGCACATCATCCACGGCTTTAGCATGCTCAATGAACTGGCAGCATGTTCAGACAAAGCCCCTAGTCTCGTCAGAATTGCACCAGCACCTCCTGCGCTGGTTCAGGAGATCTTAGACTGCTATAAGCCCCTGGAATTGCAGTCGCGGTCTTTCATGGGTTCCTATAAGAAGTTCTTCTTTCCACCTAAGCCACCTGGTGTTGTGTCCAATAAAGCTCCTCCGAACCAGGCTTCCAGCCCTCAGAACATGTCTAGTCCAGTGAGCCAACCTGGTACACCATGGGCGGGCGCGACTCCGGGCCAACAGAATTCTGTCGGTTTGCCAAGTCCTCAGAGTCAAGCAAGTCCACAGGCAATGCCAAACCAACAGACACCCCCGCGAGCAGCACCACAGAGACCGCCAGGTATTGCACCGTTCACCAAACACTCACCCTACTTTCGACCCAGACAGACCAACATTACCGTTATCGATGATATGCCGGCAGCTTTCAGCTCGTTGGATGAGGCCCATGGCTACTGGACTTTACTACAGAGGTTTATGGTTCAGTACATTCCTCTTCTGACTGCGACAACGGCGCAGCTCGCTTTGCCAAAGGTCAAAGACAGGGATGAACTTTTAGCCAAGTTGTCCAGTGTGCGACAAACCCCACGAATCGCCAAATTCTTGGAGGATTCAAGATCATGGCTCCATCGATGGTCAACCTCGTTTAGCCCTTTGCTCCAATCTGTGTCGGATAATCGACAGAGCGACTCACAGTCTTACCTAAACGCCATCAATTTGCACATTGAGTTCCTCATCCTCTATGTGTATACATCCATGCCACGATACTCAGGTCTCGAAACAGCCAAGGATCTCACGCCGCAGTATAGCCAGATCAATATCATCGCTGAGACACTAATTGCGTCTCGTCCCAACTGTGGCTTCGCGATGGACTCTGGCTGGACATGGCCGCTCTTTGTGTCAGCTTTCGGGTGTCGAGATAAAGCCGTCAAGGAGGACGCCATCCGTATCCTTGGAAAATACCCTATTCGAAATGCCCTGCGCGATAGCCGCGTGTTCCGTGCAATTGCGCTCAAGAATTGGGAGGTTGAGGCGATGAACGCCATGGAGGATGACGAAGACGAGCAGTGGCTGCGGCTCAGGAGAAGAGAATTGGTGTTTGAGGATCTCGGTATGAACATTATCTTCCGTTATGCAGAGAAGAACCCAATGACTGGGGAATGGAATCTTGTCGAGGAGGTGGCGGCCTTTATGGTTGGCGAGGATGGACAATTGGATTGGCATAGACAACCGATCTCCGAATCCATCTCAATTCTATCGGGGGTATGTTAGTGGAGGAAGGTTGAACATGGTTCTATACGGAGCAGGAGACGGAGCCTGCATTGGTTTTTAGATAAGCGTAGGAGTTCTGGCGTGCGTGCTTTTAGGCTGCGATCAACCAGATATGTTATTATCAAGGCAACGAATGAACAGGAATGGTTGCGATTACAGGTCCCGAGTGTTATCACTCATTTGAAAATGGTCGCTTTTGCAGGAGCTCGTACGGGTGTGAAGTATTGAGGAGCGTAATATCCAGATGTTGATGTTTTGTTTTCGGTATCCCCAAGCGTTGCGCTTCTGAGGGTATTTGGATAGTCCTGGTGCATCTCTGACGAGGTGATCTGTGGTGTAAATTACTAGGTGAAATCGTTTAGCAACCAAACAACAACATCATAACAATCTCTGCTAAATTGATTAAGTGACGATAAAGACACAACAGTTATTTCCAAGTCATATAGTATCGAATAGTTGATGATAACCTCATTAATATTCGTTGTTCACTTCAACTGCCATGTATAGGGTA